TTAATATCTTTTATAGGTATAGGAGTTTTTCTCTATTTATATTATAGAGGGGACTATATAGAGATAGTTCTTTAATGTTGTTATAGTCTTATTTTAGGGTGATTTTATGGTTAATTCCTAGTCAATTTAGGAGTAACTTGTTAACTAACTGCTAGCTAAAGATATCTAACTACTGTTAATAGTATCTTAGTAGCTTATTCTTAAGGTTATCCTATTTCTTTAGATATAGTACTTTCTTAATATTATCTATCGTAACTTTACTAATTTATAGTTGATTTGGCTACTTCTCTTTGTAGATAAAGTCATATAGTGATTGGGTTATTAACTTCTTAATTTATATTCTTCTTATATTGGTTAGTCTGATTATATGGTTTATATAGTTTTAGTACTTTATCTGCTCTCTATTTCTTATAAATATATTGATATATCTTTTTCTTGTTAAGTATTAGCTATTAATATCTTATAGCTAAAGGTCTCTTAATATTATACTATCCTCTTACTAGGGAATAATATATATAAATACTTATTTTTACTAGTAGTTATAAATATCTAGATTAAAGTATATAACCTAAGTAATTTAGTCTTAATTCAGGACTACCCTATCTAGGATTTATATAAGTATCTTAATATATAGGAGGTTAAGTGACTAAACTAATATTTTGTTTACAGTTATATAATAATAGTATCTACTATTGACTAGGACTTATATAAATTAGATTTTATTTACTCTAGCATTAACTAGAAATAATAGTATTTCTTGTTTTAGTAGCTTTTTAACTTCTTTTTATTTCTATTTATAACTTAGAACTAGAGTTACTCTTTTCCTAAATCCTTATTTAAAAAAAGTTTGTTCTTAGAAGCTAATACGCTTAACTTATAGTTAGTTATATATCTAGCTTTCTTATCTTTAATCCTATAGGGGTATCTTTCTCTTAGTTCTTAATATTATATAGCTAATAAGGAATACTTTATAATAAAGTGGTCTTGTTTGCCATAATAAAGGTATCTTCCTTTATCCTATTGTCTCTCTATCTCTTTATAATTAACCTACTTTACTTATCTATTTATTTTAGACCCTAATTAGTAGTATTTTATATAGAATTCGGCTTAATTAATTATAGTAGTTAAGATCTAATCTATTAAGTCCTAGTGCTACTAGGTATATATATAGTACGATCTTTCTAGGGTATTAATACTAAGAGTATCTATATTAGTACTAATTTTATAGAGCTAAATAATAAGGTCCGAAAATATAGTAGGAATACTATAATTTATTAATAAATTTATTATATTTTTGTTTAAGAATCCTAATAAGATCTATCTCTTTATTTTATTATACTATTTAAAGATATCTATATTTATAAACTCCTTCTCTAACTTAGGAAGGAATTTTATAAAAGATATATTATTTGATTGGTATATCTAGTAGAGACGTCTTACAGTATATACTTTAATATTTAGGTCCTTATAAATATCCTTAAGATAGTCCAGAATTGTCTGTAGATCCCTATTATTTCGTCGTAATTTTATAAAGGTTCTAGTATTCTTCTAAATAAGCTTCTCAAGCCTAGAGAATATATATATAAACTGATCTTGGGGTAAGCTAATTACTATACTATTAATATATAGTTTATTCTCTATTATTATATACCACATTGGCTAGTTAGTTATTTTTCCCCCAAATAGGATTAGGTCTGGTAATTATGTCTTCAGGTGATGTATAGGTTCTAATCGTAGGGGTTCTAGGGTTGATTTAATTATGGTTTATATCGGAGTTAGTTCCCCTATCGTTGTCGTCGACTGTAAGGCTAATTACTCTATTATAGTCTCTAGGCGATGGATTTATTTGTCTTAAGTAACATGCTCTTAGTCGTATCGTCGTATTAATTCCTCTTATACTATATATTCTATATCGATTCGCTCGTTCTATTCGCTCTGTATAGCTTACGACTGTGCTATTTGTTGCAGTAACATCTGTGTCTATAATAGTAGGCTTGTAGATTCCTGCATCTTTTACTTAGGGGTCGCGTCGCTAAATTATTTTTGATTTAGGGACAATTCGTATATAGTTTTAGATTTTTACAATATCCAATTAGAAGCTTTTTATTTGTAAAGGGCTAAAGTAGAATTTATATTCAATTGAGCTAGGCCACGTACTATATATAAAAAGCTTAAAGAGAGAATTACTAAGTAGGTGTTCTACGTGTTAGGTTGTTATGGTCACGTATGCCACGTGACCTTATACCGGGCATTGGCCCGTGACAATATAAGGGACTCTCCTACTTATAAGACTACTATATCTATATAAAAAATATTAAAATCCGCTATTATAGCTTAATATAGTCCTTAATCTCTATCTCTTTTATATATACTAATAATAACTTATATAAGGAATTAGTCTTCTATATATATATAGTCTTAATCTATAATAAAAAACCATTTACTTAGATAATCTACTAACTTACTATAGCTAATTACTCTATAGCCTATTAAATAATCTATACTATACCCTTAAGGCCCTTTATATCCTTATTTAGCCGCTCTATAGACTAGATTAACGGGAAGATAGGATATCTTATAAATACTAGACCTATCCTATATAGTTTAACTATAGGATAGTCTTATTTAATTTACTAGTCTAGATAATAGTTAGTTAGCTATAGACCTACTCTATCTAAAATACTTATATATACTAGATTACTTATTATATAATATTAATAGATAATATAACTAGCTTAGCTAGCTATAGATTAATATCTAGTTAATAAACCTAGATAAAATATAATCCTAATTACTACTTAAAAATATATTAGTATAATATAAACTAGAAATTAGTATTAATATTTATCTAGATATATTAATTCTTAGATAGTTTTAGTTAATTATAATAGCTACTAAGGGACTATTTATATATATACTATTAATAGACTTATAATAACTAGATTATATAGTAAATATAGTTCTAATATTATAAATATAATAAACTATTATTATATATTAGTAACCTAGGGATAGACTAGTTAATTTAGATAGATTAATTACTAATATTAGGCTAGTCCTTAATATAATCCTACTATTAGATATAGTACTTAATATACTATATTATTATATAAGGAACCTAATAATTAATACTAGTTAAATAGATAATAATATTATTCCTTTATATAATATACTTATATTTATAGTAAATTACTATATTAAACTTAGAATTAATAGAAAAAAACTTATTAGTATTAGGATTATTAAGGATAGTCTACAATATACTAAAAATAGAAATATATATCTAGGGATAATTATATAAAATCTATATAATAGTAATATTATATAAGTAAAACTTAGTTAATTAATCTAAAAAAAAAATTAGAATATAAATTAGAATATAGTAAATCAATATTTAAATTTTTAATTATCTAAACTATATAATTATCTATATTCTATTAGATATCTAGTAGTAATATTTATATAGTAATATTTTATAGTTAGGTAGGCTCTTTATCCTATTAAAAAAACTCCCTGCTTTTAAACCCCTATAACTATTCTTTCTATTATTTTAAATAATCTAAAATTAAAATAGAAGATGCTTAAAATATAAATATAAAATATATAAAACTCTAAGTCTTGTATAAGTCTGAAATATAATTGTAGTCTACTGTTGAATATTTAATGTAATAAACCCTAACCCACTTTTATTTCCCTATACTTAAGCACCCTACCCTAAATATAATCTAGTAGATTATAATTACTCCTATAGGTTAGGAACTTTTCTAGATATTCTAGTTTATATCTTTTCTCTTCTAGGATATCTATAGTAATACTTCTAGATCTACTAATATTTTTAGTTATAAGATTATTAGTAATTTCTTTAATCTAGTCTAGATTAGATTTAGTTAGATTTATATATTAATCTAAGACTAATTTAATCTTAGATTATCTAATAATAAAAGAAAAAAATATAGTAGGCTTAGATTAAGTACTATTATAAAAGGATATAGAGTTTTAGTATATAGAGAGTACTATTATTAATTCTTAGATAATTAAGAGAGAAGAATTAGAATTATAATAGTTACTAAGTTATTAAGCTAGAGATCTATAACTAGATAAGGATATTAGATAGTAAAGATTAAATAGAATAGTTAATATAAAGAACTAATTCTTATAGGATAAGAATTGTAGCTATTATTTATATATTTTAATATTAGTAGAGCTTATTAGAACTTAGGGTAGTTATATATTAGTAGGTGTATTATTATAGATTTGCCTATAGAGCGGCTATGAATCGTGCCCGAATCATACCTGAAGGGATTCAGGAATCTTATGATAGATCTAGATAAATAAAGATAAATAATCTCTAATTCTTCTTTAGGCTTAGAGAGTTAAGCTTCTCTATACTATCGGGTTATCTATAACTACTATTACTATTAATAGGTTCTTTAGATTTAGTTCTATACATCGGTATTTTATCGATAGTAGGGGTTTTATAAACTATAGTAATTTATTTATTTAGGGAATATAAGATAGGTAAGACACAACCTAATTAGTTAAGATACGCTTCTAAATGGATATAGGTCTATACAGCTTTAAGTAATATAAAATAATCTTTAATATAATATAAGAACTAGAAAACAGAAGAACTTTTGTATAATTTAACTAAAGTATTAAAGATAAGGAAAAAGGAAAGAGGGGAGTTAGGCTCCTATACATTATTATATAGGAGAATCAAACGGGTGTAGGATCATGTAATCCGTTATGTGATCCTACAACCTCACAACCTCGACATTAGCATCAACTCGGCATCGGTTCGTTACACTCATAGTCATTTGCACACACACCATCGAAGAGTCAATCTTCAAGATGTTGAAGGTATCATTAATAACGGGCTCAATGAACGTGCTCATGCCTACGAAAAGCTGTTTTTGTGGGAAGCCTATAAAATAATTGGGTACGTTATCACCGAGCGGGTTTTGCCTTCTTGGAGCATCTATCCAATATTTCAGTTGTTCATGACTAAGTTTTCGGTATTTCAATATAGTCAACTTGAGGGTTACGATAAACAAAAGCTCATACTTCCTTTCCACTTGAAGAACGACGGAACACCACTTGTCTCGGCTGGGCGAGATAATCGACATCTGATAACTATTAGCGGCTCGAAGACGTCGACAAATTATCCTTTGGAGTATCCTGAATTCATGCTAAGATTGGGCGGCAAAAACACGGCGGTCGCGACTCTTCCTGACATAACGCCGCCAGATTCTGAGGATGATCTTGTGAGAGCAGAACAGGAGTTGACTGATAACCATCTCGATGGGCTAATTAAGATGAAAGAAGTCAACCCTTTCCTCAAGACAGGTGACAGCAGTCAAATTCATACCCGATTTATTGAGAAAGTCACGGTAAAGGTGGACTCGATCAGAGATGATGCGGACGAGTCTAGTATTGGGGATGTTTCCGAACGTCTTGGTCGCGCCGACATGATTAGTCAACGAATGATATCCCTCAGAAAAGCCTCGACAATCAACTGGATGATCAAGTATCTAACCAGAGACGATGGTTGGAATCTCCAAACAACTGATGACGGTACAACCCGTACCACTGTTGCGACCGTGGACGACACAGACACCGGAGTTCCAGGTGAAGACGAGATATCCAAATACCAATCAATCGATTTTCCAGCAACCTTTGCCGATCCACTCAACACTAAGAAGATTCAAGGGAAGAACATTGAAAGTGGAGTCGACTTTCAGACCTGGGTGAGTTTCCCTTCTTTCAAGGTGTCATCTAATAAGCCCTAGAGGTACTAACTATATGTTGATACATAGGCCAATGAGCTTGGAGAAGTTTTACCCAGTACCAAGGGTCCTGCTGCGAGCGACTCGAGCGTGAGCCATTGGCAAGAGATCGTCGCTTGGGAGGATAAATCTTGGATAGATGAGTGTTGATCCTCCAGATGTCAAGAGATTTGGCGTTCATACTTGGTGAACTGGGAAAGATGTATATAACGTCTCCTACTAGCTTTCAAGTTGCACGATCAGTGTTACTAAGTACCACCTGGGCACGTACACATGTAACATTTGAAGATAGTCCTAATTTAGGACCTAAGAGGTACAAATGGGTGTAATTTGAAGCTATCGTGAACATTCCAAGGTTTTATTCAATGTTACATATTATCCAAAATCGGCACCTGGGCAGTGATGGTCAGCATGGAATCTCCCCGGGGCCCTCCGAGAGTCTCTGGAAGCCGCGATTTCTGTTTGGAGTCAGGGGTATCTATCGAGAGTACTAGCCATTCAGATGTTCTTTAATTTTTATTTCTTTAATTTGATTTTGAGAAAGATTTGAAAGAATTCGCGGTTGGAATCATATAGTCTCGACGTACTTTAACTAAGGTTTCCAAGGTTGCGTATGAGCTTGTACTGTAAGTTTACGGTACAGTTGCCGTCACATGTGGTGGGGCACCACTGCAGGGGCAAATTGAATGTCAAAGCTGAGTGGAAAATGAGAAGAAAAAAATAACAAAACAAAATAAAATCTCGAAAAAAAAAGAATTACAACCCAAAAATTGGGGTGCGATCTACATCGCCTATAAATACTTGCTGGTCGAAGCAAACTCCTGTCCTTCGAGAAGTTGAGTTCCCTTGCTTTTCCTCAACATTGAACTGCATTTCCCCCACTTGTCACTGCACGCAGCACCAGCGCCACTGGCACCACTGCCCGTGCTATTTCCTAATGGCGGCTACCGAAAAGTCTGGTATCAGCCTTATGAGCCAATACAATATCGTTCTACCGAAAAGGCAGGCGTATGACTCTTCCGGCAAACCTATACCTGCATGCGACCAGGATCAATGTGCTGCGGCAATAAAGGGGGAGTATCTTCCCGTCGATCTAAGCTCGTTCTGGCATCAGAGAGCAGTCATCCGTGGGATTCGTGATTCACTTCAATTCGCAACAAACCCGGAAATTCTTGAGCTATGCTCCGGCGACGATGGTCAGGCCCATCAATTTTCCCGCGCCCGCAATGCTCGCCTGATTATGAGTGATGTAATCCCCGATATGCAAAATCCTGCCACTCAGCCGTACTGTATCTGGTATCCCGACCTTGCATCAGAAGAAACATATCGCGAAGTTGCCCGTCGGTATTCGTCTATGCGGTATCAAGTGGGCCGGGCGTGTGCTGCAGCATGCTATACAGATCTCTACAAAGAATTGAACCTTTTGCCTGACGTTTCTATTGCGGAAGAATCCCGCGAAGTTGACAAAGACGCCAAAATCTACAAGATTATCATGTCCGCCCCCCAACGATATGCTGTCATGGAAGATTTCTCTCGATCCGTTCATCTTGAAACCCCACGAACGCCTGCGTTTCTGAATGGCGATATGAAGCCCCGATGGGCTTTGGGACAGCGAGTTCTCCCTGGTAAAAATTTACTAGAGACGACTGCTGATGATATTGACATCGAGGAAGATGGATTTATCGGCTTTCAAGATATCGGCTTGAAGGATATCAGCGGAATGGAGGAATATGCTGAACTGGGCCCAGGCCAGTCCGAACAACTGTGGATGCCCCTTCCGCCTGATCTCCCAAATCTTGAAAAGCGCCTTCAGACACAGATAGCCGCGTGGGAGGGCAATGCGGATCGATACAGTCGACTAATGCACCCGCGCAGGCTGAGAACCAAACTTGAATACAATTGTGTTCTTCGTGGTATTTATCACAGTACAACCTTCGCCAGATGGTGGGCTTATCAGCTGGAAACAAACCCTGGACGGGCTATCCTCCCAGGTAAATTGCTCAGCCAAGGCAATGAACTGGAGTGCAGAGAGATTCGCACTGCGATAAATGCCCGCATGATAATGAACAATGATATCTCTGGCATCAACGATGACTCGGACTGCCTCCCGTGGGTCATATGGGGGCCCGTGAAGCCCTCTGAGAACACTTTAGCTGATCTGGTTCGAAAGTGTCCGTCCATGGGACATCAAGTTGCGATCACTTGTATAATGTGTGATTACGATTCGATATTCCGAAGTTTGAAGCCCCCCTACACCAGATCCTTGTATGTGGCTGCCAGGCGAAGTGAAAATCCATTCTACCTACAATACCTTGAGGAAATCATGAAGGAGCGCAACATAACTCCCCCGGACTTTCACCGCTTCAAGAACTTTGATCACACTGCACCAGGCTTACAGACTGACCTGGAGCCTAGAGATGATCTCACTGGTCCCACTGTCAGCTACAATGACATGGAGATCTGGTATGGGCAATATCCCGGTGGAAACGAACACAAAGAAACTCGAGGTACATATGGAGGCGGACTAGCAAATCCGGGAATGGTGGAGAGATACATGTGGCTCTCAACTGAAACTGCACAGAAGTTGAAAGATGAACTTGACGCGCCCTACCCAGGTGCGGATATTGGTCTTTTGTATGACGATGAAGAACTTCGATCCAAGCTTTCACGCGGTATACAGCCCATGAAGCGGTAGTATACAGGTTTCGATATGTCGAACACAGTCAGTCCCTTTGATTTTCGAGTGTTATCGGCCGAGTATTCGCTAGCTGAGTTACCGATGGCAATATCGCTCGTAGATACTAGGACCAACCCCTTTATAATCTCAGATCAGTTCCAATCCCTCTTCCACGTACAATATAACGCATCGAGTATTTGAGTGTGGTATAATAGTAATTTTGTAAGTACATATCAGAAGCACTAGCATACACTCTGGAGCGAAAACAGTTTCACCACTTACACACAGAGAATCTTGTCGAACTCCGCAGGAGAAGATTACCACCTTTCCTATTACAGATTGATGATTCAGCGCGGGCTTAGATCCTATATTACTGTTTTTGTATGTAAAGCGTACGTAAGCGTACGTATGGGCTATACAACTAGCCTATACGAATCAGGTAAGATCGCTTAACTCGATTAAGCACCTAGATAGAACAACCCTCTCTGAATAGTATCTAGTTGTACTAGTTTATATATATTCGCCCCTATCCGACAGTTATAAGCCTAGTATCGTTATATAGAATTAGATATTTAGAATAGTTTCTAACTATATACCCCTATACAATTTAGATAGACTATAGTTAAACAAATAGATTAGATTACCCCTAAATTCGCAAAGTAATCGCTACAAACGAAATTTACTAGCTACCTATATACCCTAGTCGAATCAAATCGAACTAAGATAGAAAATGTATAGATCGTAATAGTTAGTTTGGATAGAGAGGAGTTTATAATAATTCTAGCTAACTAGAAGCTTTAGTTAAAAGTATACTAGAGAGTCTAGATAGGATATATTAGGTTAGTAGTAAATTTAGAAGGAATATAGAACTATATTAATCCTAATAGACCTAATAATAAGATCTTAGAGATTCCTGTAGCTCTATTAAAGCCGGAAGTCCCTAAAGATAATTATAGATAACTAAAAGATCTTAAAGACTTATCCAAAGATAAGATCTAAGTATAGGATTTAAAGATAAGGATCTATAAGAGATCTAAATTAAAATATATAAAGCTCTTAAAGATAATAATATATCTAAATAGTCTTATTATCTGATTATTAGTTATTAAATATTACTATCTAATTATAGACAAAGACTTACTAAGAGAGAAACTTTTGAAACTAGCTAAAATATTCTACCTAAAGCTAGAAAGCCACCAATAAGAGCTTTAATAAGTATAGAGAGTAATAATTCGATCGCCTAACTAATTAGTTAATATTAATTAGTAGATTACCTAATAGGATTCCCTATTTAAAGAAGAGAAGGTTATAAAGATTCCTGATTACTTATTTAAAGATATATTTACTATTAGAGACTTTCTTAATACTATATAGAATATAGATAATATTTTCTATATAGACTAGAAACAAAAGCTAAGTAAATACCTAGATAAGATTAAATTCTATAAAGTAATAGTAGACTATCGATACTACTATACTAATCTATCTATAATATCCTAAAGATCAATATTAAAGATAGTATTTACAACACTAAATGATCAGCTAGAAGCAAAAGCTTTAGAGCTAAAGTAGTTAGATAAGAAATAGAGATATCTATATAGATTACTAAGATATTATTTCTCAAAGTACTTCTATCTTAATAAAACTATTTATCTAGAAGAATAGGAACTCTATAAGAATATAGTTAAGAAAGTATAAGAGAACATTAAGAAAATAAACTAATCAGATTATAATTAAATTAAGAAGATACAATAGAAAAAGAAAGAGGATAATATAAAACCATATACTTAGGAAAAGATAGTATTTATAGTATCTTATTTCCTAATTAAGCAGATAAGCCCTCTATAATTAAGCTAGATTATTAACTCTAGAGCCTTAGTCTATATCTATAATAATTATATAATATTTAAATATTTATTACTATAATCTAATAAGATCAAAACTAGAGATATATATACAGAAATCCTTAGAACTAAAGAAGTTATAATAATAAATAACAATCCTTATACGAAACTTTTAGTTTATCTATATCTTAAAGATATATAGTATATACTAAGATTCTATATAAATATAATCTTATATAACTAAATAGAGTATAGTAAGTTCTATTAGGATCTAAATAAAAACATAATTATCTAGAAAGATATAAATAAACTAATATTAGTAGTAAAAGGATAGAACAGCTTATATATTATTAATACTATAGACTCTATACTAATATATTTAGTATTCTCTGTCCGTTACTTAGAGAAACCCTTAATATTAGAAGCATCTATAGAGAGATAATATTAATACCTAGGATATATAGCTAAACAGAACCTTTCGGGGATTTAAGAGATAGTTAAGGGTATATAAATCACTAAATTAAATAAAGATAAACAAAACTATCCAGAAAAATACAAAGTCTATCAGCTTACCAAAATAAAGTAGCAGATATCCTAACGACTAAATATAAGAAGATTTAGTTAATTTAGATATATTTACTTTAATTTAATCTAAATAGATCTAGGCTATAATAAATACTATTGGATTACCCATTTTTATATAGTAGGAATACACTTATATATTATCTTTATATACAAACGAAAAAGTAGCTATCAGAATATTATTAGAGAATTTATTATATATATAAGAAATCAGTAGAATCTACTAATCAAGGTATTATATTATAATAATAAGTAATCAGCTGGCTGTACAATTAAAGATTTTATAGCTGAATAAGGCTTTATAGTAGAATATAGTGTTATTAGTACTCTAGAATAGAATTCCTTTATAGAAAGATCTAGAGGGATAATAATCACAATTAATAGAAGCTTAATAATAGATTTAGACCTACTAAAAGCTCTCTAGTCTAAAGCTATCTAAGTAATAGTATAGATTCTAAATAGATTACCCATAAAGATACTAGATAGGAAGTAGATTATCTTATATTAGGAAGTACTAATACTAGCATCAAACTCCTTACTAATATCTATCAACCTTACAAACCTAAAAGTATATAACTATTATATATATATAAGAAAACAAGGCATTCCGAACGTTAATAAGATATAAATATATATAGAAATAGATTATCTTATTAGATATAAAGCCTTAAATATCTAGAAGATTTAGTTTCTATAATAAGTAATAGTCTAAGAGGTCTAAGATATAACCTTTAATAAGAATAGATTCTTCGACCTACAAGATATTATAATCAAATAGATTAGAAATAATATAGAAGTAATATCTTAAATAGGTAATAAATCAGAGTTAGATATAGAGAGAGATCTAACTAATAAACAGCCTCTAATTAGTTTATATATATAACTTAAATCTTTAAATCAGTCAACCAGTAATTACAAATAACAACTAAAAGAAAGGGATCAGCAGCTTTTATTACTATCCCTAATACCTAATAGAATAATTTAGAATAAATAAGATCCTATTAATTAACTCTAAGATAAGCTTATAACTATAATTATACTATATATACTAAAAGATATTAATAGAGATATAGATAAATATAATATTATTATAAGGAGTTATATATAAAAACTAAAAGAATTTAGCTTTTATACTAATAATAATTATAAAGATAGAACTCTCTCTATCTTTATAATAGGACTAAATAATACCCATTTGTATATAAAAGCCTATAAGAATAAGCTTCTATCTACCTTAGAGAACTAGTAAAGGATAATAAAACATCCTTACTAAAAAGGCTTCCTAGAAGTATCAATACTTAAATTAAAGACACTTAAATAAAAAGAAATATACTAGGTTATTCACCGACTAAACAATCAAAGTACCTAGATCCTTCTACTTTATTAGATATATATATATAAGTTTAATAGTAATAGCTTCTTAATCAAACTAAAAGTAAGAATCTATATATAAGATAATCTATAAAAGATTATAGCTGAAGAGAAATATTTAGCTATATTAATAGTATAAATAGTAAAAGCTATCTTTATCTTAGTAGTAGTATTTAATCTTAATACTTACTAATTTAATACTATTAATACCTTTCTTAATAGTATACTTAATAAAGAAGTAATAATAGAGTTACTAAAAGATTATCAATAACCTAAACAATACTAGAAGCTTATAAAAGCATTATATAGCCTACGAAAGTCCCTATATCTATAGTAAAGAGAAACTACAAAAATATTAATAAAGCTAGGATTTTAGGTAATATAAGAAGATCTCTATCTATTTATAAGTAATAGAATTATTATCTTCTTTTATATTAATAATATTATTATTATTAACTACCCTTCCTAAGCCGAATAGGTATAAGAGCTTAGATAATAATTTATAAATAAATAGGAGTTAAGAGATATTAGTAAGGCTACTTGGTTCCTTAGGATTTAAATTACCTAAGATTATAACTATAAGGCTCTCTAACTCTATTAAGACTTATATATCTCTTTAATAGTTAGCCGATACTATTTTACCTATCTTCAACAAACAGTAATACTATTACTAAATATATCCTTTTAGGAGTTTAACGGTAAAGTAACATCTAAATAGATCTATAAATATTAGTAAAAGGTTAGATTAACTCTATATACTACTATAATAATATAACTAGATATTACTAAATATATTACTATCCTCGTATAGTTCCTAAAGAATCTAGGACCTAAGTATTTAAATACAATTAATAAAGTAATTACTTATCTTTACTATATATAATTATATATAATCACCTACTATCCCTAACAATCTAATAAAATCGAAGCTGTTTCCTTCTTTATTAATACCTCCTTTACTAATAATCTAGACTAGAAGAGCTTAGAAGGATATATATATATAATTTTCAGAGGACCAGTTAAATAGAGAGCTAGAAAGTAATATATAATCATAACTAGTATAACCGAAGTTGAACTCCTTACTATCTTTGAGGATATAAAGATAATATAGATATAGAAACATCTCTTTATAGCTATCAAATTTAATCCTAATCACCTACTATCGATTAAATACAATAATCAACAGACAGTTAGATTACTCACGAAAAAGTAGTCTTAGCTATATATAAAGTTACAGCATATAGATATTCATCACTATTAGCTTTACTAGGAAGTACAGGTAGAAAATATTATTGTTCAATAGATAGGAATAAATAAGATGATCACAGACAGTCTCACTAAGCTCCTACTACATTAGAAATACACCGATTTCGTCCATCAGCTTAGAATTAAGGATATTAAGGACCTACTAGATTAATTAGTCCAACCTAAATAGAAGCGAACAGAGAATACTATATACACTAGAGAGGTATATCGAACTCCGCAGGAGAAGATTACTACCTTTCCTATTACAGATTGATAATTTAGCGCAGGCTTAGATCCTATATTACTATTTTTATATATAAAGCGTACGTAAGCATACGTATAGGCTATACAACTAGCCTATATAAATCAGGCAAGATCGCTCAACTTAATCGAGCACCTAGATAGAACAACCCTCTCTGAATAGTATCCAGTTGTACTAGTTCATACGCGTTCGCCCCTATCCGACAAATCTATCTCGAACCCTTTTTCGAAACATACTATACCTATTGCGGTTACTCTGCTCCTGACCCCGTGTCTTGGCGGTATCTCAATACAAGCGTAAAAAAAGCCCTGGAACTAGATTCTGTATGGAGCTTGTATGGCTTTAGCAGATTCTAGAATGATGATCTTGCAAACAACGCAAACAAAGGAAACCCGCCTGAGACCAAGGAGTCCGCACCTGTCCACGAGTTGGACGAAATAGGTCGTATCGCTACAAAACTGTAATAGTGAGGTATGTTCTTCACTTCATGTTCCACATTAGATAAGCGATTTGCATTTGAGGCGGGGACCCAAGAGGATTGTGATGACGTAGAAGTTGAATCTGCTTGGGTACCTTCATGATATGAACACAACTGCACATCTAGCTGATCGACCTTGTCCTGCCGCCACCGGATTGTTTGCGTCGAGCCCGGCTCAGCTCTATGGTAAGGGCTTTATGGGAGGCGCTAGGCTTTGCTCCCTCTTCGAGGGCTCTTTCCAGCGGACGTAGATGATAACGGCAAGCTTCACGCGACCTTGGCATATGACGGCCAGAAAAATCAAAGACCATTCCAGCCAAAACATCCAAAGAGGCCCCTTTTGAGAACAGCCAGCGAAACCTTTCAAAGTCGCCTCCCTCATATGCCTCACAACAAAGCCTATTGATACCGCCTTGAGCCTCTCGGAGAAGCACCTCGGTCGATTAACCAACTTAAACACGCTTTGTAATCATGTGAACGAGCTGCTTGCTCAACCATGTCCCCGCAAGGGATATGCTGCAAAGATGCTCCGCCTTGTATGAGAACATCCAGTTCTGGACTTATACTTCTCCTACGATAGGCAAACGATAAGATGTGACCTTGTGAAATATGATGGCAGTTTTCTTGTCGACAATTTTCGTAAGATTTAGGTAGATCACCACTCTTAGAGTGGATATACAGCGCTGCATTATCTGGTTCGTAATATGGATCAAAAAGATGCATTGCACCTTTTGATCAACCGCGGAGCAGACGCCAATGCCGTCAATCATAAAAGAAACACACCTCTTCACATAGTTGCGACGAGGGGCTCTTTACTCCGACAGATGGATGAAATGCGCAGATATCCTCTTCTAGGGCAGACTAAAGACTATCTGGAAGGAGTTCGAAAAGATCGGATTCAAGTCTTAGTGGAGGCTGGAGGCTTGATGGATCAGCCAAATTCCGCGGGTAAAACGGCATCCCAGCTGCTTGATGAGCGGGCGAAGAGATGAAAGTGAAAAAAGCAGACTATAGCAACTGGCAAGGCCATTTAATACAGCGAGTTTGGAGTACTCAAATTATGAAAAGAGTTGACAGCTGAATATTTCGTTTCACAAATTGTTTCATCGAAATTGAGACGCCATAGATACGGATGACGTCATTGCACCAAGTGCGCAAATGGGACGAACAAGATAAAAACATTACAAGTGTGGTGTATCGATCGCTATGAAGCTGCCTAGGTAGATCAGTTCCCGAATTCTCGTGGCATTATTCGAAATAATTCAGACTGTATAGATGAAATCAGGATCGCATATCGACTGTGCAGGTCATGCCAAGTTTAGCAATTATGGCGGGACGACGTCAACAAGCAAGACTCGCGCCGGGACACCTCATCGCACTTCCCAATCACCACTAACTCGAATCCAAACACCTTCTTTTAACAGGACGCTGCGCATCTTGACTGGGACAGCCAGTCGCGTTAAACTTAAACAGACGCGACAATGGCCAATCAGGTTGGAAAATCCAAGTACCGCCTCAAAGTCACAGCGGGCCCGGACTACGACCCCTCAACGCACAAACCAGTCGAAGTGAACGGCAAGACTCTCAAGTTCGAAAGTCCCCGCGCTCAAGCTGAGCTCAACGTCCGAATCCAGGACTACGGCAGTAACTACAATCCTCAACATATCACTCGTGACAGAATACTAACGAATATCCCCAGGATACCCGGACTCATCGCCATTCACAAGTCCATACTTCAGACATCCACTACCTGAAACAGACCAATACTCCATCTCATCATCCATTGTATTTAAAGAGGATATCAACGGCAATGACGTCGTTTTCGGCAACGACTTCGACTACCCGATCCGCGACATATTGCCATGGGGATTCATGCGGCGCTCAAAACCGTAAAATGGACCATTGACCCCTGCATCGAAGGCGAAGGCGATGGCTACGCCGTCAAGCCGTACCTTTACAGTCCCGCTTTAGCAACTTGGAACCAGTTTCGCGTCGGTGGCAAGGAGCCCGAATCTTTCCCCACGATGAGCGATGAGCTCATTATCGAGGAAGGCGCTGAGAGTGTGGAGAGCTCGACGAAAAACAAAAGAAAACAGTCCCCCTGTTCCCCCGCTGTCTTGGGTAATCTCACCATTTGAGACATATTCAAGCTTCTATCTAGACTTTGGAATTGTCGAATTTATGCATAGGTATTGCGCGGATCGATGCTTAACAATAAACTTACGACTTCAGTGGCTCTACGTGCCCCTGATGGTCCGGAAATGTTTCCAGTTGTTCTCACTATCTTCCGCTCTTGCCAGGTCGCGCTGTTCTTGCTTGGTATCACGGTTCAAATCAATATGTGTGATTCTCTTACAGAAAATCATCCCATCTGGTGCAGTGCGGCTTTGTTCGTTTTCAGCCTCATTTGACAGCAGTCCAACGAATGACTGTAGCCTAGCTACCAACTGAAAAGAAGACCTAGTTACCTATACCTGCGAGGACTTGCGCTTTGGGTTTTTCGATTTCTAAACATGAACACAGCGTTCCGTGGGATGACAGACGGGCGAACACGAAGGCTTGGGTATGGGGGAAAGATGGGGAGAGGAGAGCGAGCTCAGGAGGGAGAAGGCGGAAGGTGTGTGAGCGATGCTTCCAGGTTCCAAAACCTGTCGCAATGGTTGGAGAAGACCAAATGTTACCCAAAGAAATCAAATTGAAAATCAAAGTTTGCTTTGAAATAAGCATGAGTGATTCGGTGATGCACAGTACCAATGATAAGGTAGATGTCGTCTGCGAATCGATAATCATCCGTGGAACAGGTGGCCATTTCAAGTATACCCAGGTCTTTATACAGCGCTGACGCTGAGCCACCTCCGGCCTTGGATCCCTAAAGCCACATTGATCATTTCATCCATGAATGATAATTCTGTAAACGTCGAGCAATTTGGGTTCGAGAATCGGTCCACGGGCGGGTCCACCCGTACCCATGGGTGGGGGCACTTGAGGCTTGGACGGCAGGTTCGGCTCTAGACTCCGCCTATTTGGCATTTCTATCTCCATGGTCAAAATTCACGTCGCTTTATCTAGCCCGTTCTATAAAAGAGCTTATCTATAATTCGGATATATCTGTTGGGAGAACGCCAAGCTCTTGGCATTACGATCTGCGGCATTTAAAAGAGGTTCAGTCGGATAGAGTACGTTTGCAGCGGAAGGGAGTTCCAGAACATGGTCTATCCCTCACAGGTGACTGATTTTGGAATGAAGAATAATAATTAGATCACTTGATACTCAAAGTTAAGCAATTCAGGCAATGGAAGCCGACATACATTCGCATTTTGGAAAGTTTTCGGGGAAACCAAAGGATTCGGGTGCTGATCATGACGACACGAACAGATACCTGATATTTACTGGCTTGATTACAATGTACTACGAATTGCTTTTATAGAAGCAGGGTTTATGTCTGTCAAAATGAAAATTGTTAGGAAGTAAACCGTGGACAATGCGAAGGTTCCTACCCATCCACTTTTATCAAATGCTCAAAGCACCGAAACAAGTCACCAGAATGGCTCCAGTTTGTTGCATTGTACCAGAACATGTTCTGCAAAATATTCTCGACGTAGGAGAGGCACAACAACATGTTCTGGATGCATGCCGGTCTACTATTGACCAAACAAAAGAATTGCACAATACCCGTATTGAACATAAGCAGAGTCTCCTAGCGGAACAGGAGCGCCCAGCCTTTGAAGGTATAATTCCATCTTACATCTTTGAAACCATTGCCCGTGGGGCCTCAAAAGAAGAGCAACGTAATTGATCCCTCCATACGCTGGAGCACGATACTAATCAGCATGCAGTCACAGGAGCGTTGCGACACTTGAACCGCACTGTTTATGATGCGCAGCATACCAACAGGCGAGATCCACCACGCAGCAAAATCATGATTAAAGAAGGGGGCGCTCTTATTTCCAAGGAGCAAGACCCAAGTTTCGATGCCAATGAATGCTACATTGGGTTTCAAAAAACCTACGACTTTTACTTTAATTTCTTTAACCGGGACTCAATCGACGGTCGGGGTGTCAGTCTTGCCGGCTTTGTGCACTATAGTAAAGGGTACCAAAATGCATTTTGGGACGGTAAACAAATGATTTTCGGCGACGGGGACGGGGTTCTCTTCAACGGCTTTACCGATGAGCTAGACGTCATCGGCCATGAGCTCACCCATGGAGTTGTTGAGTATACGAGCCCGCTGGATTACTCATTCCAGAGTGGTGCGCTAAATGAATCGCTTGCAGATGTCTTCGGGATAATGATCAAGCAATGGGGAAACGACCCAGCCAACCCACAGACTGCAGAGCAATCAGATTGGCTCATTGGAGAGGGTATCTGGGCGAAAGGTGTCAATGGCAGAGCATTACGTGATATGAAAGCACCGGGAACAGCTTACAACGATAGAAGAATTGGGTCAGACCGCCAACCGGGTCACTGGAAGAACTTCCAGAAACTTCCGCTCTCGGAAGACCAGGGCGGGGTTCATATCAACTCCGGCATCCCTAATCATGCGTTCTACTTGGCTTCTACACTGATTGGGGGTTACTCTTGGCAAACTGCTGGGCCGATTTGGTACAAGGCTTTAACTTGTGGCAAGCTTAGACAGAATGCTTCGTTTAAGGATTTTGCTGACCTTACTATTCTGAATGCTGGTGACCACGAGGATAGTATCAAAGAGGCTTGGAAGCAGGTTGGATATCCATTCGACGAGGGCAGAGATGAACTGTGAACAACGACTTTGAATTTTTATTATCTGTTTTACCTCTTGTCTAATTATTCGAATGTGGATCTTGTAATTCCAAGGTTTAGTTCCAAGATTGATACTAATAAAAGTTGACTTTACAATAACCTCGATATGTATTATTCAAAAGTCTGTTGTGTCTCCTACCTTTTGTGATAAGGTGCCTACAATCCACTAGAATAGAGAAAGATGCGAAGAACAATGAATAACAACATTAAGGAAAAGGGAAGAAGAGAGAGAGCTATACTACAAACATATAGGCGGGTGCCTACTCTCCCGACCAATCAGGTGATTGGTCTGTATCTGAGAGTGGGTCAAACCATACAACATAGTCAAACAGTATAAATATACCCGTCCCGAGTCTCCTCCATGTAGTTATACTACACCTTTATCCAATGAGTTCAAATTACAGGTAAGGATTAGATGGAGCTAAAATCTGGAAACAAGTGCGAAGTTGGTTTGACCACGGGCTCGGGGGATTTTATCGTGAGTTTGTTTATTCCATGGCTCCAAAACGCCTTTCGTGACTCAACTAAAAAGTTAGTATCCCTTGTTAGTAGAGCATTTTGACGGATTAAGTGAATGACTCACATGAGTGCACTAAGGATAATGTGGATTACCCCCTAGCCGCTAACCCCCAAACACCATAGTTAAGAAATATAATTATCTCAACAACAACACCTTTATTCGATTTTAATTTGGCATACCGGTCATGCTCAAGTGACACAATAAAAAGAACTCTGTGGTGATTCAAGCTATTATTTGTATAGAATATTAAGAATTACCGAGTATTTTTGACCAACATATGATAAAGATATATTTGGCAGTAAAATTGAAATTAAGAATATCTAAGCATACAACCTTGGAAGGAATATTTTAAATAATACTATCTTATCCAAAATTGTTTTACAAAGTAAGTGTTGTTGAGATATTGAGCTGTAATTTATTGCCTTAACCATGGTGTTTGGGGGACGGCAGGTAGGGGGTAATCCACGTTAAATGGCATACTCATCAAGAACAAGAAACGGTAGGATCGATATTACGAACATGTTTAGAGAGTAAAGCAACGAACCTTTGAACACTTGATGTGTAGCAACTTGCAATCGCAATATATGGCGAGCTTTTAAAGTATATCATGTACCTCGACTCCCACCCAAAAACCCCATTTCCTCATCCATTTGAGGCCCTTTACCATTCGTCTTGTAGGTGGCTGGTCCTTGACCTTGACCATCTTCCGCATCCGTCGCGTTGGTATTGACTGGAGGCTTGATCCCAGAGGCAAACGTATCCGGCTGGTTGCCCTCAATCAGTTGCTCGGCAGAAGCATATCTCTGAAAAGACTCTTCTAGTAGAGGACCGATTCCGTTCTCGGGGACGCGGCTTTTATCATATTTCAACAGAAGTGAGGTATCTTGGATGTAGTCCAGAACTTTGGAAATTTCAATCATGCTTCCCCTAAGACGCTGTGGTAGTCCTCTCCCCTTAAGAAGGGCCAAAAGTCCAGCGCACGATGTATTGATAGCACCAAGGACTGTTATTGCCACCATGTGGTCGGCAGCTGACGGCCCCAGTGCTGTAATGACTGCACCAATGATCACTTGCACCATTGTGAGGAAATTGAAAACAAAGGAGCTAATTCCATATTGCAGTTTCAGATGCTTTCTTTTCTGGATTAGCTTTCTTCGTAAATTGGAAGTCGCGGCCATGTATTCTTGGTACACATGGTGCTCTTCCTGGGAGGTCTGCGATGAAGGCTGGTCAGGCTCAGACATGGTACCTGTCAGGGGTCGGGTTTTGGTCTTGAGAACAAGAGGCCTTAGGAGTGATTTATAGGTATCTGCGCTAGTCTTTTCCGTCTATCGTTTTCAAGGCCCTTCTCCTCGATGGCATTGGAAATATCTGGTAAGGTTCGGTCCATACCTTGGGACACCTTGAAATGGAACCGCTCTAAACGATCTTGTTGTTCTAGACTTGCCCAAACTATCTAGGCAATTAAGGTTACATTATAGGACTCTGTGGGTAGAGCTTGAAGTCGTACGTATTGCCTGAATAGCGGAGCTGGTGAATAAGCCGTTTCTAAACTGTTAATTTATATATTCTTCTCATTACAAAAGGTTGCAGTCACTGTGTCGCTTTTCCCAGTAAGATCTTTTGTCTTGGTCCGTGGAACTACCAGTGAGGAGAAAAATCCATATGAAAGTTTCCGCGCGACCAACACTTCGGTTAGACCTCGAATCGATACTGTTTGGAATTATTTTTGCACTTGCTTACAGGGCAGTAAATCATTTAGTCAATTTTCACTATCGAACCTAAAACAAAGAAGGCAAACACGAAAAGATTTCAATACACTGCAAAATCAAATTGGAACCCGTTTGATATTCCTCTCGCATACTTGTCTCCACAAACTTCGAAATTACGGGCTGTGAATTGTTACTTGTCCGAATAGAAGGAAATAAATTTGAAAAGGCACTCACCGATACTGTAGATTGCCCCCGGAGTTATAGATATGCTCGGCCAGATTCACATCTCTCGCAGCATAATCATTCCCAAAGTCTCCACGAAGCTGGGCGCGTAAAACAGGCACATTCTGCTGGCCCTCAATACCGAAATGCACATCTAATGCTTTCTCGGTAAAATCATGCCCACCCCATTTGAAAAAGCCCTGGTGTTGTGTTAGTATTAGATATTATATGTGGGCCCATACAAAACACCTACATGTTCGTCTCCCAGGACATCATCCAGGCGTATTTCGCTTCTTCTGTAGGCCCATGGGTCCTGATTGAATCTGCATTCGCCATATAGGTATGTGTCCGGACCATCAGAGCGGATGCTAAGATTCTGTGTTCCGTTCATGTTGAAGGGTTCGTCAGTTGAATTGGGCTATAGTAGTAAAAGTTGAAAGGTCCAAGTATTGGATTATCGTAAGTTGGAATAAAATATTTAATGGCCTTCTTCGATAAATCTACCTGCATTTTATACACTAATTAATGACAGAGTTCCAATTTCCCTTTCTAATCATTACCAGTAGTGATTCAACACTCAACCTTAATTTTGCACAATGGAAAGCTTTTGACTGTTCTTACACTTCCATATGTACAAGTTGAGATAATAATAAGGGCTAGCTCGTACATTACATTTGAGCCGGTCTAGCCGTGTCCGAATTCAGGAGTCGATAGTCTAGAACTTCTCCGGACCGCTCAAGTAGTATGCTACCGGATATATGCCACAAATCACCCATTCAAATTTTTTAATGTCCCAACCTAAATCATGGTGTGACACTACAAACAAATAAATCTAGACATGTATTTGCCACTTTCAATTTACGTGATAGCGTTCCCGAGTCTCGGCCAGCCCCGAACCATACATTCCTCTTTAAGGTGAACCACTCATGAAGTCACGGGTCAGCAGACCTATATGGCGTATGGTGTTATCCGTTTGCATCAGGATCTAAAAGTTCTTGGCAATTTCTTCTTCTCCACGGCTCTAATCAAGGATTCCAAGAAATTGCGACTGGCTCAAAGGGCCGTTGACTGAGTTCTTATGTCTTGATGATGCGCGAGTGGCTTGCCTGCTTTGTTTTGGTCCGTGCTGATGTCATGATGTCCGGGAACCCGGAAACGCGGCTCGTATAGGTTGTCTCAGCCGTAGTTTTGGCCAGTAGTTGCGGGGTGAATGGGGCTCGCTTACTGAATTCTTTATATATCTTAGATTATATACAAGTAGAGTGATCCATTTTCTGACTGTAACTTAGAGCCTTGTCACGGCCTATCGTGGCCATTTGCCGCTCCTATTGTTAGGCTGCCCTTATGGCGCGGCTATAGTGGAATTGCGGATGAGACGAATACCGAGTATCCGATTTTGGGGACCCCGCATTCCATGCCAATCAGTGGCTAAAAGGTCAAATACTTTAAATTGCGATTTCTCGCAATAATCGAATCCTTTCAGCTCTGGAGTGTCTCACCATGATTTGAGCTTCGCTTGCGTGCTCCCTAGCCCTATGGACAACTTAGCTCCAAAGGTTGCCCAGTCCGAAGCAGAAGCGATGCTAAGCCTTCCTCCTTAGCCTTGTTAATTTCCGAGTATGCGTCGCAATCTCGTAACGTGGATCACTAGCTCACGTATTTTCGCAGTTGATGGGGTTGGTGTAGCCTATTATTAGCTTGAGACGGTGAAGATAAATCAAAACAAGCTCACCCAGTCGAATATGATTCGCCCTCGCAGTTTCTTCCTATATAGTACATGATCGGCGCAGTCACTACCCAATTATGTGCCCCCGTGGGTACAGATTCATCTCAAATTGACCCACTTCGACAAGGCTGGGGTACGCTAAATTATCAGTTCCTGGCCCCCGAATTGAGTTCAGCATTGGGGACCAACAAGTACGAAAAGGTGGACCGTAACTAGACGTCTTGTATAAAGGAGATGTGGTCCCGACGGTTTTTCTCACCCTAATTTGAATATCTCCTTCATCTTTCTTAGCTATATACATAACCATGAAGCTGCTTTTATCAGCTATTTTGCCGGTCCTGGCCGCAGCAGCCACGTCAAAGCCGACCGTAACGATCGATGCCGGGACCCTTACAGGTGGAAGGTGTGACGATACAAGTGCAGTCTATTATAAGTCAATTCCTTACGCTGAGCCTCCCGTCGGAGAGCTCCGTTTCGAGTCTCCGGTCGCCAAGAAGCAATTTTCGGGGGGAAAGCTTGATGCAACATCCGTAGCACCTGCTTGTGTTCAATGGACAAGCACATTTAACGAAACTGAAGCTGAGTCCGAAGATTGGTGCGCTTTGAATCTAGTCCCATTCTTTGGTTTGTTGCCAGTGATTTTGCTAACTTTAATCTGGATTAGCCTCTTCCTAGATGTCTGGACTCCATCCGATGCCACCAAAGACTCAAAGCTCCCCGTCAGAGTCTGGATCTACGGAGGGTCGAACTTAAATGGCGGAATTTCCAACACTTTATACGATGGCTGCAAGTCTGCGGATCAAGACGCAGTTCTCATTTCAATCAACTACAGACTTGGACCCCTTGGGTTCATGGCACTTGAAAATGCCGGAATTTCTGGAAACCAGGGTATCCAAGATCTGCTTCTTGGGCTGGAGTGGATACAGGATAACATTGTTCAATTTGGCGGCGACCCGGTACTTAAGCCTCATGAGTTTCCGATGGCGAAGAGTGTGCAGCTGACCATGATTTCTCAAATAGAATAAGGTGAACCTGTTCGGACAGTCGGCCGGTGCCCAGGACGCTTTCATCATTGCATCTTTGCCGAAAGCTCCTCAACTCATCAACAGTTTCATCTCTGAATCTGGCGGTGGCAAGAACCTTCAAACTAATGCTACTTTGCAATCTGCTAGTGCGAATTACGCTAGTATCCTTGGATGTGCCTCCAGCGACGTGAGACCAAGCCATAACTTTCACTTGCTTTTGAAAAAGTCTAATCTCTACATAGAAATCTTGCCTTCAATCGAAGTCTTCAAGCGAGCTTCTCAAGGCCTACACAAAGGATACCAACTCTGGCTATATCAGCTACGGCATTGGAATAGATGGTGCCATTGGTGTCACTAGTGCCAATACTCATGCCTTCTCTCCTTACCTCGATGGCAAGGTCATTTCCCAAGAACCTCTCAGTCGTGGTTCGCGAGTTCCAGCGATCTTTGGATTTAGTATGTCACTTGCCTCTCTATCGATGTTTCGTTGTACAAGCTAACCGATGAAACCCATTATTAGACCTAGATGAAGGCGTCATTTACGCCGGCTCAACGTGCGAGACGAACGAAACAGCTTGTACTGAGGCTGGATATGGGGATTTCCTTAAGGCAAACTACGGTCCTATGGCTTCAACAGTGGAGAAGTACTACTCTCTGTCAAATTTCGCGTCTCTGGGCGAGTTGGCTGTTGTTGGCGCTATTTCCAAAGTCATCACCGATTCTGATTACATGTGCCCTGGATGGCGTGGCGCGGTTGCGACTGCACGCAACAACGTTCCAACATGGGCTTACGAATTCACTCACAACACCACCTGCGCTTGGATGGAATCCATTGCACAGGCTGAGGTCTCTGAGCTGGGTGCTACCCACACTGCGGAAATTTCTTACGTCTTCGGTAACATGGCTTTTGACTTTCCGGGCAGAAACTCTTGCAACTCTACCGCTGCAGAGTATCATCTCAGCAATCAGATGGTGAGTTTGTGGACTGCAATGGCAGACAATGCCGCCCCTTCCACTGATTCCATTCAATGGCCCCGATTCCAACCTTCCAGGAACGGCACTTCCCCTGGCTTGTTCTTTACCAACTCAACCGTCCCTGGAACGATCGATTTCAGCGCTTGTCAGCTCTGGGATAAGGTGAATGCCGTGATTTCAGCGACGACCAACTCTACTTCGCCGGCAAGTGCATCTGGCTCTGCAAAGGCCTCTAGCACTGCGAAGACCACCTCGTCTCCAACCCCTCATGTCAGCGGTGCTGGAACCATTCTGCCCGGAGGACTTCTGGCTCTGGCCGTTATGTTGCTTCATATGACTGTATTTTTATAAAAATGTATCTAGTATTGCGTGTCTAATATAGAACTAGTCTAATCAAATCTAACGTATCATCATGCCAGTTGACTGAATGATTAAGTTAAAATACCCGGCTAGAAGTTATTCTGATCTACAGCCATATCCTAGTTAGTTAGCTAACTAGTTAACTATTATATTAGCCTCCCTCCATTGTCATATCAACCTACACCTTACATCCACCTTCCACATCCACCTTCCACATCCTCCATCACCAATCGACCATTTAGACCGTTTCCAATATTTGAACCATTTCTAATTCGGTTCTTGGCATCCGTTTCTTGTGGCTCAGGAGGGGGGGGGGGAACGAATCCCCGATTCTGCCTGGGGGCCATTTCCCCCAGGCCAGTAAGGGTAACTAAGTATCCCTCGACTCAAACCCTGGATTTTTGATCGTCTCAGCTCACCCAACCAGAATAAAGCCATGCCTCATCCATATGGAGATGAGTAAAGCACCGTCATCTAAGCCACCCCATTCTGGCCCAACGCTTTACAAGGCAGATGCCAAGATGCCAGTTTGTTTTCTATGCGACGCTGTTAAGAGCAGCAAAATGCATTCAACATCTTTCATCACCACAAAATGGTGCAACTACATCGAACCTTACGACAAACCCGGGTTCTTACTTGGAAAAACCTCCTCGTCTTCTACAAATCGCCCATTGCCTCTTTGATCAAGGCACTTCTCGTCCCGATCGCCATAAAGATTGTCTTTTTTTTCCTCAAGGAGATCAAGCTTGAAAATTAGGGCTCCAACGGCATCTCTCACACTGGCAGAATAGTCGTGGATCTGCCCTGCGCCGTTTCCAGGAGTTCATTTCAACGGATAGTCGTTGCCACGAATGGGATTCAGAATATCCAACTGAACAAGACCATTGCCGCAGTCTTTCAGGACGAAGGAATGCAATCGTTCGATCTACAGTTTGTGGATAGTCCTGATTCGCTATTCGATTACTGTAAACAGTCCGTTCACGGCACCAGTGACTGTTTTGCTGCTGTAGTTTTCACGGTTTCCAGCAGCACTTATGTAAGCTATGTTCTGGGTATCGATGAGGATTTTCTTGAGAACACCCTATAAAGCTATACGCTCGGCTAATCCGTTCTCTCTCAGCGCCTTCTGCCGCTTAAATGAGCCCTAGATTCCCACATCGGTGGATTTGAAGCTAGCGAACGACCGACCGAGAAGATGTGGACTGGATATTTGATCAAAGACGGGTCTACCTACTTGGATAGTATGCCGCATTTAATCTTCTGGCTCTCTATTGTCGGATATTTCGCTGCGCCGTTATTCGTGTTTATATTTCTAGTGTACATTTATCATATCAGCAGTACTGTGGCCGGCGAACGACACAATGTTGTCGTAGATCTTCTCATCGCCCAAAGAGTTACGACTGTACCCCGCATGTTTTCGAATTTTCTCTCATTCTCCATCCTCTATATTCATGGGACGATCATCTGCTCTATTCTTCTGGGCGAAATTCTCTTTATGCGTACCTCTACCGGCCTGGTCTTCATTCTTATGCTTCTCGCCAGTCTCGCTCTTATCATCTGCGCCCACTTTATCCGGTCTTTCTTCTCCAGATAATCTGTCGCTGGCATGTAGACCTGCAAGCGCGCGAGGAAGATTTGGCTGTACTACGATCGCACGGAATCATTCACGGTGATAGCGGAGGCGCAAGATGTTGCGGGATAACGTAGGCCACCATTTGGTAATCGTGAACTTGGAGGACGTGAAATCCCCAAACGGCCTCGTGCTCTTGAACCAGCCTTAAGCAACACACGTCATGTCTGTCGCGTCTTCAAAGATAAATGCAGGCAACCCCTATTTAGCTCGACTGCTGTCTGCACATGATACCCTAAGTCCCTAGAGTCGATTCATATGGGAGAGAAAAGAAAGTCCAGGTCCGATTTCAGGGAGAGTGTTAGGTGTTTTGATGTATTTCAATCTTACTTCCTTTCTATGATGATTATAGTCAATATCTAGATAATGATACGGTTAAGGGATTGTCTGTATTTTAGGTAGGGGTGATATAGTATAGCTATATAGAGAAGGTTCGGGGGCGGGTATATTTGTATATTTGGATGCTTGCATGGTTTGACCCACTCTTGGATATAGACTAATTAGGTGGTTAGTCTGAAGTGTGGATATCTGTCTATATATACATAGTAGAGCTTCCCTTTCTCTTTCCCCTTCTTTAACGTTGTTATTTGTTGTTTTTCGTACCCTTTCTCGATCCTGGTAGAAACGTAGGCATACTATCACAGAGTCCTCACCATTAGGTTTATAGGATTTCAATATTCCAAGCCTAGCTGTTGCTAATCTGGACTTTTAGGCTTTGCCTATGCAACTTCCTCTCCGCTTTAGATATCACAATCGTAAGCACTTCCCTCACGGCAGTTTCCAATGATCTACAAGCTTTCGACAAAAGTAGTTGGATTTTTTCTAGCTATTTAACAACTTATTTTAGTAAGTACCCAATGGCTAAGGCGTTTCACTTTAACACCCCTTCCTTCGCTCCTCTTTAATTTGCCCCACACGATTTGGCGCTACAATAGGAATGCGTTCAATCAGTACAAACAGGAAGATTAATTAAAGATTCTCTTCTCACGCTTCAATAGACTTTCTCGTAGTATGGGTTAATGTGAGCGACCTGGTCAGTCGCAAATTGGTACTTGTCAGCGCCGTAATACTATTTCTTGCTTTTTCGGCAGGATGTGGAGGAGCACAAACTACAATTCAAATGTAAGCAGGCCCTTAATCTCACTGAAATAGAGAGGCAAACATTTCAGGAAGGGGAAAGATCTGAATTGTTAAGCTCTTTGCTCAGTATTATTTGTTATGCCTTAAGGGCATTGGAGGCGCTGACATTTTTAGCATGATTCCCATCATTGTTGGGGAGATGGTTGAAATGAAAAAGTACGGTGCCTACAATGCGATTGTTGCACTAGCCATAGCGTTCAGCTTCCTTCTAGGTCCGATCCTTGGTGGTGCTATCTTAGATGGTATAACTTAGTGTTGGATCTTTTGGATGAACCTCCCTGTCGGTGTGATCGGATTGGTTCTCATCATTACTGCTATGCCGGCGGAATTTCCTCATTGTTCTGCAATAACGGAACCTTTAAATCCCTTTAGTATCTTCAAACGTAACATACCTCTTTGTGGAAGAATTGACTATCCGGGGTTTTTCCTATTGCTCGCCACAACGGTTCTGCTGATTGCTGCCATCGAGGAGGCCGCTATCGTATTTTCCTGGACCTCTGGTCTCGTCATTGCTTTTTTGGTCGTCGCGGGTGTTCTTTTCCTGGCATTTGCTGTATGGGAGTGGAATATTGATGGCAAATGTTCCGAGACAGAGTCGGTATTCCCTTGACCCTTTTTGAAGAATCGGGTGCTGACGGACATGTATTGTAAGTTTGACTAGTGTCCTTATCCTGGGTCATTTACTAATCCGCACGTTCTACTTCTAGGACTGCTATGCTCTCTGAGGTTCCGCTCGTGACTCTCGTTCTTGAGCTGCTTCCCCGTTTTGAGAGCATCAATGAGCGCTCTAGTCTCAACACAGGCATTGACGTCTTGCCTTTTACAGTACCCCTTGCGTTGGGATCTGCCGTGGTCGGTGCGTTAACGGTGGGAGGACGAGTGGCACCCTAAAACAAGCAGTCATCACGTTTGGCGCGATAGTTCAGATTCTTGGCATGCTTCTGCTATACTCTGTCCCTGTTAGCACCGATTTTCCAGTGTGTATCTATGGATACCAAATTTTGGTGGGCTTTGGATCTGGCTTGAATCTCACAGCGTTTTAAATATTCTTCCGTGGGTGGTCCAACAGCGCGACCTTGGTATGTACATTTTGTCCCGGTCAACATATTCCATATATTTTAACAATAATAGCTACATCTTGCGGCGGAATTGGCCAAATGCGTACTTTAGGGGGCGCAATAGGGATCTCAATTGCGAAAAATCTATTCAACAATACAGTGAAGGAACAAATTGCAACCAACTTATCCCCTGAAGTGATCTCTCGTATCCTCAAAGAAATATAAGTCGTGCGCAGTCTATCAAAAGATGACCAGGCGATTGTGCTTGTGGGAGTGGCCAATGCGACGTTTGGTAGAGGCCTCTCACTGGCAAAATAGTTACCTATTGGAATCTAGGTATGATGCAGAGAAATCTTAAGATATTTATATAAGAGTAGTCAACAAAGCAATATTTCCTTCTATTGAAGCAAAGAAATTCCAGATCAATTGATCAAAATTTGAATATCGATGACAGTCTAGACTTTTGCAAGCTATCAAGTGAAATTCATATGCGCTCTCGCGTCAAATTGGGGAGCGGGCAAGAGTAATGGAGTTTAGAAGAAAAGGACGTAGCTCCTTCCACACCGTCATCTAGATCCTGGATTTGATTCAGGGCCACTTGACTGAGTTGGCACCATGGCAAGAAGCCGCCAAGTCATAGCAATAGACTTAGATTGAGGCTGCGTATGCTGTGTTTGCCTTACTTGCCGATTCTGACAAAGTGAGCGCCTGGTAGGAGGGTAAAGAAGCGTGTTCAGCACTCGAATTGGGCGATACTTTGCATCAATCAAACTGGTTTCCCCAAGTTGTGGCTCTCCATCTGGCACTTGTTCGGAGCTCGCTGGTGGCTGCACTGAGGTCTGCCAATTTAAATATCTCCGAATTTCAAGTAATTTCTGATTCCACTGCGACAACTCTGTCGGCGTAACGAAGAGATCGTAGCGCACATTACTGAGGAATTCGACTTCCATGGTGTTGAATTCTATGACTGGAACGCCCGAAACCTCAGCCGACGTATGGTTGGTGAAGGTATTATCTTGGAGAACTAAGAATCAATGTGAGCATCTGTAACAAAGGAGCAAGCTACCGAGTCATATCTTGGTTACATTTAGTAGCCAAGATCAAGCCGATTGGAGTCATTCTAAATCCACTACCTATACCCTTACCCACGGGGGTGTGGTAATTGGGGTTGGTTTCAGTAACTTAGAGTGTTGTATGGTGAACCTTATCTTTGGGGTGGGGTTCAATTCAGTACGGTTCGGGACCTCAGGTCACAGACTTCTTGTGTGTAGAATTGTTTTACTTTTTGGTCAGCTTTAAGCGGGAATATACTCTTGTGATTCCCATTCAATGAAGGCTCGTCAGACATTTCCAAAGGGTGGTAATTGGGGATGAAAATTCGATGTTGACTTATGGTGGGTGCGGATGGTCCGACCGTGGTAGGACTCGGGCTGTAGCTATCCATACAGCAAAATCTCCGCAGTTATACTTAAACAAACCCCAGCTTATCGCCAGCAACCAAGGTTAACTAGATAGTTAGTCAGTCTTGTTTTCGTAAGGATTATGTATTCACAATAGGTTTGCGCCGTATGTTCCAAGGTTCTGAGCACTGAGCTTAGTCCCACCAATAGTATCCAGTTCATGGAAGTGCCTCAGATATATATTTCTACCGATGTGTATTCCAGTCATGGAGCGCAGTTGCTGTTTACATAGGACATTGGTTGGAGCCAAGAACCATATCATCTAGGCACATGTTTAAAGCCGGACCCACAAAGTGAAGGTCATAAGCTTACTTGATCCTCATGGCATTGTCCTAGTGCAGCCATAATTCGCATACTAGCTCAAGGCACATTTTTAGCAATTCATTTTTTTTGAAAGACGGCTTGCTGCGATACATATGGGTCGTCCCATTTCCAGTGGGCATCTGTGAATTGAGTCAGCGACTGAAGAAATAGTATAAAGGCCTGCTAACAGAGTATTTACCACTACTATGATATTTCCGTTCATCCTTAGCTCCAGCATCTCCAATTGGGACTTTTTGCGGTTCCATTAGAGTCATATTGGTGAGAAAGATGGAACACGCTAGCAGTGGCAAGAACGTAAGTTCAGAAATGAGCAGGCCCACTCAACAAGCTTTTCCTGCTAATGATCGAGAGCATATGTCAGGAGAGCTTTGAACTGCGCGAAATATATATCTGAGTAGCGTCTTATTCGCGGTGAACCTTAAAGAGTCAAAGAATACCAGAGTGTTTCAAATAAAATGAGTATAATTTCCTGTAAAATACCTCGGAGGCTTATACCTACCGGTGTTTAGCCCTTGCACGAGCATCAATCGATTGCGCCGAACTTCAAGAAAACCTCAAAACTGGGTATTAAAAAGGATACGGACGTGGAAATGACGGATGTCTCGAAGGAGAATACCGTTCGAGACACCATCAGAAAGGAGATGAGAACCCTCAGGACCGAAATCGCAAACCTAAAAGGTGAGACCCAAGCCCAAAAACGGGGCTCTCGCATGCTGACAGAGACTAGCCCAGCGAAACAGCCCAAAGCCCCAAAGCCCCAAAGCCCAAACAAAACCGAAAAGGCCCTACCAACGGCCATGTACCCAAGAAAAAGGGCGGGAAGAATGGCAAACGTTCGCAGAAAAAGAAATCGCGATAGATGCTTTCATGCATCAATGTTCTAAGGATTCCAGACCGTGGCTCCAGGAGGGATGTTTATGTGTACTGTGATCTTAATAATATATACAGAATAAAGATAGCTTTTTCCTTTTTGAAATGTTGGGAAGCGGATTCGCTTAAATCCGCGAAATCCGGAATTTCTAAGCATCCCGATGTCGTTCTCCCAATTGACATCGAATACTTGTTGGCAGTCAACCACAAGTTTATTCTACATTCCAGACCACAGGACCATGACGTCCAAGATGCAAAAGACAAATTCATTAGAATGGTACGCATCCGCTGGCAATTTCGCAAAAGCGACCTGACGGTCAGAACAAGGAGTTTGAACCCAAATTCCACGTCCCAAATCCATTCTGGGAACCGCAACCGGCCTCCGTGGCCATCGAGCTTGGCCTTGACAAAGCAACGGAAGAGGTAGACCATCAACTTGGAACAGCACTTTCTAGCATTGCCTCTCTGGCCCCCAAACATGGTAACATGAATTGGAACAGGGCTCGCGACTTGCTAATAGACAATAAACTACTAGTGAAGCTCACTGATAAAAATCTAGGACTTGCGGTCTTTCCCGAAGAATGGTATTCTACTATGAGCCTAAAAATGCTCAGCGATACAATTGGAAACTTCTCGACGGGTTATACGACCAAATGTCTGATTGGCATCTGCCCCATAATATGGAGCGCTTCGTGAAAAAAAGAAAACAGACACCTCAATACCAGTTCCACACGTTACCAAAAAGTGGATAATCTAAGGAACCGTGGGCACGGTGACCAATCGTACCCTCTCACTCATGGTTTAGTGGGGAAAACCTCCACCCTGTTAGGAATGACCCTTACGGTCGCGGAGTTATTATCCCCTTTTATTTCTTCCGGCCGTACATAGTCTCGCGTTGCGATCACTTCTAGCTACAAAACAGACAACACACAACAAACTTCTTACACTCTTTTGCTCGCGTTCCGTTCTGCAATTCTGATTTCCCGCGTTGACCAGGGAAAGATATTGATGTTTCGCTGTGGGTTATTCTGACTAGTATTCCAATACAGGCCTATCTCCCCTCTTCAGTATATATAGGGAGCCTACTCTTAGACCAACTATCTGATTGGTCCGTAGCCGAGAGTGGGTCAAACCAAGCAAACGTCCAAACATGCAAACGTCCAAACATGCCCGTCCCGAACCTCCTCCCTGTAGTTATTCTACAGCTTTAAGCCTCCAAGCAAATCTAGCCAATGTTTCCCTTGGTTAGTTATACATTTATTGGAATGTTCGTAATCTGCAGCTAGTGTCATACTTGATAACATTGACATCACCGTTCCATTTAGCAATGTGGAACAGCTTACATAGGAAGATAAGATAATTTGATTTACGACTTAATCAGACACGTTGCTTTATGGACCTTGGAACCTGGGAGCTTATTAGACAACAAACTGTGCCAAAATAGCAAACTTTACTACTCGGGTTGAATTGTGCCATCCGTGGCATTCTGTGTCAATTAGCGAGATTGGTATGTACAAATGCAATTTCTGCATTCCACCGAAAGCAGCAGCTTGACAATGATAAAGCACAAAAACACATTGCTTATTGTCCCTTAAATTGGCATTCCGGGCCCAGCCGAGGAATGTGGAAACATGCATGGTACTGAGCTGTCCTGGGCTAGCTACCCCCTTGCTATTTATCTTTCTCTCCTTCTTCTGCCTGACGGAGAAGAAAAGCCGTGTGTCAACTTTCATCATGATTATGAAAGGGTACAAAGCCCTTCAACTCGTAATCATATGTCTGGCTACATATCTATTACTGGGGGCTTTCTTCAGGCATTCTATAGAAACATCATGGCCGGAAAAATTGCCTTATATTTCCCACAATTTAATCGATTCGAACACACGCGATCACATACAGAATGAGACCCTTGGGGTAGGTCAGCCTTTTCACACGTTCCTCCGGAGTTGTTGAGAAAATCTAAACTGATGAGTATTCCAGTTTCAACACATATTTGCCATAGGCCTACCAGAGCGAACAGACAAGCGGGATTTCCTAACCCTAGCATCTTCGCTATCGGGCTTCAGAGTGGAATGGCTTGACGGTGTCAAGCCGGATAATTTACAACAGAAGGCCATGCCGAAGGTACTTATGAGGATACTGGCTCGGTTGCTTAAAGAAATCGCAATTAATATTGAAGCAGGGTCTGAATATCTCAAGCACTGTGCCTACTATTGTTGCATGTTGGCGTGCGCATATGAACGCTCTAGTGAGGTAAGCTATACGTGAAACCTTCTATCCTTGATCCCTTCGCGTTTATACATCGATACTGACAAATATTACACGAGTTTTAGGGTGGTCGAGAATTCATACTCGACTGCGTTAATCATGGAGGATGATGCGGACTGGGACATCAACATTAAGGCTCAGTTGACTGAATTTGCCCATGGGCTTCACTCAATACAAGGCAATAAAAGGGTTTCCCGAGAGGCCCCGTATGGCACAAATTGGGATGTTCTCTGGATCGGTGGTTGTCTGTCCGGGCCAAGCTCCAATGAGACCCACTTCTATGCTATACCGAATGACCCTACTGTCCCTAGTGTTGAACAGCGCCAAGGTGCAGCGGGCATCCCAGAATCATGGAAAGAGACGTTCTCGGAGGATTCTACGCGCTATATTTACAAGGCAGCAGCGGGATGCTGTTTATATGGGTATGCAGTGACTAGCCAAGGGGCGAGAAAAATACTTGCCGCCTTGTCCGTTGATCATATTGAGATTCCAGTTGATAATGCCTTGAGCGATCTATGCGGTGGCGCTGCAGGTCGACAGAGCATTTCATGCTACGCTCCATCGCCTAACCTGATTGGAACATATAGGCGAGCAGGCCCATCATCTCAAGATTCAGACATCGAAAGTTATGATCCGACCCACTTTCACGACGAAAGATCTTGGAACATGGTTTTCAGCACCAAGCGCAACATTCATCGGCTAGCCGCTGATGAGAAAACCCTTTATTCTCAGTGGAGAGATTCCCCTGAGAAATGGCAGCAGACGGAAATGAGTTTGGATGAGTTTATGTATCCTCGGGGGCTGCTTGTTGACCTCTAAGAGTGAAAACAAAACAGAGCAAAACAAAGGATATTCGCTTGCGGACATTGCGCAGATGCAGGAGAATGCTGTCACGGACCCAGATGGGGCGAGCCTAGCTTTCGGCCAACGACAACCAATCAGTTCTACGTTCAACACAGAGCCACGGGATTACGTAGGGAACATAATACCCCAGTAGTCCCCGAGAACAATAAGGAAAACATTTCGGAAAAGGAGCCATAAATAGCCTCCTCCTAACCGGGCGAACGAACTATACCGCCTTTACGTATAGGACGGTGAGCAAGACCCGAGAGCGATGAGCTCCGGGCTCATCAGGCGATGAGAAGAGTTAGATATATAAGGAACGGTCTTTACCATCGTGTATTTAGTTCTTCGTGTTCAACCTAAGTATCATACTTGGATTACTAGTATCAGCAAATCAGATTGCCAACTTGTTTACTCTTTACTACTGCCTTTTGCCGGATTTGTTTGACGTTCTCAAACGCAGCTAAAATCCAATCAATAGTTCGTCTCCGACTTACTATTGAGAGCCCTCCTTCTGCACAACCTTTGCAAGTACTCTTATAGGTCCGAGCCCGTGTAAGGCTTTCAAGGCAATGGTACGACTGAGGAATACACTTGAGGTACGTATAAGACCGAAGGACTGTGTCTACTTACAGTACAGCAGGACCAGCTCGTAACAAATGCCCCCGAGACTACCAGTGGCAGTGAGAATAGAATATCCTTTGTATTGCGCGATCTCCTCAGCGAATACAAATGTGGGATAATCGACCTGGCTGTATAAAATCTATCCACTATGACGTTGATACTCGATAGAACTCTACTTTTACTATAATTGAGAGAGCTGAAGAGTGTCGCCGGAAGCTCGAAGATACTGTCAATGATGAGCCAAATATCGAAGCCTTACGTCTCACACCTAACGACTGGAGACAGCTCTTCGATATCAAGAATATCTTAGCTCTATTCAACAAATATACTGAGTACGTCTCAAGAGAGAGCCCTTCAATTCGTATTTAGGTTCAGACTAGACTGGCTTGTAGACAGCACAGTAGTCAGTCGTCGCTCTGTCACCTTGTAATGAATCTCTACGACGGGGAACCCTTACAGCAAGATCGCGAGCGACGTGCGGAGTACATTTGTATTGGGTTTTGCTCGAGGCAATCACTTTTTTAGACCGACGATTGCCAAGTTACGTGGACTTTGACCGTAGTCAAACACTGGTTCAATCCAGCATTCTTTGACTAAATCCTGTTCTCGCAAAAATTGCCATCGATCCACAACGATGAGGGACTCGACGACCTGAGCACTAAATGCCACCAAGCTCCACAAAACGCTGACATATTTTCTTGTTTGTGAGTACCGGTCCTCGTACTCGTGGATTTCGTTGTCGCTCAGGGTGTCAACGTGTTCCTGTATCTTGGAACCATAGACGGGGTCCTGGCTCATCTTGTTCGTAGCAGCACGAAAATATGCGCTGAAAGACTTGAACGCAGCTTTTGGCAATGATCCGATGATAAGAGTGCTTGTATTAGATCCGGAAGGACTGCCTGGCCCTGGGCAATTCGGAAGAACGCCTCGATCAACCAAGATACGTTGAAGCAGAGCACGGAAAAAATGGCGTGTAAAAGATACCTCACTAGCTTTGACAGTCCAATTATGTGGGGCTTGCACGGCCAGTGCACGAGCGGTGATATTCAGTCGTATTCCACTTGTTGTTCCGGGAGTTTCATAAGATTCGTAGTATTTTGACATTGGAAACCCATGTGAATCGTATGATGAACTAGTCTCCTCAAGTCGGGGGTGTTGGGAATGGAAGATAGAAAGCTGTTGTTTTACTGGACCAAGGCGCTCAGTCATCAAATTGTAACAGCAACCAACCATAGCAATGGCCACAACTGAAGGGTTTAGAATCAGAGATCGTACGCCATGGTGAAGAAGGTTCCCACAAGAATGGACAGAAACAACCATTAGTCTTGCATTGGTTTTTTCTGCTGTTTCATTGGAAAATTCCAGGGAGGATGATTTAATGACTGGGTTGGTAATATGCTCTAAATAGCCATCTTCAATTTCATGCTCAATATAGCTGATATTACCACGGCTGTCGATCTCCGGCCTCGGGGCCCTTTCTCGAATTTGGCCTTTGGTAGTAGACCCTAGTACATCGTCTGGCCCAAGGGTGATTTCATCTAAAATATTGGGAGCAGTGGCATTTTCCGAGTCCAAGACCTGCAAATTTGTTTCCACTAGCAAGGGGGTATTTGTTGTCTCAGTGGCAGTCTCTTTCGTTGTTTCATTGGCGCAATCAATATCGTTTTTGCTCCTTTGTATGTACAAAGCTTTCGGGTCAACCGCTAGTTTTGCTCGAACATCCATTCCTTTAGCACCTGTAATATATTGGTGCTTGCGCTCGATTGCGATGATATGTTTATGATAAGGAGGACTGGCCAGCGTACGTCCAAGATAGTTCTGACCAGATCCAAAATCGACGATATGAGAGATTGGCTCTCCTCGGTATTCATGGACAGTGTCGGACAGGGATGCAACATATTGAGAGAAGCATTGAACCTCATGCGCTTTTTTTCGGTTCATGCGCATAGCAACTTGCGTTGGTAGGTCGATACTTTTTGAAGGTGGGGTACATAGATCTCGTCGGAGCGTTAGTCGACGGACTGACGAAATATAGTCTAGCAGGGTCTGTGGAGGGAATGCTGCTCCATTCCAGGTAAGGCTAGCCTGGTCGGCAGTGGGACGTTGAATCCCTCGCAAATGGTCAATGTCCTCCCTCAAAAGCAGATCGATAATTTGCTGAACATCATGTTGATCAAAAAATGATCTCCAATTTTCTGGCAATAACGTTGTATAGACATCGGGTTCGCGGGTCAGAAAGTCGACCATATGCACGCCACCACACAAATTCATAAACAGCACGGACGTGGTGGAGAAGGAGAGCAACGCCTCAATGTAAGCATCAGGTTCTCCCCATATCTCATCTATGGGAAGGGGGCGCTTTGAAGTCATGTGGAGCACTTGTCTTCAAATTTTGCCATTCAACATAACCAAGACTGCGTGGGGATCTCTGACGGCGGCGGGATTTCATAGCATGAGCGTTTTTATTTTATTTTTTGCTCCGTTTCTCCGGTTCCGTTGTCGTGTGGTAGAATGGTAGAGTGGGTCCACTTCAGCCACACGCCGCGGTCTTGCAAGTTTTGTTGAAGCACCATAACAAACCTTCTAATGTGTAGTCGAATACCCGTTATAAAATGGACAGGAGGTCTGACTGAGCTAGCATAAAATAACATCAAGACCTCACAGTTGTTGCTCCATTACCCTCTTCCTCATAGCTCGGGATTCACTTATTTGGTTGTGGTTCGGGATCCTTGCCCAAGTTGCAGCTTTCCCTTCTCAGGATGTTTTGAATTACAACCTTGGAAGGTGTAGAGCGAGGTCATCCAGAAGGTTCATTGCAGATTAAGTTGGACGTTCAAAATCTGTGTTTCTGGGTGTTTATGAGATGATATGATGCCTGAGGCACACATGGCATCAACAATAACTAACTAGCCGTGCCTTACCCTACGGTCTGGACACCAAACACGACTAGCCGCATTTGGTGTCCCGCAGCGCAATGTAATTCTCACCGGAATGTAATTTTTTCGCCTTTATATACAATTTTTTTTAGCAATTTAGAATTTATCATAAAAACCAATAACCTCTCCCGACTCGCTGTATAACGGTTCTGCCTCTGCCTCTCTTTGAGCCTCCGTAATACGTGGTGTGGTAGGAACACCGTACTTTTTCTCCAATTCTTTTACCGCCCGTCTCTCATCTTTTTTGTCTTCCTTTGCCTTCCTCTCAGCTATACTACGTTTAGCATCTTTAACACGTATAACACTATCATCACTAAGGCCCATAACACGCCGTCTAGTAGTTTTTTTCTCCCGCGGGGCTCGGATAGCGGCCATTTCCCGTATAGTAGCCGTAGTATTGGCTAAGGCGTTAAAATAGAACTCTTGCTCATCTAAGACCTGTGCGAGTGTTTTTTTTTCTTTGGGCGTTAAATCAGGCCGGCAGAGAAGAGGAGAGAGATGTTTTTGCCTTTTTTCCACATCTTTAAAGGTTTTTGAAGGTGTGTTTTCAAGACTTGACGACAAAAGATCTGGTTCCGGAGAGGGTGTTTTCTCTCCCGATAGATCAATTTCAATGTCTGGGATAGGAGGAAGAGCATTTTCGAGGCTCTCACAGACTTTTTTTGCGTCAACTGGATAAATTCCTCGCTCTGAAAAGGCATTTCGACACATTCGGGGTGTAAGGGCTTTGTCTCGGAATTGGTAAAGGTCGTTTAGGAAGGATGATTTTGATGCGAGAAGACCTCCACCCCATTGAGAAATAAGGTTATTTTGTGTCTTAAAATAAGCCTTATAAGCTTGGAAAGGCTTACCATCCAAAGGTTGAAGATAATTTGTTCGATTCGGCGGAAATCCAAATATCTTAATACCTGCTTCGGTCGCAGTATCAAGAAATTCAAATGTTAGATGTGAGCCACAGCCGTCGACCAAGAGAATACGCTGCTCTCCGTTTTTAAGACGAGTGCGTGTTTCACGGTCAAATTCTTCCATCCAACGCACAGCAAGCTTATCAATAATATAGCCTTTTTCTGCGGTCGCAGTTATCCATTCATCAGGTATTGGATGGTTATACCACGACTCCATATGATGCTGTCCTTTGAAGATGACCAAGGGCTGCATTCGCCAACCATCGGCAGCAATACATTCTGCGACCGTTACCCTTTCACCATGTTCTGTGCCCGGGAGGTCTGAAGCTTTGCCAGATTGGCTAGAAAACACACGTCGGGTCCGTCCTTGTCCAATTTGAAAGCCAGTTTCATCAAAGTTATAAATATTGCGTGGATTCACACCCTCGAGAGCCTTAGCTAACAAATCATACCAATGATAAAGCTCTGCAACGTCTGTAATTCCTAGACGTTTAGAATCAATAATTTTCTGCCTTCTAAGCTTCATCTCAGTGTCTGGGAAACGACGAATATAGCGATATACCCAATCTTTTCCGACCGTCCGATCGGGTGTCTTTGACCGCGCGAGTGTAGCATTGGCCCAATGCTCTATAATAGCAGGCGTCGGAGGGAGGAAGGAAGCATCCAAAGTCTTTATCCAATAGCCTAAAGCCTTCTCCTGATAGACATTTAGGGTGTAATTCGATGGTTTAACCTCTGTTTTAGGCTTCATATTGCAATTAACGCGTCGCCATAACAATCTGTAATTAACGTCATATTGCCGCGCGACCTCACGTAAATTTGGCTTTTTTTGGCTTCGAGCGTGTTTCACGGCCTCATTTACACGAGATACCTCAGTTTCAATAGAATCGGCCATATTTAAGGTGGTACCTTGTAGTAATAAAGATGTGTAAAAAGAAAAATTACATTCCGGTGAGAATTACATTGCGCTGCGGGACACCAAATGCGGCTAGTCGTGTTTGGTGTCCAGACCGTAGGGTAAGGCACGGCTAGTTAACTAACCGGCATTAACTACCGCCCAGGCTGACCTGACCGCCTTAGTCCACACGTCTCTCGACAGCTTCTCCGATGGTTGTTGATACAATCAGGATCACCTGTCTTGGACGCGCGAGAATCTCTTCAATATTTACATGTGGATATACACTTATTTAATTTCAGTTTCTAGTTGAATCGCTATTTTGATCACAATCAGTGCTTATCATTGTCCACCCTTTGCCCTTCAAATGCGAGCTCCCCCGAGGGCTCAATTCAGACAATGTATAACTCGCAGCACTGGCCCGATGACCATTTCCGACCTCCGTTTTGTCTGTGAAACTTTCCTCCACGTTTATTGATCGCGTAGCTCCGGCATTACCCCGCGACAGTGCCGTATTCTCGGATTGTGTCGGGTTGGATTTGGAGAAAGTTCGAGTGGTGGAAACAAGTCGTCTGGTACAAATCCTGACAAGAGGAGCCGTGGTGGGTAGACATGCGGATATAACGCCGGCTGCGACTTCAACGACGCACCAGGTTTGTGCATCGGCGATCGTCCACGCAATATCGACAATACGGAACTTGAAGATTAGGCTAAAGCGATAGATACTTGCAAACACGACGCTATGGAATCAACGTTAGTTGGCTCTCAACTCCTCAGGTATCTCAACTTGTGGTATCCCATGTATCTCTTCCAAAAGCAACCAAGTTGGAGTGAGCACCCGTTCATGGCTTAGTGAGGAACTTACAAGCTTCCGGTTAAGAATACGCAGATGACCGACACGCGCTGCCACGTACTCGCTTGAAGGCCCCAAATAAGCCTTGCTGGTAAAGCCAAAATGAATATATCTGTGATAAAGTTCGGCGCTCCGTTGCCAATAAGGGGCCCCTTGAGATTGATGCACTGGCCTGGAAGTGTGCGGTTGAATGCCTTGGAGATCGATTTGCACTGAAAAATGGCGAGTACATCAATCGCGATGACCCATGCCAGGGTGAGCACACCAAGGATATATCCGCCTATCTTGACGTAACGGACGGGGAATATTTGATAATACATAAGAAGGTCCGAGATTTTTATGATGCCGGCCGTGGTAATGTAGATTGGTTCGAAAACATAGAGCAGCTATACAGCATTGAAATCCAAGTTAACGCTTGCTTTTCGACACAGCAAGACAGGGAAAAGGCTGCCTCTAGTATACTTTGAAATATATGAGCTGATCGGATAGAGGTATTGTTCCAGTATGTTTTCCCATGCCATATTGTACATCTTTAGCATTGACGGTTTGTTAGTTCCTTGCTTCTGCATTTCCAGTTCCAATTGAGACATACAAGCGAGATTAACTGCCGCAACAACCAAAACAAATAGCTATAGTCCGGTCAGCCGATGGTCTCAATCGATCTCAATTTTCAATGCGATGAGATGGGAAAGAACGAACTAATCCCACGATCAAAGTCCAGTCATCCGCCCCCAGGTTGACCTTTTTCACATGTCGAGCGAGTATTCTGAGGAACAAGAAGTCAATAGCTAACACCGTCACCACGATAGTGGTCGCCCGCTGCTTATGCTGGGTGCTCTGGTTAGCATCCGTTGACTTCATTGCTATCTCATCCTTTGAATGATGGGCAAACGTGAGGAGCAAAAATCTGTGCTGACCCCCACAGCAGAGATGCTAGATCAGACAAGGGGATTATGCTAAAATGAGTCTAGGACGATCCAGGTCGCTTGAGGGTCTGGTCGAAGACACTAATGTTTGAACGGGACTCCATGTGAGCCGTTGATAGGATGGACACCCACAATAGTCACCCGGCCTGCTGGTTGATAGCAGAACTAATGTTCATTGAGTCATGTTGAGCAAGAACGCATCGCCATTATGGAGCCGCGGGCCCACATAGGGCTTCCCTAGTTTTATCCGAACGGGACAGTCAAGCAACCACCAGATTCAACGAGATTATCCTTTAGTCCTAGATGAGCAACGTGTCTTTCAAGGCCCTTGGCAATAATCCTCGGCCTTACCCCGGGACAGCAAGGCATCGGAAGCCGTTAGCCGGATGTTCCCCTCCAGAATATTGTGCAATTGCTGTCGCTGTGAAAATTTCCCCCTTTTGAATAAATCTAAATCGTGATTATCTATTTTCTTCGGTTTCCCTTCAATATTAGCAACCCAACATTTGTCTTCTCTCTCGGAGCCTGGATCACGCCAGAGGTCTCTGACTCCACCCGCGCCCATTTGGACGCTCTTGGTTACCCCTCTATGTGCCCTGCGCACCCTTCCACTGGCGCTGAACCCCCATCCAAGGAATTGCCTGACGACGTTGCCTCTCTACGAGATGTTTTGGTCAAGCTCGCAGACGAGGGCCGCGACTTGGTCGTGGTGGCTCACTCCTATGGCGGCGTCGTAGCCTCATGCGCTGTCGATGGATTAAGCAAACAAGCTCGCGAGAAGGATGGTAAGTCGGGAGGTGTTATAAAAGTGATTTACCTCGCCGCATTTGCCTTGGACAAGGGCCAAAGTTTGTTGGGCATGCTAGGTGGGAACTTTTTGCCTTGGATGAAAATAGAGGTGAGTCTATAGAGACATGCTGCGGTCTCTCTACTTCTAGAGGGGGTGGTTGGGTCGCATTAATTCAAGCAGAACTAACATGAGAGAAGGGAGATTACGTGTTGGCAGATGACGCTGGCAATATTGGCTGGCAGGACCTCCCTTTCGAATGCCAAGAAAAGTGGAACTCGCTCGCTCAACATGCTTGCCGTGCCCTTTCTCTGGAGAGACAACATATGAACCCTGGAAAGATATACCCTGTGCCTATATTGTGTGCGAGCAAGATAATGCATTGCCTTCACCCTTTCAAGAGCTCTTTGCCTCCAAAATGGGCGGGCCGGAAGTCACGTATCGCCTGCCCAGCTCGCATTCCCCATTTTTGAGTATGCCTGGTCGCTTGGCGAATACTTTGCAGCAGGCCGTGAAGGTTTAGACGATATTGAATCGTACACTCACTGGATTCATGCAATAATATGCATTTTCTCACTGCGAGATATCTATTTTTTACTCAAGAGCATGGAATGATCCACCGTTTATAACATTAGACCTACCATCACTCGTGTGCATGATATACGGGGTTCTTCTAATGAACATCCATGGAAGCTTCTGAAATCTTCTGAAATCTTCAAGTCACTGATAGTGCGGCTGGAATATCCACTGTAGATGTTTTCATGAATAACCTATAATGATAGAACACATATGGACCGGTTTTTCATGTTTCGCAACTAGATATATTACGCAAGCAAAAAGTTCTGGGTATAATTCAAGACCAAGGAAGCTATTAGCAGCGTCTTCATACTAATCATGATCTCAATGCTCTCTTCATTGAATACTATATTCATGGATGTACATGATGCCTGCAAACTATCATGCGCCTTTGAAAATGACCAATGACACACCCGTATGCAGTTTCATATTATTCGATGTGCTCAATAGCAGCGTCGCCGGTAATTTTCTCTTTAGTAGCCCCGGAAATATCTTGATCGCCAAATAACGAATCCATCTGTTCCAATGTTCTACCTTTGGTTTCCGGGAAGAAGAGAAAGTATGAAATTCCAGCCACTACATTGAGAGCAAAGAAGACGTAAAAGTAGCGAAATCCGATATTTGACAAAGCTGTTGGCGAAATTTGTGCAAAGATTAGGTTGATCGACCAGTTCGTGAAAGTGGTGATTGAGTTGCCCTGGTTGCGGATGTCCACAGGGAAGATCTCAGCAGGATAAACCCATGAAATGATGCCAATGAAGGTATAGAACAAGCTGAAAACAAAGTTCATCGCGACCATGGCGCGTAACTGGTTAGAATTTGATTCCTCGTAGTGTTGAGACATAGCAGCATTGCAAACAAGTGCAGCGGCCATGCCAGCGGAACCGATTATTAGAGGCTTTATACGTCCAACACGCTCTAGAAGATACAGCCCCGCCGTGCAGTACACAATAGAAAGGCCACCGGAGATGCCAATAATCATCAGCGAGGTATGTGTCTGAATGCCGAGCGAGGCATATATACGCGTGCCGTAATAGTTTATGACATTGACACCTGAAAGGGGGCCAAAGGCTTGGACTGCACAACCAAGAGCAAGGCGACGACGCCAGGAAGGCTTTGTAATAATTGAACTCCAAGTTATCTTGTTCGACATACGCTCGGCTTCAATTGTCTGACGGATCTCCTGAAATTCAAGTTCGATATATTGGCCCTTCTCGGGGGTTCCATCTCCATGCAGACGTTGAAGGCTCGCAAGGGCCTCATCATGACGGTCTTTCTCCATCAGCCAACGAGGTGACTCGTTCAGGAACCAGACTCCAGAAGCGAGAATAAGACCGGGAATGCACTGGAAGGCTAGTGGAAAACGCCCTATTAATGATAGTTAGCCTTCTGTCATTTTCTTGTTTTGCCTGCAGTTGCCCCATGGACGATTGCCGCATTGAATATGTGACTCACATTGAAAAGAGGACTCAACATATGAGCATCCGTAGCCCAACCACTGAGCGATGAGATATCCCCAGCTTAACATCCATTGAAGTAACCCAGACATCATACCACGCGTCGATGACTCGGCCATCTCACCAGCATACATAGGAACAATAGATGTAAGCATACCGACTGCAATACCAGCAATGAATCGGCCTATTATCAGCATGGTCATATTCTTTGAGCCCGCCTGCAAAGCACATCCAAAGCATGAGACACATGCTCCAAAAAAAACAGAGCGCTTTCGACCCAGGCGATCACCGGTAAATACATTAACAATGGTTCCTAGAATAGCACCACCCTGGAATGCAGATACAACTCCACCGGTGGTGTTATCGTTCGGGTTCGAGAAATATTTTATAAATTCCGGTTGGCCAATAGTGGATGTGATGATACCACTATCATAACCAAAGAGGAAGCCTGTGTAGTACCATAATTAGAATTAGAAAACTCCTCATTGGAAGGTTCCGCACCTCCAATGGCCAAGAAGACGGCCGACAACAAAGTGCTAAATTTCGTCATTGTACTTGTGCGATGTGACTGTAGTTAAATGATGAAAGGGTGAAATTGAAAATGGCTTCCAGTGTATCCATTATTTATAGAAACAACAACCCCGATCACAAGATTTGCGGGTTTAGAGTGGCTTGTCAAAACCTCTAATCAGACATGGTGCGGCTTTTCCGACGAGATCTTTTCTGGCTCGTGGTAGATAAGTTGGTTTTTTGTTTGTTTCTTTTCGGTACAAAAGAGTCCGAAAGAATTCAATTGGTCCCTCGCACTTTTTGGTCATCGATGCAGGTGGCCAAGCTTCTCATATAACCCCACGGGGTTTAACGCCAGCAAGCCACGGATTCTCCACGAATCAGATCCGTCGCACTACGGGGAAGTCTCGCATGTGTTCCACCTTTCTAGATCCCCGGGTATGACTTCGGCATCATGACATGCCGTGTTTCCCTCTTCTGGCCGCTCTGTGAGTCACCCGAATCTACGCGAGCATCTGAGTGACGGTGCATTGGTGTCGAAGAATCCGGCCGTCATGCCCAAGGACTAGAAGTCTTCTTCTTTCCTTTATTCTTCTTTTTCTTCTTTTTCTTCTTCTTTGTAGGGAAAAGGGCCACTCCTTTTACGGGTCCCTCAATGTAGCGAACTTTATATGATTAACACTAATAAATAGTAAATAAGAACTACTACCACCAGTTTTTCGCTAGCTTAAATTGAGGGTTGAGAATTCTTTAATTATGAAAAAATAAAACAATGTTCTTTTAATTGGAATTCCTTACTTTCTTTTTGGAATATTGTAGTCTTTTCAATTCGTAAAAGACACGGTTTAAGATTTGATCACGATAGTGTATAAACCGTGGCTAAGCGGAAGATCATTCTTTTCCCTCGTTTTTTGTAACTGTCCATCAGACACAACTTCGACCTCTTGCATAGTGGTAGGTAGCTTGACCATTGCAGTTGTTCCAAAGGGAACCCGAAGCAGCAAATTTACTGTCTTTGGCTCCTTCCGCTGGAATTCGATCTCAATGAGGCCGTAAGGAGAGTCCACTTGACCCTTGACATACCCAAATTCAGCCTCATAAGGAGGGTCAACCGCAAAAGACCTATAGCCATCTTTGGTAGGCTTCAAGCCCAGAACAGCCACGTAAAACCATTCGTAAATTGTACCAAGCATGTCATGGCATTTGCTCCGGCATTCATCCTGCCAGAACTCAAGGAGGGTTGTTTCTCCACGACGAAGAAATCGCATATACGAGGGGTGTTCTTCCTGTCTGGCCATTTGGAGGACCAAATCAGGTCTTTCTGCGTCCGCAAGTGTGTTGAAAAGAAATCGTAATCCGATCTCACCAGCTCGGATCTTGCCGTCCGAGACGTCATCGATAAACGCAGCCATGATATCTTTCGTGTATTCAGGGGGGACCAATCCCAGCTGGAGAGCCATTGCTTGAGCAATAGCAGTGCGGTCGCGCTCAGGAAAGTTATCCAGAGATGTGTAGTAGGCACTTGGGCGTGAATGATCATCTGTGACGAGAAGGTGGTTGTTATAGACCTTGTAAATACGTGCAGCCCATTGTTTAAATTTGTCTGCTTCCTCAATCTTGCCAAGCTCCCAGGCCATCATCTCCACACATTGAAGGCACTGATAGTAAACAGCAGTCTCAATGTTCGCTTGGTGATTACCAAAGGCAATGTCACGGCCCCAGTCTCCCAGGCCATGTTCAATGAGACCACCCTTGCGTTCTTTAGTGCGCATATACTCCATATAACGCACGGCGGCTGGATATACCTTAGCTATTACATGGGTAGAACCATAAAACCGACGGAGAATGTCAGGAAGAAGACACAAAGCACAGCCCCAAGTGATAGTGTCATGGAGGGGGCCACACATATATCTAATCTCGGGAGCCATAGTGGGTACAAGTCCACTAGGCTCTTGGGCATCTAGAATGTCGTCCAAAATTTTTGTATATAGCGATTCCATGTCTCGGATATACTGAGTTGCTGGTGCCAGCAAGTGAGTGACTTCTAGCCAGCCAAACTTCTCGATTTGAGGGCAGTCAGTATGGTAACTGAAAAGATTACTGCTGAAGGTCCAGTAGAGTGCGTTGAGAAGAGAATTGACGTCTTCTTTGTCGGTCGTCATGGAGCCAAGTTTTCTAGCTGCAGAAGAAATATGACGACCCACAACAGAATGAATGACGGGGAGACCATCTTTGCCGTCAAGAGAAACTCCTTCTATCTGAATGTATCGAGCACTTGTGAAACTGAAGTCTGGCTCCCAAGTCTCAAGATTGCCTGTGCCCGCGAGATATAATCTGGAAAAAACGCCGGTTTCAAACTCCTTGAAAAGAGGATCAGGCATGAAAACTGTGCCGTCCTCTTTCACGGTCTCGGAATAGCGAATGATCACTTCGGACCCCGCGATCCCTTCAACAACAATCTTTACCATCGTTGATGCATTTTGACCTAAATCAAAGCATACGGTTCCAGGTCGAGGGCTGCGTCTCTCCACAGGCTCGAACGTGTCATGAAGCACGACTGGCGGCTGTGTTTGATAATAAATTTGGCCCCGCGGGCCAGTCAAGGGCTTGGCTAGCGGCCATTCGGCATCATCAAATCCAATGGAATCCCAAGCTCTTGGGTACAGTCGACGATCATGTGTTTCGGAGGCATATATGTTCGCTAGAGTTGTTGCACTCTTCCATACACGCCAGGAAGGGTCGGAGATGAGGGTGCTATGAGTACCATCCTTGTAAAAAAGGTGCAGTTCACAAAAGAAGCAGAGCTCATTGCCATAGCGAACATAAGTGTTGTCTTCATACATTGGCCAAAAGAAACGACCTTCTCCTTTATCGCCCGCATAAAACCCATTGCCCACATGTGCACCTAGCACGTTCTCCCCCATCGTCAGGCGATCGGTCACATCGTAAGATGTGAATTGGACCCGTCTATGATAATTGGTCCACCCAGGGTCGAGACGGTGATTTGACGCAGCGTGGCCATTCACACTCATATTAAAGTGCCCCAGACCGGATGCAAATAGAATTGCGCGGCTTGGTGCTCGCGACAATTCAAATGACTTTCTGAGGTATATCGGTTTATCACCTCCATCACCAATCCAAACAGCCTTCCATCGATTTGCTTCATCTTCAAACCAGGTACGAAAAATCAGGCTTGAGTGTGGCATGTAGGTTTGATTCATGCTATAAGGGGGTAACAGCCGAGACTTGGGATAGCCAGTGAAGAAATACTGAACTGTGCTGTGGTGGGGGTTTTTGATTTGATTCCAAACAGTGACCTTCCAAAAGTAACTGCAAGTAGACTTGAAGCCATCTCGAGGCTTACAAAGAATGTTTCTCTGTTCCTTGCTCTCGATGTATCCAGAATCCCACTCCACGCTGCTGTGATCTTGATTCTCGAACATCAAAGCATCTGTGCTTGTGCTAAGTACTACCCGGTAGGCAATCTGGGATTCATTTTTGACATCGCTGTCCAACGCCCAGTATACTCTTATTTCATCAGTATCGATGCCAAGCACCTCATGAAACCCATGAATACCACATCGAGTGAACTTCATGGTCGGTAGAGGCGAGTATGAATTATCGTAAAGCCCTGGAGTCTGGGCGCACTGGAATGGAGAGTACATTCAAAGGTTCAATGTTAGCATAGACAAGGCTGCGGGGGACCATCTCTCGGGAAATCCGAGAGTTAAAGCTATCGGGTCTCTTTAACCCGAATCTAGGCAATGTCGGGATGCAGGGGAAGCCATCCCGACCGACTGAAACACGGCTTTTTCATACGGCAAATAAACTAATCCCGCTTCCCCGGGTTTTAGCAATATTCTTATATTTTCTGGGCCCATCGCGATCAATTTTCCGGTCGCATATGAGAGAATCTAGACCAGAACTGTTGCAAGGAACTTTTCCGCTCGCTACTCACGCATATTTGTCACGGCGATTGAGGCATACTAGTAGCTGGGATTAAAGGGCAAAGGTAGGAACTGGATAACCAATACTACATATATTCTGTCTTTCCAGCTGCACATGTGTCTATTGCATGATTCAACTTTCAGTCGGCTGTGAATGGAAAACAAGAGAAGTAGGAACTTTCACTGAAGCAGAAGAACATATTGATTTCGCGAGCAAAGATTCGCTATTTATGCCTCGTTGACTATTGCCTCCGACTAGAGTCTTAGTTTGCGGTTTTCAAAAAAGAAAAGAATATATTTTCTATTAACAGCGACTAGTCCCGTATTCCTCTGCGAAATATTTAAGGAAACTGAAATCGTATTTCTATTTACAACTTGGCCTGTTGCTGAGAATTTGTTAAAGCTCTGAAGATTCAGTTAAGGGCGTTATACGTGGATGCCATGTTAATTCATAGTTGAGCCAATTTTCCCATCCAAGTGGATGAGAGCACGTTTAATGCTATATTTGAGAAAAAGAAGCCCTAGGCCAATCAAAAAAAAGTTATTGCCACTAGTATCTCTAAATATCATCCAGATGTTGACTAAATAATGAACCCAGCGAAGCCGGTTCCGGGAACTGCAAGAAAGCCGGTGCGGGCATAAATAACTCAAGCCCGCCAACATCAGGCTCCTACGACGAAAACCACTTTTAAATTCGATTTAACCTGAGTTTCTAGGCCAGATGTCTTGTGAAGCTTGTCGCACTATACCCCCTGTAATTTCGGGGGAGTATACTCCAAAAGGCAGATACGAAGTTCTCGCTGGCCTCAAAACCTGTAAGTTTCCATTCTATTATCCGAAGACTTGTTTACTTTTTTCCAAGGTAAGACTAATTTGAGATAATTTCAGATATTACCGGAGATTCGAACTCTAATATAGGCTTGGTGGACGTCTATGATATCTTTGGGCTGGCTAGTCAAACCCTTCAAGGCGCGGATCTTTTAGCCCAACGATTAAATGCCATAGTGCTAGTTCCGGATTTCTTTGACGGAGATGCCTTACCTCATGAAGTTGTCCCGCCTGATACTGAGGAGAAGCGTGAGGTGATGACTCGCTTTTTGGCAACAAAGGCCAATGTTCCTCAAAATGTCGACATCTTGATTCACGCTATTGATCAGTATAAAGCTTCTTTTTCGAATGTTGGGAAGTGGGGTGCATTTGGCCTATGCTGGGGTGGAAAGGTGAGACTTGAAATGGGCATTTGATTGATGGTATACTTCGCTAATATCTCCAGGTCACTGCCCTCGCTTCTAGTGCCAACAGCCCCTTCGCTGCATCAGGCCAAGTTCATCCCGGGTGTGTCAGCGATCACTATTCGTTAAGCGCAACATTCTACTGACCTACTTATAGTGCAATGGACATAGCTGATGCCCAGAGCTTAACTATTCCCCATATTGTTTTAGCCTCTAAGGATGAGCCAGCGGAGGTGGTTGGCGGGTACGCAGAGGTGATCACGAAGGGAAGAGGAGGTCATGTTGAGACCTATCCAAGCATGGTACGTTGTCTATTAGAAAATAAGTGAAAACCCATGCATATGAAACTGTTTTGACAATACTAATGCACATTCCTTCAACAACAGTGGCATGGATGGATGGGTGCCCGGGCTAATCTAGAGCAAGTAAAAAGCCGAGCGGAGTACACGCGCGGGTAAGTTGGCTGCCAGGTCATCATTAGAGTTGCTTCCTACACTTTTACACACTTTTATCACTGACTTTTTTTTTGACAGGTACAACCAGTTGGCCGACTTCTTTGAAAGGAACCTAGCCTAGAACAGGGATGAGATGCCACAAACATATTTCTTAGAACAAGTTGCCTGTATCTAGTTGTACTAGTCAGATTGATATATAGTCCATAAATCGAATGTTTTATTCTTTCAGTTGGTATAAATTGAAGCTACCTACAAATGGCAATTGCAACATTTATGTATCACTGCACATGTGAGTAGGTGACCGGATCACAGAAATTGATCATGGATAGATCTACTACATCCATGGGTATACTACAAATGCGTGAATATTAGGTACTACTAATATTTAACTTAGGGAGCCTGGGGTGGTACTATCTAGTATATACTGTATCTGCATCTCTAGCATGTAAATGTTTTGAGTTCCCCGCAACTTGAACTTACAGTCGTGGGTATAGTGGGATATCAGGAACTTCAGCTAAATGTCGAATAAATAAACGGTTTATCGGTTTGCATGTCTTTAGGGCCCAATGCTTGTCACCAAAGTTGCTCATTCATAGACAGCGGTATGGTGGCGCATGTTTTGACTGTCTCCGATTCCGGCCCAAGCATTTCCCAATCGGGTGAGCAATTAGAAGCCTCAGGCAGAAAGGATGTGATCGGCGTCTTACGATACCGAGTTTGACCTACCCATGAAAATTACCCAAACAAAGTCGCCGACCAACATTAAGCCGGTCTCGTCCCGCTAGCGGCCCGTCACCGGCATATAGATTATATGTGAGGGCAGGACCAGGTCTTTGGGGGTGTTCATGACAAGGGAAGAACCGCATGCATTCTGGCGCAGATCTTCATATACTCAAGCTATACGCACACTCATGCATCTTAATGCTGTGGATGGATATCCATGACATTCGGTAAGTGCAGATGGAAACACCGACAAGCAATGGATTATGTAGTTCCAAGTTTGTGTGTCCTAGTGAGTATAACTACTCCAAAATTCCTGCAATCCTAAAAAATGACTTTCTCAAAGGCCTCCTGTAGCCCTTTCGTCCCCAGCCACGCTTCAAGTGCTTGCATATCACCTCTATTGGCTCTCTGGCCGCCTCGACTTCCCAGCGAGTCAGTGATTTCCTCCATTGCCGAAAACGCTCTTTGGATTCCACTAGTTTGGCGAAACCTTTCGCTGACTTTTTTCTGATGGCTCGGAATATCGCCCCATGAATGGGTCTTTATAAAGCTCATATAAGCATCAACATTCGTCGATATACCCTCAAGACATAAAACACCTGGCTTACCAGCCAGCACAAAGCCAGTCAGTGAGTATTCAGGAGCTAAATTTACCATATCATCTCTCTTTTTACGAGTGGATAAGGATGGGAAATAAAACCAAACTCTGACTATTGGCTCTTTTGAATCATTCTGTAGGCTTGCTTCCTCCAGTTCTCTGGTTTTGGAATCGTTGCTTGCTAGAAAACCATTTGCCTCCGATTGAATATATTCAAATGCTTCTAAAGCATCATCCTTCGGCATCGAGGTGGCTAGTTTTCCCACTTCGGCTTTCGTCATCCAGTCAGGTTGTCGAATTGTGTAATTTAATGAGGGCGGTTGGTCAATTTCCTCTGGATTGTCGCATTTCAGTGGCACTGAAATGTTGACTTGAATTGATTTCGCCCCATCTTGAATTGGCAGAGTAACGGCAAGAGCCATGTTCGAGGGTATTTTGGGAGGCGCAGAAATTGGGTCTTCACACCAATGTCTCAATATTTCAATACATTGTGTTGTAGATTCGGGAATATCAAGCTCCCCGGGAGATGGGAACATCGCCGTCAACAGGTCAATTATAGATAGCTGGGATTCCATGACCTCTGCAGGTAGGTTCGATAGGTGCTGCGACTCCATTTTTGAGGCCTCAGTATATGTATAGAAGGCTTTCACCGTTTGTTTGGAGACCTCAAATTCCGCGATTCTCCACAATACGAGAGATAAAATGATGTGATGTGCTTGACAAGCTGGAGGGCTGAATGGACAACTTCAAGATTGGAAGTAACGTATAGCAGTATGTTGCCAGAATTCATTTGCTTGCATTGGATTTGCCCCTTTAGACTCAGGTTAAGCTTTGGGTGAAGGTTGTTTGCTGCAGTGTTGCACGTCAAATTTTCTCGCGATCTTCCGTCCGATTATCGGCCCCACCGCCCTCATGCGACCTAGAAAGTGTACAAAGTGAACAATATGAGCATCAAGCATCAGAATTCACTGCAAATAGATGTCAATTTTACATTAAGTTCTTAAGGCACCGACTGTTCTCGCTGACATGGAATTATTTTGTGCCAGTCTCGTAAAACCCCTAGTTGCCTTGAATCTCTTTTTTTTGGATCTTTTGATTTCGGAGGTATAATTCCCACATCGACTGCAGATGGCGAAACCTCCATTTCTTCGCATTAACTGCCCATGAGGAAAAGGGGGTACATTGAGGCTGCCATTTCAGGCCAATTGCTACCTCCGAGGCGTCCATTTGCTGTTATCATTAAGGCGTCCCGAATGACTATGCTTACTTCAAAAAGGGTAAATTCCCTAATAGTGGGGCCAAATCCCGACGGACATCCGCTCTGACCAGAGTCATCTTTATGACTCAGACAAGGAGAGTGTGTATTGATAAGTACTTTCACGACCCCCCAATTCCCTCCAAACCACCTTAAGCTCTTTCAGCGGGAATAGTGATCGTGTTCAATATGCCGCTATGTTTCAATTCCACCACGAATGAACCGTATCTGCGGCTCGCAGCTCCACACTCGCACATAATCATTACCCCACATCGGTCGGACCCAATCGCGGATGGGATACCAGCGAGGATCCGGATTTTGAATCATCCAGCAGTAGCTTTGTGCCTCGAGGGTCCCCCATACCCTCATCTTCAGGAACATGCAGAATCCTGGTGCAACGGCAAACGCGACGAAATGCGAGAGGTTGTTGAGTCATTAGTATGCGAGTTCCAAGAACCCTCTCGCAACGGAGAAAATGCCCGCGTTTTCGACAAATGTCCATTTACTTGTATTCGCGAAGTAACAGAAGAGACCCCAGACGGTGATCCTCTGAAAGATGTCTTCATTGGTGATATCGGTCTTGTTAGGTATTCATTTTATGAATTTCGCCCGGGGAGCGACGAACGTCAAGCTGCGAAAGATCGAAATAATGCTATTCCAGGCGGAGATGAAAGTATCGTTTGGCAATTCGGAGGTTCGTCGCACACGCTGCCCATTCTCATGTAGATGAACCACTTCTAAATATCCTTAGATTACTTGGCACCATCGCATCATGGTCGTGGTATCATGACTGTCGCAATACGGTCTGTGATTCACGACTGGGCAGTGCCACGCATGAATGTCAGGGATATAAGAGCTTCTGCCTTTGTGGGAAATCAAGGTAGCTTGAAAGTATTCTTGAAAAATAACTTCGAGGAAACGTGCACGCTCGAGAACTGGGCGCCCGTGTCCGAGAGTCGTGGAGGGGGCATGCGGTCCATTGTTGTGGTGAAATGGCGAGGCGTGAATTGAATGAGAAACGTAGCAGCCAGTCGGGCATTTTAAAAATAAGTAGGCATCAGAATTATCCGAGCAAAGAGTATTTCCCTTTTACCATGCCGATTTCTGTCTTATTTTTCCGGTCCGCGGGTAATTCTCGACTTCATGCAAGGACTCCAAATAGAGGGGAATGAGAGGGGCTGTTTAGAGTGTTGGCACGGATCATGTCGATCACCTCTATTATCTACTTCCCCGCTCCCGACTCAAGCCAGGATGCTACGGTAAAAATATGAGTGGATAGGTTACATTGCTAAAAGATCGCTTAAGCTTACTTCTAGCTTGCCATACAGAAGCAAGTTGCTAATAAAAGGAAAGGAAGGTTCCGCACCTGAATAACGATAGTATCAAGCTGAGGAACTTCCAGGCACGAGTAATAAGTAATGTGGCTCAATATCGGTACTTTGTTCAGCTTCTGTGCTATAACAGGTGGCTTCGTTAATGCATACCAACCAAATTATCGAATTTCTCCTATCGATGGCTCAAAAATCGCACTACCAACAAAAGAGCAACTTCAATTCCAGGAGAAAGAGATCGGAGTTCTGATTCATTTTGAGATTGCCACCTATCTCAGCATCGACGGTTGCAATAATGTGCCCAATCTTGTCCCCAATACCTCATTGTTTGACCCAACTTTATTAAACACAGATGCGTGGATGGATACCATTACCGCGTTGGGCGCAAAGTATGCTACTTTGGTGGCAAAGCATAATTGTGGATTCACAACTTGGCCCAGCGAAGTGACATTCCAAGACCGAGAAAATCAAACCGTCTCCTATAACTACACAATTGCTCAGTCTCCCGTGCGTGGTAAGAATGTTGTCAGGAGCTTTGTGGATTCTGCACAGAAATATGACATCGGTCATGGATTTTATTACAGCGTTGTCGTGAACAATTATCTGAATGTGCAAAACTCTGATGTCCGTCCCAACACCTGGGCTCCTGGTCAAGTGAATATTACAAACAGCACATATGACCAAATTGTTTACGACCAATTGAGCGATCTATGGAAGAACTATGGAAATTTAACAGAAGTGGGCAACGCCAAAAAGTTCGTTCTAAACAAGCCTACATACCACTGACAACTCTTATTGCATGTAACAGATATGGTTTGATGGCGGATATAGTAGCTCTCAGAAGGACAAAATTCAGGCTCTTTTGGAGGAGACTCAGCCCCAGGCAGTCATTTTCAATGGATGTGATACTAATGGCACTTGTTTGTCCGAAAATTCTAGTACGTTGACTCTGTAAAGCGTCTTCAAATCACCCGATATTGCCACAAGGTACTAATACATTCATAGTCCGATGGATTGGAACGGAAGCTGGGCAAGCTCCAGAGGAGAACTGGTCCACGTATGACACCCCATGAAAGATATTTTTTTCGATTCCTTCCCGACACTAATACTTCGTGTTTAGTGGTGTCACAAACGACGGTGGGGACTCTACAAGTCCCTACTTCTGTCCGGCTGAGTGCGATACTACTTTACAGACCGATGATAGGTGGTTTTTCGGCGTTGATCAGCCGTTGCGATCCATTGAAGAAATGATCGACGTTTACCACCAGACGGTTGGACGCAATTGTCTACTAGAGCTTGATCTCACTCCTGATCGGAGTGGTCTCATTCCCGCCAGCTATGCAGCTCGCTACAGGCAGCTCGGTGATTTCATTGGTTCCTGTTACGGCAAACCTGCTACTTCAAATGCAGTCCATTCATCAACCAAAAATGGGGAGTATAGTATCACTCTTGACTATCCAACTGCTATCGACCGTATTGTTCTGATGGAAGACCAATCTGACGGTCAAGTGATTCGCTCCTATGAAGTCTTCGCAAAGATCGTTGATAGCCAGGATGCAAATGGCACTTTGAATGTCCCCTTTACTTTGGTATCGAATGGCACAAGTGTTGGGCATAAGAAGATTGATATTTTCGATCGGGCAATTTCTACCACGGGGATCTTCATTAATACAACCTTTGTCGATACTCCAAAGTGGCGTAGCGTTTCGCTTCATCTGTGTGATCAATTGGCAGCAAATGGAACCTCGACTGAGGATGACTAAACTCATACTGCAGGAGCCATTGATCGCGTTGTTGCGATTTGCTACTCTTCAAATCTATACTCGATTTCACTATAAGTCCGATGGCTAGAATGCAACGAGCTTCAAGTTCACAGTATGAAAGTTATTACTTGATACTATTAGAATATATTATAAGACTACTAGCTCTTCGCTGCAAATGAGTAAGCAACAAATGAATGAACAACAAATGGGGACAATTGGAACAACCTCATGATTAAAACATAGCAAATAAACCTTTATTCCTCGAGGTGTTAGTAAAAGGCCGTCTGTGTAAGGATGTGACAGTATAGGATGAGTCCCAGAAGAAATTCCAATCCAGTTCATTGGTATCTCTCAACCCCCCAAAAACCAAGTAATCACCCGTTGTTGACGGAACTTGAACCAGCGCCCAACTATCAAGGAATGAAGGGGCTGTCCAGGCATTGGGGCACAAAGAAGTCCAAGTCCGTGGGGTACGTTGTTCCTATTGGACTTGGCAATCGTCAGTTATTTCAAAGCAGGCCCGTATCCATTTGCGTAGATGAAAGTGACGGGCGGGAACTCTCCAGCTGTCATTGGAACAGAAAAAGTGTGAGGCAAATCCGTTGGCTGTGTACCGCTTACACCCCCATCCGCGTTATCTTTTGTATAATTGGAATATGCTTTTTCTCCCAGCCAAAAGAAAAGAGCATTGTCTTCAGCTAAAGTCGGGGCCAGTGTGTAATTTCCGGTTCGAGTGGCATGGAGGTAGCCCTGAAAGACAACCGTCCATTGTCCACGGTCAGTGGCTTCTGCCTCTCCCGGCAACTGGCAAAGAATTGTCGAATAAGACGGGTAGTTCCCAGACTGGAAGTTTATATCCTGAGTCGTGCCATTAGTGTAGTAGCTGCAGTTCCCATTCTAATCGCTTGTCTCAAAGCCACTCCCGCAATATCCACAGTATTGGCATCCCTGGTCTCCATCGGGGTAGAAGTAGTCGTTGATATATTGGTATAAATTGACACCTACGAACATAATTGTCAGTGAGCACTATATAAGCTGGTGATGGGAAATAAATACCCTTATATGCGCTTGGGGTAGGTAGGATCCACTCCTCTGTTGCCGTGACTGCAGTTGTCGGACGGACGAAAGTAGTTGAGCGTGTGGTAGTAGTGATGGTTTTTGTTTCAGTACTAATGTACCATGTAGCAACGCAAATCTTTACCATTCTTTAGAGACGAGAAACTTACGATATATCTAATGAGCCAATTACCAGCTCAGTGCAAGGTAGACCCGTTTGTGTTGGCAGAATTATCGACACCGTGTGCGCAGTTGGGCACGATGCCGAGTCATCTGCAGTTTGTTGTACGGGCTTGCGCTTTTCAAGCGGGAAAATGTCGCGACATGGCTTATAGTTGTGGCCGACACCAGGTATTCAATGGCGGTGGGCTTGTAGCTAGTGGTAGTGATCGTTTCAATGGTCACCTAAGAAGTGATCAGCGAACAGTGACAGTGGATGTTGGAAAGCTTGATTCAACTTACCGATGGTACTTCAGTCACGGTCACTATACTGCTGGCCTGATCGCTCTACACATCAGCCTGGCTCAATAAGTCTTGCGCTTCGATATAGATGCTTGACATACAGAAGTAACAGTCTTCATAGAGGTAATGGTCTAGTCACCAGAAAGGGTGAAAGTAGTTGTCGAGGAGCAAAATGGATATGGAACGGCAAAAGGAAATGATAAGGACAGCGCAATTGCACTGTCTCGCAGCAGTAGCATGGTCACAAGCGTGGAAAGAGCCACATCATTGAAACTTGTTGAATGATATATTCTTTTCCCTCGAAAGAAATAGAATGGCTACTCTGCGCGTTGGCTAAATTAAATTATAAGGGTATTCAACATTGAAAATTGGACTGGAAAATATTCTTGACGGCGAGATAGCTGAAAATTGACTGGCTAGCTGAGCAGCTACTCTGTTTGCCAACGCACTTTACTCTGGTTTGATGCAGCTTCAACATGTCATTTTGTTTGCAGCCCCGTCGCTGGAATTGGATTTTGGTGATTTTAGCCGGCCGTGCACTTTGATTCGCATCAACAGTAAGATTTCCTCCTCATGCTAGCTCCTGTCTATGCAAACCCATCACATCACGCGCAAGCTATTGGGATTAATTCGTGCACTATTGTGGACAAAGCAGCTATGACAGGCGGGATCTACATGCGTCTCTTGGCAAATTGGACCAATGGCGTTTCTGTGGCGCCCAGTCCAGTCATATTCGGCTCATTCAAGTGCCTGATGCGTATATGCAGAGATATCACTCCTATGCAAACCTGAAATTTGGGTTCATATGCTAGAACGGGATAAGCTCAATTCTGATGCCCCGTGGAGACTTAGATGATCGTGGGGGCTCCAAGAACTGCCGGCGGGTTAGCTGCTCTTTGTGCTTTCTGGCTTTCTCTTCAAACCTGGAAAGGAAAATAAATTCTGACATCTGTTGTCTAAATCCATCTCAGTTTATTTAGTCTTATTTTCACTGTTAGCGCCTCGTATACTATCAATCAAGTTTTATAGCAGTGGTACTCACATTCGCAAAACAGATGCTGGCGTTCTGGTGAAGGTTGCCTGACAGTTCGTCTAGGATCGACACTGCATGGGTCAAGCGCCACTGAACCTTCTCACCTGACCCTTTCATGAACCATGCAAGTCGAATACCCCACTTGATCCAGCGTTTTTCACAATCAGCCTTCCCTCGTCTCATCCGAGTCTGATTTCAAGTATTTTAGATGTAAAGACTTGTTAGAGACTCCGGGGTTTTCCACTCGATGCAACATTATTTGAGGGGTGCAAACCCAGTGTGCGTAGGCGGTAGATATAGCAAACGAATTGTAAACTTTCAAACTTGAGCATTCTATGTGATAGAGCACCTACGTCTCTACCGGTATGGAGAAAAGGTACAGAAACAACGAATACATAACAAGATTAAAAGAAGAGGAAAGAGAGAGGGAAGCTCTACTATATATATGTAGGCGGATATCTACTCTCAGACCAATCCGTAATTAATCTATACCCAAGAGTGGATCAAACTAAGTAAACGCCCAAATATACAAACATACCCACCCAGAACCTGCTCTATATAGCTATACTACATTCTACATCTTTTCAGGGTTGTCAAAGGGCAATCCAAACATAAAGCATAAAGACATTGATGTACATATATTGTACTTCGAGATTGATTCCAGTCACATAAACAGCTGCTTGTCTCTTTTTCCCCCTTGAAATTTGCTGATGACTAATTCAGAAACATTTACTCGACAGATGTGTCTTAGGTTCAATTCACGCGTGATACGTGATCACCATATCATTTCTCTTTTTTGTTCTATTGTATTCCGTCATTCATAGACATACATATTCGGATAATCCCCTTAGGGCAAGACTTGCAGAATGGTATTTTAATCTCATGTGGAGCCGAAAATCCAAGATAGGTCTCCACGCGGAGTGTATCACGTGATCTTTCGGATATACACGGGTCAACCGGAGAAACGAAGTGCAGTACACAAAACCCCCAAAGGCTAAAATCACGTCCAGAGTCGGGTCTACAAGGCTGAGATTGGCATTTTTTCGGATATTTGTCGGATATGACGGAGGAATCTCACTCCCCTGGCCCCGGCTCCCCAGGCCCCGGCTGGCGCATCCCTAAGGCATGTGAAGAGTGCCGAAAGCGCAAGATCCGTTGCAATGGCTTAAATCCGTGAGTGTATTCATGATTGATCCTTCCTATGCTCACCTATGTAACCAAACGACTGGTGCGTGTCTTGATCTCTAACAAGATATCGGCAGTTGCAAAACGTGTGAGCGGCGAGATACGCCTTGTGTGTATCGAAGTTTCATTCGACACCGCAAGAGGAAACATGAGTATCAGGATGACAATCTCAAGGACCGAACGCGTCTAGTGCCTTCTGCCTCTCCACAGCCATCTAGGCAGTGGAGTTCGTCAATAATGAAGAATTTCCCCAATAGTGTTTCAGCGACGCACATGGCCTCCCCATCATGCCCAATGCAGCTTTACTATGGAGCCACTTCGCACTTCGCACTCATGCAACACATCTATCGGGACTTGGTCTCCAATTCCACCGCACATCCCCACCCATCTGGCGGAGTAGATGAAGCGGGTGCAGGTTTGGAGTTGTTCAGTTTCCGCCGTATTTTCTTCGGCACTCCAGATACTCACGAGACAGGCAGATCAGGTCCTGGTGATCTTCCGGTGATGTTTCTGCCGTATGAGACAGCAAAAATGTTTCTCTCGCGTTTTCTTTCTTCTCTTTACAATATGATGCCATTTCGCCCACGGGCCTTTTTCGAGAACAGCCTGCTGCGACTTTACAATCCATCCCCAAGTTCTCATCCCGACACTTTGTCACAAGCAACTATTCTACTCGCTCTAGCAACTTCGTCCTTAGGGACGGAATACTACGCATGGGGAGATATTCTATATGAACGCGTCAAGGCATTACTCAGATCATACGATGACGTAGTGAATCTTCAAACTGTTCAAGTTTCCTTGCTTATGATATGTCCCCCGTGGCCCCTCGCAGATAACCTAGCTAACGAACCCTGAGCCTTTACGCCAATTATCAAAACGAGCAGGGTCGGCCAAATTCGGCATTCTTGCAACTTGGATCGGCTGCCCGTAAAGCCCTCGCCGCTGGCCTACACAAAGAAGTCCCGTATGGGGAGGTGCAAACTCCAGAGATGGTTGAAGCTCGTCGTATAACCTTTTGGTCTCTTTATCTTTTCGAAACGTATGTCTACCGGTTGAATTGTTAGTATACTCCAGGTTGTGACTGACGTCAACAGTTGGTTTTGTTTCCATACAGGCCGTCCCAGCTCTCTGGCATTAAAAGATGTTGCAATCGAATATTCTCGTGATCCATTTGTCAGGGTACTAGTTCATCTCTGCAAAACCATATCTCGTTCAACGGAGGAGATATACGGTCAACACCACGAGTCTTTGTTGCATATGTGGCGCGTCGCACGTTCAATTCATAAAGATCTTCGAGATCACGAATTCTTCACACGCCAGACTTTGGGGTTTGGCCTTGACAGTGCGATCCAGACCGGCTCTATTGGTGTTCAGCAGACAATATTCACAACCTGTATGTTCTTTCAATACTTCTAGAATCAACGGAACGCTAAATTACACAGTATACTATCACACTTTGCTCCTTACATTTCGGCCTTTCCTTATATTCCGCGGACACCTACAACGGGAACGAAAATTGGCAGCGCAGCAGGCGGGTGGTCGTCCATCCAGCCATCCGGCTGAGATTCCGCCCTGGTTAAATGAAGCCTGTCATCACGTGATAAACGCCGCGCAAAAGACGATTCACCATTTGAGCGAAGCATCTCGTCTGAATGATCTTGTCAGGGTACTATGACTCCACGCTACCGACATTGGTATAAAAATGTGCTGACAATAGAACCTCTATAACAGGAACTGCGATACCATGGGTATTTTCTTAGTAGCTCCGCATTCACATTGATATATGATCTCGTCCACGACCCTAATGCGGCCTCTTCTTATTTGCCATGGGTCTATGCATCTTTACAAACTCTGTCCACGATGAGAGAAGGTGATCCCATCACAAGCTCCATAACTGCGATTCAAACAACTCTCCAAAAGATCAATCCGTCGTATGAATGGTCGTCTGGTCGCAAACATGGAGAGAGTTATACGCAAACCCTTGGGACTAGTTCCCGGGCTCCTCCGCACACGTTTGCTAATGATAGCTCACCGACATTCAATGGCCTCGGCTTTCAACAGAGTTCAGCCCCGGGGTTGTCATCCGGTGTGCCTTCTTCGCATTTGAGCTTTCCTCAGATCGAAGGCCCTGAGACTGGTCATTCTGGTGGGTCGACTGAAGATTTGCTGGACTTTACTCAATCGGATATGGGATGGGACTTTGATTTTTCGACCATGGATCTCGAGGCCTTCTTTTCTGTATATCAGCCGACCGATCCTCCACTTGTACCAGGCGGTGGTTTTCCATGACCAAACACTGCAAAAAATCAAACTAGAGGAAATGAAATAAATGATGTTTAATGAAAATGCGGGTTTCCATCACCGGCTTTATCAGTCTTTTAGGGCATTACTCGGTCTAAAATCACCGAACGGAGAATGCTCGTGGGATTTTGATATGATGGATTATCTTTATAATATTCAAGTCAAAGATATACGAAACTTTGCTCTCTGAATGGCACGTTCGCTCGATTTCCATCCACATGCAAAGTTATCATTCGCCACCTAATATCCGCCAACCCTTTCGTCCATTTCAAGTGCTTATCCCGACACGGTCATATTACGTTTGCTCAAGTCCTACCTACCCAAACTCGGCGGACTTAAGAATACTTGCGAGTGCAGACAAGCGGCAGAAGAAGCCTGGAATATTGTGGGGATAGCTGCTTCACAAGGGCGCGCTAGCTATTTAGCTGATTGGCAATCGAAATAAACAAACTTTTATATCCGAGAATCCCCTCTACAAAGTGCCAAAGAAACTCCACTCAGCTGCTGGAGATAAACCCGAAATATCGAGTTTTGTATTTCCGGCCCGATTTACTCCACATTTATCTGATACGGTCCATCCGCTCATTCAATATTGGAGCACGGAAATATCAGGGATCCACCTATCTCCGAGTACGGATATAGACAAGTAATCCCAGCTTTTGGAAAGCCAACTTAAGAAAACAAGCCACCCACAGTCATAATAATCGGATTGAAGGCCAGGTGTTTTCATATTCGGACTCTACCTCTCTTTCCATTTGAACATAGTCTATTGTTTGTGAGAATTGGTCAAGGGCCCAACTCTACGAGCTTGTTCATCATGGCGACACTCTCGTCTGGCACATTGACGCCAGTAGATGTCGAGGACAGGACAGAGAAAATTCGAAAGAGGTTAACTCTCACATTCAGAGATCTCAATGTTCGGGTTGCAGCTCCCGATGCTGCGTTGGGAAACACTCTATGGTCAGAAGTGAATCCGCGTCAGCTTGCAGGCCTGTTTAGACGGAATCAGCGCCCCAAAAGGGTGAGGCATGACCTTTCGGAATCCGAGGCTCTCATATCTAACTGAAATATCTAGACCATTTTGAAAGATGTAACTGGCCAAATAAGGCCCGGGGAAATGGTATGTCATGATAAAGACAAGCCCGCACCATTGGATATAAAAGCTAATAGACACAGCTTCTGGTCTTAGGTCGTCCAGGATCTGGGTGTACCTCGCTCCTCCGAGTCCTCTCCAACGACCGGGGCTCATTTGATGATATAAGTGGAGAGACTCGTTATGGAAGCATGGACCACGAAGCCGCCCAACAATTTCGCCAACAAATCATGTTCAATAACGAAGGTATACTCTGCGTGGCCCTACAAGGTAATTACCAATATCGCTGACAGCCTTCCTCCAGATGATCTTCATTTCCCAACTCTGACCGTGAATCGAACCATGAAATTTGCTCTTCGAAACAAGGTTCCGAAAGACCGACCGGAAGAGCTCAGCAATCGCAGCGACTTTATCCAGGAAAAGCGTAACCAAATCCTGGACTCATTGGGCATCGGTCACACGAAGAAAACTCTTGTTGGAAATGAATTTATTCGCGGAGTTTCTGGTGGCGAACGTAAGCGTGTTTCGCTTGCAGAGGTTCTGGCAGGACAAAGCCCAGTTCAAATGTGGGATAACCCAACTCGCGGTCTTGACTCCAAAGCTGCTGTAGAGTTTGCTCGAATGCTACGTCGTCAAGCGGATGAGAACGACAAGACCATCATCGCAACAACCTATCAGGCAGGAAATGGCATTTTTGATGAGTTCGATAAAATTCTCGTTCTTGCCGAGGGTCGAGTCACCTACTATGGTCCTCGCACTTTGGCAAGGCGCTATTTCGAAGATATGGGATTTGACTGTCCCAAGGGTGCTAATATTGCCGATTATCTCACATCCGTTACGGTTTTGACAGAGCGTCTTGTTCGGCCTGGTTGGGAACGAAAAGTTCCAAATACACCAGAAGAGTTTGAATCTAGATATCAGAACAGTTCGATCTGCCGGGATCAACAGAGCTCTATTGAATCTCCGGAAAAACTTGTTTATGAGACAGAAGATCTTAAGTTTGCTGTATCAAGCGAAAAAAGAAAGCATCATCTTCCTCGAAAGGACAGTGTGTACACCGCTGGTATCTGGAATCAAGTTCACTCCTGTGTGCTTCGACAATTCCAGATAATATGGGGCGACAAATTCTCCTTGATCGTCCGAGTCTGTTCGGCTATTCTTCAGGCGTTGGTATGTGGGTCTCTCTTCTACAATCTCGCAGAAGACAGCTCTTCGATTTTCCTGCGCCCGGGTGTTCTATTCTTTCCCATTCTTTACTTTCTGCTTGAGTCTATGTCGGAGACGACAGGTTCATTCATGGGCCGGCCAATATTGTTTCGCCAGAAACGATTCGGATTCTATCGACCGACTGCATTCTGTATTGCCAATGCTATCACGGATATACCTATCGTTATTCTCCAAGTGACATGTTTTTCCTTGATTCTATATTTCATGGCAGCTCTTCAGATGGATGCAGGGCGGTTCTTCACTTACTGGATTATTATTATCGCTCAGAATTTGTGCTTCATTCAGCTCTTCCGAACAGTAGGTGCAGTCTGCCAAAAGTTTGGAAATGCATCCAAGATTTCGGGTCTGCTCTCCACTGTCTTCTTCGTTTATGGAGGTTATCTCATTCCGTTTCACAAAATGCACGTTTGGTTTCGTTGGATCTTCTACCTCAACCCAGGAGCATATGCATTTGAGGCTCTAATGGCAAATGAGTTCGTCGGCCGAGAGTTCAACTGCATTGAGCCTGACTACATTCCCTACGGAGAAGGCTACTCGAGCTCAGTATCCCTTAACCGGGGCTGCTCTGTTCCAGGGAGCACGAATGGTGTGATCAGCGGAGAAGCCTACATTCGAGAGCAGTACAGCTATTCATTCCACCATATCTGGCGAAGCTTTGGCATTCTTATTGGCTTTTGGGTTTTCTTCATATTTGCTACCTCGTTAGGGTTTGAGTTGCGCAACAGTCAGAGTGGCTCTTCTGTGCTTCTTTACAAGCGTGGCAGTGAGAGAAAGCCGCAGGTCATTGAAGAAAAGCCTGCTGCTAAGCAAAAAGTCAATGAGGTAGCGTTGTCAAGCGCAGTAAAACAGTCCACGTTCACCTGGAACAATCTCGATTACCACGTCCCATTTCATGGCGAGAAGAAGCAACTCCTAAATAAAGTTTTTGGATTTGTCAAGCCAGGGAGTTTGGTCGCATTGATGGGAGCTTCTGGTGCTGGAAAAACAACGTACGTTCCATTCTTACCATGTCTCAGGTATTAAAATTTCGAATTGATTGATCTTTCACAAAACAGATTATTGGATGTTCTTGCACAGCGGAAAGATTCTGGTGAAATCTTTGGGTCAATTCTCATCGATGGTCGGCCTCAAGGCATCAGTTTCCAGCGTACCACCGGCTATTGTGAACAACAGGATGTGCATGAAAAAACAGCAACTGTGAAAGAGGCACTAGTATTCTCTGCTCTTCTTCGACAGCCATCGACCGTCTCACACGAAGAAAAAATCACTTATGTGAATCATATAATCAACCTGCTGGAGCTGGAAGAGATTAGTGATGCTCTTATTGGAGGTGAGATAAGTCTTCCTCCATATGATTCGTTTTTTTCCTTCGAAGCTAATATATTATAGTGCCTGGTGCTGGGTTAAGTATTGAACAGCGTAAACGCGTGACTCTGGGTGTTGAGCTAGTGGCAAAGCCTACTCTATTGTTTTTGGATGAGCCTACTTCAGGACTTGATGGCCAGAGTGCATACAATATTGTCCGCTTTCTACGGAAGCTAGTCGATGGTGGGCAAGCAGTCTTGGTAGGTTCTCAAGTCTGGAGAATATGAAAAGGCCAAACTGACAGTTTTACAGTGTACTATTCATCAACCGTCGGCTGTCCTTTTCGATGCCTTTGATGGCCTTTTACTCCTCGCAAAGGGTGGAAGGATGACATATTTCGGTGAAAGTAAGTGCTCAACTATCACGGTACATATTTTGCGTAATTCTAATGTCCCAATCTTAGCTGGCAAGGACTCAAACAAGATATTGGATTACTTCTCTCGCAATGGAGCACCGTGTCCACCCGATGTGAACCCAGCCGAGCACATCATTGAAGTTGTCCAAAGTAATGGAGCCCAGAAGACTGACTGGGTCGAAGTTTGGGATCAATCTGATGAGCGTAAACGTGCTTTGGAGGAGCTTGAGTCTCTCAATGCGGCCGGACTCAGCGATCCCAATTACGTGGAGGATACAGCAAATTATGCTACCTCTCACTGGTACCAATTTAAGCTGGTATCCAAGCGCCTTACTATCCAAATCTGGCGCTCTCCGGTACGTTAAATTTATTCAATACTTGAAGCAATTCGCATACTGATGATTTCAAGGATTATATGTGGAATAAAATTGTTCTTCACATCTTCGCCGCGCTCTTCAGTGGTTTCACATTTTGGAAACTTGGAGAGGGAACATTCTCCCTACAACTACGACTTTTCGCCATCTTCAATTTCATTTTTGTTGCACCTGGGTGTATCAACCAAATGCAGCCCTTTTTTTTACAAAATCGTGATATATTTGAGACGCGTGAGAAGAAGGTTCGAGTCAATCTTCATCTATGGATCCCTTTCTGGCCACTGCTAACTATCAGATTCTACCTTTTAGTCCAAGACATATCACTGGCTTGCTTTCATTGGCGCACAGGCTATTACTGAAATTCCATATCTGATAATTTGCGCCACGCTTTACTTCCTATGCTTTTATTTCACGGTCGGGTTCCCCCTGGTATCAAGGGTTTCAGGTCAATTCTACCTTCAAATGATCTGTAAGCCTTTTCCTTTCCCAAAAGCAATAATACTCTATATTAACATTGATTAATTATTTCCGCAGTCTATGAACTTTTGTACACTTCAATCGGACAAGCCATTGCAGCATATGCTCCGAATGAGTACTTTGCTGCTGTGATGAATCCTGTGCTTATTGGAGCAGGGTTGGTAAGTTTCTGTGGCGTCGTCGTTCCATATAGTCAGATGCAACCGTTTTGGAGGTACTGGATCTACTACCTTGATCCCTTCACCTATCTTGTTGGAGGCCTTTTGGGTGAGGTGCTTTGGGACGTCAAGGTAAAGTGTGAGCCCTCGGAGTACGTCACGTTTAGTGCCCCGTCTGGCCAAACGTGTGGTGAATACATGGCCGATTTCCTGTCATCCCAAGCTGGATATCTCCTGGACTCAAACTCTACTGAAAAATGCTCCTTCTGCCAATATTCGACCGGTGCAGACTATGCAAAGACGTTCAATATCCAAGAAAAATACTACGCATGGAGAGATGTAAGTTTCTCAACCCATCTCTATTTCAATTTTCCTTACTAATTCATCCATCAGACTGGAATTACGGCACTCTTCTGTATCAGCTCGTATGGGTTGGTTTTCTTGATGATGAAGTTGCGAAGCAAGAAGACAAAGAGTGCTCGATCTGAATGAAGGAAGCTCTCGCCAAATTCTCGTCAAACCCTGCCTTTCCTCTACCCATATTGCATCTTCCCATCCCCATCATTCATTTACTAGTGATAGCCCAATCGCTGCTTTCCTTTTCTTCGTCTCTCTCTCACACTTGCATTGTTTCAAACCCCTTTCCGATCACACGGTCATTAACTCAATTTAATTCTTTCCTGTTTACCCCAACTGCGCGTCTTTGCCCCTATTTATATTTCAATAGATTAATAGATCTCTATATTGACATTTCTTTTCATTCATCATTGTCTGACCAAAAATTGCGCATAATTTAGAATGGATTATTTACATATTGGCCCGGTCTAATCATATTGGATATATGAATTTCCAGTTGATAGACGGGGATGCCAAATTTCAGGCAGTTGAAAAAAGACATGCCTCAACGTGTAAATTCCCTTCAATGACAGCTCACTAGAAAGTAGCATCTGCGAGGTTCGTAGAAAGATGCGCGTCAATGAATGGCACAATAGCGGAGCCAAAATCAGTCGTGTCCAGCGCATCCTGGGCCGCTGTCGGAAGTGACTCCCACGCGATCAACGGCTGCGTACCACCCACAGTAGTTGTGAGGCCACAGCAGTGGTCTATAGGCCACGTACTGTAGTATCTGATTAATGGTGCGGTGCCATCTACCGTATACCCATCCGTGCTACAATCCCAACTTCCATGAGCGGAAGGGCACACGGCCATGATGTTGTCTGTGGTGGTGCTGCTAGAATCGGATAGCCAAACAATCACCCCTTCCCAGTCGTGACGATGGCCAATACCATCTGAAGGCTCGTCCTTTGGCATGTACCAGGAATACATGAGCGCATAGTAGTCGCCAGAGCTGTTTCCTCGGACATAAATTTGGCCTGTGCTGCTACTACAGTCGCCATCGGATGCTCCTGCGGGAGCCAATCCAGCACTATATATATTAGTTTTAATATTCCGTTTCAAGGGCAGGTCAGAAAGAGCAGTCACTTACTTCGTGTTCCCATCCTCATCTACTGCTGGGAATGGAACGCAGCCATTGACAACGTACAAGTAAGGTTGATAAGCCAGATAGACATCACCGACCGTTCCTGAAGGGACTATTTGATCGAATCCCACAATCTCATCAGAAGCAACGATATCTCGACGAGACAGTTCTTTCGCGACGCCACGGGCTGCGAAGGAAGAAAAAGCTGCGAGATATACACAGAATTTGGATGCCATAATTTTTGACAGGGTTGCAGAATAAAAGATCAATGTTGAGAAGTTGAAAGCGGGCTTTCGGGTGTCAGAGTAGCCTATTTATTTACTTGACCCAGTCAAAATCCTGGGTATCAAGGTATGCAACTTGTTCGTTTTTGGTTTGATTTTTGTTTTTCTCACATATTATAACGCTCGATGGGAATTGGATTTGTGGCTAATAGCTGAGATCTGCAACCTCGGCGACTAACCATTTCAAAAACGGCTTTCCATGCCAAAAGGAGGTTAAAGTCCGCTTGTTGCTCCACATGAATACAGGTTTCTCTACAGACGTGTTCCTCGTGGCCTACGTGATGAGACTGATTCGCCTTGAGCGGGAGTTTCACTTATTCTATAAGTTGAGGTTAATTAATCTCCTACTCCACATCAACGCAGCCGAACATAAGTTGATTCGCACCCACGGAATGGTTTAACGATCGTTTATTGCAAGTTGCTGCTTATTCTTTCCTCGTTTTGCACATGCACAACGTCTACACATTACTTTTGAGCAATCCTCTAGCTTGAAATTAATTTGAAAATCGTATATTCAATATGTGCATCCACACGGTGTATGACAGGTGATAATCCGTACACGTGCATGTCCATTAATTTAATCAAGGCAAGTGAGAATGCCACTGAGTTTCTTCATAACAGTTTCCTGCATAGTGGCATTGGCATCACCCTTTTTACTAGCTAGACCCACAGAGATGCTTGCGTAACACCCAGATTCCAGTGACACTTCCAGCTCACTTGGCAAACGTGAACTACCACAGGTAGTCACATCGTCAGGAGTGATCAGGGGAATAGCAGTGTGGATACGCGATAAAACAAACTTAAAATCATCTGCATCGGAACATTCCGAATCAGAAACAGATCCGAAATTGACATTGAGCCAAATATCGTTAGGTAGATAAGGCGTGCCCGACGCGATCAGCGTGTCAGTTACGTTAACTGCCAAATCGGCGTAAACTTCGCTGTAAAGTGGGAAATCCAAAGAAGCATTCCAAGCGGTTTGAGAGCCAGTTGCACCTGAGAATGCAATCGCCGGGATACCAGCATTGTAAGAAGCGTAGGTGGCGGCTCCAGCAGTTCCAGAGAAATAGACCTCCAGTCCAATGTTATTGCCAACCTAAGTACAATCCATATCAGCCCTGTCATGTGTTCAACAAATTTCATTTGAATCTTACGTTCGGACCCGTAACTGCTAGGTCAGGAGCCACTCCATCGAAGAATTTAGGCCCAATAGAGTTGATGCCATACTTGATCGAAGTTGCTGGATACGAATTCACATAGTTCAGACGAGGCTCTGATGCGTTGTACCCGATGGCAGGACTTCCTGCTGGGCAGCTATCGAATTCACACGCTTTGAGCACCGTTGGTGTCTTTTGGCTGGATCCTGTATTCAATATTCTGTCTTAGTCGTAAAGTACAATCATTCGGGTACAAAGCAGTGGCGAACCTGTTCCGCTCTGGTTCTCAGCAGGTGCAGATACAACAGTGACATGGCCAGCTGAGTTTAGCGACTTATAGAAAGCGCGAATGTTGACCTCTGCCCATCCATCATCATTGGATGAAATGATGTTGATCGCGTGAATGGATTCCACCAGACACAATGAGGCCGCGACAGCAATAGAAGTATTCAGACGCATCTCTCCGGGTCAGATGTAAGATATAGACTAAGGGAGATGAAGCTGTCTTGCCAGTACGGAGTTGAAGAAATAGTGTTTTGATCAAAAGCTTACATGGCGATCATTATATACGGAGACGAGGTCGCGATTTCTATCCACAGATGTGCAGAATCGCGGATCTCTCGGCTGACGAGCGGGATGAGAACCGTTTCTCTCCTTGTGCAACGACGATCATGACTTCTTTCGTCATGCATCACGCAGGGGAATCGTTAAGCGACCCACGTGAATGTACCAGTGGTAATCTAGTTTCGACACGCAAGCCCCTTATTAGCTCTGCATAAATTTCCTACATTGCGTCTGAGAGCATCTTATGTTCGGCTTTTCTACGGAGACCGGAATTCCGTTCTCACACGGATACGAATACGTCCATTCCCCACTGACATACTGACATCCGCAAGTGCACTTTCATTATGCACAAATCTTAAAATTCCCGTGAGATTATCTAAACGCGTTTCAAAATCACTGGACTTGATTTTACCGGGAAAACTTCGGGCGTGCAAGGTTACTATGCCAATTTGGTACATGTACTGTATGAGCCCTGCGAGTTTTAAGATCCACCAGAGCCTTCAGCCATTCAAGCATCTGCAGGATTTCCCTACTTCGTCGGTTCTCTTGGCTGGTTCATGATCGGCACTCAGTACCTGCGACCAAGGACATGACATGTCAACTACATCGTCATGTTATCACCCCGTTCCCACGGATGCATACGAGCGACCATGGCAATAAAATGAACTCCATCCATCTCGCTAAGTTCGCATTTGGCAATCAAGATAAGGCGCCAAAAACGATATCAACACGGGGACTTGAACACGTAGTCCTATTCGTCAATTCCAGATTCGTTCAGCTAATTCCTTGACCAAGAGCAGTTTCTCCCACATCCTTTCGATCGTCATACCGCGTCCTCCTCCTAGACTCATGCTAGCGAAGCCACATTGAGGACTGACTCCAAGCGACGTCTCAATAACTTCTTCCACGCTCCTCCCTTGGCTACGTGCGATAGTCTCGGCCGCAACGTGTACTTGATTAACAAGCTCGTCCAAGTCTTCTAGCTCTGGCGACTTTGTAGACACTACACCCAAAACCACATTCTTACCAATTGGCAAGTGGCGCAGGGGCTCAAAGTCGCCCGCCCGCTCCGTGTCATACCTATCCATATTTAGCATTGACACTCCTAAAGCCATGCTCAAGACTTATAGATGTTTATACATACTCGAGATAGTATGTATTGTATGCCAATTCGGTAAAGATTTTCCTAGCAATGCGCTCATAAGATCCACTTATAATGTGTGTCGAATCACTCATGTTGCCTCGACAGAGATGCAATCCCACATGTAGATCATCGGGCTTTCCAGCCAGACATTGGTTGTGGGCCCATATGTATTCATCGAGCAATTCGTCGGGGTTGATCCCATCGGCCACACAGCCAGAACGAAATTCATCTGTCACGAAAAACAACATGTTAGGGTCATCAATCTGTATGGATCGTAGACCAGCGTCATAGAGCTCCTTAAACTCTTCCTGATACGCCTTAGCAAGCTCTTGGAAATACTCTCGATTGGTATTATACACAGACGGGCTATATGCTGTGCCAACGGCCATCTACTTCAATTGATAAGCGACCATGATTTTGGAAAGAGACAAGAGATGATCTAAACAAAAATTAGGGGATAATCGCACCTGCATATGATTATGGGTAATTGGTGGCATCGTCAATTTGCACTCTCGCCACTTATCATGTGGAATCAAGCAACGCAAGGACCGCCACTCTGACATGTAGGCACTACGGGTGCGTCGAATGCGATCCACTGCGACGACAGAGTCGCGAGTTTTGATGCCTTGGGATTGCAGTATTTTGATCGTTGGAAAATTGGTTCTGAATCCTTCGGGGACAGGAATAGTTTTGAATACCTGCATGCCATCAAGGGTTTCAAAAAATCCTGAATAGAATTTGTCTCGCTCATACTCCCCTGACGTGATGGGTCGGATTCCGAGTTCGAGTTGCTTTGCAACGACTTCTGCAATCGCTGCCTTTGTCCCCTTTTGAACCTCGTTGGTTATTCGAGAGTAAGTATCTGACAACCCTGCAGTGGAGCGAATAGCTAAGAGCTCTTGTGGTCTCATAAGAGACCCAATCTGTTCGGCATGAAAGGGAGGAGCCATAGCGAAAAGCTGACCAGAAGACAAAAATAATGGGTCGATGTGTGCCTTCTGGATGTGTGCAGACATTGGTTATGATATAGCTTGAAGAGATGTGGCATGTGGGGGTCGTATCAAAGCCCCCCAAGCTGCCGATGACGAAGTCTTCAGCTGTCGCTGTGCAGAGTTGACTTGACTCATAGTAGTACGTTTGGAAATGATCCTGCGTACTGTTGTGCGACCGTGAATTTTCTTTTCTCCATTTTCATTGAAGGGTATCTAATGCTTTCAACGATTTAGATACTATGAACAGTTCGCTTATACCAAAAGAAAGCGGGGGCAGTTCATAAGAGAAAGTGGGGAGTCTTTGTGGGGAAGACAACCAGTTGACACGATACATAAAAAACGTCCCATCCGAGGCTGTCGAGGGTCAAAATCATTCTTCGGTAACTTAGTAGAGAATGAATATGAATATCACCACAGGAGCTTATATTCCTGTTCATAGATCTATTTATAAAAAAGCCCTGCGGTCTAGGACTTCAAGACCATTCCCATTTGTCCCGGGGCTGCTTCAACGAAGCCATTTTTGAAATATAGTCGTCTCCCAGCTTCGTCAGCAAATAATGATATATAAGGCTTGCCATCCGTTGGTGCCTCCTGTTTAATCCTTTGAAGCAACACTTTCAAAACAATATCTCCGAGCCCCTTCTTCTGGTGTTGAGGATGAATAGCCATGTCCGCGATATGAAAATACCAGCCGCCATCTCCAATCACTCGACCCATCCCTATTATTTGCGATCCATGTCCTGCATCATCAAAGGTGATATAGCACCCGAACCAACTTCCGGTCGATATTGCTGCCGCTTGCGATGGTGTTTTGGGGGAGAGACCGGTCGCGGAGCGAAGACCCAGATAGTGGGCGACGGAAGGATAACCGAAATGGAGGGAATATTCTTGTGGGAGACCGAAATCATCGGAGGATGCCATGATCACAGTACCGCTGAATGACCTTGAAGTATACAGTATTGGAAGGTGAAATGATACCAGTATCAAAAGTCCTCCAGGTTTCCCCTCCAAAGCATGACCCCAATTAACAACGACGCGTGGAGCTGACGGGTATGTGTTGCTAGCCAATCAAACGGCTCATCTACGCGTGAACGGGGTCTCGACATATGTCTGTGGACGCGTCATTTTCTGAAAGTTTGTTATTTACCATCCTACAAGGCATCAATAGTATGCGTGACAAATCATGATGAGTTTAGGTCCAACTTCAATTATACCAACGCTAGGTAAACGAGAGCAAGCTAAATAGACACTCAACCTAGAAATTGACAGTCTTCCAAGGTTCAATCAACTCTGCATTCGGCCGTCATTGCACTCAATTTGCTGTTGGAACACATTGATAGTAATAGGGGTTATATGAAGTGCAGGTAGCTTGAGTGTTGCAAGCAGTGGCACCTGTCCAGTCAGTGCCTCCACATTGGTCGTATAATGACTGCGTTGAGCCGCCGGACGTGACAATAGTTGTTGTGGCAATTGTTGTTGTATAAGGAGCGGTCGTTGTTTGCAAAGTAGTAAATGTACTTGTGGCCGAAATTTGTGATGTGGTGATGGCGGTACTTGTAGTGGAAGTCACCCCCGATGTTGTAGTTTGAGCAGCACTAGCAGATCCACTGGCAGTTACTGGGGTTCCAGACGCGGTAATGGAAGAAGAAGACTGTGTGATAGATACGGCGCCGCTAAAGAGTGTAGGTCCAGGAATATCATATGTCGACAGAGAGGAGTAAATATTGACGTAAATGCCGGCATCCGTAGACCTATACAGATCGGTTCCTAGAACACCGGAGGGCTCGGCAGTCCCTGAGCCTGTCACTTGCAAATTAATGCACTGAGGGTAGTTCTGGGCTCCATCCACCTCTTCCGCGCTATGCAGTGCAATAATCTCATTTCTCAAGACATAATAGCCAGGCTTCAGGGTTGGTGGAATCTCAACCAACCAACTGTTATTATTGGCAATCAACTGATCATCTCCCCACGCTCCAGGAACATCTGTGTCATCGACCAGTCCGACAGCACTGATTTTGAAGAACTCGAGTGTTGTTTTGTCTGCTGTCTCGCAAGAATCTCCGCAGTTGGCAAGGTAAGTGATGACTGGCCCATGGTGTGTGTCGGGCCATGCTGTCCACTGAAGATTAACCTTGTCACCGGCGGCTACCGGCGCATGACCCTTTGCATTTGTCGCACTCAAATGACAAATAATATCAGTCGAATTGTACTGGTCTGAGATATTATCAGCATTGAATTACAATTACATCAAAAGTACTTTACTTTGAATAGGCCGTGGTGACCTCGTTCAGACAAAATTAGCAACTTACCAGGAGTAATAAATCCATTCGATGTGTTCGGGGTGCCCCATGCTATGACAGCCGGAGGATCGGACTCGTATGGGAACACATTAATATCCCATCCTTCATAAGAGACCCCATTGATCACAATGTTCGATATATGACCGTGGCCAGCGACCAATGGAACCAAGGTAGCCAAGAAAAACGGGGTCACAACGCGTGACATATTTGGGCAAGCAGAAATTCTCATATCGGAATTGTGTTTTCTTTTTTCTCCTTTTTGCTGCTGCTTTTGCTCTTGCAGAAAGTTCGTGGTAATTCAGCTTTTCTTGTTTCATTTCATCATGGAATGTCAGGCTTTATGTATCCAGTGGGATCCCACATACTAGCCTATGCCGATGTCTTCAAACGCCCACTGTATGGAGGTATGGGTAGTAAAACATGTGGCTGGTTCTGAATTAGCCGGGATTGAGGGAGCTGTAATCAAGACCTACACATGAATTTTTGAAAGGCCTTATGAAATCAGTCTATATTCCCTAGATCGGATTTTTTTGATGAAGTCATCTCAATATAGAAGTCCGTGTCGAAACAAGACAGACAGTCACATATGCCACTCAATAAATGTGTCAAATCGAGATAAATGAACGGAAATTATCAAATGCATCGCGGACATCACAACGATAAAGGACTCTATTTGTCTTCACACAGCACAATTAGCGTAAAACAAGGCTAGGCTGCAAGCACGTTGCACTAGGCGCCCTTGGCAACAGGAGCGGCAACAAAGTGTGTCATATTAGTGCCGGATAAATTGGCTGTGGCGTTGGTCAGTCGACAGCGCTTGAAATTAGGACCCACTCAACCCCATTCACGATGAGTTCTAAATCAACCAAGGTTACAAATGTCAAATGGACCTTCAATTGGATTTATTTCTTGTTTGTGCCTTGATATTTTGGCCACGGCATTGATGCGATATCCGCCTGAATTATCCCGCGCTCACGGGGACATGTTACCAATTTGAATATTAATACTTCGGTCGATGTGAATGTATACTAAAAGAATAGCGACAAATGTTTTCTTTGAAGGACATCCGTGTCTATTCTGGTTTCCGGGGTATTATACATCAACATGCTGCACTTGGCATTGCTCTGGCCTTCCTTCAAGCACCTGACCCATCTGGCTCGGAGATTCTCGATGACTCCCTTCACCTAAGCCTGAATTTCTGTAAATTTCCCCTGTCATGGGAGCATCTGTGGAGCTATGAGCCCGGGTTCTATCAACGAATTGGTTTATGCTGCTTTTCACAGAGCCTATACATGATTTGAAAAGTGGTTTCATCAGCAGTAGCGATCCACAAATTATTGCCATGTCAAGCTCTAATATCGTCCATATTAGAGTTAAGGAGCTGTCCACTGAAATATAAAATCCAAAAAATAAGATCTCTGTTGCCTTTAAAACGCTGAAAATCCAGAGGTACTGACTTGTGAGGTTATTTGTTTGGAAGTTCTTGAGTGCGATCAGGCGAAGTATGCTGAATATACAAACTCTGCAAATCTCTGTCGTTAGCTCTTTCATCTATATCCCACGGCTCTAAGCGTTTTTTTTCTTACAGGCAGCCGATAGAAAACATCAAGGTCATCTCAATCTTTTGCTGTATAGGAGTGTGAAGCTTCCAGACGATCGGGAGAGGAAGACATAGTATAAGCACATCTCCGACCACTGACAGAGAGCCAATGATCATAAAGAAGGTATTTTGCCCAGACATACAATGACCATGTATATGTTTAATCCAAAAATATTGAACTGGCCAGCATTGAAAAGTATTTCCAATCAGAGCCGTCACTCCCCATGCAACTACCAAAATAATCACTGCGGTCGCAAACGGTCTGAAATGCTCAAGACAATCCAAAAGTCTTCGAAGAAATATAACAATTGATACTTTGACGAATATCTGGGCACATGGCCAGAACTTTTGTAAAATCCAGTTGGACTAGTTTCAATAATGAGTATAGTTTCATCAAGGTCTTGTGTAGAACTTCATCTCGGCTTACCAAGGCAATGCGCAATCTTACCTCCCTAGGTAAAACGTATATTGATTGCCCAAGGCCAATGCCATAAAAAGCAGCTGTTGTCACAAGATTAACTATTTGTACTAGTATGGGGCTTCCAGTTCACCCAGAGATTATCCACTTACAGTATACGGTACATATTGCGACCCCATAAGTACACAGTAACCCCATCCCCATCAGAAGATCCTCAACTCGCAAAGTACGAACTGCAATATGACGAGCATACAACCGCAAAGCAAACACGATGGTCGCAACGGCAGTGCCCACGATCGGGATGACTATCAAGATCTTTTGCCTGTGATGCTCTGGCGATACCGTCATGGCTGTTCTCTAAGGTTGCGGTATAATGAAAATGTGGGTTTTATGTACTACACCATGTCGGACTTTCTGACTGCATCAGTTTGAACATTCTTGGTTTCTCATAGACCTAGTACGTCGTTTGATGTGAGATGCGAATGGAAAGAATCATTTTCTGCATATTTGGCCGCAGTCAAAGACTTCCAATTCACGTCCAAGATCAAAAGACCTAACGATGAACATAGTGAGGAAAATTAGCCACTAGAAAGGTATTCCAATCGATTGTTCAAATAAAAAGCTTTTCAACGCAAAACGGAAGACGTCATCTCGAGCTTGTGTGGGGCGCGTGGCTCATAAACGCGATCCGTGGCGACCGCGGAAATAAACCCCGCTCTCACACAAAGAGCCCGACTAACTTCAACGTGAATCACGGTTGGTGATTCAGCCAGACAATTTGACATAAGTAGAACCCCTATTTGACGGAGACTATGGCCTGGCCCGGCGATTTAGCACGAAATCATCCTCCGCCACCGGATGAGGAGCAGCTTATCGAGCTGGTTGCTCAAATCAAGGTTGTTCGATCTCGCAATATAAACGGACATTACTGAGTCTAACCTTGATGCAACTCAGGACTGGCAACTTAATCATGGCTTTTTGCTTAAACTAGTTCAAATGGAGACTGAACATAGTTTTCGGTCTATACCTGTGGGTGTTTCTGTCAGTCTCCCTATTAAAGTCTGTTAGAGAAACTTGAAGGGTACGGAATCATAATACTGAGAGAGAAGTAGTGTTTCCCGACAATATTTCCCCGGGCGCGATTTCAGCAGGCACAAGATATACAGACGATATATAACAAGCTATATTGCGCGATTTCAGAAGATGAAGAATGGGTCTTCAATGCTATCAAAGATCTCTTTCATGTTGAACCCCTTGCGGCCGCGCTCTGGGAAATCTATGAAGCAGCTAAGAATGCCGGATTCGTCCAGAATGTTTCTGCTGGTTTATTTCGTTCTGACTACATGCTTCATGTCCCTGCCAAGGATTCTACAAGATCTGTTGGCTCTATCACAAATACGACCCTGAAACAAGTGGAGTTCAATTCATTCTCTTGTGCTGGTGCTACTCATGCCAATAAGGTAGCGGATATGCACCGTTACTTAACTCATATCAGCGCCTACAATGGACAAGAAACAAAATTCGACATTTCAGCCCTCCCTGCTAACAAGAACCTCGAATCGCTTGCCAATCTTCTCGCATTGGCACATAATACTTATGGCAAGCCTAAGTGTAACTTGGCTAAAGAGACAGCGGTACTATTTATTGTCCAGCCAAACAATGTTAGTAGAGATATTACAAGCTCTACACCCTGTTCCAAAGCTGATTTCAAATAATGTTCCAGTTCAACATCGCCGATGAGCGACCTATTGAGTATGCGCTGTGGGACAGAGAAACCCCAGTTCCAGCCTACAGGCTGGACTTTGGACCTGATGTTCTTCAATATACAAAACTAAGCGAAAACCGGGAACTGTTGTTCCAGCCACCCTGGCTAACTTCCACATCGCCAGTGGAAATATCCGTCGTCTATATGCGAGCCGGGTATGAAGCAAGAGAATACGATCAAGTGGGATGGGACGCCCGTCTACGATTAGAGATATCGGCTGCAATCAAATGCCCCTCTATTCTGGGCCATCTCACAACATTCAAGAAGGTTCAGCAAGCATTGACTACACCAGGAGCCCTAGAGCATTTCTTGGCAGATGCCGAGGCTGCTACTACCATCCGCGAGACCTTTGTTTCCGTTTACCCATTGGACCATTCTGACGAGGGCCGCTATGCCCGCGAGCAAGCCAGAAATCCAAATACCGCGTTTAATTATATTCTGAAACCATCACTCGAGGGCGGAGGGCATAATATCTATGGAGATGACATCCCTGAGTTCCTAGAGTCTGTTCCTGAATCAGAGTGGTCTTCATATATCCTAATGGAAAGAATACAGCCACCACTATTGGCCAATCTTTTAATGGGTCCCGCTGGAATTGAGAGTGGAGAAGTTGTATCAGAGCTAGGTATCCTTGGAACCTGCTTATGGGAAAGGAAATCCCCTCATGGGGGATGTGACATGCTTCACAACTCAGTTGGTGGTTGGACATTCAAAACCAAGCACGCCGATATCGACGAGATGAGTGTTGTTAAAGGATACGGGTGCTTTGATACACCATACCTGCTGGATATGTGATCGGGGAAAAACACAAAAATAAAAATGCCTCACCTTAGATCGGCGTATCCGAGTCTTTAATACTAAACGTCCGTGGTGCGGGCTTCGGTCTGGAGCTAATCCGCTTGGCTGTCGTAATAGGCTTTTCGCAATTCTCGTTTTAGGCAGTTGATCCAGCAGAATTGAATTATTTCTCTTTGTTTTGCATCCTTGGCTGCACCTGTGGTTATGAATTTGTCTGTATTTCTACATATCTAAAAAATTGCACTTTGTATAGTAGTCTCAAGGGGTTGTTATCTGTCCATAAGTATAAGCAACAATGAACAGGTCGACTGATCTCGCGCGTAACGCGGCACCCTTAAAGGTCAAGTTGTTATGTATACAAACATTCTCTAGGATCAAGAGCTCGCGCCTTTTGCATTCTTTATGTCGCGCATATAACAGGATACAAGCTTCTGAGATAGAAAAAATGCCGCCGTCCATTTTCTTGCACTCACGTATGATTCCGATAGACGGAAAGTCAAAGTACCTCAAAGACGACTCCAGCGACATCGGGAAAGGGCATATTAACTAGCCAGACGTTCTAAAAGGCAAGCCAATGGACATATGTCTCGGAGTACCTCCAGGACTACGGCCAGTCTCCGCAACTCAATTTGTGTGTTCGATAAACTTCCAACTACCGCACCCCGCCATGCGCCATGACTCCCCCACGCCAAGAAGATGCGGAGTGACATTTCCCCGTATTGCTGCTGTTCGGCCAATCATCATCGCGATAAGTGTCATAAATCCCCCCAGGTGCCCACTCACTTTGGCCCCCGTTGACATCGTGTACGCCAAGCAGCACAGACCCGCACTCTCGCCCAGCGGAACTTCTCCGAATTCGCGTGGTGATCGAGGACGCACACAGCTTCAACCCGGGGAAATGGGGTATTCAATCTCAACATCCAACGCCACTTTCTACGATGCCTCAACTCCAAGTCGTTCAGGGAAGGTTTCCAGGGGCAAGAACCTCATGTATATTCATCTCTGCCCGGTGCCATCAGACAACCCCAACCCTAAACCTAACCCCAACACCACCTGAGCAGCTGACCTAGTGTGACAGGGGTCAAGCCTGTTCCGGAGCACACCCGCATGAGCCATGTGTCGTCTTCGCAGGGCTTTCATCTTCTGTCTTGGCATGTAAAGGACCCGACAGTGATTGACGGCGACTCCGGCAAATCAAAATGCAACGTAGAGTTTTTCTCGGGATGCAAGCTCTCTTGGCGCTGCTCCCCAGCCGTGGCCGATCCTGTTTGAGTTTCACCGATACTCGGTTCATGCCATTTAATGCTCAAAGGCCGAGCAGTGTGGATATCTTTCCTATAGTACTATGTTGCTATTATCGCGGGGCAGGAGACCCGAGCTGCCATCGCACTTGGCTCGTACACAATGTACTCCGTATACGCATGCAACTTGCTGTCACTACCGAGATTCCCCCGCATTACCAAGGCCGATGTGATAGAGACGATCCCCGTGCTCTTTGTGTGCTCGGAGCTATTAAAGTCACCGAGAAGTGACCGGATTCTCTCATTTTCGTCTTGATTTCTTCCACCTTCCTCTCTCTCTTACCCTCCTTACCTCTTTTATATTCCTCTATTCTTCTTGTTTTTCTTCTCTTCTTAGTCCTGAATTGTCAAAATCACTCATCATGGCAGGAGGGGCGAAGAAGCCTGTCAACATCTTCCGTTTGAAGAATCTAGGGGAACCAAAGGAGATCTTCAACTGGAGGCTATGGTTTGCAGTCATCTCTTTCGGATTGATGGGCGCAGCTCGTGGTGTGGACGAGGGCTTGATCTCTGGTGCATTCAACTCAAAGGATTTCCAAAGATACATCAACTACAGCTCTTACAGCACTGTTGAGCAAACCAACATCAAAGCCAATGTGTCGTCCATGGTTCAGATCGGATCAGTGGGAGGCGCTCTCTTGTAAGTACATCCATTGATGTTTGCTTGACATTTCTTATCCTCTATCATAATGCTTCGATGCTAACTACATCTGTTTTCAATTCTAGCGCGTTTTTAGTCTGTGATCGAATCGGTCGTACTTGGGCTACCCGTCAGCTGTGTATCCTGTGGATCCTTGGAATCGCAATCTTCATGGGAAATAATGGTAGTCTGGGTGCTGTCTATGCTGGAAGATTTATTGCTGGTCTTGGTGTGGGCCAGACTGTGGTTGTCGCTCCAGTTTACTTGGCTGAGATCGTACGTTGGCGTTGAACTATATCATCCGTGATCTTCTCTGCAAATCACTAACATGTTTCAATAGGCACCTGCCTCGATTCGAGGACTATGCACATGTGTCTTCACTGGATTTGTTTATCTCGGTATTGTATTGGCCTATTTTGCCAATTACGGGTGCCAGGTGAACATCGGCGACAATACACACAAGAGATGGGTAAGAGACACAAATAGAAGCTACATAACTATCTAAGTTTCTTGCTAATTCTCTATTGCAGGAAATCCCCACCAGTCTCCACGTCATTTTTGCCGGCTTAATCTTTATTCTGTCCTTCTTGCAATATGAGTCGCCCAGATACCTCATTAAAAAAGGCGAGCCGGAGAAGGCTCTAGCAAATCTCAGCCGAATTCGCAATCTACCTCCAGATCATGAATATGTCGTGCGGGAGTTTACTGACATCGATGCCGCACACCAAGCCGAGATGGAGGCAACTATGGGCTCTGGGCCTCTAGGAATTATTAAAGAAGCCTTCTGTATTCCCTCCAACCTCTACCGTATCTACATCGCCCTGATGGCTCAACTCCTGTCCCAATGGTCCGGGGCAGGCTCAATCACAGTCTACGCCACAGATCTCTTCAAGCTATTGGGAATCACCGGAAATAACGAGAACCTGCTCGTCACAGCTATCTTCGGAATCATCAAGCTAGTAGCCGCCGTTCTCTGTGCTCTGTTCTTGGTTGATGTGATTGGCCGCAAGCGAGCATTGCTTCTAGGAATCACTTTCCAGGCAATCTCTATGATCTACGTCGCCGGTTTCCTGACCGCGGTGCCAGAAATGGGCGTCGATGATAGCTTCAAACTTCCAGCCCACAAAAAGGGTGCTAGCCAGGGAGCCATTGCTATGATCTATATCTCTGGATTTGGCTGGGCACTTGGCTGGAACTCCATGCAATATCTCCTAACAGCCGAATTATTCCCGCTCCGCATTCGTGCTCTAGCTACGTCCCTTGCGATGACATTGCACTTTGCCAACCAATACGGCAACTCGCGAGCAGTTCCAAATATGCTGCTTCCTGTCGCCCAGGGCGGTATTGATCCTAAGGGTACATTCTGGTTTTTCAGTATCGTGACGGTGATTGGTGGAATATGGGTCTGGTTTAGCATTCCAGAGACGGCCGGTCGTTCTCTGGAGAGTATGGATCGGCTCTTTGCCTTGCCGTGGTATCAAATCGGTCGCCATGGTAATCAAGATGCTGAGGATCGTGACCAAGTAATGGAAAGTAAAATGGAGATGGTCGGAACTAGTCAACATATTGAGAAGCAAGATGCTTCAGCTCGAGTTTAGCACTCGCTCTGAATTCCTTGAATTCAATTAACTCAATTCTTTGGGATTTGATGTCAAATATTTTCAAATTTCAATAAATCTTTACGAATGATATGTACGCTCTGGTCAGATATTTGGATCTTTTCTTTTCTCTTCTTTTTCTGCTATGTCAATGAATAAACTCCGGCGTCTGCCACAGTAAGAGTTTCCACAATCGCTTATTACCATAGCCTTAGCATTGCATCGCCGTAGGAACTTAGCTCTCAATCTATACTTATGGTTTTAGGATGGATTCCCTCCCGATGCCAATGATATCTACATCGCAAATCAATCAACAACTTGAATAGCTTTATAATGCTTCGCTTTCCCTTTATATAGACAACATTTATATTACCTCGGGCTTCTAAGGGATAGGAAACTGGATAGGTCAACAAAGAAAGCTTTTATTTTCACAAAGATTCGCTATTAATAAGAGGAGAATAAATCGTTAAGGCTTGAGTAGAGGAGAGAAGGCTTGAGTTGAGGAGAGGAGGATAAACTTGAAGGCGTAGAAAATTCGTTAGAGGTTGAGGCACAGCTTATTTTGCCTGAAGTAATCAAACACTTCTTGTAGCTGTGTACCAAGTACCTTCTGAATCTGACGCTATTCCCTCCAATGGAATAATAACAATTCTCGCCTTAAGAGCAGCCTTATCACGGGCCTTTGGGTCAGCCTTCGCTTTCCAATCTCCCAAATGCAGATCCATATCTTCCATATCATCGACTAATTCATCAGGAAGATCAACTCTGATCAAGAGTCCTCGAGGACGAAAGAAACCCTCATTCCAGTGCGAGATATGATGCGCGAGACGCTCGCCCTGAGATCCAGTCATCGCAGCACTGAGATTACGCTGTTCTTTTCGTCGTCGAATATGACGTGCGACAAGAACGGCTGGAATAGCACCTAGGAAACCGACCATCAACCCGCCGATGGCGAGTGTGCCCAGCCCCTTCCCGACCACTGTGGTCCATTGTTGTCGTGATAACTTTGCTTCCTCACAGATAACCTGTGTAAAGTCGCCCCATTGATCTTTCGAGATATTATGTTGTGTCAGCTCCTCTGGATATTCAAACCCAGATGAGGTTGTGGCGGTTCGTGATGGTACTTGCAGGCCTCTAGTCAAGGTAGATGAGACTGCGAACCCAAGGTCGTCGGGCTGGTTAGGCAGAAGTAGTTCTTTAGATTTATTGTCGATCACAAAGTCATCATAGTCCTTTGACGACTCGTAAGGTGGTGGAGCATCTGCTTTGCCCTGACTAGTCATAATCACAGCTATTGAAGCAGCTGAAGTGTGGATAGATCGTGGTGATGCTAGTAGCATTCCTGTTAAGTAAACTGCGATTTTGAAAGTCACAAATGTAGAGAGTTCTATACAAAGGTTGATCTCTATGGCGAGTCACGATTGGATAATCTTCAATATATTGACTGTTGGAATTGAATTTCGAGGACATTCAGATGCCTGAACAAGGTATTTAAGTACTTGAATGTACACATGCTTACAGGCCATCCAGGCATCCAGCAAACGCATCATACCGTCATTTCTAAGCTGAAATCAGAGCAGTAATCATCTCGGACGCCGATGGTGTTGACTCGGGCTGTGGAGCGAAAAAAAAAAAAGGCCAGGGTGTTCATTCATGGCGCAGAAAGAGTCACATTTGCTCATACTTACTGCAATTGCAGGTGCCTCCAGCCTTCTAGACTCAGATCCACGAATAGGATCGGCAAGCTTTCACTAAGCCAACACGATTAGCGTTAGATAGAAAGGGAATGGTGTGTTGTTGAAGCCTTTCAGAATAGCCCGCTAGTATGAAAGACCCCAAGTTGCTCGTAAGTCTTTTCCAGAAATGAGTCAACAAACTCTTTCATGAGTCAGAAACCAAATGGCCTAATCTATAGAAGGACCGTGCGCCGGAGATTGACATCTTTCGTTAGCCAAATGACACCGTAGCCTGATCCATCAGGAACCATCCACCATGACGACTCGTTATCGCGTTGAATGTATATCCTTTTACCCTTTTTACCCCATCTACTGACTCTGCTGACTCCTTGACTCCCGTACATAGATGCTCTTAAGGTAAGAGGAGAGAGTTAGCCAATCATCAGGGATGTGGGGTGTACACTAACTCCGCAGCTTAGACCCATCGACGGGATCAGTTGGTAGGTGCATCGCAGGCTTCGCACATGCAAACGCACCTTAGGCTGACAGATTTGAATAGATAGAATGGATTAAAGTACGTCATTTTCAATATATATTGAGTTTCAGGCAATCACGAATACTAAGGGCCTCCTCCTCGACCAGGGCCTATTGGCAGTCCCCTTTGTACTGCATTCCCAGCCGACCGTGACATACCAGGAAAACAGCGAAGGATTGAAAACAGTCGCGGCCGACACTTATCAGCGCTACGCAGAGATTATGCGAGATGTGGAAAATCTCATCAATAATCACAGTAAGCGAAGGGAAATTAGGCAAACAAGATATTTGGTGGAATTGAGGCTGATTTGAACTTGCTCGCAGTCCAGCATCACGAACGAAACGCACCAGGCAAGTCCAAACTCAAGCTTCTAGTACCTTCGGTGGGGAACTTCTTTACAAGATTGGACATCGAGGATGCCTTCAAGTATCAGGATGATCAACGATTCATCAGCCGGCGGAGATTCGTAGCTCCATCCTTCAACGACATCCGACTCATATTGAACTCCGCCCAACTGTTAGGCTTAGCTCGCTCCAGTGACGTTGAGCTAGTCACATTCGACGGTGATGTGACTCTATATGACGATGGGGCATGTTTAATGCCAGATAACCCAGTGATTCCACGGATTCTGCGACTCCTGGAACAAGGCCGCAAAGTAGGCATCGTGACAGCTGCAGGATACGAGGAAGCACCGAAATATTACGATCGGCTCCAAGGTCTTTTGGATGCTGTGCACGACTCGAGCACCCTTACTGCCGCTCAGAAACAAGGGATCATTGTCATGGGTGGCGAGAGTAATTTCCTGTTCCGGTTCGACCAGGATTCTGATGTCCGCTTAACCTATGTTCCTCGAGATGAATGGCTGCTCGATGACATGACGGCTTGGGCTGAGGATGACATTAAGGAGCTTCTAGATCTCGCCGAGTCTGCTCTGAGAGCATGCGCTGCGAATCTCAAGCTCCCAGCGGGCGTGCTGCGCAAGGATCGAGCAGTCGGCGTCTATCCCGTGAATGGGGTTCGAATCAATCGTGAACAGTTAGAAGAGACTGTCCTTGTGGTTCAGAACACTGTCGAACGATCCACCGTCGGTTCTCGCCTGCCATTCTGTGCTTTCAATGGTAGATATACTGCCTTTCCCCTTTTACCTCGCTTCCCTGCTAGCGAGACTGACTTGAGGTTTTCTAACATTATACAGGTGGCAACGATGTGTTCGTGGACATCGGCGATAAATCATGGGGTGTTCGCGTCTGTCAACAATATTTTGGTGGAATTGATCCTTCAAGGACTTTGCATATTGGTGACCAGTTCCTATCTGCCGGAGCGAACGACTTCAAGGTATGCATAGTTAAATACCCCTTCCCACATGATTCAAGCCGACCTTATCTCATCATAAATTAGGCTCGCCTGGCATCAACTACAGCTTGGATTGCAAGCCCCGCTGAGACTGTAGATCTTTTGGACGAGCTGGAGACTGCAGTTGGTTCATCCTAGTGTTTAGGCACTGGGTCCGACATAATATGAGTCTTACCTGCAGATGACCAGAAGAGAAATTTGAATCTCATCACCTCTTAATCTGCATTTATTCATGATATTATCTATTTAAAGCGAAATTTCCTTGATGCATTCTCAATTAGTATCTCTTGACATTATTTATTTGGTTGTTGATTGATGCTACAGTTCAAATTACAATTTCTTCCACAAGGGCAATGTCTGTAATCGCATCTTTCGATTGTTGTTGGCTAAAATCATGCTATTTTCTAAATGTAAATTCGTGGCCGTCGAAACCAGTGTCTCGATAATACGGACACAAGTAACAGAAAGGAGCAGACATCAGTACTGACTCCCTAGCCTTAAAGAACCAGTTCGATGTTGAATCTGGGATGTGTTGGCGTAGCATCATACAAACGTTGGTAGAGATGTCCATTAATATCGCCCAAGGTCAGTAGTTCGCGAGAATCCAATCATTGGATCGGGGTGGACAGTCTCATTCGTAAAGAGGATACTCGAAGTTTCTAACGAGTGACTAGATCAGTCACTTCTTGAGCGCTTCGAAGAAGCTGTGTTCCGGAGAGTGGGAGCCTCTTCATGGCGAGCCGGGAACAGAGGGGACGGAGGGGACAGATTGGACTGTGGTGGGATCTGGGAAGAAGAGAGAGAGAAATATGTTAATATCCAGGGCAAAAAAAAGGCGGAATGGTATCGCAATGAGCAAAAAAAGGTCGCATGTTGATGAGCAGATGACGAGCAAGATTCGAATTGAACTGAACGATAGACGCTATAGAAAAGGGATTTTTGTCGACATTTACGTACTCTCGTAGCAAGACCAGGTCTCTTGGGCGCGGGAAGCGGCACGGCCGGACAGAACGTTGACAACGTCTTGCAGCTCCAGCCAGAATTCAGTCTTGGGGCGACGACGCTTCCAGTCGGTCTCAGTCTCCTCCAATCCATCGGCCCCTCCCATAGGTGAGAAGAGCACTTGAGAACCCTTCACGCCAATTACCGCAGCCGAAAGCGGGTCGGCAGCAATTGTTTCGAGGTCTTTGTCAACGTAGGTTTCCATGTGCTGTATACACCTGATCGCCATACGCAGAGCACGAACACGGTCCATGGGAGAGGGCTTACCACCCTGTTGGAAGTGACCGGGCACAGCCGCACGGGACTCGAAACGGCCTTGGGCTTCCTCCTTGATCATATCAGCGATGAACTGGGTGGTGTAGGTGCCCGATGCGCATTCGTTGCGAAGGATGATCTTTCCAGCACGGTTGGCACCCTTGTCACGAATGAAGTTATCACGCAAGAAGTCAATGTCGTGCGATAGAGTCTTGATGTTAATACCCTCTTCAGGGATGTAGACTGCCACGGCACCAACGGCCAGACCAGCAGTTGTTGCAATATAACCCGACTTTCCACCTTGAGTCTCAATGACAAAGACACGGCGACGAGAAGATGAGGCGGACTGGCGAATGGCATCACAGAAATCGATCAGGGTGTTCAAACAAGTGTCACTGCCAAGGGAATACTCGGTACCAGGAACATTGTTGGAAATAGTGGCCGGTAGCACAACGAGAGGGATTTTAAACGCATCATACTTCTCGCGAGCCTGACGCAACTGACTAACAGCAGTGAAAGCTTCAAATCCACCCACCACAAACAAGGCATCAAACTTGTAAAGCTCGAAGCACTTAGCAGTGCCTTCCATATTTTCCGCCGGGAGACTACGGTTGGTTCCAATATCTGAACCTCCCTCGTTGACCCAGCTGTCAGACTCCAACCACTTAACTTCCCGAACAGAGCTAATTGGTGTGTCGGCATGGTGGCGGACTAGACCAGGGAAACCGTTGTGAATGGCAAGAGGGGTATGGCCGCGAGTCAAACAGTAAGCCACCGCAGCTCTAGTAGCTTGGTTCATACCACCGGCGGGAGCACCGACGTGGATGATAGCAATGCGCATCCTCTTGCCCTCAGGGAGGGCCATCTTGGGGTGATCGGGGGTAGCGGTATTCAAGTAAGCACGGTAGTACTCCTTGAACTCGGCATCGCGCTCCTTCATGGCGCCGTCGAAATCCTTGGCATGAATCTTGGCTGTAACATCCTTTGTAGCCTGGACCGCGTCCATCAGAGGGGTGCGCATAATTTTATTCTCGCGAATAGTAATGACGGGAACGGGGGACTGGGGAGACATCTCCAACACAGCACGAACGGCCTCTACACCCTGCAAAGTCGACAGCCATCGGTCATATGCACACGCGGCACCACCGCGCTGTGTGTGACCAAGAACTGTGGTGCGCGTATCCAAGCCCAATCTTTGTGTCAAAATATCCTTGATGGTGTTGCTCGAAATTTTGTTCAGCTGGCGATCCTGGGCACCCTCGGCAACGATGACGATAGTACGACGCTTGCCGCGCTCTTTGCGGTTCTATATTTTGTTCCGTCTCGTATTAGCTATCGATCATAATGTGTAGAGGGGATGATGGGACCCAAAGATACCTTCGTAATGACAGAGCACATTTCATCCTCCCAGCCATCTTTGGGGGGCATCTCGGGAATGAACAACCAGTCAGCGCCGGTACTGATGGCAGACATCAACGCGAGCCATCCACAGTGACGACCCATAACCTCGATAACGAATCCTCGTTGGTGTGAAAAGGCAGTGTCGAAGACATCGTCGACAGCGTCGCAAATGCGAGTCAGGGAGGAGTAACAGCCAATGGTGGCATCGGTACCAGACATATCGTTATCAATGGAACCGACCAGACCGACAATGTTTAGAACCAGGTAGGGTTCGACTTGCTCCTGGTTTAATTCGCCCTCTGCGACAAGCTCTGCCAGCAAGCCGGGCCATTCGGCACGGAAGACATCGGCACCAGTCAAACTACCATCACCACCACAAACGACCAACGCGTCAATGCCCCGAAGAACCATGTTCTTAGCGGCACGCAGGCGACCGGCACGCTCACGGAAAGACATGCAACGTGCTGATCCGATCAAAGTACCTCCGCGAGACTGCCAGCCACGGACATCCTCCCAATGTAACTGACGAATCATATTTCCGCCATTGACCAGGCCCTCATATCCTTCGAAGATGGCATAGGCCTCGCAGTCGCAGTGAATAGCCATACGGACCACGGCCCGGACGGCGCCGTTCATACCAGGGGCATCACCACCGGAGGTGAGTACGCCGATGCGGCGCTTCTTGGCCTGGTTGGCGGGGATCTTAACGGGTTCCATGTTGGGGTTGGCGAGAGTCGACCTTGGTCTGGTCGAACAAACAAGACCAACGGGGAATGGGGGAAGGGATATTCAAAAGAGAAATAAAGCAATGAATTGAATTGAGAGAAGCAAAATTATCACAATAGCCGTTGGCCAAGGACTAATTAATGAAGTGGAGGGGTTGCGCTCAAATCCGGTGAGACAAAGCAGAAGTGGGGGAAAGTGTCGTCACTGACACGGATGAGATCAATGATCTTGGTTTAAGTTTCAGACTGCCACTAAGAGGAGACTAGGGGAGGAGGAGGAGGGGTTCTAGAGGAAATGCAGGGTAAGGGGGGAGGTATAATCAGGTTTTCTCTCTATCTATCTCTATCTCTCCCTGTATATTTCTCTCTCTGTATGTCTCTCTCTGTTCCTCGACGTGAAATGGTCACAGAGGGATCATCGGTGCTGAGTCATTCTGCCGGTGAAGCTGCAGAAATGGGTTCACCGCCCGTTGTCTCTTTCAGGCTTAGTGCGGGGCACTGTTTATGTCATGTAGATCGTGTGGCGTACGCCAATCAGGCTGTTAGGGCCGGAAACGAGGGCTTGACACAAGTGAGGTCATTGGCTTTTGTATGCAGGTGGATGTACGCAGTCCAACGTTACTGTGCTCTGGCCTTCCGCATGATGCATGTACTCTGCCATGCACATAAGTAGATGATATATTAGGACAAAAGTAAAAATTTCAGAATGAGCAAGTTTTATAATTTCTAGAAATAAACAGGGTAACGAAGCACAAAAAGGCTCCAGGGAAAAACAAGATCAAAAACAAGAAAACAAAAAAAAATGGACTCGCGGGGAATCGAACCCCGGACCACTCCCATGCTAAGGGAGTATTATACCACTAAACCACAAGCCCAGTTGATATCACGAGACTCGGATTTATGTTATATAAGCGCAATGCTAGCTACATAATAAAAAATACCCGATTGGGCATAGTCTGTGTCTCCCCTTTAGGCAATGAATCCAAAAAAGTGAATGAATTGAATTGACAATATATAAGACAATATATATCCTCATCATGATGGATATGCATGGTATCCCGCATGTGCAGCATGTGCAGTTCGCAAATGGATGTTCAATCAAGTACTGTTCATACTAGTAGGAAGCAATATAATATTGAAGGTTACCCGGAGCATCTTCACGATCATAAAAGCATGATCGTCATGATCTGTGAATGGCAATAGATGAAACAGATGAAACAGCCCCCAATAAATCCAACCCTATATCAGACTTGGGCCACATGCTTCGTTGCCACACTAGGCAAAGCCTCAAAAGTAACGCATAACTAATAAGCTTTGCCCGCACAGCAATTGTGGCTTTGATCGCGAGCGGCACGAACTCAAACCATTAGTTCAACTCCTAGTACTTATCGTCAGGCTTCCACCCCCAAAATCCTCCATTTCCGCCTTTCCCCTTCTTGTTTGCTCTTCAATATTCAATTTGCATAAAGCATCATCTCTCTCTCCAGCCTTTTCGACCAATCCGAGATCGGTCCCACTAAAGCCAGGGATCGTTGCCCAGCGCCCGTGCAAGTTCGTGCAGGAACCCGAGATCGTGAAGAAGATCAACCCAGTGGGGTGCGTATGATCCCCTACCGACAGACGGCACCTTCAACTTGAAGACGCGACTCGGTATATATATGAGACAAAACGGCGTGCGCCAACCTGCTCAATTCAACATGGGTCCCCGTCCCCAAGATGTCATTTCGCACATATCCAAACGCGCCCTAGTCTCTTACATCATCGATTGGGTCTTCATCATGTATGCGCTTTGAACCATATCAATCCTTGACGATATGTTGCCCATCTCTAACCAACATCTTCTTCAACAACAGCGGCGTGGCTTTAATCGGATATGCTTTTTACAAGCAAACACCAAACCAACACCCCTTTTCCTTATCCGACCCGACTATTTCATACCCCTATACGAAAGATGAGACAGTCACAGACACAACCCTCGTCCTAGTGACCCTTCTTGCTCCTGCCGCCATCGTCGTCCTGGGAGCCATTTTATTCGTCCCCGGAACCGCCGCCCCGGCCGGTGTCAAACCATCCATCGCACAGGTTCTTCGTCGCAAGTTCTGGGAATGGAACGTCGGGTGGATGGGACTAGGTGTGGCCTACGCCGGCGCATTCATGGCCACCCAAGGACTCAAAGTGGTAATTGGTAGACCACGCCCGGATCTACTGGCGCGCTGTGATCCCGACATCGATAATATTTCGGCCTACGCCGTTGGTGGACTAGGCCAAAGCTTGCCAGGCGCGACCACCATGGTGTGGTATAAGATCTGCCGGAAGCAGGACTCGAATTTGAGAATTGACGGATTCTCGAGTTTTCCCAGTGGTCATTCATCTAGTGAGTCAAGTCATCAGCGACAGCAATAGCAACACAAAGAACAACTATTGATCCCATACTTTTTCCTAGGTTCTTTCGCCGGACTAGGCTATTTGACCCTGTGGCTGGCCGCAAAAACGTCGGTCGGATTTCCCTATCTTCCATCATACCCTATCGAGGGAGACAACCATCACGATGACGAAATCTCAATCCGTAAACGTGGAGCAGCGCCCCCAGTAATGCTCATGGTTCTTGCCTTTGTCCCAACATGCACTGCATTCTTCATTGCTGCATCTCGATGGTTCAATTATCGACACCATGCCTTCGATATAATATTTGGATCTCTGATGGGAGCATTCTTCGCCTGGGTTGGATTCAACATGTATCAGCTTCCTATCCGACGAGGGGCAGGTTGGGCATGGGGCCCACGAACTGGTCGTCGGGCCTTCATTCGAGGCTTCGGCTTCCCAAGTTCTCTGGGAATCGATAATTGGACATACAGAAATACTAGTCGCGATGAGCTTGATGGGAGCACTGCGCATACCCAGGATGTACGGAATAGGCAGCACGAGCAGAACAACACATGGCCGCAAATTACTGTGGATAATGGATACGAAAATGACTCGCATAATATGCAGGAAATCTACCAAATGAGGCAGAGACCGCCGCCATCACCGGTATCTCCCTTATCTGACGGCCCAGCAATGGTGTAATGAGGGTTTAACATGTACAAAAGAAAAAGATTTTTTAACAAGCCTACCCTGGTGGTCAAGACATGCTTACATGTTCATTCATTGATAATGTGTATTAATTTATGTGCTATCACATAAGACTTACGTTTGTTGTTGCATCCGAGGATTCATGTATACTCCATTACACTCCGCTTGATTGTGGATTGTGTCTCGGTTTAAATGTCAATGTATTAATTGGATTGTATATGAGACTCGGTAACTTACTCGGTCCTAATAAGAAATTAATAATACGTTTTCTGAATAATCATTCCCAAGACAGCAACGAGACCTGTGAGCTATACTCACGATGCCAAGACAATTAATGTATGACGATCTCGGCGTTAAGCGGCGGGGTTAGCGATTACGAGGAAGAGAGATCTTAAGACGTCCATAGTCGAAGCTGATGAAAGCCAATCAAATTAAAGTATTCTATGGCTTCATATGTGATTATTAAGAGCGTAACTCATGGTAGATGAACTTGGACTCTATATAAACCATCCAGTACCCCTTCCAAGGTTGTATCCATTCTTCCACTCATCAAGTCTCCATATCAACCAGCCTCAGATCTACTTTTCTATTTTAAAATCAAAGACCCCTCTCCTTTTCAAAATCTCCTCCAACATGGCATCATATCTAGTCACTGGCGCCTCGCGCGGCTTGGGTCTAGCACTGGTAACCCGACTAGCAGCTTTGCCAACAACCGAAGTGGGAAAGATCATTGCCACCGCGCGCTCAGACAACTCTCCTAAACTCAAAGAGCTTATCGACACCTCATCAGGAAGGGTAGAATTAGTCAAATTGAATGTCTCCGATCAGAAAAGCGTATCAGAGGTAGCTGGCGAGGTCGAACGCGTGCTCCAGGGTAAGGGCCTTGATTTCCTGATCAACAACGCCGGAGTAATGGATTACTCCCCAACCGGCGTGGAGGGAATGTAAGAGCACCGATCTACTTCACACTACCCCTTTGATGTTGACAAAGTATACTAGGGACAAACTCAATGAACTCTTCCAAACAAACGTCGCCGGAGTCCATATGGTGACACGAGCCTTGCTCCCTTTACTACGAAACGGAAACAAGAAAACAGTCATCAACATGTGAGATATTTTAACGCTCAAACTAATGCCATCCAAATACTCATTAAACTTCCAGATCGAGCACAGTGGGCAGCTTTGCGTTGATTGAGAATTATCGCCAGTCGCCCACTCCCGCATACAAGGTGACCAAAGCGGCATTGAACATGTTGACGTTGCAATATGCCCAAACCTTCGAAACCGAGGGCTTCACCGTTGTTGCAATTAGTCCTGGCGTAGGTTTATAACTCTATATCAAACAGTCCTTGAAGCAGTCTTTATTGACTCGTTGCTAACTTTTACCAGTGGCTACGTACCGACGCTGGCACCGAACGTGCAGATCTTCCCGTTGAAGTCGGGGCCGAGAAGACTGTGGATATAATACAAAGCACAGGACCGCACCAGAATGGTAAATTCTTGAACATCCATGTTGCAGGATGGGAAAATGCACCAGGGGCCAACCAATATCCAGGCGGAGAGTCAGGCTGGTGAAGAGCAAGTTGACTAGGTGAGTTTCGAGTGGATCGACGGATATAGTAGTTTGCCGGAGAGCATGAAGGGAATTGTTTCTGAATTATTCCATTAAATTATCTTGAAAGTATGCTGAGATAGGTACAATAACAGGCAGTATGTTGTCAAGATGGCATGTTTCCATATATGGGCACCGTTTAGCTACTAAGTATTTACAATGATTATTAGTCTAATGTAATCAAAGCAAGAAGAATAGATTAAACTTACGCGGCACAAGAGTGGCTCCCCTCTGTCTTAGGATCTTCACATCCACTCTCGCAGAGCTTGGGATGACCAACAATACCGGGGTTCTTGCAGTGGAAGAGGACATTCTTCAATGGCTGCTTCTCCAGGTCGGTTCCTTTGATGACATCTTCCAGATCCGCTTCCGTGAAACCTACATAATTAGTATCGTGCTGCAACAGTTGATCCATTTCACATACCCTTGTCTTTGATGAGAACATCGGAGCAGTAGTCAAAGCTAGGAGTGCACGTCTTATCGGCCAGGCCTGTGGACACTAGAGTGAAAACAGCGAGAACAACGGCGGAGAACTTCATTTTGACTTGGCTTGAATAAAATAATAATATCAAAGGTAGTAGTAAACTCTCGAGAACAAGAAATAGAAGATAATTTATATTAATCATTTAGATAATGACGCGGACAAACAAACCTTGCTAGATCTGCCCCCCATGGAATGTTCGCTGGTATGTAGTTACGACATGGTGCATGCCACACCGAAGGAGTCTCACATATTAGTGTCTGTAAAGCGAGCTATTTCTACCGAGTACTTTAAGGCGACTTATCTCTAATGGTTAGTTCCTTCTTATGTGAGAGGGGAGAATGAGTTGAGTGTCAACTGACCGCAGCCAAGGAATTCTATACACAACACCGACCTGTCTAGCCTTCAAAGTTACACATCAAGAGCTTGATGTAATAACCTCCTTGTCATGTACTAAATACTCCGTTTCCAGAAAAGGCAACGCTGATCTCCCGAAACAATCTGAGAAGATGTTTCCATTGCGACGATTGCCTTCGGGGAATCTGCATGGTCAGTCCGATGGTAGAGATATCTTAAATCGCGACTGCATTGATTTCCTCAAATTATAAGACCCTCGAGAATGTAGGTTCTTGAGGGGATATCGGTTAGAAACTAGACTATACACTCTAAACAAGCGGACTGATGTCCGTATGATGGAGACGCGCGAGTCCCAACACGGCATGTCGAACCGCGAGCGTTGATAAGATGAGATAAACCCCGCACGGCACACCAAAAACTTCGATATCAACATAAATGGCTCCTTCTTTCACTGACTTGGCTGGATATCTTACTAGCTCATCAATTATTGGTGAAAATCATTAGCAGGACTGTTGCAGATTTGAGGTAATCAACATGGACCCGAATATCGATCTTGGTATGGCCAGCTACACATCCTGCAAGACACAGTTAACTAATGTATCCTAGTCACCAAGCTGGTGATGGCCGATCCAGGTCTACCAAGACCCAATCCCACCCAATCCTATTGGCAGCATGTTCCTCACGCACTGGCAAATACACAATCCACCACTTTACCTGCCAAAAGGGACCATGTGATAATAGGATCAGGGATTTCCGGACTATCGGTCGCTAAAAACCTCTTGGAGAGACATCCATCCGCAAAAATAACGATACTAGAAGCTAGAACTCTTTGCTCTGGCGCAACAGGGCGCAATGGTGGCCAGATGGCTGCTAATGTGGGCGAGGAATACTCGCATCTGGCTGATGCACACGGCTCCGAGATGGCTGGCAAGATTGTAGCGTTTACGTTCCGGAACCTGGAAAAAATGCAAGATTTGATTCGAGAATATGATGCGGTTGAAGCGAGCGAGATGCAGCAATTACAGAAATTACGGGCCTTTTTAACAGAGGATACCTTTCGGGATTTCAAGAAGAGTATTGTGCGTTTACTATCGGATCATCCCTCATGGGAAGGCCTGTATAGAATTATTGAGAAAGATACTTTGATCAAGGTTTGTTTTGATTGATCTCTTCTTCGTAAGAATTGTTTATAATTTCTTTTCTTCTTCTTTTTCAGGACCACGGAATTCACGGAGCTGCCGGAGGAGCTCTGCTTCCTGCAGCAACCGTTTGGCCATATCGCCTCGTCACAAAAGTCTTTGCTGCCTTGATGGACAAATATCCCGATCGACTGACCATCGAGGCAAACACACCTGTCATGGCCGTCGAGAATGAGTCCAATTCCGCCACACCGATAACATCTGCATTTCCGTATACCATTAGGACAACCCGTGGATCCATTCGAGCCAGCAATGTAATATATTGCACCAATGGGTACAGCGGGCACCTTTTGCCCAATCTACGAGGACGAGTGCACCCGTTCAAAGGTACTATGACGGTCCAAGACCCCGGCAACACGATAGAGAACCGAGGAAAGTCCACATCGTGGGGATTCCACTATCCAATTACCTATGACCCCGAGACGAAAGAATCCGGTCACGGATTATATTATTTGGGACAAAGTGTCAAGACAGGCTATTTCTATCTCGGAGGCGAAAATGCTCGTGCAGAACATGTCCTCTCGGCGGACGATAGCTTCGTGGATAAGAAGTCCGTAACCCATCTTCAGACTGTTCTACCACAGTTCTTTGGGAAGAGCATCCCCTGCAAAGTCGTCAGTTCATGGAGTGGAATCATGGGCTTTTCGTCTGATGGGTTGCCTTTAGTGGGCCAGCTGCCAAAGTCACTGACAGGGCGCTCTGGGGAGGGAGAATGGATCGCCGCAGCTTTCAATGGTTATGGTATGGCCAATTGTCTAATGTGTGGCGAGGAATTGGTTTCTGCAATGCTTGGAGATCGTAAGAGTGACTGGCTTCCTGGCGCATATGGACTTGGCGAAGAGAGGCTGCGAGATGTTCTGATTGCGCCTGAATCCATCAAGGCCTTAACCTCGAAGCTGTAGTTGAACTTGAAGGTCAATCCAATTCATTTAATACCAGAACAACATCGATGCACCGTCCCCAGACGCCATACTTATGTAGTCAATAAAAACATTGGAAAATTTGAGGTTCATGGCCGCGTAGGTACCCGCCGAATATCTTGTAGAGAATGTCAAATCTGAGATTAATTTATATCGAAATTTACATAATGGGAAAAGGGTATCCTGCGCCTGTTCAATGCATGATTGCTGGGTGCAAAATTTTTTATTTTCTTCATGGGTGCAGCCCCACCCGCCGCGATGGACTTTTCTCCCCCTTGACTGGATATACGATTCCTGGCGACTCCAAAAAAGCTCCTCGACTGTAAAAAATATTATCAGGAAGCAAAAAGATGGACTCGCGGGGAATCGAACCCCGGACCACTCCCATGCTAAGGGAGTATTATACCACTAAACCACAAGCCCAATTTGATGTGGGTCGAGGCCGTGAAGTGGTTGGGAACGGCTGGGAAGTGGGGAGTTAAGTATGGATGACAACCCGATCGCGCGACCCGCTTCAATTTGTGCCTTCAGCTATGACAAATTCCATCATGGAAGTATGGCCATTTGCACTTTCTGTGGACCGTCGGGGCGAGTTCCATGTATTTGACTCGGAATGAGACCGTTGCTCTCCAGTTCCACGTCCAAAACCGTCCACACCGCGCACAAAGTAAGTTGAAAGGGAGAGGTCATGGCGAGACAGGTTGACCTTCATCTTCTTGTATTTTGAGGAGCTGCTGCTGCTACCAGAGAGTAACAGTTCGCCAAGGTGAGGATAAATTGCGTTCCATGATTTGGAGACACCATCTGGACTCTTTCCCCCCGTTGGTAGATCCGCAGAGGAAATGCGGGAAATAACTTCTAGTAGCAAGGCATGAGTGATCGCAGATTCAACCTCATCCCTCAAGCCAATGGGGCCTGGAGACTTGAGATCAGAGAAGGATGGGAAGTTGAAGGACACATCATAATAAGTTCCGAATGGCGGGGCAGATAGATTGGTTCGGATTGTAATCTTGAAAGAATTGTGACTCTTGAGGTTCACTTGAAACACCGATTCGACTGGCATGAGGAACTTTTGAACAAGTGCTTCAACTGTAGGTGTTGAAGGAGAAGGACGGAGGGAGGTTTTGTTAGTGAATGCATTGATATCCGATTCGGGAAGCTCCAATCCAGATAAACGGAAAACAGACGTTATATCTTGGAGAAATGAGTTCAACAAGCAGAGTTGCACAAGATGTTGGAAGTAAGCAAGAGCGGGGCGAAGGAGGTGATATTCTGGAGTCGGCCGCTTCTTAGAGGTCAGTGGTGGCGGTACTTGCGTGCGACGACGTAGATTCTGGCGATGAGCGAAAGCAAGAAGAATGCGCATGGAGTGCGCTAAGCCGTCCGCAAGAAGCCTATCTGCTTCTGTAGAGTTCTGGTCGGCCTCGAGACTCTCATCATTCGCATCTACCAAATCCAATAAGATTTCCGTATCGTCGGATGCAGGGACTTGAATGAGGTTTTGACGGGTCGTCACGCCACAGCTAGCCATGGATCGAGCTTCACGAACTAATTCATGGAACAGTTCTTCCTCGAAGACCGAGTCCCGCGCTTGCAGAATACGTTGCTCAACCGATTCCGCGTTATCAGATGTTGTAGCCCGTGGATTAGTACTGCTCGTGATGAGTGATCCTTGCCTCACACGTACTCGAACAAATCGAACTCCGGAAGGAATCAGACCCTTATCCAAGATTAAACTTCCATCCTCTGACCGCCGTAAGGAAGCCAGACCACGGTCGCGAAAGACAGGTGTAGCTTCCAGGAACCCATATTGCACACCCAGTGCTTGTCTCTCGTGCGGCAACCGGCAAATCTTCCACCCTTTGTCCTTGACTGCTAATACCTCGTTCCAATACCGGGTCTCTGATGTGACCTCCGTCTCAAGTCTGGAGGCAGCCTTCAAGAGTTTGCTCGATGCCGAATTGAAGTTTTGAATCCTCCATCCCCTTGACACGGTCGATATATCCTTTGTAGCCGATTCTGACTTCGGAGGTGGGTTGACTGCCTCAGCATCAAGGGAGCCAAGAGGTGCGACTTGTTTCAAGTATGCGGAGATAGAGGTTTCAGCTTGGCGTGGGGCGTTTTTCGATAGGAGGAGGGAAATGAAATCAAGAGCGAACAAAGCTTCCATATGCGATTGTCTAGAGATCCTTTGTTAGTTGTTATCCAAGTCGTGGATTCGTCAGGCGAGTGGACTAACACGGCGAATTGGGTGATTTCGTTTCGCTTCTTGTATAATTGTTCAATGCGCTCTGTGGTGTCGAGGTCGCTCGTTTCTTGATCATCATGTTCGGAATCTTGTATCCCATCGTCCTCCCTTTCTTCCTTTATTTTGGCGTGGAGAATCTCCTCGTTGACATCTCGGAAGGAACCCCAATGCTCGGCTATCTGGGCGATTTCGACTGGCAAGGTGTCGGGATTGCCTTGTCGCTCCAAGACGGATCGAAGAGGTAGGGTGAAGGAATCCGACATGGTGAAAAGAGTGCTTGAAACCCCACCACACTCAATTGTATTGGGAGAGGAGAGGGAGAGAGAGGGTGGGGAACGAGATGGAGCTACCATGCGCGTTATCAGTTGCAGTCGGGGAAAGCAAGTATGGGTCACGTGAGGATATAGTCATTACCAGCACAATGAATTGCATGATGAAGTATTTGTTAAAAATACGTAAAAATAGTCAAAATAAGGTTAAGTGAGAGTGTATGAATGTGTCATAAGAAACTGGAAATGAATCATGGGCATCACATCATGTCTATCTGATTGCAGAACCCATCAATTAGCTTAGGGAGGTATTATTACGACTAAAATCGAAAGACCAGGAGCTGAAATTATATTATAGAATGTATTCGGATGATGGTATGTAGTAGTGAGTTGTCTGTCAAAATCTAAAGAAAATCTTGTCCAAAAAAACAATAGTGAACTGATCCATTCAGTTTGACTAGATATATCAATTTCGCCGCGAGCTCTGCCGAGTCTTCACAAAGTCCACCAAGTCAAAGAAGCTCTTCTTATAATATCTCTCTTGCGTTGTGCGATTGACTTTCTGGATGCCAAATTGCTGCGAATAGTCTCCAAACTCCCAATTGTCAACGAAGCTCCATGCAAGGGCGCCCATAACATGAACCCCGTCTTCATAGATCGATTTCAAGACTTCGGACATGAACGATAGATAGTATTGACTGCGAGGAGAGTCGAATAACTGGTCAGGTAGCTCTTTGGTCGACTCGCCATATACAGGGAAGCCAAATTCTGATAAGAACACCGGATGTTTCCATGTGTTATAAATGTTTGATAGAAACTCCCGGAGACTGTTTAAATCATTAGAATGACAGGTTATTGCTTCAAAAAGTGAATGAAAGAGATCTTAAAACAATTCAAACAAGAAAGGTAAGTCTTACTAGGTTGGCGTAATGTATACATATGATGCTGACCGATACCCGATATTCCAGCCATAGACGTTGGTTGTCTCCTGATTCACGCAATAAGGAAAGAGAGAATTCGAGCTTGAGTTGTTCGAAGCGCAGGCATCAAAGCCTTCATCCGCAGGAGAGACCACTGTAGCAGTATACGCATCAATACCAAAGAAGTCTGCTGTATTATTCATATAGGCGAGCTCAGTGGCATTGAGTTTCCTAGCTCCCGGCAAAGTGTTCAGTATAGAGTCAGGGTATTGCTTGCCCAAGTATATCGGATTGGCGAAGAAGCCAAGTTGCATTTCTTGGAATCGATTGGCAGCTTCAACATGACTGGCGTTTTTGGGGTCTTTGGGAACACCAAAGTTATCATTAAACTTGAGGCCCATCTTACCGGTGCCTTTGAGCTGATCATGGTAAAAGTGATATACCTGCGAATGAGCATGGATGACATTATCCACACCCTGGAAGTTGAATGCATATAAGAGTGGCTCGTTGAATGTGACCCAGATGGGAACTCGATCCGCGAAATGAGTAAGAAGAATCTTGCCATAGTTCACAAATCTGGCAAATAAATGAGTTAGAAAGAAGCGCAAGTCATCTAAGAAGTCTTCAAGTCAGATCGTTCACTTACGCGTCCACAAAGGTCTCGTTTTGATAACCGGCATTAGCATTTCCAATGACTGGATGTGCCGCTAGAAGCAATGTTAGCACTTTGGAAAGAGGAAACTCAAATACAAACAAGGGGGCATACTTATATTGTCATCAGCAACAAACATCAAGGGACTATCGAAATGAAGCATTGTCACAATAGGATGCATTCCCGCATCGAGAATAGTATCAATCAAATCATTATAGTGATCAATGCCCTTCTGATTGACAGGAGTTCCGGGCAGAACAAAGGGCAGAATGCGCGACCATGGAATACTGAAGCTATAGTATTCGACGCCCATGGCAGCTAGCCGCTGAATATCCTGTTTGTAGAGAAAATAATTTTCATTGGTGACAAAGTCATTTGGCTCACCATTGCCACCGAATTTTTCCAAAAGTGACGGAGAGCGACCCTCAAGGCCGATTGCACCCTCGATTTGAGCAGCACTTCCAGCCACTCCAAGTATAAAGTCATTGGGAAAGTCGTAGCAATCGGTCGGACCAAAATAGTCGCGGGGGGGTAGAACGAGCTCACTTGATGGCACGGCAGTGGGGCTAACAGTGGTAGAAAAGAGACCCGTAGTCGTCTATAAGGAATGATCAGTGTGTGTTAAAGCAATTTCCAAGGACTTTCTGAACAACGAACGTAATTTTGAAGGTCTGCCTCTAGCCACATTGAAGACCACGCTGCTTGACCATAAGGATCATTTGTATCAGTAGCACTGATTGCGGTCTGACCCGGGAGCCAATCTCCCCATGTCGAAGTTGATAAGCTTGTGGTTAATTTTTTAACAGCCTTTGTGTATGCAGGTGCATATGCTTTAGTCTTGGTGGGCGAAGGAACCGAGGTTGCGTATCTTTCTCCGGATTAGTACAGCTTCAGAGAATAAGATGTTGGGAACTCACCTAACAGTCTCGTTGAGTGTATACGAGAATGGTTGAAATTGATAATTTAGAGATGAGACCGCATGTGTACATTTAGGTCGTGTAGATGTGCCGTTCTTTGTTATATAGAGTTCCTGTGCCTGGACAGCAGCAGCAAAAACCGCGATACTAACTGAAAGGTGAACCATTATTGCTCAATTATGCAGAGCATTCAACCCTCCCATGAACAGTGGTACAGGAACTCCCTTTAAAAAGTTTTCTCCTGGTCCAACCCCTCGACTTGTTCTCTGCAGCCCCACATTTCGCAACCTACGCAATCCGGGGAATTGTCGGTAGAAGGGTAGAAGGGATCACCATGAGGTAGACAATCTTGGTCGTGGCGTCAAAGCCAAATCTATTATAATGGATCGGGCTAGCACCGAGCGGGAAGAAAGAAGGTATCGATCTGCACTTTTCTCTCGTCCAAATCAGGCTGCGTTGCAGTTCTTGGTCGTATTAGTCCGGACCCACATCCGAGTGACTCTATACTTCCCCGCATCAGGAGTAAGATCGGAGGTTTTATCCACGAACTCCACCGGTTAATTGCGAGAAGCCGAGGCATTTATTAATATTATCCATTGACAGTCTGAGATCATAAATAATCCAAGATGAATGAGCCGTATAGCTTGTATTTAGATAAAACTGCAGTAGATTTTACGATGGTACATTCCGGGCTGATAGAATGCCACTGCTAGACCTTCCGTGCACAAGGATTCATCCGTATCTAACATTAGATGCTGCTTCGCTAAACCAGTCATCATTTGCGAGTGACTCCTCCGCAGTTGCAAAATTCATGATGGTGCTTTTCGTTAATGAGTAAGCATGATAAGCATCAACCCCATTCTCACTTCCCACGCCACTTGAAGCCTTGACTCCCCCCCAGGGGCTACTCGGGTCATTTCGGTGATGAGTATTCACCCAGACAATCCCAGCTTCAATCTGTTCGGAGACCGAGAACGCTTGACTGAGGTCTTCCGTCCAGATGCCCGCACCCAGGCCGAACTCGGTGTCATTGGCGAGCGCGACAGCCTCCTCTTCCGTATCAAAGCCAACAACCAGAATCACGGGCCCAAATGCTTCTTGGTGCCATATAGATGAGTTGACAATATTATTAGATGTTTTGGAGACAAGGACTGTCGGCTCATAATAATATCCCCGTGAAAATTCGAATCCGTCTAGAGAGCTTATGCCGCGCATGCGAGCACCACCGATAAGGGCCTTTGCATTATCTGCTAGAGAATCTTTCACTAGCTTTTCCACATTCTGTAACTGCTTCTCTGATACCAACGGCCCCATCATCGTCTCAGGGTTGCTGGGGGACCCCATTCGTCTCGTGATTCCATGAACCTTATCTTTCAATCGCTGTAGCACTTGATCCATAATCTTGTTGGCAACGATGATTCTCGTACTGGCAACACATGTCTGGCCACTTGCAATAAAGCTTCCAAAAGCAATTCCGTTTACAGCGACATCAATGTTAGCCTTTTCGAATACTATCAATGGAGCCTTGCCGCCTAGCTCCGCAGTATATTTGGCCAAATTGCCACCAACGATTGCCCCGATCGCTTTCCCTGCAGCAGTACCCCCGGTGACATCAACTTTTCGTACAAGAGGATGGGACACTAGAGCTTTTCCAGTTGTGGCGCCATAGCCTGGCAAGACACTGAACACACCAGCTGGTATACCGGCACGATGAAGAATCTTCCCCAGAAGAAGCGAACTCAAAGGTGTCAGCTCACTAGGCTTCAGAATAACACTGTTCCCCGCAGCGAGAGCTGGAGCCAGCTTCTTCACAGCAATAAGGAGTGGGTGGTTGAACGGAGTGATCTGAACCACCACACCTAAAGGCACACGGTCGATGAAGTTATGCAACTTGCCCATTGTTGGAAGAACTGATCGCTCTTCCACTCGAAGAATTGAGGCATAATATTTGAACCATTTTACAAGGGATGGGACCTGAGCCTTCATTTCCCGAATGGCTCGACCTGTTTGCTTCACTTCCAACGGGATGAGTTCCGCCAGGGCGTCCGAGAGTAGAACCGAGCATTTCTCAAGAACATCTGCGCGCTCATGACGACTTTTCTGAGACCATACACCGGCTTTGTATGCCAAATGAGCAGCCTGAACTGCATCTTCCACGTCTTTTTCCGACGCCGCGTGACACCTAATGCCGTTAGAATGAGGCGAACACAAGAGCAAAGGGCGATAGAACAACTCACTGCGCGAAGATCTCTCCAGTAGAAGGGTTCTCAATGGGAATTCTACAATAATTAGCAGGCATTATTTTGATTCAGATCTGGTTTCGCATACAAAGCTTCCCCGCCCTGCTGCTCCTTGCCCGCAAGCCATAATAGATAAGGGGTTGCCATGACAGAACGACGACGAAGAAATGGAGTGAATTTGGACTTTGGTTTGAGGCTTAATGCAATATGAACTCTGAGTTGTCATATATGAAATCTGGTGGTAAGTGTGTTAGGTAGGTAATATGTGGTCAATCAGACGATGCGTGTGAGATGATAAGAGACAACCCCGCACCGGAACTAAATCTATCTACTGCATAGTATCATCTACCTTACAACGTCAACTCATAATATCACCAGAAATAAGTTGTTAACCTCCAATGATTCTGCTAAACGATCTGATAATATAGAACATAGCTTCAGGACTTTTGTTGAAAATGGATGTTTAATTACACCCGCGGCACACAGCACTCTGGAGTATAGAAGATCAGTAAGTGTCCCACTAATAACTACTCGGTCTTTTTAATGAACTTTAACTTGACTAACAGAAAACTTAAATAATCATATTAGAATGTAAATCTGCAACTCAACCCGCGCTCGTTTTGGCATAGAATTACTGAACCGGGGAACTTGAAGCTTCACCGGGTTCGCCGATGCTCAGAATAGTAAACGCCAAGAAGACCCTGCATCCAGAAACTGTAAAGTAGACAGTCGATCTACCACGGTTGTAGCACATTCTGGTGATCTATGCGACATCATGCAACACACAATCACCTGTGGCTAGCATGGCACCTTGTCATCCACAGTATTTAATCGCATGCACCCGTCCATTCTGTACATGCCCACAACTCACTACTACAACAACACTTGTCAGACAAATAACAGTGGAAAGCTCAAAATAGAATCCACCTACAGAGTGGGTTCAAGTCCTCTGACCAAAATGAAACTCCCGAAAAGCCTAGGGGTCTTCTCTGTGGTCCTCTTCGCGACCAACTTGAAAGCCTATGCAGAACCTCTCGTTTCAGCTCCAGGTGAAAGCTCAATAATCCCAGGATGGCGGATGCAATCAGTCACCAAGATAAAAGACGACATATCCAACATATCTCGACCAGGGATAAACGTGTCTTCGTGGTATGAAGTCGCGCCTCGCAGTACTGTGATGGCAGGTCTCCTTGATAACAATGTATACAACGAGACGGACCTCTTTTACTCTGATAATATGGAGAAATTGGCTGGGCAATCGATCTTCAAAGCGCCCTGGATATACCGAAAAGAATTCAGCATGAATCCCTCCAGCGATCAATACTATACTCTCCGGACCCACGGCATCACATCCAAGGCAGACATATACGTGAACGGCGCACAGATTGCATCCAGTGATCAACAGCAAGGCTCGTATGGAGGTCACACCTACGATTTGACCGGCCACATAGAATCTGGGTCTAACTGTATCTTGATTCGCGCTTATCCGACAAATTATCTTCGAGATTTTGCAATGGGCTTCGTGGATTGGAACCCCTATCCAGCAGATAATGGAACTGGAGTCTGGCGAGATGTGGAAGTAATTCAAACAGGAGCTGTTTCAATGTCACCGCTTCGAGTGCTCACGGATTTTGAGAAGCCCGACTCGAAGAGTCTCGTCAATGTTACTTTGAAAACAGACCTTGTGAACCATTCACCTCGAGCTATTCGAGTGGAGATAAATGGTACAATCACAGGTCCGATCCGGGCTGATACCGCCATTATAAGTGGCTTTTTTGAACTCAATGCAGGGGAAACAAAGACTGTGTCAATACGAAGCGCCATCAGGAATCCACAGATTTGGTGGCCCGCTACGTGGGGTGAACAACCAATGTATGTTGCTCACGTCGACGCCATGATCCGAGAAAACAAGCTTGTTCTTTCCGACTCCTCAGTTCAGCAGTTTGGTATCCGACATGTCTCTTCATATGTAAATCAGCACAGTGATACAGCTTTCGTTGTCAACGGGGAGCCATTCCAAGTGTTGGGTGCTGGTTATGGTCCAGATATCTTCCTGCGATTTGACGAAGATAGGGTTTCGAATATCTTTCAATACATGATCAATATGGGACTAAACACGGTACGACTAGAAGGGAAACAAGAGCACCCCGAGCTCTACCAGCTTGCCGATCAAATGGGGTTGATGGTCCTGGCTGGGTGGGAATGCTGTGACAAGTGGGAAGGATGGGAGGTAAGTCAACTTACCCAAATCTGATCAGATATGCTTGAGTGCATATAATAATGTCAGTTCTAGTTCAATAATGATGCCGATGGCGTAAAATGGGGAGAATCAGACTACCCCATTGCGCGTGCAGCGATGCTCCATGAAGCAGAAATGATGCAAGCACATCCTTCTCTCCTCGGTTTCCTAGTGGGCTCTGATTATTGGCCAAATGACCGTGCGACCGAAGTTTATCTCGAATCATTACAGAAAATGGATTGGCAGAATCCGATTATTGCATCTGCAAGCAAAAGGGGCTATCCTGAAGCTTTAGGTCCGTCAGGAATGAAGATGAACGGCCCTTACGACTGGGTTCCACCAAATTACTGGTATGGAGACGAAGATGGAGCAGCTTTCGGGTTTGGAACCGAACTCGGTGCAGGAGTAGGAACTCCTGAAATGAATAGTTTGAAGATATTCATGACAGATTCAGATCTCGAAGCTCTTTGGAAGAAGCCCGATGCCGGTTTGTACCATATGTCCAGCAACGTCTCATCATTTTACGATCGTTCTATCTATAACAAGGCACTTTTCTCTCGATACGGCGAGCCATCGAGCCTTGAAGACTACATCGCCAAGTGTCAAATGGCAGACTATGAAGCAACCCGTGCCCAGTTTGAGGCGTATTCCACTCGACAAAATGCGTCCAGGCCCGCGACAGGCACGATTTACTGGATGCTAAACAGTGCCTGGCCAAATCTCCACTGGCAACTGTTTGACTATTATCTGAACACGATGGGAGCATACTTCGGCACCAAGATTGCAACGCGAATGGAACATGTTGCATACAATTATGAGAGTCAAAGTGTCTGGTTGATCAACCATTCGCTTGAGAACCAGGGAGAGCGAGAGATTTCAGTTGATTTGATAGACAAGAATGGCAAAAAGATTTGGAGCACCCAGGCGAAGACAAGCACTATACCGAGCTCCTCGAAGGAAATTCTATCTGTGCAAAAGGTTGACGATATCGAAGATGTTGGATTCCTTCGACTCATTCTCCGTGATACCAAGGACAAGAAAGATCTAAGTCGAAATGTATACTGGCTATCTCCAACAATGGATGTCCTAGATTGGTCAGAGTCAAACTGGTACTATACCCCTGTGACAAAATATTCGGATTATACAGAGCTGCAATCTATTCATTCATCGCCAGTGAAGATGACCTTGAAGAATACAAAGCTGGATCGACCAGCTACCGGATGGACCTCTATTGAAGTCCAACTCGAGAATACATCCAAAACGCCCGCGCTGTTCATGCGACTTGATATTATTGACCTAAAAAGCAAGATGGAGATAAAGCCAGCTTACTGGTCTGACAATTATGTTACTCTTTGGCCAAAGGAAAAGCTCCCAATTACGGTGATCTACCAGGGTGATGTCGAAAACATCCAGATTGAAGTCTCTGGGCGTAATGTGGCGACACAGACGATCAAGAAACGCATCGTGTAGGTGTCCTGGGGGATAATTTACTTTGAAATGAAGATTTTTATTGTTTATCTTAGGTAGTTCAAAGTTCTCGTTGATCATTTCAGTTGCTTGTGTTATCTCAAATTGATGCTCTTTGACCGGAAGTGTAATTCGACACGCTGTGAATAAAAAAAAAGCCAATACAGCCATAAAAAACAGAGAAACCCATAATTAAAAACTATATATAGGACCTATTCGCATCTTAAAAGACCAATATACAAATTCCGCCCGGTCGGAAGGCCGTAAAATGTTTTCAGGTATAGATAGCTGTTGTCTGTAGCATGCCTAACACTTGGGCCATCTTTGACCCGGAATACTCGACACCCAACACCGCAGGGCTTTTGGAGTTCTCCGAATAAAACATATGAAGGCGATGATCTGGTGCTTCACATATTGATGGGGCTTTTTGAAGGCCAGGAAATGACAATAGCTCTTTAGCTGAGGCACTAGACCAAAGGTAATACAATGAAATGCTCGTCAAGGCCGCAAATCCCTGGCCAAGATCCTTCAGAACAGAGGACCACTCGTCTTCTGGAGACAAAGACACATGATATAATGTCAGGGTCTTCATTGTTTCTCGAATGCCACCAAGAAGGCATTTCAGATCAGAAGCCCGTAGTACCGTTCTGAACAACGCCAGTTCTTCCAGTTGAGAGAATGCTGCTGTCTCAGCCAGTTCATGCATGAATTCAGCTGCCAAGTCATGCGAGCCCAAGTTAAGCAACAATGTCTTCAGATTGGGCGCACTCAGCACTAATTCGAGGAGGAATCCAAAGTTATCAAGCGTTAGGTATTGTTCTAGCGAAAGTTTTTGGAGATTGGACCAAGCTAAACGAAACTTCGGCTGGCGATATAGAAGCTTAGGTAGTCGTCGCATATCCATCATCAGTGTACGAGAGAATCTATTTGCATATATGAGATGAAATGAAGAGACTGGTAAGCGGGATTCGATGACAAGTGCGAAGAAGACAGCCACAGCATCGGTGATAGTGACACGGCTCATATCGGGATGGCCCTCGGGATATCGACAGAAAATGAAAAACGAGCGACAGTTTGTCAAATTATGAACCAAATTGTCGCGAAGACGCTGAATCGCTTCAACTTCCATCGGGGCTGACAAAGGGCCCCATGAATGGCGATCCCACACCAGACCTCGACCCACTCCATTCTGAAGCATAAATCCTAGACCCTGGACATAAGATCGTAGCTCTTCATGCTGAGAGAGTGCGTTGATGCGACCGAGACTTTCTTCCGAGAGATCAGTCTTTATAGAGGAGAAGAATCGGCGGGCAAAGTGGTTGAAGGTTTTCTTCTGCAGGTCGCGACAGACGAGACGTATTTCAAGTAAGTCCTCGGCGTCTAGAGAGTCTGCAATAAGCTCGACAAGCTCGACAGCGAGAGATGGGAATAATGTAGTGGATGCAGTGGATTTCATGATTATATTATCATCATCAAAGTCAATATGGACGTGAAAGAGAGCTATTTGCAACAGCTGGCATTTTTCATCTATGATGATGACAGTGGGGAACGAGGAGCGGAGAGTGGAGAGAGCAGTGGAGCTTCCCCCAGATTTCCAAGGAATAAGCCAGCTGTCAGTGGTCACGAAGGCTACTACCCCTCACTTGACTAGAAAGAACTTGAACTTAACCGCCGAGACATTGCGGAGACGGCCGGAATTATGATGACGAGGAATGTGGACATTTGGGGTGATTAGAGGATGTTTGTTTCTTTGACCATATTGGAAATTCATGAGATATTGAGATCATATTGAGATAGATGGCTCAACATATATGAGGAAGGCACAGAAGAAAACTTTGATACCTGAATAAACATAGCATAAGAAAAAAATCATTATATTTCATCAAATTATTAACATGTAGATTATTATAGACCCAAAAATACTTAAGACCCGAAAGGAGGTATCACGACACCTTAGCGTGTAACGACGACTTATATACAGTCGTTACTTATTATATCATTGCTCCATCGTGGTAGCAAACTTCTTCCACATTTCACATCGCTTCACCTGGGCCTTAGGGACGTCTTCCATGGCTGTTGAGTTTGTCTGCAGTCTCAGACGCTCTCCATCCCCTGTGCCCCATGTCTTCCAAAAAGGTGCCTTTGAATTTCGGAAAGTATTTGGATCCAAAGCCTTAACAAAGCTCAAATAGTAATCTTGGATAAATGGCACCATCTCCGCATTGGTAGTAGCAAAGGACTCCGACGCTGAATTGGTGTCACCAAGGCCGAAGACAGCAGGAAGCTCGAATACATGAGGTACACCCATTCCATCGGCGATTTCTGTGGGATCAAGGATGTTGCAACGATAATTCCAGACTTTCTCCGAGGAGACGAACTGGGCCATGGAGGCAGACATAAGATTCCCAGGACAGACGAAGGTCGATTCACCATATGCTGCAGCCGCGGAAGGGAAGTATGCAGCATGTTTAGCCAAAGGAGTCATGAGTGGGTACTCATTGTTGATGGACTTGAGCTGGTCTTTGCTAAGTTTTGGGTAGTTGTTCTTCATAAACTGTGCGACTTCCGCTTGATTCGTCGCGTTGACTGCGAAAGCAGTACCTTCATTGGTATCGTCTGTGACCATGACTGGGACGTGAATAACCTTGCCTTTTTCGAACAGATTATAAAGATTATCCGTCACAAGGTCTCCGTCGATCACAGGAAGGAAATACCACAGGGGCGCAGGGCTGCTGCTGCCACCAGGGAACGGCTTATCCACATCATATTCCATGATTGTCGAAATATTCACGGCACGAAGACAATCCAATGTGTCTGAGACATCGCCACAGCCAACATCTTGCGCAAATCGCTTATACTGAAACTCCATCTCCGCGACTGTGCGTTGAGTCGGCCAAAAGTTCGACTCAGCTATCGCACCAGCAAAGAGATTCATGTTCGTTCCATTATAAGCCGTAACGTGATGTGCGACGGAGCCTGCGCCCGCCGAATCGCCATGAATCACGACATGATCAGGATTTCCACCAAAAAGATGAATGTTCTGCTGCACCCAATCCAGCAATTTCCGCTGATCGAGCAATCCCACGTTCAAATCTCCATTCTTGCGCACATCTTCACTAGCAAGGAATCCCAATGCACCCACGCGATAGTTAAAGTTGACGAGAACAATGTCGTTTCCGGATTGATTCACAACTCCACTACCATTGAAGTTTGCATTGGAAAGGTCGGCGTATCCACCCCCTTGAATGAATAACCAAACTGGAAGATTATCTCCAGTAGACGCGTTATTCGGTCGCCAAACATTGACAAAGAGACAATCTTCCGCGAGGGTAGCACTATTCGATTGCCCGACACCTACGCAGACAGGTCCGAACTAATTCGAGCTAAAGTTAGCAAGACGCGTTATGGTGCGTAAAGGGGATATTGAGTTTGATTGACGGGGAATCTCACCGATGTCGCATCTTGAACTGCATTTGTTTCGACTGGATCTTGTGGTGCTCGAAATCGAAATTTATCTACCGGAGACCTCGCATATCTCATGCCGAGAAATTCGTCGATCCCATTATGCAGGGATAACCCCTGATACTGCGAGTATCCGAGATCAACAATGCCCGATCGCGGGAATGATGAAGCAGAAGTACCAGATGCCAAGCCGATGACTAGACCGACTACCAGGCCAACAATCACCATGAGCGCCATGAAGATTATGAATATATACCTATGACGCGCAATATATCCAAACACCAGCCCTGGCAGCCCTGGAAGTTTCCCCCATTGCATCTTCTCATCTGCTCCCTTTATGTTAATTCTTCAGCTTCGATTAGTTAGTTAATGCAGATTCCCGCTGAGTCACCCGGACTATCATCCCGCCGAGTCAAACTATTGAATGGGGATAAATGGGTCTGTAAGCTGCATTTAATTTGGGGGGATACTCGCATTGGAGGAGACTCTATTTGCATGGAAATGATGGGATTTGAAATCCACCACTGGATAATTGTTGTGGTTTTTACTTGCAGCAGATTGGTGGGCTCCATTTGAACGAATGGGGGATCTGCATGTATACATCGGTTCAACAGTGCCCGAAGGGACCAGAGCAAGCGGGGTTTGCAGCAACATTTGAACTCGGGGAATCATATTTGGGAATACTTTGAATGATACAGGTAGGTAGGTTACATTGATGGATTTCAAATTTTTGCGTCATCAAAATTCGGTTGCTAAATTTCCGCTATAATACAGGCTATCCCAAAGAGTCATGAATATCCACGCCGAGTTCCATATCGTACATTCGTGAGTGTCAATCATCTAGTATACATGGCGATGGCTCCCACGACCATCAGTTCCATGCATGCGGCGAGTACCAGCAGCCTGTACGAAACCATTAGCATCTGTTCATTCCGTAGAATCCAGGACTACTAGTATGTCACTTACCTTGACACCAGGACGACGTGTGATGCTGCCTTTCATTTTCAACATGGCGCCCGACACTTTATCTCCAAAGGTCGCCTTTCTCTTATGATGATGAGGCCCAGCATGGCGCTTGGTAGTGCGATGTGAGGCGTGAGGAGTGTTGGTGGTGGTAGTAGTCTTGACTGTCTTAGTGCGTGCGCTAGGGCCTCGCAAGCGAGTCATCAAAGTCGGCTTGGTAGTGGTAGTCTTTGTCGTTCTTGGTTTGCGACGATAGAACATATTGGCAGATTTTTTAAAGAGAAATTATCTCAAATTCGTTTCGTGATGGATAATGAGTAGATTTTGGGTATTGATGTGAGATACAATTTAGGATCATACTAAGTTGAAGATTAAATACTCTGCTTTATCGTTGATAGTTAACGCCTCAGATTACGTATGCATGATAGTAATAAACAGGATCTACCTACAGAAGATAGAAAAACGTACGCCAAGGGCCTTGTCGCCTTCGAAGGGAAGATGACAGCTGCTGTGTGGACCGCCGCTAAGACGGCACGTCATCCGTAAAGAGATCGGCGCTGCATAGCGACACACAATAGGACGCCACATCATACGAATAGATTAAAACTGTGGCTTATGACAGCGATCATCATTTTAGCAGGGATATCGCATAATATGAATGTTGCTAGGAGGTCACTTTTCATATTTCGATGGAGATTGTGTGTCATGCCAATGTGACGTCACTAGAGCCCGAAGAGCTTGATACAAAACAATGTTGAAGTTTAACAATAGATACATACCAGATGACGCACTTTGATCATTTTCTATCATTTGGATGGAGTGTTTGTTTCATAATCTGCAAAAAAAGGTGCAATCCAAATATCGGTGAGGACATTTGCTGTACCATAGACAGTGGGATCATTGGATTGAACCCCTTTTGTTTTGTTTTGTTTTTTTATAAAAAAAGGGAATAGAAATAGAAATGAAAGAAAAGGTTTAATATTCGCTATCTAGGCAGATGGAACTATATAATTTCAATAACTCTTATTCAGCCATTGGGTTTGAGAGTTACAATAGGCCAAAAGACCAGTCAACCCCCATTCAACCCCCATACCACTTTGCTTATGGCCGCCAAAAGGAGCATTAGGCGCGACCTGAAAATGCGAGTTGACCCAGACACTGCCCGACTGTAATTGATCGGCAATACGTTGAGCCCGATCGAGATCCTTACTCCAGACTGACGAGCCAAGTCCAGTTTCTAGCGCATTAGCTCGCTCAATGACATCTTCCTCGTCGGACCATTTTAGAACAGGTAAAATAGGCGCAAACGGTTCTTCCTGAACAACCCGGCAGTTCTCAGGCGGATTGTCAATAATAGTTGGATGAATAAAATAACCGGTGGAATCTTGAATGGCTCCTCCCAGTGCAGCCTTAAGTTTGTCGGTGGTGATAGTCTGGAAGAGATCCTTGGCCTTCTCAAACTGCATTTTGTTCTGAACAGGGCCGACAAAGACATCTGCTTCTGTACCTTCGCCAACTTTGAGAGTTTTTACAAAATCGACCAACTTCTGTAAGAATGTATCATATATCTTTTCATGCACATAAAGTCGCTTGATCATCATGCAAATTTGAGAACTGCACAGATAAGAGAGGATTCCGATCTGGTCAAAGTGTTATTTTTGAAAGAAGACACAGAAGCCAGAACCGACAGGTGAAACACACCTTGGGAATAACAGCATCAATATCGACATCATCACAGATGATCGCAGGGTCATTTCCACCCAGCTCAAGCGTCACCCGCTTGAGCGTTTTGGCACAGCTCGCCATAACTTTTCTACCAGTCAAGATAGAACCCGTAAACGACACCTTATCAATTCCAGGATGTTCCGTGATCATTGGACCGAGCGAGTCATCCCCACTGAGACACTGCACAACGCCAGGAGGAAAGAACCTGGTAGCAAGCTCAACTAGCTTAAGATCACAATAAGGCGTGAAAGGAGAAGGCTTCACAATAACTGAATTCCCTGCATACACAGCTTGAGTAATCTTTCCAATTGCCAGAAGCACAGGGAAGTTCCACGGCACAATAGCAGCAGCAACGCCTATAGGGGTATAACGTTGAACAATAGTCCTATTTTCCGTCTCTTCGATAATATTTCGAGGGATTTCAAAAGCGCTGATTGCTCGAATCCAGGTAGATGCCATGCCTACCTCCGTCGCAGCCTGGGCTAGAGGCTTCCCTTGTTCCATTGTGAGGGTTTTGGCAAAATCGTCAGCCATAACTTCAATTGCATTTGCGTACGCATTCAGTGCAGCTTGACGCTCCGCAAAGGAGGTCTTGGACCAATTTTCAAAAGCATCGCGGGCGGCTTTTACAGCTCGGTCAAGATCATCCTGCGTCGCAACCGGAACCTCGGGATTTGGCTTTTGGGTCGCTGGATTGATGCTGTGTCGAGTTGAGGGTGCAGCGCTCAGCTCATTATTGATAATGTTGTGATATATCTTATTTCATTAGTTTATAGTCATAAAGACAGAAAGTGATTTCTTGGACACACACAGTGAAGTTAAGCTTGGCTGTCATTTTGGCTTCCAGAACTCGAGGTCGATAAAATTTGTTATAGACGTGGATTGAGAGTTGCAAGATTGGAGAAAATGTCTCTTGCAAGGGGAGAAAAATTGGTTTCAATAGTGACTGACGCCGTGAACGATCTTGTTATAGACATGCACAGGAAAAAAGCAATTACCGGGCGGTGCCTCAAGCGGTACAAAGTTCATCGAGAGGGGATATGCGCGGTGCTATGCATGGTACTTATACCTTTCTGAAAGAAGTGAGTCCCCAAATTCGAAAAGATAGGTTTGCTTATAGCAAACAACGGTTCCATTTCGAGCGCGCTGCATGAACAAGCCGGATCTGCCTCGTTTACTACTCGATCAAGCTATGCGGAGGTTAGGCTGACAACCGTGCGGAGAATTTGTGGGGTTTGCGGAGCTTACGAGATCTCGATGGTCACAATTTCCGAACACGAAACTTTGTTTCCGAAGCCTAAGAATGTTGATGTGCTAGAATCGGCATGCGAAGTGGGGATGACACGCTCAAAGTAGAGTCCGCACCCGCACCCGCACGTAGTATACGGCGTAGGTTTCTTGGTCCTCACATTCGTGCTGATCGTCTACCGATGCCAAGTCAAAATGCCAAAACAATTGATTCAGCACACGTAAGATTCCCATACGTGGCAGATTCTACTTTGGACTCATATAATTTCTGGGTGACATCTTTCCAGCCCAGCTCATGTAGCGTTGATCGAGCTAAAGTAGTGGGAAGCTACACCAGTAGAGAAAAGTAGAGTATCAATTTCCAGAAAGACAATATTCATTGTTCAAACATACATTTGCAATACGCCTTGTCTAACGTAAAAAAAGAAGTTAACTAATCATACTTACTCCACTGGCCAACGTCCGGTCATCTTGCTTGAGAGACCAGCTCGCTCAACAACTTCCTTGCTGCGCTTCTTCGCCTCTTCTACAACCTCCTGCTCATTCATAGTGAGAAGCTCACCATCCTGAACAAGTCTCTTACCGTCAACAACAACCACGTCAACATCCCGACCAGTGGCAGTATACACCACGGCACTTGGAGCATTAAACCAGGGCTGTGCATGAATGCCACGCACATCGATAGCGACAAAATCGGCTTTTTTGCCCACCTCCAGACTTCCGATCTTATCATCCAAACCCAAAGCTTTAGCACCATTGATAGTAGCCATCTCCAAAACCGACTCGGCCGGAACAGCCGTAGGGTCATAAGAAATACTCTTGTGAATGATAGCCGCAAGCTTCATCTCCTGCAGTAAGTCACAGGTATTGTTGCAAGGGGCACCATCAGTTCCCAGACCAATATTCACACCAGCCTTCTGCATATCAGGAACGCGACAAATACCAGATGCGAGCTTAGCATTCGAGGTTGGACAGTGAGCAACATGGGTACCAGAAGAAGACAACAATTTGATATCGTCATCATCCAAATGAACCATATGAACCAGTACGGTACTGGGGCTCAAAAGTCCAACTGAGTCGCAGTAGGACATGGGCGTGTGGGATACAGACTCGAAAAAGTCGCGATCGGCTTTAACCTCGGCACAGTGCATCGTGACAGGGATTCCCCTTTCGCGCGAAATGGAAGTCATCTCCTTGTACAGGGCATCGGAAACTCTATTCGAATGGTTAATGGTTTTAGTCGCAAAAAGTAGTTTATATTACCCTCCAGGAGTTCTAGCTCCGAACCAGACGCGAATGCGATCATTCGCTGCTCCATTCCACTTTTCCCACATCTTGACACTTCCAAGGAGTGACATCTCGCGATTCTCCACAAGTCCAGGATGCATAGCCCAGGCATCTTCCTCAGCATACTTGGCGATATCCATGACAATCTTGCCCAAGCAGCCACGGATACCGGACTCTTCGACAGCGCGAGCGAGTCCGTCAAAGCCATATCGATCGGCAAACTAATCTTTATTAGAAATGAAGAGATGGAAGCATTAGGTCATGTGTCCTTACCATGCTTTCCAAGAAGCAAGTGGTTCCAGATTTGAGCATCTCGCCGATACTTAGTCTAGCGGCAGCATAACCATCTGCTTCAGTAAAGTTACCTTGAAGAACCCAGATTCTTTCACAAAGCCAAGAAACTAGTTCCAGATCATCCGCAGTGCCTCTCAAGAGAGTCTGCGCCGTATGCATATGGGTGGAAATCAGCCCAGGAATCACAATACGTCCAGTGAGGTCATATTCCTCATCCTCGGTATAACGCTCCTTGAGAAGAGAACTCTTCCCAATATCCGCGACGATATCGTCCACGACACGAATAGCTCCGTCGTTGATAATGCGGCGTTCACCGTCAACGGTGATGACAGTTGCGTGAGTGTACAACATAGTGAGACACGTAGATAAATGATGATCGATCAAATTTTGCTTAACTTTAGAGTGAAATGCTAATTTTAAACAGCAAGTTTGGTAATTTTCGAGAATAGTGGAGCGCGTCAAGTAGTATTTAAGCTACGTGTCCTGCATTTCTCACCCCCTATTTCTCCGGTCGGAGCTCGCCGATCTACGAGATCCACACCGGCAACAGATTCCATAGTGGGAGATAGCAGGCCTGGATTACGCTTCAAATTGCATGCATCCTATCGTTTTTATCTTATCTCCCATCAACTTGAAATAAACGTTCGCAATCTATCGACATTCTCCATAACCTGTATGTAGATATAGCCTAAGGGACGCTTCGGGCCATTCATGTGTTTTCATTTATAATGGACAATTAGTAAAGAGACACATTAAAAAGAATGTCCACTCAAGATATAGCACCAAATAATCATTCGTAAATCAGTAAACATATCGGAAATTCATATTTTCCTGGTCTGTTTTATCCTCGAACGCATGGATAAGATCCGGATCAGCCCCACTGAACCCCTCCGCAGCGAGCATTTCATCCTTCTTTGCATTTTGCCGCATCAGGTAGAAGCGCAGGTAGATCACAGCTGCCGTCATGCAGGCGTAACACGCAAGATGAACGCTCCAAGCAATGTGGTACCGTGGGGCATCCCAATCAAGAAACACTTGGGGACCTAACAATCCCCATTAGTACGGGTTATGAGAACATGCTACACATGAACTTACCAATTGCGTTACCTGCCGCCCAAGAAATGAAGGTAGCAGCTACTACTGTCGCCTTCTTGGTCTGTCCAGCAATATTTCGAGATACCATAGACAAACACAGAGTTTGGGCAGACCAAAAAGACAGCGTGATATAGTAGCTGATTAGAAGTCCGACTTTTGTAGCCATGCTAGTGTTTTCCACGGTCATCAAGACAATAGTACCAATATACGAACTAAAAAAAAGTCAGCAAAAGCACGAAATGACGACGTGGACGGAATGACATACGGAATAATAAAGCGCAACATCACCAGAAGGTTCTGCTGGTATTTCTTAACAAGCCACGCGGATGTCAACAAGATAACGATGATATAGAATCCTAATACCATGGCGAGTAACTGGCTTTGTAGAGTCGTAAAGTTGAATCCCGTCATGATGATACCCGCGAAAGCTCCCAGCCCGCTGGTTGGAAGGGTCGTAAAGATTTGAATACAGCAGTAGCACCACGTTTGAGGATCCCGAAGTGCTTCCCATACCTGGTAGGAACGGAATTCCCTATTCTGAATACCTGTCTGGTTGGAGCGGAGGCGTTCAACCATCAGGTGTTTGTCTTCTTCGCTGAAACATTTTGCACGCATCGGCGAGTCGGGCATATAGCAAATGACAAAGATGCCCCATAACACAGATAAACAGCCGTAAGATAGGAACAAAGCTTGCCAGGATTTCAAAACCTTGTCAGCTCCAATGAGAGTAAAGCAATAAGCCAACAGGCCACCGACAATTTGCTGCGCGCCATTCATCATATACCTAGAGATATTTCAGTAAAAGTTGTTATAAAAGCAAAATAAGTTGCATTCCAAATGCTGTCAGGGCCGATAAAGCTTACCAGTAAGTGACTGTAGCTGCCTGTTCTTCCCTCTTATACCACATTGAAGAAAGAACGACGAAAATAGGCTGACAGCAAGCTTCAAAAATACCAAGCAGGGTTCGAACAGCAGCTAATCCGGCAAAGTTATGACAAGCAGCATGCATGGCCAGGATCGTGCCCCATAAACAAATATTGATGCCCAGATATTTTGCGATTGGAACACGTTGAATAATCCAGTTGGTAGGGTATTCGACGGTAAGAACGGCAATATAAATACATGTAGTGAGCCAGGAATACTAGATGCATACAAAAGTCAGCATTTACGATCCAATTTTGCGCACTTTAGAGATTCAAACTTACCTTCTGACCATCTTCCAAATGAGCATCTGTCTTGATACCCATTATAGACGAGAAGGACATGGTCCCTTTATCCAAGGCCTGTAAAAAGTATGTACAGATCATGATAACCAAGACGCGTCGATCAATCATACGTTTTAAACGCTTGTTTGTGGCCTCGTCAATATGGACTTGTCCCCGAGCAGCATAATTCTGAACTTCATTGTCCACTCGAGAGAAATCCATGTCTTCTTTCTGTAGATCATCTGTGGGTGAAAGCACTCGTTCGACATGAGAGATATCCTTCTTGGCTGGGGACTGATAATCTTCCAATTCGACCCCTGGGCTTGCTGCGCTCACAGGATCCACCCCATCGTGGGCATGGGTGACGTTCTGACTCATGGCAGAAATGACAACAATACTGAACAGAATAATAATAAAGTCGACTGGGGATTGTGATACAAGACAATCCACACCTTTAAAACAAAATCATCCTTCATAGTCCTTCGAGGAGCGGCCGCATAGCATTTCGCGTATCCCCCCGAGCCAAGAAGTTCCTATACGAGCCAAGAATCATCATGCGCATTGAACAGAGCTATAAGCCAGCCAAAGGAAGTCAAAAAAGCCATATTAGCCGAAGAGCCAATGAAGACTATGAAGAAACAGGCTTCCCCGGCTCTTGGCGGCGCGGGGAATCTTCCGTTTATCCACTCTTAAGAAAGCTCCGGGCATCGATAACCCGATAGGATTCACGTTTAGCCCGCTGAGGAGGAGCGGGCTTCACTTGGCAGGTATTTTATAGGGTGTTCGGTTGTGTATCTCCCGAGCATGTCTTGGCCACCCCGCCGGGAATTGACCTTGCGGGGAGAGGTAGAGCGGCATTAAGCAACGCGGAGGCCACGCCTGACAACCAAACTCAAGCTTTTTAAAAGGTACTCTTGATCACCTGTCGTTATATGAAATCAAATATCAATCCTGTACGGAATATGAATTTTTTCATTTAGAAGAGATTGTCATAATGTTATTACATGAAGAGAAGAACCATAACTTCAAGGACCAAATAGCCTACCATCGAAGGTCAACCGGTCTTAAAAGGCTAGAGTCGGGCTCTGAGGGCATGGAAACGACATTGATTCCGCGCCTACGAAGAATCGCATACAGATTTTCACATTCCTGTCGTGCCTGATGTAATAATCCCATTGGCGCCGGACCTTCTTTCCTACCCGACGACCCATCAGGCCGATCCTCATAATGCAAATCCAAGACGAAAGCAAGGTCTTCGAGATGAGGTAAAAATTCGCGAGACTCAAATACGCGCAGCCAGTTGGGCCATTGATCAGAGGTGGCAATTGAGGCAGGCGCACGGAAATACAAAGTTGTCAGATTGGGCGGAAGCAACTTGTGAATGGTTTGTAAGAATAAAGGGTCGTGAAATACGTCGCCGACGGTGTAATTCAGAACCTTCAGGTTCTCCAAGACGGGCAGGAGTTGACGAAATGTTCCTTCGGCTATCATGCCAAAATCCAACCCGCTTGTAGATCGAAGTCGAAGCGTGTGAAGATTGTCGGCTAGATGAGGAAGGGCCGCAGAAAAGTGACAGAATGTGTCCATCGCGTCATTCTCCCAAATCTCCAGTGTTCTGAGATTGATAGCGCCTTCGGGTGGTTCATTTTCAGGATCTAGCTTTCGGTCGGGATTCAAGTGGACTTTCTGCATATAGTTAACCACGACCTCGGGAAGATAAGTAATCTCGATGCCTTTCTCGTTTCCCTCTTTTCCCTCTGCATCTTTTTCTTCCGGGACCTTTGTTTCTCGAGATAAGCGCCAGAACTCTTCCGTTGTTGGCCCTTCAAATCGCAGGTTGCATGTAAAGTATAAGCTCAGGTGTTGAACCAACCCTTGACGTACGAATGGGCTTTGTATGAGTTCACCACACGCAGAGCTCAATTTCAATTTCTTTAGAGGCCAATGACGAGGGAGGCATCTGTCGTTGAGTTCTTCACTGAAGCCACTCTCGAGCTCGAGGTCTTCCACAGCATGGAAATGAGTGCTGAGAAGAGCCCACTCAGCATCTGAAGGCGTGTTCGTGTCAATCAGCAGGTGGGCCACATTACGAGATATGGATTGCAATTGGGTTTGTAGGTGCGATTCATGGTCTGGGTTTGATGTATTGTGGGGCCCCTGAACCTTGATTACTGCTGGCGGGATGTGGGCCATAGTGGAGGCGAATCTGTTGGACTGGTAGACATTTTGCCTAGAAGAGGTAAAGAGACGGATGGAAGAAGGTGTGTGTGTTCGAGAAAGAGATACAGGAGATGAAACATGGGCAGCTTTAAAGCACGAACGAAGCATGTTGTCACTCAAACAATTTTTGCTGTGTTCAAGTTGACGTTGTTGGACTAAAGAGGACTCCGACCGGAGAAACGGGTTCCTCCAGTTCCGACATGCATATCGGGGTCTCGAAATAGAAAGAGTTGGGTGAGTTGGACATAATAGAAGACATATTGTACTGGTATGTGTTAATGCATATATATAGAATATTTACTAGATGCAATTACATTTATTAGAACTTTGGATGTTTGCAAGGGTTGGGGACACGGAGGTACCTGTGTCTAGTATAGATATATATACTATGATCATGATGGGCCTGGAGCACCTACAAAACTCACAAATGTGCATCAAAACTTTGAAATTCAATTGCATTCTTCCAAGTTAGGTCGCATATATGTATGTCTTAAAAGGTGTACTGTACAATAGTATGCTGGATATGTTCTACGCAGGTTTGCCGAGGACCTTGCTGATAATAACGACAGGCTTCAACATTGTTAAAGTATAGGCGACTGGTATGTACTTGATATAAAGTGGAGACGCCTAGAAGTTCCAGTGGCCGTACATTACTGTATATGGCATATTATGATGAAATAAGGATGAACAGCTGACCATATTTTGTGGACCTGCATACATACTAGTAGATCCTGCGAATACGTTCTATCAATAGGAACCCTTTCCTGGTCCTCATGCATATCCACTGTGAATCACTAACCTTGTGGAGTGATTAAAAATAAATCCAATTTTTACTTTAAATGCTCAACGAACAACGTGTTCAATATCGTTGAGTCGAAGAAGCATACATGTCGCCATTGCCGCGACCCATTTTTTATTATTTCTCCTTGCCGAGTTCGTATGCACTATAGAATACAAATAAACCCAGCCCTTGCTGATCCCAATGGTTGCTTTTTCGCCCCTGAAGAATCGGTGAACATTTGGGCTCAAGGGGTCCGAAAATGAGTGCCTTGAGTGCAGGTTATGGAATATCAAGATAGCGGTATAGCCGATGTGTGTCACGGTCATCAAAAGGCATTGCAAACCCATAATCAATTGATTACACCATAGGTACACAGGTTTACTGATCAGAATACAAGTTTGTGTAAAATCAAGGCTTCTTCTCACAGGGATTTCCCATAAATCGCCTCCAATTTCGAGTCCATCCAGTCATTGGTGGGAAATAGGGGGTATTGGGGGAAACCAAAATCCAGTCTAGGATAGCCCGGTGGAGATCAATCGTGTTGATCATCACTGAACCTGCCTTTGACCTGTTTAACATGGAGCCCCGCCTGCAAGATCCCGTGGCCCTTGCGTCTAGACGGTGGAGCTCTCGTGGAGTTGTGGGGATTAAGAATAGGCGCATGATCATGAAAATTTGTTTTTGATATTCGGAAAACCTTCCTCAGCCTCGTCGAAGAAATCGAATCGAACATTCATTATGGACTTAGAAAGGCCCACATGAGCATCACCTGAGAGATACATGGCGGCGGATCCACTTTGACTGCGGAATAGCCGCCTCCGCTGCGCCTGATAGGTGAATGGGATATTTCGGGTCTGTGCACACCCCTAGGCAATGGGTACACCAAGAAAATCCTGAACGAGGGAAATCTAAGCACCGGGCGTTGGGGGTCCGATACTGCGGGGTTGTGCTACGGATAAGTATACTATTCCGAGGCTATGTGGTATATAAGGAGGGAGAGGGTGTCTGCGACGCTGCTGGGTTTCGTTTTCAAACAGCCATCAAACCCAGCAAATCGTGCCAACTGGACCTCTTCCTCGTCTCCTCATTGTACAAAATACCTTTTTCGTTGCTTTACAACCTCCAAGATGAAGACAAAGGCTTTCTTCAACGATCCGGCTCATATTGTCGACCATATGTGTAAATCGCTGGCGCAACAAAACCCAACACTGCGATTTGACGCCACAAACAAAGGTTAGCCTGCCCCAACCTTCCGATTGATAGATGCAATTGACTAACTTCAACTCTTACCTTCTATATAGTCCTCTATCGTCCAACCAATCACACCAAGGGAAACAAAGTGAGTATAATCAGTGGTGGTGGCTCCGGCCACGAACCCGCCCACGCCGGATACGTCGGCGAAGGGATGCTCGACGCAGCCGTATGTGGCAAAGTCTTCGCATCGCCCAATTTCGACCAAATTATTTCAGCATTCGATCATGTCGCAACACCAAGAGGAATCCTCGTCATTGTCAAGAATTACACCGGCGACAAGCTTAACTTTGGTCTTGCTTCTGAGACATATCAAGCACAGACAGGGATTCCGACTCACATCGTGACTGTGGCAGATGACGTGTCTGTGCCTTATTCGCGAGGCAAGCTCGTCGGTCGCCGTGGACTGGCTGGCGCTGTCTTAATTCATAAAGTCAGCGGAGCTGCTGCAGCCCGTGGATTGGACCTGGCCGAGGTTGCTAAAGTCGCGCAGCATGTATCGGATAACATGGCCACCATTGGATGCTCATTGGACTATGCCAATCTTCCCGGTGGTGTGGATCAGCCTTCCATCCCAGTGAACACCCTTGAACTAGGAATGGGAATTCATAATGAACCTGGTGCTCAGCGCATTTCACCCCAACCTACAGTTGAACAGCTGGTCAGCAAAATGTTGAAACTCCTGCTTACTGAAGACGATCCCGAGCACGGATTTTTGAAATTCCAAGGAATCCCCCAAAGCAAAGCTCAACTCGTCTTGATGGTAAACAACTTGGGAGGCCTTTCAGTGCTCGAGCTCCAAGCTATTGCCAACGTCGTTCTGGAAACCCTCAAAGACCAATACAATATCCGACCGATTCGAATCTATGTCAACACCTATTTGACTGCGTTGGACGCACCTGGATTCAACATCACACTGGCCAATCTTACTCCTGAATTATTCTCCTCTGACACCGACCTGTTATCACTGCTGGATGAGCCCGTCAAATCAAACACTTGGACATCGTGTCAACCATTAGACGAAGAAACTGCTGCACAGAGAACTCCTGAGAATGAGGAACGCTCCGACTCACCCAAGTTGAAGGAAGAGATAAAATGTATGTTCGCATTCACCCCTGAAGAATGACCAAAATCAATCCCCAACAGCAACTAACAATAATGAACCATATAGGCGACGAGGCTGTTTTCACCGCCATTCTCCAGAACATTCTCACTCAGGTCACTGCAGATGAACCAAAGCTCACAGAGTACGATACACTGATGGGAGATGGAGACTGCGGCACAACACTGCTAGCAGGAGCCAAAGCTGCCTTCGCAGTATCCAAGGAAGAAGACAATCTCAATAACCTGGCCAAGGGTCTAATGAAGGTTGCTTCATCTGTTCGAAGTGGTATGGGCGGCACATCTGGCGCTCTTTACGGTATATTCTTGAACTCCTTCGTATCCGCAGTACAGAAAAATTACACAGAGATCAAGGAAGTGAACATAAAACTCTTCTCCAAGAGTGCAACTCAGGCTCTCGAAACTCTGAAGGGTTACACCAATGCACGCGAGAATAGTCGGACATTGATGGACGCATTAATTCCGTTCATTAATGAGTTATCGGTGGCAGTCTTTGATGATAAAGAAAGTGCTGCGAACGCATTGCAGAGAGCTCATAAGGCCGCTGAAACTGGGGCGGAGTCAACAAAGTGGATCAAGTCATCATTCGGGCGCTCTACCTATGTGGGTGCTAGTGAAGGTGATGATAACCCCACAAAGGGTATCCCAGACCCTGGAGCATGTGGAATTGTTTCTATTAGTACTGGTATTCAGAGCGTGTTTAAAGTTGCGAACTAAGGATTATGTTCCTTCAAAACTGGGGCTGGCTCTATAGGAGAATAAATGATAATATGTATTTCAATCTGTCTTTTTTGTCCCATTGATGAAGTAGTATGGGCGACTTTATTTTGTTACGCGTAAGCTTCAGGATATTCAACATATTGATTTTTTATCCTTACAAGGGAACAAAAAGGAAATTCGCATGAGCGAGGCGTTGTCCGAGACATCTAGACTGGGGAATAGTTCAAATATTCAATGAGTTGGCATTTGAAGGGCTATACGTAGATATACAAACTCGCTAATATCGACGTAAATGAGAGCATTTGAGTCATCTAGAATAGCACCAGGCGTCATGATGGAGATCAAGTTTTATCCCTTTCCGCTAAGACAGCAACTTAAACACGGTATCTTGACCATTCAAGGTCAATCTCTCTTTCGGTGTTGTAGCTAATTATAAATCAGTAAATGAAGCCCAGCAAAGTTTGAATCAAGACCATTGAACTCACCCGTAGGCCCACATCTGTGTAGTTGGGTCACTCCACTGGTTAGGACTATGAGAGAAGGGCTGTCCCTTAACCTCTGGCATCATAGCAAGATCCCGGGCCTTTTGAAGTGGGCCATCGGGGAAGTGCCAAATCTTGCCGTTAAGAAGGCTTGCTTCCTGCATTTGGTTTGCACGTTCAACCCGAACCTTTTCAAAAACTGATAGAGCCAATGAGATTTGTGACTTTGCGGTGATCCTGCCAAGACTGTGGGCGAGAGCGACGGCATCTTCGACAGCAATTGCGGGTCCTGTAGAATATTAGAAACTGTTGGCTCAAGCATGTCGTTTTAAACAGAGGTTACTCACCTTGTGACATATAAGGAAGCATTGTGTGAGCAGCATCTCCAAGGACGAGGAACTTGCCAGAAACCCAACGTTTGAGACGAGAACCGCTGTACATGGGCCACTTTTGGGTATGCTCGACCATGTTGATGATCTTGGTCAATCTGAAAAAAACGTGAGCCTGGGCTACCTGAGAATGAAGGGAGAATTTATACATACACTGGATCCCAATCCTTAAACTCCTCGCGCATGTGAAGCAGTGCGCTAGTTGGGTCAACTTCACCGTACTCCATGCCAGCATCGTTATCAGGGTAGCACATAACCATAATAAAAGTCTTTCCAGAGTCAATCTTATAGGTTTGGACATGCCGATTATCTCCTAGCCTGTATATAATCAAAGTCAGCCCTTGAACTTGCATACTTGAAAACACCAATAGAGACCAACCAGAGGTTCAAGGATGACCTTTCCAGTAACTCAGCTAGCTCTGGATCTTCCTTCATGCGCTCCATGTTAATCTCAGCACGATAGGAGGCGAATCCAGTTACGCGAGGAGTAGACTCTAAAGCCTTGGGAACGAGTTTCCTCGCCGAAGAGTTGACACCTATACACTGATCAGTAACTGCTCTGATGCTTGAAGTACTCCAAGATGGAGAGAGAGTATATACCATCTGCCGCAATAATAAGGTCTGCCTTTATAACGTTTCCATTTGCTAACGTGAGGTTGGGTGCTTCAGTATTGTACGAGACCACTTTAGAATCCATCTCAATCACTACACCCAAATCACCAGCCATGTCCTGCATAGCCTGATGGAAGTGAGAACGGTGGATAACCCAGTATGGAGCCTCGAACTTCTGACGGAAATCGTAGCCAAGTTTTGTGCGTCCAATCACATTTCCGTCCTTCCAGCGACGAAGGAAGACATTCTCCTGCTCAGTAACATATTTTTCCAAATAGGAGCCTAGTCCCATCTTAAGTAACAGACGTGCAGCATTTGGGGGAAGCTGAATGCCAGTGTCGTCATCAGGAAGCTCATGAGCCTGTTCATGAACTGTGACTGAATGCTTCTGGCGCGCTAAGGAGATTGCAGCTGCAAGACCCGCGATGCCAGCACCGACAATATGAATGTCTAACGGGTTCCAGGCAGATGCTGGAGCAGGTTCGGGAGAAGAGCCTCTTCCAAGCTGTCTTAAAAAATGGAGACAGTGACTGGGATAGCTTGGAGCTTGCAATCTAGGATCGTCCCGGTAGCCAAAATAATTAATAACCATTATGAGAGTTTATGCACAGCGGTGCACTGGTGGTATGTAGATATAAAGTAGGTAGTGAATGAAGTCGAAATCTAACGCCTTCCAGGGCGTAAGGAGAAACGAGATAAATGTGTGTTTAGTTGAAAGCCACAATTGACGTGAGAGTGAGTATCGACATGAAAATTGTAGTCGAGACTTGAGGACGATCGAAAGTTTGTTGTTGAATAACTTCGCGATGTGCTGAGATTTTGTATGTTCTAGGTGACCTGCCCCCACTGATACTCACAAGTGAAGGTGTTGCCTCCTTGAGCTATTCTAATCATCGTTTTCACAAAAAATACCTATTTGGGTTTGGCTCATTCGACGATTTGATTCTTTAAGGCGATACGAGTTGGGGGCGGGGGCCAACTCCAATAAGGAGGCATGAAACGGAGTGGAGATAGCTCATCATGATGCTCCATCGAATACTGAATAAAATCTAATTCGATAAGGATCAAATTGGTTAATTCTCCACGTCGATCTGTTATGCATATTCTCCTTAAAATGGGGGTAGCTGTTGATTGACAGCATCGCCTTGGAGGCCAAAGATATACATAGAAGTCAGTGACCGAAACGAATTTTGTGGGGTCAACAGGAAACTCCAACGCATTCTCGGACTTTATTTGATGGCTTTGATGACTCTGGCTCCGTAATGCCCAGTGGAGCGCATGTAGCTTAGCTTGCTTGCAGTCTGGAACAAGCTAGGGGGCAGCTTGTTGCTACGAGTCCACTATGAGATAGATGTGGATTAAGGATCTTTGGATGGCTACCAGGCTACCGCTAGATCCTCCATTACTGTGGAGACTTCGTATTTTCGTATTAAGTCATATAATATCTGGTTGAACAGATATGCTCGTGGCTCGGAGGCTCTGTACGGACCCCAAGTCCCTCAAGCCCCATGCAGGATCATGGCGCAGGAGAGCAAAATGCCACCCGGCAGTCCTATTCCATGAGAGATTCTGGTAGACACTCTTTTGACAGAATTCGGTTCCAGATAATCAGCCCTCTTAACAATTTATCTACTCCTTCTCTCTGAATTGAAGAACGTGGCAACGAAGAACGAGATCAGACTGATTAGCAAGACCCGACATTTGAACATGATAATTACTCTACTTAAATATGTGGTGTAGGAATGTCTGTGTAAAGATTCACTCCTAGAATCTAGAAATATTGTGGTGTACAAAGGTGGAGATAATTTTGCTGAGTTTTGGCGCAATAAAGACTACGTTGTTCACAGTCAATATGAAGACCAGATCAGCTATAGACATTCAACAAAGTACAAATGACACGATAAGCTTAGCTTTGTGGATATGCCCACACAAATGGTAAAGGGAGCCTGAGAGAGAAGGGTAGTTAGATCAAGACCACCGTTTGTATTTTGGTGAGTTCGGGAGTTCAAGCTTATGCTACAGCTTGTACAGTCAGACGTTCTGCAAGAAACTTAGATCAAATCTCGATACATTAGATGTACAGATCAAATATCCTACGAGAAAGATTCTCTTCTCTTTACTGGAGATTCTTTTGCTGTGGTAATAGCTCGACTAGATTACGGTCATGCGTATCTACTGAGTAGTATAGCTAGTTAGTACCTACGCTATATCTCAAGCACAACTCAACATCCACCGTCTAGAATAATTCCAGTTCATTTACACACCAAAGACCCCGGGCGAGATGTAGAAGGGATCATTAAACAAACAGGTTGCCTAATTGAGTAAGTTCCTAAGGAAGTAATACCTAGGGTTGGGGGCCAGAACTCATCAGGATTCACGTGTTTCATGCATCGCCATTTCAAGACACAATCCACGCGACGATCGTTAGGACCAGTGTGACAAGGCGCCTTTTACTCCTGGGTGTTAACTATAATGTAGAATGACAAACACGGTGGATATCTTGAGGATTAAGCAAAACTCCGAAGCCAATTGTACTTGACAATTTGAATTGAGACCAAGCGTAATGATGATGTGCATACAAGCTATCTACTGACTCGACTTGCCACGCTTAGATCGACGTACTGGCTCAGACTTAGGTTCTTCAGGCTGTTCATCCGGAGTTTCTTCAACTCCTGAAGTTTCTGAGTCAGGACTCTGCTCTCCCTCGCTAGATGGTGTCATTTCCTCAACATCCTCCACATCCGAAGGCTGGGATTGCTGATCGCCCCCAACCGTAGGACCTGGCCCCCATGAGCCTTCTGTAGTGGCGCCCTCACGTAAGCTAGATATAATCTGAGTTGTTTCGTTTTCGATGCCATTCCATGCTCCGCAACTACCGCATCTCCAACGTCCCAGTTCCTCTGGAGTCTTAATACCGGGGGGTGCTTGGCCGTTGACGAGGCGGCAGGTGGAACAGATCATAGCCATTCGGTTGCGAGGCTGCATCTCATCCTCACCTAGCAGCACGTCTAATAGACGGTCGTACCAGTGTGGCTGTTCAATATACTGTCCCGAGCTTGGAAATGCATTAGGTGCAAAACCGGGCTCATCAGTGGGGGTAAGTTGTGGGACTTGGGAGGGAGCATTATGTAGAGGTTGTTGTTGCTGCTGCTGTTGCGGGGAGATCCGATGGGGAGAAGGAGGAGGCGGAGGATTTTGTGGCCCGGCTTGTGGCTGAGGAGGACGGCGAATGTTGGCGGTGGGGGGAGGAGGAAGGCCTGTTCGTTGTGGAGGTGGGCGTGGTGATCCTGGTTTGGGTTCCTTGGTCTCGGCCTGGGGGCTTGAAGACTGTTTAGGAGACTCTCCGCCGTACTTTTCGAGCAGTTCTTGCGTGGAGTTGTATCTCGTAGCGACCTTGAGCTTCTCGATCGTCACCTCACGTTGTTTGTGAAGCTCATTGAGACTGCGTTGGGATTTGGAGATCCGGTAATCAAATAATCGAGAGCTAGTAGCGCGAACCCCGTAAATCCTATTAATAGATATTTTGTCAGTAACCATACTTTGCTTTGGAGCAGAAGAGAAACATTTGAAGGAGAAAAGTGTTGCCATACATCACAGGGCCGCCAGCAATTGCGGCGTACTCCTTTAGACCCCAACTCTCCCATCCTAAAACCAGAGCCAATATAATAGAATAAAAGAGGTATGCAAAAGTCGAATATAAAGTCCAGAGGGCCTTGAATCGCCGTGACGTCGAGCGCTGCTGATCGAGGCGAGTGGTGGCCTGGGCGATCTTAGTAGACAGCGTGGACAACGTCTTTTCGAAAGATGCTGGGGAATTATCCTCGCCCTGAAATAAAACAGTGAGTATTAGATCTCAACTAGGTGACTTTTGAATTCCCCCGATGCTTACCTTCCAGGGCCAAAATGAGACCATGGTGAGTGACAAGCTCCAGCTTACCCACTACTGCGCGAGATGGAAAGCGGGAGCTCAAGTTGACGTATGTTTGCCTTGTTTGTTTCCCGCGACGTCTACATCTCCACACTCGTTGGACTCTTACAACTTCACATCTCACATCTCAAATCTTATTTCATACAAAGATCTCCAGCGGACTAATTTAGTCCAATCCAAATGAAACACATTGAAGAGGCAATTTACTTGGAGATATTTTTAAGTCCGGAATTGTCCCCCTGAATAGGACAATGACAAATACACTCCGGCTTTACTCCATACTACATACAACAAGCAAAATAAACAGCGCGCGAGATCTCTGCTAAAATGGCTAAACCAGAGTCTCAGAAACACCCATGGTCCAATGACCCGTCTTCCCACGATGGAAAATGCTATCAAAGAATCTGGACTGATCTGGCCCAGCGTTGCCACCAGATCCTCTAACAGGTTCATGGGTTATATCCAGTTTCTTTGTTCTATTTGACACAGTCGCCACCCGGATCCCTGTCCGGCGCGCCGATAGCTTCACAAAATGTTTGCTTCGGGGAAGCGGGGATCTACATCGGTTCGGTGCGCCAATTGATAGGCTCGTATATTCCAACATATGTGATTGAGCACATCTTTCTTTGATCGAAATTCCCGCGGCACTCGATAGTCTAAACCTTGGAAAATCAACAGATCCACGCAACGCCATGCAAGTCAATCGGCACCTTTAGCTGCATTGCATGCCGAGAGCTCTTCCCTTCCCCTTCTCAGTGCTCACAAACTCGCTCATTGGCCATTCTAACAATTCATCGGGTGACCCAAGTAACTATTCCCGATCACGTAGATCGGCTCAGCTTTCTATACAAAGAAATGGTGGCCGTGGTGCGTTTTTGACTAGGGTGTATCGAAGACCGAACTACTCCGGGCCCTGTATGGTAGACAAGGCAGACAAGCCCGGACAGGTCTTTTATGCATTCTTTCAAAGATCCTGGCCTCGCTGAGCTGGACGGAATGATTTATACCCTCATCCGATTCGCACAGACTCCCTAAACGGCCCGCTCCATGACTCACGACCCGCAAAACGACCTACAGGACCGTTTCCCGAAATCCCCTCAACTTTATCACATTCCCACCAGTAATATTCCCAGGTGCAGTTGGAAAACGGCCATGGGGAAAGTCCCATAAGTCTCCATGGACGATCCCATCTCCACTCGACCTGTCGTCTCGTTGACGCTATCATTGCGCGTCAGGGGCCTGCCCAATCCCTCAAAACCTGGTCCTGTTGCTGGATGATTCCCTCCTTCCCCCATTTGATCTCTTTCAATTATCTCGCAGTATTCCAACTTCTTTCCCTCCCAATGCTGCTTGTGCCTCTTGCTTCGTATCATGGATACGATGATGAGTAGTCTCCCCCCGCACGTGGCGGAGTTTCTCGTGAAAAACATCGCCGTCATTGAGATTGTGTCCATGTTCTCCATAGGTGCATACAACGCGCTTGAAGTCGGCCTTATCACTTTCAATTAGTTCACTCATTGCCGCGGTCTATATTTCTGGAGCATGCAGGTAGCATCATGGGGTATCCTACTGCATGGAATCCCAGCCCAAATACGATTTCTGTCTGAAGCATCTAATCTCTCGATGAATATCCCCTTCATAATTGGCTGGTATGCCATTGGTCCTCTATTCACGACTACAACTCATCGTCTCGGAGAAACTTCTCATGCGCTACATCCTCTTCATGATAATCATAAACGCCATCATCCTACATATTCCAATGACCATTCTCTTCTTCGGCGTGAACCAAGGCATCACACGACTGGACCGCGCAGCAAACATCTATGACAGGATCCAGGTTACAGGGTTGTTCCTACAAGATTTTGTCATCTCCGCGTTCTACATTTACGAAGCACGTCGCGCCCTCCAACCGGTACTAGAAGTGCGCGGGCGCGAAGGTCGAAAAGTGATCATTCACCTGATAGTAGTGAATGTGATTGTCGTGATATTGAACATTCTCGTCATAATATTGGAATTCAAAGCCCACTACCTCGAAGTCAGTTTCAAAACAGCGGTATACAGTATTAAGCTGAAACTGGAACTCGCCATTCTCACACGCCTGCGCTTGTTAACGCGCACAGTACCCTGTGCCTGTACCGACCAGCCCAATACACCACGACGTTCAAGCGACATCAACGTCTTTGATATGGCACTGGCGAGATCACGTACGCGACCTGATATCGAGTCTCCCTCTCTTTTTCTGGGTGCGTCTCCATCCCCACGACGCCTTTCGTTTCGTGGAAGTACACACAAATCTCATCAGGCATTTCGGGAAACCACCTCGACCGAGAATATGATTTCACCTGTTAATATATGTGGGATTGTTGACACCCCCGGCGAGAAGACTGGAAACCGTCCCAGGATTGGCTCAGCGGACACCGGTCTACTGTTGAGATAGTTATAAATGAGCTCCCAAATTGCGACTTGCCCATTAATTTCAAAAGTTCATCTGCGCAATATTTATTGTTGAGATGTCGCCCATCATTAATTTGCTGAACACCCCCCTACTTCCTCTGCCATTGCTTTATTCTTTTCTTTCCTCTTCTCCTCTCTCTGTCCCTCTCTCTGTCCCTCTCTCTGTCCCTCTCCTTTCTCACTGTCATTCCCTTTCATTTCTTGGGTGGTTAGCCAGCGTCGACTTTAAATTTCATGGGCGGGGTCTTTGTGTCATTGTTGCTCTATACCCTTTGACTTGTCTATTTACGTTTCTTAATAAATTTCAGTTCTCAAATTTCGAGTTTTGAATTTCAATTTGCCCAGTGAAGGGCTATATTTTCATAGAATCTTTTGGTATCAATAGTCTCGCATGTACTTGAAGAAATCTGTCGCGCTCTATGATACACAAAATAGACGGGGGTAAATCGTCAATTCACTCATTTCTAGACGTGATATGAGATATCGAAAAATGGGATGACGAATGAAAAACGAAGCAAAAGCAAGAGTGGGTATAGATGTATTCCCCCGAGAAACATGGAAAATAGAAAGAAAGAAACACCAAAAAGCGCCAGGCATCATACGTGTACAGGCCTGGTCATGCGGAACGCAGAACAGGGTTGGCATGAATGTGAATCGTTTATCAATGAAAATCATCCAACGCATATGGGTATTGCCAGTTCCAAAATTTCGTTGTGCTGCTTGCATGATGAAAAAACTAAAGTGTGTCGTAGTATGGGGAGACAGATGGGTCGTGTCTTGAGTATCGGCCGTGGAGTGGTGATAATTGTGTGTGGTGGAGGAGGAAGGTATATGGGGTATGAATATGCATAGTCTAGGTCATGATGAATGTCAGCCACCGACACTTCTCGTGAAGGATCAAGTTGTGTCTCACAACAAAGCATCACTGACACATCGGTGTCGGACGTTAAAACCATCCGCCGTTCTCCCACTGGCCCGGTTTATATGTAGCTTCTTTCCGAGCATCCGCATCGACAATGCCACTCAGAAGTTCATTTAATCTGATAAAGATGATGGGCTTCATAACCCAGCCATCAAATCCAGTGTCAATATATTTCTGTCGTTCAGACTCCAAAAGAGAAGCTGAAACGGCGAAGATAGGGACACGTGAATTGGGTCTGGCTGTATTTGAAAGCGAATCTGTGCCTGCTTTAGACTCAAATGAGCGAATCATCTTGGTTGCAGTATAACCATCCGCGATGGGCATCTAAGTTCATTTGTCAATGAATCCCTTCCTACTAGGATCTCAATCAAATACCTACCTGGATATCCATGAGGACGAAGTCGAAAGCTTTACTGTGGGTAGCGAACATGTTTGCACATGCTTCGCCATTTGTTGTGAGGTCGACAGTATGTCCGAGCTTGGTTAAGCGTTTGTGGATGATCTTGCTATTGACAGGATCATCTTCTGCCACAAGAACATGTAGAAGCTTTGAATTATCTGGAGGCACGGAGGTTGGTGACGTAGACGATTTACCCACAGAAGAAACGGTTTCGACTGTTTGGGTACGCAGTGGAGAAGCGGGCATAAGTGGGAAGTAAGACCGTTCTTGGAGCTGTGAACTAGTGCGTTTGGCCGAACGCTCGGAGATTCGAAGAGCGCCCATAGGGACCCCTGAATCGGTAATGTTCTCTGTCCCAGGATGTGGAGGGGTTGACAATGGCTGGAGGGTCAATGGCGGAGTGTGGGTGACAGTAGAGAGACTAGCAAGAGGATCTTGCACGTTCGATGGCCACCTGCTGTGTGAAGGCGGGGAACCAACTGACGCGGAAATAGGACCAGCGCTGTGAGGACTGGCGGAGTGCTTGAGCCTGCTACGATCAGAGCTCTCGCTGGGGGGTCTTTGAATGAGAGCAGGTTCTTGCATGGCACTAATGAGTCGGTCTGCATGGCTGCGTCCACTTCGCGAACTGCCTCCAGACCGTAGACTTTCGGAACTTCGCCGGCGTGCTTCTCGTGTGTCTGAACCCTTGCGAGTCAGAGTAAATTCTTGATCTGAGATCATAGGTGTAGGTGGAACCGTAGCGTTATCAGAGGTAGTATCAGGAGTCTTATCTTCGGACCCTTCTGGCAGACGGAAGTTCAAAAGAATCTTAAACCGGCTCCCCTTGCCTTCTTCTGATTTGACTCCAAGTTGGCCCCGCATACTGTAAACGATTCTTGCTACGAGAGCAAGGCCTAGTCCAAGGACACGTTGCTGAGGTTGTTCCTCAGTCATACTTTTCTGTTCGTCGTAATCGTCTTGTTCGGTCGACACTTGTTCTAACTCAGAAAAAAGTGTTTCTAAATCCGCCTTGGACATGCCTGCGCCAGTGTCTACAACCATCATTTCCACTGCCACATGGTCGTTTAGCGGTTGATTAGCCGAGCGCCATATTTCGACTATAACTGCTCCTGATGCAGTCTGCTGGATGGCATTGGATATGATATTTGAGAAAACTTGACGCACTCGACGCTGATCTCCAAGGACATTGGAAGGAAGCCCTGGCTGTGCATTCATAGAGTATGAAATGTTTTTGCGCTTAGCTTCTCCAGCCAACATATCGAAGGCTTCGTGCAAGGTGGATTTTAGATCAAATGTTTCGTCTTTGATTAGTTCTTGTCCTGTCTCAGTATTGGTCAAATCAAGCAGATCGTTGATGACATAAATCAAAGACTTAGAAGCAGAATGCGACTTCGTCAGGCTTTCACGAGTGTCATCATCAAGGGCACCCTCAAGCGCAATCTCAAGATAATTAATAATTGCGTTCAATGGCGTGCGGACCTCATGGGCAGAATTCGCCAGAAGCAATCGTGTGAGCTGGGATTTCTGCATAGCGGCTTCCTTTTGACGCCACACCTTGATGAATTTACCATAAACAAGACACAATACTGCTGCAGTTTCGACGTCTGTCTCAGACCACTCCCGGGATTGACTGAGAACTGTCTCCTGCCACGCTGCAAAACTGTGGCGAGGTTCCAAGTAGCCAGCAGTCTGCTTTCGCTTGGCGATATCGTAAGGGTTACCAGCCCAATTTATTTGCGTAAGCTGGCCCTTGCGGAAAAATGCAATAAAGTCACTGCCACCGGTCGATAATGGGACATATAGCAAACCGGAAATTGCTTGGAGACCAGGAGGATACTGTAAATCTGGGAAATCTTTGATAATGTCATGAGATGCCAAGACCGAATTTATTTGCCGCATACGAAGGAACTCTAGTAAGGCGAGAACCTCTTGTGAATGGGCATTGTTCCCGAGAATTTTGGTTTCATCGCGAATGGAAAGGGCGCCATAATCCGCATCAAAAAGTTGTAGTAAATCATCAGACGAGGCGATTATGTAACCTGAAGGATTGGCTTCGGTAGGAACAGTGTTTATGAGCTTTCGTGCTTGTAATCGCGACGCGTATGAAAGCCGCTCGATGTTCCGCGAAACTGTATCTCCAAGCAGACGGCACATCTTTCTAATAGGGAAGGAAACCCGCATGCCCGCCGAGCCGTAAGAATGGCATGATATCAAACCCCACAGATCATTAAACGCATTGACGCTAATGGACATGGACGAGCGAACTTCCATATGAGCAAGGTACTTGACGTGAATAGGAGATATAGCTCGTAGATAGGCGTGAGTCATGTCTAATGGAGATTCAAGATCATCCAAAGTTCGGCAAACGAGGCGAGATGTGACATGGTCTCGATCGTACAAGAGGCGGACTTTGTTGATCTTGTAGAGCTCACGAGCCTGGGCAGGGATGTCGGATGCTGGGAAATGAAGACCCTTGTAAAGATCGATGGTCGTTTTTGGGTCCACTAGCTCTGCAACAACTAGTCCATTCCAGCTGCTGTCAAACTGATAGATCAATACTCGATGAAAACCAGTGAGTTCCTTCACGAGACCAGCAGTGGTGTTCAATAACTGGTCTAAATCATTGGCTCGGCCTAATTGCTCTTGAATTTGGGTCAATAAGCTGAATACATCCATAGCAGCAGCTTCGCCTCTTCTCCGACGAGCATTCCGGAGAACGCGTAGAGGTTGGCTGATGTTGATGGTACTGGCAGCGAATTGTTCGGCGGATGGAAAAACGCCCAACGTCTCAGCCGGTGTCGCTGGTGTGACCTGGCCGTCGACATTAAGTGGATTTACTTCATCGTGCTCCAACTCCAGTTCACAGATAATCAAATCTTTTTGAGTTGGGCTGACGTGGGTCGCACACCAAAATCGACGGGTTTCTCCAGATTGAGTCGGAATAGCTAGTATAAAAACTTCAGGCCCGTCGATACTGGGATCATAGGCGTCATCGCGAACAAAATCAATATGATCAAGTAAAATGTCGGCTTGGTCCTCACTCAAGATATCACAGAAGTTATCCACAGAAAAGAGCTGATTCGGAGTGTATCCCATTAATGTTTCCGAATTTTCACTCACGACGCGAACAACAAGCTGGTTTGGCGCTTCCTCTCGCATGGCAATCATTACACCAAAGCTCTGAATCGCCCCCGGGACCCGAATAGGCTCATCTTCGCAGTATTGGAATGATTTCCCATCTCTTCCAGTGATAACTGCATGACCATCTTCCGTTGTAATGTGCGTGGACCGTGCTGTAACATGGCCAGGAGGCTCATCGGGTCGGGCGACTTGCGACGCTGGCAATTGGGTGGTAGCGCTTCCGGATTGACTGTCGCTTTTAGGCGCTGCGTATATTTCAGGGTGTTGGGCAACATGAGATGCCATAGAATGAGCTCCTAACTCCGTTGCATCATCCACGGCATGTGTTTCATGTCGAACGGTATTGGCTGGTATAGTTGGTCCAGCTTCGGATTTGGGATGGGACGAGGGCGGTTGAGAGGGCGGTTTTGAAAGCACGGGAGGGGGAGACTGAGACTGAGATTTCAATTCATTCCACGCATGGGAATCTATTATTGAATATTGCCGTGCGCCTGCGCTTTCGCGGGTGGGTGACACTGCTGAACGAGCCTGTGTTGCGTGTGAGGCCGCATGAGGATCAACTGATACCACCGATCGAATAGGGAACACTCGGTCAATGCTGTCGAACCCAGCACTTGGGAACTGTGGATTATCGTGTCGAGAAGCTGATTGCGGCCGGTCTCGCCCTTCTAACCCCCCGTGAGAGGACTGCATAGATAGGGGCCGTGACGATGGTGCTACGGCACTCTCCGAACGCTTCCGAGGCGTCCCCGATCGCGAATTTTGTTCCACTGGCGACGACATGATGGACCCCGGCTGTTCGAAAATGGGAGTCTATATCCAATTTTGACCTGCCCGGTGAGGCAGGTCGAACGGCGAATTGGCGATTGCAACCTCGGGGATCTGTGTGGGGCTGATGTTGATCTGTCCGCTTTTACAGGCAATAGAGTGTTATTCAACGTAGAGGAATCGCCAGAAAGCCAGTAGGGAACGTAACGCGGTCATGAGCAGCGGGAGAAGTGCATTTATAAAATGTAGCCGGTTCGTTTGCAAGGTGGATATCATCGAATCTCATTCGGGTAAAGGAATGAAGAGGGATAACGGGGTGGATCCTTGTATTTGGGGCATGAGGGGAATCCACACCCACCGGGGAGGCGTGAAGATCCTGGGAATCACGAAAGGATGCTCAAGATAGAGAAGGAGACAGAAAAAGCAGTGCCGATCACAGAAGCAGAAAAAGATACTGGAGAGAGAAGCCGAACCAGGACATGGAGGGGCAAAGGCGGAGAGGCTGTAGGTGTGGGCGGTCAAAGCAATTTGATCGGAATTTGCGCGTGTGGGGGCCCCAGGCTAACTACACACTACAACTCATTGGACGGAGGACGCATGGAACTGTGTCTCACTACACACACAGAGAGAGAGATTCCATATATTTGATTCTGCCATTCCCAAGTTGAGATTCGCTTCTTGGTGGAGTTTCGAATACCTTCAAATGTCCCAATCCGGAAGAGATCCGCAAGTCCACATCGCTCTCAGTGGCTGAACCACTCCGTACGCTAGTGATTTATCGGGCTGTTTTGGCGTCTTGGTCTTGGGTAAGGTGTGGCAAAACTGCAGGGTTTTCTTTGCGCACGGTTAGTCTCGTTCAGATGGATGGTTTGTATCCAGGAGTGGAGCCATTCTGCATCATCATGATTCGGTGGTGCAGCATGGCTGTCCTTGGGGCTCTCCCCAGATTTGAATGACATCATCGGGCTGTGAGATTTCAAGAGGATCGTCTATTTCAAGGTACCATGCACGATGACATCGTCAATATTCATCTGCCCTTTAATAGGCAAACGGTCGGCCGAACCCTCGGCGATTCGATCACAGTGGATCCACTTGAAGACACCTCAGCCCATTCGCCACGGCCTACGAAGGTACAAAAGTGTATCGCACATGTCCGAATCTGGATACTTTACCACGTCATCAGAAGCGAGATAGCATTGCTCGTTTATAATCGAAGCACTCCGAACCAAGGGGAAAGTTCATTATGCGATTTCAGATTTTCACCGCTCCCTACCCTGGAGCCCTGCTACAATCCGGCAAATAATTGCAAGATGTCGCAATTTCCCTGAGTCATTGAGTGCCAAGAAATACATGAATTTATAGATAGATATTGATTGACCAACTTACAACATTGAATTGTAGAATACATATGCCATGCTCCGTTCATACACCAATATGCAATAGTACCAATCTTTCTCATGAAAATATCAATCAAAATCGCCAACATTTGAACGCTAACAAATGGTATGTATGTACGCGGAAGTATTTGAACCGAGAAAGACCTTCTGCCTGGCTACCTAGGAATCAATCAAATCGAGAAGAATTGCGTAGTCGGTGGAGCTTGAACTGTTCACCACTCCAAAAAGTCCTTTTACCACGTCCAGGATAGGTTAAATGAAAAGATTTCGCCCTTTCTTGGTGGTATCAGAGTGATGGAGCTGGAGCAGCACTATGAATTCAAGTTAGAAAATATGAGAAATCCAAATGAAGACCTGCATAGAGAGGCACATTCAATATTCATCAAGAATGGAGGAAGAACTCACTGCTCAATATGAAAGAAATATGCCGCAATGGCCGAAAATAGTTCATTAACATCATTACAAGAATACAAAAGTGGGTCATTGATCATCAAACGGTTATGCTACGGGTGCTGCATATGGCACCGCCGGTATGTCTGCATCGTACTCCTCCAGGCTTGTACCGAAGTGATCCAGAATTTCAGTAAAGCTGGCCAAATAAACATGTTAGCAAAATATTGAAAGAAATGACCGTTCTCAAATCAAGGACATACACTAGACTTTTCAAAGAGTCGATTGTGTGGTCTATATCGACCAGAGCCCAATCGAATGGCCTATCGGCCACTGGTTCATCATCTGGGTCATGATATCTGCTCAAATATGGATGCGCCAATGCGGCGTTTGCTTTCAATCGTTTGGCTGGGTCCCATACAAGCAGCCTTTCGAGTACGTCCAGAGCTAGTTGTTTGTTAGAGAGAGGTATTTCTCAAGCAATGAAAGTAAGAATTGGATTTTACCTTCTGGATCTGCTCTTTTGACTATGTTCGTAAAGGACTGTTTCGGGCGATGTGGCAATGATTCCACATATTGCGAGGTCTAAAACAAGCAAGTCAGCACATCTAGCGTTGAATACACTGGGGTTGAGCCTGAGATAAAACCCACGTTTCTGGAGCATATTTTTTGTGTTATCTCGTCAGGAACTGAGCCTAGAATCCGTATGATCAGTTGTAGCTGATCTACATGACTGTGGCCTGGAAATAATGGGCGGCCTTCGATCATCTCCGCGAGTATACAGCCCGCACTCCACATGTCAATTTCAACGTTATACTCTTGCCAGGTGAGCATAGTCTCAGGCGCTCGATAGAATCGCGTTGTCACGTAGCCCGTCATAGTAGAATCTACTATGCGGGCTAAGCCAAAGTCACAAATCTTCAGATCACAGTTTTCGTTTACTAGAATATTGCTGGGTTTGAGATCTCGATGGACCACCCCTGCGGAGTGTATGTATTTCAAACCACGCTGATGCTATCAGTCAGTAAAATGAACCATAACTAGACTGCAACCGAGCCGAGGAAGTGACAGTGGGTATCATGATGATATTGCCAAACCTACCATGATTTGATAGAAGAAGTATTGAGTAAATTGATTCTCCATCGGCCTTGACCGAATAATATGGGCCAGGTCGGTACTGAGAAGTTCGGTAATTATATAACTAAACCGAAGTCAGATATACGCCGTTGGCAGCAAGATCATGCATGAAACACTCGATAAAGGTAGAGAATGGAGTTTTCTGTAATACTGACATATCATCAAGAGGCGAAACAAAGATATCGCGTAGATACACCACCTTGTTCGGTATCAGATCAGCCTGAGTACAACACATAGGTAATGCGGACAAAATCCTGGAGACAAGCAAACATTATCATGGTTAAGATGCCTGAGAAGTTTCACCTCTCTGAAGATTCGTTTTGCTTCACCTTTTGAGTGAAACGGCAAACGAACCTTCTTTATGGCGACGCCTTCATTTGTTAATAGGTCGACACCCGCGCTAAATACACGATCAGCTTCACAGTCTCGAAGAAAGGATATGAATCATGTCAATTTACCAAACCAGGCCATGTGTTCCCACACCTAGCAGTCGTAAACTAGAATATCTGGCGAGGGGTCAGCGATCTCCGGCCCCCAGTGTAAGAAACCACAACATGCGCACCTGTTTGTGAGATCAAACGTGCAACCTCCGACCTGATGGTGGAGAATATTGATATTTGCCATCTTCTGGGGTCATTTGTGGCGATGGACTACAATGATAACATCCAAGGCTGTCGTTGAACAGTGTGAGTCGCGGTCGCATTCCTTTTGCGAGACCCTCCTCGAGGGGAGCGCGGTGTATGTGTGGGTCTTCCCCACAGTTAACCGTGCTCGGCAAGATCTCGCTATTACAATTGGCCCAACGTTCAACAGGAAGAGAGGAAAAAGAGAGAGGAAAACAAGTTTCTGCCGTGGGCCATCACACACTACTCTGGTTCATCGCCCTGTCGAGGCGGGAAAAAAAATTAATACGCTGTGAAAAACTTGAACTGGACATCTCATTTCTTTCCCAATGAAGGCGACGTACCCATTATTGTTGGTAGATTCCAAGATTTTCCACTTTGTTTAATAGTATCCCGGGACTCTCCGACAGTGAAGACGTCCTTCCAACCTATAAATCATACACTTTTCCAGGCTGCGAATCAAGAAGATCTAGAACTAAAGCGATGTTACTTTTAACCCTCAACAACCAGTGGCTTCAATTTCACGCAGCCCTGACTGGTTCGTGGCGTCGACTTGTCTCCATTGAGCCTGAGGTTCCCGTGAACAGTTTCCGGTCTCGATGATTGATTGGTTTAGATTGCGCCGTGGCTATTGCCAATGTGGATATTCATGGATATGACCCACTCGTGGATACGACTTCAAGTTTGTGCTCAGCAGAGATTATGATGATTACTGCGATGAAGAGTACCACTGATATTGCGTGATTGATCAGAATCATGGGTTTTCTTTATAATGTATCTTCAATACAGAGAATATAAAAAAATTGAAGATACCAGTACCGTCAAATGTTCGAGTGGATCAATGAATTGGGTTGTAGCTTAGTAACAGAGAACTAGTCCAACTTGAAGTCATATATAGCTAAAGCAAGTATCGGAAACTATCAATTTCCCGGTCTGTGTTATTTGACAGCTCATCCTGCAACTCCGCTCTAACCGTCATCTCCTCAGGGGAACCATGAAGTCTATCCCGTCGTCGATTTTCCCAGATGTAGTAAGCCAGCAAGCAAATCAAGAAACATATACTCAAGACAAGTCCTGACATGGCTGCTTTGATACCGGTCTATATCATAATATTAATTGAATATTCATAAGAAAGATCAATAATAAAACTTACAGGGTAAGATGGCTCCTCAGAGGCAAGGAAGAACTGTGGCCCAATAACATTGCCAACACAGTAGGCGATAAACAAGAGCGCACTAGCCACACTCTTTTTCGAAAACCCAGCGATATTAGACGTCACAACACTTAGTGAGATGGGCAGATTGATGGCATAGACAACAGCCAGAGTCAGCCCTACCATGCGACCGACCTGTTCTTCTGGGTTCAACTTCCAAATCAATATCAAGCCGATCACAGAAACAATTGTATTCAAAATCATGGCTATGATTCTGGAGTGGGGGATAAAGGTACACGCTATAGATGTCAGGACAAGAAATACTATTTGAGCTCCGCCTTGAGGCATTTGCATCAAAAGAGCTTTGAGATCACTGAAACCAAACCCTGCGGTAATAATCGAGGTGAACTATACGATGATTAGCAATGTCGATAGTGTTGCAGTTGCAGTTGGTAACTCACTGTTGTGATTCCGCCATTGCACAGGTTCGATGTAAAGGAGTTCAAAACCAAAAGCCAAACCTGTGGATCTTTCAAAGCATCTGCCGCCTGGGACCACTTGAACTTCCCATTGTCCAGAACACCAGTTTTATTCTTGATGGTACGCTGGATCGCAATAGCCCGCTCATTTTGCGTGAGGAATACAGCTTTAGTTGGAGAGTCTGGAAGAAACCAAAAAAGAACGATACCATACGACGATGTGATGGCACCCAGTATTAAGAACATAAGCTTCCATGTCTCGATTGGGGCCGAACTGATGTTGCCGATGCCGTACGCGACTAAGGGCCCAATAAGGACAGCGATGCAATTTCCAAAGAACCAGGCAGATTGTCTAAAACATCAGTGATTGTTTTTCAAACAAGACAATCTGCAACAACATACCGAACAGGCTGCTCAGCCCGAGTATAGAACATTCCAGTAAGCAACGTGAAGCCAGGTGCAATAGCAGCCTCTCCAACTCCCAGGAAAAATCGAGCAATCATCAGACCAGTGAAATTCGTGCATGCAGCATGGCACATTAAAATCCCGCCCCAAATAAAGCTGTCTTGTCAGTGAATTTGAATCATAGAAATCAAGGAGTTGGACCTACACGGAGACAGCCAAATATTTCCCAATTGGCAAACGAACGATGATATATGAGCTGGGCCAACTCCAAAAGAAGTATCCAAAGTAAAAGACCGCCGAAGTCCACGAATATTGCGAGCCATGTAATTTCTATTCAATCAGTTTCAGTACGATGGAAATCGGAAGAGATGGTCTACCAGGTCTTCGCGAAGATTGAACAAAGTCGCCTGACTCAATGCCAACTTGTCGAGAAATTGCAGAAAATAAGCAGCGCCCATTAGTGGGATCAATCTAATACAACGGTGAATAATTAGTTCATGAGGCATAGCATGTATTTGTGTAGACAAAATCACATACACAAAATCCAGCTTTCTTAGGACTTTCTTCTCCTCCTCTGGCGTAGACTCGACAGCGAGCATCTGCCCAATATCGAAGTCATGACTCGGTGGCTCGATATCATGCTTGAGATCATTTTCGTCAACCATTTTGACAGATACGCTTCCAAGGCTGAACCAACGGCAACCCTTAGATAATTTAAGATAACAGATGTGCCAGGATTCACTTCACTTCAAATACCCACTGGCCCTGCACTCCTTATAATAAATATCACCCCCATCAACAAAATAGGAGATACCCGACATTCCAACCCGGAAATCCAAGATCGGTGTCAACTTCCTCTCCTTTCCCCGGACTTACACTACAAAGTCGCTTGAACCTACCAATATAGAAACACGGGGTAGTTCCGCGGTGGATCCCACCAGACAGAAGGGGTGCGATTAACGAGCAGAGCCAATAAAAGTATTTTTTAGCTCGAAATATGCTTTTTATATGCTAATGCATTTAATTTCCCCGCAAGACTGGACTCGCGGGGTTGCTTGCCGGGAGCGTGCAGCGGAGTGACTTAGGTGGTGCATAAGGTTCTCCTCTTCGGGTCTCATTCACGGCAGATTTACACGAGCTTTGCTATATTGGGCGTTGAAGTACCGAGTCATTTAAACTGGCGAGTTTCTATTGGTAATTAAAGTTTACTAGGCGCGCTGGTGAAGCCGCGATGGAATATAACGTGCCTCGTACTCGTACTCGTGGGAAGTTGGCTACTAGATTCTACAAAGGATTTACGGAAAGCTCAGAATTTGGCAAATAGATTTGTAGATTTGAAGTCTTGCTGTAAAATAATCTGAATTGTTTCTAGAAAAACGAACTTCTTTTCGTCTATAGGTCTTTCTCAAAGTCAGCTTGGATCGCCTTTGCAAACCCGTCATCAGCCAACACACGACATCCAACTACAGCCATTCCAGCTGCACAGTATAAACTGCGCTTGAAGCTCTCTTGAGACCCCGCACCAGCAGTGAAATGAGGTGTGTGGTTAACACCCTCTGTATGGATATAGAACCCTCCATGGAAACCCGGAACCTCGTAGGATACATTGCCTGGGAGAATTATCAGTAATCAGTATCCAGAGACGACGTCTAGGGAGATATTGTAAGAAAGGATACCCATATCAGTTGAGCCTCCGCTCAAGCCACCCTCCTGACCAACTGCATCGAGTATAGTACTGTAGCCCATGGCGTTCATAGCCGATGTGTAACTATCACAAATAGGTTTGTTGTTTTTCATGTCGGTATAAGCAGCGTCCCTAACGAAAACATATTAGTTATTATTTCCCAACCTGTAGATACACAAATTAGAACATACCATTTATACTCAACTGTACACCCAGTAGCCATAGCTGCCGCCTCGAAACACTTCAACACGCGCTCAGTCAAAGGCTTTAAAGTCTTCTTCGTCTCCGACCGAATATAATAATCCACCGTCGTAGAGGCGGGAATAACATTAGGCCTCTCACCACCCCTTAATACGACACCATGAATCTTCTGCGTGGGCAAAATCTGTTGTCGCAGCATTGAGATGTTCACATAAGCCGCCACAACAGCATCAAGCGCATTAATACCTTCCCACGGCGCAGCAGATGCATGAGCCGGCTTTCCAGTAAAGGTAACCTCCACCTTATCATTTGCAAGGTACTGGCCCGTACAAGAACTCGAGCTGAGGAGGTCTGGGGCGCCAGACAAGACTGGGAAAGGATGAACCATGAAGCAAGCATCAACACCCTTGTAAGCACCCCCATCTATCAGATGCAGCTTACCACCACCCCCTTCTTCAGCGGGGGTACCAAGAAGACGAGCCGAGAATCCAATTTTATCAGAGTAAAGCGCTTTCATTGCCTCGGCAGTAGCTAGGAAAGAAGCAATGGAGCTAGTAGCAATGAGATTGTGACCACACGCATGTCCGATTCCAGGCAAAGCATCATACTCTGCGTTGAATGCAACTACCCGACCACCTCTTCCATGTGTGTAGGAAATTTCAAGTGCTGTCTCAACGCCGTATGCATGACGTTTTACGACATAGCCCTCATCCGCAAGGGAATCGAAGAATGCACAGATATTATCATGTGCTGAATATTCTTCGAAAGCAAGTTCAGGCTTAGACCAGATCTATTAAGAGAAACATGTTCATTTAGCTTTGGAAATAAAAATAAAAAAAGGAAGTAAAGTGTTGCTATTCTTACTTTCTGATTGATCTCCCCAAGACAAGTCTCATACTTATCCAAGATCTCGCGAACCTTTTGAATGATATCTTGTTGATCTTGAACAGACTGCATTTTGCCGATTCGATTCAAATGTAGACTCAAACACAAAAAAGATTAGAAATTCAATCGCCGTAGAGAATTGTATTTATGGCTCCACCCATCCTATCGGTAGATGGCAAATCCCCGGAGACAAGCCGTTCCCGACCCCGCAACTGATAAGCCATAGTGACGGCTAACCATGCCCAAAGCACCAGGTCGAGGCGATAGCCAAGCCCCGCCGGTGCAGGGGATTTAGATTCATTCCGCGATCATTCCGCAGTGGAGATAGAATCGAGATAACAATCATGAAAAGATTGGTCATAGGTTTGTTCTTGTTGAGGAGACCGAGAATATCTATTCCAGTTGTGTCTCCCTTTGTGACTCACCAAATGCTGATTCCATTTGTAATGCAGCTGCACGAGCCTGAACAGGTCTTGCCTCGAGGTAGATGCGCATTTCTTTAACTTGAAGTTCGTTTTCGTTTGAACCCTCTAGATCCAAAATGTTGAACTCTTGAATCTTTATGGGGAGTTGGTCTGGATCAACTTTAAAAATCGTTTCGGATGTCGCCTCAAACATGACAGTTCGTTTCAAGGGACCCTGTGTATCATTTCGCTCATCGGGGTTCGAGTATTGATCTGGATTATTGTTCCTGGAGCCGTTGTTGGATAGTGTGTTGCTGAGGTCCATATCCCACGCAATATTGATTTCGTGTCTAAAGTGCGACAAGTGGCGGCTTCGGACTTCGAGGAGGGGGAGTGCAGACTTGGCTGGGTTTGGAGGATTGTTGTCGATGGTGATAGGCGCATTTGGATCGAAGAAATTACTAACAGGGTTAGGAACTGGGTTGAGATTGTCCACGGCTGGGAGGAAACGCGTGAGGAATCGTAGACCGGGAGTTGCATGGTCGGGGATGGATTCGTAGGGACCATGATGAATGAAGACAGCGTGTGCCATACTGATATACGTTAATGCCGAATAGATTTAAGATTCAAGATCGAGTGGCTTTTTTTGTGTCATAGAAGTCAATATTTGTACTCCCTTATCATCCGTCATAACAACGTAGTATGGTTGTCATCACGAACTATGACTGTTCATATCATGAAACAAACCATTAGTCAGAGAAGTCCTAGGTATAAAATTTTCGATATCTCCAATGTATATAAAGTTAACAGTAAATAACACTTGTGATGTAATTATACAAACTTGACGGCCATAGCCCCTGGAGGGCAGACCCAAGACCAAATTTATTGACAAAACACGGCAAAATTATACAGTGTTGGAAGCCGTGGTGAGCTGTACACAATGCAGTCCATGTGAATTTCACCAATATGAAGATCCAGAGCCTCATGTCTCGGCGCGTGATAAGTGCGCGAGGCTTCGCGCAGGTGCAGCGAAGCTGGAGGGGGGGTGTCAAGATATGTGTGACGAATACGAGGCATTTGCCTCATGGCACCATTGAGCCATTGCCGAAGAGATCGGCTTTCGGGAGGAACAATACAATCCGTGCGCGACACGGATATTTTGTTAAAGACGAGGAAGTTGTATGGAATGGGATGGTGTGGGTCAAGATGGATGGCCACTGTCGCTCGAGACCCGTGACCGTGTTGATGGGCGAATCCTTTGTTCCGAAATTGGTAAACTTTCCAAAGAAATATTATTCCAACCGCGCATACCACGAGGGGCGCGCTCCACAGGAGCAGCATGCGTGACGTCGGAAGTCAGCTGAGTCGGGTCCACAAATTGTGGGTATTCTTCCGGTTCTCCAGAAGTCGGCTGGGATCGAGATGTCTGGACCAAGGAGACCAGTTTGCCAAGAACACCGAACTCCAATTTGAGCTTTATGCTGTACACCATGGGTTTCAAAGTGGTTTGCAGTGAGTAGTAGCCAATATACTCAACTAATAACAGAGCGACGTCGAGCAGAATGATGACGAAGTTGATAGCCAACAATTCATACATGATTCTAGTCCGACGCTGATCTTTATCTGGCATCATTTGAAGCAGCTTGACCGTCTCGCAGATGTAGATACCAGAGATGACGAATTCTTGACAGCAGAACCAAGCCAACTGCATGCGCTCCATCACATTATAGCCTCGAATGAACGGATCGGTCCGCACATAAGCAGTAGAGAAGGTAAGAACGGTGGTTGGGATGAGAAGGATGATGGCGTCGATGATAATCAGCCAAAGTACAAAGCGTAGAACTCGGCGATCCTGAACGACTAAATGAAGTCGAGAATATAGAACAACCGACTGGCCTGGCACCATGACATAAAAACCAATAGTCGACAAGGTCAATGACAACCATAGCGGAGCCAATGCAAAAAATTCCAGAATATATCCAATGGTATGAGGGACGACACCGAGCACGACGGACAGTAGTAGAGTCCAGAAATATAAGCCCCGGTAGGTTTGGAACGTTAAGAATAATAAGATAAAGAGCTCAATAGCATTGTATAGCGCGATCGAAGAAAACACAATCATTAAAATGCGCACCGTTAGACTACCACCATGGTAACCGCCGATTAGGCCATCGGGAGGCTGATCTAGGGTGTCCCCCATGACCAGGCAATTGACCAGCGCGTTTGTGTTATGGTATTGAAAATCTCGGGGTGATTCGTTATACCCCGCTTGTTTGAATCCCCTGTCGTATGCGTAACTTGTTCCGATTGATCAATTTCATAGCCATGATCTAGCATTGGCTGAACATTCGTGCGATTGTATGTATTGGTAGGAGGATATTATCGAATATGGACAGCGTGTAGGGAATGCGATATGTACTTGTGAGAATGATGAGGGGCGGAGGGCGATAACGGGTCTCGAACGCTGTTCTCGAGTTTCGCGATCTCGAGTATGTGTGTGGACGTCGGATGTAACTTCACGGTCGCCGAGAGCGGGAGGATCGGAGACAAGGGCGAACAATCGATAATTGAAATCAGGTTAAGTGTGGTGACAGACACTCAATTTCCCCCAGAAATAAATAAAAAAAGAGATTATGAAGAATATATGCAGGAACCCAAAAACGAGAGCAGGGTGGCACTGGGTCGCCCCCCAGGCGAACGAACGAAATGAGGAGAATAAGATGGAGTACAGAGTGGGTTCTTTCCACCTGCGTGGGTTCTAGCGACTCCGCACGCGCCAAACTGCCGATCACAGCAGAACACAACGGGCTAGCTAAATAGCCTATGATGAAACTAAGATAGAAGAACTGAAATCACTGAATATAACCCTCATGAGAGAGGGAAAATGTTATGAATGTCACCACGGACATTGGGGCTCGAGAGGTCGAAAAAGCGAAAAAGTCTAATTTTCCGGGGCAAAGGACGCTAACCCGCTTTAGGCAGTTCAAGTGGAAGTTTTCGGGGGAGAGTCACCTGTTTGCACTGTTTGCTGTGTTGGCCCTGTTTGATCTGCCACTTTCCGCCTTCTTTTTCTGCCGTTCCTTCCGTTTCACTGGGGAACTACCAACCTCTTACTATGCTACAGTATGGAGACATGGCTGGATAGTCCCGATCCCAAGCCGAGACCAACCACCCCAGCCATATAGCCCCGCCCTTACTAACAGCTCCTCGAATGAGCAAGGATTGTTTTAGCCACGACGACTGGAGACACCCAATTATTGATCCACTGACCCTTCAATTCTCACATGATACACTCCATCGGACCTTCGAAACAATTGAAATGGGAATGTGCATCGGATTGGACTCTCGACGCAGGGTCGTCCTTGATGGCTGGGGGAACTCACTGCTGAGGATTGCATTCTGGTCATTGTAATAAAAGACATAATTGGCGCCGAGGGAGCGAATAAGAAAGGGCTGGAAGAGTATGTTCATTGTTATTATCTTCACTGGTTACGAGGCCCATGGCTATCATCGGAAAAGGCCTCTATTGGCTATTTATGAAATTTACCACCTATTATATTGCTACCTGTACTGTGAGCTCAAGTACATCGATCTGAAGACAAGTGGAAAGACATAGAGAATGGGGTCTGTCCCGATGATCGCTATTGTCCCCCCATAACTGGTCAATTTCGTCGAGTCACAACGAGTGGTACTGGCTATGAAAGTTTATTATACGAATTTTGACATGAGCTGGGAGCTTCTAGTGCTCGTGAAAGCGTTTCTCTCGTCAGAAAAATCCAGCTCGAATCAAAGTGGCTTATTTACTCGCACTAATCTGAATACGGCCGTGGCTTTGCTATAGCCCCTCATGCTCTTGGCATTTTACCTGTGCAACAGCTGGCTACTCGTAAATCAACACCCCGCTTTTCCAAGCCCCCTGAACGTTGAGAATGGATCCTCTATCTATATCGCTTGGTATTGCGGGTGTTTTGCCCTTGATAGCCGGTGCGATCACTACGGCAAAAGAATATATAGACAACGTGAAGTGCGCGAAGGAATCAATCGCAACCTTGGTGATCGAGCTCGAAGCACTCCAATCAAACGTGGAAAATCTACATGATCTCCTAAAGGGCGATTCCATAAGAACCAGCTCTATTCAATTTCAAGAGTCTTCGGTTCTCCGAACTTGCTCTGCTGCATGCGAGACAAGGTTGCGATCGCTTTGCAAGAAGCTGGCTAAAGACGCCAACAGGAAGGGGAGTCGCTTACTATGGCCTTTTACCGAGAAAGAGTACCAAAAGCTAATCCAGGAAATACGTAATTTCACTAACTGGATGGGATTCGCTTTGTCGATTGAGGGTTGTCGGCTTCTTTCTCGCACATCAGACGATGTTTTAGAATTGATGGGACAGCAGCTAGAACAATTCAGAACCATCCAGACAGTTGAAGCACATACCGCTCAAATCCTTGATTTTGTCGAAGAGCAACGACACACAAACAAAGTCAATATCGAGAAAGAAGCCAAAATAAGTATTTTCAACTGGATCTCGAATGGAAAACACGATCAGAAACACCAGCTTGTGCAGAGCTCAAGAGTTCAGAACACCGGAAAGTGGATCTTGCAGAAAGACGAGTTCATTCAGTGGCGAAACAATAGTTCTGCATCAAATGTTCTTGTGTGTTATGGCATTCAAGGATCTGGCAAAACAAACCTTGCGTATGACACCCCACACCCGTTTTAAAAGACTGAGCTGATTTTGCAGATCCATTATCATCGACGAACTCCTGGACTCTAGCTCAAGTGAGAACTCACCTGTTGCTTACTTCTACTTCGACCACCAAGATCAATCATCTCAAAGTACACCATTGGTTCTACGCTGTATTTTGAGACAACTTCTACAAAGTCTACCCACCATACCCAGTGCCGTGCTCGAGCTTTATGAGAAGGGTGGCCGGAATGGTCAAATACCTGTTCACGATTCTGAAAGACTCCTAACTGACCTTGCTTCTAATTTGGATTGTGTATATCTGGTATTCGACGGACTCGACGAGTCAGAGCATCGAACAACCTGCCTTCAAAGCATTCAAAACCTGATACGCAGTCCTAAAGTACGATTTTTAGTTACATGTCGACCTCATATTCTAGATATCGCAAATATTTTCCAACAACACCCGAAGCTCGAAATCGAAGCCCATGAGGACGATTTGCAAATGTGCTTGCGGCAAGAACTTAACGCAGCAAGAATATATGACATCGCAGATCATGAATTTGTGAGCAGACTGATATGGAAACTGACGCAGAATGCAGAGGGAATGTATGCCATATTGATGATCCACTAGCTTGAAAGTAAAAGCCCTGACATGAGTATCATTTCCATATTAGGTTTCTTCTTCCAATTCTACAACTCCGTACAATTCTCAAAGAACCTACTATCGGCGAGATGGAGGACAGAATAGCAGACATGTCCTACAGTCTCAGTGACGCCTTTTCGGATACTATTTCTCGTATCCAGCGACTTCCCGAGAGCCGTAGTCGACTCGGAATGGGTGCTCTTATGTGGCTTTCTCACACACCCCGGGCAATGACCGTACTGGAACTGAGCGATGCCTTGGCTGCTCGCAGCGTGGGAAATACTGTTAATGTGAGATACCGGCCATACGTCAAGACGATCCTCGAATGCTGCCAGGGCCTTGCGACCGTAGATGTGGAGGGTTACGTGCGGCTTGCCCACTACGCAATTCAGGAATATTTGAGAGAGAATGCGACAGATCTCTTCCCGAAAGCCAAAGCCACGATTGCGGTGACATGTCTACGATATCTTGTGCTTGAAGACTTCCATGGTGGGCCTTGGTGGGATGATAGTGAAATTGAGGATAAAATGGAAATGTATCCTTTTCTCACCTGGGCCACTGTGTATTGGGGCCAGTTTACGCGAGTAACCGAAACCGATGCTGAAGTTTGGTCTGCATTGTTAGTATTTTTCTCGTGTCCCGTCGCTACAGCAATCTCGAACCAAGTGCGACAATATTCGCAAGGTAAGAGATTTGAATACTACGATTCCGAGGAATGCAAAAGCTTTTCAGCGCTCCATCATGCTTCCCGGCACGGTCTCAAACGGGCAGTTTGTGAGCTCCTCGACAGCGGCACATACGATGTTAACGAACTCACGGAAATGGGTAGCACACCAGTTATCCACGCTGCCGCGGCTGGACATGTCCAAACAACCCGAACTCTGCTGGATCATGGCGCTAATCCGCGATTACGCAATTGGTACGGAGACGCGTTACACTGCGCCATTCAGTCGGATAAAACAGAGACAGTTCGAGAGTTGATTCGCTGGGGAGTGGATCCTAACACTATTCAAAACGATAAACAAACTTATCTCGGTTGCGCAGTAGATGGAGATTGCGCCGGCGCCTTTGCAGTGCTTGTCGAACTTGGTGCAGACATTAAGTTACAAAGCGCGATAGGACATGATAGTCACATATTCTTTACCGCGGCACTCTGGGGCTGCGGCAAGATCGTCGTACTGATGCTGGAACGAGGATGGGCCGATATTGAGATGAGAAACCCCCGAGGACAAACAGCACTGCATTTTGCTGTGTTGTCTGAAGATCCCACGACGGTTAGGATGATTATGAAAGCTGGTGCGAATATTGATGAGATGGATAACGCTGGTCATACAGCTCTGGACTACGCGGAAGTTGCGAAAAACAAGACAATACTGAGACTGTTACTAGCCTCAAAGCCATGGGGCACATGCCTTCAAGTTCCATAATTAAATTAGTAGCAAGAAGAAATCAACTTACAATTGATTTATGGTTCTCTGCGTAACTCCATAGTGGAGTTCGTTGTCAATGGACATTGGACAATAAGGGCGCAATGGCCTCACCCTAATTATAGTATAAACAAAACTCAATTTAAAGGAAATAACCCAATATTTTGCTGGACAGGGTAAGCGATCGGAGTTTTTTCGAGTATTTATAACTTTGATTAGACCACCCACAATAAGGGAATGCTAGGACGAAGACAGTAGCGAGGTGTAGCGCCTGGCCAGTACTTATCCATGGTTCACGGTTGGACAAAATCCAACCAAAGTCCACTTCAATGATGCATGATGCCTGCATGATGCCTGCATGGTGAGACATCGGTAATAAAGATTAAGCTGCAGCTTTTCATCCCATCGCTTAGTCTGCTCGGCTAATTACACCTGCAATGAATGCAAGTTGATGCGGGGCTGGATCATAATATAAAGCTGTGGGTCTACCGCACCAAGGCCCATAGTACACCTAGGATCCCTTCATTTGATCCTCATCTCCAAGAAACTCCATCGCCAGAATGGGATACGAACAAGACACGTATGATTTCATTATTGTAGGAGGTAAGTATATATTCAAATCTTCATGAATAAGTACTGAGTATACTTGTATAGCCGGTCCAGCAGGCTGCGCTCTCGCGGCCTCCCTCAGCAAAACCACGGCCAGACCACGGGTTCTTCTCCTGGAAGCCGGCGGAAAGAATGAAGATGAAACACTAAGAGTCGACGGAAAACGCTGGACAACCTTCTCAGAACCTTCATTGAATTGGGGCTACAAAACCACTCCACAGGAAGGCTGTAACGGGCGAGTCCTGGACTACTCACGCGGGAAAGGAATAGGCGGAGGCTCAGCCATTAATTTTGGGGTATATACTGTCGGCGCAAGAGATGACTACGATACATGGGCGGAGATAGTTGAGGACGAGGGAACGTTCGGATGGGATGCTATGCAGCGACGTTTCAAGAATCTTGAGACTTTTGATGGGAGAGTTGACCTTGAAGAAAATCGAAAGTATGCGCAACCTAATCCAGCTGATCATGGAAATAACGGAGGTTTACAGACTGGGTATGCGAAAAAGTGGGAAAGTGATGTACCTCTCATTCTTAATTCCCTATGGGAGTCTGGATTTGCGCAGAATTTAGATCATAACTCTGGCAATCCCCTTGGAATGGGCCTGATGATCAACTCTGCGAGTAAAGGACGCAGAACTACAGCAGCAGATCTATTGGTCAATATTCCAGACAACCTGGTTACTGTGACAGATACGCCAGTTCAACGAGTACTCATACAGGACAAGAAGGCCATCGGAGTTGAGACCAAAGGGAGCAAGTGTAAGCCACGAACCATTTGATCATATATAAAACCAGCCAACTAACAACATTCTAGACTTCGCTAGCAAAGATGTCATTCTGTCCGCTGGCTCCCTGGACACACCAAAGATCCTCATGCACTCCGGGATCGGCCCAGCAGCAGAACTCAACAAGTTCAACATCCCAGTAATCCAAGACCTACCCGCAGTAGGCCAAGGACTCAAAGACCATCTTTTCGCACCTATAATGTTAATGCGCAGCCCCGAGAGCAACGACAGAAACGCATTTTACGGCTCTGAAGACGCAATGGATGCAGCGCTGACACAATGGAACAAAGACAATACGGGATCATGGACTCAATATGGGTGCCAAGTGAGCTGCGGTTGGTTCAAATCCGACAAAGTCACATCATGCCAGGAATTCAAAGACCTCGAAGCGCCAGTCCAGGAATTTATGAACAGAGAAACAATTCCACAGTATGAAGTTATTGCCGGGTTCCCCGTACACCTTGTCTTCCCTGGGACCTTCCAGGACTACAGCTATGTCTGTCTGGTGGCCTTCTTGATGAACGGGCAATCATCCGGCGAAGTACGCCTGCAGTCATCTAATCCAGACGACCCTCTTATGTTTGATCCGAAGTTCTTAGTCCACCCATTCGACCAGCGCGCAGTTGTGGAGATTTACAAGCATCTACTCGAAGCAACCCGTCATCCCAGTTTTGCAAAGGACACAGTTGCCCCGGCACTTGCACCGGAATCCGACTCTGATGAAGACATTCTGGAGTTCTGGAGGAGTAACGCATCGACTAGTTGGCATATGACTGGAACAGCGAAGATGGGGAAAGAAGGAGATGCCGATGCAGCAGTTGATAAGCGGTTCCGGGTGATTGGAGTTGAAAATCTGAGAGTTGCGGATATGAGTGTTGTCCCTGTTCTGACAAATAATCACACGCAGGCAACGGCGTATGTGACAGGGGCTACTTGCGCAGATGTTTTGATTCGAGAGTATGGCTTGGATCGACCGTAATGTACCAATTGATGTTCAAACTCCTAGCTTGGGAATCGGATCGAGTTTTGTCCAGATAGCGCAAATCAATGTTATTCACTGTGAAATTGAGTTTCGTAGCTATTGTGACATAAAGCATGAACCCTGAAACACATCCAGGTGCTCAATAACGCCATGCTAACAGTTGGGACAAATAATGAACAGAAGTAACAAAAACGTGACAAACACCACCGAGCTACAGAAATCCACAAAAAAGCCAAGTCGCGTATCGCGCCACACACCGTTACTGGAACCAAGATATGGAGAGAAATGTGATCAAGCAGACGTCAAGAGGGAGCAACAAAATAAGACGGGATATAGGGGGCTGCTTGGACCGGAGAAAGAACGCAGGAATTTGAAAACTTAAGCCATGGGAAGGCCATGTGGATTAGGCTCCTGCTTAGAGACGAGGTCTGGATCCGTGGTGTTCTCGTCACTGCGCGAGCGCTTGTTCTGCTGGAAAGCGTTGCCCATGAAGTTGGTCTCATCGGGGTGCTTTCGCATTCCTAGTCCGGCGACGGCGATGCGGTTCAAAGAGTTCATGTCATCGTTGACACTGCTAGAGTGTTGGGACTGCGGGCCACCGGGTTGGGGTACGGAACCAGGGCCACCGGCGGAAAGACCAGCAAGGGCCAGGTCATGACGAGGCTGCTGGGTCAAATCAATGTTTGGTGGCAGGTCTGGTACTTCAACCTGGGCCTCCATCAGACGAGTCTGCAGGTTGATAACGTGGTCTCGTAGAGCATAGTTCTCATTAATGAGTTTAGAGATGGTGTCCTTATAACTATCGATGTTTTTGTTCTCATCTTCAAGTTTACGGATGTATGTCTCCTTACGTTGGCGGAAGGCACGCTAGTTTGATACAGTTAGCTTGAGTAACGACTTAGGCGCGATTGGACAAATGCCGAATGTCTGGTTACTTACCTGAGCAGCACGGTTCTGCGCAGCACGCTTAGATGTTGAGAGTTCACGCTTTCCGTATGATTTGGGGCTGTCATCTTCTGGCGAACCTTGAGGAGGCTGACTAGGGGTCTGTGGGGGAGCAGCGTTCATCATGGCGCCAGAGATAGCAGGGTCGATGTTAGTTTGGTCGCGCGGGCTGGCAGTGTTTGGTGCCATATGCTGCTGAGGGCCCGGGCCACCCTGATGGCGAGCATTCTGCAGCTGGTGCTGAGCGGCCAGAAGTTGGTCATGAAGGACTACAAGCTATAAGTCAGCCATTATACTAAGCCGATCATTTTTGAAGCTCTGTGCGCGTTTTCGCCACAAGCCAAAAAAGTGATGCAATAGATCAAGTAGTGAATTCAATATCGTCATCCAGCCCTCATTCAAGGGCAAAGGAGTATTTTCGAACATCAAATAACTAGCAAAGTTGGTATAGACATACCCTGGTCCGCGTGGTCCTATATCCAGATGGTTAGCGATTTGCGACCAAGATATAGCGAGGACCCGGGTTTGCGCGGAAAGGCCAGAAACGCGGTGCGACGCGTCCTGAGGCCCTTCGCGAGACCATGTCTACACTACCCAATATCATGCATCAAGTATAGCTCCTAACTGTACTTGGCGCGGGAAGACGATCTGATGACAAACGCGTCGAGGTTAAGCTGCTTACCTGAGCAGAAGATTGCATACTGGGATGCGGCGCTGGCGCCAACGCAGGTTGCATTGAAGTGGGAAAAAGGGGGTGTTTGAAGGACCAGAGCTAATCAGCTAATATGCAGCCCTTTGAACGGTTTCTTAACTCTGAAGGATGAAGTCTTTGCTTGTTTTGAATGTAGATGCTGAATGAGGTAAGCAGTTGAAGATGCTGTAAGCAGGAGGTGGGAGCGGTGGAGGGGGACGATCTGAGTCAGGCACGAGAGACACGAGTGCGGTAAGCGAACAATCCGCCATTCTGCCGCTTTCAGCTGGTGTGTTCATAGGAGGTGGCAGAAAAAGAAGGCGGTGGACACGGGGCAACGGGATATATTTATTCCGAAGAGCTCCTATGAATGACGTAATTGAATATGTTGCTGTCGACACCTCAGGCATGAGTCAAGCATCTCTCTTTATTGTCTAATAGTCCAACTTCCATTACCTAGCGATAGATCTGTATTAGGACTTCCTTCATACGCTCTATGATGAAATACTGTCTGGCATTATCTCAATCTACAAGATTGAATCGTAGCCACTTTACCAACAAATTCCTAAATGCCGCACATAGCCACATCTCAAGTGCTGTTACCCAGGTGCTGACACACGCTGACACCCTACACATACTATTCTGTATCTATTTCTGGATCTGACACGATAGGAGCGGTGCAAACTTGAAATAGTCGCGGATTTGGAGTTAGTAACTCTAACTGCTTCAGTAAAAACGCCATAGCACGAGTATAAAAGCCATAGAGAAATATACCTCGTGTTATCTCCACGAGAATGAATAAATACTTTAGCGACAATGGATATTATACACAGGACAAGGGAAAATAAAAGGTGATCACGTCCATATGGGACATATAAAGGGGTTAATTATAGAATCATTTAGACATAATGGCCGACATCCATTTTTGTTCGTCCGTTCTGCAAAAGGTCAGTATACAAGTACATAAGAGAAGAATAAAGGAGCATAACTTACCGATCAAAATGTAGCAGCATCCCCAGGACAGGGATCAACTGTTTCTGATAGTTCTTGTCCTTTTGCTCCAAAAATTGCAGCAGGACATTCTTGAGATACATATAATCAATGGACTGGTTGCTCGCCGTACCAGATACAGATGGCGTTTCACTACGACGACTAGACGCGCTGCGATCTTGTCCAGACGGAGAAGCCATGCCGCGTCGAGAACCAGAGTCAATCGATGATCGTGAAGATTGACGACCAGAATCCAATCCACGAAGGCGAACATCTTCGCCAAGCGTCTTGTGTGATTTCCGCAGCTTCTCCAGTCGGTTGTTTGTCTCCTCCACGGAGCGACGGAGCTCAGCCTTTTCTTTCTCTAGATCACGAACTTGTTTCTCGCTTCCGTCTAGTGCTTCACGTAGCCCGGCCATGGCTTGGCGAACTTCCTCTACTTCCTGGGTAGAGCGTTCGGAAAGAAGCTCTAGCTCCTCACGGCGTCGCCGCCAGTCCTTTTGAGAATGTTCAAGCTCTTCTTTATCTTCTTCTGCGGTGCGCAGTGCCCGTTCGGCTTCGCGGACCTTAGCCTTTAGCTCCTCCATCTCGCGGGCCCGACGACGTCCCTGAGTACTAGCCTCGTCTTCGGCACGGTCGCGCTCCTCGACGGCTGTCTCCATACGTTCCTTGAAGTCGCGAACCTTGGCATCCATGCGACCTTCAATCTCGCTGAGAAGACGACGCATAGTCTCACCCTCACGAGTACGCTCGCTCAGTAGACGATGAGCATCTGATAACTCCTCCTCCAAACTGTCACATCGTTCACGAGCCTCTTTCATTTGCATGGCGACTTCAGCAGTCTGATCGCGCATGTTGTTCATCAGACTCTGAGCACTGGAGTGTTGAGCTGTCTTCAACTGGATCTCCTCGCGTAAGCTTCCGAGTTCCTTGTTCAGTTGGCTCATTTGCTCATCCATCTCTCGGATCTTTGTGCGAGAGGTCCTGAGATTATCTTGGGCCTTAGAGAGATCTCCCGCGGTCTTGTCCTTGGCATTAATAGCATCTTGCTTTCTTGACTCGGCAGAGCGGAGGTCTGATTGGGCAACATTAAGATGCTCCTCTGCCTTGAGACGGCTGTCCGTCTCCTGGCGGATCTTTTTGTTCAAAGTATTGACTTCTGTATCACGTTCCGATATTTTTGTCTTTGAAGTCTTCAACTCTGCACGTAGATCTTCATGCTTGGACTCAAGAGTCCTCAGCTCGTTGTTCTTGCCCGTCAGGGTCTCCTTCAGACTCTTCAATTCTGACGATTCAGCTCGGAGGTTACGCAGCTCTGGTTGGACCTTCTGGAGCGTTTCGCGTAAGTCAGTCAGGTCTTTAAACCGGGTGGCAGCCAGCTGCTTTGCGGCAGAAAGATCTGTTTCCATAGTAGCCGCCTTGATTTTCAGAGCCTCGAATTCCTCCTTGAGGCCCTTTTGTAACTTCTCTGAATCAGCACTGGTTGAAGCATTGCTAGTCCGGAGATCAATCAACTCCTTCTCCAATTTGCCGATAGTTTCTTCAAGGGCAGACTTCTCCGCAGTAAGCACCTTAATCTTATCTTTAGACTCGACGTGCTCTTGTCCCACATTGATCAAGTCATCACGTAAGGATTCTATCTCTTCCTTCAAATCTTCTTCTCCCTTGAGCTTAGCGCTAAGACGGTCGATAGCGTCCTCCTTGTCGGATAGCTGCTTGCTGAGATTCTCGATCTTTTGCTTTAGCTCTTCGAGTTCTGCAGCGGGTACGGTTGGCTCTGCAAGCTCCTCGGCCTGTTCAACCTGCTCAGTTGGCGCATCGCTGGATTTAGCTGGTTCTGCAGCAGCATTGCCTCCCTTCTTCTTCTTCTTGTTCTTCTTCTTATTTCCACCAGCTCCACCGCCGGTAGATGCGGGCGTGACGGCTGGTGTTGAATCCTTCTGGAGAGTAGCAGTCGTGCTAGCCTGAGTGGCTTTCTCGGCGGGAGCCAAGCTCTTGCGAATCTCTTCGAAATCGGCGACCTTTCCTGCAGAGACATTCTCCTTGGCAGTCTTCCAGGCATTGTTGTCCTTCATGTTGCTGTCCATAAAATCGACAACCTTCTGCAGTTTCTCAGAGCTTTCTGAATTCTTGGCAATGTCTGACTTGAGATCAGACACAGTAGATTCAGCGTCCTTGAGCTGGGATTTGAGGCTGTCAACTAGGCCCTGTACGACATTAAGACGTTTCTCACTGGCGTCCTTAACCTTCTTGGCCTCCTCGAGCTGCGATACCAACTCGGAGTTGTCTTCGGTCTTCTTAGCCTTGTCAGCCTCGGTTGCTTGAACTTGAAGTTTCTCGATATCGTCACTCTTTTCCTTGAGTTCTTTCTTCAGCTTCTCAGCTTCGGCGATTGTGCTTTCGAGGGTAGATTCGGCAGTCGCGAGCTTCGCCTTGACGTCTTCAGTGTTGCTGGACTTCGACTTAAGACCCTCGATCTCCTCATCAAGCTTCGTCTTGGTGTCGCGCAACTCCACCAATTCCCGAGTGGCAGATTCCAAGTTTTGTACCATGCCCTCCGTAGATTCGCGGGTGACTGAAACATCCTTCTTGAGCTGTTCGACCTCTGACTTCAGAGTCTCAACCTCCTCTTGCTTTTCCTTCAACTCGCCCTCCAATCGGGGAACCTCGTTATCGAATGAGAAGAATTCCTCGCTGGTTTCCTCCTTGTCATCGGAAGACGTCTTTTCTTTAGAAGGCCTCTTCTCCTCCTTTTCTTTCTTGAGGCCCGTGACTTCATCCAGAGCTTCCTTTGCAGATTTCTCTGCCTCGTCCATTCTCTTTTTGAAGTCATCGCGCTCGGTCGCTACCCGCTTCATCTCCTCCATCACCATATCCGACTTGAGCGAGATCTGATTGAGGTATTCTGTCAGGGCCTTGGGTTCGCCAATCGAGGTAAGAGGGGTATTTTCGCGCAGGGCAGCTTCGAAAGGTTCGATGGACAGGACACGCGAGTGTGCGTTACGGTAAGCTTTGAGAAGTTCTACAGAATTCAAAATGTCAGTTCACCCGGTATTCCCCCAAGTTCAACAGGATGTATTTTCCCAATTCAACGCCACATACCATGGTAACGGGATTCCAGTTTATCCAACCGGCGCAGTTTAGCCCTGACATCAGCAGGCAACTCGGTTGCCGCAGGTTTATTTGACTCCGCATCTGCAGCCGCAGCGGACGAGGCAGGTTCCTTTTCTTTGTCACTTTTATCGGAGTTATCGGTCTTTTCAGTGTTTTCAGTGGTGTCCTCAGAGACATCGGTAGTGGAAGGGGCCGTTTCTGTCTCCTCCGCACGATCGCCCGCTGAACTAGTCACCTCCGAGGCCGGGTCCGGGGTATCTACGCGGGGAGTCCCCGAGCGACTAGAGGCATCATCATCGCCGATGGTGAATTCTGCCTCGAACTCCTTTGGATCTGGGCCTCGAACCGGGGTGCTTGCGTTGCGTTGTCCGCGGGGCCGTTGACCGGGGGATGAGGAGGGTGGTCTTCGAGAGGAATTGGAGCGGGTGATATTGTCTTGGGCGGACTTTTGACGAGCCTGTTCCTCTGCGATTCGCGAGTCAATAGCGTCGCGCAGGCGCTGTAGAAATAGCAGTGTCAGTCTTCTTGGGTTCTTTGTGGTCTTGTGCGCATTGCGCGGCCTCTGCAGCCTTATCCTCTCCCCGGATGAGCCTGAAATGGAGATCCTAGGGAATTACCTGAAACATCACCGCGACAGGTCTCTAGACCAAGACCAGGCAGTGTGGAATGTATTTAGACGTAGGGAAAAAGAAAAACGAAGGGGGCACTGAAGGAAGAGGTAAGAAATGGGTTCAGGTTTCTAATGATAGGACATGTTGGCCAAGCCCGCAAGCTCGGACCACCCAGCGGAGAGACTATAGACATGCGCAGTATAGTGGACAGCTGATAACGCCGTTGACCAAGGCTCAAATATTGACTCAATTATTGAAGAACTCTACATATTTCGTATATATATGAAGTGTGACATACTCATTGCATATTTGAACTTCAATTGTTCCGAGTTGTGATATGCAAGTTCCTACCAATCATACAATTTCTTGGGGTTCTGCACCATCAACATCCTCCACTCATCATCCGATAACCACGAGCGCAAGCTCTCCAGCCAAGCCATATCATCAACTTCCAGATATGGAGTTTCAGTCAACGCCTCCTCCCGTGCGGACCTTCATCAAGGGTGTATGTGGCCTGAAAAAGCGTCAGAATCCTCGCTGCAATTCAACAAACACCAATACATACCAATCACTCCCCCACACAAGCTGATGTGGATTCGCATCGAAAAGTGCCCGAACAAGAGGTTTCAGGTCCTCAAAGTGCGGTGCCCGAAGACGAATCCTGTAAGGCGCACTGACCTTCACGAAAAGATGACCTGCCTGGACTAGATCCAGAATATCTTCAAATCCCTGTTGTCGATTGATGTTGCCCTCGCATTCAAAAGGCAGCATACTTGCCCCCTTTAGCAAGGCAAAATGATCCGTCACAAGTCGAATTCCTCTCGGTACAATCTCTCCCACAATAACAGGCTTTAATGCCCCCCAAAACTCCGGATGAGTATGCGTAAACGCCATATTCCAGTGTGTAACATTGCCGTCCAGCGCCCGCGCATGGGCCGTCAAGACAACTTTCTGATGCTCAACATCATGCATTGCGTTGTACTTATAAATGTTGACTCTGATACCGCGGACCCCGTTGGCGTGCATTTCTGCAAGCTCGTCTGGCGTCACTATCTCTGGGTCAATTACTGCGATTCCCTTCGTTACGGTTCGTCCAAGATCCGCTGTGAATGTGGTTAGGCAGCTACTGTCTGCGCCATATGAGAGACCATGAGTCAATACCGAGTGTGTGATCCCAGTCTTTAGCTTGAATTCGTTGTATTTTTTTGATTGATGCAGGAGGTGGAGTGAGGTGACGGTTTGAATCGTAGGGAAATCGAACAGCTGTAGATCGATAGTATGTGAGATAAAACGAAGCCGATATCAATGTCTAGGGATGTCTTTTTAGACCTTACGTTCACAGATGTGGTGGTGGACGTCCCATCCGCCATCTGGAAAAAGGGGGGTAGACATTCTTGCTAGGAGGACTGAGATTGAATGATAGAGAGTCTGCTTGGGAGAAATGAGCTGCGTAGATTTACGTGCTTCGCTGAACAAACAAGAAGGTATCATTTACTTCATGACAAGAGACAGATATAGAGAATCAATTGGGTAAAGCCCAGTTCGGATATTCCAAGCCAACAAGTCAGACACCCGACCAGACATTCCACATTATTTCCAAGGGACAAATGCTAATGGAAACTTGATTAGCGTCCACTCCCAAAAGATTTTGATGCTCTATAGTACGAGGGTGACTCCGGGGTTTGAAAAGTGGAGACGTGATGCTTTGGAGAGCTCCGAGTGGGTCTGGACTCTGGAGTGCTCCGAAAGGAAGCTGCCCCCTCGAGAAACGAGACTCCTTCAACCACGAAAGGATTTTCGCGCAAAGTTCCGGACAATAGGGATAGTGTCGTACGATACTCTTTCGTGTATATCGACTTGAAATTTGAAGTTGCGATGTCGGAAAGATCCATAGAGGCCGATTCCTCTATCCCGCCATCGGCACCCGCGCCTTAGAGGAGCATCTTAGCTCATCTCTAATACGGCCATGATGGCAGGTAAACTAAACTAAACATCCGCATGTTTTACTTGGTATTAGCGATATATTTTCATCAATCATGTCTCCTCGAAAGCAAGTTTCATCATGGCAGTCTATATTAGCAGGAGCCGCTGCTGGCGGCTTTGAGAGCTTGATCACCGTATGGAGCCCATTCTACCAAACAAGAGAGAGATAAACTAACATTTAGCCAATTTACAGTACTCAACCGAGTATCTTAAGACATACCAACAGCTCTCGAGGGCCGGTAGCATCAATCGACAATCACTCATCCAACTCCTGGCTTCTACAACTCACCAGCAAGAAATCGGTACTCTTTACACCGGCGCTGGAGCTTTCTGTGTCTCAAATGCGTCAAAATCTTCCATTTGTTTCTTTCCATTCGACACGGTGCGGCAATTTATGCTAATTGACCAAACGGGTAAAGTCGCAACATTAGGGAATATGTGTGCGGGTCTGATGGCAGGAGTGGCAGAGGCCGTGGTGGTAGTGACTCCCGATGAAACGATCAAGACAAAAAGGATTGACGATCGGGCTGGACCCAAGCTATATAGATCCACTATATATGGGATTGTCTCCATATTCCGCAAGGAAGGCTTACCGGGACTATATCGGGGTGTGACCCTGTGACCATGAAGCAGTCCGCAAATGCGATGGTGCGGTTTACAAGCTATAACATATTCCTGGGGCGAATGGAAGCGATGTCCATCCCGAAGTCAGTATCTGCTATATTCTCCGGTGCTTTGGCAAGTGTTGTAACGGTGTACGCGACAATGCCTTTCGATTCGGTCAAGACGCGACTCCAGGCCATTGATGGAAACCAGCGCTATCGAGGTTAGCTGGATTGTGTCCACTCGGTGATTAAACACGAGGGTGTTTCTGCTTTATGGCGAGGCACCACACCGCGCTTCATTAGATTGAGTGTTCGTACCTCTCGTTCTTGCTGTTGGTTTTGTTATGAGACTAATATTTCGATCCTAGGTTTCGGGCGCTCTCAGCTTTTCGATCTATGAGACTGTTATACAATGGACTAACCCTTTCCTGATTAGCATGTCCCCCACAACTAATATGTTCTTGAAAGCAATTTCTAATAAAATTTCCCCGTCAGCTTCACGGTACGATGCTGTGCTCGGATAAAATGGCTTGAACATAATCTAGCCACTGTTTGTCCCGACTTTGATCTGTCACAGAGACTTATATTTGATCACGCTTTATATAGTAAGACTTGGTTCGTAACACATAGTGTAAGAAGACAAAAATTTAACATGTGCTATCTCTTAATGTATATTATTATAATACATTTGTGTATCTCTGGTTTATTTGTGTAGAAATAATCTTAGGAGTGAACTAAGAAGTCCCGAAATAATAGATGTAATATTTTATTGTCTTGTATTTCACACACTAGTCATATACATATCAGATGAAAGTACCATGGATTTTATTCCAAGGTACATTTTAGCCATAGTCATCTTGTTCATTCGATTTGGCCTTCTTGCTATTGTATGGCATTGGCAAGTACGTCACATTATCCCACCGATTGCCCAATTTTATAATCCCATCAAGTACGGAGTACAAAGATTCCTTTTCATGAACCGGGCTCTGCTAATAAGCGGCGCCAATGGGCGTCGGGAGTAAGCGGGAGCTAAGCCGGCGCGCCTTCACGCCGGCGCTAGCTATACGAGCGGTGCGGCTGTGCTCATAGCGGGCGAATCATAGCACTCGCGTGCCAAAACCGAGCACTTGAGCTCCTGCATGTCAGCAAGCTTTCCCGGAACAAGAAAGAAGAATACGCCTGGCTAAACCGACATTTCTTAGTTTCGTAGAGCTGCTTAACCCGAAACAACTAGCCTAGCCCAAGATAATTCTCAAAAACAAAATGGCTAAACCATTCACGTTGTTAGTTGGGAAGATAAACGGAATATTTCTTTGGGGAAATAGGAATGCTGGACAACTCGACACGGAAAACGCAGCATCTTAGGGATATATCATGCACTAGACACCCGAGTACCTATGTCACTTACACAAATGACGAGTTTCGGAGACGATACAAAACACAAATTAATTCATTTAAAATAAGCTATTAGTCGGCAGTTGATTTCAAGCCGAGCTTAGCATCCACGGCCATTGACCCTGCCCTCTATCTGATATGTCGATCTCCTCCTCGATAAGTGCGCCCTTGGAAGTTGGACGGAGGTGTTAGTACAATAAATCGAAAATCTTTATGTGCATTTAGGAATCATAGACACCCTGTAAGAATGCATCTGAGGAACTTGGTATTTATCATGTGGAAATATCAGTGGTCTATGGATGCGCCTTCGTATATTGCCAGTTCAGGAAGACCTATATTGCAAAAAGGTCATATTTGAAAAGCAAATCTGATCCTTAATATTGGCATCCTCATACAATACAGTCAAAACAGATTTGAGGAGATCACTCTGACCTTCAAGAATAAGAGCAGTTGGTGGTATCCTAGCCAGAAGTTCTACAATTGAAACTTACTTTGGGTACATAAGAACTCACACATAAACATCAACTAGATTAATATCGATTGAGATAACTAGTGAATGCATAATCGGAAGATTGAAAGTTCTGGTGAAGTCTAGTAAACATAGAATTCCTATTTTGAAAATTTACCATATCCCGGGACCTGAAAATTCATTTCAATTTCTAATGGTCTGGTTTTTAGCAAGTCCAGTCCATTAAAGTCGAAGTTTCAGTCTGTAGGTTGCCCAAATTGACCTTATAATCCAGCAATGACAAGCCCTAAGATCAAAGTGCTCTCTCGTACCTCAGCTGATTGGTTTCAATGAGCCGTCATATCTCTTGACACCCTCGCACACAACTCCATGAATACAGTTGCATCTGGAAGAAGGGTATTGTTGTACGAGGCTCCAATATAAGGGTGGCCGACAGCCGCCGAGCCTAACGCAAGAATTGTCAGTGCATACCGACCTTCTTACAGATAGATTTTACTTCATGATTGATTTCCATAAAATGATATATACATACAATCCTCTAGTAAACAAAGCGAATAGCGGATCTCCGGATTGATTATTGGTCCTTCTTCGCGAGAATAGAGGGTAGGTTTTTTTAAATGTCTCACGTATCCCAGCTAGCCCGGCTATGAATCCTGTCAGACTTTTCAATAATATGACCTTGTAACCATAAAGTCTATCTTCAACAGAGTATACTATTTACTGTAATGAAAGGCAATATAATCAACTTCCCTACTTCGGTACAAAACGTGGGATTGAAGAAGATATCAAAGAATATTGACGTTGCGATAGAACGTAAAAGCTGGATGGCTGATACTGTCAGAAAGAGAGATCTAATCGAAAGATTCCAATGTGGATGCGCCAGACAAGAATGGAGACTCCAGTCTTTTAGTACGACAAAAGCAATTATAGAGAACAATATACGCTGGTTTATTAGTATATACAATAGCTATATTATTAGGCAGGTTCATAGGAATTCACCCTTTGTGAACCGGGAGCCATAGTCACTAGCTCGATTTACCATGTCTCGGCGTTGCGCACTAGAGATTTTCGATGACATTCCCATATCTTTTTCACGATCGAATGCCCGTGCAGATGGGTCATCCTCTGCCTCGGTTTGTTCACTTTCTGGCTTTTCTAGGCGAGTAGATTTCCCAGTTCGATCCTAGAAGGCTCATATTAGCTTCCCCCGAGAAAGCCCAGGACAAAAACGGAACAAAAGTAGCCACTCACATTGTATTTCTTGATTTTATCTTCCATGAGTTCAGAATTGGCGGGCTTTGACTTAGAAGACCGTTCCTTGGAGTTATTGGAGGAAGTTCCCACACCCATCACTTGGTCTCCGAGTCGACGCATTCTTTCCTCCGGAGTCTCCACCCAGGAAGAATCGGTCTGCTTAGAAGTAGTTGTGCGTGCCGACTTGCCAGTTTGAAATTTCCGATTTCTTAATTGCGTGGGATCAATCTTGGTGGCCCAATCGCTTTGCTCGGGTGGATGTAGCATCCATTGGTCTCGCTGGGTATCTGGCTGCTTGGTCTCGTGGTTTGGCGATGAAAGACTTGGTCGATTCTTTAGATTTTGACCTGGATCGATAGATGACCCCTCTGGAGGAGGTAGACTGGGCCCGAAATCATCGTCACTGTCCGATTCACTATCTTCTGCGGACGGTTGAGCGGGCGGGGGTAACGAAGGGCCAAGAACTCTTTTCTTCTGGGGGGTTTTATCGTCTTCACCCGAAGCCGCCCATTTTCGTTTATCTGATTCCATTCCAGGCTGATATTTGAAAGGGATTAACACAAGGTAGACCAAGGAAGATAAGGAGGGAAGAAGAAGAAGAGTTTAGGGTGGGGCATCTAAGGTGGCAGAAAGTAGCTCCGCGGCCCATTAATATGGACCCATCTTGGAGCAGCACATATAGCGGTGTGCTAGGCGGTCAGGCTGTCGTCTCCCGTACATGACTCGAGTGGTTCAAATTGATGAGCCGCAGCTAGCGCAGGCGCTCTCATATCTCTAGATAGTAATTAGGGGGTTTTGGAAGGGCTTGGATTTAATTAGTAGATAGTGCTATAGTGAACGTAGTCAAAAAAAAATTATATCGCTTGTAAAGGAACTATACCTACCTACTCAATTGTAGTAAGTACCTTATGAATACTATACATATCAATTGATCGGTGTGTACTCCGTGATATCCGCTCCGTAACTCCATGAAGGAGTAAAGAGATCAACCAATCACGGCTGGTACCATTCGCCTTACCCGCTCCCTCGGCTGACACATTTTACCCGCTTCTCTCTCTCACACTCTCACTCTTCCTCCCCTCAAAAGCGCCACTCACGTTTCTCTTCTCAGGATCTTTTCATTTCTTTTTTCCTAGCTTCGCTTTGAATTGATTATATGTGAAGGTTGTTACATACTCTTCCGCCATGTCTTTCTCCAACCTTGTGTCCGATATTGCGTTTAGAGATTCCAACGGCGATGAGCGGGGCTCCCAGATCTCTCATGCTCAGTCTCGCACCGCTCGTTCATATGCGAGCACCACCGCGACAAGTGTTAGCATCTCTGGAGACATCTCCAGCCAACTTCATGCGGGCTACAGTCACCCATTAAGCAGATCATGGCAAGCAGAGAGACAATTGACCAAGGTTTGTATTTAAGATTCCTTGAGTCTTGAAATGTCGCCATGCTGAAACTCGCTTGACTTTCTCAGGATATGATCATTTACCCGCTTTTCATCACCGATAACCCCGACGAGCAGACTCCTATTCCATCCCTGCCTAACCAATATCGATGGGGCGTCAATCGACTTGTCCCATTCTTGACTCCCCTTGTCCGAAAAGGCCTTCGTTCCGTCATACTCTTTGGTGTTCCATTACACCCCTCGGCCAAGGATGCACTTGGAACTGCCGCAGATGACCCAGCAGGCCCTGTCATCCAGGCAATTCGCCTGCTGCGATCTCGTTTCCCCCAACTTTACATTACAACAGATGTTTGCCTTTGCGAATACACATCACACGGCCACTGCGGAATCCTTCGGGAGGATGGGACTCTGGATAATGCGCAATCGGTTGATCGAATTTCCGACGTGGCCCTGGCCTATGCCGTAGCAGGAGCGCACTGTGTCGCCCCATCTGATATGAATGATGGGAGAGTTCGAGCAATCAAACTCAAACTGATTGAAGCCGGTCTGGCCCATCGCGTACTTTTGATGTCATACAGCGCCAAATTTAGTGGCTGTCTCTATGGCCCATTCCGTGACGCGGCTGGTTCATGCCCTTCATTTGGCGATCGCCGATGCTACCAGCTCCCACCCGGTGGCAGAGGGCTTGCCCGACGAGCGATTCAACGTGACATCCATGAAGGCGCTGATATCATCATGGTGAAGCCTGCCAGCAGTTATCTCGACATCATCCGGGATGCAAAGGACCTTGCTGAGGATATGCCCGTTGCGGCATACCAGGTCAGTGGTGAATTTGCCATGATCCATGCTGGTGCCAAGGCTGGCGTTTTCGATTTGAAGGCCATGGCGTTTGAGAGTACCGAAGGCATTCTTCGCGCAGGGGCTGGAATTGTTGTCACCTACTTTGCTCCTGAGTTCTTGGATTGGCTCTAAATAATTGCATGCCGATACATTTATGGCTCCATCGACTCCCCTGGTCCATGAACATAGCTCCAGGGGAGTAAAAATGTCAAAAACTGTACAACCATTTTTGACTTAACGACTACATTCAAATGGGTTGTATTGCATTGCAAGTCAATGATCCTACGCCACAACCCAGAATCAGATAGATACCCCCTCCTTACATGATGTCTCATTGTTTCTTTTCGTTGATAAATGCTGTATTACAAAACATTTTGAACTATCTATGCCAGCTGTTTAGATAGATTTCATACACAAGATAATCTCAACTCGTTCTTCTTGATCTGCATGAACCAACATTTCAAGTCATACTATATACACATATTCGTCGTCTAACATTGCGTACAACCCTATCTGGAGGCTGTACTGCTAAAGGGACCTTCCGAACTTCAGAAGATTAAATATGTACTGCATGACAACTCGCCTAGCTCCGATCCCCACCTTTCTAGCCATAATAGAAAATCCCCCAAGGCGCCATAAAATCATATACAGTTGAAATAAAATCAACATATAGCTGATGAAGACAAAAGACGAAGAAAATATAATGGAAAATATAATAAAGGGAAAATGCAACTTCAACATAAAAAGAAGATAAGTCAATCAACAAGAAACATCCAAGTTTGGGAATCATTCCTCCATAAAATCCGTAGCTCGCAAAAATATTAATCCACTTTCATCACCTCACATGTAGTTGGGTTTGAACCCTTGAAATCCATAAGGAACAACATCACTTCGAACGACTTCCCCGGGGGCAATATAAGCACCTCTGCCTAGTGTTACCCCAGGGTATATGGTGCAACCGGCACCGATATAGCAGTCTTCCATGATGCGCACTCGCCGCCCTTCATATCGACTTTGAGTGCCTTTACGTTCCTGCATGCTTAAATGCGCCATGGTAGTGAGGATGGTGACCTTCGGCCCAACCCAGGTGTGGGCGCCAATAAAAATATAACAGTCGTCGATAAAAAAGCAATCGTGAGAGATCATGACATCCTCGCCAATACTGAGATGGCCATAATGACAAGTAAAGGGAGACTCCACAATTGCTCCTGGCTCAATGCTTGGGGCGGGGCGACACATCGAACCGGAGGGGCCCGGCGACCCAGGAGGTTTAAGCATACATGAAGGCTGAGGTGCCAGAATTTCTTTTAGGAGGCGATTCTGCTCTTTAGAGCTTAGCCCACCAAGGGGGTTACAGGCATTATTGAATCGCGCCAGCGCACTTCGGCATCGTGCTTTTGCCTCCATGAGTTGCAGGTCAAACGGCTGGTAAAGATCGCCTTTGATCATTTTGTCCATTTCGGTGTCGGTATTACTTTTGCGATTAGATAATTGGTTCTCGATACTCAACGCCATTCTGGCTTGCACCTGGGGGCTGTTCGTATCCATAGTAGTGGTAGCAGGAACCGGCGGCACCGTAGAGCCTTGGAAGAGAAGAGGCATGCCTGCCTTTGGTGGTGGTCCATGAGAGATTTCTCGAATCGGGGGTACGTTAGGATAGTCCGGCTTGGGCGGTGCCTCTCGGGGAAGTTCATGAATTAATGGGACCCCTCGGTAATCGGGCTTGTCCACATGCTCAGATGGATATGACGGTGGTTGGTGGTTGGGCGTTGGCCATACACGTTTCGGCCACGTTGGGTGGGCGGAGTTGGTCTCTGTAGGACTAGTATTATATTGTGGGACAGGTCGCTCCTCCTCTACCACAACTGGGCGCATTTTTCGAACATCCATGTGCTCTGTCATTTGTCGGTCATGATGCTGTGCCTCTGGGAGATATTGTCCGCCGATTTCAGGATATCCTTCTTTCGACTGTAGCGGAACCGGAGCCTTGGGGGTCGTAGGCTTTTGCCAAGTACTTCGTGATGAGTATCCTTCACATAAAAATCCTCCACGAAGACAATTATTACCTGATATTAATTGTTAGCTCGACGCCCCATTTGTCATGTCGAGCCTTGTACTTCAAACTTCAAATGAAAGGCGGAAGGAAACCAGAGACATCGACATCAATTCTCAAAGACTGAGAGAAAGGATATGAAGAGGGAACAAAAAGAAAGAAAAAGAGCAAAAGTTTGAGAATTGAAGCAGAAGAAAGAATTTTCTCCACGGAGGATGTACTCACATGATGGATGCTGCTCGTCGCATTTCTTTTTTCGGCGTCGACAGGTCATGCAACCAGTTTTAGTTCGGTTACTAAAGACCCGCTTACGCTTAGGTGCGACCTGTACTGCTGTCGTCGGTCGCTCCGAAGAATACGCGGGTGATGAGGAGGGCTGACTCGTGGGGGCGGAGGGGTTTGGACGGGATGAGTTGCGATGGTTGGGATCTTGGGAATGCGCCTCTCTCTGAAGCGCATCAGCCAGCTGAGCGTCGGATGTGTCGATTTGCTGAGCTCGTTGAGCTTGGCTCACCAGCTGAGAATCATATTCCGGCCATGAGCCATTGGAGGGAGGCTGGGCGGATTCCGGGGGGTCGGATCGGCCATGTAAATGGGGCGCTATCTCCACATCTGAGACGGACCCTGAGCCCAATCCACTGGAATTTGGCGGAGCATTCAATTCAGATGGATGGCTGATGGAGTTTCTGCCCGTGCCACCCGGTTCCGATGGATGCCGTGACTCTTGCTCCCTCGAGTAAGATCTCTTGCGTTTGTGGCTGTGCGCCGATGTCCCTGGCGATGGCCGTGATGACAAGTCTTCAGGGCTATTTTCGTCATGTTCTGAGATATCTTGCCTGGAATGATCCCGGACATCTAGACTCACGGAGACTCGGTCTTGCTGAGTTGGAATGGGATTGGCCCCATTGAGGGGAACGGAAGTGTCCTTGCCGTTCACCGCAGTGAAACGGGAAGGGCTATGTTCTGTGCCCGCCTCTGTTCCTGAGTCATGGCTACTCATGACTGGTGCGGTTGCAATAGCGGTCATTTCAATCTTTGGCAGTTGTAGTATAAGTAGTCTTGATGGCTTGTGTCCCTTTATTGCGTCCTTTCCGCGCTGCCTCCGAGGGGGTTAAAAAAAAAAAAAAGAAAAGGGGAAGAAGAAAGATTAAACCCCCAACTATGAATGATTCCTTTTTATCATCGAAGTTTAGAAAAGGAAAGGTTGTCAAGGCGCGCGCTCACACACGCACTGTTTCCCGCAGAGGCGCGCGGGAAGTTGCCGAGATTCAACACGAGCGGCTTCCGGTCTGGTTCCCGCGCTTATTGTCAATGCGTCTCGAGCTGACTGACTCTGGGATTCTGAGATTCTAGTGTCTTGAGCTCAGAGCGCTTAGTTTCTCTCGCTTTTTTTCGGTGGTTCAGATGGCCAGAATCCTTGAGTTTGGTACGGATCCTTCCCGTAGATAAATATATGGGGGAGCCCGGCGTTAAAAGGAGGAGAGTGGGTTGATTTCCCGAGCGGCCCCCAGATTTGAGTCCAACACGCCAACAACCAGAGCGGCTGATCAAGCAGACAATGGAAACCTCTATTTAGGGTGTAAGGAGTCCAATAAAGTGGGGGAGAAAAAGAAAAAGAAAATAGTTCGTAGGATGAAAAAGGAGGGGGGGAGGGAAGAAAAGGTGGGAGAGGGAAAGGAAGATAGAAAGAAGGAAAGGAAAGGGAAAGAGGAAGAAGGGGGGAGCTAATAATATAGAGAGAGAGAGTGAGAGAGTCTATAATAATGGGGGTGGACTACTACAAGTATAACATAAAAAAAAAGGAAAATCAAAAGAGAAAAAAAAACAAAAAAAAGAGAGAAGAAAAGATAAAAGACTCTAGAATTATAATAGACCAGCGCGTGTGTAAAAGAGAGAGAGAGAGAGAGAGAGAGAGAGAGAGAGAAAGAAACCCATGATTTTTCCTATTTTCTGTCCTTCTTCCCAATCCTCTCTCCCCCTCTTCGTCTCTTTCTACTATTCTCTTCGATGTATAATAAATCTCCCTTATAACCCCCCTCTTCCTATTTATCCTATATTTATCCTATATTTATTAATTCCTGTGGTTTCATGGCCAGCCTTCCCCCCTCCTCGTCAATTTCAAAGAGAATAATCGAGTCTTCGAGACCATTGACGCCCCCAATGGCCCCCAAATTGGGACGGAGTAATTTACCAAACCCACCTCCTCTCCTCACCCCTCCTCGTCTTAGCTCAAAACCCACGGGGAGAAAACAGAGAGGGAAAAACGGGAAAGGAGCAAGTTGGCGCGGATCGGCAAGGACGGCGTCACACCCGTCTACCAATCGGAAGGCGCAGGCGCCATAACCAGGTGAAGTGTGCGCGGGCCTGAGACACCCATCATTTCCCAGGCGACCGGAGCGACAATGGCGCGCGTTCCCTGGCGCCCCGTGTCCTGCTCTGGTGTGTCCCAGTGGGGCGCGCAAATAGTTGGGCGGCTTCGGGCGGCTTCGGGCGGCTTTGAGTGACCTGTCGCTGTCCTGTAACTGACCTGCTGCTGACATGGTACGGGCGCGATTCCACATTCGCCATTGGCGCCGCGTCCGCGCATTGGGCGGTTATGCATCGCTTATCAGCTGGTCACGCCCGCGCGCTGCACCTGGCTTGCTCAAGTCACATCTTAGTGTGGTTTTTTTCGCCCCCTCTTTTGTGGTTTGTTTGTTTCTCTCTCTCTCTTTTTTTTTTTTTTTGGCTGATTATTTGGCTGCCTTTTCGTCTTTTTTTCCAAAGGAAAAAAATCCTCATTTATATTATACATTGAGGCTAAACCTAACCAATTAGTATGGCGGGAACTATCCTTCCACAAGACAAGACTTAAATGTACCAAGATTGAATGTAAATAGGTCCTTGGCACACCCCCGGGGAGAAGAAAAAACAAGAAGGCTTTCACATCACCATTCTTCTAGGAACAGTGGAAAGCGTGTGATGAGACTCCAGAGTCATGATGATGCCGGGGCCGCTTACTCGAATTCTGTCTAGTGGGACCCCAAGCCCCCGGTTCAACCTTGGAAAGACCCCTGTCCAAAGGAGGGGCTGTGACATCTAAGCAAAAGAAATAAGAAATCACAATTAAAGAAATAAAATAACAATACTCATCATGGCATTCAAGGCCCCCGACTTGGATCTTCAAAGTTGATATTAATAGGGAGAGTATACTAGTATATATCCATGGATACATACACAGACATCTCCATTATCATCATGTACTACATTGTAAGTATGTAAGTAACGTATTTCTGTCCCCTCGAGGATGTGGTCTGGCCCCGCCCCACTTGCCCCCTCTCTCTCGCGCACCCAAATCATTCGGTCATCACAACCATCAAACAAGCACTCCCGTCGAGATTGTCGGCATAAGTATGGATATACAAAATACGTGCATGTCGCGACCAATTTAATTTAATTTATATTTTTATATTTTTATATTTTTTATCTTTGTTCTAAACACACACTCTATAACTCTCTTAGTATCCGTATCCTAATTTGTTCCTCATAATCATGCCAATATTATCTTATTGAAAAAACAAAACGAAATACCATACATACAGTCAAAATAACAATGTGCACCAACTACCAACAGGGAGATGAGGACATTCAATCGTATCAGTATAATAGAACAAAGAGTAAAAAGAAATGAAACACAACAATAACACAGCACACAGCACACAGCACACAGCACACAACACATATACCTCCTACTTACTTCTACTTACTTATACTATGTATGTGCAAACCATGGAAACCCCGTGAGAGCTTGGCTGACTAATATCTCGAGTTCCCCTTCAGCGTCAACGGGAACGCGCCTCACCGCCAGTGTTGACGAGCTACTGTACCAAGCCGACTCTCGTGAGAGTTTTTTTCCAGTTAGAGGTTCCTGACGCCGATCTCTTTCTTCAGATCCTGACGGCTCTTTTTCTTTTAGGGTAAAAAAGAGCTTGTCCTATTACTTCAACACTTCCTCCCGAAAACCCCTCCAAAAGCCCAAACTTGCTACCCCACCAGTCTTCTCTTCTTCCTACCTAAACCCGCTCTTATTCTTCCTTCTCCCCCCTCCCCCCATCTTCACTTCCTTCCCCCCTCCCTCTTCCTCCAAAAGTGACGTGGCTGTAACGGTCTCCACCAATTCCTCTTTTAGAACCGCCGATCCTTCCTCTCTCTCTCTCTCTCTCTCTCTCTCTCTCTTTTCCATTGGGGAGGGATTGTCGTGACGCCTTCGTGATCCCGGCGACTTCGCCAATCTCTGCGGCGTCATGTCTGTTTCTGTACAAGAGCTGGACAACACGGTCCGCGCCTTCTTTGAGGGCAAGGGCGACGTGGTAAGTCTTCCTCCAGTCTTTTCTGACACAACCTCTTTCGGTGATCATCCGCCTTTGGGGAATCCTAGACTAACAATATCCAGCAAAAACAAGCCCAGCAGACACTCACCGAAGTAAGCCTCCTACTATATTCTCCCGCATCCATACCGATTCTTTCCTTCTTCGATTCTTATAACCCGATTTAGTTCAAGCAAAATCCCGATGCCTGGGTCACCGTCGGAAATATCCTGCAGGAGGCATCGTATCCTCAGACAAAATGTGCGTGAACTACCTAGTCAAGCTCGGACCGCCACATGCTGACCATCGCTAGATATTGCTCTACAAGTCCTCGACGATGTGATTATGACCCGATGGAAGGTGCTACCCAGAGACCAGTGCCAAGGTATGTTGCAATAAATTTCTCCCCCTCCCCTGCTTCACAATTTCGTTGTCCTGCGAAAACATGCGCTCTAACGATTTTTCGCTCCTGCTTTATAGGAATCCGAAACTTCATCGTCAATTTCATCATCGAAAACTCCAGCTCCGAGGAAAAGCTTCGAAATGAGCGCGCGTTCCTGAACAAACTGAACCTGGTCTTGGTTTCGATCCTGAAGCAGGAATGGCCGCACAACTGGCCCACGTTCATCAATGAGATCATCTCCTCCTGTCATTCCAGTCTCTCCATCTGCGAAAACAATATGGCCATCCTTCGCCTACTCTCCGAAGAGGTCTTTGACTTTTCGCAAGACCAGATGACTTCGATCAAGGCTCGCAATTTGAAGACCTCCATGACCCAGGAATTCGCTTCAATTTTCCAGCTCTGCTCCGAGGTTTTGAACACAGCAAACCAGCCCAGTCTGGTCAAGGCAACTTTGGAAACGCTCCTGCGTTTCTTGAACTGGATCCCCCTAGGATATATCTTCGAAACCCCCATTATCAACACCCTTCTTACACGGTTCTTGGGCACCCCCGAATTCCGAAACGTGACCCTTAAATGCTTGACCGAGATTGGAGGCTTGCAGATTGGCGCTCCATACAACTACGACGAAAGACTTATCCATATGTTTACTGAGACATTGACCGCAGTTTCTAACGTCATTCCCTTGTCTCTAGATCTGAAGGAGACCTATGCGCGTAGCAACGGCAGGGACCAAGAATTTGTCTCGAATCTGGCACTTTTCTTGTCTAGCTTCTTCAGTGCTCACCTGGAGGTATGTGAACTGATTGATTTCCCTCTCGCTTCTGCGTTCGCCTCGCCCCGGATTGAACCGGTTGGATGCTAACTATACCTTTTTTTATAGCTGATTGAGAAGCTTCCGAACCAAGATTACCTTACTCACGCCCATTTCTACCTAATTCGCGTCAGTCAGATTGATGATCGGGAAGTCTTCAAAATTTGCCTGGATTACTGGACCCGACTGGTGCAAGAACTCTACGAAGAGATGCAACAACTCCCAATCACCGATATCAACCCGCTCGTGACGATGGGTGTGAGTGGTCTGGCAAACGGGGGTGCGCCTCACCCAAGCACCCTTGCCAACTACCCTCTGCGCAAACACAAGTACGAAACCGTTCTCTCAAACCTTCGCACGGTCATGATCGAGAAGATGGTCCGTCCAGAAGAGGTTTTGATTGTGGAAAATGACGAGGGAGAGATCGTGCGTGAATTTGTCAAGGAGAGTGACACCATCCAGCTGTACAAAACGATCCGAGAGTGCTTGGTCTACCTCACACACTTGGATGTTGTGGATACCGAAACTATCATGATTGACAAATTGGCGAAGCAAGTGGACGGATCAGAATGGTCTTGGGCGAACTGCAACACCCTCTGCTGGGCGATTGGTTCGATCTCTGGAGCTATGAATGAGGAAACGGAAAAGCGTTTCTTGGTTACCGTTATCAAGGATCTTCTGGGTTTGACTGAACAGAAGCGTGGCAAGGACAATAAGGCGGTCGTGGCAAGTAATATTATGTACATTGTCGGCCAATACCCCCGGTTCTTGAAGGCCCATTGGAAGTTCTTGAAGACTGTGGTGAACAAGCTTTTCGAGTTCATGCATGAGACACACGAAGGTGTCCAAGATATGGCTTGCGATACCTTCATTAAGATCGCCAATAAGTGTCGCAGACACTTTGTGGCCTTGCAACCTGGCGAAAACGAGCCTTTCATTGAGGAGATCGTCAGAAACATGCGAAAGATCACCATGGATCTCTCTCCCCAGCAGATTCACACTTTCTACGAAGCGTGTGGTTATATGATCTCTGCGCAAGGGCAGAAGGGTCTTCAGGATCGGTTGATCGAAAATCTGATGGCATTGCCCAACTCAGCTTGGGACCAGATTATCGCGGAGGCCAACCAGAATGCTGCAATCCTCCAGGATGGTAATACTATCAAGATTATCGGCAACATTATGAAGACCAATGTAGCCGCTTGTTCATCTATTGGAACCTACTTCTACTCCCAGATTGGCCGCATATACCATGACATGTTAAATATGTACCGCGCCTCCAGTCAACTTATCAATGATGCGGTGGCTAGCGACGGTATGTAAACCCCACTATCGCACTCCAATGGGTAATTTATAGACCATACTAACGCTGCAAAAGGACAAATTGCCCCCAAAACACCTAAAGTCCGGGGTCTTCGCACCATCAAGAAGGAGATCTTGAAGCTGATTGACACATATGTGGACAAGTCGGATGATCTCGAAATGGTCAACGCTAACATGGTGCCTCCTCTCTTGGAGGCGGTTCTCGTTGATTATCACCGAAATGTACCAGACGCACGAGAAGCAGAAGTTTTGAATGTCATGACAACCATAATTCATAAGCTTCATGTAAGTCGAGTCTTCCACAATCTTTCCTCAACATCCTGCCCCTCTCTCAACAGCAATGTGGATTGCGCATCCCTGTGTAGTCCGTTGACTGACGTTTTACTTTACCACAGAATCTCATGGAAGACAAAATTCCTGCTATCATGGACAGTGTCTTCACCTGTACATTGGAGATGATCAACAAAGACTTCCATGAATATCCCGAACATCGAGTACAGTTCTTCAAGTTGCTGCAAGCCATCAACTTGTACTGTTTTCAAGCACTATTGAAGCTAGATGCATCTCAGTTCAAGTTTGTTATCGATTCATGCATGTGGGCATCGAAGCATGACAACCGAGAGGTGGAGAACACTGGTCTTGCTATGTGCCTGGAGTTGATGAACAACATGGCGGAAACCGATGTTCAGACCGCAACCATTTTCTTCCGACAATTCTACATTCCTATTCTCCAGGATGTTTTCTTCGTTCTCACCGACAGTGATCACAAGGCGGGTACGTATTTCCACGTTTCTTTGGCCACATAACCGTTATCAATTGAAGTGAAACTGACTGTTCATTCTTGTACACAGGATTCAAATCTCAGGCCATGCTCTTGTCCCGCATGTTCTACTTCATTGAGTCCCAAAAGATTTCGGAACCCATCTACACTCCCGATCAGGCCCCTGCTGGAACCTCGAACAAGGAATTCATACAGCAATACGTTGCCAACTTGCTTCAGAATGCGTTCAAGAACCTGCAAGAGTATGTACACACTGTCTTGTCATTTTATATCTTTCTATCCTCTCCACTCTTTCACTAGTCTAAATCAGACAAATGCTAATATTTCCAACTTTTGCAGAGTACAAATCCAGCAATTTGTGATTGGCTTGTTCACCTACACTGATGACTTGAACAAGTTTAAGACTCACCTGCGTGACTTCTTGATTTCACTGAAGGAGTTCTCTGATGATAATGCAGAGCTCTATGCTGAAGAGCGAGAGCAAGCTGTTCGGGACGCACAAGTCGCCGAGAGGGACCGTGCAATGAAGGTGGGCGGTCTGCTGAAGCCATCTGAGATGGACCAGGAGGACGAACTGTGACTGGATGAAGAGTTACGCTCAGAGCTACCACAACCTAAGCTGGTTAGCTCTACCGAATTGAGGGGAGATACGAAGTTAACATCCAGGGATGATGGTCTCGATGGCTGGTCTACTTACGACCTATAAGCCATCGATGGACCATGGGTCATTCAGTTGGAGTCGGAAAGAAGCATACCTCATAGACCCAAACCTTGATTTCTTGATCCTTTTTCTTTTTCTTGAGTCATTTTGCGGTGAGCTTGACTACACCATAATGCAGCCGCTGTCCTTTTGCCTCTTACCATGGGGATCTTGTTTGATATCTCTAAAGATAGCTTTCTTCCTCCTAGTTTATCAAAACAAAAATGAACAATCTCTTCTGAGATAAAAATCCACCAAATGACCATGATTCAAGATGCTTACCCTTGTTTTCCCAGTAAATAATCTCATATTTCTGTAAGTCCTCACGCCATATACTAGTATGTCAGAATGGCTGGTGAATGACCGTAGGCGGTGAGATTTTTCAAGGTGGTACCATTCCTTTGCTCTCACCCCACGCCATCTCAAAGAAAAGGCACCCATAGCTTTCTCCATCTCTTCTTCCTCTCAATTAGTTATATTCCAAAGCAACATATACCCATCATGTCTCAAACGCGACAACCAGGAAACCCTCATCTCCAAACGATAACCGAAACATCCCGAGATTCATCCACCGTCCGACTTCCAACTACTCTCCGACTGAGAGGCGAAGAGACCTCAAACGCGCCCGCCGAGCCATCCACCTCTCGACGAATCCGATGGAGCGAAGACGTCGTAGATAACGAGGGAATGGGCAAAAAGAGTTCCAAAGGTAAGATTATTTCCCATCCCCATGACAAATCCAAACCACCATTTCTAACTCCATCAACTAGTATGCTGCATCTACCACAAAGCTCGACCAGTCGGCGAGAGTAGCTCTGAGTCCGAGTCCTCCAGTTCTTCCGATTCAGACAGCGACAGCGACACTGGCTACGATGGGGCGAGACCAAGTCATAACAACAAGCACAACCACAACCATAACCAAAACCATTCGAATTCTCGGGGCCGCCGACGTGGGAATGAAGATTCATCGGATCCTTCGGAAAATCAGAACGCAGACGCATGCTGCTCACAACACCAGCATGGTCGATCGAAACCCAAAAGAAAGCCTAGTCCAAATGCATACGAGAAGATGCCTAAGCCATCCAAGAATACATCCCGGGTTTCTTGAGGAAGCGGTCTAGCGAAGTACTCAGACTCAGACTCAGAATTGGTATTCCCGGCGTGGATGACCTGTTTCTAGCGGAGGAAGCAGCATATAAGATATGATTAAAAGGAGTTTCATGACCTCCGGAACTCTGGCAGTGAAGCTTTTAACACGGTAAAAGGATGCGAGGGTGTCAATCAATGGTCCGAAAATCGACCAGCCACAGAGGCGACAGTCAAGAGCAAAAAGCTTTTCACACCCCATTCTTAAATTATGACTACATATGTAGTTTAGGGTATGTTGTGGGGAATAGTACATAGATTCACCCGCTGTGGACAAGTCCACTGCCATAAAGCACATCATTTGCGTGGTGCCTACTACATATGTCCTACGAAGGTTTTTTTTATTGAAACTCGAAAGGTAGCAACCATGATAAAGAGAAATGAAGAAATGAAAAAATGGAAAAAATGAAATGGATTTAGCAACTCCAAAGGGTATCTGTATGATAACTGCGCTAAAACACAGACCAAAAATGTAAATACACAATTAAATAAAAAAAAAAGAACTTGAATGTTAGGTTATGCACTTCAGCTCTCTGTTGAGTGATACCATTCTTACACCATCATACTTCTCCTCCGTGCCGCCACACGAGTTTCCCGCCGAGTATTGTTGTCGACTGTTGATTTGCTCCATGTAAAGTCATCGGCCTCAAAAGAGCCGTCTGTTTGTGCGGAATATTTACTAGCTGTAACCGGTGATAAATTCCATACGGGGGAGTGTTCTGTCTCCATTGAATCCTTTCTTGATGACGATTCGTAGGTGGCGCCTTTAGGGTTCGACGAGTGCCGACGAGATTGTCTCCTTCGAGATACCGTCCCCGCAAGTTGATCGGAAGCCTCATATTTGGACGGAGCGCTTGCGGTCTTTTGGGTAAGGGCGAGATCGGATGGGTCGTCTTCACCCTTGGCTGAGTAAGGACCAACTGCTGGTCTTTCTCCCTCTTGTACATCACTAGCCTCATCAAACCCTTCCATCAGGAAACTGGAAGATCTGCGGGCACCGTTTTTGCCTACTGCATCAATCATATCTGTGGTTGGACGACGCATTTTAGCACGTAGATTGGGCTCCGCGTAGCTGACTACAGCGCCTCGGCGACGAGATGTTCGAGATGCAGACATATCGTCGGAGGTGCTGGCCATGCCGTCTTCCTGCATCATGAAAGGGTCTTTTGGATATGTGGGAGCTGGCTCATGTTGTTGATCTGTCTCAACGGACAGTTGAGAACGCTTCTCCTTTTGAGTATCCAAAGCTGAACGCGGTCGGCGTGCTGCCTGATTCAAGCTTTTGCCTTTAGTTTTTTGTAGTGTTACGGCGTTTTCGTTGCGACCAAGTGGTTGTGAGATCTTGTTGTCTGACTGCAGCGACGCACGAGCTTTACTAGGCGAGCTCAAGTTCGTATTCGAAGTCTCTGTTAATCAAGTTGGTCAGTTTCAAGATTACCATAGGAAAGTTAGGATAGAATAAAGGGGAATTTCATACTTGGTTGAAGAACCTTGCGCTTTGCAGTGCCACTAGGCGGTCGTCCTCGTCTAGCGACCACAGGGGTCTTGGTTGGTGTGGTGTCCTGCTTTCCCATGTCCAAGGGCTCCGTGCGCTTTTTTGGGCTCTGAAAAGGTCGGCTGAATTGGAACTCGTCACTTTCGGGCATTCCGTCTGATAAAGTGCCATCCTCATCTGGGCTGAATTTGCGTTTGGATCCTGATTTTCTCGGTTGTGCTGTTTTATTGCTTGATGTATGGTGGACCTGGGGTGAAGCGCCATCATCCTCTGAGATGACTGGTTCTGCCTTCTTTTTCTTTTTCCGCGTCTCGAGTGTAGGTGGAAGGAATGGATCAGGGCTGCCGGGATCTTCTAGTTGGACGTCCGATATCTCGTGGACTTTCGGGCTTGGGCTTCCGATATCACCAGCAGGTGGCTGTAATAGATCCTCTTCCACTACTGGTTGAAATGGGCTCGAGCTCATTTGGGCAATGTCCTGTATTTCTTGTGCTCTGTCACGAATCAGTTATAGGCCAAGATTGCGCCCGCTCATATCAACTTACTCAAGGGTTCTTCGAGGGAAGTATTTGTCCTCCAGAATGGCTGGTAATTTCCCATCATCCAATCCATGCTGCTCTGGTTCTGAAAGTTGTGGCCGGGATTCAGCTGCCTTTGGTCGCTCAGAGTCGGTTTTGTCTAGCTTGCCGAATTTTCGAGGAAGCATGCCCAGCTCTGAGGTTAAATCATGCAGCTCTGCTAGCTTAGCATCAAGTCGCGACTTGATATCATAAACTCCATTATGAAGAGTCTTCGTCGTTTCTAGTCGTTCGGTCTCTTGGCTAAGGTTGATGACTTGTTGTCGCAGCGAGACATTTTCGGCCAGAAGATGCGACACTTCTGATTCTAAACTCCGAATTCGAAGCGACTGAATGGAATTCACTCGTGCGATCTCCCGGTTTTGCCGTACGAATCGCCGCTTGACTAGACAGATATCGCGTCAGCAAATTGCGCAGATGAGATAGAATAGATTTTGCCCCTCCTCTCCTCTTCACTTACGGGCTTCAATCGACTCTGGGGGAGCCGTGTAATCATTCAGCCTGGCCATGATGGTTCCTGAGCCACCAAGGTGGGGGTTGGAACAAAAAAAATTTCAACTATCGAGACCAGGCACGAATGGCTGAGACTCCGTGTGGTATGCGCAGCGACCAGGTGTGTAAACAGCTTTGTTGATGTTTGGCTGTATTTGGACTAGTGCATATTTGGTGGATCCCGTGATTTGTTTGTCTTGTTTGGCTCGACCCGATTCTCTCTCCAGTGCTCGATCGCGGCTTCCCCAACAGGCGAAGTTGATCATTGCATACCAAACAAACTACACTATCTGTACCCGAGACCATCATTACATTGATTAAGACTATCCATATCAATATCAGGAAAAAGATCAGTGATCCTGCCACATTCCAGACCATGGCCTATTCATCGCGACCAACCTCAATGCTTCCTGGTGGGGTTAGGCAGCCTCAGCCCTCGTCTGCTCTGACCACCCGCATTGCTGCTAAGAAAGCCGAGCTGGAGAATCTACGCCAACTACGTGATTTGAGCGGAACGCTCGCGATGCAAATGCAAGCACTTGAGAGCAAGATTGCCACGTTGAAGGATGGCACTGAAGGTAAGATTCCAATTTCAATTTCAATTTTTGTATTGTTTATTTTTTATTTAATTATTCTGTTTATTGTCTATTGTTTTAATATTATCTATGTCATTTTCGTTCCCCACTGAGTACCTAGACTAATGTGGCTCCAGCCGTTGCATGCGTTCTTGCCAATTGGGACAATGTCCTCCGAGCTATCAGCCTCGCCTCCAGTAAGCTTGCATCACTGGTCTTATCAGTACATGAAATTTCTACTAATCGAAATGCAGGCAAAGCTGGTGGGCTGCATGACCCGGATCAAGCCGAGGATTCTGCAAATGACTCCAGATTACCAGCCACCTTGGTTCGCATCCCTGACCAAGGTGAATGAATGAAACCAATCCCGTCGCATTGTTCACTTTCAAAACTCCGCGCGCCACGTCGGGAATTACGACTACCTCTACGGAGTATACACGCGCGCTGGAATTGACCCCTCTCCCCAATCCCCCACCCATATCTAAATGGGGACCTTTGGGGGAAGCAAAGAAGAAGAAAAAAAGGGCAAGACAAGCCGGGGTTTCACAACGCCTTCATTATTAGAGGGCAAAATTCTAAAGTCCCCTACGCAATCCCATTGTCTCTCCCGGGTCCTCACGGGGTAGAGTGGTTTTGGCACGCGCCTCTCAGTCTCTCAGTCTCTCTCCAGATTTGATTTCCTTTCTATCTCATTGTATCTTGATTTCTCTTATCTTTCCACTACTTTTGTTCTTTTTTTAGTTTAGGCTGTTTGATTCTTTTTTGGGATTTTCCTTTCCCTTTTTTCTTTTTGCCCCTTAGTGTTTTACACTTTCCCCGCATTCTTTAGGGGTAAGGAATTCTCGCGTGACCCCCTGGAAGGAGGAAGACAAATGCAGCTAAGTTTATCTGGTGGGGGGAGGAAAGCTAAAGAGAAAACTGTACCAGGAGAGATAGGAGATAGGAACCAACGAGGGGTGAGAGGAGAGGGGTGCATGGGACTAGTGAGTTTAAGAGTTGTGGGATGAGAGGGAAGTGGATTTTGTACATATGTAGTGTACCTAATGTACTTAGTGTACCCCGTACTTCGTACTGCCTAGGTGCACATGCTTAGACTATGTATGTAGGTATACATGGGAACATCCATGATCTACCACCATCATCAATTCTCCACACCCCCATCGTGTCTCATTATCATCTGAAATTTTAGTTATATGATAAATCTCTGCAGCATGTCCATCTGAGGCAGTCAGCATCGCTGATTCGTCTAGGACCATCCTAGTGATCAGGCACAGACAGAAGACGCTCAGACCTCAGGGATGCAGATGATGGGCTTGAGGGCTTTGCAGTAAACCAATGACGCCCGCATACAAGTGGATCCTGTCGATGGTTGCCCGTTCCAGGTTCCTGCAGCTCGCATAATTCGCTCTCAATGATGTTGATGAGGTGGGTTTTTTGCCTTAAGCGCCCGAGCCACGCCATATTGGCCCCCGCAATACATCGTCGTCCTCCATCCTCATAGGTCGGCGTGCAGACAGGTGGTCATGGCACCCTGTGGCATGATGGTGCGGTTGTTAGTGGAGCCCAGATGAGGTGATTTGCACTGTCGTTAATGTCGCGATCCTGGGGCCGTGATCGTTTCCTTCTTCTTCTTCAAATACGGTCTTGATCCTTCCTTCGTTTCATTTTTTTCTTTTTACTTTTTGTTTGTATCGGATCACCATCCACATTGTGTAATTCTAGCTCTCTATCGGATACACAACTCAATCTTTTCCTCCTACACAAACATATTTACCATCATCATCATGTCTACTGAATGGTCTTTGGATTTCTGTCTGGTCTGTGATCGTCAGACCCTGGGTAGCGGCCCTTACTGCTCCCAATCCTGTCGCTTGGCCGAGTTAGATCGAACCTCCCCTGAAGACGATCTATCTCGAAAGCCTTCTCATTCACGATCTTCTACTCTTGAATCTCAACCAGAGACCCGATCAGCTCGTAGTCTGTCGGCCTCGTCGTCTCAAACATCGCTCTCTTCCCTTCGGAGCCATACCTCCAACGCCGCTCTCTCCGGCCATCTTCAGGATGAATTGCGAGACTATGCCAGCTCATTTGATCCCGTTCGTGACCTCAAGCGACGAATGGCTTCTTCTTAATACCGACTCCGGTCATCTCCGATCATCTTCATCTTCATCCATCTCCGACACTGGTGTCGACAAATACCTCATCCTCTCTCTCCTCCTTCGAACCTCTTGCTCTCAGCGAACTCTTGCATATCTCGGGAAAAGAAAAACCTAGGCGTCATTGCTTCTCAAAAAAAAGAAGGATTCATGGATTCTTCGAAACTTCCTCTTACGTCAACTCCTCGCTTTACGACCCTTATACCCCCTTCTCGCTCTTCTCTTCTCTTCTCTTCTCTTCTCTTCTCTTTCCACTATACGATTCATCTTCGATTTGCGTGTGATATACTGGCGTTGGAATTAATGGCCTCATGATAAACTGGACCAAATTGTTTTAGTCCACGAGAGGATTTGGAGTACTTGGTGGTCTCTCTCCATCTTTTTTATTACTAGTTTGATGTTCATGGCTGTGACTTCTCTATCAAGCCACAGCCCATTCAGATACAGATTGTAGATTAATTTAAACAACTTGAAGGCTGATTTGCCTCGATATAATATTCCATTTCTTGAGAACTTCTTTCCGAATTGTACCGTATACAAAGTAAAAAAAAAACCGAAAAACAATGGATCCAAGTGGGGGTGCAAAGTCGGGTATTCTCCACTTCGAAGCTAGTTGATCATCCCGTGGCACCATTTCGTTCTCTATGTCGCCACGTTGGTGATTGAGGTTCTCCACTCCCAAGGGTCAAGTCTCCTTTACGTCGTTTCATCGCGTCATATGTCGTGGCTCTATTCATGATTGCGCCAATACGCTTTTCAATGCCGTTTCATTCTTGGGCACGAAACGCACCTTGTACCGTTGCGGGATGGCCACCAAGCTAGCTGGATCCGAATTGCCACGGACCGGATGCCAGTCTGTGGTGTCGTGGGGTTCAATGCGGAAGCTATTCAGAGTCCGCATGAAGACCAGATAAAGCTCTCGGTTGGCTAGCAATGAACCAGCACACATCCGGTAGCCCATGCCATAGGTGAAAAGTGGAGCATCAGGTTGCTCTAACCAGCGCTCCGGTCGGAACTCTTCCGGGTCTGTCCACACATCCGGATCTATCATTTCGATATTAGCCCGCTTGCAGTCTAGTATGCCACCTTGTGTAACAACATACCCATATTACAGGCCCAAGCATTCAAGAAAAACACGGTACCCTTGGGGATCACTGTCCCCTGATAGGTGATATCCCGGATGGATGTTCGAGGCAGAGCCAGTCGTAGGACAGTGAAATATCTACGGAAATTCAAACATTGGTCAGAGGCTGTGGATCATTTCGGCGGAGGTTTGGGGGGGGGGGGGGGGGGGGTGTTCAAACTCCTCATTTTCAAGAAATCGAGGAACATGTGGAACCTACCGGAGACATTCCCGGACCAGCGCAGCGACATATGTACACTTCTGATCATCGTCGGCTGAACACATGGGCTCATCTTGACCATACATTTCCTGAATTGCCTTGGCAGCCTTATCCTGCACATCTGGAAGCGCTGAGAGAAGGCCAATGCTCCATGCAACGAGTGTGGTAACCGTGTCAAGTCCACCCGACAGCATAGTCAGACTGATCGAGGTAAGTTCTTCACTGTTCAACTTAGCTTCCTTGTCCAAGATCACATTGGCTTGGATGCATGGCGTGTGGGTCCCTTTCTCCATGCGATCATCTAAGTCTCGATTCAAGGAGCCCAAGTATTTATCCCGACGAAGTCGCATCTCTGCTGCCTTCTTTGATGTGTTGTTGAATGGGTTTAACCGTAGCAGAGGGATATAGTCCTGGAGGTTGCCAGTCGTGCTGCGGAACTTGCTAATCTCTTCTTCCACATGAGTGATCTCATCAAACATATCTTCCTCTTGTGATGCAATGCGAACGCCCCAGTTCAGTGTCAAAGCCAAACTCAAACTCAGACGCTGGATCATCGGCATCGGGTCGACAGGGGCTTTGCCACCTTTACCGTATCGGAACAACTCCTCCACAAATGCCTTCGACTCCACTTCGAGATGGGAGACATAGGAGTCTACCGAGGGACGGTTGAGGGCAGAGGCAGCTCCCTTGCGACGACGTTTGAGGGAGTCACTATAAGGTGATGTACCGATGGTGGTACCTGCGGTATTCGAAACAATCTAGCAGTCACCCCACATTAACTTTCCGAGGCTATTAATTTATCTGATCTTCTTACTCACTTTGTGAAATGTATAAAATTCCGGTCGCGAACTCAGTGCTTGGGCATTTTGTCCGAAGAGCACCTTAGCGGATGCAGCAGAATTCACGACGACAACCGGAATATTACCAAGCTGGATTTGGTACACGGCTCCAAACTTTCTAGACCATATTCGATACTGCTCTGCGGCATTTACTCGAATTTGGACCAGGTTTCCGATTAAAGGCAAACCTCGAGGACCTTTCAAGCCCTTGACGCGGGCCGAAGCTCGAATAAACTCATTTAGAATCACGTAGAGAATCGGTAACACAAGTGCTGTGATACTAAGGGAGTGCCATGGATGCTGAATTACTTGACCTTGGAGGGCCATGAGCGTAGATGCGATCGCCATGGTAGACAAGTGTTTGGCTGTAGGAGAAACTTGAACTTACAGCCTTGGAGACAGTCATGACGTTTCCTCTATAGTATATAAAGCTACCGGTACCACTTGGCCAATGGAACCTTTCCGTACTGGGGTCTCATTTGCTCAGGTGTCCTCGACCTCTAATAGCCGGAGAGTATAGGTAGAGATTACCCAGGGACGTGATCTGGTTGGTTTACCCCACACTCTCTCATACTTCGGGGATGCGACTGTAGCCACAACCGAGTTTCCGCACGGAAGTCCTCCGCTCTCCCCGGAAACAGTGCGCGGTGGTTACCACGTGATTGCAATGTTGTTATACTACAACTGTAGTATACTATCTATGGACTTCCCTTCTGTTTCGATCCTCTGCTAAGCACAGGTCCTTTTTAGTTTTCTTATCGGTCACTGCCAAACAGCACTATGAACAGAGCTACGAAGCAGAGTAGAAGGCTGTTATTCCTCCAATCATCGGGAATAGCGTCTACCTACAGATTGATGTAGGTACAACAAAAAGAACTTCGTCCCCTTTAATACACTGGCACAGTATATGTACAGAGAATATCTACAATGCACACGCATGTATAAAAATAAAAATAAGAAAAAAGCAATGGCAACTAGTGGCGAAAATGGAGCATCAGCAACTGTTCTGATCCACTCCCAGAGCTCATCCGTGGCCCGTGGGCGATAATGCTCACCGTGGTCCACAGCAGGTTGATGGCCAGTGCACTTCGGAATTATTGCGGATTATTGGGATTAATTATGAGACCATTCAGACCAGAGTACAGATTCAGACCACTTATTTGAATACTATAATTGCCCACTATATTTGTATCGATTGACGACATTCCACGCGTCTAACGGAGAATTGTGAACGGAACTTGGCATTGCTGGACACATTCTATCCGGTTTTTTAACATGCATCTTTACAGTGTAAATGACAACATTCAAACTTCAACTTGTTGGGCGAGTGGATCGAAACAAGGCAATTCTGCCCCCTGAAAACCGGGGCCGCGATCGGGTGAAGCTGAGCCGCAGTCAGCTGGCCATGCAGAGATTTGCGGCTAGGCCAAGAGGATCCGCGGGCAGTGTTCTGGAATAAGCAGGATAAGTTAGAATTCCATTTTGATGTGAATTGAAAAGGGAGGAATAAAGAGTTAGATATTCTCATAATAGAAATACTATGATTGTGATTTCTGGTATGGACAGGTTCAGCTATATATAGACATACATACCTAGCATACTTGTTAGAGACCTATCCATACTTCAGACTGGAGTTGAACATGTGCCTGATCACAGGGGGATGAAACGGAAATCAATTTAGTTTTTTATTTTTAATTTTAATTTTAATTCCTTTTTCTTTCTCCTTGCTGATCATCGAAGATCAAACTGTATACACTGTCTACTGTGTAGTACTGTATGTTAGTAAAATCTCTGTTGGTCACATGTATTCGGGGTGGGAATCCGGACTCGAGCGGTTCCTATCATCCCGAGTCTCTGATTGGTGGGATTATCCCCTTGTCGAGCTCCCCCAAGGGTTGGCAAGTGGTAAGTGGCTCAAGTGGAGACCAACTGGACACTAGGCAGAATGACGCAGACTTCCCTCTTTTGGCTCATCCGGTTTCCTTTTTCCCATAGGAAGGTATACCGGGCCCTCTCCTCTCTTATCTTCCATCATCCTAGTCTCTTTTGCCCCCAAACTTCAACTCTCTCTACCAATTCTCCCCTCTCCTCCTAATTATCCTCATCCCTTCCCCCATCCCATCCCTTTACTCCAATTTGCGTAGCTCGCATTATTATCCAATTGGGGATATCGAGTTCGTGAATTACTAGGGTGTCCTTTTTTCTTCTTCTCCAGATTCCATTAACCTTCGCCCCGGATAATGGCCGCTCGTCACTCACGCAAACTTCTGCGACCGCTGCTCTACACTTCCGCGGCCGCGGCCGCCGGAGCAGGTGTCCTCTACATCTCCTATCGTCCACGTAACATCCCTGGCCTCGAAGCTCCCGCCGTTCCTCCCCCCGGTTACCATGAGGGCAAGCTGGTGCCCCCGAATTTCCCCACAATCAAGTCCCGTATTCAACAAATTCAGGACTTGAAGCGCAGTCAATCCGAGGAGGAATACGATCTGCTGGTGATTGGTGCTGGTGCCACAGGTTCTGGTATTGCACTGGATGCTGCCACTCGTGGATTGAAGGTCGCCGTGGTGGAGCGCGATGATTTCAGTGCTGGAACCAGTAGTAAGTCCACCAAGCTGGTGCACGGTGGTGTGCGCTACTTGGAGAAGGCCGTTTGGGAATTGGATTATAATCAGTCAGTTGCTTCCATTTCTTGTCTTTTTCTCGATTCCCCCCAAGGAGGCATGGAATTTGGTTGCTAACACCTTGTTTCCAAATATAGATACAAGTTGGTAAAGGAAGCTCTCCGAGAGCGCAAGTACTTCTTGAACACAGCACCTCATCTGTCCCAATGGCTACCTATTATGGTACCGCTTCAGAAATGGTGGCAAGCTCCTTATTTCTGGGCCGGTTGCAAGGCCTATGATTTCTTGGCTGGTTCGGAGGGTATCGAGACCTCTTACTTCCTCACCAAGAGTAAGGCAATTGATAACTTCCCCATGCTCAAGCGAGACAACATCGTGGGAGCTATGGTTTACTATGGTAAGAAGCTAATCCTCTTCCCCCGATCGATTTCCCCCAATAAAAGCTGACCGACTTGAAAGATGGTGCACACAACGATTCTCGCATGAACGTTTCTCTGGCTATGACTGCCGCACTATACGGCAGTACTGTTGTCAACCACATGGAGGTTACTGGCCTGACCAAGGATGCTTCTGGTAAACTCAGCGGTGCTCGCGTGAAGGACGTGATTCCAGGGCTTGATGGCCAAGAGACCGAGGAATTCACCATCCGCGCCAAGGGTATCATCAACGCCACTGGCCCCTTCACCGACTCAATTCGCAAGATGGACGAGCCCGAGGTTAAGGAAATCGTCGCCCCCAGCTCCGGTGTCCACATCATTCTCCCCGGATACTACAGCCCGGAGAACATGGGTCTCATTGATCCTTCAACATCAGACGGCCGTGTTATCTTCTTCTTGCCCTGGCAGGGTAACACCATTGCCGGTACCACCGACGCCCCCACTGAGATCACCCCCCACCCCGAACCCTCCGAGAAGGATATCAACTGGATTCTGTCTGAGATCCGTGGATACCTGGCACCCGACATCAACGTTGACCGAAGCGATGTCCTAGCCGCTTGGTCCGGTATTCGTCCCCTGGTGCGTGACCCGGCGAAGACCAGCTCCCAAGCACTGGTTCGCAACCATCTCATCTCTGTTTCTCCGTCCGGACTCTTGACCTGCGCCGGTGGTAAGTGGACTACCTACCGTCAAATGGCCGAGGAGGCCGTGGACGAGGCCATCGATGCATTCAAGCTCAAGCCCCGCGAGATGAACGCAGTTCCGGATATCAGTGGTGTTGGTGGCAGCGGTCTGGTTGCTGACGGTGCCACTCTGGACGGCTCCTGTCAGACCCACCAGGTTCGCTTGATCGGTGCTCACGGTTTCTCCAAGACCCTTTTCATCAACCTCATTCAGCACTTTGGTCTCGAGACCGATGTCGCTCAGCATCTCACCGAGTCTTATGGTGACCGTGCCTGGCAAGTGGCTGCACTCTCTTCCCCAACCAACCAGCGCTTCCCTGTCCGCGGCCAGCGCATTTCGACCTTGTACCCCTTCGTGGATGGTGAGGTTCGTTATGCCATCCGTCATGAGTACGCTCAAACTGCCGTTGATGTCATTGCCCGCCGTACCCGTCTTGCATTCTTGAACGCAGAGGCCGCTCTGGAAGCGCTTCCTAACGTGATTGATCTGATGGGCGAGGAATTGAACTGGAGCAGCCAGCGCAAGGACACGGAATGGAAGGATTCCATCTCATACCTCCGGTCTATGGGTCTTCCCCAGGTCTTCCTTAACATGTCTCGAGAGGAGGTTGTGAGTGGCCGTGTCATGGCCGTCAATGAGGTAGAGCACAAGAGTGTTGTTCGAACTGGTGAGCCGACTCCCTGAGTTAAATTCTCACTGCCCCTTGATTCTTATAAGGACTTTACTAACAATTTTCCTAGAACCACCGGCAGACATCCTGAAGAGTGACGCTGTCACTTCCCCTCTTGTTGCCGTCACTGAGGCCTCTGTCAACAAATAGATATGTGTTTCATAGATCTGTCCTGTACAAATAGAAATGTTAATTTTCCATTAAAATAATTCAGCAGTTTCCTGAGTTGGTTGTTATCTCATGATACAAGTAGGCAAGCACGACTTGAACCCCAGTCGTTGCTTGGAAAACGTGAAAGTTCACTTCCCTTTGCTCCACATTCCTACCTCCACTCATCTTAATCTTTTTATCTTGCTTTGGTTTACCTCGGGATGCAATAAGTCTATTCCCCTCTCACCAAACAATGGAGTCGACAAGCGAAAGGAATGTTGGTCACTTCCCCAAGACGCATATACCCGAATTCAAGTTCGATGCATCAAGCGTTCCAGGCACTGGCCTCCCAGTGAACCAGGATCCATTTGGAGATGAAACCAATCTTGAGATCAAATACAAGACCATGGCTTGGTGGTTGGTAATCTTCTGATCGTTATCCTAATCCCTAGCGCTAACCGATGTTCCCAGGCAAGCCGGCATGAGTATGCTTTCCTCACCCTCGTTTCATCTTTCCTGACGCCGGTGCTGTCGTTAACCTCTTTTCAAGTTATGATTGCAGAGACCATTTCGCTCGGGATCCTTGCATTGCCCAAGGCGCTCTCCGTTCTTGGCCCTTTCCCGTACGTTCAGATATTGCTATAGTGTTGTGCCTGATTCTTGCGACGCAGGTTTCTGATCTTTCTTCTTCAGCGGTGTCGCGGCCATCCTAGGCATTGGTTTGATTTCTACCTACACCGGGTATACAGTTGGTCAACTGAAACAACGGTTCATGCAGATCCACAGCATGGCTGATGCGGGAGCTCTTCTGATGGGGAGACATGGTAGCCGGGCTTTAGGGCTAGCGCAGCTGTTATTCTTCGTCTTTGTGATGGGAAGTCATATATTGACATTTTCCATCATGATGAACGTTCTTACAGAGCATTCCAACTGCACCATTTTATACGTATCGATCGGAGTGCTCGTTTCATTTGTTCTGACCCTCCCTCGGCGACTCAAACGGCTATCTCATCTGTCAACAATTAGCTTCGTAAGCATCTGCGGCGCAGTTCTAGTGAGTATGGTCGGGATTTCTGTAGGGCGAACTTCGCCCAGCTTACCGACATTCTCACCAGTCCCCACGGTGCATGAAACTTGCCTTGCTATTGCCAATATCGTTTTCGCATACGCCGGGCATGTTGCTTTCTTCACCTTTTTCTCGGAGCTCCGTGATATCAAGGATTTCCCTAAAGCCCTTGCACTTTTGCAGACCTGTGAGATGATTCTGTACACCGTCTCGGCGATTGTCTTCTATGCCTATGTAGGCCAAGAAGTAACATCTCCCGTGTTGAGCTCTGTGGGGAGACTCTTTCGCATGACTTCTTATGGAATCGCAATTCCGACGGTAAGTGGGCTAAATGAAAGAACTGTATCAGTTTCATCGCTAATGTGTCGGCTACCAGATTGTTATCGGGGGAGTAGTGAATGCCCACGTTGCAGTCAAATTTATCTATGTCTCCAGATTCCGGGGCACTAACGCGATGCATACCCAATATTTTCAAGCTCGAGCCACATGGGCGGTCATATGTGCCGGCCTGTGGATCGTCTCATGGATCATTGCGGAGGGAATTCCTGTCTTTAATGATGTGCTTGGGCTTGCAGTATGTGTCTTTATTGCTCGAGTTCCCGGCTTGAACTGACCATTTTTGCAGAGTTCATTATTTGCAAGTTGGTTCTCTTTTGGTCCCCCGGGAATGTTTTGGCTCTATCTGAACCGGAATATTTGGTTCCTGACATGGAAACAGAAAATGATGTTCTGTTTCAATATTTGTTTGCTTGTGTTGGCATCGATCATTGTACGTTGAAGAGACCCATCTTGCCCATTTGAACTGGACATTGACTTGTCTGGAATAATAGTGCATAATTGGATTTTACTCCTCCGTTCGGTCCATATACCAGAACCTGCGCGAAGGGGTGGGAGGAGGCAGTTTCTCCTGTGCAGACAATTCGCTCCCTTGACACTATCAAATTGCAAGTGTGATACTTGGAGGAGTCCCGCATAGGGTATGATGAAGCAAAATATTCATGCATGGCTAGTTGCTTGGATACATATTCAAAATGGAGGAGAGTTCAGAGGGGGTCTCCAATACCTAAAGGGGTTTCGCAAATCAAATTGCGGCCAATATACTATTCAAATCAGCTGGACAAACAAGTTTCTGATAATCAACCGTATCAATCTAGGTATATATCCGAGTCCATAGTTACAATCGGGTCGGTGGTTACCATCAAAAGTACTGGTGGATCAGGCCATAGCCAGAGCCACTCGGAAAATTGCTAATGGGTCCATATAATGCGCGTCACCCGACGCTCTCCACATAGGAGACAAACCTGGCCAAAAAAGAATCGAGAAAAACAAAAGCAACGATGATGATTAAAGCATATAGGGCTGTAAGATTTTCCCCAGCCAAATTTTTCTTTCTCCGAGTCTCTTTTATTATATACTTACTAGTAATTATTAATACATAGAAATGACAAGGTAGAACTTGAAACAGACACGGAATTCCCCCACCCCCGAATTCCTTCAATCAGTTTTATAATATGCGGAGATGCCCTGCTTGACGCATGGGTTCCCGACTGAAACAGGGATTATCCTAATATGCATCTCATATAACCCGCCCATTCCCGCTAAGTAGAAGCCGCCGGAAGCGCAACGGCTTGCATGACGTTCAGCCATTCCCCTCTTCCTTCCCCCTTATTATAGGCAAGCTAGGGGGCAAGGGCCAGAGTAATCACAAAGAAAAAATTTAAGAAGTGTAGTGTTTTCTTGATCCACAATTCCGAAGAGCCCACCCTTTCAAGATTAAGGGAAATTTAAAGGCTCTGAAATGACTGGCTTCGCAGGAAGTAAGGTCGGTGTACAGTATGTAGTGACGTGTGGAACTCGGTGGATAAGGATCTTTCCCCCGGTGGGAGTACTGCTTGACATATCCATCTGGAGAGCGCTAACACGCGACAGAGAGCAGCAGAGAAGACCAACGTTGTCAGCGCAGCCCTATTGGGAATATGTATGTATACCCATCGATCGAGGGCTGCGATCAAGACAAGATACTGCGGTTCCCCTTCCTCCGCACGATAAAAAATATCCCAAATAAACACAGTTTATCTGAGTATCTGAGCTGATCTATTCGTACCCGATCTTTGCGTGGCTATTTCTTTGACCCCACATCTGCATTTGTCGCGCCTTGATAGTTGTTCCAAAACCGAGCCACAGCTCGTTGTGTGATATTAGAGCCCCGATATCGCTCCATAAAATAATTGAATAAAGCAAATTCATCCCGATTCAAAACATAGGTATCAGGCTCGGCTTGAAGTCGGTTCCATAGATCGGTGATAGCTGCCTCAAGAACACCGGAGGTTTGAGAATCCAGCGCGCCGTTTTCACAGTTGCGGGCGCGGTCCAACGCTTGTCGGATAGCTGCCTGATCCTTCGAAGAATCAGGCATGTCGAGAAATAGATTGGCGAATTGAGGAAATTTGGGGGAGGAGAAGACTTCCTTCGAGGACCGTGAAAAATGAGGATCACGGAACGGAACTAGAGGGATTTAAAGATGCGCCCGAGGGGGCGAGAATATAAGAAACACAAGAATTAGGATAGATGGCGTAAATAAGAAGGTGAAATTCAACATGCGACCAACGGAAATTTTAAGTCTTTTTCAAACATCAAATGGAGCCAAGGTGGAGCAGGGGGGGGGGGGGGGGGTCGAGTGGAAAGGGGGGGTGGGAGGGAGGATTGTGTGAGTGACCCGAACCAGTAAACCCGAGATTATCAGTGTCAAGTCGGAAGAGACCAAGTAGCAAAGGGTGAAATAAGTTCAACCGAGATAATTCTGTTGCACAGCATAAGGCCCAAGGGCCGGTGTTCACCCTCCCCCGTATAAGTCAAGAAGAGGGCAGTATCAGTCGATCATAGGTTAGAGAAGCATGGTATTTTGTTTCGAGCATGAACCATTCCGGAGATACTTCATTTCAAAGCGTCAACACATTTGGAGCATCATGAGATTTCATTTTTGAAGGGTGGGGAGTCGTTTGCCATGGACGGGCTCGCCCGCAGGAGCGTTTACACTGGCGTAACGGTTTTTCCAGCCACGAAATGACATGCTCCGGCCTAGGATCGGACTAGCAGGGGAGGATCGAGACGAGACCAGTGACTTCCAAGCTCTGATTTGTCGAGGAGCTATAGGGTTCAAGGGTCGGACATATCGCTTAAAGTCTTTAGATTAAACTCGCGGCCAATCCGACGCACGTAGAAGGGTGTTGGCCCCAGAGCCCAGCAAGTCCGGTGCATCAGTTGAGTGGAGATCGATGGTCCTCCGAAGGACATTGGTGAGGCTCCATTCTTTTTTCCGTTCTTCCCATGTCAATGATTGGCGTCAGTGGCTGTTTTCCATATACTTTTTGAACCACTTCCGTTCGGATGTTCTGCTCCATGGCAAGCTCTGGGTGTCCGAACCCATTTTGACTCCATCGTTTCCCGGTGATTCTTCGGTAATCGTCATGGGTCCAGAGCTGTTGTTGCGCCGCGTGGGTACACAGTTGCGTGGGTACAATCCTGAGTCAGGGCAGTATGCTTTACCCTTGTAAAGCTCGGCAATTTAGGAGTCAGTTGTCGATCGGCCTCGGCTGGTTTCCCGAGGTCTTTACTGGGAGATTTTTTGATTTTGATTTTTTGATTTTGATTTTTCGTATTCTTCTTCCTTAAAATGTCATCCTTTTAAAGGGACGCACAGGGTCTGACATCCTTCGAAAAGAGGTTGATATGTAGGTATAACGGGGGAAGACCTCATGATTGTAATTTGTCGCAGGATTTCACGGTCGAAGATCCATGACCTATGTTAATGGAGACCTGTTTCTCTTGTTCTCGACCTTCAAGGAATCCATTTAGGTTAATTCGCTGATCAAACGCGCTTCCTGGTCCGTTTCAGAATGTCTCCGGCCGGTACATGCGCGATCGATGGAGCCCCGATCTCACAACCAAGCTATCCGAAACGGCGAAGTTCGGCAGCGGACTTCCGGGAAATGAAAGAGGAAAACTGGATATTTGGAGTAATTTATTCCCTTGTTTTCTTTCTCTCGGGGGGGAGTTTTTTTTTCCTTTTTTTTTTCCACCCTAAAAAGGGGGGCGTTGAGCTATGCGTGCTCCATGGCAAAGCTTTCGTGCCGACAGAAAGGAAGCTAAAGCCCAGACAGGTCATTGCGCCGGAATTGAAGTTCCAGGTGCTTTCCCCACGTTAACTCTAAAAACCGAGTCTGAATGTCGCAGCTGGTCGTGGAAGCATCCGAATTCCTGCTAGTCGGAAGAATCCTGAGAAAATTGACGTTGATGTCAGGACAGAAATTCAGGAACTTGGCCAAGTTCCACGGTTGTTTGGAAAAGCGAACAATTGGACTCCACATTCAACTCTAATACAGTGAATGAACCACCTGTGGCTCCTCAGAAGCCAAAAAAGGGCCCCAGGTGTCCGATAACGAACTCAATCCTCACCCAAGAATCGGTGACATCGGCTCAATCTATGCTGAGATTCAAGTTAACGTTCTAAAGAAAGCAGGGAATGAGAATGCCTGTTCATTCAAGCTATACCTAGGGAAATTCCCAGGGAAGACCTATTGTCTTCAGCCACAGAAAGTCAGAGGCGACCATGGCCTTATGTATGGAGATCGCTTGCAGAGTTTCGGTCATGGATCATCATGATGTTTGCCGTGTTGAAACCTAATTTTGCAGTGGGCGGTTACACTGAAGCCACAGAGAGGGATTTTGGCATCAACGTGGCTAAAAAAAACGTTTGTGGATCCAGCGATCATACATGATCCAAAATTGGGAGCTGGCTGAGCATGACATGAATTCTTAGAGGGTGAAGTCTAGTTATTGCGTACTTGGCTCGAGATGTTGAAGATTACATTGCATGATACATGTTAAGCCATTTTGAATAGACCAAATCTGAAAAACAATCATACTGTAGATATACATTTTAGTAATCAAATTTCGCCAATGAGCACGTACGTAGACACATACGTAGCCTCCCAAGGTTAGTGATAGTATCCCATAGTACTCGTAGTCTACAGGGCTGTTGTAGAGGAAGTGTCATAGCCCTATGAACATCCATACTAAAGTCACTTGGTGCGTATATATGCCCGAAGTTTTATTTTTCAATTGAATAATCTTCAATTAATCTAAAGTTTAAAAGATTCTATAATTCACTTCCATAAATGCATGTTGGCTACGTTAATACTAACCCATAGATCATCGTTGACGTTGCGCGTGTCAGATAGATTAATCATCGCGATTCCCGGGGCGGAAGGTCTCCCCCCCAGCCGCACCAAGTGGAGAGGTGTTGACAGCTTCCTTGTATTCTCTCCAATTCAGCAAATTCGATCTGGGTCCAAGAATCACCCACAATCAATCCCAGGATGCCCGATAACCCTCCATCCGCTGCTTCAGGTGCGCGCATGCTGCTGTAACCCCCTAATATGTCTTGCATTGTAACTGACCATCCAACCCCTCCGCTACTAGGCGCGAAAGCGAAGAAGAACAAGAAGAAGGCAGCCAAGGCCAAGGCGAATGCTCAGCTGACCGATTCAAACACCGAGAAACCTCGAGATGATGCTCAACAACTAGAGGATGCGGATCAGGTGTGTTGTGAAACTCCCCGTTCTGCGCGATTGGGACCACGTTGCTGAGAATTGTAGGACGGTCCCGATGAACCAGCCGACCCTGCAGAAGACCCCACGGCGGCTACACCTCAACCCGATGGTGCCGGTGACAATAAGGTCAACCACTCTACCATCGACCACGAGCCTGTTGACGATAATCCCGAGCCTTCTTCGACCGATGCCGAAGCTGAACCCAAAGACCGGTTCGACGCGCTTGTCCGAGACCGAGATTCGCTGCGAGAAGAGGTCATTGATATGCGGAAGTCATTGGAAGAGATCCAGTCTAAACATAAAGTAGACATGGAAGCACTGCAACAGAATCTGGATGATATGGAGAGCAAAAAGGAACATGCAGAAACACAGTTCCAGCAACTGTTGGAGCGGGTCAATATAATCAAGTCTCAATTGGGAGAACGACTTAAAGAAGACGAAGTGCGTACATTGGCTCATCCGATTACCAGCCGCTGGTTGTGATTGTTACTTACACACCCCCACAGGAAGAGCTAGCAAACGCACGGTCTCAGCTAGAGGAACTCGAGGATGAGAATGCAGGCCTCAAGTCACAGCTCGAATCCAAATCGACGGAAATTAAAGTGATTTCGGACGAATCAGCACAAAAATCGAAAGAGATATCTTCACTTCGAGACCGGACAACATTGTCGCAGCAGAATTGGCTCAAGGAAAAAGACGAATTGTTGGAGCAGGAAGCCTACTTACAATCTGAATTTGACCAGACCAAGGAAGCCATGCATAACTGGGAAGTGCTCGCGATGGAAGAGCGATCTATTCGAGAGAACCTAGGCGAAAAAGTCGTTGACCTTGAGGATCAACTTGGTAACCTCCGCGATGCATACGAAAAGGCGGCAGAAGAACGCGATACTCAACAATCCACTGTCGATGGTCTTCAGCGAGCTTTGCAGGAGATTCAATCAGCACGGAAGCAGGAGCTCCGTGAGCTTGTAGAGAGCTCAGATACGCAGCTAGAGGAGCTGAGACGATCCCTACGAGAAGCACAGCAACAAGCCAGTGATGCAAACAAGAATCTTTCTACCGCACAAGAAGAGTTAGATCGAGCACGGCCATTTGAGAAAGAGGTGAAGGAGAAGAATCTTCTTATCGGAAAGTTGCGACATGAAGCAGTCACGCTCAATGACCATCTTACCAAGGCCCTGCGATTCCTCAAGAAGGGAAAACCAGAAGACAATGTCGACAGGTAAGCCTGTTCTCCCAAAAATATCAATGATCTGACATCTGGAGGACGGAATACTGACATACCGTTACAAGGCATATTGTTACCAATCACTTTCTTCATTTTCTAGCATTAGATCGATCGGATCCCAAGAAGTTCCAGATTCTACAACTCATAGCGGCTCTTCTGGGCTGGGACGATGGTGAGCATCGACCAGTTCCCCCAGTGTTATTCAAAATCCATTTTCCTAACACATTAATTAGAACAACGAGAACAAGCCGGACTCGCTCGACCAGGCACCTCAAGTATGCCTAGCAAACTGCGGGTCCCTGGAACCCCATTGCGTACTCCTAGCACACCAAACCTAGCCACCGAATTCATGGACAACGGAAACGCTAGCAAAGAAACTCTAGCAGAGCTTTGGTCCAGTTTCTTGGAACAGGAGGCTGAACAAGGCAAGTTCAATACGATGAGACGAGGAAGCCATCCGGGACCGGCCAAGTCCTAGTATTCCATCCCTCATGTTTGAATATCCCCAAGGATGGAGTGGGGTTTCTTTTCTGTCCTTGGTAGAAAGACAAAGTTCATACATAGACCAGGCACATTAATGTCTTTATTTCTGACGAACAACGCTTTGTATTTTCATATTCTGCCTCGAGCTGGAAGTTGAAGTTCTTAGATAAACGACTACTTTTGCCCATGGTGCTTGTTATCTTAAGTATCCCCCGGCGTCTTCCTGTCTGGAATGACATTGATGCTCGTCCTACGATAGTCCCCACTTGATCAAAATCATGACAAACAAGAGCGAAGATGTGAATGAAACAGTAGATTCAGAATGGTACTAAAATATACTAGTGAATTCAACAATAAAGTTTCTCATGAGGGATAATTAAGGAAACTAAGTACATGGAGAAGACCAGATAGCACGAGCGCTGGATGCCAGACACTTTTTCCCGGCAGCATAAATGATAATAGGAAAAGCCCGATCCCTTTCCGAAGAGAAACAAATGGAAAGTACACAGAATGTGGACGAAAGCAGGAAACGCAAAGGGAAAAAAATGGGATATCTGCAAGGCTGGTGTCGAAAGGGACAGTAAGTTTTTTTAGAATGATGTTACCCAGAGGTCTTTTACCGTCGCACATCACTCAATTGACCAAAGATGGGCAAAATTACAATGCCACCTTAAGGGCATTAGTATCCGTTCATGGCCGCACGTTGGGAGTTGCGGCTGAGCTCGCGATCTGCGGAGGGGCTGATGGGTCGGCTGCCACCGCTGTGGCCGCCGCCGCCAGCGGCACTGCTCTCCTTGAGAGCCAGCAGTTGCTTAGCGCGGAAGGTCTCGTAGTGAATCTGGCTGGTGGTCTCGACCAGATCCTGGAGGTGGGTGCGGGTCAAGAAGTTGCGCAGGTAGACGAACTCGCAGTGGTTCTCATCCTCGACGTTGATGACACCCCAGCGGTTTTGACGGCCACGGACTTGCTTGCCGTTGACCACAATAGTCTTTTCACTACCAACAACTGAGAAAGGAATGATGTCCTGCACGCATTGTCAATATCTGAATCGCACCAAGTTTCCCATATATTTCGCCTTACCTTGATCTGAGCATTGATAGCACGTTCCTCATCATCGAGCTCATCGTTATCGTAGGGGTACATCTTCAGGTTGTGGAACGAGAACTCCTCCTTGATGCGCTCCTTGAAAGCCTGGCGCTCCTCAAGAGTCAAGGAGTCGGACTTGGCGATAACTGGAACGACATTGACAACATCCGAGAGCTTCTTGAGAACAACGATATCGATGGGCTTAAGGCTGCAAGATTATGAAAGGTCAGTCAACAAAGCTCTGATCGGCGGGCAGGCTAGCGCCTCTATTTTTGGACGGGGGAGGCTCACGCATGGCCGGAGGGCTGGATGAAGAACAAGCAGCAGTGAATGCGAGTATCTTGGATATAACGCTCACGCTGAGCTGTGAGTTCCTTGCGAAGGTATGCCGAGTGCTGATCCTTGATATACTTGACGATGGGGTCCCAGCTGGTGCTCTGTTAGCACAAAATTATCTTACTTAACCGCGCGGAGGGGAAAATTGGCGTATTCATACCAGCGATCGTTGTTGACCTGGTCACCGTAGCCAGGGGTGTCGACAATGTTTAGACGAAGACGCACGCCATTCTCCTCGATAACTAGGTAACCCGTAAGCTATCTTGTACTCTCCAAAAGATATTCTCTCTGGGCCCAAAAATTGAATAACATACTGTGCGAGACGGTCTGGATTTCGGTGGTGGAGCGAACGGGCTCGTTGGGGGTGAGACGACCCTTAGAGTCGATCAGGTGAGAAGCGAAGATGGTGTTGACCAAGGTGGACTTTCCCAGGCCGGTTTGACCTTGTATGGGGAGTTAGTACAATTAAGTTCGTAAATATATTTGAACTCAACGAGACACGAGAAGTAAGGAGAAGTAGCGCATACCGACACACATGACATTGAACTGAAAGCCACGCTTCAACAGCTTCCGCTCAATCTGGGAAGTAATGCTGTCGAAACCGACATGACTGTGGGGGAAAACGGTGGGCTGCTGAGCTGAAGCAGCGCTGGTAGCGGCGGCCATTGTGAAGGGAGAAGAGAGGAGGGTAATATGAAGGAGAGAAACAAAACAAGACAGCAACCAGAACGAATGAAGTCTTTCCCTTACAAAAGAGTCAATCACGAAAGTAATCAGGTCTGAAGCCCCTTAAGTTGTTCTTTCCCTCTATCGACAACTCAGGGGTGGCGCTATCCCCGATCGGGACTAGCGTGTCAACTTCGCAAACCGATTCTTTTGGGAAGGAACGACACTGGTCGCTCTTGCTTGTTTGCGCCTGCGGCTTGCTTTCTTTGGCTTTGACACACACCTACAACTACACCTCTTCTCAGCGGGAAACCCTGGAAGCTTCAATCATGGCTATGGCTTTGGCTTCTCTATCTCCGCTCGCCAGAGCTCTGCCTCAATTGCCCCGGTTCGGCTTCCTTTCTACGGCCATCGCTCTGCCCGCCATCTCTATCACCGTTCCGCCGATACTCTCCGACCTCTGGGAATCTGTCCTCCGCGCCGTTCCGAAGAAGAAGACTTCTCATATGAAGAAGCGCCATCGTCAAATGGCCGGAAAAGCTTTGAAAGATGTCCAGGGTCTCAACAAATGTCCCGGCTGTGGTCAGGTCAAGCGAGCACATCTGCTGTGCCCCAATTGCGTGAAAGGTACGTGTGGGAGACCATTGGAGAGCCTTTCCACAGCTTGAAGTAGTCGTGTGGCCGTGGTTTTTGCGTGGGATCAACAAGCTAACGTTTCAATTCAGACATCAAGGAATCCTGGAAATCGCTTCAAACCGCATAAATGGGTAACGCGATATTGTCCTTGAACGAGGGACTCTGATTTCATGAGTGCAATTGCGTCGCACCGGTCAGAGAGAAAATGTATTGTGTATTTATAGAGTTGATTTCTCTCTCTTTTTTGGGATCTGCAGATCGACTGTATTTACAGTATCTGCTGCATGGCACTTGGCGTCTGGTTACGTTGGGGAACAAAAGAAAACTTGTATTATCTTAAACATGTCCATAATGGGCATATGAATCCATACCCTTTTACAATATTCACGAATTTATCAACTGTAGATATAATTAATATTTGGGCGGATATACCATGTCTCCTCATAGTAGAGCTAAAATCAAAGCTTTGGGGGCAATTGAAATCATGGGGGTCACAAAGGCGGAATGCGGGCACCCAATCTCAAATGGACGTCATGGGCACTTCCCACAACCACGCCTGATAGAGCAAACAACTACCGAGATTACATCTCGACAAATTACAAAAATGGTAAAATTTTCAAATCCTTACCTTTTGTAACGTATCATTTCTAAATGATCATCTACAGTCGAGACAATATCTGGCGTGGGGCTCAGCAGATAATGGTGGGTGATTATCAGGATACAAAAAAAGTCACCAGCTCACAACGATCCTCCAGCGCACCCCGTGGATATTTTTTCACTAGCAGTTACAGATAAGCAGATATTGTCTGCCTCTGGAGCACCATCTTTGAAGGTCCACTCGACCACAGAGACAGATTTCCCGCTCGTTCAGTCTATTGATGGAGCTCACACACTGGGCTGCCACCATGTGGTCACCGACGCGAAGGGCTCTCGCGCCGTCACTGCAGGATTCGCAGGAGATTTGAAGGTCTGGTCCTGTGAGGATGGCTACTGGGCCGCAGACCAGATTGCCTCAGGTGATACATCCATTTAGATGACTAAAGTGAGGTGTGGGTTGTGCTAACCAAATGTTTGTAGCCAACCTGGCAAATGTGAAAGTGTGGGCAATCGCCTTATCAGATGATGGCCGATATTTGGCCGGCGTGTCTCCAGATGGCCGAGTGGGAGTATGGGACCTGGGTGCAGACGGTACACAAATACGAGACCATGAAACAAAAGGCAGCTTTGGTACCTGTATCGACCTGGTTCGTTCTTAAAGAGTCCCCTTCGTTGCATCGAGCATTGCTAATAACCACAGTCGCCCGATGGTCGATTGATTGCCTCTGGACATGAGAATGGTGCCGTTTATATCTTTAACACTGAGACTGGCCGCATGCCATTCTCTCTGTCAGGTGTGTTATACAGTAGCCCCAGGCAGTTGGAGATTTCGATGAACTAATGGGTTGGCAGGTATCGTGAAACCCGTTCGAGCGGTAGCATTCTCACCCGGAAGTAAGATTCTGGCTGTAGCTGGTGATTCCAAGGTAATAGTTCTGTATGATACATCATCTGGAGAACAAATCGCAAACCTCTCCGGTCATTCTGCCTGGGTATTGTCTCTTTCTTGGAGCTCCACCGGAGAATACCTTCTTAGCAGGTAAATCCATTCCTACTTCCCCCTTATACACATGGGTCAAATCTCACAATATTTCTAGCTCATTTGACGGAAAGGTTAAGGTCTGGTCAATTGATAGCAAATCATGTGTTGCCACCCATTCAGAGACGGAAAAAGCAGTCTGGAGCGTCAAGTGGTTACCCAAGAATGCGAAATCCGAAGCCTTCGCCACTGCTGGTGCGAATCGAAGCGTAGCGTTCTACCGCGAAGCTACTGGAGGTTAGAGAGACAACTCTGCAACTTGGTACCTATTTCTACAAGAATAACGAGTTCGGCGAATACAACAATGCTATGCATAAAAACAGATGAAACGTCAATTATATTATTCATACCCAGGTATCCATGCTCAGTTCATTGTATCAACGAATAACTTGCGCATTCGCTTGAGGAAGGCCCCGAAATCCCGATCATCATTGACAAGTTCCACCTCGCGCTCCAACGCATCCCGGTCCACCTTAGGCCGGGTATGGAATACCTCGTAATCACGACTAGCAGTTCCTAACTCGAACCATGCTTCGGCTTCCCAATCCTTCTCCACAATATGATTGTAAACAAATTTCAATCGGTCTTCTCGACCGGCGCCGTCAATCCGTAAACACAGATAATCCTGCCAGAACTCCAACTCCGGGTTGTTGAGACGCGATTGCGCATCCAAATTTCTCGCGTGATTCTTTTGTGCCTCCAGTCTTTGGTTGATTGCCTTCTGAGTTTCCGCGATTTGTTGCCTGAGGCGATCGCGCTTTGTGAGTCGTGAGTCGCGCTCCAGGGTTATTGAGGAGATGGCGGCGTGCATTTCAGCGGCCTCGGCGGATTCTTTTTGTAGCGTCTGTGCATGGGTTTGGGCTTTCAGGTTCTCTATTTCGATATCGCGCTGACGCATTCGTTGATTCTCTGTATTTTATAATTAGTCTGCATATACCTCAAAAATCAAATGGTTGGGCAGCAACTCCAAACGAACCCTGCAACTCAGCGAGATTGATGTGAAATTGGTTTGTTTCTTCAAGGACTTGTTTACGGCCCTTTTCAATAAATGCGTCAAATCTTGCTGTAAACTGAGCCATGCGATTGCGCAGATCCTCGAATCCAAAATTGACGCTAGGTAAGGAGTCTGCCATGGAGGGCGCATCTGCTGAGGCTAAGGGGGGACGCATGCCGCTTGTGGAAAGCGACGGTTCGAAAGAAGACGACATTTTATTGATCTGAAAGGTAGGTCTGTTGAATGCTCTGACTTGTGCTCCCCGGCAATGGTGTTGGATTGAAGAAGGCAAAGAAGAGATTAGGCCAAAAAGCCGACGCGTGGGGGGATCGACGTTGTTTTGGGTTGCGGCGCAACGGGGCCTTATCGATAACGAGCTCCAAAAAACTTGTCCGCTTCAGCTTCCATTTCGATCAGTATATGACTTTTCAACGTTTGTGCATTCCAACCCGCCATTATCGTGCCTGGTTGGTTTTGATATCTGTGTCTTCCATCCTCGACATGGTCTGGCTAGATCTTGCGCATGTTGCAAGAAGCAAACCAAAGTCCGATGGCTGAACTTAAGGACAGTGCGTTAAACTATGGGCACGTAGGAAGACCGGTCTACCTCAAGGATACCCAGTCCTGGAGCTTTCTACGATCATTTACCCCAGCGCCTCCTATTACCTATGCTGGCTCAGTGAAAACGGTGATTTCGCCTGAGAAAAACGCCCGCCGACCACTACATGGCCCACATGGCCGACCACTTAATCCAAAGTCGATTCCGCGGGCATATCCTGATCTAGGCGTGCAATGGCCGTCTATTCGTGAACAGAAACGCTCTCGGTTTATAACAGCCGTCACTGATATTTACGATCCCCACGTTTCCACACTTCTCGATCTCGGCCATGCTTTGGATCTCGGAGAAGAAGATTCAAATCCCATACCTGTTGCAGCGGTCGTGACTGGGGAATGCAGGAATACTATTTCTTTGAGGCTACTGGTTGAAGATACCTCAGAAGTTCAATTTGATGGATTGGAGGCTTTGCTTCCAACGATTGGAGACACAGAAAGCGCTGAATGGTCAACACCAGGAGTCCCGATCCGCCAAGTCTGCTTTTCCCAGCCTGCGAAGAACAACGAAGACAAAGCCACTTGGATGGCCGCTCGCCTCCCGGAGTCTACCACGATATTTCGACCTTTATATGAGTGGGACCTGAATCCTAGGTATCTACATCACTATGACTCTGCAGTACTTCCGTCAACCCCGCCAGCCCCACGTCTAGATGCGAACCCGGTGGTTGAGATATCGAGTGCGCATACAGGCGGTTTCCTGCATGCCTCTGTTGCATTCAACCCTTGGCATCAAAGGCAGGTGGCCATCCTTGACATGAGGGGCAATTGGAGTCTTTGGAAGGTTCAAACCCGACACAATCGACGCGAGGGTAATGGGATCGCTACCCCCGAACAGAGAAGCTCACTACCATCAATGGACCTCGAAAGCTCAAGCTGTATCAGACACGATGGCTGGGGATCAATTCTGTGGATTGGGGACTCTTTTAGCATTCTTGTTGCCGATCGTCGATGCGTCATGGTCTTTCACATTCAAGGCGATGAGATCCGATCCCGCTCTGTCGAGCTGATACTAGGGAAATCATCCGAATGGGTTATTGATATTCAGAGAAGCAAGAGGGACATGTCACAATTTTTTGTTCTCACAACTGCTCGGGTGCTGTGGTTTGATCTGACGACAGCGTCAATGGATGAAGAGGGACTGAGACTGCCTTTACAGCATTCTCTTGCGTGGAACCATTTCAGGAACCACGAGGACATATCAATGCGGCTCAGTGAACTATTAATAGGCCAAAGTATGTATTTCCCTTGAGCTCATTATGGACGATCACTGACTGGCCACAGATTCATACATTGTTCTATATTCTAGGACGAGTGAACTCATTCAGGTATATCCGTGTTCTTTCATTGGCGATGCGAGAACGGTGACTGCTATTGGACCGGATCCCTTCTTGTTACGTATGCCGCCAGCAGAAATGATGCCTGCTCCCAATAAGCGAGCACCCTACTCAACTTTTCTGTTCAGAGAAGCTGGTCATTCGCCGACAGTGGAAAAAGGAAATGATGCCCTTGATATGACTCTTATCAAGCTCTACTGGATTGATTCATCATACGCCGTCCATGAAACGCTCTTCAAAGGTCCATCGCAAAGTTTGCTGGAGCGGGTGGGAATGAAGATCGGAACTTCCACCGGAAACAGCAGAGTACCTGCGAATAACAGGCCTCGTATCCCTAAGCCACATTTAGACAACCCAGACGACTCACATGACGATGATGATTCAACTGATGACGGGAGTGATCTAGACGATTTTATTGTTGAGGACTGGGACAAGTCCGAAGTGCTCCCAAGGGCTAAGTCACAAAATGATTTACCCACTTCATTCCCCGAAGACCTAGACTACACTTTGAGCTGGGCACGCGTTTATAAGCGCGCCGTGGCGAATATTGCCAACCGCGGTACAGACCTTGAAGGATCCCGACTTACACTCGAGCGACTCATTACGGAGTTGAAAGACGAGACACTTGGAGGCGCAGATCGCTGGCGGAACAGTAAAACAATGTAAGTGGAACAGTCAATGAGATACTTTAGTTTACTGGTTTTCTAAGATCGGTTGCTAATTTACACCAGGCTAGAGATTAGCGGCGGCCGACCCGCATGTGGCGATATGGATCAGACCATGGATGATTTAGCACATCTTTCCTCGATAATGTCTTTTGGAAATCCTGATACTACACATGGGCCTCAGTTCATTACCTTGCATCTACCATCTTCAAGCACATTTCCGCAAATCCCAGTAACTTACCAGCCGAAAGAAATCAGCCAGGAATTTTGGGACACCTATGGTCGACTGATGAAAGAGTGGCTCTCCAGACTGCCTCATGGGATTCCAAACCATACTCGTCTCTTCAAAGAGAGAATCGTTCGCGGCGTTGCTCTAGATCTCGTCTTCTCACGCCTCATTCAAATTAAAAACAACCCTAAGGTTATAAAACCCCCTCAAACTACTGGGACCATGATACCAGTCGAGGGGACACCGGGGATTGTATCTCAAGACGCTGGTCAAGAATTGGCCTCTTCACAACTTCCTTCGTCACAGGTCACGGTGACTGACAATCAAGACGATCACAATTCTCAAGACACGGCTGGAGATGCTATTTCTTCAAAATACCCCAGTCTATCTGCATTCACTACATTCAAGCCTCCATTTAGGGGGACTCGTGCACGATCTCAGAATGTGGCCAACCTGCTTGCCCATTGGGAACAAGGGGCTGATCCTTCCACCTACGACTGGGAGATGATATCCCAGGCGCAGAGTGACATGGGCAAGGGAGAACTGAATAAGCCCCGGCGGAAATCACGCAAGAAACGCCCACAACCGTCACAACTCTCGCAGCGCCCACAGGTGACACCTAGGTTCGACGGAACATCCCTGCCGCCTACCCCTGTGGCACCAATACCTCGGGTATGGGGCAGTCAGCCAGTTCAACCATTCCTAATGGCAAGTAGCCAGCCTACAGTGGATGGGGCACCTATGACCCAGACCGAGCGTGGTCAATTTGGGACACGAGAAGCCATCAAGAGCAATAAAACGAAGAAGAAGCGAAGAGCAGGTGGATTTTAATATTGTATGTGATTAATGAAACCAGGATACCCCGAATGAAACCCTATCAAGTTCATATACACAAGTAAAGTAGTAGAATAGTATGTAGTCAATGTCTAAGTATAATGGTGTCAACTATTGCAGTCCACACAACATTGGAAGAAACCAATCGCATTAATCGCTCATTAAAGGGATGATATGCCCCTCTCCGGCTTATAAATCCATAACCCTTCTCTTCCTCTATATTTCTTCCATTTTACGTACAATTCAATTTAATCTTCTATCTTATTCTGCTTCGGTGAATACATCTTATCCAATATACCCAAAGGATCTCCCCCATAAAGGAACCCACTTCTTCCGATTCGCGTGTTTCATCTGTGTATCTACCCGCAGCCCCTCCATCTCCCCAAATCTCCAATCTTCACCAACTATCCACCATGTCTGATCACCAATACAAATTTAACGTGGCTATGAGCTGCGGCGGCTGCTCTGGGGCCGTTGAGCGGGTCCTAAAGAAGCTGGAAGGTATGTATCCCAGCTAATCCCGGTGTCTAACCTCGAGGCTGATCTGATTGTTTTTTCCGAATCAGGTGTCAAGTCTTACGATGTGAACCTCGAATCTCAAACGGCGACCATTTCCACCGAGCCGACTGTTTCGTACGATACCGTGCTGGCCGTTATTAAGAAGACTGGAAAAACTGTGAACAGTGGGGAGGCAGATGGTCAGACTATGAGCGTTTGAACATCCGGAAGAGAACGCTCTGTGTCACGTCTAAATAGATCATCCTTGGCAAGAAACGGCATCGAAATGAGATACTCATTGGCATAAACAAGTCGCTTGGATGAATCATGCCCATATCGGCTTCTCTATGTCATAAGCCCAATATACCTTTTGCATCTCTTGATCAGGAGCATTTACTATTATCACCATATACTATGTTATAGGGACATGGAAAGATTAAAGTAAGAAGATTCGTGCATTAAGCTACAAGCAGGTATATCCAAAAGTGCATAGGCAGGTAGTAGTGTTGTGTTGTAGTGTCCTATGACCTCAGGCGTTCTAACAGCATGCAGATGGGTATCATGGACAACAGGAGACATGAAGAAATGCAAAGCCAAAATAGATCAGAAGAAGAAGAAAACAACAAAAGATTCAAAACCAAACATGGAGAAAATAGATCATTATTGCCGTAAAACGTATGCACTGTAACTTCCTGGATTTCTTCAATCCACCAGAATGACCGGTCTCTCGTCAGACATATTATGCTGGGGCGGTTGTGATTCAACTCGCTGCACATAGATCGGGCGATTTTGTTCTGCCATTTGGAATGCTCGGGGATCATGGGTGCGCCTATAGACTAATTAGGTTCAAAGGTAATCACATAGCGAAGGGCGGGCCACTATATGGATTTTCCCTGTGAATCAAAGCCTTACCGTGTGTTGCTGAGACCGCTACCAGGGCGTCGTTCTCGAGTGGTAGGAACACGCCTGTGAAATTGGCGGCCCCCAAGGGTTGTCTCTGTAAAGTGAGACGTCTGGTGGTGAGAAGGGGGTGCCACTCGGGAGTTGGGTAGCTGGCGTTGCTCTGAAACGGCCCGAGGCTGTAACACATCCATGACAATCAGTTGGTCTGGGATCCTGGCCCTACTAGGCTGAATGATGTTTCCACTTGTCCGGCTGGGCTGGTGGCGTGGGTTCTCAACATAGTACTCGGCCGGTCGGGCCTCGCGGATGTCAACGGAGCGGACAAAGCCATCGGCGTATTGCTTCCCTGGAGGAGCATCATAGATAAGGGCGCGGTGGCCATCAGTACGGGGATTCCAAGTGGGCAGGCGGGTTTGCTCGGCCATTGAATGAGGAACATGATCCATGCGGGGGCTACGATCACCATAGTACGAGCGAATCCCGGGGCGAGAAGCATCTAGAGTGGTCCTGGGTGAACGATCACCATTGAGAATTGTGCCACCGGGTCCAGAAGAGGGCTGAAAGTTATGCCTCGGAATATGCCCCAGAGGTGGATCAACGGTGCGCGTGCGTTCCATTTCCCACCTTCCAGTTGGATTGGCCTGTGGAGCAAATGTGCCGGATGGCCTTTCACGTTGAGGTCCTAGAGGAGGTTTCTCCGTCAAGTTAAGGTGGTCCCGAGGGCGATATTGCATATCCTGCGAACGATGCTCGGGTCCGAGCTCATCGCCACGGTATTGTACTCTAGGGCCTTGTTCATCAGAAGTGGATATCCCAATGGGTCTTGTATCTCGGGAATCAGAATGGTTACCAAGCTGAGGAGCATTGTGATAAGCCAATCTTCTTCTCTTGGAATTTTGATCATCTGGACTGCCAGGTCCAGAACCACTTCCATGGTTATCTCCTAAGTGGTGGACTGGGGTTACAGAACGGAGCGACATTCTTTTCGTCATCTGTTCTAAACGAGCGTCTGTCCGCCGTTTTTCGGATGGCCAAGGGGCTTCAATGGAGGGAAGAACATGATCCTGGGAATATACATCGGACCTCATTTGAGGACGCACTGGAAATTCAGGCTTGGATCCAAGCTGGACATCATGGCTGATTTGCAATTCCTTCGGCCCACTCACAAAAACAGGCGCATTGGTCCTGTCATTTGGTGATGTGGGGAGTCTGTCCGATCGAGTTGAATCCATGTGTAACGGGATTTTACCTTGGGGGTAAGTAGACCTGATGGCCCAGCGAGGACTGGTCTCCAACTTATGAGCCTCGAATGGTTTCTGCGTAGTTAGTGCATGAGGCCATCCATTGGTCTCAAAATGCGGATTTGAGCGTTGGGTTTCCAATCGAACCCGCCTTTCAGTACTACCTACGTAATTCTTGGCTTGCAACGGTCTTTGGGGTGGGATTTCAGTATATACAGATCCCGACACGACTCTAGAACTGGATTCGACGGGTTGAGCAGGGGGCTCCCTGCGCCTGGTAATCTCCAAACTCTCTTGAACCACAGCGGGTCGTTGAGTGTAGCGTGGGCTTTGTCGTTCAGTAGAAGCTTCGCCGGGTTGTGGCTGCTCAGTACGTTGAGCTTCAGCTCGGTATCGAGTCAGCGCACGGTTCCAAGCTTGGTATCTGCTGAATCCACGACGGTCCATGGTTGTCTTAGCGGGCACTTGGGTAATGACACGGAATCCAGGTGGTGCTTCCTCGAGAAGTTCCAGGGAGGGATCATGAATGGACACGCTCTCGGCCCTGATCGGCTGAGTCTGTACTTCATAGGTTTCGGCTCTGTTGGATGACAGAAGCTCCGCATTAACAGTGGTATTGGCTGTTTCATTTTCAAGGTCACTGTCCTCGTCATCTGAGATAACGATGACTTCCCGGAAAACATCTTCTAATACAGTTTGACCGTTCTCGTCATCACCGCGCCATGCAACAACTTTGGCCAAGGTAGGCTGTTCGACAGAGGATCTTGCTTCGTGAAATGACCCCTGTTTGAGAAGACGGTCATAGTCAGTGTAGAGATGGCGTACATGTGCCACCACGGCTAGCTGCGCCCGTCGTGCTAACGGTAGTTCCGATGCTGTACCAACTTTTCGTTGACCCTGACATCCCCGATGTCAGGCATTCCTGACCCTATAACAGATGAATGAAGATTGGACATACCTTTTGAAAAGACATTTTGATAATTTGAAAAAGGTCTTTGTCTGGAATGTTAGGAAATAAATCTTTGATAGTATCCCTTGCCTCTGTGTTGATTACCTCTTGAGAGGCTTCAGAGTCCGCGGGTGCGCGATGTTCAAGAGAGCCCAGTGTATGAAAGGGAACCGCTTTCCCAGCACTGGTGAGGTAAAGCCCAAGCTCTGAACATGCCGCTGCCACCACGGTACTTGGAAAATGATAACCTATTCGATGAACATGTTGGGAGAGGTTATGCGTGTGCATGTGAGGGGTTGTCTGGGAGGCCATGAGCAGGGTCCAACAAGCTAAAACCAATAAAAGCAAGTCAAAAAGAGCAGTGCATCTTACCGAGACCGCATAAATCTGACAGCCCTCTTTACGGCACCATTCTTTGCAAGCCGTCGTGAGGTGAGGATTTCCTGCGGGTATAAAAGTGTAACCCGTCGGTGCTTTCGCCTCAAAAGATATCTGTTTGAAATGTTAAAATATATGAATAAAGGCCAAGAGCTAACAATAAGACAAAGGGATATAACGACGTACTACGCTTCGAAGCTTCTTCTTTTCTTGGGTCATTGATTCCATGATAACCTTATGCTTTCTAGCTCTTCTCTGCATAGCTCGGCTGGGAGCGCGCCACGCCGAGGCGCCTCTTCTCACGACTCGAGTCATTTCTTTTCCTTTTCCCTCCTCTTTCAGGTTTTAGCGTTCAGCCTTGGAAGACTGTTCCATGAAAGGAAAGGTCTCAACACATGGTTCTCGAGTGAAAATGCTGGAGGTTGGAAGATCGGGTAGTAGAAAGTGGTTGTGAGATGGGGCGGTCAAGTCATATAAAGTCACCACGAACACAACAAGATTCAGTAGTAAAGAGAGTGAAAATCGTGATAGGGAACAGAACAAGAGCCAGCTCTTGTGGACTCGCGTTTGAGAAGTATATTTTCCTTTCCCCCTTTTTTTCTCCCCTGAAGAGACAAGGAAGGGAAGAAAACGCGAACACGAACCGTTGAAGTATTACGGCCCAAAGTCACCTGTTTCTTCAGGTAAGTGGGGCCTAAGGCTACTCTCATCTACCAATCTTGCCGCAGCTCCAACTTCCCATTCCCTCGCTCCCTCCCCCAACATACTTCAACATAATTTGACATGACGTCCTCATTCGAAGTGGTTCATGCATATCGACATCTTTATCGACAATCCCTCAAAGCGATCCGGTATTCTACTCCCGCCCGACACACCCTACGATCAACCATGCGGAGTGCCTTCCGTTCCGCTCAAGCGCATGAGTTCAATCCTGTTAAAATTGCCAACACTTTGCGCTTTTTGGAACGAGCTAGCGAATATCGGGGACTGGAACATAAAATTGTGAAAAATTTGCTGCTAGCGAGGTACTGGGAGAATCCCCAGAATGCCAAAGAATCCCGTCTGTACGTGTGATCCTAAACACCCATTGTTGTGGTAAAGAAGATTCCCGTTTCTAACATGGCCCCAGATTAAAGATTCTAGGCCTTGCGAGACTAGAGGCCCGATTACGCAAAAATACCTACGAGCATTATAATCTGACCCTTGAACGCCTGAACGAAAGCCTAGGGACGTGCCTAAAGTGAGGAGAAAAAGATCCACTGCTCCACCGGTCCTCCGTCAGGCTCCCGTACGTCGCCTTGGGCATAAATTTCAAACGGGGCGCTAAAGCAAGTCTCCCAAAATGGGAATCGACCTAGGTGCTGACTGCAATTGTACACTCATGGACTCAAAGGTCTGATGCATGGCACCCCCCCCCCCCTTCTCACTCCTCCTTCTCTAGGCTCTACATGATACGCCTCTAATACCGGAGAAACACAGCCGATGAAGTACCATCCCGGGATTCCCCTTTGTAGTCATGCGAGACAAGCTTATAGATCGATAACCTGGTTCATGCGCCTGCAGGGCGCTGGCCGATGGGCGTCGATAGCGCTGCATTTCTGTTCTGCCGGATCAGCCAAATTTGGAATGCGGATATCAATCAGATATCGGATTTCATATCACCATGATTAATTCAAGGTTCCTCTGCATAATCATGCTGATATGTGTCTGGATGTTAACCTAATATTACGTGCATACGGTGGTCGTTCTCTATACTTCAACAAGTTCCTGGCAAGCTCCATAGATCAGAAGTTCTGGGCGTTCATACAAAATAGACTCGAGAATTTCAATATCTATCAGTCCGAAATCGTACATACTTGTCAATAGTGACCGCCTGATATATAGCTAGTAAGCATAAAATTAGTACCATCTACGTGTACGGGGTATCTACACGCTCACGTAACTCAAATCGGATGATTCAGCAGCTCCGACGTCACATGCTAATAATCCCCGACACATTCAAACTTCAACATATCCACGATATTGTCTTCCCTTTTGATTTAATTTTGCTTGAGATCCCTTAATTGCATTTTGGTCACTTTGCTTTTATCACTAGATGTGACCTTCAGCCCTTCATGAGCAGCTTCATCTCTTCGCTGCTGGCTGACCTTGGACTTCTCAATCGGGCACCTCCCCGCCACACCCACCTGCAGGACACTCGTGGACAAACAAGCCCGCTTTCTACCACCCACGTCGACGATCCTACGGTTTCCGACCAACGTCGAAATAGTACACAAACAGAATCGAATAGCGGAGATGCGGCCAATTTACCGACACCGCCATTTTTTACAACTTTAATAAAGGATATGGATGGGCATACTTCTAACTTGGAAGCCTCTCGACGAATGTTCCAAAACGACGCTTCGGCGATGAGTGAATCGGGAACTGTAGATGGAGTAAATACTGGCCGTGGAGACGATGGAGGGCACTCTCCAATGACTCAGCAGCCCGCAGATGGTCAACATGGCGAGTCACGAACAGAACTACCGAATGGCTCATCTGGTACAGATTCGAGACCCAGGCATGAAACAAGGGACGGCCTTCAACACAACCAAGCTCAATCGACTAATATGAATGATTTGGCACAAAAATCGCTACCTGCGGATGACGGCATGTCATGTCTTAGGAACAAAATCCATAACATTCGAGAGCTGGATCTCAATAACAACGAAAAGGCACGAATGGTACACGAACTCATGACGGAAAAATATAACTCTTGTCGACCATTACCGCCAGTATCCCCTCTGCTATCCTCTCCGGCCATTGATCCAGCTCTCAGTCCATCATCTGTCGCGAATCTAGCGAGTCCGATCAGTCCGGCTTTGACCCCGCTCGAGCCCCAATACGAAACTACATTCTCCCTTACTGCCGAAGATATACAACCTACGTACGTGCCGAAAGTTGAACCTGAACCTGAATCTGAATCCCCAGTGGCCGAGACGGGCGATGAGGACCCTGATACCGAGGAGACAGATGGAACGCCTCTAGGCTGCCAGCATTACATGCGAAACGTGAAACTTCAGTGTTTCAGTTGTAAAAAATGGTATACCTGCCGTTTCTGCCATGATGACGTGCAGGATCATCCTTTAATCCGGCGAGAAACGGAAAATATGCTATGTATGCTGTGTGGACACCCACAGCCTGCGGATCAGAATTGTAGAAAATGCGGCGAACAGACTGCGCAATACTATTGCGACATCTGTAAACTTTGGGACAATGATGGCAAAAAGAGCATTTACCACTGCAATGATTGCGGTATATGTCGGGTTGGGCAAGGGCTTGGAAAGGATTTCTTTCATTGCAAGGTAAGTCTTATCGTCTCAGGACACCAAAAAAAGAAAATTAATACTCACAATGCTCAGACATGCTGCGTTTGCCTGCCTATCTCTATTGAGGATACACATCGATGCATCGAGAGATCTACACAGTGCGACTGTCCCATTTGTGGAGACTATATGTTCACTTCTCCGGAACCAGTTGTTGTGGTGAGATGTGGACATAGTATCCACCATAAATGCCTAGGAGAATATTCAAAGAGCTCTTTTCGTTGCCCAATTTGCAGCAAAACGATAACAAACATGGAATCGACTTTCAGAAATCTAGATCGAACCATTGAAAGTCAGCCCATGCCCGTCGAGTTTAAGGACACTAATGGTCTCATTTACTGCAACGATTGCGGTGCTAAATCCGTGGTCAAGTACCACTGGCTTGGCTTGAAATGTGATCTGTAAGTTTATATACCTATTTTTTCCATGCAGAATCTAATAATACTAGGTGCGAGTCTTACAATACAGCCCAAATTCGACTTTTGCAGGGCGACGTCTCTGGAGTGCTCGAGCAGGAAGGCGTTAGTGAAGTCCCTCCACGGCCCCGATCCGCTTCATTAAATGCAGGCGAGGAGCCAGCAACATCATTGGCCGCACTTCACCTCAATACAAACCAGCAACCTGAGTCTGAGTCTGAGTCTCATCTCAATGTACCACTGGCTGCTGCTCCCGACCAGCGTTTTGTCTCATACAATATGACTCGGGGTCGTGCTATCTCTCCAATCGTTAGCAACTATTTTGGTCTTCCGCCGGATCGAGAACCTGGGAAACCCTCTTCTTTACCATTCTTTGGAAGTGCAACTCGACCAGACAATGACGCGGAGTACGGTGCGTTAAACTTCCTTAGTAAGAAGTTCCGAGATCGGTATGGCTTTCTCTCAGGCGACACTCCAGGGGAAGGGGTACCGAAAGTGGAAGAAGACGAAGACGAAGACGAAGACGAGGACGACGATGGTACAGAGTCTTCGGAATCCTCGGCTTCAGATGCAGAGGGGGATAATGAAGAGGACGAGGAAGAAGATGAGTACATCGACATTTTTGGTCACCGATGATTTATCTTGGGGGTTCCCTTGAATTGAGCAGTCATCTGTTACAAAGAGAAAAAGAAAAAAGTCGCCAGTATCAATGATTGGAATTGGAATATATGCTTCCTTTTGCCATTCCTTGGGTTATTGGCTTACCAAGCATGATGCGACCAAGACAAAGGCCATTTTAAGAAGCCAAAGTCTTTTACCAACACCCATCTACTGGAGGCATCCCGATGTTTCTATGGGAGATGGCTCATGGGTTCCTCTCTTTGAGAGCAAAGATTTGGGATTGCGAATTTTTGGTCACCGAGTCCAAGCTGACTAGGTTTAACCTTGGGCGAAGAAGAATCACTGGTTCTTAGTGATATAGAAGCCTGCTTCCATCAGCATGGCCCTTGCATATTTTCAATTTAGCACTCGCATTAGCATCACGACGAGACGAGAGGAGAGCCATGCATTCTCAATGCCATAAAAATTTCATCATATCCATTATTCACTCAGTCCCTACTATTCATGAATATTTACCGGCCTTCAATCGTAGTAGCTTCCACATGATTAGTTGCACCCTTTTCACTGTCTTCGGTCACCAAGGCCTGGGCTTCACGCTTCTCTGGCACCCCTTCACACTCTCCTGCCTCGACATAATCAACACCTCCAAATATTTTCTCCATGCGCTCCAAGGAGATTCCTTTAGTCTCTGGAAGAATAAAATAAACGGAAATCTAGGAATCGATTAGCCACGTAAGAAAACTAAAGAATAGACACCTGGAATTATCACTTACCCCAGCAAGCACATTGAGAGCAGCTAGCAGCCAGTAGCTTCTGCCCCCAACCTTGGTATTGAAAGATGGCCATGACTCCGTTAATAGGATAAGCCAACACGTTTGACCAAGCATTGACAATCCAAATCCCTTTTTAAGATAAAGTTAACATTCAAGATACCGGCATTTGATGAAAGTTTATCGCGACGTACCTTGTCTCGAACATGTTGTGGAAAGATCTCTGCGATGACTGCAGATGGGATAGGGCCATTAGACCAACAGTACGTCAAGCCAACTATAAACAGCATGGCGACCTCCACAATAGCAGCAGCTCGGTTGCCGTTGGTTGGAAATGCAGTACAGAGACTGGCCATGATCAACAATGCTATTGACTGAATGCAGAAACCTGCGAGTAGCAGAGGTCTTCGGCCAAATCGATCCACAGTGAAAGTATTCACCAAAACAATGAGTAGTTGTAGACAAGACTGAATACCATTGATAGCCAGTGCTTGCGAGCCAGAGTTCCATCCGAGACTCTCATAGATGAGAGTGGCATACATAGTAAGTGCTGCAATACCACCACACTATATATGGGATTAGTATTCCTTCCAGCCTATTTTTTGTATTTCCAGCCAATATATGAAAGGGAGGCCCACCTGCTGAAGACTTGCGATATAGAATCCATAAACAAGGCGTTTCCGCATACTTTTGTCTTTGAGAAGACCAACATAACCAGGCTCATATCGTCGTCTGAATTCATAAGAGGCAACCAGCTCGTGAAACTCAGTGCGAATGCGCTCTTCTGTCGGTGCTCCTGATCTCAATCTGCTCAATACCTTGAGGGCTTGATCAGGTGTCTCTGGGTATTTCTCCAGCATGAATCGGGGGCTCTCCGGGTAAAAGAAAGAGACAACTATGAAGGCAATTCCAATAGGAATCTGGATAACATTGGATACCCGCCATGCAATATTATAGGGCTTTGTGTGGAAGGACATCCCATAGCCAGCCCAAAAGGCAATAAGGGTACCCAGTTGATATCCAAATTGTGCTACAGTACCAACAAAGCTACCTCGAAGCTTGGTGGGTGCACATTCGGCGACGTATAGGTTAGTCGCAATATAAACACAGCCGAATCCTAAACCTCTGCGAGGGAGTGAGAATTTTTGATAAAGAAAAAGATCTCCTCAAGAGGTTTCAGGGACTTACGTCAAAAGACGACCAAGTATCAAGACCCCGAAGCTGTTTGGAACAACTTGGACGATCCTATATTATGTTTAGTAGGCATTCAAATGCTGAGATACTGTCAAGGTTTCGTACACGCCGACGATCATGATACAAATGGAAATTCGCAGAGCCCACAGACGTCCTAGCCATCCGGCAAGCGTACCCCCTAAATATAGTTGGGCGACACCTATACAGAAATCAAAATTAGTCATACTGATTCAAGTTATGAGTTACCAGAAAGATCAGGAGTTTCAAGTGAAATACCTGTCATCGCCCACGGAATCACAGCTACTAGTCCAGATTTAGCATCATTGATTCCATAGTAGTCGATAAACTGCTTGTTGGCCAAAATGACCGTCATGATACCGGCATCATATCCATTGAAGCAGGTCGAAAAGACCATGCCATAAAGTAACAATGCGGCAAAACTAACGTATAATGCGTTTCAGAACTGTATCATATGCAACCTTGGAAGAACCGAGGACTTAAAATCCCCACGGGGAAAACTTTTGAGGCTCTTACCGATCATCCTTGGGGAGAAACTTCTCTGTGATGCCCATCTTGACGTGATAATTTGATAGTAGACGCCGAAATAGTTAACAAGAGAACATATTCACCATTATTCCTTGCAGACGATCTCCTTCCGCGGTGGTATATATACCACCTACCGGCAGTTCGAGAAGCAAGACCTTCGGGACCCCACATTTATGGCCAGACATTGGCCTGGAGTACATGCGAATCCCCAGAAAATCAAAGCTTAAACGGTCCTAAATGTGGGGTTAAGGTATCTTAACAACAAAAGAAAATAACCTTTAATCCTGCTTGCGGAGGTTGGAGCCCGCCCCGCCGGAGGAACCCCCGCCGGGATCTTGCTCATCGGACATCCCACTCGGGATAGTCGTATCTAAGGCACGCTCCGGCGGAGTACCACATTGATTTATCGCCACAAAGCCGACATATTTGGAGCGGGATCGCTCAATCTCCGAGCGCAGGGTCCCGACGAGGGGCTTTTGACCCGAATGCTATAAGGATGCTTTGTCAAGTCACTGAGGGAACATTGTTTCTCTCGCCTGTATCGAAAACAGAGGAATTAGAGCCCTAAACAACAGACGAAATCATGGAATATCCACAAGAGAGTTTCGCTGCAACGCAATTTGCGCCAGGATCATTTTGGGCACGTCTTCGTGAAGTGGTTCGAGTTCAGACCCTGCGACATCAGCTTCAAATGCTCAAGAAGACGGGTCGGTATGATGCATTCAAACTACGCTGGCATCCAAGTTATTCAGTTCCTCCCACAGTATATCCGATTCCCAATCATCAATTCTGGGACTCCGATGTGGCTAAATGGATTGAAGGTGCTTGCTACTTGCTCATGGATAGCCCTGATGCTGAAATTGAAGAAGCTGTGAAGGAGTTGGTGGAGATGATCAAAGGAGCGCAGCATCCAGATGGATATTTGAACATTCATTATTCCGTTGTTGAGCCAGGGAAGCGTTTCACTAACTTGCGAGATATGCATGAATTGTAAATTTTGACTTATATCCTCTGATACAGTTGTGGAATCTGACTTACAACTTGTCTCTCTTTCCTAGGTATAATGCTGGTCATCTTATTGAAGCCGCTCTCGCCCATCATCGTTACTCTAGTAATTTTGAACTGCTGTCTCCCATTCTGAAATACGTGGACCTTCTGGCTGCGACCTTTGGTGATCAAAAGGGTCAAATTCCCGGGTATCCCGGTCACCCAGAGATTGAACTTGCTCTCTTGCGGCTGTACAAGGTTTCAGCAAACCCAAAACATCTTCAATTGGCTCAATTCTTCATCGAAGAGAGAGGAAATCCAAAAGGAAGCAAAAACCAACGTCATTACTATGATGACGAAGCAGAAGCTCGCGGTGAAAGTGAACATGACCTGCCAATGTATTACCCTGCTGCGAGGAGCTATTGGTAAGAAGTCTATGGAATTTCAACTCGACCAGAAGCTGACAGATTTGCAAAGGTATCAACAAGCCCATGTTCCCATCGTTGATCAAGAGACGATCGAGGGACATTCTGTTCGTGCTTTGTATCTCCTAACAGCCGTTGCAGATTTGGTCCGAATTCGTCAACCGGATAGTCAAACAGGCATTAAGTTCCTTCCGGCTATAGAAAGATTATGGTCTAATATGGTGGAGAAGAAATCCTATGTTACTGGGGGAGTTGGAGCGATGAAACAATGGGAAGGGTTTGGGATAGATTACTTTTTACCCCATGGGACTGATGAAGGTGGGTGTTATGCAGAGACATGCGCTGCCATTGGAGTCATGATGCTTGCCGAGAGAATGCTCCAGGTATGTAAAAGTGATAACCATATTTGTCTTTTCTAAAACAACGTCGCTAATGAAATTAGATCAATCTTGATAGTCACTATGCAGACATTATGGAACTATGTCTCTACAATGCAGTATTGACTGGAATGAGCCTAGATGGCAAAGCCTTCACTTATGTGAATCAGCTGGCGTCCTCAGACCAAGATATCTCACAGCGGCACGAGTGGTTTGAGTGCGCCTGTTGCCCTCCTAACGTCACTCGCACTCTAGGCTTTCTTGGGGGATACCTATGGAGCCATACAGTCAATGATCAGACCGCTATCGTCAATGTACACTTGTACTCTTCCGCAACTCTCAATTTCAAAACTTCTGAATCTACTGTGATGATCACGCAACGGACAGACTGGCCGTGGAATGGCGATGTCAACTTTGACGTACAGACTGATGGGCCCCCTGTTGATCTGCAGATACGACTGCGTATTCCAGACTGGGCGAAATCGTGGCAGGTAAGTTTATGAAGCGCCGCCGAAAACACACATTGCATATTTTTGAGGCTGATATCAATGGAAAAGATCGCGCCTTCCCCAGGTACACTTGATGTTCGAAACGGATACCTGTATCTGAGCGTTGAATGGTTACAAGCGCATCCTAACTTTCAACTATCCTGCCCTATGCAGCCACGAGTGGTCCGACCTCATCCTTTGACGCTGCAGCCGGTGGTCTATATCACACGGGGCCCCATTGTGTACTGCGTCGAAGATGTTGACAACCCATGGGAGCAGAGTCATTTCAAGGTAATATATTTGTCTTAGAAAAAACAATGTGAACATACAAAAATGCAATGAGCTAATTCAAAAAAAAAAACCCCCGCAGAACACGATTTTTGACCCCAGTGCACCCTTGCGAGAAGAGCCACGATCAAAGCCCGATGCCTATGTGGCCATTATCGCTGAGAATGGCTTTACGGGCTCGTTAGACACCTCAGATTGGATACGACGTATCGTGGCGGACTCTCAAAACCAAAACACACCAGAGGGACGAGACTTGTGCTTTATCCCATATTACCTGCGAGCGAATCGGGGTGGGAATGGACAGATGAGAGTCGGATTGAGGGGTAAGTAGCTCTTGAGTCTCTTCAGCCACAAGCTTATACATAGTGCTTTGACCCCTGAACGTTGTATACTGTATATTGCCAAAGTTCCCGAATAGGATATTCATACGGAGTATGTTGACAATTAATGATTCGTCGGGCAAGTTGTCGTATTCGGATTCGTATATCGAACTAAACTAGCTGGCCCCACCGAGGGTCAGTTCAGTCCAACAAAGTCCTCTGTAAGAAGCAATTTCCTTGGCATTTAGGCGTCCAGGGAAAAAGTGAATGAAAATGAATGAAAAAATCGATTTCTCACAGTTGACCAGCTCCAAATCGTTCCCAATGGTCCCCAACTTAGCCCTAGCTATATACCTGTACCGAGAGATTTGAGCTCCGTAGAGCTACATACGTATTTGAGCACCAAATTTAACGTTTATGGATGTGACCCTAAGATATACTAAGCACAACAAGGCGCCGGAGGATGAGCAATCAGACCCCGCCAAGAAAAAACCACCGGAATTCGTCTCGGATTCGTCCATGGGTTGAGGCTATAGGCAAATGACCATTAGTTGAATCAGGCTGTTTTGGAGCCCAGGGCACTGTCCACATTTAAACCATGATCATCCTCTTTAAGAAGAATAATACTCTTGGATCTTTATTAACTGTCTAGTCGGTGTTCTACCCTGCAACAATGCCTAGCGCTTCAGTCACCAATGGGTGGACCTTTACCAACGTTGGACCTTTGACCACTACTTTCACACCAGCTCCAACCTGTACCAATAATATTTATATTGGAACAACGAGCCCGGAAGCTCGCCTCGGCGCACGCGTGGAGTGTTCAACCTATGACGCTTCTGGATGTACGCCGTCAGGCATCATAACAGCTACGGGTGCTACTACCACATTTGACGTCAATTGGCCGTGGCAGGGATATTACTACTCTCCGGGTATTTATTGCCCTTCTGGATGGAACACAGTTGGTGTCGCTGCACGGGGTGCAAACAAGACCATGAGTTCGTCTGGGATTATGAGTATGAGTATGGGCGGGGAGGATTACGAGATCGGCGCGTTCATGTTAGCCGACATCCTGGATCCGAGCGAGACCCTTGCGCTATGTTGTCCAAGGTATGTTTGAAGCGACGCATTGACATATGAATCACAGCAATCGAAGTCTATGATATCTGATACAACTCAATAGTGGCATGAAAGGAGACTGGGGAATGGGTGCTTGTTGGTCTGCCATGCCAAACTACACCCCTACCTCAGCCTGTGAAGTGTATGAAGCTGCCGATAATTTCAAAACCATCACCAAGACATTTACCGATGCCACTACTACGGTCACAGACGAATTTGGAGTCGAGACCGCCTTAGTACCTACAAGTACCCGAATTATTACTCTCGCAGGAGACACCCAGTTTTCCAGCTTTGTCGCAATGTCTGCTGAGGCTATGGTTACTCTTGTGTACCAGAAGTCTGACATCGAAGCAGCCACAAGCACCGGGGCCGAAGCTGCTGCCACTAGCTCAAATGCCGCGGGAAGATTAAATGTAGCCCACCCTGCATTCGATGGATTGGGTATGATTGTCGGTGTTTGTATTTCTGCAATGGCCTTGGGTGCAGCAATCATGCTCCAATGATACTGTTCGCTGCATTAGGGATGATCTATGTAGTACCTAGTACTACTATATCCACAAAAGAAATTGGAATTTGGCACTGGAAGAAGCATCAATTGACGCTGATAATGATGTATACATCATCAAATTAGTAATGTCCATTGAGGAATGAATCGAAAGAAACATTGAAAATAAAGTAGAATGAAGAGTCTCCACTAAAGAAAGCATAATTCAGCAATTTGTGGCTGCTATGAATTTGACGCGATAAAACAAAAAGCGATGGAGAAGATCTATCTATACAGAGATTACAGACACAACTAGAGGCACAACTACAGGCGTCGATAAAGGGCGATCACGTGAATATCCCTTATCAAAATGTCGTCCTAATGCGGCTAGCGTTAATCGGCCGTCGCAGCTCTCTCCGCGAGCTTCGTCACATCCATTCATGCCGCTCTTGCAGATAAGCAATCCCTCTGAAATCTTTGGATTTATTCCATTCCAATCGTTATATTGAACTTCTGTTTGGATTTAAAGGCGATACTTTCAATCTTAGTCTTTAAATATTCTTTGAACGTGCCCCTCCCCACGTGTTTAATTCTACGGCCTCTTCACAGATTCGCAGTCATGGCGACCCAGGCAGCGCTGATCGCCGATACAATTACCGGGATGAAGAGGGCATTGCGAAGAGAACGAGATGGTTGGTCGAATTACCTGTGCTCTCTATTGAACCATGTTACTGATCTGTACACTCCCAGATACCGGCCCCGATGAGCCCATTATGCAGCCTACGAACCGCGGAAACAAAATGAAAGCAAACGCGAAACATGTTCGCGAGGGGGCTTTGGGATACATAAATACAGAAGAGTTCTATCGAGAGGTATGTTGTACATTGGGCCAGGCCCCGCCCACTTCTGGCGGGCTAGATGTGTGGCGATGTAAAAGACTCGAGAACTAATTCATACCCATGTTTTTGGACTTATAGAAAATTGAACATGCCGGATACACTCGTCATATTCTTCAACGCAATCCTACTCGCTATGATTCAGAAGGAGACGAGCTCGACGAAGAGGATGAAGATTCTGAGGCTGATACCGCGGCCGCCGAAGAGAACCCATTTTCAGGGATTGCGCTAGAAAGTCAGTGTTTCCGTCGTCTGATATATAATTTTCACCGCCGTATACTAACTTATGGATTGCAATAGCACTTTTATGTCCTCTGAAACACCCCTCTGAACTCCCAAACCACCCTTCGCTATCGCAACCATACACCTCACAGGCTCTAGAGCAGATGACAAGAGCAGTCGAGGAGAAGCTGCGCCAAGAACGCGCTCTTCTATGGCGAGCCCGAAATTTACACCAGAATTTTCTGGGAGACGGCGGATGGATGCCAGGTGGCATAGTTGAGGCTCCCGAGGACCGTTACATCTTTGAGCCCAGAAACGAAGAGAACTTCCAGGGCAGATCTTTGGGTCAACAGAAGACAAGTCAAATCAGTACGCCAACTACCAGTGGTGAACTGAACGGTGCGCCGAATGTCTCATCCACAAAAGACACACACCAAGCACAGAATGGCACGGAGAGTGGATTCCAGCCCGTGGAAAATGATCTGGAAATGGCCGAAGCATCAGGAGGCTCTGCAGAACAACCAACAGCCAATGCTGACTCTGAGAAACCAGATACTGATCTCAAATCAGAGGAAGCTGATGCCACCGTCAATGACCTCCCACCACATCCCAAAGGCGCAGATGAATCCACTCAAGTCAGCAATGGCATTCATATCAACAATACTGCCACCGACAACAAATCGGAAGAGATGGATATTTCTCTAGATGGCGAGAAGGCTAAAGCCGATACTGACCAGGCGGATCAGAAAGAAACACATGACGATATCGAACACGACGCGGAGATGCAAGATGGTTCTTCACCTGAGCCGCCTCGTCGTATGACTACGCGTGCCCAAGCCAATGCCACAAACTCTCAAGATGATGGTAATCGATCGCCCCTATCGTCAGTGGGTTCTGCCAGCAGCCTTCCTGCTCCACACCCGCTGTTTCTCATTCCACGCAATATTCGACCAGATGCAAATTTCGGCCTCCCTTCTTCGGAGGCTGAGGAGACTCGACGTCTTTTATGGTCTTACATCCAGAAACAGGAAGAGACTGTGCGTGGGTTCGAGCACATGCTTGACTCTTTATACCGAACTTGCCGTATGAAGGCCGATGTGCTAGAATGGTGTAAGGCCGAGGGTCATGTGGGTGAGATGAGCGATGGGGAAGATTGGTACGATCGGGAAAAATGGGGTTTAGCTGAGAGCGAGGATCTCAAGAAGGGAACTGATGAAGAGGACGTGGAGACGGTGGATGACAGCCGAACCACGGCGGCCAAAAGGGGCCGTGGGCGTCGAGCATAGTGGTGTACCACAATTTCTTCCTTGCCATCTCTCTTGTTTCATGTGGTCTCCTTCTTAGTCAATCATAGCGTGGTGTTGGTGGTATTTGGTCATTGCAGAGAACATCGCCTCTTGCCTTGTGCATTGAACCACATCGGTGTCAATATACCCCCCTTTTTTGGACAGTGTCAAATGTACATTGCCTCTTTCTTATATTCTCATATCTTGCTCCGTTTCCATCGTACTTCTTGATTTCTTTTCCTTTTATCTCTTCTTATGCTGGGGCCTAGGTGCCAGTAATGCACTTCCTATGCTAATAGAACTGTCATTTAATATAAAGACCTCATATAAGCCAAAAACTACTATCATAACACTCGCTTCTTTTCTGCTTGGAAAATATGGGGCCATATATACGCACACAAACTTGAACATGAATAACCTTCCTGTCATACATGTATAAGCAGGTTTTTGCTGTGCATTGTACCTCTGTACAGTACTACTACAGTCATTGTTTGGAAGTAAATAGACACATGAGGTCAGCGCAGATTGTAAATCATATCTTGGATTATTTTATAAGATAATTTTTTGTATTGACTTCTTATAATCTAAATATACTGGAACCACAACAATGTGTCTACCATATACTATTCTAAGCAATCGAAGAGTCGATAGGGTGAAAATAAGTCGCAATGGGTGGAGATTGTTCTTTTTGGTGTCGCATAAGGGAGAATCGAATATGTAGAAGAAAATGCCGGTGATAGTCGCTGTCGCTTGTCTGCTTGGGCATGGGTGCGGAAGCAGAGTCTATCTTCTACTTTTCCACAGCATCGTTGAAGATTTGGATGTGTCCATGTGCTGGGTTGTCAACTTGGACTGGGAAATGACCAGGTTCAGTCTTTATGTATCTCGGCCTTGCCGGATATTGTCATGCGCGGATTGTGGATGTTGAAAGTCCAAGCCAACCCTATTATACATGCAAGTCTTTACTGCCTCTTGCCGCCCTGCTTTTTGGCGCGCTCACGCTCACGCTTGGCATAAATCTCAGCAGTGAAAGGGCTGTTTTATACTTGTCAGTATGGCAGTGTAAATGGGGAGGGGGAATGGCGCGACTTACTCCTCCCACTGCAAAGCAAACCAGTACAGCACAAAGACCTCGGCGGTAAGTAACAATCCAGCAGCTTTGCCCTTCCACAGTGCAACGCCCAGGAAGTTCATGGTACTTCCCCAGTACATTGGCGAGCCAGTAACGTTGAATGGAAAGCCAGTGACAGGGGCATCCATGAGAATTCCAAAGTAATCACCCAGATAGGTGCCGGTCACACCAAGAGCCCACATACTCGAAAGAACCAGAACAGAGCCAGATGCAAACAGAATCCCCCCAATAATGGGTTGGTGCACGGGGGCGTAGAAAGGTTGCTCGTCCAAAGCGACCTGGTACACATGATCACGCACAATGCCTATAGCGAATATGGTAAAAGCGAGGAAGTAGCATCCCTTGTAAGGGCCCCCGAAAATGCGAGTCAAGATATGGTTGTTGTATTCTAGCCGTTGGTGTTAGTCTCGAGTGATGGTGGATACCGTGGTGATTTTGAGGGCCGAGTCGTCGACTTACCTGCTCGAGCAACAATGCTGCATGATATGATTAATACTCCGTCTAAAGTAATCTCTAGCGTGAGGTAGGTGAACTTACTTCCAGAAGATTGGGTTGAAAGCAATAGTGGCCGCAGAGACTGCAAGGGTCAGCTCCCGCATCACATGTCAAATGCGGAGAAAGCAGTAGAGTCGATCATCACGTAGTTACTTACCTAACAAGGCAGGAGAAGACAAGTTAACGAAGTTGGAGAGAGAAGCCATGATGTGGAGTTTCCCGGGAGAAGAAAAACCGCAGAGAAGACCAAAGAGGGGCAAGTACGAAGTCAAGGTGGGAGAAAGAGGAGGAGAAAGCGGCTTCCGTGGTCGATCGAAGCTGCAGGCTTAAGTAAACAAAGTGACGTTTTTCCCTCCCGGGTCACGGGACTTCAATGCATCGCGATTATATTCCATCTTACAACTTCAACGCTTCGCTAGATCTTTCTGTGACTCTTAATCTTTTTGCCTTCTGGTCAACTAGACCTTGGCGCAGAATAGGATAGCCATTCAGGTCACAGGTGTCATCTCCTCCCTCGAGTCGACCTCCTTATCGCACCGCCAATGATCCGTCCAGCTCCCACCTTCTAAGATCTGCGCCGATAGGCCGTCATGAGACGTGAAGCTCTCATGTCCGTTAGGGGAGAATGAACCTTCAGCGTCGAGATCTCATTATAGCCGGCATCGGTGGATTTATTGCCTGGGGCCTGGTGGTGCACTGGTTACCGATTCTCCGTTATCTTGGATATGCACTAGGTCTGGGGGTAGCATTGACTTGCGCCGGCTTTCTCTCGATACTTATACTCACGACCCGAAATCGCATCGAATTCCCCAATAACTCGAAAAGTGTGTCGGTCGCCTTCATTAGGCCAAACAACTGGCGAAAGGAGCTATTGAATGCGCGCAAGGCCACACAATACCGACCACGACCCCTCTATCCTCAGTCCTCCGTTGTATCCCAAGGAATCGATCAACTCTTGTCTTTGATCACTCGGGATTTTGTTTCGTCATGGTACCACAATATTAGTTCGACTGCCACATTCGCAAATGAAATCGATCAAGTGATTCGCGTTGCGCTGGAGAATTTTCGAGACAGACTACTGGCAGAAGATCTCATCTCATTGGTTGTATCTAGGATATTTCCCATTTTAACCTCCCACCTCAAAGAATTTGATGTTGCCGAGCGTTCAGTCCGCGGGCGTAATCTCAACCGCAACGTGACCGACTCCGAGGAGCTAGACTTGGCGATTGCGAACAAGTACCGCGAGGGCCGCCTTCATCCAGCAGTTGGTCTGGCCTCGGTTGACCAAAAAACTCTTCAGCAAGATTACTTGCGCAAGATTGCGACCACATTGCTTCCACAACTTTTCCCAGAGAGTGTGCTGAAAAGCAGAATCGTCTCTGTTCTAACCCGCGAAATTATATCATGTGCTGTTCTACTCCCAATAGCGACGGCATTGTCTGATCCTGATATATGGAACCAGTTAGTGGAAGCATATGGACGCACGGCTTTGCAAGACCGAAAGACGGTTCGTAAATTACGGGCTGCATTAGATGAACATGCATCGCCTACTCCCAAATCTAAGCACGGGCAGTCGTTCCCAAAGCTTTCGGCCCAGGATTCAGAACGAGCCTTTGAGCGCTTTGTCCGAGCTATCAGACGTTGTAACAATATTTCCGATGCTCGTCGGTTTCGGGCGCTTGTTTCCAGCCAGTTGAAAAGAGAAAGCATGGTTGAAGGACAAGACCAAGTCTACCTCAGACGCCTAGAGACAGGCAAAAGAGTCCTGGATCAAAAGGTCGCCAAGCTTTCTACGCCGGGCGAAACTTCACATATGCCACCTGTGGGAGCTAAGCATAAACGCCACGGTAGCTCTTCTGCAGCACATGAGTCTTCTCTGGTAGATGTGCTCCACAATGCTGCCGGCTTATCGTATTTCATGGAGTTCATGGATCGTCAAAACCTAATGCCTCTTGTTCAATTCTGGATTGTGGTTGATGGTTTTCGGAATCCCCTAGAAGATGATTTCGGGGACGAAACTGCGCCCACCGCAGTGACCTGGACGACCGCCGATAGAAATGATCTGGCGCTTCTCAGTGAGACATACCTTACAAAATCCGAGCTCAAGGTCTCCGACGACTCCCGTCGGGCAGTCAAAACATTCTTGAGTGCAGGAAAACGTGCAACTCCCGAGCAGTACCGTAAAGCTCGGATGGTGGTCTTGGCTACGCAGTCGGCAGTACTGGAGCGTATGCAAGCCGTTTATTATCCTAAATTCAAAGAATCGGACATTTATTGGAAATACATTGCGTCTGATGAAGCGTCGAGCTCTCAAGCGCCAGTGCGCGATCCATCTCCACCAGCGGTCCCGGTTGAGCCTCGGGAGCGACGTCCGCTCCCTCCTATTATCGTGCGAACAAACTCACAACAGGCTAACAGGCCGTCCAGGGATCTTCGCAGAGCAGCTGTTTCATCAAGCGATGTTCGCGGAATGGGCAAATTGTTTGATGACGATGACTCGCCACGACGATCTATAGACTCCGAACGATCTGCGCCTCTATTTGACGATGACTGCGACACCGATCAACTTGCGATGTCCACCCAAAGTCTGGGGAAGGACTCGCAAAATGGCGACAACGATGCAAATCAAAGTCATGTTCTTGAAACTATGGAAGCTGCTCTTAATGACATAATTATCAATGAACCAAAAAACAACCACGTAGAGGATTTGAAGGGCAGTGATCCTCCTTCCTCTTCTCTGCTTGAGATAGACCACGTGGAAAGTTCTCCTCGTGGCTCATCTGAGACCCCACGAATTGACGGGCGTCCGAATGACAAAGCAAAGAAAAGCATTGCTTCACTAGGACTAGTGGATCATTCATCTCGCCATGGAGTCTTCGACGATGATCTGTTTCCAGACCAGCAGAAATTCATCGAAGATGAGTATGAAGAGCCAGTGGGCGACGATGAAAAAGATCCAGCTGATGAAGTCCATGAAGCTGCCCCAGGTGACCTTGGTCTCACTGAAGCTATCGAGGTACTTTCTACCGAAATCGACAAATTATCAGCTCAAGATTCGGTGGTTGAGGCCTTGACACGAAAAGCAGAACTGACAAACAATATGGCCGAGTTGAGGATCTTACGCAAATCCAAAGCCAGCATTGAACGCGAAATGCATCGCAAAGAAATGCAGCGGCAACAATATATGATCCAGGAAAGTGATAACAGCCTTTACGGTCGGTCTACTGTGCGGATCAAGTCCCTTATGGTCGGCAAAGAGGAGGATGGGCGGGAATTTGCAATGTGTAAGAACCCTTCTGATACTATAACATATTATATTGTCTTTAAGTTTACTAACATGTACCCTCAGATGTCGTCGAGGTCCAGCGTAATGCTGGTGAGCAGATGCCCGCCGCTTCGTGGGCAGTTCCTCGTCGCTATAGTGAATTCCATGAGCTCCATCAGAAGCTGCGCATGAGCTATGCATCCGTGCGACATCTCGAATTTCCCAGACGGCGTATGGTAATGAAGCTTCAAAAAGAGTTTCTTCAAAAGCGACGCCAGGCCCTCGAAGCATACGTACAAAAATTGCTCCTCATGCCCGAAGTGTGCCGTAGCCGGGACTTGCGAGCCTTTTTGTCTCAGAGAGCCATATTGCCTCGACAAGAAGCCGATGCACGCAACAACGAAGCCGACACAAAGGATCTTGTCACCCGCATCTATAATTCAGTCGCCGATGGGATGGACGATTTTCTCGGCAACTTTGGCGTCCTAGATCAGCTATCTACAGCAGGTCAAAATTTGATATCAGCCGCAACGAACCAGGCGACCATCAACACCAATATCTCCCACGACCCTGCTCTCGCTACTGAAGATGCCGTAACAACCGCCGAAGCGGAAGCCGAGCTGAATGCATTCGAAGATCGTGAGCTCGAGCCTTTCATCAAGCCCATCTGCGACCTCTTCCTCGAGGCTTTTGAGTTGAATCGCGGAAATAACTGGTTACGCGGCCGTGCCGTTGTCGTCGTTCTCCATCAGCTTCTCGGCGGAACCATTGAACGCAAAGTCCGAGATGGCGCTCGCTCTTTTCTCCAACAAGACTCACTGATGCGATATATAAATCTAGGCAAAGAAAGTCTCTGGCCTGATGGTGTTCTGCGCAAATTTGTTCCTCGCACCGTAGCCGAACGGCACAAAAGCCGCACCGAAGCTACTGTTGTTTTAGCTACTCTAATCCCGGATTTGGCCGCTAATGTCGTTGGTCGTTCCAATGCTCAAGCAGCTGCACGTCGAATCTTCGCTACTCTCAACAATAAACCGCTTAATACCCACTTGGCTTTCACGATCCTTGACGAAATCGTCTTGGTTTTATTTGGCAGTCGGGAATCCATTCGCGCCCGCTGACCTACCTACCTCTATTTTTTCTTATATTACACGACCTGTTTATGACACGCTTGATCTATTCTATTTTGATTTCCTCTCGGGTAGTTTAGCCACCATTGTTAGCCTATTGTTCGTTCTATTTTCTTCCTTTTTCTTCCTTTTTCTGTGCTGGGATTTGCATCTGTTGTGAATGTTCATATTAATGTACATATCAAGAATAATGATCGGAATGTCTACTATACAAAGTCTTTACTCTCCTGCTTCTCAAAAATTTGTATTTTTTTCTCAGAAATAGAGGAGTTTGCTATTTTCATCCCCAAAATCAACAGGATCAACTAAAAGGGTGCTAAGACGCGGGTTGTGGGCCAAAGTGGATACACTTTGTCTACACTAGCGCGATGCCCACTCCGACGTCAAGTGTATACCAACTACAACTATAGCCCCACACTTACAAGACAAGCAAAACCCATTGGATATTAATTGATTGGACTCTCTGAGTGAAGAAAAAAAAAGAATGAAAAGATGACACAGAATATACCCGATCATCGAACCCCACTCAGATCCAAGGAGGATAAGTAAATCAACTCCTGTTAAAAGCTGCTAAAGACCGGCAAGATAGTAGGGGAGACAAGAGAGGGGAGGAAATACAAGACAGCAAGATACATCACAAAAGGCTCAATTTCCACCTGCGCCCTTCTTAACTCTTGTTTCTACATCCCGAAAGCAGGAGAAACACGCAATTTAGAGCAGTCGATTGAACTTGCGTAGTGTAAGATAAGAGAAAGGCTAACCGTGAGATCATAGGGGAAAAGAAGAAGAAAATTCCGCAGCAGGGATAGATAGAAGAGGGGGTGAACCCTTGTCGTTTCATCGATTGTAAATAGGGGAGCATCAACGAGCAGAAATTTCAGAAGATAAGAATGGGGGTTTGCCCTCGCGGAGGGTCTCACAGAGACGCGGAGGAGGGGAGGGGAATGTGGTGAAACACAGGGCTGATTTATGCAGCCTCGTCCTTCTTCTTCTTTTTGGACTTCTTGCTATTATCCCCTGGTGTTTGTTGGGCGGTGCTGACGTTTGATTGATGTACGATGAATCTTGTCCAGCACTCCTCTTTATCCCACTCGAAGCCAGCGAGGTAGGGTTTCTCCATTTCGTCGTCCGCCTATTATCAATCAGTCATGTGTCCAGATATCCGAAGTGATCGATGATAGATGATGATAAGGAAGACAAACCTTCTTTTTGAACTGTTTGTAGATGGCGTCTAAGGCGTCCTTGATTGTGACACCCTTGAGATTTCGGGCGGTAACCTCGAGGCCCAAGGGGAAATGTAGGTCAATCTTCTTGACTGGCGGGTCGGTGAGTTTGAGTTTGAGGATATCTTTATCCTCAATTGTGTTGGGGGAGGTGTTGAGTTTCCTGGGAAATGTTAGTGAAGAGAATACAGGCAGCGACTCAGAACCACTGACCATCCGGTCTTTTGGGTTTCGATGGGCAGAGCGATTTCAATTTGCTTCTCTTCTATTCAGATGTTAGTAAATTGATTTCGTGCTAGTTATTTTTCAGTATCAACCGGGAAAGAGAATATGTACCTAGGTCCTTGATGTTCCAGACATCATCCGCCTGAGAAGACAGTCGCCTGTTCTTCTTGTCTTTCTTGACCTCAGTTTCCGTATGAGATGCAGGCTTCTCATCTGATATACTCAATCCAGCGATGGCAGAATCAACTTTGGTTAAAGGAACAGACATGATTGGGGATGGAAGCAGAGCAATAGAGATCAGTATGTGTGATGGTGATGAGAGAGGAAGAGGAAAGAAGGGAAGAGGAAGAAGAAGGGGAAGAGGGGAAATGGGCAGGTGACCAGAGGGAGCGGGGGTTTGCAAGGTTGTGAGTCTAACATGTCATTCCATATAATTGAGACCAGCCGATCTTGTACTTGTCATTGTCTCTGGGATCTTCGGTTGGTATTACTTTGTTATCTCAAGTCAAATGTGGAATGATAATCAGATTCCATCTATGAATACCTCGTGTTCCTGATTCCCTTTTTTTTTCCTTTTCCCTTTTTCTCCTGTCCAAATCCTGTTCAATTCACCATGGAAATGAGACTCTGGAATGTCCATCCCAAGTACCAACGGCATCCCCGGATCACACGAGCAACTGACATCAGGGGGGCGGAAGTGGGCCAATCCAGGTGCTGCACCCCGCATTCTACTACTCCACTCGACTTTATTTAGGATCGACGAGGACTTGTGCAATTGACCCTATTCATTTGATGGTCATTCATTATCGAATACTAAAGAACAGTCAGAATTAAAAGAACCTTTTCCTATGACTCAATTAATTCCCTGAAACTGGAATGACTCTTCTTCTTCTTTAACGTTGTGAAACACCCGGACCATGGATCACCTGACTTTCCCTCCGATCAGCCCATTGTAGCTGTACATCGCATGTATGTGTACAACTACATGATCGATTCATTTCTGTCCTGTCATGGTCCGGGTCTAAATAACCCTAAATGACTGGTCTCCACGTCGCTTCGTTTGCCATCGACAGCATACATCATGAGCTCGGCTGTGACGATCTTCTACATCGGAGTGGATCCCTAGTTCCCCACTTGGGCTAACAGAGGTCCGAGCAATGTATACAGTACTTAGAAAGAATGCATCACCACACCCATGAGAGTCTTCTGCCTTTTTCTCCTTCTCTTTTTTCTTGAAGGCAGTTTTGTCTTGCTAATCATAGTGGTATGAGAATTATTCATATTTTGAGTGTGAAACGAATACCAGATACGAAGAAAGAATCGCAGTTGACAATTCCAGTAGTCTATGATAACCCAACCTTGTAAAGCGTCGTATACCTAGCTTCCTTCGACGCAATAGTGTCATTGCATCATAAAACTATCGATTACCACAACTTGTCGAGCAGATATCTCTTATTGCTGAAACATTGAACTTATTTCCCTTTGTTTAATCACCCAAAGATATCTCCAGATACCATGGCCATACCAGGTTGACACTCTAACCAACTGGGCCATGGGACCGGACAGTTAGAGTAGCAAAAGTTTCTGTATCCATAAGGCAAATATTGATAAGTTAATATTTAAAGTATATTAGCCTGCAAATTATCACTTAGAAGACATGTCATACACGACAACCCTTATCTAATTTCTTTAATCCTCGAACAGTACGGCCCGGGTACAAACATTTCAATCATTTTACTTATAATATTGGCATTTACCCCTCAATGTTACCGATCGGCAGCTCAAAGCTATCACGAGAGAACTGCGCTCTAAAATAACTAGGAGCGATGATTTGACATACCCAGAAGTATATGCATGCCGGCCACCATATACCTGAGTACACTAAGTGATGACTATGTAGTTGCAGCTCTGAAGATAGTAACCATACTCCCCATAACAAATACAAATAAAACACCCAAGCAATCAATATACGCTCTTTTCTCTTCAAAGATCTCTTCATACAACCTTCGCTTACATTTTCACCTTGATTTTGCTCATCCTAGGAAAATAACCAAATAGGAAGGCGGTAGAAGCTGTTTTCTGCCACCACGTCGCGCATCCCAAGACGTTCGAGTTCCGCGCAGTCACTTTTTCCAGCTCTAGCACGCGGCTCTCAGCAACCTTGCTTCTCCCTCTCTCCACATCTCCCCCCGTTCAATATTCGGGTGCGGCAAGCTTTGAAAGAACACCACTGATTCTTTCCATCACCACTACTCCTTTCATCATCCACCTCCACACCACCGCATACAAGAGCTTGTCCTCTTACACTCTTTCCGATGTCCCTCTTTGGCTCTGCTGCTCCGGCAGCCACAACAGCCGGCCAAACCAACACTACCGGTGATATCTCGAAGGATGTCACGGTCAGCCAGCCTCCTGAGGACAGTATCTCTGATCTTCGATTCTCGCCTACCTCAGACCATCTCGCTGTCGCATCATGGGACAACAAAGTCCGCATCTATGAAATTGGCGGCAACGGCCAAAGTGAAGGAAAGGCAATGTTGAACATGGATGGCCCTGTCATGAATTGCTGCTGGTCTCCGGTATGTATCCTTGCTTCATGAGCTTTTCTTTTTCTGTCTGTTCTCTTCCATTTCCCACTTTTCATTGCCTCAAGCTTTTTCCACTCGCCCCTTCAAGATGTATGTACAAATGAACAAGCTAACATCTCGTTCTCCAGGATGGATCCAAGGTCGTCGGCGTAGGTGCTGACAACATGGCCAAAATGCTCGACCTCGGAGCTGGTAGCACTACCCCAGTACCAGTCGCCAAACACGATGCCCCCATTCGAGCCTGCCATATGTTCCCCAATCCATCCGTAGGAGGTTCACCACTCCTGGTAACTGGCTCATGGGACAAGACCGTCAAATACTGGGATCTGCGACAACAGAACCCCATCGCCAATATCGATTGTCAGGAACGTGTATACACAATGGATGTCAAGAACAAGCTCCTAGTCATCGGCACGGCTGACCGTTACATCAACATCGTGAACCTCGACAACCCTACCAAATTCTACAAGACCATGCAATCCCCCCTCAAGTGGCAGACGCGGGTAGTCAGCTGCTTCGCCGATGCCACCGGATTCGCAGTGGGTAGTATCGAAGGCCGTTGCGCCATCCAGTACGTCGAAGAAAAGGATTCTGCCTCCAATTTCTCCTTCAAGTGTCACCGTGAGAACCCTACAAATCGCGACCTCTGCAACATCTACTCGGTCAACTCTATCTGTTTCCACCCCGTGCATGGCACCTTCAGCACCGCCGGAAGCGATGGTACTTTCCACTTCTGGGACAAGGACGCCAAGCACCGCCTCAAGGGCTACCCAATGGTTGGAGGCCCGATCTCCAGCACTGCCTTCAACCGCGACGGTAGTATCTTTGCTTACTCCATCAGCTATGACTGGAGTAAGGGCTACGCTTCCAATACCCAGGGCGCCCAGAATAAGATCATGCTTCATCCTGTGGGCCCAGATGAGACTAAGCCTCGACCGCCCACTCGGAAGCGATAGATGAAATCTCAAAAAGGAAGAGAGAGAAAGGGGAGAGGACGGGCTTGCCTCCCGGTACCTTCGTGGAGCGATTGGCGCTATGAGCATTTAATGAAACTTTTTCCCTATCATATCGGCGCATGTATTTTTTTAAACCCGAATTGCAAATGGGATCGGCTGAAATCTACTTAGCTTGCGTGGCCTGCTGCGGCTTTTTTTTTATCGTTTACTCTAGATAGAAATAAAAAGATTTACCACTATGGTTTCTTTCGGTGTGTACTTGGAGGGTTCAAGTTGATAGTGAACTATCGCGTACATGTAGGCTACAAACGAAAAAATCGTTCTATTTCTTTCTTTCACTTCTCCTATCTAGGATGTAGGGAGCGAGACCTGAGCAACACCATCCGTGACCTTCTGCACGGCATCTTCAGATCCCTCCGCAACAGCGCTAGCAGACTCAGCACCGCCCTTAGCAGTAGCCTCAACACCAGTAGCACCCTTGGCCTTCTTCTCCTTCTTCTTAGCCTTGGCAGCGGCCTTCTTAGCAGCAAGCTTAGCAGCATCCTCTGCCTTCTGAGCTCGCTCAGCCTGGGAACCACCGAACAGCTCACGCCATTCATCAGCCTTCTTGGGGTCAATTCGGGAGAAGAGGTACTTGGCCTTGCCAATTTGGTGGCCTGGCTTGATGCTTTCGCCCTTCCATCCACCGTTGTTGACACTCTCCAGACTTGGGATCAATAGAGCAGGAACATTCAACTGTTCGAGGATGGATACGGAAGTCGCAGGCATGTAGGGGGAGAACACAGCAGCGAGCAGGTGAATCAGGTTAACGACAGCTCCGACAACGGCAGCAGCAAGCTCGGGCTCGTTGGCAATCAGGGCATTGTCCAGACGGTTTGCCTGGATGAGACCGTTACCAGCCTCAGCGATACGCATAGCAGTAACGACACCAGCACGAAGGTGGACGCTCTCCATCTCTTCGATATATTGGCGGAGGTGAGTGTTGACCTCCTCAAAGAAGGGATTGAAGCTCTCTGGGTAGGTAAACTCTGGGATGACGGAACCGTAGGAAGCAGCAACAAGCTTAACAACTCGGTTGACGAGGTTACCCAGCTTGGCTAGCAGCTCACTGTTGTTGGCATCAACGAATGTACGCCATTCAAAGAAGGTGTCTCCGGTCTCTGGGCGGTTCTTCAGCAGGTAGTAACGCCAGACATCAGCAGGCACACCAGTCTCCTTAGCGCTGTTACCGAAAACACCAATTCCTCGGGACTTGCTGAACTTGCCGCCCTCATATTGTAGGTATTCAGTAGCGCTCAGATGGTGGTTCATAGTCCAACGGTCACGGGTACCGATCTGGGTAGCGGGGAAGATAACACTGTGGAAAGGCACGTTGTCCTTACCCAGGAATTGGTAGAGTTGTACGTTCTCAGGGTTGCGCCACCAAAGCTCCCAGTTATCAGTGTAGTTGGCAGTAATGGAAGGGTATCCGATACAAGCCTCAAACCACACATAGAGCACCTTAGTATCAAAGCCCTCCAGTGGAACAGGAACACCCCACTTCAGGTCACGAGTAATACCACGGTCCTTCAATCCCTCCTTCAACCAGGATTCAGTGATAACACGGGAGTTCTTAGGCCAGTCGCCCTTGGAAATTGATCCGTGTGCCCACTTCTCGACCTCCGGTTGAAGTTTGTCTAGCAGCAAATGGATATGTTTCGTATCGCGCAGCACCGGAGTAGCTCCGTCGAGCTTGCAACGAGGCTTAATAAGGTCGAAGGGGTCGAGAAGGTTTCCGCACTTGTCGCACTGGTCTCCACGCGCATCCTCGTAGTGGCAACGGGGGCATTCACCCTCGACATATCGATCCGCCAAGAAGGAACCGTGCTGTTCACAGAATGGCTGCTGGGCAGTACGCTCAGCCAGGAATCCGTTCTCATGCAGACGCTTGAAGATAGCCTGAGAGATCTCTGTGTGTTTTTGGGTAGGGGTACGACCGAAGTGGTCGAATCCAATGTTGAACCATTCATAGACTTCCTGGTGAATCTTGTTGTACTTGGCGCAAAGCTCCTCCGGAGTCACTTTCTCCTCCAATGCCTTTGTCTCCGTCGCTGTGCCATACTCGTCGGTTCCGCAAATGTATAAAGTTCGGTGACCAGAAGCTTTGTGGTATCTATTCCGAGGGATTAGTTATTAGCTTCCTTCACGACTCCATTGGTGGGGTCATGCGCTTGACTCATACCTCGAGAAGACATCGGCACTCAAGACAGAGCCGATAACGTTGCCCAGATGAGGCACATTGTTCACGTATGGCAGTGCGCTAGTGATGAGAATATTGCGCTCGCCATCCTTTGGCAAGATTGGTTCTGAAGCCATATTGTGGTATGAAGATGGGTGTGATGGAGGGGAAAGCGGAAAATCGAAAAAAAGCGGGCTTTATCAGCTCGTGACACCCGCCCCGCATATCAAAAATTCCTTTGAATCCAATTTTTGACTCATAGATTTTCAACTACTACCCCTTACTTGCGATCTGAATTGGATTAGTCTATATAAAGCCATGGACTCAAATATCTTGGACAGCCTCCTTGATTTGGAGGAGCAATTCTACAATGAAGGCTACAAGTTGGGCGTCGCCGATGGCGCCGAAGCGGGCTACACGGAAGGCAGCGTCTTCGCCGTGGAAAACGGCTTCGAGAAATTTGTGGAGATGGGCCGGCTGTATGGCAAGGCCCTTGTCTGGGCACAGCGACTGGCCGAAAGCAAACCAGATGAAACAACTGGACTGATGCCACATCAAGTCAAACAAGAAGATACCTTATCGCTTGACCCATCGATATGCAATGCTATGCCGAAAATCCCAGCACACAGCACTCGTCTGACAAGAAACCTTGCCACATTACTGGAGCTGGTGGATCCAGCCACTCTAGACATGAGAAACACCGAGGAGGCCGTCAACGATGTCGACGAGCGTTTGAGAGGTGCTGCAGTGAAAGCCAAGCTTATCCAACGAGCTATGGGCGAAAGCGAAGAACCATTGAGTGCCCGATCCACTGCCAAGGATTTCACAAAGCCAGGAGATGGAACGGGCAGTATTGAAGACATTAGTTCATTGAGCTTTCGTCATTGAACAAGGCTATCTACATATGCAAAGCTGCTGGAATGCCAGCGCCCATCCACCGCATGTTGCCATTGGCACATCACACCCAAAAGTTCCGGAAGGATTCGCATACTCAACAGTCTTGGGCAGCAAGAACATTCACGACACAAATCTTTCCGAAGGCGACACAAATCTCTGGCCAATTGCAGCGCCCATTGGCCCAAGCTGACGGTAACTGCCCGTCATATCTATTCGCCTTAATGCGCCAGCATGACAGGCACGCTGTTCAGGCCGTTGATCAATGTTTGCTGGAGCGACAGACAATCTGCCGTCTTCTCAGTCGCCTTGTAAGATATCTGCAAGAATTGTCTGCCTCAAAAAATGTGTTAGCAAAGCATGTTCATGAACTGTGACCGATTATATATTACAAATTGGAACGATAGTGCTTCCAGTCGAATGTGGCTACTAGAATAGCCACACGAAGGAAACGTCTTCTGAACAAATCCAATAAGTTTTAGTTTATACAATATCAGCAATTTCCCGATATACAGAGAGGAATCTTAAAAGTTGCAGACAGAGCCCAAGTGTAATTTAGTAAAATTCGCTCTAATGCAATCTTCCAATTGTAATAAAAACTGGGAGTTCGTTCTTTTTGGTTGGTACGATCACTATAAAGTCCATTCCATATCATAACAACAATCATTATAACTTTTTTATATTTTGTATCCGTTTCAAAGTCATTTCAAAACTATTACTCCAAGCCACGAATAGCCATAGCCATAGCACCCTCCTTAGTTTTATGGCCACCAATGAATCCACTAGCGTGAACGAAGATAGCGCCCTCGGGAATCTTCTCACGGCCAGCCTTCTCAGCCTCCGCAGCCATCACACTATCCAAGTCCTGGTCGCGAACACCGCGCCAGCTCTCGGGAAGAGGCTTACGAGAGACAAAGCTACCCTCAGATTCGGAAACGCACTGCACACGCCACTTAGAGTCCTCAGCAGCACTCTCAGGGTACAAAACATAGTAAACCTGAGCACCACCGGTGGTATCGTTGCTCTCAAAGTTGTACAGGTGCTCCTTCCATGGGACACCGCCCTGAGGGAAGACAATAATGCGACCAGAGGAGTGGACCTCGGTACGAGCCTGGTACGCAGTGCCGACGGTAGTACGGGCTGGCAACCAAGAGTTACAGGCGTGGTGTAGCTTGCGAGCGAAAACGTTACCGATGAGGGTGCTGGCTCGGCCGAACAGACTGTCCTCGTCCTGGGGCTCGCCGGCAGGGCTAGTAGGGTCTGGGTTGTTCATGTCGCCGACGATAGAGGCAAGAGTGACGCCACCATCTTTGAAGCGCTTCTCCAGATTGGCAGCTGAGATTGCGGCGGGATCGTAGGCGGAGATACCGTTGTCGTTGGCATCGATAGCTTCGATGAAGTCTGTGTAGAGCTTCTCATACAGCAAGTCGACATCCGGGTGTTCCTGGGGTTGGGACAGATACTGGGCAATGATAGCACGGCCGAAGTGCATGTAAACCAGGCCCGCAGACGAGAGCTTGGTGTTGTGCTGCGGGAAGGTAGTGTCGAAGGTACGTTGGTGGTGGTCATAACGGTTGGTCTCAGCATCGTACACACCACCCACGTCAACCACGGTGTGGCAAGTCTCCAGCTGGGCTGGGTCGCGACTGCGGATTAGCGGGGAGGAAGCATAGGCGGGCAGCAGGCGGAGCATGTAGACTGCTAAAGCCTCATCCGCATGGAAGTGACCACTAATTTGGAGCTTGTTAGTCCCAGGTTCTTTATGGGAAGAAAGGAATTTATTTAGCCAATGGGATGACAAACTTATGGGTTCCAATCACGGGAGATGTCTTGAGCTTCTTTGCCACGTTTTCAGCCATTTTGAAGAATCGATGGAATCGTAGCATGTACAAGAGAATGCGATTATGATTTGCTTCGATCTGGCTGGTCCAGCTTATCAGCGGGGTGGTCCATATCGGGAAATAAGGGCCCTGCAATAGGGCTGTCTAGGTCATGTGACAGAAATGAATACGGGGTTAGTCATCATCTTTACTCTGGAGAATCCCAAAGTGACAAACTTAGAGGCATGTTCTAAATCTCTGATGTTGTGGGCTTCTTATACTGCTATTACTGAATTTGAGAAGATATTAGCAAACCTCATTGTGCTCTGAAGCCTTTGGACCATATTTGCCGCTGACGAAAGTACGATTTCTTCCGAAGAGCAGTATTAACCGGAAATTCAAACTAGGTACACCCAAGTCAATGATCAACGTAACACAATTCTAAGTCTTGTCATATGGTCGGAATGCGGGAGTCTATAAGACTGAGAAGAGCCTCCATTTGTCTCAAATGAGAGGTTTTGCTGTCTCCTAAAGGACCCATTACCAAGGTACTAACAGCCACAAGCCAAAGTTTAGCCCCCGCTCGGCTTAGTTCCCCACTTCCCCAGGTTTTATTTCCCCAGACTTGTAGCTCGTGACTCGGACCAGCTAATCCATTGTAGGACTAAGAATACGAGTATCCCCGCAGTTGAAGTCAGGAAGGAGACAAGAATTTTTCCTATTCCCACTTAACCTGATCTAGTATCAGACAATCATGTCCAATATGCGCTTCCAAGTGCGTTTTTCTTGGCTTGGATCGACGGGTATTTCGATCTCCCCCTCCAAAAGGCGTCCTGACCAAATATCCATTTCCGAGGCAGAAACAAACTGCGACAATTAGTCCTAAATGCTGAATAAAAACAGTGGAGCAATAAAGATCACTTACTTTCGTGCGATGCCATACCTTCCAGGCAATAAGAGGCACAACAAAAATCGGAATCCCAATGTATGAAGATATGAAGGTTTGCGTAGACCAGTGACCTTTAATGAAGACGGAGAATCCGGTAATGAGTAGAATAACAGTGGCTCCGATAGCGCCAAACCAAGCTATATACGGTTGAAATGGCGATTTCCAAGGAAGAGTATCCCGGCTGACGTTTTGAGCTTTAAGCCCGGCGTAGAAGCGAATATAGCAAACACAAAGAATGGCCCATGCTATCAATCCTGCCATAGTTCCCAGGCTTTGGAGCCATGCAAAGGCTTGCGATGCTCCTCCAGTGCCGACACCTGCGGAGGTCAGCTCTAGTCTGAGTATGAGCAAAAGAGAAACTCACTCAGGTATGCTAGAGGTCCGAATAACCAAGACGTAATCACAGCAACATAAGGTACTCCCTTCTTAGTGACCTTTCCAAAGAACTGAGGTAGATGCCGGTCTGTAGTCATGGCTAGAATCATTCGAGAACCGACCCAGCAGTATGAATTGCCCGCAGACCAAGCGGAGACCAAGATACACGCATTGACAATAGATGGCAAGATATTGATTCCGGCAGACTTTATAGCAATAACAAATGGCGACGCATTTGCATTGTAGGAGCCAGCTGTAAGATCTGGATTTCTGGGATCGACGATTAATCCGATCAAAAAGGCCCCGAGGATGTAGAAGAATGCGATGCGGTAAGTGATATAGCGAGCTGCCTTGGGAATTGCATAATGAGGATTTACCGACTCGCCAGCAGTAATGACAACAGTTTCGATACCAATATAGGTAAATGCAGCATTAACAAAGGATGATAAAAAACCTAAAAAGTGGCCCTTTGGCCCAGTAATGCCATCGTAATTCGTCCATGCGCCGGGGTCATGCCAGTAGCGAAAGCCTATATTATCCCGAGCAGTGATGACGATAGACACGAAAATTAATCCAATGAAACAAGTAACTTTCACAGCACCTCCAATGACCTCTGAGTCTCCATAAAAGCGGACACTCATCAAATTGATAGAAAGGATCAAAACAAGGCTGACAGTCACAACTACAGCAGGCGAGATATCTGACCAGAAGGACACGATGATTGCAGCAGCAGAAGTTTCAGTGGCTATAGCGATAGTAAAGCAATAACCATATGAGATTGCCAGTGAGAATCCCACTGCTGGGTCAATGAAGCGAGTAGCCCAGTGAGGGAAAGATCCGGCTGTAGGGAATAGAGTTGCCAGTTCAGCAATACTTTGCATAACACACCATAAAACCATTCCTACTATGAAATAAGAAAGGAAGAGCCCAGCCGGTCCAGCCTTTGTATATGCAGAGCCAGTTCCAATAAATAAACCAGTGCCAATTCCACTGCAAAATCCTATCATGGTCACTTGGTAGTTTCTCAAGCGACGTTGAGTGGCACCTCGACCACCATGATTCAGCTCGAGGGCCATTTTCCCTTCATGTGTGACATCTCCCACGGCAAAATCAGCCATGGTGTCTGGCTGAATATCATCAGCTGAGTTAGTTTCTGGTTTCTTCATCTTGCATTTCTGATTTTGAGTTCGGTGTGCTGATGAAGAGAAGAATGGGAATTTATAGGAATCTTCTGCAGCGGATTATACTCCGAAGACACACCCGGATCACACTGCTGTTTTAATCATTTAGACCCAACTACACTAGCCATGTCGGCTCTACAAAGCCCCGGACCTGTGAGCGGATAATAATGAGCTTTGGAGATTCAAGTTCCGGGACATGCGGGGTAAAGGTAGTTGAAAGGGCTAGTTATCTCTGATTCCGCGCTATTCGACGGGCCAGAGATACGAGTATAGATAGTTCGAGGGCCCAAGCTGAAAGGCTATTGGAGGGCTACTTATCAGCTTTGGTGAATTTGAACAAAGTTTCCGCTACCAGTTCTCTGGGGCCATGATCTGTGGGTATAGTCGAGGACTTTGAAGTGGTCATGATGCCTTTTGGAGATTAGCATCGGCAAGGCCTCCGAGGCGAATTGGCTGTCTATATGTGGATGCGGGGAATAGCTTGGCTGAAATATTAATGCATGGAGATATAAGCTTTAATACAAATTAGTACTTATGATCGGGCTTGGTGATGGAATTGGCATGGCTGCTTGAACTTTTGTGTTGAGTTTGGATCGAAGTGACTTGTTGGTTTGAATTTCTTTTCTGGACAGGAGAGACATGACCGTCCCCTTATAAATTCAGACGCAGACTGGATATCTCTATACCCCTGATCTCCTATTTGACAGAGGTCCCGCTCGTCATAATATTTCCGCTATCGAGGCTCACACGCTTGGTCGTAGGTGCTGCCTGTCCGCCACTACTCACGGTGCTAGCTGTGTCATCGTTGGCATATTTGCAATCATATCCGTAGCTCGTGCATGTGCCACATGGGTATTCTGCGTCGCACTTTCTCTTGCGTTGGTGGCAGGGGATGCATGCCTTCTTCGCGCGCTTGCGTTTGGCAATCATCATTGACATGATTGTCTGTTCCTAAGGGAGTCAGTGCCTCGAGACCATCACCTAACAGAGTACAACTGCTCTATTTGTTTCTTTGGCGGTTATCTCACGGCATTGATGGTTTGCTTTGTTATTCTTGAGTGGTGATGGGGGCCAAGTTAGAAGGGACACTGAGTGGCGCTACCCTAATTAGTGAATTACCTGCGAGCCTTGCCTTGACAGACTATCTTCATTTGCAAGTAGGCTGGGTCATTAAGTCAAATCAATAGATTTGTTTTATTGAATGTCTCATTATCGAGTAAAATCAAGATAAACCCATGGTTGCTGGATCCCTACCCGCTAGAAAGAAAGATTCTGAAGTAAATGTACGTCTTCCAGGAGAGAGATACTGGGGTATATAAGGCCAGGGTGGTGGCGTACTAATTGTAGTACTAGTGGAGGAGACTTGAAGAACGGCCAATCATAATCGATGGATTCGGTAGAAGATTACTAAGGGCTAGATCTAGGTAACTAAGTTAACTAATTAATATATACTATACAGTTAGTAAGTAGGGTGCCATTATTATGTTCAAACTTGAACCCCACATCTGCACAATGGAACTTCCCCTGCAATACCATCTCCCTCGTTAAAAATAACAAACTTGAACAACTTCTAAGCTTTATAAACTGAACACAGATAGTAGTAATATATATTGATGTCAGCTCTATATCATAGACACCGTTTTGACTGTCCTTTATAACCATCATTATCATTTACTCCTGGCCCACATTCCACTCACATACATAACATACCATCCCGCCTCGGCAGTTGGTATTTATGCGAGTTTAGATCAGGTCGATATAGCCCAATGCTGCAGAGCAAATATACTAAGTATATTGAATTCTACTACTTCTTTCAGCTTCTTTTAAAATAGAACTTTATTCTCTCTGTCTCTTATACTATTCCTCTTCATCTTCCTTATTACGAGATTCTGCTCGATGATGGCGCTCTGACCGCCAGTCGAGACTCCCTTAGCACGACACACATAGAAGCAAATCGCGCTTGATTCTTCAGCAACAAAAAAAACCTCATTGACATTCAAGTTTGTTTGAATCTTCTCTTTGTCTATAGACCTCTCTTTTGATTTTTATTCTTTTTTTATTCTCTAATTTTTAACACACAAGGGTTATACACCCTTCAATTTATCTCAAAGCCCACGTGAAATCCAGAGATAAGCTCGAAAAGGGAAAAAAAGAGAAAAAATAAAATAATACAAAAACAGCCCGCTCGTGTGCCTCTTCAACTCCCCCCTCTCTTCCCTTCACCTTCTGCAACTCACTCCAACAGCCAATCTCTCCGCCCTCGTGCGCCCCTACCCCCCGAATGTGGCTATTCCGGGTCTTCTCGTCGGCCATCTTCCTCGCCGTCACCGTCTCCTCCATCCCGCTGGCCTTTGACGTGGGAGGGAAGACGTGTGGTCTGGCCTTTTCCCTATCCCTAGCGACCTTCTACTTCCTCTTTTCACTATTGCGCCTCACCACCCCGGATCGCTCATGGGTTCGCGCGTCAATCGTCACTCTCGTTCGCTCCACACAATGGATTCTGATCCCGATTCTGTTAATTTGGTCCCTGAATCGCTTTTCTGTCGACCCGGATAATGCCAGTGGATGGGTAGAGCGCACCTTTACCGGAAATCACGCCCAGGATGGTTCTATTCAGGAATGGCTCTTTGGTCGGGGTGGCTTGGTCGAATCAGCGACTCTAGGGAACTGGGATCGACTTCTGCGATGGTCTACACCCGTGTTCCAGTTGGCAGAGGGGTTCTGCAGTCTTTTGGTTATCCAAGCTGCAGGCCAAATCACCCGATGGCTTGTGAATCGTGGCGGGCGCAGCGATAGCTGGATGGTATGTAATTTCACTTTGTTCTCTCCCTTTTGGCTGTTCTCACAAAATTTTAACCTGAATCCGAACAGATCGGTCTCCTCGTTCTATCCGCGACTATCATCTCCAGCTCCGTATATTTCCTTTGGCGCGTCCTTCAGTTCCCTGAGATCTCCAACGTGGATGCGGCCCTCATCGGTGTCTCTATCACTTGCGCGGTCATTCTGTGTGCTTGGGGTATTGGTAGCGGGCGCGGAAATCCAGTAGAGAGCTCTTTGCTTTTCGCCTACATTGTTCTCTGCATCTACCAGATCTTTACTGACTACCAGCCCTCATACCCTCTGGAGCAAGTCCCGTCTCCTACACAAGCTGGCGATTTTCCCCCGCTTCCACCGATTCTCATGGCGTCGTACTCCACACTCATGCACGCTCTATCGCTCCTCCCCTCGATCATCCATGCAGCTTTCAATGTGATCACCGCTGTCTTCAGTGCCGTCACTCCCTCGGTTCTGATCTCGCTCTCTTATCGACTGCTTGTTCTGTATGCATCAACACGGATCATCCCCGCGGTACGAGAATCTGGAGCCCGTGCGTTGTCGCAGGAGGCTTCTCTTGAGGACTCAGATGCAGCTGGTCAGGCCCTTGCGTTTTTGAGCTATTTCTCTCCGTCCATTCTCATTGCCGTCTACACCAGTCTCCTGATGCAGCATTTCTCAACCACCTCACAAGCAATGGGAGGAGACGGCGAGTGGTGGGATGTTCAAGGTATTGAAGGGGGCAACCTTTGGCGATGGATCAATCTAGCCTGCACTACAGCGCTGTACGCAGTGGAGCTCTGGCTTGGGGAGAACGATGATCTTGATAATGGTCTGGCTGGTCACTGGAAGACTGATTGAGGGAAACGCAAGCCTACAGAGTGACCAAGGGGTGGCATGCATTCATGTTTCGAGTGATGCCCCTTCTAAGAATGGATCTAAGTGTCCTGATCTCTGACCATCAACTGTGTCCAAAATTCCGAGGTGAAAGACCATGTTCGATTCAAGCGATCCCCGACAAACGTGTCTGCCGTAAAACGCGACGTTAGTCTTTATCTTTCTGACCAAGTCCTACTGGGCCATTTTATAAAACTTCATCCCGTCCGAAGAGCTGGTCTCGCTTCCTTGAATCCCCCCCCTTTGCTTCGAGGTCTTTTCCATTCCAAGAACCGCCAGTCTTGGTTTAACAGTGACGAGTTGCCCATGAAGTCGCTCTCGCGACCAACCAAAATGGCGCACCTCTTGTCTTCATCTACAGACTTCTTTTCCAGTGCTATGCGCACACCTTGGAACCCCCATATTCCCTTCAAAGCCCCTTGGCTACATGGCTAGTGTTCCTCATCCAATTTATCTCCAATCGTCATGTTGGAGGATCACCATCAACGCCATTGAAAATACAATTTTCTCACTTTACCCCCCTCATTAGTTCCCACTCTGGTCGGGTTTGATGAGATTTCCTAGCTTCTCATCCATTTTCTTTTACCGTTTTATCTGCTTCTCTTTCAGTCTTCATCCTTTTCAACTTCTTCTCATGACCCCATGATACCAGCTGCTATGTTCTTGCTATCACACCTTCCTATTCACGACTGCCAGCTTATACCCTGTGTTTTCTCCCATCTAGCCTGGCTTATCTACAGTTCTTTTTTGCACTCTGGCTAGTTGAAGCTTGGCATTTTACTTTTCCCTCATCCTCCGTAATGTGTTCCATTCCTCTTGCTCACAGTTCACAATTCTTGTACATAGGATACCTGGGTATTTCCTTTTCTACCCCACCCCGCAGTCCCCTTGGGGCTTTTTGAATAGAGAAACTTCTTTAATCATCTACATTCATTTTTAGAAATATATACATGACGTCGTAGGATAAGAGCATCCACTCTATATCGGAAATTGTAAGCTGAGTCTCGTAACCCTTTTGTGTGATGATGTGATGATCTAGAATTTCCCCGCCCGATAAGGACTGCATGCTGCATGCTGACAGTCATGAATATGAACAGACATCCAACTCTATCTCATGCTAAGGTATAAATAATTATTTAATTGCGCTAGAAACAGTTACAGGCATAGCAATTTGTTATTCTTGTGTCGGTTGTTGCAGTAGGCATATGATTTGATATCGACAATTTAGATAGGATAACGCTCCACACAATTACAGAAGGGCATACAAATAAGTATTTGGAGCCTTGAATGATACAAGGCAAAGTGGAAAAGACTGTAGTCTGTAGACTGTAGTCTGTAGAAATGAATACATCGAATGCAAAATATAATCGGAACTAATCCATATAAACAAGCAGAAAGGGAGGAGACCAATGCCACAACGCGCTGATGTTCCATAGAGATCAATCGACTTCAGGTTCAGACTCAATATGAACCGATCACAATCATACTCCAATTCCTCTTCTTTTTTTTCGAGTTTGTAAATGTATCACCCCATGTACCAATATCGATGATACTCTCTTGCCCTGTCCCGCAATACACCTCATCCCTCGAGGTATTCCATAGCGCCAGGCTTTTGAACATAAGCACATAAGAGAAATAAGGCAGTAAACCCCTCCCAAAATGAATAAGTCATTTAAATCGAAAGAAATTGAAAATCAAACTAAAGAAGAGGAAGCAGAAGCAGAAGCAGAAGCAGAAAAAGACAGAAAAGATAATAAAAGAAAACCCCATAAGATATCCATGCAATGCATCAAGTGAAGAGTTGGTCAATCACCGGCGAATAGGTACACCCTCTCGAGCAGGCGGGGGGCTCACACTGGGTTCTCTAGGCTCCTTATCCTGCAGATCAGGACCAGCTGAGCCCTCGCTGATGCTAGTACCCCGGTTCAGAAAGCTGCCCTCCTTAATGGGACTGCGGCTCTGAAACCCGACCGAGCCCGGGTGACCGCTAATGCTACCAGGGATCTGCTGGCCTCCTTGAGCACTGATACTACCATTGCCAGTCGCAGTAGCAGGGTTATTGGCACCGGGGGAGGTAGCGGTTAAGTGTGGGATATTCTCGGGGACGGGGTGTTGGGAGCCGATGTTGGTTACGCCGACATCTGAAGCTTTGCCAGCCTTGCTGAGGGCGTAGTCGCCTGAGTCAAAATATTTGCGTTCCTATTTAGAGAAGAAGAGAAAAAAAAGAAAGAGTTGATTAGAATTTGATTTTGAAAAAAAGAAATCATAATGATAATAATTAAAAGATTGACAAAGGGGAACCCCGCGGTGGAAGGATTCACAGCTATGTGCGAGGGGGAGGGGTTAGAACTCACCTTGAGCTTGTTCTGCAGGAGATCCTTCTTGTTGGGCATCTTGCCGTACAGACGGAAGAGTTTCTGTTCCTCTGGGGTCATGGCCTAGAAGGGGAGATTTGAGTGTCAAGACATATTTCATGGTGGGGAGTGTTGCGACTCACGTTGATATCGATCTTGTTCTGTTGGTGGGGATTCATGGTGGGCGGATTCTCTCAAGGGGAGAGATGAAGGGAGCGATGGTTATTGAAGGACTTCAAGGGTGAAAAGAAGTGTATGGAGATAAAATTGGGACGATGAAGTGGGTTTGAAAGAGAGAAAGTTGGGAGAAGCTCGAGAAACTGGAGGAGGAGAGGTGGAAGGTCAATGGGAGTCTCGGTATCGATAACAGACTATCCGGTGCAGCCCAATTGTTGAAGAAACTCGGTACTTTTACTTATGCAGGGAGGGATCACACTGGATTCAATTATAAGGGAGATTTCGAAGAAGAAACAATTCAATATGAAATTCAAATATAGAAACATGAATCATCGGATCATTATTAAATCCCTTTATTTTGTGAGGCGAACATAGGCAAACACTGTACGTCATCAAGGAGATCATTATACTCTAGTATACATAGTATAGGTATCTAAGGAGACATACTAGTAGTTCAAACCAATGAATATAATTCAAGTTGGAAAAGAAGAGACTCGGTAAATATTGAGAATCTATAAGAATTAATAGAAACTAATCCTCCCTTCCAACTTGAAACTGTCAATTGCCTCGACTGTAACCCGGATGTGTGTGGGCCCGCGAACTCTACCAACTCTTCTTCCCTCGATCATAGTTTTCCCGTCTTTCTTTTCCCCCAGTTCAAACCCTCATTTCCCCATTTCCCCTTTTTTTTTCCGGCGCCATGGCTGATCAGACGACCCGGGCTTTTGTGGTTGAACACTTGGATCCCGAGCTGGGCCCGTGGTCTGCACTGGAATATGCTGCCATTGCTCGCGAATCGCATGACCGCGGGGCTCGATTCCTACTGAGTTCTGTGCCCGCCGAGCTGCAGATGCCCGCTGACCTCGCCGCCACCCGCGGATTGGAGGTGGAGCAACGCAGTGTTGAAGAGATCTTTGCGGATCGCAAGGACAAGGTTTGTCTATTGGATCCGTCGGCTAAGGTGGAATTGAGCCCGGAGGATGGTGACACCTTTGATGTGTTTCTGTTCGGCGGTATTCTTGGTATGATTCCCTTTTATTTCTGTTTCTTTTCTGCTGGTTTTTTTTTGGTTATTCGCCATTTCTTCTTTTTATAATTGTGTGCATTCAAACCAAAAAGAATTTTGAACATTTCATTAAAAAGAAACTATAAGCTAACTTAATATGAACCGTCAGGTGATGATCCCCCAAGAGGTATGTCTGATATATACTATCATATATCCAGGGCTATGCTCTTCAAGATCTTTTATACAGCCCAAACCCGAAGAAAGAAGAAGGAAGAAAAAAGAAGAAAGAAGAAATCAACTAACTCCCTGTAGATCGCACGTCTGAACTCCGCAAAAAGGGTTACGTTGGTCGCCGACTCGGCCCCAAGCAAATGACCACAGATACCGCCGTGCGAGTAACTCGCATGGTGGTGCACGAGAAAGGTAATTCCCAATTCTTCCGTTTTAGGTGGATTCCAAGGTTCACTTGTTAACTTTGTTTCAGTCCCGTTGGAGGAAATCCCCTATGTCGATTACCCGGAAATTCTAATCAACGAACATGAACGCACTGAAATGCCCTTCCGCTACGTCAAAGATGCTAATAACGAGCCGATCATGCCTGATGTAAGCTACCTAAGCCCCTAAGCCCTCCCCTGACACAGACGCTAGTACCTATTTTGCAATGGACATGGCTAATATCCACTTAAGGGGATGGTGGATCTGATTAAAAATGACGCCGACAAAAGTGTTGGTGATCTTTTCTAAGATCGGGTTAATCAACCCACTGGTGTGAGTTAAAAAAAGGGAGTAAAATAATATAGAGAAATGAGCAAGACGAAATGAAATCTTTTTATAATGATCTGTTTATACTTAGAGTTATAGTTATTCGGTAAATCCAATGCCGAGGTCCTTAGACCCCTCTGCTATAGGTAGCTTCAGTGTTTGAAGTTGATGATCCTGCAGATGAGAGAATATGGAGTTGCCTGATTTGACTACATCGAGAGTGGCCTGCTCTTAGTGATACTGATTGAAAGAGATAAAGAGATATTCCATCCTCAGGGATCAATTTCCCCTAAAACAGTTCTCAATAAGCCCACCTGGGCGCATCTATAGAGTCCCAAAAAGGGCATCGGGGCATTTGAGCTGGGCATTGTAACAGGTTATGTAATGTGGCTGTATGGTACGAAGAATTTCAATACGAGCCCACGCTGAGGTGAAAGACTATTGGTATTTAACATAGAATACCAGTACAGTATACATTACATAACCAGTCCAGGCCACGCCAGCCAAACCCGCTTCTGTCCCGTCATCTCGAGTCCCTTTTTCCACTTAATCGATTTGTCCCTGATATTTCCCCTGGATATCGAAGCAGAAACAGTTTGAATCTCGCCCTCCATAATTTCCTTCTCTATTCCCTCCGGCGTCCTTCGCCCCCATTCCTTTCTCCGCCCCGCTATCCGATGAGCGCTTGACCTCGTCATACCAAATCCGTCGCGGACCTCTCCAACAACACCGAGCCCTTCCCTCACTGAAACACAACAACTAGCAGCAACACCCACAAAGTGCACAAGTCCGCTGGTATCGGAAGCTATTGGATATGTCTTCGATACCCTCGCTCCCTTGTTCCAAGAGGGGCGGGGCCCTAGCCATGTTATCATGGGGGCTTTCCTTGTTGCTAGCACCAACAGTTACAGCTGCTCTCTCGGCCGCTGATTATTATGTTCACGATCTACCAGGGGCGCCGAAAGGCCCTCTTCTGAAGATGCATGCTGGGTAAGCTTAAAAAATTCCTTGGTTTTTGAACGAAGTAAAGAAAAAAAAGGCAAAAACAAAGGGATATAGCTCTAATCGCAAACATTCAATAGACACATCGAAGTCGACCCAGAGTCAAACGGCAACCTTTTCTTCTGGCATTTCCAGAACCATCACATCGCGAACCGACAACGTACAGTTATCTGGCTAAATGGCGGCCCGGGCTGTAGCTCTATGGATGGAGCTTTGATGGAGGTTGGCCCGTATCGACTGAAGGATGATCATACGTTAGAATACAACCAGGGATCGTGGGATGAGTTCGCCAATCTGCTCTTTGTCGACCAGCCCATCGGCACCGGCTTGAGTTACTTCAACACAGACAAGAAAAACTATGTTCATAATATGGAGGCGATGGCAGCGCATTTCATGATTTTCTTGGATCGATTCTTTGAAATGTTCCCAGAGTTTGAGAGGGATGATGTGCGTATTCTATACTTCTTTGGTCTCTGGCCACAATCGTTGGATCTGGCTTCTTTGCTGACTGTTTGGTCTCTTATAGATATACTTGGCTGGCGAATCTTATGCAGGACAATACATCCCATATATCGCCAAGGCTATTAAAGATCGCAACAAGGCGATCTCACAGGATGTTCAAGAGAAATGGCCGCTGAAAGGTTTACTTATTGGAAATGGCTGGATGAGTCCAACGCAATACCCGTCGTATTTTGAATATGCCGCGCGTGAAGGTGTAATCAAGAAGGGCACAGACGTTTACCAGAAAGTGGAGTCTCTACACAACTCATGTTTGACCGAGCTGGAAGACGAGGATACCAGGAAACAAGTTAGCGTCGCAAAGTGCGAATTCGTATTGGAGCAGATACTCGATCTAACCAAGAAGGGCGATGACTCGTGCCTCAATATGTACGACATTCGTCTTCGAGATTCCTCCTGTGGCTATTCCTGGCCCCCAGATCTGAAATATATCACGCCATACCTCCGACGAAAGGATGTCGTCCAGGCGTTGAATCTCAATCCAGAAAAGATGACTGGCTGGGAGGAATGCGATGGTCATGTGCATGGGGCCTTGTCTGCCTCGAATTCCACCGCCGCCGGCAAATTGATTCCTGGCCTCATCGAATCAGGAGTCAACGTTCTTCTCTTCAGTGGTGACCAGGATCTGATTTGCAATCACATTGGAACAGAAACTTACATTCATAACATGAAATGGAAGGATGGAACTGGCTTTGAGACTGCGCCTGGAGTATGGGCCCCGCGCCATGACTGGACTTTCGAAGGTGAACCGGCTGGTATCTATCAACATGCCCGTAACCTGACTTACGTCCTTTTCTACAACTCGAGTCATATGGTTCCTTTCGACGCCCCTCGTCAAACTCGTGATATGCTTGACCGCTTCATGAATGTAGACATTGGTAGCATCGGTGGACGTCCCGCCGATTCTCGTATTGATGGTGAAAAGCTACCCCAGACATCTGTGGGTGGCCACCCCAACAGCACAATTGCCGAGGAGGAAGAAAAGCAAAAGATCAAAGACACCGAAATGCACGCGTACGCCAAATCCGGCGAAGCTATTCTGGTGGTTGTTATCATTGGTGTCACAGTCTGGGGCTTCTTTATCTGGCGCAGTCGTCGATCTCACAAGGGCTACCGTGGTGTTCGAGCCCAAGATATGGATATGGAGATGCGTGCTGGATCCATATTAGATCGGTTCCAGAACAAGCGATCCGGTGGAGTTGGAGTTCAAGCCGGCGATTTTGATGAATCTGAGTTGGACGAATTGCACTCGCCTGGTCTTCACCGAGACCAATACTCCGTCGGTGATGAAAGTGACGACGACGCTTCTTCTTCTCATGTGGACTCTCGACAACCCACAGTAGAAAACGATAAGCATACCGATCCTTTATGATCCGAATTATCACGTCATGTCGTGTGAAGTATTTAATGGATTTGCTTTTTTATCTTTTGTACTCTCTATCTTGGATGTTTCTTGTTTCATTATCCATTCTGGGTCGGTCTTCATTTCCTGGCAGGTTAGCTATGGTGTGCATCTGTACAAAGGCGTATTCATTGAAATCTTAATCAATAGACTCAATATATCAAATTTTTATGATGTTGACATGATCCTTTCAACTATATAGTTGATGCAAAGAATTTTATATGCTTCAACCAGGTCTAGATACTTAGTTAGATATACCACACATGAATGAGGTACATTTTATCTTTCATTTTTACCGCTGCAACGTCCACACTTTAACGCTGCCATCATCCGCAGTTGTGACCAGGACATCTTCTTCCTCTTCCGTAGATCCACGATCCGCCCGTTTAGCCCAAGCAGCATGATTCATCTCATATAGGCCATGAGCACCATCAATCACAGAAACGATAGTCCACTCCGTCCGCAGCAAAGACTTCTCCGCCGCAGGCTCACTATCCATAACATCGGCATCAGACTCAGGAGACGCAACAACACGCTCCTCATATAGAACAATTCGTCCATCAGCACCAACAGACGCAAGAAGACCGGTCCGCCGACTCCACGCAACAGCATAAATCGCCAATTCATGCGCATGCGGCAGCAAAGCATCCTCCTCCCAGTTTTCATCTGTTCCAGTCGGTCGAATAATACTTGGAATACCAGTAGCAGCAGATGACATAGCTCCCGGTTCATCGCCATTCGCCTTCGGCAAGCGACGCCAAACCCGAACAGTCTTATCATCCGAGCAAGAGACAAGTCTAGGACCAGAAAGCGCACGCTGTTCCGCCCATCTGGACCGTAGCGACGATTCATTCGTTGATCCCCGGAAACTAGGCGTAGTTTCAGTTCCCTCCCAATCTAAGAACCACACCGTGCCCTCATGCTTCTTGAGACAAGTCACCTGGCCCCAATCATCGAGATCTTCACGCCAAAGCCGGATAGTATCATCATACCCGCCACTAGCAAGACATTCCTCAGCAGGATGCCAAGCAACACATTTAACATCTCCAGCATGCTCCTGCATAACGGCAACGGTCTCAAAGTTGTTGTCCCCATCATCCAAATCCTCCCAGATCCAAATAGACTTATCCCTCGCACAAGTAGCCAGTAACATTCCAGACGGCGACCATGAAACAGACTTCACCTCGCTATCATGACCATCCAGAAGCACTGCAAAGCGCCACTCTTCCTCATCGATATCCTCGGCATCATCATCTCCAGAATCCGCAGCATTGGCATTTGATGAACCCTTCCCGACTCCATCGGCACCACTAGAAAGTCCCAATCCAGTAGCTTCGTCTTCGGTACGGCCGTAGTTATCCCATCGTCGCCAGATGCCGACAGTTGCGTCAAAGCTGCCGGTGGCTAATACGCTTTCGCCTTTAATGTGAGGCTTCCAGGCACATGTTCTGACGCTCCGTTTGTGCCCGCCTGAGATAGTTGAGAGGAGTTTGAAGTTTGTGAGGGAGTATACCCGCACAGTTTTGTCGGAGCTACAGGTTGCGACGATGGGGAGAGTGGGGTGTGGTGCTGTGAGCCAAGTGCGCTCTAAGGATGGAGGGGTTAAGTCCGATAGAAGTGTGAGGGTCGGAGATGTCATGGTTTATTGAAGGAGAGGAGCGGAGAGAAGAAATAGAGGGAGGGAAGGAGGAAAGAGTCGAGGGTGAAGTTGGAGGGGGAAATTTTAAAGTTGTGAGGTTGATACTGCACAGGCATGTGGGGTGGTTCGCGATTAGATAGAGGGATTTGACGGGCAAGATTAGATAGGAGTCTACACTATTGATTCTACCTTCTACTATAGTAGCAGCTCCTTTACTTCTTTAATGTAAACAAATCGATTAAAAACAGGTCAATATTGTGTTCAATTTCCATCCCATCTGTATTATTTCTCCATGCAAACGCCCAATAATTCTCATTGTCTCATATACAATATTTGCCTCTACCCAAGCACAAAAGTCCAGTCCCAAAAGGAAAACAAAAATTAGACCAAAAAGATATCAAGAAAAGGAAAAACTCCGAAGAAACCATGATATTAATCAAGAGAGTAAAACGAACTCAAATTATGCAGTCCTGGAACGCCATCACTGTGCAGGGGCGCTTTCTTCATATAATCGCTCATAAACTTCCCCATGGCAAAGCCAATCTACTTCACGCACTTTCTCCAACTCCTCCACCAGCTGGCAGACCTCGCTTACAAACTCGGGCATACCCGCCGCAGCCAAGCTCTGACTAGCCGTTGTCGTTGTACGCACCCTCTCCGAAGCACTAGAAGCACTCAGGCGAGAGAGAACATGACTTCGAAGTCGTGAAAGGATCAATCGCGCGACTGGGTCCGAGAAACTAGGTGCAGGAGATGCACTGCCAGTCGAGTCTGAGGTCGAGTCTCTAGAGGAAGTGGACATCTCGGAAGAGCTTTCAGATCGGACGTGAAGAGCAGTGGATGGTGCGGCCGCTGTACTTGCGGTTGCCACGGGTGCCAGCACTCGTTTGATTGCGGCAGCAAGCTGAGCACTTGCGGCAGAGGGCATGGGATGAGTTGCCTCAAGGATAGACTGCACTCTGTCTGCACGGATTTCATTAAAGTCGAGGGAGAGAATACGATCTGCCTCCGGCTTCCACTGAGACCGTGCGTCACGCTTGAGCAGGTTCTTAGCGGTCAACAAAATCGATGCCGTGGCTACGATCTGGAAGGTTCTAGCGTGAAGACGCTCCAGTCGCTGATGATCTAGAGCTAATGTTTCAGGTATCAGGTCTTCTGAAACAGTAGCGTTGCTGAACACTAGGTCTGCAAGGCCGTGGGCATATACTCGCGTGGTATGTGGACGTGGTTCTCCATGAATACCCTCTGGGTCTCGTTTCTTCATCTCGTTCACAATAACATTTTTGTTAGTGCGCCAGAATCGTCGAGTTTTGCCCAATGTAATTGAGTTGTCGGCAACCCCTCGCTCGAATGCACGCTTTTCATACCCCGGAGCCTCTTGGATCAATTGAGGAGCCGCCATCTGAATCATGAAATTTGTATGGTCGAGGGAAAGTAGGTCAATGATGCTCATAAGCCTTGCTAGTCGGTCAATGGCATCTCCAGAAGTATCTTCGGCAAACGCCTTGACCGCAGGGTCACGGTATGGTGCACAAAGACGGGGTAACATGTTGTTCATGAAATCAAAAAAGTTGTCATACGAGAAAGATCCAGCTTTACACTGGCTTTCCACTAGTTTAGGATCGAGAACTTCGCTGATAAGCACATATAGAGAATTCCCCGGCCGAAGGGAGCGTAGGAGACGATCTTGAATCACGGTAGCCATGGAGACTGTCCATGCAGTTCCCTGGCCAGCTTCAACATCTCGTCTCATCTGCTGACACATGTGCTCCATAACCTGCCTTCTAGGATCAGCGTATGAAGATTCTTCGATCTTAAATTCTTTGTTGAGTAGAAGCTCATGCACCAGCACTCGGTTCTCGGGGAGTGCCGTTAAAATTTTGGTAAATTGTTCATGTGGAGAGAATCGTTGCTTTTCCAACTCTTGAAGAACTGCGGCATCGACATTATTAAACGACTCGCTTATAGGAGATGTCATACTCTCTGTTAAGACGTCCGTCGATGGGGGAACTGCCTCAGCTGAGCGAGGAATGGCTTGCCTAGTAGCAGATTGTTTTCTCTCACGTTTTGCTTTCTTGAGTGCATCTCGTACCATCTGCATAGCACGATCGGAACCTGCAAGACGCTTGAGACGGGCCAACAAAAGGATCTGATTCTGCCGAATGCCTTCTCGATAGTCCTCTGCTACTCCACCAGCCGTATCGCCCTTGACTGTCTGCCATATCATTTCCAATTCGACAAACTGGGCAAGCATGATCTCGATCAAAACAGTCGAATCATGAGATTTCCATGCATGGAATGCCGAGAAGAATACATTGTGGGCTTCGCATAAGGCTTGGAGATCTGCAGTTATCACAGTGGGCGAGCAGCATCCGGACGACAGTAAGGCAGCAACTTGATCAAAGGCTACAAGGAGTTCCTTGGCCTTAGAAATCAGATCTTGCTCTTGTTCACCATCTCCGCTCAAAACCTCAGTAGGATGGGTCACAATGAGATAGCTGCTGAGGAACGTACGCACAGCGCCGCGTTCTCCCATAGCGCCTCCTTCCATATCGTTCAACCCGCAAAGTCGAAGGACTTTGACCATGGTGTCGAGTACGGTGCCCTTTGAGACGAAACGCCCGACTTCTTCGAACGGCATCTCCCGAATTCTGTCGGCTGATAGATTAAGAGTCCTGAATTCCCCCATTACTTTCTTTGCATGGTGAGTTCTCCATACTCGTTGAATCTTTCGGGCAGCTACGTCTTGAGTGAGTGACCTAGTGACCGCTCGAGACATTTTCTTCTCCTCTGCAACGGGGAGACTGCTGGTACGCTGGCGCCGATGAGTTTGTTGGTAAAGAGCTCGCCGCTTTTCAGCCTCTGCAAACTTCTCTGCCATTTCCAACTTTTGACGTGCGTATTCAGCAGCCTTCTTTTCCCGTTGGTCCTCCGCCTTCTTCTTGGCCCGCTTCACTTGTTCTTCGCACTTGGCCGTTATACCAGCTAGCAAACGTTCCCGAGCTTGTTGAGCGGCTAGCGCTCGTTCCTCGATCTGCAAATTTCTCGTCGCCGCTTTCGATAGAGCAGCGCGCAACCTGACCTTTTCCGCGTGGAGCGCACGGTCAGCCAGCCGCGCCTTACGGGTTTCGAGGATAGATGTGCGCCGGAGGTGTTGAGCAATATGGTCTGCGCTTGGTGTGCCATTGGAGGAGGTGTTCGAGTGGTGTGAATGTAGGGATGAAACAGAGCTTCGTCGTGACGAGGCAGCAGAGGAGCGCCGGGCCTTGCTGCTTCGGCGGTAGAACCGTGCAGCGATATGTGGTGGTAGGGTCAGGGGAAGGGCCGGGTCCTCGGATAACATTTCCACGTCAGGTTCGTTTAAAGAGCCTGGGGAAATAGGGGTTGGCCCTGAATCGGGGAGTTGAATTTCGATATCTGAGTTGCGACGCATCATCGTGAAGTTGAATAAAGGTAGAGCACGCTATGTAGTGTAGCCGGCGGAGGGAGTGAACGCGGCGGGGCAGTCCACAACTGATAAGCGAATCTACGCGGTTGGGAAGGCGTTCCTCATAAGAGTTCCATACAAGTCCTTTTGGCGGTGTGTTTTCAAGTCAGGTCTGGGATCCAGGAGCGAATACAAGAAGTATGGAGGCCTGAAACGAGGATTCGGAGGAGTATGCTCTTGCTAGGGCGGCCGGGGTTACGGAGGGATCCGTGCTTTGTTTCAGGAAAGGGAGAAGGATTTATTCATTTTGAAAAGGAAGGAATAGTTGAAGGACGCGAACATGAAGAATGGACAACAGTCAGCACCCAAGATCACGAACGCAGGAACTGTTTATTGCGCGATGGAATCTCATGGCCGCAAGCAGAAAGACGTGAACGAGGCTTAGCTAATCCACCTCGTGGTTGCGGGAATCGTTTATCCCGTTTTATAAGCAATGACAGACATATTAGTAGTAGTAAAATGCACGATGGCAGATGAATGGTCCGAAACGATATGTCACGGCTGTTTCCGGCGACTTGAAAAATTCCTTAGATTCGTGTCTATTTAGCTGCTAAGACTGTTATGTTAAACTCCATGAATTACGTCATGGCATATATCAATTTACGACTACATACTCAGGTACAGTGCCCGTCGGTATGGTTGAAGGGCTGAATACGAAAGGCATTATGCAGTAGGAAAGAATTTAAGAGACATTGGATATTTAGATTCATAGCTAGACGAGTTGCACCCCGGGCGCCCATATCGCCATGCAATTTGCAAACTATACAATGCTATGTAGGTAGCACTCATGTAAATATGGGGTTTTTTCCCCTGACGACCATCATAAACCATCAACAATCTTTATGGCCTGATTTACATCCAGGCAGAATGCACGCGAAACGAAAAGAAAAGAAATGTAGGCGGTGTTAGTGGAGAAAGCCAATTGTCGGATTTTAGTTTGTTTTAGACGCGGCGTTGCCTCCAGAAACTACAAGCGGGCCGTTCTTGGTACCGACAACACCGCTGGTATAAGGTGAGGTGGCTGGCATCGTGGTCGTTCCTGCACGGTGCTTGAGATCAAATTCGGAAGGCACTTCAGATGGTGGAGGTTTAGGTGGGAGGTGGGAAGGCGTGCCCCATTTCGCGATTGAATCGCGGGAGTTGGAGTTTGGGATTCGGGGCGGAGTGTTGTGTTCCAAGTTCCGGTTGCTGGTAGGATCCGCGTAGCCAGGCCATTGGCTTTGGACACCAGGGACCATATTGGCATACGGAGGGAGTTGATGTTGCACACCCTGCATTGGATGACGTGATGGCGGTAGTGCACCTGGGACAAATGAGCGTGTCTGGGGATTGAAGTGTGATCTAGCCATATTTCCTGCCATGGCTGACCCATTGGGATTTTGGAGTGTAGAACTCAGATGTTGCCCGGGGTATTGAGCGTATGGATAAGAGGCCATATTGGAGGACATGGTCTGAGAAGAAGGATAGTTGGGCCAATGGACGGGATGTTGATTGCGCTGGTAATTTGCCGGATAATTTTGCTGATTCCAATTAGGATTTTGCTGATACGGGCCAGGCTGGGGGACGGCAAAATTGTTCATGGAAGGAGACGACTTGGTTGATGATTGCTGGCTTATCATTCCATTCTGGTTCATCGATGCATATCCAGAGTAGGGCGATTGCTGGGGAATGTTTCCTCCCTGCCACGAACCATTTGTGGGCATCTGTGGCGACATAGCCAATGGGTATTGTGGCATGTTGTTCATATTCATGTTTCCTCCATTGTACATCCCGTTGTTTCCACCAGAAGGGACGTAGCCATTTGTGGGCGGAGGAACACCTGGTCCAACCAAATACGGTACCTGGCCGTTGTAGGATCCATCGCCCACAGTTCCATTACCACCGGCAAACTGGGCTGAACCATTGCTGTACGGTGCTCCGGGGTAGTAAGCATTAAATTGAGACCGGGCCTCAAAGCCATCATCGTGAGCAGTTCGCTGTTTTTGGTTTTTCTTGCGTCCGGTCGTGGAGCTGGAACGTGACATATCAGGATTTGAATCGCCACTAGCTGGTTCTGATTTTGCACTGTCGGGAAAATCGCGGAAAATACGCTCACGAGCCTGGTTATATTTGGCTTCTCGTTCTTCTCTTGTCAACGTTAGACGGTCCTTGGCTGGCGTTCCACCCGAAGATCCCGAATCTTGGCCATCGCCAGCCTCCGAAGGAGCTTTGGATGGAACAGACGAGCTTGTTGCTATACTACCCTCGGTAGAAGGCCGTCCCACATCGTTTCGGCGCATGATCTTCATCGCTGGAACAGTTGGCGGTGGGGTAGTATTGCTGGCGGCATGTAATTCAGACAAAGGTGTAGGGCTGGTAGCAGTTAGCTCCTTGTCTTCAATACTCGATTGGAACGGATATGGAGAAAATTTAGGATTGCTTACAGTCTGCAGAAAGGCGTCCGATGAAGACGGACTGACGTGACGTTGTTATCAACAAAGTGCGTAAGATGGTAGTAGTCACCCAATTTATGTGCAAGAAGTCGTCCAAATGCATTTGATGGTGGCAACTCCAGTGATTGCTCACTAATTTTTGAAGATTAGCATTGAGTGAAATAGTAAACAAAACGTGGTGGAAATTATTTACCTATCGTCTTTAATAAAAGAACGTATCTTTTCCTCCAACTGAAGAATCAGAAGCCGGTCTTTGGGCGATTTCATTGCCTCCAATAATTTTTCGTCTGGATCAAGCGGAAACCCATGAAGTAATTGATCGTCTTGCAAACCGCCAGGGTCGGCAGGGACCACAAAGTTGTTGGATACGGAGTCCGGGGGTATAGCAACTAAACCCCGCTGGTTGCCTCCACTAGAAATGGGGTCGGGTACAGGAAGAATCCCTCGAGGCCGCTGGGCATTTACGTCTCGGAAATGGTCTCGAAAAGCTCGAGCCCCAGCCTCAGAGCCTGTGACCGAATTCGGTGCACCAGATGCAGGGCCTGAAAGGGACTCCTCTTCGTCAATGGCTTGAACACTGGCACTATCGTCGGGTCGTACAGAGTCTTTCTCGTCCATTGCAAAAGTAGTTACTGAAGCGAGACTCTTTGAGTCGAAGTTGGTCATTTTTGTTGATGAGCTAGAGAGATGGGTGCGATCATCATCAAAGAAGTTGTCTCGTTTGAGAATACCACTTTCATGGCCATAAAGCGAGGAAGTTGAGTCGTTGCGGTCTTTCCGCAGGCCGATGTCGATATCTCGCACTGCTCTCCCAAGGCCATCAACTATATGATCACCTGGAGAGCCTTCCGGTTCGATTGTGTTTAATGAATGGGTTTCTGGCAACGGTGCACCAGCATCAAGTGATTCCGAATAGTTTGGTGAGTGTCCCGGTAGAGCATCGTGGCTCACATCGGATAACGAGGGTGATTGTGGATTACTAGGTGCGGGCATAGCAGCGATCTAATGGAGGGGAAAATATTAATTTCGGACACATAAATTCATTCACGAGAAAGCAAACCTTTGCAAAGGAGAAGTGACTGTCCCCTTGCGATGTACTTGTCGATGCCATATCTGCAATGTAGGCCACGAGGTGGATAACAAGATTTTATGTTTTTAAGATTTCAGAAGAATGGAAATCAAGTCGATAGAAAGCCGTAATTAACAAGTTTCGGTCTTGTTACCACTAAAAATCGGCGATTGGAACGAATAGAGGTGACTGGAAATTCCCGCTTCACACAAGCCAAAAAAGAAAGACATATCTCGGGTACAGGGCCTTCGCCATAGGGAAAAGCTACAAAAGAAAGAAATTAGTATCGGTATGAAACTTCGGAGCCCATTCAACTGTGTGTTTGGGTGGGAATAAGGGTAAGCAACCAAGAGGAAATCAATATGATAAGCAGATCTTACACGATATCAGAGCTGGTTCATGGTCAGGCCGATAAAGGAACTCGAATTGGTATTGGAAGAGCGATTTTGATGGGGAGCGAGAACTGGCGGCAGATAACACCACGATTTATGATCTCACTGCTATAAGATCAGTCTTCAGCAAATCCCTGACTGCAGAGAAATGGGGAGAAGAAGGAACGTTGGAGGATCGGATTTCTGAATCTTCAACGCCCGAAGAGTTTCAGTGGGTGATTTAATTGCCGCGCCCGACCGCCTCTACCGCGCGTCTACAGTTTCCTTCAACAGCCGCGACCACTTGAGAAGCGTCTGATCTAAACAGATTTTAGGGGAGGACGATTTTCACACTGATCTTCTGCCTGGACTCATTCGTCTTTATAAAACTTCTCTTGTCTTGCCATCGTATTTTCAAGCTCCATGAATCGATATCGGAACGCCCCCACTCTTAGAGGCCCTAGCAAAGCCTCGCCGAATACGTTATGCCAAAAATGTCTAAAACGAGATATGTGCCCCTCGTGATCCCTTACCCAGAACAGTCTGATGCTGACAGTGATAAACGACACTATAGCTATGAATGCAAGACGACGGCACAAGAGCGCCCATACATCTCGCGACCTTCGCGAACCCAACAATTGCAGAACCCCAAATTAATCCCCAAACTTTCGACGGAAGTGCCGGGTGAACTGCTACCTACGTACGTTCTTCTATTTTATTCAGTGTCGAAGGAACGATCTTTGCGAATACAGCAAGACCCTGAAGCTAATCATGGAATAGTAAGGGTTTGGCCGATGAAGTATTAGCGAAGCGTGAGGAGGAGCGTGGTCGTAAGAAAGACCATGATGAAGATACAGCAGATCGATATGGGCATTCTCAAAAGCGAGAGCGATCTATTTCATCCCACTCGGCTCATTCAGTTTCTACGATATCCACAACTCGTTCTGCTTCAGCATCACCTGCTCGTCGGGGTGCGCAAAATGGACACGATGCCAAAGACCAACCAACCAAACCCGAAAAATCACGTAAGCGAAGGTATAGCGACTCCAGTGAGAGCTATTCGGGTTCTTCCTATTCTTCGGATGTCAAAGATCGCTCCGGGTCTCAGGAGTGGGCCGAAGACAGGAACATTCGGCGACGTCGCCGAGAAAGTAGCCCTGAAGAGCGCGGAAGGCATCGCGATTCTCGTCGACACCGGGCTCATCGACGTCATCCAAGTACGGACAAGAGCCAAATAACAAAAGAAAGACGTTCCATGACTCCAGATACCGGCCATGCTCGTTCTGAACCAAGGTCATACCGGGATCGAGAAGGCCCGTCTAGTCAACCTCATGCTTCCCAGGCAAGTCGATCGAAGCGGGATTCTCGAGCTCGGCCAGATCAACCTCGGGAACGAAGTCCGAGTCCTTACAGCAAGCGACTTGCTTTGACCCAGTCAATCGGAAACTAGTTGAACACCTCTTGTTTCTTCTATCTTCATATTTTGGCTGGACAAATTTTGGATTTCTTCTTCTCATTGGTGCAACTGCGTTGCCAACTTTCTCGGTTCCATGTGGAACAATTGTATTACTAGCATATTCATACATTCCAATGTGCAGACCCTTTCCAACGCCTACCAATTTTGGATCCATGAGATGCTTTTGGCCCAAATCAGACATCACGCTCACAATAAATAAAACAGTAAAACATGTTCGAATCCACATTGCCTTAAAACAAATAAAAAAAGAAAAAGGCGAGCGGAGGAAGGAGGAACGAAATTGAAGTCCTAAGTCCGTAATTCTTTAATGAGGGTATCACGTTGACTTCAATCCTCATCTTCCGCTTCTTTTTCGCGAAGATGAATCCCTTCCACCAGCATTTGCCCCTCGATGCCCACTTCCTCCCCTTGATCGTCCCCATTTAAACTCGCTCCTCGCTCCTTGGCCTCGCGTTGTGCATTCTCTATGCGCTGGCGGACAAGACGGGCAATGGCATTCTCCGTTCTCACATTCAATGTCTTCAACTTCTCGTCCAAATCACGTCGCAAATCCCAGTTGGGCTTCTTAGGTTGTAGTTTAAATAAATCAATTGGTTGATCGGCATCTTCCTTTTGGGCTTCTTCTCTAACAGCCTCTGCGATCTGGGCTGCTTGTGCCTCCACCGTCACTTGGCCCTCATGAGGGCCTTGCTCGAAACCTAGTTTGGGGCCACGAGTCTCAGCATCGTAGTTGCGTCCAGAAAGAAACTTGGTTGTAATTTCTGAAGCAGTGTCGCCTAATTCTAAATCTCCTGCACTGAGGTCTGCTGGCGTTTCTGGCTCAGGTTGCTTTCGCTTCAGAGCTGCGAGCTTGGCGAGACGGGATTTGCGGTCGCTGGATGCCGCATCCAAAGAGGCATTGTTTGTGGACATGATTTCGTTAAACGACACTCGGAAGGATGTAAGGAGTATTATAAGAGATTGTCGGGTAGTAATTAGGTTGAAATAGCAAAGTCGATCTTGAATAAAGGTCCCAAAGTCCTCCGCAGCTTGAAAAAGTTCAGAACAACGATGTTGCCGCGATAAGGATTAAAGATTGGGGAAACGCCACACACTAGCCACATCAAATTCGCAGCCTCTTCAATCTTTCCGCGATCTCTTAACATTTACCATTTTGCGCCGCAACAATTTATTTTATATCTCCCAGCGTCCGACCACCCTCTTTCGATAGCCAAAATCCCCCACATGTCGATTATCGCACACCCCTGAATGTCGCTGCGTCCGCACCGATTCGTTCATCCTCGGCTCAATGGGCTTTTAGCGGCACGATGTAGCAATCTTGCTCGATCAGATTGGAGACCACGGGCGCTGGATATTGCCTACAAAACTCGCAATTTCTATTCAAGTGGAGCCCCAGCCATCAGTACGCCCGGAGAGGACTATCGGCTACAAACTACAACCAACAGCGCATTACACCTAAAGCCCGGTCACGATGCACTCACAAGTTCACATTCGGTCGAGGAGGCCGGGCAAAAATCAATATCCACAACGCAGCCGGAACAGACACATAATGACGAATTGCCACCGAAAACTACGACCAGGAATCCTAGAAAGGCGGTGTCGCGCCGTTTAAACAATCAAATTGTTCAAGATACCCTTATTGCTCATGGCCTAGATCCCGCCCTTGCTGATTCCGTGACCCAACGGTTGAACAAAGCAATTAAGAAGGAAATGAATGGCCGACATCTTGACTTTAATAGGCTAAGGTTGGCAACCTTACTTCGGGCAAACTCGCTTTACTCGAATATCAGGGGGTCTTGTGAGCAATGGAAGCTAATGTATGAGCAAGTTTCTGATGCCAAGTATTACAAGGCGGAGATCCAAAACAAGGCTGCCGTTCCAGGTCTTGGGCGTGAAGGGAAGCGACTACTGGAAGAAAAAATCCAAGTGGATTGCCTAGGGAGCTTTCGAGAAGAATGGCGGGCTATGAGCCGAGAATCCAGAGCCTCTGTTTGGCAGCGCTTGGCTATATGGCTGCTGCAGAACGATACAAGGCTACTCTTGGAGTTTTTGAGCGTCACAGCAGAGGGAGATTTGAGGCCCGATTTTACCATGCTTGTCGATTGCTTATGTTACGTGGACACATTCTATTATCAAAAGGACCCAAACTGGCTTGACAATTGGCAAAATGGAGCTCGCACTTACCACTCCATAATCCAGTCTTGCCTTGATCCATATCATTGGCCTTTAGTATCGCTTCCTCAAAGGGGCCCCCGCTTGTACATTCGGCGAGCGAATCATGATGCCCTTTGTCTGGGCCTTAAAGTTGCCAAAGAAAGGTTCATTGACCTATACAGCGGCTCGGCATTATACTTCGCGTGGCGTTTTACCAATCTTGGGGATGTGGATCGCGCTTTAGAGTCCCTAGCTCTTCTTCCCTCCATTACCAAGGAACACGAGCCTGGTTTTGACATAAATTCTGAAATCGTCCATCGTCATTGTTGTAAGCTTTTGACTTTGGATACTGTCGAGGAAGGCTCAGAAGGTCGCAACTTCAAGATTCTACCGCAGTTGCTGGAGATGGGTATTAAGCCAGACCGAGACATGCTCAACGTCGTGCTTCATAACGCCTACAAGAATGATTCACATCTGGGCGCTGATATTCTCAAGTTTATGGAGGGTCACGGATACAGCCTCGACTCTTATAGTTACTTGACCCTTCTCAGTGATTCAGTTGCTCGTGGAGACCGTTCTAAGGTTGATTCTCTCATACGCGAGGTTAGTTCAAACGAAGAACTTCGCCAGAATCCATGGATAGCCAGCAAAATATTCCATTCATATTACCTGTTCACGGTCAAGACTATGGATGCTGAATCCGATCCTTCAGCCGTCTTTTATGCGATGCTTGACATGTACAATGAAATTCACGACCTTACGCCCCTCAAAGAACTCACTATCGTTCCTCATCGTTATGTTCCTCGAAGCGAAGGCGTCAAATCCCCTCCTTCCACAGTCGCCCTATTACTTGTTTTGGCGACATATTTCCGCTGTCAGAATCGCTACTCAAACGTTCAACGTATCTATAGTCGTTTTCGTGAGCTTGTGGCTCAGGGCCATCCTACGATCGCCCCCATGGCGAAGACTGATCATATGCATAATGAATTCATCATTGCATTCCGTCACAGTCCACGTGGCTTGCGTTCATGCGTACATGTTGTTGAAGACATGCTTGCGCTCCCCAATCTTCTTGAGACCCAAGATGGACAGACCGTTATTCCAGAGAAGCCTACTATAAGCACATGGACCCTTCTTATGGGTGCCTTCGTATACAATAGGCAGGTCGACGCAGCAGAAAAAATCCGAGAAATGATGGACAAGCATAATGTTCGATACAATGATCGGACTTGGAACACAATCATCAATGGCTATGCGAACGCTCAGAATATCCCGGAGACAGCAGCTGCCATCAAAGCTATGGAGGAGCAAGGATTCACCATTGACTCTTTTACCATGAACCATTTGCGTTATCTCCGCGATCCGGAGCGGCTTTGGGTCGCCGTTGAAGAGTTGGATCAGAAAGCTATGGAGATATCTGAGGCAGATCTTGCTCCAGACTCCGAGCTTGGTTTCATCAACAGGCAAGAGCAATTTGACCAGCTGGTTGACAATGGCCTTGAAAAGTTGGGCTCCAAGTTTTCACATAAAGCTTAATTGCAGCGGTTCTCAGCCCCTCGTTTCTTGTTTCATGTATAAAAATTACTTCTTGTACCATAGAATATACACTATATTGGCGTTGATTTGGCCCAGAAAGCGAGCGTTTATTATGCGAGTCTCCTATGTTAATTCGGCCGTCGTGTTACTATACATACAATCATTAAGGAAATCGGCATGCGCTCAAAGAAGTAATTCATAAAATGCCGGGAGGCACCAAGTCGCACCAAGGCCCACTAACACCTTTCCTCTCTTTGTCCATGCCATGTCGTTCTTTCACTTTTGGTGCCAGCTTCCCCGCTTCGAATAAGAAATAGCCAAAACTGGCGTTTAACCCCCAACGAGCATAGAAACCTGTCATTCAATTGATTCGGTGAGTATTCACTTCTTTTTGCCTGACCAGAATAATGAAAAGTGTCCGGGGTGTCTTACTGCCATCAGGAAGCAGCATATGCTGACATAGGGACTCAGTCGCTCTCCTATACGTGCGCATTTCCAGAATATTCCAAACAACCTACATACAATCAGCATCTCGCCGCCACGATCCTTCTCTTTCGTCACTTCTCCTCTTGGCTCAAGTCTTCGGGGTGCCTTACCCATTCTGGTTGCGATCCATGATCCCGGGCATGATAGAGTGCGCATAGGTGCTCGTGCAAATAAGCAACAGAATCACCAAAACAAGTGATTGGAGATTGAAGAGCGCCGTCTAGGTAAGTTCAACGGTCAGCGATGATGTCCTTTGCGACTTGCCAGGAGTACACAGTATGCTGAAGCTGTTCTATTGTTGCCTTGTACAGCTCCGACCTCCACATCACGCCGCTCCGATAAAAGTCAAGTGCCAGTCATACTCACCATCTTGATTCAAGCCCACTCCAGCGTCCTTTCTAGAACAAGAAAGCAAATCAAATCGGTGCAGTAAAGTGGAAGACGAAGCTTTACCAGTCGGTTGTCCCTCACGACATTCTGCCCGCCATGTCCGCTGAAAGCACGGGCCACCCGAGAGTGCGTCTCCACCTGAGGATGCCATCTTCTCCTTCGAGCTCCAGGTTTACGCCAAATTTGAGCCCACCTCCTATTCGTAGCTCTTCAATAAGCACATCGAATCTATCGCGCCGCCCTATAACAGGATTAGCGGGTAACCCACTGTCGTCACCCTCGCTATACAATCTCAAGGACACCTTCCTTATCTGCAACGGGTATAAACCCGCCTGGACCCCGAATACCAACCCTACAACTTCGACCCCGACACCGACCCCGACACCAGCGCCTTCGCCGACGCCGACGCCAAATTCATCAGATTCAAAGAGCTTTAACAAACGTGCCCCTCGTACCCCCTTCATGGCTGAGCCACGCGCCCGTGCCGCCCGGCACAAGGGCCAGATGAACTTTTCATCTGAACGTATGTCTACCCTGATTTCAATTAAGCTCTTGAACGATTTCCAAATCCCCATTTAACGTTACAATCCTAACATCTCCATTTACTCTTTCTAGTCCGATTTCTTCTACTTGCATATGGAGATCCCAGTCCCCACCCATCATTCCCCTCCGAACCGCTCCCGGAGACAGTCCGCGTTCTCGACGAGATTGTCACAGACTTCATCCTCGAACTTTGCCACGGTGCTGCGCAGGTCGCGCACCATGCTCGACGACAGAAGATCAAAGTAGACGACTTCCGCTTTGCATTGCGCCGGGATCCCAATAAGCTGGGCCGTGTACAAGAGCTATTACGTATGGAGCGTGAACTAAAGGAGGCGCGAAAGGCCTTCGATCAAAATGATGATCAGGTAGCCAAGGATGCTGGTAAAAAGGGCACCAATGCTCCTGGGGCCCCCACCGAGGAGGTGGAAGGTGGTGCTGAATCAGTAGCTGGTGGTCCTGCGAAGAAGAACAAAGGTAAAGGCAAACGAGGTGCTACAACAAGAAGAGGGTCGGACGCTACCGAGGAATCGGTTTCGAAAAAGAGGAAGACTAATGGTTGACCGCTTTCCATGGATCAAAGTCGTTTCTTTTCGATTGAACCTTGATCTGTGTGGGCGTTTACGCGAGCGTGAAGAGCAAGATGCGGAGGGGCGAGAGGAAAGGAGACGCAAACGGAATGGGATGTGGCGGAAAGGTGGAGATTGTGTTAAGAAGAATGATAAATGGGAAGGTCGACTGGGAATTATTGCTTAATTGGCGTTTAAAAGGGTGTATGGAATACAGACCTACCGCATGATACCCGTGGCGTTAGGAGTTTGTTTTGTCTTATCTTCTAGGTTTGTAATAAAGCTTTCAGGATTGGTGTTACATATGGAGAAACGTTTGAAGTAGGACCAGCACCGGACCTTACAGATCCGGATGTTCCAAACAACAGTGTAGTTAAACTGTTGACGAAATTATAACCTCTTTAAGACGCCAATCATCTAGCCAAGTTCATACCTACATAACAAGCTCATACTTTTTAATGTTCCTACGCCCAGGTAGATAGACTTTTTAGGCCAATACTAATTACTATGTCACCTACCACAGGTGCCCAGGCGATCATCATTTTTTGATACTACATATCGATGATCTCGACCTGACCCTGGCCCCGGGGGCTAACCAACAGAACTGGGCCGTAAGGATTTTTCCAATCCTTTTAACCCATGTCAATCAGTCCTTTTAATTTCATGTCAATGCTCTCGACCCCGGGTTGATCAACAAAATCGGGCCGTAAGAATTTTGCCAATAATTTCTATCCCGTGTCGTTCCTTTCGATCTCATGCCAATGCTCTCCAACCAGGTTCACTAACAAAACCGGGCCGTAAGGATCTGACTATATCAATGCGCTCCATCCACGGTTACTAATAAACCCGGATCGTGAACATCATGGCAATGCTTTTTATCCTGTGTCAATACTTTGAACGCTATGTCAATGGTCTCTATCCGGTCTCACTATCAAAGCCGGACCGTAAGCATTTCGTCAATGCTATTTTTTGTGCAGTCAATACTTTCGAAGCCATATAAATTGGCTGTAGGATGCAGCACCTTCTCAAATTACAGCCTGGGTCCCGGTGGGGAAAATCTAGACGGGGGTCTACGGGGATGGTCCGGATAGACTAAAGGTACGGAGTACACATGCACATAGATCATTCTACGTGCCAATTTACATGGATATATAAGGAAATAAGCAGTAAGTTAAGAGAGAGAGAAAAACATGTATTCTCCGTATATATCTTTGAATAGAAATCAAAAACCCAGCCAAATCTATAATCAATGATACTATCTTCCAGGGCTGTTTGTATAAGGCCCAACTTAGAAGGGTCAGAAAGGTCAGAAGCGGAAAAGAGCATTTGACACAGGCGAGACCCTTTATGTTATGATTGGCTGACATCAAGATTCTAATAATAAAATAATTGGAGTGAGACATGGGATATTGGGTCCGTGTAATACCCTCTTTTTTGCATGTTCTATGTATCCATGCATGTGTATCACCATAGTATATTCTGTGTGAGTTGCCAAGAAATATACGGCCTTCAATCTAATAATTCTTATTGGTAAATAAGAGTTGTACCTTTTCTTGGCTTTTCCCAAAAATCTGTGAGAGACAAAAACTCCGTCTCCACCACAAACACTGGGGCGAAGCAGGGCACAAAAGCGGGTTCAAACAGACCCCTTCTGTAACCTACAGCCACTCACAGACACCGGGTCGAATCCTGCAAAGCGATGGCTCCACTCTCACAGGGTCTATCACAATTTCCAGGGCCTCATAGGATTTTCGGGGCCTGGGGGCCTTCCGCCTGGGCCTAATGAGTGTGAGGCTCGCGGGGCACTGATTTCTTGGCTTTGGCAGGTCGCTGGTCTTTTCCTTTCTGATCCTATGCACCATTGACACACAGATACTTAAATGCTTGGTTCCAGGTCCTAGACACCATAGACGGAGCCTTTTTTTTGTGTGGAAACACATTCTGGGCTCTTTTTGGGCCCATTGCTGACATTCTTTCACGGCCTTTGCAAAATCTTGGCTGTGATTCTGATTCAGTACCAAACCCTTAGCCATGCAGATCAACGGAAGCAGGTCAATATGGACGGCCGTCCTATACATTCTGACACTGGGTCGCCAAGTCTTGGCTATCGAGCTAGATGTCACGGACAAAGGTAAGCTTGCCTGTCCCCTACTACGCTATATTGATCGCGTAGTGTTGCTGTTACCGCTTATGCCCGATCTCCTGAAATCAATAACCCCTCTTAAAAAGACTGTGGCTAATAAAATGATGCTTTTCACATCAATATAGACTCGATTAAAAATGCCGCCAATGTCGCGACCTACGCGATGATGACATACTATACGGGAAATGAAACTGGTGGAATTCCTGGTGCATTTCCCACCAAGTGGTGGGAAGGCTCGGCCTTGCTGATGGCCCTGCTTAACTACTGGCACTTTACGGGAGATGATTACTACAACGATGAACTGAGTGTTGCCCTACAGTGGCAGGGAGGTGATCAGGGAGATTATATGCCATCAAACTACAGCAGTTTCCTGGTAAGTAAGCATCGGACCCAACACGGTATCCATCCGCCGTGGAGACGGGAGGACCCTGCCAAGAACTTAGTCTCCGGAATGCTAATGGGTCCTTTTTCCTAAAGGGTAATGATGACCAAATGTTCTGGGGTCTCGCAGCCCTAACCGCGGCTGAATACAAACTTCCCGATCGCTCCACTGGATTCTCTTGGCTTCACCTCGCACAGGGTACCTTCAACACCCAAAAGGCACGATGGGACACAACCATGTGCGATGGAGGCCTACGATGGCAGATCTGGGCTTATGAAGGTAGTGGATACTACCTGATGAATGCCGTTTCCAACGGTGGATTCTTTCAGCTGGCTGCTCGCCTCTACCGATATACCAATAACACTGACTACTATGATTGGGCTAAGAAGTCATGGGATTGGTCAACTAGCGTACCTTTAGTCAACAACAAAACATGGACTATTGCGGATTCGACTGATGGGCAAGGAGGCTGCGCGAATGGGGATGCTGTCCAATGGACCTACAACTATGGAATTTACATGGGAGGTTGTGCCTATTTGTATGCCCAAGTAAGTGCTGATCTATGCCCTTGAGAACTCTCAGCATTTCCGCGCTCTTCCTTTATATTTGGAAAGAGAAGAAGGAATGTTAAACTCCACCCTTCCCCCCACTTTTTTGGCCATGTGGATTGAACCTAATTATGATACTATAGACACAAGACGCGTATTGGCTTAAGTGCGTAAATGGTCTCATGGATACACTCTTCAGTTCGTTTTTCACCGCAAAGAACGACTACATCATCGAAGACTGGGAATGTGAGCCTACAGCGCAGTGCAACGACAATGAAATCCTTTTCAAGGGTCTCGTCGTCTCATGGCTCGCAAACACAGCACTTTTGATCCCATCACTGTACGATGAAATTCTTGCCAAGCTGCAGTCTACCGCTGCGGGAGCAGCCAAATCATGCTCAGGCAACAATAACAATACTTGCGGTGTAGCTTGGTACAAACAGGAGTGGGATGGCTTACAAGGAATGGAAGCACAGATTAGCGCCAGCAATGCGTTCAGTGTTCTGATGCTGAAGTGGTTGAATGGGACAGACAATGCTGCCCCAGTCACGTCCACAACAGGTGGAAACAGTACTGGTGATACGAACGCCGGTGAGGATGATAACAAGGGTTCCTCAACCAATGCGTCCCCTATTACCACTGGTGACAGGGCGGGAGCTGGAATCCTCACTGCTGTATTTATCTGTGGCATAGTTGGCATGGCCGTCTTCATGCTTCTTGGACCTTGATTTTTGGCGTTGAGTAGCACTTAGCATTGTTTCATATATTTCTGTCTCCTTATCTTGGTTTAATATTATCGGTGCACATATTGTACTATATTGGAATATTTAACATCTTTCTTTGAGAAATATTAAATTTTGGCATCATAATATTTCCGTTGGATCCAGCATCCAGTACTTAGAGGTATCCTACATTTTCTACAGACACGTACCTCGAGCACCGTTCTAATGCATTTGAGCAAGAATTGAATAAATGGCCAATCTGGGTTGATTTTAACCAAAAAGCGTAATCCTAATCATAAATTCATAAAATCAATTGAAACGCCATTCGATTTATTGTATAACAACAGCATTGAAGCAACGCTTTAGTGTCTAATCAAGCGGGTCCCAGTTGTGTTCGTGCGGAATCGGCGAAACCTAATTCCGGATTACACACATTTGCCCGCCGCTGTGTAGTCAATTGGTATAGTGTAGAGGCTCATGCACCTTTCTGCCTACCAAGGGTGACATTCTTTTATTAGTCTGTTCATTACAGCATACACAGTCGTTGCAAAATATAGCCTCACTCTCAGTGACCACTCAGAACACCACTCCACCACTCTTTTTGCCATTTGGCATCATTGTGCCATTTGGGCCCAGGGCCTCAGCAGTAGCCTTTATTTACTACATGGTCAATAGGAGTCCACCCATAATTATTTACAATATTTAGATCTACACCCCAGTCAAGCAATAGTTAGACTACTTTAAGATAGCTACTATCTACTATATTATTTAGAGATATCTAACTATTATTATCCCCCTGTGAGCTGCCCTTTGGAAGGTTAGCGATTAGTTCCTGTAATAACCGAATACTAAGTTATACCGCGGAGCAATCTGAGCACTCTGAATCCATCATATCTTCTCTCTCTTTCTCTATTAGCATCGTATTCAATTTAACCAGCGTGGTCTTACAAGTACAAGAGTATAAGAACGAGGACAAAAAGTTTCATTCTTGAATAACATACTTTTTATATAAGCAGAATATTCTTTCAATAGATATCACACAAAGCTACGCTACATAGAATACCATGTAATAACAAATTTGGTAATCACAAGACTCTAGCAGGGATCTATCATTCTGGCCCATAAAGCCCCGCTTCAACCTGTCCGCGGACGACTACCTCATAAGGCTCGCGACATACATATGGACTAGTTATTAGCCCACAGAGACAGTGGTAAGTACGATTATAAAGAGGCAGCTGCATCTGCTTTAATCTGCAGTCCTCCATCTCTTTCACTTCTCCTACATCCTTGGGGTTTTCATCGAAAACCACAAAACAAGCCACTACCTAGAAATTATGTCTGATGAAAACAATGCCAGCCCCTCTTCCTCTTCTCCCAATGGAAAAATTGATCCAGCAGAAATAGCCAAATTGAAGGCTGATCGTATGGGATGAGCCCGCGAAAGGCTGGCAGGTCGATCTAGTTCAATGTCAAAAAGGAGAATCTACTGAGAAGAATCTTCAAATTCGCGCGCGATTCGTTGTGATCGGTGCTGGCATTCTAAATTTGCCTAAACTACCAAATACTCCAGGAATTTTGGAGTATCAAGGCGAGGTATTCCATTCATATCGTTGGGCATACGATGTAACTGGTGGTTCTCCTCAGAAACCATCTCTAAGCCTGAGCAAACTGAAGGATAAACGAGTCGCCATCATCGGCACAGGATCTACCGGTGTACAGCTTGTACCGCAACTTGCAAGATCGGCCAAACATCTTTATGTCGTACAACGGACACCAGCCAACGAAGATGATCGTGACCAGCGAGAAACAGACGAAGAATGTTTTCATAAAGTCACACAATCCCCGAATTGGCAGCGAGAGAGAATGAGAAACTTTCACCAATTTTCACTCTTGGCAAGACCCCGAAATTAATTTGGTCGACGATGCGTGGACTCGTGCTCCCGGGTTACTTGGTTGGACAGGAAATCCCGATGGTCCAAAACGTTACCCTATGTTATATTACCACAGTATGTCTGCGATGCGTTTTTACACACAGGTACGTACAGTAGATTGTACCGAAATAAAGCTATAGTAAAACCTAACATGATCAAGAGGGACTGTGGCTCGGTTTATCTAATTGGTTGTTAATGTTTTGTATAATAATCTCATAAAGCCCTCTTCTAATCAAATCCACATGCAAGACCCGAAAACGCTCCACTGAGGTTTCATCATCTAAGCCGGTCGGCGAGTACTCACGGTGTGTAGACTCTTCCACCACAGCATCTAGAAGTGTGTCTATTAATTCTAAAGATGTCTCTCGGATATGAGCCAACGTCGCTCGTCGGAATTTCGGGTATAGGGTCCCATCCACGCCTTTCCAATGCACGACTGTAAAATGACCAGCGTCTTCATCAACGATATAAATATAATCAAGCTGAAGTGAAGCGGCGTTAGAGATAGCATTTCTTCCCGTTTGAATTTATCAGATCTTGCAAGCATTTGGCGGATAGTTCTCAGAGTTAATGGCGTGTCTGGAGATGAAGATTGTCCACGGGGAGGGTGAAGGTACGATACCACTCCCCTGCAACAGCTGTGCCAGTAGTTTGCTTGAATGCTAGAGTAAAGTCTGTACCATCAAGATGCAACTTCCAAAGTCCCCTGGTTACCATTGTATCGAGAATTATGTATTAGCTGGCAATATAGGATGCGGGGGAGGTGCTTGGGCCAGAACTATAGAACATAGGCACGATTTTGTATTACAAGCTTCCACCCAGAACAACGGTTAATTTGCTAGTTCCTTGGTGTACTATGGACTGCATGTCTCTTTTACAGATTTTGTTCACGCGTATCACTAGCATTGGTCATGCTTAGGCGATTATCAAGGGGTTGGAGGGTGAGACTCGCAGCGGATTGGGACGCCATCGGAACAGTGTAGGTCAAAAAGACGACATACATGTACGAATGCACAGGATCTAACATTTTTATGTCCATTTCATCATAACTAACGCCGCGCCCAAATAAGATGCGACTTCGTGAAACCGGGAGTAATAAAAGCCCGGGTTATCCTCCTGATATGGTTCTCTCCAACAGACTCTCTTTCAAGTCTCTCAACCGATCTGCATCCTCGCAGTGACTCCATCGCTTTCATATCCCCTCACAAGGTCTATCGGAACAAAGCCAGGTCGACACCGAATGCGCCACTTTGCTTTTTATTTTATTTTCGGCCAGATCATACTGCCTGGGCGTCGAAGATAACCATAACAGAGATAGAACGTGGAGAGAAGAATGTATTTCTCCGGAGAATCCTTGGCTCTCAAGTACAAAATGGGGGTCGAAAAGGGAGGGAAATAAAAAGGCGTAAAATAAGAACAAAATAAAAGAGACAAACCCAATAGTGTCGGAACAAAGAATCGAGATATAAGGAACATCAACGGGAAAGAGGTTGGAGCTCCACTGAAATCACTTCATGCATCGTTTTTTTTCCGTCATAGGCATTTATGCGCGGGCCTCCTCGGTAGGAGCACGGTCCTGGCGTTGGTTGTTGTTGTTGGTGTTGTTGTTGCGACCACCCTTGCCACCGCGCTGGTTGTTGTTGTTGTTGTTGTTGTTGCTGTTGTTGCTGTTGTTGTTACGCTGGCCCTCGCCGCCAGCATTGGCAGACTCACCACCACCCAGTGTCAACTGGGCGGTTGCGAGCCGGTTAGACAGCTCCATCTGTGTGCGGACGGTGTTGGCAAGGTAGGAAACCACGAGAACGTCCTGGATGTGGTTGTTGCTGTTGCACAGTTAGCAAAACAAGGAATATATAGGGTGTGGAGTAAATTATGTATAGCAAGACATACAAGTCACGCTCAATATCAGCAGGCTCAACCTTGGGGGCGAGAGCAAGAGCATTCAGCAAGAACTGGCCCATAGCAGTGGAAGCAGGAGCCTCCTCGTCAATAACGGATTCGACATATCGTGAGACGCGGTCAATCATGCTGATAACCTCCTCAATAGCACGCTCCAAAGCTTCAACATCGGTGGCGAGGGAAGTGGTTCGCTCCTCAGATTCCTTAGCATTGGCAATGGCCTCGAGACCGCTCTTGTCGGCCTCACCGTATCGGAGTTCGTAGGGGACGGGGATGAAAGCGGCGCTGTCGGCGGCCCGCTCAGCGGTGACACCAACGGGAGCGGAGATGTAGGCGCGAGTCTCAAGATCCTTGCCGGGCTCGGTTGACACAGTCAAGTGCACGGCGGGGTGGGGCCATGTGCCATCACCCTGACCACTGTAGAAGTTCTGGATCAAGGCGGAGAAAGTGTTAAGCTCAGAAGCAGTGGCGTACCAGCCGACAAGAACCTCGCGCGGGTTGGCCTTCAAGTGCAAAGCCAGCATCTGCTTGTGGTATTCCATATCGACCTCGACCTGGTCCTCAGCCTCGGAGTGGCCCACAGCGAACGCGGAGCGCACTTCAACCTCGCCTCCATCTTCCGATCGTGTTCCCAACAGAGTACCAATGACACGTTCCTGGTCGGCATTGCGGCGAAGTGAGTGGTCGAGAATGGAGAAGACAGCCTAAAATGGATGAAAGCGACAGATTAGAAGGCTGTATGTTTTTTTTTTGTATATGATATGGAAAGGCCTTTAAGTTGTTCGTACCTGGGGCTGGATCACCACATTCAGAGGGGCAGTGGTGGGAGCGGTCCCCACAGAGACGGGAGCCAGCGGGCGTGCGAGGTGCAGGAAAGAATCGTCGGCCATGGTGATGTTGGGGAGAGTAGGAGAAGGTGGGGAGGTGGTTTTTTTCGACACTCTCTCACTTTCGGACCTTTGGAGACTTCGGAGGGACAATTTTTCCTTTTGGAGAGTGGAGTGCGGCGTGACTGTGGTTGTTCCGATTCTTTGTGTGTGGGAATTTTCGCGCTAAGATAAGATAAGCAAGTCTCTTTCCTTAGCAAGAAAAAAAAAAAGAGCAACACCACATACAAGCTAGTTTTAACTCTTGTTCAAGTCACCATGCCCCCTCCAAGAGGCGGTAGATCCGGCAGAGGCCGTGGAATTCGTGGAAGAGGGACTGGTCGCAGAGGTTTTACTTCTTCGCGACTGCACGATATCGAGTAAGTTGGAGATCATTGAAGCTCTTGAAGCACTGGCCGCTAAAACCTGGGGCAGATCTGAAGAATCCTCCGGCGATGATGCAAGCAACATTCCAATGGTTGAAGGCGCCGAGGACTTGTCTATGTCAGATGGAGATTCATCTAGCAGCGAGGAAGAAGAAGAGGAAAAATTCGCCGGTCGCCCCTACAACGAATTACTTGAACTATTGCACGCCAACGCGGACTCGAAGGCACCAGCTCCGAAGCGAAGAAAAATAGCGAACGAGAAAAAATCAGAGGAAAAACCAGCCGAAATTCCCGACTCAGAGGAGGGAGAAGAATCCGACCCAGGCAACGATGCGCTGGAAGCCGATGCGCCTTCGGACGACGAACAAGAGGACCAACAAGCAGATAATGAAGACGAAGATGACGATGAAGATGGCCTCGGACCGTTTGAAAAGCATTTCAATCATGGAGAAGGAACTGAATTGACCAAGCAAATTACGCAAATCGATGCCAATAAGTGGACTTCAGCTAAGAAAGAAGTGGAGGGACTGCGACTGGTGCGCAGCGTCCCCGATATTGGCGACAATACTCCATCATTCCTCCCACCGATGAAAACCACCGTTGGCCTAAAGGTATATCATATGAATCATATATATATCTAAATAAGCGAAAATTCCAGCTAACGCTTATTTCTCTAGCTCAAGAACAAACTGAAGCCTCGTGTCGCGGAACTTCTCCCCACCATCGAGAGTTCTGCTCAACAAGTTGCGCCCTATGTATTCGACTACCAGGATGTTCTTTTTGGCGCACGCTCCACGGATACTGCAGATGCTATGCGCGATTTTCTGGCCCTCCATAGTGTCAACCACCTTGTAAAAACTCGAGACCAGGTGCTCAAGAACAACGCTCGTTTGGCCAAGAACCCCGACACCGATGTCGAGTACCGTGATCAAGGATTCACCCGACCCAAAGTTCTGTATATTTTGCCTACTCGACAAGCTTGTGTGCGAGTAGTCAACTCGATCACTAAGTTCTACCAGGCTGAACAGCAGGAGAATAAGAAGAGATTTACCGACTCCTTCTCTGCATCTGATGATGGATGGAACCACAAGACAGATGATGCTCGTGAATTATTCGGGGGCAACAACGATGACATGTTCCGACTAGGATTGAAGTTCACCCGTAAAACGGTGAAATATTTCTCGCAGTTCTACAGTTCAGATATTATCCTGGCCAGTCCACTTGGTCTACGGACAATCATGGACCAATCTGAGTAATTAACCCCCCTATGATCAAGTGTATATGTGGTACATGGACAACAAGGCTGACTTTTTGGGTAGTGCAAAGAAGCGAGATCATGACTTTCTCTCGTCCATCGAAGTTGTGATTGTGGACCACGCCGACGCTCTTCTTATGCAGAACTGGGACCACATGACATACATCTTCCAACATCTTAATCTCCAGCCCAAGGAAGCTCATGGCTGTGATTTTAGTCGTGTACGAAACTGGTATCTCGATGACCAGGCCCGGCACGTTCGGCAAACCATCATGCTATCGTCCTTTATCACACCAGAGATCAACGCGCTTTTCTCAACACAAATGCAAAATGCCACCGGTCGTATCAAGATGACCCCTGTCTACGCAGGCGCCATCACTGAACTGCCTCTTCCAGTATCTGTCAAGCAAACGTTTTCCCGGGTCGACAGTCTATCACCAGCCAAGGACCCCGATGCACGATTCAAGCACTTCACCACGACAATCCTTTCGAGTCTAGTCAAGAACGTCACAGGACGCGGCAAAGGCAGCGCAGGTACGCTGATCTTTATTCCTTCGTACCTTGATTTTGTGCGTGTGCGCAACCACTTCGCCACCTCCACACAAACCACAAACGTCTCATTCGGCGCCATCTCCGAGTACACCGAGAGTCGTGAAATGGGTCGGGCTCGCAGCCATTTTATGAGTGCCCGTCATTCAGTACTCTTGTACACGGAACGTGCACACCATTTCCGCCGTTATCAGATCCGCGGGGTGAAGCGCGTCATCATGTACGGGCTACCGGAGAACCCTACCTTTTATGATGAGATTGTGGCGTTCTTGGGACTTGACCCTTCAGCGTTGGCTGAAGCGGCTGAAGGTGGCGTGCGAGCATTATTCTCCAAGTGGGATGCAATGAAATTGGAGCGCGTTGTAGGCACTCAACGTGTGGGGAATATGTTGCGTGAGAAGGGGGGTGACACATTTACATTTGTCTAGATCATGATTGTGATGATGATCATAGTCATCAGCTGCAGCGATAATCTCAGACAAGCCATAATATTCTACTAGAGTACATACTATTCATGCGAACTAGACGGCAATATTTCCAGTCATGTAGATCGTTGCCTTGATGTAACCCCTGCTCCCCTCTTTCAGATAATTCCTCTGATTGGTACGTTCTGTGACTGATGTCTCCCGCGCATAAATAGTATGCACGAGATACAACTATGCACTATTTACGTAGGAATCGACGGGAACCTTGACGTAGGTCGCACAGCAGGGTCGGAGATGCATGAACTCCTAACTTGAATGAAACGAAAGATCGCTTTCTTCATTCTTTCTTCATAGATGAATACTAAAACGCTTCAAGATGAAAAATGCACGGCTCAATAGGAGATCACGTGGTCATGATAGAAGCAAAAAAAAAAAGCTTCATGATTCCAGAGTCAACCTGTTAATTAGCTTTTCATTGGTCTTTCCTTTAAACTGACTATATAGGATCGCCAAGGTACATCACGCCCTATACAATATAGGTCACCCGAGTTATACACTTCTGCAGTGTCCGACTTCATATAGTCGAAGACCCACGAGAAAGCGGGTTCCCCACTTCGCCTTCTTGTCATGCGGACTTTTTCTTTTTCTTCTCTCTGTCCCCATCACACGAATCATGATATAACGACTTGTTTTTCTTCTGTTTCGCTCTTCGCTCTTCATCCTTCTATCGTCTCTCCCTGCCCTTTTATCTCATTCTCCTCTCAGAAAGGCATATCTCGGTAGAGTGCCTGGATAGAGCAAAAGAAATTAAAAAGACATGGCATCACCTCGGCCCCGTTCCCCCTCAAATAACGCAGATCGGAACCCATATTCCTCCGATAGCGAGCATCCAGATGCGCCCTTGCCAAACGAGCCTTATCGAGACGACGAGTCCTCCTATATCCCCTCCCTTGTAGAATATGAACCGCGTCCCATCGATGAAAGCGACGAGAACGAGAATGAAGATATCATTGCGGAATCATCCAGACCCCGTCATGCGTGGCAGGCCAAGCTCCGAGTGTTTTGGTTGAAGAACAAGGGCATTTTCCTTGTACTGCTGGCACAGGCATTTGGCGCGTCAATGAATGTTATGACGAAGGTTTTAGAGATCAATAGCTCTTTGCATCCATTCCAGGTAGGTTGGATAAGAAAACATATAAGCCAAAATCTATGCGAAAGAGAGAGAAAAAGAATCCAAAATAGAGACAGAAGTCTATGCATTGTTCTTGATCAATCGCGATCTCCATCTCTCCTTTACAGAAGCTCCTACTGGCAGTAGTTTATACACTATAAGATCCCTCGACTAACCATATACAACTTTACTCATGACAGATCTTATTTGCCCGCATGTCAATCACAGCATTGGCAAGCTACCTTTACATGTGGTATGCGCGTGTGCCTCATCCCCTTGGCACCAAACCAATCATCCACCTCCTCATTACGCGTGCCGTCTTCGGTTTCATGGGAGTATACGGACTATACTACTCAGTACAATACCTGCCTCTCGCCGAAGCAACTGTTATTACCTTCCTAGCCCCGATAATGACCTGCTACGCCTGCTCGCTGCTAATACCTGGCGAAACATTTAACAAGCGCCAACAAGCCGCAGCGCTAGTGTCCCTAGCAGGTGTAATGCTAATCGCACGACCATTCCGTACGCGCGACAGTCATGCCAGTAACCAGGACCAAAGTCAGGAGCAAGGCGGTAGTCCCAACTCAACAGACTCATATCACCACGTCATGGCAACAATCGTGGCATTTATAGGTGTTATCGGCGCAGCAGGAGCTTACACGTCCATTCGCGTGATTGGAAAACGCGCTCACCCGCTTGTGTCAGTGACGTACTTTTCAAGTGTGACAACCATCATCTCACTTGTCGCAATGGCTGCGTTTCCCTGGGTACAGTTCAAACTCCCCAGCACACCTTTAGAATGGACACTCATGGCCGGACTGGGAGTGTGTGGGTTCCTATTACAGTTCCTATTGACGGCCGGGTTATCTTACGTGCCACCGCGTGAGGTGGCAAATAGTAAAGCGAGTCAGGGATCGCGAGCGACGAGTATGGTGTATACACAGGTGCTGTTTGCGCTCTTTTACGATAAAGTGGTCTGGGGCACTACGCTTTCATTGATGAGTGCAGCTGGGTCGGTGCTCATTCTCGCGTGTGCCATTTACGTGGCTGTCATGCAGGACGAACGATCGGACCCTGGTCCAGTAACACAATCAGACAATCACCCGCAATTCAAGGACGTTGGTGACGAGGAGGCGCTGATTAACCCTGCACAGGGGTGAGGTGGGAACTTACAGAGTGCACCGACGCTCTGTCTTGGTTCTCTATTTTGTTTCCTGCTTGGATCATATGGTTCATCGGATTCTCCGTGTTGCATAGGTGCATCAGGCACCTTGAACCCCGTCTTCCGACGGCTACTGGGAGCCTTTAATTAAGCACTTGAGACCAGTCAAGGTCGATAGTCTATAAAAACGATTCATTGTTCATTCATCCTAAGACACGATTCTAGCCTCTCCTTTTAGACCTCGTGTGAAGACCCGCCTATCCCTGACCCCGGGAAGGCTACTTCCATGTACATGTACTCTAATCCTGCAATACCCACTTTCATATAGGTGAGTATTTGATATTCTGTACGGGGGCATCATAATGCCCCACGGATATACCATGAGAGGGTAATGGAGGCTTTTCGTGTAGGAAATTATGATTTCTGAAGATAGCATTCGAGCCTTGCGAACTAAGTCGATGAAATACATGTATACTGCTGCTATATTAAGACTATGTATAGACTTCATGACTTCATATTATGCTCAAATTCAGTTTGAATAGATCGTCATCCTCGGTTACTATGCAAGTACATGATTTGGAATAATGCACACTGTTCAACGCCGGCCCGTTTTACAAGTACTGTACACCTAGGCACCAGGCAAGTTACCAAGAAGAGAGGTGAGCATCAACGTAATCTTGGATTTTGCTCTGCAAGAGTCAGAATTATTACAGCGGCTATTTATAACCAGTGAAAGCCAATTTAAGTCGTAATAGGGGCTCTTCGTGCAAGGCGTCCGTCCAACATCTGTACAGGGTACAGTTCTCCACAAACCCCACTTGACGCAGGATCCAGAGATTTCATTCATCAGCCCGTGTAAACTTGGCCCCACCAGACTGGGGATCTACACGCGAATGGCCCCTAAATTCTAGGATTTTCAATTTGAAAACCAACAAAATCCCATAGCCACGATGAGCCACCGTAACATCGGATGACTCAGTTGCCGGTATGTTCATGGCAGCCTTATCAAAGATCCTTGAGGAGCTTTATCCTCCTTCACCCCGCCGCTAAAGCTGCTCAAACTATACAGTATAAGATGACGGAAAGAGGCCCCAGGGGCAAATATGCCCGTATGATCTGTCGAGGTTGTCGCGCCAGAAAGATCAAATGCATTCTCCCTGATACGCAAAACTTGGGTCCCTTGAGTACCCCGCAACCCAAAGAGAAAGCCTGCGAGCGATGTCGCAGCCTCGGTCTGAAGTGCATTGTTGATTATACCTTGCTCGGACGGCCTCAGTCCAAACGTACGCAGCTTGCAAAGTCAGAAGAGCGAAGTCCGAACACCCAGTCGGACTCTTTGTCCAATGACCCTGCCAATCTAGACATCAAGAAGTATCTTTTCGCCGACGAAGATGATAATATAATTCCAAAAGACGGCCGGTCGGAACCCGCTCGCACGCCGCGAAAAGAGGAGGTTTTCCAGTCAATGATCCAGCCTCATGCCTTCTTCCTCTCGGTTCTTGAGAAAGATCGCCTGTTCGGCTCTGATGTTGCGCCTGCTACCACGAGCTGGGATACGCCATTACCAATCCTGATCAGCCAAGATATGGCGGCATCATTTGATCGGTGGTAAGTTACAAATGCTCTCAACCATCTATATAAACATTCTAATCGTTTCACTATAGCTTGGTTTGGCATCGGTTCTTTCTCCCTAAACTACCGGCTCTAGTCAGTCTCCGAGAACGACTGGTATTAAATGATCCTCTCACCAGCAACTGTGCAACGAGGTTGCTCTTTGCGCTCCTTGGCCTGTCTGCATTTGACCTGAGCGAGAATATTACTCAAGAAGACTTGCCATTAAGAGAAACCTTGAGACAAGCTGTATCCTTCCTCGGCCAAGAATTTATATTTTCCCCGCCAACGCACCCAGACACCGTTGTTGTTTGTCTTTTCTTATCAGACTACAAACCAACCGCTATGGCTACCACGCAAGGTGTCGCTCATAAAGCAATCAAGTCAGAACTATACATGAATATTGCGTACGGCGTCTTTCATAGACTGGAATCAGTGAACCAACAGGGGAACCAACTTGCCGACGGTCTAAACACTCCAGATTATGGCGAGTTTGAGAGCTGGCTCTTCGACTCCATTCACGCATTCCAGGTAATTGCCGGTCACGCGACAGTGGACGGCCTGTCAGGAAAGCCACTTCACAGTTTACAAGTTTTGACCGATTACATGAAATCTCGCGTTGATATGTACCAGATTGCGCTCACTACTCGCCCGTGCACACCGCGCGCTATCTACTATATTCAATGGGCTACATCTACATGCATCCTCTTCGAGACATTGACTAGTGTCAAACAAAGTTTGCACGACTCGAGTGCCTTCATTATGATCACAGAAGAAAATGAAAGAAAGTGCATTGAACAAATTCATTACAGCAACTTTCTCCTAGACGCCATCTCCCCCAGAGATAATGAAGAGATGCTGGCCGTCCGTTCATTATTGAAGCATCGATTTTGCACGGTGAATAACTGGGGAATTGCTCTCGGAATGCTTTACACCTCAATGCTAGGAAGGAAAATCCGAGATGGCATATGGGATAATAGTTCCGACATAACCCCAGAGGATACAACGCAAATTGGAGCCGAAGTTGCGAATACTTGGAAGAGTCCCGGCGATCCATCAAACATGCATTTCAGGGAGATTCTGGTCCGCTTCGGCAAAGTATATCCCAAGCAGCTAATGGAGCTCCTGGATATGTTCATTGAATGTTCAAAGATGAGGCTCAATGGCGTGATTTTCCGTCCACCACCGCGATACTTTGGAATAGAACGCGTGACAAATGCCAAAAATCTCCTCGAGAACAACGTTGTCATGGTTAGATCATTTGGATACCTACATTCAGAATTTCCGAAGCAACTCGAGCTATTCAAAGAATGCGCCGAACGACTCGCCAAGATGGCCTCATCATCGGACAGAACAGCTGAAGCTGCATTCGCTGGCGGATGCGTCTATGCCCTGTGTAGCAAGGTGATCTCTGGATTTCTCGGTCTGATGGAAAAATTGAAGGCAGAGTTCAGAAGTGGCCACAAACGACCTGACCTGTTGGAGGATATCACGACGTATGGGGCTTATAGCATTTTCACGGATACGCCGAGTTCTGGCCAGCTGTCTGACAATTTAGATATGTATGGGGTATTCCCTTCTAGTGGCATATCCACTAGCCAAATTGAAGGATTGCAAACCTTTGATTGGTCCTCTATGCTGAATATGGGAGATCCTGGATTCCAACCGCAAAATCCAACCTGGTTTGGCGAACCCTTCTTATCATGACGAATGTTTCAAATGGATGTATAACAGATATAAAGCGAGTTTTATTTCAATTATCATGATGATAGAGAAATACGAGTTTAAGACATGACATTGATTAATGGGCTATTGATATTGCCTTTCGATTATATTTTGCTTCTCACCCCTAATAGAACATATCTCATCTGTAACACAGCTATCCAAATGATGTCAGTCTTTAAGCTAAGATCCAATTCTGGACCGCGCAATTAATTCCAAATCGACCGCGCAATTTTTCCGTGTCATCGCAAATTATCTCGGGAAATTAGCGCAAATTAGCGAGAGAAAGCGATGATCGCATTATCAATGAGCTAGCGTCCTCGTACCTGTGACTACCAGCCTGCGCAAATCTATACCATGGAATGTTAGAGATAGATTGATCTTGAATTACGCCATGAACTTGAACCGGACTCCAGTCTATTATAGGAACCAATATTATCATTCTGACACTATCTCATTGCGGAGACTTTTGTTTATAGGGTAGGTTGTCTTGACTCGATCCATAACTCTATGACAGGTGTCTAGCCTTGGATGTTAATTTAATAGCCAATCTGGCCGAAATACCCCCGCTGCAGCTATCATCCTCAAAAAGAGGAGATATCCCTAGCACCTGAGTACACCGTGGTCAAGGCTCAGGACATACGTAACAGTAAGGACCAGTATTGGACAATCCAAGGGCTCGGGCCATGCCGCCGATGACGATGGCAGTCTAGACAGGGCTCCAGAGTGCATAGGAACTCAATATTCAACATCGGAGTTCTCGGTTTCACTTTGATTTAGACATGATGAACCAGGATCAGCCACTTACCTTCACCCGATCCAATCACATACATTCTTCGCCCGAGATCAATGCAGCTAAAATCCCCAGATCTCTTTAAATGGAGTGGTCGGAGCACTCTGCTCCTTGCCTTTTCACGCATCAGTCCACTGCTCCACCCCGACGTCATAGGGTTGCAGCGCCCAACGCCAATCCGAATTTTCCCGAGAGATGTGATTGGTTCAGCCAGTTTGGAGGTTGATTGATATCGAGAATGGACATTTGAGACGATGAGAAGAGAGTGGAAGAGTGGATACGTTTTATAAAAGCCCACTTGGTGCCCCGGTTTTATCTTACGTGTCTGGCAGATGAGAAAAGTGGATTTGACTCCCCCGGATCGTCGATCTCTAATCCATCTTAAGACAATTGGAGATTTCAACTCAACTTCTGTCTTCTCCTTCATTCATCCAGATCCTTCGGCATTATACCAGGATCATCTATATACTTGTTCAAGATCATCATCTGAGTGGATCATGATCGGATGATCACCAGTGTATAAAGTCCAATCATCCATCCCAACATTGAAATAGCACTCTGATATAGACGTATCATCCTAAATCCAACGCCCAACGCCCAACCACACAAAAACTCTTCTCAAAATGCGCCACTTCGACGCCTGGGTCGTGCGAGACCCATATTCAATCTGGCACTACTACTCTACCGGCCGTCGCTGGCAAGACACAGTCCGCACTCTAATCCAAGAGCGCAAGATCTGTTCCCCATCCCAAGAACCAGAGACCGAACCCACAAACACCAAGCCCATAAATCCTCAATCAACAAGTCCCCTTTTGTCCCAACTCCCACCCGAAATCCGCCAAATGATCTGGGGCTACGTCTTCGGCTCCAAAACCATCCACCTCGTAACAGTGAAAGATAAAATCCGCCACGTCGCCTGTCCCCAATCAAACCCATCTCTAACTCAACACCGACACTGTTGTCCCTATACACCTGCTCGCTGGCGAATCTACGACGGCCGAGTACCCGGACACTCGGACAGACTTCTCTACCCACATACACATGACCTGTTACCCGATCATCTTTCTAATAGCGGGAACGCACTACTTCAAACCTGCCAAGGTATCAATCTCGAAGCATCAGACCTACTCTATCAACAAAGTAACTTTGACGTTGATGACCTGTATACATTTATTGCATTTGCGTCTGCGATCGGAACCCAAAAGCTCAACTGTATCCGGCAGTTAACCGTGCAATGGATGCCGGTTTGGCAACCATTCACGGGGAAAGATCACAAGGGATCAATATACGCTCATACCCACAGTGATGCATTATGGAGCGAGTTCTGGAGCGTTGTATCCTCTATGCGGGGATTAAGAGAGTTACAACTCAGTATTGATTTGGGAAGATTTACCGGCACGCAGATAGGCGGAGGACCTGTTATTGTTGCGGGGCAGAGAATTCCACTTGTGCTTAGTGAGGGGTGGTTGTTACCGTTGTTGAATGTGAGGGGGTTGAAGGGGTTTGAGCTTGCTGTTACGGCACGATGTGATGCTGCAGCTAAGGGGGTGATTGAGGAGGAATTGGTGAGGGATGCGGTGGTTTTAAGGGATCAGTTGAGAGCGGTGATGTGTTCGCCTGTTGGGATGTCGATTGGAGGGATTTTGGGACTTGGACTGAAGGAGTGGGCGTGTGCTTTGGAGGCTTTACGGGAGAGGGGGGAAGGGGAGGAATTACTACTGCAGCAGAGTCGGAGGAATGGTGCACGGTTGGCTATTACTGCGGCTTGATCTTCGTCTTTTCTTCTTCTTTTTTCTTTGTTTTTCTCCTATGATACCCCTCTTGGATTTATCTTATAGATACAGCGACCAGTAGAGTCTCACTAGACCAATACACTGCATCTGACCACACTCTCTTCCACATGTGCAAGGTTCATCATATTTACCGCCTATTACACCGCTAGCTGTACTGTAAGCTCTACATAGATAGAAAGACATCTAGGAAGGCAAAAGGAGAAATGGCTGTTTCCCCGATGATCGCTACTGTCCACCGTAAACACTCTCTTCCTTGTGAATTCAATTCCATGTAACCCATTCCCCTCGATCTATTGGCCTGTGCCTGGACGGCAAATACTTGATTGTTTCCTTGATAGTTTTAGACTTTCTATAAACAAGGACATCCCTGTGAATATTGCGGATTCGTATTTGCTAACCCGATAAAATAAACCGAACCCATATGTAGCACTAGGACAAGAGTCAAGATAATCTATACAACAAGTAACCGAGTGACCGAGTAACCAAAATCCCATTATTCTGTTATTCCATTCAGTGGAATCAACTCGAAGCTTTTCATTGTCCAATCCGAAACAAATGGACTCAACCCTGCATTCGAAAAACCTGCCAAGCAAGAATATTATAGCCAATAACCCGAATAAATGAAGATGCACACATCAAAATAGAACCATAAACAGTAGAAGTCGGGTCATATCACAACAACAGTCACGGCAAGCCATAACCAGCACAGAGAGAAATGGGGTTCGATTTCTGAGTATTAAGGGAGGCAAAACAGGTGAGGGAAGAAATGACGCCATACACCAGACATAGGAGATTGCCAGCAATTTAGAGATAATATCTAGGCAGAGATGAAGAAAGAGGAGGCGTAGATAAACACAATCAAGAAAGTATAAGACACGAACCGAATGCAAATGTGAGAAAGGATGGGTGGGGGAGACGGGGACAGAGGGGGGGAAATGCAAGGTCAATTTCGAATCAAATTCAATCAAATCGCTTCCTTGAACTACGCTGAGACACGACCACGGAGCTCCTCTTCGTAGGCTTGGACCCGCTCAGAATCAGGTTCCTCTTCCTCTGATGGTGAGTGCATATTACTAGGAAGCTCATGGAGAGATTGACGACTGCGCATCATCTGATAAGAAGTTAGCAAAGGGGTCCATGTCGATAAACAAAATCAATGAGAGTCAGGGAATACTTACCCATGCTCGTACACCTCCAATCAGTCCCAGACTGTATCCAGTTGCGAAATCCTCGTTGCGAGCACCACCCATGGGGCTATCAGGACGGTTCAAAGCCTCAACACGAGACAAGTGCGACTTGCTCCCACCAGTGGGGCTAGCCAGAGGACCACGGGCACTGCCATAGTCCACACTGTTGCGGTTACTAGGCGCGGGGCTACCTGGCCGGCTATTTTGCCAGATCTGTCGCAGTTCCCGACCGAGTTCCTGGCCAGTCATGGTCCAGTTGTTTTTGATGTTGTCACGAAGTTCAACCACGTGGCGCTTGATCTCCAGCTCGTTCTTCTTCAGCCACGACACGTTAAGTTCTTGACGGGATGCGCCACGCTTGAACTGGCGAGAGATATATTGGTCGTAATCACGAACAATTCTGTAGCACGACGATACCTTGGTTAGTCACGGAATTTGGAAATGGTATGATAATTGGAAAGAATCAACAGATGTTTCCCGTTTTGAATCACTTACCGAGTAATGATGCCTGTGGTGCTGACACCCTCTGTTCTCTGAGTGACCAGGAACTTGCCCTGGGCCTTGATGGGTTCGTAGATATCGTCACCCTCTGCAGCCTCGTAAGGCAAGTCGTCGTGGGCGACGTAATCGATCTGGTGCTCGGACAGGAAATCGGGAGTGACAACCCATGGGCAGTTGGGAATAACCTCATCAACCCACTTGCAGTGACGCAGAGTCTCAGCTCGCTCAGCACCACTCAAAACAGTCAGACCCTTGCGAAGGTGGGTCTCCTCATTACCAGTGACTCCAACAATAAGGTAGGTATCGGGGAAAGCATTCTTAGCTTGTTCGAGCTGTCTCATGTGACTATAAGGAATTAGCAACAGCTCGGAACATAGGGACATCCAAGTTGGAGAAAAAGCGAAAGAGAAGAAAAGGAAAGGAAAGGATATCGAGTTGCGATCGAGTTGCGACCGAGGTCAGATCAAAAAACCGAGCATGCATGCCAAGTGACAGAAGCAAAAAAAGAACAAGAACAATCAATAGGGTAACAAAGAACATACCCAAGGTGAAACAGATCAAAGACACCATCAGCATAGACACGGACAGGACGTCCCACCGGAGGTGGGTTAGTCTTGTAACCAACAGGATCCTGCAAGACACCACGCTGCGGTGGTGGCATCGAGTCTTGTTCCTGATCCTGATCAGTGGGCAAATCGATGTGTAGACCGGGCCGATTCCTAGGTGTATTCTCAATATCGGAAGAAGCAACAGTAGTCTCGGAGGGCTCGCCGGGATCCTCGTGAGTCCGGGGCTCAGCGACACCATTAGTAGTCGGGTGAGAAGTATCTCCAGAGTTCTTGCGGGCGCGTTTGTGAGAAGATGTCGGAGCATCCTGCTTCTTGCTAGATTTGTTGGGGGTGGCATTGGAAGGACCGGTTGAGTCCTCGCCATCTTCGCCGGACGCGTCGCGTGAAGAGGGTTGGAGCTCATTAGTGGCCGGCTGGGGCACAGGAAGGTGTGAAGCGCTGCGCTTGCGCTTGCCGGCGGGGGAGGTAGGTGACATTGCGGCGATGGAAGCTTAATTTTTTGTCTTATATTAGTATTAGGCTTGATGCTGCCTTCTTGATGGGAAAGGAGAGGAGAGGATAAAAGGGTCTTCGAAAAGCGGATTGATCCGGTTAGGGGGTAATTTTCTTTTTTGGGGTTCAAGTGGGGGCTGCCATGCTTTCTTACAGGGGTGAGACGGTTTTTTTTCCCTGTACCTCCTCAAAGTGCCCCACACATTGACACTGCCAGGCTGGGCACGGGCAATCTGGGCAGATTGATTTGAGTGTTACCATCATGGACTCCACAATGTGTACTCCGTAGTGATGATGTGATTCTTTACTACATATGGGAGGCGGTGGAGACATGTACAGTTGCCGCGAACTGGTGAAGGCGGCAAAAAAGAAACTTACAAGGAGTATACCTTGAGTATAACCTTGGAACCTTGGAAGACTTGTAGTAAAGAAAGAAGATTAAGCTATCATTCTCTGACGTATAGCGATATATACCTCAAGTGCTACGTTTTCTCGTATCTAGCATAAGGCCCCCTAAAACACACTCACGAATCCAGGCTCACCGCCTTCCTAATTTAGATATGTAGCAGTAGCAGTAGCAGCATTGCAGTGAGTATAAGGTGACGGCGTGGCGTTTGCTCTCGCAAGGTATTTAGACCCAGTTTACGTTACCGGCCCCACTAGGTCCTGAAACAGGCCTACGGCATACAAAACAGGAATAAAGAGAGAAAGGAAAGCTTCATTGCTTGTGCTGAGATGGGACACACTGGCCCACTATCTCCCGAAACTCCAGTGCTAAAATAGCCAAGATCTACCATTGCAGATACCGTCAGAGAACTCATATACCGAGGCCGAAATTTGGAATACATCAGAGAATACGCAGGATCCATAGAAAACCTCTTTGCCTAATGTTCCTTTCTCTTCAGACCGAATGTCCAAGTCGCCCACCGGGTTCGCAGGTTCGTAGTACTTCCCATGTTGGATTTGTGGTCCTCACATCCCTAGGAGTGAAATCTAGGTACGGACCAAACAATTGACCACGTGGAGAGGGAGGAGAAGAAGAAGCCAAGTATATAAGAGAAGAAGACGAGACGGAAGCATAGAAGAGAAAAAAGTGTAATGGTTCGTCAATAGCAGGGGCATTTTCTGCGGTATCTCGTGTGGTGTGAAGGCATAAAAAAAGTAAAACAGAACGTGCTCGTGAAGGCCCATGGCTCCCGGCGAAGGCCTCATAAATCCATGACCAAACCCGTTATTTCTTCCTCACAACCCTAATATTCTCTTTCCTGCATGTTTCCATCCCAGTCTAACAAGAATCCATCCCAAAGGTGAAATAGAGGCACCAGTTGGACTCGGAGATGGCGCCCCAAGATAACTCAAGCAGAAAAAGAAGAAAAAGAAAAAAGAGACAAAAATTGAAATAGTAGGAGAAAGGTCGTAGAAAGGGGGAGATAGAGGCGAAGCGGAAAGGTAGGTCGTGTCAGAAGGGGGATTGACGGAAGCTTGTTCGCAAGACTAACAAAACGGGAGGACAGGGGACAATAGACAACGAAGCAAGCCAAACAAGGACAGGGGGGGAATAAGGTTCATCAAAAACTACGAGGTTGTCGACTTGTCTTTATTGTCAGTGGAGGCCGGGGACTCGGATATTTGAGAGCCATCATTCTTGCTTTGGGGACCAGGGGTGGCCTCGCGGTCATTCCGGATAGGGTGCACCTGGTTAGCCAGATCCTGATCTTCCGTTTGATCAAATAGCTCTTCCTCGTGCTGATCCGGGATAACTTCGGTGCCATCTCCAAGTAGAATAATCCGGCCGGAACGAGTGCTGAAAGCTCGCGAGCGTTCCATCTCCAAGTCATAGTCATCTGGCTGATCTTCGAACTGGTTCCGGATCCCAGGGCCTCGGAATTCGGCTGTGCGCAAGTCTGACCGTCAGCACGAAGAGGGATTTCCTTCGGGTTCCTCGTGAGACTTGCCGTACTCGGGCGGAGCACAAGGGCCGTCTCCGCTTGCAACCCGCTCTGCAACTTGGTTATACCACTCCTCCTTAGTCTTGCCGTTGAGCAATGCGATGACAGTCATGGTCATGTTATCACATCCCACGCCGCCAGTTTCACTGTTGGAAGCCAGGCAGTTATCCATCATGTTCTCACAGATCCGGAAAAGGTCTTGCTTGGCGGCAATGCCCCTTCGCACAAATTCCACCACGGCCTGGGAGGACTGGCAGTCCCAGATACCTAAATCACAGAGTTAACATTGGTTTTGACAACTAAAAGAGAACGATTACGTACCGTCACAGGCAATGACGAGGAACTCGTCATCATCAGTCAAGTCATGCACAGTAACATCGGGATAGGCAGTGACGATCTGCTGCTCGGGAGACAGCTCGGCGCTCTTCTTGAACTCGAAATCACCAATGGCACGAGACAGGGCCAAGTTGCCATTGACACGGCCAAAGTCAACGAAACCACCGGCAGCGCTGATACGGGCCTTCTCGCCTGTAGGTGACAGTTAGTACGAGATGGCAATAACCAAGCAATAGATATCCTACTAACCTTCATTCTGAGGCTTGTGGTCAAATGACAATGGCTTAGCACGGCCCTTGACACCTAGAACTGATCGTGAGTCACCGGCATTGGCCTAATTCGCATGTTAGTCATCCCGAGGCATCTCCAATGTTCACGAGGAAGTGATAGTTCTAGCCACGTACCACCCAGATCTTGTGCTTTGAGATAATGCTGGTGGAAGCAGTGCAACCAGAGACTTCTTCCTCGTATTTCGGGTCTATAGAAGCGAAGAAAAAGTGGCCCTTGATTAGAAACGTTCCAGGGAAAGAAACCAGCATAGAAAAGGAGGAGTGGGGGGCCTCAAATGAAGGACACCCTTTCCCCCTTATAAACTAGAACCTGACGAACCTTCCAAAATTGCCCTGTCAGTAGCCAGGAAGCCATCTTTTAAGGCCTGCTCAATATCTCCCTTGGCGAATGAATCTTGCTTGGCCACAATCTGGTGGAGGTTCTCCCCAGTAAATAGCGCCACCTTGTCTCCACCGTGGCCATCGTAAACACCGAAGAAGGCCAGACGCTCGGCCGGATCTGTCGGTTTATCGTCATCGCGTACATACTTTGCTTGAAGGTCGAGCACAGCGGCGTGGGCATCTTCCATGCTGATTCTCCATCCTTGCATAGCAGACACGCCATACCAGCAACAGTCATCTCCGCCTTCGGCAGATACCTAATAAGCAAAAGAAGAGAGCCAGTCAGTCACCTCATACGAATATAAATTTTGAGCATTTGCATTTGGAAAATGACATGATCAGGGGAATAGAAAAGAGTTGTCGAGGCCTTTTCTTGCCGAAGCGATCTCAGCCCCTCCAAGTCAGCAGGACCCCGCATGGCCGATCCCAACAAGGGAAAATTGTATTCTTCATGATCAGGACATGCAACCCGATAGATTCCGACGATGCAAAATCCAAGCTGGCGACAGAGAAACTCGACCTGAGAAGGAAAACCGAACCTGGCGGGTTCCGGGGATGGGTTGTGATATGCCTCGGGGGAAGAAAACCGCCGGCAGATCCATCTGGCAGTGTGGGGAGGGGCAATGACAATGCAAATGGAAAATTGGAACTCAACTCACCTTCTCGACCACGGGCTCCGACAAGGTCTGACCCATGATGGCGCAAAATTGAAATACGGGGGATTCGGGGGAGACGTAGAGGTGGTGGAAAATCGGAGGGAAATGTAGATGAATGAGTGGAAGAGGAGAAAGGACAAAGTCAGGTGAGGGCGCAGGCCTTTCAGCGCGTTTCTGGGTCCCGCGATAAGTCGCCTGCCGAGTGGGGAACAATGACGATCTAGGGCTTTTTTTGGAAAGGAAAAAAGGGTAAAAAAGCAACAAAGTCAAGTCTGGAAGAAGGATTCTTTTGTTTTCTTTTTCTTTGTAATCTCACTAGAGGAAGAGGAAAGGAAAATAAAATAAAGGGGGGAAAGGAAAGGATTGGAAATTAGCATTTTCTGCCAGGCAGAGATTTCCCGTAAAATTACACGGTCGTGTGCTGGTATACTACATAGTAGATTGTGGATCATATAGCTTGGAGTTTTGGTATACTTTGAATCTTTAGATCTTTAGATCATTTCAAATGAATTCTAAATATGGCCTATTTTTGAGTCAAAAATAAAGTACTCAAGCAATCATACCGCCAGGGCTGGAGTTACCGTGTTCATCACGCAAATGCGGCTGTATGGCCCCATACCGAGGGAAATTACCTCCTTGTCCAAGTTTATTATGCCAGAGTTTGCCAGTTGTCAACTGTTAGGTCAAACCAGACCTGATAGGACTCTATATGGTAATATTATTTTACTTTTAAACCCATCTGAGATCAGATATCTGAAGTGCTCTGACATCAAATCTCTTTATAGTAATTTTACAATCACCACTGCACGTGCCACCAACTGTCCTGTGCCTCTCCCCCAGAGTAGATCATGATCAATGCACTTATCTTGCAATAATGTTATTCAAGACTGTCACTAGCGTATGCTAGCTCAACTGTTGAACTATAATAACTATACTCATTAGTAGTAAGTATCGCCTCACGAAATCATCATATAAACCCAATGGATATCATGTTCCGCCATGCCCAAAACGCCAAAGATACAGAAATGACAAAAAAGAAATCAAAAAGGAATCCAAAATTAAACAAATGCTAATTCGCCACTGCTAGCGACAGGTAGGCCACGATTGCTCAGATCTCGGATCGGCGGTGGACTCAATTGCGCATTTAAGAATGGGTTGTTCGAGCTGAAGGGTTTGGGAGGGCTCGCCTTCCGAGAGAGATGCTCTTCAAGATCAGATGCAATAGAAGAGCTGAGCGGTACTTGTGATGGACCCGCCGGGTGGGCTTCAGCCTTGGAGTAGTTGCCAGAGTCTAGACGCCGAGCACTGCTCAAACTAGTCTCACTCCAAAATCGGGGGAGAGGTGAGATAACTCCTCGATAGTCTTGTGCTAAGCTCAGCTGACTTTGACTCTTGCCACCTCCTTCAGCCAAGGGGAATAAACTCTGAGGGGGCTGCAAAGTCTGGTATTGGGAGATACGGTTTTCATCACCATACTCGGAAACAGATAAGGCGGTAGAATGTGGTCGTCCCTGAATTGATCGTCGATACTCATCAGTGAATGTGGACACGGAGACGGTATCGGCACGGCTTCGGATGCTGCGCGCTCGATCTAAAGCACGCAATCCTGAAGAGGTACGACGACTGATTTGGGCAGAAAACAATGGGTTGGCAGAATTGCGGTGCTTTGCTCGACTGTGAACAAACGCCTCCAGGGAGTCTGCTTCGGAAATGGTCGATTCATCGGGTTCTATGGCTCTCAGAGTGACTCTCTTCTCGGGGATGCTAGAAGCCATGCTATGTCTCATGCGACCGGCGGCAGGGGGACGAGGGAACAGTGGTGCGATGTTCATCATGCTACTATCGTCACTCATTAAAGTACCCTTCGTGTTTTGCCACGACATATGAACGATTCCGTGTCCGGGGGGACCAAATCCTCCTGCTCCATGGCCAGCACCGCTAAGCCGCACCGGGAGCCCTGAGGCGACAGACGAGATTCCACTAGATCGCTTGGAGTATCGTTTTGAGCGAGAAGACTGCATAGATTCGCGTTTCATAGCTCGAGGTTGAATAGCCTTCAATGGTTCACGTCGCGAGCGGTTTGTAGATCGACGACGGCGCACAGGAGGGCTGTTTGTGAATGAGAGGCGTTGATTTTGTTTCTTGGCAGGAGACTGTGGGGCTGGCTTTTCTTCTTCAATAATCGAATCTCGGAGGGGAACAAAGGCGCTTCGCTTGGGAGAACGTGGTGGTGGATTTGGCGTAGGAATTGCTTCCATAGAGTCTGCGGGCTTTGCAAACGATGCGACGTTCCATGTAGGACCAAGTTCCAGTTTGGGAAGATCCGACGAAGGCGAAATTGGACTCATCCAGTCGTCTGAGTTGTCATCTCGCGAGGCTGCATCATGACCACCGGGTTGACAGTCAGACATTTCAGGTCGTGCAGGTCGCGGCGGGGGTGACTTCGTTGAAAATTGACCCTCTTCCACTGTCGTAGACTTTCTCCGCCGACGCCAACAGCAGAATAATATGATCAAACTCAAGATCACTACAATTGGGATGACCACTGATATGGCGATCACTCCAGCCTTCTTGTGAGAACCGCTCGATTGGTCAGAAAACGGATCTCCCGAGCTAGAATTGGTGTCCGACGGCTCAAGAATGTCCAATTGGAAGTCCTGCGTGTTCTCTGTGTCGCCCTGGTGCGCTGTCAAAGTCATATTGAGCTTTTGTGGTTTGGTGTTTGATGGTACGTGGCCAAATAGTGTTTTATTGTCAGAGAAGTAAGTGAGCCATGATGATAGATCCTTGGGTAGTTCAACATCTAGCTGTACCGAGTTATCGGTTACAGTAGACTGGTCGAAAACAAACTCAAAGTCTTCACCAATAGTCGCTTCACAGCCCTCAACAGTTTCCAAAAAGAGCTCCAAAAAGTCCAATCGTACCATGAGCGCTGCCTGGTCTGAATATGTGTCCGTGATCATAACAGTGATATTTTGATTCACAGCGTTCTTTGGAGGTGTACCACTCAAGGAGATTGAATCATTATTCATCGATAGCCAATCAGGTAGATGAGCATCAATCTTTGATATATCCTTTTTAGAGATTGGTGATCCATCCATCGATAGTAAGCTTTCGAAGTTTGGGCTAATGAATTTCTCGCCTCTGGTGAGATTGAATGTCTGAGCTGTTTCATTGAACGCAAGGATGTGTGGGCCGATCACAAGCTGGAAAGTCATGTTGGCGGCGCTATAGCCGGCCACATCAGACGCAATGAGCTGGAATGTGAAGGCCTGGGGTCCGGATCCTGGAAAGGCTGGAGTATTACCTCCAAATTTAAGGGCAGCAGGATCGAAGCTCATCCATGATGGTAGTGGAGCATTATTTGGTGATGTTCCGTAGTAGATCGTAGAAGGATGAGTATTTCGGAAGGTAGCTGGATCGAATTCAATTGAGAACGGGCGACCAGGGTGGATAAAAATAGTCGATGGGTAGGAGACAGGGCCGAGGTTTTGTAGTTGTTGAACGAGAGATTTCCCTTCGGTTGGACCTTCATCTGCCGTTACGATAAGTGTAACATCCATGCTGTCGGACTCTGACCCTTTTGATGCGACAAGCTTGAATGTCTTAGAACCAGTGTCACCGTCTTTAGGTGTTCCAGATAGAGTCCGGCTGCCGCTGTCCACAGAAAGCCATGATGGCGCATCTGAGAGCGAATACTTGGTGTCAGAGTCGGAGTTGGAAAAAGTGCCGCCGGCGAACACGAAGTGAAAGGGCTTCGACACTCTCGCGACTGGAGGTAACTGAGAATTGATGGGATAGTTGGCAACAAGCGCTGCAGCGTTTACCACTGACACGAAGGCCAGGGCAATCACGAAAAAAAGCGCCATGCCTGGTCGAGATACCCGGCGTAAGTCCGGGGACTGTGTATAGATTCGAGGAGACACAGCGAGCACGACCAGGGTCAGAAGCCACTAACTCAGTACCAAAGTGAAGCCCTCAAGTGGCGTATAGAAATGGCAAAGTAGATGGAAGAAGATAGAAACCAAAAATGCGAAGGAAAGCCTTCACGATCTCTTGGAAGGAGACCCGCTCCCTCTCGTGCCAAAGGGAATGATAGGGAGCCGTTCAAGGCTTGCCCTTGGCGGATAGCCATGCCTGGATATGCCCGACGTCACTAAAGTATGCAAGAGAGTGCAGAGTGACAAGCCGAGAATGAAGAGAGCGCGTCGGGGTTTCGGGCTCACGTTTCAAGCAGCAAGGGGTAGCTCCTTCTACAGCCAAGGAGCATAGCGACCAACCACACCCATGACTTTTTGACCCCTCGTCATATTTTCAAAGGGTCGAAAATACAATGCGCTTAACTCTGTGAGCAATAATTGGCGAATAAGGAAGAAACAGGGGGGAAAAGATAGGTCCATAACGTGCCGCTGACCTTCGGATAGCTGCAGGTGGCTTTCATCCATCACGGTCCAAGTCTAGGACCATTCGAATCCCCGTTCGTCCAGGGGCGTAATAGTCAGGGATTTCCTCTTGCTCCTTGAATCCACCTCGTTGATATAATGCTCGGGCAGGTTCCCTGACCTTGTCAACCCACAACTGTATGTATTGACAGCCCTCCTTCCGGAGGCGCTCTTGAATGTAGGACATGAGCTGTTGCCCAACACCCTGTCGACGGCAGGCTTCTATTACACAAACCTTGTGAAGGAGAGCAACACCCTTCTGGCGCACGTACACCGCGTAGGCGATAAGCTCCGATCGACCACCCTCCTTGGGTTGGGTCGCGTATAATACTCGCGTGTTGGGCTTTTTTCTCCACAGCTCTTCTCCAAAGCTGAATGCCTCATTGGTCGGAAATGTCTTTTTCTCTACGCGGGATATCTGGGCAAGAATCTCCAATGCTTCGTTCCTCTTCAAGGAATGAATGTCGGAGATGTTCAATGTGGGCGCCATTCTTGATCGCGCCGTTGAGATCCCAGCTCATTCCAGGAGTGACAGCTTTAATTGAAACTAAGTGAGACACGCCACAGACAGTAATTTTGACGTCCTGTGGATAAAGGAAAAATAGATGTTGAGTTTTCGATCTCGAAAAAGGCGCAGTAGAAGTAGATGAGGTAGATGTTGATCTAACGCAGGATTTGTTCGGCATCCACAGATTTAGCGCCTCAGGCATGAATATGTTGTGTATGTATTGCTCTTAGCAAGTATCTAATCCATGGTGACTTTTTTATGGGAGCAAAAAGATAAGAAGAAGATGGAGTAACCCTTCTCACTTTCTTTTTGTAGGAGTAGTATGGCTTTCTTCTTCTTTCGAAGGTTACTAGAGAAAAGGGCTGACGCTCGTGGAGAGAATCGAACCCGCGTCAAGGTTCTCTTCAGCTTCCGGGGTGTAGAACATCGGAGAGAACGAGTCTCCACCTAAACCCCAACAATCTCACACCCACGCGTATCCAAGATCAACGGCAACATCTCTACCTCAAGCAACGAGAGATCAAAATAAACCGACAAAATGCCCACTGAAGCCGATAACAAGCGCCAAGCTGCGCGTGATGTCATTGATATTCTTGAGGATATCTCCAAAATCCTGGTCTGTCGCCTGATCCACCATAAATAACATCGGCTTCTTAACACAGACATGCCGTTGTTCCTAGATACCAAGGCCGTTGGAATATACACTAACAGCTCCTAGAACACGAACTTGAATCGTACAGAATTATCCCTGTGCGTCTCCTTAATTGAGAATGGTGTCAATCCTGATGCTCTTGCGGTACGATGCCCCTTGCCAACCAGGGCAAATTTCCCTCTACGGTAGAGGTGATTTGAAACTAATTCTCCCATGATCTAGGCCGTGATCAAAGATTTGCGAAAGGAGACAGCAAACATTAATCGCGGCTAGAGACCAATACTTCTTTGACTTTGTACGGCACCTTTCCTGGTCGAGAGATTGCTAAGACTTCTATTACGGCGTTGCATGGTCTATTTAGCCTGGTCTGAAAGATACCCTTTTGTTCTGTGCTGTCTCTTACATCAAAATTGAATTGAAAATGTCCTGAAATTCAATTGAAGGCCATTTTCAATTTCCTGCGGTATCATAAACTAGAAACATTGGACTAGACGTAGTGTAAACGGAAAACGCTTCGACTTGGATCGGAAAGTTAGGCCCAAAGCAGGGGAATAGATATAAGTATAGTTGGCTAAGTGAGCTGCAAACCATGGGAATAGAATCAGTTTGAGCCTAGCACAGGTAATATTCAAAAAAGCACAACAGAATAAATATCGATCCCTTCACAATTACTTTGATGATGACTCCGCCTTATTGTCTTTATCCTTAGAGCCTATCTCGTCAGACATAGCCTCCGCTGTCGCCTGCTTGAGTTGATCACTCTCGGGGACAGTATTCTGTTCCTTAGTCTTAGTTTCCTTCTCATCATCGCTATCTCCCAGGCTAAATGGGTCATTTTCTGCTACTGGAGAAGGCTCGACAGTTGCCAAGGGCTGCCACTTGCTCGACTTGCCAGCGCTTGATGCATTGCGTCCAGTGTCAATCTCGGTAGGTGGTCCATCCTGGAAGGACACCTTGCGCCTGTCGGGAGAGGGGGACGAGGTCTTCTTGAGGTTCTGGTTGGCTAGGGGACGGGGAGGACGGGCCGGGGGAGCTGATGCATTGTTAGTCAAACATAGAAAGAATACAAGAGTTGCGGGATTACAAACCTTCGGAATCTCTCAGTTCAAGAGCAGAGAAATCATCACCCAGCACCTGGGGGTCTGCATCATAGCGTTCCCGATCACCACTGCGGCGACCCATCTCGCCGCTTCGTCGCGGTCGTCCGTACGGTGAAGGTTGCTCATGATCATGACTAGACTCTCCATCTTCTTCATCTCCATCGAGTCTCTTTTTAAAATTCGTAACCCATGAATTTACCTTGGACTGTGTGTCCAGGAATCCTTTGCGAAGATTATCACGAATCACGGGTAAGTCATCTGCAAGCCACAAGCCATACTGTTAATCCTATGAAATTTATCAAAGGCAAGGGAAATGAGTAAGGAAATTTACCATCAAAAAAGCTGTATTCCTTCTCTTCCGACTCTTCGCTTCCTCGTGGCTGGTGATAACGGGGATCATTCTGCCAACCAGGCGCTGGTCCGCGACGGGAGTTATAGTGCTCCGCCAGTTGACGCGCATACTGTTCGTCGGCATCCAATTGTCTCTGAGTAGTAGAGGTAGCTTGGGTCTGAGTAGGGCGAGGAGGTTTGGGGGGAGGGACCATATCCTCCTGAGCAGTGGGATCGGTCATGCCTGTCGGCCGTCAATTTGCCGGTTTTCTTACAAGAAGGCACTTTGCGCTTACCAAGAAGGGCATTAAATGCTCGCTCGACATTCCAATTACTTGCAGTCAGCACTGCCTTAACTACCCCAGCATCAATTGTGGGAAAGGCTTCTTTGAGTGTGTTCTCTGCGTGCTCCTTCGGGCCCAGAGGTCGCGGTGGCTTTGGCGGGGCAGCGGGGGGGGTTTCGGTGGCGGTCTTTTGCGAAGGAGTGTTGTTAACCGATGTCACACCGGACTCCTGGGGTTCATCGTCAAAGTCTAAGGGTCGCGCAGTGGTAGGCGACTCGGCCCGAGGGCTGTTTGGCGCAACCAGGGGTTTGCTGGGAGTAGACTGCTAGTTAAAGTGAGCCTTCGCATTCAAAGTCGTAGATCATAGCTGTCACTTACAGGTTTCTCCTCCTCGGACATCTTGAGTACTGTCTAGATATGCTGATCAAAATAAGTGGGTTGTGTCGGTAGCAACAGAGGCTTAATAAAAAAGAGGTTGTCTGTCGAAAACATACGGAGTCCAGTGAGGCGCAGGCAGAAGATTAATTGGGGAAGCTCCAAACAAGTGACGTGGGGTGCACGTGATGAAGCGGGAGCTGTTATAGTCATCCACATGGGATGTTTGTTAATAGGAAATCCTAGTTAAAAAAGCTAGATATATTAAATAGATATAGTATCTAATTATAAAGTTTAAAGATAATATCTCATAACAAATAATATCAGCCCTGGGAGCTATTGAACATAAGAAAACTATTCACTCCCCAAACTAGGCTAAATCTATAAGGCTCCGTCCCGGCTATGCCGGGCGCGCTCGCCAGGTGACGGCGCCGGAACTGGGCTATTGGTCCCTTCAAGTTTGAAATAATATCTACTACTATAGTTTACCATGATAGCTAGAATTCTATTATTCTTAAGTCTTCTATAAATTAGAACAGCTTCGGGGGCTTCTGCCCCGGGCCTGCGCCTGCCAAAGACCCCCTGCCGAATTCTTTTTTACCTTGTCATTTTATTTTTTATTTTATTTATTTATTTATTTCTCCTTCATTATCGCGCGAATCAGGCAAACGTTACGCCACTATAAATAGTATTGTCTACAAAAGATAATGTCGCGATTATATGCAGACTTCAAGTTTGAGGTTACAATCTCTTTTAATCTGCCTATTTAGGCTACCATGTATATAGGAGACGACTGGGAGTCAACCAGCCACCCTGTGAGCCACTCTACTCGAGTCTCACACTCCCTGCGCAAACTTCCGATTTTAAATTCCCGTCCTTGCCTTTGTCTGTTTGAATTTCACCCGGATGACGTGCGGGGAAATCCAGGCAAACGTCTACATGTGTATGTACATATACATACGTCTCCGCATTGGTTGCCTGTTCTAATTGGCTGCCATGACGCCTACTGTGATAGGGTGCCTAAGTTTCTACCAGGATGGAGAAAAGGTGCGAAAACAACGAATAACAACGTTGAAGAAAAAGGGAAGAAGAGAGAGAGAGAGAGAGAGAGAGAGAGATATCCTACGTACATGTCGGGAGCCCACTCTCGGGCCAATCAAGCTGATTGGTCTGTATCCGAGAGTGGGTCAAACTAAGCAAACGTCCAAATATGCAAACATGCCCGCCGACCGACCTCCTCCATGTAGCTATACTACACCTACTACCCGAGAGGTCGATCATGAATTTTTAAATTTCCCGGTCGATAGCTGTTTGAATATGTTGCACTTTCATATTTGCATGTACACATGATTCGAAATTTCAGGCATAAGTCAAATACTACACGTTTGATTTGCGTCTCAAAAAAGCGGAAAAATGACATCGGAGCAGGATCTCTCGACCTCCTTCATTCCGGCATTGTATAAGCCAGCATCACTCCTACCTATTGCACGGCACAAAGCAAGTCTGCTCTATTTGGTTGAAACATATCCAGTTACCATTGTGGTAGGCCAGACTGGAAGCGGGAAAACAACTCAGCTCCCCCAATATCTTGATCAAGCAGGTTGGTGTGAAGATGGAAAGCTTATTGCTGTCACCCAGGTACGTGACGATCCTGTGAGTATTGAATTGGATTTGACTAACGATTTATACCAGCCTCGGCGAGTAGCTGCCACTACAGTTGCTACGCGAGTTGCGGAAGAGATGCGCTGCAAGGTTGGAGAAGCAGTAGGTTACTCAATTCGATTTGAAGACGTGACCTCTGCTGCAACTCGAGTCAAATTCCTCACAGACGGAATGCTACTCAGAGAAGCTCTAGTTGATCCTTTATTGTCACGTTACTGCGTTATCATGGTCGATGAGGCTCATGAGAGATCCTTAAGCACTGACGTCCTCCTTGGGATTCTCAAGAAGATCAGAAAAAGGCGTCCTGAACTTCGAATCATTGTCAGTAGTGCTACGCTACAAGCGGAAGAATTTCTCAAATTTTTTGCCGGGGATGAATATCAACCCGACGCGGAGCCCGCTGATCTTGGTGGTAAAGTGGGGAGAATCATTAGCCTCGAAGGGCGAATGTATCCAGTAGATACATTGTTTCTCGAAGCCCCTGCAGAGGATTATGTCGAAAGAGCTGTCAAAACTGTATTTGATATCCACAATCAGGAAGCAGAAGGCGATATCCTTGTCTTTTTAACGGGCCGAGAAGAGATCGATCGCACAATTCAATTGGTATCTGAACGAGCTGCCTCTTTACATCCAAAGTCTCCCTCTTTGCTTCCATTGCCGCTATACGCTGGTCTTACGACAGATCAGCAAATGTACGTCTTCGAACCAACTCCACAAAATACACGAAAGGTGATCGTGTCAACCAACATTGCAGAAGCCTCTGTCACAATTGACGGTATCGTGTATGTCATCGATTGTGGATTTGCGAAACTCCGAGCGTATGATCCCAGCACTGGAATTGAAACATTAACAGCTGTGCCAATTTCAAAGGCCTCTGCTACTCAACGTGCTGGTCGAGCTGGGCGAACCAGACCTGGGAAGTGCTTTCGTCTCTACACACAGACAACTCATGAACAGCTTCCTGAAGCCACGGTACCTGAAATACAGCGCTCAAATATTGCGCCTATTGTTATGCAGCTAAAGGCATTGGGTATCGATAATATTGTGAGATTTGATTTCTTGACCTCACCTCCAGCAGAGTTGGTGATCCGAGCCTTTGAACTTTTGTTTTCCCTCGGCGCAGTCGACGACTATGCTAAACTCACCAAACCACTTGGCATGCGAATGGCAGAGCTTGCAGTTGAACCTATGATGGCGAAAGTCTTACTTGCAGCACCAACGTTCAAATGTCTTAGTGAGATTCTGACCATTGCAGCCATGGTCAGTCTTCAGGGCACTGTTTGGGTTCAAGACCATGATAATAAGAAGGCCGCAGAAAGCCATCGTCGCAAATTTGCTGTCGAAGAAGGGGATCATCTTACCTATCTGAACGTATACCAGGCATTTGTCACCAAAGGAAAGAAGGAACCCAAGTGGTGTCGTGATCATCTTCTGAACTACCGCGCTTTGCTACGAGCGGTTAGCATTCGAGGCCAGTTGAAACGATACCTCGAACGATTTGGTATCCAGGTTGAAGAAACCCTATCATCTCGGCAAGAGGCGGTTGACCCGACTAGACAAGCACAACAGATCCAACGGTGTCTTACAACTGGCTATTTTGCTCATGCGGCCAAGATGCAGCCAGATGGAACATTCAAGACTGTCAGTGGAGGTCTTACCCTCCATGCCCACCCTAGCTCTCTAATGTTTGTGAGTACTATGCCTCTATTTCCGTGCTTCTGACATATGGCTTGACTAACTCTTCTTAGAATCGGAAAGCAGATTGGGTGATCTTCCATGAGATCATGCAAACGGGTGATAAGACCTATATTCGTGATGTTACGAAGATTGAGAAGAGCTATCTTTTGGAATACGCACCGGAATACTACAGGGTAACCTAAGTAGATCTTGGCTACCGAGGTACCAGAGAAGAGGGGGAAAGAAAGATACCCAGGCGTTGGCGTTGAATTTCTGTCATTCTGGCTCTAAAGCAAAAAAGATACATAATCATATATTCGGCTGATTACATTTTAGAAGTACTGTCATCAGCCAACACCTGTTTTCTCCTGTATTTGTACTATACTATGTAGTAAACACTTTAAGCTCATCCGTAGTATATTTCTCTACTTGTCTTTCTATTCGTCTTTCTAACTCTCTTTCCAATGGTCTTTCCACTTGTTTTTCAATCTACGTAGAGCTTGCGGTACAGATAGCGGTGTACTATGTGGTAAATGCCAATATAGGGCCAAGGGAGTTTTTTCCTAACCTTGGAATGAACCCTATCGGCCGCTGTACCGGGGCCGCGCAGATCGACGTCACGGGAAGCGGAGAAGCTCCGCTCTGCTCAACTTTCGAAACTTGACATTGTTTTCCCTTTGCAGAATCACACTCTCCCTTTTTTGTATTAGTCTCTAAAACACTCGCCATGTCTGGACATGATCACCACGACCATGGCCACGGTGGACATTGCCATGGGGAGCATGATCATTCCAATGATATCACTCCAGCTATTCAGTCTCTGCTCTATTCTCAGATCGACTTTGATTCAATCAACACCCTGAATGGTAAGTCCCCCCAACGTATAATGACTGCACCCTTTTTATGAAGCATGATACTTATGCCCAAGCTAGAGGCGACACCAAGATCCGGAGCTTCAGTCGTACAAAAGACATGGGCGGAACGACTGAACGATACGCCTGAGCTAGAGAGCGATGCTGATGAACAGCTGCTCATGTACATCCCGTGAGTTGCCTCGAATATATTCCATATGAGATCTGAATTCTACTCTTATCTTTGAATGTTTGCTTTGTCGCTCTTCTTGTCATCTGGAATTGTCAATACCCCGCTATGCCCCTCCATCCTAGTATCCAAAGCGTGCTGCCGTTGCGCAAACTCAAAAATAAAATAAAATATCAACAAAAAGCTAACTTATTCTCCTGTCAGATTTACTGGCCAAGTCAAGGTCCACTCTCTACTGCTTTACACTGCGCCTACCTCCTCCGCTCCGAAAACCGTGAAACTTTTCAAAAATCGCGACGACCTCGACTTTTCCACGGCTTCAGAACTCTCACCAACACAAACCATTGAAGTTCCACAGCCACAAGCCGGTGCCGATGTCTTTGAGCTTCCTCTGAATCGCGCGCACTGGAACACAACTACTTCAATCACACTGTTCTTTGAGGACAATTGGAGCGACGGAGAAGAAGATGTGACTAAAGTCGGATACATTGGCTTTAAGGGCCAGTTTATGGCACTTAATCGGGAGCCAGTAAGCTTCTTGTACGAGGCGGCTGCTAACCCTAGCGATCACGTTGCTATTCCGGGGGTCAAGGACGCCGGTGGCCGGATCATGCCTGGTCAGTAGGCTGGGGATTTTGGTCACTGGGAAGGCCGATGTCAACTGAGGTGGAAATAATGGGTTTCGAAAACATGATATTGGAAAGGCAATCTTCAAAACATAGTATTAACGATGTCTACATGCAGCGACAATGAATGATGAACAAAAAGCAATGAATAAAAAATATCACAGTGCAACAAAACGCCATGCAGTGTTCTGGCCAATGTCATATGCAAATGATCGAGCCAATATGGAAATAATAATAAAAGCCAACTATGCAGCAAGCGCAGGCGTTCGGGTCTTTGTTTTGGTCCTTGTTGGTTCCTCTGGGTTCTCTACCTCGGTCTCTTCAGGTGTAGGCAAGGCATTGTTCGGGACGTTGGGCAAGTTCGGAGTCGCGACCTTCGGCTTTGAAACCTGGCGTTGTAAAGCTAGTAATTCTTCCTCGACATCTTCTTCGTCCTGATTTGTTAGGTTTCCTTCGAGCATTTGGCTTATCTCCTGTAAATTGAACTCTCGTTAGCAAGCCTCCTATACAGACAGTGCAGATAGCGATAGTGCTAATAAAATCATTTAATTGTACCTCTTGATAAGCGCGTGCGTCTTCCGTCTCTCCCATTAGTCGTTCAACACCCTCAATTCCGCCCATTTCCTTATTGATCGCTTTTAGAACCTCAGTACCCTGTTGTAGGCCAAACATCACATCCTTCTGGACCAGCGCGAATTCCACCTGGCTCGCTATCTGTTCCAACTGTGCGAGCTGACCATCTGTCTTATCTAACAGCGACTCTTGGTATTTCTTGCGTCGCAGGGCAAGCAGCGCTCGCCGCCGATCATTCTGCGCCAGACATTCCTTGGCGATCTCGGTCTCGCGGTCGGTCAGAACAGTTATACGTTTTCGGTATTGCTTCAGCTTATCGCGCTGGTTTTTAAGATCAAGGATTGCTCTGTGGTTTCCTCGGCGATTGTCAGCGTAACCTGGAGCCAGAGTGGAGTTGTGTCGTGGAGGGGTCTCGTGAGGGGAGCCCGCGCCACGATGGGGAGAACTCCGCGGTATTCAGAGCAAGAAGGTAATTCGCAACCTCGCACTTACCGGTCCTGAGACGATATCTTCTGTGAACTACTAGTGTTTCCCATATCGCATTATGTTGTAGGATCGAAAACACCCACGGCCCGCGAATGACGTGGGGGTGTTCCACCGCCATCGTCGACGCTAACCCGCTAATCTAATCTGCGGCTAAATTTCATCTTTCCGCTTTTTCCCCAATTTTTTTTTATTCTTTGCCGTTATCGCACTCAACTGCAAGGATGCCGAGGAATCGCGGGGGACGACCGACCCTAAGTCAGGGTTTAGACCGTGAGGTATGATCGATCGCTAGAAGAAATACTCGATTTACCCACTCAATGTACTCATATCCGTTTGTTGTAGGTCTACCAGGTCGTACGCAAAATTATTGACGACCAACCGGATGCCAGTCGTATTCGTCTCTCGGCTCCATCAATTTACGAACAAATCAAGAAATCGAACTCGAGCCTGAATCGGAAACCAAAGAAATTGCTGGAGGACAGTCTGGAACGAGTCCTGGAAGTGGTGAAAGCTGACATGGGAGAGGACGACGAGGACTCTGTGGAGGGTGATTTTGAGGGTCTGGAAGAACCGCCCACTACAGTATGCAATAAGTCCGGTGATTGGAATAATACCAACAAGATTTTTGACCATAAATCTATTTTAGGAACCCAACGGTGTCAACCAGAGCATTGTTGGCCAGTGGAACACCCCGAAGCCAACCAAGAAATCCGAGTCGTCTGGAACATCTTCGAAGAGAAGGCGAGATGGCGGGGAGTCTGCTTCTAAGAGGCGGAAAGCAGATGCTGCTATTGATCGGTCCCCGCCAACACATGTCAGTCTGGCCGATTTGGGTGGTTTGGACGATGTGGTGCAAGAATTAGGTGACCTCGTCATCCTACCCATGACCCGACCACAGGTTTATATCTCTTCAAATGTACAGCCTCCCCGTGGAGTATTATTACACGGGCCCCCAGGTTGTGGTAAGACTATGATTGCCAATGCATTTGCGGCGGAGCTAGGTGTGCCATTCATCTCAATCTCCGCTCCTTCTATCGTCTCCGGTATGTCGGGTGAATCTGAGAAGGCTCTCCGGGAACACTTCGACGAGGCTAAGCGACTTGCGCCTTGCCTCATTTTCATTGATGAGATTGATGCAATTACACCAAAGCGAGAGAGTGCACAAAGGGAAATGGAAAAGCGAATTGTCGCCCAGCTGTTGACTTGTATGGATGAGATTGCTCTCGACAAGACAGACGGTAAGCCCGTGATTGTTCTGGCAGCTACCAATCGACCAGACAGCCTGGATGCTGCATTGCGTCGTGGTGGTCGCTTCGATAAGGAGATTAACATGACTGTTCCATCCGAGCCAGTCAGAGAATTAATTCTCCGGGCTTTGACTCGCAAAATGCAATTAGCGGATGACCTGGACTTTAAGACGCTGGCGAAGAGAACTCCTGGATTTGTTGGTGCCGATCTTAACGACCTTGTCTCCACCGCAGGATCAACTGCTATTAAGCGATACTTGGAAATTCTCAAATCCAACAGTGGCGAGGAGATGGAAATCGAAGGAGAGGATGAGCTTAGCCCCAGAGTCCGAGAACTGCGCCGTCTAATCTCACACGCCAAAGAGAACCCCATTGGCGACGAGGCAGAAGTAGTTCATGTTTCGAACGCAGATTTCTTTGTCGCCCTGCCTAAGATCCAGCCATCCTCTAAGCGTGAAGGCTTTGCGACCGTTCCCGATACCACATGGGCCGATATTGGTGCTCTGGGTGGTGTCCGTGACGAACTGTCCACTGCTATTGTCGAGCCAATCAGGAACCCAGATATCTATGAAAAGGTCGGTATTACCGCGCCAACGGGTGTTCTCCTCTGGGGTCCCCCAGGTTGTGGTAAGACTCTGCTGGCTAAGGCCGTGGCCAATGAGTCGCGCGCCAATTTCATCAGCGTCAAGGGACCCGAGCTTCTGAACAAATTCGTCGGTGAATCCGAGCGTGCAGTACGCCAAGTCTTTGTCCGAGCACGTTCCTCTGTTCCTTGTGTTATCTTCTTCGATGAACTGGACGCTCTTGTGCCTCGCCGTGACGACTCTCTCTCCGAAGCTTCGGCCCGTGTTGTCAACACACTCCTCACTGAACTCGATGGTCTAGGCACTCGGCAAGGCATCTATGTCATTGCCGCTACCAACCGACCCGATATCATTGACCCAGCCATGCTTCGACCTGGTCGTCTCGAGACTCTGCTCTTTGTCAACCTTCCCTCGCCCCTTGAGCGTGTCGATATTCTACAAACTTTGATCCGGAATCTGCCCATTGACTTCAGTGACGATTTGCGGAGACTTGCCGAAGAATGTGAGGGCTTCAGTGGTGCGGATCTCGGCAGCTTGTTGCGCCGTGCTGGTTACTTGGCCATTAAGCGCCGCGATGCGATGCGCGTTGAAGATTTCATGGCTGCTAAGTCTTTCATAAGACCTAGTGTAACTGATTTGAAGAAGTATGAAAAGCTGCGCAGAGACTGGGGTGGTGGTGTTTGAAACTCGTCATATTTTGTGAAACTTTTATACATATAACGTCGTCTTGATATACACAGCTTAGACCACCCACTTTAGACGCTTCGGAAATTTTAAGGTCCCCCTCTAATATTTTGATGTGGCATTATAAGCAACTAGTTGACTTGTTAATGATCAAATTCCATTTAAGCTCTACTTATCGACATCCTACCTATCCACTCCACAACTTGAATAACCCAAGTTTTATTCGTGCAAGCAAGAGTCCCTTTGTCCATAACGATATGATCAACCGTGGGGGTTTTTACTAGGTAGGCAACCCATAACATTCCTGAGGTCTACTGGAATAATTTGATTACAAAGTTGTAGTGTATTGTAGGCTTGAAGAATTGAATAATATTCAAATGTACTTTTGGAACATAGTAGGGCTATACAAGAGAACCATGCACACATTGAACAGTGAAACGCCAGGAACAACATAAAGAAAAAGGAAAGAAAAAGGCATATCATGCAGATAATACCCCCAAAAGATAATTACATCCACAAGCGACATGTTCCATCAGCACCAGCACTAACACACCAGGCTTCGCGAGGATGCCAATCAATATCCAAAACACCCAGCTCGCCAGTAACCTTGTGGCCCTTGAGAACCTTGAGAGGAACGATACTAGCATTGCTGAGCATGTCACCGGTGACGCTGCCGTGGAAAATCTGCAACGAGCCGTCATCACTTGCATCCGCGAACAGGGGGTAGCGGCCACCCTGGTGGAACTTCACAGCACGAATAGCCTTGCGGTGGTAACGGAGAGTCTTGTAGGGGCGCTGCGAGAGATCGAGATCATGCCAAAGCAGACGACGGTCATAAGAACCGACAATGATGTTGTCACCACCGGAAGCAGTGGAAGATGTGGGGTGGATATCGAAAGAAGAGATCCAACGGGCACCGGGCTGCAAGATCTTGACCAGGAGTTGTCGCGAAAGGTCGTAAGCACGGATGGAACGCTGGTTCGCCACGAAGAGAATAGGTTTTGAGGGATGGAAATGAGCTGTCTGTGGGGGACCACCACCCTTGAGGCGGCGACGGAAGGGGAACTGGGTGAGGTGCTTGGAGACGGTGTGAATGGAGATAGCCACTGATGCTGGGGTAGAAGCACCCGAGCAAACAGTAACGAAGTAGTCACCACGGCGGTGCCAGGAGATAGACTTGGGTACGTAGCGGAGAGGAATGACAACGCAGATGCCTGCATCAGCCAGAGCAGATGAGGGTCGAATCCATGAAACGGGCTTGTTGATCTTGTTTGCCTCAACCCCGACAGGGGCAGGGGCGGATGCTGCGTAACCCCAGCCGGCGTCAAGAAGGTCCAGACTGGCCTTCTCAATTTCAGGATCGGCAATCTGGGGAACTGCAAGGAAGATGTCGTCTCCAGCGGCAGCGGCAAGAATAACAGCATCCTTACCAGGGCGCCAGCGGACGACATTCACGGCATCCTCGTCGCTAACCTTGGCACTCCAGAGCTGACGACCAGTCAGGATTTCCCAAACGCGGACAGTACCGTCATCACCACCAGTTGCAAGCCAGATTCCAGTCGGGTCGACATTGAGCGAGCGAACGCGGCCCTTGTGGCCACGGAATACTGTGGCACATGTTGTTGGGAAGGGCTTAAGCTCCTCAGGGCTGGGAAGCTTAGGAAGTAAACTTTCAGGGTCGATGTTCAGCTTGCTGCGGCGCACTCTGGGCGCAAGGTAAAGGTCCAGACAACGCTCAAACTTCTCCTGAACATAGCTCTCATAACCAGGTACCCGGCGGAGAGAGCCGAAATCGTTAGGCAAGAAGTCCTTCTCACGGTCCTCGGGATCAGTCTGCTCCCACTCCTTGCGCTCCTTCTTATCAGGCAGATACTCTGCCGGTGGGTGGTAACTTTCTTCGTAGCCAGGGGGTGGAAGTTTTGGTGCTGGGATATGCATGATGTGATCCGGTCGTTCAGCCTCATCGGCCCAGAGATCGTAGTTGATGAGATCGTCATCCTTCTCCTCGCGCTCCTCGGGTGCCTTATAAGGAAGAATGCGACCCTCACGGATGGCCTTCACAATCTTCATCACACGCTTGGCCTCGTGTTTGGAAGGCACGAAACGGCGCTTGGGTTCAGGAGCAGCACTGAGGGGCATAATCTCTTGTTGGCCAGAGAAGTATTCCACGAGTGGCTCATACTGGTCATATCCCTCGCTGGTGATTTCGTTCATCTGCACCTTCTTCAACAGCTCCAACTCCTTTTGGCTCAAGTTCAATGGTTTGCCGGTTGAAGGGTCAGTAAGACCGGTCCAGCCCTTGGGGATCTCAATGCTGTCCAGCAATGCATCCAGCGCTTCACCCTTGGCAGGGCGCATGATCTTCTTTCCATTGATATCGTAACCGATATGAGGATATTGATCGTAGAATGTAAGAGGAATTTCACCGATAGTGTTGGCATTCTCTTCGGCTTCGGAGAAATCTGAGTTGTCGTCTGGGTTGATCTCGTCGTACAAGTAACGGTCGTTTCCATTGGCGTCCTTGACAATGCGAACATTAGGCTCGTCGGTAGATGGCAAGGTTTTCAGATCATCATCAGATGGGATTTCATCACTATCCAATTCTTCTTCCCCATCTTCGTCATCATCATCGCTGAATTCGTCAACCAGCTCGACTTCGGAGTCGTCGCTATCATCGTCTTCGCTTTCCGAAAGGTCGTTGGCATTGTCTGAAAGGGTGCCATCAAGATTCCCTGCACTCAATTCATCACCAGAGAAAACTCCGGCTTCCTCCTCCACATCGCGAGTAATCGCCTTGCGCTTCTTTGACGCTGTTCTGGCGACCATGATTGCCGTTGAGCTTAAGTGATTTTCGGCCGCGATTTTTTTTTCTTTTCTGTCGACGCCGCTCACCGCTCACATGACTGCCCGCTCTACAATCTTATCGCGTATCAATGATCGGACCTAATCAACCTTGGTATAAGCACTGTTACTTTCTTAATTTTCTTGCTGGGTAATGCGAGACTGACATTTGGTCATGTCGAACCCTGTAGTAGAATCTACAACCCGTGGCAACGGCTCAACGCTGGGATCGTTGGGTTCGGAGCCAAAACGACATGCGGCTTGCGATGAATGTAGTAGGTGGCTAGGCATTAACGATATGACTTGCCACCAGATTGATACTAATTTTCTGTCCAATTTACAGGAAAACGGAAGTTAAAATGCTCTGGCGGGATCGGTGGCTGTGCTCGTTGTTTAAAACAGTCGATTCCATGCCACTACTCCACACAAAAGACCATGGGCCGACCACCCAAGAAGAGAGCCCGCGCCGACGAGGAGGGACTTGATTTCAATACACAGTATAACGACGGCGCTTGGCAGGGACAAGAGGATACACAATCGAATTCTTTCAATATACCCGGGGATCCTCCTGTTCCATCAGACGCACATCGACTATGTCCACAGCTCTTTTGGCAATCTCATCATCGTTCGCTTTCACCACAGCCCGACCTACTAGTGGAAGATCAAGACCACAACCACAGTTGGCGCCCAGACCGTTTGAAGAACCCAAATCTCCCAGTATTTCCATCTTCAAGTCCTTGGCCAGATTTCTCTACGGTGTCCGAATCGTCAGCGATGCCCTTTGCGCCTCCGGCAAACTTATTCGATATGTCTTCACTACCACTCACCCCACAGTCTTTATGCTCCGAGTCCACACCCCCTCAGTGCACATGCTTGTCTTATTTATACCTTTGCCTCAGTCACATCTCTTCTATTGGCTCTTTCCCCATCAACAATCATACCCTCTGCTCCCTCTACATCGCCGCTCGAACAGCTCAAGATATTATCCGCTGTGAATCCTGTCCTAGAAACTTTGCATCGGGTGTACAGAATGTCATGTTCACAGGTACACTGTTGACAGTAGTTGCGGATGCGTGGCTTCGTGTGTATCACAGTGACCCCGTCGAATTGGGCATGCAATCTGCCCCACAGGAGTATATCTCTGGTGTACTCCAAAGCGCCAATCAAGAACAGCAGTGGACTAAATGGTTAAACCAGATTGTTCGTCGAGCTGTCATTGGTGGCCCCATTGACTCAAATTCTATGGCCCGGTGCTCCGACCAGCCATCACTGTTAGCTCTGATTAACGAAGTTGAAAATCGTCAACGCCGCTGGCATGACCCAGGGAATCATCCATTGCAAAATAACAACCCCTTCGGGCCCATTGCGGTTACAGATGAAGGACAGGGTCATAATGAAAACGAGAGACTTTGCATGCGAGTTGTTGGAAGTGCGAGAGCTGTCATAGCAAAATTCAACTTCGATCCACATGAATATCCTGAAGGACTTGCTCCAGGGGAAACAAGGCATGAGACTGCACAAATAGATACCAGGGCTTGAAATATGGAGTTTTTGACTATATCTTTTCTTCTGTTGATTCGACTTTGTTTTCCCAGGCGCAAGGCTCCTTGGTGGAGGGAATCTCTACTCCTTGATGGAGGGAACCTCTACTTTACATATATACCACAATTGTTCAACATGTCATTTCAAAAGCTAACAGAATCATAATTCATCATTCTGAAAATCTGTTAGAAGCTTGGTGGAATTATCGATCGTTTCATTATAGATTTTGGTATCGAAAGTGACGGATGCGTTGCGAAGCTAAATGCCAAGTCGAACGAAGTAGAATGCCCAACCCTGTAGATAGACGCCTCGGCCGTATAGAGGCCGGATGAAGGACACAAAGAAAAAGAAGAAAAAGAGGAAGTAGTAATTGAGGATATGGGGAGAAAGAAATCAAGACTGAGAACAGATCATTCATCTTCGTCCTCGTCATCCACCACATAACGATGCTTCTTTCGAGCTGGAGGTGATCCTCCACGAGGTGTCTCTGTGTCAGATGGCTTGCTACGAGAAGCCTTAGCTGGGGCGACCTCATCATCCACTTCGCCCTCAGCATCCATGTCGTCATCTTCCAGTTCAGCTTCATCTTCTTCATCCTCGCCTTCTTCAATGTCTTCATCACTACCAACCAAGAATCCATCATCCTCATCATACTCGTCTTCACGGGTAGTACCGCCACGACCATAGTCTTCTTCGTCATCTGTGTTAATCTCGCCGCGGCGGTTGACACGACGGGGTTTAGCTCGAGGACGGGTAGTCCGCAGGCCACCATCCTCAAGTCCACCAACACTAAGACCACCAGGACGGGGACCAGTGGCGCGGCGACCACGCTCCGCCTCGCGATCTTCAAGTTGTTGACGACGACGCTCGGTTCGCTGCCATTCTTTCTCCATGGCCTCGGCCCTCCGTGCGGCCAGTTCAGGATCTTCCTTGACTTCAATGACAGGCGCGGAACCATCGGCTGTTTGCTTGCTGCCGCGAGAAGCAGCTGCCAAAGATTCTTGTAGTTTCTGGACAGCGTCGTCTGTCTCCAATGTTGTCGGAAGAACGGTGAGACCATGTGTAACATGAGATGTCAGTCGGAAGAGTGAAGCAGTTTCGATTGCTGCACCAAGATAAACGTGTGAGTCCAACTTGGTATCATATTCTCCAGACTTGGAGAGAGGGGCGAGAGGTTTGGATGCAAAGCGGTATTGCTCGAGAGGGGCGGATGCAAGCTGCAGAGTCATAGAGCCGTCTTCCCATCGAATTATACGCGCGTTAGACTGCAGCAGGGTATTATCTTTCGGGTCTTTTCGCCAGCATAGGGATGTGGCAGCGGTGGAATAAGCAGGCGCAACGTAGGTCTCCGGGTTGAACTCTTCCGTCTCAATTGAAAGAAATTCCGGAACCTTCATGGTGTAAATCTGCGGAGGAGAATTAATTCAAACGTCTTTCTCTATGATTATTTCCCTCCAAACAGCTTTGTATTCGTACCTGTCCATCGTTGGTCGCTGGCACTGGCGCCCGCGCAAGGCCCACGTCCATGATGTTGACTGTTACCGGGTAACCATCCTCGTCGACCGCCTCATCCATGCGATCTTCACGGCGGTCATAGCGATTCTCATCATCTCCAGAATCTAATTGCTCATCATCTAAATTGCGGTTTGGTCGGCTAGAAAAGCTAGTTAGTTTCTTTGCGCATTCCGTTCGGGTTCGGCGATATTCCATACTCATTATCAACGCCATCGTCGTCTCCGTCCGAGCCAAACAGATCAGCGTCATTGTCTTCATCCATATCAACGTTGTTGTTCTCATTGCCAGAGTCATTAGCGTCACTCGCAGCGGGACTTTGCATGTCGTTCGCACCACGGCCGGGGCGGCGGACAGCTTCCTCATCGGAAGAGAACATGATGGGGGGTAGAGAGTACGGTCTAGAGGGATTGGAAGCGCTCGGTATGTATTGGTAGGTTATAGAAAAATCCAAGAGAAGAAAAAAGTGATCAATGGGAAGCTCCGACTCTTTTGCTCTCAGTTCATATTGACGGAGCGGACAAAACGGACAAACAAGATTATCCGCGGCCGGGCCCAATGGAGTTAAGTGGACCCAGGAGGGTATCGACTTTCACCGTTTCTTGATCCTTTTTCGTTCTCATTAGGAATTGAAGTGAATATATAAGAGCATTCGACTTGAATCTTTGACAATGGCGACCTTTTTCCAGAGTGTGTAAGTTTGAAATCTAATCGGATGGAAATGCGGTACTCTACCTCTGTAGATTTGATTTCCCTCTCCCCCTCCTTCCCCCATATTTGCGGTCTCACTGTCCCCCCCCCCCTCATATACAATGCATCTGAGAGCACAGCGCCACATCACAATATAGCTTCCCCCTACTCCAAAGTCTAAATCATTCCTCTTTCTTTTCTCAATGCACTTCTTCTCTTACTCCCTGAGTGATTTATTTGCTTGTCTTCCATCCTTCAACCCCCCCAGGATCGCAGCTGACCCAGCACCCGGACCTATTGCTAATCCGCCCTTCTTTCATTTAGGCGCCAAGGGTTTGGCAGGGGAGGAAATAACAAGAACAATCCTCCTAAGAGCCCCGCGCAAGCACCACAAGATCCTCGAACCGGCGCCATGTCGAACTCGCCCTCGTTATCCAACAGTCTGACTATTGACAACCTCGCCGCCAATGATCCCGATGCCCCCAAATACTTTTTCCAAGAGAAGTACGCTCCGTTGAATGTGAGGGGCAACTTCTTGACCCTGTGTGCTTGTCCCAAGAATGTAGAGATCGGCGAGTGGTTGGCTCACCAGAGTAAGTGCCATTGAATAACACGGCCATCTTAAGGCTATGGATACAAACGCTGATACGTGGATGTATTAGTTGTTGAACAATACCGTCTGCTCCATGGCATGCTACAGGTTATCCAAGAGGTGAACGGTGTGACAGGCGTCCAAATTTGCAATGAGAGCACATGTCCGACAATGTCTGCTGGACGGTATGTAGAATAACTGCGGGGTATCGAAAAAATCCGGGGTTCGCAAGACTAATATCACGTTGTTAAATAGGTTGACCTACACGTGGCTCGTCGATGGCCGTGCCGCCAAGATCTCAGCACCCAAGTTCATCAACCGTGTCGAGAAATGGATTGTCAGTAAGATCCACGACCCGGTCATGTTCCCCACCGAGAATGTGAACGGCATCCCGGAAACCTCAGCCCTCGGAGATGCTGCAGCCGCCGCCACTGGAGCCCCTGTTCCAGAAGGAGCCAACCCAGGAACAAATGGTGCTGGTGCCGACGAATGGATCGGCAAGTCAAGTGGTTTCCCTCAGACCTTTTACAAGGACTGTCAGGGTATCATGAAGCAGATGTTCCGCTGTTACGCGCATCTTTACCATGCCCACTGGCTCAACCCTTTCTGGCACATCAACAAGCATGATATCCTGAACATGTGCTTCGTGCACTTTGTGACGGTCGCCAAGTACTACCAGCTGGTCTCGGATAAGGAGATGGAGCCAATGCAGCCTCTGATTGATCTCTTTATCAAGCAGCAACGTGTGCCTCCCGAGGCCCTTAATGGTGGACATTGGGCTCAACAAGCCTCTACCTAGATGAATCCTGGCAACGTGAGCGAGCGCATTTTTCCCATCTCTTTTTCTTGTCTTTTTTCCCCATCCATCATATTTCTCTCTCTACAAAGTGACGACTACTACATGTTCCTCAACCTGGCGTTGGACTGCGCTCATCTTACTTTCGTGTTTCTGCTTTCTTTCTTTGCGCCACAAGGGCAACTTGAGACAAATTGCCGATGATACAGCCCGGAACCCGGGCTTTGAGCATTTAGCATGCGGTGTGAATATTTTATCATGACGATTTTGCATCTCTCCTTTACATCTATCTCCTTGTCCGTATCGATTCGTCGAGACGGATGATTCATTATAACATGGCTCGTTTTGACCCGAGCCCATCTGGGTCCAGTTGAATTTGGCATGATCAATGAGGGATGATTTAAATTAGGAGATCCAGTGGAACGGAGATGTTTCCTTCTTTTCTTTTGACGAACCAATCCCTCCAGTACTAGTTATAGACATGTACCCGCTCCTCGCGCATATATCTAGACGAAGTATAAACACCTTTAAAAAACCAAATGCATAATATGTGCAACATTTCGATATTTTGATATTCCCATTAAACGTTTCGGTCGTCATAAGAAGCAGACCCCATTACAGATAAACTCCATCATCCTGGCCAGCAGACCCAGACCCAGACCCATTCGTCAGCGCATTATTCCCTGTACTTGTCCCTGTCCCCGACTCTGCACCTGTCGATTCCGAATGATCCTGCGTCTCTGCATTTCTATCACCATCTCCATCCTCTCGCTCCTCCCCCTCAACCCAGGGTTGTCCCCATTTCTCCAACTCAGTCTTCAGCAATGAAACCCGTACATTTATAGAGGTAACCACGCCTTCATTCTCCAGGATATATCCCTCCAGCTCCTTCTTCTCTTCTTCGGTATCCTGGGACTCTTCAAGAAAGAGGCGAAGCTCAGAGTTCGACCGGTACAGATGCGCAATTGAGTTGCGGAGCTCGGAGATTTTGCTATAAACTGCTGAGAGGGGCAGCTCGGTAATTGCTTCAGCGAAAGCGGTGGGGTCGATAGAGGGCGCCGTGGTGGTCATATTGATCTCGTTAAGACACAAGAGAGATGTGGGTATTATTTCAAGGTGGTAGTGTGCAGAAACTGGAGGATTTGAAGCTTGATGGGTGTGTATGTAGCACTTTCCAGCGTTGAGATGGGTAGCTTTGCTGAAGTGGGGCTATCGCCGCTTTTCACGCGTGCCAGGGCGCCTACTATGGCTTCTATGGCCTTTGGGTGAATATGTATGTAAATTGGGGCAGCGGCGGGGGTACAAAAAATGAAATAGATATCTAACAGCCTTCTACTGTATGTTAAAATAGTTATTTGGCTTTGCAGTGCATTTGTTTTTACAATTATAATGTCCAAAGGTTCAAGTTCAACTTGTGGACTCGGAGATATATCTAGCCTTTGAGCCTTGCAAACACCTGGACACTGTTATATGCATAGTATGTAATCAACTTGAACTTGAAGGTTATGATATTGCTTTCTGTAATATTCTATGTAGTACATAGTATCCATGTACTCCTACAAGATAACAAAATCGAAGAAACTTGAAGAATAAAGTTGTATCAGTCTATACAAATCCCTGCAGTGCCTAGAAATATTCATCTTGGAAAGACTTGGAGACGACCAACTCCAATATGTAGGCTGGGAATTTCCAGTTTGCACGGGACATACTAACTCTTCAGCAGTACAGAGTAAGAATCACCTGTCACCAACCTTGGAAATCGCCAAATAACCAAATGAAACAGGTCATCTCGTGTGATTTATTATTCGACCGCTCTTCCGTGCCAAGAGCCCCGTCTACTCCACAACTCCCGCCCTTCAGCTCGTTGGATGCGGTTGGGAATGCGATCTTTTCGATCATCAGTACCTACAGTTCCTATCTGAGCAATTGTAGGAGGCGTGACTCAAACATGCCAGATGATCTTGACATTGGCGTTCATCATTTCTCTGTCCTGATCTCCGACTAGCAGATATAGTGTGTGACTAGTTGTATCGTGGGCCGAAGTCGAAACTGGTGGATCCAAGCCAAGCCTATAGAGTGAGTGGGGGGCTGGTTATGGCTCAGATGGATGGATACGGTACAGATTGTACAGAGCACAGCAGAAGTAATCTTACTATCTATTTCGACTGCAGATTTGTCAAAGAAAAAGAAGAAAATATTCCATAACTTACTACGTATTAATTACTATTTATTCCTAGCATCTTTGTACCGTGTAGACAAGAGATCTCAAGTCTTTCAGGCTATCCTCTGTAAACTCTAAGCTGTACAGTACACGTAACATGCACAAAATACCAGTTCATCCTGCATACGCCCACATATGCGACACAGTCGCTCAACTCCGATCGTGACATACCGTTTGCCCATCAAAAGCAAAAACAATCGGAACATACGGAGTCGAACAAGCAAGGCGACCGACTATAGATGTAGCTAAGCAGCGAACAGTCCGCACCGCCACTTCACTGTAGCCAATTGTAACTTTGCGAAAACCGGTTTCTGTGGCTGGGACGTGGCTCAGGAGAGTATAATTAGATCCAATTGATTCCAATTGGTCATCATTGGGCCCAAGATCATTTGCGCGGAGAGAAAGCTACGACGTGGGGCTGGGCAGCGTCATGGAATCAGTTTGCTAATTTCCGCTGTTGATTGGTGCAGATAGTACTAGAATTATCCCCTAATGTAGTGGATACTTGGTCCCGGTATACGATCTGGTTGAGTGTCCCAGGTACTAGCTACTCTCCGATCTGCATCCAATTTCGTTTATTTTATTTTACCCTTTGACCTTTCTTTCGTTTTTTTCCGTTTCGTTGTTGCGTCTCAGCCCTGCAGCCCTATAGTTGGCCAAGTCCTGCCTAATCTTACATTCCTGCTCCTTTCCTCCTTTTGTTGTGGTTCCGAATAAGCACCATCCCACCTTCTTTCTTCCCGTGAGACTCTCCAAGTCCTCGGTTGACCTTCGCTCCAATTCTTCCTACACCCCCCTGATCTACCACAGCGCTTTGCGGTGTTTTGTGTATCGCAATCCTCGGCAATGGCTGACCCTACTGTAGCCCCCATCAATGGTACGTTCCGTCCAAAGAAATCAAAACAAAACAATCCCACCGCAAAGCAGTGCCACAGCTCCAATTCTTAACAGGGGCAAAGAAAACCCACCAGGCGCAAAAGAATAGCACTAACAGCAACTATCATAGGGGTCACCTCCAATGGCGATGAAGCTCCGATTGTAGCCTCCAGTACCGGCAACGGCCGTTTCGAACTGATCTCCGGTCCGCTGATCAACCTCAAGAACATGCACTACGAGTCTACGGCTGTGTGGAACGGAAGTGTATTGATTGTCACCAAGCCAGGCCAGGACCAGCCACAATTGCATTTGCGCCAACTTGGTCCTGTCTCGTCCGAAGGCCAACTTTCATCCCACGCCCAGACAGACCAGACCATCGCCGGTCTGAAGCTCTACGAAGACCCACACAAGGCATTCTGGCGGTTTTCACTTGATGTACCCGTCGAGGCCTACGAGGCGAGCTGGGAATACGATATTCCAGGTCTATACAATGAATCTGAGGAGCAGGTCAAAAATCCCTGGAACTTTGTGGTCCCCGCAGAGGACCAGTCTATGCGCATCATGTTCCACTCATGCAACGGATTCTCTGTTGGCACCGATATGGATGCGTGGTTGGGACCCAATCTGTGGAATGACGTGCTGCGCGTCCACGGAAAGAAGCCCTTCCACGTTATGGTTGGCGGAGGCGACCAGATTTACAACGACGGAATTCGAGTAGATGGTCCCCTGAAGCAATGGACAGCCATTAGCAACCCCCACAAGCGCCGTACCCATGATTTCAGCGAACAGATGCGTGCTGACTGTGACGAGTACTACTATGCTAATTACGTGCGCTGGTACAACACCGAGCCTTTCCGAGCTGCCAACGGCAGAATTCCCCAAGTCAACATTTGGGATGACCACGACATCATTGACGGATTTGGCTCATATACCGATCATTTTATGCAATGCGCAGTCTTCCGTGGTATTGGTGGCGTTGCCTTCAAGTACTACTGTCTGTTCCAGCACCATATTGCTCCTCCCAAGTCGACTTTCACCACCGATGCGCCTCAGACCATGCATGCAGTCAATGGCACTGCCGGTGCTGACCCCCGTCAACTCGAAAACACATTTGTTCTTGATAGCCAGACTGAGGATGATAGCTGGATTATCGGCAAGCGCCCAGGTCCCTATGTAGAGGAACGCAGCCGCAATTTGTACATGCGATTCGGAAAGCGCATCGCGTTTTTGGGTGTGGATGCTCGAACAGAGCGCACCCGCCACCAGGTCAACTATAACGACACCTACGACCTTCTTTTCCAAAGAGTCGCGCGGGAAATTGCTGCTGCTAACGGCGAAATCAAGCACTTGGTCGTTTTGCTGGGTGTCCCAATTGCCTACCCGCGTCTGGCGTGGCTGGAGAACATTCTGACTTCCCCCATTATTGCCCCAATTCGTCTGCTGAACAAGCGTTTCGGTGTTGCAGGCGGTCTTTTCAATGAATTCGATGGACAAGTCGACTTGCTGGACGATTTGGATGACCACTACACTGCTCGCCAACACAAGCGTGAACGTAAGATGCTGGTTAATCGCCTGCAAGAGCTTGCCCGCGTCCACTCTGTACGAGTTACTATTCTGAGCGGTGACGTCCACTTGGCTGCCATCGGACGTTTCTACTCCCACCCCAAGTTGAATTTGGCTGGTGAGAATGACCACCGCTACATCGTCAATGTTATCAGTAGTGCCATTACCAACAAGCCCCCTCCCAAGGCTGTGGCCAACCTCCTAGCCCGCCGGAACAAGATTCACCATCTTGACCGTACCTGTGATGAGACATTGATGAACATGTTCGACCAGCAACCCGGCGGCCAAGAGAAGAGTGCCACATGGAACAAGGTGACTATGCCATCGCGTAACTTTGCTTGTTTGACTGAGGTTGTCGCTCCCGCCTCCAATGGATCTTCTGAAGAGCCTGTAAGCACCAAGCTTGATCGTCTTCCTAAGGATGGCCACGCACCCCTTCACAGAGGTGAAGTTGAAGCAGGCACAACTCACAAGGCTGCCGATGGTATCAGCAGCGATAGTGGCACGTATGGTGGTCTAGATGTTGCGATCCGTGTGGAGATTGACCCACATGACCGTCAAGGAACTACCGAGGGCTATGGCTTTAGTAGTAAGTTTACCCCCTCTTCTTCCTGTTTTCTTCCTATAGCAAGCTGGTGTGAATATCCTCTAAAATTGAAACTCTCAGTTCCCCCTCTGACCTCTACTGCGCCACCCCCATCCCGCCACAGCCTTCGCTCTCGCATTTCGCGTCAAGATGTCCATCATGATGCGCACGCACAGGCCGAGCCCGCAGGACGCCCATCAACAGCTCACTAATCGTAATGCGTATATAATTTCTACTTAATGATTTTTTGATACCTCAGATTTGTGAATTTGATAGTTGTATACGTTTAATTTGCTACAATCCACGATACTGCAAATCTAAGCTCCGTACCTTCTACAACTAAATGAAACATCGAACTCGCTACCTCTGCACAGACACTTGATGTACACCTTGAGTCGATTTCCCCGCATTTCCGTTTATAGTTTGTATCTCAAACTCTCCCTTTGACATCAATCCAATAACCAGCTAAGCATTTAGTGGATGGCATGCGGAGAACGACCGACGCATCAGACTGCCTGATCTGGTCTAGCAATTATGCGCAGAGAACATGAAATCCCGCGAGTATCGTATCCTCCTACTCCATACGGAATAACTAGAGCAATCCATATCCCCTCCATTGATGTTCTTATCTTTCGCTTTGAAATAAGGGCAATCATTTCCCTTTAAGTTTCGCGTGAAGTGTTGTGTTGATAGCGCAAAGTGGATCCTATGGGTCCATTAGTGGTCTAGCCTACCTTGTTCAGATTACTTCAACGTTCCAATAGAACTGATAAGATAAAGGAGTAAATCAATGTGAAGAAAAAGAAACAAAACAAAGCCAGATCTATAAAGGGAACCTTAACCTAGATAATGCCGCTTACAGTAGCTGATTACTGGTCCCCCCCGAGCCGCCTGACAGGGTTCCCTAATCCGTTTGCAGGATCCTGCTGCGGAGATCTCAGGAGGGGAAAGCTCTCGAGCTCTCGAGTATATCTGAATGATAAAATGGACGTCAGCGATAGGCTCGACCTCCGCAGCATAAATCTGATTCTGTTTTATATCCCGGTGGCGTGGCCTGTGCAACCATTCAAGTTGCAGGGCTATTCTTGCTTTTCTCCGCAGGAACAGGAGAGGAGATGATTTCTTTTTCTTTATCAAGGGCGGATTACCACTTACACTTACGCTTACACTCACATTCTTCTCCATATTACCCCTGCTTCATAATTTTCTTTCTCCATATTCCCCTCTCTGACAATTGAATACCTCCCTCCCACTGAATCATGGCTCTCGATTCTTCCAACGAGAAGATCGCCAATTCACCCGATACCCATGAACCAGACCACGAAGCCGGCAAGATCGCCAGCATTCACGAACAAGATGAACTAGACAGACTAGGCTACACCCAAGAGCTACGCCGAAACCGATCAGTCCTCACACTACTTTTCCAAACACTCGCCATAGCAGCAATTCCCTACGGCGACGGCAGTGCCCTCTCTAGCGCAATCTACGGCGGAGGCCCCTTATCAATCTTCGTCGGATGGATAGTAGTCTGTCTTCTAGATCAATGTATCGCCATGTCACTAGCAGAGCTAGCATCTCGGTATCCCACCTCCGCAGGACCATACTACTGGTCCTTCCAAATAGCCCGAACATCCAAAACAACAATCTCATTCATCAATGCCTGGATCTGGCTAATAGGTAATTGGACAATTACACTATCTGTTAATTTTGGATTCGCATCCATGCTCTCAGCAACTATATCCATGTATCACCCGGACTGGAGCGCGAATAACTGGCAATTGCTTCTGATCTTTTACGCGGTTTGTCTGGGTTCTTTGATTATTTGCACATTTGCAAATCGCTATCTACCACAGGTGGATATTGCATGTGCAACATGGACCGCGCTCACCATCCTCGTCATTCTCATCGCTATCTCCGTCAAGGCAGATGTAGGCCGACACAGCGTGTCATATACCCTATCGCACTATGATAAGAGCTTCTCAGGCTGGGGAGGATTTACCTTTTTCATCGGTTTCCTCCCACCAGCATATACATTCTCTGCCATCGGCATGATCTCCTCAATGGCAGAGGAATGTCCAAATCCAGCTGTGAAGGTTCCCCGTGCCATCTCATGGAGTGTACCAGTCGGTGGTATTGCAGGTCTCTTCTTCGTTATTCCTATCTGCGCCACATTACCTCCATTAGCAGATATCATCCAAGCACCAGGCGGCCAAGCACTACCGTATATCCTGAACCGCGTGATGGGATCCCCAAATGCCGCTATCGGGCTCGTCTTTCTGGTGTTGGTCGTCACTCTCTTCTGCTCAATTAGTATCACGGTAGCTGCTTCTCGGTGTACATGGGCTGTAGCGCGTGACGATGCGATTCCTTTAGCCCGCCTCTGGGCGCATGTTAATCCCCATCTCGGTGTGCCGGTGTGGTCTCTCATTCTGCTCACGGTTATTCAGATGTTGCTCGGTCTGATCAATCTTGGAAGTTCGAGTGCGTTTACTGCATTTGTCTCAGTTGGTGTCATTGCTTTGGCTGCTGCGTATGCCATTCCAATCTCTTTGAGTGTGTTGAATGGTCGTGAAGAGGTGAAGCAGGCTCCTTGGAATTGCGGTTCGCTGGTAGGCTATACAGTCAATATCCTTGCCATTGTTTGGATCCTATTCGAGCTGGTGTTATTCAGTATGCCGACTGTGTTGCCTGTGACACCAACCTCCATGAACTATGCATCTGTTGTGTTTGTGGGGTTCATGGCCATTGCAGCTGTGTGGTATGTGGTTTATGCAAGGAAACGTAAGTCGATGTCCTTTGTTCTTGATTTTCATTTGTCACACAGATGATCGGTTTTCAATTGCATTTCTCTAACTTACTCGACTGCAGATTACAAGGGACCTCCCGAGTCTGACGCATTGGATTAGATGCGTCATGATATCATGAGACTTTACTGACTTCTCGGGCGTTCTTTTGTGTTTCCTCTATAATGGACTAGAAGTATCTAATCAATTTATCAGAATCGCCAATGACAGGTCCTAATTAATGATAAGCTGATTCCATAACTCGCACTTCCCTTGGCTAAAAAGACCAGAACGTGATCTGTATGCACGCCGTACATGGCAGTACCTCGGTACATCACCCCACTGCAGATCGCTAGTTCAGAAACAAATCCCAATTACAGAAAATAGATACGTCGATTCCAGAGCAGCGGTGAGGTAACCTTGGAAAGTTCTCTTTACATTCATACCACAGATTTATCTATCCAGTAGACATGTGTAGAAATCAAGCTACTTGGCAAGGTAAGCTCATCAACATGCATAAAATACCCACCTAAAAACTGAGGACCACCTTAGATGGTAGACTTTGCATGTAACTGTCAAGATCGACTCTAGAAGAAGCAAAAAAAGAAAAGAAAGCCACATCCATCATTAATGAACACGAAGATCTTTACCCGAACCGCTGGCCAATCTAACTCAACGCTACCAACCAAACATTTGAAGCATCACATCCCATTCACTTCACCTTAAAAACCCCACTTCTCTTCTCTCGTCTCCTCTCCTCCTTTTCCCTCCCCCATACCACAAAGTCTCTTCATTCAGCTTCTGCAACTTGAACAACCAATCAAGAATCAAAACAAACAATCTCACCCACCCTCACCATGCCTGATAACTACACCTACAGGAGCTCCGGCAGCAACAGCCAGGTACGAGAAAAGGCATAACACATCAACAGAAGAAACGAGTTACTAATTACATCACACTTACACAGGGTAACCACTACTGCGCACGCGACTACGGGTCCGGCGCCTCGAACTCAAACAGCTACCACTATTCTAACACGTGAGTTCCCAAGTTCCAGTTGAGGAAGTAAAGAAGTGAGGATGGAAACGAGCTTCATGACTGATATTTTGTTAGGGATGGATCTTACTACTACTCCAATTCTAATGGGAGTACCTACCACAACGATGGGAAGGGAAGTTCTACCTACACTCCTTCTAGCTCCAATGGCTCCAGCGGATCTAGCTCGAAGAAGTAGATGGATGCAATGTGGTACCGAGGCTCTGCTTTAACTCAACTAAATGGTGACTGAGAGAGCGTTTCACGAATGGGAATGGGGAATCGGAATAGGGAATTAGAATGGGGAAATGCAGATTAGGATTTGGATCGAAAGATCAAATGAGGATGAGTTACGGATTAAAGAACGACATATGAATTCCCCATCAATTTCTTGTTCTAAACATAATAAATATAATAAATCTCGTAATCCATAGTAAATTGCATCCTACAGCTAATAGTCTATAATTGAGGCCCCGGAGACATCGCTCACACCCTTTCTATAAAATTCCCCCCCCCCCCCCCCCCTCAATAAGAAACTCATCATCATCCCCTTTCTCCTTCTCCTTCTCCCCATCTATCCGTCTTCGACGAGGAACACCCTCATTAGGCGAATGATGCTGCACCACCGGAGCAGGAAGGGAAACATCACTCGGTCTCCTCCTCCTTACAATCTGATATCCCCGATCCAGCTCAATTTCAATAGCCTCCCGAACCTTCAAAGCACTAACAGCAGGCCAAACACCTCTTTCCCCCTTCAGCGTCCACTCAGCAACCTGTTCCCTCGTAGGATGCTGAAAAAGCCTCCCAAGATCCGAAAAGGCCAAATCAGGAACCAGAGTCAAATTTGGACCGGGAATGAGTTCGTCAATGAGGAGGCGGCTAACAGCACCAGGGAGAAGACCAAGATAATCTAGTTGGCGGAGACGATGGCGGAGCTCAACTAGCACAAGGCGCATAAGAGATCGGGAAAGATTATTCCAGCCAGTTTGGCGACGATCGAGGAGATTGAGTTCGGAACGAAGGAAAGGGATTAGATATGGCCTTGCTTGGGAGACGATGAAATGGTTTACGTTGAAGAGCTCTGCAATTCGAGCGAGAGGTGATTCGCCCTCGTTATAGTGAATGTGCCTCCATGGTTGGAAAATTGCATCTTGTGCATGTGGCCAGGGCACAATAGATCCGGTTTCATCTTTGCAGTAGATGGTGACAGGGGCAGAACGCGAGGAGAAAGATGAAGCATTAGAGGCTGCAGCCGCGGACCAGATCAACTATTTGTCCAGTCGTTAGATATTCGAACATAAACAGATATGTGAGATGGACAGAGCATAGAAACTTACCACATTAGGTGCTGTGAGGTAATTAAGCAAATTGGGTGTACCAGTTTTGCCTGCCGTGGCTATCGTGATGTTCAAAATGCGCTTAGATCGAGCATAAGCCTCTTCAAAGGTCAAATCTCCAACATTAGATCGTACACACTCCTCCAATAATTCCATATCAAATAAATGTCCTGTGCGAATGAATCGCATCATCCGCCGAACAAATGTCCGTAACCACCCATCCCCCTTACCATTACTACCAGATGTTCCATTGGATTGACTTTTCCCCCGCTGATCAAAAGCCGAAAAATCGATCGTATCACCATCCAGTAGTGCTAGCAACTCATTCTCCGGATGAATACCCACAAGAGCAGCAACCATAGCCCCCGTCGCGGTACCAGTGATAATTCGAGGTAACAACCCTTGCAAATGCAGCGCTTTGACAACACCTAAATGGCACAATCCAAACGCCGACCCGCCCTGTAATAGCAAAGTTGTCCGCCCAAAGGCCTGCCGGGTATCATGTAGCAGCTCCAGCTTCGCTTGGGACGTGAAACCATTTGTGTGTCCAGGAACGGGTTGAAGCGAAGTGACATACTGAATCGACAATGCAACCTGGGTAATATAATCGTCGATCAAAAGTTTCGTTCCAGCATAAGCATGTGTGAACAGCTTTGTCGATGTAATATTGCCTAGATTGCGCACCAGCCCCGAACGAAGGAGGCTAACCAATGTCAGGACATTCTCGCTTTCCCTCGCGAGCATCAACGCTTCCAGTCGACCTAGGATAAGTCGATGGTCATAGTGTCGACTGATATTATTCTGCCGCCTGTGATTGGGAGATTAGCCAGAGTCACAATGTGGTCCGTGGGTGTTGTGGGTACTATGGGCATGGGCATACCAAAGGTCTTTATTCAGGATCTCATCCAGTTCAAAGGCGGCTCCTTCCCATTCTTGATAACTATGTGCTGTTTCCAATGTATGGAATAGTTGTGCTCGTGGGGATTTGGAGTGCCACCATGATAGGAATTTCTGTGGATTCTATAAGCATGTGTGTCCAGTGTAGGAAGTCGCTTTCGGGATGCGGAGACCAGCCACCTCCCCCGCGTTAATATGGAGTACGACTCACTTGTTCCCAGAATTTCGCGACATCCAGTATCATACTGAATATTGCTGTCATAATACTCCACATGCCGAGCCACCAGGACCTCATGTCGAGGTTACGAAGAGGTCCAGGATGCTGAGGAAGAAACTTGTCGAGAATTGGGGCTTTCACATGCTATGTCGTCACGCGCGCAGACGAATGGAGAAGCGGAAGAATTTCTTTTTTAGAAATAAACACGAGGTCGATAATAATAAATATATAGATTGTAAGAAAGAATAGACAGGAATAAAGGTTAGATACAAGCAAGTGGGCTGTAAGATTTAAGGTTGGTTGACATGGAGAAATGAGTGGGAAGATTTTGTGGTCCTCAATAATGGAAGGGTTAAGGGAAAATCCTTGTAGGGCCACAACTTGAAGTCCAAGTATAAGGAACCCGATAAGCCCCGGAAAATACGAGTAGATATAAATCCAAATTAAAGATCTACGAATGGTTCAAGAATATGAAGAATCATGAATTTGCAAGTCGTTTGATTTTTGTCATTTCGCTTTGCTTCCCTATATGCAAGTAGGCGAAATTAAAAAGAAGCTCTCCCGGACACCCGAAATACCCATCAAGCTTCATTCTTTACTCTTCAATGATGTTACCGCGCTCAGAAACGTACAGACCGTCCAAGAACTATAAGAATATTAGTATTGATTCTCCAATTCCTGTGATTAGATGCAATTCCACATACCTTACGGATATCCTTGTTACGGACACGGCAGATCTGCTGGATGTCGGCGGCACTCTGGGAAACACCCTCGAGGGAGTTACCGGACAGCTGGAGCTCATCCTTGACGTTGGCGGAGGGAACAATGTCAACACCAGCCTGGGCAGTGACGCGGCGAACGTACTTCTCACCCAAGAAGTTACTAGAAAAAAAAGACCCGTCAGCATTGATGCTATCATGTCAAATTGAAGATCCAACTCATGGGCAGAGTAGAAGTCCAAGCAAGATTTTGAATCGAACATACCGGATCTCAACCTCGTTGCGACCGGTCTCGGCGTTCTTCTCGATGTTCACGTTGATGGGGAAATGGGCGTAGACGTAACGCATCTTGTAGAGGAAACCGCGGGTAACACCGATCATCAAGTTGTTGATGAGAGTGCGGACGGTACGGAGGGTAGCGACACCCTTACGGACACCGTGGTGCAGCTCGATAGAGATAACGTTCTGCTCGGGGCGGCCGAAGGTAACGGCGATGTGGGAGAGATCCTTGACGAGCTTGCCACGGGGACCCTCAACGGTCACAATGCGCGAACGAATGTGAACCTTCACTGTAGATTAAAGAAATCATGAATCAGCCGTCGGTCCTCTTGACTTTTTTTTAAAATCAAACATCTAAATGTGCGCAATTCCAGGTATATGATATTTTTCTCTTCGTCCGGCGTGTTGAGACACCTGGAACAAAAATCGGGCAAGTTGATCTTTTCCTCCATTCCCCTTGTTGCATAGGAATGATTGTAGTCGAATGGTCCTCCTCATGAGATCGTGGATGTGTGTGCGCCCAGATCCCACCATATTTGTCCTTCACATATAACCTGGAATTCCTCGCAAAACAGAAAAAAGTCGTATGCTCACCATTGTCCGGAATGGGCAGCCGTTCCTCGGAGTGAATGTACCGCATCTTGACTGCGTGGGTGGTGTTGGCCGAGGGGGTGAATTGTCGATGTCGGGAGGATCAAAATTCGGTTTGGAGTTGATGGTGGAGCGAAATTGAACGTCACGGGGTTGTGCGTCGCTTAACCTTGAATCGGGTTTAGCGTAGGGTTGCTTATCTACTTAGTCATCGTGGACGATATCTTATCGTCACATGGTGATAACGTCTGATCTATTATCTTATCTCACACTTTCTGCCCGAAGACTCAGGCTCAACATGGATCCTCCCCCAACAAGGTCTATGTAGCTACTGGTGGAAGACATCGATCAACCTTGAGAGAATGCACGAATTCTTAACCCTACTAGTATGCCGAATATACATTTCATTTTTGTCCTTCAGCAGCTTTTCTAGTGTAGTGTACCGCGTAAGTGTAAAGAATACGCAGCTATGCATACTAACTGGAGTTCAAAGGCATTCAACATATGGATAGCTATTCACCTCTGCTAAGAGTAGATATCTGTATAAATATTACATTTCCTCCGAGTAACCAGACCCGATCACCAATGAAACCAATCCCAAATATCCATATGTACAAAAACGCCCGCCCATGATCAAAGACGTCCAGGGGAATTATGAAGCATCAATCAAAAAGTAGAAAAGAAAGGCATCTTCGTCTGAAAGCCTCTTTTTTAAATGTGATCCTTAGGTGGGCCACGTGTGACATCCGCAACCCACTTACCACCATACTGGCGCAGCTTGGACGCCAAATCATCGCTCTGATCCAGCGCGGCAATATCATCACCACCACCGATACTTTTGCCATTCACGAGGATATTGGGCACAGTGCGACGACCGGTGTTCTGAGCCAGGAGAGTTTGAAGGTCCTGTCCGATAGGGTGTTGGTCTAGCTCAACCACGAACGGTCTCGGGGAGATAGTGTATCCCTCCAGGAGAATTGACTTAGCCCTCTTGCTGTAGGGGCAGTAAGACTTGGAAAAGATAATAACTGTAACAGAAGAATTGTTAGACTATAGATACTATTGGAGACGAAGATCGCAATAGCAATAGCAAGAAAGTAGGAGTGCGGGGAGCAACATACTAGGAGCGCGCTTAAGAATAGCATTCAACTCAGCCTTCGCATCCAGCTTCTCCTCCTCTTTCTCTTTTTCTTCTTTCTTCTCTTTCTCCTTCTCATCATCATCACTCTTCTTCTTCTCAGACTCCGCCACCCACCCAGCTTTCTCAGAGTCCTGCTCCGACAAAGTATCCTGCGGACCCTTCTTCGGAACAGTCATCTTCGTCCGACCAGCAATGGGAATCTCCTCCATCTCCTCAGTCCCCTTCACATTAGCGACAGGAGCGGCCTTCTCCGCATCAGCATTAACCGCAGGAGCAATAGCGGGTTTAGCCATAGCGTCCTGAATCCTGTCTTTTGTCTTTTGCTTCGCATTCTCCTTTGCCTTCATCGCTTCGAGGGTCGATTTGTAGAATTTCTGATTTTGAATACTGCTTCCTTCACCCTATATTATAGCATGTGTTAGTCTGATGTGCATTGCGCGGGTAATGGTATGATGTCGATGTTGACGGCGATCTCGTCTCACGTACGGAATAGTAGAAGGTCATAATGAGGATTGCGATGACCGCGATAGCGAGCAATCGTGTTCGCCGAGCGGAAGGCATGATGAACTCGGAATATGGAGATGTATCAGAGAAGCGGGTGATAAAAACGGTTTTTAAATAGGGATTAAAGATGTGAGAATAACAGCATTAAGGAGGAATGATGCACAGGCGCTGGTCGAGACCCGTGGACGTGACGGGCCCGCGCGCCAAGAACTGCTTAGCTTTGCAATCTAAACATGGTGTTTGCAAGAAACCGGATTGGAATCTCGTATCTTTCCTTTCTGAACAATTTTTTATAGTCTATTGCAATGTTAGTGTAGCTGTTTTTGATTTCAAAATTAAATAGTAATGGAAGTTCCCTACAAAGATGCCCATGGCTATAAGATACCCTAATTTAAGGGGCGTGATAGTCTTAGGTGGGGTGCTTATTGTTCCCCTTAATCGGCGGTTAGGGGTCCTCGACCTGATTACGATGCTTGGCAGGAGCCAAGTTGACTCTAAGAATAGCAGGGCTAGTAGTTTATTATTATAGAACAATATTATTTAATTCAGTAAACAGATAGCTGACATGGGTATTATGCTAAATCACAAGGCTTTTGGGGTCTGGAGACATCTCCACATGTGAGATCCATAGACGCGGCGTACATAGCCCAATATTAGGTTTAAACATGGTGTATGTGTATGGGGACATTGGTAGTAGGGAGTTGGGGTGAGTAGGTAAAGTAACAGGGCGTGGAAGAGACATAAAACGCACACTGGAATCCACAGGACCAGCTGGAGGAACGGAAAGATAGAAAGGAGATTAAGGTAGGATGAGATGATTGGTCCACCAGGGCCAATCTTTGCGTATTGCATAACGCAGGGTGATGAGTAGAAGAGACGACTATCAATGTAATCTCATCAATTATGTATGATCAGGTCTGGATGGAAAGTCCAGGTCGGGCGGCGTGGTGAGCAGTGGCTCGGCGTTTGCCCTGGACAATAGTAGTCCAGTCTTCCCATTCCTTGGCAATCTCCGTCAAGACACTGCCCATCACGCCGGCAGAAGCCATAAGACCATGGCCCTCGCCTTCGAGGATGCGCACCTCACATCGACGCATAGTTTTGCCTAGCCAATTGACATTCTCCACGGGGACGCGAGTATCTTTGCTACCGTGGTGGATCACTACAGATCGAGTGATATCAACATAGCGGAAACCAATAGTCTGTCGCCGTTCCAGGCAAATCAGTAGATCCACGGCTGGATTGGCGTTGGTGGTAGCAAGTTCCCATATTTTGTGGGTCAGGCGGGTATCATAGTCTTGCTGTCGCTCTCGCTCCTCCTCTGGAGACTTAGCCCGCGACGCAAGTGTGGCGTCACTCCGCCGATATGAGGGATTAGAGACATTGGAAGGCTTCGTCCCACCCAATGGTGCAGGATCCTCTTTTTTATTTTTGGCCTCGGCTATATCCAATGCAATAGAATCTGAGTCGGCGATAGGTGCTTCTTTCGCAGCGGCCTTGCGTTTGGCTCGTTTGGGAGATTTAGGAAGGCTGGTCGTGATACTTGCACTGGTGGCACTCATGAAACTCGTATTAGCCACTTTGAGAAGGGACGTTGGGAGAGCGCGAAGAATTCGTTGCGAGTAAGGTACTGCATTAGTTGGAGCTGGTTCCTTTTGTGAACCTATGCTGGAAAGTTGTGATGGAGGGATCCAAGGAGCCAGAAGATGGATTCGTCCACGAATATGTTGTGGAATCCGAAGAGCCGTAGCCAGAGCATAAATGGCTCCAGCAGAGTGAGCCAGAATGGAGAATTTGGTGACTCGCAAATAGTTACAAACGATAGCAACATCATCTGGGAGTTCTAGTTAGTATCAATGTACTTATCACGGCTGAGAATAAGACACAACTCACCAGGCCAGCTGAGAGGGTTGCTTGTTTCATCAAGTTGGTGTGGTCCGCTTTCACCTACACCCGGACGATCCAAAGTCACCAATCTCAAGTTAAGAGTGCGAGCCAATTCATCGTAAAATGCAGGAAGATACCGAGTGAGACCCATGCCGAGACAACACAAGACAACGTGACCCTTGGGATTGCCCACCTCAGAAAATGCAATTGTGCGTCCCGTGGTTGGATGTACAACCTTCTGGGTCAACTTTGGAGAAAAAACATAATCCTCAACAGCTAAATCAATCGAATCAACGCTGGATGGTCGCTCATGGGTAGCTGAGGTTCGACCGGCAATGCTGGGCCCCGAAGGTGATCGACGATGACTTTGGGTGGGTGTGGTTGGCTCCAAAGATCTTCTGTATCGCGATTGCTCATCAAGTTTATCCGAAGCTGACTTGGACATCTGCGGTGCAAAGTTGGTGGGTTTTGAAGCTAAAGGCCCGCCAATCTTCCCAGGTCGACTTTTACCAGTCATAACAGAGGGTGACGGCGCACTGTCATTCAAAACAGAACGCTCGGCTTGGGCTGATCCATTCGGAGCTCCGCGAGTTTGATCAACTTGACTCGTGCTGCGTGGGGTTTTTGGCTGCTTGACTGGGGTCATTTTCGTAGATTTACTAGAGCTATCATCTGCTTCAAGCTCCGTCTTAATCTTCTGTTGCTGATCCTTCAGCTCCTGGATCCTCCGCGTCACCTGTTCTGCATCATTACTGGTGCCAGGTAGACCATTGTCCGAATTGGATTCTTTGCTGGCAGTTGAGGGGAAACGACTATGACGAGCCGACCTCCGCTTTCCAGAGGAGTGGCTATGTCGGTGTCGTAAAGATGAGTCGCGTGTGGGGATAATTCTACCGCTTCCAATTCCTCCCGGATTATGATGGTTATCTGGGGTAGTCTGAACGGATGGTTCCTCCATTGTCGGAGGAGTGCTTGCCACAAGACCGTCATCTGAGGCTTTGGGTGCGGCCTCCTCAGCAACGTCTGCCATGGAATGCATTGAGCGCAAGCTAGCCCGGTTGCGGGGGGTATTATATCGTAGTCCCTCGTTTAGGCTGTGTGTTTTTCGCAAGCGATCGGCTGGGTTGTCCTTCTCAGTGGCTGCAAGATCCCGGGAGGATGATTTTCTAAGCAGGCTGAATTGGCCCTTCAAGCTTTTGGTTCGACCACCTGAGCCGTTGGATGCGACGCTCACGGCAGTGGAGAGACGAGGGCCGGGCTCTGTACTGATCGTCCCGAAGGCCGTGTCCTCGGGAACGGCCCTTGCCGATGAATGGGAGTCCTTCGAAGCGGGTCGGGGAGATGGATCGAATCTACTGAAAGGTTTGAACTTTGGCGATCGGGGTGATCTCGGTGATTTGGGAGATGGGGGCGCTCTGGCCATGCGAATGACTGGCGACGATGCAGCATCATCCGGATGCAAAAATGGGCTCGAATCGAGTTCAGGTTCCTCCAGGTGAGTGCCGAAGCTCAACCCAAAGCCATTCTGCTGGGACGGAGGGATGGTGAAACAGGGCGCAGTGTGTGGTACCTCGGGCAATCCAGGATCGGATGAATCCTTAGAGTCGATCCGGGGTACTGTTTCAAAATGCGAGTTCAGGGGCACGGAGATGGTGGAAAGGGACGAGATCAAGGACGAGATCAGCTCCGGAGACGTTGGATCGGCGGAATTTCCAGCACCCTGACCACGAGAAGGGAGTGACTTGCGACGGCGACGGCGACTCAAGAGGGCCGATTCGGCCGGTTTGAGTGCCGGGACACTATCGTTCGGCTGCATGACGGATTTTCAATAGTTCAAGGGATATCGAGTCAGGATTTCCCCCCAAGGATCAACGAAATATGCAAGGTTTTGATAGGCAGTTGCGCATGATTTACACTGCGATGTACCAAAGATAGTTTTTTGCGCAATTCGCGGGTCCCTGCTTGTGCAAAAAGAGAGAATGAAAAGGCAAAAAAAGAAAATATTGATCTGCCCCCTTACTTGAGTTCCGGATGGACGTGGGGCGGGATGATAAGAGTATGGGATTGTTTAGGAGCGAGAGAAGAGAGGGGGAGGGAAGGGAAGGATAAAGGAAGGTCAAGAAGAGAACAAGAGATTACGTTTTGAATAAGAAAAAAAAAAAGGAATGAACAGAAATGAATCAATAAAAAGAAAGAATGGATATTTTCTTCTTTCTCAAGAGAAAACAATCGTAAATACGAAAAGAGAAAAAAAAAAAAAAAAAAAGCGATCTGGAGATGGAGGTTTTTTAGCGTTCGCGCCTTTCCGACTCCACTGCTGGATCCTAATTTCCCACTGGTTTGTGCTTCTCCTATTCGGGTATTGATGGTCATGATCCATGAGAGGCCGTGGATCCAATCAGGGGACAGAGATGAGAAGTTTCAGCTGGGGGTATATAATACTGTAAGTATAATATCAAATCAATATATGGAGTACGGAGTAACGTAATGTTAAAAGTATACGTCTGTCTATAGTAGTTCTAGAATTCCACGTGGCATGCAGGATTACGTCTCTGATATGTACTAGTATTGCATATATTATAGTACAGTATACTCGAAGATCATTAGACCCCTGATTATGCCAAGCAATCAGAAACCCACGATCTCCAGAGGTCGGAGATTACCTGGCCAATATTATGCTTATGTACATCTTGATATTTGCCTGTGTTTACCAACCATTCCATGGTTGGACTTAGCCAGTGACGTTACTGCATCTCTCCTACATATGCATGGATAACCTTATACCGACTAGGACGGTGCTTAAAATTAAACTAGTCATTTGATCAAATTTATATCTTGAGATCATAGTCTTCAATAAGGTTGACAGGGTCTTCTAGTGTTTTCCCCATACATAAGAATTATATACAGTATCTTGAAAAGGGGGAAATCCTTGCTTATGTTGTTGTGGGGCTGATGATGGGACTTTACCTATGACAGGTATATATATCCGTCTATGGATCTATACAAACAGGCTGTGCATGTTATTTTGAAGGTGGAACTTCAAGCACACTTCATGATCAACACTATATCGCAAATATTTTCATAGTACACATTAAAAGAGCTCAATCGTATTGAAAGGAGTGCAATCTTCTAATTGATTTTATAGTGATTTAAGCTTAGTTCAACTGTTCCAGATGGTGGCAGCCGCCTGACCGCCCCCAGGAGACCCGGCAGTAATTCCCCGTTGAAGCCCAAGCTTGATCGTGTTATTGTCACATTCTAATGTTGTTCATTTTCTGGAACTGACCAGTCTTGATCCTGTCGACCAGATATCCGATACAGAGAGATAATCTAATACCCGCGAACCCCCCGGAACGAGCTATCGTTGGCATAGAAATGTGGTGACCGACCCAACACACTCAGCCTTATTGTCCGCCATGGACGCATACCCTGAAGACTACATCAATCACAACCTGCCTCTAGTTCTTCTATCAGGACTAGAGGCCGGCTCAGAAGATGAAATAAATCAAACAGTTGATTATCCTCTTCTAGCTGAGAACGGCCTCAAGATATTCTCGGACTTCCCACCTCTAAGCGGGGCCGTTGCGGAGGAATTGCGGAGCGTGCTTTTGGAAGAGGATGCCTCTCAGAAACCCTGGAAATATGTGCCTAGCGTAACGGGAACGTCTCTGCAAATAGGTTACAAGATAAAGAGCACAGGACGTGTATGTTCTACCATTGATAACTCCCCTTTGAGAAGCGTCTCACTCATGTCTCTCCTAGTCTTATCAACTACCGCCGCGGAAAGCAGCACCCCCGCAGAGCTCACCACCCACAAGTCCCACCAGTAACCCAGATACAAATCCTCCAGATCCGAATACATCGTACATCCTTCACTCTCCTATCTCCCCCCTGTCTCCAGGCTCACCCACTTTCCCTGATGGGCTTCTTACTCCAGCATGGGTGACGAAGCACCAAGATCTCGTCCCTGCCGCGGTGATCAACTTTTTCCCCTTTTCCCTCGATCCCAATATGGACTCACTCCGAGACAATCAATTGAAAATTGAAATCAATGGATTGAAAAATGAATGGGCGGCTTCCGGTTTCAAAACAAGGTTCTTAGTTGTTTTGATATCGGAAGAGGGCGACGGGGGCATCGTCGGGGAAATTGATGATCGCATAGCGGCAATCCGACGATCTACCAATCTTGATGAGAAATCTATCTTTATAATCCCACCGGACGCCATATCGACAGAATTGAAGGAATTCGCAACCTCTTTGTTTTCACTGTTGCAACCATCGGTGGTGGAATACTATCGGGATCTGTCAAAGCATGCTCGGCGCAAGCGGAATAGGGGCAACATTCCCCCGCCAACTGCACCTCCAACGAGCGGCACATCTCAAACGCTATCATTTCAAGGGTGGAATGCTCGGTATGAATTTAAACTTGGAATTTTTGCCGAGTTTCGGCAAGAGATGGACGCGGCATGTCGAAACTATGAGAGTGCATATGATACATTGTTTGGTCAAGAGGTCTTTGAGAACATTGCGGGCTGGAACCCTAGATTCAATGATGCACGTCTATTGGGTGATGCTCTTGCTATTCGTATAATCCGTTGTTTACTATGGACGAAACAAACCACCGCCGCGACCCGCTTTTGGGTTGACCACCGACTTCGCACAAAAGATATCGTAAACAGAAGAGGCAAAGGGAGCAAAAATTACGGATGGGAGGCATGGGAAGCCCGGTGGTCAATGGTCATGGCTCAGATGATACGCCGGGCAGGCTCGTCACTTTCATCACCGGGGGCTTCTACTGACAAGGGCCTAGAGGCACCTCTCATCTACAGCGCACCCGAGAAAATTATCCCAACAACGGAACAAATCAGCCCATGGGAACATCTGCATCATGAGGGATACTGGCTACACCGCTCAGCTAAGCATACCATGCTTCGACGAGCACTTGCACAACTCATCCCCGACGAGGACCGGGTATCAACTGGCCAATCACCTGCGTCCCAAATGGCAAGCAAATCATACTTGTACGACACATACCTTGCACCAGAGACATGCATTGAATATCCTCAACCAGGACAAAAAGGGTTTGATCACTCGGAGTTGATTATCAGTACTCTGAAAGATTCCCTTGATGAATTCTCCAAACATGGTCAAACCCGAAAGGTGGAGCAGTTGAGCTTGGAACTTGCGGAGGAATACATGCGAAATGGGTCATGGACAGAAGCATACAATGTTCTCCAGCCCCGGTGGTCATCTCTTACCTGGCGTCAGTCAGGATGGTGGTCTCTGATTGAGAATTTTGGCTGGACATTAAGAGAGTCTGCTCTCAAAATCAACGAGCCTGAAACGGCGCTACGAGTAGACTGGGAGCTTCTTAATAAAGGTAGGTCGATGCGCAAATCTGTTTTTGCACATATATCAGTACTAACTCGTCTGTAGCTTTCCCACCAAGGTCTGCATCGCACTACGATATCCATCAAAGCCTCAAGGATGTTTCCATTGAGAAGCCCAAACCGTCCGTCGTTCTACGAGCCGAGGATGTGATGACTGGCTGTGAGTTTGCCTTGACGCATAACTTACTACTTTCCAAATGCTGATTCAAGTATTTAGTAACCGCATCTGTTGTTTTCGAAAAGCCCGATGGTAACGTTGGCGAGACGCTCCAAGCTCAACTTACCATAACATCTTGTGCCCAAAAATCTTCATCTCCGATCAAGCTTTCCCAACTCAAACTCGTGTTCGAGGGATGTCTTCGCCCTGTCAAACTTCAATCCAATCAGGATCAAAGTTCCGACACAACAGCTCCGTGTTGCATATCGTCAATAGCTTTACGGGAGCCTAGCAGCATAGAAGACTCGAGCATACAATCTCCTACTAGTGTATTACCTACTCTTGTCGGTATTGCTGATTTGACTATCGGGCCTTCTCAAACAAAAATCTTCAACCTCACGTGCATCCCACGCGAGGCCGGAGAGGCACAGGTTGCTTCTATAGCGATGCTGGTCGAAGAAGAAAAGTTCGATTTAACTTACGTGATCACCGAACACAACACACGGGAATCTTACTGGTGGCATCAGACCCAGAAAGGACCGTCTCGGAGAAGAGTCGGAAAAGACCGAGATACCGGAAAATGCAAGATTCTTCCAAAGCCGCCCAAGATCCGTATCTCTACACCGAATCTCAAGAAAACTTATTATACCAATGAACGGGTGGCCCTAAAGATCAGCATCCATAACGAAGAAGACGAAGCTGTTGATGTTTCGACCGAGGTTAGGTTATTCGGACCTCCAGAATCCACTACTCATCTCAAATGGCAAGATGCAGATGATATCGCTGAGCCTTTATCATCTGGGACAAGCTCTCCGAATGCAGGCCCATCTCATTTCATAAAGAGAGTTGTTGGATCCATGGAAAGCGGCACCTCACAGGATATTATTGTTGTATTGGGAGACACTCAAGAAGCCACGAAACATACACTGGAGATCACTACATTGTATAATCTGGTTTCTGATATCCAAACGCCTATAATGAAGACCATCGATGTTGAGCTTTCTTTTATTCGGCCCTTTGAGTCCAACTACGACTTCCTACCTCTCATCCACTCAAAATCGTGGCCCAACTTCTTTTCCGTCGATGACGATTCGGTTGGCGACACATCTTCAGATAGACCAAGTGGTCTAATGCAAAGATGGCGCCTCAATTCCAAACTTGTCTCCTTTGCATTAGAACCTCTTGTCATTGATCGAATGTCCTTGAAGCTTCTAAGTTTGAGCGGTGGTGCTGTCTGCAATCTCGAACCCGAGACCCTGGTAAGCGCAGAGACACCACAAATCGCAGCGGAGGAGCTTCGCGAGTCCAATTTCTGCCTGGATCTCCAAAAGCTCACGCTTGGTGATCGCCGCCCATCAGCAGTCAACTTTGCCCTGGAAATCGACTGGCATCGTGCATCTTCCACTGAAGACGACGAAAATGAAACAACTACCACCACTCTCGAGGTTCCTCGCTATGTAGTGCCTATGGGTGAGCCCCGAGTGCTTGCCTCGGCGTCTCCATCTACCGCTTTATCAGGTTTAATCCAAGTGGATTACACACTCGAAAACCCATCCACCCACTTCCTTACGTTCAACCTGATGATGGAAGCTAGTGAAAACTTCGCTTTCAGTGGACCCAAGACAACTGTTGTTCAATTGGTACCTCTCAGTCGCCACACCGTACGTTACAATCTCTTGGCCGCGAAACGGGGTCTGTGGATCCAGCCCCAACTTGTCGTCGTGGATACGTACTTCAACAAGACTTTACGAGTTCTTCCAACTGGTGAAATGCGCTCAGATAAGAAAGGTGTTTTGATATGGGTCGATGCAGAGGATTAGAATAGCATTAGGAGATCATTCTACTTGTACATGTGAAACTGAAACATCTTATTGTATTACTGGCGAACGTCTTAGATATCATCTACCCACAAGATAAAGCGAAATTTAGATCACGAAGCCTAAGCGCTAAAGACATAATAAAGAAAATCATAATCATATGTACCCTCCAAGCCTATCATCTAGCTCATAAATTTTGCATAGCCATAAGTTCATCAATCATCCACATACATCAACATCAATATCATCAAACCTTCCAGTATCAAAGAAGCGGCATAGTAACCAGATTCGTATAGTCCACATTCTCCTTCACACTCTCAATCCTTTCATGACAAGTCCCAAAAATCCTATCCCAAAGCCTAGTCTGCTTGCCATAATTATGACTCTTCCTCCACCCATAACGATGATGAAGATCATGATCCTCAATAACCAACTCCGCATCAAAGAATTCCAAAATCCAATTAAAAGTCGACGGAGCACCCCCATGAAGCCTCAATCCACTATGTCCAATAAATTCCGAAAAAGCAATATACTGAAAACAAATCCACCACTCATAGAAACCCATCGGCAAACCCATAAATTTCAACGTAGTATACGCTAAGAGCGGAATACCGGTGATATCCATGAATTCCTGTTCATGATCCGCGTAAGCAGAAAGTAACGGATTTGGATGCTTAGTTAGATGGTGTCGTCGGTGGAATTTCCATAGGGGTCCGACGGAATGCATTAGACGATGATACCAGTAGAACCAGAAGTCGACAGTGATACTGTACATGCCTATTTCGAGAGGTAGCCATTTCCACTGTAGAGAAGATGGAGTCTCATCAGGTTGGTATGTAAGGTAAATGGACATAATCATTCGTAAAGAGGACGTGGAGATTAGTTCTCGTAGAACTTTCCCAACGCCTACATCGGGGATATCGTCTCGTGGGTGCTTGTCGCCGTCTAAGAAGCCGTAGACTTGACCTAGTCGGCGCATGATATGCATTTCGTGAATGCCGCTTGCCTTGAAGGCAGTTGAATATAGTGCGAAGGCGCCCAGGAGACTTAGGTTGTGGCCCGTATAGCGTACGTAGAGATGGTGTAAACCCAGAGGGATGATGGCGTGCGATAGAATCCATAGGTGGACGGTCCATTCTCTAATGGCGGGGATTTTATCTTTCTTAGAGAATATAGGGACGTTTTTATCGAGATCGATGAGATGTAAGCCGAGAATCTCAATCATCCAGTGCCAGAAGTTCCACTGAGATCGATCCTGGCGCCATGTGGACACCATGGAATCCTGGGGATTCCTCGTGATGGTAATTGTCTTCGTCGACATTTTCAAGTCAAGTTCAGTTGATATTTACACCAAGAGAAAAATAAAGAGGCTATAGATAGTCATATTAATATATGTTTAAATACTTACTGCTGGTGGGTCACGTTGTGTTGATCTGGTATCAGATAATGTGGCATGTGAAGTTAAGATCGTCATTCATGACACACAACGCAGAGTTCTTGGAAGAACTTTATCAGGGTTGGCGAATCACTATGGTCCTTTAGAGGCCCAGGAGCTCGTTGAGTGATTGTTGGGGCGACTAGGCTTACCTAGTGCGGTGGATCATCAGTACTTGTGATTGAGGTGCTGCCTCGGTTACCGGATATCGCCTATGGGGTACGCGGGGGAAGATCCACTGATTCTCCGGGGAGCCCAAAGACAAACAGCGAGTTCCTTGGCTCTGGTCATGCTTGTATTGAGAAGCCATTGATTCGACTTATGCATTGGCCTCGTTATTCTAGGTACCTGGTGCGTCAAGCTGCTTTGGCGATCTTGAGGCGATGATCTTATGTCAATGCAGGCATGTGTCGAATCTCATATAATAAATAGATGCATTAAAATAGCTCGTTTTCATGATATTCATGAAGCAGTATTCAGACCTAAGGCATTGTAAATTCTTTCAGAGAAGTTCAAAGCAGGCGTCGGCTGTTAGAACCGATTCAACCAACTTCTTCGTTTCTCCAACACCATGATGTTCTGTGTTATCATCATTGGCAGTTGATAATCGTCATTAATGTTTTTTTCTCATAAATATGTTCAAAAATTTCTTGGTAAAGAGTTGAGCTATTGTTGGCGCCGAGTGATCTGCAGCATCAGTTCATAACTACATCATGCATTCCTAATCGAGCATAGGGTAGTAACCTAGGTGCTTGACGCAATATCGCATGTGGTATAAGCTTGAGATCTATAGCCTTTTTATAGACCATATAGCCGATACAAACGCATAAGTGTGATGGTGTTAGGGCTTGACGCTAAGATAGAAAAGCAGGAATGCATCCGGTTGTTCTTGGCAGTTGGTAAAGTCAAAAATGGTAGTACAAGATAACTATGTTGTACTTCAGTCGAGATCAACAGAACAAAGGTCAGTGATATCTGTCAGTATTTAGTTAGAATTGAGTGTGTTTCTTCGTGCACCCATGCTTAGATGTGATGGCTACTGGTGGTTGCGCTTGGTTCATATCTGTAAGCTTCGTTTCCAAACGTATGACGGATTTAGACTCGGCCTAGCTACTACAACTAGTGGTAGAGAACGGCGTGGAACATGCTGGTAGCATGATATCTTTATACGATGGAATCTGTGCAACAATACCGTTGGAGGTGGCTAGAGTTGGTTATCAGTAGATGGCGAGTCGAAAAAGTGGATATGCCGTGAGGGGTCAACCTGTACCACAATCAAACCCCCACACTAACACTAGCCCCCCATGCAGAGCAGAATGACATTGTTGCTTAATAAAACTTTCTCGACCCATTATCACACTTGAAATATCTAGTTCAAAAGACCAACATTCAATATCCAATTTGATATTTCATTAATATGTCTGAGAAGACAGTTTGTACTACCGTCTTTCCATTGAACAATGGTACTTCAGTCCATAATCTCGCCTGACGACTCGATACTGACGCAATACAGGAACGAACCTCCCCGCCGTTGGTCTAGGGACATGGCAAGGTAATAATCATACAATCAGGTTTATGATGCTTTTCAGCCCTAACAATTGTCCAATACAACAGGAAACGGAAGCACAAAAGACCACAATGAAGTACGAGACTCCATTATGCACGCCCTCCGCAGCGGTTATCGCTTGATCGATACAGCACAGCATTACCATGTCGAACCAGCTGTCGGTGAAGCAGTGAGATTATCAGGAATTCCTCGCAGCGAAATTACCGTTATCACCAAATTCTGGGGTCACTGGCACCATGACCCAGCTCAAGCGCTGCAGATCTCTCTGGATGCGTTAGGTCTAGATTATATCGACGTCTTCCTAATGCATTGGCCTAATGCTGCTACAACGGATTTGAAAGAATATCTACCTATCACGGCGAGCCCGACATTTATCGACACTTGGAAATTGATGGAGAAGTGCGTCGGAGATCAATGCAGGGCCATTGGAGTTAGTAACTTCTCGCAGAAGTTACTCGATGAACTTCTAGCAGCTACTACCGTCGTTCCGGCTGTGAATCAGGTTGAGCTACATGCTTTTAACCCAAACCTACGTTTGGTTCCATACTGCCAGGAGAAGGGCATCCAAGTGATGAGCTGGAGGTAAGTAAATCCGTTCACCCACCTAGCAATACGTATTTGGTGCTAACGAAGGACTTAGTACTATGGGCGGTGGAGGCGACCATATACCCAAGGGCAAAGAAATTATTACACACCCTTTCTTCAAGCGTATTGCAGCAAATCACGAGTGCTCTACTGGTGTCCTAGCTCTCTCGTGGGCAGTTCAACGAGGAATCTGTGTGATCCCGAAGAGTAGCTCATTGACTCGGATTGAAGAGAATCTCAAGTTAGTAACATTGACTGAAAAGGAAATGTCGGAAATGAATGACGCCCATGTTACCCTTGGCAAACTTCGACTTGCAGATCATATCGATAGCGTTGCAGGAGAAAGAGATGGCCAACTGACAATCATGAATTGGACAAATCAAGAGTTTGGTTGGGAAGATGCAGATGGAAATTGGCTGGCCTAGATGGCCATACGCATTTATTTGCGCTGTGCCTCACAGAATTTCATCAGTATTTCAATACTTGGACTTTTCAATTGTTATTCATGGTAGAGATGATGTACTTTTGGGGTTTGAAACAAAGATCTTTGCTAGTTGATTAGTTATTTGGTCAATATCATCTTATAGGCATTTGGCATAATATGAGCAACTTACTTATATTCCTGGATCCAATAGGACATATCACTATGGAAATGATAATTAGTTCCCGAATTTTAAAACTTTTTTCTATCCAGGCCAATACCCGACTGTGCCACATGTGTTGCTGCAAGGATAGTGGGGAGTCAAGAACAACGTGGAGCCGAGCAGAGTTGATCCAACAACCACACCATGACTTCTATCGAGGGAGCTTTCACTATAAAAGTTGACGGCCAGACAGTCTCTAACGCTGAGGATAACGGAGAAGGCAAAATTCAAGCATCATTTGGCTCAGAGCCAGCCACTTTCACTTTGATTGATGGGCGCCTTGAGTCCAACGGCTGCTATTTAAGCCGCGCCCTTGTCGAGGACCGCAGTCTTCTCCCTAAGCGGGTTTACTGGTTCCGAAAAGAGGAAGGCAATGCCAGTGCAATTCATGTGGTCACTGCGAAGCCAAATGGAACTACTTGTTCGCTCTTGTTCTCTGGTATGTCCCACGAATTAGCTCGCAGATCAACACTGTCATGAGCAAAATATCTTTCTAACGTTCTGATTTGCGGTTGAAGGTGCACCACTGATGAGCTCAAACAACCTGCTTTTTGCCGATTTGATGCAAGGTAAGAAATGTCTCTTGTCTACTGAGGAGACCGTGCCAACTGATTCGATATGTTGCTAGACCAGGGCGCATCTGTCGAGATCACTATGGTCTAGCACCGGTAGCTCAGAAACTCTAATAGGATATTGAATATACACCGGAAAATATATAGATAATGAGAAAAGGTATCGAAATATTTTATACTGTACACAGGCTATGTCACATGGGCGTAAAAGCGAAGACAAAAAATGCCAAAGAAAAGAACTCCTATAGAAACAGGCAAGAAAAGATGGTCCCACCATATCACGTAGTGGGATCAACATAACACAAACGGCAAGATTAATTCCCGACAGTTCAATCGCTCTATTCCTTTGAGGCATCGGCCTTCTTCGCCTCAGTCTCGGGCTTCTTTGAGCCAGACTTTGAGATCTTCAACTTCGAGATCGCATCCTCCAGCACCTCAATACCGTCTTTCCTGAATCGGGTGACCTTTCGTACGTTCAGTGCAGTGAGCTGATTCAAGCGCTCGATACCGCGCTCACGTTGGTGCGCTAGAGTACGAGCAGTCATGGCAAATCGCATGTCCTTGGGGCCGTCCACGAGTTCCAAAATGGCGCTAGGGGCTTGATCCTGGGGCTTGCGCTCAGGAACAGCATTCTTATTACCCCTGGGGACGGAGTAAAATTCGTATTTCTGCTTCGGTTCGACACGGAGCACGCGGGTGTATCCACCAGGACGTTCGGCGTAGCGTTCGCGGAGAGGACCGAAAAGTTTGGGGATGATAGAATGGGGTTTCTAAACATAGAACAGGTTAGCTGGTGAAACAGAGACAGGGAGAAGACGAAAAAGAGAAATAAAAAAAAGAGACACATAGAAGAGTATCGGATAGAAAGTAGAGGGGGCAGACATACGTAGAAAATCTCCAGTGCCCGTCTTCGGCTCGCCTCAGAATTCTTCTTGCCCAATGTGATCAACTTGTCTGCCAATCGTTGAGCCTCCTTGGCCTTGGCCCATGTCGTTGTGATTGATTCATTCTCAAAGAGTGAGGTGACCAAGTTACGCAGCAAAGCCTGTCGATGCGAAGACTTGCGACCCAGGTGTCGGTATTTTCCTCCGCCGCCGGCCATGATTTATGAGGTCTGAAAGAGGTGACGAAAAAGGCGAAGGTAGAAAGCAGAAACCTCAATTGACGCGGGTTATTCAATGTAACCTTCCCCGGTATGAATTGGTTGGGGGGGGGGGTAATCTTCGTAGCTTCGATCACGAAAGGGACAAGTTCCGGGCAAAAGATTCGAAGTTGGGGATCGCGGCCAATCGGAGCGTGGCTACCGCCTTGGCCAACTCCAACTTTTCCTCGCGTCAACGAGGTCAACTTCAAACTCGAATTAATAAGGGGAACGGTTTATAATTATCCTTATCCCCGAGTACTTAATTTACTTCTTATTGAGCTACATCCACAACCGGAACTGGATTTGAAGCCATTGTCTTCGCAGAATAATACCGATGGGTTTCTTCACGGGCTTCGTACGTACAAACCTCCGAATGAACCAATGCGCTTTGAACTAATCGCGTGTACTCGAAAAATAGGTTAGTGGCTTTGCCCTTACAACCTCAGTCCTTTATATCACTATTCAAATACATCACACCAATCGATTGGAACAGCGCCGGGTCATCCGTGAACAAGTCGATCAAATAAACTGGCTCGCCTCCTCCGTCGGCGCATATGACCGTAGCTTCCTGCCTCCAGACACTCCTCGCAGATTAGAGGATCGACTATCTAAGAAGGATGGATCTATTACAATGAAGGAGGTCTTGAAACATCGTTGGAACCAAGAAGTCGAAAAGTTGTCCCAGAAAGCCCACGAGACTCGGTGGGAGGATATCAGAGATACGACAGCGCATGGATGGAACGCTGCGAGGGACGTTTTCAAAAAGGATTGATACCTTCCTGTCAAACTTGTATCATGCTTAGGGCGGTTTTGTGGTTTTTTTGGTGTATTATCATTGCGTGTGCATGACTAGCATTGGAGCTTGGATACCCCCATATCTTTATTTATGTCCGAATAGAATTTCTCCAAAGAGTTTGTTTATGCTGATTGTACGCCAATCATCGTTGCCATGAGATTATATGATAGATCATGGCTATCTTGCGAACGGATATATGGGCGTCCAGCGCCGAGTCATAACGGCATTATACACCAGCTCCAAAGAGGCACGGTGCTGAAGAATCCCAGTGACCATAGACTATGCTGATGAGGGATCTGCTGTGGTCACACTATCACTGTCACTCCAAATATCTTTACTTTCCCGCTCCACAGCTCGCATTGCCTGTGAAACCTCTTCGAGTTTGGCAACCACGTCTAAGACTCCTTGGTTGACACGGTCAAAGTAACGATCATTCGCCTCGCGTCTTTTGCGCGCAATAATAATATCCTTCTCAGTCTCTTCATCTAGCCCATGATAGGAGACTCGGTCCTTAGTGGGATTTTGTTCACTTGTCGGAACGTCGGTGCTTGCCTCATCCGCCGAAGCATGCTGTCGAGTTGTGTTCTCCCCATTCGCAGTGTTGCGGCTCGAATCTACCACCTCATCATCAGCCTCGCTGCGTGCCCAGGCCTGAGCGAGTTTCAACTGCTTCATTCGTAGATCCTCCAATGCTTCTGCGTGCTTCTCGCCAAATACATGTTCGCTCGTTGCGGCACTTAACTCGACTTCTGATAAGGCACTTTGCATCTCCTGCCAGATAGCGTCTGATCCGTCGACATCATTTTTGGACGAGTTTCTCGAGAGAAAAGGGGAATGTAAGCCCCGGCTTCCAGCTTTCGCACGAGGATCACTTGATGGCTGATTTCGGTCGAAGGTTGGAGGCTGATTGCCTGCTATTGGGGCAGATGGTACTGAAAGGGAGATATTGGAAGCATTGTGAGATGGGGGACCTTGAAATAACGCTGGTGGCGGTAATCGCTGTGAGCTTGCATTTTTCCTTGAGGTCTCCATTGCTGGGTGCTTTCCAAACCCGATGATATAGTCGCGACACGCAATGATGGGGCAACCGGAGAAGCTCTGGAACGGATCCGACGATAACACGGCCTTATCGGACTGATTAGGCTTATCCGGCTTATCGCAGAGTGACATAATCATCGAAGATCAATTGGGGGGCAAGCGGGGTCAGGTGACTCGCTTAGGGCAAGCGCACAAAGTCACGAGGGAAAGCGTCCCAAGCAAGCGAGTCGCTGGCGTTCAAGGCAATTCCGAAACCTTCGACTTTTCGACACCCTACGACCCCAGCCCTTTTGGCGACAACACCCATTTTCAGTCGGTACGTACACCGTTTCATTATTATCAGCACGCTGGAGGACAGTCTGTGGAATCATTTGTTGCGTCAAAAAGGCAATGCTCCCAACCATATCGCCTGGCGCACAAAGTCTCCAGACCCTGAAATCTTTCTCCATCTACAATCAATCGAATCATACCCACACACGAACAATATCACGAACCCACCTACCAGCGCGATACTTTAAAAACAGAACCGATTTACTAACGTCGATCGTTATTAGTTGACCGTCAAGAATAATCCGACAATATGGGTAAAGGAAAGCCCCGTGGTTTGAACGCCGCCCGCAAGCTCGAGGCGCACCGCAAGGATCAGCGTTGGGCCGATCTGCACTTCAAGAAGCGTCTCCTCGGAACGGCTTACAAGTCCTCGCCCTTCGGTGGTGCTTCCCACGCCAAGGGTATCGTTCTTGAGAAGGTCGGTGTTGAGGCCAAGCAGCCCAACTCCGCCATTCGCAAGTGTGTCAAGGTCCAGCTCATCAAGAACGGAAAGAAGGTCGCTGCTTTCGGTAGGTGCCCTTTATTTATGGAAGATACATGGTGGACTGAATTTATCTGGCACCTTCCCTTTGGACTGTGCTGGAGGATTAATCATCACTACACAATCATAAAACTCAAAATGCTAACATGCTCATCTTTTCCTAGTCCCCAATGACGGTTGCTTGAACTTCATCGACGAGAACGACGAGGTTCTCCTGGCCGGTTTCGGTCGTAAGGGTAAGGCCAAGGGTGATATTCCCGGTGTCCGATTCAAGGTCGTCAAGGTCTCTGGTGTCGGTCTGCTCGCTCTGTGGAAGGAGAAGAAGGAGAAGCCCCGCTCTTAAGCGAAGAGTCAAAAAGCAAAATGCAGGGGTCGGAGGAGTAACATCGGTGTCGGACGAAGCCCGCCTTATAAGCGCCTGGATTTCATGAGAATTTTTTTTTGGGAAATACTACCCGGGCGGGTTATTGTCTGGGATTACGTGTGCGAATTACAACGATTTGATACAATTCCAAAAAACAATGGCGCTATGATCTTCATATTTAGGGTGTCCTGTAAAGGCCCTTGTCCATGTTCCTCGTAGTGTAAATTTACTTGTAGAATCCTTAGCGGGCCATCAAAGCTGAGAATCTCACATGTATTAGCAAAGACGTCATCTTGCATCTAGGCGTTCGACGATGTGGATATTTCTGCACTTGTATGTGTTTAGAAAGGTTTAAATTTGGATATACGCGAAATGATATCACCTTGTTCGATGTGTCTAGTATATCTATAGCATCCTCTGGATAATTGACTACATTGAGCCCTGGTCATAACAGAAATAGGTCATTGCTCCTTTTGATTCCCTGCACTTCTCATTTCAAGTTTCTCTAGGTCCAGAATGGTCATTCTAATTTCATTCGAAATGTTCAAGTTGAATTTTTGACACCTAGATCTATCCCACGACTAATTCATATAGAAGTTTTAATCAACACCACGTAACATTCATCGCACATAAGCCCTCGGGTATCGTTGCCAGTAGAGGCCACAGGCTTTCATATTTCGTCTTCTTTCAGGAATGTCACTGAGACAAACAGCTCGCCAACTCATTTTAGAAGCTCTAGAAGCTGATATCCTCCTTGCGGTAGTGATCAGACACAATGCGGTAAAGATATGATGGAGCATGGCCACCCCTGATAAACAGAAAGAAAAAGAATTAGTAAATGGGTATCCATGAAATTAGCTTGCAACATAGGAAAACTTACAAATTGGTAATGTAAAGATCAACCAGCTCTGCTGGTACATAGTCGTAAATGGGGTTCTGCACGTCGATCTTATCAACAAGATCTCCGTCCTCAAAAGGCAGAACCTTGCTAGCGTCACCGTACTCAATAAGCGAGTCGAAGTCAAATGGATAGACGGGACTCAATTTGTAGACACCACTGACAACAACGACAGGGGTCTGGTGAACCTTGGCGGCACGGGCAATGACACGAGTGCCAGCAGCAGCCACCAGACCACCATTAGCAAGGACTGAATGCGTACCCAGAATGACTTTATTGACACGGGACATAAGCGCAAAGACAGCCGAGTCGGGAATGAGAATCACAGTGATGCCGTGAGCGATCAAGGGTTTCTGGAAGGAATCGAAGCTCAAATTCTCGTCGTCACCAACAATATTACCACTTACAGTGGCATGAGTTGCTTCATGGTTATTCGGAAAAGATTCGGCAATGATGACGGTGAACTTGCGTTTGGCAGCAGCTTTCAGAAGGAACTTCTGTACTGTCGTGGAGGAAGTGTGTGTAAGGATAATCTCGTTGGAGTGGATGTGATCTAACGCATAAGCTGCGATCTGGTCGTCCACCTGACCCAACTCGTCGATGATCTCGTTAATACCCTCTAGAACTTCAGCTCGTACATCCTTTTGGTGACCATGGCTGAACAGACGCGCATTCGGAGATTGGGAGCCGGGAGTACTAGGTAGAGAGTTTTCAGGCTCTGGATGAGAAAGAAGGCTGAACATGGACGTCAAGGGAGGTCGTGAGGATCGGTCTCCATCGGATCGCATACCAATCATATCCCGATCCAAGGGCATCGATGAATCTGATTGAGGGTTGATGAGTCACAGCTCCTAAAATTCACGAACCACAGAGGTACTAAATGCAAGTGGAAACTAACCGTCGAAAGCACGAGGAGTCTGAGGCTGGCTCTCTGATCCAGCTTCACTGAGTGCGAATTCAGCTTCGCGGTCATCCTCCGCTTCGTCACGAATGAGACCGAGGACTCGTCGCACAATATTTCCCACTACCATCTCCCGCGGCTGCGCAGCCATGAGACGTCTACCAACACTTTGCACACGCTCAATGAGCTTCGTGGACTCGGAAGTACGACATGCGGATACTACTCGGAGGAGCAGGTAGGCGGTTGCTGTGGCGCATGATCGAGAATGGCGGATTTGACGTCGCTTGAGTAGCCTGGTATGGGATTAAAACCCCGACATTTAGTTTTTGAGATTGTTTGAGAGGCGGAGCAGGATAAGCGCACGAGACTAAGTTCTCAATAGAAGTATCAATGGGATTCGTCTTCAGCGATTTCAAGAAAGACGACAGGCCCGGCGTCAGAGCCAAAGCCGTTGACGGCATTGCGGAAGGTGGGATGAGGTGGGTGAATTGGGGAGCTGACTGTAGAGTTAGGGCTGGTTTCTTGAATAAATGATTCCCAAGATATTTCACATACTCTTTTCTTCTTTCCTGTAATCTGTGTTATACTTCTTGAAACTGATTTCCTCTTCCCTAGACAATTTGGATGGACCGCAGACTCAGTCACAAGAGAAATGCAAAGTGGGCAAAGAAACCGATTTTCTGCCGTTCTTTTGTCCGCTTCCCCACACTTCAATTGTCCCTTCCTCTCTCCTTTTCGTCGCGTCTTTTCTTCTGGCGAGTTTTGTTTTAATCTGGATCATCTTCTATTTTGTCCTTGGGGATTTCTGATACAACTCGACATCTTCACTCACTCTCGCGGTAGAATTTCCTGTTTGGAGTCGCGCAGAATTACATCCGAGGCAAACGGGTGACTGGCGCATCGAGGCTGGTAGAACTCACCAAGTTGCCCAGCTGACGCCTCCTTACGATGCCCCTCCCTCCCTACTGAGATTATTCGATTCTACAATACTTCATATGGGCTGTTATACCCGGCTTTAACTAGTCGCTCACGATTACCCGTCCTTTAGATCCTACGCGCCCGTGTTTCCGGTGGGCTCTGTTGGAAGATGAACTCTTTGAACATCCTGTCCTCGCGAGTCATTGGCCAGTCTTCCAACTCTTCACGCCCGCGATCGCAATCCCAGAGCGAGAAGAGGCGCGCGGCCCTGCCAGGTGATCTCGCTAAGTTTAGATCTTATAGCGAAGATAACTTCAAGGCCAGCTTCGCCCCCGAGAAGACTTACGACGGTTCCGCATCTTTCGCAGACGGCGACGAAGAAGACACGCAACAGTTGTACGATGAGAAATCACCATTACTCCATGATACTCAGTATGATGGTACGATAGTGACCAAAAGCACTTGGCGACTGTTTACAAGACGCATTTTCGACGCGATCACCGAAACAATCCGATTCATTCTTTCCACACTTGCCGCGCCTGGTGTATATGCAGCTCAATGCTTCCAAACCGATGACGGTCACTACTCGCTTCTTGCTCCGGTGAGAAAGATTTGGAGAACTTCTGCCGGCTCAAGGAACCGACCGGATAAAGGGGGATCTCGGCAAGGAAATCGGCGACGAAGTGGCTCCACTCGCAAGTTGAAACCCCAGACATCACGAGAACCAATCACCTCCACAACGTCAGAATCCGATACAGATAGAAGGCTTGCCAAAGGTGGTGGGCACATCAAAGGTCGACCGAGTATATCCGAGTCTATCCCAGAGTCCAATACCGATGAAAGCACGCCGCGCCGGTCTATACGAATCAAGCTCAATAACGAGGAAACGCTTAAGCGACAAAGGCAACGAAGGTCACAAAGCACAGATTTGGGCCCACCTATGCCGGAGGGGGTAAGTCGGGTCCAGGGGGCCGTTAGCCTGGATAGTCTGAAGTCTCCCATGTCGCCGTCTGTTCATCGCCTAACCAAATACCCGCACTCTCCATCACCGCCACGACCTCTTCTTCCTCCGCGATTGCCCTCATATACAGCAGCTCCTCGGAATGCCAGGCTACCGCAGAAAACATTGGTATTGGACCTCGACGAGACGCTCATTCATTCGCTCGCCAAGGGTGGCCGGATGTCGAGCGGTCACATGGTTGAGGTCAAGCTTAACATGCCCATGACTACTGCTCTAAGCCCCGGAGGCCCACAAACAACTGTCGGGCCCCAGCATCCCATATTATATTATGTGCATAAGCGGCCCCACTGCGATGACTTCTTGCGCAAGATTTCGAAATGGTACAAACTTGTAATCTTCACCGCAAGTGTCCAGGAGTATGCCGACCCCGTGATCGACTGGCTCGAGCAAGAACGCAAGTACTTCCAGGCCCGATACTACCGACAGCACTGCACATTCCGAAATGGTGCCTACATCAAAGACCTTAGCTCCGTGGAACCGGATTTGAGTAAAGTCATGATTTTGGATAACAGTCCAATGAGCTATATCTTCCACGAGGGTAGGTTCAGACTTATCAATTATATTTCAGATTCTCTTCTTGTTATATCATCACTGACACAACTGGCTTAGACAATGCGATTCCCATTGAAGGTTGGATCAATGACCCCACGGATAATGGTCTTCTACACTTGGTTCCAATGCTGGAGGCATTGCAATATGTTACCGATGTTCGGGCATTGTTGGCTCTTCGACGTGGCGAAATTGAAACGTAGTCATTTTTCGCTCTTGTAACTACGGAATGGGCATGTAGGTGTAAAGGGAGTCTTTGTGTTTTATTGGAAGCGAAGTCCATTCAACGAGAAACCAACAAAGCAATATCCATTCAAAAAGGAAGACATATTGGTTTTGTGGAGGACATGGGCGGTGAATGAAGCTACGAAGCTCCAGCACAGTTTATTTATAATAGCATCGAGTGTATTGTTTAATGGTGAATGGACGAAAGTACATACCCCCGGGACTACAGCTTCCTTCCTTGAACATTGAAGATTCGACTGACGAGTTCGTTTTGTGGATCCTGTTTTCTTATTGTCTACATAAGGCGATAGTATAAACCCGGCGACAATCTCACTTTGATTTTATAGTAGACTTTCGCCCTTCATGCGCGCAGAATACGTGAAACATGTCATTATTACAACTAGCTATGTAGTGTATCGTGCCAGCTATGCCACATTATAATGTTGTCTAGTTACTCAGCATCAAGATGGTGCTCTCGATTTACTCAGAGGACATCCGTATAACGTTGAGTCTGAGTGCTGATATGTGGAAGACAGCTTCGATCGATGGGAGTCATGGAGATGTTCATTTCTTCCTTTCATCAACTCCATCTTGAAATTTTCGCACTCAAAAGACCCTCCAATGCTCATAATCCGACTCATGCTTGACCGGGTCGAAAGTACGCTTCGATCTGAGTGGTGCTTGTTTTCTTCTTGTATAGCAAAATATTGGACACTATCCATCCGACAAGGCAGTTCAGACTTTAGTCTGAAGTCGCAAAGCATAAGACTTCACTGGAAGAAGCTTGAATTGCTTCGGGAATCCAGTTTGAATCTCAGACTTGATAACATTCATTCCAGCAGCAGCAAACAGCTGCTTGAACTTATCATCTGTTCTTGTAACACTGCTATCCTCATCATCGTACATATCTTGATTACCGGAATCGGTGGACAAATTCTCCTTCAAGATCATAACTCCAGTATCTGTCAACGAATCACGACATCTCAGAATGAACTCATGAAATTGTGCATCGGTCAGATGTCCAATACACCACTGAATCCAGATCAAGTCGTATTTCTTCTGTGGATACCAGTTCTCAAGACCGACAGTGTAGATATCCCCCACAACACCGTCTTCTTTAAGTTTGCTCTGAGCCAAAACATCTGTGAATTTTTGAACTGGCTCAACTGCATCCACGACATCACAGACTTGACTTAAAAAGCCTTCGGTCACTCGTCCAACACCGGCTCCGCAGTCCACGCCTAGCTTCAATTTGCCTTTCTGGGGAATCGCTGGTACTGATCGACGAACTTTGGTCAAGAAGGTCTTGGATCCCTGTAGCTCAATGCGTGTATACCAGGGATAAGTGCCTAGCATGCCCAGCATTTCACTTGAGGTGCTGGGTCTACTATTCCAATAGTTGATGGAGGCGGCATGGTCAATTTTAGAGTCCGCAGACCCCTGTGTAGAACTGTCTTCTGTCATATTTTTTTGATTCCAATCCGAAGAACTTAGAAGTATTCACAGTGATAAAAGGCAGTAGTAGTGGGGTGAAGAAGAAGCTTGAAAACAATTTTATGCTCATAAAGACCATTACATAATAATGTAGCTATTGTACACGTGATTATGATGTATATCTGAGCCCCACACCATTCTCAGCCTCGTAATAACTTCGTGTCTCACGAATTTACGATCAGATTCATAAGTTCTCCGAAAGTAGCAAAGATGGCAAGTAATATGCTCGAAAAGTTGGATATGAAGTGGCTTTGCCCATTCAAGCGTTCACGATCACAGTCAAAAGTCCAAAGCATTGTATGGCGCCTTGCCCCATTTAGCATCAAAAGGATTGCTTCCTAATAAGCCTTGAAAAGATCCAACCAGTGCTTGTTGTTGAAACACCAGATGATGGTTTAAAGATGTTACATGAAGGGCCTGCTTCGAAATTCGAGTACATATGAACCCCTCTACCCGACTTGGAGATGACTAGGCTAACTTCTTTCAGTATTGTTGCTGTTCATGGGCTCGGTGGACACAGAGAAAAGTCATGGACAAGTTCAAACGGAGTAAATTGGCTTCAAAGTATCCTTCCAAAGGATCTCCCAGATAGCAGGATCATGTCTTGGGGCTATAACGCCTCGCCTGGCCCTGACCGGAAAGAGCAATCTCTACAGAACATTTCGGAGAAACTAGTACTGGATTTGTATAAATTGCGGGAGATGACCAAGGTAAGCCATATCACCATTAATGAAAAAGTCATCCCCTTCTTCGTATAATTTTGACATGCATTTCAGACACAAAGCCATCCAATTGTATTTTTAGCCCACAGTTTAGGTGGTAGCCTTGTCAAAAGTGTAACATCGGCCTCTCCCTCCGAATGAGAAGGCAATTCTAACATGCACTATTACAGGCTCTAATATTCTCAGATCTCGAACAAGAGCGACCTGCTAGCAATCTCGACATAATCAGCGCTTCAACCCGAGGAGTTTTCTTTATTGATACGATCGAGCTGGGGATAAGTACCCATGGCATGGAAACTTATTTGAAAAGCGCCGAAGGATCAGAACAAGTGAACAGTATTACTTACAAAGAAGCACAGTGGTTACTGGATGCTTTGAATCAATACATCTCACACAGTGCGAGACATCGCAATGTCTATGTTACTCCTCGGAATGGTCAAGAGGCAATTCAAAAAGCGGAAACACAGGTAAGAAGACGAAATAGTTGGTTGTTCTTTCCACTAACTCTCTTCAAAAATTAGAATCCATCTTCGTCACAGTTTAACTCTTCCTATATTGTGATCAATTCAGATCATAACAATATCAATAAGTTCGACTCCGCTGAAGATTATGGCTATGTAAAGATCAGGGAAGAACTTTTTGCTATCTTACAGGAAACCGCTTGGACAGATGATACACATATACAATGTGTAGAATGAAAGTCAAAGTAAAAAAAGATTTTATCAAATCATCCTCGAATAAAAATCAAAGTTCCTATCTGAAACTTACACATTTTGTTCTGTAGAAGGATTCAAGTTCATCCTCAAGTCCGCTGATTGGTCAGAGTGACTCATCATGACTGTGATGCCGATCTACTTAATCGCACCTTTTGGACTGCGACGGTCTATTATTTCATTCATCCAAAAATAATTTGAAAATGTCCGAGTTTGATCCGACTTTCGTCAATTACACCAATAGCGAAGCTCGCGATTACGCCAAGGGCCGTGGAAACTACGCAGAATCCCTACACAAGATTATCCTCGAGCATCACATTAAGACCGGGGGCAAACTAAATACCCTCGCTGATGTCGGCTGTGGTCCTGGTAATTCAACAAGACCGCTGGCAGCTTCTTTTGAACATGCCATTGGTTTAGATCCTGGAGTTGAAATGATCAATACCGCTCGCTCGCTGGCGGGGACCACTGCAATCAACGAACCCATTGTATACGTTGTCTCCGGGGCTGAATCAATTACTAACGCAATTCGCATCACTTTACCATCCGTTGAGCAGAATGAAGGAGTGGATATGATCACGGCTGCCATGGCGGTACTCCCCCCAACTTAATCCTGTTGCGCATCCCATTTACACTGGAGAATTATGCTTACTGATCGACTAAACCAGGCTCATTGGTTCAATATGCCCAAGTTCTGGACAGAAGCTGCTACCATACTCAAACCTGGGGGAACAGTTGCCCTGTGGACTCACTCGTCCCTTTACTGCCGTAAGAAGATTGATAAAAATTTCAAAATGTAATTGAGAAAAATCCACTAATCATGTCATTTAGATCCGTCTATCCCCAATGCTTTAGAGGTTCAAAAAGCATTCTTCCGTTTGGAAAGGGAGGTTCTTGCTCCCTTTGAGCTCCCAGAAAATAGACTTTCACGCGAATGCTATGACAACCTGTTACTTCCATGGAATATTAGTAACGAGAGTATCGAAAATGTATTTCCCGAGTCACAATTTGTGCGAATGGAATGGGATCGTGATGGAATACTCACAGACGGGGAGAACTTCTTCGAGGGTTCAGACGAGACAACTGTGGATAATCTCTCGGCGAGCCTACAGACCGCCAGCATGGTGACTCGATGGAGAGAGGCACATCCATACCTCATAGGCACAGAAGAGGATTGCGTCACAAAAGCAATGATAGAAGTACGTCAAGCATTAGGTGTAAAAGAGGACGATAATCCCTCATTAAAGGTTGGAAATGGGACCGCACTTTTGCTTTTCAAGCGAATATAAAATAGTCTGCTTTTGTTTCTTCACAAACTGATTGATCGTCATGTTGTACCAAGCAGCTATATCTTGGAAGAAGAGAATCCCATTCTTCTGTAGCTTCCCCAGCATGCCCCTCTCCCCCTCTTTTCTTGCTCAGAAGCATCTGGCAAGTGTACATTCCCACATTTCCTCGAAGTTATGCTGGGATATTTGACGCAGAATGGTCGACTGATGTTACAAACATAACAGTCACCGACGTCGTCATTAGAAACAGAGTCTAAACCTACCTGATGAGAGTGAAATATTACAGAAACCCCCCCAAAAAAACACCGACCGTGGATATATTCTTGCTTAATGATTTTTGTGTGGAAGGGCCGAATACGTTTTTATCGGTTGCCCTGCAGCATTTTACTTTTCAAATCACCGGAACGAGAGTCCCTTATTAAATGTTGGAAACGGGATCGCTCTTTGCTTCTCAAGCGACAATAGTCTGTTTTAATTTCTTAGTATAAGAAGCGTCATGCTGTTCTGGGGAGCTATAACTGGAAAGAAGAGAATGCCATCTGTTCTTTAGCTTTTCTATCAGACTCACTTTCGATTGCTCTTCCATTTTGCTCTCAGAAGTGGCGTCCCCTATGGGACGAGGTTGATCCGAAGGGGGTTCAATTTCAATGTCTTCGCTATCCGGAAACAAAGGATGCAAGGTCAAACCTAAAAGCCACGTCCTTTCGAGGTCCCATATGAAAACCCCGATAATGTTAATTTCAAACATGAAGCAAGGCTGTTCCCTGAGTCTCCCAACTCTCAGTAGTCTCTCTCGAGAAGTTCTCCATACCGCCAATTGAGCTGGGATCGTGAATCGTTCTAGCTCGCAGTTCAAAGGTACCGGAGCCATGGCCCACAGCGGCCTGAATTTTGGCTGGTTTACTTTGCCTCAATGCTCGATAGAGAGACTTTGTCAGAGACAATTTTTGAAGACACAGGAATCATGCTGAGAACGTCGGAAGTGGCAATAGCCTCAATGAGGTCCCGGGGGTTCACTCTGCTCTCATACCAACTATAGACTCGTTCTTGGTCGGATGGTTTCCAATTCCAACCCCCCCAGCGAAGTTCTGACGAGTATTGGTTGTGGACCCAAGAGCCATGTGCTGCCTTGGCTATGTTTGACTTCAACTTTATGTGCCATAAAGCTCGATAGACCCGAAACTCCTCGATCCACGAAGGCTGTCTCAATGCTGCACCAGGCGCTCTTTCGGGCATCAAAGCACTAGAGCTGACAATAGCGTATAAGCTCTTTCGCATGAGGTGCAAACAAGTGCAAGCGAGCGTTTGAATCTGAGCAGCCACGCATATCATATCTCGCATAACCAGTCTTGTTTCAGCCCGATGTTTCCCGACAAATACCCGGCGAGGGTTGGTTCCACTGGGAACGTATATGCAAGCTCGTATTCCTTTAGTGACGCAATATGTAGCGATGGTCTGTGAATGAAAGCGCATTCGAGAAACAATTATCGTAGCTCGGATCCAGTGACTGGAGAGTTTGGTACGATGCTCCTCCTCATTATGCGAGCCGGATCATGGTTGAATATTGCCAGCACTCGAGGCGATAGCTGTAAAAGAGCTTCCAGTGCCACAAAATCCAATAGATCAATAATTAGGTAGAGGAGCTCTGTAGGAAGACTACCAAGCCTCTCTAGCAAATTCATGACGATAAAGAAGACCTGAATATCCGAATCGCTCAATCGCTCAAGTGTTGATGTTGATCCTTTGGTCGGGCGTTAACATTGAACCCACTCAGCCCCACTTCACCTCGATCAACCCGATCAACATCCATCTCGCTATTCCTATTTGGGGATCCCGCGCGCAGAACCGAATTAGGAAGCGCGCGCGGGATAAGAATATAAATTGATCAGAGCCTCGTGGTGAATTGACAAACTATTGATCCATAACGATCCAGAGGAAATAATTTGCACATATATAGACCCTCTTTCGCTCAGTATCCCGTCTTTCCTCCTGCGCATCTACTTCGTCTTTAATTCTTTTTCTTCTTTCTTCTTTCAAAATCTCCAAGTATATCTACTCATCCAAATTACCTCTCCATCATGGTTACCGTTGCAATCGCTGGAGGCACTGGCAAGCTTGGCCGAACCATCGCCAAGGCATTGAAAGCAGGCAACAAGCACCAGGTCATCATTTTATCTCGACAGGTATTCCAATCTAACCTTATAATATTGATCTCAAATACAAACAATAATATTTACATCATTGTTCAATAGACTTCTAGCCAGCTTGATATTGGCTGCCCCGTTCTCCCAGTCGACTATACTGATGCTCAAGGCCTCAAGGCACAGCTAGAGGCCAAATCGGTGCACACAATCATATCTACCCTCCAGGTAAACTCAGCGGAATCCGGAGCGTGCGAAATCAATCTAGTACGAGCTGCATCTCAATCTCGAACAACAAAGCGCTTCATCGCCAGCGAGTGGTCAATCCCAGTCCCTGATCCGTACGTTATAATCAACCAGCCTTCTTTAAATTTTCATATTACCCCTACTAGCAACAAAACTAATATGAATTCTAGGCGTTTGTATCTACCACAGCAGGAGATCCGGAATGCGACCATTGAAGAGCTTTGTGGGACAGATCTCGAATGGACGACCGTGTACAACGGATTCATCATGGATTCGTTCGGTATCCCGCATATAAAAAGCTACATGGGACCTATCGGTATCCATATTGATATGTCTAACAAGACTGCATCCATCCCTGGTTCAGGAGATGAGAAGATGATGTTCACTTACAGTGTTGACATTGCGCGCTTTGTGGAAGCTGCTTTGGATTTACCTAAATGGGATGATCAACTATTTTGCTATGGTGATATCCGAACCTACAATGAGGTACTACAATTGGCGGAGGAAAATATCGGTAAGTAACCAAGGCATTTAAAAGTGAGCGGGTATTCAACTAAATTCTTATTCTATAGGGGCCAAGTTCCACGTTGTGCATGATGATATTGAAAAGCTGGAAAAAGGGAATATGACCGAGCTTCCATGCCATCAAATGGTTTACTCCCGGATTCCAAAGGCAGCTGCACAGAGAAGGTTTTCTCTTTTTGGGCTCTATTCCATTCGTGGATATTTCAACAACCCAGAGAACAAGGGAACTTTGAATGATATCTTTCCTTATATTAAGACATCATCTGTTGCGGATATTATGGGCGCTTGGAAGGGTAAGAACTAGTGAAAGCAATATGCCCACGAGTAGTTATAGATTCTTATCTTATACAGTAGAATTCAAAAACAGATTACCCCCCGGATACTTACACTTTGTTTCTCGGCCCGTACCCGAAACTACGCTAATCCGTATTAATATTAAGCGTAAACAATCGTTTTCATAGAATGGACATTTTTTAAATTCAGAACTACCGCTTAACGTATGTTACTGTTTTTTCCACGTATAGGCCCGAGCTCGTGTAAAGCCTAGGAGACGGTACGGCTTCCATTCTCTAGACTAGTGATTGTTTACTGTCTCTATAGTAGGAAATTCACCAAGAGCTCGGCATATCTATCAGGCTTCTCAAGAGCTGGCATATGACTTGACTTCTCAAGCACGGCCTATTTGACCCGTGGTATTGATTCGAACTAAGGGGCTATGATCGAATCATTATTCATGTCGTACCAACCTGATAGAAGCAGTGCTGGTACTTCGATATCTTCCGCTGTCTTGATGGCATCATAGTTATATATGAAGCCGACTGTCGGATGAGGGAGATACCTTTCTTGCTATTCGTCTTCCATATTCTCGTGTTGTTTTCCCATGATAATTCAGTAGATACTGCAGGCCACGGTTCGAGTATATAGAAATGCTTTTTCGAGAAGTGGTTATACGCTTCTTGATATACTAGGTTGTCGTAATCCCCGTCCGCATCTATCTGTATAATAGTATCGTTGACGGGCAGCAGTCGGAATAAGCATTCTTTCTCTTTGGCGGAAAGATCTACGCTCAGACATGAATTGGCGATGACCAGCTTGTGAAGGCTACGCCGTTTTCTTCTAGAATATATGCTAGCTAGTATACTACCCCAGCTGTGGCCGTAGATAGAGAATCTAACTTTTTGTAGCTCGAAGTGGTCTACAAGATTGTCGAGCTCAGCACAGAACAAATCAAAGCCCTAGAAACTCTCATCTTCAGCTCTCTTGCGGATAAGAGATGAGTATAAGCAGCCAACCTAGTTATAGAAGATACAAGGAATGCCTACAGCTTCGAGTGGCTTCACAAGATGGAGATAGTAGTCGGAGCCAGCGCCTAGACCTCTGTGTATTAAGATTAGTAGTGGTGTCTTATTGATGTCGCCAATCGCTCTGTACCATGTGAAACATTCCTCTCGCAAATTAGGGATATTAAAGGGGATTCCTTCTCTAATAGGTATATTCGTGATGTTCGCATTGTGATTCTTCCTCTACGACGATAAATGGCTGCTTTTCAATATTTTCGTATTCCTAGGCAACAGAATTATTCGATGCGTCTTAACGGTGTACCGTGCTTATTAGATAGGTAGACTTTCATGGTTTCACTGAGCGTGATACAAGCCGCCGCTAATATCTATACACGACTGACGCTTATACAGTCTGTCAGCATAAGTGGGTGGTACAGCTGTGCGTAAACACCCAATGACGGATGGAAGGGAGCAAGAGCTACGAAAAGCAGAAACGAGAACCATCTGAGACTACCGGGAATCACGCCTCTACAGTAGTAGAGATAGATAGAAATGAGGGCTGCAAAGGAAAGGGAGTGGGCGTAAATCAAGCCAGATCGCCAGATCTTCCCCGCCCCTTCAAGCCTGTCCTAAAACATTTCAGGCGAGAATACAGTAATTTACAATAACTCATTAGACACTAAAGTCCAAAACGTTCTATACCACGATACTACTGGACAGGGGTTGTTTTTGAAGTCACCTCTTATGGATTAGTGTGGTTTCGGGTACGGGCCGAGAAACAAAGCGTGAGTGTCCGGGGGGTAATCTGTTTTCGAATTCTACTGTACTTATACTAAGAGCATCGGTTTACCGAAGACATTAAGGCAAGAAGCAATATCTCGATGGGAAACACCAGATGCTCTCACTTCCTTTATAATTCGCCCAGCTTCACGAACAGAGTTCATCAACTGTGACTCATCTGCCTTTCCAATGATAGAATCGATAATTTCCTGCTCTGGGCGCGTTCCCGCAATACACCCAATAACGCATATAGGCCATGGAAGTGTATGTAGCTGCGCTGGAGATTCGATAATTTTCAGCAATGCAGTTGCTTCTGACACATCATTTTGTATCTGTAGATCATGTGGATTCCACCCGAATGATATCACAGATAAATAGATTCGGGCCGCGTATATCCATATCAGATTTGATTTCTCTCCCAGGCCATGATCTGTAAGCTGAAATTTCGAGCGAAAGAATGGCTGTAGATGCCAGGAATTGGTATCCGTTGGCCTAATATGTGATTGACTTGAGACAGTGGAATCAAGACCTTGCTGCAGTGTTGTAAAAAGTTCTTTGGAGCGCTCCATAAGCTCCAGCTGGGAAAGCGTCTGATTTCGCTCCATTTCCTTTTTCCATGCGTCCAGAGTTGCTATATCTCCAATTGTACGGAGCACCCAATTGTCACAGCCGATGAAATGTGCTAGATTCAGGGGAGTTCCGATCTCATGTAACGGGAGATCCCCTAGTATATTTGAATGAATCTCATGTAGTCGAGGCGGACCCCCAAAAGTGGTACTAGCCATAATATCAAATTGTATGAGAATTGCCGTGAAAAATCGAAACGCCGCTTGATAGCCATTCCAAAGAAGTTTTTCAGTCGCAACCACTCGGGGTCCCGGTAGGCTCATTCGTTTCAATATACATTCAATGCCTGGGCTGTTTGGATCGCGTGCAAAAGATTCATAAAAGATGTTTTCAAACAGATCTATAGCTATGGTAAGATGAACATTCCAGTCAGACCCGCCGATAAACTGATCGAATATTAGCATCTGAACGACCGTCTCCATCGTCTGTGCCTTTTGCAACAAGCTAGGGGGGTTGTCACGATTGTTCAGCAGGGCGATATCCTTGCGTATCATTTCAAATGACAGTTTAGCTCGCTTGGATACTTGGTCCCACAGTGTCCAGCGGCACAACTGAAGCCGATCTTGAAAGACCTCCTTGTGGCCCACGGTGAAGAAGAAGGAGCTCAGACTGAGGACAGAATGATAGACTGAGGCATTTTGCTTCACGAATGATAGTAACCAGGCGCGACTTGTTCCTACTAAAGGGGGCTGGTAAAAAGGAAATAGGTATGGAAAGACGTGATCCATGTATATCATGACGAAATCAAGTTCCCATGCATCAGCAGCAGTGTCTGGTGGTTCAATTGCCGTAGAAGAAGGTACCAAGCTCCCATCCATAAGATGTCTGGTGATATCAACTCTCTCTTCCATAGTCGATTGACTGGGTCCTGTATTTGTAGATGGCGCTGAAAGGAAGACTTGGGAATACGATGGAGGAGATTCGCCATTGGAGCTTGCATTGACAAAATCATTTTGGGATGTGACAATGAAAGTCGAGGAGTTGCCGCTTGATGCCGCTTGATCTCTCCCTGGTCTCTGTCGTCTGCCAACTGCACCATCTTTGATCTGCTGCTTTATCGCCTCGGTCTTCTCTTTCTCTCGCAGTCCACCATCCATCCATATTGGCCGTGTTGGAGAGCGGTCACAGGTGATATCCAGTCCTGTACAGTTTTGACATTGAGGAAGTGCGCCGTCACATCTTTTTCGGCGCAGGCGGCAGGTCCAACAGCCTGTGTGAGGTCTCGAAGGCCCACTCATCATGAAAATTCTAGAATGGAGGATGTATTGGCATGAATATGGCTCCTCCGGCATTCGCGAATAATGAGTTGCTGTTCTTGACTTGCAAGGCTGTAGGAACTGGCCGTGACGCACTAGCCAGGGGATGAAGGGTGGGGCAACCCCACGACACACAAGTTCGTAGATACGGAGGTCTGTAAATACATCCTACCAGCTGTTAGCTCAACTTAACACTGATAATACTCAGGAAGAAGTCTAGCGAATAGAATCCAAAAATATGTGCTAAAGCTTATGATTTATTTACTTTCATTTACCTATTTACATGACTGCACTCTAAATACATTCATCCATGGATTTTGAAAACATCCAGTCCAAATCCTAAGAACAAACATCCTTCACTTCAACATGAGCCCCAAAATACCCATTATCAATAAAACCTTCATAATTCCAATAATCCCCCATCTCCCCCTCCCCCTCAACAGTAGCATTACTCAAATACTTCCCAGTCCAATAGGAACTCCCCCTCGTAAAAGACCCCCAAGCCTCAATCCCCTCTCTCACATTCTTCCCCCTCAACCCCAAAGAGTTATTAGCCCCCGTCTGAATCGACCACTCACCAACAAAAGTAGGAAACTTTCCATCCCCCTTACTAGCCTTTGCATCCTTGCAAAGAAACTCCATAATATTCTCCGAAGTAGAATTATCATACTGATAATAATAATGATGCAGATCAAAGACGAGATTCGTCCCCTCCTCAAAGAAAGGAGACCAATACTCCTCCGTCTTGAAAGATCCCTGAAACATAACAGGAATGCGATGATTCACCTTCTTCACCCGTTCAATGACCTTATGAATATACCCAGATAACCACTCAGCACCGTGATCAGATAACGCAGCGGCAGTTCCGAAATCCGCAAAATCAGTATTATCAGCCGGCTCATTGATAGGTTCAATACTGTAGCTTTCTGGATGACCAGATTCCTGAACGAAATCAATCAACGCATCCACGGCGCGAAGGGACCAATCTAGCGCCGTTTGATTCCACCACCATCCCCAATGACCGGTAGCTTCACCGATATCCAACCCATTAGTTCCACCAGGTAAAGAGTGGATATCAACAAGGATATGCATATTGTGTTTTTCAATAGCATAGGTTGCGATGCGGTGGATGTATGTGCGTTGGTTTCCATGATAGAGTTCGGATCCGGGTAGATCAATCCATGCAGCGTAGGTTGTTGGGATACGAAGGATCGTGACGCCGGCGCTGGCAAATTTGTCGATATCTTCCGTTGTGATGTAGGTTGCATATCTGTGTTCGAGGACGGGTCCACATTGGGCGCCTAGGTGTTGGCATAGACCCCATTCGCCGAGGTCGCAGAGGGTTGTGGCGCCGGCGCATTCTTTAGCCCACCAGTAGGTGTCTATGGTTGATTCTTGTTCTAGCCAGCCGCCGAGGTTGACTCCGTGAGCGTGGAAGGTGCGCCAATCAATGTAGTCATTTTTGTTGTTGGTGTTGGTGTCGGATTTCGAGTGGGGTGTTGGATTGGAAAGTGCTTGGGCTGTGTAGAGGCCAAGAGCGAGGAGGGGGGATAAAGTTCTCATGGTGTACGCTGGTATGGTACTGATTGAGATCTCGTGAAAACTTGAATATGTACATTATGTCCTCTGTCCATCAATTTATACTGGTGCTCTCTACTGTTCGTGTATAGGGGTTTCCCCACAATCCGAGAACTTTTTCCATGCTTCCCCGCAAAAGCGGAGAATTCGTCACTGGCAATTGCCGCATCTCGGGTAATCCTGATGAAATTGTATGGAAAGGGGAAATATTAGTGTGTTTATTTACCCTAAAAGGGTATATCCCGGGGGGTACGATCCAGCAGTGGGTATGACTGGTGATGGTGATTCGCTCGGACATTCCAGACGGGATCCAAGCAGGCAAAAACTGTGGTACCAGAAGCCGAGCAAGTCGGAAAGTCCGAGTAGCACTGCCTGAGCTACCAATCCTCAAAATATTTACCGTTGAAAGTAGCCCTCGATAGACTCGTAGTGCCCACGTGTATTTTGCTCCTCTTGGAAGATGTAATTTCAGCGGTGGAGATACATGACCAGATTTTAGGGCTCACATGCATATTCCGGTCGCGATAAGATGGTAATGATAGGCGGTAGACCATGGCAGAATAAACTAAGGGTATACCTGAAGTTCAAGTTTAAGGGACATGTATCTGTTCTTAGAACTGTATAGGGAATATTCAATCGAAGAGAAGCTATCTATTTATTTATCTTTCTTCCAGTATTAACACCAGCCCACTATAACTTGAACCTTAGATAGTAGATATATATATCTGTGATTGTGATCCATCTGCAGTGACGGCCCGCTACTCCCATTGTGATTCGTCGCAGTTATCTCCGCGCGCATTGACCTGTCCTAGATTCTTCCCGCGACTCGTCTGGGCTCCTGCTTACTCAAATACCTAATAGACAGAGTTCAGTGAGTTTGTGCTTAAGTGCGTAAAGGCGCGATGGTCTCACAGATCCTGAATTTTAGTGCCGGGTCCGAGAGCCTCAGGGTTGAGATCTTCGGGACGGGGATTCTATGGGATTCCATGTGCTTCTACGGGGGGGAAAGATTATTCTGTATTTGTACAAATCATAATCAGAGCTGAGTACTGTAGGCAGTAGGGATTATAAGACTAAACACTATCAACCGTGGAAATGAAGCTGGAACCATGGAACGCGGAGCCGAGGTCAAGATAGGGAAGTGGGAAGTTGGTTGATGTCTCGGGGAGACACATGTGTATGTACTCCGTACCTGTGTATACATGTAGTTCATGGGCTGTGATAGTTGACGGCAATCATGGAGTTACTAGGACGAGATAAGTCTAGTCTGTTGGGATTGATAGTCGTATAGGAGGGGACTATCTTGGGACTATTGACTATGACTGCTAGTAATAGTGTGATGTGAGAGGCCCAGACCACACCTTATCCTTGGCGCCTAAAGAGAATCCGGAGCCGCAAGCATCCGAAGTGGGAGAAAGGGAATAGAAGATGTTGAGGATAACATATTAAAGAATAGAATATAGAATAGTATAGAAATCTTATGATATATAATATATAGTATATAGTACATAATTAATATTTTAATAGTTATATGTAGAGTAGAGTATATCTATCATATACCAGGCAGAGAGAGACATGACGTGTCGGATTCCACGTCAGAGAATCACATCATGTTAGACTCCGCCCCCATCGGATTCGACCGTTTCCCCCTTTCTCTTCTTTCTTCTCTTTTGCTTGTATTTTCCGTGGACTCTACTTCCTCTATTCCTCAAATATTCTGTCATATTATCCCCCTTTTCCACTGGATTTCTCCCTTCGATTTGATTTTTGATTATTCTTTTTCTATTTTCCTTTTCCCTTTCCGTTTCCTTCTTTCCTCCCCTCCCCTGACTCTCTCTCAAAACATCATTAATAATAGAAACCTCGCCACTTTCTTCCCGTAATTCGTTTTTGGGCTCCATCTGTGTCCCCCCCCCCCCCCCCCTGCGCCCGAATCTTGACACGGTCGCGCGACCATATCTTTGTCGTCGACGTCCATTCCTTCCCCCTTTCTCCCTCTTGTTATTCGTGAGAACAGGGTCCAAATTTTCTCCCACTTTTCTCTCATTCACCGCTATTTACTTTTTTAATTATCAATAAAAAAAAGAACGAGAGAGAAGAACCCCCCCAAATCACAACCAAAAAAAAAGAAGACACATGGACGCTCAGACCTGTCAACTGGATTAATTGACTTTATTTATCCCCGATCGGATTTTCGATCTTCATAAACTTCGCATGGCATGTTTCGCCTGCTACCCTGGCCCTCTGCGATCGGAGGGAACAAGATAATGGGAGATGATGTTAAGATGCTGGCGCCCAACTGCGCCGGCGTGAATACCTTATCACTGCCCAAGTTGAAGCGCAAACGTTCCGATTCCTCCCCGTCAGATGCTCCCGCGACGACAAAACTTCGCGTCGATGCAGTCTTCGCTCCATCCTCCGAATTAACCCCGTCGCCTTCGGTGACACGTTCAGACGACTCGGTCGCTTCCCCGGTCGCGTATCCCCCGGCGCAGGCCGCCGGTCGGACAATGGATGTAGATCGCTTGCGTGATACCATCACCGCGCAGTTGAGTCTGGAAGTATTGCTGAAGCATAACGAACTGCGTTTGATCGACCAAGAAATCGCCAAATGTCAAGTCTCCCTGGAACAGTTGCGACGATGCGCAGAGATCCCTTACCCGGGATCCAGTGTCACTGGTCCTTCCGCCGATGTCAGCTCTGGTACGGGCGCGTCAGTCTGGGTGCCTGGAAATGGCCCAGCACCGATGTCCCCGGCGCCATGGGGTGTCACCGAAGGTCCTTATTCACGTCACTACTCGCGATGGTTATTGCCAGACCCGAGGTTTGATGGCGGTGAGGTGGAGTCGGGACTTGCGACCGGCGCAAGTGGTTATCAGATGGCCGAGGGACGTTCAACTCGTGGAAACCCGATGGACTTCAGCGCGCTGGCTGGTAAGACACGACCTTCGCGTGGGTTGAATGGGTCAAGACTTCAATCTCTGCCGACCGGATATCCGATCGTCAAGGAGAAGGCCGGTCCCATGCTCATTCGACGCAAGTCAGATCAGGTTCTGGTCAAGCTTGTCTGTTTGGATTGTCGTCGTGACAACTTCTCAAGCACACAAGGTTTCATCAACCACTGTCGAATTGCACACAATCGAAACTTTGCTAGTCACGACGCTGCTGCGATGGCTTCTGGTGAGCCTGTCGAGGTGGATGAGTCTGGCGCCGTGATTGGCGGCCGGTCAGAACCCACCACGACTACTCCCAGCACCGTGTCGACACCAGGTCATGTTCACCCGCTTATTCGTTCTACTCAAATCCCAACGACCTCGAGTCTGCCGACTCCCAGAAAGGAGTCTGTAACGCCTCGGAAGCCTTCGGAGGTCAACCCGACTATAGCCGCAGCTGCCGTCGCGACTCCTCCAGCCACTGTTAAGCGGGAGCCTGTCAAGGCAGCCAATCCCTCATTCATGCCCTCGCCAGCAACTCCTCATCTCTCTGCTTTGATGAGGAAGCGTGGTCTGGGTCTGAACATGAACAAACTGGTCGAAGAGGCTAGGGCTCCTGTTGACTTAAGTGATTTCTCTGATGGTGAATCGGACGTGGACGAGTCAGCTCGTTCTTCCACCAAGGTATCTCAGGACTCAACAGCCCAGCAAGGTCCTCAAGCAGCTCGTCAGCCCATGCGCATGCCTACTACTCAGGCTGCGTCTGAGCGAACCGAGAGCCGAAAGGCCCTCCAGCTGCCCGAGGAGATGACTCCCACTCGGCCTCAGGCACACCAACAGCCGTCTTTGTTTCACAATCTCTCATCGTTACATGGTCCAAATCAGACATCTCCCATGGATACATCTCGTGATACAGTAGATCATCCGGCTAATCTCAGCCCCAACACGATAGAGTCTAACCAGGCTCCCAGTCTGGTCAGCGATGACGAGGATGACTACGAAGCTGCCTCGGACTCGGACAGTCCCGACTCTGACCACGAGGAAGAGTTCCGACACATCGAAGTCCAAGATGATGAACGCACCACTGCCCCCTCTGCCCCGACAACAGAGTCCAAGCCTGGTCCCTCTTTGAAAACCTCATTGCCACCGACCGCTGCCCCACTCTCCAAGCCTATGAAGCAGAGTCGGCCCAACCACCTCCCCACAATGCCCTCATTCAATGACCGTGGTCGCGACGATCAACAATTCAACCCGATGCTTGATCGTCTCCAAAAGCAAGGCCAGGTGAACTTCATGCGACCCGACTTCAACCAAAACTCTCATCCTCAAAACGAAGATCCATCCAAAAACACCCGGGACAACAACCGCAACCAGTCACCGCCAAAGAAATAAAAAATATATCAAAAGCAAAAAACAAACCAAAAAAGACACCCAAAAAACAAAACACCACTCACAAAAGCAAGAATATCACCATCCTGTTTACCGTGGACTTGTTTCCGATCGTCAATTGTCTTTCTTGTCTTGTCTTGTCTTGTCGTATCTTATCGACTTACATGTATCGCTCTTCCACCTTACTCCCCTCTTCCTTTCTGTGCGAAAGGATATGTATGAATGATTGATTGTATTAGATCGTCCTCATCATATTCCTAGCTGTCCCTGTTATTGCCTGTCTTGACAGTGCTATTCTCTGTTTGTTTTAATGTACGCCGGGCGAGTTCGTGTTCGGTCCACGGGCCCATCTTGATGATGGCTATGATGAGCTGGGTTGATGACCTTTTCTTTTTTTAAACTTCATGATGCTGTATTTGATATCTTGTTTAATGAAACCGAACCCCCCCTTTTTTCATGACCGTGGGATTTGTACATAAGTAACTCTACATGGATACTTCCAAGGTCGATTTGTTCCGAGTACTAGTAAAGACCGACCTCCCTTTTAAGATGGCCACTTAGATGTGCACACCTTCGCTAGATCAGAAGCATATGTCCCTCTAGTGACCTAGCGCCTCATTCCATGGTATGCATGGTATAGATGAAGTGGAACCAAAATTAGGGCTGCAAACTTTTCTTACTTTAAATATTCAGGAAGTTTAAGTAATAATAAAATTATGCAAGGTATCGTGAGAAGTCATCAATTTCGTTAAATAACAAACCCTATCTTTTAACTCCAATCTAAACCTATCTACTTTTCACCTCTCCTCTTCTCAAGAAGTGTACTCTTAGACATATCCAATCCGCTCTGTTTTAGAGAATCCCCACAACCATCCAAGAAAGATCCCTTCTTGTCTTCTTCAGGAGTACACTCCATTTGAAACATCATATCACTTACCCCCTTCACAGAAGTAGGTCTCAACCCAGGACCAGGAACACCCTGGCCTTGATGTACTGCAAACGCAACATCAAAGATCTCCCGCACATTCATAGCATCGGGTGTTCTCGCCTCAACCTTCGCCTCCGTATCGAGGGTAGGTACCAATTGGGACTGGGATTGAGATGTCGAATCAACATGCACATCAAAATCCCTTTTACCACATCCCTTGGTAATCCACGGATGAGCAAAAAACTGCTCAATAGTAAGTCTTTCCTTTGGCTCAACAGCAAGAAGACCCCGAATAAGATCCATCGCTTCAGAAGAAACAGTATCCCACCACGGAGACGCGAATTCAAACGTTCCACGGGATACATTCTTAATCAAAGTCCGAAGATCAGGATCATAAAATGGTGGATATCCCACTAAAAGCGTGTAAAGCGTACAGCCTAGTGCCCACATATCGACTCCAGCTGTATATTGCTGATCACCCATTGTTTCTGGCGCGGCATATCCCACCGTCCCGCAGGGTGTTGCTGCCGAATCACCAATTATTATTTTTGAGAGGCCGTAATCTGCTAGTTTAACAGTTCCGATTCCACCACCGCCTGTTCCGGGGATGAAGTCTCCTTCGTCAAGCTTGGCTTCTTCGCCTGGGAAGGTTGGTTGGGGTGTTTTGCTTTTATTTAGTGGGATAGGGTAGAAGAGGATATTTTCAGGTTTTATATCTCTGTATTCAAATCATGCGGATTAGTATGTTTAGGCAGTGGTAGGTGTGGATAAATGGGATGGACTCCGAGTCAGACTTACCGGTGAACAACTCCTAATGTGAGATGGAGATATTTGACTGCCTCAGCGACTTGCATTATGACGTGTCGGCTTAGGTCTTCGCTGAGGTAGGTCAATTTTACTATTTGATTGAATAATTCGCCCCCAGGGCATAGGTCCATGATTATATAGCAATATTGTTTTGTTTCGAAGGCATCGATCAAGCTTGTGGTATTCGGGTGATTTAGTGATCGCATAATGTGAACTTCTTTTTGCATATTTGAAAGCTGTTATCGAATTAGTCAAATCAATTTGCAATTGTTGAAATATCCTGTTCATATGGTATCCAGCCCTATCCTCCAACAGATGGAGGGAGGTGAACTGGATTTTCTCCACTTGAACCAAATATGAAAGCAAATGTACATACCTGTTGTTTATCCATCTCAAATTTCCTCAATACTTTGACAGCGACCTCGCCGTGTTTCTTTTCTCCATCCTTAGCACGGTAGACAGTGCTGAAAGCTCCTTGTCCAATCCTCTCTAGTAGAAGCCATCGCTCAAGGCCAGGATATGAAGGAAGTGTTCGATCACACTTTTTCTGAGTAGCAGGACGCTCCAAAGAAGCAGTTTTATTTCCTTGGTTCTTCGCAGGTATTGGTTTCGGTTTAGATGTAGTGTTCGATTTCGGATTGCGCGTAGTGTCAGCCCCTAAAGATGATGACATGTTGGGATAAGGAGCATCCGAAGGGATACCCAAGTGATCAATATCCCAGGACAAAGAGATAGGAGTATTCTTCATAGCGAGCATAGTTCAAGGTTATTGCAGACCCACGACCAAGTTCAATTAGACTTAATTACAGTGCTTTGGCTCTGGTTCTAGGTCTGGATGAGCTTGTTTACCAGTAGATATAAAAGATATGGAAAGTGGCGACATTATCGACAGAAAGAAACTTTCCACCCCTTTCAAACCTGTTCCATAACGTTTTTGAGATATACGTCAATACTGCGAATTTTAATTTTAATTGAGTGCGCGTTTGTCTGCATAGTTTGGCTGTAGATTCCATGGCAATCAACGAATGACGTCAGGTCAGTGGGAGCAAGAAAGTATGCAACGGGACGCGACACTCGATCGGTTTTGGTTCCGCCACTCACGTACAACAATCTTTGATAATGAAAAGCGGCTACCCACGAATAATATCATTGCATTCGACGGTTCTATCCTTAACCCGGATGATACACAATTCTACCCGCCAATTAGACCATAGAAGGTGATTGGAAACGGTACTTTTTGAACTGATTAGTGCTTTATTATTCCGCGTCAGGGACTTTGATTGTAGATTTATCTTCATTGAGTAATTTCGTATATTCCATCAATCGGATTTCAGAGATCTACGCCCCCTGTAAGGATACCCATATGCATATTCAAACGGCAGTCAATTCGCTGGGCATGGAATGGAATCTTGTCAGTGGGATTAAACTTTTGGAACTTGATACCCAAAAGTGTGTCCGTGTTTACGGCTCAAACTATGATGCCTGCATATGTGCTCATCCTGGGTGGCAAACCTATCCTACAGTACTTTGGGAATACGGTGGAATTCACCTGTCCCTACCTATACGAGTCCTTCAAAGCATAGAGAAATCTATTGGGTCTCGTTCAACGCCCCCTTTCAATAAAACGCTTCTCATATTCTTTTGCAGTCTCTGTAGTCATATTGAAATATTCCATTGACTGAATAAATGATCTAGTTTCTTGCGACATGGAAGTATTTCCCTTCAGATAAATCCAGTGACATTCTATAGAGGCAAGACAAAATGGGAACATGATATCACAGCAAGGGGTTAGAGCTCGATAGCATGAGTCGCTTGATAATTGATAACCAGCCGGCCGTTATTTCTCATATTGATTCAATTGTATAGATCACTAGAGGTCCTGGGTCCTGGATGCTAACATTGAAGTAACGGCCACTCAAGTCGTGAAATACAATACAATACCTTACAATACATATCACCTTATAACTCTACTATGACAGGTGCAATACAAGCCTTATCGCGATAACGAGAGCAAGCATCAAGCGCGTCTGCAGACTCCATTCTAAACGAATATTGATCATACCAGGCGATTTACAGCGGTCAATCTCCAACAAATTGAGCCAATTATAGCAAACCTACACTGCGAAAATCTCCAAAACTGCAGTCCAGATTACCAAGGCAGATACCACAACTCAAACATGCCCAAAAACGTCAAAACCACCAGCTCCCAAGCAATGACAAAGTCAACACCTACCAAGGGCTCTGAATCCTTTCATGCGGATCAAATAACCCTCTCGACCTTTCAAAAGTTACTCAAATGCTACCCAGCCGCAGTGAAACACGTGCATCACCACAAACTCCTACGGAAGTTCCAGCCTAAAAAGAAGGGCTCACGAAGCGCAAAGAACATAGATGATGCAGATCTTATTCAAGAAGCGGATCTAAGTCCTTCAACCCAGTCAGACATACAATCTGGACTGATAAAATTCCTCAAGCTCGATGCGTGGCGGTATGAGGAGATGCCAGCACTTATTGCTACGCGACGGGGTACGAGCAAGAATGATATAATGAGTAAAGACGAACTTACCAGCGTGATGGAATGGAAAACGTGAGTTTTACTTCTTTATTTATTTCCTCTCCTCATAAAATTTTAGATCTTAACCATTAGAGAGACATGACTTATCACTAACATTCATAAGAACCCACGGCCATTCTCGTCCCATGCTTATGGGCATGATTAAATCCAATCAAGACAAACTAGTACAAACCTGTATATCAGCTGCTAACACTGCTCTTCCTACGGCAGATACAGAGGCGAGCGAGGCATTTCCTCAAAAAAGCTTCGATGCACTCCAGCCTCTTCGTGGTGTTGGCCCAGCTACTGCATCTTTGATTCTATCTATAATGACAGGATCGAGTGGATTGGCTCTACAGGTTCCTTTTTACAGTGATGAGGTGTATTTTTGGCTCGCTTTGAATGATTATCCGGATATGCAACCTGGGACGAAGCGGGTGAAGGAAGACTTGAAAGTGAAGTATAATTTGAATGAATACAAGGAACTATGGAGTGCGAGTGTGGAATTGAGTCAGAGACTTAATCTGGAATGCAAGCGTGTTGCTGAAGATGGAGATGGGGAAGTTGGTATATCTGCATGCGGATCTGTTTCTCAGATTGATATTGAGAAAGTCGCATACGTGCTACGCAATATTGAGATATCGGGGTATTTCGATGGTCAGGATACATCGGTTCTTCCCTCTGGAGATACGGCGCGGGCAGAAAAGGAAGAGGAGCATGAAGAAGGGATTGAGAATTCGAGGAAACGAAAGGGCGAGGATGAAAACAAGCAGAATACGAGGAAGAAGAGGGGTTAACCAGACCGGAGTCGCTTCAATCTTCAGTCACCATGTATATTAGGCCTTTATATCCAACACTCATCTTTTCAATTTTAATGGAGGGTTGTTTAATTTCAAGAATTGACTATCACACAAATTTATGGAAAAAAGAGTAGGAAATAGGCAGAACAACATTCTATATGATAAAGTCATTTCATTCTGTAAATTCTATGCACATTTTCAACGTAATGTTCGATGATTTCAATACCACTATATGATTTACAGTCCCTTGGCCTGCTTAGCCTCGGCCAGAGCCTCCTTAAGAGCAGCAAGAGCCTTCTCAACATCGTTACGGCCAGGGTCAGTCACACTGACACCCATGTGTCCGAAACGAATGTACTTAGTAGCGATCTCCTTGTGCAGACCAGCTGCGAAGATGACACCGCGCTTAAGCAGACCGGGAAGGACATCGGGAGGAGTAAGACCCTCAGGCAAGTACATAGCAGTCATACCGTGAGCCTGCGCGTCAGGGTTAGGAGCAACCTGCTTAAGACCCAGCTGAGCGACAGCAGCCTTAACGCTATCAGAGACCTTAGTGTGGATATCGAAGCGCTCGGAGATAGGACGAGTAGTAATCTGGCTCAGAGTAGTGTGCAAGGCGTGAATAAGCTGGGTAGGAGGAGTAGCGAAGTACGAGGGCTTGTTGTTCTCGTAGTTCTGCATGATGGGAAGCCAGTTGGCGATGGAGGCGTAGTAAGCGCCTGGTGGGGACTGGCGGGTTTGAGCGACATTAATGGCGCGGCCGGAAGTGTATACGATACTGAGACCGGGAGGGCAGCCGATGGCCTTCTGACTAGCGGTAACAACGACATCGAGGTCCCACTCGTCGAATTTGATCTCTTCCGAACCGACACTGCAGACACCGTCGACTACGACGAGAGTGTCGGGGCTCACTCGGCGAACGAGCTGGGTGACACCCTTGATATCGCCCAGGACACCGGTGGAGGTGTCGACGTGAGTAATAGTGAGGACCTTGTACTTCTTCTCTCGCAAAGCCTGCTCCACTTGTTCGAGGGAGTGGCGCTCGCCGACGGGCGTACGCAGCTGTGTGACATTGGCACCATATGTTTGCAGGCATTGGCCGAAGGAATCTCCGAAGTAACCAGTGTTCAGAACCAGGGCGTTCTCACCCTTTTCGATCAGGTTGGCAGAGACGAGATCCCAGCCCAAGGTACCACTTCCGGCGATGATAAAGGGTTGTGCGGAGGGGCTAGTGGACTGGAATAGTTTGCGAGTGAGAGTCAAGGTTTCACCGAAGACCTTGACGAAGCCGGGAGCGACATGGCTCTCACTAGATGGCAGAAAAGAGACTGAGGTTAGTTATCGATACAATAAGAGATCAATTGAGAGGAGTTGGGAGGTATCAAGAGTAGTGAGAGATGAGGAAGGGAGGGGTTGACTCACGCGTAGTGGGCCATCGACTGCAGCACGGCATCGTCGAATTCAATAGGGCCCGGGATGAGCAGGGTGTTGTGAGGCGCTTGAGTAGACATAGTGGGCTTTGAAGGTGTAGAAGGAGAGTCAGGAATAGTGCGATCGATAGGCTTATATTCAAGGTCGTCAGGAGGCAGTGAGGTTCTTTCGGTCGAGAAGGGAGTGTTCAAGTTTGGCAACGGCAGACGCTGGTCCAGGTGTCTGGAGATCAGGCTAAGACGTTGCTGCGTAGAGGGCGCCAGCTTTTCCGATTTGCGGCGGGGCAGCCGCGGGGTTAGAGACCTTGGGTTTGGTAGTGGTAGCTTGTGATTTCCCGAGGGAAATGCAAGATCGGGGATCGCCGCCGAAGGAGATGATTTGGGTGGTTGGGATTGGTTGGTAACGTCGACTACCTAGGTAAGGCTTAAGGTACTTAAGGATACGACGGATATGAGCCGAAGATTAAAACCTTGACTTTTGAAGCAATTGAAACAACAATGGACTGTGGAGAGAATTAAAGAAGAGCTTGAAATCCGGGGGAGACGAGATGTTTAAGAAGGATTCCAAAGATCAATTCAATGTTCTCGTATCCCCAACATTTTTCCCGCGTTGAAGGGTTTTTGGGTGTTTCTCGGCCGGGGCCGATCGAGTACAGTATGGCTGTTACTGTATAGCGAGGGAGTCTACGCTGTAGCTTCTATTCTATATTCCGGAGATTTGGACCCAAGGAAACTCTGTTTGAATGAGATGATATGACTGGCTGGTCTATAGAAGGGATGTTTAAAATGTATGCGATCAATTGGTCATAGTATAGAGTATACAGCTGCTTTAGAGCCATGATCAATATACGCCAGTACAACTAGACGATAGGTCATGATGTATTCATATTTCGCCTACCTCAAACTTAACAAACAACTCACTATTCAGAATATCACCCTCATCTTCCCTAATTATTCTCGTCCCGATCGCAGTCTGGCGTTTGCGCCGTAGTTCACTGTCTTGATGAACTTCCCCGCTGCACCACGGCGAGCTCCGCAACAAAAGCTTTGGTCTTATATTTTATATTCTCTCGATTGGATATTTGCAGCCGACATCAATCGGGCGAGAGATTCGGTCTAATTAGCCAATTGTGCAATAAGAAGATGAGCAACACCATATCCCCTCCTCCCTCGGAGGGAGATCCCGAGATGGATCCCTTAGTAATATGGTTCAGTAAGCAAAGTAACTAACTAAACTGCGATAGGGAATCATCACTCTAGGCTTATCACCACATGCAATAACACCAACACCCATAACCACCCCAATTCAGCTCATAGGGCATAGGGCTTTGACGTGGCTTCCCCGCGAAAGCTCCCCCAACTGCCTAACCACGCGCATTCTGTCCCTTGCGACCGCGATTGGAAAAGACGCTTGAGCTTGTTACTCCGGCCCCACCAATCCGCCAATCCCAGGATGACAGCTCGTTTAGTCCTGGTCATCGGTGACCTGTTCATTCCCGACCGAGCCCCTGTAAGTTGATCCGTATATGAGCTGAGCTCCATGGACCTTGGACCTCCCCGTCCCAAAATAGATCATGAATCATTTAGCTCATCAGCTCTCATCGTTCACAGGATCTCCCACCTAAGGTATGCACTCGTCTTTTGACATGATCATCTGGCGATCATCGCTAATCCTCATGGCAGTTCCGGAAACTGCTTACCCCCGGCAAGATCGGTCAGATCTTATGTTTGGGCAACCTCACCGACCGCGAGACTTATGAACACCTTCGTCAGGTAGCCCCGGACCTGCAAATGGTCAAGGGTGACTACGATGTCGACTCTCCGAACCTCCCGCTTTCCAAAATCGTCAACCATGGCAGCTTGCGCATCGGTTTCACCCATGGTCATACCATCATTCCACCCGGTGATGCTGATGCCTTGTTGATTGCAGCTCGACAAATGGACGTGGATGTCCTTCTCTGGGGTGGTACCCACCGCTTTGAAGCCTTTGAGATGGAAGGTCGCTTCTTCATCAACCCCGGTAGCGCGACGGGCGCGATGACTTCAGGATACTCAGCGGAGGGAGAGGAGCCTACACCAAGCTTCTGCCTAATGGATGTAAGTAATGAGCTATAAGTCACCGGTGCCCGGCAGTGATTACTTTACTAACACATTATGCAGATCCAAGGAGACGTTCTAGTGTTGTATGTCTACCAGCTTAAGACGGATGCCAATGGCGTCGAGAATGTCTCAGTCGAGAAGGTTTCCTTTCGCAAGAACCACGCTCCAGCCCCGGCCTCATCATGATCCAGCCAAGTCTCCCCTACTCCGCCTCTTCCTCCTCACCCCCGATCTTCGATCCCGTGTAAATAGTCTCTCCTGTCTCCTGCCTCTCTGTTTGTCCTCCAGCCTGGATTCCATGCTTTCTCAACATGACTCTTTGATACCTTGAGCTAGTGCAATTGATTCAATCCATATACGACTTATATCATATAGACTAGGACCATCTTGCTCATTTCCCATCCTCCATCAGGTGTCATTTATGCTCTGTTGATTTAATTTCCGTGTGCTCTATTAGATCATGTGCTACTTTAATTTGGCGGGTGCCTGCAGGCTTCCCTCGGGGACCTTGCTTAACTAGTTGGATGGATAGGCTAGATGAGAACCCACTTGATTGGTTCAACAGAACTTGGGATTGGGATTTAACGATAGAATCTTCTTTGAAGAAACATCTACAATTAAATATTCACCGCCTGACAAAAGAATAACTCTTCTGGAAGTATCTATTACCCCGGGGCTACTGTACTACCGTTGTAGTAGTTAACAAAGCGGGTGTTCAGTAAGTGACGCTAGTCCCAAAACAGCAAGCGCGAGTTATGAAATAATGAAACTCCCATCGCGACTCGACTCCACCCCGCAAAGATCAACTCCCCATTGAATGGATCTTGCTTTTCACAGGGTATAATTCATTTGATCTTATTTCACATCCATTCTATAGCTTAAGTGCTTTTCAAATTTCCCCCTGATTACTCAATCTTTCTCAAAGCTAGCCCCAAGGGCTCCCGGTTCCTCACCAACTCCACCCAAAGTCCAGAGTTTCTGCACCTCTCCAGCTCTTCAACACACCACCCACGTCTTCTCCGGACCCACCAGATACACAATGGCGACCGAAGGATCAGAGATCAAGGAGGAGCAGCTGCAGGTCCCTCACGAGGAGGGCGGCGACGAGGAAGTATGTATTTAGGACGCAATAACCTTCCAGTCGAAGCCATGAACCCAATTTTCTTTCACAACCATGCACCACAAAGAACCATACACCACAAAAAATACTCACATGACTTACTTGTTTTTGCTTTAAATAGGAGGAAATTGCAGCTATGAAGAAGCGCGTCGCCGAGATGGAATCCGAAGCTGCTAAATTGCGCGATATGCAGAACACTCTCGACCAGCAATCGTCGGACCTCGCAGAGAACAAAGAGGATGTTGACGCACGAAGTGTTTTTGTTGGCAATGTGGACTATGGGGCATCACCTGAAGAGATCCAGGCACACTTCCAAAGCTGTGGCTCAATCAACCGAGTGACTATCCTGCTAGACAAGTTCACTAGTCAACCCAAGGGGTGCGTTTGATCTCTTACCCTACACCTGGTACAAGGAGCTTGGAGAGATAAACTGACTGAGGGATCTTTCTTTACAGCTACGCATATGTGGAATTCTCTGAGCCCAGTCTTGTGGCCCAGGCTCTGGTTTTGAATGAAAGTGAATTCCGTGGCCGCAACCTCAAGGTAAGCTTCAATTATCTTCTTTCTTCCTTGTCTCACACGGCTTTTTACTAACAATGGCGTCAAATAGGTCACCCCTAAGCGTACCAATCTGCCAGGCATGACCCGCGGTCGTGGCCGTGGTCGGGGAGGACGCGGTGGTCGTGGTCCCTTCCGTGGCTTTCGTGGTGGCTTCCGGGGTCGCGGACGTGGCTTCGCACCTTACTAAACTCGTCGTTGCTTTCGTAAATTGCGTCCTAGGGTCTTGCACCTATTTCTCTGTCATTTTCAAGAGCCCACTTCCTTTGCAATAGATCGGCAGGGACAGGCCAGGGCCAACTACCTCCACTCCAAACGTCCCGCATGACGGCGTCCGAATCCTAAAAAAAAGACATGATTGGTTTTCCTTTCGGGGTTAGGAGTGGACAATTTGGAGTTGAGGATATCTTCTTTTTTTTTCCCTTTTTTCTTTTTTAAATGGATATGTACAATAATCGGACAGTCCATCGAGGGTTCTTAGCTGGGAGACTCTCGGCGAATTGTGTAATGGATATTTTGTCAATGATCAATTGACCATAGAACAAGATGACTTTCTTCGTATATACTATTTCGTATATTTGACTGACCATATAAAGTAAACTTTTGTCTAAGCCCTGTAAATAAAAGTCGCTGCCTAGTAATGGCTCTAACTGCATCAGTGACAAGTACTCAGTACCTGTAGACCAATACCTAATCAGTTCCTAATCGCCACCCGCACTGGAACGAGGATTACGTACGCCATGACTGGGGAGGGCTGTGGCTTGATCATGATGGAAAACCTGAGTAAAAGATGACATTGGACAAATGTAATAAGAAAACATTCTTTATATCCAAAAAATCCTGAGATAATGTGCCCAGGCTAGTCCATAGGCGATCTCCCGTTGCTCAGCCCCAAGAAAAGTACCTCGTCCACACTTAATACGTGGTGGGAGTACTTACGCCATACATCCCGCAAAGTGAAAGTGAATTACATACGCCCCGGCCTCCCTCCCTCTTCCTTCTCTTCTCCTCCGGATCTCTACATTCTACACCCCCCTCTTTCCACCAACATACCCTCATATCGACTGTTTCACCCCCGTCGAAGTCTTTTTGGTGGATTGGCGATCTGACGATACCGCGATTTCCCGCACCCGACCCCTCCTGGATGCGCGCGCCGTGTTCATTAAGGGCTTGATTGATCGGCCTCCTCAAATCGGTGTGCTGTGAAGAGCAACCAGGGCCACCATGGCATCCAATCTACCTGCGTATGTTCTTTGTCGTCACCTTACCCCAGGGATCTCACCCCGATGATCTAATTTTGGAGAAAATCCATGTTTCGGCCCTGATTTTACCAATGCTAACTTGTCGAATGTTACAGCCAGCCAAATCTGCGAGTCACGAGTAAGATTGCCTAGTCCTTGCCCACCTGGCGGGACACTGCGGGGTTCCTCTCAGAAGATACGGAAACTGACAATTTTTTCTCTTGTTATTACTTTACAGTTATCGCTGCGGACGGCCTCTACAAGCGCGATGTCTTCCGTATGTCATGTTCTTTAAACTTGCTCGGTTCGGCCCCAAGCGGGGTCGACTAACATCTCTCTAGGCTTCCCCGACCCTTTCGCGGTGGCTACAGTTGGGGGCGAACAAACCCACACTACTTCTGTGATCAAGAAAACCCTGAATCCTTACTGGAATGAACCCTTTGACTTGTATGTGATGGCATATTATCTGATCGCGAGTACGGGCGGAAACGGAAGTGGCTTATTAACGAATTGGTTATCGGTATAGGCGAGTCAACGAGGATAGCATTCTGGCGATCCAGATCTTCGATCAAAAGAAATTCAAAAAGAAGGACCAAGGATTCCTTGGAGTCATCAATGTTCGCATCGGCGATGTCATCGATCTTCAGATGGGGGGCGATGGTATGTCGTGGTGGATCCTGACGATCTCTCAATATGCGACCGATTCATTCTGACCTTTTCTTTCCTTTCAATAGAGATGCTCACTCGCGACCTCAAAAAGTCCAACGATAATCTGATTGTCCACGGAAAACTGATTATCAACCTGTCAACGAACCTTACAGCCACTACTTCCAACCAGCAAAATGGTGGTCTACGCCCGCAAAACGCTCAATCCTCAACCTCCAGTGGTCTCGTCCCACAAGTTGCATCACCAACACCTCCCTCCCAGGCTGGTCCCGGTCAAGGGGACGCCCTACCCGACGCCATGTCGAACGTGTCGCTCAATAACCGTACCCCATCGACTGCCGGACCTCCTGGCCTCCCTGCTCCTAACGGTGCCCCTCCTAGTGCGAGCGCTGCCTCTCGCACCAACTTGAGTTCTTTCGAGGACAGCCAGGGCCGTCTACCCGCTGGCTGGGAACGAAGAGAAGATGGCTTGGGACGGACGTACTATGTTGATCATAATACACGCACTACGACTTGGTCGCGTCCTTCAGCAAACTACAACGAATCTGCCCACCGCAGTCAGCGTGAGGCCAATATGCAATTGGAACGTAGGGCCCATCAGAGTCGTATGCTGCCTGAAGATCGAACTGGTGCTAGTTCTCCTAACCTGCCAGATTCTCAGCAACCTCAAACACCACCTCCTGGGACTCAACCTCCACCCGCGTCGGCTCCATCAGCAGCTCCAGCGGGATCCTCTGCAAATGCTGTTCAACTGATGGCAACGGGAGCCACCACTGCAGGCACTGGCGAGCTTCCACCTGGATGGGAACAGCGATCTACCCCCGAGGGACGGTCATATTTTGTTGATCACAATACTCGCACAACCACATGGGTTGACCCCCGCCGTCAGCAGTACATCCGCATGTATGGACAGAATCAGAACCAGGGTGGAAACAATACTACCATTCAGCAGCAACCTGTTTCTCAACTGGGTCCTCTGCCCAGCGGATGGGAAATGCGTCTTACCAACACTGCCCGTGTATACTTTGTGGACCACAATACCAAAACCACGACCTGGGACGATCCTCGTTTGCCTTCATCCTTGGACCAGGGCGTTCCGCAGTACAAGCGTGACTTCCGCCGCAAGCTGATCTACTTCCGATCTCAGCCCGCTTTGCGAATCATGTCCGGCCAATGCCATGTCAAGGTTCGCCGTAATAATATATTCGAGGATTCCTACGCAGAGATCATGCGACAGAGTGCGTCCGACCTGAAGAAGCGCCTGATGATTAAGTTCGATGGAGAAGATGGTCTGGACTACGGTGGTCTTTCTCGGTATGTTTTCCAGCGATTATTTTATTTGATATTTCAAACTAACCGCTCGTCTAGTGAATTCTTCTTCCTCCTCTCCCACGAAATGTTCAACCCCTTCTACTGCCTCTTCGAATACTCCGCTCACGATAATTATACTCTGCAAATTAATCCCCATTCTGGCGTCAACCCTGAGCATCTCAATTACTTCAAATTCATCGGCCGTGTGGTTGGTCTGGCGATTTTCCATCGCCGTTTCTTGGACTCATTCTTCATCGGTGCATTCTACAAGATGATGCTTCGCAAGAAGGTGACTCTTCAAGATATGGAAGGTGTTGACGAAGATTTACATCGCAACTTAGCGTGGACTTTGTGGGTCTTTTCTCAGTGCCGGCTTTGCTGGTTATTTTGCATTCACCCGGAAGCTAATAAACGTCATTCACAGGGATAACGATATCGAAGGCATTGTCGAGCTTACATTTTCGGTTGACGATGAAAAGTTTGGTGAACGTCGCACTATTGATTTGATACCCGATGGCCGAGATATCCCGGTCACTAACGAGAACAAGCCTCAGTACATTGAGTAAGTGATGATTCTTATGAGACAACTTTCCGTTACTGACTTGTGTAGGTTGGTTACCGAATGGAAGATTGTTAAGCGTGTAGAAGAGCAATTCAATGCATTCATGTCCGGATTTAACGAGCTGATCCCGGCAGATCTGGTGAATGTGTTCGATGAGCGCGAACTGGAGCTTCTCATCGGTGGTATTGCTGATATTGATGTTGATGACTGGAAGAAACATACCGATTATCGTGGCTACCAAGAGCAGGACGAGGTCATCCAGAACTTCTGGAAGATTGTCCGTACTTGGGATGCGGAACAGAAGTCCCGTCTTCTCCAGTTTACTACTGGAACTTCTCGTATTCCTGTTAACGGTTTCAAGGATCTCCAAGGTTCTGATGGACCTAGACGCTTTACTATCGAAAAGTCTGGTGATCCTGCTGCCCTTCCCAAGTCACACACATGGTATGATTATCTCAGCCCCATCAAGACACAAATGACATGCTTACTAACAATGTTACAGTTTTAACCGTCTTGACCTGCCACCGTACAAGACTCACGAAGCCTTGGAACATAAAATGTCCATCGCTGTGGAGGAAACTCTTGGATTTGGACAGGAATAGATATCCAGCTTAACCCCTGCTACAGACAGCAGAACATTCCAGCATCATATTCCTTGTTCCTATTCACTAAGCGCCTGTAACCACTTCTACCTGTTCCATACCCGCCCACTCGTCACATCTACCTTTCGTTATATTTCTTCCAACTGCCATATTGTAGCGGTGGTGCGCTTCCACGCATGGAATCATGGCATCCGGAACCCATATTGTTCTATCCAGTCGTTGCGTTCCGGCTCCCTATTATCCAAAGGTTTTGATCATACAGAGCAAATCCCGATCCCATTTTTGGACCTATCGCTTTGCGCTACTTCTATTTGTTGTGCTTCGAGGCACCTCCTAGCTTGTATATAGGTATTTCTGTGTATCATTGCGTGATCACGTCCACTGAATTTATTCTCGTCCTTAACGGGGCTTTGTGCTTTGTGCTTCGTCTACGAATATAATATATGGAATTTTCTCATCAGGATTGAAATTATTTAAATACCCAGTAGGGAATTACTGAAACGCCTCCCAGGTGGTATAATTTCCAACCGTCTTTCCAACGCGATGCCAGTCGTGATGCCAACCTCGGTTCCAACCTACTAAAATTGTAATTACCTATAGATGTATACTTGGAATAGTGCTAGACCTTGATAACAAACCAAGCTGTATTCAAGGCCCACTAACAATTAGCACCTTCCACGCAACGATTACTACTTGTAGATCGATACTTTCGCATGGATCCGCTGTTTATGGATAGTATTCCCCACTCCATAAAAACGGTCCATATGCCCGGAAATAAGGTGTCCCATTAATCAAGTCGAAAGTATTCAGTATATGCCGCAGATACCTTCATCTATCCGACGATCAAATGACCATAGCCTCTGAATCCATTCTAATATCATCAGGCTAACCGGTAACCTACAAGAGTAGCAATACCTATACACTATACACTTAGTCTTAGTGATTCCAATCATCTTTAAAGAACTATATCTCGAGAAAGAGGTACTTGTATCTATCTAGCGCTTATCCTTACCTTACTAAGAGTGGGCTTCGGGATTAGACTCGGATTCATGGTTGGCCCGATACCACCCAACACTTCCCCGTGGGGCTGATGTTCACATCCTCCCTCTATCAACTACACAATTTGTAGCTGGAACCATCCCCACTTCTCCCAAATCAAAACACTGGAGAGTAAACATGGCAACCAGCGTTCAGATCCCCAGTCCAGCGGGCTTAGACCCGTCAACAAGGAGTCAATCCGAAGATCGTCCTATTAGCAACATAGAAGATCCCGACGAGACCCCACCTTTACATGCGGTTAACGTCGCGCCCCGATGGAACGAGTCAAAGACCATGATATGGAGAGTCACAGCGACTTGTGTGTGTGCCTTTGTTATGGGTGCTAATGATGCTGCATACGGAGCGATCATTCCTTACGTGAGTATTTTGTATTTTATTCTATTGATCATGAGGTAAACAAGACGTAGCTAACATAATCTATTCATGCTGTTTTGCTAGCTTGAACTTTACTACCACCATACATACACCATCATATCACTAGTCTTTCTGTCACCGTTCATAGGCTATACCATATCAGCTATTTTGAGCCATGTTATCCATCAGCATCTTGGGAGACGAGGAATTGCATTCATCGGACCAACTTGTCATTTGATCACTTACATCGTTATATGCCAACATCCGCCGTTTCCAGTCTTGGTGGTAATGTATGTCTTTGTTGGATTTGGCAGCGGAATTCAAAATGCAGCATGGAACGTCTGGATAGGAAACATGGCAAACTCGAACGAAGTACTTGGTTTCTTCCATGGATTCTTCGGGGTAGGAGCCACTGTGAGTCCACTGATTGCTACAAGTTTGATAACAAAGGCCAACTGGGAATGGTATTCTTTCTACTACATAATGGTACGTGAACCATTCGAAATGTACTCCTGATTCAAACCCAACCTGACCTAATTAACACTCCTTACAAGACCGGAGCCGCGGCAATTGAACTCGTCTATGCCGTCTCAGCCTTCTGGAAAGAAACAGGATCAAAATACAGAGAAGAGAATCCAACAACAGGAAACAGAGGCGGCCCATTCACTCAAACCCGCATCTCACTAACATACAGAGTAACCTGGATCTGCGCAATATTCCTCTTCCTATACGGCGGAACCGAAGTAGCAATAGGAGGCTGGGTAGTTCTATTTATGACCAACGTCCGCCACGGCGGCGCCTTCGCATCAGGAATGACAGAAACTGGATTCTGGCTCGGTATAACAGTTGGTCGATTCGTGCTAGGTTTTGTCTCTCCCCGCCTAGGCCAAAAGCTATCTATCGCTTTATATATCATTTTAGCAATGGCGCTTGAGCTTATATTCTGGCTCGTCCCACACTTCATCGTGTCGGCTGTTGCTGTGGCGCTTGTTGGGTTCTTTCTCGGTACTATATTCCCGGGAGTGGTGGTTGTTGCGACTAGACTGTTGCCTAAGGATTTACATGTAGCTGCTATTGGATTTGCTGCGGCTTTTTCAATGGGTGGGGGTGCGGTGTTCCCGTTTTTCATTGGTGCTATTTCGCAGTCTAAAGGTGTGAGTATTCTTCAGCCTATTCTGTTGGCTATGTTGGCTGTTGCTCTTGGTGTTTGGGGGATGATTGTTCGGGCCCCAAGGCCAGAGCAGATGCACCATGTCTGATTTAAACGGTCATGATGATTACTGATTAGTCTGAGAACAATCTAATTGAATGAAGATTATTTAGATTAAAATCAGAAGATCAAAATTGGTATCATGCTGAGTTTAGCTACTCGTGTATATCAAAACTCCAGATATCAAGAAATGAAACAAGAAGAAACTCGCTATTCGCCCCACACCCCGTGTATTGGTGTCATGAGATCCCCATAAGTCTTCGCAGCTCTTTAAGCGACAATGGTTTGATTAAATAGTCATTAATTCCAGATGCAAGAGCTTGTTGATGCATGGAGTCAGAGGCAACACCAGTGACAGCCATGATGCAAGATGGTGTCATGCCTTTGTCCTTTTCGTATTGTCGGATTTTGCTTGTCGATACTAGGCCATCCATGACGGGCATCGAAATATCTATAAGGTATCAGAAATAACGTTATTTGACAGGTATAAAGGAAACCTACCCATAAGAACAAAGTCATATCGCTTGTCGGACGCCATGTACTTCTCCAGAGCGATGAGACCATTTGAAGCCGTGTCGTAGGTACAGCCGATCTTACGCATGAATGTGGCCATGATCTGTTGAGGTCAATTATTAGAATAAGAGCTCTAGCCGCGGTACTTGGTATGACATTTCTAACTCACTTTGAGATTGATATTGTTATCATCGACAACAAGAACATGCAAATTTGGAATTTCCAGTGATAAGGAGACAGGAGAAATGATCGGAAGAGTCAATGAATTAGCCACAGTCACCTCTATTGATGCCTTTGGCGTTGTGTCTCTGTCTTCAGCTTCATCTTTGACCGTTTCGGCCGAGTCGGGGGATGATGGAGGCTGCTCAGGAGCTTCTAGGTCCATAGGGGTATGTATTATTTGATTCTGTGCATCAGATTGGAGAAACTTTTGCACCATTAGTACTGCTTGTTCTATCTTTCGTGGCCCGAATCTGATATAGAAAAATCAGCATCTGAAAAGAATTCACACGGAATATGGAGACCTACGGCTGAGAGACGCGAACAAAGTTAGATCCAACAGCATCCTGCAAGATAGATATTTTACTACCGAGAATGATGAAAGACTTGACACCAAACTTTTCAGCGAGTGCCTCCAATGAGTGTCGATTCTCGATGGCGGTCCACAGGGTCTCCTCTTCAATTACAGCAACATCGCCTTGCACCTTGTCAAGAGATTCAACAAGGGAGACACCCCAGCCAAAACGAGACATGAGTATATCAGCAAACGTGCTCTGTATCGACAGTTTCCGCTTCGCCTCGGCCGTTAACAGACCCGTCGGCGTTTCTGCCAAGTTGGGATACCCATTGAAAGCAACTAGACAAGCGTGGCGGTGCGGTTGAGACAGAGCACTTTGAAACAAATTCGAATTAGGATCCTGCAGATTAGTATCCGCTGTGTTTTTCACGCCTTGCACGGGGATGTGAACATCAACCTGAGTTCCGATGCCAACCTCACTCTTGACATTAACATGTCCACCCAGTGAGGCTACAAGGAGCCGCACGATACTAAGACCAAGTCCAACGCCCTCAGCCAGTGAATCCTCCTGGGTAAAAGGGGAGAACAACTTGTGTCTGAGGAAATCAGGTGCGATTCCACTTCCCGTATCGGTAACAGTAAGATGGACGAAGAAAGATTGTGAATCAGGTTGGCATTTGGTTCGCGAGAGGGACACCTCCACAAAACCTTTCTTGGTCCACTTGATTGAATTCCCGAGGAGATTCATGACAATTCTCCGCCAAGCGCCGGGCTGAGATCGAATATTCCAGTGGTGTGATTGTTCGATGCGTACCACCACAGACATTTCGCTAGAGTCGCTATCTGTACCGGCGCCTTTTAATGATGATATGATGTTCGTATCGCCAGATGTGAGATCCTGAATTTTATGACCAGTGTATAGAATATTTGAAACTTCTTCGATCAACTGATCAAGGCTAAACTCGGAAATCAAACCCGAAAATTCTTGGTTGCGCTTCTTCCGGGCTTTCTTCGTTTGTGTCAAGTTGTTGATTTTACAAAAATCCAAACTAATGATTGTCAGTGAGAGAATTGTTCAATAAAAAGCGGATATACTAACAGGTGATCAGTTGTGTCAAGCAGAGTAAGCCCGGATGATTCAATCATTTGAACCATATCCTCCTGTGAAGGTAATAGAGCTGTAGCTTGCAGAAGCTCGGCGCTTGCTAATATTCCATGCAGTGGTGATCGCAGTTCATGGCTGACAGACGAAACAAAATCAAACTTGGACTTTTCAGTAGTACTCCAATGAAGACGAGAAATTTCCGATACGATAGAATCACCAAATACTTTGAAATAGTGCAGCTCCTCGAGTCCAAGAGATCGGTGGTTGTCTCGAGTCCAAACAAGAGTTCCCGCCATCCATCGAGACTGATGATAGTTCCAGAGCGGAAAAAAAAGAACTGATTTAGCACCTGGAAGCATTCTGGATAGGTCCAGGGGTATTGTCTCAAGATTTTCGGCGCGAGATTCAGTGTTGCAGTCTACACCTTTTTGAGCCCAATATTCTCTGCTGCTATTCAAATCTGCAAGATCAAAGACTTGACCTTGAGGAAAATGTGTAACCAATGTATCGAGTAGTTGTTCTGATATAGATAATTTTCGACCCGGGTCCATGTCCTCCATTTGAGATTTCTTCAAAGAGGACCCTAAAATCTCGCATGGCATATTTGGTTCATGGGTTGCGTTGCTCAGTGGCCCTAGAGGACTTGGAAGTGGCGCCGATGGAAACGTAGATGAAGCAGACTTTGGTAATGGCTCCCAGCCATCTTCTTCTCCGGTAGGGAGACTGTAGAGATGAGCGAATATTCCGAGTATTTACTTGTTCGAGAGAAAATGTACTCACTAAGAAGGGTTAGTTCGGCTTGCGTCCAGAAAAACCACACCATCTAGGTCCATGGATTGTTTCAAAAGAGCACTGGCGCGACAGAATATTCTTTCTATACGGTCGGATAAGGGTATACTGTCCGTCAAGGACACCATAGATGTATTCTGAGGCATTGGGTTGTTTGAGACAAATCCAGATCGTAGTACTTCATCTAGCGATTTCTCTTCTCCTGGTGTTGGAGCTTGGCGATCTGACAGATTCGAATTGATCGACGAAAGATCCGTGGTGGTCCCTGAGGGTGGCCCAGAGAAGAAGAGTGGCGATGGCTCCTCCGAGGGGCTGGTGGAGCATGATCGTGGCAGAAGACCGCTAGCATTTTGTGTTTCGGGCGATGAAATAACTGGGGATGGAGCATTACCGATTCCAACATTCGAAAGCTCACCAACATTAGCAGCCCGGGTACTTGATTCGAGACGATGATTGCTAGAAATCTCGCGAGGGTCAAAATCTGCATGATCTTTGACGAAGGTCGTTAGGCCCTTGACCAATCGTTCCGCACGGCGATGATAGTGGACGACCCGAGTGTTTTCGAGGTGCAGGGCAATGGCATCCGATATCTCCTGTAAGACGTTGACATCGGCATCACCAAATGCTTCGCGCGGCTTATCATCCACGACACAAAAGGAGCCGAGGACGTATCCAGAGGGACTGTATAAAGGAACTTCCGCATAGAATCGCATATGAGGCCATTCACAAACATACGGTCGGTCTTTGAAACAGTCTTCCTTTGTGAAATCGCGAATGATGTAGCGAGTCCGATTCGCAGTGACGTTGGCAGTGTCGATAACGCGTGAGAGATCCTGGCCAGTGAACAGGCCAATGGTGTGCGGACAGACCCCCCATATTAAATCCAATGTTCGAGCTCCCAAGTAGATTCCATCGCCAGGTAGATGCTGATCTACATTCCGGATGGAGATGGAAGTAGTCGCTTCGGCTATTATATGCTGATTATCGTCATCAATGATGGATACGAAAGAGCGATTGCATCCCAAACGATGTACGCCGAGTTGGGCCAAAGCCGTCAAGGTGATATCCGGCGATAAAATGGCGGCCGTTGGCTGTTCATCTCCTTTCGAGGCATCTTTCTCAGACAGGGACTCTTTTTCCGGATCGTCGGGCGATATAGAATCTGTAGCTGGACGATCTAAGGTACAATAATACCTGTTTTGGCAGTGGTCAGCACGATCGGCGGGAGGGGTATCCGCGTTGGTACATAGCAGAAGTCTCGTACCTGGATAGCTCCTGGATCCTCTTACGCTCAGCATCACACGAGGGCGGAGGAAAGGCGAGAGAGCCTGTTCGATTCATTATATTGACTTTCAAGCATTTCCTGTCGAATTTTGAAGGTAGATGTAACTGATGAAAATGGAGATTTTCCCCAGAAAACAGGCCTCAAGCGAGCTTGCGCTAGTAGGAAACCTGTTTTTACCCCCACTGGCTGTTCGCCATTGGAGAGAATTCAATCCTCGGTAACAGCTGCCCATCGGCTGTCATGTTCAGTTCTATCGTGGTCCAGCCTTTTTTCTGTTCCAACGGTGAAGCGAGATAGAGCATTCTAGAAGTGGTTTAGGTGCTCATGTGGCTTATATCGTACCCGCTTTTGCCCGAATTCTAATTGGGAGCAAAGCCGAGAGATGGTTGAGATGCAAAGTGGAGAAGAGGAATTTTGTGAATTTTGTGAATTTTGTTATTTTTGTCGACTTGGTGTTTCATATTCGAGGGCAGAATATACAGCCGGTGACATACTGTAATGTTCCTACGACACGATCTACATAGATCAGGTACTAGTTACTAGTACTACCTAGGTAGTACATAGTAGGACTGATATAATACTTGATGATCTACCTATGAACTCAAATTTATTCAGTTCCCCCCTGTTTACATGTACTATTTTAACTCTGTTATGCCTAGTTGGCTGCACATACGAGACGCCATCAGCTGATTAGGACGGAATAGTTCGGAATGCCTTTTTTTTTGATATTGAACTATTTCAAATATTTCAATTTAGACTTATCGATTTTCATCGCTGTATCCTGTATCTATATCGGATCTGTCATATCTATATCTACTATACCTTCAACATCATTCGTGGATGGCGTGCTTGGACCCGGAGATGACTCCACCATTAAAATGTGTAACTAACTAAGCCTCGGTCCTAAAGAACACTTCTTGATAATGCGGGGAAGCTTCTCGGTCAAAGTTCCTCCTTCTACGCTTCATGCCAATGGAGACTGAATCAAGAATTCGAAATCGCATTCCCAAGTCGTGTCGGCGATGTCACCGCCGCAAACAAAAATGTGCGGGCTTTCCGACCTGCTCCAATTGCCAATCCGCCGGTCAACATTGCTCACGCAGTGAAAGCTCCCCATCCTGGCATCATGCTATGTCCAAGGGCGCACTTGTACGTCGTATCGAATCACTCGAGGCACAACTTGCCGCCGTCTCGAAAGGGAAACCCTCTATCGCCCAAAGGGAGGGCGAGCAGCTTGACGCGACAGCCACGCAGTCACATGGCCAGAATACGAAGAGAAACCACCACTTGCATGGTGTTGTCCGATTTTTGACTCTTGGTCATGACTCCAATGAAGAACAGTCGTATCTTGGACCATCATCAGGGGTATCTCTGGTTGAGAATGTCAAGAAAATGCTTCATTACGCCGAAGAGGGGAAATTACTTCCTGTAACTCCCGGTAATCGGCCACAGCAGCCATTCATGCCAGATACTAGTGACGAAACAATGGCACCTCCACCAGATGATGAAACTGGGGCTCAGATCATCGATGCTTATTTCAAAAATACACATTCCCGTCTTCCATTTTTAAATGATAGTGAGATCCTCGAATTGCATGCAAAAAGGTACCAGCCAATTGGAACAAGCCCGGAAGGACAGTTTGGTCGATTCAAACTCTACATGGTCTATGCGGTCGGGTCGGAAGTAGTTCAAATGTCGGGAACATACGAATCGACCCCTCCAAGGGCATTCCTTACGACAGCGTTGCGTTTCGATCCAACCTTTCGGGAATCGATGTCTATCGCCAGCATCGAAGCGATGATGCTTCTGGTAGTACACACTCTAGTTTCCACGTCAAATTCCAGTGTCTGGTACATGATTGGGTTGGCAATGAGAACCTGCATCGATTTTGGATTGCACAGGGAATCAAGATATCAGAATTGTAACCCGAAGGAGGCTGAGTCGCATCGCCGACTGTTCTGGTGTGTTTACATCGTTGAGCGCCACACTGCCTGGGCTCTCGGTCGGCCATTTAGTATTCCCGAAGAGGAAATTGATGTCGAACCTCCATCTAATATATATGTCTCTATGGATACTGATCAAATGCTTGAGATGACTGACCAGACTCAACCCAATTTACAACCTCATTCTCCAAAGCCAAAACTTGGCAGATTTATCGCAACCATCCGGCTGCAAAGAATAGTCTCCGACATACACACGCGCATTTTTCGCATTGATCGGCCCGCCATAAGCCTATTACCAGAGATCACAACCCTAATGTCTACACTGCAAAGTTTCAAAGAGAATCTGCCCCCTCTCGACCTTGCCGAAAATGATTTTATCCAAATGCACTGGAATAATGCTATCCGGGTTGTACTCCAACCTTTCCTAGGCCTCCTTCATCCGGAAGACAAACTTATCAGTACCAGTCTGAACGCATCTGGACAAATGTGTCAACTTTTCAAGAGAATTCGTCAAAGGGACTCAACCATTCACTCTTTCCTCCTTGTCAACTCAATTTTCGCTGCAGGTTTGACCATGTGGTAGGTAACCCAGAACCGAATGAAATCAAAGCATGGCACTCATGATATCCAAGTTTTTGTCTCTTTAGATGTCCTAGTCTCTGGTCTCCAACCGTATCCAATGATATCCGCGCATGTTCCTTTTCACTATCTGTCATGTCAGAAAAGAACACCAAGCTGAAAAGGTATCGCGACGGGCTTGAAAACGTGATCAATTGTACCATGGATTTCGTCGAGAATGCATATGAAACGAGTAAAATCAACAATAGTATTGGTATGCAATCTCAATTGCACATGCGAAACAATGAACCTGTACGCACGTCTTCAACTTCACATTCGATGCCGAATATACAACAACCCATGCAACCTTTGCAAGAAACCGAGGCCCAGCAACTCGAAGCAGACTCGCATCACTTTCAAAATACCAATATATTTTTAGACATGCCGGGATTCTCTCCCGATTTGCAGTATCTATTTACTGCCGATCATGTGCATGCGTTGGATGCGTTCAATAGCATTTTCGCGGATGATTTCTGGGGAATTGACAGTATGAATGTACCATTTCAATAGAGTCCATCGTGAGTCTGGGCTAATGACCCATTCTAAAAAATCAACAAATCAAACTTCTATGTATTCCATCTACCAAAGATGAAGCAGACTTCTACACATTAAATAATTCGGATCACAAGAATACATGTCAGGTTGTTTATGTTATTCAAGCTGTAGCATAAAGTCATAATAACTAATATTCCATGGTTGGGACTTTCAGACGCGATGGGCAGGAGCCAAATCATCCAGAATGCCCAAATCCTCGCGCCTCGACTTGCTGGACGGGTCAAAGTAAGGGATCTCCCCAACACCTACAGCTCGATTACCACTCCGTGGTCCAAACCCTTCATGATCCGCAGTCGCAGTATGGAAGACACTTCTGTTGTCCCAAATAGCTAGAATAGATGTTAGTTAGTCAACTTCTCTTCAAATGGAAACATACTCGAAAGCCAGGGACCGTACCGATATCATTCGGGCTATTCCACTTAAATCGAACTTGAAGATCATGGCCATAGGTAATAAGATCGTGAAACCATTGTAGCATTGCCGCGCTCTCTTTGCGATTTAATCCGATGATTTCAGTTGGAAAAGATCCTTTTATGTCAATTAGCAAAGTACGAATCTCACGATGAGTAAGGCCAGCTTACCAGCTGCGAAAATAGACTTCCAACCAGTGATTGGGTTAGTTCGAACGACCTAGATCATGTTAGCCGAAGCGACAAAATGCAATAAATTCCAAACATACAGGATGTTCTGCACAAAGTGTCGGCCCAATGTTAACCGAAGATCCTCTTTCCTTCTCATAAAGTTGAAATTTCCCCGTTTCAGCCATCCGTCTAAATCCAACACCATCATGCTTTGCAGTCAAAGTTTCCAAAAACTTCTGATAAGACTCACTAATACGATCATAGATCTCATACCCCGAAGCCCAAAGTGTATCACCCCCAGTCTTTGGTAATTGCACCAAGCGCAGAGAGGAGAAATCAGCAGGCGCTTTCTCAAACCCGATATCACTGTGCCAAACAGCCGCCTGCTGTGTATAGGGCGTGTCCTTGTAGAGTTTCTTCCGGCCCTCGGAGTTGATAGTGCTAATTGAAGGATCTGAGTCACCGAATTCACGAGCATCGTTCGTCACTGGGTGAATGTGTAGGCCGTGATCGGAAGGACGACCGGTCAGCTCACCCATGCGCAGGATGAGCTCTTTCTGTAGGTCGTTGGTAAGGTTGTCTTGGGCTCGGAAGAAAACCACTCCGCGTTCGGCAACTGAGAAGGCAACGGAGAATCAGCGTCTGTCTTGTACACTTTCAAAGGGTTCAGATCATACTCATGATGGCAAGATCACGAATGCGGGCTTCAGCATCGGGACCATGTAGAATATCATCAACGATATTACAGGTATCCTTTGTGAACTCATTTCCAATCACTGGAGTCACCATAACAGGCTCGAACTGGTCGAGTGACCCCGATGAATGCTGGCGGGCTGGCGGATGCATTTTGAATGTATTCATGAACGCTGAGATCGGTTTGGAGATTTGCAAGGATTGAGAACAAGTTTGGGATCTTAAGATGATTTCAAAATATGTTTTTCATTTCGTGAGACGTAATTTCTATATATATTTGCGTGACTACATAAAAAGGCCAAAAGCCGTTTCATCGGACGTGAAGCTCATCGGCTTTCGGCGTTAAGAGTGATCGGCCACCACGCCCGCTTTCGATACATTGTAGGAAAGCGAATAGAAGCTCGCTCGCTTCCAATATGGGATAAAAAAGCGTTAGCATTTGATTTTTTATTCCGATCGTTCATGGTCAAATCATGTGAATGATGGTTGTGAGCTTATAAAGGTCAAGTTGAGTAATCTAAAAGATGGGAGATGAGGAGTACAACCAGAAAATTCAATATCAATCAACACACCAATTTGTGAATGGAGCAACATAACGCCATCAGCCATGCATATCAACACATATCATAAGATTTTTCAACTCAAAAGGGCCGGTCCAATTAAAAAGAGTATTCATGAAACATTCCAGAAGCTGGAATGGTTATCGGCGATAGGAGCGTCCCTAGGTAAAAGGTCCATAGTGCTTAACGCCGATATGCCGATATACAATTACCAACTCCGCAGGCGAAGGTTTCAGCTCATCCAATTGCAATAAAGGCATTTAGGGTCAAAGTTTCCAGGCTCAATTCCTGGTCTATTACCCCACAAAATCTGTGGCAATCGTCGGCACGCACCTGCCTGGCCTTGGAACGGCTTGAAAGGTGTAATTGCAACATATTTGGCGCATCTTTCACCACACGGTGCTGCATGAAGTAATGAAATATTCTTATATCTGTCTATGCCTATCTGCTTTTCTGATGAATTCAGCTTAGTGAAAATATATTACCTTTTCATTTTCAATTCCTCCTTCAAGATGACACATACAGATAATGAGAAAGTGAACTCAAACGCCCTTGTGGAAGCAGTCGAGACTCAGAAGTCCACACCTCATAACATCGACGATGACCCAGTGTACTCTTATAAAGAACAACGAAAGATTATTCGCCGCGTGGACTTCCGTTTGATATTAATGCTGGGGTTTCTTCATTGTGTTTGTCTCATCGATCGTGGTAATCTAGGAGGAGCTGCTGTGACAGGCATGATAGAGGAGCTGCATCTGGTTGGCAATCAATATGTAAGGCTTTCAAATATCCACGGGCAAATCTCAATCCCCGAGGCAACTATTGACAAAGTGACAGAATGAGATCGCCGTGTCCTTCTTTCCACCATATATTTGCTTGCAAATATTTGGCCCTATATTAGTGCGCAAGATCGGCCCGATCAACTATCTATCTGGCGTTTGCTTCATTTGGGGAGCGGTAATGGTAGCTTTCAAGAAATCTGATTCCCAAAACCCCTGAATCTTTAAACTGACCATTGTGCAGCTGTCGGCTGGATTTGTCAATAAATGGGAGCAAATGGTTGGGATACGAGTTATTATCGGCGGCCTAGAGGCAGGCTTCTTCCCAGCCAGTGTATACTTGATCTCTACTTGGTATACACGTTATGACATTCAACAGCGGTATGCAATCTTTTACCTGTTGGGCTGTGTGGCCGCCGCATTCACGGGTATTCTCTCATACGGTCTCACATTCATGGTATGTCGCTATATTTGATTTTGCGGTAGAAATCTATATTACTAACTGCATCCAGAATGGCCTCGGTGGCCTAACAGCCTGGCGTTGGATCTTCGTGATCCAAGGACTTCTTACCTCTGTCATCGCCGTAATTGGTTGGTTCGTGCTCATCGACTTTCCCGACAGAATGAAGACAAGCAAGCGCAATTTCCTATCAGATAGCGAATATGACTTCATAATGCGAAGGATTGAAAAAGATCGAGCAGATGTTATCCTCGAGCCCTTCAGCTTAAAAAAGTACCTTGGGGCAGGTCTTGACATCAATATCTGGGCGTTTGGATTTATTTACTTTTCGTCAACAACGACCGCCTATGCTATTTCGTTTTTCCTGCCGACCATATATGAAGGAATGGGATTCTCTAGGGGTGCCTCGCTATGTCTTTATGCTCCCCCTTATGCTGCAGCTGGGATTCTCATGGTTGTTACCTCCCGCATTGGAGACAAGTATCATATCAGAGGCCCTATTATTATTTTCAACGCCCTCGTCACGATTACTGGTCTTCCTCTTTTGGTGAGTTTGGGATGATTCAAATACAAACGTGATTCTGACTATTCTCAGGGCTTCACGAAAGGAATTGCACCTCGTATGGTCGGGGCCTTCCTTACCACTATGGGCTGCAATGCAAATATTCCAGCAAGTATGGCATATCAGGTCAGTAAACAACCGGGCAAAAAGTGATATGACGGAACTAACGTGCTTTTGAAACATAGGCCAACAATATCCGCGGTCAATGGAAACGAGCCTTTGCTAGTGCAGTATTTGTAGGACTGGGTGCTTCGGGCGGCATGACAGGGTCGCTGGTCTTCAGGACTCAAGATGCGCCAAATTACCATCCTGGGGTTCTAACTAGCCTCGGGCTTTCGGTGCTGGCTATTGTGTTGGTTCTTCTTCTTTCTCTGCGTTTCTATATTTTAAATAAGAAGGTAGCTCGCGGCGAACTGGTGATTGGGAACTTGCCTGGCTTCAAGTATACATATTGAGTCCTCGTCAGAGGAAATAACTTCTAAACCAAAGCCGATATTCAGAATTTGCAATTTTTCTCTCCCGTATATATCAGTAAATTTAGAATAAATCACGTATTTTGAACCTTTGCTTTGAAGAGAATGGCTAGGATGGCGAATTGCTATACCCATATAGTAAAGCGTTAAGCGTCCCGCGGGGGACAGCGCAACCACAGCGGAACCATACCCCGCTCATCGGGAATCGGCGATAGGGGTCTCACTATAAATCACACTTTCGCAGCAGTTGATTGGAGAAGAATCAAAGGATTTCTTGAAACGAATTCGACCCACGTGACAATACCTGGCAAAGGATTAATCCTTAGGTTATTTTGACTCTCAGTCTTGGCTAATTACAGCAAATCACTCCGACATGTCAGGCCAAAAATTTGAGCCGTCATTCGCCGACAAGACTGACTTCGTCAATGCCAATCGAGGCTTGATTGATTCTCTCAAGCCATGCATCATTAAAGCAGCCGATGGTCGGGTTGTATGGAATAATGATGAGTACGACTTTCTCAAGGCCGAATGTCCCGACACGGCGAACCCAAAGCTATGGAGGCAGAGCCAATTGACCTCCATCCAGGGATTATTCGAAGTCACGCCGGGGATATATCAAGTACGTGGATTTGATCTTTCCAACATGACTATCGTGGAAGGTGAAGAGGGGGTGATTGTCATTGACCCTCTCACTGCGGTGGAAAGTGCTGCTGCGGCCCTGGCGCTATATCGAAAGAATAGAGGAAACCGGAAGGTGACGGGTATAATATACTCACATTCCCACATTGACCATTACGGGGGGGCAAAGGGAATTTTACCAGATGGAACGGAGGAAGTAACTCCTGTGATCGCACCAGAGGGATTCATGGACGAAGCAACGAGTGAAAATCTTTATGCTGGAGGGGCAATGTCTCGAAGAGCTGCCCACATGTATGGAACACGTCTACCCAAAGCTGCAGACGGCCAAATTGGCTGTGGTATTGGCATGGGCGTTTCAGGTGGTATTCGATCATTGATTCCACCAAATGTTACAATCTCTGAAACAGGTGACGAACGTTTTATTGATGGAGTGCATATGATCTTTCAGATGGTTCCTGAGGCTGAAGCACCATCAGAGATGAACTTTTACTTTCCACAGCACCAAGCTCTCTATATTGCAGAATGCGCAACCCACAATCTTCACAATATAATTACTCTCCGTGGAGCACAAGTGCGCGATGCAAAGGCATGGTCAGGATACTTGGACGAGTCGCTTGTTCTTTTCGGGCACCAATCGGATGTTTTGCTGGCTGGTCATAACTGGCCTACCTGGGATCAAAAGAAAATCATTGATATGATATCCGAGCAACGGGATCTATACGCCTATCTCCATGATCAAACTATGCGTATGATGAACCGCGGCATGACGGGCATCGAAATCGCAGAGGAAATTACTCTTCCTCCATCATTGCAAAAGTTATGGCATACTCAAGGCTTCTATGGGTCCGTGAGCCACAATGTGAAAGGAATCTATCAGCGATATATGGGCTGGTTCGATGGAAACGCTGCACATCTATGGGAATATCCACCCAAAGAAAATGCTAAACGATACGTTGCTTGTATGGGCGGGATTGACGAGGTCATTCGTAAAGCTGGAGAATTCGAGGCAGAAGGTGATCTGCGATTTGCTACGACTTTACTGGGCCACGCAGTGTCTTTGGACCCATCGCATAAGCAAGCTAAGGCGTCGCTTGCATCGGTGTTTAGAAAATTGGGATATGGCGCCGAAAATTCCACTTGGCGGAATTTCTATTTGTCAGAAGCGAGTGCTCTTTTGGCCACAAAAAAGCCCCACGTCGGCCGACCGTTGGCGAATCAACTGAAGCCAATGCAGAGTATTGACCAATGGCTCACTTTGCTTTCCATCAGTCTCGATGGCCTCAAAGCTGGTGATGAATGTTTTGCGATCAAATTCTATGTCAAAGACAGTCGCCAGTGGTGGAGAATTAACCTGAGCAATGGCTCTCTTACGTATCGAAATGCCACGAGCAAAGACGAGCTTCAAGAGGAGTCAAATTTGACTCTAGAACTGAACACGAATGAGCTTCTAGATGCTTTGACGGGCGGAGATCAACAAGATAAAGTGCACGCAGGTGATTGGAGTTTGATTCCAAAGTTATTGTCGTTGATAGAGACCTAGAGTAGAATATTGTCGATACCCGGGGAAGCACGCAACAAATGACTATACTTTCAATTACTCCGGTTCTAATAATACATAGAACCCTCTCACAAATTGAAATAAATTGTCCAATGATGTTTTTGATGTTACAACAACAAATTGTACCGTTCAGCTGGTTAGGGAATGTTGGAGCCTCGCATTACTGGGGTACGTATGCGCCCGATTAGAGTATACATTGCGATCGGGCTGAATTGCTTCCTATTTACTTATTTCAAAATCACATAATCGACGCAATTAGAAAATCCCAAATCTGCCTCGGACACTATTTGACCTGAAAGATGTCTCCGCGCACTTCCGTGATAAACTTCGTGCATATATGTGGATATGGTCTGGTGGGTAATCATCCCCCGCCACAATTTCCGGCCCCCAAAACATTCGTTCTTGCATATTTCATATTACCGCGGCGAAACAGTCACTCTCAGCTTGCTCAGCCCAGGTAGATCATTCAGCCCCATTGGCTCCCTTGGCCTACTGGGGTTAAATCCCCTCAAGACTTTGGTCTGGATTTAAACCAGGCACAACCCCTCTAAGTTGCATCTCGCAACATCATGGTCGGCGTAGGGGGTCGAAGTAAAGGCTGCAAAACTTGCCGCAGGCGCAGAGTCAAATGCGGTAAGTCCTAACTCCGAATTTAAGCTTTAATTCCTGCAGAGTATATACTGACTCTTGAATAGATGAAGGGAAACCCAAATGTGCCCGCTGCCACAAGGCAGGAAAGATTTGCGAAGGATACACGCAGTTTGTGGAGTTCCACGATGAAACAACTCGAATAGCTGGCAAAGACTTTCAAATTCAAACGTCAAACAGCCCCGGCTTTACTGGCAGTCCTCAGTCAATTACCAGCCAGCCAGGCGTCCAAACTACTTTCATCACAGAATATCCATTTTTTCCCGTCAAAGCAGATCCGGGATGGGATGAACATAGTATCTTTACAACATATTTGGTGGATAGACTATTTACATGGCAAAAGCCACAAGCTCAATATTCATCTTTTAGCTGGATGCCTGTGCTTGTGGGGCGCACTGAAAATGAAGGACTGTTAGCATACACTTCCCTCCGTGCTTTAGCGACCTCCTTTTTTGCCAAGGTCCATGGGGAACCTTCTATTATGCATAAAGGGACAGCGTTCTACTCACGAGCATTAAGAGTATTGCAGGATCAACTGCAGGATTCAGAGCTGGTCTTTGACGATGACGTTCTTCTCTCGGTCTTTTGTCTGTCCGTTTATGAATTAATCATGTTCACGGATTTGTCGGCGTGGATTAACCATCACAAAGGTCTAGCTAGACTGGTGAGTCCTCGATATTTTGTATTTATGTATAAGTGTGGATTTTGTTTTAACGCTGAACAGACTGCTCTCCGAGGGCCATATCGTCATCAAACGGGGGTGGGACACGCTCTGCTCCCAAGGCTAAGATCTACTATTGTAAGATAAGCACTATCTGGCAAATTTGACAGTGTCTAACCCATTCTAAGTCAATTGCCTGGATTATCCAACGGAAACATTGCTTTCTGGAGAACCCTGAATGGAAAACAATACCATGGGCGATAAGTGGTCTAGAATCCAGGATGCCGCTTGAAAAACTGCATGATTATCTCGTCGACTGCCCTGGAATTCTCGAAGATTTAGACCGTCTTCGAGCATGGGGTCCAAATGTACCGGGTAAAGCAGAGTTTCAAGCGAATTTCGCCATGCGTGCCCATCTACTACTCGAAGGACTGTACTCCTGGCGCTGGCGCTGGCAAGAAGATTTCCCCGATGCTACATACCTCATTTCAACCGCCACCCTCGATCCCGCTGTGGCCCTATACCTTCCTTCTTCATGTCCTTTCAAAACTCTCATTTGGTTTCACGACGATCACCGCGCCACCGAGCTGATTATTTACAACGCCGCCCAGCTGATCATAACTGCTGCCCTTGACGAAGCAGGGGTAGAGATAAAGATTCCTGCAACGCCATATTTGAGCGATCCTCTTCTACCTATGCAGGGTAGACGATACGACATCGCTGTTGAGATTTGTCGAATGGCGAGCTTTCATTTGCAAAAAGCTCGAAATAGCATGGGGGCATTTATGATCCTATTCCCGTTAAATAGTGCCCTCCGCCATCTAGACGATAGAGGAGGGGTAAAAAAATGGCTTCTCAAGCTCCTGCAAGCCATGGCCGATATGCATGGGTTTGAAGTTGGGACGCGCCGATATGTATATGTTCTTCATGCCCCAGAGGGCAGGGTGACTGAGACTCAGAGTCCACCGTCAGTGACATCGGAATAAGTGAAAGATTCAAAGTAAAGCACGTCGGTGGTGTATAAAGGTGTATACCTGATTTGTATAAAAATATTTAAATGGGCTCAGGGATGATGTCCACGGACAGATACATCTTAAGAAACACAAATCCTTCATTCTTCTAAATCGGACAAACCAAATAACGCCAAACTCAGTAGTCTCGATGCCATGAACGTATCAACCACTTAGTGCCTGCTCCACCAATGGCGTTTCTTCTCACCACCTGTATTTTGTCCACTTCCTGCATTTGTCGTTTCTCCAGCCTTGGAATCGCTGCCATCTTCCTCCAAATCATCATCAGCGAAACATTGATCCTTGGGGGCGATAACAAGCCAGCGTTGCCCATTGACCTGCTTGGCTTGGACCTTTCCTCCACCCTTCTGCTGCTTCTTCTTAATCTTATCATCTGCTTTGTGCGCTTTTTCCAATTCTTTCTGTAGCTCCTCCTGTGCAGTGCGCATGTCCTTTTGCACATCTTCCATGTCTTTCTGCAAATCCTTAGCTTTCTTTCCAGAGGCCCTCTGCATCTTTATATTGATAGCATCCATCTGTGCCTGGAGCTCTTGCACATCTTCTTCCGCCTCTTTCACATCACCTCGATCTGAAATACCATGCATCTCATTCAGTTGTTCCTTTTCCTTCTCAGCTGCAGCCTTGGCGCCCATTTTCTTCATCCAGTTGGTCTGCTCAGTAGGAGGAGCAACATTATTGAACGTAAGTGGCATAACATTGTCTCCAAGTAAATCCATACGCTTTTTGATAGCTACCTTCATATCCTGCTCCGTTGGTGGCGGTGGCAGCTGCGTTGTTGGTATGCCCACGCCATTAGCTGAAGGCGGCCCAGCAGGCATGAGACTATTGACTCCATCTCCCGCTGTTTTGGGATTGAATGGGTTTTTCTCTTTGGGTATTCCAGCGAGAGCAAGCATTTTCTCAGTCTTTAAAACTTGGGCATGCACCCCAATTGGGTTCCAAATTTCCAGGTTTGCTTTCTTAAGATAACTTCTTGTGCGGCCCTTCGATACACCGACAGTTCCGAAACCAGCAACAATATTGAGGCCACCACCTACCACTTGGGTAGTAATAGAAGGGATGAAACCGAGAATATTTCCAACTCCGTCGGCAGCCTGAAGCGCGGGGTTGGCAATGAACGCCTCGTTGAGGCCATCAAGAAACTGAAGGAACTTGGCTTCTGGTATGGGATAGGTTTCCTCCAGCTCTGGGGCGCGGACACGCACAAAGGGACTGAAAAAGGATCCACCGAATACCTTTGTCACCTCTATATTTTGAACACTTGTTAGTTTTTGGGTGTGCTATTTGGAATGTAGGAATCTTTGCTTACGAGGGATGACGCATGGTCGCTTCCCATACCGCGAGGATGGGCGAAGAATTGGATCCGCTTCAGCGGCATTGGATTCTTCCGGTACAGGAGTAGGAGCCGGGTATTGTTGGTACTGGTCATTTTGATAGCCTGTAGGATACTGTTGCGGATACTGCTGTAGAGGATATGGCTGAGGGTACTGCTGCGGGTATTGCTGTTGAATCTGAGGGTACGCCTGGGGATACGGCTCCGAGTATTGAGCCTGTGAGACCGGGGGTCGCGAACAAGGAGCCTGGGCATATTGAGGTTGTGGGTTTGGTGCCTGTGAGTACTGAGATTGTGAATACTGTGCATTCGGGTACTGTGGCTGCTGCTGTGGTTGGCTACGGCTGGTATCCTGTCGCTGTTCCTGCTGCTGCTGAGGATCTTTCTGGTATCCTTGATAGCCTTGGTACCCCTGGGGATAACCTTGCTGGTATTGTCGTTGGCCGGCATTATATGAAGCGTATTGCGAAGACGAGGGCATTGGTTGTGAAACTGCATATGATGATGCCCCTGGCTGAGCTTGGCCTTGAACGGGGGAAGGGTATGCGTATCCACCTTGAGGCATGGCTCGTTGAGTTGACCCAGATGAGTTTGCCCCGGATTGAGCATAAGGTGGAAGAGAGGATGCAACTCCAGAGTACATTGGTTGCACCATTTGATTTTTCGAGTAGTCGTATGTTGCAGCCATTGTCGCTACAAACAGAGTGCCAACCTTGGGAAAATGTTGAAGATTGATTGGCAAAGTATTCAAATATACCGTTGGTGGGAAGATAAAATTGGCTCAGTCCATAGACCCAATATCGTCATTAAATAACAACATTGCTTCGAACTTCCACTTACCCTTGGGAGAAGCATGTGTAGATAAACGTCACCCTGCATTTTAGTCGTCATTCGTTATGCATATACCCCTACCCTACAGCAGTAGCTTCGAAGGACGCACTCGTAGATTGAACCCGATCAGGCTAAGCTCAAGGCGAAAATGCTTAACCAGCGCCTTCAGTATCCACAAGGCAACGGGAAGTCTGGTTTCCGCTTAGACTTAATTGGCTTTCAGAATGGATCCCCTGCGTGCTCTTGACTGTGAAGCGCTGTTTGAAAGTTCGCCCCCACGCATCCATGTCCCGAGTGTTTCGGCCCCCATATTACGGTCCTTTCCGCTTTGTTGAACTTGTAAATGATTGCTTTATTACACTCAAAGTCAAAACTGCTGAGCAATAGGGCTGAGGGGGGGATCTTATCAAGGCCCTGGTCCAATAGAATAAGCAGACCGTATTCACTGTAGAAGAACATCGGGTGTCTTGGTTTGTATACCACGCAAACCGATATTTTTTATCCCTCAGAGGAGAGAAAAGTTGTCTTCGTTATGATACCGATTCTCTCTGTTCTCACTAACGGTCAATGCGCATGGGCCTTCTATCCTGATGCATTGGATCAGCCCTATGCATTTCTTGCTCGGGTACTTCATGTGGGGTGTACTTGCCCAGCTGGTGAGTTGTTCATCACACCATAATATCCCTGTTGATAACTGTGACCAGGTTCAATACTAACCCCACTCTCTTGTGGCGATATTTTGTGTCATTGAGATTGGTACAACCGTTACGTTCGGGTCTCATTTCCAACTCTTTCCCTTTCGAACAGACTGCTGTGCCCCCTTCACATTCTTCATATCTACATCAATTGATGCAATGGGTAATATTTGGGTATTCAAATAACATATCAGATAGGCTACATAATAAAGAGTTCTCGAGCTAAAGGTGGTTGCACCTTATTTTTTTTGGCAAAAAATCAAGCTCCATGGCTAAGCAATCCTTTACTGTTACTCTCTAGTCTCCTTAGACCGCTGCGGTTAGTTATGATTGTGGAATAGATAGTAGAATAGGCATTAATAATGATTTTTAGTAGCATATGCGGTAAGAATAAATGGAAATATGTCAAGGCTTCATTGATCGAAGTATTCTGTCGATCTTTGTAAAAATAGAATAGTTCTTGGTTGGTTTCATACAGTAGTCTGACCAGACAGTGAGAAAATGACATTTCAGTAACAAGCTAGGTATAATAAGAAGTATAATGAGATATAATTTTCAGGTCCCCAATTAGCAGCATATAACAGTATACAACCTTCCTAAAAGGTTCTTTACTGTTCACAGGATTGCTAAGCCATATTCGGACCCACATATTCGAACGTAATGCTATGATAATGTATAATACATCACTGCTCGCTGAGGGTCTCACCCACTTCACACTCTACACACTACATCATTATGTCCTCCATAATCTGGCCACAACGCTTTCTCCCCGGAACAACAGACAACTTCGTCTCTAATGAAATTTACATTGTTGGCCTAAAAGCCGAGCAAGTTTGGCCTAATCTCGCCGACATCACCCGCTGGGAATCTTACTACGACAACGTCAGCCAGATCACTCCGCCCGCTTCCGGGTCGACACTCAGCAAGAATGACCGCTTCAGTTTCTCAACTTTTGGATTCCCTCCACTCCAAAGTGAGGTAATGGAATCTGTTGCTCCCACACCGACTTCCCCCGGTCGGCTGGCCTGGCGTGCATGGCAGGATGGCAATGAGGAAACCGCCATTGATGTGTACCATGCCTGGCTTATCGAGGACACGGAATGGGGTGCTGTCCGCATTCTGACGCAGGAATCTCAGGCTGGAAAGCCTGCTGCGCAGCTGGCAGTTACCAAGCCGAATCCGATGTTATTGGGTCATCAGAATTGGGTGGAAGGTCTGGCTAGGATCAGTAGGAAGTAAACCAGACAGCATCTGGGCGAGTATAGAGAAGGGCGGATCAACTATTTCCATCGTCCATTAATTGACAAATGGGCACCTTTCTGCTTTCTGTTTCTTTCCAGTGAGCAAGGGGGAATACATTCTTTTATTCATTTGTTCATTTCATATAAGCGATTTCGATGGCACATGGGCGAGCATGTGTTACAATGAGGATTTGAGCTGTATCTATATGCTAGCATGCGTTGAAAGAACTGGGAGATCAACAACCCATAATGGCATAAATATGTGCTTTTGACTTCTATTTCAGTTCCCTGATCTCAATACCAACACTGTAGATCGGCTCGTTGTTTGATACTCATTTTGAATAGTGAAGTTGAAAGTAAAAACAATATAAATTCCGAGTAACAAGAGATTTTACGATACAAGTATCAAATCTGCGCAATTCCAGATAGCCTCTTCTTACTACAAAAGAGAGAGAGAAAAACAGGAGAAAGAGGTGCATCAACCTCGGTGCTGGTATAAAGCGCCAATATGTGTGTAGAAACGACAACGAGGTCCTGCAATTTTATTGGCTTAACCCGTTATGGGCTCCAGCTGACTGAGCGCCACGCTAACCTCCAACCAACCAGATCCCGCAGCGCCCACGCGATGATGCCACCTCCCAAAACAATCAATCTTGCCCGCTGCCCAAGCATTCCCACGCTTTCTATAACGATTCAAACCTCAATACTTGTGAGTCCCTCCATACATCCTCAACACACAAACTGCCCCGCGGCCCATTACCCCTGAAAGCCTCAACAACGGCCCAAGCCCACCCCGCATATCACCCCAGACGCGCCGTTAATCAAATCACGACAATTGATGCTCTGCGCAAATTAGCGCCCACCTGCACCGGTCTATAGAACAAAGACAGCCGTCACTAACAATATCTGCTCTCAGCTTTTTAAATAAACGCACAAGTGCGTACTCCATCACAATGGCAGTCGACAGCTCCGCACCTACATCGGTATGTGGAACCATTGCGATAGCGCACTCGATCGAATGACGAGAAGCATCCCTCAACCTACCCAAAGCTTCGGGCACCCAGAAACAAACAAGCTAACGCTCGAACTACCAGCCCATCCCAGTCACCGAGCTGACCAAGATCACCTCCGATGTAAGCTGCGCCATCAACCAAACAACGCCGAAGATACGTTATAGTACCGGAATTAATCATAATTATAGGCCTGCGACAATGTCCTGAAAACCACCACCGAATATGACCACAGCGCCGTCGACAAGTGGAACTCAGAGATTATTGTAAATCCCACTCGCTCACTATTTTATTCAGTCTAGGACAAGACAGACAACTAACACCGAAGCAGAACACTGTCCTCCAAGCCCTTATCGCTGCTACCGTCCCCTCCGACACCACCAAGCCAGCTCCCTACCGCTTCACCGTGAACAGCACCATCGTGCAGCAGGGTGTGATTGACAAGTCTGCCGCGGCCGGTGGCACACAGAACAACGCCGGTAAACGTGGAATGCATTCCGCGTCCGGTGCGTTCTGGGACGTCAACCGTGACGGCATGTGGACATTCAAGTACCCCGGTGCTGAGGAGCGGGGGCTCGATATCGTGGTTAGCGTGACCTGGTTTGCGGTTGTTTGAGTCCGTCACAACTGAAATTGTTTGTTAAAATTGTTTGGTCGAGGAACAGTTCTTTTTATATCCTTAACCTTTGGGTGTTTGATCATAAAGTTTATATCGATCTTTTCTATTCATGAATGATCTGCTGTTAGTGTATCAATACTCTTACTTGTCATGGTGTATTGGAACATTGTTATGAGGAATGGTCTCCTTGTTTTTGTCTTTCGTTTTTAAGCGATGGGCGTCTTATCAGTTTTCAATATTAGACTCAGACTCAGGATATGCTGACTAGATTACAAGACTGCGGTTGGTGAATATTGCTAGTAATTAGGTAGTGTTCAGACACGGATATCTGATTAGGCCGTGTAATCAGGCTATCAAGGTATTCATTCATTCATCAATAAGTGATAGATGTATGTAGGTAGCAGTAAGAAATTACGGGAGTTCTATGACAACCCGGACTGATGCTGTGGTATCTTCAGCAGATCCCCGACAAAGAAACAAACGAGGGATCATTAAATCAAGCAAAGAGAAACATTTCGCCCAGTCCTACTTGCGCCATGCTAAGAATACCATTCCAAAGAAACGCCTTAAAGGTTCAACAAAGCATCAACGAGACAATCCGAGTCCCCTACTAGCGGGGCTCGGAGTAATCATTCAATGCCACACAAACGGAGCCTCGGTGATGACCACTGTACTGGCGAATGATGTTACCAGTGCTCAGCTCCCACAAGCGAGCATAGTGGTCACTTGAAACAGTGACAAGATACGCAGAGTCAGCTGAGAAGGCACAATCCCAGACCCAACGCTGGTGATTAGCGAGGGTAGTCTCGAGGAACAATGTGCTATTTGCGGGATCCATAGGTGGCCCATCAGGTTGCGGAGTAAAGGTTTGCTGAGGAGTCTCGGTACGAGGAGGATTATCGGAGATACGGAGTAATTCTCGATCTTTCGACGGGGTGTCAAAGATGCGCAGCAGGTCGCGCGCCTGATTCATCAATTCAGCGCCTTGTTGCGCCTGAACAGCCTCGGCGGATGGTTCACTCTGATCTTCCGTTGCTGCCTTCTTCTCTTGCTTCTCGTTCCATTCCTTAATGGCCACCTTCGCAGGTGCGTAGTCCGGGTCGAGGTTCCAGACTTTGGCGGTGTGATCAGCCGAGCAGGTTGCCAGGTGCTTAACATCAGGTGAGAGAAGGACACGGGTGAGGTAGTCCTTGTGCGCTTGGAAGGTGCAAATTGGAATAATTCGAGTCGCTTCTTCAGTTTGGACCATGCGCCAAATGTAGACATTGCCCTTTATACGAAGAATTCGTTAGTTATCTGATAGAAGTGGAATATGGGGAATGGTAAAGTATGGGCAGTACCTTTTTGTTTCCAGCACAAAGTAAAGACCCATCACTAGCCACGCTGACGCTTAGAACAGCAGTGTCATCTTCTGGGATCAATTGGTGCGTGCAGACACTTTCACCAAGATCCCAGACCCGAACCATACCGGCACGGTCACCGCTGATCAGCTCACCCTGGTTGGGGTGAATAACGACGTCATTCACTGACGCGCGATGAACATAATTTCGCTGGAGACTACCGGTTCGAGTATCCCATACTTTGACCGTTCCATCCTCTGAGCTGGTGACCATCCACTTGCCTTCACAGTGAAATGCGACTCCTGTGATATTGCCCGTGTGACCTTCAAAGGTCATTACCGGGTTGGGGTTGGTAGACTTGATATCGAAGAGCTTGACATTGTTGTGGCCGGCGGCGGCAAGGAATCGCTTGTCGGGAGTGATGCACAGGCGATTGACCTGAGAGTCGGGGTGCTGGATGGTTCGCGAGCAGATACCAGAGAGTGCTTCCCAGAAGCTGAGCAACGCATAAAATTAGTTACGAACGTTTGAGGTGCCTTTGCAGACCAGTGGAAGAGGTCAAGGGGCTTCTTTCTTACCGGATGGTATGGTCATACCCCGCTGTCGAGCGTGAACAATCATTAGCTGAGGCTCGGTAAAGAATGCGGGGAGCTCAGATTGGAGACTCACCAGTACAGAGGATGACACTCATACTGAGGCGACGAAACTTGCGCTGGAGTGCCTTTGGTGAATGGGTGACAACTGGGATAGGAGGGCGGCTCGAGTAAGTGCGTGGGCGTAATATATGGTATGAACCATCAGCAAGCCTCTCATAAATGGAAGGTACACCAGCTTGAGGCACAAGTAAATGCTTAGGCGGAGGTGGAATGGCCCACAATTCTGCCATTGGTATCACGTGTTATGGCTGGCGAATAACATGCGGGTAGGGGAAATGGTGTGGGACGGTCCAGTCTGGTGGGTCACTCAGAGTAGAATAATTGACAAGGGAACATGGCATGAAGATAAAGCTGAACAAATTGGAAAAATTGGAAACAAGAAAGGAACAGTGAGGAAGAAAATGAATAAGCAGGGCGATTCGCTTGAATGAGCTTGATCAAGAATATATATATGGAAACAGAGTGAAATAATTAAGTACGTCCCTGAAAGTTCGATTTGTTAAAACATGGCCGATTGGGGATATACTACTGTATACCCATACCGTAGTATCTATCCATAACGGCAGTATTGGCAGACAGTACTTCACCATAGTAACTTTAACATAGACCCCAGGCTCCCACTGCCTCCCAGCCCCCAGGACAAACAAAACAAACAACTTCGAGTTTGGCTTCCATTTGACCAAGAAAGACCTGCTCAAGTATGAATTTTCTTAAGCATTCAGCACGTTCATTATGGTGCCGAAGACACTTTGGGTAAACACAACAACGTTGGAAGCATGGATCTCTCATTGTATATTCGCCCTTGGGCTTACTAGTACTAGAATACCATGATATAATTAAGTAGTGACTATATAAACCTACAAACGTATGTAATTCATACATAAATAAAGATCGTGGCTCTCCTTCCATTTCTACATCTCTTCGCCTCACATCACAACCTCGGAACCACTGACGAGATCCAAAAGACCTACACCAACCATGATACGCTGTAGTAGTACTAGTAAGCCTACATATCTCGATGCAGCTCCGGAGACAGCGTGAAATTGACATTATCAAACAGGAACGCTCGAGAAGGCGTGAATCCAATCATGCCAAGGGACGCATGTCCATTTCTATGTACCACATAGTTACATATGGACAGCAATACACCACTCTTCCAAATGCATGGGGACGCGGGTTCAGTTACATGAGGGTACATAACAATCAAGACTGGTTAGATAGAGAAGGCGACATCAATATCGGGACAAGCCCCCTCAAGGCCAGAATCGAAGCGGTTGCCCGAAGGAACCATCTGCAAGACCTGAAGATTACAGGACGCCGCGTGTGGAACGATAAACTTCGGCCATTTGAGCTTGAAAAAGGCTCGCTAAGGGTCATCTTCATCTCATTCAGCAATATCGATATCTCTGACCGGGAACTCAAAGCCACTGGAGATGAAATTGATGACCTAGTCCAACGGTCAGAAAACAGGGATGACAGAATCCATCTCCACCCCTCTAGAGCCCCAAGATTCTATGCAACCGTACCCGAAGGAAGGCATTGGGATCGAGCCAAGCAGTGTTTGTCTAAGTGTCAGCCTGAAATAACCCAGTATCTCACTTATCATGTCGCCATTGGGTTGTTTAATGTGGGCATAATACAGGAGGATCAACATCCTTACCCTTGTCTGTTAATCGAGGTGACACGTGATACCTTTATGAATTGGTATGGATTCCGGCAGTGGGTTCGAAACATGTTCCGGGGATATGGGGCCACTATTGAAGTCGAGTTTTGCTGTGATTTGGCCTTCTTTCACGACCCTGATTCCGGCAAGCAGGTCGGCGTTTTCAGGCATCGATACAGCCTGCCAGATCATTCGCTTTGATATTTTAAGCAGGCCCTCTGTGGCTGGATGTTGGGAGAAATGAATGGGTTGAAAGATGGGAATGGTGTGAAAGGTGGATTTCTTTTTGTCATATTTTGAACTCAACACCCCAAGTGTTTACATCAGAAAACATCTCCATATCCAAGCTTTTGTGCCATTGAATATAGATCCTTAGAGCTGCCGATAATATTGTAGAAAATATTGTAGCCCACCACTTTCTGTCTATGTAAATTGAGCTAGCATGGTCCACGGCTCTGGGTCAGTGCGTCCAAGGTTGTGCCTGCAGATGCTTTAAGCTTAAAAATAAACTATTGGGAATTGAAATAGTTAAGAAGTATAGTAGGTATCGATATCATCATTTGATCTATGTATAAATCATGAATATCTGCATATTTTACTACAGTCGAGTGAAACATGCCGGGCACAGAACATGCATCTCGTAAATTAGAAAAAAATAATTTATCCACAAACTTGTGACCAAAGGTTACAAGTAAATAACTGACAAATCCACGCAAAATGCAGAGCCCAAAATAACAGAGCCCCAAATTATATCTAACAGAAATGAATAGATGACGCTCAATCTTCCGTAGTAACCGCATGAGGCTCGACATGCTCCTGCGCACGCTCATTCTCATGCTCATCACGGGTATTAGTCAAACTGCTTTGATGCGAACGTTTCTCATGCAGATTGATACCATCCTGCTTAAGCTTCTTCCGCGCTTTATGACCACCACAACAGGCTGCACAGCAGGAGCCAAATTGAAGAATAAAAGCAATAAGACTAAATGCCGAAGCAACCCACATAAAAGCAAACATCTGTTTACCAATATGAGACTTGATGTTCAAGCTTGGATCAGCATTTGAGAAGACATTTGCGAAAATGATAAACATGACGGTTGCCACGACGGAGCCGACGACCGTCAGGAGAGCGGTCAGGAATGTAAGGAAGAGGAACGGCAAGGAGCGCAGGAGGATGAAAGTACGGCGGCGGTGGGGCAGTTGGCCTAGCGCGGAGCTATCGGTGCCGTTGGTGCCATTAGCGTCGTGGATATTATTGTCTTTGTCCACTAGGTATTTAATTGCCTGTGGGGGTCTGGAGGAGACGGCAAAGGGGCTGAGGAAAATCATCAGGAAATTGAGGATGGTGGCCGCTAGAAAAATGCCGAACATCCATCTTGACGCTAATTTGGCGAGGTTGAGAGGCGATGTAATGTCAGAGGGGAGGGCGACTAGTTTAGGCAGCCATTAATTAGTATGATGATCGACCCGAGAAAAGGAATGTGCAGAATTGAAGAGAGGTAGACATACTACTAGCTCCGGAGAGTAGTTCATTCACAATAATTTTGACGGGGTTAAAGGCGTACAAAGTCTCCGGTTTAGAGCAGTGTGTAATGCCATCCCCGTCGTACCCCTCGCAAAAGTTCCACAGACCAACCTGGTAGAAATCGTGTAGACCAATGGATCTAGCAATAGAGTTGATGAAGACGGCATTGGGGACGGATACCGGAATGATGTTGGAAAGATCGAGGTAAAGGAAGTATGTGTTTCGTAAAACGGGTTTGTCAAAGGTGTTTCCAATTTCGACCAAGACGCAGAAGATAAATGCGATCAAGTAGAGAAAGGAGCGCAGGCCGCGATGCCAATGTACCGTGGACTGGCGTCGGCGGGCGATAGGCCGATCGGGTCGGGTACTGCGGAAGAAAGGCAGTCTGCGCCTGCCATTGACAGGGGCGTCCGTCCCATCGGCCATGATGGGCGGATTATGGGAGAGAACTTAGGGGGGGAGGAGGAGGAGGAGGTGGTGGTGGTGTGAAAGGGAGAAAAGAAAGATGTGGAGGTGGAGATAGAAGATGTTCCTGTCTCCGTCCCTCAAGTTTGGCAAATTCAAAAGGATGACGTTTGTACAAGCGAGGGGAGTTAGGTTCAACCTGGTCAACCTTGTCAACTTGGCTGTATTTTTCTTCTTGGTTTAACCATCCGATCGTGCTCCACCAAGAATAAAAACTCTCCCATGCGATCGTCAGTGGCTGAATACTAGCCGTGCCGATCATGCAGACGGAATCTCGGCGCTAGACGGACTCAAGGGGTTGATGGATCATTCTTATTGCGACCTAGCTGTGCCGGAAACGATACAATGGAGGCTAATGTATGGAAGCATAATTGACTAGTATATGGGGTTGAATGGATCAATTGGTGTAATTGAGTGGGAGTAGAGGAAGTAGAGAGGCCGCGTCAGCCTGTGTGGCATGAGGAATGAAGTTGACAATTCAATACACATGTGCAGTCCAGTAGTAGAACTCGTATTCGGATCGTTTCCTACTAAATTCAACTCCTGAGAAACCAACAGAGTAACAACCAGGGTCAATCAGGTCAATCCCGTCTGTTTGCTATCTGATATCTGATCTGCCATCTTCTGCTGTCCATTATTGGTTAATCGAATCCATTCAGTCAATAAATGGTGGGAGCCTAACGTCATCCATTGAAGTCTCCACTAAACCCTGGTTCTAGCCCTGGATCAAATCAGAGAGAGAGTTTGGGTCTTGACAGAGCAGGGATCAGGGTCGGGGTCGGCGGAGTAAATTAAGGGAAAAAAAAGGGAAAATCAATTATTGTAGCTGCCTCTACCTCTCTACCTCTATTCTTTCTCCTCCTCCCCTCCCCCTTCCTTTATGTGATCTTCAAGCTTTGCGAGTATATTCATCTAATCACTCGCATCTCTCCCATTATGCGGTGGTCACTAGCGCTCGCCCTCCTCGCAGGAGTGGTCGTCGCCGATGATTCGACCACCACTGATTCGTCCACCTCCTCATCCTCAACCACCTCCATGGACCTGTCAAATGGCACGACCATCACCGATCCGACCTCCGTCGCCATGCCCACGGGAAGCTATGAAGTCTATAGCACCACACTGACCCTCTCCGATGGTGACCGTCTGACTACTACTTACGCTGTAAACGCCTCCACAACAGCGACCGGGAATTCCACAGGTCTTCATACAACTACCAGCGATTCTGTCACTGTCTTGGTTGGAGGTGGAGGTGGTGGAACGACTACCTTAGGCAACTCCAGTATGAATGCGACCGCGACCTCGACCTCGGCCTTGCAGACGGTCACCAATACCAGCCCGTGTAACAGCTACCCCGAGTACTGTGCGCGCAAATACTCCAACATCACCATGGTCGCCGCGCACAACAGCCCGTTCGTGCGGAAAGGTAATGCAGCTGCCAACCAGGATTTCACCGTGAAATATCAATTAGATGATGGAATTCGCATGCGTAAGTACCTCCAAAATTGCACTTGATAATCATCTTCCAAAAAAAAAAAACAGAACCAACCATTGACTCCTCCAATAGTGCAATTCCAGGTTCACAACCAAACCAATGTCATGACGCTTTGCCATACCTCCTGTTCAATTCTCAACGTCGGTACCTTGGAGTCATACCTGACCACCGTGACCGAGTGGGTTCGCACCCACCCCTTGGATGTGGTCACTATCCTAATGGGCAACTACGACTACGTCTCACCAACCCTATTCGTGGACCCATTCGAGTCATCCGGTATAATGAATTACATCTACACGCCACCCAAGGTTCCCATGGCGCTCGATGACTGGCCGACTTTATCCGACATGATCTACAGTAACAAGCGGGTTGTCGTCTTCATGGATTACCAGGCCAACCAGACTGCGGTCCCCTGGCTTCAGGATGAATTCTCTCAGCTTTGGGAGACTCCTTTCTCACCTACAAATGCCAACTTCCCCTGCACACAACAGCGCCCACCAGGTATTTCTACGACACAGGCTAAGGACCGCATGTATATGGCCAACCACAACCTTAACGTCGACTTGAACCTGGGTACAATTGACCTGCTTATTCCCAACACTGCTATCCTCAATGAGACCAACGCAGTAAACGGCTCCGGTAGTTTGGGTGACATGGCACGCAGGTGCACAAGTAAGCTTCAATTTTACGCATAAATGATTGGAAAATAACTCAAACTAATTCTTCTCCAGCGAAATGGGATCGCCCCCCTAATTTCCTGCTTGTAGATTTCTACAACGATGGCAACTTCAACGGTTCCGTCTTCGAAGTCGCCGCGCAAATGAACAACGTTACTTATAACAAGCAATCCTGCTGTGGGACCGAGTCCGCAGCTGTGCACGGTATGAATGTCGCCGGCGTCTCATCTATGATCCTGGTCGTAGCGGCTATCCAGCTTGTTCTGTCAGCGTTTTGATCTGAGTACGACTTTACGATTTGTGACTTTTCAATTTCAATTGTTTGAATACTCCCGACGATGCGACTGTTTTTCGGCTCCGCGAATTCTCCCTTTCTAGCATTCGACCATTCACATCGGTATCGATATCGATAATGGTCATTGGCGCTTGGTACATGATAATTTTCTCATTTTGAAGAACCAGCATGCCACCATGTACATACAATACCTTAGACTTCCAGGACCAAATGTCATTCTTGGAAAAATTACTTCAACAACTCTTCTCATTCCTATTGACATCTACTTTTCTCTCCAAGTATTATGATCTATCTCATGCATAACAGAAACACCTCACTTCCAGTTTCTTCCCAGTACATAACATCACTTCTTCAAAAATGTCAACGCCGCAAGACAAAGAGCATCCACACCAGACCTCATAGTAGGCTGAATAACAGGCGCAAAAAGCGCCGAATGATTCCCAGCAATCTCCTCCCCAGAACCCTCATCCCCATGCACCCTATCCCAAAGACCCTGGTCGATACCCCCCAAAAACCAAAACCCACACGGAATCCCTCTACAAAGCCCCAATGTTGAAAAGTCTTCACTAACATTACTCCTAGGAGTGTCAGGATCAAAATCCTCAAAATGCCCCCCAAACGCCTCCCTCAACAGCCCAGTAGCATTGATATCATTATCCGTAGGGGGAAAACGTCTCGTAGGCAAAAAGACCGGCGGCCTAGGACTCCCACTAGCCACACACTCCGCCTCAACAATGCGTCTAATAGACGAAATAATCTTCTCCCTCGTTTCAAGCTTAACAGTTCGAAAATCCAAACCGATCTCCGCCCGATCAGAAATAACATTCTCAGTCTGTCCAACCTGTAAACTTCCAACTGTCACAACGCCCAGATCAGAAGGATCAATCTCCCGACTAACTATACCCTGTAATCTCACCACGATATGCGCAGCTAATAAAGCAGGATCAACAGTTTGATGCGGTAATGAACCATGTCCTCCCCTTCCAAAAACAGTAACTTTCATACTATCCGCCGCAGCCATAATAGTCCCACTTCGTAACCCAATACTCCCACCTCTAAGACGCATAACATGTTGACCGAAACAATAATCCGGTACAGGGACCTTATCGTAAAGTCCATCATCAACCATTGCCTGTGCGCCTCCTCCTCGCTCCTCATTCGGTTGAAAGAGAACTATCAAAGTTCCAGACCAGATCTCTGTGTTCTTAGCCAGAATCTCAGCCGCAGCAAGAAGACATGTAATATGCATATCGTGACCGCAAGCGTGCATAACGGGTTTCTCATTTCCATCTGCGTCGGGCATCATCACGCTGCTGGCGTAGGGTAATCCAGTAATTTCTTTCACGGGGAGGGCATCCATATCCGCGCGTAAGAGGATTGTTTTTCCTGGTCCATTCTTGAGAATACCCACTAGACCGTAGCCGCCGATGTTTGTGTGGATATCATATTTGTTCCATTGGGATAGATGGGAAGCTATTTTTTTGGATGTTGCTTTTTCTTGTAGCGAGAGCTCGGGGTGAGCGTGGAAATATTTGTACAGATCTTCGTAAGGGGTCAAGTCTAGGGTGGTTGCGCCTTTGAGGATATCGGATATGGTGGTATTTGCTGCCATTGTATTATGAGGTTTGTTGTTTTGATTTGCTATCACCGGCTTGATGCTTGTTTCATTCAGGTTCAAGTTTTTAATAGCTTTGGATGTTTTATGTGAGGTTTAAGTTCCCCGCGGGGTGAGTCAGCCGGATGCAGCTTTGTTAACGTTCTTCGGGAAAAGACCCCGCTTGATAGTGGATGCAATTCAGTTGTATCTTCTCGGGTTCCACTTTCTAGGTGAGACTTGTGCAAACTGGAGCTTAGTCGGTCGAACATTTGTATAGAGTAGGAGAGTTTGTATAAGTTTTATAGGGCTCTGTCCTGATAGTATGCATGTGAGGTCACTTTGGGATCGATATGTCTATCTAATTCTCAAGCTAACTTTGGAAGATACCCCCTGCGCAATATTTGATTTACACTCGATTGAAGTTTCAAGTTTCGACCGTTATCAATATACTAATCAATCTATAACCAGCATCTACATTAAACTAACCCCGATAGGAATTCCGATCAGGGCACAATCACGGTACATGTAGAACTAGAACCATGGAGTCAGTCTAGACCTCCACTGGCTCCACCACCCAAGCCATAAACCAAACTTACCTTGTTTTCCCTTTCGTCATCCTGCACCTCAACAAGAAAACCTCCTGAAGCTTACTGCCCACTGATAAATCACACATGTACATAAACTTGGCAGTTGTTTGGTTCTCCACTCGCCTTGGAAACAAGGTAAATCGAGCTAACGTGGCGCTCGTGGGACTTGATTCCGTGGCCGGCGATCTTGGCCTAAATATGGGTCACGCGAAAGTGCTCAGGCCTGAGTTCATAAAGCCCGTAATATTCGGATCATTGCATCCGATGTTTTGCTCGCATGTCCCAGCCAGAATTGCAATTCTAGTGCGGAGTACAAAATGACATGGAATTTTCTCCCAAAGCCCCCAGACTCATCATCAAACATACTGTACGCTCGCATTGCCAGCTGTTTACAAAACAGATTTCCGAATTCAAATTCATTTTACATACAACTGAGGACCTTGGAGACGAGGTACATACAGTACACAGTTGTCTTTTCTTTCCTTCTTTCATTACTACAACTCGAAATTATGGCCATGTCACTAGGAACGAGAGAAATCCAGGCAACAACAGAATTTCCGAACTTGAATCCATTATGGCTTGATCCCACCCTGACTTTACACAATGCCACTGCGACTGCGACTGCGATTGCGATTGCGAATTCAAGTTCCTCCCACGCTCAACCCTCACAACCACCAAAAGCACAGCCCCGTCGCCGAGCAAGGACCAACACCTCAAAAGAGAAAATAAGCCCGGAGAAATCGCGACATCTCGAACGAAACCGAATTGCAGCAAAGAAGTGTCGCGAAAAAAGAAAAAATGCCCAAGAAAATATGGAATATACCCTTGAAACAGAAACAGCAAGAAACCAAGCGCTGGTAGCGGAAGTTTCCGCCCTAAAAGAGGAAGTATGGCATCTCAAGAACCAAGTACTGGATCATGCGCGATGCGATGATCACCGAGACCCCGTCCCAGTCCCCATCAGTACCAATACCCTCGGCAACCCTTTAAATCCGCTAAAGTGCCCATCTCCTTCCTTTTCAGTTAGTACGTGGTCGGACGAGTCGATTGTGGATCCGGGGACGGCATCAAAGGCGTCAATGGATGAAAAGTTCACTAGGGAGTTTTATGGAGATGGATTACTTGACAGCTTTGTTGATGTACCTAATATATGACGCAAGTTGAATCTATTCCAAATATTTTACAGAGATGGATCGGATTTTTCGTATGAGGTATACCTGTCAGCCTCAATTCTTACAGGGTTCTATATATTCTCGGTATAGGGGGCAAACAAATCGTGCGTCATATACGAATATTCAATCTGTAGTCGATCAATGTGGGTGCTTTTAGTCTTGTTTCTTTCAAAGCCCGATGTCGATCATTGATCTTTTAGACACCTATTATACATGCTGGTAAAAAGTTCCGACCAATGAAATGGTTATACGGTGCGTAAGTGTTACCTATATCCTGGGACCAGAATGAGAACTTGAAACCCACACTTGCACTAGACACCCATCACCCTGGAATAATATGCACGTAGTAAAATTATTGGCTACCTCTTGTAAGAGGGTCTGTCCACATCATGAGATTCCTGTTAGGCATAGCATTTGCGCCGTCAATACATTGAGCTAGGGAACTCCTTACCCCACAGTATGTATAGCTTGTTCCAAATTTACTATGACAGGCTATGATCAACTAGATTAACTGGTACATACTCCGAGTCCGTAGGCTAATACCAGCCACGGGATACATCATGGATGACAACATTGAACTTGAACCTGAGCATGATTGAACGATCTATTTATCACCAGAGACCTTGACATCATAAAGCAATTTTTCATGTTCCCCATCCACAAATCCAAGAACTTTCTCCACTGCATTTTCACTAAAAAGCACACCTTCACTCTCCGCACTCCGACGAATCAAATCTCTACCTCGCCCAAACATTTCCTTTTCATACAAAAACAAGGCCTCTTCCAATCTCTCTTTCCCCGCACTTACAATATCCGAATTCTTACCACAAACCTCCTTAAGACGCTCAGACAGCATCAAAGCATCATACATAGCGCAATTCACTCCCTCGCCAACAAAAGGCGTCGAAAGATGCGCCGCATCACCAAGTAGTGTCACGCCCGGAGCTAAATGACGTTCCCAACCAATTTCCTCTGGTCTGAAATAATGCAAGCTCCAAGCACGGAAGGGACCTTCCGCATTTAAAGCGAGAGTCTTGAAGCTTGGTGCCCAGTTTGCGTAGAATTTATCAGAAGATAGCATCAATTGTCGGACCGCCTCGGACTTCTCTGCGGCACTACCATGGTGATGTTGATAGAAATTCTCTGGAACGATAATACCAAAGTACATTCTGTACGTGCCATCGGCCATTTGCTGTAATGCTAAACTCTTGTTTGGCCCCATCGCCATCATCATTCCTGGCCCAGCCAATTTGTGGGCTTCTTTGTAGCTCGCGTTGCTATGCGAGATTTTGCCTTCAATGTACATTTTCCCCGAGTACACCGGTTGAGCGCTAGAGACCTTTCCATTAAAGCAGAGGTTAGGATCGGATTTTCTGTCAATTCTGGGGTTTTAACTTACCAACGGACGAACTTTGCTCCAACCCCCATCAGCGCCAACAATAAGTTCAAACCCAGTAGCAGAACTACCATTTTTAAAATAAAGAGTATAGCCATTACCCCCATTTCCCGAACCGTCCTTCTCCCGCTCAATAGATTGCAAGCCTTGTCCCCACTGAACCTTGTGTGCGGGAATCGAATCGAGCAAAAGTTGTCGCAGCTGCAACCGATCAATCTCCGGTGCATCGCGACCCTCACCAAAGCGCCCGACCGTTTCTCCAGAGGAGTTAAGAATATGGACCTTTGATGCATCCCAACGTGCGTATACAGTGTTGAACTCATCGAATAAGCCCGCCTTCTTGAGCGCTTCTTGCCCGGATGGCCCATGAAGGTCCAGAGAGCCACCTTGCTGCCATGGACCAGGGGTAGAGGACTCGTCACGCTCGTAAACTACATAGTTCTTGAGGCCATTCACCTCAAGAAGGCGTGCGAAGAGAAGACCACTCGGTCCAGCTCCGATGATTGCGATGGAAGGCTGAGGATGCATAGTGAGATGCATGAAAATAATTTTCCAGTTTGTTAAGATGAAAAATGATGCGGAGGATGTACACAACTTCGAATTAACGGTTTATATAGAAGCCCGTCTCCTAAGATTGCACTGGAAATTTGTATACTTGCTCCTCCGGCTTCGATTATTTTGATTGGTTGAAGCCGGAGGAGATCTCCGGGGCTTCTCCGGATACGACCACTCACAGCAACCTCACACTTCGTACACTTCTCTCCTTCCTTCAGGAGTCCAGAATATCGCTCATAGTCTTTTTATTTCAACTACGATGGAAGCCACCAGGTCCTCGGAAGAATATCACGGGCAGAGGCGCCCTCGATTCTCTGTAAGTACGCAATGTGGATAAGATCGGGAATTCGAGGAAACTGATCGTACCAGTGTGACCACTGTCGAACAAAAAAGCTAAAGTATTACACATTCTTTTCCATCCATCATGGGCTCTCATCTGAGCTAATCATGAAAGATGTTCGCGCGAGTTACCGAAATGCAGTGTCTGTAAAGAATGGACCAGTAGCTGCGTATATTCACGAGAAGTGGCGAAATTGAACGCAAGCAGGACTCGGAAGAGAGCCTTCGATGATGAGGATAAGGACCAAGCTGAAAAATATAAACTTCAGGGTCGCCTTGAATCCCTGGAGCATAAAGTCAATACTTTGGCCAACTCAAGAAGAGCAATTATACCCGAGCAAATGAATGCGAATGAAACAGAGAAAGCCGATTCAGAACTTTACATCGGGCCGTCGCATTCATTTTCATTTCTCAAAGAAACCCCCGTGGGCATTAATCGTCTAGCTCGATCCGGTGATGATAGTTTTGTGCAGGGTGCCATCTCGGAAATTGACAAGATGTCCTCACGCCTGGCATCGTCGGAAGCGAGAGTTCCGATAGAATATTCATCGCGATTTCATATACCATCAAAGTCCGAAGGATATTCCCTCCTTGGAAGTGAGCCAACTCCCCTCTCGTTGCTATGCTCCACATTCAATCGCTCCACTAACATTAGATGCGCGGAGCTAGAGTTTCTAAAACATGCCGAGCTTGGTAAACCATTCTTTTCTTTCCCCCTCCGAGGATATTTTGAGACAAGTTCTTTTCGAGCCTGAGAAAGTCCGCGAAAGGGCATGGATTGTGTCTTTCAACTATACCTTACTTGCTGCCATATCCGCGCCGCACGATGAGAACGAGAAAATACTCCGACATAACTCGCAATTGGCCCTGAACGATAGCCGAATCTTTCTTGAGCCATCTTTAGCTAATATACAAGCACTAGCTTTACTTGCTGTCCACGGTGAGGATTATGCTTCACCCAATACATCGTGGATGCTTTTGAGCCATGCATGTCGCCAAGCCGAAGCTTTGGGCTTGCACATTAGGAAAAGCAAGGATACGTTAGATGAATGGCAACACAAGCTTTGCTTATTTTGGTTGCTCTTTACATTGGACAAATCTTGTGCGCTGGCATTTGGCCGACCTGCATTCTTGCCGTTATCGCTTTATCAGGATGTGCCAATTCCCGATGAAGCCATCATATCCAAGTTCAGTCCTCACGACGTAAGGCTTCTCGATACCCAGTTGGAAAAGGCTCAAACTTCTTGCTTCGGCTCTCTGGTGCTAAAGAGCACAATCGCGCTCGCCCAATTGATGAGCGATGTTTTGGTCGTTCTGAGTGAGGTTAAATCGGAGAAGTTCAAGGAAGACATATGGTCAAAATTGGAAGGCTGGTTCGCAACAACACATGTGGTAAGCTCTACAATATAAGCAGTTGCCAGTGGGAAATTAAAAATCTAATTCATGAACTTAGGCATTAAAACAAGCCATGGAGTATGAGCAGGCATCTGCTGATGCCTATCAAATCCGTGAAATGAAGCTGGGAATCAATAGTGTCAATTTTCAGTACTTGCATATCCTAACTCTATTACTAAAGGGGGATCGATATTCGGCTCTTCGCCTATCCTGTGCGCGAGAAGCAATTTCCATACTTCCATCTTTGGTGTCGAACTGGGGCTCGGTATACAATGGAGTTGTTTGGTATGAGTACACCCCCATTGGCAATATTTGTGTACTTCTAACCACAAAGTTAACAGGCAACTTCTCTATTACCCATTCACACCTTTCTTCGTGATATTCGAGAATGTAGTACAACAGCCTAGTCAATATGCCGGATACGAGGACGATCTGCGCTTATTGGCGACCGCGGTAAACTACTACGCCGAGATGAAATCTCAAATGCGACTACTTTCGAGTTTATGCTCCAAACTCCAGCACACAATGTCCGTTTTCTTCCAACTGGCCCAATCCCATACTGGAAATGTGGGCGAGACAAAGTTGCCCAAAGACAAAGCACCCATATCCCAGGAAGAAGAGGCTGTTCCGCCATGGAATGATCTGATCGATATGGATTTGGGTGATCTTGATATCACTCCATATTTGAACTGGTTGCCGATTGACATGAACCATACATTTCAGATACTTGAAACAGAACTTCAAGCTCCAAAAGTCCGCCCTTCGCATAACTTTGAGGAATGTGGACCAGCATATTCTCAAAAGCCAATCTCGGACCGCACCTTTGACTGGTTCTTATGGGATGATTATTACGCCAGTCCCAACGTGGGGCTTTGATCATGTTCTAGACCGAAAATAGTTCAATTGAGTTCATGAGTTATGCACGCAGGTTTTAGAATGTACCACTAGTTTGCAGACTGGACTTTTGAGTTGCGGTAGCATCTTTCCCGTCTGCCGCCCGCGATGCCCATCAACTCAGGAATTATTTTCCAGTAAGCCCTGATTGATCGGCCATGACGCCGCAATTCAAAAAGTATCCACTATTTCAACCTCAGGCACAGGAGAGGGGTAGATGTTGAGAAGCTTCGAGTAAATCTTGACATCGCTCCCCTCCCAATACCGTTATTTTCAGGGCCAAAGCAGGTAAAATCAGCTCCACCCCAGAGCCTAACCTAAAATCAAGATACCTTCCGACCGTATCGATGGATCCAAATGCCCCGGCCCCCAAAGAAGAAATGACCAACCAAATCCCAAATTTCTCATTTCAACCAGCAGATCCCGAATGGTCACAAAATTTATCTGATCCAACAATTTATAGCGAGGAACTACCACATCCAAGCTATATACCATATCATGTCCCTGTGCCTATTAGCCAGCGTACAGTGTCGTTTTCTAGCATATCCTCTCCATCACAAACTTCTACCCATGATAAAGTGGCAATACCAAGACTAGCTCCAGCCCAAGCGGACACGAGTCGGAAAAGATCAACATGGGCTTGCCAAAACTGCCGCGAAAAGAAAATGAAGTGTAGTGGAGATCACCCTACATGTAAACAATGCCGGTCGGCCGATACTTCTTGTTTCTATCAGGATGCCAAAAGAGTGCGCGACCGGAAGAAGCTAGACACACTGTCTAATACAGTTGATCGATACGAGACGCTATTACGCGAGATTCAAAATATCGTGGACCAGGATACGAAGAGAAAGATCAGGAAAGCTATGGATGTTAGTAGAGCACTTCGGATTTGTTTTTGTTCTTATCGCTAACTTTTGTAGGGAATGGCAAGTGGTTCCTCAAGCGATGAGGCTATTTCGAGCGATTCATCCGTGGGGTCTTACAGAGATCTAGATTTAGTACAAGAGGACATCAGCCGAAATGACAGTTCGGTCGCGGTCGGACATTTCGGAAAAGGTTCAGAGGTATCATGGATGCAACGACTTGAGGATACCCTCAAAGCAGAGATTGGTAAGACGAACTCACATAAGCGCAGAAGAATGTCGACCAGTCGCGACAAATATGATCCTATTCAATCGGGTATCAAGGAATTCAACTATCATTTGGATGACCAAGAGGCTCCATTAGATGACTCGGTCCATCCATATGTCTTACCCCCAAGGGAAGCAGCCGATCGATATTACCATGCATACTTGACGACTTTTCATTCATCGTTCATGATCATTCGAGAACCAACTTTTACCGCTCAATACAAGTCAATGTATGACCACCTGTCAAAGCCTCCCCCTAGATGGCTAGCGGTATTGAACATGATATTCGCGCTTGGTGCTCGATATTGCCAGTCTTCCGGGGACACAGAGACATCGGAAGGAACAATCTTCATGAACCGAGCAAGAAAGCTTGCTCTGACTGGAGATATTCTTTTCCAACATGCGGATCTCCAACAAATTCAAGTAACCATTCTAGCCGCTCTATATCTGATTGAAGTGGGTCACGTCAATAGGTACGTTATTATTTGTACCCCAATTTTTCCGTACCTAACTATCGCAGAGCATCCCGAATGTCACATCTGGCATTGGAATCTGCTATAATATTAGGCTTGAATCTTCGATGGGTAGATGAAACCACCGCTCAATTCTCAAAAGAGATACGATCTCGTCTATGGTGGTCAATATTGTGCGTGGAATGTCTGATTACGGCAACTACAGGTCGAATATCTGGTACAAACGAGAGCCTCAGCGCTGTTGGTCTACCCAATCCCTTTTATGAGAGCCGAATAAGCAATCCCCAAATGGATGCAGCTCTGAAAGGGGAATCCACTCATACATCTCATTTCACACCGCCAATGTTCCAATCTGAGCAGCAGAAAAAGGAGACCATTGAACTGTTGCACACTTGCGAGCCCACTTCGTCCCTAGTCTTCCACTTCATGGTTGACTTAATGACAACAAACCAGTCTTTTCTCACCAAAGTTTACAGCATAGAAGGGTTACGCCAAACTAGTATAGAGCTAAGGCGCCGTACCCGCACTTACAGTGACTTTTTGGATGCTTGGCTTCTTAAGCTACCCGATTCATACAAATTTATTGGTCCTGGTAACGCGATTGATGATAAATATGGCCACAACCCATTTCTGCGGGAACGTGTCTGTCTAGCTATCAATTACTACAGTGCTCAGATCTCGCTTTGCCGCCCTTGCTTGTCAACAATAAAGAGACCAAGAAGCAAGTCGAAAAGCACATTTCGTCAAGAACGAATTATCAGATGTTTGAGTTCAGCATGTTCTCTCATCGGTGTTCTGCCCGAAAGGCCTGATCTTGAATGGCTCTCCTCTTATACCCCTCGGTGGAGCATTGTTCACTTTTTGATGCAAGCTGTCACCGCACTATTACTAAGTCTTGCATGCAGTCCTGATGATGAATCTAGTGCCGTGGATATTGGCAAGATCGCAACTCATATTCAGATTGCAATGCTTTGGCTCCAAGAATTTGGCTCGGTTAACCCCGCGGCTCATCGAGCCTTCTCTTTGTGTGAAAATTGTCTTCATCGCATAATGCCAGGATTGTACTTGGGGAGTCCCCAAGTCACAACTTGAACATACAATGATAGTTTTTTCGGGCGGTCTTCTCAGCATGGTATATTGAAGATTTAGTAAACTTGGAAATCAACAGTGTAAACGCAAATTTTTACATGAATCCACTGGGTCAGCCTAACAGTGTCTCATAATGTTTCCATCTACAACCTTGTAGGTTTATTGGAAAGGTATCTATCTGTAGATGTTTGCACAGGTGTCTAAAAAGACGACCAATACTGTAGAACTTCTAATTTTAGGAATTATGGAAACACAAATATGAAAGCCGATCTAACTGAATTTAAATTTAATAGTCTAAGCTAAATATAACACGGTGCTTCTATAATTCAACTGCGCCCAAGGGTTTTTGACCGTCTAGCCGAAATACACTCGTTCACCGTGGACCTGGCAACCGCGCGCATTCCCCACCTTCCCGATCTCGGTATCCCAGATTTTGACATCGGATCATCCCATCCCCATCGATTCCATATTGAAGTATATCTATACTCAACTCCAATGACAACAGAACAATCATTTTCATGCGATTTTCCAGGCTGCAGCTTGAGCTATAGACGAAAAGAGCATTTGACCCGACATTCCAAACGTCACGCTCAACCGCAGTCATTTTCATGTCCATTTTGCGACCGCAGCTTTTCCAGAAACGACACCCTCCGACAGCATGTTCGTACAAACCACCAGGGGAAAGGACTCCAGACTTCCCGAACAATAAAAGCATGCAACTACTGTCGATCGCGTAGATCCAAATGCAATGGTCAGCTTCCTTGCGAGGCGTGCTCAAGCCGAGAAATTGACTGCTCATATGCGCGAGGTTCACGTGGTAGACGCAAGAGGCAGCGAGGCGAAGACGTAGATCATCCGGTCAGCCCTTTGCTTTCTGGGGAACCAGACTATTTAAGCCCATCTCATTTTCTTCCAATGGAACTGATTCCGGATCAACCGCTGGAAACAACAAGCAGCACTCCATATACACTCGCCCCATGTATAAAGGCTTACCTCGACAATTTTCATCCACACTGGCCATTTTTACATCCGAAGACATTCAAACAAAATCATGAATCTTCATTTCTCACCCAATCTGTGGCAATGATGGGTCTGTGGACAATGCAGGACGACAAGTCACAAGAAGTAGCAAGGGAGCTACATGAGACATTATGTGCTGCAATTTATGACCAAAGAGTAAGTCGGGACTGATTGAATTCTGTGTCTATTTGAAAACAGATTTTTAAGATCAAATTTAGGAAAAATGGGATATATCAGATCAAGATGGATCAGAAACACAACTCCATGAGATCCTGTCGCCGGGGCCGACATCTTGGCCTATGGCAACCTACCAAGGAATTCTGATCCAACTCATCTTCTCAATTCTCACCAATGAGTCTAGAAATATACAAATGACTCACGATTTACCTGAGGTCCCGTCCCAACTTCTCGTGGGTCTTGTACGCACCTGCCTCAAAAGAAATCTTTTTCATTATCCCTCGATCCTGGCACATTTCAAGACGCAAACTGGCTCAGAGGAGTCCACTTGGCTTGTTATAGAGGGAGTCAAACGATTCAATCTGTCCTTGTATAAAGTGTGCCAGAATGTCTTGGTAACTGATCTTAGTTTATTGGATGATTCATTTGACTGTGAGACTCGGCGTGGTCGACGCTCACCTGGAGAACGCCTTCTTTCCCTAGCAGATTTACAATTTGCACTTCCCGGCGACGATGAGATTTGGGAGTCTTTGTCAAGTTCAGCCAGCAATGAGGGGGGTTTAAAAGGGTACAAAGACCAAAATATTGAACAATTGTGGCTTTCTCAAGCAGCCAAAATCATGCAGCCTCGAGATCAACGGTTTCAGTGGATATGAGGGTAGTTCTAGGAGCAGTATCATCCTTCTAATCTTTCAATGCAAATCCCAAAATTTTAAAAGACGCTAAACCTTCATCACGATCTGCTTCTCTCGCATAGTGTAGATCTTTCGTTATCCCAGTGGTATCCCAACTTAGAACATCCGTAGCGGATTTACCTTTCTTTTTCCTCTTGAGCCTCCCGGTGTATAGCGCACGCATTGGTATTTTATAAATCAATCCACAAAGATTGCCCAATTTCATGAATATGTAGATGTAGCTTTGAACCACTAGCACGAAACTCATTAATTCATATTGTATCTCAACGCTCTATTCCTCATTAGGCTAGTGAAAGCATACTACACAAGTGGTAGAGTCACCCTATAGTAAACCCAGCCTCGGTCCAACAAATAGTAACATAATCTTCACAAAAAGAATTCAGCGCTAACTTTCTATATTCAATACAACTAATTATACACATCAAGCTATCTACATATCATTCCATGCAGCAAAATGCCGAATATACTCCGTAATGCAATGTAGATAAGATCCATTAACACCTAAGGCCAAACATCCAATCACATGACCCCGCATCGCAACCACCAAATCCCAAATCCCACCGCAGATCCGACCTTGCTCCCCGAATCACAATTGTACTTCACAACCTCCTCAATTCACCCTCCGCCGAGGTCCTCTCATACAAACACTCCCTTAACCTCAAAAGCGGGCCATAACCCCCTCGCTACTACCCAAAATGGTCGACATCGTCCCTCTGAGCTCCTACCCCTCCTACATCGACCTTCTCCCCTCAATCCAAACCTGCAACATCACCAACCTGCCCGAGAACTACTTCCTGAAATACTACCTCTATCACGCGCTTACATGGCCCCAACTAAGCTTTGTAGCGGTTGTGCGCCCCAAAGGCGGTTACAAGGCTGGTACTAGTAAAGCTGGCGCGGGTGATTTGTCTGGAAACTACCCTAAGGTTGTGGGGTATGTGCTTGCTAAGATGGAGGAGGAGCCGACGGACGGAATGCAGCATGGACATATTACTAGTTTGAGTGTTATGCGGACGCATCGGAGGTTGGGAATTGCGGAGCGATTGATGCGCATGAGCCGTGCGTATTCTCTACTTTTTGAAGATTGACTTGATTTGAAACTGACTGGTTTTTTGAATGTAGAAAAAGCTATGGCTGAGTCGCACCGTGCGAACTATGTTTCTCTGCATGTCCGCATGTCTAACGTGGCTGCGCTGCGTCTATATCGCGATACCTTAGGCTTTGAGGTTGAGAAGGTGGAGAGCAAGTACTATGCTGATGGCGAGGATGCTTATGCTATGCACTTGAATCTGCAAAGTATGTGGATGGACTGGAAGGCCGTTGAAGCGCGGGACAAGGAAAACGAGAAGGACGACGATGCACAGGATGAGGGTGATGCCGTTGGCGATCTGGGCAAGAAGGACGACGCGAAGGACCAGGAGAAGATGGTCAAGGTCAAGGTTGGACGTGGACTTGGTGTTGGCGAGCTGGTGGAAAGGAATGAGTCTCAGCCATCGTCATAATTTGCATAATTTGCTGGTTACCGGCAGGTTTCTCTACCGGGTAGGTCTTTTTACGTGACATGGCCATATTTGGTTTGAATGCTATAGAGGATTATGAAAAAAGAATTGATGTGAGAAGCGGATAGTATGCAGGATTTCTATGCCTGCGTGTCTAATTCGAATTGTACGGATGTACATATGCCCAAAATACAATGATATAAATCCATTCCAAATGCAATTAGATCGTAACGTCGTGGTGGTAGGTCAAGCGGAGCTGCCCTTTCAAAGGTTCACTTGCAGCAATATGACAATATGTGCTCTGACAAATGTACATGATTCCAACCTTCAAGCCTCATCTTTTTCCTTTCTTCAAGCTTGACTTGTCACCCTTCGAGTCTTCGTCTTTGGAAATCGGTTCAGTGGAGCTCCGTTGGACTTGCTGCTGTTTCTTGGAACGAGGCTTCAACTTGTCTCGAAGTCTTGTCTGCGTCCCTAATTTCCCCTTGCGCTCGGGGAGCTCCCCAGGGCGATCATGCGTGCTCGCTTGAGAGGACGAAGGTGTATGCATTGAGCTGGCACTGCTAATGCTTGAACTGGTCTCAGCACGCATAGGTTTAGTTTTGAATGGAGCAATGGGCGACTGAGCAAGAGGGTCCGTTTGAGCACGAGTCGTAACGGTAGACTTAGAGGGGTTTAGAGTCAGATTCTCCGTCGATCCAATCAAGGTATCCAGGTTCTTCTTGCCGCCATCAATAGATTTCTTGTTCTTTTCTTGGCGTCTGCGATTTCGTCGTGATTTCTTGGCGTCGTGTTGTTCCTGGCGAGCTCTGCGAACCACCTCTCGGAAAGCCTTCTTGGTAGCACGTAGCTCGACTTTCAATGCCTTTTTCTCCTCAGCCTGGCGTCTCGATTCTTCTGGCGAGTCCCATCGACCCCAGTCATTTTGATCGCGTCTATTGGGGTCGCTCTGGTTATTTAGACGTCCCTGTCGCCATCCTTGACGACCAGAGGCCCGGGCTTCACGCCTGGACATTTGAAGCACATCAAGCTGGTGGCGAAGATCGGCTGCAGCATCGTATAGCGTTCGCTCATGGCAGTCATTCAAAGATTGGAGCTGGGTACGGACTTTCTCTAGGTCAGAGGCATCAAGATCGGAATTGGTAGATAGAGAGTTGAAAGAGCTGAGGGAGGATTCAGATGTTGCGGAGCTAACTGATGCACGGCGGGTGCCCTCAAAGGATGGTATCTCTTTGCTGGTATCTTGTCTTTGCTTTTGCTTTTGACTTTGATCTTGGCTTTGATGTTGTGTTGGGTTTGGACGTTGATCATTGTCTTGGGGTCGGGGCTGAGGTGGAGCTTGGGCACTGGGGCTCGGAGAAGTTGTTGTGCTTTGGGGATTAAGTCCGATTGGCGAAGTTGTTGAAGGGGGCGTAGGTGCATTGTAAAAAGCTCCATTGGTCTGGGCGGGGCCCCAGGCAGGCTGGTAAGGGTATCCAGCTGGCGGGTAAGGGTTTGGTTTCCGGCCATACCTACCTTGATCATCCATCCACCGGCCATGAGATAAAGCGTGTTCCTCAACTTGTCGACCATATTGCATAGCCTGGGCACTTATTTGATCGCCATAATGCTGGGCTTGTTCTGCGAAACGCTCGCCGTATTTCTGTGCCTGTGCCGTGAGATTCGAGATCCAGCCCATTGCGCCACCCTTGGGTGGACCGGGGCTTTGGTTTTGGGGCGGCGCATATCCCCAATTGTTCCATTGCCAAGGAGCGGTACCCGGTGGCGGAGGGGGTGAATGAAATTGACCAGGGGGCATACCATACGGCACACCATAGGGTGTAGGACCAGGTGGGATCCCGAATGGGCTGTGTTGGAAGGGCCAGCCTGCTGGTGGCTGAGTGTGGGGGCCTGGCGCAGGAGAAACAGGAGACGAGGTACTTGGGGTCCATGGATTCTGCTGTTCAGCAGGAACCGCAGGGGAACCGCTACCTTGAGTAGCTTTGGTGGCAGCTGGATAACAGCGTGGGCATAAAGCAGACGTAGGAGCTGCATCGGGCTCTCCGATATAGATGAAAACAATACGTAGAGCACGGGGCTCAAAAAAGCATTCGTTCCATTCGTCTACCACGGCCATAATACGGGCACGCCGCTGCTCGTCCGACTCTTGCGGCCGATCTTTACGATCTCGTTGTATCTCCGCTCTCAGTTGACGAGGCAAATCGTGCGACGCTGCGGCCAGACCTAGATGCGGGGGGAAAAGATACCTTAGAAAAGTATCCCAGTCCTGTTGCGGTAGCTCATCTAATCGAGATGCCCAGCAACGAGGTCTCCGAGGGAAGTCCTTCGATTGACTGCGCGGGTATATTGTGACATGGTGGTGCAAGATACTGCGACTGTCGTCTAACACGGATGGAGGCCTTTCCTCAAAATAAGCCGCCGCGGAGGTGAAATGGGTGGGTACAATAGCAGGCCTTATTGAGGGCCCGGGTTCCGCGATCCGGGAGCTCCCTGCTACCGGGGGCTCTGCAACATTTTGGCGCAAGGGTACCGACGTCTGCTGGGAGGTGCTGTTGCTGCTATTATTCGCTGGTGGGACTAACGGATCGACAGCGGCGTAAGGTGGTGGTGGGGCCTCCTCCTCATCCATTTTGAGCGGAGTATTTGCAATCACTGTAAGATAATAGGAGAATAAACAATAGGTTGGTTAGGTAGTGGGTGGAAAAGGCACCGGTAATTTGCAGCCTGTCACTGCGGACCAGCCATACCGCGATAGGATAGTAAGAAGCGCGAATGGTTGGAAGGCAGCAGGATTGTGACGACCAGCTGGATATCAATGGCCGAAGCTTGGCATAGATACTATTCTCATCTGTATCTCTGTCTTCAAATGATCGCCCACCCGTAACCCAAGTCTGGTAAGACTGTTGAGGGGTATGGAATGTGTGCCCAGGTGAAGACACCGAAAGGCCCGCGGAGTTGTTGCAAAGGCGGAGGTCTCGATAAGATAAGCACGGGACCCACGGAATTACAACAGAATGCGACAGAATATAAAGTTAACAACAACAGTGCAAGTATATGTTGGTGATGAGAGGAAATTCAGAGGCTTTATAGAGTGAGGATTGAGTAAAGCCGACACTGATAAGCGTGATTTATATGTCCAAATGGCGTGTATTGCTATCAATGGCGGGGTATCGGCAATTATATTAGGTATCCCATAGGGCTGAGTCCACTCGATCGACAACATCAAAGCACATTAATTATTCGTTAAGAAAAAAAAAAGGAAACCTTGAGAGACCCGCTCTACCTACCCGGGCGCTATGATCCGTGCCAGCTCTGTCATTACCATCTGGGCGCACGATGCATATGTACATGGACAACTCCTCCCATGTGAGAAAAAAAAAAGGAATTAAACAGTTGTAAGGCGAAAAAATATGGAGCTCTAATCCCAAGCATCTCCCCATCCGTCGTCCTCATCTTCGTCCTTGGGTTTCGTATCTATCTTCTTAATCGGGGCTGGCACGACGCGTGGCTTAACAGGGGCTCTAGTAGCCGTATTTGTCGAAGCTGACTTGGCTAGCCCCTTCGGTAAAGCGCTCTTGCCTTTAGCTTGATTCTTGGCTGCCAACCACCCTGCAAAGTCGGGCTCACCGCCATCATCATAAGGCGTGGCGGCGGCGTTAGCTGTGAAGGGATCAGGCGATGATGGCTTGGGGGAGGCCACGGCTGCAGTAAAAGGGTCTACATCTTTTTCTTCGTCCTCATTTTCGTCCATAGCATCCCAGGCATCGAAAACATCGTCCCCTTCCTCCTGTTCTGGAGGCTCATACACAGTCGGGGCGGGACGGTCGGATAGCGAACGACCTAATGGCTGGGCAATCGGGCGTAGGGTCTGCTTGGGCAGATCCAATTGTGTAGAAGGAGAGGATTTAGTGGGGCGGGGCACAGATGCAGACCGGGTAGTGTCGGGTTCAACAGGCTTAGTGGCAGCAGTAGTAGTGGTCGTAGGCTCAATTTCTCCATCGGCGGATGCGATTTTGTTAGTGAATGATGAAATAGCCCACCCAGCCCAGGACTTATCATTTGATGTGCCAATTCGGGCATCGGATTTGCTGGGTTCGGCCTCCGCGGGAGCAGTAGGTGGTAGTACAGTGTCTGCCATTGTGCTAGCGACTTTTCGAACTCGCTGTAGGTAAAGATCAAGCGTTTTGTTTGCTTGGTCTCGAACAAGTCTGAAAATACCAATTAGCGCCTGATGAATTAAAAGGTAGATCATAGTATACATACTTTTCCTTGTCCATCAACGCAGGACAAATAGCGGGCAATATCCTCACAGCGCAGTCTTCTTCTGTGAAGACATCAATCGTGGCACCCAAAGCAAGCAAGCCTGCATTACGGCCGTGTACGAAGGGGTCACGAATGGCTCTTGAGAAAGCAGCAATAAGAACCTTGGAACGAGTCTGAAGTAGTGTCAGCACTAGCACATCAATCTTGGTTCACAGTAACTTACACCTTGACCTAAGTTCTTTGCAATTCGTCCAAGACAAATCGTAGTATTTGTACGGATACCAGGTTGCTCGTCATTGGCAGTGCGAGCTAGGAATTTAAGAAGCTCTCCATTGACCACTCTATCGCTCAACTTGTTGATAACCGTAAGTACAGCCTTTACAGTCTGCTCACGAACCACAGGAGCAACATCAGTGAAACCAGATGTCTAAACCAAATTAGCAATTCCCTAATAAGCGCATATACGGGGGCTTACCATCTGAGGGAAGATCTTGTCATTAACGACCTTCTGGGGGAGATTATCAATCATCAAAGGCAGGTTGTCCAACAGACACACACGGAGTGCACGATCAGGGTTACCAAACAGGCGCACAACAACAGGTGTCAACTTCGCGTTGAACTCATCTGCTGAAAGCTTAGATCCAATTTTCAAGGTAGCTCCAAGAACCTTTGGTCCACCGCCGCCAAATTCAACCGATTTAAGTAGTTCGGGAAGTACTTTCATCTTAAAAAAGTCTTCGGGGAAATCATCAGACAGATTATCAAGTTCACTGTTTATTGTCAGTCAATGCTGAATAGTATCGATAATCAATGGTAAAACATACTTAATGAATTCCTCCCTTTCAGCATCGGTTTTGAGACCCAAACTCTCGATATCCTCCGTCAACCGAATAAGAGGAGTTCGAAAGAACCCACCATGCTTCTTCCCTTGTTCAACGAAATGCGCCGGGCTCAATCGAAGCTTAGGGTTGGCTGTACAAAGCCGCTTATAGCTTTGATGCATGCTAGGTGGGATATTCGTCGTCTTGCCAATTTGATCACCACCCAAAAATTGACCATTAAAGACTTCGAATATCAATACACCCAGTCCGTAAGCATCCACCGCGGCCAAAGGATGGCGTTTAATGACTTCATACCCGCCCTTGGCAACTTCCGGGGGGGTGTATCGAGCTGCGTCCGGGACAATGCTTCCATATGTCTATTTCAAGTCAGCATAAAAGAACTGCAGCTCGCCCATAGGTCATAGACTGACGTATATAATAGCATCATCTTCCTTCATGGAGCTCAGAATGTCGAAACCTCCTAGTTTCCATTCGCCGCTTTCGCTGGTATAAACTGAGGATGCGCGCACCGCGCCATGAACAGACGATGCATCTTCATTGATAAATTTGAGCGTAGACTAGTCGAACAGCAAATCGTTAGCAAGCATCCAATGGTATCACCAGTGATCACCTTACCGAAACAGTATAAATACCCCATTTCGCAGTCTCCTCGCTCAAACTTCGGCGTTTAACCTGCCACAAAAGCGGGACGACTCGCTCAGTAACGATATATAGGTTCGACTCGTTCTAAAACCCAACGTCAACATATAAACGGAGCGAAATACCCCTCTCAAGCGTGACAGGGACCGAAAGACGTCCATCCCACCATACCTCAATTGTATCCAAGACCTTAATCACACCAGGATGGCGCAAGGTCCTTGACTTGCGCACCGCATTTTTCGCCAAAGGCAGACGCGACTTATTAGCCGCAATATCGAATGTAAAAACACTGCATGCAGAGCCATCGTCCTATAATCCCGCAAAAACAAATCCGTCAGCCTTATCCTCCGAGACATATTGCATAGAACAGAGAACTATCGTACCCGTTTCGTACCGTTGTGCAGAGTCCATATCGAATCACCAATATCCACTCTATCACCAAGAGAGAAAGGAAATGAGCTACCCTTCGCGATCGCAGAGGCGACAGCCGACTTGAGGAAATCCATGGGTGTGCGAGTGCGGCGTAGCTTCTCGGGGGTGCTACGGTGTTGTTTTCGAGGCCCGATGAGCGTACAGCTCAATGGCCAAATATGCGTACACGGATTTGGAGAGAGGAAAGGGTGTAGAAGCGTATTAATGTAGCTGCGGTATTCGAATTCCAAGGGAGACAATGCGACGGGGGGTTGTTGGTTTATGTGGTTTGACCGGAGAGCTGGAAAGTTGGTTGCGGGCCCCGCCTTATCGGCCTGAGCTGGCCTTTAACTAATTTCGCCGGATCCACCAACGCTGGATTGTTTTCTTCCTCTCTTCTCCTCCCCCTTTTTAACCTCACCATGTGCTGATAAAGATGTCTATCCTGCTCGAAACCAACTCCTAACTAACGCGAATACCTACTTATTATACATTTGCAGTGCTGAGTCCACTCCTACATGCATTCTAGGTCAGTCAACCCCCTTCAATCTCCTCCTCAAACCCGCGACCTCGTCGCGTCTCCAATGATGTCAACCTGGTAAAAGGTCCGACTATATAAAGACCCGACAACCGAAGCTCTCCTTCAAAACCGAAGGTACTTAAAGCTGCCTCCACTTCTCTGTGTTCCCAACCTATCTACGCATCGACAGGGCTCCAGCTCATTCCAGCCATCATTTGTCCTACACCAAGCCCTCGGTAGCTGGTGATATTGATCGCTTCCCACTCGACTGACACAAAGGTCCACGACTGTGATCTCCTCCGAACTACTTCTGTACAAGCTCAGTCTCATATTCCAATCTTCAACTCTTCGGTGACCGCAGATACGTGGCTAAAAGGCAGAAGATCGAGTCCTAGAACAATGACTTCCTCTTCGGGGGAGCTGCAAGCTATATCTGTCTACAGCCTTTACGACCGCACCCGCCACAGGGCTAAGTCTACGAGGGACTAGATAGAGAAAGCCGTAGTGGATCTTGGGAGTATCCACGTATACATCAGTGCATGGTCCATATTGACAAAGTGATTTGTTGGTATGGGACATGTAGGGCCGTTTTCTGGAGTTCCTGGGTCTGCTTTATCTCTATGGGGACCGATTGGAACTAATGGCTACGGTCTATAGGTGGGAGTAAGAGTCTTCGGATTTAACTGCTCGAAGAGAAGAAGGTTGAATATGAGATTGGGCTGGATGTGGCTTTGGTAGGAGAAGAGTGTGGAAGAGGTCAGTGTTGCCGGGTTCGGGGTCTTGGGGCTTCTGGTGCACGTTGGTATCCATGTGGGCTCGGAATCTTCCTTGTTGATCTGGGTGGGTTGGGTATCTGGCTGGGTGAAAGTTGTTCGAAGCACCGCGGTGAACTTGAGCAAGGATGTCTGGGGCTTGAATGACGATTATTCAGAAACTGAAAAGACCTGAGGAGAAAAGCGATTGCTTTGGTCCTATGTTCCGCCGATGGCATGGCCAGCTATAGTGACATTGCTAATACACTTTACAACAGGTCCACTCCTGTTGATATATCTTGTATTCGATCGTTTTATGAGAAGCAATGCTCGCGAATCTAAGTTGTACGCCGGGTTGGGGGAAACTTTAATAAATAATTTCATATCAATCATTCCATTGGCATCTCGTTAGAGCACTAGCAACCACTTCATCAGAGCCCATTTACCACTCGTTGCCACTTCTTCTCCCTAGCACAGGTTCAAGGCCGCCTAAAAACCGCGTGGTACCCCATCCAACCCTCATGATTGAGGCAAATATTTCATCACACTCATCTCTTCCTAATTGGCAGAGAAAATTGGATCCGCCTTGCCCCCTCACACGCGCACATTGTAAGAGGCGCATAGCATCGACAGCCGAAAAGAAAAGAAAAGAAAAGAAAAGAAACAAGTACCGAAAAAGTGAAACGAACGAAAAGAAATGCAAATTTGGAGACACTTTGTAATACCAGTCATTCCATACATCGGAAGAGCAGTTCACGCGAGGCACTTTCAGTGGCTCGTGGGATATCAACAGCATTGGACGTAGGGTGTACTTTGGGTAACATGAAGATACTTCGCTAGCATCTAACCCATTGAGCCCGCAGTCGTAGGATGTAACAAGACATGGTAAATAGGTCCACTCATTTGATCTAATTACTTCATTTAGCTGGTTTCAATTTGGACAACAATACCCGGCAATTCGACGTACCTTTTAAGGCTCATAAATGTGTCTTGTAGTACCACCCGTACGGGAGTGTCCCGAGGTGCAGGAAGGACAGAAGCCGGGATATAAATATTCGGGTGACTGACTAACAGAGATTGCCGGCGGGGTAGATATCCATCGCTAGGTCACAGCGGATAAGTGACAAGTATGGACAGGGTAAGCAGTCGGTCGAGTTGTAGGCCATGAGCAAGTTATGCACTTCATTTGCCCTCATCGGTAGCCTCAGCAGAATGCGTTCCTGGCCCGGAGTTTGAAGGGGCGTTTGGAGACATCTGAGGAGGCATCTGAGGGACCTGGTTGAAGTTATTGCTAGGCGCACGGTGCTGGTTTGGAGGGAAATGGTGGGCTTGGTGAGGGCTGGAAGAAAAATGCGGTTGTTGTTGGGGATAACCGCCGCGGCCAGAGGGTGCTGAGTTGAAACAATCAGAAATGATACATTGACCGGAAATTCAAATAAAGATACTAACCGTGCCCAGGTTGTTGACCGCCGTATCCAGGTTGACCGGGAGACATGAACATCATGCCCTGCGGTGGCTGACCTGATTGCGAGTTCTGGTGCATCATCATCGGAGCGCCACGGCTTGGGCTAGGATATCCGCTGTGTGGCTGGGCAGGTGCATGCTGCGGGTAGGCATGGCCCGGAGATGGAGAGTACATTTGCATCTGATTATAAGGAGACATTCCTTGTGGAACACCCATATAAGGTCCGTTAGAAGGTTGCTGTACCATCATGGGAGCCCCCATTTGGGGGTTAACAAATTGGGGCCCATGGCCACCTTGGTATGGTCTCATGTGAGCGGGCTGTGGGCCGCCTCCATAAAATTGTGGCATCGGCTGCCCAAATGCAAGTTGTGCCGGAGGTGCCATGGGAGAAGGATATCCCATGTGCGTCTGCTGCATACGAGGCGACGGGAAAACTTGAGATGATGATGATCCAGACATTTGCATGCGATGATCATCATGAGGGCCGTGAGGGTGGTGAACATGGGGCCCATTTGGAGGTCCATTTAACGCTGGTATTCCAGGATTGCCTTGCTGGAACTGGAACTGGATCGAATGCTGAGGGAGGTGGGGGTTGTTTGATGTAGATCTACCCTGGGGAGAGACGGATTGACCGCCGCTGGAAGCCTTAAACATCTGGTCATAAGTTTTTTCCTCGTTGCCCTCAGATGCATCCCATGTCGGCAGTGTTCTGTAAGGTGGTGGAATGGCACCGTTGAAGGGGAAAGATTTCTCCGTCGACTCGGCATTCTCCTTCTTCATTCGTTTAATGGGGTTAAACTGGTCATCAATAGACGGACGCTCTGAGATAGGGAGAGGCTTTCGAATTCCAAAGAATGTGGAAGGGGTTGTTGTGTGTGAAACTGAGCGGTTTCTTGAGAAAGGACGAGGACTGGCCGCGGGGCCTCCAGATGTACCGGTACTACCAGGAGTGAATGTGCTGGCAGCTGGATTTGGCTTGAACTCCATAGCCCGGACGTTAAACTTGGAAGCAGCAGAACCGAGGGTCTGCGATTTAGCAGGGCTAGTGACTCTAGGCTGCTCGCTAGCAGGGCCAGTGGGAGCTCCACGAACATCTTGAATTGGCAATGGAGTGGGTACAGGGGCCATGCCATTGCCTCCCTTTCGTTGCTGCAAATTGTCGGCTAGTCGGTGGCTGAGAGTACTAGTGCCGGGGCGACCCGGTTGCATGGGCTGCTGGGGGAATCGGCCACCCGGTCCAGCAAGTGGGCCGGTGGGGGGGAAGATATCCTTGTCGACCGCGGGGGTAATTCTGACGATCAGCGGGTGCAGCTGGAGGGACTGGTCCAGTTGGCGCAACGGGACGAGTTGCAGGCTTTTGCTCAGCGACCTGCGCAGCAGCTTTGCTCGGAGATTTATTATCCCCCTGGGTATGAACTCGGGAGATGATGGCTTCTTGCTTGTGCGGGTCTTTAGCAAGAATTGGTACCAAATCCTTTGGCACGGGAGTAGAAAGCTTGAAATTCTTCGAGAACTTCATCAATTCATTCAATTTGATGGTCCGGTCATGTGAGGCCTGGTTACGCCGACGTTCCTGTATCTTGAACTTCTCGTTGTTGGCAAACTGGCGGAAGTGGTCAAGAACCTCAGTTTCGACATTTGCAGTGGCATTCTCAGGTACTGGACGCTTCGAAGCAGAGACAGCGGCGGCAGGGGCGACAGCGGAAGCATTTGTGGGGATAGTCTTTTGTTCTGTTTCGGCAGCAGGTTTCGTGGGCACCGGAGTTTGCCGCTTCTCAGCATTAGGCTCCTTGGATGGTTCTTGAGGTGCCGCAGATGTTGGGGCAGGTTGGGGCTGCTTGGTTGAGGCAGGAGGGACTCCCACTTGTCTGCGCCCAGGTGGTGTATACTTGTTTGGCTGGCCCGAAACAAGCGGCGGGAAAGCTTTATTCTCGCGCTGAACGCCACTGTACTTGGCTTCTTCGTCATCATCACCGGTGGCTGGAGCTACAAGACCTCTTTCTTCGCGCATATGGGGATTTTCGGTATCGGTTCCCTCAATTTCGCGTGCAATCCGGGCTGCTTCAGCCTGTTTCTGACGGAAGGCAGGGTCTGAACGGTCAAGAACAGTTGTATACAGGTTTTCATCATAGTTAGTTCTTGCGCCGAAAAGTCGCTCATTCGCTTCAAATTGGTCCCAGTTGGACGACTCCCCCGTAGTACTCTCCAGTGACAAGTCGACGTCTGTCTCGGCCGGCTCCCAGCGCTTCAAAGTGCGCTCTCGCATGGCAAGATTTCCAGAGATATCACTGTCTGTCCGGAATCCACCTGTATAGATTGAAGAAAAGAATAAATTAGCACAAATAATACCATTAAGCTCATAAATATGTTCAGATATCTTACCATTTGATTCTTTGACAGACACCTCCGCTGGCACGACATTTGGCACAGAGATATCTGCGATGTCCTTAATATCAAACGACATGGCATGATCAATGCCAGCCCCTAGGTATGGGGTAGTCGCATCGTTTACACCATTCGTCTTATTCTCCTCGGGTGCGCGTTGCACCATCTTGAGCGAAAAGGACGAATCGGTGGGCTCCAGGGTCGAGGACGAAAACACTCCGGTGTACGTATCTCCGTTCTTTGTGGTGATAGTTGTATGCAAGCCCTAAAATAGTTGCGTCAGTAAAGATGGTACATGTGCTATACTCGAGGAACTGCCATACAATAAAACTGGCAAAGAGAAAGACCAAACGGTCATGGGCGTGGTTATCGGGTGTGTTTGACTCCTTCTGATTGGGCCTAGGGGAGCCCGATTGGCGAGACACGTTGCCATTGGGCGAGGCATGGGAGGCGCGTTGCGTGATAGGATTCGTCCCTTGGGACCAGGCTTTGTGGGAGTTTGTGCGCCTATGCAGTAGAACATGCCTTAGTTAGCGAATGAAACCGACAGTCTTGAGAGGTCAAACACAAAGAACAAGCTGCTGGCACCAGTTCCAAGAGCTTGAATTGGCTTTTCAACCGATCAAGAGCCTGGACTTTCAGACCAGCTTGACAATAAGATGGCACGTGTATGGGCGCAGTGAACGAGGGGTTCAGAGTAGACAGGATTGAAGCAAGGCCACAACCCCGCCCATGGCCTAGGTTGTAAGACGCAGGCGGAACAGGGGGCAATAGCTTATTGGAACTGGTGGAGAGAGTGTTGATCTGGGTGGGGGGAAAGAAAGCTCATAAAATGAGGTACGTACCGCTGACCACCATCCCCAGGGCTGCCAGATTGGCGGCGACCATCCCCCTTGGTGCTAGCACTGGGCCTCAATGATGGGCGACCAGTGTTCTGTGTGTTGACAGCATTGCCAGATGAGCCATTGGCAGCTGGCACAGAGTTGAGTGTAGAAGCCATTGATTGACTTGGATGGTCAAATCAGCGCAGGCTTGCGGTCGTGGGCACTTCTAACGGAAGGTCCGCGACAATGGAGAAACGGGAACTAACACGCTCACACCGCCTGCACAAACAGGACAATGTTAAAGGAGAGGGGCAGGACAAAAGTTGGCTTGCAACAACACACACTCTCACTTTGAAGGGGAAGACAATGGAATAATGTCTGAGGTTTAAAATTAGAGGAAGGGGTAGAAAGTCATAAATGGGAATTTCTTTGGGGGGGGGAAGAAGAGCAAGTCAGGTGGGAGGAGTTGGGTAATGTACGGTATCGGTGCGACCCTAGTTGACAGCGGGATTGTCGATTTCTATGGGGTCGGGGTGGACTATGGCGATCGGACTGATGTAATCCTTTCTACTTCTTTTTTGGTTTATTTTTATTTTTACCTTTTTACCTCAAGTGCTTCAAGTTGTTTATCTTCTAGTCCAGAGCTGTGAAATTTATGGTTTTCATGGTTTTATTCCCATTTCTTTGTGGGATTTTCGGACAGGGGAGGCTTTTTTTTTCTTTTTCTCTCCTTTATTCTATACATAGCATATATCTCCAACCCTGGAACATTAGAATGTTTGCCCCCAATTATCTCCCTGACACTATATATATTTCGCCCGCTGTTACTATGTATATCCATGGATAGTATTTTGGGCCTTAGAATCTACCCCGGGGGTCGCATTACTAGCACTACGCTTACTTTGTATGCCTTGGAGCTTTATATAGTATCATCACCTGGGCACATGTGCAGCAACATTTGCTATCAGCATCCTTGTAATAGTAGCCGACACTACACCCCTCCAGGAGTGTCATAGAGATCACATCTCTGCCCAGGTGATTATTTTTTGTAAAGGCTATAAAGGCTATAGAACCTCTCTCCTACTATCACCTTTGTATAGTATACATAGTATAGTTCAAGTTCCACTAGCATTAGACTAAACAGTACTATACTGCATATATCTGCTGGTGGTAGCTTAGCCGCTCCGCGTCCTTCGTCAGGATCACTCAGCCAAAGCAAAGTCGAAGAAGGTGTCGTCTAAATGAATTATTAGATATGTAACTCTGGTGAAAAAAAAAGGAAAAAGGATATAATAACTCACTTCTTTTAGCAGAGCTAGTGAAACCTACTCAGGCCTACATGATACTCAAGTTTTGCGAATTGAAAAGTATAGTACGATAAAAACTAAGAAAAAAAGGAGTTGTCCCCGGGGTTGAACTTACTAGTTGGTCTTGGTGGTTCTCCGCGATAAGTATGCTTCCCCGGGTATGTTTATGCTTAGCGCCTTCGCAACTTTGCGTATGATCGAACATTCAAATGTTTGAACCTACATATATGTATGTAATTTTGACTAATATTATCCCAGTACATATGATATTTCTTCACTTGGCCACAAGGGCTGGTACAGTGAATAGCTTCACACTGTATCAATAAATATCCGTAGGCAATTACACAACGCAAGATATATTCAAATTTTTATAAACCTAAAATATTCTACTTATCCAAAAAGTACTAACAATGGTGCCTATGAGTATGGATTGAACTTGTATTGTCAATACCACCTCTTTCAATGTTCTGGCCGATCGGATGTCTAGATTTGCAGATCCACTTGGGTACATAAGGGCACGTCCGAGGGCATCTCTTTTCACACATTCAAAAAAGAAATCTTGAGTAACTACTGTAAGGCTGCTGTTCCAAAAGTGATTGGCTACCTACCTTGTCGACACATAGAATATTGCCACCATCCCGGGACTGGAGAAAGGCCGGCACCAAGTAGGGGGGAAGATTAGACAAATCACTCCTATTATTCAACTGGGCATCCATATGTGTACTATGTATTTTCCTCGATCTATCTCAACGCACATGAGTATACATTGTATCTAAATATCGTGAGACCGCCCCCGCGACTGACAAATTCACAAGGGCCCATTTTATACAGACCGGAGTTTAAATGCTCAGATCTCATGCAGAGAAATTGTATCCATCTGCGTTGCTTTTTTCTCCACTTTTTCGTCTGCGACAATGAGACAATAGCTCTGACGATCCGTGAAATGTACCACCGGAGCCTGGCCCTCGAGACTACTATGGATAGGCCCATGCCCAGTTGTATATCCATCTATAATCCCGTACCAGGTTCAACTATGTAGAGGATGCTTTGGCCTTGTAGCGCTACAAAATCACATGAACATTGATACCATACAGCCGGGTTACGGTAATTTTGGCTTTCGCCGGGCCAATCCCCTTACAGTGACCGCCTGTATCCGGTATTGGACGCTGGAATAGTGGGAGGCTGGGTGTTTGCTTGGCATCCCAACTCTCGCTCTCTTTCCCCCCATCGTCACTTATCAATGTCAACACACCTTCGGGCTCTCTGGAGACCCTACTTATCCCTTCTCTGTTAAACCACTGGGATTAAGTCGAACCCATGTCTTCCGTTTCAGGTCGCAGCTCGTCTGCCTCTGGCCGTTCGCAATCAGTAAAGAATGTGGTAGGTGTCAGATCTGTGGGCTCATCTCTCAAAGAAGGGTGTGACCAATGCTAATGTCTCCTATCTTCGTTCTCTCCAATACAGGCCGATAAACAAATATCTCAAATCGAAAAAGGAGTCACTCATCTGCTGGTCGCTACAAAGCAGCTCCTCGAAGCCTTGACCAACTGGTCTCGAAAACACGCTTCCGAAACCCAAGTATCTGACGTGTATGTGCGCTTGGGCTACGAGTTCAACCTCGCATGTCGGGCTTTCAATGCTATCGGCGTTGAAACGTCTGATCTCGGCCCCGTCCCAGATATATTGCGTACCATACTTGAAGACACATTAAGCCAAGATGCCTCCCCACAAAGCCTTGACAAATATCTTCCCCAGATCCGCGACATCATCATCAACTTGCTCCATGGCCTGAAGAAAAAGCAAGCACGACTTCGATCGAAACAACAAAAGGAGGAGGGGCGTGGGATTCCAGGTCGGCAGGCTAGCGCAGGAAGCCTCTCCAGCAGAGACTCGAATATTGGACAACTCTACGACGAGGCCGCAGCATCCACTATACCGCAGAATAATATTCAATCTCCAAAACGGTCGGCGCGTCGATATGGGAGCCAGGGATCTTTGGAAGAACCTCAAATGAGTCGTCGGGACTCACCGCCGGTATCAAGCGAGCAGCAGCGCAGTTACTCAGAACGAGATGTCTCGCGGCGGGAGGCTCAACAAATGCTCAGCCAACCGCCTCAGGGTGGTGCAGCTGTTTCACAAAATGCCCCACCTTCAGCCCCTCCAGATTTCCCAGCTCCTCCGCCACCTCCGAAAGAAGATGATGCGCTAGGCGCTTTACAGCGAAGTGGAGAACTGGAGCGGCGAGCATCGCGGCGTTTCTCCGCATACCAAATCCAGAAACATCTGGGGACTTCATCAAATGGAGTTCCTGTTATTCCCTCCCAGAATTCCCCAATTCCAAACCGAGGGCGAGATGTTCGCGAATCTCTCAATGCCGTTCGCTTGCGAGGATCATATGCGCACAGTCGACAGCGATCTTCTAATCGCATGCAGGAGACGGTCAAGGCTGCACAGACCCAAGCGGCAGCTAATGTTCCCCAGGCAGTTGAAGAGGAAAGTGGTGAGCGCTCTCCGCAAGCAAACACAGAGACTGAGGATGAGGAGACTCCTCGTCCTATTAGCCACAAGCCTGAACCGCCGGCCAAGGACGATATCCCGGCTGCGAAGCCCGAAAAACAGCCACTGAGTTTCCCACCATCTCCAAAGGCCCCAGAGTTGGATGATGCTTTTGATCCTGAGAAAACCGCTGGTCCTGCTGCAGAGGCCCGCCCAGAAACACCCAAGGCTGCGCGACTCGAGCCGGCTGGCATTGCCACACCTCCCTCTGTCCCCCAATATGCGATAGAGCAGCCGTCACCTGGTAAGGAGCTCACACTCTTCTTACAATACAAAACCAAAATCAAGAAATACGTTTTGCCTGATGGCATCGCGGATCTTACTATTGGACGTTTACAATTGGCATTCATCGAGAAGTTCGCCTGGAATACACACAACAATGGTGCCGATTTACCTGAAATTTATGTTCAAGATCCGATTTCTGGCATCCGACATGAGCTAGAAGATTTGAATGACGTCAAGGATCGTTCGGTCCTTGTATTAAACGTGGACAATTTAGATGAAGTCAAAAAGCATTTTGATGACAATTTCGGGGGTGTTCTTAGCCTAGTGGAAAGTGTCAAAGAGTCGTTGGCAGGGCAAGGGCTAGCTATTCAACGAGTCTCAGACCGTCAGCTGGAAGCTGCTAAGGAAATGGCTCGGCTGGCTGCAGCGCCCCAAGGGCCTGTCCCAGTGGCAGCTAGTGTTCCTGAAGCCACCAAGACGCCAGTTGCTGCGAGTGGAAGCCAGATTGCGGAACTGCAAAGTTTACGCCGAGATCTCGCTGTTCTACGCCAAACTTACTCGAACTTTACATCTGATGTTGCTAGCTCAATGAGTGCCGTTCGCTCCAAGGCCAGCCAGGTTAAGACTGCCGCAGTGGATGTGGGCGTTCCAACCTATGAGGGCGATGCCGGCCGTGCCCGAGTTAACACAGGCAAGAAGGAACTCGCCGATGAGTCGGAACGTCTCGTTGCACGAGTTGATGATCTGCAAGATCTTGTCGAGGATCTTCGGAAAGACGTGGTTACACGAGGTGTTCGACCCCTCCCAAGACAATTAGAGGGTGTTAGCAAAGATGTCAGCAACGTCATGAAAGAGATTAAGAAGATGCAAGATTTCCTCGCACGTGAGAAACCAATCTGGACCAAGATCTGGGAGAAACAATTGCAACTCGTCTGTGAGGAACGTGATCAGCTTACTATGCAAGAAGATTTGGCTGCCGACTTGCAGGATGATCTTGAGAAGGCAGCTCAGACTTTTGCTTTGGTGGAACAAGCTACCAAGGAACAAGCGATGGAGAAGAGTACAACTGGTGTTGCCGGTGCTCCTGTCTTACGTGCTGTCTCACGAAATATTGGGTTTGATCCCACAGTTGATCCCATGAAGGCTAAGGATGGCGTTTTGGGCGAAGTTCGTGCCCTACAGCCAAACCATGAGAGCCGCATTGAAGCTATTGAGCGAGCTGAAAAGGCTCGAAAGAAGGAACTGGAAACCCGACGGATTGGGCTATTCCAGAAGGAGCTTGGCAATTTTGTCCAAGAGGGCAAGTTAAAGAAGAGCGGCGGCGTTGAAGAGGCTGAACGACTTCGTAATGCCAAAGACGATCGTATTCGAAAAGAAGTATGGGATCGACAACAAGCCCGCAATGCGGAGATGGAGAGGGAAGAAGCTGAAGAAGCTGCGGCGGCCGCCGCTGCCGCTGAAGGAAGTGCAGAGGAAAAGCCGGACGGCGAGGATGCTCCCAATGAGGGTCCATCGCAGGAAGCTAAGGATGTTGATGAAACTGTTGGAGAAGAGAAGGAGTCTAACTCCGATGAAGCCAAGCATGATCAAGAATGGCATGAACCAGGATCCATTTGAGGCCTTGGTGCTTGTTAGCAATTTTTAAACCCGTTTTTGACACCCTCTTTATTATTTTGCATTTGTTTTGTTATGATGGGCTCCATTTTATTGCATTTCACCCTCTACTATACCTGTGGCGCGTTTTCTATACCATGTGTCCTTCAATGTTGCATTGCCTGTCATGTATTGACGATACCCTTCCACCTCAGTGGTCTGTTTCCTACTTGTTCATTCGCGCGGCGAGGAGTTGGTGCCCAGGTAATTCATTATTTAGTGTTACTACTGATTCAATACACGAATGTGCAATATTTTGCATTTTCCAATTTATATTGCCATTTTAAATAAATTTGCTCCTTTCTTGCTAGTCACAATTAAATGATTGATCATGCATTTATTCCAAATTGAAATTGAGGATAATTCTTCAAGGGGAGATAGTAATTTCTATAGCAACATGTATAACATAGGAACCGAACAGAGAAGAACAAGCTAAGGACGCGGACAGGAAGACGAAATCGAAAGGGAAAAGATAAGGGAATGAGAAAAAAAAGAGAAAAGAGAAAAAGCTTCATAATCATGATTATCAAAAAACACCATAGAGCACTTCATCTTGCCCATTATGCAACGTAGAACTCATCATCTGGCTTCTCCATAATACGGACCAAAGCCTCATCGAATGCACCCATGACACCAGCCATATATTCTTCGTTGACGTAAGGGAATTTCGACTTGCCAACATGATATGTGCTCTTAAAGGTCATCGGGCGACTCCAATCCGGACCATCAAAGGAGTGAGCGGGCCACACCTCAATCATAATTGGCATGCCAATATCGACTTCCTTGTACGGGATCAAGAGATTGTGGTCGCGGCTCCATCCTGGTAGTTCGCGAGGAACACCACCATCCTGTGAGTGTGCTGGGCGATAAGCCTGCAGGTTGACCGATGTATCCATCAGTCGCTCTCCAGTTCGGTACATGTCAAGAGATGGGCAAGGAATATCGGTGTATGGTGCCGACTGTGCACTCTGCTCAGTAAGTGACTGGCAGATCTCACGGTTTGTGAGGTTCTTGGTCTTCCCATCGACATTAACTCCCATGCGGAATGGGATGGTCTGCAGAAGTGGTGCTAAGCAGCGGAATAGGTCTTGCGTTTGTCTTCCATGAAGAACAGAGCCGAATCGAACATCGAGCTTGTCCTTTCCGGAGTCTTTTTCGCGGGTTTGGGCCAGCACACTGATCCATGCAGCCTGGACTACTGCCAACATGCTGGTACCGAGGATGGAGACAGAGCCATCTGCAAGTTGATCCATGGTGAGCTTGCTGGATAGGGTACATCCGCGCAAGTATGTCTCTGTTTGTCCTGGCAAAGTGAGTGCTCGACTTCCATCGGCGATAGGGGTACTGGATCCTAAAGTGAAGAGACCCGAGCCAGCGGCATTCCTCATCCAATAAAACATGGTTTCCATCTCATCGGTGGAGTTGTAGGTGAGACCAATGGTCTCGCGCATAGACAGAAGGGGAAGTCTAGAGCCGTCGCCAGTCCAGCTGGCAATACCGGATAGCTTGCCAGGCTGTGCGTACTCAGCGGCGAACTCTTCACAGAGATGGGCGAGAGAAACACCATCATAGATACCATGGAAGAGCGTGAGAACCATGACATATCGGGAGTTGTCAGGTGAGCGGACCCAAGTGACGGTCACACCAGGCTTGTCTGGAGTCATGGAGGTCTCAGCGGTGCGTTGAGCCGACACAACGGTGTTGTTCCAGAGACTGTTTTCGCTGGGGTCATAGTTACAGACGACGTCAACTGTTGGAATAGTGGCACGCTTTGAGTTCTTGCTCAAGATGCACATAGCAAATGGAGCAATCGAGTGCTTGACCTCGGAGAATAGTGTGCGGAAAGCATCATGTCGCTTGAGAACGGAATACACAGCGTTTCTGAATCGAGTAGGTTCAAGTTTGTCGAGAGGGAGATCGTATAGGAAATGCTCCACCTGAGGCTGATGGAAGGTCAGGGTAGGGTCGACATGCTCGGGAAGTGTGTTCAGGTAGATGATACGGGTCTGTGTGCTTGTTGGAGGTAGAACACGCTCAACGTCAGCTGGCTCCAGACCAAGGTACGACAAACATTGATCCATGCAATGGTGTGAGAAGTGGCGGAGTCTGGTAGCTGTGCCAAGCTCATACAACGCTTCCTCGTCATCAGGTGAGATAGCAGAAACGTCTACATCGTCAATCATTTCATCGTCGCATGTCTCAGGCTGAAGGGGTGCATCTGCAACCGCATATTGGCCTGATGACTGGGAAGCTGGGTTCTTTGTGTCGACGAGGCCAACAAGGTCATCAATTGTCTTCAGGGTAAGAACCTGATGCAATGCCAAGCCATCGATACCATCGCCCCGGATGGCCTGGAGGAGCATGATAGCGCGCAGACTGTCCAGTCCAAGGCTCAAAAGAGATGTCGATAGGGGTGAGTCTGCAACACGTTCGCCAATGGCAGAAACCAAGCCGCGGTTGACAATTGATGCTGAATCCAGTGGGAGTGACTTGACATCCTCCTTGTTCTGCAAAGGCTTGACAGGCGTAGGGGATGGTGTCTTCGCTACAGGAGCGGTCTTTGAAGTGTCTCCAGTGGCGATTTGCAACAATGTCTTGCGATCAATCTTGCCGCTGAGTGTCCATGGAAGCTTCTCCATGACTGTGTAAGTACCAGGACACATCCAATCAGGTAGAAGCTTGTGTCCCTGCGAGCGACAGTTTTCTTCGACCGCTTCGGGGTCTGCATCAGTCCAAGTTGTCAAAAATGCCTTGATCTCGGCTCGACCTCCCTCTGGGGGCTTGATAACCACGACAGCTGCGGTAGCCACGCCTTCTGCACTAGTCAAGACATTCTCAATCTCACTGAGCTCAACGCGGCGACCATTCAACTTGACCTGCTCAGAGCTGATACGGCCAATGAAGTCGATGCTTCGTCTTCCAGTTGCATCCCATACAACGCGAGTCTTGTCGCCGGTACGGTAAAGCATGGTGCCGGAAGGAAGGCCTAGCTGAGGGAACTTGTCCACAGAAAGGAATGCACCCTCAGTAGCATCTGGACGGTTGAGATATCCCAAAGCAACTTGTGGGCCACCGACGATAAGCTCACCCTCAAGACCGAGAGGCATTTCTCTCAACTCTCCCAGGCTCAATGCCTCTGGGTCAGCAACAAGTAGGAAGGCACAGTCCAAAGCCCCACCAATGACGGAGCTTCGCGTAGGCTGTGTGCAGGACTCAGCAGTGCAGAAAATGGTGGTCTCTGTTGGTCCATAGGCATTGACCAAGCGCCGATCATCATCAGGACATCCTTCGACCGCCGCGAACTTCTCAATAACTCGTCCGTTGACGGCCTCTCCACCAACAATGAGCGTCTTCAGTGCAGGCATATTCTCGGGGCGCATCAAAAGCGCCAAGCTGGCAACAGCATATGAGGCAGTGGCGCTAAGTTCTCGTGCACAACCCTCAATGTCTGTGAGGAGCAGATCACGCTCGGCGATACAAAGAACGCCACCAAGGAACAATGGTGCAAAAGTGTCGATAATGACAGGGTCAAATGATGGGGCACTCAGGTTCAGCCAACGAAGACGTGGGCCAGCAGGAAGATGCGATAGAGGTCCCGCCAGAGTTGCCTCGACGGTAACCTGGGCAGAGCGATGGCTGCCGAGAACACCCTTGGGCTTTCCTGTAGACCCGCTGGTGTAGAAGAGGTAGCAAAGATCAGTTTCGCTTGGAATACGAACGCCAACACGTGAGGATTCGACTGAATCGGGTATGATAAGATCCTTTCGCCAGCTGTCTGGGTTGGTGATATCAATCCACTTGATTTCCTTGACCAGGTAGTCGATTTCCTCCTGATCTCCTCGAATCCCTTGCCACGGAACCGGGCCAGAGCCCAGAACAACTGGGGAGCCGAGATCCTCAACAATGGCTCGGATTCGTTCAGGCGGCGCATCAGCTGGAAGGGAGCTGAAGGCGTGACCAGATTTTAGAACGGCCAACTTAGTGAGGAAGAGGTCCGGGCTTGGTGACATGAACAAGGGAAAGGCGTATTGATCACCCAGGGCAGGACGCCATTGATCTTCAAGCACCTGTAGCAGCAGACCCAGCTCAGAGGCAAGGAAGTTGGCCAAGGTATTTACCTCGCCGTAAGTGAGATCGCGGCGATGGTTTCCAGGCTGTCTTGATGGAGTTGACGTGGCAGTAGGTTCCCGGCACAGATAATCGAACGCGATGTTGTCGGGGTGGTGTCGAGCATGTTCCTCAAATGCGCCATGGAGCAATCTTGGGCTCTGATAACCATGGTTCTTTTTAACACCATTGTCGACCGGCAGACTGTATGGCGACGATCCATCTCGGTAAGGTTCGAAGTTGACGCGCGATGGCTCGAGTCCAGCTCCAGCCATGATCTGCTCCGATGTTGCAGAGGTCAAGTAAGTCGCGGCTAATTCAGCCAAATGTCGTGTTGCGTACGATCCTGCGTGGTCGCTTCTTATTGTGAGGGTAATATCTGCCATGTCCGGCTGGGTGTAAACGACCGAGAGGACCGATGGGCCTTCCTTTGCCGCCCCAATGACATGGCTGGTTGTGATGATTATTTTGAAATCGGCTTCATCCCGAGGAGTCGCGTTTGCAACAAACTCCACCTGTGGCTCCGAGGTCTTGCCCGAGGGACCTGGGGCCGGGATCACAGCTTGAAGCAATACATGCCCAATTTCGGGAGCATCCGCCAGGAATGCTACCTGATCTGAGCCGGCAATATCGCCAACGAAGCGTGCGTAACGGCGGAGTAACGCTTCGGAATCAATACTAGAATGAAGAGGCACATTGTGGACAGTAGATGTGTGCGCCCATTTTAAGTTGTTGTCGGGCTTTGAGGCATTGACGTTGAAACAAGGGAGTTTGGACACAGGGAGATCCTGGATGGAGGTGGCCTGCACCTGCTCTGGTAGGACTGATCCCATGATTATGAGACTTGTATGTGTCCACGGGTATAACTCAAGGTTCGAGTCAAGAGTATTAATCGAGATTTATTCCAATCCCAGACGATAGTGTGGACGGAGGAATGATTCCTTATCGCAAATGCGACTGATAGATCTTGTGCAGAAACAGACCCGTGAATACTATCACCTACGGGTTATTATTGGATATAGTAAGACATCAGGCGATGGAATTAATGGTCAAGGTTCAAGGTGCTGGTATTTGAATAATATACGAAGCCCATAATTAGATGAAACATGCTCTGATATCAGCCAACTACCTCTTGGAAGGAGCATATCGGGGGCTATTTCAACGTGGATGGGGAGATCATTAGCAAAGATCATGGCCCTTACCAGATGAAGCAACCCATCGATGTCAATGCCCCAAAAATTACTGCTTTTGAAGAAGGGTCTTGCCACACTTCAAGATACTCACCTTTTTTTAAATAGTGCCGCAGATTCATATCAGCTTATTGGCTGGATTTGGCCCTATGGAGCTGACTTGAAGCATGACGAAACAGACACTAGTCAGAATTCGTCGTGTTGCGCAACGGCAATAAAGGCACCACTCTTATGGTGGGAAGAATCATGCAAAAATATCAAGCGATAATCTATCACCGAGGGAGGATATCAGCATGTGGAGCTATAGAGCATCACACTATAGAATCTTTGAGCTGTTGACTTTTGGAATATTCTGTGAGGAGTTGAACTGGCATTCTTCGAACATAATCCATACTTTGGCCCCTTATCACCCAAAAAAGGTCTTGCCCCCACTTTCTCGTGTTTTCGTGTGATGGGTTTGCTGCGTGACGTAAAATTCCGACTGTGATGAGTGGTTCTCTGGCTCGTGAGATGGGGGCCAAAAGCAAAAAGACTTTCCAAATAAAGCGTTGTCACACCAACAAAATATTGAAAACAAGCCCAAATCGCACAACAAAGACAAATGCGCCATGTAAATCTCCGATCCAGGGTTGAAGCTTATATCTTTGTTTGATTTGACCCAGATGCAGTTATCTCATTCGAGATTATGGATGGCCACAAGGGCAGCATAAAAACAAAGGAAAGAATAGGAGAGAAGGGCAGGGCACCGAATATGTTAACAGGGATTTATATTAGGGATTAAATGGCTTTCATTCTGGGCTGGGCTGGAACATCAGGATCGCCGAATATTTTCCCAGCTCAGCGTACTTTGCACAATTCGGATCTATCTGCGAGCATCACAACGCCAAAACTTTATTGAGCCTTGTATGGAGACTACAGTATAATTTGAAAAAAAAATTACTCTGAGACAAAACACGCTTTGTTTCTCGACCCGTACCTATTAACGACGCTAGGCCATATAATGTTATTATGAAAACAACACCTGCCGAAAAGATGGTAGTATAGATCGTATTGGGCTGTACTGTCCAGTGATTAATTGTAAATTACTTTATTCTCCCATGGAAAGTCTCCCATGGAAAGGTCTGGGGCAGGATCAAGAAGAGAGGGGGAAGGGGCAGGTTCAAAGACGTAGCTGTCAAAGAATATGATGAGTGGCTTGCATCGAATATAACCGATGATACCCTCAAAGCTGGATTTCGACAAGCATGTCAGATAACGCTGTCAGTTGGCTTTGAACTTAAACACATTTACAAGGATCAAAACCCAGAATTCTTCGTCGGCAAAGGGATCAAGCCCGGAATTGCCCGGAGTTTTGCGGAAAATAATTGTGACTGGGTTGAAAACGCGAAGAACAGATACCTGTTATTGAAATGGTATAGAAGAATGTGTTGGGGTTGGGTTTTGGCGTTTTGGTATGTGTTGGATGTATTCGCCGTATTGGATGACGCGATTCCTCTTCATAGTAGACGAGCGATCTCTTTATCATTATTCCCGAGAGTTGCTAAATAAAACAAGTGCGTCCTCTGCAGTCAGGCGACTAGACGGTAAAAATCGCATCAATCCTTGAATCACATGAAGTAGAGGTTTAAGTGTTGGATTAGGCACCAACCCAGCAAACTTCCGTTCAAGCCTCGACGTTCCGTAATCTTTGAGCAAAATGAGCAACAGGCTTATTTGTGCATCAGTCTGTTTACCTTCTTCTAGTTCCAGATCATGGCTAGACCTCATCAACATTGATGTCCACTTAGACTCCCACTCGGCCGGCAACCTCTCCACAAAGCCAATCATTTGGAAAATGAGGACTTCATCCTCGCCAAGATACCAGAATGGCCATGTCGTGAATAAGAAAGCATAAATCTACAATTGATATCTCCGTGAGTATTCCTGCTTCAAGGAAAGATATGTTGACACACCATGCAACCTGTGCGCCATAAGTCGACCCGATAATCAAAACTATCCGTGAAAATCGTCTCCGGTTCCCTCAATGAACCTGGCTGGGCCAGCTTTTCAGGTTCCTGTCCTTGAAAGAAGCCCTATCCAAAATCAAATAGTCTGATATCTTCGTCGTCCTCGTCTATCCAGTCGTCCCATTGGGCTGCTTTGACCAGCTGGGACGGCAATCCATTTCCTAAAGGCGTCCCGTCAACCCGGGTCAGCGGCTCAACTTCCGGGAGTCCGAGAACATCAAAAAGCTGCTCCTCAGTCTGTTCCCACAAATTAGTGCAGATAAATGCGATGTTTCGGCCACTAATGTCTAGTAAGAAGTGAGTACAATGGAAGCGACTCTCGCATGGACGTAGAGGGGGAAGCGACCTCACCTCCATGGCACATGCCGGCACTGTGAATGAACTTGACGGCTTTTAAAAGCTGCGTAGACATTCGGAGTACGGTTTCCGAGCAGAGCTTGTCGTGGCTCTCATGGTAGTCTGCAAGGACCTTATCAATTGAAGGGCCAATTAATTCAAATACAAGACATTGGTGGACTCCGTTAGGGCCTTCGTGGGTGAAGGCATCAAGAAGTTGAACCAAATGATTCGAAGAAAGCTCTCCTCGGGAATGCCTTTCCAGATATTTCAAGATTTGCAGCTCTCGCGATGCCGATGAATCTGCTGTCATGATTTTCAACGAGACCCATTGATTGCGACTGGCGTGAGATTAGCTAGGAATGAGCAAAGCCAGTCAGGGATAAACTGACTATATGTCCTTTGCAAGCCATACTGTGGAAAAGCCACCCCATCCTAACTTGTGATGTATCTTGTAACGATCATCTTTGAAAGTATTTCCAAGGTTGACTGGATGATATCAAAACCAGGCTGGTATCTTGATAATGACTCCTGTGTGTAGAGATGGTTTGCTTTGGCAGAATATAGATAGATCCATGCGTCGGAAATTATTTGGTTATTGTCTGCCAAGCGGCGATGAAATACATCAAGGAAAGAGGGGACTTTGACTGGCCGAATTCAGTTTAGCGCGATCTGGGTGGGGCGCTGGGAAAGATAGCCAGTGTGTCCGAGGGGTAATCTGTTTTCGAATTCTACTGAGCGCTACCTTGTCTGAATTAATGCTGCTACCTGAGCTTTAATGTCCGTGATCCATAAGCTAATAACCACAACTTTGCACCGACAACAACAAGGCTGAACGGGTGACTGCCGATCGGAGCTTGATTTGGAAATTGTGCTTCCCCTTTGTCGACCTATCAACTTAAGCGCACCTGCACACACTCACTCGGCGTCGGTAGGAAACGCCCATTTTCTCCCATATTCCCCACGTCATCGATTCAAGGGTTTGCTAGAAAGAATACAATGGGCCGGAGGGAATGTGTCTTGCCTCAAAGATACTCCGGTGCTGCTTGACGTGGTACCAACAACGCTAGGTAAATCCAACAGCGCGTCGCATCTTCTACTAATTTGACAAAGAAGATCAGGGTAGACTAGGCAGCGCTACGCTTGGGCCAACAACCACGTTATCGCGGATACGTTCGAGCAGATCTAGATGCGGCTCGCAGGGGTAGTATTGGGGTCATGCCTGTTCGTGGTTGGCTCGGAGCCCACACCACCATACGGTATCATTGGCTGTTCGGGAATGAGGCCTAATCCATTCTGGAAGTGGTTGCGAAAAATGATCGACGGCGGAGAGATGTGCACTGCCTACGGATGGTCAAACCGCGCCGCTGATCTTTAATCTGCCCTACAGTTTAAACTGCTAAGACTTTTCTTTTTTAATATACTGATGCTTAGTATTGCGTATATTGGAAAAGCTTATGCTCTGTAACCTACCAAGTGGATATTCTTGCCCCTTAGTGAACAGAATCTTCCAAATCCAATTTGTCAACACCGTAATCTTCTTTTATTTAATTGGTAACTACGCTTTTCTAGGAATACGCCCGTGTTCCAGCGAGGCGCGTCTAGGGTGCTGTTTTCTCTTGCAGCAAGTAGGGTAGGTGGGTGTGGAGAGAGGGCTATGAATCCCACATGATGACCCCCTGCCCCATACTACCCTTGTAAGTTTTCCCAGACAAAGAACGCGTGCGCCATTTACGGACTATCTATTTTTTAAGATTCAAGTTTTTCTTCCACCCCAACAACGCTAGCCCGAAGTAAGCTAAGGGGTCTGACACGCAGAATTGTACTTAATCACGTTCACATTCCTTCGAATTCTTCTTTATCTTCTTTCGTGGCTATCCTATCCTCCTTTCCTATACTTCTTGCTTCCTTTTGGTGATCATAGTCGAAGCATTGCGCCTGTCACCTTCTATCTCAACTTATCTTCCTTGCTCTTTATTGAACCAAAGAAGTTACGACACAAAATGGGGTTGGATCCAAAGGGCGAGTTTACCTACCGCGATGGCGTCGCTGTCATTCAACTGTTCTTCTTCTCGGCATTCCTTATTCTTGGTTCCGTGCTGTGTTTCCGTCATGGATTTAAGCGTTCAGATGGATGGATCGCCATTGTCACCTTGTCTATCTTGCGTGTACTAGCAGGTGCATTCCAGCTTGCTTCAATAAACAACCCTAGCACGGCAACCTATGGAGGCGCCCTCATTTGCCAGGGAATTGGTCTTGCTCCACTGACCTTGCTGAACATGGGACTGTTCGTCCGATTGTAAGTTGAACTTCTGATTCTAAGACCCGTCTTATGATGTGAGATAAATTGGCTAATCGAATGTCACCAACAGGAACAAATGGGTCACCATCATCCCTCAACGAATATTCAGCGTTGCCTCAATCGTGGTTATAATTGGTCTGGCACTCGGCATCTATGGTGGTTGGTCATCCGCCGACGGCGACATGTCAACCAACAGTGAACTCAAGGCCTCCGTCATCATCTTCCCCGCAGTGTATGTGCTTTTCATTGGCATGTTCGCTCTCTTTGCACCCAGGTGGAATGAACTGCCAAAGCCTGAAAGTGGACTCCTTGCTTGCTTCGCTGTGTCTATCCCTTTCATGCTTGCGAGATACCTGTACAGCATCATCGGAGACTTCTCGCAACATCTGCGCCCCGAATTCAACCAACTGACCGGAAATGTCACAATTCTTCTTTGCATGGCTGTTCTGGAGGAGATCTTTGTTGTCGCGTTCTTTGTGATCTCGGGCTTGCGGTTGGCGAAGCTTCCCGAGTCTATGAGAGACAAACCCGAGGGCGAAACAGAAATGGGGGCTCGACGCTACTAATCTCTCGATGGGTGGAACGGATTGAATCTCCGCGTTCATATTTGTTATTATCAATTGACACGAGTTGGTGGCACGACATCCTCTTGTTAATTGGCGTGTAATGTTTATCTAATTTTTCCCGATTTCTCCAATTTCCTTTTGACTCCTAATTGAGCGCGTAGTCATTTTTTGGCTACATGATTAGCAACCTTGAGTTAACTACTTTATACTTTCACACCGATATGAATATTTACACAACATTATATGTACAATCCTTCTATAAGCTAATTGACACTCTGGCGCACATTTACTCGCATAAATTCCTAATTTGCTCTGATGCAAATTCATCAGGCCAAATGATCATTCCAAGTTACTGAAGCATAGGTCATTTCAGTTAATTCTGTAGTTGAATAATCCCGAATCCTGTGTACATCCTCTCTGGGCCTTGAGCACGTTCAGCTTTTCAACATACGACGCGTCTACACGTCTTGATCACACTCGAACGCCACATTTTCCACGTTGCCCACGTTGCCCGACCCCAAGCCCATGTGGCCACTGAGCCACACCCCGTATTTTCCATTAACTTTGAAATACTAAGATTATGCACGCCTCCCTACAAACCAAAGCCAGGGAGTAGCTAACTGACTCGCACAACACGGCTTTCCATGAATTTAGTAGGAGGGATCCACCAACTTTTTCCCTTGGCATATCAAATAGAATTGAAGATAGCTCAGGGCACTAGGCGTAGCTCAATCCCGACGCCCAAATTGCCTCTGTACGTTACTTGAAACATCGACATCAAAATCATGATCCACGGCTTCACCGATGCGTGTAGCGATCGGGCGTTATCTCAACATTGTAGTGTGGGTAAAATGCGATTCATGGTTACATTCAAATTGGAGTTCTTCAAATTGGAGTATCTCAAAGACTATACATAACAGATATAGATATGGATGTAGTAAATTGGGAAAGTGGTGATTCTTTTCGGCCAGGCCGAGAGCATAAAAAGCACCCCCGAACATAGTGTACGGCATTTCTGACCTATAGAGGTTCATACCATTGCATGGGTCATAAGGTTCCCCAACTCCTATATCGGCTCAGGAAGGTAGACCGGTCATGCCACGGCACCACACGCATAGATACATATGCTGACGCCCGATGGTAATTCGGCCTACCCGAAAATCCACGGAAATAAGACGACGACATCGGGAGACACCTTCCTTTGGCCCTGGCGCGCGTCACCCAATCCTTCTCTCCGTTCCCCGTACATTTCAAGATTCAAGGTTGATCCACAGCCTTGCAAGTTTGATCGACATATGATCTAACCCAGAACCCCCTTTTTTTCATGCTCCGCAGAAACTTGACGGAAATCTCCTTGGTTTCAGAACCTGAGACGAACTACAATGCTCCACTTGTATCTTTTTTTGGTGACTGATGAAACTTCAACACATTGCTTACATTTTTGCTTGGGCCGTTGCCACTGGTCTTATTTCTCACTTTCCTCCACTTATTAGTGGCTAGTGCTGACTTTATTTTCCAAAAGGGAAAGCAAGATGCTATGCTAGTCCAATCCGGGTTTCTGGTCTTGCAGGGGTCTGCAGTGTTTCTTGGCGCCCCACAGGGAGCATCAGAGCGGCTCGGAGCCATTCAATGAATGCTTATTCTTTCTGCAGGGAAACTGACACAAACCTTGGAAGAATGTGACCATGCGCGGCAGACCCAATAAACCAACTTCGATTTTAAGTAAGGCATATTACCTCATATTTGTTAGCGCTGCAGATCTGTAAAGCTAGTCTTCCAACATGTTGGAGAACGGAGACAGCTCTTGCTGTCCACCGCCGAATGTCGCAGATGAAATGGCCCCGGGGCCAAAATGCCCCCAGGAACTAGCCCCGGACGAACGACCCACTTTTATGATCACGATGAATGATCATTCTGCACTTTCCGCCGAATGTCCAAGCATTTCTTGCAGAGAAGGATTCGACCAGTCCACCTTTGCGGCCTGTGCCATCATCGCTGTTAATAGCCATTCATTATCAACTTGTCCCCGTTCGGCTTGGGGGCGCATTAGACTAATGGGGCGTAAACGCACAAACTCAATAGTGACGAAACATATTTTTCTAAGAAAGCCGAAATTATGCTAACCTCTTCTAACCAGGTTTGGTCTGCCTGAAGCACGTCGGTTGATCCCAACTCCACTTGATACGGAACAGCGTTGAATACGCATTTTGCCACGGGGCCACTCTGTTTCACTGGTCTGATGCGTTTATCGGCCATGTTCGACCACGGCTGGTGCTTATGCGCTATAGTCAATAAATAACTACCATAGCCTGCATAAATTCATTTCGTTCTCCTATACATCAGGATCAATACCCCACTCGGTGCTATTAAGGTATTCTTATTAAATACCAGCCTCATCCTACATTTGTGAGGCCTGCATCTGAGACGAAAGATACCCCCACGCTGCGCGTTCACGGTATTACGACTATAGCATTAATTCACGTCCTACATTCATTCAACAATCTTTTGAAAACATCCTTTCTACAAAATGTCTTCTGGTATGTCGATTCATGCTTCATTATCCCCCTCCTTACTAACCCATGTCATAGCTGCTCGATCATCTGGTTTCCCTGAGGGTACTAAGAGACGGCGCCGTGCGCCCAACGAGCTCGTCTGGACTCAACCCCGTACTATCTCACCTTCTCTTCACACAAATGCGAGGACAATCTCCGCCTCGCCTGATGTCTCAGCCAACAAGAACCCAACAATAAAGCATTCCTCACAACCAAAGCAGCCGCAGGCGGCCAACATGACTGGTTACTTAAGTCCATGCAGTCAACCAAGCACCATCCCAGATATGCCTGACTGGAAAATGAACCATGAATTCCTCGACTTCGCTGGTCCGACCGACGATGCCATGGTTCAAAATCTTTTCATGTCTGACGAAAGCCTCTTTTCTACTCCCCAGTCTATGGATTCACATTCGTTCTCCATGGGCATGGACACCGGTTTCATGGATCCCTCAGTCGCAGGAATGCTTAACGACGGTATGGACGGCCTTGATCCATCCATCTCCACAGATCCCCGTCTTAGCGTCTCTGGCTTAAGCGGGTTCAGCGCCATTCACCTTGCCGCACACTTTGGCAAGCTCTCCATCATCCACCTTCTACTCTCTGTCTGCCCCGAAGATGTAGACTTACTCAACCACGAGGGTCAAACTCCTTTACATATAGCCGCTTCCGAAGGCCACATCGAATTAATCCCTGAACTGCTTCGGGCTGGATCGAACGCTCTTATGCAAGATGCCGAGGGACGCACTGCACTGCACTTGGCCGTCCTAAAGGGCCATTCAGATGTCGTACGCCTGCTTTTGGATGATAATCAAGGCCAAGCGATGGTTCGAATCCCTGATAGCGCCGGAAGAACCTCTCTGCATCAGGCCGTTATGCAGGAATCTGGCCAGGCCGTGCGATTGATGCTTGAGCGGGGTGCTGATCCTCGCGCCCCCCTTGGTTAAGAAAGAACTTGGAAGAGCACTTGGGTTAAGGCTAGTTTGATAATGCCTTGTTGTGTCGGGTTATATGACACTCTGGGCCTTTTGCATTGTGGATAGGCGAATCCTTAGGTTGGCTCTTCACCGGACTGAACAATCTCTGCTGGCGGGGTGAATAATTCAGCTTATCTGGCGGAGAAGACCGAGGCCGAATCTACCACGCCTGTATCACCACCACATCATGTCGTTAGCGATTAATGCAGCGAAAATCTTTGTTATTTCAGCGATTGATTATTCTACTTCTTTGAGTACTTTTACAACATAAACTTTTGAAATATGAAACTAGTTTACGACCAAATATCTTCTTCTGTTCCTTTCTCTTGATGGATACTTAAAGAATAAAATAGCTAAGACGAGCGACCTTCTATACTAGCCTAATAGATTACTGCATTGGTTGTGTACTCTTCCTCCCGGCATTCGAATTCTTGAACCTTCCCAGGCCTGAGCACCAAGATAGTCGCCGCTAAGCGTAAGCTTATTCTAATGTTTGTTTATTACTCCTATGATTTAAATTGAACTAGACTTCCAACTTTCCAACACAGAGGCGCCATGATGTCTCGCCCAACTATTACCATCAGGCCTATGTAATGATTGAATTGCAAGCGGGGTTGAGCATGACGCTCTCGTATGATGCGTGAAGGATGAAGGAATTGCAGGCATTCTTGCAGTAATGGACCAAAATGGAAGGAGATTTGATCGGCCATGGCCGCCGTGTAGAGCTACTAACGTCCATAGTGCAATTAGCTTAAGGCTGAGTGGATGACGATGGGGTAATTGTCAGATATGAACGGCCCTCTCCTAGCACGTCATTCCCACTAGCCCCTGTCTGTTTGACCAATGGCCTAGCGTTCGCTTAGTGTGCCAACCATACGGCCACTCTGTCGGCAATAACCGGCCATTCCACTTTCAAAGCGATGTCCCACTTCATGTCCTGTGGTTCTATTCATAGCTTTCGGTGATAACCTCACTCTATGTGATAATTTTGTATGAATACATGCTACCTCACCTATTCGCATGTAAATTTGCATGGCTTTGAGATATCATCTCTGTTGCAGAGTTTGTTTGCCACGATTTGGGGGTTCCGAGGAAGTAATTGGTGTTTTCTCGTACCACGTCAGGATTCTGCATGGTGCATGGTGCATTAGTATTTTATTTTGCTATTGGATGCTATGACCTCATTGGGAAAATGGGGTTGTGCGAAGATCTACAATATTAAAGCCCCCATAGTAATTCCTGTCAGCAGCCCCACTATACGTGTGGTCTAATCTCTCCCTCTCTGCGCATTCTCCTTTTTTGCTTAGATGTTGGCATAATATAGATTATGTACAAAACATGGGTCAGTAGGAGTTTCTTGATCAGTCACACCGTCACATGCACTAAGGCACTTCGTGAGCTTATTATTCAACTAGGGCTCCTTGTCCGCGGCACAGCTATCAAGAAACCCACCAAGACCAAATCCCGTAGAGAGTCTGGGCTGTAATCCACGGCATGCTCGCATAAACACGGGAACTCGTGGTATGCAGATATTTTGGCATCTAAGATTCAAGCGGTCGAATCCACAAGCTGCCTTCGCCACGACTTCCAGTCTCAAATCTACATGGTAGAGTTGGAACCTCAACGCCCGATTTCGGGCGTGGCTCTCCAATAGCACGAAAGATTTGGTTGTTATTCCCAATTTTTCCGATCTCAGATACTTTAATTCGGCTTTTACATGCATATGGTAACTACGATTCGCGCGTTTTGCGTTTAAGAGGCGAGAGTGGTTGATCATAACTATCAACCCCGACATGAAACACTTTTATGGAGAAATCAGTGGCGCGGTCAAATGAATTGAAGAAAAATCAATTCTTCTATCTAGTTACTAGAGTTATCTCCCAACCGGAAAATTAGTGATACTGGATCATTGCAAAGTCACCCTAAATTTTTGTTTGTATCTCTTTAAACTGAACCATATCTTGCATCACTACGTCATTGCAGGATCTCAATCGTGGCTTTAAATCGATCTATTATAAGCATAAGCTCTCCGCCAGGGCTAATGAGTATTTTCTCATCCTTTGGATCCTCTGGCAAATGACCTGGCACGGCACAAATAAAAGAAATAACAATAAATAAATAAAAAGTGGACCCCGTACCAAAGTACGGCCAGCTCCGTGGGGGCTGAAGAAGATGACGTGAGTTGATTTTCTCTGGATAAATAAAGCATGGCGTGCAGAGGAAAATCCGAAACAAGCTAGGCGCAAAGTCTCCACCGCTTTGACTCCGTACGATTTCCAAATGAGGTTATTCAAAATTTCCTCGTCCACAAACGGCAATCTGTATACACTTATCATTGGGCGATTCAGCGCCCGTTCGCTCAGGATTCCGAGTCTGGTTAGTTTAAAATCGCAATGAAACTTGACAGTGGCAATCATCAGTTCTGCGACATGATAATCTGGAGAAGAATCCAACAAGAACATTCCGCGATCTTTTGAGCCGCTAAAACCTCATGTCTACACTCCACTTCCTTCCTGAAAGACCCTAGTGTGAGGCTTCTATCATCTGCGTCTCACTATGAACTACGCCCGGGCGATCAGAGAGGCAAAAGATCATCGCAAACCATTGGTTCGAAACACAGAGATATCGGAGTCGTTTCAACAACAGCCTATGGTGCTCGCGTTCCCTACATGGGAAAGTGGAGATGGATCAAGATGGCGACTACCGTGATAGAAGCTCCCCGAGATAGAAAGGGTACAAAAAGCCCTCTCGTCAGGAAGGCAAATTCAGAAATCCATCGAGTTTTCCTTCTAAACATTATACCCTCAATCAACTTAGAAGTCTACGATTATCATATTCAAAATGCGTGTTCTTATGCTTCACGGTCACGCTACTAGCGCCACCATCTTCAAGGCGCAGATGAGTGAGTAGTACTCTCATTGACAGCATCTATGATCCCATAGCTAACAATTATTCAACAGTGCCAATTATGGGCAAGTTAGGCAATGCCTACACATTTGACTTCATTGATGGTCCTGTCTCTTGCGCGCCACCAAAGGGCATGGGTCACCTCATCCCAACTGCCTACACGTGGTTCAAGACACCTTCCCTCGAGGGACTTCGTGAGAGTGCCGACTGGCTCACCAACTACATTGAGAAGAACGGCCCATATGACTGCATTTGCACATTCTCCAAGGGTGCCGTCCCAGTTATCACAATGATGATGGATGAGTCTCGTGAAGGTCACGAGCGACGCATGCGCTGTGCGCCCAAGTGCGTCGTTTTCATGAACGGAAGCATCGAGTATGCCCTCCTGGAGGAAAACGGACTGCCCGTCTCCGACCAAGCCCGCCGCACAAAGTACAAGTGCGAGTCAGTGGTCAAGGCCAAGCAAGATAGCATGGCTGCAATCTCAAGAGCTACTGTGAAGCCTGTTGGGGGCATCTGGGACGACAAGAAGGGACTTCTGCACAACTCTAAGAAAATCCCGCCACCATCCAACTGCTATGGTTTGGATTTCAACTTCTTGCCCCAGGAGTCTTTGATCAACATGCCTAGTGCCCACATCGTTGGTGCTAAGGACCCTATCTTCCCCTCCGGTGTGCAGCTGGCCAACCTGTTCAACCCGGACCTGCAATCATTCCACGACCACCAGGGTGGACACGATCTGCCCAGGACACCACAAGTGACCAACCACATTGCTGGTGTCTTCCGACAGCTGAATGTGGCTACCAGCGCTTAAGTGCTTGAAACCCATGGCAGAGCCATTTGTTACGAATTTTCTTAATCAAGTGCAAAGATGCGGGTCGTCTGAAATGCAGATCATACATGGAATTTATACACGGGGCGGCGTTCACATTGCTATTCATACATTCCATATGTTCATTTTACCCTAGCAAAATTGGAGTCAATCTTTTTCCATTTCAAAAAATCGTTAAAATTGTATTCTGGATAAAAGAGGCATAATCGACACGTAGACTGGAGTAAGTACGCATAGCCATGTAAAGTTTCTAGTTGGCGAATCCCCCATACAATTCCTTTTTACTCAATATGGAAGCACTGTATTTTTCATATTCTCCGAGTCGCCCATTTCATGAAGCGGTTCACCTCAGGTCACTGGAACTTGAAGGTGATGACTAGAGAAACTGACGTATACTTTACAACTTCCTCTTCAAAGTCTCCATTAATTGCTAGTATCTAGCTATGAACGCCACGGACATACTCTGGATTTTAATAAAGGAAAACATTCAATTTCCATGTTTTAAGCCCTGGGTAGTAGTAGTAGTATTAAGTTCCAATGGGTTTTGCAGGCAGTGGAAACTCAAGTTCAATTTGTTTAACAGGTCAGAAGTAACTGAGATATTACCTAGATATAGCATTCTTAGATTGATAGTTTCGCACATTGTGATTTGTGTCTAAATCCAACATTTTGTGTCTTTGAGGTATTGGCAAAATTGTTGAACTCCCATATTGAGAGAAGTAAACCCGCATTTTAGGTTTAGCTGCCGTGTTCACTTGCAGCACTTGAGTACAAAAGCATGATTAGATATTCTGCACAGCACAGTTAACTAATTCTCGAGAATGCCCCACATTGAATTGGTACACGGACAGACGAAGTCACTTTAAACCGCGTTGCGATGGGCCGGTGAGGTAACCGCGAAGCAAATATAAAAAAAGATATACTAAATTGTGTTCTATTTTGCCCTAAGAAAGAATGGAAACCACATTCAAAAGCACTATCTTTTTCAGACAAATGGATTTTTAATAGAATATGTAGACATAATATAAATAATATTTATTATGTTAGGTGCATTAACTATTTTAAGTAAAAATCCTATAGTATCTGCTTTATATTTAATGAAATATTTTTATTAATGATATGAAAGATAGTTAGTATTTTATTATTTTGAAATTTTTTATTAATTTTTAAAAATGAATTAGTACTTTTTATCTAAAAAGGGATATATAGTACTATATATATACTGATATATACCATCGACGACAACGCTTGACCCGAGCCCAGCATGGGACAACCATGGACCTATAATAAATATGGTTATATACATTAGATCTAATGTTTGACGAAAACTTTACATACACCAGTAGTCTTGCGACGTGCTTATTATTATTTTTGTTCTTCTTTTCCCGTCATGATCACTTCGAACTTATGTGCCCCATGGTACATAGATACCGCTCATCAGATAACGCTCATTTCTGCCAAATTTCTACCGCTCAGTGAACTGACCTGACACAACGCGACGCGACGCGACGCGACATAGTTTCATTATTTGCCGGGTGGAACACGCATAATTGGTCTGATTTGACCTAACTGCTGCCCGTAATCTGCCTACAAGCCTATCCCTCCATCAAGTATGGCTACTGAAGAGGTTATGGAGCAGGCGCCTACCGTGGCTCTTACTTCCAGTTCAGAAACAATTGACGAGAACGGGAGACGATTTCCTAACCGTGAAAGGCGATGGCTTAGTCGCGACTAGACTTTTCCTTGTTTCATTGACCGTCATGTCAAAATATATCCGGACGAATTCAACACGGTGGATGGGTCTGTCACAATTGTGGACTTGCTTCCGCACGTCATATCTAAAGATGCGTCTTCTGTTCGAACAATCCTCTGATGAGAAGATATTGCAATGGCGACACTAGAGTAGTGGATTTCCTTACCATTCTAAGAAAAGTCAACCTTTGGCCATCTTTGCATCCGTTCAAAACTTGTTCCGCCCTCGAGATCGTCCGTCGCATAATTACGGCCAAAACGGGCCTTGACCATGCTAAACTTTGCAATGGAGGCGTTGAATGTCTGTTTGAGAACCAGAAATCTGAGTTTGCTGACAGGGTAGACAAATCCTCAACTCAGTCAGCGGCTCGCAGTTATATCCTCTCCATCAGAACTAGGTCGAAGACAAGAAAGCCTGACATTGTATGGAAGAAGGGTAGTGTTGAAGACATTCGTGCGATGGCAAACTCGCATCAATAATTCCCGCTGATTTATTCCCTTTTCCCCTTTTGTTTTCGGTTTGTGTCGTCTGCACTAAGCCGCTAGTCAAAATCTGAATCGGAAGAAATGATCTTTACAAAGAGCTTTGATTTTATCATAATAGGCATGAATTCATACTAGTTTGACTATGAAAAGAATAAGGTCTAATTTAAGTTGTCTCCCGTGAGATAAACGCCAATACCAAACCCCAAAAATGATTCGCTGATGAATGCAAGGTGGATTTTTACCATCCATCCACAAGGGTCCACTTGACATCGAGGCCGTGAAGAGGTCTTGATGACAAGCTACCGAGGGTGATTGGCATCTTCTCCTCATCGTGAAGCTCTTGATCAACAAGCTCAAAGTTGAAGCGACCAACCCAAGCACCGACAATGCAAGCCATCTCGGCCTTGGAGAAGCCTTGAGCAACACAGCTGCGGCTACCCTGGAAGAAAGAGAGATTGGTATACTTGTTGGTGCAACCACCACTGGGCTTGAAGGTGCCATCGGGGTTGAGGAATCGGTGAGGGTTGAATACACCAGCATCAGGACCCCAGAAGCGAGTGTCACGCTGAAGACCCTTGAAGGGGACAACGATCCAAGTACCCTTGGGGATGAGAACACCATCAATAACCACGTCACGGAGAGGCTCACGCATGTTCTGTGGGATAGGTGGCAACCAGCGGAGAACTTCATGGGTGAATGCTTGCATCATGGGCATGTTTTCAAGGTCAGCAGAGGTAACACCTGCACCGTTCTTTTCATCATCGGCGTTGGGGTCTGGGAAGACGCGACGAGCTTCCTCACGAAGGATAGGCTGCCACTCGGGGTGTAAGCAAAGCATGTAGATAGACCATGTGATTCCAACGGAGATAGTTTCGTGACCAGCTGCCAGGAAAGTAGCCATTTGATCGATAGTGTCTTCCTCATCGGCATTCGCAGTCTCGGCGTACTTGAAGCACAAACTCAACAGATCCTTTCCGGTGTTGGTCTTCTCGGCTTCTTTCAAACGTCGCTCACGCAGTAGACGGCGGAACTCGCCACGAATGATAGGCACGGCGTTATCCTGAGCAGAGTTCCACTTGTCGGGAAGCATGTCAACGTACCACTCAGGGATGAACACCTTGAGCATAGCATGGGCGACGTGACCACGAGATGGCTCAATGGATTGACGGTAAGCGGTCGCCATTGGGGCATCCTCATCCTGGATTGAACCGAAATCCGCACCAAGGGTAGCCATTCCAATGATATCAAGAGCAGCACGAGATGACCAGTTACCAATTTCGAAGACGGCGCCTTCATTCTTAGACCAGGGGATTGTTTGGGACTCAAGGACATGTTGTGTCAGCTTCTGAGTCACCTCGCGGGTCTTGCCCCAGAAGATAGGGAACATTTCACGGATGTGCTGAGGAGCAAAAATAGGCATAAAGACTCGGCGTTGATGGCGGTGCTTGTCAAGTTCAGCGAGAACAAGACCCTCGCCCAGAACCTTTCCGGCAATAGCCTTCGCTGGGGAGGGCTTCTTGAAGTCATCGGTGTGGGTAGCAATATGTTGTACAGCCTGAGGCGATGTGACAATGACTCGTTGCATGTTTAGGAGACTTCGGTAGTAGACAAATCCTTCATTAGGAACTTGATACATCCTGGATAGAGAAAGTTTAGTTAGCAAATGAAGGGTTCCCAGAGTTGAACATGAATTTAGAATTCGGGTATGTTGATGGGTACACACCATCTTCTCTCACACTCGCCAGTGCCATTCATGAAAATGTCTCGGAAGTGACCATTTAGCCAGCTACCACCCTGTATTCAGTTAGTATTTGTCGATTTTGAACAGAAAATGGGTTATCTTACCTTGACCTGGGGCAGCTTGGTAAGAGGGGTGAGGTATAGTGGCCAGATGATTCTGGCATAAACAAAGTATCCAAAGAGAGCGATGGATTCCAAGATAGAGAAACATCCTAACCAGCCAACACGGGCTGTGAACCCCTCGTCTGGTCCATAACGAGCTACAGCATAGGTTGCCCCAACTATGGCGATCTGGATAAGTTTCCAGACAATAGGCGCCATCTTTGCGCTTGTTTCAATAAGATAATGGAATAATTGTCGTAAAGCTCAAATACGAATTAAGAAAATAGTATGAGTAAGAGATCGACTGTCGATAGTCACAACCAAAAGTCAAAGTATAAGTGAAGGAGTCCAGCCAGCTGGAGTTGTTCAATGATGATGCGATGAATTGAAATCTCTGTTTGAGCGGCACCAACGCCCTGTTAATAAAGCAATTCATCTTCGCATTCGACTGAAATCCGTGGTAATCTCTGAGCCACCCAGAGTCGAGTAGTTTCAATGCCGTTTCCATATGGGGAAAACGATATGTCGTTTGCGTATTTCCTAGAGCAATGTGCAAATCAGTCAGCCCACAAGGTTGTATAATCTGGCAATATTTCTTCACGCAGACAACTCCATAGGCCAGAATAATCGGACCATGCGTTTCAACATCTCGCCATTGATGTTGCCGAATTCGGCAAGCTCGATGTCGTTTATTCAGAATAATAGGCTCAATTTGACTTGAACTTTCCTTAATTCGCTTAGCGGCCGATCGTTCTTCACTGTAAATTAGCCATATTCGACCAAACGAAGTAAGCCCCAGTGTCGATCACTCGCCTTATAGGTCGGAAAATACCTGAATTGCCTGATGGGACTTACATAATATGATGTCTTGGCCACAATCTGGGGTTAATTTGCCTGTATGCCTACAACCTAATCTAAGCTACTTAGAGAAGGTGGGGAACATGTTGCTGTTTAAACGAAATACGAAACTTAGACCAAAAAGGTGATGGTTTCAGCGCCTCAGCGCTTGCTTCCTAAAAGAGATTCCTCAATAGGCACAGTGTGGATTGCCACCAGGGCACCGGCTTACTTGCCACTGTACGATTTCTGTCTTTTATTTTGACCGAGGACGATGAACATCGTCAGTATGATTTTGACATATGAATGGCCATGTGCGCCCTTCTTTGGTCGTGATTGTACTTAAGCTGGATAATTATCCCAATATTCTGTAGGCGTGTCTAATAAATCCGTTAAGTGTCTTTCGTAGTAGATATAACATGGGTCATAAGTATTGAAAAAAAAATTAAATTGCACATCATTCGTCGTTTTTCAATTTTATTAACTCTTTTTATCGTGCACCCATCGCTACTGTCTCTCTTATGTCTATTTGTAATATGACTTTATCCGTAGATGAGGGAGAACATTAGATTGCGCATGATTCGTAGTTATTCAATTTTATTTCCTTTTCTTCAGAAGACATTCGCCGTGATACTATACAAGAAGTGAACAATTTTTATCGTATGCGGCGTATTTTACGGAGTTGAGAAACATGTAAATTAGGAGGAAAAAATAGGTTTGCAAAATAGTATTCCTGTCGAATCTGACCTGCATATACTAAGGAATAATGGTACATATGTTTGAGTATGAGTTTCTATAAAGGGTAATCCAAAAAAGTGACATTACTTAGTTAGGCAATCATATGCCCCGCAGTAATTCCGTTGTATCATGCGCCCGTGAGAAAAAGGTAATTTCGAAAAATTATGGGACAGAGTAGACCAGCTTGGTACCAGAGATCTCACCGCGACGAAGCTTCTGCACACCTTCCTTCACACCTGCCAGTCCATTAGGCTCGAGCTGCAGTGGGTGGGGCTTGATCGCTCCAGTGTCCAGCATGTGCTGGAGACGATCGAACCAAGGGTCACACAGTGCACGAAGACGGGGCTCAGGCTCGCACTTGAAAGGAGCAGGCCAGGCACAAGGGTCACCAGCAATACGGGTAGCCAGAATCCAGTCCGGGGTGATAACCTTGCGCTTAGAAGCCAGAGTATCGTTGATAGGGTTCAGCGCGACATAGTTACCACCGGCACGGCCCATGGCAGCGTAACAGAAACGCATCGAGTGATCTTCGGAGATACAGTCAATGACCCACTCCAAGCAGTTGCCGTAATCCTCACGGATCTTTTGGGCGCAGTTCTCAGACTTGTAGTCGTACACGTAGTCCGCACCGTAAGACTTGACTAGATCGAAGTTGTGGGGCGAGCAAGTCGTAATAATAGGGAAGCCACAGCTAATTACTGTGTTAGCGTATCCGAAACCTAAGAAGCAAAGGGCAACTAAATCATATACTTACTATTTCAAGAACTGCATGATCATAGTACCAGTCGCAGTACTGCCACCATATACCAGAACAGGGGCGAGTCCTCCCTCTGGCCTCTCACCATCCAGAAGGCCAAGAGACCAGGGCATAGCCCAGAACATAGACATACAAGCCGAAGCAAGAGCCGTTCCCAGAGTGGCAGCCTCTTCCATAGTCATATGCTCTGGAACCTTCAAGGCCAGAACATTATCAAGTTTAATATATTCAGCGAAGGCACCGCCCTCAGGCTTGAATTTGTTCACTGAAGATACATTGTTAGCATAGTTCGCCCATGTGTTAGTTCAAATGATAGCTTACTTCCACTAGCACTACCGCACACACGGTCGCCGATCTTCAGATTACGGTGACCATCCTTACCAATGGCAACGACGCGACCAGCGCAGTCGAAGCCCCAGATAAGACCAGGAGTCACGAACTCAGAACCCATAAGCTTGGTATCGACGGGATTCAATCCTATCCTCTCAACCTTAACGAGGACTTCATGGTCCAGAAGGGTTGGGATCGGTAACTTATCCGACACTTCATATCCAAGGTCCTCACCGGCGATGAGGGCCTTCATTGTCGGAGGCAAGTTCGCGATACCAGGCATTTTTGTTTAATATTTGATGAATTTGTCAAAAGGTGTAAAGTGAAACGAAGGAACGACGAAAGAAGGAATGCTGAATTGCCCGCTTTATGTGATGTTCCTTCTGAGATAATTTAACCTAGCGATTGTTTCCTAGGTTATAAAGATATATGCTTTGACAATAAGAGGAAGCCCATGAATAGTACAGATATAATCCCACCAGACGCCCTGGACAACGTATTCTGATTGGCTAATTAGCAGCCCCCAATCTCCTACTATGGGCAATGACGTACTAACCTAGCAGTGGGGGCTTACAGGGGCTTCTAAGGCTTATGGGGGCTTGTTTCAACCTTGAGAGCCAGTTCGTTGCCTTTTTTTTAAAAAAGAAATTGATTTTTGCTGCGTCAGTGGGGGCTCAATTTCTGTAATGCCATGCATCTGGATTCGTCAGGGTGAGCTTATGCTAGTGTCAGATTAGCTTATGGCGTCAGTGGGGGCTTGACTCTTCAGTGGTTTTAGCAAATAGCCTCGCCCAGTGGGGGCCGATTGTTATTCTGGTTCGGCCAGGCATTAGCCCCTACCTCGGTTCTCCATCCATCTTAGCGGCGGCTAGGCTCGCGTGCAGATCTTGACAGGTCCATAAATGTGTAATTATAGTTCATAGTAGAGGAGAATTCAGGACCACGTGAGGATTGCTGAACGGTCAGATTCTAATTTAAAAAGTTTTTTTGGCCCTCCACCGGAGAATCTGAGTTGCGGGGGCCAAGTTTAGCGGATTTCCTTACAGAGAAGATCAATATCCTTTTTAGGAAATAATCTGAAATCAGCAAACTAGTTGCATGAGTCTGGGCTGATTGTCTATTCCTCTCCTTGTCATCTTGAATTTGCACATTGTCTGATTCCAACGCAGGTCGTTGAATATTGCGCAAGCTATCCAATTCTACCATATTTTCTCCATATCATCGACATTGTCAATTTAATACTCCATATTTTCTACGCATTTTCTATCTGACAGAGTCAAATTGTTACACGAAGTGAGTGGGTAAAGCACAACGACTTTGACACCATGCATTTCTCTTATATTATTGCCGGCGCGGTATTGGTGCTGTTATGTGCACGAATTCGTCGATATTTGGAGATTCGAGCTTTTAAAAAAGCCAATCACTGCAAGCCACCAGTCCGCAGTCCCCAGAGTGAACGAATTATTGGTTGGCGAGCGTACAAGTTGATGAAAAAAGCTCGAGATGACCATGTCGCTCTGCCAGAATCTTTCAACAGAGCCATGAAATTTGGCCGCACTCACACTATTATTATCCTGGGACATGAAGTCATTACAACATGCGATCCAGAGTGCATTAAAACTATTCTTGCAACCAAATTCACCGACTTTGGTATTGGTCCCAGAGAATCCGCATGGGGACCTCTATTGGGCAGGGGAATCTTCACCACGGATGGCCCATCATGGCAGCATTCTAGAGTAGGTCTCAGGTTCTGGCTTTCCGTCAAATAAGGACCATTGAAAACATCCTAACATTTTAATAGGCTTTGATTCGTCCTGGTTTCACACGTTCACAGGTTTCCGACTTGGAAACATTTGAAACGCATGTACAAGCTTTAATTTCATGCCTTCCCACCGAAGATGGCGTGACAGTTGATTTGCAGCCCTTGTTCTTCAATCTTACCATCGACAGTGCTACGGACTTCTTACTTGGGCACTCAGTGCACACTCAAGGAAGCGCACCTGGGACAGCCTCGCAGGAGTTCTCCGAAGGGTTCGACTACGCAGCATCATTTCTTCACAAACGTGAGGAAGTGGGCAAGCTTGCATTCCTTGTTGGTGGACGTAAATTCAAAGAGGCATGTGCCAACGTTCATAAATTCACTGATGGATACATCCATGAAGCTCTTCGTGGTGGCAACAAAGTTGGTAGATACAACTTGCTCGCGGAGTTGGCAGAACAATCCAACGATCCTATTCAAATCAGAAATGAGTTGTTGAACATTCTACTTGCAGCAAGAGATACAACTGCCGGCTTGCTTAGCAGTGTTTTCTATCTCTTGTCTCGTAACCCTGAAAAGTGGGACAAGCTAAACCAAGAGATTGAAGCAATGGCGGGTGGTCAAATCCCCGACTATAAGGTTCTGAAGGAGATGCCGTACTTGAAGGCTGTCCTCAATGAGAGTAAAAACCTCCAATCCTTTTTTTTTCCGTCAGAAAAAACATGCTGACACTGAATAACAGCTCTTCGCCTCTTTCCTCCGGTACCAATCAATGCACGCTATGCACTAAAGGATACTACACTTCCACGTGGTGGAGGCCCAGATGGGCTATCCCCCATGTTCGTTCCCAAAGGAGCCCGTATGTTCTACTCTGTCTGGGCTTTGCACCGTCTCCCAGAAACCTGGGGCAATGACGCAGAGGCTTTCCGTCCTGAGCGCTGGTTGGATGAGAAGAACCCTCTACGACCTGGATGGGGCTATCTGGTGAGTTTACTCCATTCCAGACGATCATGCTTACCCCTGCCTCCTTGAAGGAGTTGCCAAACTCAAAAATCCACAAGATCCAGCGCGCTAACTTAACAAATTAAGCCCTTCAATGGAGGGCCCAGATTGTGCTTGGGGCAGCAAAGTGCCCTGGTTGAGACTAGCTACCTCGTGGCTCGGATGTTACAAACTTTTGGGCGTATTGAGCCTAGAGATCCTTTGCCCTGGAAGGAGCATTTGGCTGTTACCATGAGCTGCCAGAGCGGCTGTAAGATTGCGTTGTGGAAAAAGAAAGATTAGATCTACAGTTTCTAGTGGTGGAAATCTTTGATATGTTTTATGAATATGATTAGCAAGCTCTCCTATAGTACCAATGCATTATTGCTTCAAGTTTGATCAAATAAATTAACCATCTTTTTTGATTACATGTTGTTCACTGAGATTAATTCACACTACATTTTCGACGCCGTCTTTTCAAATCTTCAAGTTTGCAATTATTTGAAAGATTAAACATATTTGGCTACTGTTGGTCTAGAAATGAAACTTCAAATTACAATTTTGAAAGTAAAGCTTGAAAATACTACTAGTACTATTGAAACCTCCCATTCCTGCTATAAAAAGATTCGGGATGTATATTTTAAAATGCTACCTTTGAGTTTTGATTGAGACATCGAATTGAACAGCACACGACCTTTGGGTTTAATGTGCTTAGAATATCCATTTAGTCTTACATTGGCTGCTTAGTAGAGTATCTTGTTGACCATCTAGGTTAGTATGGAAGAATGAAGAACGCCCTACTCACGTGCTACTACTTTGTGAACCATCATCAATATTGAGATTACTTGCCTGAAGGATCAATTTGCATGTATGGCTAGCACATCTCCAACTTCCATCCAATCAGCACTAAAAGCCTTGGGGCGTGAAGTGCTGACTATGACGCACGGGGCTGGGGAAACTTGATAAGGCTACCTTGATGCCCTCAGACAACACGGGGCCAAAAGCTGCGACGGGCTAGTTCCAACAGCTGCAGTAATCTGTGTTAGCAAGGAAGCGCGGTTACTCCAGTGGAGCTTGTTTCAAGACGGATTCTAAAAGGGTTAGGTCATCGTTTCTTCAGAGGCTAGTTAACTATGATGTACGTAAGACTAATGACCGATCTGTTGCCGAAAACCCCTACTCATTCTCCTCCAGTAAGCGACCGTATAGCCCCCAAGCATGAAATGAAACACTCCACTCTCGTGGTCGGAGTTATTCTGGAAGAATTGGCCCCGGGGACAAAAGAAAACACAATGAACTAAATAAATCTTTAAAGTTCCCGAATCATCGTCATTGTTCCCGATCATGCACCAATCACACTAATCAAATTTGGCAAGTCATTACTGTTTTTGGGGGTTGCCACTAAAAAGGCCCCCAATGGGGGCCCAAATGTGATAATGGTCTAAGACGCTCCTGGGAGTATATTTTGGGGGCTTTGGGGCCGTGCGGGTACCTGTGAATATTGGCCCCACTGGTCTACTACACTGGCTTGTCAGGCTGTATGCATCCTGCAGATAGCGTTGATTCGTCAGATTTTAGGGTAGTTATGAATCCATGGCACACTACGGTATATAACTATCGAAGCTCTCGACTTCAACTAGGTCATCATAAATCAAACACATCTGGGCTGACTACCTTCTCACTCTATTCTCTTCATTCTATCTATTATTCACCCAGCTTCAATTCTACTAGCGACTTCGCTTCTCAAACACTCTCCTTCGACATTATCGATCACTCTATTTATCCATCCTTCCTAGCATTTCGAAGCATTCCTAGCAATAATTACTCGCAATGTCTTACGTGAACGAGCCTATCGCCGTCATCGGTACTGGTTGCCGATTTCCAGGCGCTTCCACCTCTCCTTCCAAGCTCTGGGAGCTTATGAAATCACCACGCGACGTCGGAAGCAAGATTGACCGCTTCAATGCGGACGGTTTCTACCACAAGGATGGTAGTCACCATGGAACCAGTAACGTACTGAACTCTTATTTGATTGATGAGGATACGCGCCAGTTTGATGCTCAGTTCTTCAACATTCCTGGTTCCGAGGCGGATGGAATCGACCCCCAACAGCGGGTTCTGATGGAGGTCGTTTATGAGGCGCTGGAAGCCTCGGGTCATAAAATTGAGGAGCTATCTGGCACTCAAACCGCCGTTTATGTCGGTCTGATGTGTAACGATTATGCGCATATTACATACCATGACTTGGAGTCGATCCCCAAGTATGCTGCTACTGGTACTGCCGCTAGCATTCTATCTAACCGAATTTCTTATTACTTTAATTGGTGAGTAATTCATTATTAAGCATACTGTTTCCTATCTTGCAGGATTTAGCTTACAATTGTTCCTTTCCAGGACCGGTCCTTCTATGACTATTGATACTGCCTGCTCCTCCAGTCTTATTGCCACACATCAGGCAGTTGAGACTCTCCGGAACGGAACATCAAATGTCGCAGTCGCGGCTGGAGCTAACTTGATCTTTGGACCCAGTAAGTATTCTCGGCTTCTATCCTCCTTATTATTCCAAACATTTCAAGTTTTTTCAATACTAACCAGCTTACGCCAACAGCCAACTATGTTGCCGAAAGTAACGTTAGCATGCTTTCGCCCACTGGCCGCAGTCGCATGTGGGATAACAAGGCCGATGGTTACGCCCGTGGTGAGGGTGTCGCTGCCGTCATTCTCAAGCGTCTCAGCGACGCCATCGCCGACGGTGATACCATCGACTGTGTTATTCGTGAGACCGGTGTGAACCAAGACGGTCGCACTCCCGGAATCACCATGCCCAGCAGCACCGCCCAGGCTCAGCTTATCCGCCAGACGTATGCCAAGGCCGGTCTCGACCTCGTGAAGGACCGCTGCCAGTACTTCGAGGCTCACGGTACTGGTACCAAGGCTGGTGACCCCCAGGAGGCCGGTGCTATCTACCGGGCTTTCTTCGGCGAAAACGCCAGCGAGGACCCCAACGACAAGCTCTACGTCGGATCCATCAAGACTATCATTGGTCACACTGAGGGTACTGCTGGACTCGCTGGCTTGATCCGAGCATCTCTTGCCATGAAGCATGGATTCATTCCTCCCAACATGCACTTTGATGAGCTCAACCCGGATGTTGAGCCTTACTACGGTAAGCTCGAGATCGTTAAGGCGGCTCAGCCATGGCCTACATTGCCTGCCGGTGTCCCCAAGCGTGCCAGTGTCAACAGCTTTGGCTTTGGTGGTGCCAACGCCCACGCTATCATTGAGTCTTACGAGCCCGCCACTGCTGTCGCTGAAGTTGCTACTCGGGATACAACCTCACCGGTGCCATTCTTGTTCTCAGCCAACTCTGAGAAGGCACTGAGCGCCCAGATCGAGAAGTACCTTGCCTTCTTGGATGAGGTCGATGTCGAGAACACCAACATTCGCGACTTGGCCTGGACTCTCTCTCGCCGCTCTGCCTTCCCTATCCGTGTTCCTGTCTCTGCCCTTACACTGGACACTCTGCGCAGCAAGCTTAACGCTGCAATGGAGGCCAAGAAGAGCGACGGCACCGCTCTTGGTGTTCGTCCCTCCCACAAGGCTACCAAGATCCTGGGTGTCTTCACTGGTCAGGGTGCCCAATGGGCCCGCATGGGTTACAAGCTAATTGAGACCTCTCCTTTCGCCGAATCCCTGATCAAGGCACTGGATGAGACTCTGCAGGCCCTTCCAGAGCAAGACCGCCCCGACTGGACCCTTCAAGGAGAACTGGCTAAGCCTGCTGATGAGTCTCGCATTATGGAAGGTACCTACTCTCAGCCCCTGTGTGCCGCCCTGCAGATCGTTCTCGTTGAGCTGCTGAAGCAGGCTGGTGTCACCTTTGATGTTGTGGTCGGTCACTCTTCTGGTGAGATCGGAGCTGCTTTTGCTGCTGGCTTCCTCAGTGCTCGCGATGCCATTCGTATTGCGTACTACCGTGGTCTCTATGGTAAGCTGGCCGGAGCTCCTGGCGATGTCTCTGGCTCAATGATGGCTGTTGGTACTTCCATGGAGGATGCCAGAGAATTGGCCGAGCTTCCAACCATGAAGCGTCACGGACGATTCAACGTTGCTGCTAGCAACTCCTCCGCCAGTGTGACTGTATCTGGTGACGAGAAGGCAATTGAGCGTGCTAAGTTCATCTTCGAGGATGAGAGCAAGTTCGTGCGTCAACTCAAGGTCGACACTGCTTACCACTCGCACCACATGGAGCCTTGCTCTGAGCCGTACATGGATGCGATGGCCCGCAACAAGGTTGCCGCCTGCGACCCTAACCCTTCATGCAAGTGGTACTCTTCGGTGCTCGGAGGTGACCTTGTCACTGGTGACATGAAGGAGCAGCTTGCTGGCTCATACTGGAGAGACAATCTGCTCCAGCCTGTACTGTTCTCCCAGGCTCTCGAGGCCGCTGTCAAGGCCGAGGGTGCCCCAGCTTTGGCCTTGGAGGTTGGTCCTCACCCAGCTCTCAAGGGACCAGCCAGTCTCGTCATTGAAGAAGCTGTTGGTTCTATGGTTCCTTACTCCGGCGTGCTCGGTCGCAAGTCAGACGATGTCGAGGCTTTCTCCGATGCAATTGGTGCCGTGTGGGCTAATGTCGGTACCACTGACTTGAACTACGGAGCTCTCGATGGTGCTTTTGTCAGCGATCCTCTTGACAAGCCCAAGTTCCTGCGTACAACCCCTGCCTACTCCTGGGACCACAACCAGGTCTTCTGGGCTGAATCTCGTCTGTCGAAGGCTATGCGTATGCGTAGCACCCCTCCCCATGAGTTGCTGGGCAACCGTATTGACAGTGGTGAAAATGAGATGCGCTGGCGCAACTTCTTGAAGCCAACCGAGATGCCTTGGACCCGTGGTCACTCTATCCAGGGCCAGACTATCTTCCCCGGTGCTGGTTTCGCTTCTATGGCTATTGAGGCCAGCAAGGGTTTTGCGGATGACTTCGGTGAGCAGATTGAACTCGTCGAGCTTGAGGATCTGAAGATCCACCGCGCCTTGGGTTTCATGGATGAGCAAGTTGGTGTTGAGATCGTTGTGAGTCTTAGCAACATCTTGCATGATGACACTTCTGGTCTCGTCACCTTCGACTACACCTGCTCAGCCGTTCCCTCCAAGGACGCACCTTTGGCCACCCACGCTACAGCTCGTGTTAAGCTCACCCTTGGTCTCGGTACCGCGGACACCCTTCCCGCTCGCGAGCCTCGATCCGAGGCCGACAAGATGACCGATGTCGACCCCGAGATCTTTTACAACTCTCTCGCCAAGCTGGGCTACAACTACGATGGCATGTTCAAGACTGTCACCTACATGAACCGTCGCACCATGACATCTTCTGGTACTATCCACACAGCATCCGAAGATGGATACAAGCCCGACTTGATTGTTCACCCCGCACCCCTGGATGTTGCATTCCAAGGTCTGTTCGGTGCCATCGGAGCACCCGGTGACGGTCAGCTCTGGACATTGATGGTTCCTACCATCATCCGCTCAATCAAGGTCAACCCCTCTACCTGCAAGACTGGCTGTGTTGACACCGATCTTTCCTTCGATGCCAATGTTGAGGTGGACCGATCCAACTTGGATATTGCTGGTGACATCGATGTCTTCGACGAGAACGGCAACGCCATCATGCAAATTGAGGGTCTTTCCGTTACTCCAGTGACTCAGATCACTGCCAAGGATGATGGCCAGAAGTTCTCCAAGATCTTCTGGGACACTGAGCGAAACGATGCCACCCGCTCTTTCAAGAAGTTCTGGGAGCAGGACTCTGAGAACGTGGAGAAGGCCGAGTTCTTCGAGCGTGTCTGCTTCTCTTACATGAAGCAGCTGCATGACAGCATCAAGCCCGAGGATATCCAAGATGCGGAACCTCAGAACAGGAAGTACCTTGCCTGGGCTACTTCCGTCGTCAATGCTGTGGCTGAAGGATCTCACCCAACCATCAAGAAAGAGTGGCTGAGCGACTCTAGGGAGTCCCTGGAGTCCCAGTTGAATGAGTAAGTCAAAACAACAACACAAGGATATTTGAAGAGAATTTACTAATCGCTATGATACAGTTACGCTATGGAGGACGAAGCTTTCCAGACTGTCATGACCCTTGGAGAGAACCTCGTTTCTCTTGTCCGTGGCGAGACCTCCGTTGAGGATGTTTTCGGTGATGCCAACGCTCTGAGCAACGTCCAGACATATGGTACTTCTGAGTACACCGACTTCCTCGGGGATCTTGTTGGCCAGCTTGGTCATAAGGCCAAGCAGATGGATATTCTCGAGATCAACGCCGGTGCCGGTGCTGCCACTGAGGCGATCCTGAACCGTGTCGGTTACCACGTTGGTTCCTACACTTACACTGATCTTACCAACGATCTCTTCGAGGAGGCCCAAGAGCTTTTCAAGGAGCATGACTCTCGCTTCGGTTACCGGGCCTTCGACTTGGAGAAGGACCTTGAAGAGCAAGGTTTCCGTGAGGAAAGCTACGACCTCATTGTCGCCTCTCGAGGCTTGCACGCCTCCAAGAGCATTGATGAGACCCTGACTAATGCCCGCAAGCTTCTCAAGGCTGGTGGATTCCTTGTTCTCCTCGAGACTACTGAGACCGGTGTCGTGCACTCTTCCTTCTTTGGTGGTCTGTCGCCATCTTGGTGGGTTACCGAGGAAGAGAATGATGAGCGCGTTGAGCAGCCTCTTCTCGCCAAGAAGGACTGGGATTCAGCTTTGAAGAAGGCTGGCTTCTCCGGTGTTGACACTGCCACTCCTGAGACTGGTCTGTCCGCTGTTCCCTTCACTCTTATGCTGACCCAGGCTGTCGACACCCAGATGCAGCTCATCAGAGAGCCACTTAACCTTGACAACGAGGGATCCATCAAGGTTCCTAAGCTTCTTGTCATTTCTGGTGAGACCGAAGCCACCGCTCGTATTCAGGAAGAGGTCCTTGAGCTTCTCAAGCCCTTCACAACTGAGGTCGAGATTGTTGCCAAGGTTGAGGACTTGAAGGCCGAGCAATTTGAGCCAAAGCAGCTGGTCATCAGTTTCATGGAGCTCGACCACAACATTTTCAACCCCTTCACTGCTGAGCGATGGAGCGCCATTCAGCTTCTTTCTGAGAAGGCACTCAACATTCTCTGGATGACTCGTGGTGTGAGCGGTGACAACGCATTTGCCAACATGATGGTTGGTGTGTCCCGTGCTCTGGTTCATGAGAAGCCTGATCTTCGCATTTCTCTTCTTGATTTCGCGACCAATGAGCCCATCGATACCAAGTACATTGCCAGCACCCTTTTGCGAAAGGTTGTTTCCCAGAACTGGAAGAACTGGGCTGAGACCTACGTCACCAGCTGGGTCTTGGAGCGTGAGATTCGCGCCGTGGGTGGTGAGAAGTGGATCCCACGTATGGCTCCTTGCGATGGCCTGGACCAGCAATACAACGCCTCCCGCCGAAAGGTCCACAACAAGGTTTCTCTCAAGGATACTGTTCTTTCTCTCGACAGCAATAAGGGTGTCACTGAGCTTCACCAGGTCAAGAAGGCTCACTGGGAAGTTGAGGAGCGCACTAACCTTGTTGAGATCGAGACTCTCCGCACTACCTTGGCAGCTCTTGCAGTTCCTTCCGTTGGATCTGTTCACCTGCTTGTCGGTAAGGTTGTTGGAGAAGACCAGACCGTTCTGGCTCTGACTGAGACCGTGCAATCGAAGATCTCTATCCCTGAGAACCAGGTTCTTCGTGTTGACGTTCCCGAGGACCAGACTCAGGAGCTCCTTGTGGCTGCTACGAACTTCCTTCTTGGTAACTACTTGGTCTCGCAGACTACCAAGAACACCTCACTGTTGGTTCACGAGCCAACCGATGCTTTGACTGTTGCTCTGACAGACTTGTCTCGCTCTCGCAACATCGCTGTTGGTCTGACAACCTCCGACCCCTTGCGCCAGAGCAACGATGTGCAGATTAACTTCGTCCACCCCGCTGCTCACCGTCGCAAGATTAAGTCTATTCTGCCTGCCAAGCTGTCTACCTACGCCTACTTCACAGGCGAGCATGAATCGGCCCGTTCTGGTGCCCATCTGGAGGCACACCTCCCATCTTGGGTCAAGCGTGTCTCTTCTGACAAGTTCTTGGGCGAGCGTGCTGATCTTGAGTCATCTGCGGATATTCTTAACCTGCTTACGCAGGCTGAGACCTTCTACAAGGACCACTCCGACCTTGACACTACTGAGCATGTCGAGGAGCTGACTCTGGCTGACATTACCAGCTACCAACAGGACAAGTCTCACTTCAAGATTGAGACCCTTGACATGTCCCCTGAGCAGGAGTTCGCTACCAGCACCCTCCGAACCCCCGAGGATGTTGTCAAGTTCCGTGGCGACAAGACTTACTGGCTCGCCGGTCTTACTGGTGACCTTGGTCTGTCTCTTACTCGCTGGCTGATCTCGCGTGGTGCTCGCCACATTGTGCTCACCTCACGTAACCCCAAGATTGATGCTGCGTGGTTGGATGCCATGAACGCCAATGCCACTGTGAAGGCCTTGCCTATGGACATCACCAACATGGAGTCTGTCCAGAAGACTTACAACACCATCCTCGAGACTATGCCACCTGTGGCTGGTGTCTGCAACGGTGCCATGGTTCTTCACGATGGTCTTGTTGCTAACCAGTCATACGAGGACTTCAACGGCACCCTGGAGCCCAAGGTCAAGGGAACCCAGTACCTCGATGCTTTGTTCCCCAACAACGACTTGGACTTCTTCATCATCTTCTCGTCGCTTTCCTATGTCACTGGAAATGTTGGACAGGCCAGTTACGCCGCTGCCAATGGTTTCATGTCCAGTATGGCTGAGGGTCGTCGCCAGCGAGGACTTGCTGGTTCCGTCATGCACTTGGCTGGTATCTACGGTATTGGATATGTCACTCGTCGCGAGGCCAACCTGCTGGACCGTCTCGAGAAGATGGGTTACTCTAACATCTCCGAGTGGGACTACCTCCAGTACTTCGCTCAGGCCGTGCTGGCTGGTAAGCCCGACAACGGCTCCGATGGTATCTGGGAGTTCACTTCTGGTATCAAGCCAGTCAACAGTGACAACGACAACCCTCCCCCATGGATCGATGTTCCCCGTTTCTCCTGGTACCGTCGTGTGCGCTCCAAGAACAACGACGGCGCTGATGGTGAGAAGGTCTCTGTCCGTGACAACATCAAGGAGCAGACTACCATGGATGGTGTTAAGGCAGCTCTACTTGAAGGTTTCGTCGCCAACTTGTACAAGCTTCTTCAGATGCGCCCTGAGGATGGTGCTATCTCCCCCAGCACTCCTATGATCGAGCTTGGTATCGACTCTCTCGTTGCTGTCGACATGCGAGTCTGGTTCACCCGTGAGCTTGATCTAGACTTGCCAGTTCTCAAGCTGCTGGGTGGTGCTACTGTTGAGGACATGGTGGAGGATGCCGTCACAAGACTGGCACCTGAGCTTATCCCTAATGTCAAGGGTTCCGCAGCCGCCAGCAAACCTGAGGAGGGCTCCAAGCCCGAGGGTGACTCTAAGGAAGTCTCAACCGAGCAGGCCTCGAGCGAGCAAGGAGAGTCACAGGGCACCTCTGCCGAGGATTCTGAGGAGTCAAGATCCCTTGTCTCCGATCCCCTCACCACTCCTGAAGTGAGTGATCACGAGGACAAGGAGTAAATAGATTGATAGATTGATTATTTTTATGTTTTTACGATGGCGTTTTTGACTTGTATTTTATTTCCTTTGTCTTGTTTATATTTTTGTCCTGTTTATATTAGCGTTTCTACAAAATGATTTTATATTTTGTTCTTCAAATTTTCTCCCGCCTCAAGTAATGTAGCTCCATTCCAAGTAAACATTACACATTGATCTATTCAGCATTAATTCTATCTATCTTAGTTACGTCCCAAGTCTCGATAAATTTAATTTTAATAGCATCAACTCTATCTTGAATCCTCCATATATTTAATTTTTCCCTTCTTAGCTTCACCCCAGAAGTATAGAAATTTCAGAAAATCATCTGATTATAATCCCTAACGTGAATTTGGAAATAGAGTTGCCGTATCAGGTATCCGCGGCCCCCATCTTCTGACGATGGTGATCGTCCATGTTTATGGCTAAAAAACGGTGAGCGTGTAGATGATGTCACGGACCTTTTCGGCCCCAAGTGATATCCTTATTGCGTGACAAGTACCATATCAAAACACAGTCAGATAGCTTCACAGTCAGTGAGCATCGCCACAGTATCCTTAGAGCTCAAGAGACAGTCTGATTCCCTTGTTTTCACTGCCTTGCATTCACAGGGCCCAGGCAAAAATGTCGGCCCATATTGGAAAGAAAACAGTTCTCATTACAGGGTGAGCAAGAATGGACTGCAGGTATTCATGAGACATGGCTTTGAATTGACGAGAGTAGTTGCACTCCTGGTGGCATTGGACATGCCCTTTGTCACGAATTTAATCAACAGGGTACGGTAAATATTCAAATTCTGAACATAATATCCATCGATCCACTATACATTACACTAATCATACTCTAGGACTGCATGTCATTGCTACAGCGCGGGAATTGTCTGTCCTGGCAGATTTGGCTGAGCTGGGAATGAGTACCGTCCAACTTGATGTTACCAATCCCCTGAGCATTGAAAATTGTCACAAAACCGTTCAAACCATTACTGGAGGGCACCTGGATATCTTGGTGAACAATGCGTACGTAAATTGGCTGACGTACTCTTATAACACTCATTGCAGGATGAAGCTAAACAATCTCCTTCTAGAGGCCGCACTCATGTGCATCCCGCAATAGACCTCTCTATTCCAGAGGTTCGGGAAACCTTTGAGGTTAATGTTTTTGGAATGATGGCGATGATTTCTACCTTTTCAGGCTTTCTTATTGTGGCCAATGGCCTCGTCATCAACATTGCATCTTCGGCAGCCGTGTTACCATACACGTTTGGCAGTGCCTATTGTGCCAGTAAAGGTGCCATTGTCAGTTATAGCCGTACTTTACGCCAGGAGCTAGAGCCACTTGGTGTGAGAGTTATGGTTTGTATGGCAGGAACCGTGCGATCCAATATTCATAACAAGGAATACAGGAGTCTAGCCACAGACTCGGTATATCTTCTTGTCGATGACGTTTTCCAGAAACGTCAAAGATTTGTCAACAAAGCAAATCCATACGATACTAAGCTGTTTTCAAAAGAGCTGGTGGCCAGCGCCTTGAGCTATGAGGTTCCATGGCTTCTCAGGAGTTGGTTTGGTCGGCCAGATTGGTTCTGGTCCGGAGGACTAGCACGAGGAGCGTGGTGGAGAACTACCATTTTCGGGGAATGGTTGAATGACTGGGCTTGTTCTAAGATATTTGATTTATCCAGACTTTCGAAGAAGAAGGCTGAATAAAACGCTCCAAGCTTAAATACCGCCATGATGAATAGTTACTACTATGGATGGCATCGATGGAATGAAGTAGTTTGACGTTAGATTTTACAAGAAACGGAACATTACGATAGTATACATCAGCTCTTAATCAAGTTCTTCTCCACAAAAATCTCAATATCAATCTATTAAAATATTAAAATATTTGTAAACTGTATTAGTTCATCTAAACAAGAACCATGGATCGTGTATGGATCTTCGCGCCTGAAAGTCAAGGCAGCGGAATCTCTTATCTTATCGCATGTTTGCCATCCATCATCTTTTTCTCTGTCGCATATCCAGTTCTCCTTTTGCACCAAGGACTCCTTCCATTATGGCAACAAAATGTGCTACCCCTGCAAGCTTAGCCTTGCCAAGGGCCCTTCATAGATTTTTCTGCTCCGAACTCCCTCACTCCCCGCGCCCTTCTCTTTTTGTTCGCTATTCTCGAACTCTTCAACAAGCTAGGCAAATCAGTTCGAGTCGGTTCCACCACGACCAGGAACAGTCGCATCGCGCGGTTTCCGACCATTTCAAAACCTCCGATATTAAGACCTCTGTGAAGTCCTCCCATACTTCCTTTAAATCTCCATCCGACTCCACCACGAAACCTCACAGAACCCCCAAAGCCGGCAAAGATCGCAAGACTGCCAAAGATACAGATAAGAAATGGAACAAGATCAACAAATTAAACCAAGAGCCCAAAGTCAAAATGGGGCCTGAGGATTGGCAGATTCAAAAACAGGCGCTCAGTCAGAAGTTTCCCGCAGGTTGGAATCCTTCAAAGAAGCTCTCTCCCGATGCACTGGATGGAATACGCCAGCTGCACGCAAGTGCGCCCGAGCAATTCACAACCGCTGTCCTAGCTGAAGAGTTCAAGATCTCGCCTGAATCGATTCGTCGAATTCTGAAAAGCAAGTGGAGGCCGTCTGGCGAGGAGGTTGAAAGTAGGCGCAAACGATGGGAAAAGAGACACGAGCGCATTTGGAGCCATATGGCCGAGCTTGGTCTTCGGCCAATGACTAAATCCTCGCTTCCATGGGCAGATTCACAAACTCTGTATAAGGACAATGGCGAAGGCGAAGGCGAAGGCGAAGGCGAGAGCAAGAAATAGTCCAATTCGTCGGGCTTTTTTCCTCTGTATAATTTTCTGTATAAATATCTCCAAGCTCGCACTTGTCTTTGCATCAACAAGTGACTACATGTATTATATCATTTGCATATTTCTGGCGTGGCGCTTGGGTCTCATATTTCAAAATCATCACGAAAATATTCCTCTTTATATCTCCAATTTACCCCAATTGTCATATTCAATTCGAAGTGATTGTCCCTGTAGATCCATTGACTCAAGTTACCTTAAGGTTTCTTTAGAAAAGCGAACGTACATCAGAAAACTCACTAGCTAGTCTTTTCAATATTGAAATAAATCTGGAGCTTCTGCTTCCAAAGCAATGGAATTCAATAAGTGTAACCTCTGGAGAGTTAACTCTCGGAGCTTGAACTGCGGAGGTGCCGCCCACGCAACAACTCCTTGATCTCCGCCTCGGCAGCGCTGTACCTCTCTTGTACCTCTCTGCACCTCGACCTTGCATCAGCTCAATCAGCATGACCTTTTCACCATGACCTATAACGAATGTCAACACCTCTATTGACGTATGGAATGTTCCGACTATCCGTGATAATCGCCGTCAATTCCTTTGACCCTCAACGGATTTGAAGATCTGCCCCCGGAGATAGCTGACGGCCCACATGCTCACACCGCGTCGCCATGCCGTCAAACATCCAGGTCTTCGTTAAATGGAAGGATCAGACAATTTTTGCCGGGGAGAATGTGGAATGTACCATCACGTTTAAGAACGTGGCAGAGACCAAGTCGACCGCCAACCCTGCAGGCGAAGGCCACCAGCGCAAGACGTCTCGAGTCGCGAACCACACCAGCAACAATAACTCAGACTCCTTTCTCGGCTTCAAATCGCCGCAGGGTCTCTTCTCCGGTCGGCGATCGTACTCTATCAGCTCTCAAAGAAAACCCTCAAACCATCGTGCCGCCTCGTCCCTGAGCACCCCAACCATTGCTTCCCATAGCTTCCCGCCCGCCAGCAACCCCTCCTCCACCCCCCGAAGCTGGCAGCCCGGCCACAGCCATAAGCGATCGGTATCGATTCTTTCCATTGATAGCGAGGGCCAAACAGATAGTTCGCCCTCGCCACACTATAACAGGGGCAAACCTGCCAGGGGACATGGACGATCAGCTAGTCTGCAAATTGTTCCCAGGAGGAATGATAGCTACGATGATTCTTACAGGAAAGGTACGTTTCGCATACGAATGATCTGCCATGAGGCATGAGAACTAACAATCTGTCTGATTACAGCGGCGAGAGCTCCCATGCGTGGCCTACCACTCACAGAATCTCCGAGCGAGTCTGCTGCCCCCGCTACCCTCAAAGTTGACACCAACAATATTGGCCGCCCAGGTCGTCCTGGATCCATTGCCAACAGCCCCGTCGGCCCAGCCGAGTCCTTGCGCTCTGCACGCCGACCTCAATTACCCTCCTTCGATTTCAAATTCCCACCAGGTCCTCCAAACGAAGCCCCAAACAATCGCCCTGCTCTGACCCCTTCGCCGAAATCTGAACGAATCCCATCGCCATCAAAAGCTCCAAGAGATGTATCAGGGGGCGTTCCCCGTCCTCATCAACAGCTTGCGCGTGTGATTTCGGCCACGAGTGTGAATGGAAGTAGCCGAAGCAGTGGAGAGTTCTATTCCATCAGTGATCATTCAAGCGAAACGTTAGCATCCGAATACACGAACTATTCTGCGCAAGGCTCGCGTGCTCCCCCTTCTGTTCGACATGCAAGACACTACTCGAGTGCTGTGACCTCTTCGATGAAGCCCGCAGACAGCCAGGCGCTGTTGATGGGCTATGCGCAAGTAAGTGCATCATTTACCGTAGACGGGTCGCTTGTAAACCAATCCGTTTTTGATGAAGTGAAACGCAAAGGCGTTGTCGGTGGTCAAGCTGGGTCTGGTGGGCTACCGGGACGACCAAGTTCAGCCAGCTCTGAGCGCTCTCGCAAGGGAGGTGGATTTTGGGGTGCACTCAAGTGGACCGCTATTGAAGATTCGATCAATGGTCTTTTGTCAAACAATGAGCTTGATGGCCTTCGCGAAATGCGTGGCGTGGCATCCTCACGCTCAATTCCCCTACTATCTACTCCACAGTCACTTCTTTTCGTTGACTTGCGGCTGGCACCAGGAGAAGAGCAGTCATATTCATTCTCATTTTCGCTTCCTAGAGGACTCCCGGCGAGTCATAAAGGAAAAGCTATAAAGATATCTTATAACCTGGTCATTGGAACCCAGCGACCTAGTGCACCCAACGATACCCAGCGAGTCAATCGCATCAATATCCCATTCCGTGTATACAGTGGAGTGAACGGTAAGTTAATCTCCCCGAACTACTATCTGAGCTAGTCTAATTGATTTTCAGACAAGGGAGATGTGCTAGGACATGATTTGATGTCACCATACGTGCTCCTGCGAGACGAAGCGAAGGTCCAAAAAACTGGGCCCGCTGCACCAGTCGTTCCAAATCCCCAGAGCCTAAGTGGGTTATGGAACTCTGCTGGTGATTTCCTCTCCTATGTGGATGAAATTCTTGACCAGCGTGCGCGCTCAAACACACTTTTTCCACCGGGTGCTCTCCCAGAAAGACGAGCGAGCTACGATGGACCTGCCCAAGCGCTCTCTTGCAAGGACATCATTGATATGGCTATTCTTCGCAGCAATCAGGCCATTCAGTCACGGCGCAGTCCCAATAGGTTTGAAATTGCTCGTGATGGAAAACGGATCGCCGTGGTTGTTTTGAATCGCCCCGTGCACAGATTAGGTGAAACCATCGTTGCGACTGTCGATTTTGGCAATGCTGCTATCCCTTGTTATGCAGTGCGAGCGTCCCTGGAGACGTCAGAGAAAGTTGTCCCTACTTTGGCAGTCCGATCAAACGCCAGTATTCACCGGACTACTCGTCGCATTCACGCGTCATTATTCGAGAATACCCTGTACGCCACCCGTGTGGTGTTCAACCCTGCTATCCCTATATCCGCTACCCCGACGATTCTCACAAGTGGAGTAACGCTCGATTGGGACTTGCGTTTTGAGTTCGTAACACCGAACACTCTGAATGGGGACGGTCAAGGGCCTTCGGGCACTAAACTCCTTGAGACCATGTCCTCTGATGACCGTGGAAAGGTACTTTCAGCTATGGAGCATTTGGGCTGCGAATCTTTTGAAATATCTATCCCGTTGACTGTCTATGGAGAAACAGTACGGGAGCAGAATCCAGAAGAAAAGGAAGGATACGCCATTTAAACGTGATCCCCGGGGTTCTTTCGGTGCCTGCCGTGCGGGTGTCCTACTTGTATTTGATCTAGATATTCCTCTATCCGGTCGTGGATATCTCCCTACCACCAGTTTACATGATCTGGTCCATTTCTTTATACTCACATGTAGGTCGGTTTGACTTGTTTCTATCTCAGCCATTATTGCCTACTAGTCCACCATTTTCTAGATTGCGGTCTAGTCTAAAATACCTATTTCATCTTGTTCATATCAAATCATATTATCGTATACTGGTATGCCCGGCAGTATTTTAAAACTTGTATAAACATTTCCTGGCGATGGATGTACCAAGGATTGGTGGCACATGATTCGCTTTTAATATTGCAGTGGGAAACGGCCGACTTCCAAGGAATCTATACGATTCTTTCCTTGCCCTATGTAACCGTGAATGCCCACGGGGCCCAAACATTGCGGGGGAATAAGCTTGGCTTGGACCTAGGGGCGCCCAATAGCGTGACGTAGGGCTGCATTCCAAGAACTGACTTGACATCATATTGAATGAAAAATAATCCAAGAAACCTACAATATAATAACAAGCTAACAGCGTATTCTCTTTTCGTTTTCTTGGGCTATATCCTTATCAATCAAAATGACACTTGAAAATCTCAACAGCGTTGGCTTAGTGGGCCTAGGGTCTATGGGAACATGGATGGCAGCTCATCTCGCAGAGAAGTTACCTGCAACTACGCAGATTTTTATTTTTGACAAAGCTACCCCGCTCATGAACGACCTATCCTCAAGATACCCCAATAAAGTGGTCCAATGTATCAATCCGAAAGATGTTGCAGATCGATCGGTATGTCAGCGTCGATTCAGCCCTACGTGATTCAAATCCTAGTTCCTAACCTTGGTATCCAGGATATCGTTCTGACAATACTACCAGAAGGTAAACATGTCAAAAGGGTTTATCTGTCAGAAGATGGAATCTGTTCTGGTGATATCAAGGGAAAGCTTCTTATAGATTGCTCGACCATCGACACGGCCAGCTTCCTAGAGGTTGGCGATCATATAACAAACCTCTCGCCGTCAACAAAACTCTACGATGCCCCGATAAATGGAGGAGAGACTGAAGCCAAAGAGGGTAGCATCACATTTCTACTAGGATGCCCAAATGACAACGATCCACAGCTTGAAAGATTGGTTGAATTACTGTCCCTCGTGGGATCCAAGGTTATTCGATGCGGAGCCCCATCTCTTGGTCTAGCTGCCAAACTGTCGAGTGACTATCTCTCTGGCATAATTACGATAGCCTGTGCAGAGGCCATGGACATGGGAATTCGCTGTGGAGTAGATCCTCGAGTTCTGGCAAATGTGTACGAGTCTGGCTCGGCACAGAATACTATCTGTGATCGATTCTGTCCTGTTCCTGGTGTGTACCCCGAAGCACCTCTAGCGAACGGATTTAGGAATGGCTTCGATGTCCAAATGATGCGCAGGGATTTCGGGTTAGCAGTGGCATTAGCTCACAGGGCTGAGTCTCGAAATGTCCTTGGTGGGGCTGGGTTGAAGATCTATGAAGGTGCTAGTGAGGATCCGCGATGTACAGAGCTAGACTCCAGGGTTATCTTTCGTTATTTAGGTGGTAATGAGAACTGGCGGAATGATCAGAAATGAGTCTCATAAAAAGTGAGATTTCTATTTCTCTGCTTAAGCAAATACCCTTGAACTATGCACATATGCCGTCATGCGGGGCACCATGACCGCCGCCCTACAAGCCCTGTACATACCCTATTTAATCCGACCCGGGACCACAGTAACTACCTGCTACCCATACAAGTCCTCGGCTACCATATCAATCAGCAATTCCTCAATTCTTAAGCTCCAAACAATTATCAACTCAGTACAACCTCATAAACCATCCTAGTCCTTCCCCACAATGTCCACCGATCCAAAATACAATGACCTCCACCAACAACTCTTCGAAGAAGGTCTCAGAGTCCGTCGTGCCGTAGTAGGCGATTCCTACGTCGACCAAGCCCTTGAGAACGGATCATCTGAATTCGCCTGGGCAGGACAACAACATATTACTGAATGGGCATGGGGCAATGTATGGACAAGGCCAGGGCTGGAGCGACGGGATCGCAGTCTGCTCAATATCGGCATGTTAATGGCTTTGAACCGTGCGCCCGAGCTGGCTGTTCATATTCGAGGTGCTCGTAACAATGGATTGAGCGAGCTTGAGATTCGTGAGGCTATTATCCATGTAACTGTCTATTGTGGTGCTCCTGCGGGTGTGGATGCGATGAAAACTGCTGAACGAATGTTCAATGAGATGGCTGAGAAGGGAGAGATGCCGCGTGAGCTTGGATCGAAGGCTAAGAGTAAGGAAGATGCGAAAAACGAGTCGAAATAGCTGCTTATCACATTTGGTTGCTGGTCCACTGTTCGGGGCTTTTTGATCTGTTCAAAAGTGCATGCTCTAGGGCGAATTATATATAGAAGAAAAAGTCGAATATTGAAAGCCAATACTAGTATTTTTCTGGCCTTGTGGAAAGTATTATCTGAATCATCCCAAGCCCAGAACTCAAAAATATAATCTAATTTAACTAAAATCAACTTGTAGACAGCTCATATGCCGTCGTCGCTCGCATAGATTCGATCTGACGTGGATGTGGTGGTAACTGGGGCAACGCGGGGCTCATCCATGGATCCGCCGTTATCACATTTGGTGGAGCAGCTGAACCCGATAACCACCACTTCCTTGCACTGCGCACACATCGCCGATCGTGTCTTATTTCCTCCCTTGTATCACATCGAATTTTCCGCGCAGACGAACCTTGGAACCACTCTTGACGTACGGCATGCCGAATCCCATTCCCCGAGAACTCTAGAAGAAAGAGCCAGCTGACCTGACATCGGAATGCAGGGACGTCGCGATCTACCCACCCACGCCGCAAATAACTGTTCAAGGAATTCTTCCTGATTGAAGATGGCTTCTTTCATCACCACCATGTCTGTCCCCGCTCCTCCTACCCCTGTTCATTCCTCCACTGCCTCGGGCGTGTCTCGATCGTCCCCAAATCGATCCTCCTCTTTGAGCCTGAGCCCCTCGTTCTACCAGACGACCCGCACCTCCCATGTCCCTTTACTAGAACCACCATCCTATCTTTCACCTGCTGTTCGCGCCCTCAAACAAGGCTGCTTTGGACTGACACCTCCCAGCAATGCACGCACAAGGGCTCCCTTCAAGCCTCGATCTGCCGCCAAAGGCACGAGCAGTTACCAGTTGAGACAGTTCGCCGAAGCCACATTAGGTAGTGGTAGCTTGCGCAAAGCTGTAAAGCTTCCCGAAGGCGAAGATTTGAACGAATGGCTTGCGGTCAACGGTATGATGTTCTGGTTGCGTTACCTGCTTTGCGGCGAGATACTAAGAGCGCTATGTATTCGGGTTTAGTTGTCGATTTCTACAATCAAATCAACCTCCTATACGGATCCATAACAGAATTCTGCTCACCACAGACATGTCCTGAGATGAAGGCTACGGATGAGTACGATCAACTTGCGACTGACAAGATGCTTTTACCCGATCTGGGCTAACAAGGCATTCAGATTTGAGTACTTGTGGCAAGACTCAGAGAAATTCAAGAGACCTACAAAGATGTCTGCACCGGAATACATTGAACACCTGATGACTTGGGTCCAAGGAAATATTGATAATGAACAAATGTTCCCGAGCCGAATCGGTTCGTCACCCAAGGACCTTCAACAATTACCTTGGATCTAATTGCTGATTCAAATTGATTTCCACAGGCGTCCCATTCCCCAAAACCTTTCCAAGTCTCCTGCGTCAGATCTTCAAGCGATTGTACCGAGTTTACGCCCATATCTACTGCCACCATTACCCAGTTGTAGTCCACCTTGGCCTTGAGCCACACCTCAACACCAGCTTCAAGCATTACGTCTTATTTATCGACGAGCACAAATTGGCCAGTGGGAAGGATTACTGGGGACCCTTAGGCGATCTAGTCGACAGTATGTTGCGCAGTGACTAAGGCTTCCTCTCTGCTTCGGTTTCCTTTATGATGAAGAATTATGGCCATATGTGCATGAGGAGGCCGTTTGCTCTTGATCTTATCTTGGCGGCGACAGTTTCCGGTGGAGAAAGGGACAGGCGGGATCCTCGATGGCGTTTTGGGCGTGGAGCATGCATTACTTGACGTCGATTTATTTACTTTCCCCGTTTACGGGAACTGCTCGGTGTTTTTGGAAAAGATCCAGTGTATGCTTATATTGCAGTTTTATCACTCAATTATTATAAAACCTTTACCAATGTGGTTATAGGTAATTCGTTGCAAACCGTCCATGTCCGTATCTCGCAGTGTTATATTGTTGGATCAAGCTTAGGTAATGACCACTGGGTTTGAATACCTACGAGAAGAGATCAAAAAATAGTTGGAAACATCCATATTTTACTTGTGAAGTCGAACTTGAAAAGAGAAAGGCTTGTTCATATGTGTTGATTTATGAATTCATCAAGCTTAACGCTCCCGCACTAAGTAAAATTACTGCGAAAATCGGGCTGCTTACCTGATCCGCACCACGTGATCCGGGAAGAAGTCGGACCTCCATCTCAACCTTCACGATACACCCGACCGCCGCTCGCATCCTCCCCCATCTCAACTCCCTGGTCACCTCCCTCACCCCGAGGCTCCCCTCACACTCAATTCCACGATGATGTCCGCTCGTGTCGCCCGCTCTGGCCTGCGTGCCGCCCAGCAATTCTCCGCGCCTCGCTCGACCTTCATGGGTCTGCGCACCTATGCCACCCCGGCCCAGGAAGTCCGCCCTCCCGTCGCTCTCTTCGGTGTTGATGGTACCTACGCCACTGCTCTGGTATGCCTTCGACCTTCCCAATGACTAAATCTCGCGATATCCATTTTTCTCGACGACCCCGTGTCTCCCCGACCCCTCCCGTCAACCCCCTCTGTTTTCAATGCCGAAAATGGAAGCTTGCATTTGAGCCTGAACCAGAACCATATTTTTATACGAAAACTCGACTGACCATATTATTTTCTTCTTATAATAGTTCACTGCCTCTTCGAAATCTGCTGCTATCGACCAGACCGCTAAGGCTATCGCTACCCTCGGCCAGACCCTGAAGGCCGACAAGAAGCTGGGAACCATCCTCGGTGCCCCCACCCTGACCTACGCCGACAAGCAGCAGATCGTCCAGGAGCTCCAGAAGGTTGCTGGCGCTGACAAGGCCGACATCATCAAGAACTTCCTCGAGACTCTTGCTGAGAACAACCGTCTCGGTGCCCTTGAGGGTGTTTGCGAGAAGTTCGCTACCCTGATGGGTGCTTACCGTGGCGAGATCGATCTTAACGTCACCTCCGCTCAGGTACGTGGTTCTAAGGAGAGAATATTATCGATAAAATGGATTGCGTCTAACATAACTTGATAAATAGGAGCTTGATGCCAAGACCCTCTCCCGCCTCGAGAAGGCCGTTTCCAAGTCCGAGTACAGCCAGGGCAAGAAGCTCAAGGTTATCGCCACTGTACGTCCAAAATCCTATCACAATTTGAAATCGACCAAGAGAGTACAAACTAATTTCCATTACAGGTTAACCCCGACCTTGTTGGTGGCCTCGTTGTCGAGATCGGTGACCGCACCATTGACCTCAGCGTTTCCTCCAAGATCGCTAAGATGAACAAGGCTCTGACTGATGCTTTGTAAATGTAAAATAGCCCTTGAGATTTGTTGGGAGGGTGTTTTAGATATAGCATCATCCCGCATGAACGGTAGCGTTTGGTGAAGGCAGAGAAGGGGATTTCTGGATGATTTCCCTAGCCCTTGATCTCTCATTTCGATTTGTTTCCATTATTTGTGAACCTGCACAATACACCTTTTCTTCCCACTGCAATCTGTTTCACTGGAATTATCCCGGCGTAATGCAAGCTGGCTGGTCCTGTAAAACCTACCAAGTTTACGCTTACCAGCCACTTGCAATCGAAAAGTAAATACTGCATGGAGTAGCAAGCTAGTAGAGCCCACTCAGGAATAGCCTATTGAAGGGATTCGTTTTGTATGTTTTCCATCATGTAGCGTCTCTTTTCTGGAGTATGTAGGTGTCTGGCCAAAACAGAGCAAGTACTTTCTCCGAGAAGCTCTATGAGCCACATTCCAATTTCAATTCCCATTCCAAACTGTACTTGGATATACTTTCCAGAGTAGCAAGCCCATTCTACGAACGAGAACAACGAACTTGCTAATACCCTTTGGCTAGCAACAGCTGCAGTGTCATCCGTGAACAGAGCTCTATATTAAATCCTAGCAATATTGCCATTTTGGGGATCTCAATGAGTACCTTAGACCCAAATCAGAAAAAGCTTAAACTTAAATGGACCCATTAGTACACATACACCTCTTTATGATTTTAAAAATAGACAAGCAGACAAGTATACAAATGTAAATTTGGAGATGCCAACTAAGCTGGGGCGTATCATGAAACATCTAAAACCACCTAGACATCCGATGAAACGCAGCCCCTACAAGACAATACAGACAACTTGTAAATAAATAATAATACGCAAATGACATCGATAATTTTCTGCAACAGATCTTGCCGAGAAAATAGCCACGGTACCTGATCCATAATCGGCAAATCCAAGCTAGTAACCACCCAATGCAAGGGCACCAACGGCCCCAGCGGATATCAACGGGCGTAGGTACCTTGTTTCAGCCTGACAATCTCCTCATTAGCTAGAAGATAAAGGATTCAGACCCAGACTGCATGGTGGCGTTTAATGATCTTCTTTGCAGGACGCAGCATGTAAGTTCAGTTTGGGGTAATAGAGAGAAAGAAAAAGAGAAGAGATAGAGAGAAAAAAACACAAAACTCAATTTACGCCGTAGCAGTGCCAACGAAGGGCTCCAGACCGGCGGGGGCCCGGGTACATACAAATAATGAGGAGGGTGTTGCTTAAAGATATGCAAATAATAAACAAGAAGTATGGTGTTCCAATAGTGAACAAAACCGCAAGACAAGCGCCATCCAGGGCGAGGCGGTACAGTATCCCAGTTCAATCCGATCCGATCCAATCCAATTCAAAAACCACCGCACTAGAATCACAGCTTGATTGATATCGGCATCGGACAGGTAGAGACTGTGATTTACCTGATCCATTTACCCTGGTGGTTTGTCCATGGAGAGACAGAGAACGAGGTGAGGTATACAAGAGCAAGAACAAGATAATGCAACAAGACGAGACGAGACGAGACGAATAGACAAAGCCAAAGCCAAGCAAGGATATCAATCAAATCGATCAGTCTTCCGTTGTTTCCATCGTGCAGGCAATCAAAGCAAAGCGAATGAGACGGGATGAGAAAATCCAAAATCACGATACCGACACCGACACCGTTTACTCCCGCTGCGGCTTAGCTTAATGCTGGAAGCTAGATGCTGGCCGAGTTGGATTCGGATTCCTGACGAGGAACTAAGATGGTTCAAGTTCACATCAGTCCTTGTTGGCAGGTTGCAAGATAAGATAAAAAACAATATAAACCAGCAGCAGCTATGCTTTGGGATGCAAATAAATGGTAGGAGATGATCAGGACGACTCATCCTTACCGGCTGTCTGGCGTTGTCCGCCGTGAGTAGGGGGTTTTTCGTCCGTTGGAGACTGCTTGAGTCGCTCTTCGGCTTCACGGATGCGTTCCTGTAAGGCCTCGAGTTCACGGCTTTGGATGATCATTTGTTGTTTCCTATTTGGAGAAGTTGGTTAGTTATTGTCTTGGTTATGTGTTATGAGCTTGCGCGCATGGGGGAGTATTGTCTTTCGGCCGGAGTTTTCGAAATCGGGTTTGTTGGGGGTGAACACATACTTCTGATCAATATTCAGGGAGAGCTGGTTCACGTCGCTGTCCAGCGAGAAAGCGCTATCCAAGGCGCTGGAGAAAGCCTGTGCCATGGTCCTGCCATGTCTTGGTCAATTTCATTGCGGGGAAAGAAGCGGTGGTTTGTTTTGAGGCATAGACGCACGATTGAGGACGAGCCTTGCCAGAGGGCTTCCACTCCTGTTCTGTTTCAGACATATTGAAGATATATGTAAGGTTGTTGAAGCTTAGGCAAGAAGTTGGAGCTTGAAAAGGACAAGTTTAAAGCTTAAGAAAGATTGGTTCTCTCCTTTTTTGGCTCTTTTGTTTCGTGGGGTATGTGCGACTTGTGTCGGGCGGGGCACAGCGGCCACAAATTAAGGATCACCTTTACTCAAGGAGATGTATAGGAGGATCGTGGAGACCAGGACCAGCCAAGAATCACCGGGGAAATTGAAATTATAAGAATGATCGACGATACGAGCACTGTTTCGGGGGATGAAGAAAGAAGAGTCAGAGAGTTGGAGAAAAAAAAAGTTGGGTTTTGTATACTTCGAGAAGCATAGAAGAAGGCCCCCAAGGAACGGGAGGGGAGGAGGAAGAGAGGGGCGATAGTGTGTCATGACAATGAAAGGGGCGGGACAAGATTTCCATACCGGAGATATATTGAACAGGATATCAACGCGCTTGAGTGCACGGATGATATAGGGAGGCAACGCGGGCCTTTTGCGAGTTTGGACCAATGTCAGAATAGCGATCTTTGGGGATTGAGGAGAAAAGAGGGAGAAAGAGAGGAAAGAGTGTAGAAGAGAGAGAAAAGGGAAAGAAAAAGATATGGAGAAGGACGATCACTGTTTAACTATGTGTTACTAGTGACTGACTGTAATAATGATCAGAGATCAGAGGGGATCAATACATCACTTGTTACCGAGAATATACCTTGAGCTCCACCGTGGGTATAGTACATGCAGAGTACCACAGAAGTACTCTAGAGGCAACTATTGATCAACAGCAAGGGGAACAGTTGAAATCTTGGTTATGGTATTACAAGGGGGCTCTTCACGTCATGACCTATTTGAGATCGACTGTACGGAGTACGGATAGCTTAAACAGATTCAGGGGGTCTTTACATTACATGATGATGATGGGCTAAAATAAGTGGCTTCCAGGACCAATTTGGGTTTCAGGGGCTTAATGGTCGGAAGGACACTATCATAATAATCCGGGGTCCCACTTGGTGGATACAAACCAGAAAAGGGGAAGGAGAAGTGCAGTTTACTTCATTTTAAATATCGCATTAAAGGGGAAGAGGCAATTTAGCCAACAGTATACCAGAGATAGAAATCATAATCAGTTGGGGCTGCGAGCTATAATTGGGGATTTGCCTCTTTCCTGCTCTGGACAGGATAGATTTTATCCGGATAGAGATAGTAATCGCTAGGGCTGACTATAGTGTATAGATATGTGCAATCTGTAACTGGATTAGGACATGAATACGCAGTGAATACGTATAGCTAACAGATGCTACATACTCCAGGGCTAGAGTGCTGTCAACTGGCGATCACGTAATCAAGAATGCGTGACTCCAGCAACCACATCATGTGACCACAATACACAAATACCGTAAATTACACGTATCCAGTCTTCCCCTGCAACCTGTTCACGGAGTTCCAAGGTTCCAGCTTGTCGCGATGCCATTGTGAATACCTGAAATTCCATCCTACCACACCATCTTCATCTGAACCCGTTGTCGCTATCTTCAACTCCGTCCGCCTCCGGCCTCTATGGAAACGGTGTCCTGCATCCTTGTCGTGCCCCGTCAACTCTCCTACCCCTTCGACCCTGCTCCCTAAATCTTCTCCGCCAACCCGCGACCGACAATCTCCGTTTCCAGCCATCCCGCCCGATCGAAATCTTCGCGCGCCGAAACAACCTTTTGGAGGACCTGCCTCTCCACCAGCCATCGTGGCCCCCATTCCTAAAGTTCTTCTCCCAAACGGCCAACCGGGCGGGCAATGGGGAATGCCTCCTCTGTCGGCCTATACTCCTTTTGAATCCTTACTCTTTTTTCAATCATTAGCGACCCATGATGTGCGACCGGCGAGCTTTGCATCCATTTCCCATCTCTTGACCAATAATAAGCTCGTTCGCGAGAATGTTGCTTTCAGTGCTGATCGCCTAAGCCCAGAGGCCTTGGAGGATCTATATGCCACATTGTTGCGCGATAGATTCAATCGCGAAACAAGTCAAGGTCCCGCTGGAGGCTCAGCCGACAGCTCCAACGCCAGCACCAGCAATCCGAAAAAGCGCAAGATCTCAAGTCCAAAGCCAGATGGGAGCTCCGATGGGGTGACACATTCGGTACAGGTGTCGGAGCTTGTGTCGCATCTATACGCCCGCTATAGAGAATTGGTAACGAAGGAAATCAAAGAGGACGAAAATAAGTATGACCTCATTCAAGAAGAGATCAAACGTCTGTCAAAGGAAGAGCAGAAGCCGCAGACACCAATCGCGCCCGCACCAGCTCCTCCGGCTGTACCAGTGAAGAAGCCCGAGCAGCCAGAACTGGTCAAGGTGGATGTAAAGCAAGAAAAGCCGCGACGCAATCATCCTGGGCCCATAACGCTTCCCCCGACCCCGGCTACCCTGGTCAAACCAACAGACCAATCGCCTGCAAAACCCCCAGTCCCTGTACAAGCCCCGAAGGAAACCCAACAGCCGCCTGCTCAACTTCCCGCCAAACCCCCCGCAACAGTGTCACAGTCAAAACCACCACAACCAGCACCAGCACCGCCCAAGACAGACCCGACTGCAGTACAGGCTCCTGTTGCCCCGCCGCTTGCTCCTCGAGCCCAAGTAGCTCCAGCAACACCAACACCCTCGGCAGCCCCGCGACCAGTGCCCGCCCACCCATCTCAGGTTGCGCCGCGTCCTCCTACAGCCGCATCTCCAGCCGTGGTGAAAACTCCTGGTCCGCCAATTGCCTCCGCTCCCATATCAACTCCTACCCAGTCAAGCTTCCAGCAATGGCAGCTTGAACCGCCTCCTAAATCACCATATCCCGCCGCACCATCCAACACTACAACACCGCAAATCAGTTCTACTGCCACCAAACAACCTTTACCCCCGCTTCCTCAAGTCCCTTCAGCTCAGCATAAACCCTCAATTTCATCTACCCTTCCTAGTACGCCGGGCCCATTATCGTCTGGAGCTCAGACACCCGTTCCAATCGGCCATCCGAGACCTTCACAAACACCGAGCGTTGTCATTTCAGCATTCTCAGAGAGACGAGGCTCACGTCCTCGTCTCTCAATAGATACACCCGGTTCATCTACACCTTGGAAGCGAACTCCAAGCTTGATAATTCCAGATTCCCCGGTATCTCCTGCTCGGCCTTTGCCCGAGGATGTCAGTCCCATCAGCGAGAGGGCACCATCACCTGACGCTATGGATTTCGAGCTGTCAACTCCCCGAGAGAAGAAAACGACCCGTCGTGGACAAGCAACAACAGATAATAAGACCCCAACTATTAAGACAGAGAAGCCATCCGGATCTCGCAGGAAGCGCGCCGAGAGCTCCGCCTCTACACGAAGCCGAGGGAGATCTGCTGCATCTCGTGGCACATCCCCCGCCCAACCTGATAGCGATGTTCGCGCCTCCAAGCGTCAAAGGGGTGCGGCAGCAAGTCCTGACGGGGAAACACCGAAAGGCCGTTCAAAGCGCAAGCGAGCTCCCAGTGAATCAGCAGAACAAGAATCCGTTGCCCCAGAGGTACCGAAACTCTTTGATAACCCTCGATATGTCATGTGTGCTCGTGGTTTTCATCGAACTGCCGCCCCAATTTTGAACGATGTGACTACACATAAGCTTGCCTCCATATTTGCCAAACCCCTAGGTGAACGCGATGCTCCCGGCTATCACGACCTGATATATCGACCCCAAGATCTCAAGTCTATCAAGTCCGCCGTTCACCAAGGTAGCAAGGCCGTAGCCATCGCGACAGAGGCCGTCAGCACCCCCGCCGGAGATGGTGAATCCCCCGCACCCGGCGTTGGAGCTTCATCCAAGAACAACGCACTCATGCTGCCCAAGTCGGAAGAACTTCTTCCTCCAAAGGGTATTGTCAACTCCGCTCAGCTGGAGAAAGAGTTCGTTCGCATGTTTGCCAACGCTATCATGTTTAACCCTGTTCCCGAGCGTGATTTCGGTCCTCACTTCCCCATGATCAGTGATCGGGGTTCTCGAGAGAGCACCCAGTCCGCTGATGGTGATGAAGGTGGCATCATCCAGGATTCAAGGGAAATGTTCGAAGACGTGGAACAAGCTGTTAATCGATGGCGAGCTGCTGAGCGAGCCTCTGAACGGGCTTCAGATGAATTGGCCATTAAGAACATCCTCTCCCTTCGCCGGGGTAGTGCCAGTGATTTTAATGCTGAGAGCACTGACGATGCTAAAGGATGAGTGATGATTTTGTTACATTTATAATTGTATTATCTACTTGGGTATTTGATTAGAAGCCTTATTTGAAACGAGTACGATTTCTCACTGAGAACCTTGATTGCATCTATTATTGAACTACTTTAAGTATTTCCACCAAAGCCTAGCCATTTCAAGTTCCATGTTGTAATGATATACAATGCCCGTCTTATTAAGAGATATCTTCTCATACTAGTTCTACTATATACAAGTATCGTAATCACCAAGTCACAGCCGGCAATGAAATTAGCCGATGACAACCGATCAATATGATTCGTTAATTCATTCAATCCTTTCCTGGAAATCACATCAGCTCGCAGGAGGATGTTGAAGATGAGCCAAGAAATCGGTATCCAAATCCCCATCATAAAAGCCCAGATTATGCGCAAAGACAGGTTCTTGCCTATAACAATTAGTCAATATAATATCCTTACGGAGGACAGAAAAACAAATCAGAATGCACGACATACCTGCTAGACGGAAAAGACGTCACCATCTCCTCGAATAACGCATCATATCCCTCAATTCCACCAGGGATAACACTATCCTGACCTGGCGGCACGACAGAGATATCCATCGCCGAAGTATGAGATTGAGCTGGTAGAATCGACTCATTGATGATAGATTGAGGAAGACCTGCCCCCGAGTCAAATACATTTTGATTCATTCCATTTTCAACTTGAATTGAGGGTGTAACTTGAAACACCCTCGGCACCGTTTGAGGATTAACGGGCTGAAAAGGTTGTGAGAATCTAATGATTTGGCGCTCAATATTTTCTCTTTCGGTATTATTTATCGAACCGCTTGTTAAAGGGAGACATTGCTGACACTGGAGTGCGAAGCATGAGGCCAGTGGAGAGGGACGAATGTCACCCATTATCTCGGCGTAGTGATTCAGCAACTCGAGGATTTGATGAATAGTTCGAACACAGAGATCTATTATAGGAGGTGCTAGTGAGACCTGCTCGAACCTGCGAAGTAATGCGAGAGCTATAAATGCTGAAGTGAGGTGTAAGATGAGAAGAGGCGGAGATGCTTCGTTTTGTCTTTGGTAAGGATGTTTTTGCAAGATAGATTGTGACGATTGTATTAATTGTGTTAGGAGGTATGTATCGACTTGATGGTGTGCTTTTTGAACGAAAGAGTCCATAAGCTGTCGGATAGCGTTGAAGGTGCTAAGTGCTCGTAATGGCATTGGTGTTTTGCGTATATTATTGATGTTGGCACGAGGTATAGCGGTCCATATATCCCATTCATCTACATCGTCTTCTTCGACTGGGCCATGACTCATTTGTTCTTGATTTGATAAGCCAGGTGTCTTCCCAAGAGTAACAGATAAAATGTTATCTAAGAAGACAGCCCCGTTGAATGTATGAGTGAATCGATTCTTCTTCGTAGACGGAGGAAGTGTCCAAAGCATCCTTATAGCTTGTCCGACGACATTCCATGCCAAACTGATATTGCCAGTAGCAATATGAATCAAAGAAAGTATCAGTGATGCTTGGATATGGGCGAGATCTAAGCTATCCCAGCTATCTAGAGTCTGTTGCTGAACGCCAAGTTGAATTTCCGACGGGCTTGGAAGACCCGAGACAGTGACATCTCCCATAGTCGATGAGTAGATAATGACAGACCATAATAATAATCGTGATGAGGAAGTTCCTGGTGTTGATACTTCGGGCCCAAGGTGCATGGCTCTAAGTAGTTCTCGGCGCTCAACAATTGGTAGCCAACAATGAGTATAAGTGAAATAGAAATCAAGTAAATCTGGAGTATCCTCTGGAAATGAAGCATCAAGTGGATTCGGAGCCTTAATCACCCGAACCGCAGGCGTTTGCAACTGCCTCGAAACCCCCATTATATTATTAGCCCGAGGGCTAGGATCATCCATACGCTCATCACGATCCTGCACCTGCTGATCCAGTTGCTCCTCCTCACCCGGCTCCCAACCTGAATCCAACTCATCACCAACCTCATCAGAAGGCGAAAGCATCCGACCAAGACTCTTAGATAACTTCGACTTCCTCCACAAACCAAGAGCATTGTTAGCCGCCTTGCTTCTTAAAAAGTTACTTCCACGAGAATCAGAGATAATCTCCTGAATCAAAATTTCACTATCAGGACAATGTTTTGAAACAAGGCCCAGAATAACTTCCAGACCCCGCACGTATCCCGGTGCAAGACCCCGTCGACCGCCGCCAGTTTCATAGCTGCAATTCCGGCCTGTCGAGATGCAGATGGAGCATACTGGTTGTTCTCCGTCGCATTTTGATTTTCGGCGACGGCATTGGTCACATGCACGGTATATTCGTCGCCGTTTTGAGGCTCTTGGGCTGGACATTGCAATTTGCGGCTGTGGATTTATCTCACGTAGCTCTTAGCCCTTGCTTTTGGAATTGATGTGTCATACATTCCATTCCGCATGGTTGGTAACTATGGGTGCTGGATGGCCGTGGCGATAGAGGGTCATGTGATCGGTATGAATTTAGCCGATGTTTTACTGCTCTGTGAACCGGAGTTATTATTAATTTTTATTAGTTTAATTTGAGATAATTATACAGACTGATTGGACTTAGTATAAATGTATATCAGCATAGATTATGTATTAGAGTCCATAATGTATATACGTCTGAGGTGGTGTCTTGTTCCTGACATCGCTATCCTCAGGCTTCTATCAGGGTAAGGCCTTACCCGTAAGCCTAGGGCAAATCATGACGTTGATCCACCTGTAAATTGATGTATGTGCTTGAACTTCTTTCTACATGCATTTTCGATAGCACCAATCAAGAAAACATCTATCTTCATACTTTACATTTTTCAAGATGAGATACCAACCCGCCATCATGAGTGCGTCCCTAGGACGAGCATGGCTTCACGATCTTGAAAACAAACTCCAACAAGCGGGGAAGGCCGGTTTCCAAGGCATCGAGATCTTCTACGAGGATTTAGATTATGAAGCCAGAAAAATCGCCGGATCTGACAGTCCAAGCCCCGAGAACTTGATTCAAGCTGCAGAGCGTATCTACTCACTTTGTGAAGCGCAGGGTCTTGAAATCATCGGCCTTCAACCATTTCTATTCTACGAGGGTCTCAAAGACAGAGAGCAACACGCGAAGTTGATCGAGAAATTAAAACTGTGGTTCAAATTGGCCAAAACACTCCACACAACAACTATTCAGATTCCTGCCAATTTCCTACCAGCAGACCAATTGACAGATGATCTTGACATCATTGCTAGCGATCTTCGACAAGTATCAGATATGGGAGATGCAGAAAACCCTCCTATTCGCTTTGCCTATGAGAACCTATGCTGGAGCACTCACATCGACACCTGGGAGAAGGTGTGGGATGTCGTTAAGCGGGTTGATAGACCTAATTTTGGAATGTGTCTTGATACATTCAATATTGCGGGTCGTGTATGGGCCGATCCTGCATCTCCAACGGGGAAAACGCCAAATGCCGATGCCGATTTGAAGCAATCTATTGATCGACTCGTGAAGGAGGTTGATGTGGCCAAGGTTTTTTATATCCAAGTTGTAAATGCTGAACGCATGGAGTCCCCATTGGTCCCTGGGCATCCGTTCCATGTCGACGGGCAGCCCGCACGCATGAACTGGTCTCGCAATGCAAGGACGTTCATGTATGAAGAAGATCGGGCAGCATATCTGCCCGTGGAGGATGTTGCACGGGCAATTATCTCTGGACTGGGGTATGTGGGTTATGTTTCTATGGAATTATTCTCTAGGACCATGTCGGAGGAAGGGGATAATGTTCCCACGGAGCATGCCGAGAGGGGGATTTTGGCATGGAAGAAGTTCCAGGCAAAATTTAAGCTTGATTGATAAGTAGTATCTGACTTAGGGCACCAGTTGGTAAAAATCTAAATCTAAACCTGAGTACTAGTATGTATCGTCGGTTTACATAAACTCCTCGACAAAGAAGACTTACTCTAGACAGCTTATTCACTTTGTAGAAAAACCTTTGAATAATAATGACATAGTCTTTTTACTGAGATATTTAGGCATTGATATCTTCTCCATCCAGCCACTTCTTTGCCAATTGGTAAAGTAGATCATGCTTTTCTCCATTTTGAGTTCCAATATGTCTCCTGTGTCCAGGCATATCCTTCAGAACAGTAACACCCATGGTCAACTCTTGACAGTAGGACAAACACTTATACCCTTCAGCATATGAGTTCAATTTGGCCTCATCGATCTTAGGAATCTTGTTCGGATTCACCGGCAGAAGCTTGTCCTTCTCATACCAATGACGAACAAGCCGAGCACCCCATCGCCCATCAACCTTCTCGAAAAAGAAGCAAAATCGACAGTCCGCCTCAGCATCCACTTCACATCCATCAATTGTAAAGCGTTGCGTGATAGTCGCCTTCATTTTGGTAACTGCCCGATCCGCCTCAGGCGTAATATCACTTGTTACGCCATGGCAACGGTGCATGATGAAAGCGCCCTTATCCATACCGGCCTTGGAAGCTGCGATGAAATCTTTGTATGAAACTCGGCCTGACCATGTTGTGTAAACTTGGGCCCCGTCGTGGAATATCGACTCGAAGTTTTCCCATTCACAAGCGTCCCTGAATGTATGATTAGCCCATTGAACGCATAAGTTGAGTTCCCTCTTGTTTTATTTGTTTCTTACCGGTAGCATGGCCAGCCTTCTGCAAGCTCTCGGAGCTTTGCACGCTCGAGCACCAAGGAATCTGGGCCATTGTTGCGGATGGCATGGCTGGGCCGGGTTCCAGCGGGCAGGGAATGAAAGTCAGGCATTTTGGGTTCTGGCAATGTCTGGTATAGCGTAGTATTTAAATAATAGAGCGATGAAAAGGATCTCTCGCATTACTTATTCATATATGCCTCGGGTAAGTTCGAAATGCGGAGATGGGGACGGTTAATGTCATCCCCGACGAATTGTTTGCGTGGAACGGTGTGGGGCTTGAGGAGTACAGATTACGGCGTGTGTGCCTTCAACATTTATTAACAAGAATAGCAAGATTCTAAGGGGACAAGGAAAGTAAACCTATAGTTTCAAACTTGAGAGATACTGGAAGAGCTTTTGCAGATAAAATGAGTATATTCATAATAGCTAGAAGTTGATTGCTTTGCTTTCCTCAGCAGCCTCGTTCAGGACTCTCCATGCCCCTGCGCTATCTAGTTTAGACATAAGTTTTTCTCCAGCCCAAAGACGCCATTGTTCTTCAATCTGGTATCCAATTACATGAGTTCCTTCGACACATGGCCACCCTAACTCCTCCGCCAACTTAAGCATCCTGGTCCTCCTAGGCTTGAAGCACATCTCAAGTAGCACACCCTTCTCAGACCGAGAAAGAAAATACTCTAACACAGAAGTCACAGTAAGCTCAGAATCTGTAGATGGCGCAAAGTCCGGCACTGTGCCAACGATATAGTATGGACCCTCCAGGCTTTCAGCTTGCTCCAAACTCTTGACATGAACAATTTCAGGAACGGTAGGAAGTCTTCCCGAGTCACGAATAAGATCCAGAACTTCTTGATCGTCGCGATTCAGAACATAAATCTTCGGGCAATGAAGATGCATAGTAAGGGCATATACTGCTGCCCGGCTCGCGCCACCAGCACCAACGATCAAAGCCGATGCAGGGGATTCCTTGGTGGGCCTGCGTCCTTCATCTCCCTTTTCCAGAAGACATCCTTTGATCCCTCTCCAATCTGTGTTAGTTCCACATAGCCGTCGCACGTCTCCATCCTTATAGTAGACATTGTTACAGGCGCCGATAATGCAAACAAGATCATCCAACTCGTCCAGGCGTCCCATTATAGAACCTTTGTATGGCATTGTGACGACCAATCCCGCGGTAGTGGGCTTTTGACCAAGTTCATGTAGCTCGTCGATTGTTTGACATTCCGTAGCGTAAAACTTCCAGGGCAGACCAAGGGTCTTTGCAATATAGTTGTGCATTTTGGGGGCAATTGAATGGGTAACCCCGACACCAACTAAATGAAGAGTTCGCTCTTCTGATTGGGTCTGCTGGACCATGTTGGGTAGAAGATCGCGGTGTCGACTTTATTTGCGGAGTAAAAGTGTGAACGAAGATAAAGACGAGAAGTATGTGTAACAACTGAGGTATATTATACCTTCTGCTACCAGCGGAACTGTTCACTACCTCGGCGAAATTTAAGCTTGACATGGGGCAAGTTGTCGGATATAATTTAGCCGATGGTGACTGTGTCATCTACTTGAAGCACTTACTATACGGAGTCTCGGGGATGATTCAGTAGTAAATTTCAATTTGGGAAAAATAAACCAGAAATATGAAAGATGAAGTAAGATTGCGAGTCGAAAATTTGGAAAAATCAAAGCAAAAAGTCAAACAATGTTCTCTTGGTCATTTTCCTCGCACAAGCCTGATGTGCCAGGATCATTGCAACGAGGATGTCGAGCAAGAGGTAGCAAGAGAATAATTCAAAAAACAAAACAAAAAACAAACAAAACAAAAAAGGCCAAATTTCGCATTTTAGCCTGCCCTCAAAAAGCGCATGATGTAGAAATGGTAATGATGTACCTAGGCCTTATCGCCCTTGGTCAAATTGGCCACGAGGGGCTTCTTGCTATCCTCTGGGGTAGATGTAGACCCCTTCTTTTCATCAGTGCTGGATGCAACAGTGCTGGATGAAACAGTGCTGGATGAAACAGTGCTGGATGAAACAGTGCTGGATGAAATTTTCTCGTCGTTGTTAGATGGAGCCTTCTTATCATCAGGCGTGGATAGAGTCTTCTGCTCATCTTCCTTGATGGAAGAAGTGTCCTTTGCATCACCAGAAGAGCTTTTCTCGACGATGTCTGTGAAGTCCGTCTTTCCGGAAAGCAACTGACTCATGACGAAGGCCATGTCATTCTTGAGCGTGTCGACTGTCCTGAGCAGATTGTCAAAGTCTTCCATGAGCTTTTTCCATTCCTCTGGGATTTCCTTGCTCGCGTTCTGGACATATCCAAGCTCCTCCTTTGCACGAGGTAAATCTTCGCTCGTCTTGGTGACGCGGGAGATAGCTTGAGCGACAGAAGTAATCATGACATCGGCTTGCATCAATTCATGCTCGATATTCTCTATGTCCGTTGCTGACTCGAGGCACTCTTTGAACCGAGTGGGAAGGCCCTCCTTCAGAATAAGGATTTGCTTGTGGGCTCTTGTGACAGACTCAGCCTGGAGGTCGAGGCCATGCTGGAGCTTATCAACCAACGTCTGAAACGTCTCAGTGCATTTGTCAGAGCCACCAGGTGAGGATTTGGGGCTGGGCAGTTGGATATTGTGACTGCCATTGGCATTGGTGATCTCCAGATCAAGTTCTGAGTAGTCTTTAAATTAGCAATCGAAGTTTTAATGTGAATGTATAGCACGCAGCATTTTGCTCTTACCAATCAGTCTCTTCACAGCATCTCCAAACTGGAGCTCATCTGGAATCTTTGGCTTCTCGTCTGGTGGAGGGGTCTCCATTTTGGTTGAAGGAAGGGTTGTTGATGGTGAAAATGAAGATAGTGAGAAGAGGGAAGAATATATTGGAAAGATTTGACAAAGCGAAGAAGAATTTGTTGTTGGATGATGTGAAGGTTAGAGCTGGAAAGGATAAGAAAGAGAAAGGAAGAGAAATGAGATTATGAGAACGGTTATGAGAACGTGTTGGAGAGCGTGTCGGAGAATGCGTATTAGAACGGTGAGATGTTTGTTAAACCAAGGCGTGTTCTTGAACAGCTTGAATCAGAAACATGTAAGTAACAGGATCAGCAGAAATCTTCCGAGACCATGTTACGATGATGAAGTGAAGAAGAAATTGGGTTCGACATACTAATACATAGTCAGTATAGGCCCGAGTCAGAGGTCAGAGGTGAGGCAATTCATTTGAGCCCCATCCCGGCAAAACAGGCAGCGTAGACCCTATCCTCTCATAAAAATAAATAATTCATAGGTATAGAGTACTAGAGTACTAGAATACTAACTTTTAATTTAAGCCATCTATTTAGTGTGTACATTCGGACTCAGCGTAGATAGTAGAAGGGCGTTCTAGGGCTCGACCATGTGTCAAGCTAGGCTAGATGGCGGTTTGTCTTTGATGCAGCAGATCATAGGAGACTGCAAGGACATGCCATTCATTGCCAGTATCGTTACGCTGTGATTTTTCCAATGCTGGCGACCGTGTAGTCATTACAGGCAACGATCCCCTACCCTAGCACGGTTAAACGAAGGTTAAGTTCTTAACCGACACTCTCAATCTACAGGTTGACAACCATTTAGTAGATCTTAAAAGATTCAAGAATGATCAATTCGCACTTAAACAGTTTCAGTTCATTCCTCCGAGTCCGAGAACAAAGAAAGTCATTTATTTCACATGTTGCATGCGCCTATAGCCTCAAACACAGCGAAAATGCCAAAAGACTTTCACATATTTGGAAGTGGCATTTCGTTCAGCATCTCTCCTACTATCCACAATGCTGGATTCCGTCACTATACTCTCCCATATACATACGATATCCGCGAGTCTACCACAATAGATCAGGTCTCCAATTCAATTGAGGAAGAAAGGTTCGGCGGCGGCAGCGTAACCATGCCACACAAACTCCACGTCCACAAGTTCTGCACCGAGCAGACCGACATCGCCAGACTTATCGGGGCAATCAATACACTGATTGTCAAAGGATCTGGAACCGAGCGGACAATTACAGGCGAGAACACGGATTGGTCTGGACTGCACAGCATCATTACTATCCATGCCGCAAAAACGAACCAGCAACCCAAGACAGGCCTTGTAATTGGTGCTGGAGGAGCCTCACGAGCTGCTTTGTATGCTATGCATCGGTCAGGCATTGAGAAAATATACATCATCAACAGGACACTTGCTGTTGCAGAGAAAGTGAAGGCGGATTTCCAGAGTGTATTCCAGATCGACATTGTCGACAACCTGAAGGAGCTTCCTTCTTTACCAGATGTCATAATCGGGACAGTTCCTGCGGATACCACTACAGAAGAACATTTTTCTGCTATTTTTGGCACCCGAGGACTTTGCATCGACATGGCGTATAAGCCGAGACAAACTCCGCTTCTCACAGCCGCACAGAGACACCAGGAGTGGCGGACGGTGACGGGTCTAGAGGTGCTGCTTGCACAAGCATATGACCAGTTTAGACTATGGACAGGTCTCGAGCCACCGGTTGAGAAAATGGAAGAGGCGGTCTTTGTTCATGAGCGGGAAACCGAGAAGGCCCGAGTTGGAATGCTTTGATGCGCGATCGATAAGGGCTGCTGCAACTAGACGGGCATGAGACTAGACGAGATATCTCAAAACAAGTATCCACGATAGATGTTTGATTGATCTGGCGAGTGCATATAATATTTACATTGCCAATAAATTATCCAATATACAGAATGCAATAGAATCCCGACGCCAGTATTATGCAAGTTGCGAGGTAATGAGTCTGGCGAAAAACCCGTTGTATCACTTTAGAAGTCTGTTACACGGCCACCATAACTCCAATCACCGGCAGAGCCCCATCGGAGAGGCTCATTTTTGGGTCCACCGACCTCCCCAGTTTTCGGGTTCTTCTCGCCCTCGAACTCGGGCTTTAGCCCTTGTGGCGCATCCGGATGAAGCTCCTCGCCATTGCCGTTGACCTTGATTCCCGCTTGGGGTGATTGGTTGACTTGTGGTGTGCTGAAAGCGCCAGTAGAGCGACGCTGGAGCTCTTCAAAGATCTCCTGTTCTTCCTTAGGTAGACGTGGCGGAGCGGGACCGCCGCCGAATGCAAGCGAGGGCTTCTTGTCGTCGTTGGAGTTGCGCAGGGCGGTAGTAGTGGAGATCGATCGAATGGTGACAGTACCCTTCGTAAGGGATGCGAGACGGCCACGGGGCAAAGCAAGATAAAATGCCATGATGAGAGAGATTTATCGGCAACAAATGGGATGTTGGAAGGTTGAGCTCGGTAAAAGGCGCGCCCTACGATAATAATATAGCAGAGCCGAACCACCGGAAGTGGCGCCGATCCTGACTAAGTTTCCATTGCGGGTCCCGATATCGCGGGCTTTTTTATCTCCTCAGAAAGATCAGTGGCCTGAGGGGTTTTCTCTTTCTCTGTTATTTCTGGTATTGCTATTAGCGGTTGAAGGATTCTCGTTTTTTAATTTCCCTATACTATAGCCATGTCTGCCCTCCGTGTGGCCGCGCGCCGTCTCCCTCGCGCAACCCGCCTTGTGCCTTCTGTTGAGTCACCCATTCAGCGACGATTTGCGGCGACCGCCAATGCTGCTCAGAAGCAGGCGCAGGTGAGTCAATCGATCCGGTATAGGGTATATCGATATCGTGAGAACTAACAAAGCTCAAGACTGGGGCTTCTCTCCCCAACCCCGACCCTTCACCCGACTCCGTCACAGTCTCGTTCATTAATGAGCGGGCTCCCTTCATGGTGCCAACCTACGTTCGCCCAGCTCCTATGATGATGAAGGGCCAGGGTTGCTACCTGTGGGATATGGAAAACCGGCGCTATCTGGATTTAACTGCGGGAATTGCGGTTAACTCGCTCGGTCACTGCGATCCGGAGATTTCCAAGATTATTGCGGAGCAGGTGCGCAACCAATTGAATCCTAGATTATTTATCTACACACGAATCGCTGAACTAACTTAATGATCTCTTATAGGCCGAGACCCTCCTTCACGCATCGAACCTTTACCACAACCCTTGGACCGGTGCTCTGAGTCAACTGCTAGTCAACTTAACCCGTGAGTCAGGTGCTATGCGCAATGCCGAGCAGGTCTTCATCTCCAACTCCGGAACCGAGGCCAACGAGGCTGCTATCAAGTTCGCCCGCAAGGTCGGACGCACCCTCGACCCCTCCGGCGACAAGCATGAGTTCGTTTCGTTCCACAACTCCTTCCATGGCCGTACAATGGGTGCGCTCTCCGCCACTCCCAACCCGAAGTACCAGACACCTTTCTCGCCTATGATCCCCGGTTTCAAGTACGGAAACTACAACGATGTTGAGCAGCTGCAGACCCTCATCACCGATAAGACCTGCGGTGTGATTGTCGAGCCTATACAGGGCGAGGGTGGTGTTAACATGGCTACTCCCGAGTTCTTGGTCGCTCTGCGCAAGCGTTGCGACGAGGTCGGCGCTGTCCTGATCTTCGATGAAATCCAGTGCGGACTGTCTCGTACAGGTAGCCTCTGGGCCCATGCCCATCCCTCTTTGACCCCAGCCTCAGGCGAGGCCGCACACCCCGATATTTTGACATCGGCCAAGGCTTTGGGCAACGGCATCCCGATTGGTGCCACCATTGTCTCCGGCAAGACCGTTGGCTCCCACATCAAGACCGGAGACCACGGTACTACCTTCGGTGGAAACCCTCTGGCTTGCCGTGTTGCCTACCACATCGTTGCTCGCCTTGCTGACCCTGAGCTCCAAAGCGCAGTCCAGCAGAAGTCCGAGGTCTTCGTTGCTGGCTTCCAAGCTCTGCAGAAGAAGTTCCCCGAGTCTGTCTCCGAGATTCGTGGCCGTGGTCTCATTCTGGGTCTACAGCTGTCTCCATCCGCTGCTCCTAAGGCGGGTGATATCATCAAGGCCGCTCGCGAGCGCGGTATGCTCATCATCACTGCTGGTGATGGCTGTCTTCGCTTTGTTCCTGCTCTGACTATCACCGAGGACCAGATCAAGTCTGGCCTCAACATCTTGGAAAAATCCCTGGAGTCAGTCATTAGCTCCTAAAAAGGGGAAACTGGCCGCGTGCGGTCCGATTTCAAATTGGCCCATGATGTGCTCCATGCCTGTTTGATATACCATTTCATTGATTTGTCGTTTCGGAGCGTATATTTTTTGTTAATTTCTTCTGAGATTTTTGCCCATGCATCCCCTGAATAGAGCTGGGTGCCATAGAATAGGATATATATTAAAATCAAAGGTCTTCCAAGGGTTTAGTCTCTTAAGTAGAGTCTTATGATCATATGTACGCAACCGAACCCTATATTTTGTACTACCAAGTAGCGGATCGTATAGTAAGCTCTCCAATAGAACAACAATTAAGTCTTAGTTACTTTTTGAATATACATGTGTACTGAGAATAGTCACGAGTAATGTATATATACTCCAGCGTTTCAAGTACTATGAATAAGTGGAGAGGAACAACGGCACTCCATAAGCCGAGCGGAGCGTACTCGTACTCTCGTTCGGAGTTCTAGGAAGAACGCGCGTGGCAGTGGGTACCCGTAGTGGAACCAAATACTCCGTCTACCCATGATAAGCACTCCCAGTTACCTCTGTCGTGTGCCCTTGTCTTCCACTGGTCCCAGATAACCCCCCTGCGCCAGTTTGAGAACATGAATTGGTATTTGCCGGCTTTGATCTTTGATCTTTGATCTTTCTCCCACGTAGTTGTCTTCTTTCCACCCTCACGCGACAACTTTCTCTTCCTGGAATGCCCCTCGAACACAGCGGGGACACCCCGATGCCCATCGAGGATGACGCCCCTCCGCGCTGGACTCGCTTTTCCGATCGCCTCAAACGCTCCTTCAGCGGTGCGGACCCGCGTGTCTGCATCGCTTTCTGGCTATTCGGTACCCTCAATATTCGAGATCTCACTGGATGCAATAGTCACTAACCGGTTCCCGCTAATAGGCCTTATCAATAACGTCCTCTATGTGATCCTCCTCTCCGCAGCTTTAGACCTAGTCGGACCAGATTTGCCCAAAGGCATCGTACTCCTCGCAGATATCATACCATCCTTCACGACCAAGCTGATCGCGCCCTACTTCATTCATGTGGTCCCGTACTCTGTCCGAGTCATTGTATTTGTATTGCTCTCCACCGTGGGCATGGTGATCGTTGCGATGAGCCCAAGCTATACTGAAGGAGGTACGATCATATCCAAGATCGTGGGTATAATCCTCGCTAGTCTGTCGGCTGGCGGAGGGGAGCTGAGCTTCATGGGGCTCACCCATTTCTACGGACACTTCAGTCTGGCTGCTTGGAGTAGTGGCACCGGTGCAGCTGGTCTAGTCGGTGCTGGAGCTTACGCATTAGCTACGAATACCATGGGCATTTCGGTACATACTACTCTCTTTGCGTCGGCCAGTTTGCCTATTCTGATGGCAGTGAGCTTCTTCATTGTTTTACCACGAGACTCAATGCGAGCAACAGCCTCTTCGGATAGGTACCAGGCTGTAGAACGAGGGGAGCGCTCAGAGACAGAAGATGTAGGGCATGAAGGTTACGAATCTGAGCGCGAAGAGTCAGAAGGACTCTTAGGCGTATCTGTCCATTCAGCTGGTACACAAAAGCCCGTCCACGTGAATGCAGAGTCCCGTTGGTGGGACCGAATGCGACAGAACCTGAGACAGCTCAAGAAGTTGTTCTTCCCCTTGTGAGTTATTCCCGTTACTTAATTCCTGCTATGGTGTTAATTCGTGAATGTATAGTATGCTTCCATTACTTTTGGTGTTCATTGCCGAGTACGTGATCAATCAGGGCGTTGCCCCGACTCTGCTCTTCCCTCTATATACTACGCCATTCAAGGACTTCCGTTCCTTTTACCCGGCATACAGCGCGATATACCAAGCCGGTGTCTTTGTCTCGCGGTCCTCGACCCCATTCTTTCGTGTGCACCATCTTTATGTCCCCTCTCTTTTACAAGTGCTCAACCTGGTCGTGCTAACCCTGCATTCCATGTTCAATTTTATCCCTAATGTCTACATTGTGTTTCTGGTGATTTTCTGGGAAGGCCTACTTGGTGGTCTAGTATACGTCAACACATTTGCAGAAATCAGCGACCGAGTCCCAGAAGAAGAGCGCGAGTTCTCTCTTGGCGCCACGACTGTGAGTGACTCGGCTGGTATCTGCATTGCGGGGTTTATCAGTACGGCCTTGGAAGTTCTCCTTTGCAGGTTCCAAATGATTCATGGCAGGGAGTATTGTCGGGTGATATAGATATTTTGTGATACATTTAGCTCAATATGAATTCTTTTCAATAGAAGCGATCTTCAATCAACTGTGTAAATGCATAAATCCGTCGTCATTATACATAGGTGTGGCCTTATACATGTTGTGGTGTTGTTGTTGTATGTGAAGTCAGCTGATGCTGATCTTCAGCATGTGATGGCCTTGAATTCACATGTGATTGTTGACGTTCTTGTTTCATTCTGTTTCTTGTTCATTCTCACCCTTCTCTCCCCGCATTTTTGTCTCTTGTCTGTTTTTTTGATCTATCTTCTGCATTATTCCTTTTTGAGTCCTTGATCTATGAGCTCTGCTTTTTCTTTGGGGTGGCTGTATAGCACGATACAGCCTTGCATCACGGGTGGAAATGATAGGTACGATCGGCAGATCAGTGCTGCAGCCCATGACGCACTTGACTAACATAGATCTCCAGACCACGTTCTTGGACGACCATCCACCAGATTCCGTAAGATCCAGGTATTAGCTGTGGTTTCATTCTGGTCTACTTATTTACTTCGGTATGTGCGATCGCCCAAATTAGCGATACGCTGTGAGATCCAAGCTGACTCCTTGATCCCTTCTTTGAATAGTGGAAATAAGCATGGGCCTCCGCTTCTCCGAGCCATTTCAACCCGATTTTCAAATAGGTTGACAGCATGGCAAACAACCGTTCTAATTTTCCTATCGCTATACATATCCCGCAATTTCGGTAAATTGCTTGGCCTAGAGTGCCCAGAACCTTTGGCCAACTTATATTCAAGATCATTCTTTCGAGCGACATGGATTGCCACAGGGCTAGATGCAGGCTTTTGGACGGCCATGAATATTAAACCGAAGTGGCTACGGGATATTGCATCTTTGGTTTTCACAGTCTACTATCTCATTGCCGCGGAGCAAGCGGATGAGAAGGTGCGCCGAGTCCGCGCTACTCTGACTCTGGAGCATATGCGTGTCTCATGGAACAAAGCAACCACGCCTTATTTGTGGGCTATGGCTAGTTTGCTACGCCCACGAATGACCAGATACTCGCCGCGGGCTATTCGTATCCCTCGACCGAAGCAGTCCGTGTATACCGATCCCGTGAGTGGGTGGCTGTATTTCGATGGACCTCTGAGCGCATTGAAACAGCAGACTTGCATCGTTTTGGATATTCCCGGCGGCGGCTTTGTTGCTATGGGACCGCGAAACTCCGAAGACAAGCTTTTGTCATGGGCAGGGAAATTGAAGATACCCGTTCTTAGTATTGATTACAAGAAGGCCCCAGAATATGCGTACCCATATGCGCTGCACGAATGCTACGATGTATATCATACTATCATATCCACTAATGGACGCTGTGTTGGTCTGAGTGGCTTGACTCGCCCCCGAATTGTCGTGACTGGCGAAAGCGCAGGAGGCAATCTGGCAGTCAGTATGATATTGATGGTCCTTCAGACCAGCTTGGGGCAAAGCTGGCAAGGAGGAGAAGGGCTCCCACGGCCCGAGGGGGTAGTTCTGGCATACCCAGCGCTCAACGTCAAAGTAGAAAGTTGGATGACAGACGAGCAAATGTCACTCATTCAGGATAAAAGCTCACGCCAAACCAACCGAAGTATCCTGCAGCGCAAACAAGACCAATATCGCAAGCTCACTCCATTTACCTCACCGGGCCATTCAGTCGAGAATTTGACCTCTTTAACTGCTTCTAAACAAGCGGATGATCAGGAGAAAACCGACATAGCAACTGAGACTTCCAAAGCTCTCCGCGACAAACTAAAAAAGAACGAAGAGCTCAATGGAAAGCCCAAGTCTCCCACATCCGGCGAGGCACAACCACTTCAGACCCGACTTGCTGTCTCCTCTATGATCTCTTATGTCCACGATAGAATTCTTACGCCCGAAATGATGCGCGCAATGATCATTCTATATATTGGGCCACATCAAAGACCTGATTTTAACACCGATTTCTACCTGTCTCCAGTCCTCGCACCGGATGCATTACTTGCCAGATTTCCCAAAACGTACATTTTCACTGGCGAACGTGATCCATTGGTCGATGATACAGTCATTTTTGCAGGCCGCTTGCGCCAGGCAAAGCTTCAGGATTTTCATGAACGTCAGGATCTTGGTCTTATGAACTCCCGGCGTACATTTCGTGAAAGGGATCATGTGGAGGTATCTTTGATTCCTGGCGTATCGCATGGATTTCTGCAAATGGCAGGCTTCTATCCAGAGGCATGGAAGTACATTAAGCGCAGTGCCGTCTGGATAGAGACTCTATTTGAGACATCTGAGATGTACGAATCGGAGTATAGTCTACTTCAAATGTCTGGGGCTTCAAACAAGAGTGTACCGATAAAACAGAAAGAACCTGCGAATAACAAGGAGAATAGGAGGTTCTCAGAAAAACATCATCATCGCAGGCGAACAGGGGAATCATCTGGAGATGAAGACCGACCGTTAGAAATGGGCATGACGAAGATGACGAGCTCATCAACTGATGAAGATTACTTCTCATCGAAAAGCCTACTAGCGCGTCGGAAAAAGTCCCGATCTCCATTTGCATCGTCTCGTCTCGCTGGCTTTACCACCTATGAGGACGAGGCCGAACACGGTGCGGAAGATGGGGGTGAATTCCTAGCAAGGTTGAAACACCTTGAGATGAAGTATAAATACCACGATGAAGTTGCCGTTGGAGATATCAACAGTGCCCCTGGGAGTCCTTACGCTCTTCGTCCACGTGGAAGAAGCATCACATCTCTGGGCAGCGAGGAGGATCTATTAGATCGGCGGATGCATGGAATTGCTGGCGGACTTATGGGCGGCGGCTTGGGAGAGAGAGCACAGACACCAGGAGCCTAGAATTTAGACATTCATAGATACGATATACGCATGCTTGATGAGTTATGAATCAAAACCCACACTGAATTTATTGAAGTCAATTTCAGCTAGTATGTTTTGGTTGAGGGGGCGATTAAATAAAGTTCAGAGATCCATGGGTGGAGCACGCTTGAAGATTATGCCAATTGCCACTTTACGAGCATCAATTGATGGAGTTTAGCGCCTCCCCCGTAATAACTTTAATACTCGTACGACCCCGCGGGGATGAAACGACGACAGAATTCCAGTTTCCAACGTGCACATACCCTCATCCCATTGATACATGAACCCCCTTAAAACTGGCCACCATGGCCAGCTCGTTCTTGAAGAGAACGCAGAGGATGAATAGTTCAATACCACTCGCGAAGGGCAGCCCGATGGCCATCCTAGTAGTGGTAAGGTTCCCTTTCAGCTAGGATAGCCATAAGACACTAATATCCTTCTCAGGTCTGCTCAGCTATAGCAATTTACAATGCCCTCGAACTCCTCGTTCTCGTCTTGATGACTTTTCAGCGACGAAAGGGCCTTTATTTTTGGAGCATAACGCTAGCCTCATTCGGATTGATTCCATACTCCGTCGGCTGGACGCTGGTCAACTTCAAGCCCTCAGTCGATTATATAGGCGTGACACTCGATATTATTGGCTGGATTTTGGTGGTCTCAGGCCAATCTGTCGTCCTGTATTCGCGCTTGCATCTAGTGCTCAACAATACCACTATCCTGCGAACCGTCCTCTGGATAATCATCTGCGACGCTGTTGTCTGGCACATCTCCATTACTGTTCTTCTATTCGGATCTATATATAGCCCTCTTCCGAGCAGGAACAACTTCAACGCTGTCTACCATGTCATGGAAAAAGTACAGATCACCTTTTTCTGTGTCCAGGAATTCTTTATCTCTAGTCTATACATCTGGGCGACGGTGAACATGCTCAAGACGGCATCCGGCAACAAGCGACAGATCATGTGGAAACTCTTCGGTATTAACGTACTGATTGTGTTGATGAATATCGGAGTACTCGCGGTCGTATATAATAACTTATTCATCTGGGAACAGGGGATCAAAGCCGTCATATACTCTATAAAGCTTAAGCTTGAGTTTGCTATCCTGAACCAGCTTGTCAGGTTTGTGCAGCGACACGAGGGTATAAATTCCGTATCTCCTCCGGATTCCAATATTAAGTCTGGAGAGAGAGCTAGCGAGCAGCCACATGCAAAGAATACGAAAATTCGACAAGTAAGCATGCCTGACGCTATCCATTTGGAGGATATGTCTATCAGCAACGCGGCGGCTTCGGCCCCTGACCTATTAACCCGCCAAGGGGATCATAGCAATGAAATCAGGGTTTCAACGGAGATAAGTGTGGAGGAGGAGTCTGCGGGTAGTAGGGATTGTGTGAGTATGCACGCCTTGTACAACGAAGCAATGTGGCAAATATCGATGCCGCATAAAGCGCCTTGAATTAATGTTACACTTTTTATTCTTCACACTTCGTTTGCATGTTCCAAGATAGAGTAAATGGCTCGGTAATACCATTAATATTAGCCAGTAAATCATTTATTTGAGAGCAGGTATGCAAACGCCGACCTGGGTATATTAGCCAAACAGAGTTATGGTACGCCGTACAAGGATTGCAAAGAACATCTCATTAATCGGGTGGAACCCCCTGTTCTCGCATGACTATCGAAGGGTTTGCGCAGAGTTCATTTGATCAGATTCTCTCCAGGGCGTGCATTTGGCGAATTCATAGGAGGCAGCAATAATCATGGCTAAAGCCTCACATCGTTCTACTTACAGCGAACATCTTATAGTTTGATTGAAGGATTCAAATATTCAGAAAAAGAATGAATTTGAATGTTTTGAATTCCGAAAGCTACTTACTACTCAAATGGCGTATGAAAACTAATAGACTATCTGCCAAGTATGTGATCGACTTCCAAAATCACTTCACTTCATAATCCAAATCTACTCCTCTTTCTTCCTTTCCTCAAGTCCTTCCTGTCGACGAGTAACAGCAACTCGCATATTCCCCATCAAAGTTTCAGCATAAGGCGAATGAACATGGGTTTCCTCGTCATAAAATGCCTTAGTGGCATCTTTCCCAATATACCCCTGCACCAGCTCAGGCCCACCAGGATGATCAGCCATGAAATCAGTAACGTCGTGGACGATTCCATGCACAGCAACAAGACAACGACCAGCAGACGTCTGGTCAACATAATCCTGCCATTCCATCTGTGGCAGCTGATTAATCTCAGGACCGTGCTCAATTCCCTCAGCAATATTAAGCTGACGCTGCTTTGCACGCTCGATTTCCGTGGGACTAGTAACATGAAGATCCCACGCAAGTCCGAGTCTCTCGCATGTTCGGATAAACCACCGTGACAGGTCGCCTTCATACCAATGCAGTCCATTTCGGTAATCAGCCGGGAAGGTGTGGTGGAAGTTGTGACTTGCTTCTCCTGCCAAAACCCATGCAAACAGCAGTACGTTACGTGCACTATGTTTGTTAGAGTAAGGCTGAGAACCGAAAGCGGGCAAATGGGCAATAGAATTGACAAAGAAGCCAAGGTGCCAAATCCACATTAGTCGGCCAAGTACAGTGTGGACTAAGGCTCCTTGAGCGTCATTCCATCCGAAATGCGCGATGAGCACAGGCAGTACGATGGCAGTTAAAGTTCCAACGAGCATACCCCATTTGTGCTGCCATACTACTACCTCATCGGCTAGTAGATCAGATAAGTCGACCTTCCCCCACGATTTAGGGTTGTATCCAACTAGCCAGCCAACGTGTGAGAAGAAGAAGCCGCGGGTAGGGTTGTATGGGTCCTTCTCGGTATCGGTGTATCGGTGATGTGAGCGATGGTGACGAGCCCACCACAGAATTGACCACTGCCACTGACCAGCACCCATTATTGCAAGAAAATATCGCAGAGGTTTGCTTGCTTTATAGGAGCGATGCGACCAGAGTCGATGGTATCCTACAAGACGAAATTAGCATATCACTTGAGGATGGAAAAGGCTCAGAAAGAATACTTACCAGCTGTGATTCCCATGCCTCCAGCGAGGTAGAAGACTCCTGTCAACAAGAAGGTCTCCCATCGTAGAGGTACATACAAAACTGATGTAAAATAAGTTGGAATTGCCCCAAGCAAGATGATAGCATTCAAGACATGGAAGTGCTTTGCATAGTACCGAAAATCCGCGATCCAGCTATATTTGCCAGATTTTGGCGGTGCTTGCAAGATCTTAGACGCCATTTTCAAGGCTTCAAAAAATCAAGAGCTAGTACTAGTAGCTTTCAAAGATTTTGATTTCAAGCTTCATCCCGGGCGTCAACTATAACTATATCTCAGAAAAAGACATCCCCCTTCCCAACTGGTGGCGCACACACGGATAAGCAATATCATTCTGTGTTATTTTAGCCCGTGCATGATTGCCTCTGAACATTTCTGATATATCACTATCGCAAGTCATAAGCCAAATTGAGCTCAAAATGTGACTCTTTATCAAGTTTCTGTCTGATATTGCTTTTTCCTTGACAGAAGTGACGCATGTTGACCAAAATCTGTTCGCATGTGGGCTATCGAAACTGCTGTCAAGTTAAAAAGCAATTCTTGAAAAGCCTTCTATTGAAGTTTAATGTGTGATTTCCCAAGCCTAGCTGTGTCAGCTGTGCCTTTGTGTGACGATGCAGTTGACAATTATTAAAAGAAGCAATTATGGTGGAACAAACAATATCGTGTCCCCCGCGTCCCAACCCATATTCATTGGTATCACCGCCGAAGTTAAGAAAAAGAAATAACTTTCAGGGTTGAGACTCGAGTCAGTCCTTCTACTTATCAAATGCCGTTGACAATATTTGTAATGTACAGAGTTGTGCAACCGAAAAACGGGTTGATTATTGGAGAGTCTATAATTCTAGTTTTTATTTACACGTGCCCAGTGCCCGATACAAACAGCCTCAGCATCTCCACGCTTTTCATTAGGAAGAAACACGATTCTTTGATTATATTTCAAATTATCCACTTCCTTCTGGGATTTTGAGATCGTTCCATCGAAAACACCGCTTCAAATCGCGTCCACAGAACTGCAAATGTTGCCGCCGCCATTAAAATGCCCACCATTATACTGGTGTTTGTATAGCTTTTAGGACTAGCGGACTGGGTTTGACTACTCCGAATTAGTACACCTGCAATTGGTGTACCGAGCAGTGTAGCAAGCCCTCTAATCATGTAAAGGGCCCCGTTAACACTAACGAAATGTTGCACTCCGAAAAGTTCAACCAGACTCGCTGGAAATAGTGACACGTAGGCCGAAGCAAAGATACCATATGATATGCTAAACACGATAAATAAAGCGCTGGCAGTTGATTGGGAGGATGCCAAAGACGCAGGGAGCCACAAAGTCAGAACTGCAACAGCTGCAATAAAGGTAGTGGCCAAAAGTATGTTGAGCCTGCCCATGCGATCTGCAAAGTATCCAATAGCAACCCTAGAAAGTGCATTGGCACCATTTGAGATTGCAATGAAGTTTGCCGACGACGTGGTAGAATATCCGAGGGTGCGAGCAAAAGCCGAAAAAAAGAAAACCGGAGTATAGTATGCTGCAGACTGGAGGGAAGCGCCCAAAGCGTGAGCAGCAAATTGACGAGTTCGTGCAACGCGCCAGTCCATTACTGGAATGAGGAATAGGTTCCTTGGTCTTGATCTGGAACTTGCTGCTTCCTCTGCCTGTATACGGGCTATTTGACTGGGTGGCCATTTCATGAACATCCCCGCTGTCAAATTAAGCGCAAAAGCAATACAAGCAGTGATACGAAGTGTATTGCGGAATCCCACCCGTTCAATAAGTGATCGAAATGCAAGTGGCCAAGCCACTCCCCCCGCCCCAGTCCCGGACATAATGATTCCCATCGCGAGGCCACGGTTCTGCGAGAACCAGGTTGGCGCCACCGTCACAGGGGGCATATATGTCATGCAAGTTCCAACTCCCACGAGAACGCCCTGTGTTAGAATGAATTGCCAAAGAGACTGGCTAAAACTGGCCAAGACTAGCGCGACCGCATAGATGATGCTACCACTGCATACAACGGCTCGAGGCGAATATTGCTTGGTCCAGGCTGTTGTGAATGGGGCGCCGGCAGTCATTAGCGCAATAGCCAAGGTACCGATTAAATCAATTTGTGCTGGCGTCGCTCCGGTGAACGGCGTATTGGGTGTCTTTGACATAGACTCGTAAAGCTCTTGCCAGACACCAAAAGAGAAATTGATACCGCATACTGTGAATACGAGCGCAGTGGAAGATGTCACAACGAGAGCAGGTTGTCTGAGGCGTAGTTAGTTTGGCCACCTCTGGGACGGATATAATAGGGCGAGCTTACAATTTTTCCCATCGACTGCTTTGGGTCTGGCTATTATCAACAGACAAAGTCATGGGCTCGAGTGGCCGATCCATGTTGTAGAACTTTTACTCTGAGATCTTCATATATGGAAAGAAGAAGAGTCTTTGTATTGATCGCAAGTTGGTTGAGTCTCGGCGCGGGGGACCGGCGGAACTCGGAGTAAGCATCGAGAAGCCGAGGTGGGTTTGTTAGTAATGAAAGGTGAGGAATCAAGTATTCGAAAATATGGGCTTCGCAAGGCTCTAGAAGTATTTTTGGAACTTAATTGAGCTTTCATATCTTTAGTATGGCCGTACGGTACCTGCGATAGCTTATATACTCATATACATTTCGCCGAAAAGGGCCGATGACCACATAGTTCCCATGCAGATTTCATTCAGACGTTTGAATTTTGATGCACATAATTTCAAAACACGCAAGGCTCTTACCGAGGAGCAAAACTCGGCATGAAACCGAGGAAGCCGACTTCAAATGCTTTTCGGCAAGAAATATGGTAATGCGACTCCAAAGTTGTATCTTTTAGGCGCCACAGCTATCACCAGAACTTTACGGATGTTCCTTTAATGACTATAATAATTCATTATCACTCGTATGTATGTGCCTCATACTGAGGGAAGTGATAAGGGGAGCTGTACTAGTTATACACCTCGCTAGTAGTAGATGGGTCTATAGATCTATTTTATTACGATTTTCATACTAGTAAATGGATGTCCGCAGGCCCCGGGGCTCAGACTGCAGATCCGTCATGATATATTCAAGTTCCCGGGACTTCAAATTCTTATCCACTGGTATAAGACGTGTGATATCAATCCACGGATCTAGTATTAAGATCATGATGTTGTAGATACGATTATCTTTGGGTGGCGCTTCCCAGGAAGAATTGGTCAACACTCAACCTATCTTCTTCCAACCCTCGCCCATTCTTAATCTCCCAGTTGAAATTATCGAGATAATTTTGGGTTTTCTTCCCCTTTCAGATCTCGTTTGCTTTCTCGGTTCAAGCAAGCGTCTTCTAGAATTTACGGATTCAAAGTTTATTCGGAGTCCTTCGTTTTCATATACCATTGGCGTTCAGCGAAATCAATTCTTTCGTTATACCATGATATAGCTCATTGTAATATATTATTGGGATTTCCGGTTTATTGCATACTCGAGTTGTTGGAATCAGAAACGTAATCTTGGGATGTGTCGCTATTTCAACTTATGGCCTATGCCACGTGCATCATCTATCCCACTTTGATGACCGTTCGAAACACACTCGTATGATAGATACTAGTACAACTTATAAAATCATTGGAATAGGCGACTTGAAGTGTCTAGCACACTCACTTAGCAACGACCGACCTGGGAGGAAGCTAGAGGAGGTCCCAGATTTCACCCGCTCGAATTCCCCTAATCTCTTTTGTTGCTTGTTTTCTATATTGAGCTGAGATATTTTAATACATCGATAATATTGTAGATCAGTATACATTGAAAATAATAGTAATAAGTTGGAAGTTGGAAGTTAGTCATGCTCATAAGTGGTACATCAAATAAGAAGTAATCTGGGTCTTGTATGACAGACTTGGATTTCACGCCGCTTTTCTAGAATGGAAGGTCAAAGCCTGAGCGCACAACCCATCTGAAATTAGAACAAAAGAAATATTATCGCGCCGTGGTTATTTTGTATTTGTCCGGCTACATTTACACATTATCTGGTCGCTAGAAGTCTGGATACGCTAACAACAATTGGAGCTCCCGGACCCCCTAAGTTGAGTTCTGCGGTTCAACAAGGGACTGATAAGAGCACCCGGAAACACGCCGATTCACATCGTCAGATTTATCTTGGCTTCGCATGGACACAGCCTTGTCGGGCTTATCATTGGTTTCAGCATTTTACCCCGCATTTTGCTCTGCCATATCTTTCTATTAAAGATAGCCTCAGAGCCGCCATGGCCCCTATTCCACTGAGGATTCTGCAACCCCTAATGAAGGTTACATTTACCAAATCCCGGACATTAACGACCCCAAATCCATGTCCGAGGGTATTAGGCAGGAGATCGCATGTGGGACTAAGCGCAAGCGCGAAGCAACGGTGGTCAAGAAGCGCACGTCCCTCGCGTGAGTTATGCAGCTCATACGGCCCATGATTTCCATTTTTCAACTAACTCTTCAAGGTGTGATACATGTCGCAAGCAAAAGGAAAAATGCGAAGGAGGTCAGCCATGCTGGCGATGTCAACGCTTAGATCGACGGTGCCAATTTTCAACTCCCCAGGCTACCCGAAGACCAAATTATTCGCCTCGAGAAGATTCTTTACTTTGTCACAATCCAGAACAGAGCAATCGCCATCAAAAGAACTTGGAACAGATCGTGCAACATTTTCTTGGTGATATAGATTTAGAAGAAGAGAGTATTGCGCGGGTCGCGGCAACATATGAGGCAAAGTCAAAAGAGATGGAAAATTCCCTAGATGTGGCCGAAGAACCGTTTGATGTCCACTTTGTGTCTAAAGATGTCGCATGTTCGTTGGAACTTTCAATTCCCTCACATATATCCAACTTGAACTAACGCACAGTGGCTAGTTTATTCGGGAGAATTTTCTCACTGGAATTTCTCGGAAAAGTTACGTCGAAGAATGAGCTCTCGTCGAGCGTCATCTGATTTAAACGTTTGTCATTGAGCCCATGGGTGTCAACAATATGAGTTCCTAATAATAAACTTGACAGGTCAAAGAATACTGGCGACCGACCCATCTCCAGTCTTCCATCCATATCGTTGCCGAGGCCATGACACATTTACCACCGAGACCTATCGCTGAATTCCTGTCGATCATGTTCTTCAAATATACAGAAGTCAACTCTTTCTACGCAGAAAGACCCTGGGTACAAGCAAAGCTGGATCTCTGTTATAATTCCAACACCAAATTCACTTCTAGCGATATTCCTTGGGTATGCTCAGTCTTTGCCATATTAGCTGTAGGCACACAAATGGCACACATGGAAGAGGACAGAGCAGACTCAGAGTCTAATGTCCCAGAGGATATATTTGCCTGCTCCGAAGATGCAATTGGACTTGGGTTTTATCGTATAGCTTGCAAGTTGGTTCCAGACGTCATTCTCGCGGCATCGTACGAAAGTGTACAAGCCTGTCTTATACTGGCAGTTTTTGCTTTGCCGGTTTCTACTGGCGGCCTGTCATATACTTATTTCGGCTTGGCTATGAAGATGGCCATACAAAACGGTATGCATCGAAAGTATACTGGTGATGATTTTGACAGAAAGACTGTTGAGCTCAGGAATCGACTTTTCTGGTCGGTCTATTCCCTAGAAAGGTGATCTCTCGCAGCTTTTGTACTCTAGTATTCTCGTGAAACGAAAGATTAACGTTTCAGCAGACGAACAAGTATCATGCATGGGAGACCTAGTTCTCTCGCACGATCCGAGATTAATGCCGATCTCCCAACAAACTCTCCAGAATTTGATTCCCCGGACTTTGAAAACATGATAGCATTTATCGATTTAGTTTCTTGGACTGGGGAAGTCTCGGAGACCTTGTAAGAGAATTCCCTACCTATTCAAATTCAAGACAATCGTCTAACCTTGTAACCCGCAGAGTGCAATTCAAAAGATGCCCCAAGAGATTACTTCCGGAACATTCAGAAAAGCTCATGCAATTGAAGATAAGGATGAGGCAGTGGTGGGAATCACTGCCAATAAATTATGATTGTCGAGATTTAACGCCTCAGAGACCCTTGTTCCGACAAAATTGCCATCTCAAGCTATGTTATCTCGGCATATACGTCTATATGGGCCGCCCCTTCATTTTTAATCCGCGCAACAGACATCCAAAAGGGGAACATAACGGTAATGGAGAACAGCAGTCAGAACTGGTGAATGATTGTGTACAAAGTGCTTTCGAAATTCTCGCCACATTACAATCACTTGCAGACAACTTTGGTTTATGTCGCGCTTCTTATACGGAATTCAGTTCATGCAGAGCGGCTCTCCTTGTCATACTCGCAGAAAGTCTCAATTCGGGAATGTCTTCGGCGCTTCACGGTGGCCTCAATCGAGGCATGGTTCTTATCCGGCAAATGACGGGTGGAACATCTTCTCAGTCGGAAATCTCATATATCGAGTCTATGGAAATAGCAATTCGTCAGCTTTTATCAAATAATGAGTCCGACGAACATGGGTCAAACATGGCACAGAGATCTTCTTCAGCGTATGAAAAATTCAAGGATTGGACACAATCGATGAAAAGGGACAAATGCTTCGGAAATACTACGGAGTTGTCATCTTTCAGTCCAGTGTCATGTTTGAACTCTGGAACTGGAAGTGCATTTAATCCGGATATTAATGATTGGAATAATTTACTTAATTCAGGCTGGACTGCTAGCGACCTAAACTTGGACCCAGAAGTCTTCTTGGATCCGCAAACATGATCTCACGGGGTCTTCTTTATCCAAAAATCACATATCGAACACGTTTAATCCATGTGCTCTTCTCGCTTAGCATTGAACCCTGTGCTTGAATCGCCATTTCGTCCAGCCGATCTTCCTCGTCGAAATATTCTGCTGCGGAGAAGTCCATATCTTTGGCTTTCACGATTTTCGTTTTGTACCAGAACTATATGTACCAATGTCAGATATGTCTCGTCGCTCTTTTCAAAAGAAAATACTAACCTTATAAGCCAAGTAGTCAAAAACAAACAGCGGAGCCGCCAAGTAAGTCGAGAAAAAGGTCTTGGGTGAACCTTTCTCTCCGAATGGCCAACACGAGAGGTAAAATTCACAACCGAATATGAATGCCACAAGAACCAGACTGAAGTATTGTGAGTATGGCGTCAAGAATCCCTTGAAAGGAAGAGAATTGAGATCTTTTCCCTGTGCCTTGAGGCCCTCCCTGAAGCGAAGATGGGAAACATAACAACCAGACCACTCGAAAAGAGTCGCAATAGCCACCTATTCATAATTTAATTTGAGTTCAAATGTTCCATATCATATTATACCTAGACTTACCAGGGATGAGAACCAGCCATAAACAACAGTTCCAATGCTATCACAATTAAGGTAGCATAATCCACCACCAATTCCCAAACTGATGATAAGCGCCATCCAAGGACGACCTTGTTTATCTTTGCGACCAAAGAAGGGATGTATGATATTAAGATCTGCCAGAGCTGTCAAGCTACGGCTGGCAACATAAACACTGGTGATACCGCAGCTGATCACACTCAGAAAAATGAACCCATTAATCGCATGGGCAAGTCCATAGACATCCGCTCTCTTGATAGCGATGACAAAGGGACTTCCTAGAGTACCACTAGAAGATAGATCTTCGTCATTATATGGGACACACATTCCGACCAACCAAATGTTGACAACGAAAAATGTGAACATGCGCCAGAAGACCGGGCGAACTGTCTTTTTGATTGTCTGTCGGGGCTTAGCTATCTCGCCAGCAATGACAGCAATATGTTCACCTAGAAAGACGTTAGTTCCTTGCTATTGACCTAGCACTATATACTATAACTTGAAGTTAACATACCACCACCAAAGCTAAAAGCAGCTTGCACAAAAGCTTTAGCAATTCCCTTCATTCCATTTCTGAAGGCACCAGGGTTTTTCCAGTACTGAAACTCAATCGGTCCATGAGTGGCCGGAATACCACCAGATGTCATGATAAACAAAAAGCAAATCATCAATACGACCGCAGCACATTTGAAAAATGACATATAGTACTCTATGTACCCATATATTCGGACATGAAAGACATTAGCCGCGGCCATCACGACTAGTAATATCGTTATGTATACTGCAAGCGGAAGAGCATCGGTTTGAGGCCAGAATTTCAACACAGAAACCGCGGCCGTGATTTCTGCTGGTATGATCATAACCCACTTTTACATCATAAAGTCAGTAAGTAGCTGGCTTGAATTCATTCATGAAGTTTTGAGTCTCCACTCACAGCAAACCAGAAGTTGATTCCAACTGCAAATCCAAATGCCGGGTCCACATACTCGATACATGTACGAATAAAGCCTCCGTGGACTGGCTTGTAAGCCATCATTTCGCCGATAGAGCTGTATTGAGCGTAGACAATCATGCTAACATAATATTGTCAGACACTTAGTATATTCAATGAATTGAACAGTTTTACTCACGCAGTCAGAGTATACGTTATAGCGAGTCCGCCAGGCCCAGCTAAATAAAACGCAAGTTAGCATGAGATCTGACCTTCGAATGGATTTTAATACTAACATACCATAGTATAGTGCCTGTCCAGTTCCAACCCAGAGGCCTGTTCCAATACCAGCCCCAAAGGTCATCATCATGACCTTTCGCCTTGTAAGAGACCGGTGAAATCCCGCATTGTCCTCTGCGAGTATCTCCTTCGAGTCTCCATTTTGCTCCGTCCCCGTAGTAGCTGTCCGTTCAATATCAATTATATCATCTGTGTTGTTCTTGATATCCGCCTTTCTTTCCGAGAATTCATTCATTGCCTCAGCATTCGTTATGGCCATCGCTGTGGAGACTACAAATAAAACGCTGAATAGATCACGAAATACCGGGAAGAGCCATCTCCAAATATCTCATGGTCTTTCATATTTCCCCTCTTCTGTTTATCTTTCATATTCTGCTATATCACATTCTGCTATCTCATTCTCATCCGCCGGGAATTTGACCCGGTCGCTTTTCCCACCGGGAAGAGCAGAGCGGGGTTATTGATCACGTAAGTCCCCTGCACTTCAAACTATCAATGTTATCTTGCGGGGTATTCTCTTCAAGTTCTCGACGATCAATCACAATTCAGCTATTTTGACTCATATTGAGTCTGACTCATTGCTGGCCCCATTGTCTTAAGCATAAATTGCGACCAAGCCCAATTAAACAGGGCTGTGATAAGGATATTTCGAAACAATCTTCAAGGCCAGTTACATTATACACCTATATCCAAAATGGCTTCATCCAAGAATGTCGTCTTTGATATCGTGGGCACACTTGTGGCCTATGACCATCTATACAATGCAATTGACCTCCGACTAGGCGACCGTCTCCGTGCCGAGGGTGTCAAGCCCTGGCTTCTAGGATCTGCCTGGATGGAGACCACCGAACGCGAATATACCAATCTCAGTATTTCGGGGAGATATGTCCCATACGCAGAGATATTGGAGACGCTCTTTTATCGCGTTCTCGGAATGATGGGTGGAATTGAGAATCCTCGCCAATTTGCTTCTCCCGACGATCTCGCGTGGATAATGGGAGAATACCAGAAATTGACGATGCGTCCTGGAGCAGCAGAATGCGTGAAGAAGCTTCGCGATGCTGGATTCACAGTCTGGGCATTTACTGCTGCTGACTTGAAGCGTGTTGGTGGTTACTTCCAGCAGGCAGGTGTTGAATTGCCAGCTGAGAACTTGATCTCTTGTGACTCTGCTGGAGTTGGGAAGCCAGACTTGGCTGCGTATAAGCCTCTATTGGACAAGTTGACTTCGGATAACCAGGGAAAGACGCCTTGGTTTGCTGCTGCCCATCTGTGGGACGTATCTGCCGCACGTAGAGCTGGGTAAGTTGCTGAGCTTTTCTTTTCTTTTCTTTTACCCCTCGTGGATGGATTTTACCGAACATGTTCTAATAAGTCGGGCAGATTCAAAGGAGCATACTGCACAGTGCTAGAGCAGGAGGCACTGACGGACCTCTTTGGAGATATGGATGTCATTGATGATACTCTACCTGGAATGGCTGATAAGATCATTGCCCATCAGGCAGGAAATTAGTAGGCAACTGCTCTGTACTCTATAGAATTAGCTAGAGTCATCAATACAAGCAAAGAATTCACCATAGTACAAAGACGCGTAAATTTATTATACTAAGACTAACTACATAGACCCTGTAGATTTGCAAGGTCATTAGTTAGATGTATAAATCACGTCATAGGTCGCAAAACACCATATCCAAAACAGCGGTCAACATTATCTCTGCAAATCATTATGCTGTGTGGGATTGATTCACGGCTCCACTCCGGTCCCGGCGGGAGCAACAGCCGGTGGGGAAAGAAAGCCGGTCGCAACAACTCAGATACCATGCGTTATCGTAAATATTGACAATCAATAAAATCCTTATTCTTCGATTATATCGTACTCCAAGCTTCAAAGTTGTCTTGATCAAGAGACAATATCAAGAAAACATGACATCAAAACATATCCCTGTTGCAAACGCGACGCTCCCCTTCTGGCGGACAGATCCCCACCCTCTAGACAATTATCGCTCCACCGAAACTCTACCTGAGAAAAGCGACGTCGTCATCATTGGAGCTGGGTATGCGGGGGCATCGGTGGCGCACCATATTCTTCGAAATGTAAAAAATGGTGCCAAAGCACCTTCAATCACGATCTTGGAAGCGCGTCAGGCGTGCTCTGGTGCGACTGCTCGCAATGGTGAGATGATCATGCTGGTGGATGGGATGTTTCCGAACGAGTATTAACCAATTTCATACAGGGGGGCATATGAAGCCAGATATTTACAACTTTATAGCAACCCTGGCCGAAAATTATGGATTAGATGCCGCAGCTGAAGTGGCAGCTTTCGAGGCCAAGCATGTATACGCAATGAAAGATTTCGTTGAGGCTGAGAAGATCGACTGCGATTACACAGTCACTAAGGCCCTTGATGTTCAATTGACCGAGTCACACTTCAAAAAGCTCAAGGATGGGTACCACAGTTTAGTCGCAGGCGGTATCGAAGCAACGGCTCGAGCGCAGATAATTGAGTCTCAAGAGGCAAAAGACGTACGTCCTTTTGTCCATATAATTTCAAAATGCTTTAGATTCGTAGCTGATATTTTGTCCAGTTTTCCGGCGTCAAAGGTGCTGTGGGCTGCTTTGCGTACGACGCAGGTCACATCTGGGCCTACAAATTCGTTCTCCACATCTTGGAAAATGCGGTCTCGCAAGGTCTTGATCTGCAGACGCACACACCTGTGAGTAAAGTCTCGGAGTCGGCCCATTCTGATTCTCCATATCGCTGGAGAGTGGAGACGTCCTCGCGCGGCACGGTCGCGGCCAAAGTGGTAGTATTTGCAACGAATGCCTATACCTCAACTCTCGCCCCACAATATCAAGGTAAAATTGTACCTGTGCGTGGAACATGCAGTCGCATTGTTGTTCCGCCTGGATCTCAAGCTCCTCGCTTGACAAACACTTACACCTTGCGACTGAATGCTTGGGATTATGACTACCTTATTCCGCGTGGAGACGGGAGCATTGTGGTGGGTGGGGCACGATCGTCGTTTATCCATGACGAAAAGAATTGGCTCAATGTTAGTGATGATAGTCGAGTTTTAGAGCCTGCAGCACGCTATTTCGATGGATACATGCAAAGGAATTTCGTGGGGTGGGAAAATAGCCATGCATATACCGACCGGGTCTGGACGGGAAGTAAGTATATCCCCCTCTTCCCTCCTTGCGCGAATTGTTTCTCATTTCATAATTTATAGTTATGGGATACTCTGCCGATGGTCTTCCTCATGTCGGTCAAGTTCCTGGACAAGAAGGTCAATTTATTCTGGCTGGGTTCACGGGACATGGAATGCCACAAATCTTCTTGGTCGCTGAAGCCCTCGCGAAGATGGTCGTTAATGAAGCAAGCTTTGAAGAGACTAAACTGCCTCGACTGTTTAAAACCAGCCAGGAAAGAATTACGACCTCAAAGAGCAATATTTCCGATAAAGCTCCCCCGGCTACGACGCAGGCCAAACTATGAGGGTATCCGGGATCTCGCCGTAGATTTTAATTAAATAACATGCAATGGCGTCTTGATATTAGCCTTATAGCTCAAACTCGTATAGCTCCACTCAGTTATCAAGTCTAAGCTTCTTTCTCGGTAATATCCACCAAAAAGCAAACTTGGTGATGCTTGGCAATGGGCTTGGCGGTCAGAAAACGTCAACTTGATGGTGAATTGTGTGCGGGATCCACCTATACAAATCTCTTTGCTGATCCTTTAGTGTGCGGAGTATCCACCCACACCACATCTTCAAGCTCTTTACAACAAGGAGTCATACTTTGAGGAACAATAACAATTACCATTGAAGTTTTATGTAGTTTAACTCAAAGGATTCATCTGAATCATGCTCCTCACCTAACCAAAACAGGTTGGTCCCTCCCAAATGTCTTCCAAATGTCCAAATCCCACTGTCGATCATCCGCCATCACCAATCATGATGGCGTGCTTTTACTGATCATTAGCTCTAGCTGCACCATGATGGCGCGATATGGCCCACTCCACCTCCTCCAGACCCTTTAAACTCTCTCTGGGCAATAGACCCCGTGTGTCTATATAACTCCCACGGGCCCGTTCGATAATCATTTCGTCAACTTGAACCCAGGTGCATCTACCCTCACCCCGGGCCTTCACCGCTATCTCTCGTACAGGAGATCTTTCAATATATCAACCACAACGCACATCTCCCCACAAATCTCTCTTCTGGACTGTTGATCAATCTGATTGGTCATTTCTCGCTTACCGGAAAAATGGACCTCCCCGAAAAGATGGAAGTCGACTTGGAGTCGCAAACCGCGCAGTACGAATACGCTCCCTGGCTATTGGACGATCACCCGCTCCGCTCGCATCCCACCGAGTGTATCCCAGGTTTGGGCCCTTTTATATCTGAAAGCTTTGTTTCACTACGGAAGCAATGGAAACAATCTCTACTGCGCGCCATAGCTCTGGTTATTCTGTGCCTGTAAGTGTCACATTCTTTGAAAATTACTAGTCCCCATATTCATCGCATCGGAAGCACTAACACGTTTCTTTTTTTTTTGACTGATTACAGTCTTGCATTTCAATTGATCCAGCTTTCCCATGTGTGGTGGGGAAAGACCTACCTTGACCAGCAGAGTCCCGTTTAAGCCCTCGCGGGTGGCAAGGGAAATACAAGTCCCCCCATTCGGGCGCATTGCATGCTACTGCAAAGCAATAGATTTTGCACCAGCATCTGGCTGCATAATGCCAATTTTTAAATCGACACTGCAGTTTTCTATCTCAGGCAAGAGACTGATTGCATGATGTGCGACTTCGACTTTGTTCGCTTTACTTGCCTGGGAGCCTGCAGTGGACTCTACGACTCGAATCTCCCACGACACTGAATAGTGTATAACGAGGAACGATCGACGACCGACCGACCTAATATTCCTTTCATGGGACTGGACGCTCAATCTCTCATCCTTGAACCTCGTCCACTTCTTTTTCTCTCCTATCTGGAGCTCCTTTACCAACTAGAATACCGACCCTTCTAATCAGGCTGAGCCACTCTGGTTTCATCCAGGGAAACGCGTCGCCAAACGCCGTGTGCTGACGAAACCTCTTATGTTTCCATTCGGAAATTGACGAAGGATCATTTGACTCTGATGTGCGCCGAATGATTCCACGTTGCTCTGAAACCTATATATATAATTTCGTTTCCTTTTTTTGTCAAATTTTTCATGATACCCTATACCAAGTCTACCAAGTTTATCTCAACAATCAAGTCCATATTTTTTTTTATAATTTCCCGATCCACTCTATAGTTCATATTTTCTTTTTTTCATACTTCGTAGGGTTACCCTTATTGATGAAGCAGTGCAACATCTGATTACATTCCTCAAATAACGTGTGCCACGGGGCCCGATCGGAATGTGGTCCGAGCATTTTTTTTTCGTCAATAACGGCAGGCTACATACAGGTTCCCGTGGATCAGATCAGCTTTCATGTGTCTTTCAGCAGGGGATGACCTAGAACATGATGGTCACAAGGTTCAAGAGAAGCCAGTGGAAACCCGACAGAGTTGAGCCATTCCTGTAACTTGGGAGGATCTGCTGCCTAATTTGGACCTAACTAGGTAAAGAGATAGTATGTACCTAACCATTACTACTATATACAGCCTGAAGACACCTGGGCAGTTTACTTCCTATACTATAGAACCCTTTCGAAGCCATAATATCAATGAAACTGGCGAGCAGAAATATCCAGGTCTAGATTTTATCCAAATAAACAATAATACACAGTGCGTACAACAGGCCAAACCAAATATTGCAAGGGTAGTTCATCGTTTGTCTTTTGTTTTTCGTTATCGCGCACGAGCGGTGATTCCCACCGTGATCCGATCTCCGCCATGCAAGATACAGTCTTGGCCCCATCACGCTAAAGCCGCATCACTCACCGTTTTTTTTCTCCGTTCGCTCAGGACTCTTTGCTTACCCTAGTCTTCTTTTCTTCGTCGCAGAGTCAATTCTTCAGTCTGAGCGATTGCCACAGTCCTTGGAACCGAACCCCCCTCAATTTTCCGGATATCATTACGCCATCTCCGCACCCCTCACGGTCGCGCCCTAATTCCGAGGAGGCCATGGCTCTCGGGATCAACCGCTGATCCGTCATTACAACTCAGTTTTCCCTTCTTCGGCACCTTTTCCACCGCTATTCAAGGCCAGCCCATCGCCAACGAACACCGCAAAATCACCTATCTTCCCCGTATATCACCTCAATCGAGAAGAGAACTCTTATACCCACAAAATGGATTACTATCGACGGCTCCACCATAGCTCCTATCCACCACGACCATCACCGTTAGGAACCTCGCAAGAACCGCGCGACGAGCGTGCTCTGACGCTCACTTCCCCCGCTGCTCAGGATACACGACGAGTTGAGAATGCAAAGGTACGGTCGACAAGTCGCTACGAGAGTCCCCATGCGACTTCCCCTATATATTCATCCGGCGCATCGCGTGCATCTATGTCGCACCCGCTTCGCGAAAGCACCAGCGCACATGTCTCGCCATCCAAGGCCCAGCAAGTACAACAACATCGTCGGCACGCTAGTCTAGAGTCAAGGCATCAACCACATGCACACCGCAGAAACCATTCCCAGCCACAATCAGGCCATGCCCGAGAAGGTAAGACATTTGATTATATCTCATTCTTATCTTGCATTTTTATTTTATTTTCTATTTCTTTTCAAATTTGGTGGAAAGTTCAAAACCGGTTATTTCTCCCTCTATCGATTTTATCCCCTGCATGTGTGTGTGTATACTAGCCCCGGATTCAGGAACTTTGGGGTCGGACTTGTCCCGTGGTTCCTGTCCCAACTAATCTCTCCACTTTCCCATCATTCTCGAAGGATCGGGGGAGCATGCGATGTTTAGACGAGAAAGGATATTTTGACCGGACAGGTAGTATTTTTTATAACCTGTCCTGTTGAAGTATATATCTTGGCTGCTATGAAATATTCCGCACTATTACCCCCCCCCCCTCCTCCTTCCTTCCTCCCTCCTCCATCTTCCCCCCTTGTCTTGTTACTTGCTTCCCCCTGATGCTTGTTATTCCCCGGTGGCGCTGATCCTCCGCTCGGGAGCGCTAGGCCCAATCGGGGAATAAACGACTATTCCCTTTTGGGACTAGCGGTCGAGCTCCCGGAGTCACGGGTTCTGGGCTTCTGGGTCCTGGAATCAATTCCACCTTCCCTAGCGTTTTTGATCAGTTTACATGGCGCGATGAATAACGCATCTTCCTACCCCGCGCGCCGTGCATCCCAGGGCAGCAGTGGCAGCCCTGGTCACACGGGTGAGTGAAGTGGTCCCCTTGACGGCGGATGCGACATGAATCTTTAAGCGCCATTCCCCATTTTCTGACACCATTGCGGACTTGCTTGGGATCGATCGCGGGCTTCATATGTCTCCACAGAGAGATTTTTTCAGAACAAACTAACGTTTGCGCTATAGGACAACAAGAACAATCTGCGCCTCCCGCGTTCGGCCATCGACAAATGCCTCCCCCATCATCGCCTCACTCCTACGCCTCACGATCGCAGTCAGCCAACGCGCCTACATCCCTACTTTCTCGCGATGGGCCAGGAAGCCAGTCTCATCGGCCGGGGAGTAGCATGTCTATATCCGCCATGTTAGGCTCTGATCCGGAGCGACCGAGCCGAGATGCATCGTCGTTGTTTTCGCGCCCGTCCGCGTCGTCGATTTTTGGCACCACTTCGGCTTCCGTTACAGCCGGCATGTCACCTCCCACTGGGCCAACTCGCCCTTCCCCAGTTGACTTTCGTCGGTCAGAGACACCAGAGAAAGCATTTTCAAAGCCACAGCCGGGTCGTCCATACCGATCTGGCTCTGGTGGCGGATCAAGCTTCCTAGGTGCAGATCAATCAAAATTCGGAAGCCTGTCACGCATGCCTCCCTCGCAATACCCCGAGAAATCCCATTCAACGCAACCCTCCCCTCATATCTCACCCGCTGACCTTCCACACAACGAGCCTCGTCGGATGAGTTTCAGTGGTCCGATCGCCCGCTCCAGTAGCCAGCCACTCAACGCCGAGGTGGCCGCACGACCGCCTGCTTACAGCCCGCTCTCCCGCCCGTCGGGGGGATTAACAGAGCGATTTGATCATGGGCAAAGAGCTTCCGCGGCATATGCAGGTCTTGATCATCATAATCGTTTCGGAAGTCTGTTTGGAGACCGCCGTTCAGAGGAGATTACGCATCGGGATGCCGATCGTGCGCCTCATGGTTTGGATCCAAAAGGGCCGATGGGGGGATCAACTCGATTCAGCTCGATCTACGGTGAGAGAGAATCACATGATTGGCATTCAGGTGCTTCGTCATGGGATCATGGCCGCTCACATCCATCCTCTCCAGAGAGCACGCGTATCGCTGCGCCCGAGCCGGCGTCAAGTTTTGGCTTTGGAGCGATCCAAAGTTACACTAAATCTTTGGGATCCCAACCTGGCGGTGGCCGTCAGCCACTGTCTCTCCATACTGGTCATTCTCAGCCAACATCTTCTCCTCGCGAGTCACCTTACTTGAGTAAACAATCGACACAACCCTCACGTCTCGGGTCTACACCGGCCTCAGCGGCTGCGGCTGGAGCAGGCCTCCTTGGTCTTGCAGCTGCTGGAGAAGAAGGGCGTCGAAAGGGAAGTGATGAACTACTGCAACACCGTAATTTGCTTGCGGTAGGTATAGATGGAAAGCGCGGCGGTCGCGCGTCTCCACTTCCTCAAGCTGTACAAGGCGCACAAGCCCCGTTTATTGGAGCGTCGGGTGAGCCAAGTATAAAGAATGATCTAGGAAGAGTGTTTTCTGGCATTGGTAGCGGTGTCGGAGGTGTGACGGCCGGTTCATCTGGAAGTGGACCGTCAACGCCTTTGACATCAAGTCCTTTTAAGCGCGACGGGACTACCGCGCGCTCCGTGAATGGTGATGTTGATGATGGGAAAATTCCTCGTCCTACATCCACAGCAGGTATCAGGCGATCCCGGAAATCCCGGGATGAAGATCAGATGGAGCTTGAGGGTGGTGGACTGTCTTCGCGATCCCGTCGAGCTCGACATTTGCACCAACATCAACATCACCATCATCACCAGTATGTATCTGGACACGGGTCTATCAACGGCTCCCAGGCACTAACTACGTTAAACAGCCACCATCATCACAGACACAAAGCAGAAGAGGAGGCAGCTGCCTTGAATGGTCTACACCGGCCGCTATCTACAGGCTTCTTTGGGCGAACATCTACTCCAGCAGAACCTTCCACAGGACATCATCACCATCACCACCACCACCATCATCATCATGCTCCACGACCTGCTCCTGCGACAGCCTCTCCTCTCCGAGAACCCCGCACCACCGTCAACCTTGAGCCGCTCCTCTCGAGTGTCGCCCACCTTCCCAGGCAACATCTCGGATCTACACTCTATACACCTCGCATCAGTACACCCTCGGCAAAGGCTTCCTCTGAGAGCTCCAAGTTTGGTTACACGACAAGTCCCCAGCCTCTTCCGCGTCTCGAAAAGCGCGAAAACTGCACTTTCACTATTCGCGTACCACGTTTCCGGATCGATCAAAGTCATCGCGAGGAGATCTGTACGCGACGAGCACTATGGGGCACTGGTGTATACACAGACGACTCTGATCCTGTCGCCGCTGCTATCCATTCGGGCTTCATCCGTGGGGCCTGGGGCGATGATGTGGATGAGTCCATGCTCGATCTAGAAATCAAAGACACATACCAGCACGCCCCGCAATCAACTGCGGAAGCAACACAGGAGGGCTCCAAGTCAGCCTCGCAGACCAATGGCCCCCGTGTACCACCTCTTCCTCCATCTGACCAAGATCTTCATATTACCTTATTGGTTTTGCCTCGTCTGGAGCGCTATGACTCCACCGTCATGTTTGGTATCAAGTCTCGTAAATGGGATGGTCGCCATGATGGCGTGAGTTTCAAGGTACACCGAGTGGATTGGGTGGACGATGGTGTTGGGCGCGGCGAGGAGCGAAGCGGAGAAGCCCGACGCAAACGCCTACGCACACTGATGCAGACCGGTCGCATCTGTACGGGGCCCGCCATGGCTAAAATTGATGAGCTCCGACGAACCGGCGTGCAAGTTTCCCGACCCATCAACGGCCAAGAGCAGCCCACAACCGTTGAGCCAGTTTCGTAGATCTGTGGCTCTCTCTATTTACCCTACCTTTTTTTTACCCCTCTTGGATTTACAATATTCGGCAGTTTATTTTGATTTACCCAGGTGGGGACTCTGTACTAATTACCCTGGAGTCAGATCTTTCTCTCCCATTCTGGTCTTGTTCATGGGGGCGTTTGTTCATCTTTTTCTTTTTATTATATGATATTCTTTGTGGTGATTTGCGTTGGATCCTTTTTTTTTCTGGGCTGTTGATACCTGCGAATAGCGTGTTTTTGGTCACGATCTAATTTACTACATATCATCTACTATCTATCTATTTATCTATTTAACTATGTATAATTCTTTCTCTTTGTATACTTATCATGTGCGCATCATTTAAGTACATAGTAGACAATAATGTTCGGATCAATGGACCCGGATGAAGGGATATATGTCAGATTAGCACCTGACATGTTAAGCAGGGACCCTTTCGTACAAAATGATGCTTTTGAACTTACCATGGATACATCTAGGAATGGATATATATCCATATATCGTTTTCCATCTCCCCGCGGAGAGATTTCAAATCCCGTCTCCTATATCTGGCCGTAAATCAAGCTCTCCGCAGTCCGATTCCCCGGCGCTAAGAAGCTCTCCCCGCATTGCCTTTTCATTCGCAGCAGTGTAGGGGAATAAGAAGTCCTAAAGGTTAAAATTCAATACACAATACTAGTCCACCTAAAACACAGCCCTTATTTATTTCCTATCCCCCTTTTTTTTTTCTCGGTATCCCGAATCCCGAGTCGACCGATCTTGTGACTGCAGGTTTGTTCCCACATTCTCTAGATCCAAATTGACTCAGAACAACCGAGGCCCAAATCAATACCAAAGTTACCGGTAGGTGGAGTTTATTACCGTTTTCCCGTTTTTTGATTCGCTCCACACGACCCCACTCGTAATACCACCGTTACTCACACCCGCGGGCAACAGCGCTTCGGTCTCGCTCGCAACCGAGGCTCATTCATCTCCTTCGAAGGTATTTGGTCCTTCGACTGCTCAACTTGGAACAACTTCGTTTCAACCTCTTCTCTCCTTCTTTTTCTTCTTCCTCTAACTTACTTCCTTATACAAGAGGGATGTTTGCTGCTTCTGCTCGAAGCCGTCTCACCACCTTGTCAAGGCCCCGGCTCCCTCCGACACAACTGCTTGCCCGCTCGGTACGACGGCCATCTCCGATTCCCTGGTTGCGATAAACCGCGATTTAGGAAAGTCCATGATTCTACGAAGCAATTGAAGCTGACAGTGATTTCAGACACCCGCTATGGCTCGAAAGGCATCTTCAGTCCCTGAGGGTAAGTGCTTCACATGCGATTTCTGTTGTGGATCAGATGCCGTCATGAGAATGGGGCCCTGCCCACCTCAACGCGATACCGCTACAATCAGATCCGCCCTGTGAATAAGGAGAACAAAGACAACAGAAGGCTAACAAAATGGAATCTGTGATTCAGGATACAAAGAGGACATCTCCAAGGGCAAGATGCTCCGTTTTGAGGACTCCCTGCCCCACCTCCCCGTCCCATCCCTGGAGGAGACCGGCCGCCGCTACTTGAAGTCGGTTCACCCCCTGGTCTCCGCGGCGGAGTACGAGCGCACCAAGAATGCAGTCGAGGACTTCATTCGCCCCGGCGGTGAAGGTGAGCCTTTGCAGAAGCGTCTGGTCGAACGCGCTGCCAACCCCAAAGTCAAGAACTGGATCGCCGAGTGGTGGAACCAGGCTGCTTACCTGGGCTACCGGGACCCCGTCATTCCCTATGTTTCCTACTTCTACTCATACAAGGATGACCGTGAGCGTCGTGACCCAGCCAAGCGTGCTGCTGCCATCACCACCGCCGCACTTGAGTTCAAGGTGCAAGTCGACAATGGCTCTCTCGAGCCCGAGTACATGCGCGGTCAGCCAATGGCCATGAGCTCCTACGAGTACATGTTCAACTGCTGCCGTGTTCCTGCTGATGGCGAGGATTTCCCTCGCAAGTACACTGCAGCGGAGAACCAGCACATCGTGGTCGCCCGCAAGAACCAGTTCTTCAAGGTCCCTCTCGTCATTGACGGTCAAACCTTGAATGTCTCCGAGCTGGAGCAGCAGTTCCAGCGCATCATTGAGACTGCCCAGCCAGCCCCGCCGGTCGGTGTGCTGACTGTGGCTGACCGTGACCACTGGACCGCCGCCCGCAAGACCCTCGTTGCAGCTGACCCTGCCAACGAGCAGGCTCTGAAGGACATCGAGTCTGCAGGCTTCGTGATTTGCTTGGATGACGCCAAGCCCGTTACCCTTGAGGAGCGCGCGCACCAGTACTGGCACGGCGACGGCGCCAATCGCTGGTTCGACAAGCCCCTCCAGTTCATTGTCAATGATAACGGTACTGCCGGATTCATGGGCGAGCACAGCATGATGGACGGCACCCCCACCCACCGTCTGAACGACCACGTCAACAACCTCATCTTCAACAAGCGCATCGATCTCTCTGCCAAGTCTGTGCGCTCCCAGCTTCCCGACCCTAAGCCCATAACCTTCCACCTGAACGATGCCGCCAACGAGGCCATCGATGTCGCAGCCCAATACCACCGCAAGCAGATCGCCTCCCACGAGCTGGTCGTCCAAGCCTACCAGGGCTACGGCAAGGGTCTGATTAAGAAATTCAAGTGCAGCCCCGATGCCTACGTCCAGATGGTCATCCAACTCGCCTACTACAAGATGTACGGCAAGAACCGTCCCACCTACGAGTCTGCTTCAACCCGCAAGTTCCAGGAGGGCCGTACCGAAACCACCCGCACAGTCTCCGACGAGAGTGTCGCTTTCTGCAAGTCTTTCCACGACCACACCATTCCCCGCGAAGAGGTCGTTAAGCTCTTCCGTGCTGCTCTCTCTCAACACACCAAGTACACTCTCGAGGCTTCCGATGGCCGCGGTGTCGACCGTCACTTGTTCGGTCTGAAGAAGCTCCTCCAGCCCGGTGAGAAGCTTCCTGCTCTCTACGAGGATCCCGCTTTCGCCTACTCCGGCTCCTGGTACATCTCCTCTTCCCAGCTGAGCTCGGAGTACTTCAACGGATACGGATGGAGCCAGGTTATCGATGATGGCTTCGGTATTGCGTACATGATCAATGAAAACAGGTATGTTTACTTTCCCTTTCCCTCAGATACTGGGATATCACTAACTTATTTTATCAGCCTTAACTTCAACATTGTCTGCAAGCGTCTTGGCGCTCACCGCATGAGCTACTTCCTGAGTGAGGCTGCTTCTGAATTGCGTGACGTCCTTATGCCTGACCTTGCTGCCCAGAGCGAGAAGGCTAAGCTGTAGATGGGTCATTGCATTTTACTACTGTTTGTTTTGATTGGTTGATCCAATGGTTGGATCCATTTTCGTTGATTTCAGCGCTTTCTATAGATGAATATATCTTCTGTACTGTCTTTATATGTATACAATGCAGTTTCATTTTGGATATATTTCCTATCTTTCTTTATCTTGAGCTTTGGTTGGCTTTTCATTTTGATGCATGACTATGAATTAGACGGTGAAGAGAATGCAAAATACGAAGTGTGTCTACGGGTATCCATGTACTATGTAGTACTCTTCTACCTCTTGCACTGGTTTGAAGTATTACGTACCTCTACTAGGTAGTAATCCTGGGATGATTCAAAGTTCAAATTAAATAGCCGACACTTGCACGTATGCGACATGGTATTCATGAGGTCGAACTAACTAGCTAATACAAAGTCTCGAAGCAGGCACGCTGGCAACCGGTGAATCATGCATGATCCCCAGATCATGCATGATACAACTTCAAGGGCTGCAAACCCATCCACTCACTTCACAGAACTAGTAAATTGCGAGTCGACAGACTCACATGTACAATTTATTATGCTTGAATATCCATAGGGACATTCCATCCATCATTTCCATCCTTCATCCTTCCATCCCAGTCCCAGTCCCAGCTAGCAAGTCACTAGCAACTCGCTAAAAAACGAAAAACAGACGAAACAATCCCCATCCAAGAACCGTAATTGAAAAAAAAAAGGGAAATTCTCCATCCTCATGAATAAAACATAAGCGCATCATAACTCCTAATCAGGAGATAATGTCATCCATCTATCTTACTGTAGAGGTAAGTAAAGGAGACATCAGGTAACTGCCCGGGCAAAGAAAAAGCCGGAAAAAAAAAGCGAAGGAGGTAAAAATCTCAATCCTAATCAAACCGATTAGGAAGGATATTGGTCGGCGATCCTTTGAAATATGACGAAGTTCTCTCAATCTGCCAAGGATATTCACTCCTTTCTATCCGCCGATCTCTCCTCTGCAGTAGGCGGGTCCACCGTTTCGGTTTCGGCCCCCTCTTGCCCTGGCCCTGACGCCTCACCCGTTGTAGGTGCAGGCGTTGTACCCGGGGAAGCGGATACACGGGACGTCGTCAAGTCACCAATCTGACGTTCTGGAAAAAGAAAAAATGTTAGATGGGGGACAAAAAATAAACGATAATGAATAATAAAAATTAAATTCAACCACGCCTCTTTCAGGGGGCGAGCGCTTGCCCCAGCTTTTCTTTGAAATGGGGGCTAGTTCTCCGCAAAAAGAAAAGAAAAAGAAAAAAGCTCTGAAACATGGGGCGGGATTTAGTGCTTATGGTTATGCTGCATTGCGTACCTAGTTCACGGACTCGTTGTCGAAGCATTTGATTCTCTCGACTTAGCATTGATGCTTCGGCTTGGTAATATGAACTTTCATCTCTACTTCCTCGGCGTGATGTATCGCGTAATGTGGGGAATGCTTCCGTGCCATCTACTCCCATTGATCGTAAGGAATCTTGAGGTGGAAGACTTGGGGATGTTGCTTGGCTTGACGGACGGGATGATCGACGGTTTGAGACTGAGGAAATGGAAAGTCGACTTGGTGCTATTGGCGGGGGCATGGGGAGAGAGAAAGATGGTGATCGTTCAGATGCTGAGGAGGGCTCGTCGACGATTGCAGTGCTTGTTCCTGGGTGGGATTGTTGATATTGGTGTAGCTGGGCTTGTTGGCTGCGAATCAGCTGGAGGAGACGGTTCTGTTATCCCCACATATTCAGTTAGCTTATTCCTTCCTTTGTATAGTATTTTTGCTTGCTAGCCCCGCTATGTACATATACTGTATTCCGGATGTGGAATAGAGTTGTGGATACTAAGGAATACCCACCACTTGTGCTTCTTGCTCCTGTTCCAGTTCCTGATGTAGTTCTCCTAAAGAAGGTGCCCGTTGATGGTGTGGGTCTGCAGTTGCGAATACAGGACTCCCACCGTGGCTGGTGGGACTGGCTGTGCGAAATGCATGCCCGATAGAGGAGCGGTGCTCTGACCAGGGTCCTTCACCGTGGCTTCCCGGGGTAGTAGCAGCTGGCCCCTCGTTCTGGTGTGTATTCATTCCTGCAGCTGATTGACGTCTTCCAGATACTGATAATCGGCCCGCGCTAGATCCACGGGAAGGTCGAGGAGAGATGGTCGTAGTATTGCTGGGGTTTGTTGGTGCGGGGGCAGTTCCTGGGGAGCTGGGGGGAAGGTTACGGTATGGCAGGGATGATGAAGAGGATGATGAGCGAGATGGTGGAAGGGAGTTGATATCCGGACACATAGCTGAAAGGAACAAGATGCGGATGAGATGGAATGTAGCTTCACACAGTACCTGATGCTAGGAAGCTCCAATTGCAAACAACCGCATGATGTGTTGCTTAGTCATTTTCATATTCGCGGGGCAGTAATACGTCACATGATACCGGATGACCCCGGTTTGAGGCCTGAGGCAACACTTAATGCCTATTTATTCAGGCATGAGTGGATCAGGCGAGAATTGCTAATACCACCCCTCAAATGGCTAAACCCACCCCTTCTAAGCTCACCGCCGTATTTGTAATACCACAAGGCACAAAGGCATCAATTTTCTGCCGGCAGCATGAATACGGTCCAGAATTAAATCTCATCTCCACGTAAAAAGCTTCCATTTTACCACACATTTAACGACATTTAATATGCAAGCAAGTTATCTCATTCCAAGCTAAACCTAAAGAGGAAACAGAGGCTGATTTTAAAAACACCGGCAAATGCATTTTCAGTCGAATTAACTGGCAAATCTGTTGATCAACGGACACCCAGGCCTTTTATGCCCCTCCACGCCGCAATTTCCACATGTATTGGGTCTCCTCCGAGATTGCACAGTTGGTGGCTGCTGAGAGCCTTGTTGGGACCATTGCTCATAAAACTCACGATCTACAGCATCTTCAACAGCATCTAGCTGCTCCCATAAGCTTGGGATCCGCCCCTGTGATCCCTCTGGGCCTCGGGGGTCTTGCCGGGCCCCCGAGGCCTGTGATGTGGCCACCGAGGCCTGTGATGCTGTATACGATCCTCGCGATATCCATACCCTCCGATCATCCCGAATTCTTGGCTCCTGTATACGAAGAAGATCTGGATGAAACTGTGGTGAATCAGCCTCCTGAAGATGCCACTGTAAGTGGAAGAGATCAAGAGGAAGTGGCTTTTTCTCATTATAATATGGAATAATTTGATGGATGCATGGAATGCCCCTGCCTTTGCCGCATACACAGAAGATAGGAATTTGAGGTTTTTCGATATGGATAGGTAGATATGTGTTGATTTCTTTCTCCAGACGGCGAATGGCTTCAAGGGAAATTCTCTGTATGAGATTTGGTAGTAAAAATGTATAGGATTGATGATCTGTGAATCGTCCAAGTGTCTGGTCATGTAACTGATATTGAATATTTGAATATTGACGTTTAATTGTCTGTTCAAAGATATCAAAGGCTCCAAGGAGAGAAGTTGAGGTTCCCTGGCTAAATTTTAATAGAAAATCCCTCAATAATAATAGGAGAATTACCTGTTGATCACGTTTAAATGCCCAATGTGCCGACTCATTTCGAGATGTTGCTACCTCACCAAAGTGAAAATAATGCCGAGTATAATGGTGTAAAAACATCTTCGCATATATTGGGTTAAGCCATTCCTTCTGGATATAACGAATTAGCTTAGAGAAGATCTCATGACAGTAAGTTTGCTGAAATTCCTGCCATTTTTGTTCGAAATCTTGAGGCGTTAAAGCAGTAACAATTTCATGCCAGAACTGTTTCATTCTCCACCACCGATGAAGCTTCTCCTGCCGTATACACCCATTCTTCAAAGAGAATATCTCTTGTTTTTTTGCAGCTTCTTTAATCTCCCATTCAAGATACTGACGAATAGGAGTACGCGCATGGGCAAGGATGCACTTATTGATATGCCACAAACAAAGCATATGGTTAAGTGTAAAAACCATTGGTATAGCACTGAGAATTGCAAGCTCTTTGTCTGTAAATACAGTCAATGGCTCAGGGATTGATTCTACCGCTAATACTGACTGTAATTGCTGTAATGCCCAGCAAAATGAATCAGTAGTAGAGTCTGATAAAAAACAGAAGCCAGCGGAGAATGTCTGGTTTGTTGATGTCATTCCAGTAATATCAAGCAATGGCATTTTGAACTTGTTGGTTTTAAATGTTGTATCCATCCAAAGAATATAGGGAAAAAGACGTAAAAATCCAATGGAAGTCCGGTGGATGGCGAATAAAGCAAGTAAAATATCGTTGTTATCCGATCTACAGCGGATACACCAATCCCCTGAATTTGGGAGGTCTTGGAGAAGTGTTTGAATAGATGAGCGGCCGCCAAGTCGTCTTTTGTTAAGATCCATCTTAATATTATAGATGTTCTTCGCGATAACATGTTCGCCTTCATTCCTGAGCTGATCCGTAATCTGGCGAGGCCAAAGCCCCTGCTGGATAGCCTGTTCAATCTCCAAACCTCTTTTTTTCATAGCCATTTGGCGAAGATAAGGAATATTGACGGCGGGTGATGGTGTATGGTTATGGCTACCATTTCCAATTTCCAATAACCATATATCTCCATGTCGACGAAGAATAACCTCAAATGGACAGTTACACTTTTTTGTACGGCCTCTTCTGCGTTTTTCTGCATCAAGTCCTATAGTCCGGCGGTCACAATATTCACCACCTCGCCAGCATTGGTAAATAACCTTGAGTTTTACCCCGTTAGAGGATTTTGAGCGTTTTGAAACAACTGCATAGCCTTGGGTAGCTGCAAATTGATTCATCTCGGTTTGAGCTTCATCCGGCGAAGAATACTCGAGTTTCCAGGGCGGATTCAGCTTAAATAGAGGGAAACTTGGCTCAATATCTGAGTATATATCAGCCAATGGCTCTTCGGGATATTGAGTCTCTTCGTCATAAATTGTGTCGATAGTGTTGAGAAAATCATCGCGGAACGTAGGAGGAGGGGTAGTTGACAGCCTAGGACTAGACATAAGAGATTCAGTAGTTTCCAGTGACATAATAATAACCAAATAGCTTCAAATTTTCAGGGGTAGTAGAGAAGATAGAAAATAACAATACTCTAAAAGAAGAAATCATTTTAGCGAAGGGGAGGTATTCAAATATATGTTTAAAATATTGTTATTGCTTAAAATATTGATATGGTAACGGGAGTAATAAAAATGCACATTCCTGAGGGTACTGTGGGGCCTCGGCAGCCAATCAGCTTCTCTTAATATTTCCGTAAACGGCAGGTCACATGCTCACTACACCTCGCCATACTTTGCCATTTCCCTATTATTTACCTTTACATAGTAACTTTACATATTTTAACCCCTACTTTGATTTACTACAGCAATACCATTTTAAACCATTTTTTAAAACCCTTCTGGATTAATAAATATACGTTATTTAATAATCACGTGCTAAAATATAATTGATTGTTATCAAAGAATAGAGATATCCGGGCGCTCCGCAATAGACGCCTTTTTTGATGTGGTTTGGTGTGGTTTGGTGTGTCGGGGCGTCCACCGCCTCCATTGACCGCCCATTTTAAATTACACCGCCTTGTTAACGGCTCATATTACAAATACGGCAGAATTTCCCAAAGCGGCTTAGAAGGGGTGGGTTTAGCCATTTGAGGGGTGGTATTAGCAATTCTCGATCAGGCCGGACGGATGCGGCGAACATGAGTTCATCGAAATATACATGTCTGTTTGTACCTAGATTCCTCCCTATACTGATGCATATGTAGATATAGCCTTTTATATATGTATAATGAACAGTGGCAAACGAGCTACTAGTAATAAACGAACCAGAAGCAATAAATGATGCGATCATATAGGAGACCTGGGGTATACAGCATCACCCTGCGCTAGATAGATCACATTTCCATTGACTCACGGCGAGTATTCCTTGTTTCGTCTCCGACGTTGCAACCATCTTTCTCACCAGCGCCCAGGGGCACCAAGTTATTGTACCAAGGGATCAAAGTAGGATTCCTGTACACAGCAGGCGGTCCTACCGAGTCATGACCGAGCCCGGCAAGCCAAGTGCCAAGGAACCAGAACGGCATCACCGGTGTCCCTGTATGTATGTGGCGCGCCACAACATTCACATTCAGGAACGCAAAAAGGGAGGACAAAATAGATACATTACCTATCCAGATCCAAATATACTTTTCACTTTTTGGATTATGTCTACACAGGATCACCGCACAAGGCTCGCGTGGCTTGCTCGGGAACGATCTTGTCGATCAACACCGATGCCCATGTGCAGGCAAGAATGCAACTCCAGTTTTCCCAGAAGCGGAAATCTCTCGGGTTGGGTTGTTTCCGGCCAACGTACAGGGCACTTTCAGCTTTCTGCTTTCTGCTGGTTCTACCCTCTCCACCCGGTACAATGTGACTCGATGAATTAACAAAACCTTGTTTCCAGTCTTTTTTTTCCTTTTGCCCTTGGGTCTACTTTTTTTTTTCTCCATGGGGAGAGTGAGAGAAGAAATTGGGGGCCGAGACAACAGTCACCATTTTCCCCCGCAAGGGACTCGGATCTTAACCCCCAACTTCTTATTTCATGTGGTTGACGTCGGCGCTTTGACTATTTGTGACGACGTTCTGGAAAGATTGCCCTGTCAGCGGCTTCGAGATGTCGATCTCAGGATTGAAAAATCGGGCATTGAGGGTTTTACAGCCGAAGAGACTTCAAGTGTACTGATACCCCCACAGGACACATAGAGTAACCGCAGCCCGTCGAAACAAGACTCTGGGCCCCTGCTCGAATGACGATCTCCGCAGCGCCACGCCCGTAATTGACCGCGCTTTGGCGCCCTTAGCTCTGGGCCGAGAAGTACCTGTCTCCTGATTTCTGAACGAACCATGGCCAACGCTCGGTCTGATTATACATACGAAAATCCAGATTGACGTCACTTTTCCAGATTTTTTTTTTCTTTCCGGTCTTTGCCTTGGATATTAACAATCCCCAATCCTGGGGAGTTCTGCAGTCTACTAGGGGATGGGGCAGATGACACCTGCAGGATTCGGTTCAGTCGGGTTTAGTTATTTTGCGCTATTTTACTATGCTATCTTCTTCATAGTGCTTCATTTCAATTTTTTTTATATATTTTTTTCGATTACTTGGATACTTTCTGTTTGACGCGATGGCCCTATGGTTCAGGGCACGATTGGCCCAGGGGCCGGCATCCTTGCGTCGTGGGGCGCCACACGATCCTTGTTCTACTAGTTTAGACGGATTTTGATTTTCTCTAATACTCCAGGGCTGTAGATATCTAAATGATGAACTGTAGCTAGTCATTTCAACGCATTCATCTTGTTAAGAAGACCAAATAAACGGCTGGACCGCTCCCTAGATCGCCCGATACGGAACATTCTTTGGCCCAACCCCTAAGCGGACATCTCGGGATTCTTCCGGAACAAAGAACTGTTTTCTTCAGTGCCTACAGTTGTCGCATCGGCCATCGGCCAACCTGGGCTGGTTAAGTGGAGCCGAACAATCCAATTGCGGGCTTTTTCCTGCCCGTGGGGCTTACCTATTCCGGGGTCATCATCCCTAGGGAAGTGCAAGTCCCTCGACTGTTGAATCTGTGGCTTGATTTTTATTATTTTTATTTTTATTTTCTGGCCGGAATAAACATTTTAGATCGTTAGAGTAGTTTTCTTTTCGCCCCCAAGTTGATTAAAATCGGGATTTGGGGGACTGAATCCCCAGATTATTCGGACGTTGATTATGTACTAGTATGGAGTACTGGAGTCTGTGTACATGTACCCACGGGGAAAGTGCGACTGGGTACTTCGGCATCCCGCTTTTTTCGCTCGGGAAGGAAACTGGAGCACGAGATGGGAAAGAACGAGGAAACTGGAGAGCGACCAGGGCAATGGAGTAGAAATCTGGAGTAAACAGTGATTTTTAATAGGTAACAAAATTTAAACAGTGAAAATATTATGAAATAAAATTGTAAAAAAAGAGCGCAAAAGGAGAAAAATAAAACAGAAAACAGAAAAATAAAAAGGAAAAGTCAAATTTCCCCCAATGAAATCCATCCCAACCTGGTGAAATCTGGGGGCTTAAAATCCTAACGTACCTCATAGTACCCCATTCACACTCCCGGATCCAAGGAATGTCCTTGCCGCATCTGACTGCGGCGTTGTTGCATTGAGTATTTATTGTTTCCTCTTTCCCCTGCTTCTTTGCTTTCTCCCCCACACTTTCTCTCCAGGTTTTTTTCATTCCTTTCTATTTACCACTGTTGCGTTTGGGTGGTATCAGAAACTTGGTCTTCTTTTATTCGACCTACAGGTACAAACATACAGGTACAATCACCTTCCATCACCTTCCCTCATTACTTCAACAAGAGGAATACCACAAAAGGAGCACCCCAGTGCTAACCATCCAACCAGTACTCAGCCATGGCGAGTATCCCAGAAAAGCTGGGGGCCCAAGAGACCCTCCAGAATTCAGAAGCTTCCAGTACTACTCGCACTGAAACCGCCGTTCTGCCGTTTGATGATAAGGATCTCGGCGATGAAGATACCGATCATCAATTAGAAAATGCCTCCCCATCCGGTCGAATTGAGCTCACCGAGGATATGTGCTACGACAAACTCGGTTACTCTTTCACTGAGACTCGCAAGTGGATGATCATCGGTGTCATTTTCCTCGTCCAAGTCTCCATGAACTTCAACACTTCGCTATACTCCAACGGTCTCAGTGGTATCTCCGAGGAATTCGGTGTCTCCCTGCAAGCAGCTCGCTGCGGTGCTATGATTTTCCTGGTCCTGTACGCTTTCGGTTGTGAGCTATGGGCGCCATGGAGTGAGGAATTGGGTCGCAAGCCCATCCTGCAGGGCTCTCTGTTCTTCGTCAACGTCTTCCAACTCCCCGTCGCTCTCGCTCCGAACTTTGCTTCTATCATGGTCGGCCGTGCGCTCGGTGGTCTCGCCTCTGCTGGTGGTTCCGTCACGCTGGGTATGATTGCTGATCTGTGGGAGGCTGATACTCAGCAGTATGCGGTCGCAGCTGTCGTTTTCTCTTCCGTCGGTGGTTCAGTCCTCGGACCAGTAGTCGGTGGATTTGTTCAGCAATTCCTCCCCTGGCGATGGAACATCTGGATTCAGCTTATCTTCGGTGGCTTTGTTCAGATAATGCATTTCCTTATCGTTCCCGAGACTCGCACTACTGTTCTGATGGACCGTATTGCTAAGGAGATGCGCGAGAGCGGCGAAAACCCTAACATCTATGGTCCTACTGAAGGCATGACCTTCCGTGAGCGATTCCCCCCTCGCGAGCTGATGGCTACTTGGATTCGTCCCTTCAAAATGTTCTTGACCGAGCCAATTGTCTTGACCCTCTCCTTGCTGAGCGGTTTCAGCGACGCTCTGATCTTCATGTTCATTCAGTCTCTATCTCTTGTCTATGGCCCACGTGGATTCAACGACTGGCAATTGGGTCTGGCCTTCCTTCCCATTCTGGTTGGCTACTTTATTGCTTGGTTCTCGTGGTTCCCCATCATTAAACGTAATGTTAAGGAGCGCGCCGAGAACCCTGACAGCGAGCGGGCTCAGTATGAATCTCGTCTGTGGTGGTTGCTATACACAGCGCCCTGCTTGCCTATCGGTTTGATCGGTTTCGCGTGGACCAGTCTGCCTCAGTGCCATTGGATCGGATCTATGATCTTCGCTGCCATCATCGGCATTGCCAACTATGCCATCTACATGGCAACCATTGACTACATGATCTGTGCTTACGGTCCATACTCAGCATCTGCCACAGGTGGTAATGGATGGTCGCGTGACTTCTTGGCCGGTGTTCTGACTATTCCGGCTACTCCTTTCTTCACCAATATAGGATCTGATCACCATGTCGAATATGCCTGTACCATTCTCTGTAAGTTTTAATCTTCAACTGCTGGATATTAAGGCGTGGCATTCAGCTAACATATCTTTACAGCCTGTATTTCAGTGGTATTGGTGATTGCCGTCTACGTCATCTACTTCAATGGACCAGCCCTACGAAAGCGCTCCCCATTCGCTCAACAGCTGTCCGAGGCTCGTGCGGAAGTTGCCAACAACGTCAACCACAGCCGCCGCCCCTCCAAGGTGCCCGCTGCATCGCGCGCCAACTCCTATGCAAGATCCCAGCAAGACCTCCGCCTCCGACAGGCTACGGGAAGCCGCCCTGGTTCCCGCGCCAACTCGCGTGCTAACTCGCGCGCCAACTCTCGTGCCAATTCCCGCCGCAACAGTGTGAATGCCTAAGCAATAAATGCTTGGCAGTCCAATTGGTCGATCTATACAGATCATCGATCACCTGGAGTGTGCTAAAAGCCTATCCCAAATTAGAACGATTACAATGGCTTTGAAGTGAAGGATCTATGAGCGTCCCAAATCTTTCTATTCTCTGTGCATTTTCCCCTCATAGCATGAATATTCCTTACGCTGGGCGTGAATGGTGTGTTCCATTGTCTTCTGGTTGATTATCAGGTAAATTCAAGGATGAAGAGCGGTCTTCGCCTTGTTTCTTAAAGGTGTATCAGTATAATGTGTTTGTTTCTTTTACAGTCTTGTGGTTGACGGCTTGTACAAGTCGAGATGAAATTTATGGGGTGGTGGGTGTTTTTATGTACTTTACGTGCGTTTGGCTTAGTGATACCTACCTGTTATGAATCCTATGAATTAGCTTATTGTCTATAAACGTGCCTTATCATATAGACCGAATTAGACACAGCAATACATCAAAGTTTTGCAGGGATGGATTCAAGTTGAAGGAACATCGGGTAGTATGCGGTGAGACGTTGCGCGGCATTCAATGTTCTACTACACAAGGGATTCCCCGGTGTCTAGGGCTAGAGCTGAAATAGGGAATCTGAGATGTACTATACCTCCAGGGCTAGTACATAGAGTGCTGCGGTCAGCACTTAACTTGGGCTTGAATAAACCTAGACTGTCTACGTAGTATATGTACATGCGAGCTACACGTATGTCCAACATTGAAGACCTCGATAAAGCCCATGTACTACACCAATGCAGACAGCTTGAACAAGATGTAGTACACACTCTATATTCTATTAGTACCGATAACGCCTTAATGTTTAAGCAGTGATGACTCGGATAGGTAACAGACTACGATAGCAATATACCCATCCAATGATCCATTGATATAAGTTCCGTAGCTCGAATTGAAAACATAACGCGTCTCACAATCACGATTAGAGTCTTAGCTTCAGTCCTTCAGTGCTACAAAAACCTCATGTACATATACATCTGCATGCCAAAGTCCAGACGCGGCGATAAGATAACCAAACCTGGCCCGTGCGTTTCCTCCTTCCCCAGCGCCAAATGGACCAAACACCATCACCCAATTGCTTATTGCATCAACCGAGGTCGCATTTGAATCATGAACAGCCTCCCCACTCTGCGTCTGTCTCTCCGTCTCGGAAGACGATCTCCCATCCGACCTGTTTGGAATTGGAATGGCGCCGTATCGCGCTCACGTCCAATTGCAAAGATCTCGCCGTGTCAGTTCCGAATGGCGTCGAGCACAACTACGCCTACGCCTACGCCGTGTTTTGCGGAGGGCGAAGACCCGCAGCAGCTTAGCTCCGATACGGCAGCTTTGCAGACGCAGGAATGGATATTAGATACAGATGGGATGGGAGTGTTAAAAACATTTCATTTTAAGAGTTATTTCAAGGCGATAGTAAGTTTGTTTCGTATTCTTTCCAGCGCAGCTCTATTGGTTTTGCTTTTTTCCCCTTTTTTATGTTCAACTTCAAATGTTGATACATCGCAAACTCTTGACACTAATTCGATCCTCGTATAGGCATTCATGAATTTGATTGCGGCCGAGAGCTCGGCCAAGAAGCATCACCCCACTATGACGGTGGTAAGTCTCTTTGATTAGCGGGTTGGAGACAAGGGGAAAAAGAAATCCTGGAACCTAATTAACAAATCAAATCAACTTTAGCGCTTCGGCTCTGTTGATGTCCACTGGACTACGCATAAGCCGCGAGGCCTCACCCACAAGGATATTGCGCTCGCGCAACACTGTGATAATGGAGCTGGATTGATGGGAGCTGTGGATGCAGGACAATCGTTGAAGTGTGGACCGAGTGAGACAAAAAGCTAAGTATGGATCATGTACTCGAGGTTCTCGAGGGGAGTATATGTGTATTCCCTGTATAATAAGAATTAGTTAGTACCGGTAGAAGTATACAGGCAAACAAGGCCAGGGCTTTATGATCTATACGAAATAGATCTACATTGTATTCAAATATACGATCAAGTCTCTTTCCTCGCTAAAAAAGGGGTGAGCTCATCTAGACTCAAATTCATGCACCTCGAATCACTTTCTTTCTCTTTTCTCTGCTGCTAATGGTAGATCCTCCCCCCACTTTTTCCTCTTCCTGTTTACCGATTTACCGATTTTCTCGTTTTCTCCTTTTCTCATTTCTCCTCTTCCTCTTGTCTCTTCCCACCTAAAAGACTCGAAGATAAAACTCAATCTCCTCCAAGAGCAAAGAGATCTCATCCCGCGCATTCTGTTTCCTACTCATTCACGATTCACCCCAATGACGTTGGGCTTAACGGCCGTGCAGGCGCACCACGTTCTCCTCCCCCAATCCCGCCGATCATTTCCCTCTTCATCCAGACCTCCTTTTCCATTGCGATGAGTGATGCATAAATCCAAGTGACAGTGACAGCTTCACGATAAAAAACGACGATCAACCTTGACGTCGTCATGTCCGAACATATAATGCACGCAGAGACGGCCCCGTCATTCGGCGAGCGTCGCGGTCATCGCCTCGCACCTCTAAACACAAACGTCGGCAATGATGCTGCAGCCGCCAAGTCTAATATCCGACTCCAACGTCCTCGGCCAACAGACTACCCCAGCACAAACGGATTAGAAGGGCCGGTTCCTCTCCAAAGTCCAGTGCGTCGCCAAACGTCGAAATCAAGTCTGCGCAACCTGTTTAGCCGGGAGAAGTCCTCGCGCGCAGCTGTCGCACCTGATACAAAGTTGACCGAGATCGAAGAAGCTCAAACTCAGCTTCCACAGCAGACCGTCGCTGTCCCAATGACGGAGGACCTTTTGTCGCCTGCCCTTACCACTCCGCACACTGTACCTACTACCCCGACGACGATTACATCGCCTACTACGCCGAGGGCGCGGGCTACCTTGAAAACGGCCCGTCCGCGTCCCGCGGAGACGGATCCCACGCCGTCGAAAGAGCAAATTGGTTGGAAACCGCCGCCATTGTTTCAGGCTTATCCGCAATCTTTGAAACATGAGTCTTTATCGGCGCCTGCGATGTCTGCGGACTCGATATTGAGACTCCATGCGACAACGGGGAAGACATCGATTGATGATCCTCGGAACCAGATGGGTCAGGACGATGCGAAAAAGAGAGAACAAAAGGAGCGAAAACATCTTCGTACATTGTCCGGTACTATAAATAAGGTTGAGTGGACGCAGAAGATATATGTATTAGCTACTACGGGGTTCATTCTTCAGTATGCTGGTGAAGGAAAACATGATCGGCTCCCCGAGAAAATGCTGCAACTGGGTCCTAAGTCGGTGGCATTTGCTAGCGACGCTATTCCTGGGAAGCATTGGGTGGTGCAGGTGTCTCAGAACTCGGCTGCGGAGTCTGCTCCCGATGCTAAAGAGCCTCCTAAGCCGAAGTTTGCTTCACGATTTGGGTTTCATCGATCGCATGCACGTCGGTTAGCCCGCAGCTTTCTGTTGGTATTTGATAACCCGGACTCTATGATTTCGTGGCTTATAGCTATTCGTGCCGAGGTTGAATCTCGCGGAGGACCTAAGTTTACCACGGAGAAGCACTCGGATGATGACGAGGTGCCTCATCAGCTTCGGAATAAGTCAAGTATTCGGCAACTGGTGAAGAAGGATCCCCGTCGTATCTCGAGCTTGTTTCTGCAGCCGCAGGCTCAGGCTCAGGCTCAGGCTCTTCAGACTCCCGATGAGGATGACGACGGTCGCTCTGTGGGTGGTATGACATGGCAGTCCAGGCGAAGCTCTTATGTATCTGTCAGTCGACGCTCGATGATAGACTCGAGAGCTGGGTCTACCTCGACGGGTATCACAGAAAACACACCCCCAGTGAACGGGTATGACAACTCTTCGTCATTTAGTTCAGTGAACGTCCCCGTTTCACCTCCAGTGGGAACTGCAGTCCTAGACGATTTACAAAGGTCCGAGCCAGAGCCTGTCTATGCTCGCAGTCCACCTTCTTCCAGCTACGAGAAACGTCAATCACAGTATGGATCGCCTCGTGCACAGCCAATCCCTGCTCAGACTCGCACCGAGCCTCCCCAGTCCAATCAAATCCAATCCACTATTCCAGAACACATAGTTCGATGTGCCTCCCCACCAGCCCCGAACTTCAGTGTGCCGTCATTCAGCAAGAAATTCGCCTCGCGACAGAGTATACACCCCAACTCCAGCTCCCAGGCCTCTTCCCCGCCACCAAATGTTCCTGGTACCCTCCGCCGAGGTGAAAGTACAGGCGACTTTAGTATCTACAGTGCCTCGCCTCCTCCACAATCACCAACATACAGTGTTGCAAGCTCGCGCCAAACAGACTCGTCCGACCCATCATTCATAACTGGAGCTGGGACCAACACCCGCCGCGCTCTCCGTCCTTCCAACTCAGAAGACGCACTATCTAGAATCATCCATTCCGCGCACGGCGGTAATGCATTCGCCCGTCTAGCCCGACCACTTGGCACTCCCGACACTAGTCCCCCCTCACGACCACTAAGTTTAGTCGGTCGATCTGGTCTAGGAATCCACACAACCAATGAATCGTCACAGACAATTCAAAATCTCCCACCACTCGAGCCAACGCTCCGAGTTCGCGTATCAACCGCACACACAGACTATCAAAATGCACAAAACATGTCCCGCCGAAAGAGCATGCCCGGTCTCACGCTAGGCCCCCCCGCCGCCCCTCCGCCAAACTGCCCACTTCCTAAAATTCCCTCCCCCATCGCTGCGCAGGCGCTGCCTCCATGGGCTACGAGTCCCCCTGCCCATGCTCCTGCTCCTGCTCAGGTCCCTGTAGACCGATTCTACGGAACCCAAAAAGTCCGCGAGCATGTACAGGATCGACGGAAAAGTCATCTTCCCGGTGCAGCTGCGAGTCCCTCTTTAGCACAGCAAAGCGTCTCGAGAACAGCTGCTCGGCAGTCCAGAATGATTTAATGAACTGGTCATGCACAGACAATATACGCTATACTGAACATCTGAACTGAACAAAAGCATTTCCCCTGCCATCCCTTGTCAATACAGCATATATACCCCACTCCACTGGACCTCTGTTCCTAATCTGCGCCGGTATTCACTTGGTTTATATTCGGTCTTGGAAGAAGCAATATTTGAACACTACATCATACAATACCCCAAGCGAACCTCACATTGCATATGCTACACTGTCCACATTACTTATCTGGACCATTTCCTATCTACTGGGCTATATTGATTCTTATTTTGGTCATTTGGCTACGTTCACCGATACCAAGCTTGTATCTCATTCCCATCTTTCTATTTCTTGTTTGTACTCATACTTGCCTTCACTTCTTGTATTGTGTCTTATCTATACCCCTTTTTGACTCTAAATTTTTGTATTTGTCACCTGAGGCTTGGACCTTGTTTTCTTCGGTTTATTTTTTGATTTATTATTGGTTGGGATGAGCCCGTTGAGTTGGAATTAATGGTTTGAAAATACTATGACGCTGAGCAGTCTATACATACTCTTCTTGCCTATGGTATTATTTACGACTACCGTAGATATTCAAGTTCCCATCAGTATCAAGTATATGATAGATGGTAGGCAGACTTTATCATTCAACAGTCATAAGATTGCAATGGTGATAGGTAAAAGATGGATGCGTATGATCCGATTTTGACGAAGAATAATTGCAAAATAACAAAGTAGCCAATACACAAAATGAAAATGGAATTGGAACTGAAACGCCGAGATGATCATCCCCTTGCGAATACGCACAAACACAGCAAAGATGGATGATGAATGAAGCTAAATATGACAATCAAGAATAGCCACTGCCTATAATTGCTTGTCATACTCAGAAAATGGTGAATGAGAACAAGAGATTAACACATTTATTCCTCGACTTCTTCCACTCGAGCTGCTAGATCAAGTCGCTTAACAGGTGCTACACCGGGAGTAGAAGTCGTTTCAGCAGAGGAAGTCGTTGCTGTCGGAGCCTCTGTAACAGGTGTAGCAGCAGGTTCAGCCTTATCCTTCTTGCTCTTCTTTTTCTTGCCCTGAGAACACAACCAATTAGCATCATCACCAATAAACGAACAAAAAAAAAACCCTCTAAAGAAAGGTTCCAACATACCTCTTGCCATCCCCACAACGGCTTGAAACTATCAAAGAATCCCACATCCTCAAAAAGATTAGGAAACAACCATAAACCAGGCGGCACTGCGAAGACAGTAACGCAAAACAAAATTAATCTGAAAATGGCCATAGCAAAGAAAAGTCCCAAAAGACCCATCATCCCTACACTAAGATACCAAACACCCTGACGCATAAACATAGGCCAAAGCGGGAAAAGCACAACTGCAAAAATACCCGCAACAACAGCTGCTGCCATAGCCTTCTGCTTCCACTGTGGTCCCTCCCAAAGCCAAACATAGTGCATCATTGGGTCGGTCTCCTGGTGCTGTTCGATCTTTACGGTCCAGAGACCTTTGACTCGCTTTGGTTTTGCGTGGTTGTGGCCTGCGTGTGGGTCGACTTTGCTTACGCGGAGAGCGAGGAGGGAGAGCGGGAGGAGCTTGAATGCGTTTTCGGCGCTGGCGCGATCTGTCACGGGGGGGAGGAGGGAGTTCTTTTTTGCGGCTGCTTTGGCGTAGGCGGGAGATTCAATGGCTCGGATTGCTCGTTTGACTATATGTGTGTATGTGTTAGTTTTGATCGGGTTTTGAGGGTTGTGTGTCTCTGAGGGCATGGCGTGGGGTGGAGGTGGAGGTAGAGGTAGATGTACCCTTGAACATGTCCTTTCGCTGTCCATCCATAATACATGTCCGGGGCTTGAGATCCTGCGAGCGCAAGAACTTCGCTACAGCTAGTGCTTTGGGGTCGGCGGGTTGTCCTGCATTAACAGGCACCTGGTGCATCTGCTGCTGCGGCTGTCCTTGTTGTGGGCTCTGCGCTTGGCCTTGCTGCTGCTGCTGTTGTTGTTGTTGCTGTCCTTGCTGACCAGGTTGACCAGGCTGTTGTTGGCCCTGGCCCTGACCTTGACCCTGTCGCTGAGCTTCCATCTGCTGCTGATGCGCCTGGAGCGCTCGCATCCGCAACTGCGCAACGTACTGATCAGGAGTTAATCCTTGCTTAGCGGCGTCAGCTGTGAGCTTTTCACGCTGCTTCTGTGCGAATTGTTCAGGTGTAAGGCCTTGTGCGGCGGCAGCTGCGGCGAACTGTTGTTGCATGGCCGCCATCTGCTGGGGGCTTGGTTGGGCCGGTTGGGCCATGGTGAGTGTTGTTTCTTTGTTATTTTGGACGTGAATGGATCGTCAAAGAAATAGGCGATTGGGTCGAAATCAAATAGGAAACAAAGGAATGACGATGTGGGGTTGGAATGGATTTTATGAGGAAGAAGTAAGTTCTAGGAGAAACATTTGAAGTGGCCAGATCGACTCAGGTGATCGGCGTTCCCGCCCTGGATACGATACGTGATGCGACCTGCACGAACCCGCAGTTCTATCCCATCTCTTCTCTACCTACTTCCAAACAAACTTCAGGTACTCAGGCTTGCAGGGGGCAATTATGCGACTTTTCTGCACTTATGTCCGTCTCGTATGATTCTGACGCGCTCATTGATGATGCGACCTTGTTGGCTGTCTTACTGGTTCGTGTTTTTCCTTCGATTTCCCCGCTATGCATTACATAGTTGGATCTTTCTAAGAATCATCCCAAATCTAACGCGAAATATTTAGAGCGAACGCGATGTCGCTGCTCAAATCCCAATCAATTTCGTGACCAATCCATCTGTGTCGTTATCGGCGGCCTGCTTCGGAAATGGCCTTTACGACAAGGATGATGCCGCGAAATGCATATCCAACCTCCTATCCGTCGGATACCGAAGACTGATCCTGGACATATATTGGTCTGTTAGCCGGAGGACATGGACTTTTTGTCCCGTCGAGGTTCCCGCTAAAGCTGATGTGACTGTCTCGGCCTACACGTCAACGATCTCATCGTCTTCAGCTACGTCTACCGTTACCTCCGTCGAGACCGATTTAGCCTCCTCAACAACGACAAGCGATGCAGCAGATGCCACGATAACAGGCTACGTGGACTCCCACGGAGATACTGTCTATGAGATTGGACCGTACAGATGCACCAGTGGCCTTCATCTGAGCTCGCTCGTTGACGTTCTTTCCGGATTCTTCCAAGATACAAAGTCCGACCTGGAGACATACACAACCTGGTTAGTGGTGAATCTCCATGCAGCAGGCAGTAGCTCGACACCCACAGAGCCCGCATCTGCAGTGACGGGAGATGACCTACCCAAGACCGATACGGAACGACCGGGTTCGTACCTCGGGCTCGAGCTTGAAGATTACATCTACACTCCTTCCCAGCTAGCCAAGGATCGCAGTGATCTTAACGCATCTTGGTACGAAGTTGAAACAAGTTACATGCCCATCGTGGAATACTACACCATCAACAGAGATGCAGAAGGTCGACAGAGTACTCCTGATGGGTGGCCGTCTGCGAAATACATCCAGCTAGCTAAATCAGATCGAATCATGGTCGAGTATGGATCTGTCGATCCCCAATTAGCAGACTACGATATTGATAAGGATACCAATCTCATTTTCACACCGGATTACATGACAAATGGCGTGAAAATTTCCGTTGCAGGCAACGGTACCCTAACGTCAGGCTGTTTCTATGAACCAGAGGCTACCGCAGTGTCACAAGCCAATTCTTCATGGGCAACCAGTCGCATCCCAGTTCTAGGTGGAGTGTCCACAGAAAGTACCCTCGATTACATGGTAGATGCTATTGCTAGCATGACAGCCTGCGGGATGTCCCCAATGCTTAACGATACACTCTTCGGCGAAACTGCCGATTCCAGTCTCGAATACTACCGCAACGTATCACTTTCATCAGGCTGGGCATGGGCGCTCGGTGAGCCTCACGGTGCAGGGACAGGTGGTGGTACAGATGGAGAGCCAGCATTTGACCGCTGTTCAATTATGAATCTCTCACTAGAAGGCCGCTGGGGTGCTACCAATTGCTCAGAAGTACGACGCGGTGCATGCCGAGTAGGCAATTCCCCATTCAAGTGGAACTTGACGACTCAATCGGCAAATTATTATGAAATTTCAGACTACTGCCCGCCAGGTTCTAGTCTTGCTGTGCCTCGAACTGGACTCGAAAATCTTTATTTGTACAAATATCTTCTCACTGAGGATTCGTCGGTTCTGGATCCCACATCGATGGACCCCGCATATCGTGAAGTCTACCTTGATTTCAATTCCATTGATATTACCTCTTGTTGGGTTACTGGTGGACCGGATGTGACTTGTCCGTACGCATCTAATCCGCAGCAGTTAGAGCGGAAGACAGTCCTTGTTTCCGTTGTTGCTGCGGTCGTGATCTGTGTCATAGCTGCGTTGACGACATTCATCAAATGTAATACTAATCGTCGGAACTCTCGACGTCGCAAGCGTGTGATTGAGGGCTGGGAGTACGAGGGCGTGCCCTCTTAACCCTTCAAACCCACTTCATCACATCTATCTATTGACATCTGTGTTTATAATTTTGGAGTTCAAATGATACCCTCTATGTTTTACTTAACTACGATCATCAGCTATGGGACAGCAATTTTATTTCCATAATTGAATTCATCTCCATAATTCCATCACAAATAGATCACATAGGGGGTAATTATCCCCAAAAAACAAATATGACAAGTCCGCTACATGCCGTTCATAAAAACACAATAATAGCTCTAACGCCGGTACCCAGTAAATTTCAAAATGAATATCCTCCCAAGTTCCCTTTCCCATATCCTAATCCGAACTCATATCCATCACAGCCCCGCAAACCGTGCCCATCCAGCAGCCCGAGCAGGACCAGCAGGACTTTGGTTCGGACTGGGGTTAGCACTAGCAGCAGGTCGAACCTCGACACTCTTTCCTCCGCGTCCCTCTTCAGCAACTTTACCACTTACGTCGCGGCGCCGTCCAACACCTAGTCCAGCAATATAGCTTCCGTATGAAGACAGAGAAGCACCGACTCCACTGACAAGACCTGATCGAGCTGTGTCAGCACCGGAGTTGCTAACGACACGGCCCTTGCGATCTCTCTCCTGGATTGCGGGCGAGGAAGGCACACGAGCACTGAGGTATCCTTCATCGTCACTGTCATCCTTTTTCAAAGATTGATAGGCAGATAGCTTTTTGCTGCGCTTCTTAGTAAGCTTTGATGGTTTCCGCTTCATATCTTCTTGGTCATTTACGTCGCGTATAGTAAGATTGGGGTTGTCTTCTTCGAAATCAAAGTCACCGTGGAGCACGTTCTTGGAGGATGGAGAGAAATCGGGATCTTCATGCGGAACAAAGCCGCGTGCCTTTTGGTTCTGAGAGAAATTGGGGTTATCGCCGAGTGGACTGCGGCGAACGGGGTCGGTATTCTCTTGCGTTTCAGTCAAGTTGGGTTGCGGTGTAGGTGGGTTTAGCATCAGAGGGTTGAATGGGAGGCCGTCAGCCGGCCCATCGTCGTTATCATGATCATGCTCTGCTGGGTCGGGGAAGACATTGAAGCGTTGTTGATCTCCGAGGTCTTGCTCTTTATCTTCCCCATTTCCGTAGTACTCGTGCGCTGCCAGAGATGCATACTCTCCACGGGTATCTTCGACAATTGCGCTTCCGATGCTTGGGGCGTTCTTTGGGGCGTAAGCGAACCAGTCACGGATTCCACTACCTGTTGATGTTGCGGATTTATCTGTTCGTCGACTATAGACCGAAGAGGATTGACGGAGGGCATTATTGTTATTCTGACCAGTTTGGCTTTGCACATCGCTGATGGGTGATCCGTCACGTTCTGGATACGCAACCCAGTTGTTGGATATAGGGCTCACAGAGTCGGATCTGTTCGCAGTACGAGAAGCCAGTTGACGAGTATGAGTCTCTGGCTCCACGATGTTTGGCGATCGCGCAGGCACATTGCGATACTCTGGGGTAGGGTCGGTTGAGGCGAAATCGAATTCATGGTCAACGTTGAGATCAAAGTAGTTATCTGGGCTTGCTGGCTCCAAATGGGAGAGACGGTGTGGGTGTTGGACATGTATTTGAGGCTGGGGCTTCTCGTTGCTCAAGTCCACGGAACCTCGAATGGTTTCACCTCCAAAAGACTCGTTACGAGTATGCATGAATGCGAGAGTGCGGGGCGAGCCCATGAGTGGGTCCTCGGTATTTGAATGCAAGGTCGATGAGCTCATATGCTTCTCGTCTGTATCGATCTTGCGGAAGCCTCTGCGTGGACGCGCTGTCAAGTTATCCTCCAGTGGGTTCATGTCAGGAGGCAACTGCGCAATCTTTTTGAAGACAATTGCCAGGAAAATGGAAAGACAGAAGGAAACAAGATGCAGTCCGCTGTTGACAATACCGCAAATAAACATAGCCTCGACGATATCGAGGGCGACTTCGTCACCGCCGATTAAAGTGCTCCAGTCGTACTCGCCCGTCGCATCCCAGTAGTCCCGGTTAGCCATAAATGCTGTAAACACGTAGAACGGTATCAAGCCAGCATCTAAAACGCCAGCGAACACTCCATAACTAGCCTGGGAAGCCGGAGGGCGCGTGACTGGAGAACGGAAAAGATGATAAATCGCGTAAAGTGTATGCAAAATCGCAACAATCGGCTATTATGTCCTTGGCGTTAATTCTATTTCAGCTCTTAGACTTGATGATCATGAACTTACCCCCGCTCTGATAATCCAGATAACCGTTGTCCCGGCTTTTGTGACAACGATGCCACAGAAAAGAGATGCAAGCGCACCAAGGAGCGTAACAGAGCGCACAAACAGCTGCGTTGCCCTCACACCTTTGACCCAGCTTTTTGTTCGAGGGCTCATTGGCGTCCATGTTGGCTTCTTTTCATTCAAAGTCTCCCACTAGAACGACTGTTAGTTAAACAAACAAACAAACAAACTTCTAATAGCATAGCACATACTGTGTCTGGATGTCTATTGAAAGTGACCAGTGGCCCATTGGGCCGCTGTCTGGGAGACGCAGGAGTCCGGCTCGCTTGCGTCACGGCCTTTGGGTCAAATTCAGGGTCTGTCGGTCCATAGAAGCGATATGCGTTTGGGCGATCGTAAAGGAATGGAGGCTCCGATCTCCCCATAGTAGCGACTGAAAGCCTCCCGTGATAACCACGCGAGACGATGAGAATGTGGGAAATGAATGGAATTGAACCGTGGAATGGATGCGCTGTGACAGATTCCTAAAGGAAACCTTATGGCATGCGGCAATATGAGAGTGGGTGTGCGGAGTAACAAGAGGGTCAACACCGATTGTTGGCCAGGCAACCCATAGATAATCGATCACGTGCATCCAATGACTCCGATCTGATAGATGCATTTAATCAATCTAGACGATCTCAACCCCCACACCGCTATGCTCGATCGCGCGTTTGTCTGTGCTGGCTGCACAGCACGTCTGACTCGCCCATCTTTGCGGGTCTCCTCAATCCCCGCCCGGTCTTTTTTGAGGCGATTGAACAGTCATGTGGCTCCGGGGAATCGGCCCATTCGAGTTGCCATTGTCGGCTCCGGACCTGCCGGGTTTTACGCGGCAGCTCGCCTTCTGAGCAAGCAGGAAGATGTCAAAGTTGACATGTTCGAGAAATTGCCGGTGCCATTTGGATTGGCTAGATATGGTGTAGCCCCGGACCATCCCGAGGTCAAGGTATGTGCCGTCAACCGCAATGTGCAAGCCTGTTCAGGTCGTCACTGCACATTATGACCACTAGGCTAAGGCTAACCCTTCCCGTCTCTGATAGAATTGTGAAGACAAATTTACCGAAGTTGCAACGTCCCCACGCTTCAGCTTCGTTGGTAATATCGACCTCGGCAAAGACCTACCATTCTCCGCCCTCAAGCCCCACTACGACGCTATTCTTTTCGCATACGGTGCATCCAAGGACAAGGAGCTGGGTATTCCGGGGGAGCAAGCTTTGCGCAGTGTATACTCAGCTCGGTCTTTTGTTGGTTGGTACAATGGTCTCCCCGAACACAGAGATCTGAACCCAGACCTAGCCGGCGAGGACGCGGTGATTGTCGGACAAGGAAATGTGGCACTCGACGTCGCCAGAATTCTATTGTCCGATGTAGACGCTCTTCGGAAGACGGATATAGCCGCTCATGCTCTGGAAGCATTAGCACAAAGTCGGGTCAAGCGGGTACGGGTGGTCGGTCGCCGAGGCCCGTTGCAGGTGAGCGTACAGAAAGCCGTATACCATTCCTCTTTATTAATTCTTTCAGGCCGCTTTCACCATCAAGGAAGTCCGGGAGCTTCTCCAATTGCCGTCCGTCTCATTCGAACCAATCCGGAAAGATCTTATGCCTCCAGACTCATTTATCAACGGGCTACCGCGGGCGCAGAAGCGGTTGATGCAGCTTCTCGCGAAGGGATCTGCCAATGACCCGCAAATTGCGACCAAGTCATGGTCTCTAGATTTCCTCCTCTCTCCTGAGTGCCTCAATTGGTCCCCGACCCACCCGTACCACCTTTCACATACTAAATTCTCTCGCAACGAACTCGACCCGTCCGATCCCTACAGCCCCAGCTCGAAAGTTACACCGAAGACCCTTGGGAATGGGAAACGTGCAGAAGTGAATATCACAAGCAGTGTTTTCTTCCGAAGCGTCGGCTACAAGTCTCTTCCCCTGCCAGGGCTTGAAGATTTGGGAATTGAATTTGATTCTCGGCGCGGTGTGATCCCCAATGATGGATTCGGTCGAGTGAATGGCCCCGCGGATGGGGGAGAAACCCAAAAATTACCCGATGGCTCCTTGATCTCCCATCTTCCCGGTCTATACTGTGCCGGATGGGTTAAGCGAGGTCCGACGGGTGTCATTGCTTCCACTATGACCGACGCCTTCACGACAGCGGATACTATTATCCAGGACTTGGCAAGTCACAATGGCTCTCTTTTACATGCACCTGGCCACGGCACTTCCCTTGGCTGGGATGGGGTCAAGGAGACTGCAAAACAACGTGGTCTCCGGGCAACTTCATGGGAAGACTGGCAACACATCGACGCCATCGAGCGTAAGAATGGTGAGCAGAAGGGCAGGCCCCGAGAAAAGTTCACTCGTGTTGAAGAAATGTTGGAGGCTCTTGATTGAAACCCCCCATGTATAATCGGTAAACTACTTATGCCTTGTATTCTACGTAAATCTCTTCTTACATAGCATGATTCATATATTCCCACTTCCCCTTCTCAAATGTCCGATTTAGGAGGTTACTGAAACCCGCATACTTTTATATTTCACTACGTTCATGAGTAGAACTCCCCTTATCCTCCTTCCAATCCTCTTTCCAATCCTCCTTCTGATAACAAAGTTGAAACCCTAACATAGAAATTATCAGATTGATCTACCTTGGGATATAGAATACCTCACTAACGGACCTAGTCAAACCTAAGTGTCCGTATTATAGTGATCCTCTTCAATTTGCACACACATGTATAGTAACCTTTGAAATGAATATGTGTAGACCTAATTCAATCTCTAACACCACACCCACCATTGTCCACAGCACGATAAGCTGCACCCACTCGGCCCAGCTGCACAGCCTGACCATCAGTCAGGCGGTTCATGTCCTCAAGACTGAGATCGAATCCCCTTGCACAGGCATCAACTGCAAAAACATGAATAGTCCGATCGACACCACCAGACTGCTAATTTATTTTGTAGCATTTCCCGCAGTTTGGGACTATTCCAGCCGTCAATGGTAGGTGAGGCTCCAATGAGCGGTAACGTTGATAACGATCCCAGCGTAGAGTAGTAACCTTTGCGCTCTAGGCCATTGTTACCATCTGAACATGCAATCACGTTCAAAGAAGCTGCGCCGTTGTCAAAAGTAGATTCTTGGGAGACTGAGACCTGTTGACTAAATGTACCTCTAGTAGAGGTGTTGAATTTGATTTCTGGGGTAGGAGCAGCTCTGGCAATGTGGGCGGCTACTAAAAGAGCAGAGCGCAAAGGGGCACGTTTTGGAGGCACTTCATTGTAAATCTAGCATTCGAAGGTTAAATTGGTTCACGATTTAACAGGAATATTCAATTTCCAAGGCTGTAGCAACTCAGGATATGATTTTCTATATCTATAGTATTCAATATTCGAGGTTTCCACAGGCTTCATTACTATTTCCTCCATATTGCTATCGTACATGTCGATTATATATCCTGGCGATGTCTATGATTCACCCGTGGACCCGTGGACCCAACATTTCACAAAAAAGCTGGCTGTTTCCTATTTAGAGATCTGATGAATAATTGAAGATTTCTGACTAAGGCCATCTCAGATATACGATGAATAACGAGTACTACAAGTAGGCGACCCAGGGCCCCTCGCAGCTGGTATTGAAGCCTGCGCCAATAGCGGGTACGTGCGCGTCGGCGGAGTACGACCACGATTGTGCTTCCAGAAGATGTATATGAATAAAAACCAGCGAACTTCGTGAAATCTCTGTGTATTATAGATTTTAGATAAGAAACTTAAAATGAGAACGCCTTTATTCAAAAAAAGAAAAGCAATAGGTAAAAGAAAAAAAGTATTACACCTTAAAGAAAAATAAAAAAGAACCGTCCCCGGGAAGGCTCGAACTTCCAACCTCCTGATTAACAGTCAGACGCGCTAGCCAATTGCGCCACGGAGACGATTTGATGAAAGACTATCCAATGGTTAGAAATATAAAGGAAAGTCGCTTAAGGCACACTACAGAAAAGCTGGAATGTTGTTGATCGATCTTCTCTGATCTTCATCGCAATCACCAATGTTCCGTGGAACCGACGAACACATGGGGTTTCAAGTGTGAATTATTACGAATGATCCAAACCCCCTTCATCAACCAAGCCCAATGAGAATTGGGAACTTTAAAACTACGTGATATCTTCTCCGTATGTTCATTTCGATGGAGAGGTCTTTCCCATGTGTACACGTACCCACTCCCTGGAATTCCCTGTTCTCCGTCCTCCGCTCTGCGTGGCTCTGCAATCATGATTCAAGAAGCCATACGCCAAGCGCTCAAACAACTGATAAGCCCCGCGGAATATCCGGGCATGATACGGAAATTCCTTATTTGAGTTCTACTTATGCCGTTGCATCCACATATGCATGCTCTCATTCCAATCACAGCAGCCGACCTGCCAATGATAGAATCCTGATGAGCGTTGATCCGGGACAATGACTAAAAAAGGGTATGATCATTCCAGCTGTACATCACATTACTTATGATAAACTACTGGAATTTTCGATCAGGGAATAGCGCTGTATTCAAATGCACGCTCGGCGTTGGATCGACCATTATAGTCGGGGGACTCAATACCCTAAAGTTCAGGATTCGAATTATGTCCCCAGGGTGGATTGTATAGCATGGCCTCCACGAGGCTCTGGATCGACGCAGACTATTGTTTTGAAATTCTCGAATCACGGAGAGGAACTGGACAAAAAAGCTCCGCGAACCCCTTGTACCATGTTGTGTGTGGTGGATCTACAAAGTTTGATGGGGTCAATACGAACAACAGCTCCACCTGCGTTAACAAAAGAACGGCTTGATGATGATAATCCCCGCCTCAATCTCCACTACTTTCGCCTCTTTGCGCCTAGCTTCTGATCTGAGCGCCCATTGTGCTATTTGCGCGCCTAGACTAAGATTGTGCGTCGTGGTCTTGCATCTCGACAAATCTTGTTTGTATTTTTTTCGGGGTAGTGGATCGACGCCGCAATTTTCCGGAAATCGAACGCTTTACCCTATACCGCTTGCAAATGTGGGTATACTCTGCTCAACTCATTCAATCTCAGCCATACAGAATACAGAGCCACATAATTGTCGCCATCCTATTCACCCAAATGGAGTAAACAGTCTTCCATTTCCACTTCTTTGAGCGACTATGCAGCCACTATGAAAGTGATGAACCATGGATCTGATTCTGTCTTGCCGTCCGACTGGAGAAACCCCCATGGCTCTACATGGCGGTTACTACTAGGATCAACTTGTGTTACAGTTTAAAAAAAAGCTTTTTCCCTAGTCTTGATACATCGGGCCTCCCAGTGGAGTATCGGATGCCGTAAGACCAATTTTCAAGTCTGTACCGTGGGCGCCCACTTGATTTTTACTTTTATACAACGACAGGCCCGCCTGCTCGAAACTTTCAGATCCATTCTCAGAGTACTCGGAGGCCTCAATCATGGTTATGCTAACACACGTCTTGCGTTCTCTATACGCTGGCGGTGGCGATGGCTCCCTCGCCCGTCGCTGGGAGTTTCGCGAAACAGAACCGCTTGAAGGTAGCGACCGGTCGCTCTTTATTGCAATGGGCGTTATTGCCCTTTTCTCATTAGGTTCCACTCTGGGTCTCTTGTCATTCCTTACCTATCGCTTTATTTACTGGCAACGATACTACAAACATCCACTCGCCCACAACCAATACGTCGTCTTGATTTATAACCTCCTGCTGGTCGATTTGCAACAGGCTATTGCCTTCACAATCTCTTTATACTGGGCATCCCGAGGATCTGTCCACTTTGGCGAGGCAGCATGCTATTTACAAGGCTGGTGGATTCAAACTGGAGATCCAGGTAGTGGGTTGTTCGTCTTGGCGATCGCCTTCCACACTGGCTTCGTTGTGATACGTGGTCGGCAACTGTCCTTCCGTGCCTTTGTGTACTGCGTTATTGGACTATGGGTATTTATTCTTATTCTGGGATTCATACCGGTTGGATTATATGGGCACGATGTGTTCGTCATTTCCGAAGCCAATTGGGTAAGTCTTGTCTCTCAAAAGAAACAAATCATGACTAGGTGTGTTTGAAATGACGATAGTCTAACTGATCTGATAGTGCTGGTTGAGTCCTAAATATGAAAACGAGCGCCTCTGGGGCCACTACATCTGGATTTTCCTCGCTGAGTTTGGCACACTCGTGCTGTACGCAATCATGTTCATTTACCTTCGCCGTCGTATGCAACAAGCAAAGATGCTTCGCCGTGGCCAACAAGAGTCTCTACACCGATTGAACCGTGTCGTCATTTACATGGTTATCTACCCTCTCGTATACCTCGTCATGTCGCTCCCACTTGCAGCCGGCCGTATGGCTAGTGAAAACGGCGACTCCCCCAGCAAAACATACTTCGGTGTCGCTGGTTGCTTAATGGCCCTTTCTGGTGTCGTCGATGTGACTGTCTACACTTTGACCCGTCGTCATCTCCTCATCGATACCGAGCACAGTACCACCGACCGGAACTACGACAACAATACCGACTCTCAATGGCAAACGAACATCACCACTAATGCTGGCACACGCTCACGGAAGGGTTTCAAGATGGGCATGGGATCTAAATTCCGTCGCAGCACTGGTGCGGACAAGGATGCTCGCTCCAGTCCATTTGACGGTTCCACCGAGGATATCGTGGGTAAGAACGATATGGAAATGTCGAACTTTGGTGTGTACCAGGAGACCACCATTGAAATTTCGCACGAGCCTGTCTCTGTGATTGATTCGGAGGAGAGAAGCGCGCGACACAGCGGCTAATACCTTGGAAATGCTGTATGATTCTTTGTCCTGTATAAGGCTTTTCTGTGTATATGATACTCCCTCTTGTTGAATTTCTCGGCATATTTGCTCTTCACATTCTTTATTTTATTTTTACAAATGATACATAATGACTTGAATTTACCCGAGGAGCTTGTTCTGCGTAGTTGGCTTTACATGCATGATATTTGTGCGACATCCTGGATTTTAGAAAATCCGATGACATCCATCCTGCTGTCAATTTCTGAAGAAACTTGACGTGCAGAACTTGACGCCCGGTGGAGTGCTGGACCGAAGCTAAGTCTGGCGTCAGTTCCTTCAATCGTATATCCGTCAATCAAAAAGATACTCAATCAAATCCCAACACGATACCACTTTGGAATACTACGTATCGTGCTACTATCAATCAAGATCATGGGCCCAGACTACTCGAACCCCCTGAATCAATATCCGAAGCTTTGGGCGCAGGCTTGCTGTAACAGTATCTATCGAGAGATTGGGATCCACATTGCCATCGAATTCCCGAGGTTGAGCCAGTGGAAGTGAGGTGGAACTGGACCCAATTTTCTTTTCGCTTCGCAGTGGACCCTCGTACAATGGTCACTGCTTAGCTGTAATAGTGGAGACCTTCTAGCGGCCATACTAGAATTTTTCGTCGGAAAATGCCGTCTCACTTCAGAAACGTGTACTGTAAATCCGGCTTTGGCCTGCGCCCATCCGACGAGTTCTGAGTAGATCCTCATCTCGGACGAACAAAAAGTCCACCTTTTCTGAGCTCGAAACCCTTTATTACTCGATAAGTTGCAGATGTGATATCATCGTCGAGACTGCTGATCGTACACAAAGCTCCGTAGAATTGACTGTCTTGGGAAATTTGAAATAGTTAGTATTACGCATGAGTAGAATCAATAGCATGAATAGATGAAAGCGTCTATTTACCAAAGCCATGACTGTGGGACAAACCTAAATTTGCCGATAAAGCAAAAAATTGGGTTATTCTACGGGAAAACTACTTTATCGAGACGGCTCGGGGAGGGGGATCGCATGCATGTGAGATTTGAAGTGGAGATATGAAATTAATCCATAGATACATGATGACAGACAGGGGACCCCCTATTAAAGGTTAAATGTACACAAATTTGAGAAACTTCAAACGCTATACTCCATAAACAGATTGGAGTAGCATATTGTATGAAAAGCCTCTAAGCCTCAAGGGCTCCAACCTTCGGCTCCTGAAGCACGTTATCAGTGCCAGCCTTCTCCTTTTCTCGCTTTTCACTTTCCACCTTGACATTGCGCCACTCCATTCCCAGTGCCGGCAAGATCATCGCGCACGAAAGCGCTACCGGCAAAATAAACGCCCGATGAAGAGCCGCGTTATACACAACCAAAACAGCGTGCAGCTTGTCAGCCGGTACGAGACTCGCTAGTCCCGTTGCCCCAGCGCCAAGGATGGAACTCGAGTCAATACCAGAGATGGCTGGCAATCTACTCGTCAAATAGTTCGTATACATATTCTGGCTGACAGCCACCCAAATTGCGCCACCCAGCGACTGGAACAGGAACATGACCGCGACGCCGATCGACACATCCGCTTTATCGAGGACGGTCTGTGCGGCCATCGTCGGCTGTTGCATACCCGAGCCCAGACCTAGGCCAAAAAGAACCTGGTATCCGATCCAAGCCGCATGGTTTGTATCCAATTTGAATGTGGTGATTAGGCCCGCGCCTGTTGCCATTAAAATGGTTGCAATGAACATGAACGGGACGTAGTGTCCGGTATTGTTGATTGCTGCCCCGGATAGGATACTGGCTACAACGAGTGCAAGTACCATTGGGATATTGTCTATGCCTGATTGCACAGCAGTTGTGTCCTTCACACCTTGGAACCATAAGGGAAGTGCGTAAAGCATGGTGATCATGGCACCGGAGACACATGATGTATAGATTGCGCCGGATGCCACACTCCGCTGCTTGATGATTCGTGGTGGGATTGTCGCATCCTCTTGTCGCCAGACTTGGACACCCGCAAAAGCGATTAGGAGTACACCTGCAAGGATGAAAAGGACGATGATGCGGGCGTTGTTCCATTCATAGGTAGTTCCACCCCATTGGAGAGCCAGAAGAAGGCAGATAACGCCAGGTAAGAACAAAGCTGTACCTAGAGGGTCAAGTCGAATAATTTGGCGTTTTAGACTGGCATTTGTAGTGACATTTGGAGCGTGAAGGAAAATGGCTGCGACGACTAAAGTCAGACCGCCGATTGGGAGACTAAAATGAGATATTGGTTAGTATGGATTTATCCAGCATGCCTTCGAGTGCTAACAGAAGTGGAAGTTGGGACATACTTTATGTAGAAGCACCATCGCCAAGTTACTCGGTCTGTGAAGGCACCTCCGAGAAGTGGCCCGACAATTGAAGATATTCCAAAGGTTGAGCCCATAAGCCCAACAAACATTGGCCGTTTATGCAAAGGCAAAATTTGTGTAATGATCACAGTCGACCCATTAAATATACCGGCAGAGCCAATTCCCGCAATCGCACGTCCGATGATAAAGGCTGTGGAGTTGGGAGCAGCGCCGCATACTGCGGATCCGACCTCAAAGACGACTACCGCCGTGAGGAATATGATTTTGGTCGAATAGAAGGTGTAGACGCGACCCCAGAGAAGTTGAGTTGCACTGCTCGTCAAAAGGTAGGCACTGGCATACCAGGCAATATCTCCAATAGCATGGAACTCATCGGAGATTTTGGGTACGGCTGTCGCGATAATAGTTCGATCCTGATATCAGATTATTGTTAGGACCCATGCGTTCAGATTAGATTTTTGAAGAGGATAATTTACCAAAGCAACGAGGAACATAGCACAAAGAAGTGCTACAATAACCAATACAAGCCTCAAGCCTGTCAAAAGTTGCTCCTCATTTTCTGACTTGTCTTTAGCCTCCTGGCTGGCTGGTGATACATCATTGGGTGCGATTTCTGGTGCTCGGTCAGATTCTATTTGGTGTCGTGGTTTCGTCATAATAATAGTGGTGTCAATAAATCAATAAAGAAGAATAATAATCAACGGTAATTATTGATTCAAAATGAATTCATTGATGCTATTTACTGTTGATGTGACCCAAGATTCTTATACTAAATGTGTCGGACTCTCCTTTTCCCCCTCGGGGCCGAAAGAATGTTGAAATCCAGCTTCGGCGCCGAGAAAAGACATGGAAGGGTCCGAGATTGCTAGCTGCGACCGAGTTTCCACAGCCACCAAGCCCATCTTTGATGATGCAAGAGAACACGAAATACTAGATTCGCATTCTCTTCTTTTCTATGCTCCTTTGTTCTTTCCTTGAAATATTCGATTTATTTATAAATTTGATCGATCTTTGTGGAAACCCACCTTTGCCCCGCCATACAAGCCGCTGCACTACTTAAAAAGGGCCTACATGAAGTATTTCGTCTTTTGGTAATGTTCTGATTTCGAGTCGATTCGGAAGACCCCTCCAGTATATTGCTTGATTCATATTTAATGCGTTCAAAGAATAGACTTAAAGAACAATTGAGGTTTATTTAGCTGTTTTTGACAATACTTGACAATCCTTAACAATAGCAAGCATCCCGCCCGACCTGGCGCCTGAGTTGTACCCAATCTCGTGTGAAGACTTTCCTCCCCCAACAAATCGTTAAGCGATATTGGCTAGGTCTACCTGTTCAATCACCAACCCCTTCAATATGGCATAGATGCGAGCCTTAGGGCTCGTCGTCATCCATCTTGTCGAGGTCCGATAGCTCGCGTTCCAGTGCCCATTGTTCATGCCTGGCTTGTTGGGCTAATGCCTCAAGGCTTTCCGCTACTGCCTTTTCTGCTTGAATGGATTGTACCAATTCCGCTCTAGACTTAGCCGCGAGAGATCCCCTGTTCCTGCTATCTTGCTGCATGGGCGATCGTGACCGATAACGCACTGCAGTAGGATGTTCGCGAGGTGAAAGTGAACGACGTTTCATGCGGCTATGTTGGGGTGCACGGGGTGTTGGAATCGAGTGCCGGACCGGTCAGAGGGGACCGTCTTTGGTATGGATCTCATCTTTGACACGTGAATAATGTTCACCATCAATATTCCACATCTTGAGACGGTAGGGAAGGTTCAGTTCCTTCAGCATCTTCATCCATCTCCTTAAACTGAGAGTATGTTGGGGCTGGCGGATAGGTCTTTTTCATGCAAGCAGCGCCTGTGGCGTTCGGCATGTCCCCCATACATAATGGCAACATCTGCCCCCGGTTTTTCGACAGTTGGTTTACCTCTCCAGGTGAGGACATGGCCCTTTTTCACACAGTCGAACAGGATATTGGAGAGGAAAGAAGCTGTGCCGGTCTTGGAAATCCACCTAGCGACACCCTCATCCCAGATTTGGAGATTTCCGATAATGATAATGAGCTTCTGTGCTCGGCTCATGGTTAGGTTCAGCCTTGATATGATCGCCTCCGTCGGTACGGAACCTATAAAGCTCCGAAAAAAGGTCCGCTGCAACGTTGACATTTGTGCGATTGATCGACCACTTGCCACCCCGTACGGTTGTCGAGTTGCTGATGACGCTTATCATCAATCGGCGAACTCCAGCAAGCTCTTGGTTAAAGAAATAATGACGGCTTTTGGTAAAGTCATCCCAAGTATTCCCCACACGTTCAGGCAGGTCGTTATATGTCCGGGGTTTTAACGTCTTGCCGTACACATGCTGGTTGATTATGTGGAAAATCGCTGTGTGACTAACATATTTGACATTCAGCTGCGTGAGGGGATAGCCACCCTCGGCAAGTCGCGTGTTAGTAGGCAGACCCCTCATTATCCTCATGTTGCGAGATGACGGTGGTAGCTAGGAAGGGTTACCAAAGAGATAGACAGACTATATGACTCTATAGTCATTGCGCTTTCTCAAGATCTTTTTCAATGGGTTAAAGGTCGTCTAAACGACGGATGGGCACTTTATTGCCACTGGAATTTTGGAGAGCGGCAAGTTGGTAGGTAGGCGTTCGGAAGCGCACGAGCTGGTTAATATGCGCCCTCTTTCTAAGGCTGCATTATAGTTTAGGGAAAGTACGAGGTCGTGGTTTCCAATCTTGCTCATTTCGTACAACAACTTGAAGCTTCTCAATTTGATACACATACCATTTTCGAGGCCCTCATATTCTTGATCAATGTCTTGCAACCAGGTGAGCTTAGTTTACGCCCGCCAAATCCTGTATGCTCTCTCTATGTGTTACATATTGATGCTGACTTAAAACGTTGACCTCAGTCAAATTGACCCATAGGCTTTGATCACCCGTCAGCCTCAAGAGCTCGTTACTGCGCGTCATGTCATCTAGTTGAGCCTCTCTCAATATTTTAAATTCCTTGAGATTCTGTGAATATTTTGACATGCATTATTATATAAGTTACGCATTTCTATCATGTGCTTAAATAGATGATGGAAAAAACACAGGCTACATTCAATTATCTCGACGCTGACCTCCGCAAGTATGCGACAGAAAAGCCTTCTGGTCTTCGGCCTCAACGCTGAGCATGGATGCATCTCCCATCCCATAAGTAGGAAGCTATTAGTAGAGAGAGCGACCCTGCGAATGTTAATGTGAGCAAGGTATAGTTTCCGGGTTCGTTCAAGCCTCACAGTTTCTACCGGTGCACAATCTATCCAAAACCCCGGTCCACGGTCGAGGCCTCACCACGACCGATTTCCTCCACGCCCGTCCAGTTCATGTATCTCAGCCACACTGCTGTCTAACTCTTGTATCGGCTCTGGCTTTTGTGCTCCATGCACACCGAGCCCGTAGGTTTGACCCGGCATCCATTTCTGCTGCGACATATCCTCGCTCCCGGTACTATTCGAGTAGCGATCTGAAATTGGCCGCCCGATTCCTGAGTGATGTCCGGGAGAGAGTGAGGGCAGGCTGACGCCTGGTGAGTATGTCATGTATTTCGGATCCTTTCCTGCCCCTGTTATTGTGCTGGCTGTTGTCGTGCCGGCAGGGCTGGAAAATTGCGAGTCTAATCAAACGCAATAAATATCAGCCAATGGACTTTGAGAGATCCAATTTGGAAGGAGAGTGGTACATACTATGGTACAGCGACGCCGGGGATGGATACATCCTCTGATGCATGTGCTCGCCCTCGACAACAGACGGTGTGTGCCCGTCTCCACTCATTGTAGCAGCCTCCTTGTTCCTTCTCCGCATAAAAAACCAAACGAGCACTCCGACAATCACCAGCGCTGCAACACCCCCAACCACGATTCCAGCGATCGCGCCGCCGGATAACCCACCCCCTCCGCCACTACCCTCATTATTGTCATCGCCTGTATCCTCATCCTGGAACAGGGCAAATTGACCCTGTTTGGATGGGCTCCACGCAGCGGCAAGTAAATCATCGGCCGGACACCCCGAGTTCTGGCAAGCATTGATCGAGCAGCAGCCGAAAAAGGGTGGGTCCGTCGTGTTGCAGGAATACCAGTCCTTGTTCACGGCGTCGATACACAAGTTGGGTAAAATAGAGTCGAAGATGGAGGTGTCAAAGGAGGCGGGATAGACGTTAGGGCATGGCGCGGAGCTGTTTGCGTCGACGTTTGCGCATGGATCCGAGGAGCAGCAGCCAACGAAGTGCGGCGCGTCCGGGCACACGTACCAGGTGCCGCCAGACGGGCAGTAGAAGTGATTCGAGCTGGAGTTCGACATTATAATTAAAGTTGTATTCTGTCTTGATAAAGACTATTGCTTGTGACAAAAAAAGAACCTTGGAATGGGAGAATGGAATAAACCTGAAAACTGCGGGTCGGGAGCGTTCCACCGGGCCAGGGCCCTTTCGGTTCGAAGGAAGCCCAGCAGACCCAAATTTGTGGGGGGGTGCTTTTAAGATGGGGATAATCATTGCTGAGTAGAGCAGATTGAGGCTGCGTCTGCAGGTCCGAGGCCAGCGAATTTTGCGCGTCTTTGATTGGCGAGTCCAGTCAAGGATTCTAGGAAAAGGAATCAGTTGACCTACTGAACCCTGCTAGATGCGTTGTTAGCGCAGAGACAGGCTTACGGGCCGAATTTCTTCCAAGTTGTTACGGCTGATGGGAGAAAGGGAATTGAGGGCAAGACCAACCCCTAACGGCGGTCACTCGTATGCCATAGACATATATTCGGCCGCAGGTATGTCGCATAACAAATTTAAGAATCATTTTCCTCACCAACTTTAATAAACACCTTCTAGGTTCGTGTATCAACGCCCAACGTCCAACTTTCAGGAATCCAGTCTCAGCCCCAAAGGCCAACGAACCGGAGCTAAGACGGCGCCTTGGCTGCATTTGTGAATATCATATCGTAAGGCTAGATCTTACATTAAAAGTGGAGAATGATGGAACTAAAGGCTCCGCCCACTGGCAGAGATATACCTGCAGGTGGGGCGTCAAACTGCAGTGCACCTTGGCGAACCAATAAACTTCGAGTTGGATTATGAACACCTGGTCATGACTGCGCATTTAGCTTCACCTGCGACGAAGTAATCCAGCAAGCTAGTCACTTTGATTTTGAGGAGGAGGGTTAAAGCTTGTCAGCAAAATACTATAGCACCGATCGATTTGGCTCATACCAGTTACCTATTGGAAAGACATTTGGAAAGAGGTGTCAATGTCAGAACATTAGACTACATCATACTAGTATCAATGTATGTGCTAGAAATATACATGCTAATATCCTCCACGGGGATAGAAATATACAGTGAAGTTCTGTAGAAAGTAACCTCGATCGAATAGAGGCTAGATGGCTTCACATCCTTGGGATTTAAAGTATGTAGCATGTTAAAACGACTGTCTGGCCAAATTGACCCACCGTATTCACCCGGGTGCATTTCAGGACTAAAACGAACCATGCGTTGCCGCCTTATCCGCTCCACTAATGCGGGGTCTAGGAGGGCTTAACATTAACACTGTGTGCCTGCAAGATGGATTAGAGAAGGAAGTCATCTGGATCCCAGCCGACAAGCCTTTGTTTTTCCCACGTGTACAGCAGGTCATGTTATGTTCCCGGCAAGTTCCATGGTGGAAAATCCAATCGAATGCCCGGCTTGGCAAAGCGCCATCGTTAGTCATTGTTTACCAACACAAATTCTTCCATCGTTCAATCTAATCAGCTTCACGGGGAGCGCCGCGCGACTCCATGGCTGATTTTTGGACTGATCCCTTGCTGAAGATTTTTTCCGGCCGTAATGCACGTTGTCTGCGGATTAAGGCTTCTGTCCTCGATCAGATCACTAAATCCACGTGTGGGAATCAGCCAACCGAGGACGAATTGGTCAGATCGAACAACGTGGAGAAAGCCGTTGCCACGATACTATAAACTTACGCGGGTATCGTGCAGTTTCAATTCGGCCCCGACATTCCGATGCTATGGGTCTGGAGCTACGGAGTGGAGCCGCCCAGAAACCAGTTTGTATGGTTTAGCCCGAATTAAGCTTGTCAATCCTTGCATTTGTGAATATCCTCGGGTATTTATGCCAGAGGGAAGAAGGAAATTTTGCCCCCAATGCAACAATCAAACTGTACTATAATAGAATTTCGAGGCCTGCTATTTTCACCCCAGTTCCTTCGCTAAGATATCTCGAAGCTATCCACAATATCTAATAGTCGATGTCTGGAGTGATTAAAGGTCCCAGGTAGGAATTCTCTCAAGCGCGTTCTCGTTGATGGTGGGTGGTGGTGAGGAAGGAAGATGAAGCCATCCTCACCTCAAGCCATATTGGCGTGGCTAATCACGTGGCTACAAGGGCACTACTGCCACACATCTCATCATCAATAATTGGAGATTCCAGCTCGTAAGTGGTTGCTAAATGCCTGATCATTGAAAAACGCGACAACAATTTAATGTCATATTCCAATCTTGTTGACTCTCTAGTACATACGACCATAAGGTGTGGAGAACAGGGCTTCCCTTCCGCTCAGCCGTACTTAAGCCACATACTAAACGCGGTCAATAGACCAAGAGCCCTGGATCTTAAAGTAGCGTTGATTTGGATGTGAGGGTGAGTGCGGGTGATAAGTGTGAAAATTCTGGAGACTGGGGTGAGAGAGGTGAGAACGGGGTGAGAGCGGGTGAGAACAGGGTAAGAGGGGTGAGAATACCCACTACAATACGTTGCGTTCTCTGTCTGGATGGTAAATAATAAAAGCCCGATGGCTTAAGTCCAGTCTGCTATCCTAAATTCTTTTTCAACTACTTACTTGACCGAAGATATCCCCAGAAAAGATACAAAAAAAGCTGGACAAGAGGAAGGCATGTACCGCATTACGTGGTTTCACCTACAAGTATTAGAACACTCAGGAATAAGTGGTCAATACTATCTGCCATAAGTAGGTCACTCCAGCTACGCTCCGTAACTACGAGAATATAGTATTAAACTAGGCACTATACATAATCAAGATATTATCTTAGTTTATTAAGGCTTATCAACACATAATAGATAGAGAGACTTTCTCGTAAGAAAGTAACTAACACTAACTTTGTAATGGTTACTAAGTTGTCAGGCTAGAGACCTGTGACTAGGCAGGGAATCGGACAGATAACGAAGGGTCTCTTGGTCGTCGATACATAGACTAATTCTTGAAGAGATCAAGAATCCGAAATGTTTGTGGGATCTTAAATACACTAGGGTTTGGGTAGGCCTTGATACATAGGCGTCTCGAAGGGGATTCGGCCCTGAATCGACCTCAAAAGTCCGGGGTATTGATGCCGACCATGCTGACCACAACACTGCAACACTGCTAGCTATATGAGCCACAGGGATAGAGAGACAGGGCGAGTAGATCAGCGCAAAATTCTGTCGACTTAAAAATATGAAAGACAGCCGACAACTGAAAATACAGGCAGAAGTAGCGTTCTTTAACGTAATCGGTAAGCGAGTGGTCCATATAAGAGAGTGGTCTAGAGAACCTAACTACTATAGTTCAAATCCTTAAAAATAACTATAACGCCATATAATTAATAATATAAGCTATCTAGGTCTATCTGGATATGCTTTTCTTCTATGACCCTCATTTCAACAGTGTCTATACTTCGGTAAAGCTCTTGGACGTGGTTGTAATAGCGGTCGTAGCTACCGGGGTTGTCTTAGTACTGGTACTACCGGTGGTATAGGTAATAGTTCAATTATATCTTGAAGTTCTGCGACTAATAGACCTGTTTCTAGTAGTATCTGCCGCTTTAATTGAGTTCTTTTTTACTTTTTTCTTGTTACGGCATACATGCATGTTTATATTCAAGCGTTACCGTATACATGCATATTGATATTAGAACGGGCACATGATTTACCGAGGGTTCCAGCCCCGGACCTCTCACGTGAAGCACACGAACCATGGTTGGTATAAAATGTATGAATGTTTGGAAGTAGTAGACTTCCAAGGACTAGTTTCTGTATAACTTTTATGAAAGAACTCTATCAAATATCGTTATTCTTTATCTGCCTAACCCTTTGACGTCAACCTTAACAGTTTTATAGTATTTCAGTAGCCTAAATAGCTAGTAATATCCCTCCCTCTTATTCTGTAGATTTTTGATAATTTTGGTGTGAATTGGTGGTATAGTAGGTGGTTGAAGATAGAAGGTTGAATAATCGTTCTCTGGACCACTCGCTTACATAGACCACTCGCTTACCGATTACGTTATCCAAAGGGGTGGTGTTTCTAGTAAACTCTCAAAAATATTAGATCTATACAGTTAAAGTGCCTGATCTTTCTTGCTACCAGCTTCTATTCACAGCATGAATCCGATGATCTCCCTAAAACTTGAAATTCATGTAAACCTCTTTAGACTTCACATCCACGAATCCGCCGTGTCATATCTCCTTATTTTGAGCCCGCATCATCCTCTTTTGCTTGATTGGCCTGGGCCTGCTGCATCTGCATCTTCTTCATGGTCTCCGCCGCTTCAAACGAGTACTTGCACTTCATACGCACTTGCATACCGTACCGATACATGACTAGCGGGAACGGCACGCATACCAGTGTCATGAAGGCCGGGATGCTAGACGCCCAGTGAATACCCAGATTGTGATACATCTGTGTCGTGAACAGAGGAAACACAGCACCAATGACCGAACGGAAAATAGCAGCCGCGGCCAAGACTGAAGCCGCGTAGATTGTATAGGAGTCGATCAAGTAGTTCATGATTGGCAGTAGAACAAGAACACATCCGAAGCCGAAAGGTGCAGATAGAATGATAGCTACCGACCAATGGATACTGGGGTAATTGGTCCATGCAAATGCAAACATTCCGATCGGGAGAGTGACTGCACCAACGATAGCAGGTGGTAGTCGGGATTCGGCGGTTGTGCTTTTCGCGAGGACCAGTTTCATATACCGGGTGTTGTTGTCCCAGATCGCATAGATAAGACCAAACACAATGCCGACGGCAATACCAAGGAATGAAAGTCCCCCAATTCCCTCACTCCAGCCACGGTCTTCGTTATAAACAATTGGCATAGCTCCCATGAACATATAAACTGTACCATAGATGATTGCCATATAGACCGAAGCGATCAAGACGATTGGCTCAAGGAACAGAAAGATCCAGGGACGAAACAGGGCTCGCTGGAAGACTTCAGATGGCTTCTTTTTGCCCTGACTCTTCTCAAGAACACTAATATAAAACTTTCCATCCGCCTTAGACAAACGACTAGCCCTTTGTTGCAGCAGGACCGGGCCGTAAGTCTCGGGAATAAAGATGACTCCAAGGATGCCGACAATCCCGATGAAGATAGTGCAAAAGCCTTGAACCCACCTCCAGCCAACATTTTCGGAGATAAAGCCTCCCATGACCGGGCCAAGGACGGGACCAAGGAACGGTGCAACGCAGTAAACAGTGAGGGCGAGTCCACGTTGAGCTGGCGGGAAGAGATCGGCGATTGTGCCGCCGGAGTTGACGAGGGGAGATGCCCCAAATGTGCCGGCAAAGAAGCGCAATATCAGCAGCGTAGCCACATTTTTACCCCCAGCTGATCCCCCGAGGAAGGCTACCATGGCGACGTGGGTAATGATCCACAGTTTCTGTCTGCCGTACAGTTCAGATCTTAAAGAAGATTAGCAAGACAGTGCTGGAGAGTTGTTTGTCGAGAGTTGATTGTACTCACAGAGGGCCCCATAGAGCGGGACCGATAGCAAACCCTAAGACGAAAAGGGAAAGACCGAGAGTGAAGACTTCGGAGCTAATGTCGAAGTCTTGAAAGATCTCGTTGGCGGAGACGGAGTATGCGGAGGAGGTCAGAGTGACAGCAAAAACCGAGATCGTCGCAACAAATGTGATAAACCACTTTCTGAAAGAACCCCAATTCATGGGATTGCCCGGATCATCTTTTTGAAACTCCACAACAAATGGATCTTCTTCGGTTCCATGGCCATCATAAACGGGTGTTTTCTCAACCTCGGCCGGGTCGGCATTGACTTTGGTCGCGCTGGACATGGTGATCGAAATAAACAGCACCAAGCGGACACAGCTATCTGATCGCGCTTTTACAAGTCCGGCTTTTGTGGTCTATATAGTACGTTCAGGGAGACCGGAGTATTTATTGTTGATGCCCTCCGTGATGTGAAAGCGGGATGCATGTCCATTGGATACCAGAATAACGGCGGGTCCAGGAGGTTCTGCGTTCCATTGGTCTTTGCTAGTGAGACTTGGTGGAAATACCCAATCATAAAGCGTTCCGCTATGGGGTACTTTTCGACGGAATACCATTTGATTGGGCAGTGCATTTCTTTGTTCACGCCTTAGCCTTACGACTTCCCTCCTACTTCGTCGCCGTGTTGGGTGCTCTGTCAATACCTACAGGGTGTCCACTGGCCAGACACGATAATGGGAGCTCCACCATGGCTACGGCTGGAATGGTAAACATGATTCAACCAGAGCACAACGACTCGTGCGTAATACGTAGACAGCGATTGAAAGTCATCACAGCTTGTCAGGCATGCCGGTCAAGAAAGATCAAATGTGACGGCAGCCGTCCAGGTAATCTACACCCCTGTCCTTCACTTACCTCTTTGGTGCTCACGAGCTATGCTGATACAAGAATGTGCAGCATGCACTAGGTGTCAAGCCAAAGCGAAGTCTTGTAACTACAATCGTCCTGGTGCGGCTGGCGACATTCCGCGCAAGCTTAGTCCAAGGGAAACACCCCAGCATGTTCCTGTCCTTGTTTCACCTCCATCTTCACCAGCCCATTCATTCTCACCAGCTCATTTGATTGAGGCGTCCTCGACGTCGACAAGCTTGACTCTCCCAGGCATTGAGTCACGCTCCTTCTCGGATAATTACCGAGAATCGAACTCGGACTCGAATCTCAACCGTCAATACCACGCAGCCCACGGCCGGTTCGCCGGCCAGGTGGCGGCGGCTATAGAGGAGAGAGCTGGTCGAGCCCCACCAGCTACGACATACCTTGTTCCACTGGTCGATGCGCCCTTATTTGGAGATCTGGATTTGCCCCTGCGATCTTCCCCTCTTTCGGAGTCCACCGAGTTGCCCTCCCGCGCTCGTGCAGATCAACTCGCCAATATATATTGGAGACACATACATCCGGTTGAGCCTGTGTTGGATTATGATCAGTTTTCGCAGGTATATGCAAAGTCATTTTCGACGGAAGGTTGCCTCGCGCATACGGACCATCACATTCAGCTCAGTATCCTCAATGTGATATTTGCCCTCGCAGTGCAAAGACAGGAACGGGTGCCCTTCAATTTGCGGAATAAAGAGGGGAATACTTATTTTCAACGTGCGTGGGCGCTATTCCCGACCGAGTCGATTATTTGGGAACCCGGTTCTCTTGAGCGTGTGCAGTGCTTGATACTTATGAACCGATACATCCATTGCACAACTCATCAGCAAAAGACATGGATGACTGCTGGACTAGCAATGCGCATCGCGCAAACAATGTGTTGTAATTCCCTTGAGACTCCCTCAGGCAAAGATGCCGGCAATGACGCGCGTTTGAAGCGTAAGGTTTGGGCGAGCTGTGTTGCATTGGATCGGTAAGTATTTATCCGTTTTAATATCACCCCAGAAACCTCGCTGATATGATTAGGTGTGTTTCCTGGTCACTCGGAAAGACATCAGTGCTGGCACTCATTCCATCGCCGACAAGTGACTGTCAGCAGGGAGGCGATCCAACCTGGCACTCTCGATGGAAACTGGAACTTCACGAGATAGGCAATCAGATTCAGATGGCCCAGATTCAGACACGAAGCACCCTCGCATCTCGATCTGTGGTGCCTTGTCTAGATCAATAGGAGGAATACCACACCGCGGCGGTCCGCCTAGACGCTTGTCTCAACAAATGGGAGACCAGTCTTCCAAACGATTTACAACTGCGGAATCTTAAGTTTCTGGATGACAGGGCAGTCCGAATGGAGCGCTATTTGATACACCTTCGGTAAGCTAGTACTAATATTTCTTTGCACTTTGAGAATTGCTTCTCTAATATCGTCCACTGTATAGTTTTCTCCATTCCCGTATCTATCTCTACAGGCCAATACTCGCCCGCTTCTACTCCATGAAATCCAATGGCCAATCAAGGTCCACGAATCCCGCAACTCTCAGCGAGCGGCTTCTGAGAGAATGTGCTAAGATGTGCGTCGATGCCGCGCAAGGTGTCACTGCCTTGGTGACCGAAACATTAGAGCCCTGTGAGCCTATCGGAATCATCCCTTGGTGGACACGTATTTACTACCTTCACATCGCGGGCGTGATCTTCCTCGCAGCCATGGTCGGATCCGATCTCTTTACCGACTCAGTCGCTCAATCATGGCAGGATGTTTTGGCAGGACTCCGCGCACATGTCCACCTGAGTACATATATTCAGCAGTGCATTTGTACCTTTGAGGCATTGTCCGCCAAGATCTTACAGCCCACCGGTCTAGTCGCACAGAGTGGGTGTGAGCCCCTGGTGGAAGGCGCAGGGATGTCCTTCGATGATATTTTCCAAGATATCCGCTTTGACTTCGATGAATTCTTATTTAGGACGGAAGACGTGCTCAATTTTGATGTGCTCGGGTCATGATATATATGCGACCATGCAAACTGGGGGAAAGGATGAGGCACCCTGCTTAGCTTTAATATATTGACATACTTCCATCTATTCCATTTGATGAAGTACCCCAGCTGCATCTGTCCAGCTAGTTCAAAGCCTGCCGATGCTGGACACCAGATCAATGGCATATCGAGGAAGAAGAAGTCTCCGACTTGCTATCTGAATGTGGCCGCAACTTCGATTTCCTGGTACCTCTGGCTTGTCAACAGCGACTTGACCAGATACATATCTGAACGCTGCCTACCATTTCAAAGAGCTTCGACTTTTGCTTTTTCGGAAATTTCCGCACAGCCATGCCATGGTTCAAAGGTTTACCATTTTCCCTAATTAAAAGCATGAATACAAACACCAAATAATTTGCTGCCGTTCCTGGTCGGAAACGATCTCAAACCCCTGGATCCAATCAAGGGGTTATTCTAGCAGTTGCATGTCAGTTTCTTTATTTCGACCAGAATGATCATGTTATTGCTAGAATTGGTACGCAGAGAAACTCCAGTAATCAAGACACAGGGACACTCTGCTGGTTGTGGGAAACATCGTTCGGGTCCACTGCCCTCTTGATATGCTTGAGTCGATCCAGGTTTTGGCCATAGTACCCGGCCAGGGCCTTCTCGTTCGTCTCCCGTGGATCCACATTTCCAGTCATGTAAATGTTGAATAGTGCTCTGCCTTTCACACCAATAATGTTCTAAATTTCCGACAAGGAGCAGTTTCGATGTTCTAGTCCACTCACAGTATTCCAATGGACGTCCTGGGCAAGGTCTTTGAGGATCCCTTCACTCGAACACAACAGACCTGCATGCTCATAAAGAGCCCGACACTGGAGTCGGAGCCGTCCAACGAAGCATCTCGATCGGAAGCCAGGTATCCAAAGTAGACGTCGTCGTGGTTTGTGAAAGCTCCGAGAACAATTGCCCAGGTTGTCTGAATGAGAGCAGTCTGCGTTACCCCCCAGCGCTGACAAAGAGCTGCAGGCCCTGCGTGACGTTGTTCGGGAGCTTGATGTAATCGTAGTCATAATAGTCTGGATATAGCCATAATTCCGGCAAGCTCATTACATTCTCGCAGCATTCCAACCAATATCAAGGGTAAAGAGTACTGTGACTTCTTAACCTTCCTCCTTTCCATTGATACGCTCGCCAAAACAGACAACGAAGCCAACGCAACAGGGATATAAAGCGTCTGAATCAACGCCTCATAATACCCAGAAAGCAAGACACCAAGCTTAGCAGATCCTATTTGCCCACTCACATCCTCGAGACCTTCGTCGTCAAAAATACTCTGATCAGTCCCAGGTGCGTGACGTGCCGCCTCTACCGCCAAGCGATTCTGGAATAACACGACAGATGCCGAAACAAAAAGCGCAGATGCGAGAAGTCCTGTGGACCCCGTGATAGCGACTCCAGTGGCCATGTCATTGTCTGGAAGAACTGTCTGTACGGCGAACACTGGTACTTGAACGCCAAGACCAACACCAGCGCCGAGAAAGAACAATAATAGGGTCATTTTAACCAAGGAGTCATTGTATTCGATTGTGGTGAGTAGGCCAGAGGCGATAGGTGTGGGTACTGATCCGAGAAGCATGAAAGGTGTAGCGTATTCGGTAAGCGAGCTGGCCACCCCAATTAGTGATACTCTCGAGTTGATACCCCGCCTTAACCTCAGCACGGAGGTATTCTGTATGATTCGTAATTTGCTTGAGTTTTTGCTGAATAGCCATAGCGAATTCCCAGCAGTTATCTTGGGACACGCTAAAACCGGTCTTCACGAACTCAAAGGCATCAAACTTGAGAGTTTCCATGCAACTCGAATAAATTCGAAATTGAGTTTTCAAACATTGCTTGAGGTCATTGTCTCGAGGTAAATATTTGCGATTTTTCTTGAAATGACGGAGTGCATCTTTAAAGCTGAATTTCACTCCTGATGAAATTGTCATAGTTAGACCAGGCTCGAACATTGAGTGAGGGGGAGCTTTTATTTACCTTCCAGGAGGGCTTCATCCAAAATAATCCAATCACTTTGGGTATTTGGAGAGTGTTAGCCTTCATCAGGGTAGGGTGATGAGGGCTTTGCTTCTTTGCAAGAGACTCGGAGTTGTTGCGGAGCTTCGATCAATGAATTGCTGTGGCATCTTGTAAGCTCTCCAAGTTGATTAATTGTTGCCCATTGCTCTAGGACAGATTTCATGCGCGCCGCCGCAGTTTCAGCGGCATAGGGCTGCCAAACCTTATCCTTGTGACTATCAGCGTAATCGCAACTCCCTTGATCACAATACACGGCAAGTTATTACAGACACCTGCACCCTCCATCTCAAACGCGATGACTCTATCCTTTGAGGCTATTTTATCTCGCTCTAGTCCGGATTACATGACCGTATCTCTTGATGCAAGTCGCCCAAAGTGGATATCGATGCCACGCGAGGAGGGCCGTGAGCGAGCAACATGTTTCTGATCACATTCCAGGTCATTGCATGTAGCCTCTTGGGCTTTTGAACAATGCTTGTTCTTTTTGCATTTTTTGCACCTGGACTTGTGATGTTTATGGTGGTAGTTGGCCTGGAAAAGACGATCTTCATTTGGCGCACGGCGACAAAACCCGTATTGGCTTTGAAGCACCATGGAGTGATGCTAAGTTCTCTGCATCAGTGTTTGGTAGCCGTTTGGACTTTTGAGTCTGTGCAGAAAGGATCGCACTTCCACATTCAATGCAGAATCTGTTATACCCTCCTTGCGATGAAACCCCGCTGGGTACCTTCGACCAAGATCATATGTCACAATTTCATCGCTGAATATTACGTCGCCAAGGAAAATCCCTTTGCCGCTTCCTTCTGGAGCGCCTCCACACACTCCGACTATTAGTGCAAGACGGATACTCTGAAAGCTTGATCGTAGATTCGCTGCAACTGTGGCTGCATAGGCACGTCCAATGCCAGGCAAACACACCAGGACAACATTATGGTTACATATCAACCCTGTTGTATAGCTGTATTTCGAGGCTTGCTCCAGGGCAGTGAAGCGCTATAGCTTTGCGGAAGTATGGAATCTAGCTGCTATTAGCAGTTTGGTGATTTCCGTATGACCGAGCAGAGCTGATAGAGGCAGAGCTGGTGCCATATATTAAGGTCTTTCTGGCGGCTTAATGTTGTTCTCTGATAAAAGTTTGACGGTGTGCAGATGCCCGTTATGGATTGCAAAATGCAAACAGCACCAATTTTCATATTTTAGTTCTGTAAAGCAAGAACTTTGATATTCAGATTTGCCAGCTGCACAGGCGGCAGTGGCCACGGTGCCAAGTTTCTCCCTGTTCCGGGAAGGTATATACTAGTCTTTTCAGATGACCGTCATTTACCCACACTACTAATTTGATTATAACTCAATAGGATGCAGCAAATATTATCGAGCATGGGGATTTGAGTACTTCGTATATGCGTCCATTCTGGCGATGGAGACCAGATTTTCCACGGAAAAATGCCCTTGAAGAGGGCCCAGGTGGACCTCGCAACATTAAAACGGGTTGATTGGATTGTTGTTCCACAGACACATCATTGATTGAACTAAAGAACGCAAACATGGGAAGAAAAATCATCACATGTCGATGCAGATCTCACATCAACGCTCTAGCCCTTGATTTTCAAATCCAGCTGCTTATTTAAAATTGAAATGGATATTAATCCCTAGAACATCTCGAACGATGAGCCCCACTATTGAAGTAATTGGTGCAAACCTGAATCATTTCTGAGACCACTACTCTGCCTCAGCCGAGGCACGTCGACGTTGCTTCTTAGTCACGTATCCCACACGAAGAACGTAGAACAACCCGATAACACCAATAAGCACCGAAATCCCAATTACAGCACCCTTCGGCGCGGCAGGATCTCCAACACCGGTGAGTTTGAACCCAAGTCCCACATTGATCACCCCTAATATTATCATGATCCGTCCAAACCAACGGTGTATATAAGCAAATGGCCCTTTTCCACCAGTCTTTCGGAAATAACGATGTTGCAATAGACCCATAGCCGGCTGAAATAAAGTCAAGCTGGCAATAACGAATATTCCGATAATAATATGGTAGCTGTCTAGAATATGAACCTGTTGGGCCATGGAAATCCCCAGAGCCAGCCCAGCAATAGAAACAACAAGCGCAAAGAGTTGCAGACCTCCATGAATCGTGACAACATTTGATGACGAGTAAAGATGGAGTATGAGTGCAGATAAGGGAAACAGAAGAACAAATGCAATTATCATCAGAGCTCCATGGGCAATCTTCTTGGCGTGAAACTCGGACTCTTGGAAGGGGTAGTCGGGATTAGGATTGGGATTGATGCTGACAAGGTCAGCAAAGGAATTGTCGCCAGTTGGACCCGTAGCGTTTTTCAAATTCACCACATCAACCCCCATGATATCATGCTGCAGAATATTGGCGGATAATTTTTTCGTGTTGAGTGGCGGGCCATAACGAACACCCCATATCCATGTACTGCTCGAGCTGGTAGGGTCCATGCTAGCAGTTCCCCAGTGAAGACAATTATCACATTGAATGTTGGCTGTAACCATTGGGCCGTCAACGCCACTGCCATTCATGACAGTAATCTGGGCCGCGGGGTTATACAATGGCTGGCTGTGTCCCACGCCGGATCGCGGGGAAACGGTCACACTATTGCCAGAAGTATACACGACGAACATATTAGATCCGGCCATATGATCTCCTTGACCTAAGGCAAACCATTCTATGCGCTTAGTCGAGTTCATTTGGAAGTAAATGGGTCCACTGCTAGAATTGGCCGTGGCCTCGGGGATATGGATGCTGTAGGCAAGCCCATTCGGTCCTAGGGGTGTAAAGGTTTGGAATTTGGCCGCAAGGGCCAAAGCCCAGAACAAACAACAGGAAAATAAGAACTGTATCATTGTCATATTAGCTGGTTGAATATAACATGGTCATATTGAGGGGAATCCACGTCAGATAAATAATTCACCGCGGGGTGATCCTCAGACTCCATCTGTAGTACCTGTGGTACAGGATGCTGCGATATACAGACATGTTTCCAATTTCATCGATAGATGCCGCTATACTTTCACGCTTCCGGGTTCTACCTCGTAATTCAAACTTTTCACTTACTAGAGGCCGGGTTGAATTGGTGTGACCAACTCCGACTCAGCTAAACACCTTCTTGAAACGGTAGTACTCGAGATACCGGATTAGGTACCACAGATTGTCAATCCGTCATCATACTCTTTACGCAGACGTTAGATACCAAAATTAGAGAACTGGACAGACTGCGCCTCCACAAATCACTGCCAATACTGTTGGGAAGGTTTGTAACCTGAGTGATGGACCCTTAACCAGGGGGTCAATTGCCACAAATTTGGATATGATGTGGCTTCATAATGTTTAACCTGAAGAATGCATTTTCATATCTGGGGTAAACGCCCGAAAATAATCCTGGAAAGCTCGTTTTACCCCCCCGAGGTTAAATTTCTTCTCGTGGCCCAAATCGTGGCTATGCAATTTTAACTTTATTTAACAAAACATCGCTGTGATTGCTGATAACCCATAAAGTATTGTGAGATCAAGGCGTGATATTTAGGCAACTATAATGTATGCCAAATACTTTCCAACTTAGTAATTGTCGATGAATATCAAGCTTGATCTACATCGGTGTGCAGACCGTGCACTAAATAATACGAGTGCGCGGGCCGTTACGTATCTCCTCGGCGAATCTAGACTTGGCTCTCAATTCTTGCCCATATCTCATGAAAAGGAAAGGGACCGGTAGAGCTAAGCATGAAATGCCACCCAAAAGACTGGCTGCCGGTCCGAGTCCTAGATTTTCGAACATGGGCCGTGCTGCGATCGGCATTGCGCACGCAAAAACAGATCGCAGAATCGTATTCGCTGACACTGCACTGGCAGCAAATTGGCCATAAGTATCGACCAAAAAATTGAGACACTGTTGAAAAACAACACTGAACCCTGCAGCGATGAAACCTATGATCTGAGTGTCAGCCACGCAAGGGGTGTTCACACCAAGGGTATGCATAGCTTCGCATTTCTTACCAGCTGCTATCACCGATGATGGCCAAGGATATTTTGGATCTGCTGTCCAACCAAACCAGAAAAGACCTATCGATAATAGGACTCCTCCAATGAAAATCGGGGGCAAGCGGGCTTCAGGTACTGCCTTGCCCTGAGCGGCTTCCACGACCCGCTTATAACGTGGCTGGTTCGCAAAGTTGATCAAAACAGCACAGAGAACACCCACTAAGATGGAAAGGAAGGGAAGAGTTGATATCACAAGTCCCCAATGGCGATCATCGCTGAACACGATCGGAAATACTTCGAGGGTCAAGTAAATCAGGCTGTAGGTGAATGAAGCATATATGGCGATCAGCGTGACCATAGGCTCGGTGAACAACATGCTATCAAAACAGTAAAAAGAATAACAATTAATAAGATGATGCAATCGTTTTCAGGCAGTGCGGACCAACTTACAGTAATGGCCGAGCAAGATGCTTGGTTACGATATTATGAACACTAATTTTCTCTTCCTCGTGAGGATGCCAGTAACGATCATCCCCAGTGCTCTTTCGTAGTCTCTGTGCCTTTTGTTTTAAAAGCACTGGAGCGTATGTCTCTGGAAGACATAATGCACACAGGCCGAATAAGAAGAACGCAATGATGGCCTCGATGTACTCCGTCCCTGAAGATGCGTTCATTAGAGTAGGATCTTGGAAATTGTGGAGACTCGCAAGGTATACTAACAGCGCCATCCTAGTTTGTCATTGACGGTCAAGGCTGATCCAACAATAGGTCCGATAGTAGGCCCCCCTGTAATACATAGGGACACGAAAGTCATGGCATTGCCCCGGGTCGCTGGAAGAAAAATGTCACCCAAAGCTGCAGGTACATTACTGATTGGTGCAGATGCAAAAATTCCACCAAAAAAGCGTGTAAGGAATATTGCTACGGCGCTCTTACTGGTAGCGGTGCCAATACTGAAGAGCCCCAGGACAAACATTGCCGGTAACATGCCCAGTCGACGCCCATAGGTTTCGCTGATAGGAGCCCATATCATGGGTCCAACAGCCCAACCCAAAACAAAAAGAGCGACCGTGAGAGATGTTACCTCAGTGCTAATATTTGCGTATTCTGCAATCTTGGGCGAAGCAGGTGAAATGATAGATGAACCAAGAGCCCCAGTCATTGCAAGCAAGCTCATTTGAAAGACGAGCCATATTTTGTAGACTGATGTGAAGTTCTTAGGATTGTTAGGATCATCTGGCTCGAAAGAAACTTTGAAAGACTCAAGATTCTGGAAGCTTGGTTTTTCAGTTGGCTGTGATTGAGCTTCTAGATCAGAGGACGCCATGGTGAGAAGAGAAAGAAGATTATAAACTTGCTGAACGATTCCTAAGGAACATGATCAATGTTATATACTACTGAGTGAAAAAATAGCCCATAAATATCCCCACCAAGTAGTTTGAATCCACAAACCAAATTAACGAGTCGATAAAATTTGCTCTTTCATGTTGAATCTGTACAGTTCCTTCGGGACGATATGATCTGCACTATTCCAGAATTGGGAAAGCGGCGGCCGCCGAGTCCCCACTTATTCATCCGCGCATTATCCATGAGCTGACAGCCCACCTACAGTACTCTAGCGGCCCATTTTGATTTGAATACCGCATTGTCGCTCAATTTTGCTCGACAGAGCCACAGGTCAAACTTAGTGGCGGCCGCGAGCCTATGTCATCGCCGATTAACTGAATTAGGGTGACGTGTCGAGCAAAGAACACCCTGGAAGTAGACTAGGGACCGTATCCCCGAGAACGGTGGCCCATTATGGAACGAGCGGCAAGAGTCTGTACCACGTGCAAAGCTCGGAAAAAGGGGTGTGACAAGACCCGTCCAAGCTGTGGGTATTGCACCCAACGTGGCCTGACATGCGTCTATGATGACCCGATCGTGGAGACAGAAGGCCGCCGCAACCTGGCGGGGAGGAATGTATTGTGGGCTATTAGTCCTTCACTTTCCTCAAGTTCATTTGCGAATACGAGCTCATTAACCTATTCACCAAAGTCAATCGAGGGATTCCTGCGTCATGAAGTCTCTGAAGTTTTTCGAATCACCCACCGAACCTTTTCGGAGGTCTGCGACCAGTATTTCTGGAATTTCCATCGGTGGCTACCGGTAGTATCCCAAGATCTATTAGTGGAAGCTACAGCAAAGCACGGTGAACAATGCCCACCAGCAGACCTTTCTTTGCTCATTATGGCTATGTTCTTGGTCACGCTGGATCCATCTGATCTCAGCAAGACGCACATTATACCTCCGCAGACCTTATATCTGGAGTTCCGGATATCTCTTACCCGTGTTCAATCTGCATTGACTGCTTCTACACGACTGGTTCAAGCTGGCCTACTCCTGGCTGCATACGAGTATGCTTCTGGTAGACCCCATGCTGCGTATGTGTCCATCGGAATATGTGTGCGGATGGCTACAATTCTTGGGATTGATACCTGTCATCGAACTGCTAAGGGAGACAGCAGTGGCATCCCCTCTACCTTGAAGTCTCTTGAAATTCAAAATATCTATTGGGCAATGATTATGTTAGAAAGGTTTGTGAGAACTTGATTGAATAGAACGAGACCGATGCTTATGCTGATTCACAGACTTGTCCTGGATGAATGCCCCCTGGATAACCTCAAACCAGCTTTGGACTTCCCAAATTCAGAGACTGAACTACCTTCTGATTTGTTACCAACAAATTACATGGATTCATCATCAAATAAAGTACAGCCTGGTCAAACAGCTTCCATTGGTGATATTAATGCAAATAATGTGGGATCGTTTGGCCGCCAAATCCAGGCGATATCTTTTTTAATTCAGGTCCTACATACCACAGAGAAAGCGAAATCGGCCCCAATTTCGAAGATTATCAAATTAGATGAGAAGCTACGCGGGTTTTTGACTATTTTAATGAACCAGTCTTCTCAAAAGCACACATGTGGTGCGAACGGGATTGTAATAAGGTATGTTGAGCCGTTTCAAGTTCTCACATACACGATGGCCTCTATGAGAACTATGAAGTTGATATCGTACAAACTAAGGTCACTTGTCCGTTTGCATCAATATATTCTCAAGCGATCTTCAGTTCCAGATCTGGCCGAAGCCAAACTTCAAGAGCAATCACATGCTACACTTGATACCCTTGCTCGCATGATGGTCGAAGTGGCTTATGACCACCTCGAACGCTTTGTGCCTGACCAGATAGACTCTCTTCCACTTTCGTGCTCATATAACATGCGATCTATGAAGGAGCTTATCGAAGATCGGTGGTGTCATCTCAGCACTGAAGACCCACCAAAAGGATTAGAAGCATTTGTGGCACTTCATGAAGTTGTTTGCAAAAGATGGAGACCGTCTTTGGTGCCTCAAACATTTTAATAATACATACAAATCAATACTTCTTGGCCTGCCCTTTGAAGAGAAGAGCCCGGGCTTATCATCAGCAAAAAGAGCCACCGGCTGATGCTCGAGAGAATTTTATCCTGTTTCAATAAATATCACCATATATCCGCACAATTCCTAATGTACAAGATAGGACCAAAATGTTACAGGCAGTAGGATGGCCAGAGGATCAGATTACTTCCACTCTAAGCCGATCTTGCGTGCTACTTGCTCGGCAACACTGAGAAAGGCATCTCGCCTAGCACTTCGCTCTGTCGACTCTTCGGCCACAACAGTTGGCATTCCCCGATCAGCATCTTCGCACACCTGTGCATCGAGGGGGATATCGCCGAGGAAATCGACACCCAAACGTTTGCACTCTGCTACCACCCCGTGATCTTCGCAATTCGAACCATGAGCTTCACCATGCGAGAAAATACGAGTCTGGTGCCCACAGTTTGGACAGGCAAAATAAGCCATATTGCGGACCATGCCGAGAACAGGAACATCCATGCGCTGAAACATGCCAAACCCACGGACTGCATCGCGGAGAGCGATATCTTGCGGCGTTGTTACAATGACTGAGCCATCGATGATGATTTCTTGGTTGATGGTGAGTTGGACATCACCGGTACCTGGTGGAAGATCCAGAACCAGGACATCTAAAGGACCCCAGGAGACGGAATGAAGAAGTTGGTGCATGGCTTTTGTTACCATCAGTCCACGCCAAGATATCGGCGTTGTGTCCATGGGTACTTCCCCTGTTTCACTGTCGGCTTGAGTTTGTGGTAATAGATAGCCCATTGACATTGACTTGAGGCCATAATTTGTGAGCGGTACCAAGCAGTTATCTAAGAAGAGTATTAAGGTGAGCCTAGACCTTGATAGATGATAATATTGAATCAGATGGTGGATCTTACTTTCATCGAGACGAGGTTCTCCGGAAAGGTTTAGTAGAGTCGGTATAGACGGGCCGAAAATATCAGTGTCTAGAATACCAGTTCGAATGCCCCGACGAGCGAAAGAGAGAGCAAGATTAACTAGTTTGAACCGGAAACATTTCAGCTTTACTCTGGCATGATTTTGAATTTGCAGTTGATATGTCTAGATATTTGACATCGGAAGAAAGCTCACCCGCAACTGTTGATTTCCCTACACCTCCCTTTGCCGAAGAGACTGCAACTACCTTCTTAACATCCCGAATCTTGCGCTTCTCAGGTACCCCTCGCCGACTTCGGAAAGAGGGTGGTGTGCCGGAACGGGGAAGTCCCTAACACCAAGTCAGAAAACCATAAAGTGGACACAGTAGAGTTAGAGGCGAGTAATTCAACATAGAGAAAGCAATTTCTTGTAAGAATGCTTTGCCACATGAACACAAACAACATAGGGATTTGGATGCATTGAACAGGTTTGAGAGCTTACTCACCAATGGGTTGTCATGTGAAAGCGTCCTGCTAGTTGAGGAAAATGCCCTCCTCAAATGAGCAGTGCAGCCAGCTGGTACTCGAAACTGATTAGCAATGATCATCATGGACAATGATGTATGCGATGAGAAGTGAGTTCGATGAGCAAACGACGACAATTGTTATGATTCTGCCAGCAAGAAATGAAACCGCCTTCGACCGACCGCCTTCGGTGTATTGAAGAGCCATCTAACGCTAGACCATTTAAGGACAGATTATCCGGATAACGGAAAAACAAAAAAAAAGTCATTGGCAACTTAGATTTCTCCAAGCCTAATATCACATACAATGGCGCCCACAAAAGCACGTTCGCTGGCTGACCAGCTTGCGGATTTAGAAGATCCGACTCCAAAGGGTATGTGATATTCAATTTATTCTTTCTACTCATCATTCGGTGGACTGCCCTTAGCTGACTTAAACACTTAGACTTCGATCCCGAAGATCTTGACCGTGATGTTTCCTCCAGCGACGAGGGCGGCGACAAAACGTCTGACGCAAATGCTGGAAGAGAGCATTATCAGGCTGTTGGGTAGGTTGCGACTCCACACCTACTGAAAAAATACAGGGCACTAATGGGTTCGAATAGGAAGGGAAAGCTCCGAAAACAAGAGGGCATCAAGCTGGGAAAGGAGTACGCAGGTGCTCGTGTAAGCAGGGATGCTCTCAACGCCGATAGTGATGATGACCCGTTTGCGGCCCACTCTGGGGAGAGCGACGACGATCAAGATTCAGACGAGGAGATCGACTCCAACGCGGAGGAGGACAACGACGGCGCACTTACAGGCTCAGACTCTGCGTCTGACGTAGACCTCGACGGGTCCGAAAATGAAGATGATGACGATTCGGACGACATCACTAGTGGGGAGGGGGACGAGGATGACGGGACTGAAGCGAGTGAGAGCGATGACTCCGACGAAGGCGCACCGCCGACGGCGAAGCGGAATGCGAAATCTGTCAAGCACGGCAGTGCGAAGCCCGATGATCGAGAGGAACTGCGAAGATTGATGGCCTCCGATCAGAAAACAATAGCTGCTACTATCTCTCAAGCGGCCAAAGCAGACGCTGCCAAGGGAAAGGCTGTTAAGGCGCAACGTATCACTTTTGACTCGTTGCTCAACACACGCATCAAGCTTCAAAAAGGACTGTCAGCAATTGACGAGATGTCTAGCTCTGTAGTGAGTGGCGAGAAAGATGCGACGGCAGACAGTGATGAGGGGGCGGCAGATGAGGATGCGATCAAATCAGCTGAGTCCGCAGCACTTGCTCTTTGGTCCACCCTTGAGGAGCTACGCACTGCGCTTGCAGACGCTCACACCAAGGATGGTAACAAGAAAAGGAAGAGACTTTCGCCTGTCACTCCTGCCACCGAATCTGATTTACTTTGGCAACGCATGGCTGATTTAGAATCCGAATCGCTGGCTCACCGCCGCTCTACCCTCGATAAATGGTCGTCTAAGGTCAGAGGCAACTCGTCTTCTCTCCCCAACGCCAGAGGCAAATTGCTTGGTCCTTCTGGCCAGCAAACCATTACTGCTGTTCTCGATGCCCACGTTGCTACTGAACTTGGCGATCGATCGTCCAAACGTGCCCGTCAATCTACCGGTGCCAACTCGTCTGATGCCCCTCAACCAATTTATGACGACACTATCTTTTACCAATCGCTTCTGCGCGATCTTGTTGAGCAACGCATGTCTTCATCGGATGCCATGACTGGTGGAATGGATACCCTCCACCAGCTGCCATCTCGCCTACCTATCCATCCTGTCACCGGTATGCGTAACGACAAAGTCAAACGAGACATTGATACCCGCGCATCAAAGGGTCGCAAGATGCGTTTCAATGTTCACGAAAAACTTCAGAACTTCATGGCCCCCGAGGACCGGGGCGTATGGACGACGGGTGCCCGTGAAGAGTTCTTCGCTTCTCTGCTTGGCAGGACTGCGAGTGGACTCCTGGGCGAAGGTGATGAGAGCGGTAGCGAGGAAGAGAGTGACAACGACCGCGAAGAAGGTGGCTTGAAACTATTTCGCAACTGAACAACAACCATTGTTCTGTAACATATCAATGTACAGAAGCTTCTAGGAAAGTTCTGCCTAGACAGCATCCAAAAATACAATTTCCAGATGGTCAATTTGCATATACCTTTTCATGATAAACATGTTCCAACTTTTGCTTTACAGAATTGATTCCTTGTGTATCTAAATATGTCTATGCCGCCTTGAATTTCCACAAGTTACAATGATTACAGTAGGTACTGATCCGTGGTGCTCCCCTCTTAGTATGGCATTTATTGGGTAGGAAAGTAAATGGAAACGATACTTATTTTTCTGGAACATCATCGAAAAGTTAAGAATTACATTGAAGCCCAGAATTATCTAATATCCCAATATCCAGAGCTGAATCTAGTTCTTTGACTTTCATTCGCTAGAAGCCAGGCTGATTGAAATTATCATTCGATCTGCCTCCCCACCCGAATTCCAGGTAACTTATCTTGCTGCAGGCTAAAGTGGCACAAGTGTGCATTGATCTGCAAGAACCGGCACATCCAAACAGAGCTGAGCTGGAGCCACATTATAATAATCACACTGCACATCACATACAGTCTCCAGTGGCACGAAAACCTCATACTCGAAATTAGGCGCAGCGACATCATCGGGTAGCCTGAATCCGAGACCTTCGCTATTTTTCCAGCCAGGTGAGCAAGCACAAAGGGGTTGGTTATTGTGTGCACCGAAATCATTGCAGGTTGCAGACGCATCACATCTGTTGTGATCAGGGTCGGGAATGCAGACTTCGCAGGGTGGAGGAACAGGAGAACTTGATGTGCTTGTGCTCGAAGTAGTAGTGGTACTTGTGGATGTTGATGTTGTAGTCGGACTTGGAGAGGTGGTAGATGTGGTGGTTGTGGTAGTAAGAGTAGTAGAAGTCGTGGTAGGTGTTGTAGTAGTAGATGTGGTTGAATCAGTGGAGGGAATAGAAGTTGTTGACGTTGTAGTAGATGTGGTAGAATCAGTGGACGTCGTTGAAGTCGGAGTTGTAGTAGTAGAAGTCGTGGTAGGTGTTATGGTTGTAGATGTGGTTGAATCGGTGGAGGGAATAGAAGTTGTTGATGTAGTAGTAGATGTTGTACTACTAGTAGTAGACGTGGTAGAATCAGTGGACGTCGTTGAAGTCGGAGTTGTAGTAGTAGAAGTCGTGGTAGGTGTTATGGTTGTAGATGTGGTTGAATCGGTGGAGGGAATAGAAGTTGTTGATGTAGTAGTAGATGTTGTACTACTAGTAGTAGACGTGGTAGAATCAGTGGACGTCGTTGATGTTGGAGTTGTAGTAGTAGAAGTCGTGGTAGGTGTTATGGTTGTAGATGTGGTTGAGTCCGTAGGAGTTGTGGAACTTGAAGTAGTAGAAGTAGTACATGTTGTCGAAGTAGAACTTGGAGTAGTTGTGGTAGGAATAATATCAGATGTGGTGGTGGAACTACTAGTGCTTGTAACGGGTGGCCAAGGAACTGTAGTAGATGAGAAAAAGCAATCGGGTTGATCTCCCCAACCCTGATCACGATGTGGATATATTCCACCAGCCTCTGCAAGCGTCCATTGCGCTAAATAGATGATGCCCAGTAGCTTCATCGAAAGAGCAGCCTTTTGATACATTGTTGAGAGCAAATTATCAAAAGTGATGAGATTAGCACCAAAAAAACTCTTAATAAGGTTTGCCAAATCTATCGAGACTAGAGAAAGGGACATGACTTTTTATGTTCGAAATCGAATCCTATATAAAAATTTCAACCTCTTTCCCAGGTCCAAACTTGCATTGCAATGATCATCGATGTCAACATAGGCGGAGATAAGCATGACAATCATACTCCGTAGATATCTACCTCATCCACATAGTAGAGCAAACCCAGCACTTGGCGATACTTGTTTGCAGCGATGACTACCCATTAACGTGTTTCCTACCAAATTCTAGGACGCACTACGACATAAGTGGGCGGCTCGGCGGCTCGGAAGGCCCGGGTCTCCATAATGATCTTGAAATATCGGGTCCACTTACAGTGTGTTTCAACCATAATATACGATCATTTTCCAATAATTTTTTAAATTAACAATTGAATTCTAGGGTATTAGTGAATTTAAGATTGAGGAAAGTAGTCAAATTTAGAATATTCATCGGAGATATAATGATAATAAAAACTTGAAGGAGAATTGTAGGATTGTCAGATTGTCGGGGAGTAGTAACGTTATTGACTTTGTTGATTGCGTCATCCCCAGGCCCACGATTATTTTAACTTTGATAGAGCTTGCAGTGAGAGCGAATGTCATGATTCGTGTCATGTCCCCGAGACACCTAACTGTGCCGATACTTCATCGATATCTTGAAATTATATACCCCTGCTGAAATTGGCTGGTTTGCCACAATACCCTGCCGCAAAAGCCAATCGTGCGGGAACGTTCTTTTCGTCCGTTGTTTTCGTCCGCTTTTCTCTCCGCCGAATAATGAATTGATTTTCTAGGGTTATTCAAGAAAGCGTTGGGCCAAGATAACAAACAGCCTCCCAGGCAGCCCTCAAAAGTCCACTTCCAAGCCATTAATTTAGCATATAATTACCCTGCCTCAACTCAAAAAATTCTAGATTCAATCCCGATATATCCATTTCAATCCTTCTTGGTAATTAAATCAAAATGAATGGTGCATCCATTGGGCCCCACTAGATAAAGGAGTTGTCAATGGATTCAAAAAACCGGGGGCGTATTCGGCTCGCCGTCAAGCCGATGGCGCCACTAGATACGCTCATTGTTATTGGCTGGAGTAGTTTATGTTTATGATAGTTATTGTCGAGGTCCTAAGGCCTGAGGCATCCAAGGGTTTCAAGAATCAGGATGCTTCAAATCCGGTCTCTGATAATATATATACTTGGCTGGATGTCTACTTAAAGCCCGCTGAATGATAGTATTCCCCTCCTCTTCAGATCACACTTTACGTAAAAAGTTTCCGACCAGATTCTCTGCTGCTTACAATAATTCGATTCGAATGCAATTTTTGTGACAGTATGTCGGAGAGTTCAGATCACCCCTTTTACCCCTTAGACATTCGTCTTACCGAGTATGTCCCTAATACAATACGGGTGGAGGTACTTCTTGGCTTTTTTACCTTCTCAACGCTGGCAGTGATTGCATTCACATCCATTATCTTGAAATGGTACAAGCCGAGCATAACTCGCCAGGACAAGATCCTCTTCGGGTGGTTTATTTTCAGTAAGCAACCTCAAAATTGCTGTTACAATAGTATGTACAATTCAACACCGAGCACTTTTAACGGGCGAATCCAGCTGGATGTATCCATTTATTCCTTGAAGGCTATTTCGTTTACAACCACCAAATTATGCCCCTCATGCAAGACCTAGGTGGTCAAATGTGGAAAGAATACGCAAAAGCCGACTCTCGATACATGACGATTGAACCATTTGTGGTTAGCATGGAAACAGTCACCGCTGTATGTATGCGCTCATTTCAATTCCATAACTGAAAACTAATTATTTTTCAGGTCTTTTGGGGTCCACTTTCCTACATCATCGCTTGGATGATTCTTGTCAAGTCTCCTTATCGTCATCCGACACAAATTCTGGTCTCCATGGGTCAGTTCTACGGCGATGTTCTGTACTACGGGACGAGCATTTTAGAAGATTATTACAATGGACGGTCTTATTCTCGTCCCGAGGGTTATTACTACTGGGGTTACTTTATCTTCTTGAATGCTTTCTGGATTGCAATTCCAGCTTGTGAGTGATCTGAATTTCGGAAGAAAATTGGGCTCTATTTATTAACTGAATTTGTAGATTGTATGTACCAGAGTTCGTCCGCGTTCGTCACAGCATTTCGAAAGTCCGAATCTCAATCTGAAAAGAAGAAATTGTAAACAAGGGGAATTTCGAATGCATTGGGAGACCACTTCGAATGACTTCAAGTCTCAGGGTGCATATATCATTAGATGGATATGATAAAAGAAAGTTTACAGGACAAAGATAGAGTAAACATTGGCAAAAGCGAATATAAAATATCATTTATCTATACAAAGCTAGTTCCAGCCTAGTCATTCGTTGATATCTGCCTCATCTTGCCACTGTCCTCGCAATGATTGAATCAAGCCATCCATATTCCATCCCGTCGTTGCATGCATATCATGTAAAAGAGCCTCCGCTGCTTCCTGATCACTACGATGCCGAAGCACCCAACCCCCTTTGATAGAAGTTAGCCAAGTAGCTTCTCCCAAGTTTCAAGTAAAAGCTTACATGCGACTAAGCTGTGCCTTGCAGTAAAGAGGGTGTTTTCAGCTCGAGTATTTGACTGAGCCAGTCCTAGAATTGTGAGGAGATGATGTCGAACATTTATCTTCACACAATGAAAGTATTAGAAAGTTGCTCAAGATTTCTGGGCGGAGACTTATGACTGACTTCAATCATTCGGGAATGCCGCAAACTATCATATGCAGATGACGGCTGCGACGATTCGGATAGAGCTAAAACAATCTTTGCGATGTGATAATATTGCAGGCCAATCACTGTATAAAATGATGAGTTGGTCGGGTTTAGGTATAAGGTGAAATTAGAATTCCACCTACCATGAACAGGAAACAACATCCAAATAGTTGGGAAACGCCGATCGAGGGTAGGTGCACGCGAGACAGTTCGAAGTGGATTGAAGGTATGTGGCTTAGAGCGAAACCATTCTTCAACATCCTCGTTGATAGTGTCAAGTACTGGCGAGTCGGAAAATGCAATCTGTAACACTTTGGCAAGTAAGAATACCATTTTGCTGGCCCATGCAAAATCATCATCCCGTTGGAAAATGTCCGAATCGTAGAAGTTTTCTAAATTGGTTCGAAGGGGTTGTTGAGTTGTTAATGATACATATATGTCTTGACGTAGACAAAGCCACGCCGCTGCTTCACCGAGACTACCCAGTGACCCGAAGGTAGAGACGGTATTGAGAATGTGAGTTGTCCCCGTAAGATGGAACTGATTGTCCTCCCCTAGTAAGATATTAGTATCCAGAAATCAATTGAAATGAGTAGAAAGGGCTTACCATCCATCTCCTCATGCTGGCGGAGAATAGCTACTGCAGCCAAAATGTCCTCTGTAATGTGCTCTTCCGGATCAGAAAGTGCCGGGATGAGGATCTGCACACAACGGTTATGGTACTCCAATGCCTCTTCAACATTACCCGTCTCTTGTCTATTCAAGTGCCGCGATGAGAACGCGAAGATTGCATAGCGCAAAACGGGCTCTTTGAATGCTTTCACAGGTACGTCAATTTCAAAATGTCGATGGGGATCGGTGATATCAGCCTTAACACGGATCAGTTAGAGGTAAGCTTTTTCTCGCTACTTAAAGGACTTACCCATAAGGCCATGTTCTCAACAAAATTCCTTAGCAATATTGATTCCCGTTCGGTGAACGGTTGTAATGGTTTTGAGCTAGCCCGCGATCTGGTAGATGCAGCGGAGTGGTAGGAAGCGCCAGGGGGTGAGAGATCAATGGAGTTATGTGGCGAAAGGTATACGCCATCTTTGGGAACGGGTTGGGGTGTGTGTAAATTCGCTTGGGTGGAGGGCGCTCTCTGCTTTGGACTTGCACTTCTCTCTACCTCGTGATTCCAGTGATGATTGGCATCTTCTGAAGAACTCAAATACAGGCTGACAATTTCCGGTGTCTCATCGTGGAAACGGACTATAGAAATATTGGTATTTTGGATTCAAGAAATAGGGCTGTAATACATACCTCTCCCGTGAATTCGAGGCCAATCCTTTTGGTCGGGGAATGCAACATCCGGGTTTTTGGGTAATGCCAGCCCATTGCGAAATCTTATCGCCGTTCGATCGCATTCAAATCCAGCACTGAGGCAATGTCTGCAAGCTTGCGAATGAATATCACCTGAGGGGCGTCATTAGATAAATGCTATTATTTATACCCTGCACAAAACTCACATTTTAGATGCCGAACTGTAGATATGCAACCAAATTCGAATTAGCAATTCAACCTGTATGTCTTAGACTGAATAATGCATACCCCGACACCGCTGACTATGATTTGATTAATATGCAGTCGCATCATAGAGAAAGCTTCGGAACTTACCATCCCGTCACAAGCCGGCTTCGTTTCGGTGGTGCAGACATCGGATCATCCTAGCAGCATGTTGAAACGGAGAGAATTGCTATTCAGGGGCTGGAAGAGGAGAGGACTCCGGGATGCGGGGAGTCGGAAGAAGTCCCCCGCAATTCTCTATTAAAGACCCGCTTGAAATAAGAACGTAGCTTCTCCCTCAGCAGAAACCTGAGGCTCTATGGGTCCGAAGGAGTCAATCGAATCATCGTGGGGGAAATTGGGGGAAAGTCTCAAGTGCTCCACTTGAGTCTTGGCTTGCGGGGGTTTGGAGTTGCCACTTTGAGTTGATCGAGTAATTCTTTCCGGTCGATCTTCTCAGGCTGCAGCGGCCAGAATATTCATTGTATTCAGTATAGATGGGAAGAATTTCCTAACATCACCAGAAAAAGAAACAGAAGAAACCATTATGTGGACAGCTCCGCACTGCTTCGATGTATTTAAACCCCGTCGACAGGACTCGAATTGGGAGAAATCAAGAACAACAATTCCCTTCATTCCTTGAATCCTAAAGATCGTATACACAAACATCAGAATGGGAATTCAGAAGCTCCAAGTTGGTATGGCCGGTCTCGGTCGCGTTGGCAAGTTCCACGCCATGAACTTCCTTCAACGAACCCCTCGAGCCGAACTTGTTGCAGCCTTTACCCCGGACCCAGCTGAGACTGCCTGGGGAAGAGTGAACCTCGAACCCCACGGTGTCACTCTATACGATAACTACGATGAGATGCTTAAGCACCCAGGTCTCCAAGCCGTGGCTATTGGAACGGCCACCTCAGTTCATGCCGAAGAGGCCATCAAGGCCATTAATGCGGAATTGCACGTTCTGTGTGAGAAGCCCCTCTCTATTCATATCGATGTTGTAAGTGTCAAATTATCTTCATGCAACTCGCATTTATTTTCCAAACTAACAACTGAAATAGTGCAGGGCCGTTGTTGCAGCTGCCAAGAAGAAGCCTCACCTTAAGGTGATGTGCGGTTTCTCCCGACGATTCGACGAGTCCTACCGTGAAGCCCACAGCAAGATTGAGCAGGGAATCATTGGGCGACCTTCCATCATCCGCAGCCAGACATGCGATAAGCTTGACCCCTCCGGTTTCTTCGTTGAATACGCAGCTTGGTCAGGTGGTGTCTTCGTTGACATGTCTGTGCACGACATCGATCTCACATTGTGGTTCTTTGGTGACGATATCATCCCAAAGAGCATCTCAGCACACGGTATTACCGCTGTTCAACCCGAGTTGAAGAAGCACAAGGATTATGACAACGCCGTCGGAATTGTCGAGTTCCAAAACGGCAAGATCGCAAACTACTACTGCTCTCGCATGATGGCTCATGGACAAGAGGACACCACCGAGATTATTGGTACCGAGGGCAAGATCGCAGTCAACACCAACCCTCAGCGCAACTTAGTCAATACCTACACCTCTAGTGGTATCATTCGTGAGGTCCCTCCTAACTTCATGGGTCGATTCGGTGCTGCTTTCGTGCAAGAAGCCAATGAGTTCACTGCCGCGTGTCTGGACAACACTCCTCTTCCTATGAAATTGAGCAATGCTGTCAAGGCAGTTGAGATTGGCGCTTATTTGCAGGAGGCGCTGGTTACAGGAAAGCAGCTTCACTTTGATGAAATTGGTCGTCGCATTGAAAAGGCGCAACTGTAATGAACATTGTTCTTTACTTTACAAATTCCTTTATTTATTTAGAGATCATTATGTTTACGAAAAAGAAATGACTACGAGGATTGAAGTTTACTAAACTTAGAAATTATTACTCTACACTATTGCCGAAACAACAGGCCAAGTGTAACAAGCCTGGAAGATCGTAAAATCTGAGTGTTCGGCAATTGCAAAATTGCGCTCGGGAAGAATGCGCAGAGCGTAAGCAACCAGCTTATATCATCACCTAGTATTATTAGGTAAATAATTTGAAGCCCTGGAGGAGGTGGTACTTTCTAATGTTTGCGTTTGTATTCTGCCGGCTATCTCCAAAATCAACTATTCGTATAAATTGGAATCTCAGCAGAGAACAATGGCACTTGAATACAACGTATCTTCCCTGAAAGTGCTCCAGGCTTGACAGATTTCCATCTTTACAAATACTTCCAAGATTCTATCTCCTCCATCTTCATTCATCTCTGGCTATATCTCTGCCTTCATGTTCATCTTGCTAATCTTCTACCTCATTTGTACTCAACCCTTTCACCATCCTGATCCACAAAGTGTTTGGATCTGGACCATCAAAATTGCTGTAGGGTTCTAAAGCTATGGCAAAACCACATACGAGGTGAATCTTGAGGCTAGTGCGCTTTAACAAGCGCCACTACTTCCACAGTCGGCTCAAAGATGTGCCTAAAAACCCATGTATTGGCGACACTAGGCCCCCGGGCATTGAGGACGTGCAAATAGTTGCAGAGATCCCCACTGAGTCCCATGAGTATGAAGGTATATTTTGAAGCGGACCTTATGCTTTGAGATATACTAACAGCTTTCAGAATGGCCGAAGATGATGCGCGCCCGTTATCAGCCAAGGAAAGCGCCCTTGGGAAAATTGTCTACGAGATTCGCAACAACCCTAGACGCATTTCTCCAAAGCTAGGAATTAAATGTAACCTTCCTTGTGAGTTTCAAAATCTCTATGAAGGCCACTTTTGCCACACAAATTACATCATAAACCTTGACAATGAAATCTTTACTATTTTCAATACCATACATATGAAGTTGAATAATATTCCACGCCAGGGGCAGGTATGGTACAATGCTCTCTGCGATAGCGCTATATATCCACATCGTACCCTTGACTTCAATATTATCTCAGAACATTATGCCGTCTCGTTAGCCTTACAGCCGCGCAAGCCAGACTGGAACTTCGAACATGAATTTCGCCTTGTGACCCCGAAGACAAACATTGTAGATGTTTGAAAGGCATTTCTCACTCAAGTTCTTGCGAATACGATTCGTCAGTACAAGGGAGATATCGTTCATCTTGCCGCAGAATGAAGCCCAGAATCAATGCCTTTTCGTGAATTGGCCTTTGCCCTTGTCTCAATTGCTTCTGACCAGATTAAGTTTATTCAGTTACCAACAAAGGTGTTTGACAGAAGATGTGATGATGAAGGGGGGTGTCAGTCAAGGAAAATCCTGGTCTCCCGGCCCTGGTAAATTTCTTTGCAGCAGCCGCGAGCCGCCGTGCAGTATGCAAATCGAAAGGTGATTTTCCGCTGGAAATTTAAGCCCGCATTTTGGGTTTTGTCGACTGCGACACATGGAAGAGCTGCTCGCTCGTATCTACCTGGCTTCACTCAATATCGGTGGACAAGTACTACAGATTGGACGACCAAATGAACATTGTGGCAGGGTCTTTTTATTTTCAAGTTGTTTGTGGTCGCAGCTTTGACAAAAGTTGCAAAGTCCACAAACATCGGGATATGCGTTTTGATTTCGAAGATACCAAAACGAGGAAGATAGTTCAGGGGAGGCTTCCCTCCGCAGATTATTCGACAGATCGGTGCCTGTGGAATCAAGTCGATACTACGTTGACATAAACTTGAATTGGGGATCGCTAGGTATTTAGTGAGTCTGGTTTATGTATTGGCTCTTAGAACCGTTGGAAGATTTGTACTACAAAGAATTTCACGTAAGGTTATGTACTATTAGGTAGCTGACTAGGCTCAGGTTTGAGCCGAGTCCCGTTTCTAAAGCCTGGAGAAGATACAGGAAATGTTTGTGGATGTAATGATAGCCTTGTACATTTTTATATTTAAGATCATATTCAAATATCAAACTTGTCAAATATGGCCATTTGGGGGGGCTAGGCTAGAGACATGGAGAATTGCCAGTGTAGTATTACAATATTTGTTGTCTCAAGCTGGAGATATCTACTTACTACATCCCTTATTATTCGGCAACCTCTCTCAGATAAGTTGCCAAAGTAGAGGGAGCATATCAAATTCGACTGTCAGGATATACATACTAGTTGATCGGAGCGATGTGCACTGTCCCTTTCCCAACTCGGCCCGCCACTGGACGTCTTACGTTGTCAACCCCGCAACAGGCAGGGCATTGACTGTCGCAAATACTAAAATGCGGGCTCGGGTTGGTGGACCTATCCACTTTACTTGTTTGAGACTAGATGGTCCCGTCTCGCAATGCCAGCATGAGGTGATGTGTGGGGAAAGTTCCCCATTCTCCGATGACGACAGGTCGAATCGTCGTAAGCTTCCCAAGGGGCATTCTTCCTAGCTACCTCTTTCCCAAATACTCTCACTTGAGATTCCAACCACAAAAAACCGATTTTATTCTGTGCCTCTTCGCACTCCCTCCAGCCCTTTTTTTTTAAAAAAAAACCAAAAAAAACAAAAAAAAAACACTGGAATTGTACCTGCAAAATTGCGTTGAAGCCTTCAGGACGACCCCATTTGGACTGTTTCGACTTGTGAGTCTTGGATGATCTCCAACGACAGGTCTTCAGCAAGATGCAATTTAAGCTGCGGAATTTGCTGGAGATCGGGACGCTGTGCACATCGGCCTTATCGTTCTTTGGTTACGGCGGCAAGGGCCATATCACTTATCACCCAGCTCAGCCCCCATCCTACCCGTTAGCAGTACGAAATCCCTATTTATCAACATGGATGCCAAGTGATCGAGTGGAGCGGCTTCCTTATGCCGATTCTCAGTTTTGGGCTGGCCAGGAGCTTGGCTGGTCGGTGATCGTGCGTGTGGACGGCCATGCATACAGCTTAATGGGCGTTCCCGATTTAGAGGACAGCGGTATCCGTGCAGCAAGTGTTCATCGTGCGGAGTTCACGGCAACCCACTCTATCTTCCATCTCACGACTGGACCGGTTTCATTTGCCCTAGACTTCTTTTCTCCTGTTTCGCCATCAAACTATGAGCGCCAATCGCTGCCTTTCAGTAAGTACAAAATCCTATTCGCTCCAATGGGTATTGGTTACGGGTCTAATGTAGAGCGACATTAGGTTATTTGACTGTCGAAGTGACCAGGTCGCATGGGCATGACATCCAAATCTACACTGATATTGATGGCAAATGGACGGGCAAACAAAGTCGTGCTACGCGAGTGTTTGAAGAACACGGTGATCTGGCTATTCATTTGCTTTTAGTTGATAACGCAGAAAAATACGCGGAAGAAGATGACATGGCATTATGGGGTCAAGCCATTCTAGCGTCTCGTCCAGAGAGAAGGAGTTCTCTCTCCGCGGGTGCCGGGCATCCCCAGACCGTTCGGAGACTTTTTGCCGACGGGGGCGATATATCAGGAGAAGACTCAACCTGGTCTTCTGGAGGTATTGTAGCTCTAGCCCATGATCTGGGATCTGTCATTGGCGGTGCTTCGGTCAATTTTGCAGTGGGATATGAAAGAAAAGAAGCCATTGACTACCTGGGAGAAGATTATACAGGCTATTATCGGGCCAACTATCCAACGACACATGAGGCGCTCGCATTCTTTTTTGACGACTATGAGGACGCTTTCTGGGAGTCTCTAGAATTTGACAAAGAGTTGAAGACTTTTGCTACCGCTGCCGCCGGTCCTAAGTACGCAGATATTGTTGCTCTGTCAACTAGGCAGGCATACGGAGGAATTGACTTGACAATCCCTTACAATTCGCTTGACACCGATGATGTGTTAGCGTTCATCAAGGAGCTCTCTAGTGATGGAAATATCAACACTATCGATGTGATTATGCCGGCATTCCCAATATATTGGGTTCTAGATCCCGATTGGATTCGCTTATTACTCGAGCCAGTGATGAAATACCTAGATGCTGGTCGTTGGTCGTTACCGTACACTATCCACGACCTGGGCTCACATTATCCACATGCTGTTGGCCATGATGACCAAAAGGCTGAAGCGATGCCAATCGAGGAGTGTGGGAATCTGCTGATACTCGCACTGGCCTACGTACAAGCCACCGGAGATACAGATTGGACCGACCAGTACTTGGAGACTTTTCAACAGTACGCCGAATATCTTGTGGACAACAGTATCAATATCGCCAATCAACTTTCTTCCAATGATGCCGCGGGGCCTCTGCCAAACGAGACTAATCTAGCAATCAAGGCAGCTGTCGGAATAAAAGCATTTGGTGAATTGAGTGGCATCAATTACTACTCTTCCGTCGGCGATGAGCATGCAGATCTCTTCTTTACTCAAGGCTTAGGTACCGATGAACAGCAAACCCATTTTGTCCTTGAGTATCCCGATTTCCCTGACTCATGGAAGACACCATACAACATATATCCCGATCTTCTTTTGGATCTGGAAACCTTCCCCCCAGAGGCACATAAAATGAGTAATGATTTCTTTTCAACTTCCGTGAGAGGAGAGTACGGCGTACCGCTCGATAACAGGCAAGACTGGGCGAAGTCAGACTGGAATATGTGGTTGGCAAGCACATTCGATAAGGAAACAAAAGGCCAATTTATTGATGACTTGTGGGCATTCATGACCAATGGAAAGCATAATTGGCCATTTTCAGATCGCTATGTCGCAACGTCGGCTCATGGCAATGAACCGGGTGTCCCAATTCTGTGTCGAGCTCGGCCAACGGTTGGTGGTCACTTTGCTCCTTTATCCTTACATGGCCCGGCTTTAATGAGTTCTCTATCAACCACTCATAAGCCTAGCAAACAATCGAAGAATACCAGCATGGGGGTTGATCGCAACTCCGAGCTGTGAAGAATAGCCATAGCATAAATATTGATGGTGCCAAAGTGAGCCCAGCAAAACCATTACATGAGTTATTGAGACCTTGTACCACCTCTTTTGTGTATACCTAGGCACAAATAACTTTATGCCGGGCATTCACCATAGAAGCTTTCAATTCTCACTAAGCATCCATGGATCTCGTGACTATATGAACTCTTTGAGAATTAAGAGACTGGTGTATGGATATCAAAGAATGAACACTAAAGGCCACATACGAGAGCAAAAGAGTTGAAAAAAATCAATATTATAGGTTACATGTGAGATACGGATGGAAAAGTAAAGGCTTACGATACGTAGTGCTTTCTAGCCTTAGAAGAATGAACTTGTAGTATATAGATAGTAGTGGTGGAGTGTGCGTGAAGAAATAGGATCTAAGCTGACATGAAGCTCGAAGAGTATAAGTAGAACCACAAGGCTGCTGTATTTTCAGATTCAACATATATCAACATCTTACCAAATTCTCTTTTGACTCTTCCTTCACACATCCTTGAAGATTAGGCTACCTCATACGATATCTCAAAGCTTTCACACCCAAAAAGGGATACTTGTTGTGGGCTGCCAGGGGTGGCTTACCTAAGCGTCGTTCAGTCACGTCCGTTGCTTCATCAATGCGCAGTGAATCTATTCCTCTTCCCTGTCCTTCAACTGAAACCAACTTCCTTATTTCTTTTCTTTTGCTTTTCTCCTTCCTTCTCATCTCCGCTTCTCTCAAGGACATCCTGAAATATTAATTCCTACCACCTCATGGCTTCTGTGAGTTCCTCCCCCCTCAAATCATTCTCCCCTCTTGGCCGCGGACTTTCACTTGAGCTTCCGACCCCCCGAAGCTTCCAGCCTTTGATAATACCCACATTCGCGAAATTTCATAAACTAATATCTCGTCCTATCTCTCTAGCCCCGCCCGCACACCTTCGCTCCTCAAGGCTACCCTCTTTCGAACGGTACTCCCCAGGCGGCTCCGGCGCCCGGAGCCACGCCACTTCTTCCCAACAATGGCAGAGTAATTCAGAACGGGCCCACCCGAATTCTGTGCATTGCGGATGTCCGAGGTACGAATGAGCGAGAATTGGTTCAACTCAGAGCAAGGCTAAACAAGTTGGGCATATAGGAAATCTGAAATCTCTGAACGACCTGGCCAAACAGGCTCGCGCTGACCATATCATTCACACCGGTGACTTTGGTTTCTATGATGATACTTCATTGGAGCGCATTGCAGACAAGTGAGTGTAACATTACTTTCTTTCGGGGCAGCCGCCCTTTGCTGCCCGACGCGAGACAACACATTTCGCGTCAACTGGGCACCGACCTTAAAACCCAACGAACTCAGCTAACCTCATGGCTTACGTGCAGGACTTTGAAGCATGTCGCTCAATATTCCCCTCTCTTGCCCGAGAACGTGAAGCGAACGATCGCACAAACCCCTCCTCAGCAGTCGATTAAGCAACGTTTCACCCCAGACCAGCTGCCTCTTTCTGAGTTGTCCATGCTGCTCGACAAGCGCATTACTCTCGAAGTTCCAGTTTACACAGTTTGGGGCGCTTGCGAAGATGTTCGCGTACTGGAGAAGTTCCGATCGGGTGAATACAAAGTTGACAAGCTGCACATTATTGATGAGGCCAACTCGCGGCTGTTGGACATTGGCGGTGTGAAGCTTCGTTTGCTCGGATTGGGTGGTGCTGTGGTGATGCACAAGCTTTTCGATAATGGTGAGGGTAAGACAACCATTGCTGGCGGCCAGGGTACCATGTGGACCACACTTTTGCAAATGGGCGAGTTGATCGATACTGCCAACAGAGTTTATGACCCGTCAGAGACTCGTGTTTTCGTCACCCATGCCTCTCCAGCTCGTGAGGGTATGCTGAACCAGCTTTCAGTGACTCTTAAGGCCGATTTCTCTATCTCTGCTGGTCTTCACTTCCGCTACGGGTCTTCCTACAACGAGTTCTCCGTCAACCCTACGCTAGATCACTACCGCGGAAAGCTTGCTGCTTCCAAGGCATCTTTCACCGATGTCTGGGAAACCGTACGAGGCGAGGTGGAGTCTGCTATCTCTTCCAACGAAGCTCAGAAGACCCTGCTCGACAATGCTCTTGACGTTGTCAACAAGATGCCTTCCGTTGCCAATGGTGGAAACCCATTTGGTGGCCCCGTTGCTGCTGGAAATGCCGCAGGCCAAGTTGACGAGAGCGCTTTCAAGAATATGTGGAACTTTAATTTGGCCGATGCCGCCTTCGGGTATCTGGCTTTGGAAATCGAAGGAGGCCGTATTGCCACTGAGATGCGGGCACAAGGTTTCAACTTTGCTCACCGCAGCGGCAAGCCTGCTCCTGGTGGCTCTCAGGCCGTCTCTGGCGGTCTGCCTGCTACGACTGCTTCCCCAGCCCCTACCGGTGCTGGTCGTCCCACGGTGGCTCCTCAGTTTGGCCAGGCTCCCCCTGCCCGTGCTCCTGTTCCTAACCAGCAGGCCAAGAGCCAGCCTGCTCGCGCATCACCTATCCCAGTCATTCCCAAAGCACCGAGCCCCCAGCCCTCAACTGCCTCAGGTCAAGCTGCCGGAGATGATAACGCCGCCGCCGATACCAACGGCACCACACAAACTGACAAGGGTGCCGATTCTCCTGCTCCTCGCGGCGAGAGGAAGACAAACAACGTTCTTTTCCTGGCTAATGTCGACAACGAGCAGGCTGTTCGTGACCTTCTTTCCGAAGAAGACCTTGCCAAAGTTGAGAAGATTGAGAAATATGGAAAGTTTAACCATATTGTGACGTTCCCCAGTGTGGAGGACGCCAAGGCCGTCCTGGACCGTCAACCCATTGAGAACAAGAAGCCCTCAATCGGTGGACAACCTCGCAAGCCTCATTTCAAATTCTTTGAAGAACGCACTCGTGGCCAAGGCAACGCCGGTACATGGGGAAGCAGCAGCCGTGGTGGCTCAAACACCGGCCCCCGTGGCTACCAGAGTGCCAGTGACAGCGAGGGTGCTCGTCGGGGAGGATTCGGTGGACGTGGCCGCGGTGACCGAGGCCGTGGAGGTCGTGGAGGACGTGGCGGCCGTGGCGGCTTCAAGACCGGAGGTTCCAACGACTCCTCTGCCCCCATGACTCCATCCGGTGACAAGCCCGCCCCATCTGGCGATGCCTAAACGTTGAGGCAATCCATATTTCTACCATACCCCCCTCCTGCACGCTATTCATTCCAATGGATAGTCTTGCACCTACGTCATGCGCATCAATGTCAATTTTCCTCCTTTCTAATTCTTTTGTGTCTTTTTTTCCTCCCACATTTCCAAATTCCCCTTCTTTTGTTTTTGTCTGGTTTTGCCTCTGTGAAATGGCCCTCTCCTCCCATGTTCTCTTGGTCGTTCGTCACGTCGCGATTTACACCTCAAAATCCAGATGGGACTGGAACGGCCTGGCGTTTTGGGTAGATGGAATTTTGAGGAAGATGGGCTAGGAGGAAAGCCCACAAGCTACGGTTGATGTTCACAGGACCGTGGAAGATGCAAGCCGAAAAGTGAAAAAGAAAAAAAAAAGAATTTCCCAAAAACATCTCTTGCGTGTCCTCTTTGCCCTTGTGTTATTCAGGGGACCTTTTTCTTTGTACTTTAGTTTTCTTCATGGAAGAGACCAACATCGATACCCTTCAACTTTGACTTGTGCTCTTGGTAGACTTTTAAATCTAGACTCTATTCTTTGTAAAAACCTATCGCTGGATACGACCGTAGTAATTAGATGTAGAGTCTTCGTGATAGGTAATTGTAGTCTATATATCTACCATAATGTTTGCCAGCCTCTGGGTGTAGACTTGGAGTGTGGTGGTATTTGAATCTCCTGATTGCATCCCATAAATACTAGTAGTATAGTATAGGTAGCCGAGTATCATGCTGTAGAGGTACATACTGCTCCACGTTGTCAAGCCTTGATCAAACAACAAGTAGATTGATAAGATATGAAATCCAGATTGTGTACATGGGCATATGCCAAAGGACAAACTACCTAAGGAGCGCAAACCATTCCACCCACCCTATATTCCCCAGGAACGGGAGTCATATTCGAAAGGATGGCAAGACACCGTGTGTTTGAAGGAAAGGCTGAAACGAGAAACCAACCAGCCGCACCAAAACTCTCGTATTCCCCTTTCGCCGAGCTTGATGACATCCCAAAGAACACGAAAACAGATGGCAAACAAGACTACTAAAAACCATGAAAAACTCAAACAAGCATTTCGGGCCGAAGCAAGAAGAAAAAAGAACAGGTAAGGGTAGAAGGGAAGGAAGATGGGTTCTCCAGGGATGAGTGAGACCACAGCGTAGACTTTAATTTCGAAGAGAAAATTGTAAAAAAAAAAAAAACATCCAAATATAAAAAGTGAGTGCAGGACCGCCAATATTTCCTCTTTGGTTTTCTCCTGACCGTATTCATGACGCCGTATTGGTTTTCAAATGATTTCGATAATGGGTATGAGTAGAAACAACGTGGTAGGTACAGTTTGAACGTGAATCGTAAATTGAGTAGTCGGGCAATATGTCGTCGACTAAGCCTATAATGGACCAGTGCGACTAATTGGCACGGCCCATGATATCGTCGACATCGCTTTGATTTACGACCACACCACCTTCTGAACAGCGAGCTTTGGTCCGCAGTTCAGAACATAGGTTGTCAACATCAATCTCACCATTCCGGAATTTCTCCATGGATTGCAGGCGATCCCTGGAATAAAAGTCAGTATTTTGTCATACCAGTCTCACGGGTTGTAAAATAGAGGAAATGGACTTCAAAAGGAGTGGAGGGGATTTAAAAACATACCAAATCTTTGTGCATGACAGCATCTGGGCCTTGTCCTCGCCCGGAACCATCTCTTCTTCCAATCTGCTATCGATTTGAGAGATTAGGTCCTTCTTGGGCTGTTGTGCTTGAGGAGCTGCCTGGCTTAAATTGTGTGATGGGCTACCAAGATCTGGCAGTGGGAAGGCATCGTTGAAAAATGTTCCAAAGTCCTGGGAGAGCACGGCATCTTGCGGCTCTCGCCAGTCTCCGAAAAGCACTGGGTCGAACTGACCGCCATTTTGCTGGGTCAACCACTCAAGTCCAAATGGGTCGTCGTTGGAGTCTTGCTGATCAATGTGCTGGGGGTTCGAAGCACCATTTGGTGTGACACCGTTCGATTTTGCACCGTTAGGTGTGGCCTGTTGATCCCGTACAGCTGGGATAGGGTTATTGATGTTGCCACAGGCCATGCCAAGTTTGGCGCAGAAAGATTCCTCACCATTGACGGAGCCGTGGATGCTACACGCAGACTCATGATTCTTTGGGTCTGATGGAGAATTCAAGCTCGGCTCAGGTGAGGTGCCACTCGACGAGAGCATTTGGCTCTGGTGCGAATCGGACGAAGAAGACGGAGAATCCGACGTTGAGTTGTCGTGAGTCGGTGCGTTCGACTTCTTGAAATTGGCGTATGGGGCTTTGGCTGATGTGGCGCTGTTCGGCGTCGACTTTGACGTGCTTGTCCTGGCGGTAGGGGTGCTGGAAGTGGATTTGGAGGTAGGGGGAGAAATGGGGGCTCCGACGAGACCGTGCAAATTCTCGCGACTAAGAACTCCAGGGGCACGAGGCGTATTGGCCTTAGCATTGGATTGATCAGTCTTATTTTGTCCCTTGAAAAGATGTGAACCAGGCAGATCCCCGAACTTGGGGAAATCGAATATAAATTCGTTGTTCTGCAGGCCGTACGCTCCCTGGGAGTGAGCACTTGGAATTGCACTCATTGCGGAAACACCGCTTCCACTTGTCATCCATGAGAGTCGCTTGCGATATTCCTTGAGCTCTGTTTGAAGTCTTTCCACCTGGGCACGCAAAACACCGTTTTCCTGGGTGGCTGTATCAGAGTTCTTCTGCAACTCATCCACCTTAGTCTCCAGATCCTTAAGGTGTTTCTCCTTCCGATCACGGAATGCCCGCTGGGCAGCTCGATTCTGAGCCTTGCGTTTCTAAAAGAGGTTAGTCACCATGGCTGTAACCACACATAGCAATCGGAGTGCCTACAGTTGTGGGTTCCGAGGTTAGTGGCTTCCGACCGGGCTTCTTTGCCTCACTATCACGGCGTTTCTTGGCCGTCTCTTCGACGTCCACCGCTGATTCGCCATCAATCGACTTTCGCTTCTCTCCCAATTCGTAGTCGTGGGGAGTATCTCCTGGAAGATCTCCAATCAACTCACCCGATCCAGGAAACTCGAAATCCACATCATTATTGAACTCAAGGAATGGACTCTCGTCATTTCCGAAGCCAAAAGCGTTGAAGTGAGACTGGGGGTTGTCAAAGTTCCCAGATGGAGGGGCACTCATGCCGTTTGAGGATGTCTGGTCAGGGCTTCCCTCTGGTTTGACATTGTGGTGATTGGGTTGCTTGGGAGCTGGGTTATTGGAGGAAAGGGCTGCCAGCAATAGATCTTGTTGATCAGGAGAGAGGTTGTAAAGCCCCTGCTGATAGAGCTGATCGTAATCGCCCATGATGCTGGGTTGAAGGGACGATAAGTGGGGTGGCGTTATACGGCGGGATGTCAAGATGTGATGATGCAAGATGCAAGTGCTTCTGCGGGGCTGTGAGTTTACCTCTTCGTCAATGACAGTCGAAATGTAAGATTCTGAAGAGTTGACTCTGGGGGATCAGGGCAAGACTGATCACCCAGGATTATGGTGAGAAAATTAGGTGGAGGGTATGTATGATCCTCTGAAGAGGGGCGGTGGACTCGGGGTTGCAGAGGCTAAGAAAAGAGGAAAGAGGAATAATGGGTTTGAAGGTTACGACCTGGGGGGCCTGAGGCTCCCAACTTTTTTTTAATCGGTCTTGAGCTCCGCCTTTTTCCACTTAAGCAGAAAAGAGAAGACTAGGCCAGATTGCGAGCGTGAAAGAAGGAAAGATGATGAAGGAGATCTTGCTGTGGGCGGCACTATTGGCCCGAATGTTACAGGTGATCGACGGCCAATCAGAGCGGGGCCTGCGGGGTTTGAATTCCTGCTTAGAAATCCAGTTCGATCTCTTTCTACTACAGTATCAAGTGTACACGCAGTACTTGGTTCTACATACTCTGAGCTACGAACTATACTTACCCATACTCAGGATTCGGGGACTTCTCTCATGAGTCCATGAATCCATGACCCCACGAAAGACAAGTCTTTTTACCTGACTATTCCCTCTCTGGGTAGATCAGAAACCGGATCCTAGTTCTTCTACGGAGTATAGCTCCCAGAATGCTCAATCCAATAGCAATGTGACTCACCTCGTATTGCCCTGGCCTTGTTTTACTGCCTACAGGGTCTGGGCCCCACTACGGAGTAGCCAGGATCAGACCATCTGTGAATCCTAGTCCCGCGTGGCAAATGTGAAGCCGTTTCCGGTCCACTCCCGAAGCATCCTTCATTTTCATGCTGGTGTTTCATATGGGCAAAGAAGAGACTATACCTGCAATTGTTGGAATTGGCGCTAAAAACCTATCGATGTAAGACGGCATAATTCCATACCCCGTACTCCGTCCAAGCCTTCCCCCTCGTGGCCGCTATGCTGCAAACTGCAGCAGGCCTGCTGCCGATCCCTACTTTATGTAAGATGATGGATTCGGTCTTATCGCTTATCAGACAGGAGCAGCCTCAATGGAATAATTCGATGAAATGGATATTATGTAGCCTTCCGTAGGCATACTGATTATTGTACATCAATATTTTATAGCGTGACATCTAGTTTATTGATATGTTGAATTCGCGTGGAAGTGGATCTAACTAGCTATAATAATATAGAATAATATCAATCTTAAAATCTAGTTATAATAAATAATAAACCGGCACATCAGGTAGATCCCCGATCTCGCAGCATGGGGTATCTCACCTTAACGCGACCGGGCAGAATAGAGTGTTGGTCACATGACCCCGTATCGCCCAATCGAACATCAATTCTACTGCTATCTCCGCATCATGTAGTGCTTGAATTGACCTTTACTCCGTCTTGTTTTCTACCATTTCTCTCATTTTTGCTATTTTCCTTTAAGGTCAGACTATTGATCTTTGTCTCCTCTTCTTGAATTCGTTATCATGTCCGACGTCACAGCCTTGGAGGCGGAGGTGAAGGAATTCAAGCTTCAGGTAAAAAATACCAAAAAAGCCTTGGCCCATCCTGTGAAAGACCATTTAGCTAATCTGAATTTTGAACAGCTTGAAACTATACAGTCCAGCTTACAGGTAGATCCCGATAACACAGAGCTGCAAAGTCTCAAAGCTGAACTCGAAGAACTCATAACCCTCACCGAAACATCGATCGTCGAACTCAAACCGCCTACTGCCCCGGCCTCATCAAAGTCCCAACCCTCATCAAGCTCAGACAAATGGTCCAAACAACCCGATTCCCGAAAACAGGCCACAGACAATGCAGACGCCACTCCGCAAACTCCCGTCTCCTTCTCTGTTAATGATACTGTCCTCGCCCGTTGGGTATCAGGCGACGGCGGCTTCTACCCTGCCCGTATCACGTCCATTACTGGATCTTCTAGTAACCCTGTGTATCTGGTGTCATTTAAGTCTTATGCAACGGTGGAGAACCTGACGGCCAAGGATATCCGGCCGGTCTCTGGAAATGACACTCGCAAGCGCAAGGCTGATGGAATCCCAAGCAGTTCAGCGTCGCCGTCACCCGCACCCGCGCCCGCGGCACATCCCAATGTGATCTCTGCTGCAGCTGATATCAACCCCGCTCTCGCTGATCAGGCCCGTATGGACCCTAGTAAGGCCACCGATGGACCTGCTCGACCTGCGAAAGCCCCGCGTAAGGTGAAAGCCAACAAGGAGCTAGAGGCCGGCAAGAACAAGTGGCAGGACTTTGCCGCAAAGAGCAAAGGAATGAGTAAAGGAAAACTCGGCAAAAAGGACAGCATGTTCCGCACTGGCGAAGGTGTGAACGCACGAGGTAAGATCGACTGGTTCCCTTCCAATATGATTATCTTGTTCCTGTAGCTAACCTCGGCAATTCAACTTCAGTGGGCTTTACTGGATCTGGTCAATCGATGCGCAAGGATCCCACTCGGACTCGACATATCTACCAGCAGGGTGAAGAAGAAGGCTATTGAACATGCTTTTCAGGTCCAGCCATTATGTCTCCGGCAATAAGATGATACCCTATACCTAAGAAGCTGGATTTCAAAGGCTCTCTCACGGTTTTCTCAAGAAACATTTCCTGCTTTCTTTTTTATCTGATTTATTTGGCCAAGAATGTTCTTCATCGCTAACTGGATCGGCGATGCAGATAAAGCCCGGGCTTTATTTCTTTCCTCTCTTCGGAGTTGATTGTATTCATAGAGAGTTGTGGTTTGATGTGGGATTTGATATCCTACGAAACGATATCATGATAAGTTGTCCTAAATCATTAACTTGGAGTTTCTTCAAATGTTTTTATGTTTTTCTCCAGTTTAATCCTACTAGAATACAAGTAAGATTACATAGGGGTTTAATCCTTATTTCAAAGCCGATTTCCTTGGAATAATCCAACCTTGGGAGCCAAAGTTGCTACGTAGTAATCACTTAATAGTGAAACTATATCAGTTTCAAAGTATGTAAAGCCATGATAGTACATATCTGTGGACACCGTGTTATCTTATCACAGAAGGGGATAAGCTGACACGGCGGCATGAATTCTTGGAATAAGCAGGATTTCTATTTAACCCCAGCCCATGACAGTTCATGCCGAGGTTGAAGATATGCAAGCCAAGAATCGATTATCTAGGGCCAGAATTTGAGCCACGATTGCTAGCCAAATCAGAGGGAATCTGGAGCATGTGTGCCTGACGTTAGTTGTTTCACCTTAGTTCTCTCGGCTCCATGAAAGTTACATGCCAAGTTGTGATGTGGTTGCCGTGCGGGGCCGACGTGGGTTGACGTGGTACCCACTCAGTTCTTGATTGCCCGTGCACGTCATGGGCCGCCAACTTCGGCTCTCCCCTACCATCTATCATCTATCATCTATCACTCTTGTGATCATTGACGCCGTCTAATTCAACGCTCTTTCGATTTATGGACCCATTGCGTGGAGGCTTGTGATAAATTTCCGGCTTCACATCTTTCAACCCTATCCTTGCTCGCCTCCTTGCGCCTGCGAACCGAGCTTAGCGTCTCCGATCTCCGATCTCCACACATTCGGAGCTGGCCCATGGCCGTCAACAATACCCAACAGTGACTGCGACATCCATATAAATTACAGAAACACGCGATCCCGATAACGCCGTTTGGAACTTGATTGTTATCTCACCGCAGGATGCGGTCTGTAGGGTTTGTGGCTGCGATCGTGGGCTTGGGCTCCCTTGCCCTCCAGCCATCGCTCGTCAGCGCAAGCGGTGAAACAGTGATTCACGAGAAAGGCCGCTGCGCTATTCGCGGGAATTGTGGGAAACAATCAATCTTTGGTGGTGAACTTCCCTGCCCAGATAATGATTTTGCACGTGAACCGGAGGAATCAACAAGACAGAAGTTGGTGGATCTGTGTGGTCCAAAGTGGCAGGAAGGTCCAGTCTGCTGTCTTGATGAACAGGTAAAAGAAACCCCTCAAAGCGAACATGCTCACATAAGGTGGTAAAGAATGACTTATACTGATTTGGATGCTGCTGTTATAGATCGGTACCCTTGCTACCAACTTGAAGCTCGCCGAAGGCATTATTTCATCTTGTCCTGCCTGCCGGGAAAACTTCTTCAACACATTCTGCACATTTACATGCTCGCCCGATCAATCTGTATTTATAAACGTAACCCAGACTGCAGAAAAATCCGGAAAGAAACTTGTGACCGAGTTGGATAACATCTGGTCGGAGGAATATCAGAGTGGCTTCTTTGACAGTTGCAAGAACGTCAAGAATGGTGCATCTGGCGGCAAAGCGATCGACTTCATTGGTGGCGGTGCAAAGGACTACACTCACTTCATGAAATTTTTGGGCGACAAGAAACTGCTTGGGAGCCCCTTCCAGATCAACTACCTTACTGAGCCTCGTTCTCCCGATCATGATGGTATGAAGGCCAATTCGCTCGAACCCAAAGCTTGCAATGACCGCGATGAGAAATTCCGTTGCTCCTGTGTCGACTGCCCCGAGGTATGCCCTGAGCTACCTGCTGTGTCCGTTCACAATGCTTGCCACGTCGGGCTATTACCATGCCTATCATTTGCAGTGATTATTGTCTACTCTACGTTCTTGATTTTGGTCATGACCTTTGCGAGCTATGTCACATTCAAGGAGCGCCGCTTCCGCAAACCTGAACGAGTGCGCCTTCTTCAAGACCCTACTCCCAGTGATGAGGAGGATGAAGGAGAGGTTGTACATCGCGGGGGATATATGGAGCAGCCCCAAGGCGTGTACAAGCTTAACACCTTGCTATCGACTCTATTTTACAAAATCGGCGGAGCATGTGCGCGCTTCCCTGCGCTGACAATCGGTTCAAGCATCCTAGCGGTCGGATTGTTGAGCTTAGGTTGGTTGCGATTTACAGTCGAGACTGACCCAGTTCGCCTTTGGGTGAGCCCAACATCCGCGGCAGCTCAGGAAAAGGCATACTTTGATGAAAATTTCGGCCCATTTTACCGAGCTGAACAAGCCTTCCTGGTAAATGACAATGGTCCTGTTTTGAGTTACGAGACATTGTTATGGTGGTTCGATGTCGAGTCACGCGTTCGACGCATGATTTCTCTAGACGAAGGCTTGAACCTGGACGATGTTTGCTTCAAACCGAATGGCGATGCTTGTGTGGTACAATCATTAACTGGATACTTCGGCGGGTCGGTCTTCAATCTTGATCCTGATGATTGGCAAGATAGACTCGTGCACTGCACTGATTCACCTGGTGATATCACCTGTCTTCCTGACTTCCAACAGCCCTTGAAACCAGAAATGATTCTCGGTGGATATGACGACAGTGGAAATGTTCTAGACGCCAAGGCCTTGGTTGTTACTTGGGTTGTAAACAACTTTGACCAAGGTACCGAAGGGGAAAAGAGGGCGATTGACTGGGAAAATAGTTTCCGCGCCGTGTTTGATGTTGTCCGAGAGGAAGCGGAAGAGCGCGGCCTGCGGGTTTCTTTCAACGCGGAAGTCAGCTTGGAACAAGAACTCAACAAGTCTACAAATACAGATGCCAAAATCGTTGTTATCAGCTATGTGATCATGTTTATCTATGCTTCTATGGCCTTGGGGTCTGTGACAGTCACCTGGAAGTCCCTTCTGACCAATCCCGCCAATGCTTTGGTACAATCCAAATTCACGCTTGGAATTGCTGGAATTCTCATAGTTCTGATGTCAGTCTCTGCTTCAGTAGGACTATTCTCAGCTGCGGGTGTCAAGGTAACACTAATCATTGCTGAGGTCATTCCATTTTTGGTCCTTGCTGTCGGCGTGGACAACATTTTCTTGATCGTCCATGAATTCGAGCGGGTCAACTTCAGCCACCCAGATGATGAGATTGACGAACGGGTCGCTCGTGCGGTGGGAAGAATTGGACCTAGCGTTTTCCTGTCTGCTCTGACTGAGACCGTGGCATTTTCCCTGGGTGCCTTTGTCGGCATGCCTGCTGTCAAGAACTTCGCCGCATATGCTGCCGGGGCTGTCTTCATAAATGCCATTCTTCAAATGACCATGTTTGTATCAGTTCTTGCGCTTAATCAACGGCGGGTACAAAGCCTTCGCGCAGACTGCTTCCCGTGTATAACAGTGCGCAAAGCCAACTCTTCTGGACTGTCCGACGAGCAGATCTACGATGAGCAGGAAGCCGAGAGTGCTTTGCAGACCTTCATCCGTCGTGTATATGCACCATTCATTCTCGACAGACGGGTGAAGGCGGCTGTTGTGATTATTTTCCTGGGCTTCTTGACCGCTGGCTTGGCTTTGATCCCGGGGGTTCCCCTTGGGCTAGATCAAAGGATCGCCCTCCCAAGCGACTCATACCTTATCTCATACTTCGACGATCTCAACGATTATTTCCGCACGGGTCCACCTGTATATTTCGTGACTCGCAATCTCAATATTACAGAGCGCCACCACCAACAACAACTTTGCGGACGTTTCACAACATGTGAAGAATACTCTTTGCCATTCGTCCTAGAGCAAGAATCCAAGAGGCCTGAAGTCTCTTATATTTCTGGTTCTGCTGCAAGTTGGATCGATGACTTTTTCTACTGGTTGAACCCACAGCAGGATTGCTGTAAGGAAGACGGCAAGCTATGCTTCGAAGATCGTGTGCCTCCATGGAACTTGACTCTTTCCGGAATGCCGACGGGACAAGAGTTCATTCATTATGCCGAAAAATGGATCGATTCCCCGACCGAAGCGTCTTGTCCTCTTGGTGGGAAAGCACCATATAGTACTGCTGTTGTCATCGACGATAAACATACCATGATCAACGCCAGTCACTTCCGCACTAGCCATACCCCTCTCCGAACCCAGGACGACTTCATTCAGGCGTACATCGCGGCTCGTCGAATCGCGGATGGTATCTCTGAAGAGCATGATATCGACGTTTTCCCATACTCGAAGTTCTATATCTTCTTCGATCAATATGTATCAATTGTCCAGCTGACTGGTACTCTCTTGGGGTCAGCTGTTGCTATCATTTTTGCCCTGACCTCAATCATACTGGGCTCCGTGGCCACTGGCGCTGTCGTCACAACCACTGTGGTGATGACAGTGGTGGACATTATTGGCACGATGGCCATTGCTGGGGTATCCTTGAATGCCGTATCTTTGGTAAATCTGGTCATCTGCGTTGGTATTGGTGTCGAATTCTGTGCCCATATTGCTCGGGCATTCATGTTCCCCTCTCGTACGCTGCTGGAAAAGGCGCCCACCAAATTCCGCGGCAAGGATGCTCGGGCCTGGACAGCATTGGTCAACGTTGGTGGAAGCGTCTTCAGTGGAATCACAGTAACAAAACTGTTGGGTGTATGCGTCCTTGCCTTCACTCGAAGTAAGATCTTTGAGATCTATTACTTCCGTGTCTGGTTGGCACTGGTCATTTTTGCTGCCATCCACGCCCTCATCTTTCTACCAGTCGCTCTTAGCTACTTTGGTGGCGGAGGTAAGTTATATTTGCGACTTTCTCCCTAGATATTAAACTAACCATAACCAGGATATTTTGATCCGGCCTCTGATGGTGGCTTAGAGGCCAACCTTGCTTCCCGAGGATACCGCTCATTACTAGTTGATGGCGATTATGACGATTATGATTCTGATGGATTCTAATATCCTCCTTTAATCTTGAACCCTTTTCTGCGCACCACAAACTATACAGTCGCGACTGGCTATCCTCATTAGTGCAGGATTTGGAGTTACTGCAAGAGCCGGTTAAGGCGTCTTGGTCTTCTTTTGGTCTTCTTTTTGTCTTTCTTTTTCGGTTTTTGTTGGCTTGGCTGGTATTGCCTTGGATTGTATCTAACCTTGGAAGCTCGGAACTGTATACCTGATAGAAAAATATATCATAAACCTTTCATTAAAGCTAATATAGATGTGAATCCAATGAGGAGATGGTAAACAGTGTAAGATTTAATGTGGTGGGATTGAAATGACATACTATGACTCTTTTGTAGTTTTACATGAGCAATACAATTGATTCTGCATATGTGCCATTCGTACTACAACGAGTGAGATTATTTATCGGGTGAACTGTAGTACCTAACATATCTTTTTCTATGTTGCTGGCCTAGTACTACTGCTAGTAGTATTCGTGCAAAGAAAGCTGGGAAATTCATACACTGTACCTTGTATTGCGGTCTTGCGCAAATTTGTCCCACAAGGTTCGCTTTTTCCTTTCGGGGTTGTCTCCTAGGATGCATATCTCTTGCCCAGCTTCGAGGACTTTCGCTGACTATACCTTCTCTAAACAATATGGGGTAGTCGTGACAATCCTAGTAATACGAGGGCAAGCGTCTAGAGAAACGCACTGTTGTCGAACGCAAAAGCAGCCCTACTATCCAAGTTACTTTCCAAGGTTGTTAATATATAGGGAGCTCTGTTTCAATTACACATTATTTTTATTTGTTCAGTCATGGCTCTTTCAACGTAAGTATAGCTATAAATGTGGTCGGACCTTCTATGAACCCTTGAACTGGTGCCGAACCGTCTGATTGGCCTGTGGATACTTAACCATAAAAATGGCTGCCTGCATCTAAAGAGCATGGAAACTTTTCACCCTGAGAATCAGGCTTCTCTCTTCTTTCCGCCCGCAAAAACCAGCTTGTGTCTCAGGTAAGATCTCCTCTATGCTCCATATCCGAGTCAAATTAGACATCCACCCCAGATCCGACCTTACTAACTTTCTTTATTGGTTGTACTTAGTTGCTAGTTGACATTACCCACTCAAGATGATCTCTAACGCTTCCACTCCGCTCAACTGGATCCTTCCCTCCAGCAGCTCAGGAGGTTCCGTGAAAAAGCCCATTAAGTCAGTCTCCAAGCCATGTTTTGGATGTGACTGCGGAGACGAAGAATGCGATTGTTGTGTTTGCACCGTGATGTGATGTTTGGCACCAGTGTGCCCGTCCTGAATATTTGTCCGTCGGCAAGGCTTCTGTAATGATCTCGATGGGATTGTCATTTCCTAAACCTCTTTGTGTATTGTCGTCTTTGATTTTGTCTCGCAGATTTGCTATCTCTTCACTTCTCGCTTAACTGTTCTATATATCCCCTTCTGCCTTACCTATTGGATCTACGATGGCGATACTCCAGGTTACGAATACCACACCATTTTTGGTTGTTGGACAATGCATACCTATTGAAACATTCAAAATAAAGTTCATGCCATGTGCACCATATAAAAATCTCCCACAACATCCTCCCAAGTCCCAACTAGATCCCTCATAGCGTCCAAAAAACACCCGTGGACCCTTGGCCGCCTTATCCCGCTGACTCAGCGCCTGATTGTGGCTTCCGCGCCTCCGTGACGATCAGTAATGCCCGCGATCTATCTCTCTCAAACGGCGATGGATCAACTTGACGAATCTCGCAAGCGCACTGCACGCGCTTGCGATTCTTGTTACAAACGCAAGGTACGTATTCAGTGGATCAACGGCGCTCTGTTCGGTTATTCTGACCCCGCCAGATAAAATGTGACGCAGCGTCACCAAAATGTAACTGGTGTAGCCACCATAATCTCCCCTGCACATTCGACCGAGTGGTGCAACGCAAACGAAAACAAAAAGATGACGATGAAGACAACGAGTGAGCTTACCATTTGGAATCTTTTGAATATATAGAAGATGTTGCATACTAATGTCTTTTGCAGGCGTAGCAAAAATTCCAGACTGTCAGAGCGGATTAGTCGCATTGAACAGCTTCTGGAGGAGCAAATTCTGCGTGGGGCTAGCGCCGGTATGTCTGCTGCTAGATTCATGGTGTTCAAGGACTGATGTTTGACTTGAACTAGAGCCGATGAATTACTCGGATGCTCTTGGAACTAACACGGAGAATACGACTGCGGCTAATTCTCCGGCCACCAGTGTTAGCACCACTACCAGCACCAGTGGCAACAACCAAGATCTTCTCTCAGCCTCAGCCGGGGTGCACTTTGCTGGTCGAGAGTTAGGTGTCATCAGCTTACTCACTGGTATCCCATTTCTTTTACCAGAAGGCCAGGACTGGATCCAGGCTCGCACTGGACAGGCTGTTTCAAGCGAGAAGTTCAGTCCTGCTCGGCCACCATGGGAAAAAGAAAGAGGCCATAGCTACAATGACATTTTGATGAATCTACGAAATGAAGATCTGTTCGAGTTACCTGACAGGCAAATCGTGGATATGTACTTTGACGCTTTCAAACGCTCCGTGGTGATGCCGCTTGTTTTCCCTGTTGTGGATGAGGTATTATTCGCGGAAACCATCGATGAAGCTTATAAGCAGCATCATTCAAGCTTCGCATTTGGTCAAGCGAGCACCAGAGCTTGCATTATTGCTTTCGTCGCTTTTATTTCCCGTCTTCCGCCCGTTAAGGAAATTGTCGCGAGTACCTCACACGATATCCTCCATCCGGACCATGAGGTTCTGATTTCTAAGGCTCAGTTCCTACTGTCACAGGTTATACAAGAGCCCGCAAGCTTAGAAGGCGTACAGGCAGTCATCATGATGGTACGTCTTTAGTTGTGATACATGACACAGCTTGCTAGTTGCTAATTTAACCTTTCAGACACTGTATGAAGTGTCATCAGGGAATATGCGAGCCACAAACTACTATGGTGCTATAGCAGCACGTCTCATATTCATGCTTGGCGGAAACATCCTACATACCAGATACTATTCCCATGGCGAGCGGGCCCAAAGAAGGCAGAAGCAGCTACGTAATCTGTTCTGGGTCTGCTATACAATGGACAAAGATATTGCTCTTCGCACAGGCCAGCCACCTGCCATTGCTGATGAGAACTGCGATCTTACTCTACCACCGGACTATGCTGAGAATGCATTTTTAGACCCTGAAGATCCAACAGTAAATCTCACACAACCAAGTTTCCCTTTCGACCTACGTTTGAGCATCATCAAGTCCCGCACTCACAGTGCACTTTACTCCGTGAGCGGAGTTCAAAAGACAGATGCTGAGCTCTTGAAGTCAATCCGGGAACTTGACGATGAATTGGAGGGATGGCGACTGTCCATCCCGCCACGCTGGCGTCCAACCATGTCCTTCTCCGCCGCATCGGACCCTAACGCCAGTATGCACACCGTCTTGTTACGTTTGAACTACTACCTATGCGTATCTATCATTCACTCAGCAAGCAGTCGATGCAAATCATGGCGAGAAGGAACTGGAATGCTAGACGGAATTAATACAAGTCTCGCACTATCAGTCGAGGCAAGCCGCTCAACCCTCTATTATCTCGGCGCGGCTGAACATGTCCTCGTCGATGGTATTTTCTGGTAAGCAATGCTTCCTACTTACAACAATCATTATACTGAACCAATGACTAGGACCCTTCTCTTCTATCCCATGTCAGCACTCCTCAGTATTTTCTGCAGTATCCTTTCGAACCCTTTGGATCCTCGCTCCCATGAAGATCTAGGCCGTCTTAAGATGGCGACGGTGATAATGGAGCGCATGTTTTTCCCAAATCTCCCTAACAAAGAAATTATTCACTTCAAACTGGTGGCTGACTTCGTGTCGGAATTGAAACGTCTAGCTGAATGTGCCATTGACAAGGCGTGGCGTGAACAAAGCAGCGCCGCCCTTTCAGCACGCTGATTTCCCCTCTCTCCTCTCCTCTCATTGTTTAATTCTGCTTCATTTTGCCCTGGGCGCTCGGAGTATGTGGATTGCATCCATAGTTATCAGCGATTAAGGGAATACACATGGAATGTGCAACATATACTTAATGATAGACTTATTGGCCTAAGCCACATGCACAAATTAAATCCATGATCACACGATGGTACTTCAATACTCACTGTCCCATGTCTAGATCTATGGTCTTCACGATATTCCGAAAAGAGCAAAATGTAATTCTTGACCCTTCTTAGGGCGACAGATGTGGCCTCTACAGAGGGCATCACTCATTTCCACATTTCGCGTCGCCAAAGACGGTAGTTCCTTCACCTATGTACTTTCATCTATACACATCTCTATCTTAGATATACCCCAATGATTCAATGCTTCCATCTATCTAGCAGGTGCAAATTTCCATGAATGTTCTTCCCAAGACCTGGAAGTTTCTAAACACGAGTCCAAACATTCCACCCAGTCAAAATAGTGCTCAAAACCATAGTAACACCCAGCACCAAATCTCCAGTAGGATACCAGTCCAATAGCTCCAAAGGAAGCAAAAGATCACAGCTATCAACAACAAACTGCTGCACAAGCGCAGAAGTCTTCGGCGCCTCAACAACCGGCTCTTCGGTCTTCTTTTCCTTGCCACCCTTAGACTTAGATTTAGAGCTAGATTTATTTGCGGACTTAGCTGGTGCCGAGAAAAAGATCTTATAAAGTGACCCAGCTAAAGAGAAGCAAAGTGCGAAAAACCAGTAAGTGTTGGCTTGGCGCATAACACGCTCTTCCCAGGGCACTGTCCAAACACCCATAGCGTGAAGCTGTGTATTTCATTCTGATAAGTCACGATTCAATGTTTTCAGCGTTAAAAGAGAGGGTAGAACATACGATAGTCAAGTCTTCGGTTATGAAATACAAACCGAAAGATGTCCATTTGCCTAGGTCCAGCCAACCGGCTACGGAGTTTCTCCCGCCATTTGTGAGAAGAGCAGACACTTGCTCGAATGACCCTAGAAAGCAGAAAAAGCGAAAGAATCGCCGACCTATACATTCTGAGTTAGGTCATGGTTTTTGAAGATCCAATGGCAGACTTACTCAAAGCCAATTGCAGTTTGGCGGTTGTTAGCCGGACGGCGGTGCTGCCGACGGTGAAGACTGCGGCGATCTGCGCGATGGATTGGATTAGACGGAGTGTCTTTTCTAGGCCGGTGCCATCATTGATGAAACGGGTAATTCGAGCCATCTTTGAATGCAGTGAATAGGATTTTTTTTTATCCTTTTTGGAGGAGTGTGAAAGGGGTGGAGGGGGATGCGCTGTCAATCAATAGACCCTATCTTAGGAGTCGCCTAGACTTTCCCGGACTGGAAGAGATGTCCTCCCAAGGTTCTTCATGGTATTGCTTATTCAGCTTCCACTAGTCGATCAACAAAAGCAAATTGATTGATTGATATGGCCGGGGTGGGGGAGAATTTTGTTACAAAAATGTCCTCTATGCTTTCTGTCGATTGTTCGTTTCATGGGTTTTGTTCCTTCTACAAGGAAAGATGTTTAACAGAGCTAACAAACTCCCTGATCTACTGACGAACCATAACCTCGAATTGTGTATTTCAGTGCAAATAACTTGAGCAACAAAATTCGATGTTCCTAATTGGACAATCCAAGGGAACTGAAATATGACAGTCGTGATTTGGGTGTATTCTTCAATTGATCCATGTATTTGACTTAATCCCAGATCGATTGTTTACCGGCCCTTGCCGCCAGAGATATCCTGTCCCAATCGGTATCCACCAACCTTCTCCCACTCAACCTTCTGTCGGGTGATAGGAAGCTGTCGTCGAAGACCCTTGAAAGCCCCCTCAGACATACCGACAAAAGCTCGGTTCAGTTCCTCCTGGTAGTCACGTTCGGCTGAAGCGATGCGGGAGATAATTGACTCGGCAGAGACCGAGGAAACGGATACGTTAATGGTCTTGATAGTGTTGAGGGCTACATTGCCATCTTCATAGTAGTGGACGTCAACGTGGATCTTGCCGGTCACGGTTGTAGAGGAGGAAGAGACGGGGACTGTGTAAATAGCGCGGAATCGACCGTTCCTGTTTAAATCCAACGATTAACATATTGTCAAGCGAATCCGTGGTAAGACTCAATACTTACCAAAAGTTGTTAGGCGAATAGCGATTTGCGACCAGCAGAATCGCAACGGCTGAATCGTTTTCAATGGGGTAGACTCCATATGAGGAGCTAGAGTAATGTTCACGGGCGTGGTTGCCCAAAGACTTGAGCAAGGATTTACTAGATAAATGTAAGAATGGGTTCATTTTGATGCTTGCACAAATAGGCTAGCAATGTGGTCCATGGTCCTTACATCAAGTCGGCATTTTGAGAGTCCAACGGAGATGATTGCGCTGCGGAGGCAGTCTAAATCGCGATGCGTTAGCTTCCAATAATCTCCTTCCACTTCAATAATTCCTTCCGACCTACTTGTGTGGTATGATCAACTTCAAATGAAGTCTGACTTTCGGTATCGAAGTAGCGGTTGTCCTCGAGCTTATTAAATTCACTGATGATGACCTATCCTCAGACATCAGCATTTCGGTGTCATCCAAATAAAGAGCCACGGATCACCCCACCTCTTGACTTGAGCCTGGCAGCTTTACCGTCGCCAGCTGGCTCTCATTGTATCGTTCAAACGCCGGCACGAGAGAGGGAAGGATATCGTCGCCCTCGGTCAGGGCCTGGACATCTAGCGGGATGGGGGTTCAGCATTACAACAGGGAAAGGTAGGCCGCGCGGGGGCATGGGTGCATTCGAGACTGAATCGATGGATAGGATAGGGTTCAATTACCAGCGACAACGTCGGCGAGCTATAAAGGAAATCAAAGGGTCAGCCAGATCACAAACACGGAGTGGAGGGGTACGGGGGCGGTCCCCGATGCAACCAAGATGCGTACCTCGCCCGGAGGAGCTCCCTCAATGAATGATGATGCGAGTTCAACAGTAGAAGCCATGCTGCAAAGAATACAAGAAACGTGACAGAATTCGTGGAGAGATCGGAGAGGAGAAGTTGTGATTGCGGAGGTCAGGTCGAGCTCTGGGCGGGGACCCGCACGTGGTTCCGCCTTCTGCTCATACAATAATATCAACAACAATATTCAAGTAGTGCAGCGTCAATGGTAACTTCAAGTTTGAAATTGTTTGAAATTTTCATTATGCAGTTCATGATTCTTCATGATAGTAGTAAGGTATCTTGACGCTAAAAAAGAACAGAAAAAGACCCAAGAATAACAATAAAAGCAAATGTGTGCACCAAGTCCCTAAACACCCTGCGCATAGATAATCAAACTTGTAATCGATATCTCAAAAGAAAAAAAACCGCCATAGCCCCCGCTAAATGGAATGGATGTAGTCCGGAGCTCAAAATAGTAAAAGAATCAAGAGAAAACAGTAAGCCAATTCAATCAGCCAGAAAAATCCCAAACCCGTAAGGGAAAACAAAGTTGACGCCGAGATTAGTCAATACTCATGTTCATAAAGCCATCACTAGTCTCAGTCATGCCCTGCAGACCGATACGCTTTGTTCCAGCACTATGAGGTGTAGTACGGGTTCCATTTTCAGTGCTAGGTCGCTCTGAAAAAGGTGCGCCGAGTTTGGATGGTGGTCCCCAGATATTAGGCCCATTGTCTACCACAGTGGAAGTATGAGTGAGCACTGGGCTGCTTTGTGCACTAACACTGGGTGAGACCGCGCGACGTTTGAAGAGATTGGGGTCAAAATCGTCCTCGCGGCCCCGCTTCCGACGCATCTCGCTCACAATGGACATTCCAGGGGGATGAGGTGTCGAGGAGCGAGAACGAGGTTTGGAGTCGGTGGTGGTGGAGCCCATCGTTGTGGATGGTGTCATATCCATTATCATATCGTTTTCAGGCACGGATGAGGCAGACCGTCTCGGAGGTGGAGGTGGAGGGGTGCGGTAACGTTCATCAAATGAGTCCCAGAACTCAACCCCTCCTGAGTTACGACTGGCTTGCTTGCTGAAACTACTCGTGGACGGAGTCGATTTTGAGGGCGTGGATTCGGCACCTGGTGATTCTTCAAGTGGCTGAGATGGCTGGAGAGAAGGAAAAGTTCCAAGTGTAGGAGATGTTTCCGGTTCGGTGTCTCGGACCTGTCGAATCACTTCGGCTTCACGTTTGATATCACTGTCGACAGGTTTGCCTTCTTCCATCAGGTCCGCGCGAACACGAGCAAATCCCTTGCTTTTCGGCTGTATTATATCATTAGACAGACATCCACGAGTCAATATTCAGAAAATAAACATACCAATAAGCTTCCTCGTCTTGTGACTGCACGACGAATGACCCCCAACGGCCCACGATCCGAATGTGATCCAGCCGTGGGACTTCCGGTCCGCATGGCGCGGCTCTCACCATCGTCGCTCAAATCAGACAGACGAAGATCTCGTGTTCCAAGACTTAAGCTTTCTCTGCGGGAGTGGATAGACTGGTGCCGACCGAAATATCCTCCATTCGAATTCTCCACGCTCTTCATGACGGGAGGAGAGTGAGGGCCAGGACTGGGTTTGGAGCTATTACCACTCGCACTGCTGGAACTGTGCCGGCTTCGCCCTTTCCCGAGCCGTGCGCGTTGGAAACTCATAAGACTGGCAGTTGCGTGAGAATAACCGCCCATCCATTCACTCCCAGGACTTTGGATGTTACCCGCAGCAAAGGGACCCGATCCACCACTATTCCGTGTTGCTTGTGGTGTACTAAGTATGACATCCTCACGGTCGCCCATCATGGCGTCTTCATCCTCTTCACTGCTGCTGGTATCCGATTCCATCATGTTGGCGCTAGAGACAGAGCTTGAAATGGCAGTTCGATCTGCTGGACCAGAGGTAGAGAAAGGTGGAACAGAAGTCAAGCTAAGAGACCCACGTCGCTGGGGTATCGCCATACCGCGGCCTCCTATTGTTGGCGATGAATCCGGGGAAGACTCGGCGAGAGTAGAGTGATGGAGGTTGGTACACGCGCGTGAGAAGTCGAGGCCACGGGAGCGCCGCGGTAGAACTGAGCCAGGCGAACCATAAATTTGGGAGGAGTCGAGTTTGGGTGAAAGCGGGGCACGAGATACGGAGGGGGATGTTGAGGCCTTTGAGGGGAGGTTCAAGGATAAGTTCGGGTGGTGGTTGTTCGAACGATTAGGCGTAGCCGGTAATGTTGGGAGCGAACTATCATCCTTACTCGGAGGGCGGCTTAGATCACCCGTCGATGGCTGTGTAGTAAGACCAGAAGTTGGTCTCGATGCGTCTGACAAGGACCGTGATTTGGGAGAACGCGGTACAGGGTCCTGTGCAAATGAGGACTCGGGCTGCAATTGCTGGCTTAGTTTGCTCTCAAATGGGTGAGCTGATGCGCTTCGCTCGGGCCCGAGAGGTCGGATCTGGGACATTCTCCAAGAATTATAGTTAATGGTATACAGTATCTTCTTATACAATCGGCATTGTTCGGAGGAATGGGTAAATGGACTCGACGCGTGAAGTTATCGCGAAATGATGATGATGGGCGGCTAACCCGAAAGCGGAGTCGCCCCGCAGTGGCGATTTTGATGTGTTTGACATAGTTAAGACCCAGTTAAGTTTAAGAATGTATAATACTAGCCGCGGCTACGATGTAAATTTGTACTAGCAGTGAAAGAAATGAATGTTCAGGAGTGGCATAGATATCAATGTATACGAATGAGTTGCATGGTTTTTTTCACTTGTCTTTTAATTCTCTGGTTTTTTTCTCATTGGTATACGAATGGCACACAAGGCCGCCTGGGCATGATATAAACCGAGTGAACAACAACCATTAAATTTAAACCCACCAAACAAAATTCGTCTTATTTATACAAATATCATATTATGCCAAGCTCATTGCATCACTTACTGGCACGACATACCACTCCCAGTCGTTCAGCCCATTCAATTGTGGTGTCTTGAGCAGATCTTGATCGCGAGCCTGCCAAACCTGTACAATCACAGCCCTTGTGCGGGCAATATTTGATATCGTTGACCCCGCCATAGATGCCAATGCGCGGAGAATCATTGAGCGACCGAAGACAGGCCCATCAGCAGTAGACCATAGCTCATCATGCGACGGGTCGAGTTCAACGGCCGCCACAAAAAGAGGCCATGTCACACCAGCCGGAATTCCTCGATCCAACTGACCAGACACCAATCGTAGGATCTGATGCACGTAGTCCACAACCAACGGTGTAGTAGGACCAGCCCCATAAAGGCCGCAGTGTAGATAAAGCAATGTCGCTAGTCGCTTGGCCTCTGCAGCGGATGCGAGGGTGTCATCGCTCTCGCTCCCATCGCCAACCTCTTGAATTAGATGTTCGAGTTGATACTCAATGGACTTCGCTCGAGCATGAAAAGAGTCCCGGGCAGAGTCCGAATTAAGCTGTCGCCGAGCGCCACTCATATCAGTAATTTTCAAAAGAATCGAGACCAATTCAGGGCTACAGCCCATCCAAGTATCGATATTGCGATCCTCCGCCTTCCAATAGTCACTCCCAAATAAACTTTCCTTCGCACAGGCGGTCCGCCCTATAACATCTTGGAAGGCAAAGAAATGCTCAGCAAAGTCGGAAGCGGGTTCGAGGGCACTTGATTCCTCCGGGAATTCAATTGTGCGCTGTCTCCTCAATCGAATCAAGTCTTTGGCGCCCTTAAGGTGGATGACCCACTGTTGGTCACATTTGTCTGCGATCTCATAAAGACATAGCATCATCATTATCACCAAAACTTCGGGATCGGCACTACAGGCAAGTGGCCCTTCCCTTGATAAACGACATCGGAGATCCCTCAATGTTTCAGACTTTAAACGAAGGCCAAGCACAGCGTATGAGGGATCAACTCGAGACCAATGACTAGCGCCCAGCGCTTGAATAGCTTTGAAAAGTGTAGGCGAGCCAGAAACACTGAACGGCAAAATAACAGAGGCAAACGGCGAAGACATGGTCGAGCTGGCGCTGGTACGAGGACAAACCTGTCGGAGGTAATAGTCCAGAAGTTCCCCGTGTCCAACCAGTGATGCTTGCGGGAACAATGATAGAGCCGGTCTAATGCTAGTCTCAGGAAGTGAAGCAACAAAAAGATCGCTTGGACCATTGCGAAGAGCCAGTGAAAGCCTATTTGAATCATTCAAGACCACATCCACATCGTTGGGATGCTCATATGTCCCTCTTCCACTGTTGAGGAATGCCCATGGCTGAATTTTCGGTAGTAGACACCACTGACTCATCTCATCTGAGGATAGCCCCGGGGTAGAAGGAAGTGAGGCTCCAGATTGACTTCCATCTGATCTGGCTTTGTTCCATACTCCTGCGCGGCCAAACGCCACACCACGACTGGCAAACTCGGACTCCCATTTAAGGACGAGACCCGTCGTGCATGGGAGCCTCTTCTCCCAGCATCGTGTACAAGCAGGCTTCTTGGTATCACATCTCACTCGACTAGTCCGGCATTCTTGACAGCCGCTACGAGACCGGGTTTTCACCGGTCCCGTACGGTCGGCGGCTTTTCTGCGCGGCATCCAATGTGTCGAAGGCGAATATTACATGGACCCGGTCGGAGGACGAGTCAGGCGTCCATCAGGAAAAGGGAGCGGTGTATATAAGTCGGCTCAACTGCAAGTGATAGGTCTTCAAACGTTTGAAATGGCCACCGTAGATTTGGAGGATTTGAAGTGTCGCGGGGTGAAGTTAGTTGGACGGAAGCCGAGAAAGCAAGAAAAAACGGGTCCCCGCGTGGCGATAAGAGTTGAAGCTTAATAATTTAGTGGCCACCCCGCACATGCAGGACCCTTATTCACCAAGTCGCTAGCGTGATAATGGATAATTGTCGGACGTATACTACCATATTTGTTTCAAGCGGGGGCAACAAAACTGGTCTTCTTCGAGCTGGCCCATAAAGTTTCAAGGTTACTACTTTGTGGAAGAATTTACACCACCAAAGCTTCCAAGTTTGATTGAATCGGTACTTTGGGGCAGCTACTAGGGCTATATGCATGCCACGTTCTAAAGACCTCAGTCTTAATGATAAAAATTGTCGAATCTTGATATATATACATGTAAGTGAAGGCATTTGTTATGCTGTGTATGTACATATATATTGGTCCTCGTGTACCCAGCAAGTGCAAGCAAGGCCATCTTGTTTGAATAACGGGTAGCTTAGGGAGACTACATTCGTCCAAAACAGCCGCGGGTTTCTTTTTTCAGATGCAGGATTGAAGTTCAAATATTCCACTTGTGGTCTTGTTCTGTAAAAACAGACAAAAGGTCCTATGCCATTGAGCGGGGCGAATCCATCTCCTCCAGCTGGAAATTCTCGTCAGACCCATGCTCGTCGCGTGAGATGAAGGGTTGCGATGCGCCCTGCTCTTCATCATCCGCTCTATGAAACCGCTCCCGACTAGGAACATCATTGGCCTTGTCATAGGTAACATCACAGTGGATGGAGCGCAGGGACGGGTAGTAACGACGGTATGAAAACCAAGCTACCAGCATTCCAAGGGTTCCACCGCTAGACACGTCCCATACATCATGACGATAGTCAGCCAGACGAGACAATGCTACCAGGAGGGCGCAAAAGAGGGGGACGAATGCAATAAGGCTGCGGCCCAGGTCTGTCCGAGGTCGAAAGACATGCATTTGACCGCACAAGAAACTATAAAAACGATTTGTTAGAATATAACTAAGGCCTGCTTCTGACATAGAGATATACTCACAGAGTAAGATATCCCAAGCCACTGAAGGAATAGCTGCTGTGTCCACTGGGAAAACTGCGCCATCCTTCGTGGAGGAATCCTTTGCTGGGCTCCGTACAAATTTCCCAAGTGAGAAGTATATTGTCCGGGGTGCCACGAGCGGGTTTACACCGCGCTAGCAGATCAGGTCGAGGCCTTCCCACCGCGTTCTTAATGATGTCTGTCAAAACGGTAGTAAGGAGTAGTGATACAGCGAAGCCGATCACTGTGGCCTGGGTCTGCTGTAGTCCAGGACGTTTAAGCGCAGCCCATACGAGGATCACACCAAGAGGAATCCAGCCTCCACATATAAACATCATATCTAAGAGGATGAATAAGTAGCCGTTGGCATAATAAAAGAGGTATATTTGGACTCTTACTCAGAGGGACTCTTTCCTGAGTAGCATATGGGTACTGGATGGACTTGTTATCGAGGGAAAACATGCGGTGGAAAGGTTTTATAAAGGCGTGAATCTAATAACAAGCAACAATTGATGTTAGGATTTGACGCCATGGAAACCGGGATAAGCCACTGTTGAAACTTTACCAGAAACCATGCTGCCACCAAAACTCCGAATGCGATATAGTCACCAGCGTAGGTGCGCTGGTAAAACCGAGCTACTGCTCCAATAACCCCTGTGCGATGGAGCATCGACGTTGGGCCTCCGTTCCCGGAACCATTGCGAGGCATCTTGCAGGTAAGATGCGCGGAAAGTAATAAGTGAAGGAGGAACAGGGGTTCCTTCACTGAGGTCGCGTGTCAGGAAGTCAGTAAGATTGTTACTTGTGCCGGGGGCCGGGGCGGGCCAAGTCCGCGCCCTGCACAGACCCACTTTTGCTCCGGCCGCGTTTCTACCAACCACCACCCCAGTTGCTCCATTCAACTTCGAACTCCCCCGCACACCTGGCGAGCTCCCTGCTCAACCTTGAATCGCGTTTTTTTTTTAAAAAACAAAATGGACGATCCTAATCAGCAACGTGCAGTGCCTACAGCCTTTGCGCCGCCCCCACCACTGTGGAAATACTTCACGCGCGACAACCTTGATAAGCTAGATGAGATCAAGAACGAGGCGTCAAAGAAAGAAAACGGCCAGCCTGATCGGACTAAGCAGTGGTCAGGGGAAGAACTGCGTGCGCTTGATGTCCCCCCAGAACTTCGCTTCCTCGTGCCACCAGAGGCCCCAACGAGCGAATACTCAGTGTTTGGTGAATTACAAAGCGTGAGTTAGATCAGACCTGCACTCAATCGTCGGGATCTTGGATATTGACTTTTAGTTATTAGCTTTCTACAACATTACCCTCCTTAAAAGACCAGGACATCGAACAGCTCTACCCCGAACCTGGTGCAGATCCCAACCAAGACCCTTCGAAGCCTCCTCAACCGTTGAACCATGCCTATTACCTGCTGAAGATCAGCAAATCGCTTCTTCTTAACTTCTTGGAGTTCGTCGGAATTTTATCGGAATCACCAGAGCAATTCGAGCCAAAGGTCAATGATATGCGCAATATGTTTATAAACGCACACCATCTACTCAACCTGTATCGCCCACATCAAGCTCGCGAATCTCTCATCATGATGATGGAGGAACAGCTACAGCGGACCAAGGATGAAATCAAACAGATGGACAAGATGAAAACCGACATTGAAGCTGCCCTTGAAGAATTACAAACAGAGGGCTACCGTATCACCTCGGCTGATCAGCTAGCGAATGGAAGCAGTCAGTCGGATATCAGTTTACAAAAGGCAGAAGATGCGCGATTGGTGTGGGAGCTTCTGGAGAACGACAACTGATGACACACAACTCAACGCGCTTCTGAGACATCGAACTCAATCAGCCTATATATCGACCAAGATGCTGAGACATTACACTTCACCAACCTGTCAGCGTGGCCACTCAATGCCAGCCCGATGGTGCAGCTCGCACGCTCTCCACTGGCTACCACAGCTTATGAGACGATGGCGGAAATACTTGCAAATATGTGCTGGTCTTCAATCCCCGGGATATCATGCCCCCCAGTCAAATCTCTCTTCGGATCCGATCTCTTTTTTTTCAGTTTCGGCTGGACAATTGTAAGAGCAACCACGAGAAAGCTGTTATGTGACCTACAGAGAGAGGACTGAATGTGCCAGGTATACGCATAGTGAAACAAACCCACCCTTTGAATGGATAAGTGGGCTTCTTCCCTGTCCTCAAGCATTCAAAGTAGTCCTTTGGAGTTTTTACTACACTGATATAGATATTAGTAGTATATTGGACACGTATAATCTGTTCATAGATCTGATTAGTTATACCCTTATGATACAATAAAAAGCTTCGTGCCGGTTGACTTCTCTTTTCATTCACATTGGCCGAGATATTTTGCTTGGAGAACCACTATCTTTAATCCCTAAAATGCCGGTAACCCATTCAAGCATTTCGGGTCCTTGCTGCATCGGAACTGCTCGGATTGGGGCTGCATTTAACGCTTGAGCCTTTACCTTTACCGTGCATGGAATCTCCGCATATCTAGACAATATTGCCTGCATGTCCGTGTTACACTTCCTGTATGTGGTCTAAGTTTGTACTATTTCTTTAACCCTGCAATATTGAAGTAATACGGAAAAGAATGGGAGTGTGTTGATTTGGATGTTGAAACCTGAATTGACCCACAGCTCTTTTTGGATTTTCCCATATGAAACTCGAAATTTGAGTGCCCGGGTGCCAGGTTACTACCACCCCTTTCCACAATTATTCACGAATTACGAGAAGAGCGACCACGAGATCTAAATTCCTGATATCTTGTTCAATTACAACCACCTCAACAGCTTCGGAGCTCTCTGAACCTTCATGGAAAGAAGCCCCAATCTGCGCTGAATGGGAGAATGCGTGGCCTGTCGTTGTCCATAAGACCTGGGGCACTGAGTACGTTTATCTCCAAGGTGTTGCGGTAAAGATCTCCTCCACTCCTTGTCGCTGAAAATCCCCGTGCGACGATGAGGACAAAGCCGACGGAAATGCATCTCACTAGAGCCTTCGCATTCACCAAGTAGCAATAACATATTTCAAAGCATATCAAAGCCTAATCCGTGGTTGAACCTCTCCCAGTTCCCTAGTTTAACGTGCATAGATGAAAGCATAGGTGGGAACTGAGACCGGATTTCACGGGAATATTCCAAAAGTGCCTTGCAACTTTCTTCATTAACTGAATCAGCAGGCCAGCTTTCATGTCCACAGCTAGGACTGGGTAGATTAATTTCAAGATGCTGAAGATGATGGAAGCGGCATAAATAGTATGCCATGCCCATAGAAAGCCTGAGGCCAGCAACAGTCAATTCATAAGCAGCCTCAGTGACACAGGGGGAGGGGATTGAATGTGGGGTATATACTACTATCCTTTGAGAGCACGGAGCGAGAAGGGGACTCACACAGTATAATAGACAATCTCCCCATTCCTCAGCATTATTAGTACTCTTCGCCTGCGACTTTAGTAAAATGCATGCAGTAGACCCAATAACTCTACAAAATCAAGGAAGAGAAAGATAAAACAAAAACGAAAACCAAGACACCGACCCATCGGTACATACCTTAATTGGAAAGAAATAGTAATACAAAGAATATAACAAGCATCCACTACCGCCAGAAATAGTTTCCCTTACTGTGTCAGAAAGCCTTTTGTTCCTGTAACAACCCCCTTACTAGCTGGGGAAGCCTGCAACAGATGTCTGCCATTAATATAGCTTCTTCATTCAACAGTGAGGGTTATGTGCATTCAGAACTTACCTCCACGACCACCACGACGGCCAGAATTACCACGGCGACTACGACGAGCAGGACAGCCGGGGCCATTTCTACCGTCATGGGTATTTGTTGCATCACCACGGGTGTTTCTAACCCGTATCAGTTCCGCAAGTGCGGCCTGAATCTCCTCATCCTAAACCACATGCGTTAATATTTGGTATGCATAAGTGCGAAGAGAATAGTGTCGTGGTGGAAGAGGCAAGCAGGCATATATGAGGAAGGAATCACCTGTCCAATAAATTCGATAGCATGGAGAGCTATAGCAAAAAAAAACGGTCCAACATTTTATAGAGCTGGTAAAGGTCCTATATCGCCGCATATCATGTTAGTATTGTACCATCACACAAGACGTATAGGAATGCTACTAGCGTAATCCATGAGTGAGAACAGGCACAATAAGTCGGATATATGATATATATAATTGGTATACATATAAGAGGCAGGACAGTGATGCCTCATAAGGGAAGGTGGGCAAGCAATAATATGTCATGCCCATATGAGGGCCAGCAATCGTCAATTTGCAAGCGGTGACAACGGGGGAGGGGCTTGAATGTGGGCACATATGCTTTGAGGGCACGGAGTGAGAAAGCAATCGTCATGTTTTATTACCTGCGGTGGGCGTGGGAGCTGCAAGGGCACACAAAAGGGCAAGCTGTGTATGGATAGCGGGGTGTCTAACGCGCAAAGGGAGAGGGAAATGGCAGATCACATGAATCGCTACTCATAAATGGGCAAAGAATGATTTGATGAATAAACTCACTTCTGCCACCAGCCGATTTTCTTCATCATCGCCAGCGCCGCCGTCTCGACGATCATCGTTGCTACCGGGGGCACCGGCGGCGCTAGTACCGTTCATTTTTGAATAGAAAAAATGAACGAGGGAAAAATGAGAAAAGGGAAAAGAGGCAAGAAAATAAGCAAGAAAGACTCTCGAGGAAGCGAAAATTGGTCGCGGGTATTTTTGCGTGCGAGAGACCTCGGGAGTTAGAAATCTTAGAACCTTAGAAGGAAAGAAATCAAAACCCCCTAAGAGCGTGCTTTTATACGGTGCATAAAGGCATGAAAAAGGAATATAAATATACCGAATTAGGCAGTCACCCTTCTCTTTCTCTCTTCCTCTCTGTCGAGTGAGTCTTCACCTTACAAGTGGGGCGCCGAGTCAATAAACCAAGACGCGTTCCTCACTTCATACTTAGGGCATTGCTTCTTTTACCTCTTGCCTTCGGAGAATAATCAGGCCGAGTCGGTGGAGCGTGAGCGTTCAAGTGTCTGATGCGATAACCATGCTATCACTCATGGCTCACTATATATATATAGCCTTGTAGCTTCCTGTTCCTCTCTAGGGTTCCGACGTCATTCCCTTATCCGTTTTATCACTATCACTATCACTATCACTATCAACACCTTGATTGCGGGCCCAGGCATCTAAGCGGAATCGGGAAACTCTCGGTCTCAAACCCATAAACAGATTTGAAGACGTTCAGGAGTTCTCTCTCGAGGGACTGCACCCTCATATCATCATTCTCCCAATGAAAGGCGATTACTGCTGTCTTTCGATAAGGTTTGAATTTTGTCGCATGGTTTATCGCCGTTTCCAAGTCGGCGAAAATGTTGCTCGGGATTGTCGAGAACGAGCCTATTCGGCGGCCCCACACGCTGTCATAACTCTGATTGTTTGGGCACTTGTAATCGAGGTTCTATCAGCCCCGAGAGACAACAATCCAGGATAGCAAGGACGTCTATATGACTTTCTCCCAATAGCGAATGTCTTAGTTGTTGCCAACTGATATTTTTTTTCCATTTTTGGCAGTAAATGAAACTTCGCTTTGGTGTTGGGAACCGCCGAGCGTTCCACGACCAATGAAGGCAAATATGAACAGAGTCTGAATACCAGGTATTGAGGTGTGATAGTTGCTGATGATCGGTTGTACTTGTCGAGACAGGTCCCAGCGGGATGACTGATGATGATGAAGGAATTACCTAGCGTATGGCCTCGATGGCCATGCGGGCCACAATTGGCATAGCCTCCTGGACAAAACGCAAAATGGCCTATATTACCATTACTATGTTAGTATAGTACCTGCGAGCTAGATTGTAGAAGTCAATCATACTCTATATATAGCAATACTAATAGCTTAGTCCATCTGTAAGCAGAGATATGGGGAAATGAGACATGAGACATGAGAGAGATGCTCCACAAGGCAATGCAAGCAGGCAATGATCATGCGATATGCAAAGCAGCGCTAACAGCAGAGCTCACATTTGTGAACGAGGACATGGGAAATCGAGGTAGGGCAGAGATGTTTCGCAAAGCGATCTGCGAAGAAGAATTGGAAGCGTCAGCAATGAGATCAATAAGGATTAAGAACTTCCATTTCGGTTCTTCAGACACGATTGTAAATACCATCTTGGCATGGCCGCAGTTGCAAACAATAGAAGTTGGGGATAAAACAAGGCCGTAGTAAAATATCACAGAATACCAGGCCGCCTAGGCTGATATGAAAGTCAGGATTTTGCATGCGAGCAGATGTTTTGGACATACTGTTGCGCACGTCAAGCTCGATCAAGAGTTTTGGATTTAGATAGCGGGCCCTTTGACCATGGACTGGAAGATCTACAGAGAAGCGAAAGCAGCAGCAGTAGTAATAGAAGAATTGAATTGTCAGGTTTGGCTAACATCTATATATTGTAGCATACTTCTAATGTAACCACAGATGCGTGATTTGAAGAAAAGTCATCATATTATTTCATGTACATTCACACATGACCCCACTGAGAAAAAAAAAACTTTCCCAGGTGGGAGGAGGGCAAAAAGATGGACTCGCGGGGAATCGAACCCCGGACCACTCCCATGCTAAGGGAGTATTATACCACTAAACCACAAGCCCAATTGATATATGTCGGCTCATGTTTTGCCCTTATCAACCAAAATAAACGCATATCCATCCCAGCATGGTTCTCGGGTGGGTTCAACTTTGATGAGCGATCGGGGCTGAGCGACTGCCCGATTTCCTAGACGGAGTACATTTCCCATTCCCGAGGGATTGAGGCTGGCAACATTAGCACAGTGCCATGTTGGTTCGCCATGCTGGTCAGCCGCCCGCGCAGCCAAGGTTGTTTTCTCTGTAAAAAACGCAAAGTCAAGGTAATGCAGAGATCCAGTTACGTCTCATGCAAAAGCCAATAAACAGCCACAGTGTGACGAAACTAGACCGTTTTGCCGAAACTACTTTATTTATGGCAGCGAGTGTCCAGGGTGTTATAGAACGCCGCCCCTGATCTTTCGCAGTGAGAATGAAAAGACGGAGCAGCGGGTTCGAAAAGCTCGCCGGAACAGAACAAGAGTAGAATCCAGGAATAATGGATCAGAGCTTGTGCTCCTGGCCCCCAGCCGTCAACTGATAAAAGATCAATTGGCTGTTCCACGTTTCCTCTTGGATTCTTCTTGTGAACATCATGGCCACTGCTATTTTCTTGACGAGTTCACCTTACCTACTGAGCCTGATGGGAGCCCAGGACCTCTTGATTCTATACCATTGTTATATACGTTGTGTGAGGGGAAATCGAATGATGCACCCGCTGCGAGCTTGCGGGCCTCACTAGACGCAGCGGCCTTTGCGTCGCTGGCCAATCGTGGCAAAGTGCCTGGTATTCAAGCTCGATGAAGGTATGGAGAGGCTCTGCAAAAGCTGAGCCTGTCGCTGTGCTCATGTCGGCTGTGCTCAGTAAAAGATGCCACACGAACGGAGACCCTCGGCGCTATCGTCATGCTGATGCGCTTTGAAGACATCAACGGCGAACTGAATAGTCTGATGAGTACGCGTGTCTCTGGGACCCAATACCTGTTGAAAATACGTGGGCCCGGACAGCTGGCGGATCCAGCGACTCGATCGCTTTTCCGCCTTGCGTTCACGCAGATGGTCATTCAGTTCAAGGCGTTGAAAGATCCTCTGCAGATAGACTTGGATTGGCTATTAGAGGCACTCACTATCCCGCATCCAATCTATCATATGATGGCGGCGAATATCAACATCAGTAAGTTCTGTGCGACAGCTTCGAAGACATTCTCCGAATGTGAGGAAGGCAACGTGCCAGATGAACTGACCATTGCCTCTTTGCTCGATCGCGGACATCATCTTGATAATGAGTCCGCTCAATGGCATTGTGGGTTGCCCGAGGCGTGGCTTCCGCAGAAACATACATCAAACGCACAGGAGGTCCTTCTTCTGTATCCAGATGTCACATCAGCTGGAGTTTGGAACTATCGCCGGGGGACAAGAATACTTCTTCAGATGACGATGTTGCAGTTGCATCGTTGTATCGATCACCGTGTCGTTCCCGATCCATTGGGGCTCGGTTTATAACAGGGAAATTTGATAGCCGATCGACCTGAAGACATTATCAGAGACATGGTAGCTGAAATTTGTCAAAGTTTGCCCTTTGCGTTTGGCGATGTGGATGTATTTGGCGCCCCGAGTGTTTATACAAATGGTATCCAGACTGGCGCTAAGGCGATTCAAAGCTTCGGATTGCTTTGGCCCATTTTCAGTGTTTTCACAAAGTGGATATGCAAGTCAGAGCCAGGACGAGCAGGCGAACGTTGCACTTCGTCGTATTGCATCAAATCATGGAATTAGACTGGGAATAGACCTCAGCCAGGGAGACTGTGCAGCTTGATCGTATAGTGAGTCCTAGTAAATCATGGGTATTGGCTACGCCTAGCTCTGATTCAACCCTTTGATGAGCGATAGAGTTGGAAATTTATCATTGTTTGTGCAAATAAGTAAATAGTGTGCCTAGGTGGCTTGTAGTGAAACGTTAGGCTCCTGTTGATACATGTGCACAATCCCACTTGTTGATTGTGAGCCCACCTATTTGATCATCATTATCCAACCCACTTTCTCTTCCTCTTTCACTCTCTACCGGGCCCCCCAGTGTCCTGCTATTTCCACGTGGCCGCTATGTCGATGCAAAAGAATACCAACGACATGTTGAGTATTTTTGATGTCCTCAACATCAAAACGAAACTGAAGAGGCTCAACAAACCGCGTCTCCTTCTTGCCCTCTATGCTGAGCCCAAGGATTCCGGATCCCCTCACTACGCGCTGTTTGTCACCCCAAAATTCAAAGGTCGAAGTCAGAATCCACAGAAAGAAATCGAGCCGATTCAAGGCACAAAGTACCACATTAAACGCGGCGTCAAACGAACTGACGGCGTGATCACCCACCCATGGTGCTTTGAAGAGGTGAACGTGCCCGACCTTGACCGCGACACTGGTGTACTCGTGTGTACTGTCATTGGAAAGGTTCTATCGATGCAAAAGCTGAAGGAGGTCATCCCGGATATTCACATCTACCAGAGTGACGATCGCATACAATTCAAAGCACGCGGCTTTGACAGCAAGATGTGGTGCCATGATACATTCGATGAGTTATGGAAGACAAATGCAGTTGTTGCCATGGACTGGCGTACAGCTGAGGGTGGCACACGAGCTTTCTTGGATCAGAAGCATGGCAAGGGGCAGTGGACCCAAGCCATTACGAAGGAATATCGCAACACCCCATATGTTCCCATTGTTGACCTTATGGCTGGAAGTATTGTCAGAGGTCATATGTAAGCTGCACCGCCTTCTTGAACCGGGTACGAGGCCAAGCCAATTTAAACCTCTATTGGAACCCGCGATCGACAGTTCCGCGGATCTGGTGCCCCGTTCTTCCTGAAGAGGCAACTCTCGTATCCGGGCGAACATGACCAAGATGACCTCACGGATATAAAATGTTCGGAAAATCGCCATGAAGAAGACCAGAAAGAAAAAAAGATCAGAGACAAACGAAATCAAAACATTCCCACGAAAATTGAAACACACTGCAAATACACCATGTCTACTACGACTACCACCCAACTAGAATGCAAAGAAGCTCGCACATCCCTGTCCGCTGGCAGTTCTAGTACTACTCTATGCACACTCCCCAACGACTCAAGCCCCTTTTTCCCATCTCACATCTTGCACATTGATGCACATGGAATCAGCGCTTTTCGCCTTCCGCTCCCTCCTAACCAGAAAGAAATCACCATCACCCATTCCGACGGCAACCCGGCATATGTCTCCACCCGCGACCGGCGTTGGTCCGGCAATAGCGTCCTTTCACATCCTAAGCTTGGAAACTTGATTCGTACAGACTACTTTTTCGGCCCGAACCGAGATCCCGTTCTATGCCTGTTACAAACTTCCAGTGTTCTCGCCGAGCAAGTGAAAGTGTCCGGCAAATGGACCTCGCGCTCTGCACACTTTACCATGTCGACTGGCGCTGAATATGAATGGAGTTATGCGAAGGAGAAGCGATCCGATGGGCAGAAATTGAATCTCATTGTTCTCCGACACGTTTCTGGCTCAGACGAAAATGGAAAGGAGATACAAAATGATCGCCGTGTTGCACAGTTGGTGCGCAGCTCCGATTCTCGAACACCCGGTACATCTAAATGCACGGCCGGTAATGGCGGGGAGCTACAGGTCGATGAGGCAGAGCTGCAGTTACTGAACCTAGACGAGTCTGTCGTCGTCGCAACATGTCTTGTTATGCTTAAGCGAGAGATTGACCGACGTCGCGTGATTCAAGGCGCTGTAATCGGAGGAGCTGGTGGTGGTTCTTGAACTTGTTCTTCATGGTACTTGATTTATCGAGTTATTTTCTCTCTTTGATTCTCCATCTACATTACATCTATGTCATCGCAGCGCAATTCAAGTCATTCTCGCCAATTCATATAATCTATTTTTATCTAGTTCTTTTCTAATAAACAACCCTGGTATCTTTAAACATCATCTCAACGCTGAAAACCCCGGGTACCTGCCCGGATAGTATATCGTATCCACAGTCATCTCACTTTTGCTCATTCAACAAGCTAGTAATATGCGGGTTCAGCCAGTACTCATCCAAAACGGCCGAGGGCATATCCTTAGCCCCAGCAATCCACCCTTTGCACTCGTTCGCACCACAAGTACATTGGAAAGCCTGATCCATATCCCACTCAGTACTCGGATAGAAAAAGGTCAATGCATCCCCCTTCTTCAATGGTCGGTCATCCACCGCTCGAACCTCCATACGCGCCATGTCAAAGACTACTGTTGGAGCGCAGGAATGGTTGCAGAAAACCAAGTCTGAATTGAGCTCAATGTGCGTGTCGGCACCTGTTTGGACGCTTGTGTATGCTTTCTTGCCCGGAGTGGCAGTAGTAATTTTGGCGAACAATGCGCCGGCGGGAAGGTCGATCAATGAGTATGCCCCACTTCCGAAGGCCTTCGAGCTCCGATTAACGTGCAACCGGTCGGGATGGGTAGGTGAGGGGAATTCCTCGCGAAGGGCCGGAACGGCGGGGATTGGATCGGCAGAGGGAGCCATTTTTATTGACTGAGGTATGTAGCTTTGAGGGAGATGGAGAGGGAGAGGGAGAGAGAGCTTTGAGAGTGATCGGAGGCTCAATACGAGATGAATGAAGACAAAGAGGCGGGGAATTGAAAGGAATAAATAAACTGCTCTTTATAGCAAGGCATATTAGACGATGATCTAACTTTCTGGTTTCCCTTCAACCGAGGGAATGTACGGTGGAGTCGGAGGCTTCACGGCCAAGAATGCCTGGTTTCCGCAAACCGAGGCTCCTTGTCCAGCAAATAACCCGGAATCAAAGCCAAACCACGCCAAACTGACCAAACTAACGCCCATTAGACTCCACGGAGATCGCGCTAGGAATCTTCTAGCGGGTGATCAGCCTCCGGAACGATTTCGGTGAAACCAATCACGGCTACAATAGGTAAAAGACCCGTGGTCTTGCATGTGAGCATGGACGATATGGTAAATAACATAAGACTAATTATAACCGACCCCAATTGAGTTTCTCAAAGCGGAGAGAATCAATTTAATTTACGCAATAGTGTCTCGCCATTTAACCAACGCTCCAGGTTCTCCGCGACCTCCTTATACCATCCCCGCAGCAAGTCTTCCTCACCATATCCCATGTGGGGAGTTAAAAGCACTTCGCTACGTCCATCTTGTCCCCAACTTGTAGTACGCCACGGACTATCTAAAGGCAAAGGCTCAGGATCAAAAACATCCAATGCAGCGCCCCGAATTTGACCGGCATTCAGCGCACCCAGTAGAGCGGACTCGTCGATCAACGGCCCACGAGAAGTATTAATGATAATGCCACTGGGTTTCATCGCTGCAAGCTCATCCGTACCCACAATGCCACGACTACGATCAGAAAGCACATAATGCACACTGACAATATCGGCACTAGCAAAGAACTCCGACTTAGACGGGACCACTGTAAAACTGCCCGCGGGGAGACCATGAGCAATCGCCTGCTCATCGGCTTTCTCCTGCGTTAAGTTCGCCGACCAAGCAATGACGTCCATTCCAAAGGACTCAATGCCGATCTTGCCCACCCACGACCCAAGCTTTCCGAGTCCCAATAACGCCAATTTTTTCCCAGAGAGAGTCATTCCCAATGATCCCTGCCATCCACCCTGTTTGACAGCCGCGTCATCCCGCGCTATATTCCGTGCTGAGGCGAGGATCAATGCCCAAGTGTGTTGGACTGTACTGTTCACGCCGGGTGGTCGACCTTCCGTACCCGCTACGGGAATTTTTCGGTCGGTGAAGGTTTCAAGATCTAACGAAAGGTTTCTTAGGCCGGTTGTGAGGAGGAGTTTTAGGTTTGGAAGGGAATTGATTGTTTTTGCGGCGAAGGGGGTCCGCTCGCGCATGGCTAGGATCACGTCGAAGGGCTCGAGGCGCTGGATGAGCGCATCGTGTTGGGCGGGGTTGCGCGGGTCAAGAGTCTCGGGGAAACTGGAGATGTCGATGCGGGACTCGAGGTGGGCAAAGTATTGAGTCGCAATGCCCTGGTAATCGTCCAGGATCGCGAATTTGGGGTTCGCCATGAAATATTAAGTGGCTTAGTGGTGGTGGTTGCTGTCTAGAAGTCGTTTTTTTTGTATAGCCAACCCCGCTGTTCCCCACATTTGGAGACGGAAGCAGGGTTGCCTGGGCTTAATAGCTTAGCCGAGACTTCGGAGATGAAGCTATCCATCGCTGATCGCACGTCATACAGTCTTGAGACCAAATCCAATTGATATACTTCTACGCATTATTTCTCAACCTGTAATTATATACTTGCCACATTGTAGAGAATAATTTTCAATTATTAGTTAGATCGAGCCTCGGATGGTTACATAAGCCCGCATTGAGTTCATCAGCTCCCGCTTGAAATGGACCACACTCGTCAAGTTTCACGTTATAACTTGCAAAAATGGAGAGCCAGGTATACCTCTATCCTCCCAACTTTTTGATGAGCTTCTCTAATATCCGAGTAGAAAAATATAGTCAGCCCCGAAGAATTCCAGGCTGCTCGAGCTCATCTTCTCGAGCAAGAGAAAGCGGTAACCCGCCAGCTACAGGAGCTTGCAGCCTTGCGCCGTGAGTTGCCTATGGTGCACATCAAAGATCCAGCACGATTTCAATTCGACACCCCCGAAGGATCAAAGAGCCTGTTAGACTTGTTTGATGGACGTAAACAGCTCATACTTTACCATTTCATGTTGGGACCCCAGGAGACTCAGGGCTGCGTGGGTTGTTCATTCTGCATGGACCATATACCAGACCTCGGCCACCTCTGGAGTAGGGAAACTTCCTTCGCTGCCGTAGCTACTGCGCCATTGGATGATCTCATGGCCTATAAAGATCGGATGAATTGGAAGTTCCCATTTTATAGTTCTGCCAGAACGCATGAGACATGGGCCGAAATCGAGGCACGGGGTGAACTTGTTACTTGGAAGCCTGGGAACGGCTACTTTGGTCTTTGCTCTTTTTATCAGGAAGGTGACGAGGTATTTCATACTTATGAGACGTCATCTCGGGGATTGGAGATTATACTGTCCACATATCACTTGCTGGATATGACCTTGCATGGCCGGCAAGAGGTGGGAAATGGAATGAACAACTTCAGTCGTCATGACGAATACTAAAGGCGAAATATCGAAAAAGAGCAAAAACTTGTGAACATTTGGTCCTGCACCACGCTTAATTTTTCTGGGTAGAAGCTGCCTGTCCAGCTTGAGTGGTATCTGTGTATGACGGAGAGCATATAACTTGGTCAATTGTCCACGAGAAATACTGTTGTGTAACTTTGAACACAACTTATAATCCAAAAACTTCAGTTCAGTGCCAAAATATCTGGCATTTTTTATATGTAAAGCCGAAGTATTGGAGTGTGATTTTCCATATACTATTACATTTAGCCTTGTGTGTTAACATAGCTTCAAATCATATGAGCTGGAATAGTGAGTTCTATGAGCCAAAACAGCTAATCATCGTATGTTCGGGAGATATTGACATTGGTCAGATCAGATTCAATTTTGAAATCAAGATCAATCCTTCAATTGAGAGCCCGAGAGGTCAATGGAATAATCGGCATGTAACCAGGAGATTCATAGTTTAATCGGGTATCCGACTGGGGGACCAGGAGACTGAGTTTAATCGAGACCCGATCAGTAGGTTAACATATTGATCTGGAGGCCAATAACTTGAAATCAATCGGAGGTCAATCGGGAGTCAATGGCTTATTTGTATGGTCAATGGTTCAATCAGCCAGTCAATGGCCAAGACTGCATGTCAACGGTAAAATCTGCATATCAATACTTCGTATAGTCCGTATGTCAACAGTACACTGCAGTTGCATGTCATTAGTCCCGAGGTCTAGAGGGCATGAAAGTCCATACCATCTCCCATCCGTATACATGGTATCCGTTCAATATCAGTTTCTATGGATTTCTCAATGATTCATTGCGATTAAAATCAAATGCCCTCAGGCTAGAGAATACCAAAGCAATCTCATGCCGATGCATACTATAGCACATGTGCAAGCGGTGGTAAAATGAATAGAATTGAAAGCCAAGAATTATACTGATTCCATGATTAATCATATAACCACGTAGGCAGCCTTCGGTATCTGCTTCTTTATAGTATACACCCTCAAGGCTTTTAGAATTCAAGCTGGCTTAGGATCTCGAATCATAAAGACAAAATCATCTACGCCATGAGCGCCCAGTTCATTCATATCAAAATCAACGTTTTCGACTGCCTTCCATCCATACTTCACATACAGAGGGTATCCTTCAGGAGTTGCCTCAAGGTAAATCCGGACTTGCAATGCATCCGCCTTCTCACAACCCCAGCGGAGGATGGCGGATCCAACACCACGGCCTTGATGACTAGGCAGAGTAGCCAATATATCGAGCACTAAACATTTTGATCAGCATTGAAGTAATAAGCAATTAAAAGAGAGCAAGATTCATTCAAAACTTACTCATGTCGCGCTCTGTAGTATGGCGCTTACGCCCCTCCTCCAGCATTGCCTTGAAAGCTGTGAATACGCGCATATTCATAGGCTGAGGCGCAAAGGCCACAGGATCCTTAGCGTAGACCTGGCCTTGTTCGCTCAATTCGGGGACATGCGGTTCGATTCCCAGCTCTGTTGGAATATACCAACGGCCATAGCCAACAATGGTTCCACTCGCGGGGTCTGTGACCTTCAACACATGGGTTTTGGGGTCCGCCAGGTGCTTGGGGACATGTATAGCCTTGTATGCGCGTAGACTAGGCTCACTGCTCTTGGGGAATATGACCGGAAGAAGTGCCCTTTCTCTGAAGCTGTCATTGTTGATGATGCCTAATTCTGAGGCATCCTGCTCCGTGGCGTATTCGACTTGATATGCCATTTTGGAGAATCGCGTGTGATAGCTTCGTTTGCAAATTGAGAAAATTGGAAAATGTGTGAAGAGTGATCTCATTAACTGCCGACAATATATGGGGCTTTTAAGACTTTTCACGAATAGTATATCTTTAGACAGGGTTGACTCATTGGGATGATGCTGACTGTAACCTCGGTCACGCCCTTCAGTCCCCGCCATATTGCGGGCTCCTAGTTGAGGATGGCCTAAAATGTGGGCCCTAAGATAGAGGAATGTTGAATTCTCATTGGCCTGTTGCACCCTCGGGATTGGCCCATTAAATCTACTCAGATAGTTTTGTATTTGGTATCAAAGTAATTGATAGTTGCAAGATAGAATTAGAGCACAGGAATTAGTACACAAATTTCATGATGTTTGAATTGATAAATCTCGATAGTGGACGTGCGGGGGTCAACAATAACCATGAGCGCTCTGTGAAGGCGAATGATTTTCTCGGATTGATTCATAATGTCGGATCATTTTTGTAAATCAATTCTTTTTTGAATTGTTGGTTTCAATTCTGCGTCTCTCTAGATATGTGTAGGGTGAGACTTCATGGGATGAGAAGGTATGTGCTATATTTATCAGTGGTGCATACCTAGAAATGTATTTCTTTCAAGTTGACACTTGGCAGGTTTTCGACGAGAACATCACCGCAGATTGGAGTGATGAAATAGCTCAAAGCTGCCAGGACCTGCGACGCTCAATGATGGACTGGATCTACAGAGAGCTTCAACGGAAGGCTGAAACGTTGAAAGAAAATGGGTTTGTTCTGTCATTTGACGTTGGTGTCGTCAATAGTATTCAAAGATGATCAACAAGCACTCAAGAATGCTGTGAAGCTTTTCAATAACAGGAAAAACATCTCCGTAGAACAAAAAGGCCATCGCCCTAGCTCAGAAAATAAGTTGGTGGATTTTGTGGACCCGTCACTCTTCCCCGTGGTTTATGGTCGAACTCGCGTTTTACCCAATCGTACCATTGGGATGTACGATTGTCTGAACTACATAGGAGAGAGAGAGCTAGTCCTCGTCTCTTCAGATGGTTTAGGTGGTTCAGTGAGATAAAAATGGTCCTACCTACTGAATGAACATGATTCATTTTAGAGTCCCTGGCAAGTGAGCTTCAGTTTCACAATTGGGTTCGCATCTGGCTGCCCATACTATCAACTAAGCATTTTTTTATTCTCCGCCAGTTAGGAGCCAGTCTCAGGCACCATGAATATTAGCTTCCAAGCTACAAATCATACTAATAAGATGAGATCCTTGGCAAGTAGGTATATCATGATAACCAAGACCGGTTGGGTGGCAATGAGCCTCGCAAAGAGGTTCGGATCCATCATCGAAGTTAAAACGCCATTTGCAGGTCAGATCAAGCCGGACTAGAATATAATAATACGTGATTTTAAGATACGCAGCGACTTGAATATAATCTTGGTTACAAGGAAATCATAACATCAAATCAATTGAGCAGGGCAACATAAATCAAAACCTCTTCCTGAAACCACAGGCCACATCAAGGCCTAGTTCTTGACCTGTGTTGCGTTGGGAGACAGCACATCCTCAAGCCATTTGTAGGCGACTGGTAGGCTGTGTGGATATCCCATGTGAACTGTACCCTCGAAGAATCGCCCTTCCTTAGGACCTCCATGGTTGAAAAGTACCATCGAATCTTCAATGGGGACAACACCATCGTCCACGCCCTAGAATAAATTATTAGCACCGTGATATAGTGGATTTTTTTATCGCGAGAAGGAAGCAACAAACATTAAGTAAAAGCAATCGGCAGTTAGGCTGATCCATGATACCTGTCTCAACAAGCGAAAATTTCTTTTGGGAATTCTGAATGAAGTCTTCAGTAGTAGCGTAGCCATACTTCTCTGCCCAGGAATCGGTGATTCTATAGTATCTATGTTAATAGAGATAGCTTCTCACTAAGGTATTGATAACTTACGTGAATGGATATTCGTGATCATTTACCTTGGCTAGCCACTCTGGGCTAAGGAAATGATGCGAACCCGGACCATGAGCCACAGAGCCGGCAAGAAAGTCACGATGAGTACAAGCTGCCCGGATAGCATAGAATCCACCGGCACTAAGTCCCCAAGCTGCAACACGAGTCATATCAAACTCAGGTCTTTGAGCCATGTATTCTAGCACAGCAGTCCAAAGGCGATCTGCTGACTCCGGATCTGCAGGATCTGCAGGACAGTCTGCCGTGCCTGGGATCTCACAGATAACTGTTGCCCAGCCACGGTTGGTAATCTCGTGCGTTCGCTGACTGTTATCAGGTCTGTACCCATCCAATCCGGTCATAAGAAGAATGACAGGCACAGGGCGATCGGCGCTAGCCTCCTCAGGCACACGGATATACAGCGGGATGCTAGGTCCATCCTTAGCTGAGCGGCGGGTATGCGGGATGATAACCTCGTTGATAACTGGATTCCAGAGTGAAGCAGCCTTCATATAGAGGTATTTCTGGCGATCCAAAGCTGCACGCTTAGTTACGGTGTCTGGACGTGTTGTTGGGCTCACGTAGGGGAAACGGGAGATACGAAGCACTACAGCTGCACGGCGGAAGAGATCAGCGGCACGGTCTGGGTGGCTGTTATTCAGTGCGGTGGTTGCTTCTTCTTCAAGTTTGTCAACAATAGGAGAGAAAGCATTGGTGTAGGCGTCCGTGAAGGGATCATTGATGTTTTTCTAGTAATTTCAATAAGCTATTTGCTCTGAAGTTATTTTGGAATGAGGCAATATGTAGAGCGCGGCACAACTTACGGCAATCAGCTCCTCGAAGATAGGCTCAAAATCCTCAAATTCACCATCATGAAATGGATAAATAGACTTTTGGCTCTGCATGCAGATGAGTAGATCAGCGGGTTGACACTTTATTTTGAGCCTGTGCAGGGAAAGCGAAAACTCACACAAAATTTCCATTTCGATTCCCAAAGAGCCTTGATCGAACCCTTATGAGGATACACGGTATCAAACCGGTCGCCTAAAATCCAATTTACCATGATGAGAATAGATACTAGTTGGATGAATGTCTTTGGTTGACAATGCTAGGATTTAGTGAGGACCAGAATAGTACATTAAAGTGCGAAAGCATTTGAATTGGGGTAGCTACTATAAGTACCTCCAGGGAGCTGTGAACATACTGTCCGGATTAGTATATTAGTATCGTAGCGGAAGATGAAGTGATATAGCTGTATGAAAACAGCAAGTCTGCGGAAAGAAGTGGGGAATTGTGGCAAGATTCACCACATTGGCTGCTACATACTGCAGGCTGAGTGAGGATCGGCATATCTCAGCCGCCTGATTTGCCCAATATTTCTGAGACATTTGTCCATCGAGACCGAGGATCTTGTCGTCCGAATGCAGCAAGTTCGATATACAACCCATTATGTCGACCTCATTTTACACCTTAAACCTGAATTCGCCCCGAAGTTAGAATTCCGTTCAATGAAAGTAATCTCTGCAAAATAATGAAACAATTATCTTCTTTTTCATCGTGTTCTGAAGTTGGGAAAGAGCTGTGGAATGCTCTGTTGTACTTATTACCGCATGCGGAAGGCTATGTACCGACCCCTTGCGTATCTCACATTCTGACACGATAACCAAGATTAAAGCAACATAAGGCATGCATTACATTTCGTGGGAAAAGAACGCTAACCAAAATGAAAGGGTGTATATTTTCGAGTTATTGGACGTAGAAGGTATCAAAACATGCCGTCCACGAGCGATGAAAGTCTGATCGGAACAGGTACGCGGCATCAAAAAGCAATAGAACTTCTAAATTTATTATTTCTGTAAGTACTGGATCATCATCAATAACCGCGCTTGATCACGCGATGATTTGATCTTGCCAAAGTGTACTGTTGCAGGAACAGAGTGGAACCAGGTGAACGAGATGAACGAGGCGAGAAAGTTCAACTTTTCTCTTATAACCAGATGTCTTACAGAATGACTTTATGAGACCCAACATCTCTAGTGAAATGTCAAGTCAATTGGAAGATGGCATCGCCCAGGCAATATTAAACAGGCCGGTTATCCCGACCGGGTTGAGTCGCCCTGGACCTGTTCTGGTAGACAAGCTTTTTCCTCTCAGCTCGGCAGGCACCATTTACGATGAGATGATCTCGGATTGTCCAAGAAAACATTACATCAGGAAGACGCTAGTCAATCTATCTCCACATGATCCCTAACCACAATGAATAAAAGAGCCATGCGAGGCTTGATACTTATTCGTTGGTGAGTAACGAAGCAAATCCTGCAACCACGGGCCACTCAGACGTTAGCAAGTATCCACATCCTCGATACGAGGCATCATGGTCTTTCGGCCCCTCACCCCAGATTTCCCCACAAGACATAATCCAAGCTTTGATAGGAAATTGAGTTCATTTCAGAAGATGGGGAATTGTTTAATAAAGACAGCAGTCTGGACTCTTTATTCATATCTTAGGCGCTTATTTGAATTTGTTGCGTGAACCTCCTTAAAACATCCAGGCGAAGATGAAGCCGTTCACTGCCCCGTATACTGTCTTGACGAATCGCCTGCGAGGCAGGGGTGAATCATCAAAATGGATAGAATATTTGATCACAGCAACCTGTGCTATTGGGTAAGCGCCTCAATTCAAAGGGGGAAAGTCATGATACTGAATGGAGGTTTTGAATGAAACAGGAACATGTTGTTTGGGTATGACCAAGGCAAGTAGCTCGACCAAACTACTTTCTGTTTCAATCATTCATAACTAATAGACCTTTCCAGGTGTGATGGGTGGTTTTCTTGACAGTATACCGTTTCAAAATACATTCCCTTCTATCGCGACAACCACGGGCAGTTCGACCTTGCAAGGATTTACAGTAAGCACAAGACTCCGAACGGATCCGGATGGCGACTATTTCAAGTAACACATTTAAACATTATAGGTGGCCGTATATGAGATTGGATGCGCATTTGGTGCCCTAACTGTCATATTTGGTGGCGATCGGTTCGGCAGACGAACGACTGTGATCTATGGACAGGTTATTCTTATAGTTGGGGCAATGTCAGTGAATTGCTCATCGCCTGCTGGGAATCCAACTAACGAATAGCACAAAATAGGCTACAATTTACATCATACTCACTTGCTCAACTTATTGTCGGTCGCATTGTTAGTGAGTGATAGCGGTACTCTCGATGGGAGATATAGTACTGAAAACTCGATAGCTGGCGTCGGGAATGGAATGGCTGTTGCTGTTTTGCCAACATGGAACGGTGAATGTAATGATCTTGCATGCCTCGTTAAAGTTTCGACTCAGGTGCTAATAATATCTCGACAGGTTCGCGTCCAACTAGTCGAGGCCGCGCTGTCATGTGGCAATTGAACGTAAACATTGTGCGTTATTCCAAGAGAAAAGTCAAAAGGGTACTGCATATACTGATATCTTTTACGTTAGTTCGGCGTTGCCCTTGCCTATTGGGTTGATTTTGGCCTCAATGAATCCTCGTTGACAGGAAACACGGATTGGTCATGGAGATTTCCGTTATCTCTTCAAGTGCTTTTCTCCGCCTTAACCATTTTCTTAGCAAGTTTCATTCCAGGTATCATAACTTTATACTCTACATTATCTCCCAAGTGTTTGCTGACGATTTTTAGATTCACCACGAGCATTGGTTAAGCAAGGTCGCATAGAAGAGGCCCGAGATGTGATTGATATGTTATCACTGGAAGCAGACCCTTCGAAGAGGGAAGATGCCACGGTAACTAATTAACGAAACCTACCAAATATTGTACTCATCTTTGATAGAACGTTCATATGTCTGCCATCGAGACAATCCTTGCAGAAGAAGCCGAGAGCAACTCTAGCTGGAGCGATATTACTACCCAGGGCCGACCCAAATTTTTCCAACGGTTGGTGCTGGCTGTTTTATCACTGAGTATGATGCAATTAAGCGGTATAAACCTGATTACTTACTATGCGTGAGTAGTCCGATTCTTCAATGGAACTTGAAGTACTCCAAATTCATGTACAAATCTGACTATAACGATGACGACAGGCCCACAATTTTCCAAAATAGCCTAAATATGTCTCACAGGATGAGTCTTCTTCTATCAGGATTCAATGGACTCGAGTATTGGCTGGCAACCTTTATCCCAATCCCTTTGATCGATCGTCTTGGGCGTCGCCCGCTTCTTCTATTCTCTGCCATTGGCCAGACTATCAGTATGGCGGTTCTGGCAGGATCCACCGCGTATCCGGACAGTACATCGGCCGGAGTAATTGCATCCGTATTTCTCTTGTATGACTTCTTTCCTCTCGATAAGTGAAGAACGGTGCTAATAATGACACTGTTTAGTGTCTTCAACACCTTTTTTGGAATTGGGTTCGATGGTATCCCATTTTTGCTCCCTGTAGAGCTTACTCCCCTTCAGACTCGTGGCAAGTCTGTTTCCATTGCGACGGGCTGCTTCTGGCTATGCAATAAGCCTTTCTTCATCCATGATGACAAGATTGTATCTAATCCATGAAAATAGACTTCTTCGTCGTTGTAACGAACCGATGCCGAGTTGATGCTAATGTCGAGGTTGCGAGGTTGCGGGATCACATGACGGATCACATAATCCCACACCCGTCTGATTCTCCTGTATGATAACGTGTGGGAGCCTAACTCCCCTCTTTCCTTTTTCCTTATCTTTGATACTTTAGTTAATTCGTACGAAAGTTCTTCTATTTTCTGGTTCTTATATTGTATTAAAGATTATTTTATATTACTTAAAGCTGTATAGACCTATATCTATTTGGAAGTGTGTCTCGGCTAATTAGGTTACGTCTTACCTATCTTATATTTCTTGAATGAATGAATTACTATGGTTTGTGAAACCTCTACTATCGGTAAGATACTAATATATAGAACTAAATCTGAAGAACCCACTGACGGTAACGGTAGTTATAGATAATCTAATAATATAGAGGAGCTTAATCCTCTAAGCCTAAAGAAGGATTAAAGATTATTTATCTTTACTAATCTAGATCTCTTTGAACTAGATCTAGAGGATAGTTTTATTAAGTTTGGCTAATCTAAGGATCTATAGGAGTATTTATAGAAGGATCTATATTGATATAGATACTTATTTAATATCTAGGAAGATATAGTAGATAAACTAAATATAGTTTATAAGAGGATTAATACCTATAAGTAGAATTATATAGATATTACTTAGCTCTAGGATCTTTTAAAGTAGTATCTCTAATAGCTTTAAGAAGCTAAGTAAGAGAGAGATAAACTTTAATAGGTTTTTAATAATATATATAATACTTCCTAACTAGAGGTACTAATATCTAAGAGAACTAAAGTAAAGATCTATAAGTTTATTGATCCCCCGTTGTTTATTGATGGAAGCGGGACTAATATAAAGTTCTATAGTTAGTATATTGCTATAGAATTAAAGCTATGTATGAATATAGATTATTTCTTAACCCCTGATCTATATAAGATATATATAATAAGTTGGTTAACTGGAGCTGTATATAATTAGATTATACTTCTTCTAAATAATAATAATGATAATACCCTTAACGATAGTAATAATATCTTAGACTATCTAGAGTAGATCTATAGAGACCTAGTCTATTAGGACTGTACTGAATTTAATTTTAAGAAGCTTTATATAAAGGAAATAGAGAAATTTATAGTCTTTTTTACTGAATTTACCCGATTGGCTAATAATACTATTATTTCCTGTAAGAAATATATAAAACTTCTCTATCGGAAGTTAACCCCTAAGCTATAATATAAGCTTATTGGAAAGGTCTTAAAGATTAGTATTACTTTCTTGGACTATATGGAGAAGGCTTATTGTATTATATTTATCTTAGAGATTATAGATACTAATATCTAGTAGATAAAGGCTATAAAGGTTATTGTAACTATAGCTATTATTATTAATATTACTAATAATACTAGTAGGATATAGAATATATAGAATATAAAGTCTATTATAGACCTTTCTAACTAGTTCTTTTTAGCTATCTTATACTTAAAGTTAGATATGGTTAAACTTTAGAGATGGTGAAAGGAAGGATATTATTATAAGTATAATAAATAAGGCTATTATAATAAGGATTATTCTATCTGTATAGCTTATTTTATAGTTGAGACTATAGCTAGAAAGATCTTTATTGTAGCTAAAGTAGTAGAGTTGGAAGTAAATATTAAGGTAGGAAAAGATTAGGCTTGTTATTAGTCTTTTTAATAAATAGAGAGATATTAATCTCTAAGTTAAATATAGAAGATATATCTATAGGTAAGAAATTTATATTTAAGATAAAGATAGCCTTTAATAAATATTCTTATTCTATATTAGTATTAGATAATACTGGAGCTACTAGATTCGTATATATAGATATAGTATTTATTATATCTTTAGAAAAGTTTGGATTGAAGAACCGTTGTTTTCTAGTTTTAATAATCTTAAAGGGTTTTAATGGATATAAAGGTAAGTCTATTACTTATAAAGTATAATTAAATTTAATAATAGATAGATAGAAGATGATTAGGTTGTTTTTCTTAATTGTAGACCTGGGTTAATATTATATAATCCTAGGTTGGGACTAGTTTGTATGATACTATATCTTGATAGATTATTATAACGATAGGCTTATTTAGCTGAATAATCTTATTCCTATACTTAAAGAGCCTATATCTTAGGAAGAGTCTCTAGAGTCTTGATTAAGATATAGTTATTTAGTTAGATAATAGTATGATTACTAAGAATTATAAGTAAAGATAGATAGGGCTTTAACTAGTATTGAATTACTTTTGAAGTAGCTTAAGGAGGTATTATTCTATCTCTTTCCTCTCCTTAAGATTATAATAATTAAAGTAATAGGATTCTATTAATATATAAAGAAAGAAGGTATAGAGATTTTTATAACTTTATTCTATAAGATTGATTGTATTATTGAAGAGATATCTCTATAAGAAGAGATTATAGAGATTAAGAAGAAGATATTAATAGTATACTACTACTTAGTATAAGTATTTTCTAAGCTAGAGTTAAATGGTATACTACTATAGTAGGGTAGTATTAATTATATTATTTAGATAGATAGTACTTTTGATCTAGGATATTACCTTCTCTATAAGTAATCTCTTAAAGAGTTGAAAGTCTATAAGAAGTATATTACTAAGAAGCTCTATCTTGGCTTTATTGAGCTAAGCTTTGTGTCCTTTATATTACTTGTTCTGATAGCTAGGATATCTAGTGGGAAGATGTGTTTTTATGTTGATTACTAGAGGCTAAATACTATTATTAGGAAGGATAAATATCTTATTCTATTGATTGATAAGCTGTTATAGTAAGTAGTAGGTGTAAAGATCTTTATAAGATTAGATATCTAATAGGGATTCTACTATATCTAGATATATATAGACTTAGAGGATTTAATAATTTTTCGGATACAATATGGGATATTTAAATATAAAGTAATACTATTTAGGTTTATTAATATCCCTGCTATATTTTAGTGTTTTATTAATATGATGTTGGTAAAATATCTCGATAACTTTTATATAGTATATATAGATAATATCTTAATTTATAGTAACTTACTAAAGGAATATATTAAATATATAAATAAAGTACTATAGTAACTAATTAATATTAGTTTATAAGTTTCTCTAGAGAAATATAAGTTCTATATGATTTATACTAAATTCCTAGGATTCTTTATTAGTATAGAAGGTCTAGAAGTCGATCCCTAGAAAGTTAAAGCTATATAGAATTAGTAATAACTAGGGATAGTTAAGGGTATATAATCCTTCTTAGGATTTAATAATTTCTATCAGAGATTTATCAAGGATTATAGTCATATTACATAGTTTTTATATCTCTTAATATAGAAAGATATTACCTTTTAATAGGATACTAGTTATTAGATAGTGTTTAAAGAGATTAAGAGAAGACTAATAGAAATTTTAGTCTTTTAATACTACGAACTGGGTCTAGAAATAAAGATTAAGACTAATATATTAGAAGGATATATAGATATAGTTCTCTTTTAATAAATAAATAAGGATGATCTATAGAGGCCTATAGTCTTCTTCTTGAAGTTAATAGACTCAGTAGAGTAGAATTATAGTATTTTAGATTAAGAGTTACTTACTATTGTACATATATTAGATAAGTAGCGCCCGGAATTAGAAGGGTTATAATAGGATAATAGGTTTAGTATCTATATAGATTACTATATCTTATAATATTTTATAATAAAGAAGGTACTTAGCCTTAGATAAATATATTAGAGTAAACTTCTTTCTTAATTCTACTTCGTTATTAGATATTAACCTAGTAAGATAAATATTATTGCTAATACTCTATTTCATAAAGAGAAGCTTAAGTGAAAAGATAAATAGTCCTTAATCTTCTTAACCAAAATAGTAGAGCTATATATCTTAATAGAGTTATCTCTTATACTAATAGATCTTAATACCTTACTAATTATAGTAAAATGTGTTCTCTTAGCTAATTAAGTATATACTTCTCTTAATGATTATAGGGTAAAGACTTTAAATAAGAAAGAATCCTAATAGATAATTAAGAATGATCTATTACTCTTTAAAGAATATCTAGTAGTCCCTAATAATAGAGATCTATGAGCGAGACTCTTAGACGAAATCTACTAATAACTATATATAGTATATCCCGGATATAACCAGATACTAAGATTAGTTAAGGATCGTTATTACTAGGCTGGATATATAGTTAACATAAAGCAATATATCAATAACTATCTGATATATAAGCATATAAAGTATTAGTAGAATAAAGTCCTTAGACTATTATAACTACTTCTAATCCCTTTTTACCTAGGTAAATATCTCTTAATAGATTTCTAATCCTTCCCTAAGAATAAATATAGATATAATATAGTTTTAGTATTTATTAATTATCTATCGAAGTGATAAGTATTGATTCTATACTATAAAACTACTAATATAAAAGAGATAGTATATTTATTTATCTAAGGGATTCTCCCTTAGTTAGGTATTCCGGATATGATTGTATTAGATTAGGGACCTTAGTTTATATCTAAATTCTAGATAGAATTAATATGTGTTCTGGGTATTAAAAGGAAGCTATTGATAGCTTACTATACTTAGATAGATAGTTAGAGTAAAATTATAAATAAATAGATAGCTTAATAGTTATAGGTCTATATAAACTTTTATTAAGATGATTGGTCTAAATATCTTCTACTGATAGACTATATTGTTGTTATACTTCCCTAGGCTAGTATAGGATAATTTTTTTTTTTTATAGAATATAGATTTAATCCTAAGATAATCTTTAATTAGGTATTAGATATCCTAGCTATCTTCTCTAAGGATATATAGTAGGTGAGAGATATTACTAATAATATAAAGAATATATAGGATGATACTTAGGAAGCGATAAGAGTTATATAAGTAAGCTAGAAAAGATATATAGATATATAATGCTGTAAGAATAAATTTAGAGTTAGTTAGCTAGTCTTTATTATTATATATATCTAGAAGATAGGAAGATAGAGTAGGAAGCTGTCTAATTAGTAATATAGACTGTTTGAAATCGTAAAAAAAGAAGGTAATTTATAGTGTTTAAAGCTATTAGACTCTATGAAGGTATATCCTATCTTCTTACTAGATAAGCTATATCCTATAGTATATATAGAGCCTCTTATCAGATAGATCCTAGATATAATACCACTAATTATTGTTAATAAAGAGGAGGCTTACAAGATTAATAAGATTAAAGATTCTTGTATATACTATCGACGTCTACAATATTAAGTATCTTAGATTGGAAATAAGGATACTAAATGGTACCCTACAGGCGACTTTAAGAATATACTAGAGAAATTAAAAGAATTCTATACTTAATACCCTAATAAGCCAGGGTCTTCTATATATCTACCTATATAGCTTAAGGCGGCAGAGGAGAATAAATTTGTTAATAATAATGAAAGCGATAATATTCTAATAGCTAAAGCCTAGAGGCTAGGCTTTTTTCGGAGGGGGGGGTAATATAACAAACCAATACTGAGTTAATACTAATGTCGAGGTTACGAGGTTGCGGGATTATATGACAGATCACATAATCCTATACCTGTCTGATTCTCCTATATAATAACGCGTGGGAGCCTAACTCCCCTCTTTCCTTTTTCCTTATCTTTGATACTTTAGTTAAATCGTACGAAAGTTCTTCTGTTTTCTGGTTCTTACAGTCGTGATGATCTCGCCCGTTTTGATTAGTCGCATTCAATGGGGTACTTATGTGCTGTGGTGCGGAACAAATCTTAGTTTCATCCCAATAATCTATTTCCTGAGTAAGTCGAAAGAGCGTTCTATTCAACGAGAAATAACTATTTTTGAAATCTAACATAATTATCCAGTTCCTGAGACACTAAACGGAACACTGGAAGATATCTCTGTCATGTTTGAGGAGAGCGGAGACTCTTGGATCATTGGCCCAAGCTCAAGAGCAAAACTTGCCCAGGTAATTGCAAATCGCGAGGCTGCGGAGGCGGAGAGGGCAGATGGCGAGAAAGACATGCTCCGTGCTACCGCTGAGAAGATTGAGGATAGCAAGCTCGCGTGATGCTGCCGTCGATAAAGTCATTATATACAGATCATCTCAAGACTGCGGAGAGCCTTCTTTTAAACAAGGCAAGTTGTTTATAACTTGTATTCGCCGCGTTTGATGGACCTACGTAGAGATATGGATTAGAGGTGTGTAAACGCAAAGCAAGATGGCTTATGGGGATTCATGCGATAGGTTCGAGTCTTAATTTAATTTCCATCAATATCTACCTAGACATTTGACATTTCTCATTCCATTGTTTCATTTTATGAATATAAATTTATTTGATACATATCCACTTACAGGTTGGCAAAGGTCACACCAGCCTTCTTGGCAGTGAATGTGGCAATCAGGTCCATAAGAGGGGGTGAAAGAGCGTCGTAGGTCTCCAGTCCAGCAGACTTGAACTTAGCACGAACAGCATCCATTCCCTCGGGGTTGTAGCCTTGTTCAATGATTGATGAAACAAAGCCAGCGAACTGGGGCTCTTGCCAGCCCTTCTGATCAGACAACTCAGCGTGCACAAAGTCTAGGCCGTGGAAAGGGTGTTCGCGCTCAATTCTACCGTACAGGTGGGCTCCGCATTCCTTGCATGCGTGGCGTTGGATCACAGCAGAGGAATCGACGCTAAATCAAAGTTAGAAAATCATACGAAGTAAAGAATTGCAGTGGAAGGTCTACATACACGTGAAGCTTAGACTCGTTGGCCTCAACCTTGACCTGGTCACGAGGTATAACACCGACAACTGAGAAAAGGGCACCGGCAGGCTTCCAGCACTTGGAGCAGCCGCAGGCGTGGTTGTGTGCAATGTTGCCCTTCAAAGAAACAACGACTTGGTTGGATGCGCAGCGGCAGTGCAGAGAGCCTCCAGCAAAGCTGGGGTCTCCCTTGGTAAGGCCGTTGTCGATAAGAGGGTGGATAGAAGGTGCCATTGTGAATTCGGACTTTTGTAAAGTTTTGGATATGGGACTATAAACACTGCAGCGCGTACTAGAAGTATAAATAGATGGTGTCTTCGGATCTGATATTGACATGAATTTCCATATCCCTCCTCACAGCTCCAATTTCTCCTCACGAGGGGAGCGGGCCGTCCTCCGGGGCAATCATGGCATTCTAATCTAAACCGTACCCACTATGGCTTTGACGGGACGTGATTGAGCTTCATTGCGGGGACCCGAGACCAAAGCGGTAGGGGAATCCCGTATCCCGCGGTGAGATTTGAGGGGCATCCTTTCTCCAACCCGGGAGGCCGCCCGAGAACTCCGGGTTTCTGTGAGATTCCACACGAAGTCGAGACTTTAATCGCAAGGAATCGACGTATCTGATCGTTTTCACTTGTCGCGAAGATCGACTTTTGTTCCAAGCTGCAGTCCTTCAAGGGAGTCATCGGATGGCATCATCATGTCCCACAGCCTGACAGAAATCGGTGCTGATAACATCAATCGGTGATTCGGGGAACGTGGCCGTTCCTTCCAATTCACATAATCAAAATCCATAGTTAATGAAAGGTTGTACGCGATTTTATGCTATCCGACAAGTAGGTCGTTGAGATCTTTCCAGGTTCCACAATGTCGCTTGGTTGAATGAAGTCTGAGAAGCTTGGGCTCCTGTCAAAAGCAAGCGCCACAAAGAGTGGTATCAATTAAGAGAATGAATGCTCTTTATATATGTAATATAAATGTTTCACCCGCAAGGTCCCTCCAACCTTGTGAGCGTACACACAATAGAGAGCACTTGAGACTCAGTTAACGTAATTCACCACCGAGTGGGTCAGCTGAGGCGAAAACGAGTCAATTTTCAACCTCTTTGTCTTCAACTACCCACTATGCCACCAATTCGCGCCCAATCCTCTCGGAATTCTACCGAGAAAGAGGGTAGCAATATTACTGGCTATCTAGGCTTATAAGAATAAAGAAATCTCCTCTATACGCGAAACAGTACATAGAATTTTCAGATGTGCGTTAGCTTGTAAATTCAATACATCCAGTACCTATTTTCTTCTGCGGACAAACAAGTACTCATCAAGGATTCAGCAAGTCTTACTAACATAGTACAGTGGGAAAATATGCCTGGTCCTTACTGATAGTAGTTCCAGTCAGTTGACTGTATTGTAGCAGGGGTATAGAAGCCTAAAATTAGAAGCAGGGAGCTGTAGAAACTTGCACGTACCGTCTCAAAACGTAGCAAACGAAGCAACAGCCGAACTGGCGGATTTACCCTACTTCCCGTTCTCTTCCTGATAGCTCCTCTAATAAGACGGTTTCAGTATTTCTTGAAAAGTATTGTGTGTTAATGTGTTAGAACACATGGTGAGAGTTTCACTACTGCTGTTACCAAGATACTGTTGTGGATACTATTTGAAATTGGCTGACTGACCTGTACTTTGCTATTCGGACTAAGAGATAAGTTCCGACGAGTCTTGGACTGACTCTACCTCTTTAAATATCTTGTCTAACTTGCTCTGGGCTAGGACAGTGACAGTCTCCTATGCTATATAGTAAGAAGTAAAAATAATCAGCTAGGTGCTCGAGGTGAGCCTAGTACGAAAGGTAAGTCTATAAAACCAAGTGAGGCTGAATTCTTTGTTTGCTATCCTTACACACCCGCGAGATGGAACCTATGGGCCGCTTAATAGCAATTGTGTCACCTGGCGGCTTTCTTTGTTTGGCAAATATTTTATCAGGACCAAGAAAGGAAACGATTCTATTATTAAAAGCCAAGCACCATAAAATATAGTAAGCCTCTCTTCTTAGTCGTTCTTGATTATTCTCTTTTTAGTTTATACCTTTATCTATTGATAATAACCGAAAATACCAGAAGATAAGGGCCTTCGTGCACTATTACCTGCCCGAGGAGATATTCCTCTTGGATCACAAGTCAGCCTAGATCAAGAGAAAAAGAGAAAGGTCTCTCTGGCATGTAGGAAGTGCCAAAAGAAGCGAGTCAAGATTTGAACGCGACGCTAACTCCCTCAGGTATGTAACTAAGAAAACTTTCAGTATTCTGGAGAGATACTCTGTACAAAATGCACAGAAAAGGGTTATAGCTGTGTTGTCGATCCTCTCTCCGATCAACAACACCGAAGCTATCTTCTTGAGTTGTCTAAGCATAATCGAGTCCTTCAAAGTACTGTAGCTTAACTACGACACGGAAATCCCGACGAGATTAGGTCATTATTACTGGCAATACCCAGCTTCGAAACGGATAATAAAGCAATCCTCTACCTTACACACAGAAATAGATAGAGCTGTGTTTTGAGATAGTGCTCTTGAGCACATTGTCGTGAGAGTGAATTAATATGTGTAGTACATTTGGCAGACGAAGAGCATAATATGTTCCGTACGGGAGAAGGCTCACAATTTTAGTAAAAGATTGCTAGAATATGCGACTCATTGAAGCGCATCACAATGCGATCTACAAGAAATGGACTAAGATTTCAATTGCTCTATTTCAAAGCCAACCTTAAAGCAAAACAAGGTATCGACTGTGATCCCAATCAAGCCAAACACGAAAAAAAAAGACGTTGTCACTCAAACTTCAGCATATACCGAGAGAATAACTTTGCTAGGCTGTGGTAAGTTGGCCATCTGCGTCTGATTAGATTGGCATACAGGATGGATCGAAATTATTTTCACCTCTTTGCTTTAATAGAATCTTTCTCTACCCGAAGCCACACTTATCCATATTTCGCTTAGCGGTAAATAATCATGCCTCATATCTACTTGGTTTTTATTTATAGAACGACTTGATGACGTGAGATGCTGGTTATTTTCAGAAATGCAGATATAATCTCGGTCTTTGCCCCGCTTTTACCATCCTTTGCCATTTTCTGGCATCGAGATTCCAACCAGAAACAATGCCAAGTCATACTGAGAAATGTCTCAAATATGGACCTGCAACCAAAAAATGTCTGGATACTCCAGAAATCTTGGACATAATTCTGGCTCGGGTGGATATACGCACGCTTCTCACGTCTGCTCAGCGCGTCTCCCGTAGCTGGTTAGACATGATTAGCAAATCGCCATCCATCCAAAAGGCCCTTTTCTTCACTCCGATTAGGAACTCCGAATGGGGAATGAAAAGAAAATTTTTCAACCCACTGTTGATTGAAGTTTTTCCATCATTCTTTCCTGTTAGAGACGGACGGCAGGGTAGCCGATTCCCCTTGTGTAGCTTGCCTATGATTGAAGACGCCTCATTGATGGCTCGACTCATACGAAAGGACGCAAGCTGGCGTAAGATGCTAGTCCGACAGCCTCCGATCTTCGAGATTGGAATTTTAAAGATATCCAGCTCAAGGGACGGCGATGGTGCCAGAATCTCTAGTATCCCGGTCAGTTGCCAACTACCACCATGATCAGATTTCAAAGTCTTGGGTGACTAACATGTGGGACGTAGGCAGATTTAAAGATGCAAGAATCCGGACACGATGGAATACGGATGGAAAGGCTCTTCGAAATTTTGGTCTTGACTCACTGGTCTACCCATAAGGTTTATTGGGCCACGGAAAAGTCGACTGGGTTTCACCACAGCTCCCAGAATATCACCGATGAGTTCTACCGGAATCTGAACGAGTTCGGCTTGGTTCTGTATGAAAGCAGGGTCGAACAATGCACCGCAGGCTCACCATCCAATCGGAGAGAAAGTTCTCCAAGTATCGTGCAAATTGTGAGGGAAGTAATAATCGATGAGTATAGAGAATACATTTTGGATGTTGATATCAGGAGCAAGGATATTAAAGAATCGGAGTTAAACGGGGGTGAGCCGGTATTTTGCTACCGCAGAGGTAGATAGACAACCCCACATATGCTAGGAACCTCCTGTCAAATAAAAAACAATTACTTGTATGCTGATTCGCCACTACACTATGTATACTATTCTCCCAACCACAATATTCAGTGCCGCGGAATAGGTCTATTAGTCACAGAACTTCAAGATAACTATAGTTAGACCGTTACCTATACTACCGATAGTATTGATACTAAGGCAGCCTCGGCAGCCCCGACTACTATTATAACTACGTCTAAGAGTTTACCGAAGTACAGGGCCTGTGGAAATAAGGGTCATAGAAGAACAGCATGTTCAAATAGACCTAGATAGCTTATATTATTAATTATATTACATTTTAGTTGATTTTAATAGGTTTGAAATGGTAGGGTATGATTAGCTGATCGACTCAGTGGTGAATTAGTTACATTAGTTAGTTAGTTAACTAGTTAACTAACTAACTTAAGTTAACGTTAACAAGGGACAATTGACACCTGAAATGACAAGCATACAATGAGCCACTTATCGTTATCTTATCGATAAGATTCCCCAGGCCCAGCCTTGGACCAGAGTGGGTCACTGGACCGAATACCATTCTTACCACTTTCCTGTTCCTGCTCCAACATAAACACCAGATTCAAGAATTTCCGTTGCTTTTAGACACGGATCCCAAATGAAATCGTTGCCCATACCATTCTAAACATGAGCTAGACTGAAATTTCTCATCGTTGGAAAACATACTTCACGTCAACGGACAAGATGGGTACTCAAATCGTGGGTGACGTCACAGCTTGCAAGGGTCGCGAGGAAGGGGCTGCTCGCACAATACAGGTAAATTCAATGAGATGTTGTCAAAGTGGAACAGAGTTGCTGACTTGAAACCTCTGTAGAGAATATACCGTGGACATCGGACTCGACGTGAAATTCATGGCTGCGGTGTAGCAGCATCAACACGAAATTTACAAGTGGGTGGAACCCAGTTAATTAGTTTACTGCAGTGCAACTGACCTTGATATTTTGATAGAAGCCCAAAGTTGACGATTACGATGAGAATCTTGAAAATGAGGAAAATCAACCACCTGATGATAGCGCCAATCGAAACGAGAGCGCGGCTCATAAAAACTGGCAACGAGCTGTTAGTGTCGCGATCAGAGCTGGCCGTGATGATAATCGAATGATAAACTCAGCTAGCCACTCCGAACACGCACCGACCAAAAGTCCCGAGACAATACCTGGGGGAACCCCAAATATAATGGATCTGCAATATTTCTTGGAGATGGTGGACGTTAAACACCGACACGGAAGCAACCTACGGGCTTATCACAACGTGTGGAAGAACTCCCCGTCAAACCAAAACTTTTTTTATTGGTTGGACTATGGAGATGGAAAGGAGGTGGATCTGCCAGAGCGCCCGCGCGAGAAGCTTGAAAAGGAGCAGGTCCGATATCTTTCGCCCGCAGAGCGCCTGAAGTACATGGTGACGATAGATGATGAGGGCCTTTTCAGATGGGTGAAGAACAATGAGCTTGTGGAGACCGACAGGAACAAGTTCAAGGATAGCATACATGGAGTTGTGCACATGGAAGATAAGGCGCCAAAGTTTGAAGGAAACTCGACTACTGGTAATTCGACACCAGAATTTGAATCTAACCCATCAAGCTCATCAGAATCTACTCCCAAACACACCATCAGCACACGCAGCAGTGAAGAAGGGCAATTATTCACTGAACAGGACTACGAGCTTGGGAAAGCAGTCAAGAAGTTCTCTCGCATAAAACCTGAGGCGATCTATGACCATTTCGCGAGCACCGTCTCTGTAAAGGATGGAATGTGGATTTTTGTGAGCCATTCAAGATTGAAAATGATTCATTTTTCATTATTCTAACTGCGTGGAATAGGTTGCGGACAGCTCATTTCGTATTTATATTGGCATTAAAGAGCCCGGTGCTTTTCAACACTCCTCCTTTCTTAGGGGAGGTCGCATTGCAGCAGCTGGAATGCTCAAGATTCGCCACGGCAAACTAAGAAGTTTAGCTCCGCTTAGGTACGAACTACATTCATAGAATGAACTAATTCATTATTCAGTGCTGAACAGGTCTAACTACTTACAGTGGTCATTATCGACCCCATCTTGCCAATTTCCGAGCTTTTCATCATTCCTTGCAAGATCGAGGAGTTGATCTATCCCGAGTCTCTATAAGCAAGTCTTATGCTATCCTAGCAGGCATCGAGGGATACACGTTGACAAAACGCAAGCTGACCGAGAAAATTGAGGGAGCCAAGCAAAAAATCCATCCGACGCGTCACCCGGAAGAAACCGCTCAAAAATGATACGCGGAAGAATAAGGCGAAGATAGGAATCATATATCAAATCACCGCATTTAAAATCGCAACTAGGTACAAGCTTGGAAGGACACGGAGACTCGTGAAAAATAAAACTCTTTCTCCAGGTCACTTTTACAAGGGGTGGGTTTATCTTATACTCATAAAGCGATGAGCACCTTGGAGAGTATCTTAATTTAATTTAACAGTTCGAACCCAGCTTATCTCAGCCACTAGATTCTGGCTCGGAGATTTCTCACAGTATCTTCCAGCACATATTGGTGGCGTTTGGTTCTGCTACGAACACGCTCACCATCTTCAGGAGTAATGTGTTGAGCTTCAACAGCGGGATTGTATCTCATCCAAGAACCCTTTTCCACATCACTATCAGATACTTTGCTGTTTTTTTGACCATCAGCTCTCTTATAAACAGTTACGACAACTGCGCCCCCAAGTCCAAGATTGTGCTGCAAGGCCACATCTGCATTAGGAACAAGGCGATTATTTGCCCAGCCACGGAGTTGCCAAGTAAGCTCAGCGCATTGAGCTAACCCTGTTGCTCCCAGAGGATGCCCTTTGGAGATCAGCCCACCCGAGGGGTTAATAATTGGGCCACGTCCACCATAGGTAATATCGCCGCGACGTATCATCTCATGCGCCTTCCCTGGCTCTGAGAATTCCAACGCATCCAGAAGCAGCAGTTCATTAGTTGAGAAACAATCGTGAAGCTCGCATACTTTGATGTCACTGGGCCGGACTTGGGCTTCTTGCATCGCAAGTCGAGCTGCTTGCCTGGACATGTTGAATCCGACTAGATCGATCGCACTGCGAGAGTACACTTCAGGACCGTCGGTCATAAGCTTCTGTCCAGCTATCAGGATCGCTTGTGACTTCAGGTGTGGGCGAGCAGCTAGGAAGCGCTCCGAGACTATCACCGCAGATCCAGCGCCATCACTTGTTGGGGAGCATTGGAGTTTTGTGAGAGGTCCATAGACAGGAGTTGAGTTGAGAATCTCTTCTAATGAGTATGCTGTGCGGAACTGGGCGTAGGGATTACGTTGAGAATTTTCATGAGAGATGCGTGCTATCTCCGCGAAATCTTCAGCTTTGGCGCCGAACCTGAACGAAGAGTCAGCGGGACGTATCCTAGACCATTGCGAAACCAGTAAGAAAGAGAGAAACAATGACCTACTTGTCCATATACTCCTGTCCAGCATTCCCAAAATATTGCGCATTTCGTGGCGCCTTATGCTTTCCATATGTATCTTCCATCATTGTGGTTGAGGGACCTAACGGGCTAGGTCGATCATCCCAGACACTTTTAATAGAGCCCGGGCGCATCTGTTCAAATCCGACAACAAGGATACAGTCCGCAAGACCACCCTGGATCATGGTACGTGCCAAATGAAGACCGGTGGACCCTGTAGCACATGCATTATTCGTATTGTATATGGGAATACCTGTCATCCCAAATTGATAAAAGATGCGCTGGGAAGATGTTGTATCGCCATAACAGTAGCATCCGATACCGATCTGTACATCATCATAGTTGATCTGGGCATCGGTCATTGCCTTGACACCAGCCTCATATCCGAGCTCGGGATACTCTCGAGTGCGACGTGGCTTGAGAAACTGGGTAAGGCCTACACCAAGCACATAAGCCTTCGTGGGGGAGCTCTGTGAAGCCATTTTGGGAATATGTGAGTATTTTGGAGATTATATTAAGTTCTTAAACTGGGATTTCTCAGGGGAAAGCAGCAAATACGAGGGATGTGCTGTAGCCGAGGGATCCGAGGCAAAGAGTGTAAGCCCCTCATTTATGCTGCTACGCGTTCAAAGGGCAGCCGATTTACCAATGGGGATCTAGATGCTAGTAGCGACAGAAGAAATATTGGGCTGTGGCCTTTTTCTTTATTATTGTCATTTTCCAAGTAGGCTGTATGAGTGCGATCGGCAGATCTCTCCTGGTCGCTCAGATGATTTGACCTCAAAACAATCGAAAATACGAGTCAAACGCCTCGGACTATGACTTCATATTTGTATCACCCCTTGATAGGCATTCCAGATATCATTATGCTGTCGAATTCGAATTCAAGTTGTTACACTCTCATCTCCTAGATTCGTGATTAGGCCAACCATCTTACACAAGATCAGAGATCCTCCTGCTAATAGAACCGCACACCAGTCACTTTATAATTATGCGAGGAACAAATATTTACTAGCAGCTTGAGCACGAACCAGGCTAAGTTCAAATGGCAGATGCACCTGGGAAACTACTCTCTTCTTCAACCAATCTCGGCATTGAGTGCGGGGAAGATCAGTCAGCCGTGGGGTAATATGCAGCGTCTCCGAGTACTCCATATACTCCACACCGTTAAATTACCATTTTATATTGCACCAGTCACGAATAATAGTACTTATGCATACTGTATATCAATTAAACAGAAATTTTCAACGTAAAAATAAAAAATGTGTCATTCTCAGGCTAATTTCCCAATTGGCTGCGTAAATCATGGCGCTCGTTGGGTGGACCCCACTTTGCTGCTGACGTGAACCCTGCATAGCCTCAGGGCTGCATAGCAATTTTATTTTTTCCCGTCCGACTTGCGACCAGATTTCTTTTTGTACTAATGCAAAGAAGCAAATTACATGGATTCAAATAGTATTCAACCAGATCCCAGCATACTACCCGGCGGCGGACCCCGCTCGGGAGACCAGTCACAAGAAGGGGCTCCAAAGGCGCGTGAACGGGCACGGCGCAATCGAGTCATCCACTCTTGTCTGGAATGTCGTCGCAGAAAGCTGAAATGTGACAGAGGAGTACTTATAAACCGGAATATTCATTGTAGTTACTGGTATTCTAATAGCAACGATAGGAACCTTGTCAAAATTGCGGCACATCAGGAGAGACGTGCGTTTACGTCAATGCCGCTAAGAGCAATGCCGAACTACGTCAAAAATTGACTCTGGTGAAGGAGGCCAAAGATGCGATTGATAGTACGTTGCGGACTAACATAGATGCCCGAGATCCGAAAGCGCAAAGTGCTGCATCTGCATCGCGCCACAAGCGCTCCAGGCTCCCGGATGAAATGCCAAGCGAGGACTCAGATAGTTCTGGAGACGATGGATTTTTGCAGCCTACGCCACTTGCAGTTCAGGATGCTGCATATGCAGATAATGTGGCCGATGATGTTGAAGATTTGGGGTTCCGAATTGGACGGATGCGACTTGGCGAGAGAATTGGGGGGCTGTATCGCCCAAGGATAGCTGATGAAGTACGTGGAATTGAACACGTGGGGTCAATCGCTGCTAACTGAAAGAAATGTAGATCATGTCCTCTCTTGAAGGATTTCCTACACGGGGTTCCTCAAATGTGTCAGTGCCAGTGGTTATAACATCGGAGGACGGATTTTCAAAACCTGGGCCTTATTTCACCGCTGCATCGATCGATTCCCTTTTTACTCAACATTCTTCTCAGGACTCACTTGTGAACTATATCCCCAGTCGCAAAATTTCTGACAGACTGTTATCGCGGTACTGGACAAGTGTGCACCCCGTCGCACGAATTCTTCACGGGCCTTCATTTGCACACCGGTACGAGACCCTATGGGAAAACATCGATAATGGAAATATAGTGGCGCCCTCACTTGCCGCATTGGTCTGCGCTATCTTATTCTCTGCTGTGGTCAGTATGTCTGAGTCACAGGTTTTGGAAACATGCCAAGTTTCTAGATCATCTTTGATGGAACAGCTGAAGTTGGGGGTGGAGGCTTCAATTGGGAGATCCCAGTTACTAAAGTCCACCAAGCTTGAACCCTTACAAGCATTTGTGGCATATTTGGTGAGTAGCCAGATAATAACTGAGAAATAGAGGAGACGCAAATTGACAGTATCTTTCATAGCTAGCAATGTGTATTGATGATGTCTCTCGGGCTTTGTCTGTTTTGACTGGAATGGTGGTACGCCAGGCAGAATGCATGGGCCTGCACCGCGATCCTTCTGAGTATGGCTTCTCATCGACTGAATGCCAAGTCCGAGGTTTGGTTTGGTATCAGATTTGCTACCTCGATTTGAAAACGAGTGAGATTCAGGGGCCCCGGCCATTCATTCATTACGATGGCTATACAACCAAGTTGCCGCTCGATATAGCCTTACTAGCAAAGACATCCCCTGGCGGAAAGCCGGCTTGGAACGACATGATCTTTTCCATGATCCGATTTGAATGTCAAGAAATGCAGCGCAAATGTCTAGTATTGCGAGATCGAGTAGACCTGAAAAAGACAAGTCTGACAAAAGCACTATCCAAGATTGAAGCATTCCGCGTATCCATGGACTCTAAATACGGTCCCTTTCTCAACGCAGCATCACCCAGCGCAATGCAGAGGCTCGCACATCAGGTCATGAAGCTTTTCACCAACCTTCTATATCTTATCACGCTGCACAGATACATGAATAGCGTAACGTATAGGGTACCTGACAGACTGCGTCAGATTGTGCTGAGCAAAGGAACCGATGCTCTTGAAGCTGCCGTTGAACTTGAGACATCCGAGGATCTCAAAGAATGGTCATGGTATAGTGGCTCCTACCAACAGTACCATGCAGCATTTCTTTTACTGGTTGAGGTGTTCACCTACCCGATGCGGAGGGAGGCGAACCGGATATGGAGATGCTTAGACTTTATTTTCGCTGAAGTACTAGTGCATGTACAGCCGCTGAATACGGGCGCAAATGGCCCCACACTTCAGGACATCATCGCGCACCGCGATACAAAAGCGCGATACATTCTCACTCTACTTTGCAAGCGGATGCGTGCTTATCATAAGGCCAAGGGTTTGAAGAATCCAGTTCAATTCGATGACTCTATGATCATCATCACACCACAAAAGGAAGGCGACACCTCGAACCCTCATATGCCTCTCAATTTTGCCCACGGAGAGCCACAAGCTGAACCACCTTCTCAGACTGCTGAAACCCATACCAGTAATATTGAAATCAGCGTTGAAGACTCATCAGCTTACCCAGAAGGCCCGGATCCTACAATGCAACATTTACCAGTGAACCTTTCAGGTCCGCCCGACATGTCATGGAATCCAGCACTTCAGAATATGGAGTACATGGCACCCACGTGGGTTTCATCGTCCAGGTCAATTTCGCCTTGGATTGAAAATCCAGGAAACTATGTGGATAGTGAGCCTAATGCAGGACTGCATACAGGCTATTATCATAGATATGCTCCTAGTCCAACGACGCATAATAGCTCTTTGGATTCTCATTCTAATGAGGGAAATCATCAAGGACATGAGATTGACTCGAATATGCTCGAGATTGACTGGGTATGTTCGTCAATATAAACTTTGAAAAATAATTCCTAACATTGAATAACCATGCAGAATCTGTGGGATACGATGTTTCCACCTCAAGTCAACGACGGCCACCTGGATTACTCAGATGACTCAATGCGGCAGTCGTATAACTCATTCAACGGTATGACTTAAAGAAATATTATTAAAATGAAGATTGAGAATTGATCAGAAGAACGTATCTTAATAACAATTGATTTTGAGACTTTCCAATATTGTGAATACCTTAAAACTCTAGGCGATCGAGATAAACACACATGATTACAAGGTTCTAATACGCAATACTAGGCAGCTCAATTTGAATTTTTGAAAATTCCAATTCATTAAAGACAATGCAAAGCAAAAGCACCCATATTAAATCCCAAGAAAAGAAAAGCCCCAATACTACATGTACATGGAACAAAACACGCCCTTTCACCGAAGCAATCTCACCGACCACCCATATTCCTCATTCACGAATACACATTACTGTCTGCCACCACGCGACCTTTTCCACGCCAGAACACCACTTCCAATATAAGCAATCGTGATACATGCCTGCGGGATAAATCCCATAACAAAATATATACCCCAGCTCCCATTCATAATATTGTACTTGGTCGTGTGTCCCGAACTAGTCGAAGTGTCCAAGTTCGCCGCATTCAGAACAGAGTACACAATACGAAGCAGAAGCATGGGCAAAACAACCGGTAAACACGCAAAGATATAGCGAGAGCTAATGGCTAGGTCTTTTCTTATCTTCCACAAAAACAGACAACCAAGGGTCGTGGCCACCAAAGCGACCATGAACAATGCAGCGGAGGCCTTGGAGAAGGTTGCGCCATGATCATATTTGTCTTCATTGATTGTGCCATCTGAGCTCGGTGAGCGATCGATACCGCCGATTATACCGAGGACAAGACCTAGCATGATAATGGGGTGGACCAGAAGGAGGAAGAATGATGGGCCCTTCTTCTGGCCTAGAGCTCCTAGGGGCGAATATGAGGGCCCTGAGTTATATTTGTCTGTCTTTAATGAAGAGTTGGCGAAAGAGAGAGTGGAAGACATCAGGGGACCGAGAGCAATTTGGTATAGAATTTGGGTGGCCATTTGCATATCTGATGACGGGTTGGAATGTTCAGATATGTAAATTAGGAGAGCTGGACCAGCAATCTTGGCTAAGTAAATTGTTAGTACTTGGTAGTACTACCTGGGAAATGCGAGGAGTGTTACCAATAATGAAAGCATGTAGGTATAGCCATGCCGTTTGTCCTCGAAGTAGGTAGTGTATGGTGCAGAATGTAGTTGGGGGAAGAAGAGCAACGTAAAGAGCAAGCTCTACACATGCCAAAGACTCGTGGGGTTGCATATCATTCAAATCTTAGAAGATAGTTTGCTATACTTTGTTAATTAAATTTCTGAATAATTCAAATTGGAGGACACAGTAAATTTAATATATACTTGTATCTTCAAAACTTTCTTCTTGGATCTATACGAACCGGCTGGGCGCTAAGTTAAGCTTTGGGCTTACTTTTGCTTGGCAGTGAACCCTGATTGCTTACCGTTCCAGCCCATCCTCTACGGCCGTAAAGGCGCGGCTCAGCTGTTAAGCTTGGGGGCTTTATGGTGCCAACAAGCTCGGAGAAGATCGACATTTTTTATAATTGAGTTTCAAGGAATCGTCATTAGGCTGAAATCTACAGTTATACTATAGTTTGCGTCGCATAGGGAGATCAGTCACCCAACGAATCTACCGACAGCAGAGCCCTTAGTCCCCCCCCTTCTATTCATCTCCTTTTGAATTTCCCTGATAATGACTAATATTGATCCATTTGAATAGTCTTAGAATGAAGCTACAGCATGATTACACTACCACCGTTAAGAAGATGTTCAATCTTTAGAAGATCGTCTTACTGATTTCTATTATCCCTGTGCAAGAAACGGGAACTCCGCCCCGGAATTTTCTGCGTTTGCTATTTGGACACTGGATACGATAGAGTAGTATTGAACTGTTACGATCGGATCTCATCACTGATTCAAGTTGATGTCAATATGTATTATTAGAATATGTCTACATAGAAAACATTCCAGACTGCAAACGATATCTCATAAATGGAACAACACTATGAAAGAAAGTAAAGATACAAAAATTATAGAATCATCAACCTCATAAGTGACAAATTAACTCAATCGATCAATTTTCCTTTCTAATCTCTCGCGCCGACGTCCACCAGCTCCTCGGTGACCGTGATTCCCCTTAATTGCGTTCCCAGCCATATTCGCAAGCACCGTGCCAGCCAAGGCACCACCCACAGTTCCTAAAGTGCCATGATCTGGCTTCTTTCCGAAATGATGTCCGAGGATCGTGCCCTAAAATATAATGATAAGCGCCTACTCGATAGAGGGTTATATTCTCATATACATACTCCTGTGCCACCAAAGACCGTTGCACCCAGCCCTCTTTCACCTTCCGGAGTCTCACCTATGGTGTTGGGATTAGAAGTCTCCTGCCAAAGGTTCTGAGCCTGGTTCATGTATGTTTGAAGCATACAGCCGACAAAGTTAAGTCTCGGCTTTAATCTCGCAATATCGGAGAGTATTAGTATATATTCTCACTTCGGAATCTGACCAGACTCAAACAAGGTTTTATCTCAGTTAAAACAAGCTTATCATTTCTTTCCCGCATCCTCACAATCCACTCTACATCACAATGTCGAATCGCGAATACTACGGCGGTGATTATCAGAGAGATGCTTCTTCCCAACAAACCAATCAGCAGCAATATGGAGCTATGGAAGGCTTGAACATGTATTACGGTCAAGTAAGAAAACCAACGTTCACTAACAATCTTTTCCCACTAGAAACAGGCGGATGTGGGGCTGTGAAGCCTACGGCCGTAAATACAGACCCACAAATTATGGAGCGAGCCAATTATAAACACGTGAAATGCTAAAAAGCGGGTCAATTTACTTTTAGCTCAGTGTGTCACGGATGCAATACTTTTTTCTAGTTTACATTGTCAGCTATGCCAGTCTAGTCCCGTTATTGACTATGGTCATTATAGACTCTATACGGCCGATATTTCTGACCGCACCACTAACACTTCAGCTATGCCAACGCCTTTGAGAGAAGCCAAGACCAAAACCATGGTCTAGCTCGTATTATTCCTCTCGAGCTGAAACTTGGAGGACCATTGCCGATGCTACTGGAGGAAAGTTTTCTGGGCACTGTCTAGTCATAACTAGAGGGATATGGAATTGGAAGAATACAAATGATTCATATCGCTCACTACGAGTAGGTTTCTTTCTCGTTAGGTTATATTTCACTGAACCAATTCAACGGTCATCTACTCTACGGGTTGAACGATGATTTTCGCTAGAGAATCTCCCAATGATTGCACGGACATTACTCCTGACTGTACAGTCGAGGGTACTATATATGGTTACGCACCGAATATAATAGCGAGTTATGCATTCTGCATAATCTTCGGTATTTGTTCCTTGGTACAGCTTCTGCAGATGATTAAATGGCGAATGTGGTCCTTCGGCATTGCTGTTTTCCTTGGAGCTATTTCAGAAGTTGCAGGTAAGCAAGTTCAGAATTTACTAAAAACTTTGAATTTCCCACCAACAATTCCCCATCGGATATAGGCTATGTTGGTCGCATTCTACTGCATAAGAATGCCTATTCTTCCACCGGATTCGAAACTCAGATTTGCACCTTGACAATGGCACCCGCTTTCTGGTCAGCGGCCATCTATCTGACCCTGAAGCACGAGGTGAATGTTCTTGGAACGAAATTCTCTCCGCTGAAGCCCAAATGGTACCCTTTCATTTTCGTGAGCTGTGATCTTATTTCACTATCACTCCAGGGAGCTGGAGGTGGCCTAGCAGCTACCGCTACCACAAGCCAAGGGAGTGCAACCGGCAGCGATGTTATGCTCGCAGGCATCGTTTGGCAAGTTATCACCTTGACTGTCTTCGGTCTCCTTTCTTGTCAATTCTTCCTTCTGGTTAAGGGAACACCAAAGTACCAGCTCTCTGTCGATGCACAGAAGCTTTGGGAGGATCGGAAGTTCTGGTTCTTCTGGTGGGGAGTTGTACTGGCTTTTACCACCACTTATGTTCGCTGTGTTTATCGGTAAGCATCGCCTTATCTGAATGATATGAATAGCTACCACGCTCAGTACTAATATGGTATTGCTTTTGTAGAATTGCCGAGATGGCCGGAGGCTGGAGAAACAAAATCATGCAAGACGAGACTGGGTTCATCATTTTCGAGTCTGTGTGAGTACTATTCAACATCCAAACATAAATAAACCCTAGTTTGCTAATGGATAAAACGTACAGCATGTGTGCTTTAGCAGTTCTAGCTCTATGCATAGCGCATCCTGGGTACTGTTTTCAGCAGATGCGTAATACGAGTAAAAAGGAGGTGACAGAGGATGCGGTTTTATTGGAACAGAAAACTCAATATCACAGCATGGCGTAGAGGCAAAGAGCCATCGCCTTCATGAGCCGAACCTCGACTCCATGAGGTGCTTGATGAACATTAAAGTTTCGAGTGCTTTTTCTATGTGGGATACAAAATGTCTTATCTCGAATTGCACATTATGTCATAATTGGGTTTACACCCTTCATAGACTTTTCCCTGGCATGTCCGTCCCATCTTACTGTTAATATATTCTGTTATGCAATTTTATTGATATGACCAAATTTATGGGATATTTATTCTAGCAGATTCAGGAAAATATGTGTAGGTAAATATGCGTAGGGCTGTTCATAAAATACGGGGTATCATAAATGAGTATGAGACGATATAGACACAGTACGAGAATGGAGGGAAATCAAAGATGTGGCTGATCTAACTCAGCTAAATCAGCCCACTGTTTCTCAAGGCCTCGTTTGATCCAGCATGTTCGCCATCCTAACACCTTTTCGAGGCGGCTTAAAAACCGCAAGGATCCTTGTTGTTCTGCAGGATGTCGAAGGCAATATCCAACTGTTTCCAAAAGAGTGAATTAGTACGTACTCCATGCGAGATGAGCTTCATGGAAGGATGTATACGAACAGCGATACAGCAAATGACAAGCCATAAAGTATGCATTTTGCACACTTTCATTTGACCAAGACAGACCAATGACAGTCACGACATGGGTAGCAATATTTCTCTATATCTTGCTTTAGTTCTCAGCTTCCCAGAGTAGAAAGAATGGGGAGCAACTCATACCTCAGCTAGACGCCGACTACGCGCCATCTCAAAGTCACTAGTCGGCTTGGAAAGGGGATCCGACGCCGAGAGAAATATGCATGCGGCATGATAGTATTGCATACCGACAACTAGACACGGTATTAGAACCTTCAGCCTAAGTATTCAATTTGGGTTCAACAAAATACGAACCTGCTGGGGGTGACATCATCCATATTTCGGGAAACGGTCGATCGGAAGCTGCATCTGGAGCTTGATAACGAAGCGGTTGCCAGGTGCTAGGTTTGGATTGATGCCACATCTCGATGGATTTGGCAGATTCATGCCAGGAGGCTGCATCGACCGACGCCCAATGCACATCCCGGTAATTCTGAATAATTTGCGCGCAATGAAAAATTATCATGTTGGCAAATGCGGCATCGTCATTGCGGTGGAACATAGCTGAGCTCTCATAGTTACGCAAGTTCAACTGCAGTGGCTGATGCTGCACGACGGAGGAATATATGGCTTGTCGTAAGAACTGCCAGCTCACAGCTTCTGCCAATCCACCAGAAGATGCCGAACGAGACATCAAATTGATCAAACGGTTTGATCCTAGCAGATGAAACTTTTCATCTGTGTTATTTTCCAATTCTTCGCATATCCGCAAAATGACAACAGTTATCAAGAGATTCTCGCTATATGTATGCTCTGGTTCGTTCAGCGCCGGGATCAGTAATTCCAGACATTCCCCATGGTAAGAAGAGGCCTCCCAGTCACTATTGCCAGTCAAAATCGCGTCATGTCGGGCGGCGAGAGCAAGCAACGCCTTCAATACCATGGGGACCTGTAGGGACCTTTGAGGTACAACGGTGCTAAACGAGGATTGGGGGTCACAAATATCTGCCTAACATTGGATGTTAGTTCATGGTTCTGAACCGCGGCTGTTGGCGGCTGAGTTACTCACCCAGGGCGCAATCTTTTGGATAAAAGATCGCATGAGAGACGCCTCCCTATGCGATAGCGCTGAGTCTTGATCCGATTTACATGATAAGGGACTAGCACTGGCGGGGTTATGTTGCAAAGCAGGCACCTGCGAAGAAGGGCTCACAATTGGCAGGTTATCCGGGGTGGGCGCTTGTGCAAGAGGAGGAGGCTTGTTTTTAGTCAAATTGAATAGCGGAGACGCATTATCGATTTCTTCGGGAGGTTCGTCTAAGTTCAGGTCGTCGGTCTCGAGGATGAATGTTACTAGTGGACATGGATTAGTTTCAAGTAATCACTGAACGACCGGAGAGAGAAAGAGCCTTACCAGGCCTGGATACATCAACCCAAATCTGTTCATCATCCCAATTCAAGTCAAATCGAGCGGAGGCGCCATCACCTTTCTGATAGACATGGTGAACAGCTTTAAACTGAAATCGAGGGTCAAGGTGGCAGATGCGGCCCAGGCGAGTGCAGGGAGCACAAGACGATGCCCCTGGAGGGATGACACAGCGAATATGGCGATGGCGGCACCTTTCACAGCCCTTACCTACTCTCATGAAGTTGGCATGGAGGTATGAAGCGGATCCTCAAATATTGTTCATCTCGTCTTCATGTAGATTCCCATCAGATCAATTGATTGAATGGGGTCTTCCCCGCATATACTAACCGTTTATGAACACGCCGGTCACATGATATCCCCTCGTAGATCGATCACGTAAACATTTTGCACTTTCACTCTCTATTAATAAGTAACTATCGCCGAATGGGCCCACGCAATTAAATGGCGTCTCGCCACCAATTCATGCCCTCTTATATTAGACGAATGAGAAGACAAATCTCCCGCCACTACATACGGCTATACTTCTTCAGGGTTAGATGCTCCAAACATGAGATCCGATATGTTCTACGGCGCACTCCGGCCTTGATTGTTGATCATTAAATTTTGCTGCCTGTGGGCCTCTGATCAAAAATAGAAATCATCGCTACCTAATTTTTGCACAGACTCAGAAGCCTGCTTGAGAACAGACGTCACTTATCCTATTAGATAATTGAATGGTTGAAAATCGATGGATAGTGGATCCTCTAGCAATTTCAATCTCCGATAATGAGCTTGGACTGATATGGTGCCGCAGCTAAACTGCACGAATCTGCTCGGCACCGGTTATTCGGCCTGTCCGGTGGGCCTAGACGGAAAATTTAGTACCAACACAAGAAACACGCAAAATATGGGGTGCTTTATGGACCAAACATATGTCAAAGAACCTTGCCATTACTAGTATGGATCAAAACAAGCTAAACTGCATTCAATTAGCCGAAATGATGGTTAGTCTTGGAATTCTCTAAAATCTTCACTGCGCCTCAGCTGGCCAAGACTACACCCGCTTTCCTTTATATTCTAAGTGGGGTGTCCCATGCGCGTGAAAGGTAGTTTGTTTTGATTCAAAAGTCACAGCTGGTCGAAGGGAGAGGTCGTGCTTTTGTGACCAATGCATGTTCTATTTTTCTTGCTGCTGGCCAGTGCCTGGCAGCAAGTTATTGCAGATTCAAGTTCCTGTATGGGTCTCCTCAAAAAATTGTCAACTTACACGGGGCTCTATGATTGCTAATAACTCTTCAGGCAAAAGCAGCACCACAATATCCAGCCAAAGCGATGCGGACAGTCTAGCGGATTGCGACTCCCTCGAGGGTAGTATCACGTTCTCATCCTCAGCAAGCGGTTCTATCGTTTTCAACAATATCACCGAAATCAAAGGGTCATTCACGGCACAAGGCGCTTCGAGCGTCACGGAAATTTCTGCTCCAGATGTAACTGGCATTAGCAGTGCTTTGACGATCGACAATATGAGTTCCCTTACGAAGCTATCCATGGCTTCATTGTCCAAAGTGGAGTCCGGCATCACAATCACGAACAATAAAAACCTAAAATCATTGGAGTTTCAAAATTTAGAGGAAGTTGATGGTCAATTGGATTTGACTGGATATTTCACTTCGTAAGTTTTGATAAGGACAGACATATCATTTAGCAGAGTTAACATCATCGTCTAGCGTATTGTTGCCATCCCTCGATCAGGTCGACGGCTCCACTACCATAAAAGGTAAAAGTCCCATGTCTTGCACTACCTTGAATGCGTTACGGTCCAGCGATGTATTCAGGGGATCATATTCCTGCTCAGTCGACGGTGGAGGTTCCTCTCTCAGCGCAGGTGCCAAAGCCGGTATTGCGGTTGGTGTCATTGCCGTTGTTATCCTCCTATTGCTGGCTGTATTGTACGTACTTCGGCAGCGTCGACAAAGACAACCGCGTCGACGGAGGACTTTTCAGACAGATTCACCTATTCCTCAAACAGCGCTGGGGAGTGAAAAGCTTCTCGAGCCTGAGAACAAGTCTAGTCCAGTCAAAGAGCAGGAGATGCTTGTACCTCGAAAACCAATCGGCCCGCCACCGGCTTTACTAGACGGTCGCTCAATCTATGAAGCCGCATACCCTGCTAGTCCCATTCCGGTTTACCACGAACTGGACGCTGGGCCTGTCAGTGGCTCACACCAGCGGCCGATTCACTCCGAGGCATAGACTTGTACGATTGTCAACTATTTCCACAACACAATATCGGGGTAGCAGGAGTCAAGGTGAAAGTCTATGCGTGGTCACGGTCATCAGTAAAGCAAAGAATTCTCGAGTTTTCTTTCCGTCTACCTCAGTATGCTCATTATGGATTAATCTTATATACCCACTTTTGTTACAACCTTTCTGGTCTTCAGAGCTAATGAATTTATGAATTTGCTTCAAATGTGATGCTCTCCCTAAATGACGCGTGAACTGGAAGGACTACCGACGGTGATTCCTTTAATCCTTTTCTACTGCAGTCACGGTATACCCAATTCGAAATTTCGCATAGAGACGGCGTGGGGCCTCCTATGAAAATGGGTCAAAATTTCCTCCGTATATAAATATTTCAATTCTCGAGTGAAATCAAAACAAAAACAATAGCCGATGGGTTGCGAAGGATTCCGTCGGATAAGACTAAGCGAGATTTGGAATGAAATCGCATCAAAAGTCCCAATACTAATTAGCTGGCCCCCTTTCTCATTTCGGCCCCAATAAGTCATTCAGCGAAGAGAATCGAGGATTCTCAAAAACCCTGGTCCTTTCAAGTGGCAAATTCACCATGCTGTGCTTATCCGTTGCTCTGTCATCTTTGATAATCCTATGGTTTATCATTGTTTTGACACTTAATGCGACCGGGTATTTTCTCTTGTACGTGTTCGACATACGATCATAGGGAAGAATAATAATGAGAAAAGAAATTCGCACTAATGGGAAAACAGGGTTCAAAACTTTCATTGGCCATCAAACGGGGGAAAGCAACAGTCGAAGGAATCGTCAACTAACCTCCCTCGTGTTACGATCATTCGTCCCTGCAGCGGGTTAGACCCGTATATTGAGCAGTGTCTTGTTTCTTCTCTTCGACAAAACTATCCTGCTGAAAAGTTGACCTTATTCTTTTGTGTTAAATCCAGAAAAGAGCCAACTTTCTCTCTTCTAGAACGGCTTTGTCGAAATTACCCCCAACTTTGTACTCGAATATTTGTCGAAGATGAAGGTCCCATTGATGTCCATCTTGGTCCAAATCCTAAAGTCCGCAATATGAGTCAAGCATATCGAGCTGCATCAAGTGACATAATATGGATCCTGGATTGCAACGTCTGGGTGCGGCCCGGTGCTTGCCAGCGAATGGTAGAAAAGCTAGAAGGGATTTCTCACACGAACTCTGCTGAGTGCCCATACAACCTGGTTTATCACCTTCCAGCATACGTTCCAGTAAGACCCACAGAAGACAATAATGGTACACAAGACACTCCCCTTTTTGGAGGGGAGGTCGAAGGACTCTACTCATCGACGTCTTTTTCGAAAATGTACACTGCGATAAACTTCTGGAAAATCGGTCCATGTGTTACGGGCAAATCGACCATGCTCCGTCGGTCTGACCTTGATACCAGAGAATGCAAACTACATAAAACTGCCATTACTGAGCAGCAACACGAACCAAAACGCTGCAGTCATACAGGTCTCGATACCCTTTCTAACGTTCTATGCGAAGATCAAATGATTGCCGACTTTATGTGGGACGTGAAGAATCATTCTCGTCGCCAACGACATGGTCTCCTTCTGGGAGAACTTGCAATTCAGCCTGTGAACTTGGGACTTCGAGAATACTGCATTCGTCATATGAGATGGGTACGGGCGCGAAAGTGGAACTTTCCGCTGGGCACCTTTCTGGAACCAACAACGGAATTCTTTTTTTGCGATATTGCAGCATCACTGGCGTTCTCCTTTCTGCTTCGAGTAAGCTCAAATGAATTATCAACGATATACAGAGGGTCGTTTTCTGCAATTTTCATGGTAACCACCATTTCTATGTGGATCACGATGGACTATCATCTCTTTCAACTGATATCCGATACGCATCAAAGAAATGAAGCTCTCACTGGGGGTGAAGAAACGACATTCCCAGAATTACAGGGGGGTTATGCTAAGCTGAGTCTGCGTAGATGGATGGTGTGCTGGCTGACACGGGAGATCCTCGCGTTTCCCATATGGGTTGCTGCAAATTTCGGAAACACCATAACATGGAGAGGTGAAAATTATTCGTTAAATCTCCGTGGTGAATTGACATCATGATATCACGCCAATCTCAATAAAACTCCGAGTATGCGAGAAATGCAATTAAGGCATGAAATCTGATATTGAATCAAGAGCAAGAAGTTGGTGTATACAAGTCCCTTTAGACATGTGTGTTTTGTTTGGAAAGAACGTGAGTAAAAGCTGGTATAGAGCATGAACAAATTTCCAATAATCTCTCATCGAGCTGGAGTGTACGCAGCAAGTCCAACTTTGACTCCGTGCCGCGAACTACAACTAAGTCCTAGCCTTTCTTGCCACGGCTCCACATTCCTGTTCTCCACACCTTCGTAATACTGCAATAGTCTAATTGTGGCATATTTCACAAGACACAATGAGAGATGTTCTGCCAGACAGTTGTTAATATGCCAGTCACTCAAGGCAGGAAGGTGTCTTATCAACTTACGCCCTAAGCAAGTACGAGGGCCCGCATGGAATGGCATATAGGCCGCCTTTGGCTTGATCTCCAACCACCTCTCGGGTCGGAATTCACTAGCGTCTTCTCCGAAGAATTCTTCAAGTCTATGCATCGCATAAACCGAGTACCCCACGGATGCGCCGCGTGGTACATGCAGTGGCGATTTTCCATCGGCTCCCCCGCCACGAGGCAGAATTGTGTCGACCTCAGCCGTTCGCTGGTTGGCTGCAACGGGGGGATAAAGTCGCAGTACTGGTAATATTAGAAAGTGACTTAGCATTAGTCTTGCAGATGGTATATGAGAGCAAAATTATACCTTCTTGAAGGACCATACGAAGGTATGGAAGCTTGAACAAACCCTCAAGCGTCGGGCGCTGCCCCTTGAGACCACCGATTTCCGCACGAAGATTGTCACACACATCCGGTCGTTGGCAAATAACGTACCATGTTGACGAAAGAAAGGAAGCAATACTATCTTTTCCGGCAGAGAGGAGATTTAGAATATCGTATTTGATATCTTCTTTAGATCTTCCTTGGCAAAGAAGTTTGTCGAAGACAGTTTGGCTTTCGTTAACACCGGCTGGCGACATTTTGGATTGCTCTTCAAAGCATTGACTCGCTTGCTCAATGCTTTCATCGATAAAGGAATGTATTTTCTGAAGAGACCTTTTCAATTTTCTATCACCAAATAGAATTCTCCAACAAAGCCCCGACAAACTGAAATCATCAATTCCAGACACAGCGCGTTGACAATGCTCAAATGCTGCAGCAAAATTTTGCCCTATCGAGATAGGGGATATTTTGTCACTAAGAGAGTGAATTGTGTTTGTCGATGTCCCCATGAAAAGGTGTGTTGAAATATCCAGGGCCAGAGCATTGAACACCTGCTGAAGGTCAACCGTACTACCATCTGCGGGCACAGATTTGATCAGCTTTTGCAGATGAATCTCAAATATATCAATTTCGGCCGTCGTAACCCGAGCTAGAATAGGTCGCAATGTACTGCGGTGGTGCTAGAACATAATTTAAACTTTTAGATTCACAATAGATAACTTTTAGAGTGATTCCCAACAGACCTGCCAAACTGGACCATCCGAGTTGAAAACCCCATTACCAAAGAGTGGTTGCAAACTATTTTTCCGTGTAGCTCCAAGGCCAAAATCATGAAATCGAGTTCGATCGGAAAGCATGGCGTACAGATTAGCTGGGTCGATAGTATATACACCCTGTCGCCCGAGACTAAGGTAGGTGACTGTTCCGCCAAAATGGGAAATGAGTTCTGCCGTTACTTCAAGGAACCTATGGCTGTAAACTGCTCTGGCCATGGCAAACAAGATGTCGAGGCCGAGAATGGGATCTTTGTGAGGGTACCACAACGGCCTTTCGTGGAGTTCCTGGGAGCGTGCGACTTTAAGCCATGGCTTCAGTTTTGCGACCGCAATAAAACTGCAAATAGAGACGGCCAAAGTAATAAAGTATGCCAGGAAGCGGTACGAAGGGATAATCTCATGACTTTTGTCAGTAGAGGGAACGTGGGGACGGAGAGCGACAGGCATAGCCCAGGATAACGAGGAATTGTCCATATCCCTACACGAAGTAGTAGAGAGCGGGGGGTTGCGACTTGGATACAATAAGCTTCATACATATCAGGATATATATCAGTTTATATACTGATGCAGGTCGCTCTCCTGACTGGCGGAGTTCAAAGTTCATTAGTATTCACCCCGGGCCTAACATTCCCAGTTGGCTTCAAATTTTGGTTGGCACATCCGTATGAATGACAGAGGGTTAAAAACCGAGTATCACTACACCCTGTGCAAGTCTCGTCACAGTGGGCTCTGAGCAAAAGTCTCACAATAATTGTTTCAAGTTGTAATGGTTTACTCAATTTGTCACTATCCTTTGCCTCGGTTGTGACGGATAGCAGTCGGGGCTGGGACGCAGTGTGCCACTTGCCTCACTCAGTGGTAAACATGAGCATAAAATGCCTAAGCAAATATGACTTCGGCTAGGATGACTACAAACTTTCATATCTAATGAGCTATATAGAAGATAGCGTGCATTCGGTTTTGCACTTTGATCGGCATCAGCTAGGAACGATAGATATGATGCCCCGCGATATTCTCATTATTATCGTGAATACCCAAACATATCCAATCAGACGAGGTAAAAGAGAGCCAGAACAATAATGTTTGAACTATGGTTCTTGAAATTGAAAGGATCTAATCTACTTTTGCCCTACAGAACGAAGTTCCTCCCTGTCTGATCGCCCGAGACAGTACTATGTTTTTCGTCGACAAAGGCATGAATCCATGAGGGAAGATCAGAGTATACACGTGCGGAGGTATGGGCCACTATCTTCAACAAACCTTCAATACATTGAAAAAAGTGAAACATGTTGACCTTTTGAAGAATGATAATTGATCGAATCATCTACCGTGGTATTCAACTTCTTAGAGTCCGACCAACCCGACGCTGGCAAATTTAAAGCCGCAATCCCCAACCCTCAGCAGCCGCTGGTGGGTACTTCACGTCATATCGACCAAGGTTCACTCATGACGACAGTAATAATAATGAAACACGTTTCTTTTTCTATTTGTATCGCTATTGATATCGTGTTATACGCGGTCTTTTCATCCACATGCCATCAATTTGCCATATCTATTTTCGACGTAAGGGTCTGTAACATCAGCTCATTAATATAAGCTCAACCAGATTGGAAGTACTAGTATATTTCACGGTTTCGGGGTGGGTGACGGTAATCCAAGTTTCAGTTTGCGTACATTTCGATACTCCAGAGTCCATGCGCACCAACACCGGCGGTCCCCAGGGCTTAGAAGCTTCAAGTTCCGGCTCGAGGATCATCATCAAATGCTGTATCATGATGGGCTAGGTATATTTCATCGCCTAAAAGCACCCATGTACGTATTTCATATCTAGCTGCACGCGTCAAGGGGTCCAATCAATGACTTCAAGGCATGGATAGTTTACTAATTGGTCATACTCAGGTCACTCTCAAGCCCTTCCATAAATCGTTCCTGGGATAAAGAATAAATCTCATACAATGGCTTCAGGGTGATCACACGGCGTATGGTGATGATCATTCTTCTTGGCGAGCGGTTGGTCTAGAGAAATGGATTCAATTCCAAAGCTTCCGACCAGTGCGACAGCACAGGATACTGCACAGAAAATCCAAACATGTCGCAAAGCAGTCATCTCTGAATTGGCCAATGTTGAAATCTTATTTGGGGAAGAGTCTTCCCCAAGACCCCTTTGGTAGGATGAGTTCTTGACAAAGGCAGCTCCATTATATTCCAAGCTACGGGACCTCAAATTTTGACCCCCAACTGCATTGGTGAAAATTGCAGTACCGATTGAGATTCCGAGAGCCTGGTATATCCCTTGGTTAGAAATGACACATGGACCAATTTGACACCCTGGGTTGGAAAGCTTACGGCACCAAATGCACGACAAAAAGAATAAAGGGTCACGGCCAATGGGACAATCTCAACGTCTACCGCTGCCTGGACTGCAAAGCCCATTGCTCCAAACAGTAGGCCCATTCCCACTCCAATCGGGAGGTTCAAAGAAATCCAGACACCCTTCGAAGTGATTGATTCGAGAAGGTACAGGAGTGCTGAACCAAGGGCTGAGATCACCCAGCCTAGCCATGTTGCCCATCGGTAACTACCAGTCCAGCTTACCAGATATCCGATCAGAATAGATGCAGGGACTAATGACAACGTTTCGGGCAATACAGCAAGTCCACTTTCGAGACTGCTGAATCCCTTGATGGTTTCGTAGTAAACAGGCAAATAGTACATAATGCACCAGAGAACCATTCCATGGAGTATAGTGCAAAAGAAGGTCAGAATACACGATCGGTTTTGAAACTGTGTGAGTGGTATAAGGGGATTGTGGGCCCAAAAAAGCTCGAAGAGAAAGAAAAGACAGACACCCAAAACTCCCAAGAGTAGTGGAACGAGAGTGGCAGCTTCTCGCCAAGAATATACTACATTCGCCTGGTTGACGTTCATTTAGCATCTGTAAGCAGCTCATTGTGCAAAGCGGAAGAAAGTGGAGGAAAGCCTTACTTGCATAATTGGTACTAGAATTGCAACCAAGGACAAGGCTAACAACAAGAAGCCAACAAAGTCTATCTGTCGAAACCTTGATACGCAGTGCCGAGCACTAGGAAGTGGTGGAAGCGCAAACCAACATGCGATGGTTGCAATACTACTGGCAATTACATTGATTGCAAAAACCCACCTCTGAGAGGCAACGTCAGCTCACGTCTGATAATGGACTTATATTCTGGCAGAGTTCGGAGAACGAATATCTTACCCAAGAGCCTGATGTTGTCAGTATGCCAGAGATGACCGGTCCTATCGTCGTGCCGATGGCCCACGGTACGCTAATAAAAGCGAACCATTTCCCGCGAACGCGTAGAGGAACAATATCAGTTACGATTATGTCTGTAAGTGCAGAGATACCTCCGGACCCGAGGCCCTGCAATGCCCGACCCACGAGGATAACTGCATAGCTAGGGGCAACAGAACCGATCAGAGACCCAACAGCGAGGAGCACAGCGCTCCCGGTCAACGTCGCCTTGCGACCAAAGACGTCGGCCAGAGTTGCACAACATGGTTGAATGATTGTGGAAGTGAGAGCAGTTGATGTCCCAAGCCAGAAAGTTTTGGGTGTCGATAATTGAAAATCTTCCTCGATTGTCTGACTTGTTTTAGCCTGGAAATGAAATATTTCCACCACACCAGTGACTTGAAAACAGGCTATTTACCTGGAGAGCAATAGAAAGCGATGTAGTAGCCAGTGCTGCAGCCAGTGCCAGAGCTGACAGCGAAGAAAATGCAAAGTAGAAACGGAGGGGTAGCTGCGTGGACTCCTTTTCTTGTGATGTGACTTGTGGTGATGTTTCGGTCTCCATGGCTATTGGAATATCGTATTATGAAGTTAAACAGACCAGTATGTACTCGGGATATCAAAAGTTTTATATTGTGTTTTTTTCTCTCTCTTTCGACGAAGCGGAGAATGCCCTCGAGTGATCCCGTGATCCCGAAGATAGAACCTTCCACATGCTGAAAGCTAAATGGCTCGAATGGGACATATGGAACACGGTGACGGTGTCTCATTTGTGACAACGACAGTAAGATGTTCCCTCGCTCGGCTTACTTAATACTACGATTATTTAGCAATGAATTTAAGGATGGCATTAGTAGTAGCCCGATTTGTGACTCGAAGTACCAAAGCTCCCCACGCGTCTCAAAGCTGCGTAAAGGTACTATTATTCATAAAGTTTGAAATTCAATCTGGGAATTCTCTTCGTTCCCTGCATTAAAATCCGGGTGCGTGGCTCTGCATGGTTCTCACGTTAGTAAGTATATTCGACAAAGGGCACACGTTCACCAGGAGCTATTGACAGCCAGAGAATCTCAATTGAACCAAGCTTGAAAGGCTCGGGCATCTGGAGAAACACTACCAAACAGGAGGGCCATGATTCCAACCATATAGTACTACAATTTAATTCTATTCTTGTGCTTGGAAGAGAACAAATATATACTACTAATTTTATATGTTGCAAAATATCGAACATCAATTCAGAAGGCCATTTGAGCCTCATTATCACCGGGCTCGTTGATTATTCCAAACATCATCTAGCTCAAGATTCCAGTCTATCTGCGAGGCCTCTGTCTGGATCTGTGTATCTGTTTGTGTGAAAAGATGTGATAAACTATGGGATGTCGAACCACCTGCGTCCAGAATATCACTTCCATTTGGCGAGAACAAGCGCCCCACTTTATCAGAGTATGGTATATCCGAGGTGCTAAATCTATAATTTAGTAAGTCCTTGTCAATTCAGATGGCAGATATCATACTTGGAGAAATTCTTGTCTGGTGTTTGATGAGCAGCGAACTTCGAAGTTGCGGCTTTGTAGCCTGCTCGATAGCCGTCCTGCCAGTATTGCACGTTGCGGGCCATCTCTGTTTGACCATCCTCTGGATTGACCTCATACTCGAAGTCTTCGATTAACGGATCTTCAGATTCGGATTCATTTCTGCTCATTTCCTTTCTGAGTAATTCTTCGAACGAAGCTTCGTCTGTTACACTGCCTAGCAGCTCCCATTGCCCAGAAGAAGGTGGTTTACCAGTTGCATGTTTCCTGCGATCGGCAGAGGGTCTCTTATTTGGTCGGTCAATTCCGTTCCATAGGACGTCCCCTTGGGCCATCATTTCGTCTAATTTCTGCCATGGTGATGATGTGACATGTATCCATTTCGGATGGTATTGCTGAATATCGAAAAACGCAAGATTACGAGTCTGAAAACGCTTCCCAGAGAAGTCGATAAAAGCGAAATAGTTGAAGATATTGTCGTCCTCAGACTGTCGAACGATGGTACATTTTGCTTGCTCTCCTGCTACTAGTCTTTGAATTTCCAGAGGGTCAAAATGCGCCCGCGTGCCGTGATAAACGAGAATTAAATATCGAGCACTGTATCGACGATCGGGATTTGTTCGTATATTTGGTCGTATATTTGGTCTTGTCTTGGTAGAGGATCTCATTATCGCACCAATTGTCTTCTCCGTTTGGTAGTGCGCCACTTGGGGTTGTCATGGACGCGCGGCCGAAGTTCGGTGTCAAAGGTAGCAGCGGCGGGAATTTTGTACAAGAAGAAGATGGCAGTACAATGATCTTTTAGGAAATCTACGTTTTCCGCCAAAGTCTCAAACCAGATTACTTCCTGGCACATAATGCTTTCCAATTTGAGTCGGCTGTCACGACGCAGGCCGCACGACCACGCATGGTCAACCCAGTTTCAGCTGTGAGCGCTAAATCTCGGCACCCGAAGGATTCAACTAAAAAGCCACTCAAGTACATTATCATGCCAATGCCAACCAACAATTTCCCCAAAGCCCGGGGGCCAAACATAATTCTGCTTTGTGGGATGACTTGGCGAAAAGGGTATCGTGGCTGCGATACACCTCAAGTCTGAGGACTAGTGAAGCCAGCAATCGATGAGGTTGGTGCTCAAATTGACAATTGAGCACGCTATCGGAGAAGATCCCTTTGGCTCTAAGCACCAAGACCTATTTCACTGCTATGCTACAAGCAATGCAAGTCGGTCACCAGTGACCAGTGAGGCAAATACACTGCAATGTCACTCTTCCATGATCCGACCTCCACTGCACGCCTAGGAGGCCACCGGAAGATAAGTAGCAATCCACACACAGTTGCAAGATACTGGCATTCACATCATTCCGCAGAGAGCGGAATTACTAATTAAGCCACCATGCGCTATTTTTTGTCTATGTTTGATGCACGGACTTCATAGCCCGGGGGTCGCCGTATCAGGAATTGAATTGGAACGCGGTACTGACTAGGTAAAAGTCTTCAACGTATATTTGGGTACTAAATTACATCGTCATATTATTCAAGCAGAGATATCTGACAAATGGCGAGTCACAATTCTAAACGTTCCCACCCACTCACACCCTCGATAAGCTTGCTCCCAGAAAGCTCATACTATAAGCCGTTAACAAACCAATCAAGCCTGGTTAGTTCGAACTCCAAGCTGATTCTTAACTCCCAAGACCCTTTCCGTTCGATTTCTGCTCTTTACTAAAGTGATTTGATATGCTGTTGCACCACCGTTGCGAGCCTGGATAGTTGCAGAAGACAAAAAGTACAACCAAATGCGGTACCATCTCGCGCCATACTTAGCTGTAACCTCAGCCTCATTGCCCTTCCAAATATCATACCAGCGCCAAATTGTTGCTGCGTAGTGGATGCCTATCGTATCAACACTTTTGACTTCAAACCCAGCATTCTCCACGAGGCTGATATACATGCCAAGTGGGACCGACGCGTCCGCGCCAGGGAAGATGTATTTGTTCATGAAAAGACCCCAAACCAAATCTTCAAACTGCCAGCGTTTGCGCAGACCGCCGATTTGCAAGAAAAATACCCCTTGGTCTTCTAGAAGATTGTACATCTGTTTTAGGAATGCAGGTAGCTTGCGAATACCCACGTGTTCTGCCATTTCAAGACAAACAATCTTATCAAAACGAGGCGATGTAGGGATGTCGCGATAATCGATACAGTGAATCTGGCTTTGATCTGAGGATATGCCATGCTTTTCAAGGCGCTCTGAGGCGGCAGAGGCACCATTGTGACTCAAGGTCACGCCGGTGACTCTAGCTTTGTGTTCCACGCTTGCGAATGTACTGAAAGTTCCCCAGCCGCATCCCATATCTAGAACGGTTTCCCCTTCACATAATCCGAGTTTTTGGCATACGACTGTCATTTTATTCCTCTGCATCTCTTCAATTGACTCAGCTCTGTGTGGATCGGAGATGATTCCGGACGAAAATGTCATCGAATCGCCGAGGCTAAAGTGATAAAAGTCATTGCCACGATCATATACTTCGTGAGTCTGTTTCCGATCTGAATTCATTAGAGCAAGCGAAAATGTCAGTTTGAATGTTGTGTATTCCTAATTTTGGAAGTAATTTGAGTCATACCACGGCTTTTTGTGTGTAACAAAACATCGGGAACCATTTTGAAGAGGAAGAACTTGAAGAGTTCGGGGGTGAAAGCGAAAGTTGCCCAGTCGTATCGCCGCTCAAGAGCTTCATGGCAATCCATTTTGAAGTCCACCATTTTATCAAAGTACTTTTCAGTAAATTGAGTCATTGGAATCTTCTGATCGCCCCGGTACCTTTCGCGGTCGCAGTCGAGTTTGAAGTCTAAGTAGTTTTCAATTGGTTGCTTGTCCGCATCAAGCCCTTCGCGGTCAATTGGAACTCTTGAGGTGATAGTCCAAAATAAAACCAAAGCTGGGACGAAGAGAGCGCAAACAAGTCCGGAAGTTATCCACAGTCCTCCGCCAAGGAGACGCGCTACCACAATGGGGACTCCCACGAGGGCGAGTATCAAACGGCTATAACTGAACTGCTCACACCCCGGACCATCCACTACCTGGACGGCATCAGGAACGGTGAACTGTCCTTCTGTTAGCTTGGGATGTAGCACTCAGAACAAAAACGCAAAATATAGACGGGGGAATTGAAAATACTGACCTGCTGCTGATCTTTAGACATTTTCCGGTGATCCTTGGGATTAGAGAGAAATGAGGAATGAGCGGGCCTTTTAAACCCATCTTCTAAGTCAAAGGAGTCTCTGAAGGGCTGGTAATCTATATCCATGCCAAGGATACTAGGCTGATACTGCCCGCGCGTTACTAGCACCCAACGCATTGGAGAATCCACAGGGGGCGACAGGATTTGGCCCCAGCTTGAGTCAACACTTTTATTATATTGCGAGCGTTTTTATTACAAGCCACCTTGTGGTTCGTATTCAACTCCATACAGGAGAAGCACATCTTACCCCTCTCAGTTTAGGCCCGGGACTTTCGTCCAATTCTCCTTGGTGATATCCTAACGACGGGAAACCCCTCCTACCTTCTGAGCCATAGTATATTTAAAACCTCGATTCGCTATTCCAAACAAATTACAGGAAGCAAGACCTATCCAAAAGAGTCTAGAATTACAGCTCCATCTCTACTAAATGCCGCCATATGATCTTAGATTACCCCGACTTATTAACCTTGCCGCGATGGCTCTTCGATTATGGACGACTTAGTAGTCCGGTATTCTTTTACGTGGCTATAGCTGTTATTGATGATAGGGGGGAGCAAAATTGTGTCTGGCATGACCTTTTGGGAGTTATCTAGGTTAGAGATAGTTAAAAGGATTGGAAAGATATAAACCTTAGAGACAGAAACCTAAATCCGTGGCATATACCCTTTATGTAGATTTTCTACCATTTTAGGAAAGGGCATATCCATGGACCTTCCTTTGTATTCTGAACTCTACATAATTCTTGTGACGAAACCTATCAATCTAAATTCCGGCCGAGTATTTGATTTGCAACTGCAATTGAGCGACTTTAGTTCTAGATAGAGCAGGTTGAGTATCCGGTACTATCTGATTTTCATTAACGGGGATGATCTGACATTGATTTTTAGTATCCGGACTTAGATTTGCGGCGGGGAAAGATCTAAACTTGAACTTATCCGATCCCGTTTCTGCCAACTTGAAAGTAGCCGGTGTGATGGCCAATTTTCACAAGCCTAAGGACCAAATCGCGATATTATCTTGGAGCCTTTAGTGACACGTTCCTAGGTAAAAGGACGGCTCAGATAAAATCAATGATTCAGCGCTGTGTTTGTAATTGCTGGCAAGCTCTCTGGATGCAAGTAAAATATGGTTTTTATTTTCTTGCAGCAGGTGATGCGCGCAATCGCGGCTAAAGTGTTTCCAGTTGTCAGATAAGCCGACTGGCATTTAAATCATTGCCAAACATCCAATAGAAAAAATTTAGACTGAGCGAGGAGGATACTTGTGCAAAAATATTGGAATCGGAGGAAGGCGCTCGGCTTTTGATCAGGCTCGAGAATTGATATGTAAGGCCTTGTATGGCCAAGCTTAAATTATCGGTGTGCCAGACTACCGAACGGATACTACCTATTAGTAGTAGTACTTCATGAGCCATGATATATCTGGCGTTTGACCCGAGCATGAAAACTTCCGATACCTTTTCACTGGCATCTTCCAAGCAGGGTATTTATCTAGAGAACGCTGCGTATGTTCCTCACCTATCGCAACGATTCCGTGAAACTTGAAGCTTCCAATCAAGCCAGACAATCGACACCGCTTTCTTCCTTCCTCTCGTGCTTGGGCCATGAAGATATTTCTATTATACTAGCCGACGATCAAAAAATAAAAGCTTGGTACATATGATCATCGTTCATCCACCTTCGCAACTGTTGTATATTGCCAACTCTGATGTTGTGCCTGAGATAGCTTGATGTTAATGTTTGAATGCTCAATATTGACACTTTATTGGATATTGTTTTACTTCGTTTCTCGAGTGAGTATTGAAGACATATTTCTTTTCAAATCACCAAGTCGTAAAAATAAATTAGCAAGTTATGCTGTCATAGAGGAAAGATTTTCATTATGGGGAGCTTCAAGGCTTGCAATTTTTCGTCTATTTTCGATGTGGGGATGCGGATAGGATATCCGTCACTTATTGAGCCATATGAAAGCTTGTTCTTTCCTCGATTTAGCCAATTTCCGTTTGTCGCATGCGAGCCATAGGAACTTGGGACAACTAAACACATTGTGGATACAGGGCGTATGTAAACTTGGAGGAAGTGGCACCACGATCTTTCGAGATGTTGACTAGGGCTGAGCACGTGGGATCGTCGCAGGCAGACGAGCAGCCAAAGATAAACCAATAGAAAATATAACGCGAAATGCAAGTTGACCGATTGGCTGCTCACGCTCCAATATCTCACGGCTCTGCGTGCCGAACAACCGGTTGCTCGTATGGCTTGTCCGGGCCAACATCTAGTGGCACCGAAGGGTTTTTCTAGCGTCAGAATTCAGGGCGAGAGTAATATGTTCAAAGCGAAGGAAGTATAATAAAACGATGCCGTGCAGGAGCAAGTCCCAGATAGAATCACGGTTGTTCACGAGGCTGGTTGTTCTAAATGGTCATTGGCTGCTTACCAAACATAAGCGTCCGCCCTCCCCGCTCAGTCTCCACTAGGGACATATAGCAACCAACCAACATCAAGTTAATGCACAATTCTCCGCTCTGCTCCATTCGGTGCTTTTATCTGGCGTGAGACAATCAAGAACGTGCTATCGACCCGCGAGTTTAATTGGCTTAAACCTATCGCCGATATTTCCGCCCCATGCATACTCTCCGTTGGTAGCTACCAGCACCTGCGTGATGTTACAGGCACCGATTGTTATTATAAAAGGAACCAGCGATCTGCGATTTTTATCTCCTGGACGCGTGCCACTTTCTTCTTCTCTAATTGTCCTTGTTCCTCGCTTTTAGAGCTTGACGCGCAATGGCTTCCATCACTGCTTTCCTTGCCTTGGCCGGTATGGCTGTTGGTGCTACCATCACCACCACCGAGCCTGCATTGGCTGCTATCGCGAAGGCTCAGGCGACCGTGACCCCCCAGACCTGGACTTCCAATGTCACAGGTAAGGTCTTCGACCGTTTCTACCAAGTTTGGCTGGAGAATGTCGTAAGTATATGCATTCAACCTTCTGTCGAGCATGGCGAATCAATAGCTGACCTCCGCAACAGGATTACGACAATGCTGCCAACGACACAAACCAGCAATGGTTGGCCAGCAAGGGTATCACATTGACCAACTACTATGGAACTGGTCACCCTTCGCAGCCCAACTATGTCGCCGCCGCAAGTGGTGATAACTACGGCATGGACAACGGTAATTTCTCCAAGCAATTGGAACTTCACATTTTCAAAGCTGACCATTACATTGTCCAGATGACTTCCACGACATTCCCTCTAACGTCTCGACCGTTGCCGATCTGCTTTACACCAAGGGCATTTCTTGGGCTGAGTACCAGGAGCACATCCCCTTCCCCGGTTACCAGGGATACAACTACTCCAACCAGGAGACCTATGCCAATGACTACATGCGCAAGCACAACCCATTGGTTTCCTTCGACAATGTATCTGCCAATGACACCGCTCTTCGCCTGATGAAGAACTTCACTATGCTCTACGAGGATATTGACAACAAGGTTCTACCCCAATGGGCTTTCATCACCCCTAGTAAGTCCATTCTATCTATCTCCCATCCCAAAAGATAAAATTAACAAACTTCCAGACATGACTAACGACGCCCACGACACCAACATTACCTTCGGCTCCGAGTGGCTCCGCGGCTTCGTCGAGGGCCTCATGAACAACACCTACTTCTGGGACAACACGCTGCTTCTGTTGACCTTTGACGAGACCGAGACCTACGACGTCCCCACTGACGAGGAGTACGCCGTCCGTAACCGCGTCTTCAGTATTCTTCTCGGTGGTGCTGTCCCCGATGACCTCGTCGGCACAAAGGACGACACAGTCTACACCCACTACTCAACCATTGCCTCCGTCTCCGCTAACTGGGGTCTCCCCTCCCTGGGTCGCTGGGACTGCGGTGCCAACCTGCTCAAGATTGTCGCCGACAAGGTTGGCTACACCAACTGGGACGTTGACAACACTAACCTTTACATCAACGAGTCCCTTCCCGGTCCTCTCTCCGAGAACGATCTGAACAAGTACCGTGCTAGCTGGCCTGTCCCCGCCACCAACGAGACTTGCTCCGGTGGTCACGGTATCTTGCAGTCTGTTGTTGAAGCCTACAAGAACCAGACTCCTACCTACAACTACACCTCTCCTTTCCCATATGACACCGGCTATGACCTTGACCTTGGTATCTCTTACTCTCGTAATGGCTCTACTTACGTCTCTGGTGTCAACTCCACTGGTACCGTTGTCTATGATACTCGCAATGGATCTAGCAGCACTACCTCTTCCTCAGCTGCTTCTTCCTCCACCAGCGGGTCTGCGGCTTCGGGTATGACCATCCCCGCTGCTGGCTCTGTTGCTGCTATTATGGCTGCTCTTGCTGCCTTCCTGTAAATTGGCATTGAACGAATATTCCGTGATTTCATGACTTTATAAAAGATGAATTTTATTTTTGTTTACGATATATAGGCATTCATCTATCTTTTTATCTATAAACAATTCAAGTTGTTGATACTATGTTTAGCATGAAGAAATATAAGACAACACTGTCAGGCGTACTCAAGCTCAGGTTTACATGGATCTCGAATTGGAAAATCTGAAATCTCAGCAGACCTTTCTCGTAAAGTCAATGTTTTATGCACGGTCATTGAGTAAAGCTGAATCCATCATGACACATAATTTCGTGGAAGTGGGCTATCGAGGCAAGGCGCAGCTTTCACGCCCCAATTAACTATATTGAATGGAACATAAACCATGGAAAACTGGTATTATCGATCGGCAATCTGATCTACCCAATATCTTATCTGCATTGTGTACTATACGAGAGCCACTCCCACAAGAGGCACAATTGGCCGCCGATCATTTGACCTCCCAATAATTGCATATGTAAGATATTCTACCGGATCATTACAAAATCCTACATTGAAGATGAGGTGAGCTCTCAGGAATTTGAATCAGAGAGAGGAGTCGTAGTGACATTTTTAAGATATCTCCACCTAAGTACATGATACATGCATTTACCTGATGACATGTAAGCAGAGCATGTAACAGAGAAAAAGTAAGCAGTACGTAATTAACCCTACAAGGATCATTCAATTGGGCATTATAAATCATGATCATTCAGGGCAGCACCATCTCAGTTCAGGCATATAAATAATCTAAGGGATCAATGGTACATCGGAAATACGTACCCGCCTTTTCGTTACCAGGTAGAGGCGTGGCAACTTCAAGTAGCACAGGGTCCAACCAGGGTCCAACCAGGGTCTTCACCTCACCACTCAGCTGTCCTAAACAAATTCTCGAAGCGGTGTACCTGAGACATACGCAATGACATGTCATCAAGTATTCCCCGCATTTATCAAAACCACCACAGGGTCCGACGCAGGGTCCCGCAATAGGGTTGTCGAACCGAGACATGTACCCCGCTTGAGCAATACGATAAAACTCTATGCAAAGAAACCAATACGTCGTATCTATATTTGTTTCTTGCCGCCACTGAAATCATCAGAGACCATGGATTGGTGGTGTCTTGACTATGTTCCAGATCTCGTATTCAGGCGTCGAATCCTGGTCCGGATCGAGGGCTTTCCTTTTTTTCCGATCTGTGAAGAAGCATATGATCTGTCGGTATCTAGGAAGAACAGTCTAGCTAGGTTTGGGATCCTTGTCTTTGCCGTGGGTACTATGGTACTGTCTTAAAATCATTAGACAGGAGTGACAGGGTTGATGTCTGAGTTTTGTTGCCGGAATCCCGGTGACTTGGCTGGACGCCTTGAGTGTGTTTAGTATGGACTGCGCATAAACGAGCAGTATGGATTGGTCTTGATAATGATGGAAACAGGTAAGTGTCCATGTCAGAAAGACATCGCATGAGTCCTTACCTCGGGCATGCACTGTCTATCTGAATTTCTCGATACAAGTACTATATAAAGGGCCCGAATTCCACCTAACTCCAATTCAAATCCAAAGTCAAGAATCAATCACACGCAAAGGATTCAATCAAAAAACTTCTGCTACCAGCTTCAATATGCAACTCACAGCTTTCCTCCTCCTCAGTGCCGCGGGACTTGCTCTTGCAAAGCCAACACCCCCAACATGCGGCACCTGTAACCCCGTCTCAGGGCAAAACAGCTGCGACATCACGACCTCGTGCATCAACACGGGCAAAGCCTTCCACTGTGCCTGTCGCGCGGGTTACAAGGCATCTAGCCACAACAATGATATCCATTCGCAATTCAGGCTGAATATGCCCGACTACAAGTTCTTGGTGTTTGTGCCTGAGAACACGGCCTGTGATACCTTGTGCGCTAATCCGTTCGGAGCACCAAATACTATTTGCCAGGAAGTGCCAATCTACGATCAGTGCAAGGTTTGAGCCAGGAGCTGAAATGGGTTGGAATGGACTTTGAAGATATGAGGTCCGATGGGGTTGTGGATATTGAATTCGGGTTATGAGTAGATACGTTGGGGTCGTTACATGTCACTCCTTTATTAAGTGGATGAAAGTCTTTGTTCCGGATATTCAAAATTTTAGTATGATGATACTTCTGAGATCAATATGGAATTTTTAGTCGAATTAAAGTAGTTTGACATCGATCTTCATTGACCAAGAAATCACAAGAGGCCCTTGATCCACAATACACCTATAACACCCATCGCCTGGAATCATCTACCGGTTCCACTAAATGCAGCCTGATGCGCACAAGAAGAGAAATACAAAACAAAGAAAGCTCAACCAACGTAAAAAACAGCAAGTAGTAGTACAGTGATCAACCCATCATTTCGTCGTCAGCGTTGACGAAAATCAGACGAGCGCCATTGTCGGAGAGTTGCCATACCTAGAAAAAAATTAGTTTCCTGTGATTATTGATTGTGGTAAAGGAGAAAGCTTACATTCATCTCCACGTACTCGTGGAGGGCAGTCGTGAGCTGGTCGTCTGTAAATCCCTTGGCCAACACTCGCTCGCGAATGCGTCTGATGCTCATAGCATTCTGCTCGTCATCATCGACAACAGCAGCACCACTCTCCCAAAGGTTACGGATAAGAGTGTAAATCTTGCTAGTAGGGGTGTGGTCGGCTCCAGAGTCACCGTCGTTGTGAAGAGATGCCTTACTGATCTCAATGAGACGAAGTGCCTCATCAACATCTTCACGGACGACCTCCTCGCTGAAACGGAGACGGGCCAAGGCCTGTGAGAGACGAACAATACCCAGAAGGGTACGAGGAGTGACATGCGAAAATTGTTGTCTCTTGGCCTCATCCTTCTTTTGTCTCTTACGCATGGAAACGTAAGCACCGACCATGTAGTCAGAGACGTTGGAAGGCACAACAGGGCGGTAGGAGCGGGCCTTGGCAATGTACTGGCGGACCTCATGAGGTGTGAACATAACTCCGGAATCTTCGTTCTCTGGGTGCTTGTTGTGCATGTGGACATAAGTGACGTGGGCGGCCAGTTCCTCATCGGATTCGCGGGAAGGAGTATCCAAGAGCAAGAACATAACATCGAAACGGGAAAGCAAAGCAGCAGGAAGGTTGATATTCTCAACGGGGGAGATACGAGGGTTGTAACGGCCGTATAGAGGGTTAGCAGCAGCCAGAATGGAAGTGCGGGCGTTGAGAGTGGTGCTGATTCCAGCCTTGGAGATGGAAATGGTTTGTTGTTCCATAACTTCGTGAATAGCAGTACGGTCAGAGTCTTCCATCTTGTCGAACTCATCGATACAGCAGATACCGTTGTCAGCGAGAACCAAAGCACCTCCTTCCAGCATCATCTCATCAGTGACGGGGTCACGCATGACAGCAGCTGTGAGACCGACACCACTGCTACCACGACCAGTAGTGTACACACCACGAGGGGCAACCTTTGTAATATATCGAAGCAACTGAGATTTAGCAACACCAGGGTCACCCATCAAGCAGATGTTGATATCACCACGAATGTGCATACCATCACCCATCTCCTTAGTAACACCACCAATCAAGAGCAGAAGAAGTGCCTTTTTCACATCGAGATGGCCGTAGATCTCAGGTGCAATGGAGCGGGATAGGTACTCGTACATGTTACCTGAGTTCTGGTACTGCTCGATTTTGCGCAATGTTCGAGAGTCCATACCCATGTCCTGGTAGGACTTCTTGTGCTGGGTGATGTGCTGAGCCTCCAAGTAGGTATCGGTCAGGAGACCAGCGCGAATTGCCCGGAAACCAGTGTAGGGGGTAGGCAGGAAGATACCAGCAATGTCAACGACATCGCCGGGGTTCAAAGAACGGGTGAGAGCTCCATGGCAGTGAATTGTCAAAGTACGAGGAATGTGGCCAACGGGAACCTGGTCTGCCATTTCCTGGATCTTGACCTCCTGGAAAGGCACAAACTTAGAGGCGCGGGTCGAGAGGAAAAGCTGGCCCTTGGAGTTGTTCTTCTTGCAGTCTTCCGACACACACTCGGACATGGGAAGGAACTGCTTGGTTGTGATAGGCTGGAAAACTTCACATCCGCATCGGTCGCAAGTGTAGGCATTGATCTGAACGGCTGGCTTCACATCCGACACACGGGTTGTAATACCGCGCACGGTAATCAAGCTACCCAGGTGTTCGCCCCGGACATTTCGGACAGCGAGGGCCTTGCCTCGATCGGTGCTGGATCCGGAGGCAGTGAGGGGTTTGAAGTTGAGGGTGTATCGGCGGGTGAGTTCAGGGGGGAACATGCTTGCAGCAGCGGCAGCGTCCATGTCAGCTTCCGCGGCCATCTCCATCGTTTCGTTGCGCTTTTCACGCTGGGACATGATAACATCCAACACATCGTCCTTGAAACTGCGTGTTGTCAATATGAGAAAATATTATTGCGATAAAAAGCCACTGGGACTATCGAGATAACATACGTGACATCCTTGGTCTCCTTAGGAAGAACTCCATCCACGGCCTGTGAAACAATATCGATATAGCGTTTAGTGTTCTTTTCGATGGACTCAACTAGCTTCATGCCTTGCTGGTCGTCGGGGAGCGATCTCTCGAACTAGGATCGCAATTGTTAGCTTGTATGCCCGGTGCAGAAACATGAGCTACATTCCCTCCAGGTGAACTCACAACTTCGACATCGTCCAGCTCAATCAAAATATGTTGAACATCGCGATTAGCAACGTCTTGCAGAATCTGCATGTACTTGAGCTTGGGCTCCCGGCGCCTCCTGGCTCCACGAGTTGCAGCTCCATCCTCTTCCGCATCGTCCATAAAATCGTACTCATCGCTGGTGCGGTTGCCGTCGATGTTCAAATCTTCCAAGGCTTCGGTCGCAGCAGCCTCGGAGGTGGACTGCAGGGTCTTGAAATGCTTCAAGAAATCCTTGAAGGCATCCAATTGGGCGGCATAATCAACCGGAGCATGATATGAGAGTAAAGCCATGCTGAGAGGTGGGGAGGTTGATGTGGGATAGTAGAAGTTGCGCTCGGTTGAGAAGAGAACGCAAAAGTGGTGGGGAGTGGATTTTGCGGTAAGATGGATCTCCAGCCCCTAGAGACACGCGAAACACGTCGACGCGTCCAAGCGGGTTAGCACTTGAGAGAGTGACGCGCCAAGAAATTCCAGAGACCTCGCCTGTGATTGGTGGGAAGCACTGCTTAGTAATAATCGACCAGTTGGCTCCGCGGTTTTGGCTTTCTATACATTCTTGACGTCTCTCCTGTCGGAAATATACATGCAAGCTGCACATGCCATACGTATTGTATTTTTAAAACCCATGGATATATCATGGTGTGTACAACTGGATATTTCGGTAAATTTACAAAGGTTCTACGTCGCTGAGTAGTTCTTCGGATTGTAAGGCTGCTCAGGTGCTTATAAATGTACTCCTAGCATGATCAACAACATGCATTGAACTCGTCTAACGCAAGCTATTCTTTATGTACGCTTTCCGATTTAAGTTTCGGAAAAAATTGATTAAAATGCACTAGATTGCTTCACAAATGCCGGGGTTTGATCTACACACATATCCACTAACAAGGATCATTGTTCAATAAGCGTCGCTGTAATTTGGATTCAAATTCGGCCCCCATTCAGCCACAACAGAGCCAGGAAAAATGATCAGCCCCTGAAAGCCGAAGTACCAGCTTGTACCTTCCACGGTCTGGAGTTTTCATAGGTCTCAATCCCACCATGCAGGAACGGCAGGTCACGCTGGAGAAGCAGGCCAAGCAGGCCCGACGAAGTAGTGCCAGGTCGAGAGCTGGCTGCATTACTTGCAAGTAAGCACTGAAACATGAGATTGAAAATAAAGAGAGAGAAAAACTTTAAGATCACCCACAACTAACGAGGGGCAGGATCCGTCACGTTAAATGCGGAGAGGAAAAACCACACTGCCAGAAATGCTTACTATCAGGTCGTAAATGCGATGGTTACAGCACAGAAACACAAATGCAACATCGAGCAAGACTTGACATGGCCTCATATCGTCCAACAGCGGAGTTCGGTGCAGATCGCACCCTAATTATCGTCCCGGGTAGTAGGCAAGAGCGCCAATTTCTCCACACATTCTACGAACAAGGTGCAGGATGTGTAGGAGGCTATGTTCCATCCGATCTTTGGGATCGACTCATTCCGCAACTCGTCCAAAACAGACCCATGATTCGACATGCAGTCGCAGCCGTCAGCGCTACCTGTCTACAACAATTTTGTCCCCAGTTAGAGGCTAAAGAGCGAAATGGAATGGTTGCGCTCCGACAGTATAACAAAGCCATTAAAGACTTTCTTGAGTTTACGGCTACAGCCGAGGCCTCGGAATTCGAGCATGTACTCGTTGCCTGTGTCTTATTTACATGCCTGGAAATGGTTAAAGGTGACCGAGGCCGGGCAGTAAATCATCTAGAGGGCGCGCTACGACTGCTGCATAAATATCAAGCGAGAGTAGGGGATCGTATCATAAAGACCGCGGTCGCCCAATTACTCATTCGCCTCAACAGTCAACTACCATTTCTCGGTCGACCTTTAATTCCCCTACCCGAGCCCAAACATCAGCCAGGGGAAGCTATGCATTTTAACACGATCGAGGAGGCCAGGGAGATGGTTACGCGGATGCAGCGGCGCGTTACAGATTTTAATACATCGATATCAACAGATGAAAAGGGAGATTTGATAGGCGCGGAACTACAAAAAGAATACGCCATGATATTGCAGATGTATGACCAGTGGGAGCCGGCCTTTCATAGATTGATCGTGGATTCAGCTAAGAAGGCCAAACCTCTCGATCCTCGGTCCCTCTTAATTGTCGATATTGCATTCCACACATGTGCAGTATATACAAAGGCGGCCGCATCTTTAACCGAGACAGCCTATGATGCACACATGTATCATTGGGAAGGCATAGTCAATGGGGCAGAACAAATACTCCTTCTCGGCATGAACGAGAACGTTACTCACTCGCCACTTTCCAATCTTTTTTCCATGGAGGCAGAAGTGATTCCCATGGCCTGGTGGGCGGCAGCTAGATGCCGCGATCCTTTTATTCAACGCAGAGCCATATCCGTTCTATCGCGCCATTCCAGAACAGAAGGATTCTGGAATGCGAAAGTTTTGCTCAGGGTAGTCGAAAGAGTTCTCGAATATGAAGAAGCTCCTCTTGTCTCTCTGCCTATTGGACAAAGAATTCCAGCTGAGCACCAACGTGTATGTCTAGCTTATGCGGCTCCAAAGGATGGCGTATTCAGTAATCCGGTTCCGGTGTTTATGATGACGAAGCCAGATGGGGTTGATAAAGCACCAAAGATATGGTGGGAATATCTAGAATGGGAAACAATGGAAGTAATATAATGTCCCTATGAACTACCTGTGATTCATGTTGTTCCTCTTTCCAAAATTTTGATTGAAGCGCATTATATGCCGTTAAACCTTTCAGATATTTGTGTTCCCATAACCCTCTATTATGGCTTTTGATGTTATTTGATCAAACTTCATGCCTAAGCTCGTTTCTCTAGATCTCCCTGCGTTTCCGTTGAAGTCGAACCGGACAGCTATCAGCACTCAAAAGAACAAGAGTCAACAACTGCCTTTCTTGTCCAGCGGGCTCATTGACCTCGCCCGCGGGAAGCGAAATAGTCTGAAATCCCTGCAACAGTCTGACAACCGGGTAAGATATCTCCATAGTAGCAAATTCTTCTCCCAGACATTGTCGGGGCCCGCGACTGAAAGGAAACTATGCCCAGCCAATTTTGTCCAGTTCCCCAGTTTCCCATCGCTCAGGTCGAAATTCATAAGCATCATCTCCATAAATATTCCGCTTTCGAGAATTGACATATGATGAGAAGACCACTAGCTCCCCTTTTCTTATCAATATCGGTTTGTCTCCATCAGGTCCTCCACCTGTTGGCAATATTGTTGTTCGTATTGCCTCCCGATTGTTTAAAGGGACAGGTGGGTATAAACGAAGAGCTAATATTATAATGAGTGATTCTGAAGAGAATTAATAGGTAGAGAATATCCTTGATCACACAGGAAAAGTATGGCATTTTTCTGATTTGTTCTCTGGTAAGAACTTTTTCGCCCTTCGTCACAATGCTGATCTCTTCTTGTAAACGTACTAATACTTTCTCGTGTCAGAAAAGGAATCGATTTCCACCATAGATAGAGAAATCAGTACCTTCTTTCGACATTTTAGAGTCTTAGGTCGTACTTACAATATCCAAGATAAACAGCATGCAGTCGTGTCTCGACCGGCTAATAAGTTATTCAAAAGCTGGCTTCGAAGATTCGCGATGTTCATGGACTCAGCAGCAGTCTGCTTAATAAATCCGTGCCGTCTATCTTCATCATCTGTATTTTCCAATTCTAGACCGTTGATATAGTCTTCAACAAAGTGATGAACAGATGCGCATGCGGGTTATAGAGGAAATGCCACGACGTCATACGAAACCGCTTCGCTAAACCTTCTTGTGAGCAATCTCGAAGTTTTCTGAAAACATCCTATTCTCTTGATGTTGATCAATGCCGGCTCGTAAGGCATATACAGATCTCCCAAATAAGAGAGCAGTCGAGGTCTCCATGGTCAGATCAAAGAATAACGGTTGAAGACCAATCACCCCGTCATTCGGGAGAACATTAAGCAAGTTGTCAACATGTTCCCGAAAGAAATCAAAGTTTTGATAATGTGTTAGCAAGAATTGTTTTCGAAAAACTTCCCGTGGATGCTTCCATGCTGCCCCTTCCTGAGTGGAAGTTCCGCTCCCCAGAAACGGAGCAAATATAGCAGGTCTAGCACCAAGGCCAAAGTCTTTAAAGCGACACCTCATATCGGTTTTATGTTTCACGCTATTTCAGGTTCAATGATTTTTGCAAGGTCCTACCTTGGAAATTTGTGGATAAAACAGCTTCAAGATTTGAAGGGTGTAGGATATGAGAAGCCCGAGGTTCAAAAAGCAAGAAATGAAATAGGTTGTTCCCTGATTTAAATTCTCTGCAGCTTTGCAGAGATAAGCCAGAAGTCGTCTATCCTCGTTTGCATCCCAGAGGTCTTTGATGCGATCGATCCCAAGCGGCCATCGTTTTGGTAGCTCTGGGGGTAGCGTGCACCCATAAGAGACATAAGCCTTAGTCTCTCTACTTAGGGGTATTATTGTACTCACTTGGTAACCCTTGAGCGATTGAAAACAGTGGTATCCTACCCAGCCAAGAAAGAAAGCGAAAAACGCTATAATTAAGTAGTTAACACTTTCCATATTTCTAAGCATGTCTTTTGAAAGAAGACCAATAGAATTACAGGTTGCAGAAGAGGGGGTGCGAAGACGAAGGATAATCTTCCTGGTTTTTCAGTCTTTTCTCATGAAAAATTCCTTGCGATCTTCTGGTGTCAACTGATGACCTCTTTGTCAATTTATCCTTGTTCGTTGGCGAGCACTAATGCAAAGCATATCACACGCTAATTAGCCAACAACTCGCCCTCGAAAAAGTGATAAGACTATAACACTGTGGTAATATTCATGTATTTATGGGGCAAGCGCTAATATGGAGCCTGTGATTTTGAAGTCGCTTAAACGTTTAACACTTTGCAGCTTCTCTGAAGTTCTAAGGTTTTACCAATCAGAGGGATAACCAAAAGAAGGTTTTATGCGTGGTAAAAAAATTCAGCGTCGACAGGCATCAATAATTTTCATCTATCGTATGAAGTTCTCAAAGTATGGAGGCAGTGGTCCCTGTGGCGACTGTTCGGGATGTAATGGGCTCGGACGTTGAAGCCGGGGAAGAGCAGGGAGCGGCGGTAGGGGCCTATCCGGTGGCGGAAATGGTGAATATCGTCCCGAGGTTGGTGATATCGACAACGTCTCTGTAGCAGGTAATTCGATGGGATCGCGATCCGCCCGTAGTTCGACCAGCGCTGAGCCATGTTGCTGCCGAACTTGCCAATGTCTTGTTTCTTCTAGTGAAGGCAGCTCGACCGGGGTTTGTTCAATTTGTACCCCAACTGAAGGGTGTCTTTCTTGTCGGACCTGCTGTGGAGATGGTAGTTCCGCCGTGGACTGCTCTAGGTCTCTCAATTCGGACATGGGAATCTCACGGCCGATATGTCTTTTGAGGAGTTCATGCAGGACAAATCGCTCAGAGATGTTTCCTTGTGCTTCAACAAAGGATACTCGAGGGTTGATCTCACTTATTCGTTGTAATCTGTTGGCGTGCCGATGATGGTTAAGACTTCCTTCGACGCCGATCAAAAAGATAGTGACATATGCCCAAGAAAGGCTGAGAAGATCAAGTTCAAATTCATCCATGTCGTTGGCTTCTCCATCGAGTATCAAGACTAGCCTTAGACTTGGGGTCTCAGGTCCTGCTTGCCACCCATATGTGGGATGATATTTTGCTGTTTGGGAATGTTTCTGGAAATGTAACTCTTTAATCTTGCTCCATCCGGTCATGATTCGGGTCCGTCCTCCAAATTGAACGTTTCCCCAGATCTGATTTATGTTCCACCTATTCACAAGACCTATATCGCTTGCTTGATTTGAAAATGTGACCAGATGATAGCCGTATGATGAATTACTAAAGGTTTGCATGGCGTCAACGAATCGACTAATTATTGCTTTTGCGAGATCTGTATACAAGCAAGTAACGTCAGCTTTGTGTTAAAATTAAGCAGCTGGCTAGTATCTACCTTTATTCTTTGGCTGACCCACTTTGGAGAAGCCTGTGATAAGATACTTGTTGTATTTTGGTCGTGCAGGGTTGAATTCCATAGATCCAGACGCATCCAATAGTATCATTGTCTCGTCCATGCGCGACAGGGCGCCGCTCCAGGATCTAAAAGTATTCCTGACTTGCTTTGAATATCCCTGTGAGGTGTTCTGAATATGGCAAGTATCATCCGTTGAATGATAGGCTGGAGGTATCTCAACAGCTGAAGCCATACGAGCGCGAGCCGTGTCTAAAGCGGAGACTATATCAGGCTTCATGACAACACCACCTCCGTTGCGATGGCTCAACACCCAGTACAGTCTCTCTTCAGCAGTAGTTTCATATCCCCTCCATGCAGGGGTTATTCCTCTCCATCCCACAGCAGCATCTATTGAGAATTTGAGGACGTTGGATGTCTGAGAGTCTCGAGTCCATGCTATAGGAATAGGTTCGAAGTATCCTGCACGTAGAAGATGCAAATATTGAAGGGGGTGATTTTTTCGTAGCTCATTGATTTGCGATGAAATGCCGATCACCTGCTGATATGATTGCACTATTCCTTTATCACATTCATTCTGCCAGCGACCGTTCTCTTCTTTGAGAATTGCCTCGCGGAGTTCGAAGCCACCGGAAAACTTCTTCTTTATCTTGCCGGCAGCTCTCTCGTCGGATGTCTTGACCGACAAGGCCTTTTTGAAAGTTGCCCGTTTGGATAATTTATGATCGTGAGTATCGTCATCGGGCGTTGCTCGAGGCCCAGACATATTCTTGACCAGCGACTCCAGTTGTTCAAGGTCCCATATATTGAAAGAGGGCTCCAGAGCTTGAACGGCTATTTTTGCTTTGGCATTGAGAGTTGTGTTAAGTGCTATTGTCTGGTGGAGAAACTCAACATGGTATTCGGGGTTAGCTCTGGCAATCTTGGATAGTGCCACACCACCGAAGCCGTATGGTGAAATGATCTCGGTTGAGTATGGGTTGTTGTTGAACAGACGCAAGTGAGTGCAATCATGATATGATTTCTCTCCAGGATACAAAACAGCCTTTGACCATATCTCCTGAACTTCTAGTCGATCGATCTTTTTCTTATAGTATTTGTGAACAGCACAATCGCAGAGATCGGTCGTCTCGTGTTCCGGCTCGATTTCGGCATTCCAGATTTGACACGACAATTGGACATTATGGAGAATGCTTTGCATATCTTGCTCATCTTGTGCTCGTAAATTCGTTGCCTCAATGATGGGATTAGTATGTGGTTTTCGTTGCTCATTTGCGAAGTTCGTGTTATTCGTTTTTACGCTCGCTATTGATGCGCGGGTACTTGGTGGGCTGATCGGATAGGATGCAGGCGGGTGGGAGGGATAAGAGGGAGGTGATGCAGGAGGTGTTACTGTTGGAGCAACATGATGAAAGCTGGATGTGTTGACTAGGCTTCGTACAGATGACGGTGGACGGTGGCTATTGTATTTGTCCATGTTGGCATCATGTGAAACTAACGATTCTCTGCCTGACTGACACTTGGCTTCCTTCGGCTCCCTTCGGCATAGTTAGTCAAGTAGCGATCGGTGGTCCTCTACAATAATTACCTGCAGAGATAAAAGCGCTGCTGCTTCGTTCGCCCCCAGCACAAAGCCTAATGGCTAAAAAGTAAGGTTGCTAGGTTGTTTCCTAAGGGCAGCTTAGCCCCCGCAAAAATGCGACAGGGGGAGGTGTTGAAAAGGTGAAGATCGTCGATACATTCAAGTTCCAGATGACAGATATAAGTTCGTCAGTGCCTTCCCCTCCCTGCAGAGCGACATACCACAGCCACGTTTAATCTATACTATGATTATATCGTAGCACGTGGGTCGAATCTCTCCGATTAGTGGGTCATTTTTACTTTCTTTTACGAGGTGGAGCTCAGTGGGTGATTGCGGCTCGGCGGTCCAAGCCCGGGCCAATATAGACGATAGGGGAGCCACAGAGGTTCAATATGGAGTATCAGTGGGGGATAATATTTGCAGCCCTAATGATAGCATGATTTCACCATATCAGAATGATGAGAGGCTTTTCAGGTGACAAAATGATCCAACTGGCTTATTTTCAGCGGATTACCTCGCCTGCTATAGATAGATTGCTGATTTAGTCCGAGCTTGGCAATGCTAATGCCCACTTTTACCTAAAAATGAAATTTTCCGATCTGATACTTGATAATTTGAATAAAATCATCCTGGGATGACTAAAATACAAAAGCTTTTGACTTTGAGGTGGGGCGTACTACTGGTACTAACTACTAACTAGTAGCACAAGTATTACTAAAAGATCCATGGATTTTATACTACTACTAGACACCTTCAAGTTGAACTTGAAAACACCTGGGCATGATCAGATCATATATCCTGTCAACCAAGTCCACAATTTTCATCTCAAAAATTAGCTCAAAACCTTTAAAGCTTCCAATTAAACTGGTGTCAAAATAATTTTAGTCAGGTTTCCAGTATTTCCCCGCTTAGGTGTTGATTAAATATGCATATTTAAATGTTGTGACAGAACGACTCGGAGACAGGACAAAAGAGATGAGCGAAATCACCAGTCTGGGGAACTTTGTGATAGTATGTACCCTACAGTCGCCTAACGATGGAAACACCAATAATATTACAGCACAAGGCAGGCCAGGATGACCTATCATGAACCATCTATGATTCTCCGCCGTTTTACCTCCATGTGAATATAGTATGCATGACTCCAGCCTGGCCGAACAAATGGACATCTATCAACTTCATTTTTTGTCGCATGCATGTCTCCATCTAAAAGCTGTAGAATGATGTCAGGTCGGGTCGCGTTGGGAAGTTGAACAGTGATTAAACCAGTCATATGCTGTGTATATATTGAAAGGATATTCAAGTTGAAGCAGATAGGCTGCATACAGCAGGGGTGTTACAAAAGTACGCATCTAGGCCTTGTTATGATGCCTTACTCTACCCCACTCATCCCATCATGCAGAACTTCCGAGGTTGCTTTGCAGTCTGATGCATTACCTTCTGCTGTACCACCATCTAGCTTCTGAATCTGGCCAGTCTTTTTTCATGGAAATATTCGACGATGCATATCACTGATACCCCTCCTCGCCTGGGAGGGCCCTGGCTCAAAAGGGGTATATTTGATGTCGAGGATTCCCCGCTCTGGATTGTATTTACTCACAAATCCTCTCCAAATTTATAGAAGGAAAACATGTCGTTTGCCCTGGGAGCAACTATTATCTTTGTTCTAGCTACATTCTACGCTGGGGTCGTCTTTCGTCTCTCTAAATGGAAGCGTCCGCCTCTACCACCTGGTCCACCTGGAAAGCCGTTCATTGGTAACTTGTGGGATCTTTCAAGCCCAAATCAGCAGGAGTGGGAGCACTTTTTCAAACTTAAGGAAATATATGGTGAGAGGCTTGCGTTTTTAAAATAGCATATAGCGATCATTGACCATCCACATGCAGGGCCTATCAGCTACATGAATGTTGGGGGGCACTCGCTTATGATGCTCAACGACGCTAAACTAGCTTTACAATTATTGGAAAAGCGCTCTAGTATACACTCATCGCGCCCAGCCCATGCATTTCTCGATATGTAAGTCAAAAATAATCTGATCAAGTATGTAAAAAACCATCATTGTTGATTCCTTGAAGGTCGGGCTGGGATAAAGTTCTCGGAGCACTTCGAAATGCCGACGATGTGCGAGCAACACGTAAATATTTTCATCAAGAACTTGGAACGGCCAGGTCTCTTTCTCGTTTCAACGACATTCAATCAGCAGAAGTCGGACGTATGTTGCTGAGGCTATTAAAGAAGCCAGATGAGCTCCAAGCTCATATAAGAAAGTAAGAATCCATAAGCTTACTCGGCCCTCATATCAAACAGCGCAGCACATTAACTTCAAGCTAGAGAGGCCGGAGCCATTATTCTGAAGATTGCATATGGCTACACAATCGAACCCCACAACGACGACCCCCTTGTTAATCTAGCTGATAAGGCAATGCAAGGGTTTTCTATTGCGTTTTCTTCAACAACATGGGCAGTCAACTTTATGCCAATATGTAAGCTTCATTTCAAGCAACCTTCTTGATGTATATAGATAGTACATTTGAGGATATATTAACCAATGTTTCATTAGTGAAAAGCCTACCGACTTGGTTTCCTGGGGCAGGCTTTCTCAAACTAGCACAGGAGTTCAAAACTGATGCGCAGGCACTTGCTGAGGTGCCACATGAATTTGTAACACAACAAATGAAGAATGGCTCTTTCAGCCCGTCTTTCCTGTCTGAAGTTCTCCAAAAACACCCCGTCGAGCCTGGATCCAAAGAAGAAATCATTCTTAAATGGTCGGCTGGGTCAATGTATGCCGGAGGATCGGATACAGTGAGGATACCTGCAAAGCTGAGCGCACATGAGATACTATGACTGACAAAATCTAAGACTGTTTCCTCTATCTCCTGCTTCTTCTTGGCCATGGCTTTGTTCCCTGAGGCACAGAGCAAGGCCCAAGAGGAACTCGACTCGATTATCGGAAATTGCCAGTTGCCTCAACTTGAGGATCGAAAACAGCTTCCATATATTGACGCGGTTGTTAAAGAAGTGCTTCGATGGCACCCCGTTGTACCTGTCAACATACCCCATGTGTCAACACAGGATGATGTTTGCGAGGGATTTCTCATTCCAAAGGGGTCTTGGGTTATAGCAAATATCTGGTATTTCTCTTGAATTATAAAGCTGATTACAACTGGTTTCCAAAACTAACTTACCTAGGGGTATGACTCATGATCCAAGCATTTACGAGGAGCCGATGTCCTTCAGACCGGAGCGCTTCCTGGACTCCCTGAACGGACATCCGCCGGCACCAGATCCGCACCGTTTAGTGTTTGGTTTTGGCCGCAGGGCCTGCCCAGGCCGTATATTGGCCGATTCAAACATTTTTCTCACCGTTGCCCAATGCCTGGCTACATTCAACATTTCGAAGCCGGTAGAGAATGGCAAGGTTCAAGATATTACCGCAGTATTTAACCCAGGACTGATCAGCCACCCCGCACCTTACAAAGTATCTATTTATCCACGAAGCCCGAAGCATCGAGCCCTTGTTGAATCCTTAGAGACTCGTTATCCATGGGAAAACAGTGATGCCGATCTACTCGCGAGTGTATCCAAGTCTTAAAGATCAGAGCTCAATGTCGCAAGAATCAAGTAGATAAGATGGCTTATACGAGATAATTGTGTATATAATATGTTCTCCAGATTTCCTATTCGAGAACTCTGCAATCCATCTTCAAAGTGTAGTCACTATCGATTTATATGGGACTCGGACTTGATGTACCTAACTATTTCGGAATATTGTTTATGCCTGAGGCATAACATCGCAAAGCAGCCGAGGTTCACCGCGGACCGATTCCCGGGCGGTGACAACCACAAGATCCCCCCGGGGAATGCCCCGTTCCCCACCTCCTCCGTCTTTCCTATACACAGCTTCAACTATGGCGCCCAAGAAGCCCTCCACAACGGCGGAAGTCGCTCTTGTTCCCTTGAAGAACTGTCTTGTCAATCTCCCGCCGTCTTTAGTCTCCTTGCTGGTCAATGCAGACACGGTTGGTCTCCCAAATCGGTCACTTCTACCTTCCGGGCTAATTCTCATGTGATTACAGACTGCACAGAATGTCATCATTGAATTGCAATTCAAGTCGACAAGTGTGAAGGCCAATGCAGCTCCGCCGCAGCGCTCGTGCTATCTGGGATGGACTGGCATGCCGAGCAAGCGAAGGCTTGCGCCGGTAGTAGGCCGAGAGGGGATCAATAACTCCAGGGAGCAAGAGATCTCAACCGTTGAGCTGGACACAACGTTCGGAAGGCTTCTCGGGCTTGCCGATGGGCAGAAGGTATATGCTCATTCTATATGTACTTGGCTCATGTGGCTAACTCCTTGCAGGTCGGCCTGCTCGTGCATCTTGATCCTCCCGTCGCGCATACCATCAATATCGAGCCATTGACCCCAGAGGACTGGGAGAGTAAGTTTTGACATGAGCTTTTGAAAATAAGAGTGACCGACTAATTTACATGACTTGCTATAGTTATCGAACTCCATGCCACGTTTCTGGAACTCAACCTCTTGTCACAGATCCGCGCCCTCCCCAATCCATCCTATACTACCACGCAAGTGGAGCATATGCACCCACTCGCCCTCCACCTGTCGCCCACATCGACAGCGAATATTGTTGTTACCTCACTCACTCCCGCTCCATCGAACACCGCCCCGTTCGCCAAGATTGCGCCCGACGCGGAGGTCATTGTTGCGCCGAAGGTCCGATCTAAGACTAGCAAATCATCCCGAGGAGACAGCCGGAGCAATGCCGGGAGTTGCAGGAAAAGCTCCGGAGGCCGCAGTGCTTCAAGTACTGTGCGCCCGAAGAGCTCTCGTCCTGACTCTGGTAGAGGGTCTGTATACCTCCGCGGCGTGGATCGTCGCGCAGCCGACGACTTGTTCGACGCCGAGATGGAAGAGGATGAGAATGATGGACTTCGCGTATGGGTGGATCCAGAGTTGTTATTAACACCTGAACTCCGTGGCACAACATGGGCATCCATCTCAGTTGTCCAGCCTTCAGGACTCAAACCACCGGTTGATCCTCAGCAGCAACTAGCCCAACAGGAACAGAATTCGCATGAGGCTGGGTCGCCTACAACAAAATTGGTAGCGAAACTGCTTCCATGGGAAGAGGCGCCAGATACTCAGCATGTAGCGATGTCTACTTTACTCTGCACGGCTCTTGGTGCCGAGAACATGGTAGGAGGAGTTGTCCGCGTGGAAGCTGCCCCACCACAGCTGCATCGATCGACTGTCAAGACACTCAAGGTCTATCCGTTTATGGCCGATGCATCCAAGAAGAAGGATGGGCTCAAGTTTGGGGCAGACACCATCGCTTCTCGAGATGCTTTGGCTGAACGTCTCAAAGTAATCTACGGCAGCACTGGGTCTGACGTTGGACTGTTTTCAGGCCCACTGACAGATGGCATGGTTTTACCTAAAGTGGAGAATCATCCTGCTGTGTCTTCATTTGATGGTGCGATCCTACGATTTGATCCACCCTTGAAGGGAGGTCCTGATGAAACCAAGACCATATTTGGATGGCTCCTGGGCTCTGAGGCCATTCTCAATCTCGATGTGCAGGCAGAGATACCCAAGCCATCCGACGCAGGCTCATCGGCCCTTCCTACAGATGACCCCATCCCAGAGACTGCTCCCCAGTTGGTTGGAATTGACAAGTTCATCTCCCAGTCGCTAAACAACCTGACAAAGTCATCGTCTATTTTGTTGACTGGCGGACTTGGCGCAGGAAAGACAGCCCTGACGCATCTTCTTGCTCATCGTCTGCGCAAAGATCATCTCTTCAACGTTAAATATTTCTCCTGTCGCAAGCTCGTAACTGATGAAACTCGCATCTCAAACATCAAGGAGGTTTTGAATCGACTGTTCATGTCTGCTTCTTGGTGTGCTCGTCTCGGTGGAAAGGCTGTGGTCATTCTGGATGACCTCGACAAGCTCTGTCCTCTAGAGACTGAATTGCAGGTGGGCGGAGACAATGGACGCAGTCGTCAAAATAGCGAAGTCATTTGTTCTATGGTTCGAGAATACTGCACTATGAACTCTTCCGTGGTCCTATTAGCAACAGCCCAAGCTAAAGAGTCTTTGAACAATGTCATTATCGGGGGCCACGTTGTCCGAGAGATCATCAACATGAGAGCCCCAGATAAGGAAGGTCGGCGCAAGGTACTGGAGACACTTACCAGCCAAGACAAACCCACAGAAACTATGAACGGTCATGACCGCACGGAGAGTACTTCTACTCAAGACTCGTGGCTTGACCCTTCAAATCCTGGTAGTCGTCCCAGCTCTTCCGGCGGTGATGGTTTTGCTCTAAGCCGAGACTTAGATTTTCTTGAACTTGCTGGGAAGACCGACGGTTACATGCCAGGTGACCTTGTACTATTGGTTGCTCGTGCTAGAAATGAAGCACTCATCCGATCTGTTCAGGATCTTGCCGCAGAGTCTAAGATGATCAGTCTTGGGTTTGAGGATTTTGAAAGTGCCTTGAAGGGCTTTACCCCCGCCTCTCTCCGCAATGTCACACTCACTTCATCTACTACAACCTTTTCAGCCATTGGCGGTCTCTTCGAGACTCGCAAAATGCTGCTGGAAACACTACAATACCCAACGAAGTACGCGCCAATTTTTGCAAAATGTCCACTACGGTTGCGATCGGGTCTGTTGTTGTACGGATTCCCGGGTTGCGGTAAAACAATGCTAGCAAGTGCGGTTGCTGGTGAATGTGGCTTGAACTTTATTAGCGTCAAGGGTCCTGAGATTCTAAACAAGTACATTGGTGCTAGTGAAAAGAGTGTTCGTGATCTATTCGAGAGAGCTCAAGCCGCTCGACCATGTGTGCTTTTCTTTGATGAGTTTGACAGTATCGCCCCTAAGCGTGGTCACGACTCAACTGGTGTCACCGATCGTGTTGTTAACCAGCTTCTTACCCAAATGGACGGAGCTGAGGGACTCTCTGGTGTGTATGTGTTGGCTGCAACCTCTCGACCTGATCTGATTGATCCCGCCCTTCTTCGTCCCGGCCGTTTGGACAAGTCTCTCCTTTGTGACATGCCGTCACAGCAGGATCGTGTCGACATTGTTCGGGCAGTTAGCGAGAAGCTAAAGATGAGTGATGAGGTTGCAGCTCGCTTAGACGAGATCGCCGCCCAGACGGAAGGATTCTCTGGTGCTGACCTCCAGGCCGTGGTGTACAATGCGCACCTGGAAGCGGTGCACGATGCGCTAGGTGACCATACTGGCGATGATGCCAAGCCCAACAACACCAAGCCAGGCGCCACCAAGCCTTCGTCAAATCCTTCAAGTAGAAACTTCATCCAGTTCCTTTACTCATCCTCTGAAGAGGCGTCTGGAAAGGTCACGATGCCTCCTCCAGCCGTCGTTGCAGCCAAGCTAGATGCAATCAAAAACTCTCGTCGTCGGCAACGTCAAGTTGAAAACGGCACTGCCGGTTCTGCTCCGGCCTCTGTTTCAGCGCCTGCAGCTAATGGCACCGAGGCCTCGGCGGATGAGCTCCGTGACGAAATTATCGTGCGATGGGAACATGTGGAACGAGCCCTCAATACCACCCGTTCATCTCTCAGCTCCACCGAGCGACGCCGTTTGCAAGGGATTTACCGGGAATTTGTGGTCGGGCGTAATGGCGAGATGCCCAATGGCGAAGCCGGAAATGAAATTGGAGGCCGGACAAGCCTTATGTGATCGGGCTTAGCAATACTTTTTTTTCCCCGTCGGCCCATTTAGCGAAGAAGGATCTTGTATATCTGTATATATTACATCTTTGCTTTTATTTGTGACTATTCTTTTTATTTCGCCCTCTTCTTGTATTTATTGACCTTTACTTGAATAGGCACTATACCATACCTATACCTATGTATATTCAAATGCCACTCATCACCATTATTCTCGAAATTCTTGAAAATTTTCAATGCCAATACAGCTCTAATCATTGGACAACTCAAACGAAACAAATCAAACTATTCAATTGGCTGATAAGCCTACTGAGACTTCGTCATCGCAAGCCGAAATACACTGCCCGATTCAAATCTAGAATAGGCATCAGGGTAACAAACCACATGCATGCACTACTAGCCCCTGTAGATGTAATAGGTATATTGCATGGAAGACATTTGCCAAGTCCAATTGTAGTGGGGGCAGTAATCGAACCCTCACGGAGCCGGACGGAGTCTCCGTCAGGGGGTCCACTATTTGTGGGGATGCCAAGGGTTCGGACTGCTTATTGCAGCAGCATGGAAAGAAATCAGGTTTCATGAATTAGAATCTTTGGCGCAATAAGTCTTCAAAAAAAGGCCAAGGCTTTACAATATGTGGTGGAAATGAAGTTGAAGAGTGTGGTACCCACGTCCTTAACCGCATGCGATGTTAATATATGGCGGAGAATGTGGCGCATATAGTTAAGATGCCTCGTCCTACTGACCTATAAAGTCGGACGGAAGGAATTCTCCCTGCAGATAGCCTAGACCAGTCAGAGATAGAGTAAAGCATGATTATCTATCCCGGGTCAAATCATATCTCCCTTGTTTATGATCAAGGACAAAACTCATCCTGTCTGTATCGTGCCCTGCATCTATCCGACGGTTCCACCACGATTTTAAATTTCTGAATAAGGATTGCTTTGCCGGCCTTGTTAGATTTCGGTACAGGAGACTAAGCCTGTTACGTAGCATATCAATCAGTGGGGAAATGATCAGCAACGCTGTTCCTCTGCCCTCCTCCCATCTATCTCCTGACCTCTATCGGTGTGGAGATCTATCGAATGCTAGAACTGTAATACGTGGTGGCTGTGTGGAAGGCAGCAATGATTATTATGCTTCAATTCAGATTGACGTAGGTATGTAAGTCCAATAATAAACTTAGATTTTCCATGACTGCCTTCCTTCAACCCAATGAGGATGGGTAGCGCGCCACGTCGAAGCGAAGTCGCATTATCCCGCTGCAGATCCCAATATACGTTTTTTATCTTTCTCCGCCGCTCCCCGTTTCTTCTGTGACTTGCAGAACCCGTGCACTCGTTCCATCTCCTTTAAACGGAGCGGGTCCCGAAGCCCTTAAGTGGAGAAGGCCAATGCCAACTTTTCGTATATATACACTGTCAATCCTCTCCATCTTCGGCAGTTGATCAGCCCTTCAGCATATTTTTCTTCTTTGTATATTCTTTTCTTCTACTGCTTCAACCAGGCGCGATGCGATTTTCCGCCGCCATTGCCGTTGCAGCTCTGGCTGCTGGCTCTATTGCCGACAGCTGCCCCTATGCAGAGCGGGCTGCTGCTGACGCTGTTGTTCCTGCAGGATGCCCATATGCCAAGCGTGCTGCAGAGAAGCAACCAGCCAAACCAACCAAATTGGCTCGTCGAGGGCCAATTGAGGGCAAAAAGGGTATCTTCTATAGTAAGTATTCCATTTTATCTCCTGAAGAAAGAAGGTGGCCAAGAAATACCATATACTAATTCCACTATGTAGTGAACCGAATTGGACCTTCCGGATCGCAACTCTGGATCTCTAATGCCGACGGTACCAACAAGACCCAGTTAATGGCCAACCAGACAAATGCTTTTGATTATCACCCCTCTTGGTCTCAAGACGGTGAGTGGATTGTCTTCACAAGTGAGCGTCGTGCACCTGGTCAGTCTGATCTCTACCGTGTGCGAGTTGATGGCACAGGGCTAGAGAGCCTTGCTTCTACAGACTCCGTCGAAGATGTTGGCTCTCTGTCACCAAACGGCAAAGAGGTTACATACGTATCAACCCAAGGTAACTACACTACAAATATCTGGGTTAAGGATCTGGAGACCGGGATTGCCCGTAACTTGACCGACACCGCGAAGACACGCGCCGACAACACCTGGCCCTCCGGCCATTTCAGACCTTCATGGTCTCCTGACGGAGAGTGGATTGCCTTCAGCTCTGATCGTGACACGGATTGGACTGGCCACTCTGAGGGCGTTGGCTGGGAGCACACACAGAACTTGGGCGTGTACGTGATCCGCAAGGATGGCACGAAGATGCGCAGAGTGGTTTTCCAGGAAGGATTTGCATTTGGCACTCCTCAGTGGTCCAGCGATGGAAAGCGTATCATCTACAACAACATCACCCGCGAGAACACATACGGTGCCCATGGTGTCTCTCAGCAACAAGCTGCCGTCTCCTCTCAAATCTATAGCGTTGACTTCGCTACCGGCAAGAACATCGTGGCACACACTTCGGGCTCGTACCCCAAGTTCGGCCAGCACTACATGGGCAGCTCAAGCAACATTGGCTACTTCATCAAGGCCGGTGATCTTGAGGGTGTTCACTACACAAAGGTCGACTCCACCCACAAGGCTTTCAACTTGACCAACCTTCGTGACCCTTGGTGGTCTCCCGACGGATCCAAGATCGTATACTCCATTCCCAACTGGACCCAACAAGCTGCCGACCTCGAGCTCTTCAGCTACGACAACGACTGGGCCTACCGCTACATGGACGTATTCCCCATGCACAACACCGTCGTGAACCGTATTGCCAGCACCCAAAAGGTTCTGGGAGCTGCAAATGGTTCATTGGTATCGACCGATCCACTCTACAAGGATATTGTCACCGCACTTGATTCCTACGAGATCTACTCAACCAGCAACGCCAGTGAAGTCGAGTGGCTTCTCGAAGGTGAAGCAGGTGCTTTCCAGCCTTCCTGGAACCCTGATGGTGACGAGCTTCTCGCTGGTTTCGGTGGCTGGTTCACGAGTCGTACTACCGTTCCCTCTGCCATCGTCCGCGCCACGGCCAACGGTAGCACCTTCAGTACCTTGACAAGCTGGTCTGATAATGCCGGTTTCCCATCTTGGTCTCCCGATGGATCCTCATACGTCTACCGTCTGTGGAATATGACCACCAGTGCCCCTGAGGGTCTTATCGTCCACAATTTCACTACCAACACCTCATCCCAGCTCACTACGGGCTGGGATAACACCCCCGGCTGGTCTCCAGATGGTGAACGTATCGTCTTCACCCGTAACAACAACTGGACTGAATCGTACGGTGCCCGCTGGTACGCGGATCGCTTCGATATTTACACCATTAAGCCCGATGGCTCGGACTTGAACCGGGTTACGGATAGTCTGTCCAACGACGCACAGTAAGTTTATATATGAATCTCCAGATTTGATAAGACACCAAATACTAATATCTTTTTCTTTTAGCGCTGTTTGGTCCCAAGATGGTCGCATCATGTGGAGCACCGGTATGTACGGCTTCAAGGACGAGAGTGCTCTTTTCGACAACACCTTCCAGCCTTACGGTCAAATCATGATCATGGATTACGATGGTTCCAACAAGAAGTTGCTCACCGATACTATCTGGGAGGACTCTATGCCGCTCTATATTCCAAATGAGTATCTTGAATAGGGAATACACAACTTATCAGGCTGTGACGTTTGCAGTGACATGTATATAGTTTGATTGTCTTCATTGATTGAAGTTTTTGTAACGAGAAAATCTGACTCGCCTGAATGATATTTTTCATGGTCTTCCATCTTACGTTCTAATACCTCTAGCAAGTCTTGAAAGCCATAAATATCCAGTCTCAAGTAAAGACCTGAAAGCCACTAGTTGCCAATATTCTCCTTCTCCAACGCCGCCTCAACAACCTTCTCAAGCTTCGCCCACGCCCCACTGAGCATAGCTTTAGCCTGATCGTTAGTTGCCAGGTCAATCCCCTGAGCCCGGAACTCATCATTCACTTGTTTAAAGTTCGACCCGACCAACCTCTTAAATGCCGGGACGGTACAGCTCTCCATCTGCCTACTCGCCAAATCCGCAAGCACATACCAAAGAACAAAATGGAAGTTCAACTCATAATCCTTCAATCTCACCGCATCCTCAGGACTAGTCTCAAAGCTCTGCGAAAGGTAAATAGCGAGTTTGGCTAAAATCCACGCATGAAGTTGTCGAATTGGATGCGCGGGACTAAACAGCTGTGGATCGGTGCGCAGATACCGGATCGCAGCCTGGACGAAAGCAGCGCTGAAATTGTTTGTTGAGAGATATGAGAGAATGAGCTGGTCTCTCAGCTGAGGGTACGGTTGTCTCGTCAAGGGCCAGGTAGATGTTGAAGAGAGGAAGGTTAAGGCTTTTTTGAGTGTTTTGATTGATTCTTCGGGGCTAGTCTCTGGCTTTGTGGCAGTTTGAAGAAGCTCCAGGGCATCGCGCTCGGCGGTTTCCACGAACGCTAGTGGGTTGTCTTCTTGGTAAAGAGGTGAGGAAGAGAGGGATTCGTTTTCTGGTGCGTCGTGTTTTGTGCCCCTTTGACATTTTGTGCAGTCGCATTTGAAGAAGTAGCGCTCGGAAAGCTCACCCCGGCGGACTTCGAGGGGAGTAGTTGTGTCGATATAAGAGACAAATATCTGTTCGTCCTTTTTGATAGGTTTGATTGCTTTAACATAGAGTTCCTCTCCTTCAAAGCCGACCGTTGCGTTGTAGTCGCAGCTGTGATTGATGAGGGCTGCATATGGGTGGAGATACAGACCAATACGGTCGTACATAGCTGTCGTCAAGTTGAAGGAGTTGAGGTCCAGCTGGTGGTGAGCGATTAGCGCATATCCTCATTCAGCCTCTGCTGATTAATTCAAGAAGTGAGAGATATATCTTTAAACATACTCTTGCGGCATACGCAGAAATAGCCTCCTCGGTCATGTCACTTTCTGAATAATTTTTGACAGCCTGAGAAGTGAGAGAGATACGGTCCATTTGGGCCTGGTGTTTCTGGATATCGGCAATGTGTGTTTCAAGATTTGAGAATACACCCAGTTCTTGTGTAGTGTATTTTCCCTTTCCAGTGCGCAGAACCATACGCAGAATGGCACGAGCATTGTTGGGCAAGATCTGAGGCCTAAGGTTCTGGAAGATTTTACATTCTAAAGAATGAGCGAACTTCCAGTCTTTTGATTGGCACGTCTGATTCCATATCAATGTCAGCAAATTCAACACCGAGGCAACATATCAAGAGAAATATTTTGAACCACCAAGATAAAGTCGGAATAGTTCGGCAGCCGTCACAACATCATTCACTGATCAAACTCACCCGGTCGCAATATTTCACAACTCGACATCCAGTACAAGCTTTCAAATCCGAATTCCCTTCCATTTGACGTTTTCCAAAACAGCCGGAGCAAGTATCTTCCAAACGTGGGGAGTCAAGAACCGCCACAAAGGGCGTTTTAGCATGCACAACATCTTCGCCAACCTTGAAATCTGCGGTGGCGAACAAGCCATTGCCCATGCCATTAGGGGCCGGGCCCGGTACAGTCTTTGTGGTTACTGATGGCAAATGGCCCTGGGAAGACATTTCTTTGGGAATATATTGGATTAATCAAATTGATGTTGATCGCGTCCCCTTTGTTTCTACCTTGGATCTTAGGTGTCAAATCCGTGCGGAACGGCAAAATGAAATTCCACCTTTTCGGTCATGAACATTCTTAGGGATGGACATATGCTACTCATAGTAATCAATTATTTCGAGTTATCATACTATCCACCATGTTTGCGTTTTTCCCATTCCGGGTACGCCCAAGCTATCCCTGCATGATTCGATGCAATGTTGTCATTCGACGTTTACATACCACTATGAATTACTTCGAGCTGAAAAGCAAATACAATGGACAGTTCCAGGTTTACGGGGGAGTAGAAGAGAAAATTATATGAAGAAAAAATAAATTCTTTTGTCGCTGAAACACAAAAACCAACTACAACAACAAAAAGACCCCAAAACCAGACCAAATCAACAGGTCCAAATTGTCCGGCACAGATATGAATCCATCCGAGTTGAACAGTCCAACTCTAGGTCCCCCACCTTGTTTCGCCATGGGGAAAAGGGTAAAATAAAATAACCTGAATACATAATTAAACCGGAAAAAGACAAATTCGAGGATTCAGTAAATGCACGCCATCTATCGACAAGAGACTCTTCCACCTCACGGTGACATTCAGACGGTAGAGTACACTCTACACGGGTTCAGGTCGAGGTGGATGTTTAGGCAATTTTGTGCAAGGAGCCATTGATTTACAGAAGCTTGCCACCAACGAAGTCGGACCAGCTGCGGACCTCTGATGGGATGCCTTCGGCGCGGGGCATCTTCTCGTTCATGCACTGAGCGAAAAGCTGGGCAGTCTGTAGAGTATGCATTAGTATCTTAGATAGAAAAGATCTGAGGGGAGGATGTTAGGAAGGGGGCGAATATCTTACCTTGGGCTCCATGAAGAGAGGAACAGAGAAGTCAACAGCGTTACGGCGCATAACGTAGTCTTCATCCTGCTGGGTCTTGGCACGGGTCTTGGCCAAGTTGAAGACACCACGGATGTCGTACTTTTGGAAGACCTCACGGAGAGCACGCTTGTCGTTCTTGGGGAACTCGATGACCTGCACCGAGACGTTGTCCTTGCAGGTAGACTCAATGTGGGCCTTGACCTCGGGATTGGCAGCGTAGAACTTGTAACCGATAGGGTTCAGGTAGTCGACGATAGTGGCCAGGTAAGCCTGGCTAACGTCACCACCGAGGAGGATACCCTCACCAGCCTCGGGCATACGGAAGTTCATGGTGGACTGGAGAGAAGCCCAGTAGGCCTCAACAAGATCCTTACCGAAGCAAGCAATCTCACCAGTGGAGGACATCTCAACTCCCAGGAAGGGGTCAGCACCAGCCAGACGGGTCCAGGCGAACTGGGGAACCTTGGTGGCGAGGTAGTCACGCTTCTCCTGCATGAGATCGAGGGGCTCGGGGACATCACGGCCAACAAGAGCCTTGGTGGCAACGTCAATGAAGTTGGTACCCAGGACCTTGCTGACGAAGGGGAAGGAACGAGAAGCACGCAGGTTGCACTCGATGACCTTCAGCTGAGGCTCGGCACCCTCAGCATCGGCCTTGATGATCTGCATGTTGAAGGGACCGGTGATGTTCCAGGCCTTGGCAACCTTCTCGGCGATATCCTTGACGCGGGCCATGATGGACTCGTCCAGGTTGGCAGGGGGCAGAACCAGAGTGGCGTCACCGGAGTGGACACCAGCGGGCTCAACGTGCTCACTGACAGCGTGGATCAGGAGGTTACCGTTGGAGGCAACAGCGTCAACATCGATCTCCTCGGCACCCTCAATGAACTTGGTGATAACAACGGGGTGGTCGGGGGAGACAGCGCTAGCGTTGAGCAGCTTCTCCTTGAGCTCATCAACACTGTAGATGACGTTCATGGCAGCACCAGACAGGACGTAACTGGGGCGAACCAGGACAGGGTAGCCAACGGTCTCGGCAAAGCGCTCAGCCTCAGAGACGGAGGTAAGCTCCTTCCAGGCGGGCTGGTCAACACCGATGCTGTCCAGGATCTGAGAGAACTTGTGACGATCCTCAGCCTTGTCAATGTCCAGAGGGTTGGTACCCAGAATGTGGGCACCACCGGTCTCCTGCAGACGGAGAGCAATGTTCTGAGGAAGCTGGCCACCGACAGAGACAACGACGCCGCTAGCAGCCTCCATCTCGTAGATATCCATAACACGCTCGTAAGACAGCTCCTCGAAGTACAGCTTGTCAGCGGTATCAAAGTCAGTGGAGTAAGTCTCGGGGTTGTAGTTGATCATCACAGTCTTCTTGCCCATGTTGCGAAGGGAGAGAGTGGCGTTAACGGCACACCAATCAAACTCAACGGAGCTACCAATACGGTAAACACCGCTACCCAGGATGATAGTTCCGTGGTCATCGAAGGTGACATCGTGGGAGGTGGCGTTGTAGGTAGTGTACAGGTAGTTGGTATCGGCAGGGAACTCAGCAGCCAGGGTATCAATCTTCTTAACCCAGGGAGTGATACCGAAGGACTTACGGCGAGCGCGGACATCATCCTCAGTGGAACCAACCAGGAGAGCGATCTGCTTGTCAGAGAAACCAAGCTTCTTGGACTTCATAATCATCTCCTGCTTGAGGCCGAAAAGGCTGCCGATCTCCTTGAGCTCGTGGTGGCAGTCGACAATGTTTTGGATCTTGTACAAGAACCACTTGTCGATCTTGGAGAGCTCATTGACCTTGTCCACAGAGTAGCCCTCGTGAAGCATAGCTTGGCCAACGGCCAACCAGCGGCGGTCGGTAGGGTTGGCCAGGACGTCGTCGAGGTTCTCGAAGTGATCACCCTGGAGACCGAGGTACTTAGGGTCAACCTGACGGATAGCCTTCTGGAGAGACTCCTCGAAGGTACGACCAATAGCCATAACCTCACCAATGGACTTCATAGCAGAGCCAATGTCACGGTTAACGTGCTGGAACTTGCTCAAATCCCAACGGGGGATCTTGGTAACAATGTAATCCAGACTGGGCTCGAAGTTGGCAGTGGTGGTCTTGGTCACAGCGTTGGGAAGCTCAGGGAGAGTGTGTCCCAGACCGATCTTGGCAGCAGTGTAGGCAAGAGGGTAACCAGTAGCCTTGGAGGCCAGAGCGGAAGAACGCGACAGACGAGCGTTGACCTCAATGACACGGTAATCGAGTCCATCAGGCTGCAGAGCGTACTGGACGTTACACTCACCAACGACACCAAGATGACGAACAATCTTGATGGCGGCGGTACGGAGCATGTGGTACTCTTCATCAGACAGAGTCTGACTGGGGGCAACAACGATACTGTCACCGGTGTGGACACCGAGAGGGTCGAAGTTCTCCATGTTGCAGACAGTGATACAGTTGTTGGCAGCATCACGGACGACCTCGTATTCGACCTCCTTCCAGCCCTTCAGGGACTTCTCGACGAGGATCTGAGGAGACAGAGACAGGGAGCGAGAAGAGAGGTCACGAAGCTCCTGCTCGTTGGCAGCGAAGCCAGAGCCCAGACCACCGAGAGCGTAGGCGGAACGAACAATGATAGGGTAGCCGACGGTCTCGGCAGCCTTCAGAGCATCGTCAACGGTGTTAACAGCAATAGACTCAGCAATGGGGATGTTGATCTCATTCAGTGCCTGGGCGAAGAGGTCACGATCCTCACTAGTCTCCAGAGTCTGGATGCTGGTTCCGAGAACCTTGACACCGTAGCGCTCGAAGATACCCATGCGGTTCATCTGGACACCCAAGTTCAGACCGGTCTGACCACCGAAGGTAAGCATAATACCATCGGGACGCTCGCGCTCGATAACGTGGGTAACATATTCGGGGGTGACAGGGAGGTAGTAGACCTCATCAGCCAACTTGTGGTCAGTCTGAATGGTCGCAATGTTAGGGTTGATCAGGACGGACTGGATACCAGCCTCCTTCAAGGCCTTCAGTGCCTGGGAGCCTATTTGACAGAAAATCCAAATGTCAGCACTCCAGATCCATATTTACAAACAATTCATATGCAAGTGGGCAAGCTCAATGCGATTCTCCGCGGAGAGCGCAGCGTATTGAAAAGGGAAAGCTATCGTGTGCCTGCGTCTCCGCATCCGCAACACCATCTCCTCAGGGAGTAACAGGCTACACCACAGTGCATTGCAATAGTTTCCAGGAGCCAATTCTCAATACGTACCGGAATAATCGAACTCTCCAGCCTGGCCAATGCTAAGACCACCACTACCAATGACGAGCACCTTCTTCACATCAACAAGGTTGCTGCCAGGCTTGACAACACCGCTGGCAAGGTAAGACTCAGCGGAAGGAGTCTTCTGAGCCTCAGCCAAACGAAGAAGCGAACTGGAGAAAGAACGCAGCTGCTGAGAACGGGCCGGGGAAGGGAGCTTCTGCAGACGCAGAGCAGAGGCCGTAGATCGAATGGAGGGTTGAGAGGAGAAGGCACGGAGAGGGAGAGCCGAGCGAGTCTCAGCGAGACATCGCTGGCGCAGCAAATTAGCTGCCTGCCCACAGCGAGCTGCAAGAACCATCGCGCCGCAAGTTCCAAGAACTAGATAGGTTCAATGGCTCAATGGTGGGAAGTTGAATACAGAGGATGAGTCGCCGACGGGAGGTCTTTTTTTTCCCCCACCGGCCTCGCTAATTGGCTCGTCCTCTTCACCGTATCGGGTCCACTCTTTTTTTTCTTTTGGCTTTTTTTTTCTTCGATGGGAGAAAAGGGACGAAGGAAGGACAATTGAAGTATAATACAAAGATGAATAAAGAGGAAAGGAAACTACAAGAATGAGTTTATTTCTTTTAGTAAATTTTTTTTATCTCCTACTATTTCTTCAAGTATGAGTCAATCGTTAAATCCAGTGGATGTTTAGCTAGTGGAGACACCCGAGCACATATAAATTCCAATCTGCCCCTGCAGAGCAATTGAACAAGATTGAGTTAATTAAATTAATTAATTAGACATTGCTCACCCCATCCATAAACTTCTATAAGAAAAAGACCATATGAAAGTCAAATATCCAGACTGGATGTGCCTATCTGTCAGTATGGACCATATATCTCCTCCCTATGCCGATGCCGGAACTCGTCCCCTTTAGCGCAAATCCCCACAGATAAAAAGATATGGATTGTGTGCGCCCGGGCCGGGAAAGTGTTCAACTTACGAGAGATTTTCCCTTTTTATAGGTACGTCATTTGGTTTCGCTAGTCTATTTCAAGTTCTAAGTGTAATGGTGGGAGACTAGTACATGCACACAATCCAGCATAAGCCTCGATTATTCGATCTTACTGTTGTAAATACGTAAACATGCACCTACTGGAAGTATCTTAGATAAGGTAGAACAATTTCATAATTGAAGGAATTACATGTAATTATACAGAATCCAGTTCACAGAAATATTATATACAATTTTGTATTCCCCGAGGGGGAATGTAGATCAATTCATTCCAACCCGTTATAATGTGTGGTTGACAGACTTTTTCTCTCTCTTCGCAATCAAACATACTTCAGATCCAGCCTATCATCATTCCACTCCAATGCGCCCGCTCAATCCCGACCAGGGACCCTTTGGTCTTTTCTCCAAACGGGACCCACTGTGGTCGCCGGTCCCTCGCACGGTGCGAGCTTCGGAGGTCCAGATATCTGTCGTTCTTTGTTCGGGATCCACACCCTCTTGCAAAACACTATCTAGATCCTGATTAAGAGTACCATAAACATCACCCAAGACCTTCCGTGCATCTTGATTGACTTCAGTTCCCAATAAGAGTTTTTGCTGAATGTATTCTCGCTCGTTAGAGGCCGCAGCATCAGAGGCAAATGACCATGCCTCAGCCAGACTGACAAGTTCGTCGGACTGCTTCTCGTCGGGTGATTGGGAAGAATTGCGCGAGCTAAGGGCTGCAACAGCATGTTTGAAGCGGGGTTGGTGCGCGAGCATGGGATACTCGTGGAGCAGGTGGCTCTCGTCGCGGAGACGGTGTAAAGCTCGCAGGGTTGTGGATTTCTCTTTAGCAAGGAGTGCAGAAAGGTAGGACTTTTGGAGGGCCAATGATTTTTGGCTCTTGGACAGTGGGATCAGAGTCTCAGTTGCATAGGACAAAACATCAACCGGGATTGGAGGCGAGATCTCCTCTGGGGGGATTTCCATTCTATAGGTAGAACGAGATGGTGGCTTCGGAGGCACAGTGGCAGGTTGGCAAGCCCTAGACGCAACATCGAGAAGCTGCCGTCGAGCCTGTAGATAAGCCTCATATTGTTCTTTAATATGAGCCTTCTGCTCTTCTAGTAACCGTTGGGCCTTTTCAATCTCCTCGGGCGGCATATCTTGCACCAGACTTTCATCGGGGTCTACCTCGCTGACCAGCCGTTCTTCAACCCATTGTACCAACTCATCGCGTGTTCGCTGCAATGCCTGTGCCTTTACAGCGGTTGTGAGATCTTCAGATGTCTCCTCTCGGGAATCGTGTTGCGCCTTAGCTTTCTCGAACAAGCGTTTCTCCTGGTCCAATTGTGTACGGGCACGCACCACAGCTCTTTCGAGCTTGTGCACAAGTCCATCTAGATCTGTATCGGTCCCATTTCGACCACCACTTGTATCCGTTTCCAGTCCCTCTGGTAACACCGATTGCTGCGCGATGCTCTCTTCGCCCAGATCCACCGTTGTAGCTCCTTTCTGTCTAAACTCCTCCAAGTAATGCTGGAAGATCTGGAGCTTGGAATGGCGTCGGCGATCCCGCAGGAGCAAAAGGTAATCACGCAGGTCCGCGCCGGGTTCCTGCGGATCGGCGGGGTCAGCAGGGCGTGTGCGAGACACCCTCTGGCGTCTCAGGGAGGCCACATCGTCGGATAAGCCATTGAACTCCTTCCTGGCGGCTACATTTGCTTGCAATGCCTTCAGGTATTCTTTCCTCAGGCCGGTGAGTTCGATCGGGATGCGCTTAACATCTTGGACTGCGTCTGCGGGCGCGCAGAGAGCAAGGTGGGAGGCATGGGCAGTGTCGTCGTTGAAGACGATCAGGGATCGAAGGTAGGATGTCAAGACCTGGCGGATGCGGAGGGTTTCCTGCTCCGTCTTGACGTAAGGAGTGAGCTGCCTCACGAAAGATGGAATGTGGGTAGGGGGTTCGTTGGGCTCGTAGGGTTCGTAAGATTGGGCCATGGTATCATTGGTAGAGGGTTTTCCCCCGGTCGGCAACTGTGTATGAATTCCTGAAACAGTGGGGAGGAGACGTTTCATATGATTCCGATCATTGTTTGTCTTTTATCTTGCATGAATTCGACGCAGCTTGTTTCCCCGATTGTTTTGGTTCCGCGGAGGTGGAGATTATGTAAACCGCAGATCCGCGAGCTTATTTTGGGATTATTTTGGGGCTTATCTACGTTATTTTTGTTTATACTAGTGGGAATATAGCTCGTTTGCCTGCTGTGAGGAGGAGTGGATGCGTCTTTTCAGTTTTGATGTTTACAGTATGATCGGTCATCTAGCTGTGGCTCTGTTGGCAACTAGAGTTGAGACATCTCATAAGAGGCCCGAGCACTGTACATCGTCATTGTAGATCAGGTAGAAGATCCATATCTTAATGACGAGATTCCAGCAATGATTTAATTAAATTGTGTTTCGCCTGTTTGCCATGGCGATCGAGGCTTTTGCGTAGTTTTCGGAATGTTTAAACAAAAAGGACAACTGGTTCTATGTACATTAATCTGCCTCGTTCACTCAGGAAGGGTTGATGTATACATCCATCTGCAAACGCATGTACAAAGAACCTTGCTGCTCGCATACTACTACATAACGTATACACAGGTAACGGTAACGGGCGAGAAGACATAGATTCTGTCAAATATGAATTGACTTTGTATATCACAAGTGTATATAGAAAATAAGTCTATAGCTTAATAGATAATCCCAATATCAACATCAACAATATCAACAATAAAAGGACTCGGATCTAACTCAGGTACCAAAGACCAGCCAATAACAATGACCCGATCAAACAATTCCCGTCCCATTATTGCGCTATTGCATTATTATTTGCAAGCTGTCATCAATTCAATTCTACATTGAAACTAGGTAGCTGCCTGCATCGTGCGTCAAATGAACTCACCTGCATCCCCATCATACCCTCCCTCTCTCCCCGGGAATGTCTCGCGGCATTCCGATCAAGGGGCAGTGTTTTGCCTTCCTCGCTGCCCAACGCCAAAACAGCCTTTATAGTTCCACAGTCTCCCCCTCTTCCGGACTGACATGCCTTCTGCTGGCCCAGAAGAGCTGGACACTCATCTCAACACCTCCGCCATGACCGACCTCATTTCTACCCCTCAACGGCCCCGAGCAGCCACCACGTCTCTCCCCACTGTGGTTCCCCCATCTCCCATTATGCGACATTCTCTTCAAAGTTCCAGTTCTCTTCATGGGGGAAGTCCACCGTTGGGATCGACTGAGCATGATGTCACTAGTAGCGCTCAAGGTAAATAAATATACCACATTCATGGCTATGTCATACTTCAATTATTTTTGAATTTGATTTTTTTTACTCTCGCTGTTTCTATTTCTGGACACTAACAGAATGATGAACTACAGGACCTCTGCGACATCCCAAGCCGTTGACTCCATCTGACTTGCACTCGGTTCTGGAGAAAGAGCAAGAGGCGATGGTAGGTCAAACATCTTCACAAACAACTATACCCACCCGCTAACAAAAACTTCAATAACAGGTAAATCGCTTGACCCGAGAGCTCTCTCTTCTCCGCCAGCAGACTGCATCCGTAGCATCAACTACATCTTCAACCTCAACTCTAAACGAGCCCCCAGATGGCACCACCCATGGCTCCCCATCGTTGGGCAGTTCCACACACTCCCATTCATACCGCCGACAACGCTCTTCATCCAGCCTGAGCTCCCAAACCCCATCTGTCCAGGGCAGCCAAGCAAGCGTGACTGGAATCGCACCCTCCAGAACTGAGCATCATCGCACGCCCCGAAGCCGTGAACCATCGCTCACTCACCGTCGCCCATCGATCGGATCACTAAATTCATATACGCAACACCCACATCCAGATCATGTGTCCCATTTTGGAAACAGTCCTTCGATCTATCCACATCGAACGTCGGTATCTCAAACACACTTGGGTCTTTCCAGCAATTCTCTAGCCCGGTATGAAGAGGCCGCTTTACATAAGTCGGAATTGGAAACCACCAAACGGGAGAATGAGCAGCTGCGACGGCGGGTACGGGAGTTGGAACAGATATTGAAGAAACAAAAGGAGGAAACGGCGAATTCTTGACGAATTACTTTCTTTTCGGGCCCTGCTTTCATTCAGGCTTTCTTTTTCTTTTTCTTTTTCTCATTCTTTTCTTGCATTCCTTTCACTTTGTCTGCCGGGAGCAGTGCTTTTTACCAGACTTTCTCTCTTTCTATGCTTATCTTTTTACTTCGGGTATGGTTTGCAGGCAAACTTTTATCTAGAGATTGTGAAAGAACCCAGAAGACTTTTTTTTTGACATTTATATTTTCTAGTAAGTATAGGTCTGTAAGGCACTTAATTCTTATCATGTAGTGTATATGAATGCGATCTCATCACATCAACATTTGAACTAGACCGGCATTAGTTTAGGCCGTCTGGGCCGGAAGTCAGGATATGCCATCCCGCCGGCCACTTATGCTGTGTCGTGGGGGCGGTTTATTTAATGTTCACAATTATTCTTTTTGCATAATGACCCTTCCAAGACCATTTGTCATACTGGTGGAAGGTCTTGTCATCACGCCTACGGCTCGTTGAGAATGATTTATAATCTAAGTTCGGACTACATAAAGTTCACCAGTCATTACCAACATATAAGAAGCAACTATCACCTTTAGGCTTTTAGTGGCGATATACTGATTCACCAGTCTCCCTAATCTCAACCAGATTTCACATACAATATGGCAGAAACCCAAGTTGCTCTTCTTGTGACAAAACTCGGCGAGCCCCTCAGCAAGGTTTCGCGCTCGATACCTGCACCCAAGGAAGGAGAAGTCCTCGTCAAAGTCACAGTAGCAGGTCTGAACCCGCACGATGCCAAATCTCGAGATCACGGCCTTTTCATTAAAGATCATCTTCCTGCCATCCTAGGCGCAGATGTCGTCGGCGTTGTAACCAGCCTAGGTCCTAATGTCACTCGCTTCAAGGAAGGAGACCATGTCTTCGGACAAGCTGGATTGCTAGGACCGAACTTAGGGGGCTACTTCAATTTCGGAGCGCCAAATTTTGACACCCAAGGACTCCAAGAATATGCAATTCTAGATATCAAATACTCAGCCAAAGTACCTTCAGGATTTACCGATGCTCAAATGGCGACAGTGCCTACCAATTGCGTGCCTGCTGCAGTCGCTCTCTTCGACAAAAGTTGCTTTGGTATCCCTGCACCTTGGGATCCAGTAGCAGCAGAGTTTGATTACAAAGGTACATCGTTACTGATTCTTGGTGGTGGTTCGAATACTGGAAAGTTCGGCATTCAATTGGCTGCATTGGTAGGGATTGGTAAAATTATAGTTGTCGCTGGCTTGAAAGGTGCAGCAGATGCTCAAGCACTGGGAGCAACGCATGTCATTGACAGAACTCTGTCAGCTACGGATATTGCTGCTGAAGTTCAAGAGATCGTCGGAGATAATTTGATATACGCCTTTGACACGATCAACGAACCGGGGAACCAATATGTTGGCGTTGAGGCTTTATCGAATACAAAGACTGGCAAGCTTGCTCGTCTGATACCTTTGGGACCGGTTGATGTATCAAAATTGTCGTCGCAAAAGCCCGCAGGCTTCGATACTCTAGATGTACTGGGTGTGTCCACTGGGAGTCCTATTACTACTATCCCGCTATGGGAAAATATTGTTGGCTGGATTGAAGAAGAAAAGCTAAAGCCAACTAGCTTCCAGGTTATCAAAGGTCTGGATCTAGATATTGTTAACAAGACTTTGGATGGGTATTCGAATGGAACTGTGACTGGTCAGTGGCAAGTTCATTTTTGATCAGGGCAGCTGTTGAACTCTTGCCACAGATCAGCATAGAGCTTGAGGATCACATGTATTTAACTTGAGCGCAGATCTATCAAGTTAGTATAAACACATAAACAAAACTAAAGTTACTGCCTATTTCGCATGCTATTAATAAATCGCCAATAGCTTGAATCGAACTAGCTCAGCATTAAACTTGGCCGTGCCCACTTTAGATTAAATTGTATAGAGTATGACGAGGCGGTGCTGCCCCGCTCTACGTCACCTGTGGCGCAGGTCTATAAATACTTGACATCACCCATTTCTCCTTTCTCTCACTCCTGAAAATAATCAAATCCCCTGCAAATACCTCCTTACTTTGCATATCCAAACCTCCAACATGTCTGGCACCACTATTCACGTTTCGGGCATTGCCCCCGCCACCGCCGAGAAGGATGTCCGCGACTTCTTCAGCTTCTGGTTCGTATACCTCACCAAAACAAGCTTTACGAAGCCAACAAGAAAATCAAATAAAAAATAAAATCATCCTAGCTAACGAGTTTCACAGTGGAAAGATCACCTCCCTCTCCATCACCCCAACCACCTCCGAAGCCGACTCTCCCAAGTCCGCAACCGTCACCTTCGAAAAGGAAGCGTAAGCCAACTACCCCGCACTAGTCAAGCCGAACCCCAACCAAGAACAAATAAAATCTGACCTTTCTATTACAGCGCCGCGAGAACCGCTCTCCTCCTCGACCAAACCCAATTAGGTGCTTCCCAAGTCCACGTCGAAGCCGCCTCTAACATCGACGACCTCGCTGGCGCTACAGCCGCACAGAACTCCGAGAAGGAAGCCGAGCACGAACACATCGAACAAGAAGACAAGCCCCGCTCCCGCATTGTAGCCGAGTACCTTGCGCACGGATATGTCGTCAGCGATGGTGCAATTCAAAAGGCCATCGCACTAGACCAGAAGCACGGCTTCTCATCCAAGTTCACATCTGCCCTGGCCAACTTCGACAAGAAGTTCAACGCTACCGAGCGTGCTCGTGGTCTTGATGAAAGCTACCAGATCTCCAACAAGGCTTCTACCGGTTGGTCTTCATTGGGCTCTTACTTTGAGAAGGCTCTTGAGCATCCCACCGGCCAGAAGCTGCGTGATTTCTACATCCAGGGTGATAAGCAGGTTCGTGATATTCACAATGAGGCTCGTCGTCTTGCGGATCTGAAGCTTGGTCGTGGTGCTGAGAATGAGTCTGCTCCTGCAGCTACCACTACTACTGACGCTACTACTTCTGCTGCCCCTGTCATTGCTCCTTCTACTGAGGCTACCCTTACTGAGCCTAAGGCTTAGATTGATTTCTAAACCACTGGAAGTAGATAGGAGGTCAAGACTGAAGACTGGGTTCCTGCGTTATCATGCTTTTTCTAGTGTTGGGCATTTCAATCTGCTCTACACATGTTTCCGGGACGAGCTTACGATTGCGATGTGATTTCGATTCTGTAGCGACTTGATTCCCTTTTAGTCTTATTAAGTTATTAAATTAGTTTCGGACATACGACTTCTCAATTTCCTACAATGAATACGATAATTTCTACTCAAGAAAATGCATGTATGATAAGCCTTCTTAAATTTGTGAAAAATTTGTGAATAAACGTGTAATAATTTCGTTAAAGTATTGATGCCAACAGGAATAAACTTCTCAATTCTGATGTGACTATCTTCATGATGATCCCTTCGCATACTTCGCCGCCTCGATATCCTCTAGTGGGTGCTTCGGGTTACTTTCCAATGTATCAGACTTCGATTTGTCGGATGACTGTTGCGAGAATTCAGGTTCTGGGCGCGAGGAGGAACCCCCGATCTTGCCACTTCCTGGGACATCGCGCTGCTGGGCACCTGATTGGCGGTCCTCGGAGGGAGATTGACGGCCTGCGTTGGGAGCGGACATTGTGGTGTTTGATTTGATATAGCTTTCGGATGCTAAATGACATATTGTTAGATGCTAAGAGTATAATGCATTGGACTGAAATTTGAAGACTAACCTTGGGAGGTAGTACTGGTATGTATGAGGATGAGTGACTTTGTCAGGATGCAAGTATGAGTAGATGATCGTAGATGATAGATTCAGAAATAATTAGTAGGAAAAGAAGATAATTGGAATCTTTAAAGTGTTAAGTGCTGAATCATTGAACTTGTTTCTAGTAGTTGAATTCTCGATTGAGCTGACGTGACGAAGTCTTAAACCGGTCACTTGGGTGGTTCATCATGATGACGTTAAATTGTGCTATGCGTGGTCCTGCCATAACGTTGGATGCAGATCAAGTATTCCACGGTGAGTTATTCTTTGGCTGTTTTAAGCTTCTTACCAGATCTACAAGGAAATAAGTACCCAGGTGGGATTGAGTGACATCATTTCCAGCATTTGTCTGCAGATCACGTGCCGCCATATAGATGAAGCTTTTCGGATAATTTTAGGGGGAAATACTGCAGATCACCAGGATGATCGATTCTAATCCTGATTTATATTTACTGAGAACAGGATCTACAAAAATTACTAGAAAAAAAGTATCATGCACTCAAAAATTTTCAGTAGCTGATATACCACCTAGACCTAATGAGGTAAAGGTATCTTTGGGGAATCTGTGCAATGAGGTTGATTAGGAAGGGGGAGGGGGTGTCGGGACTTTTGAGGGCACATCAGAGCGGACATGAAAAAAAGTTGGAAAAAAAAGGGTTGAAAGGAGAAATGTAAATCGCACAAAAAGAACAAAGACAAGTATGGACGGGAGGTAGACATGATCTAGAATGTAGGAGGAAAGACATGAAAAGGGGCATATGTCTCGTGAATAAGGAATCATGGGAAATCCCCACAAGAGACCTGTAGTGATAGTGAGCATTTCAGACACTCGCTGGATGTGTTTTGTTGATGCTCGCTATGTATGGGTGGCCTATTGGGCGCCGTTGGCTTGCATGGCGGCGGCAGCGGCTTCAGCGTTCTGCTGAGCGAGCACAGCCTTGGCATCGGCCTCGTGGAAGACAGACTGGATGACCTGCTGCTCATCGGGGCCGAGAACCTTGATCAAGCTCTCGTACAGTTGTGGCTGCTCTGACTGGAGGTCTGTAAAGAAAGGGAAAGTTAGTCAAGGATCAATTGGGATTAGAAGGGTGGGACAACATACTCAGGAAAACCTGCTTGAACATGCCGTATGGCTCGACCTTGTCCAGGGGTGTTTCGAGGAGACTCTCTTCATCCAGCTCATCGTCCTCGTCGTCTACGAAAGAGCCGAATTTCTGGGCCTCCTGGTTGAGGAACTCAAGGTAGGCTGCGCTCTCGTCGGCAACGTCATCCTCAAGGGCTCCCTCAACCTCTTCCTCGTTCCATTCAACCTCACCATCCCAGTCATTATCCTCATCATCGTCAATCTCATCGTCATCATCAAGGGTGAAGTCAGACTCCTTGGTGGCGTCCTCGCGCATTTTGAGCGCAGCGGGCAGAGTCTGGAAGAGCCGGGTCACTCCCTGCAGAAGTCTGGGCCATCCTTGTTGGACGCTTGGTGGGACATCGCCAGCCTTCATGGTGAGAAGCGAGCTGATGGCAGCAATAGACAGCTTCTTGTCGTGTACACGACGGAAGTTGTCAATGTTGGAGAACCAGCTGCTGAAGAACTTGTTGGTCCAGCCCTTGGCCTCAAGAACCTGGAGACTGAGAACAGAGTTGTAGTAGATGGCATTGATGACCATCTCCATCAGGTGAATGCGGTAAGACTTGGTGCGAGCCTCACCGGCATCGATGACAGTCATAGCAAGCTCAATGAAGAGCGGGATGTACTGGTCAATGTGACCTCGGAGGTTGAGCATCAGAGTCTCAGCAAGCTTGCAGCCGCAAATGCGATCAACACCGCCGACCTTGTCATCGCGGAAGATGTCTTCCACCATGCCGACAATGGCACCAAGGTAAGCCGGGCTTTGGACAAGCATGTCAGAGCCGTAAGCAACGTAGTTGTCAAGAGCAGGCAGCATGTCCTCAAGGTACAGTTCAGCGCCAGCCTTGAAGGTCTTGTGGATCAGCTCAAATGCCTGCCACATAGTGGGCGAAATGTTCTTGGAAGCGAAAGTACAGCTGTCAATGATCTCAAAAACCTCGTTATACAAGTCGTAAAGCTTGTTCTCCAGGGTAATGCTGATTACGGGCATAAGAACGGTTTCCAGGTGCAGAAGGACATCAGGTGTACTCTCCAAAGTAAGGATCAGAGTTCCGATGGTCTGCAGAACACCAAGAGCGGTGATACTCTTGTCATCCAGGAAATCGCCAAATTCTTCATCTCCGCCCTTAGTAGCGTTGCGTTCCAAGAGCTCACCAACAATACGCATGTAGGTGTCACGGAGCTGCTCGCTCAATGCCACAGCGAAAGGAGTAAGCTCTGCGGAGAAAACCTCAACGAAGTCCTCCATAACATTGGCCAAGGCGTCAACGTCGACTTCGTTGGCCAGCTTGAGAAGCTGCTGCATGATCTGAGGAATATTTTGTTGCATTGAGGTGCGAATGACGTCGTGGCGGATCAAAGGCTGGAGAGCCAGAGCAGCCTCAACTCGGACAGGCAGCTCAGAGTCAGTCATGGACTCCAGAATGTTGCGGTAAATGACCATCAAGTTGTTAGGGTCCTTGAAATCAAGCTGCTCAAACTTCTCCAGGGTGTCACAAGCACGGGCACGCAGGAAGCCGTGGGGACTGCGGAATTCGGGGAAGACGTGGCGAACGAAGAAGTATTCAACTTGGTCAGCAATTGGGCTCTTCTTTCCGAGAATAACGGAGGCGAGAGATCCAATCATGCGGAGAGCACCCTCCTTCTCGCGGGGCTGCTTCTGGTCATCAGGGGCGGACTCGTACTTGCTGACAACGCTGTTAACAAATGTGAGGATGGAGAAGGTCTGCTTCTTGCGGTTCTTTGTAAGTGAAACCAGGAAGTTGGTGGCGGCAACATCGGGTGCTGAAACTTCCTCGTAGAAGTTCAATTTACGGTGCAGGTACTCTGACGGGTCATCCTCGAACAGCTCAATATCCTCATCCGTCTGGCACAAGATGGGGAAGACGAAGTGTGCAATCAAGTTCTCCATGTGAGGCTTAAGGTGATCCCACATTGCCTTGGGCTTAACACACTCCTCCATGAAGACCAAGGTGTATGAGATGGCAGAGTTGCTGAGCCATTGGGATTTAGAGACCCACTTCTCGATCTCCTGCAGGTATCCCTTGAGAATCTCCGGGGCAAATGTACCAATGAAGGTTTTCGCGTAGGGGGTGTAGTCAGGTGTGGATTGCTTCGACATAGTGGTGGGGTTGCCGTATCTAAGGGACGGAAAAAGCCACAAATCAATATACAAGTTCGATGTCTCAACTCCGTGTCGCGGTGAATATCATACCTGATAAATAGACGGTTCAGGTTGGCATATGACCACTTCTTGCACTTCCACCAGTGGTTCAGTTCCCGCTCTTCCTTTGAGTCGCCCATGGAGTTAGCAGGGGGTGTCTTGGAGATGATTCTCAAGAACAATGTGCACCAATCCACTGTGGCCTGGTGGGTCTGTAGAGAAGGCGAAAGCTCGAACTAAAGATGATTCCCAGTCAGTTTTTTTTCGCCCAAAAACTTATTAACCAGGGATACAATCCACCCACGTAAATAGCATGCTTGAAAGCCTTCACAACAATACGGAGCATCTCCGCTGCCTCCAAACTCTCCTCATCGACCAATCTCTGACCAATGCCCAGCAACTGTGGGAAAGAGTGCTCCACAATCTTATCGAACTCCTCGCGCTTCTCTCCAGCCTTAAATCGGTAAACACGGCAGATTGCCAACAGGCACTGCAGACCTGCGTAAACGGACCTCGCATCGTTGGTTCCAAGCAACTGAAGGGTGAGATCCAGGAATCCAGGCCACTGCTCGGGAAAATCATTTTGCAAGATCTTCTGGAGAAGGGGGACCAGCTGGGCGCGAACATTTGGCGGGGTAGAGGCGAGGGCAGGAATCAGCCTCTCGCGGAAACTAGGCTTCTCGGATTCAGGGATGGGATTTCGTGAGGGGCTGTCGTCGATAGGCGCCCATCCGCGGCTGATTCGGTTTTTCAGGTAGACACCGGCTGAAAGGAGGCGGGATTAGCGACAACCGTGACCTTTTTTTTTAAATCATCTTCATTCCATGATTATAACCACTCATCCATAACGGATAGACACACCAGACAGCTGAACCGCATTGTTCTGCTCCCCTTGCAAGATATCTAGTAGCGCATTGATAAAACCGGGCTGAGTCTCGGCCTAGAAATAGAGGGGGTAAATGCCCCCCACGAGGTCAGTCTCACGCATCAACCCCACCAACATGTGTATAGCAACATACATATTTCAGATCCAACTCCGCTTGTCCGCGATTCTCCGCATTTGGGTCTAAAGTCGCCTGGATGCGGTCTCGCAGGGCCGTGACGTCCATCTTTCAAACCACCCCAGCGCCAGAAAAAAAAATCACAATGATAACTCCAAGGAACCCCGAGAAAGCACGGGAGGGGGAGGATATGGCGGAGATTAAAAGATTCGAGTAGTCCCAGGGAAACGGACAGGGAGGTGAACACCAAAAGGAAAAGTACACAAAAGTTCAAATGTTCGAGGGGGAAAAGACGGAGAAAGATTATTTGGGATTTTCGTAGGCGGTCGCCCCGCAGCTAATCAGCGCACACTGAACGATTTTGGGAGACTCCACTCGGATGACTCTATGCCCTTGCCAACTAGATTTATAGTATAAGAATGGTGTGTGTTTATACTATATGTGAATTACAATATTATACGTGATCGAGTTAAAGGCTTTTTATCACCCTTTATCGCTTCAATCTGATTCTATTGCCACATAATTACTCCTATCTATCTGCATTAAAGACTATAAACCAACCATCTGCCCTATAGAACGAAGAAGATGTATAAGATCCCGGTCATAAATGCATTATGTTATTTCTAGCACTATATTCCAAGGATAACCATATCATTGGAAAGCAGTAATCAAATAGGAGGGGTTCAAGCATGGGGGCCTAAAGGCGTCACAGACAAAAGACCTTGCTGAGCGCCAATGATGACATTGGGGCCCGCTCACATGTACAAGGACGCGGCAAAAATCACATCCCGCTTGATCAACTCTTGTGCCTGTTGCATCTTAGTGTACAGAGAGGGGTCTCCAATAAGCTTGGCCGCATTCTTTACTTCACGACATGTCTCATCCAGTCGAGTGATACAGCGGACTATCGTACCTTCCATAACGTCGGTCAGGTCGGTAATGCGGTTGAACGACATTCCTTTGGCCCATTCGTAAACCACCTCAGCTAGACCAAATCGGGGCTGACTGGCGAAGTCGTTGGAGTCTTCACTAGATTGGATCACTTGGTGTAGAATTTGGAAGTTATTCACCTTCTCGGCGATGCGGATAATGGTCTTTTGGCCATTTTCCAGGCGAGGGGTCAAGGTAGGAGTGCTCTCAGTCTTCTCTTGGAAGACGAAGGCAGATAGGAGCGCAACGATTTCTTCGGGCTCAAATTCTGCGAGGACGTTCTCCAGAATCAATTCAGTCAATACTAATTCGTCAGCGGAATGGATTTCACAAGCGACCTTGCCCTTCAGCTGCACGCGAGATTGATCATCAACGAATCCAAGTTCCTTCAGCACTTCAATGCGTTGTTCGTAGTCAGGAAGTAATTGAAGGTTTTGATCCGACATCAGCTGCTTGAGTTGCGAGATGTTCTCCTTAACTTGCCACTCGTCATTTTGCATTTCGAACTTTGGAAAATATATTAGCAATAGTTTAGGGAATAGGAAAAGGATGAATGTTGGACTCACATGTTTGACAAAGTTTGGACACGACAGGCAGCGAGCGGATTGTATGATTTGTGCCTGGGCTTGCCGCTTGCTGAGAATATCACGAACTTGCAGCTCCTTGATACGGGACCAGTCTATCTCATCCCACGCTGAATTGACCCACGATTTGGTAAATTTGGTCAACTCCTTGTCACCGAACTTGGCGGCCTCTGTCGGAATATCTTGTAAGCGCACTTGTCCGCCTTCTGGCGTAAATCGATCCGTACCTTTCTTGATGTTCAGGTACCAGATCGGCCCTCCAACCTTGACCTGTGTGTTTGTGACACATTCGAGGTCGGCGAGTGGGACTTTAGCCACTTTCAGCTGCATAGAAGCAGCACTGGACGGAAGGGCCTCGAAGTGTGGTCGGAAGACTGGGACGAATGGGAGAATGTCACTCGGACTCCGTTTGCTTCCAACTGTGCCAATTTCAAGGACATGTAAGCAGGGCATAGCACCTCCAGTAACACCATCTTTCACGAGGACACCCGCCGTGCGCAATCCATCCTAGTTTAAAGTTAGCGGATAATTAACCCCTCCGACTCCTCCGAGCATACTCACCTTCTTGTACACAACCAGTCGCTTCATAGAGAATAGTCGTTTTCCAACAGGCGATGCCAGCAGACTTGTATGTAGTTCAGCTGTTGACTTGTCAAACTCTATCGCAGATTCATGGCATGCTTCCAAATCCAAGTCACAGATGTCGCAGGGTTCTCGCTTAATCTTGGCGAGACTAGCTTCAGATAGCTGGACTTGCTTTTCATGTTCCGGTAGGAGAGCCTGTGTAGCATTCTCGCTGAAACTCCGCTTGATCATTTCCTCAATCTTAAGGGCTTCCACGCGAAGAAGATTCAAAATCATGTTGTACGTAAGTCGGAATTGGGATCTTAGCTTGGTGGGTTCTCCGAGAATCATCTTCTTCAGAGAGGCAGCAGGTGGTGCTTCATCTCTGCCCGTTGTCGCAAGAATCACATATCCTACTGTATCGAGACCACGACGCCCCGCACGTCCGGCCATCTGTGTGTACTCACCAGGCAGTAAATCCCGGAAAGATTTGCCATCATGTTTACGGAATCCGGAGAAGACAACTGTCCTGGTGGGCAAGTTCAGACCCATAGCGAAAGTTTCTGTCGCGAAAAGGCACTTGACCAGGCCCTTGGCAAAGAGAATCTCGACCACCTCTTTCATGATTGGAAGAAGACCACCGTGATGCACAGCAACACCTCTGCTCAAAAGCTCTCGGAGGCGAATAACTTGGGGAAGGGTGCGGTCCTCGGGCTTCAGTCGGGTGAGGGACTTCTCAATGAACATATGAGTCAAACTCTTCTCTGTAGCATTGCTGAAGTCCTGGTTGGACAACGAGTCTGCGTTTTCCTCGCACCGTTTCTTCGAGAAAACAAAAATACAACCTGGGAGAAGATCTTTTGAGCGGAGATGCGAAACGAGATGGACCCAAACGTTTTTATCTTGCGCAGCAGTCGTACGGCCACCTCCACGTCCAGTACGAGCAATGTTACCAGTCCCCCGATTGGAAGGCTGGCCTCGCCCACCTTGTCCGCGTCCACCTCTTTGCTGTTGACCTCCACGCTGGCCACCTCCTCGAGGAGCACCTCTGGCATTTCCCCGACCTCCTCCCCCTCCTCGCTGATTCTGGGCTTGTGCCTGAGCTTCAGCCTCCTTTTTGGCCTTGTCCTTGTCCTTGCCAGACATAGCCTCATTGGCCTTCTTCCAGCCACCTTCGATGAACTTCTTGTTGGAGTCAACGATCTTGTACTTTTCTTTCCCGGCCCAGAGATAGTGTTCCAAAGGTACAGGTCGCTTGGGTGTTGAGATAACATAAATGTCCTTCTTCTTTGTTCGACCGACCCAGGATGCAAATTCGTGGGTGTTAGGTACAGTGGCAGATAGAAGAATGAGGGTTACATGCTCTGGAAGCATGATGATAACTTCTTCCCAGACAACACCTCTCTCTTGATCGTTTACATAATGCACCTCATCAAAGATAACAAATTCAACATCACGAATAAGATCTGCACCTCGGTAAAGCATACTTCGCAAAATCTCAGTTGTCATAATCAGACAGCTGGCCTCGGGATTGATTTGGACATCACCCGTCAGAATACCCACATCGTCGAATTCGGTACGGAAATCTCGGTATTTCTGATTACTGAGTGCTTTGATAGGCGAGGTGTAAATTGCTTTGGTCATGTGCTTTGCTGCCAGGGCAATGCCATATTCTGCCACAACTGTCTTTCCGGCTGATGTATGGGCGGCCACAAAAACTGAATCACCATTCTCAAGATGGTAAACGGCTTCTTTTTGGAAAGTGTCAAGTTCGAATGGCCATTCACGGGCCATGTCGGGAACCAGGTCGTGGAAATTAGTGATTTCCTTGTTTACATCCACAACATGTGCCCACTCTCGGCCTTTCTGTCTCTGAAGACCTGACAGCAATGGGTTACGCGGTTCAAGTGACGGAAATTCCACTGGTAACAACGCATCAATATCTTCCTCATCTTCATCACTGACTTCTCCCTCTTCCTCAATTTTGACCCCTCCATCCGTATCTTGGGGTTCCTCGGGTTTATCAGCCTTAAGTTCACTTTCCTCTTGATTGAGTGCATTTTCAACCTCCTCGTCTTCCTTAGCATTCTGATTGAACTTCGCTTCTTCAAAGCTCATGCCACGGTCAAATCCAGGGGGTATTGACAACAGTCCACCCTCAGCCCCAAAGTTGATGATGCGATCAAGGCCACCCGGTCTTCCTGAGCGCGATTGATCCCCAGACTCTGCGCCCGCTTCCATCTCAGCAAGAGCCTCAACTCCTTCCAGACCACCCGGTGCAAAAGGGAAAAATCCAGCAGCACCTCGAACAAAATCCGCACGACCAGCCGGCCGGCGCGTAAGCGAAGTCGAGTTCTTGGCATTGGCACTTGAGGCAGGAACTGTGATTTCCTGATATCCGGTTACCCGTCCTTCTAATCCTTCTCTTGTGAAGCGGGTTACGGAGCGTGTTTGTGTGGGTGCAATTTCGAAGAGGTCGGATGGGTCTGTCTCGACGCCCCAGCGCCTGAATGCATGAGTTAGCTAGGACAGCCCTTTGGGGTAGAATACAATCGTCAAGCACTTACTTCTGCAGTTGATTCAGCCACTTAGAGCTGAAGCTAGCTGAAGGTGTCAGGAAGTCATCTTCCAGTTCTTTCAAGAGATCCTCCGCATTCTGTCGGTTTTGTTTGCAAGGCTTGCGTTTTTCAAATGTTCCACTCTGTTCTTCGACAAGTCGAGCTTCCATGGACTCAGGACTCAGCGACTTTGCATTCAGAACTAGCTGGCCCAGCGCTGAGGCTAATGAGTCGGCCATTTCGGAATTGGGGCGTGCAATGGGCGAAGGCTTATAATGCTTAATTCAGTTCGGCAAACGGTGCACCCCACCTTGGTCCGTGCTTGGGATAGTGATCGACGGCGGCGTCTCTTGAGCCCCTGCTCACAATTGTGTTGGCTATGAGACGCTTTTCTAGTTCTCAGTTCTGCTTCTCGCTTTCCAGCCAATGCTCCAGCCGACAAGGTCAATATTGCTAACGGTGTTGTCCGCACCCCGATAGCTGAAGCTTTAGGCGGTACATCCCGGCAATATACCCATCCATTGACGTCGTGTGGGGCTTCATATATTGGAATTAAGTTGATGTTAACACCACCTAAACGTTATATTCCCTGATCGCAAGCACATACCATCATTGTTAACATTCTTATTAGGTACTATGTTGGCTATAAATAGTCATAGAGTAGTATTTAGTACTATATACTAGAATAATTGGATTTTTAGTGTGCCACTGTCAGGCTGAGGCACTACTAGAAGCCGTGTACACAATTAATAGTACATCATGATGCTATTATTGACTTGCTACTAGTGTGTATGCAAAGTTCTTTCAGCTGGCATGTATTTGACTAAACTATATATGTACGTAAAACTGGCATGTTCGTGAGATTGTTAAAGCGACCACTTGAATTATATCCAAAAATTCAAGGAACGGGTTTTATTTAGGAAGCTGCCAGTGGGGGGGGGCTACACTGAATAGTAGGACATTGGGCTTCCTGGTATGTACCTAAGAAAAGTAGAGCACTCTGTGAATGCTAGAGAAGAGTGATTACCTCAACAAATAGAAATAAAGTATTTATTTACCTGTAGAGCTCAACCAAGCCGCCAAAAAGAGCTTTGTTTGCATAATGGATATTACTAAGAAGATCAACTTCGGGATCCTTGTCGACTACTAGTGACAACCTTGCGAGTTGATAAAACAATGGGGCTACTTAATTAGTCACTAATGCGTGATTTGATCTACATCGTACTTTCGTAAATTCTTGATTTGTCTGAAATATGTGGGGTTGTGTAACGCCAGCTTGGCCGATCATTGAATCGTGCAGCAACCCATCAAATACGAAATAAAAGTTGATCAAAGCTTCAGCCCTCGAGGGAAGCTACAAGTCTCAGGCTTATTACAACCAACAACATTTCTCGGGAGTAGCACGGGCCATAAGTCTCCACGAAGAATGATCTGCTCTACTTTATTACCGTAGGGAAGTAATGAATTCTATCCCTTGCAGGAAGGCTTTGTGTAACATGAAAATGGGTAAGGGGCTGAGAGTTGGAACGTGCACATCAATAGTTCATGCATAATATTCCATCCTAATGTAGTAATATCTTGTTATGGTAGCAACACGATCAAAAGGTGGCTGAAGCTGAACTGCATATTGTTTATGATGGACCTGGGGGGTGATCTCAGGAATCCTATAAATAAGAGCAAGATTGGGTGGGCATATTGTGTAAATCATATCTTCACAAATCCAAGACCTTTCTACACCTTCTACACCTCCAACTCCATTTCAATCGAACCCTTCTATATTTTTGCTTGGAACTTTACATCTCAACACCATCAACATGAGGACCTTTGCCACTCTCGCCTGTACTCTCGCTGCCCTTTCCCAATGTGCTTTTGCTGCCTTCAAAGAAGGGACCTACACAATCGGATCTGCTGCCCTTGACTCTCAACTTCTGACCGACGTTGCTGCCGACGAGCCTGTTGTTTTTCAGGACGCAGACGGAACCCCACCTCAAACCTGGTTCTTCGCTCCCGATCAAGTTGTGAAAGATGCATTCACAATTACAAGTACCCTTGGTGGTTCGCTTAACTGTGGTGAAGCCGAGGGCTCTGTTTGTGTAGCTGGAAGCAACGAGACACAGGTTTATACCCCGGAGAAAGTTTCCAACACCGCGTATCAGCTTGTTTCACGAGACTCCGGGTACTTCTTGCGTGCTGAAAATGGCCAATTGGTTGTTGCCGGGTGGGACCAGACCCCGGAAGAAGAGTTTATCTTGACTCAAGCTTAAACAAGGGTGTGTATGTACTTGATATATTACCATTTATATGAACATTGCGGCTAAAACCTAAGCTGTTCATAGATGGATAAAAAGCTACAGTCAAAATCGAGACGCGTTACGACGTACCCATCTATTGAATACGACTTATGGCCCTGCTTCTACCATTTAGTTGCTTGCCGTTTCGAATTCTAGATACTTATATTTCTCAAAAATAAGACACGCATAATCCATGCTCATGCTTTGCTGTAGAAGTAGTCATCATCAAAATCGCCTCACGTATCATCATCGAACAAATTAGCTCTCTTGATTGAAAATAGATAAACACAATTGACCAGGCACAGTGCAGAGAAACTTGAAGCGCCAAGTACGCTAACTAGTCAACATCACGTACTGTTTCAGAGGCTCCATTGATTCATTTGAGTAGTTCGAATTATTGACTGTGAGCTGTCGAACTGTGTAACTCAACATGAAGTCTGTGATATGATCATCGTCGAGACATATACGTAGCACTTGATCGCAAACTTGAACTATGATGTGGTTTGATAGCTCATGAAATGCATTCAAAGCCTTTCTGGCACGGTTGTCAAAGAGTCGATAGGGACCTGAATCTGCAATATGAGAACGTGTTTGTCCATCACTAGGGAGTTTGTCCAACACTTCCAGTTGTCAGATTATCGACGACTATTTTCAATGATTTAGCGAGTGAGGATCAGCTATGATATCGTTCTAGGTCAAACACCATACCATATTCATGGCCCGGTCTGGATCGATTGCAAAGTTGTCGAACAATCCATCACACTCACACTCGTACCAGACATTGCTTGTTGTGCTTTCCGCCATTTTAGCGAGGGCTACTAGCTCAGTAACTGTGAACATGAGAGAAGGTTTGAAAAGATGAGCAAGTAAATATGAGCATGCGGCCAGGAGTGACCTTGGATATATCTAGTTCGCATCAGTATCAGATACTACTAGTAATTAGGTACTTGTATAGAGCACAGGAAAAGAGAAGGAGGGTGGGAGGTGGCCCTGGGGGTGTAAATTCCAAGTCGGCATCTTCCGCTGTCTATTCACTCGAGCTATTGTGTAGCTTTAACTTGTCACGGGGTGAGAGAAGGTTATAAATGTAAGAGACATCCCGAATATTAGTAGTTGAAATAAATGGGCACGATGGGGTAATCAAGGCCATCCAGTCAATAATTTAGTTAGGAAGTATCAACTTCATCGATGAGCTACTAATTAATTGGATGTCTGTTGGGACGTTTGAAAGGACATATAGATGTAGTTTATGACCGTTTGGCTGGATTCATGAGGTTTGAAATTTATATGAAATATTTAAATTAGAAACTATCATTTGCATTGAACTTTTGTACCGGGTCCAGCCATCAAAAGAAACTGTGCAAAGACATTTGGGGGAAAGGCTGAAGAAATATACACCCCGAGCGCCAGAAGGATATGCAGGGAATCAAAAAGCACCTGATAAGAAAACCAAGATATCACAAAATACAAAAGATAAAAGTTGAGGCCCAAAAAGCCATAAAACATTAAGGAAATTGGCCTATTCCCCTATACTGAGGAAGCTTGATTTAGTCGGTTGGCTTTTCGAACACCATGTTCTTATCGGTATGAGAAGGATGGAAAGGTTCTTCGGTCGTGGACATTCAATTGGAACTCAAAGATTCCTTCCACGGTTGCAATGTACCTATTGAAATGGTAAGTCAGAAATTTGTTTATAAGTAATTGTAAGCAATTGGACGTACAGTGATCTCCCGTCGGCCCCCCACCCCACTCCAGCTGTGGCGTCCGGCTCTATGGCACTATTGGCATGTATCAAACTTCGATCAGGGAGGTCATTTATGATGTTCCTGATCCACCGAGGGGAATGAGCTTGTTCAAAACCAAGTAGTTGCTGGCGGTGTCGCTGTTCCCGATCATGGGAAGCACGATTATGCATCTCGCTTGGTACCAGACGATGACGTCGCAGACGCTCAGCTGCTAGGTTGGCTCTAATCTCGTGCGCTGAGAGCCGAGATGCATCATATCTCCTTTCCGTAGTTGACTGTGGCCGCTCGGTCTGCCGCGGTGTAGAACTTGATCGCGGGGATCGGAGTCTAGCCAGAGCTTCTGAACGCATTATAGGATCCATCATCAAAGAAGGCGCTCCTGGTGACCCTGGCGCGTCTGGTGCTCTTGAGGTTGAGCTATCTTCGTGACTGGCAACATCTGGGTCACCAACTCTGGAGGCGATATCCGAGCTGGTGGATTGAAGCTCGGAAGGTGAGGTTGTCAGGCTAACAGTAATGCTTGGTTGCCGATCATGACTAGAAGTCCCTGCTTCTGAAGATCGACTTCCTTGAGATAGGACGACTGAGCTTTGACGTCTCGCGTGATATAAACGCTCAGGGGCGCCTGATCGATTTATATGGCTTAGACGCTGGACAGGTGGAGGTGGCGGAGGTAAAAACAAGTCATCATCACCATCTTGCATGTTATCAGGAGAGTCGTAGGAGTGTTGGAGTGGAGTAGCACGCGAGTTCCGATTAGTCTGGTCTGTAGCAACGTGTTGCCGCGAGCGAGCCGCAGGATGTGGGTGTACTGTTGTTCTTGCTGGCCTTTCAGGTCGCTCGGTTAGTCCTTCTTCCAATCTTGAGGTCCAACGTGCCGTGTTCAAAAACTCCATGATCAATCTCTCGCGCTCAGAAAGACCTTGAGCTAGATTTTCGCGAAGCGAAGAACGCTCAGACTCCCCAGTATCTCGTTCATGTGGAGAATCAGTGCCATGGATCCTCAATCGAGGGGCTGGAGGAGGCGGCAGGATTGGATCGTCATCATCCATTAGCTGTCCATCAGATTCATCCTCTACAGGTTCCAAGTGAAACTCTTGCAGTGCTGGATCATCGAGGTCCAGGCGCAGAAGTTGTCTTCGGCAAAACACCTGCCGGACATCTGCAACTCCTGCCCGACCGGATCCTTCGAGCCAGACCAAAAGGTCCCAAGGTTCAGGCGAGAAAGTCAAACAACGCACAGCACCGCCTTCTTGGCAAGGTCTGGACGCTAGGAACTGGTAAAGAATAGCATTTTCATCGAAGCCTTCCCCATCATATTTTCGAATGACTTCCACATCAAGGACCGTGATGACACCCGATTGGGAGCCAATGGCACACAAGTGGCTTGATGGCGAGAAGGCAATAGTAAAGCAGCATGCATCCTCTTGGCGCATTCCAATGTCCATCTCAATGCATGGAAGGACTTCCCAATCCCATCTCGCAAGTCTTCTGCCAGCTTCCGCAGATGTTGATCTCCACTCACGCAAGATTCGGTAAAAATAGACTTGGTTCTCATCCCCTACCGCTGCCAAAATCGTCTTATCCGGGGAAACTGTCGCATAGTTCATGCAGGTTGTATGTATAAAGCTTTTCAAAACTTTGGAACGAGTTAGGGAGTAGACAGTCACTGTTTTGTCGTTGTTACTGTTCACGAATAGTTAGCAATAAATACGAGTTCAACTCTAACCTGGGTCGAAGTACCTGAGTATCATGACATCTTCATGGGAGGTACCTTCGCCATTATTTGGAAAACGGTGAATTGTCACCGAGTTGACAATACTACCTCCAAATTTATGTATTACGAGTTCTGGCAATGTTCTTCTCCCTGAACGAGGTGGCAAGCCGGTATCACTACCGGACGTACCTGGGGAATGGAACCCAGAGGGTAGATCGAGGTCGAGCGGTAGCGCACTATCGACATCGGAGGCGTGGAGTGGAGATGACTCGTCATGAACCTGTAGACCCCTTTCATCGATCCTAATGAAAGCGCATTCGCCGCTGTCCGGCCCACCCACTGCGATCCACCCGTGTCCAGCCGCCAAGCATCGCGGCTCGAACGGGAGAACAGCTATGCCCTCCCGCTTTTGTGCAGAAATATGAATCGCATAGACGATGCGATCGACGACGACATAGATACGGTCCGGATCTGCTGTGCTGATGTAGTGTCGAAGTTGGGAGTGGCTAGAAATCAAATTTATTTGTCAGAGCGATCAGGTCCGTTATGGGGGGGCCGCAGGTGTGGTGAGATGGCTAGCTGGGTACATACAAGTTGGGGATCCTGAAAGGGAAGAAACGGCGTTTATTGGGCAGGACGAGAGACTCGGTCGGGCGATGTCTAAGATCGATCAGTCAGAAACTCCAATCGACAGGTAAACCGGAGGGGGCCAGAGAGAGAGAAAGTGGAGAGGGGGAAATCCAAGACTCACGAGAGAGAGTCCGAGGTCATGGTGAGCAGCTACGCCCGCGGCGACATTGTCCGATTCAAAAAGGGCAAAGACTGAGAGCACCACCTAGACCCCGATAGAGCTATGAAGAATATTGGGGGTGAAGCTGAACTTGGACCAAGTACCGAACGTACAGTAGGTAGCATGTACTCTTTCAAACGGATGACGTAAGACTTGGGTGGAGCTCAAAGCCGGAGATGCAAATGAATGCGGTTGTGGAGGGAAGAGCCGGTTGCGATAGGGAAATTTGACACTTGGGGGGGGGGGAAAGTCAATTTTGCTCGCTATCTTTTTTGTGTTTATTTCCTGTGTTCTGTATTTCAAAGAAATTTGTACACCGAGGGAAGATTAGGCACAGAATGAATGGATTCATACAATTTGGGCTAACAATACTTTGCAAGGTATATAGTAGACCACATAATAGTATACCTACCTATGTACCCTTCCGATGAGCCGCCGAGGAGAACCTCAAGTTCTTCTTTCTCTTCTCTTCTCTTCCTCTTTACTCATAGTAGGCTCCGCATACCCCAGGCTACTCCAGTCGGGGTAACTCTAAGCCAATGCACCCAATGTCCCGATCATGGGCTCCTTCGCAATCGAAGACCGGGGAGGGTCACACGACACTCCCCGGCAGGACCTCAAATTGAGAGACAATTGGGCAGCACAAAGATATCAAATAGGTCGGATATTCCAAAGATACAAATATGCCGAAGCAAAAAGCTGGTCAAATGATTACGAAGAAGCAGAGAATGGGCACGGGAAAATATTCTGAAAAAAAGAGAAAATAAAATCGGCACCCGATCTCCTATAGTTGTTATGCGCAGGTATAGAGGGAGGCAGACAAACGGGGGTAGTAACCACAACCCGGGGGAGAAAAAGTATAAAATAAATTGATCATGCACTGTAGCTCCTAAGAAGAATTAGGATTTAGCTAGAATCCGATCCAACTAGTTCCCATTCTAGCTTTAAACATCATTCCCAACGCGAACTCTATACCAACGTCACCATAAAACGGACACGCCGGCACAACCCGGGCGGTGAGCTCGGCCATCCGGCAGTGTTCCCGTGATTCCATAAGCTTCCAAACCTTGCAAAACCTTTCTCTTTTCTTCTCCTTCCTCTCCTTCCATCTCTATATCTATCCTCCCCTTTTTCTCCTTAACTCCCATCACTCTGCGGTTGATTCGTATTGAGTGCCATACCCCTTTTTCTTTTTTGTATTATTTAATTTAACTCACAATGCTTGCTTCTCGCATTTCTCGCGCGGTAAGCTCCAGTCCCTTTTTCGTCTTTTCGCGGGAAGGGAAAAAAAATTATCACGCGTCGCGAACAATACAACTAACTCAATGTTCTAGCTCCCGCGCACTGCTTTCGCTCGCGCTCCTTCCTCCAGAGTCCCCGGCGCTGCTTTCCGCCGATGGAACTCCACAGAGGGTGGCGAGGAGAAGGTGAAGGGCCAGGTCATTGGTATCGATCTGGGTAAGTCATCGTCGCAACACGTTCACCATCTCGTAATGGACTATACTAATATCATTGATGATAGGTACCACCAACTCCGCTGTTGCCATCATGGAGGGCAAGATTCCTAAGATTATCGAGAACGCTGAGGGTGAGTCAACAATTTTTTCTTCGTCCGTGCTGGCAGAGGTCCAAATCTCGAAGATCTTGCTCTACCAATTGGATTCCATCACAACACATCCGAAGACGAATTCTAACAATTGTTTTGTCTCCAGGTGCCCGTACAACCCCCTCCGTCGTTGGTTTCGCTCAGGATGGTGAGCGTTTGGTCGGTGTTGCCGCCAAGCGTCAGGCCGTTGTCAACCCCGAGAACACTCTCTGTAAGACCCCCGTCTATTTCCGACGATTCGTCATGTCACTAATGCGGATTCAAACCCTCAGTTGCTACTAAGCGTCTTATCGGTCGCAAGTACACCGATGTCGAGGTTCAGCGTGATATTAAGGAGGTTCCCTACAAGATCGTCCAGCACACCAACGGTGATGCTTGGGTTTCAGCTCTTGGTAAAAATTATTCTCCCTCGCAGATTGGTGGATTCGTTCTCAACAAGGTATTTATCTACATGCCGACATAATCCGCTACAATGGAAATACAAAATCTAACTCTTCATAGATGAAAGACACCGCCGAGGCCTACCTGGGCAAGCCAGTTAAGAATGCTGTCGTTACCGTGCCCGCATACTTCAACGACTCTCAACGTCAGGCTACCAAGGATGCCGGTCAGATTGCCGGTCTGAACGTTCTCCGTGTTGTTAACGAGCCCACTGCTGCCGCTCTTGCCTATGGTCTCGAGAAGGAGGCTGACCGTGTTGTCGCTGTCTACGATCTGGGTGGTGGTACTTTCGATATCTCCGTGCTGGAGATTCAGAAGGGTGTGTTCGAGGTTAAGTCCACCAACGGTGACACCCACCTTGGTGGTGAGGACTTCGACATCCACCTTGTTCGCCATATTCTCGAGAACTTCAAGAAGGAGTCTAACGTAGACCTCTCTGGCGACAGAATCGCCATCCAGCGTATTCGTGAGGCTGCCGAGAAGGCCAAGATTGAGCTTTCTTCTTCCCTGCAGACTGAGATCTCCCTGCCCTTCATCAGTGCCGGCGCTGCTGGTGCCCTCCACATCAACCAGAAGATGAGCCGTGCTCAGCTCGAGGCTCTTGTTGACCCTCTTATCTCCAAGACTGTTGCCCCTGTGAAGAAGGCCCTTGCCGACGCCGGTCTCAAGGCCAGCGAGATCCAGGATGTCATCCTTGTTGGTGGTATGACTCGTATGCCCAAGGTTACCGAGTCTGTCAAGTCCATCTTCGGTCGTGACCCTGCCAAGTCCGTCAACCCAGACGAGGCTGTCGCTATGGGTGCCTCAATTCAAGGTGCCGTTCTCTCCGGTGAAGTCACTGACGTTCTGCTGCTTGATGTCACTCCTCTGTCTCTGGGTATTGAGACCCTGGGCGGTGTCTTCACCCGTTTGATCTCCCGCAACACTACCATCCCCACCAAGAAGTCCCAGACTTTCTCCACCGCCGCTGACATGCAGACCGCTGTCGAGATCAAGGTTTTCCAGGGAGAGCGTGAACTTGTCAAGGACAACAAGATGCTAGGAAACTTCCAGTTGGTCGGAATTCCACCGTAAGCCATTTCTGAGTCCTTTTTGCGTTGAATTTGAAGCTAACAATGTTATAGTGCGAGCCGTGGTACCCCTCAAATCGAGGTTTCCTTCGACATTGATGCCGATTCCATTGTCCACGTTCACGCCAAGGACAAGTCTACCAACAAGGACCAGTCCATCACCATTGCTTCCGGCTCCGGTCTTTCCGACTCCGAGATCCAGTCCATGGTTGATGATGCCGAGAAGTACGGTGAGCAGGACAAGGAGCGCAAGCTCGCCATCGAGGCTGCTAACCGTGCCGACTCTGTCCTGAACGACACCGAGAAGGCCCTGAAGGACTTCGAGGACCGTCTGGACAAGACCGAGGCCGAGGTTATCAAGGAGAAGATTGCTACCCTCCGCGAGTTCGTCTCCAAGAACCAGGCCGGCGAGGGCACCGCTACCGCTGAAGAGCTCAAGGAGAAGACCGATGAGCTCCAGACCGCTTCTCTGTCTCTCTTCGACAAGCTGCACAAGGCCAACAACGAGCAGCAGCAGCAGCAACAGCAGGGTGAGCAGCAGGGTGAGAACAAGCAGTAAATGCGTTCGTAAACCCGGCTGTTCAACTCTAGGCTATTGATATGCCCTTGTATTTTTTCCCCTCTTATGTTTTTTTATTTCCTATGTGTGTGTTAGAGACTCCCTGATTTGCTCTTTTTCTTTGCTGGCATCTTCTACTCGCATCAACTGTACACATACTTCTCAAGGCTCTTTTATCCCCCTTCTTGTTCCCTGGTGTATCGGTGTTTGATTGCCAACTTGTATGAACTATTTTCTTTCTTCTCTTCTTCTCTCTTGGCCATGTACCTCTAGGAATTGGCAAAATTGCCAACCAGAGTGTATGCCGGCATTGTCTACCATTGTATCTAATGACATTACGGCAAAAAGGGGGTAGCCACCAAAAAGGATGCAGGCTTTGGCTTATCTGGGTGCATGTGACAATAGAAATCGGACATTCTCCTCTCTTTTGGATCGAAATTCAAATCTACTTCCAGCTATTTTAGAAGACCGTTAATGCGTAACTCCGACTATGTAACGGTGAGAGACCCAAAGAGGATGATTGGAACTTGGGATTGTTTGTGGCTCTGAAAGCGCCACGATGACATGCCCGAAACCCAGCCTTCTTCAGCTGGACAAATGAGATTAAGGCGCGGCTGTACGCTCTCTCATCCGAATGCATCATGCAAGCCAGTCTAATGTAGTCAATCCTACGACTAGCCCATTTAATAAAAGGTACCAAAGTACTTCCTCGTTCGCACTCGACACTTTCCACCCTGTATCCCTTATTCTATCCCATTCCCGTTAAATCAAAACAAACCCCAAAGTACATAGCTAAATACAGTAACTCCTCTTTGAAAAAAAAAATGATAGGTCGGAAACCCTCCCTGCCAACACACCTGACGTATGTACGGAGTACTGTAGAAGCTAACCGAGAGAGTAGCCATTAGCTCATTAGCTCGAAACTATCGAGCCCCGTTTCAATTACGGGGTACACTCTGACCAATCCCAGCAAGAGGATGGAAGAGCATGACCAAAGTAAGCAAAAACTAAAATTGATTCAAACGATTCGCTCTTCGAGCTTTGTTCTCTTCTTGTGCACGACCTTAACCAAGAATTTGTTAAAAAAAAAGGTGTAAGTAGATGGACCAATCGCCTCTTTAGACCTCGATTCCTTGCATGGACGAGTTGTGTACGGGGTACGGGGTACTGTAGGCGGAACTTGAACATGAACATGAACATGAACTTCAGTGGGCAGGTTATGATATCCTCCGCTATTGTTGGGTGGATACAGTACAGTGGACATACATGCGGTAGCTGGTCATTAGGTACCCATGATCCTGATTTTACCGGACAGAACCGGGCCATGTACATATGTATGATGCGATGCAACGGCGCCTATTATGCTTGATGTTGGATACATTATCAGCGAAATGGCTATGAAGCTAAAACAGCAACAGCTAAATTGTGTCGAGGTTGATGCGAGGTCGTCAGTGTCAGGGAGACAATCATCGAAATCTAGAGCTGTCCATTTCTTCAGTTTGACGTTTGTCAAGAAGGTATAATGTCGCCACATATTATCTTATAAGGTCTAGGTACGGATACTGCACTCCGTACTTTCTTACTTTATCTGTGAGTTTTTCATCATGGATTCAATATAAATAGGGATGTACACGAGTAAGCACACAGACATTTTCATGCTGGACCAATCTGGATTCGAGGCGCCGGTGACAGAGTGTTGCTGTGGTGCAGGCTTCCCTGCATCGGCGCGGTGGATGGACAAATCATCGTTGTACACACCAGTTGGGCTATAAAGTGGGGCTTGGCTATGATGATGTTTGTTAATTACGAGGCCTGAGATCCTGGAAGGGGGGGAGCCACCTGTTCCATCAGTGGATGGATCTTTTTTTATTTTAGTTATTTGTCTTCTTCTAAATTTTAAAATAAAAATTTAATTCTCGGGTTGTGATATTAGGGTTTTTGTCAATCTTGTCTGGATCTCGAAGGAAGTACATTAGGAGATTGTTTGAGGGATTCGGAAATCTCCTTATGATGGACAGACGACACCCGAGGTTCAAGCTTGTACCGCGGATCCGTAGTACATACTCCCCTTTAACATGCAGATGAAAACCAAGGCAATAGCTACCTGTGAAAATCATCAAGCTCGAAAATTTTCGAACGCTCACATCACTTTACTCCGTACGTGTTCCATCATTCGTCGATCACGCTTGTCTTGTGAGACCATCCGCTTTAGCGTGCCCCTAGTGCTGTCTATGATTATTTCCCATCGGAGCTCCACTTTGCATTGATTCCCACTTTTTTTCTTTCCCATTTTTTCACTATTCGATTGACTCAATACTGTACCTATTCTTTTCGATTTTTTTTAATTAAAGAAAACTCAAAAAATAGAGTAACTCAGAACTAGACATCGCCCTGGCGTCTCCGAACTACAATAGAACCGCCAATGAATCCTATACAATTAGTCTACAGGACAGTCACCCAGCTAATCGATGTATGTACTCTATACCGGTATGTAGTCACCTGAACAAAATTCAGGAACCTAATGGATCCGATCCATAATTCCATTCCATAATTAGGGGGTAAGAGGGAAAGAGTAGCCTTGTTGGTGGGCGGAGACAAATCTCGCAGCCCTGGAGTGGGAACAAACCAATTTCCCGACATTGAAATGAATTTCCTAGTCGTCATCGCCCATTCGTTCACGGCAGAATCCTGTACAATTTCGATGCCCTTGCCGCAGGAGTTCAACGGTGCCCCTTTTTAGGCTTTTGGGGTTTTAGGGTACGCATCTGACGAACTAGGTTAAGGAGGAGGGTAGGAAGGGGGATCTCTTATGAAAAATGAAAACAATTGGAGCCAGTCATCAATAGATTGAGGGGACACAGACATTAGAGGGAGGGAATGACTCTGTCCATCATGGATGCCAACAACGTTTTCAGGAGAGTATCATGATCACGATCCAATTATGCTGGTGCTAGGAGTCGTACATATGTGCCCTGTACTATATAGCCGTGTAACCAGCACAACACTTCCATTTAATTTAATTTACATTTTGAATATTCTAGAATGATGGGTATGTTATGTTTTCAGTCTCAACACATGCAGTATAATGTTAAAGCAATTAAACACTTTTTGAAAGAAAAGAAAAACAGTGTATCCACGGGTCTTCAATTTGTTCCAGCATCTTCTCTCTCCAACCATGGAACCCACCTTCAAATGCTGGAACTCCGTATTGACTTAGGGGTCACTTTTTCAATTTTTCCACTTTCCCCTGTGTTACATAATGTGATTCTCCAATGAACTCGACTTCATCCTTGGCGGGCCACGGTAGATCTAGAAGCGCTCATTGGTCGACACCTCTGACCGGAAAGATTTGTACCTATTGGGCTGCTTATTTTACGCTGCTTATTTTGAATTTTTTTTTTTTTGAATTTATTCTATTTGATTATTTACAGCTACAACTGGAAATTGCAAACCTTCTTGCCCTGGGCCCTGGACCCACCCCACATCATAGCGGGAGCTGGAAAAAAAAGGTGATAGATCAACGGGGTATTCGCTATACTTGTTGTCCCTTTCTCCGCTCGACGGACAGCCTCCGGTAATCTTAATTTTCTGGCTGTTTTGGATTGGAGGAGAGATGTGATTGTTTTGGATTTGCTATACGGGGTTAGGGGGGAATGCAGAGAATTTTTTAGGTAAGTTCCGGGACGGGTTATTGGTGGGGGGTGTCTTTATTGTTAAAGGTGGTAAAGCTTTCCATTTATGATGATACTGTATGATATGATATAATATAATATAACCTGGGCATACCTACATATTCATACTGGGTAGCAAGGGGAAGTATATGCACAAAAGTACTAAGTAGTCTAGACAGCTTCTGCTGTGGATAGTAGAAGTAGGAAGAAGAAAGGCGAGTCAAGTGACCTGTTTCTGTTTCTATTTCTATTTCTATTTCTATTTCTATTTTCTTCCTCATGGATATGGACTTTATGATTTCTTTTCTTTTTCGTCTGTTTCATCTCTTCTTCTATATACGGAGTAAATTGAGATGCGAATAGGATGAACTTCAGACCTCCCGGGCTACTTTGTAGTAAAGTAAAAATAGTTTCGTGTTTATTTCCCCCCTAAATGGAGCTAGGCCAACTGATTGTGATTGTGATTTGATTACATCCACTAGCGCCGGTCCAATCCATGGGAGCAGCTGTCCACTGACCGCATCGTGTTCAAACTGGTTTTGCTTCATACTAAACGCACTAAGGGGTCTAGAAAGTAAGATGATACGCTCGGTTGTTACAGCAGGATCTTGGAGCGATGGAGATCGCGATACGCCCGTGAAGATGATCCTTGGGCAGCTGTTCTTAGCTGGGCCTTTCCCTGTTTATTTCATTTTCTTAATAACTTTTGAATTCTAATTTTTTTTACTTCTTGTGATTTTCCATCATAACGGGGATGCAGCAGGGTCGCGCTAGTGAATATTGTCATTTCTTAAATTTCAATTTTTGCCTTTTGGGGAGAAATAATAATAATAAAATTATATTTGACTTTGAACAATTAACCAGCGCGGATTACTTGCTTTTATTACTTTCCTGGTTGAGTATTCAATGATTCCACTATCCCGGGATTTTATTTATTTATTTTAATTCTGATTATTATAATTGGCAGTGGGGGTGATGGATGGAGACTTGTCAATCCTTTCCTAACCGTCGACCCATAGATCGAGACTGGGTCTCTCTCTTCTTTTTTCCCTCGATTCCCTTTTTTCCTCGGTTCTGCATGGGGTACTGTTTTTCTTCTACTCTTTTCGTCTAAAGACATCTTTCTTCTCTCTTAAAGCTTCTTTCCTAAATCCCTGTAACCCGGGACCTAATAAGGAAAAGCATCCCATCAACCCGCAACCCACCGTACTAGGGAAACTAAAACAGAGAAATCTTCATCCAGAACACGTCAGAGTCATTTGCATTCAAATACGAGGAAATAATTGAGAGAAACACATCATGACTGCTGCGCCGCCGGTGCACCCTGTCCCAGACAGTGGTATGAATGGACCTGCGTCTCTTGCCAATGGTCTACAACGTTACCATCCTATCGCCATGAATCCAAACCCTTCACCTCATCCAGCCATGCCTCCTCCAGAGCAAATGGTTCAGAATCATCATTTCCGTCACTTTGCACCACCTTTATTGCACGATCATCATGCTGGACCCCCGGCTGTACCGCCCACCCCGAGCCCAACCAACATAGAGCAGATCGAACAGCGTCTACGGCAATTGGAACACGAGGAGATGAGCCGGATGGCAGCCCGTACTCATTTGTTGGCGATACGTAAACGGGAAGATGAAGATTTCCGCAGGATGACAGAAAATGCTGAAGCAGAAGAAGAGGTATGGATTTACTCTTATGGGAATTTCATTTCTTGGGTCTATTTTCTGTGGACATTGTGGATGATATACTAATTTCCATGGCAATAGGATCTTCGAAGACAACGCAAACGGATCAAGAGAGAGTCTATGGGCCTGGGACCTAATGGAGCCGCTGATTCGCCTCCTCTGCGACCTACACCACCTCGCCGACTGTCAGAGACCAGTGCAGCTACTACACTCGCCTTTTTCAAGCAACAGAGCCCACCAGAACCACGTCAAACTCCTCTTCCACCTGTATCACAGGCTCAACAAGCTCCTCCTATGCCCCCACCAGCTCATCTTCACCACCCAGCCCATCCTTCTCATCCTCACCACGCACATCAGCAACATCAACCACACCCTTCTCACCAGCAACATCAGCCTCATCCTTCTCATCCTTCTCACCAACCTCACCATCAAACTACACAACCTCAACCTCCCCACCAAGTAGTCCATCACGACTCCATGAACGGCCCAGGATCCATCCGCCGCAAGCAAAAATACACCATCAAAAACGTCGAAGCATGGGGTGAGCGTCACGGACGCCCAGCAGCCCACGACCCCTCAGGCCGAGCTCTCTGGAAGCGCCCATCAGACGGCAGTCTCGTCTACCTAACATGCCCCATCCAAGGTTGTAGCAAATCCGACTTCGTCACCCTCCACGGCTTCATGTGCCACCTAACAAAAAAGCACAAAGACCGCACACTGGGCAGCCAGTCCCGAGCCCTCGAGCTCTGTGGACTCGTATACGATCCCAATTCACCCCTGCCACCCGTCAAAGCCCACCGCGGCTCAACAGAGAGCGCAACACCAATGGACCACGACGGCGAAACAGGCGAAGATTTAGACTCCGACTCTGAAATGGAAGACGAACACTCACCGGAGTCTTACCGGGTTAAGACTGAAATGTCGGATCGCCCTTCAGACGCACACGATATGCCCGCACAACACGATATGTCTCCTGTGCCTAATCATATGTCGAACGGTTTATCAACCAAGCAGTCTATCTCGTCTATTATTGATCGATCCCCTGAACCAGAGACAAGGGAAGCTCTGGCCTCTCTACCACCTTCTGAACCTGTTTCTCAGGGTCCTACACCAACCATCGAGTCAACGGTGCCTGTTAAGCGGAAATTCGAGTACTCACCCGAGAAAGAAAATACAGAGCCGAAGGAAAGGTCTACACCTGAATAATATCGCTGCTATATTTCATTACCTACATATTCTCATCTATCAAACCTAATTCAACACAACATAATCATCTCGATGGTCTTTTACCCTTATATGGGCTTGCATCCATCGTTGGATATCAAAAAAGCGCATTTGCATCATCTCGCCTCGTCTCATCTTCTAGCATTTGCTTTTTGTTTCAGGTGGAACTGAACAGTCAGTTCCATTGACATATTTTCTGCTCTCAAAGCTCTTGTCCGCTTTCAATACCCTATTGTTTCAGCTGGGTGGCTTGACGCTCCGGTTTGTTATCGTTAGCCGCAACGCCCTATTAGATTCGCGGATGCTTGTCCATAATTTGCATGTTTAGCGTATTGTGAATAATAAATTCAGTGATCTGGACCCTGGATCTAGACTGTGTCTAATGCTAAGCTTGGCTTTTTATCTGAAACGTAAATGCCCCTGCATGAGCAATAGTACGATTGATAAGATGCCGTTTCTTGATGTATCACTTCTATTCTAAGGTTGATATATTACCTCCAAGACATTAATTCCAGTTTCTATTGCCAATAAACCCCCATGGTGGTCGCCGAGCCAGGGATACAGCCTGAGATATCTAGCCATGACACAAAGTAGTAGTCAACTTCAAGTTGATGTGCATACCTCCTCACATCCACTCTTAAATTCGGTTTATGTACTTGGAAATTTACGCTCACTATATACATCATCTCAACCCACTGAGATGAACTGATGCTGAAACTCGAATCAACTGTACAAGTCACAACCTCACTCTCGAAGTAAAATCATGTGCACCAAATACCCCGTACCGACCTTTAACCCATCCCCAAGGATCTCATCACTCACCCTCCATACCCGAAACTCTCTCAGCGTCTCCTTCAACCATGCATCAAACACCTCCGGTGCCCGTTGCTGCTGCGCAACCAAACAAACCGTCGGTTTCCGATCACCAGGTTCAGATTCAGGATTATAAGCTGGACGCAATCGACAGATCTCAGCACAAGTGCGTACGAAAGGCGTTACAAGCGCATCATTATAGATACAATCACAGGAAAGAATCAGATCAAAGCCTTTATCTTCTTCGTCGATTCCATGACGCTGTATCCCTTCATCCCCTTCTATACACCCCTTTAGAAAGGACGGTTGATCTGTTTCCCAGTCTAACGTCGTGAACGTAACATTGGAGGAAGGTGCAGATGCAGATGTAGATGATTTAGACGCCTTCTTCGCTTTACTAGCACCCTTTACTTTCTTCTTTGACGTAGCTGCGGCTGTGTTATTTGCAGATATGTTTTCGTCAATATTTGTCCGGAAATATCGACGGACATATTCCTGGTCTGTAGCAATGTAGTGCTGAATGGATGGGGAGAGAGCAAGTGGGATTAGGGCCGAGATACCGCATCCTAGCTCTGTGATGATGGATTCGTGGGTTAGGAAGGAAGAGGTCCAGAGGGGGTTATCGGGGGAGGAGATCCATTCTGCGAAGAGAGGTGTGATTTTCCATAATACTGATGATGTTAGTATACATAGTTCAATAGTTCAGTATAGCTCGAAAAAACAAAAAATGCTTATAGATTGCGTGATAACATAGATGAGTGCTGAGTGTCCTGAAAATGGTCTCCCGTCGCTCCAATAATAAGGCAAATAAGGCAGGTGTAAGGTCAGATAACGCCTTCAGAGACGAACAGGTTACCAGAATGAACCAGCCTCGCCTTTCCTTCAAATCAAAGGCCAGAACACGGAAGCAGAGCCTCGGCTTGCCCATTGTACCGTACCTGGACCGAGACAAACTGCGGGGATAATGCACGGACACGAAGCGGGGAGTGGGCGAAAAACTCAGATAGACATTAATTATGTCTAGATCTGCACAAAAGATAAAAGCAATAAAAATTAAAGAAGAAAAAACTTACCGGCGCCTGTCGTCCCCCCAGCGCGAGACGAGGAGAGTAAAGTTGGAGATTGGTGGATGGTGTATTCGTTGCCACGGATCGACACCTCAACTGCGGCTGCGCGGGAATCTAAGAAGCCCAAATTGGTAGTGGGGATATCCTGGGCGAAGAGAAGGAAGGATTCTAAACCGCGCTTGGGCCGTGAGCAGGGCGGGACTCGAAATTAGGAAATGCAGTAACTTCTGAGCTTACCCTCTTCGACGTCGGTGACTTCCTCCCCTATTGAGAGGAGGGAGGGAATGGTGGAAGACATAAAGACTCGAATGGAGCATGAGTCTAAGCTCCGTGTTTATCCGCGAACAATGAAGTTGTTGCTGTGGAGATCACGTGGATGGCCAAGATAATTGAAGTCTGTGCAGATGGAGTATACGGTCTTGTACGGAAGCACGGAGTACTTGGATGAAGCATCTCCAGTATCAAGACTGTGATTGGACTCGGTGTCCCCACATCATCGTTGGGTCCCAACAAATGAAGAAAAGAGTAATTGATCTGCGGGATAAACTACAGAAATCTTATACGAAGCATAGCACGGTGCATCATAATACCGCGGCATCACGCTAAATACGAGAGAGAATACCAATTTGCAAGCTGTATTGCGTTAATTTAGGATTAAAATGGATCCTTCTTTGTAGCTCTATCCTTACTGTAATATCTTTGAATCCTGCTAGCCCTGAAGACGTGCGTCATTCTGCGGGAGAGACGACCCAGCCACATCATATAATCGGATGGAACAGCTTCTCTCTCTTCTTTGCCAAGGATTTATGAGGTGGCTTGTACTTTGTTCATAATATAAAGTCGGATTAAGAGGTAAGGTTTTCCTTTTGGAGATACGTGGTATGGTGTACCTCTAGGCACGCTAGAGCTTTGCCGACCAAGCTTCCCTTGTTTTTCCCGGACCAACACAAGACCGCCCCCCTCGGAGCAACACTAACGTCACTTTCGTCCAGCGTATCAAATTTTCTCCAACTTGAACTTGCGCCACCTCTTTGTTTCCATTTAACGCATATATCCTCGCTTTCTTCGAGTCCCTTACACTCACCATGTCGAAGCGCGAGGCACACATCCAGCCTCGGATGGTGAAGAAGGGCCCCTTCTCCGTCGAGGCACCCGGCTACGAACCAGTCCAGGGCGAGACCATTCCCCGCCGACACCCAGCAGCCAAAGACGGCCTCATCCTTCGCCCAGCAGAGGATGTTTCCACCACATACGAGAACTTCCGCCGCTCCGCTCGGGTATTCGGTAACGCCAAAGCGGTCGCCAGTCGCAAACTGATCAAGACCCATGTCGAGAATAAGAAGGTTAAGAAGATGGTCGATGGTGTGGAGCAGGAGGTCGAGAAGCAGTGGACATACTTTGAGTTGAGCGGATACACATACAAGTCTTTCTTAGAGTATGAGCAGCTGTGTCTGCAGCTCGGCGCTGGTCTGCGCAAGCTCGGTCTCGAGAAGGATAACCGTATTCACCTGTACGGCGCCACAAGCGCACACTGGCTGGCCATGTCGCACGGTGCTGCATCGCAGTCCATTACAATTGTCACTGCCTACGATACTCTGGGTGAGGAGGGTCTGAAGCACTCTCTGAAGCAAACTGCTAGTGATGCTATCTTCCTGGACCCTGCTCTGATCAAATCGCTCCTTAAAGTTCTGGGAGACATCCCTTCGATCAAGCGCATTATCTATAACACCGATAACGAGGTTAAGCAGGAGGATTTGGACAAGCTGAAGAGCGATTTCAGCCACATCGAGGTGTTGAGCATTGAGGACCTTCGCAAGTCTGGCGAGGAGAACCCTGTGGACCCTGTGCCACCTACCCCCGAGGACCTTTGCTGTATTATGTACACGTCTGGCTCAACGGGCGCACCAAAGGGTGTCTCTTTGACTCACGCCAACGTTATTGCCGCCACCGCCGGTGTTAACCAGGTCGTCGGGCCTTACATCGACACCAGCGATTCTCTTCTTACATACCTTCCTCAGGCTCACATTCTGGAGTTCATGTTTGAGAACCTTTGCTTGTACTGGGGTGGTACCATGGGATACGGTAACCCTAAGACACTATCCGATGTCTCTGTGCGCAACTGCAAGGGTGATATTCGCGAATTCAAGCCTACTATTCTAGTCGGTGTTCCAGCTGTCTGGGAGACTGTTAAGAAGGGTGTTCTCAACAACCTCGGCAAGACCAGCTTCATCATCAAGGGTATGTTCTGGGGTGCTATGGCTGCCAAGACCTTCCTCTTGAACAACGGTGTCCCCGGCGCAAACTTCGGTGCTGGAATCCTTGACGCGGTTGTCTTCAAGAAGCTCAAGGAGGCCACCGGTGGTCGTCTCCGTATCCTGATGAACGGTGGTGGTCCCATCTCCAAGGAAACCCAGAAGTTCCTCTCTATGGCCATTGCCCCCATGATTGGTGGTTACGGTTTGACCGAGACCGCTGCTATGGGTGCTCTGAACGACCCTATGGCATGGAACCCCGAGGCTTTAGGTGACATTCCCGCCTCAATTGAGGTCAAGCTCGTCGACTTCCCCGATGCCGGCTACTTCACCAAGAACACTCCTCCCCAGGGAGAAATCTTCATCCGCGGTGGCAGTGTGACATCCGGCTATTTCGACAACGAGGAGGAGACCAAGGCTGCATTGACCGAGGACGGCTGGTTTATGACTGGTGACATTGGTGAATTCGACTCCCACGGCCACCTGAGCATCATCGACCGTAAGAAGAACCTGGTCAAGACTCAGAACGGCGAGTACATTGCACTGGAGAAGCTCGAGTCGGTCTACCGCTCATGTCCCGTTGTTGGTAACATTTGCGTCTACGCTGCTGAAGATCAGGACAAGCCAATTGCTATCATTGTCCCCGTTGAAGTTGCTCTGAAGAAGATTGCCAGCGAGAACGGAGTTAATGGTGACACCCTTGAGACCCTTGTGCACGATGAGAAGATCCAACGTCTTGTTCTTCAACAACTCCAGAGTTCTGGCCGTGCTGGAGGTCTGAAGGGTATTGAGATTGTCAGTGGTGTTGTTTTGTCTGATGAGGAGTGGACCCCTCAAAACGTAAGTTCTTGATCTACTGAGATGCGATGAAATAAAATAAAAGCATACTAATATCATCTCTAGGGTTTCATGACTGCCGCCCAGAAGTTGCAGCGCAAGAAGATCGTTGACCAGTACAAGTCTCAGGTTGACAAGGCGTACGGCAAGAAATAAACTCTTGTTTAAAAAGACGGAACATATTGTTACATTTATTTCGATTTGCTTGGGCATCTATTTCGTTTGTCCTGTTTTTTTTGTCTCGCCCATGATTCAGACGAGCTAAGTAATGAATGCGGATATGATTGCTTACACTTATACATTCCCATACTGTAAACCAAAAATTATTCTAAGATCCTCTATCTAGAAATCTTCGCACCATTACATGAAGTAGCAACTTTCTTTACTATATCACACATAACCTCGAACCCTGCCACCCAAAGTCCCAAGCAAATCAAAGTACATGAACCACAGTTACACCATACCCACAAAAGCACCAAACCAACCCACCGCGTGGTACATGTACCTGACAGGAACATCCACCAGGCACAGGAACCAAACTTGAACCTCCAACTATTCTATATCCAAAAGCGGTTAGACCGCCCGGCACGTGATATCCGCGGAGCTCTCAACTCTTGCTTCATTCAAGTTTCTGTCTTCAAGATTCCAATCAAATCATACAGAACAGATCGCACTCAAAATGTCTCTTTGGAGGTACGTTAAAGGTCCAATAAAACCCCGATATTTACGATGTGTATACTAACAACGGGACCCTTAGTACCTACCGCGGCTTAACCCCGAAAACACGCGCGCTTTTCGGCGTCGGCGTAATGGCATGGGCTACCATTGGATTGTGGACTTCGCCTAAAGTTGAGGATGCGCTTGGGATGCACGCTTCAAAGGAGGAGCAGGAGGCACTGGATCGCCAGCTTGCCGTGCGGATATCGAGAGCTGGACGCGAAGATAACAAGGATGAGACCAATTAAGATTGAAATAGTGTTCTTTTCTTATTTTTCTTCTCGAGTACGGCCTTACCCAAACTGCAGGGGGTATGGTACCTTGTCTGGATATTCAAATTGGATTCATATTCATTCGTGGTCTAGCAGAGCCATACTGCAGCCTCGCCGGTACGCAAAACGAAAACGACGTCAACATACCGCGGACATATACGCTCAGACCGCAAAGCTTCGGCCGGTTCAACGCAGATACAATCATCTCCGTCATGCTATATCGTATCCATGACCATGTTGACATTTTGTCTTATACTTTGCATGAAGTCTGTGCTGGCGCATGAAGACCATCCCCGACAAACTGAAGCTCATCCATCCATTAATGATCGCCACTCCCGTTAGTTGATTCAGGAAATCATGACAATGCTGTGCTGTTTCCAGTCCGGAAACCATTTCTTGGCAGAAGAGCAGGTGGTGTGGCCAGTCCAGATCGCGATTTAGCTGGTCAAAGCTGTAAGAAGCCAATGACGACACATTTTATTCTCCGGGCTTGATGGGGTCGGAATTGAGATGCGGTTGCGAGCCGCAGGCTTGCTGGTTTGCTGTCTCAAGTAGTCGGTAGCCAGTATGCTGATTCTGAGCTGATGTTGGTGGAGTGATTGGTTGGTTGTGTTGTGTTGTGCTGTACTCAATGCACGTTGGCAATTGTCTTATATTGTCTCGACGGTACTCTGATACTTCTGTTCTATCCGGGCTATACCGACCATCACTGAATAGGTACCCTTGTTCTTCCCGATCAGTACCTATGTACCTGGTAACTACCTATCCAGACTAGAGATATACCACGCTTTCTAAGCCCTAGGTACCTAGCAAATGCATGTTACCGCTACCAAGCTTTAGCCTGTCCCGCTCATGCACCGTATATTGAAGATCATATCTGGACTACTTATTCCATTTCCATTTTACCCCGACACCCGAGTCCGAACTGCAATCCAACTCCCCGAACAACACTCTCACGTGCCATTCAAGGGTCGAAATTCCCATACCCTTTTGTAAAGCTATCGGGTCTCTTAGAGCGGATCAGGGGAGATTGGTACAACCTATAACTCAGAGGCCGTTGATGTGGCACATCGGAGAAATCCACCTTCCGCCGTGGATGGTGATGAGTGACCGGTTGGTATTGCATCAAGCTAGGACCTCTATATTGAAAGGTTAGATCGGACAGATAAAAATTCACGATGCTGTATCCGAACGTGTCCACGGGTTTTTGGTTTAGATCTCATCGACTGGGCTGGATCCATGAAAGTGAAAGTGATTGTGATTGTGATTGACTTGGGCATAAGGGCTGATACATAACGAGAGTATGTATCCTTGTTTGATCTGCATTGGATAGTGGAATATTGGAAATAAGTGCTTAAATAGTAGGTAGTTTAATGCAGCCCATAAAGTATTATGTATAATGATTTATGTGGTACTAGACAAAGTATATTGCAGAAAATGACTAGCGCCCCAATGGCAACTTCCTCGGAATGAGCCGCCTACTCAAGCTTACAACCTTTGAAGGCTATAGAAACAGACTGTTGAGATCCCCTACAGTTATTACAGCAATCAAGATCCTAGTCACCCATGATTCTGTCCGGGAAGATAAATTACGCACAAAATGTTTCTGTAGCACCGACAACCCAGGGTCCAAGTGTGTCTTAAACAAGACCCTATGCATATGCTCTGTTGAACTAGGATCAGTAGTTCAATAGTTCAATTAACACGATTCAGATCAAGGAACTTACAATCCAAGGATCAGAACTTGTAATAAAAACAAAAAACAAAAAAATCCTTGATTGATAAGGGACAATGCGGTTATAGATCCAATTTCAAGCCACGTAAAGGGAAAAAGCAAAGGAAAAAAAAACCAAAATAACACCAATGAGCAGATTATGATTGCATACATATGCATATTCCAAATATATTCCAAATCCCATTCCATCAGATTATGATACTTACCCCGATTTGATCGGATCGTTAGGCGCCTGAAACCTGCCGTGAAACCACAACCCCATGTCAACCCCTCGTGAGTCCAAACACCTAACAAGGCTGAGCCATCGGCAATACCCAGGTAAACTAGGCATCTATGATCTCTATATCCGATGATTTGGACTAAGACGTCCCGTGCTGCACATGCAAATATGCACCTGTAGATATGAGCACGGGCATGGGGCTCTGACCTTTCGGCCGGAGTTCTTGTGCAACACTGGTGTTTAGGGTGGGTGAACCCTGCCCAGATGCACAGAATCAGGTTATTTCATTTGATTTGATTTTGATCTTGAAAGGTTCAGGCTCAAGCTCCAAATTCCAAGGCAGTTTTGATTTTGATTCTTGTTTTGTTTCCAATGACCTATTTCCTATTGCCACCTACACCTGCCACATTTTCACATGTGGATGTACATAGATTAAAATCAGAATTAGGAAAGGCTAAGAGAGACAAACCTTGACGGAAGTGATTAAGTCTTTCCCCAAAGTTATATACAAAAGTACGAACCAATCTTGAACTACTATCGCCTTGTGATTGTGATGGTGTATACTCCTTAGAGACGGTATTTCGTCAATGAGAGATATTTTGCTTGCGATAGACTACCTAGATGAGGTCATTAAGTTGGTACTTCATTCAAAGTACACAGTTGTATACGAAGAAATACATGGAAAGGAAAACTTTCCATCCACACCAGACCAGATGAGGTTCTCACTAGCTCGCATCGCAGGACCAGGACCCTGGTCCATAAACCGGGAACTATAGCCTAGACAAAAAACGTACCAACATGAGGACGTAGCAGGGGGCGCTGAGCACCGGAACTTGCCGAGCCGCAGGAAGCCAGAATCACGAGAGAGGCTAGCCAAATAGCGTGTGATACATGGTATGCAGTCTATGTCTATGTTTTTCTTGGCATTTGATGACTCAAGACATCAACTTGAAGTAGAGTAGGCAGATTTAGGGTCATGTTTTGACATACATCTAGTAGACTAGTAATGGCCTAAGGTAGCCCGCATATGTCTTACCTATGAAATAAGAATTAAAAACTTGAATTCATATCTATGCTTATCATAAAAACGTATTCCTTCACCCACACTAGTAGTGCCTCGCCACTGGCGCCCGGCCCCAGTCCTGCATGAATTCGTAATAGCCGCAACTGGGCTGAGCTGAGACGCAATAAATCACCTGCGCACGCACCGTCGATCCGATGGCGATCAGGGCACGGGATCTACACTATTCACATCCTCCACTGGGCAGGACCTGTAAATATCAGTGACGATAACAGTGCGCCCTAATACACCCTGAATAAGCAAGAGAAAGCAAAATTAGGGTTTACTCACGACCGTAATAGTGATGCTAATCCGGTACCTATTCAAATCAGTATACTAAGCCGTCCTTACATAGATCTAGTTAATCCGTTCTTCATACTCCACAATCAATACCCCATACATGTACATCCATGGATTCATCACTCCATGTTCCATGCCCTGTTATACCCCGTACATACCTGGACGCCGTATACATCAACTCCAGTCTACTCCGCATGATCCTTCACCAAAAACTCCACATCTAACCCTTGCTGCCTGGAAATTACCAAATAAGCAGAAACATCATCCTACCTAAAGAAGATATTGCTAAACAAACTGATTGGCTACCTATTTATCCCAGAAGTGCATGTTGACTTTCCTCCAACCAACCTCGTTAAACGGACGAAGCAACTTACATAAACGCCACCAGCCCTTAATATGCTCAACCTTGCAACTTCCCCTCCATGGCCCTGTCCGCTGACTACCCCGGGCTTCTATGCGCATACAGTCATAGCCTGATACGGGACACGGTGCCGAGTGGCAATGATAGCCTTCTATTATATTCTGAAACTAGATCAAAACCAAATACGAAATTAAAATAAACATAAATCTAAAGAAGAAGGAGGAAGCTTGCGCCCTGTTGCATCAGCCTTTCAGCCTTTCAGCATGTCTGATGTATGTATGGATGTATTTAAAGATCCGGACCCACTCGTAGTATGATGTATGTACTAGTATTTCACCAATAAGACAAAATAAACATCTGGATAGGTCTAAGCTCTACATCGTAGTCTCAGAAGATGTTCCATTGAAACTGGACTGAGAGATTCCTGTACTTATCTGCATCACCCTGGTAAAATGGGCAACTGGACCAGGACCGCAGCAAATAACGCTTCCTGACGGGCTACGCGAATCGGGGAATTGCGGCGGTACTATGGGAGTGTGCAGGCAAACACATGTAGATGGGAAACTCAACACCTAACTAGGTATTCAGTATGTAAGTAGGTATTCGTTTGTTTTATTTTCAATATTAATTTTAGATAGAGTATGTAATAAGTATGGGTAGTTATGATACTCCAGAACCTTGAATAAATGGAAGGCTGGTAATGACATTCTGTATGCTCTCCTTTTAGAAGGTAGGAACACATGACAAGAAGTTAAAAAATAAAAAAGGAAATCATGAAAAGGTTGACGTAGATGAATGAGTTGAATTGGAGCGTGATGCTCCAATTGTTAACTCTTGGTGATGAGCACTGCCCCATTTCCCGATTGAGAAACTAGACAGGCAGGACAAAAAGGTGGTGTAGGGTTGAATGAAGAGAAGAATCCGAAGTTCCCAAGGAGAAGAAATAGTTCATAAAACATGAAAACAAAAAAAGTAAAATCAATGGTGATCAGACAAGGAAGAAATTCAAAAAAGGGCCGTAAAATCGTCTCCCGCGCCGTTCTGCACCGCTCCGTAAGCCACTCCCCATTTCCCAATTCTGCAAAAATGAAATCCCTCGAACCCCGAATAGAACCAAGTAAATCGTAAAATGATCATAGAGAGATGACATCAAAAACAAAGGGAAAGAAGAATAAAAAGGCAAAAACAAAGAACCCCAAAGGACACCTCAGGTGCATAGGCTATGCGAGTTCTGAATTGGATCATAACGGCCATAGGTCGAGTAAACTGGGTCGTAACCTCCCGTACTAGAACGATGGTGCGGAACACCAGCAAACACTGAGTCTTGATAAGGGTCGGTTTTCAGCGTATCCATCGGGTCCATAGTATCATTAATCATGGAGTAGTCAAAGCCGGAAGAAGACGATGACGAAACAAGAGGACTATCGCTCAAAGGAGAGTGCTCCGCAGTAGGTATTTGACGATAATCCGTTCTTCCATACGGAAGTGAACCACGGTGGGCAGAGTCGTACATCAGAAGATGTGAACGTGCGGACGGTCCCATTGCATGAGGCAAACCACCATTCCCATCCCCGGCACTTCCATCGGGTCCCATGCTCGCTGTACTGTCACGCCGTCCGTCCTTGTAATGACCTGGAGAACGGCCCCGTACAACCATCCGGTGTGAGTGGCGGCGGGCAATGATAATCGGCTCAAATTCCCCAGTCACTGGATCCGAGACTTCTGCATGAAGCTCCACCACGAGGTTGTAGTATTGCTGCTGGGCGCGGCGCTTGCCGTTATTAGCGGTTGCTTTCTGAAACTGGATTCGCTCGAACATAGTCGATGTGGGGGGCTGACAGGGCTGAGGCGCGCCCGAGAATGACGAATGGTAATCCAGAGACTGCGAGTTGAGGGAGAAGGTGGAGTGTGTGCCATTTCCGGTTGTGCCTGCAGCCAGGGAAGGGGGTGGCGAAGGCTGCAAAGCTACTGGGCCTGGTTTTCGTTCTGATTGCTTGTCACGCTTTGGTGTGTGTTGGACAAGTTCTCGTGTGTCTCCGTATTGTTCATTTACAATTGCTGAAATGGACATTTGAAATCCTCTGATTGGTGCTAGATGGCCATTTTCGTGTCGAACGTAAAGAGGTACGGTTGCAGGCCATGGTGCGAGAGTAAAGCTGCAAGTTACGGCGAAGTAATTGCGGCGGTAGCATGTCCATTTACCGTCAGATGCGAAAAAGCCTCGACCGATCTTTGCGTGAATCTCGGGTTTGACAATTGTCTGGTTACCGCCATAATCGGCCACGATGGACTCGAGGATATTAGTCTCGTCAAATGGTGGGGCTTCGACTTGTGCTGGAGATCGCTGTGGGGTTTCTACCATAGGCTGCTGGAACATGGTCTGTGAGCGATCAAAACCCCCCTCTAGGGCTCGAGGAGCACTGGGATACGAGTGAGAGCGGGAAACATCATTCACTCCCGCCAAGGGCAGCCCTATGCCTCGGGGTAAGGCATAAGATGAGGAATAGGCGTTATTCCGTCCCATTAGAGCCGGAATAGAACTGACGCCATGAGATGGCGCTTGCATTGTGGTTGACATGCCAACTGGAGGTTGTCTAAATGTACACAAGTTGACCTCATCAGTCTCTCTTCTTGATTTACCTGCTGACTTTCTGGAATGGAGAAGATACTCACAGTGATAGACCACGTCGGAACTCTGTCATGCGGTCAAATGGGTGTTGTTGCTGAGACAGGTAAGGGAAGAGAGGGCCAGAGGTTGGTGAGAAGGAATCTATTAAATAGCACGTCGGATCAGCGCCGGGGCCAACGTCTAAGTTGCCACTGAAGGGAAAAGCCATACCGGAGCCTGAATCAGGAGGTGTCATAGCAAGAGCAGAAGAGCCGGGATAACTGGGACATAAAATCCTTTTAGCATGTCCACATCACCACCAATTCATAGCAAGCAACTTCAGTGGACTGAAGAAGCATGAAATCATAAAACCAAGGGCATCCGAGCGCAAAGCAGCCACTATGACTGCAACGCAATACAAATAAAAGTAAAAAACAAAGAGGGTAAGGGTTCAAAAAAAAAGACAGAATAAAAATCGAAAAATCAAAAACCAAATCCAGAAAAGTTAAAACCAGGGTAAACGCAAGAGAAGCTGGTAATGGCAAAAAGAAACCCAACGAAGATACGAGACAAGACGAGTTCCAGGTAAGAAAGAACCAAGAAAGGAAAACAGAATAAAACAGAATGAAATAAAAAACATCGGAAGAAATGCATGCGCGCAGCGGATCGGTATGGAAGGTACCGAACCAGCCTAGTTTAAAGTACAAGCTGCCCGGACCCGGAGGAAGCGCAGCAGACAAGGGGTCGAGAGACTGCCCAAGTGGAGCGAGCAGCCTGAATTAAAAGAAGGAAAAAATAACTTACTGTAAGTCTTGCATCGTCTGCTGTGCGTGGTACCGCACGCCGTTGGTGACAGGCATGGAGGCGAGGCCTCCGACTCGCTGGTTGTCGTCCTCGTCGGTTGGAAACCCTGTCACATGAGAGTTGATATAATCGCCATCTGTAGTGACCGGGCAGTCCATGGGAAAGGATTCGGGGAGAAGGGCTGAAAAGAAAGGGTAAGTTGAATACCAGTGTTCATTTACAAAACTAGTCATGATATTGAACCGACTGCCTCATAGAATGACGAAGAACAGGGTAAGAAAGGAAAGGCAAAAAATGAGTGACTTACAAGGATTCATTTTCAACTAAATGATGGCAGGTGGCTCAAAGACCCTGAGGAATGGCTAAGTGAGGTAACACCAGCGAGACGCCCAAGCTGGTGTCTGGCCCTTGACGTTTTTTTTTTCGTGGCGAAGAATGATAGTCTAGAGAAATCAGCCTAGTTAGTGACCAGGGCCAGGATCAAGTCCAGCTTTATTCGACTTCGCCTCACAGTCACAGAATTGAGTGTTTTCGAGGATATTCCCAAATTTGATAAGGAACCCCGGAATAATGAATGAGTGTGTATATGATGGTGTGCGTATGGACAGAAAATGTATATATCCTATCCGATCCACGATTCACCCGTCACAAGGTCGGTGATAATGCCAGACTTGTATAATTACCAAGAACTTGAAGAGACTTCCAAGTGCCAATATAAATCAAACGATGTATGAATCTTCGGTTGAATATAGCATGGGGGGAAGGAACAATAGAGGAAGGATAGTATAGAGCAGCTTTAGAAAAGAATCACTGATTAGATCAAAAGAAGAAGAGAAGAAAAAGGAATGAACAAAGAGGGTGAGGATGAGAATTAAAAGCAGAGCATGTCTCAGGGAAGGACTAAGAAGGTGAAGGGGGTATATGTTGCGTGTTCAGTAGAACCGGAAAGTAGAAGTATTCAACGGAATTCGCTCGGCCCAAAAGGATGCGTCAGGGTTGATAGACATTGGTTTCCTTAATTAGGGATAGTCCTCATCATTATGGTCATGGGCTCTGATTTCCCGAAATGAAACAATCAGATCAGGGACTAGACATCATATCCAAGTACCTGAGCAATAGATCGTGAAGATCCAAGCAAAGCCCGCGGATGGATATTTGCAGTCCCCCGGAAACAAGAAACAAAAATAAAAATAAAAATAAAATCATGGAAAATCAAAAAAAGACGAGGGGAAAGTTAAAGAAGAAAATACAAATGATATACTTTTCCTAATGTCCACCAAGAAATGGAATAATGACATCGTAGGGGCAAAAAACCAAAATAAAATAAAAATCCCCAAAAAGAGTCTAGAAAAGGAAAAGAAAACTCACCTTGATGTAATCCGGTGTGACTTACGTCCACAAATCAAACGAGCTTGATGGACTGGAATGTACTGTAAAGATAGGAAGGGAAAACCCAACCCCTCCAAAAGTCCCCTGCAACCCTGATCTATAGTATACTTCACTGGTATTACCAATGACCTTGTTCTTGTTACCGTTCTGATTCAGATACAAGCTCAGGTTCAGTTTTCTTTTCTGGTGGGGAAAATCGGGGGAACCCTCCAGGTAAAAAAGAGTACAGACCCCGGCACCAATGCAAGAGCAAGAGCCTCTCGAGTCCTGAGCGATCAGAATAATTTCTTTTGGAGGGGTTCAAAAGATGTGGCTGGGCTGGAAAGGAAAAATAAAAATAAAAACCAAGGAAGATGCTTTGCTTGAAATATGGAGTGCGCATGCAATTGATATTTGTTTCCTGCGAGATGGAGATGCTTGACAGTGGATCCTGGTGCCCTGCTAGCAACCTAGATGCGGAATAACACCCTCAAATTGTTAGCCGTAGGTTGTCATCGGCCGAGGATCATTCTCGCCACGAGGTTCTGGGAATCTGGAACTTCTGGGCCTGTCAGGGACAACGAAATACGTTGTATTCGGCGAAGCGACAAGTGGGTGGCAGCAGTCATTTTGCATAAGGGGTCCAACCATAATTAGCATCCAGGATTTCCTTCTTTTCCTTTGGTTGAATAATAATAATGATAATATTAATAAATCAATAAATCCTTCTTTTTATTTTCTTTTCGTCATGGATATTATTCATTAAATATTAATATTAATATTATTTAACTAAATTTTTTTTTTTGTAATCCTGGTCCCGGTCTATGGAGCCCGCTAAAATGGGCTGTGGGGGGTGGGTAAAAAAAAGAGACGGATTCCCATAGGATGGAAACTGTAGCATTGAATCATTGGCCCGAGCTCCAGACAGTTTGATTGTTCAAGGAGCATGGCATTGGTCAGAATCACCATGTTACGTGCCCTGGGAGGACCCGAAAGGAAGCTGCACGGACAGTGGCCGATCCAAAGTGGATAAGGCACGATACGGCCCCCGTGCAATAACAACAAGGCAGGATGTATTTTCCTTTACAAGAGGTCTTTGATGAAGTCAGATGTCCCAGCGCGAACACCCGAAGACGGGTCGCTGCAGGAAACACCAAATAAGATGAAACTAGGTAGGATAGAGGCGATGATTAACTTACCCAAGGATACCCGTGCAGACTTTCCCTCATCCACTCTCTCCCCTCTACCTCCAAGTGCCCTGTGGTTGATGTATCAGACTTTAAGGATCTGCAGGCCAATAGACCAGGACCAGCCAGTCCAAAAAAGACCATTCGTCCGTGTGAATAAACCCTGGGCAAATAATCATCATGATTCCTTGGAAATGAACCCATGCTTACTCCGTACTGGGGCAGGAAGCAACACCTGTCGGAGTTCTTCCCAGTGACATTTCATTGTTATTATTATTTATCCTTTTTTCCCCTTTAGCTCGAAGCACGAGTGTATCTTGCATGACAAAATGAAAAATAAGTAGCAAAAACGCGGACGATCAGGCGATCGGCAATTTTCATTGAGCCAGCTGCATCGTGCATGTTGGCAATGCTCTTCACCGACAGATCTAATAAAAAAGAATTAAGGCAGCACTGGCGACGATTAGTTTCCTCCGGACCAATTGCCTCCACCACTTTCGGGGAGAAGAGCTAGGGACCGGCCCCTCCAGACTATGACGGATGAAATCATTTCCCGAGTAGGAAACCTAGAAAACCGTGGCTCCACCGGGGCATGCCTAAAACAGCTGCAGCGGGAAGGGTGATGGTGTGCGGTCCGTACCCGGCAGCTTTTTCCAGAATCGAGCTTCAGAAAGACCCACCGGATTGCACAAATGGAAATCCCCCATGGAGCCCGGAAAATGAAGAGGGGAGGGGCAGAAGGACCGAGAGCTTAAACACCATAGTAGGAGAATGAAGATGGGAGTGTCAGATCGAGAATGTCAAAAGGAAACAAAGAAAAAGGAAAAAAGAGCTCAACAATAGAATACAAATACAAAAAGACCTTTTAGCCCAGCTTTCGTGGCTCTGCTGGATGGTGGAGAGTATAGTATCATAGATCCACGATCCCGGCCCTCATAAGTGGGACCTCTAGTCCTGATCGTGTAGACGAAACTGCGTTAGTGGCTAAAGATCGTCCATCCTGCAGCAGGGCTAGTTGGTTCAAATGACAAAGCTCAGGGCCACTGTTAATGCACCCGACGGGAAATGATTGGCGGATCGGAATTTCAATCACAGTCCTTAGGACCAGTCAGTGTGGACGATGGGGCAAAAGAGGGTATGTTGTGCAGCAACTGGAAATTTGTGCCCCTTCGCCCCCAATGGATCATCCAGAAGTAGAATACAGCAAACCAGTTAAGTTAGGATACCGAGCTCGGTACCAAGTGCAGGGATGGGGGGCGTCACGCTAGAAGCCAAAAAGTTCAGGCAACAAGTGATGAAAAAAGGTGATTAGAAGTGATCAAGTGCCGAGCCAGGGCTGAGTGTCCAAGCGTCACAAAGCATGTCCAAGTTGGGGGGGAGAAGATCATCCACATCCACATTACCCGGACTGTTGGATCACTGGAGCGGCACCTGTGGAGGGCGGTGAACAGGGAACGGTCTAAGTACTGGGTACTTGGAGTACATAGTGTGCATAGGCAGTGTATACGTGGAACTATTTACTTGAAGAACCTCGTATTCCGCTTAAGATGATCACCCAATTACTACACATCGAGAGAGTAACGATGCCAAATAGTGGAGTTTCATGTACAAGATACATAGTCTCAAGTAATCTATAGATGTAAAGAATGCGAGATGTGTGAATTGACCCCGACCTTCTGCATAACCAAATGGGAAATTGGAAAAGCCTTTTTCTTTGTCACGGCCACTAGTGATTTTTGGTGGCTTTTTCTTTTTTCTTTCTTACTTGACAGCAACTTTCAAGTATCCAATACTCTATCAGATCCAAAGATGTCGAATCCACCCCGTACCCGCACCCGAGCTCCACTAGCCCGTAATCTAGTTCCCGGTCTCCACCATTTTCCGATCTATCACTTTTTTTCCTCCTTTTTTTCTTTTCCCCCAGGGGACAAAAGGTCCCAAGCATGAGACACATAAAGAGAACGAGCTCTTAAAGAATTGTCCGAATCTAGCAACGTGTGAAGAGTCACCGTCCACCTGTTTTTGATGTCTCTCTGCAGCGTAAAGAGTGGCCAAACCTTACCCGTTCTCTAGTTCCTCTCTGCAGGTACCTGGGTGTCTATCTAAGACTGTAAACGCCATGCTCCTTTTATTTTCTTTTCGGAACATTTTGACTTTTACAGTTTGGGACTTTGACTCGCCTGCTAATAATCCATGCATCTTCCGCTTTAGATTTTGACTTTCGTACGCCAGGCATCACTAGCAGGCTTTCTATGGATGAATTCATTAATCCAACCATGGTTCGGCCCACGCAAATCGGCAACAAAAGCTGGAAACAGAGCTGAGTTTGTTGAGACTGTGAGGTTGCATATTCTCCTGAGACAACCCCGCTGGATTTCAATCTCGATGTTTCTAATTCTTCTTGCCAGGGCTTCTCGTGGGCACGTGCCACCGGATCTGGTGGTCGATCTTGGCGTGGACGACGATCGGAGAGTCGAGCTCTAGCGGGGGATGAGTTGTTATCTCGACGTGACAGATACCGCACAGAGATCAAGAGGAGAATTCCAATCGGTTTCCCATGTACGACTTGATAGTTTCCTCCACGCAAATAGCCATGACCAGTT